TTATTCTGCTATGACTACGGCTTTATACATGGGGCCGGAGCCGAACTATCTCGCTCCTTAATAATCCATAGACGCTGAATATGCGACACTCTGTTCACTGTTGTTGGTCTATGGCCAGAAAGGCTGTCATCTCGGACTCAGCCTCAGTACCTACAGACAATTGATGCAAAAGAATAAAGTACACCGTATGTCAGAAAAAGAACTCACAAGAGAGATGGTCGTTAAAAATATCATGAAAGCATTCATAGCCAGAGTATTTACCATAGCGTTCTCGGACAAAGGCCTTGAGGCATTCGTTTTCAAAGAGGATACGATCCAAGTGCACTTGCTGTTCTGCTTCAACAGTCCCAGTGATGCTGCCATTATAGAGATCGCCATCAGAACCGTTTTGCCCGTTGTAGTCGTCGTCATAGTGGGCCTGATCGTCCCAGTTAGGCACTGAAGAAATGTGTGGTGAGAGGGGAATGGTCATTGTAGGGGTGTGGTTGGCGTCGCTGAGGTGTGCATGGCCTCGATCCTGTCTGGTGTTGGAAGCTTTCTCGAAAAAAAGGGGTTGAGAGAATGCATTCTTCTGCTGCTCGCCCCTCCAGCTGTTGTACTGGCTACCGCTGCCACCACTGGGAGTCCACTGAGACTGGTGCTGTGGCTCTCGCTGTCGATACTGCTGCTGCTGCTTTGCTCCATGGAAATGCGCCAATTGCGCGAAGCTGCTGCCGGAAGTGTTGTGCGCTGAGAAGAACTGCTGACCCATCGAAAAGACGCCTTTGGGGGTAAAGTGTGAGTGGGGCCGGAGGCTGTCGATCTCGTCTCCGTGCTGTGAGACTTGACGATGCTGGGCGTAGTGCTGTTGTGTCGTTCGTTTCGAAACCTTGGCGACTTGCTTAGCGTCCTTGCCGAGAGATATAGTGACGAGTGCACTATTGTCCTTGCCCAGTCGGCAGGTGGGACGGGCGTCGTTTTTGAGTATTCCTGTCATAGCGACATCAACCGAACCCATTGCTTCCAAATCGCTCACATCTGCATTTATGTCCACCTCCTCCTCCTCGTAGAGGTCATAATCGAGATCTGTGACGTCTTCACAGTCACTGCCAGTATCCTTTGGTCGCGAAGTCGGACGGGCGCGCTTGCTGAGTCTCGAGTTGGGGTTAACCAGAGAGGAGTGCTTCTGCAATTCTTGAAGGCGATGGAATCCTCTAGCGGGGATCTTTCCGACGGTTTCACGGAAGGCTCTGGCGTGAGGGTTGAACGACTTTTTCAAGTCATTCACGTTCTCGTTTTCGTATCTTGTTACTGCCATGTAAGTTGCCAGGTCGAATGTGTAGGCGGTCGTGCTGAGGATTTCGTTGGAGTCCTTTGCCAGCTCTGTCAATACGACCTTGGGGCGGTACTTGTGGAATGATTCCATGTGAAACACGTTGGTGTCATTATAGCTGTCTCCGAGGGGCTGAGAGTGTGACCTTCCAGGACCGTCGTTGCTGTTGGTTGCGCTAGTAGAGTCGACCTTGCGTTTGGAGGAGCTGGTAGAGATAGAATTGAACTTGAGAGCTTTCTTGGCGACTGTCGGCTGAGACTTGGCCTTGTTGGCGAGTTTAGCCTTGGCGAACGAGATCGGGTTGGCCATCCAATGGCTGCCGAGCTTGAGTTGGTCTGGGTGTGTGTACGTCTCGCCCTTGTGGTCTGATGCGGCGGTGGCGATGGCGGTAGAGAAATCGTCGATGTTTTTGGGAGACCTGACTGCCTTCCATGCGCCATTGCTGAACCGGAATCGGTTTGGAGCGAGCATCTCAAATTCGAGGCAGAATGAATAATACGCATCGGGATTGAGGTTGAAGACGTTGAAGCGGAGGCTAGGGAAGAGGCAGCGTCCAGACGTTGTTATGATCATCTCATTTTGGTGCTCATCGAATTGTGCCCACAAGTCCGAATCCAAGAGCAACACCTTTGGCTGAGGCCCATCGTGACGAGTGCCGCTGCTGTTCAAAAGCGCAAGAGCGGCTGAGGTTCTGCGGGTCGACAATGCGAGGCAATCAGACGGTGATGTGCGACTGGGCGATGACAACGGTGACATAGGGCCATATTGCTCTCCACGTCTCCGCTTTGATGGTCGACCGCTGCTATTATCCTGGAGCGACTGCGAAGAGAACTGAGCTGACCGAACCTCAGCCTCTGTTGGTTCCCTCTGCTCGAATGGTCGGATCTGTGAGGGAGCAGGCTTGCCCAGATGCATGCTGCGGTACCACGGTCTATTCTTATGAAAAAGACGAAGATAGAAGATATATTAGATACACCGTACAACACCCCCCCGAGAAAGAACATTTATAATCACAGAAACAAATGAAACTTTGGATACCTACTCGCTGTGTCGGTTGTCTGATCGAACATTAGTTCGCAGATTGCTTGATGGACCTTGGCGGCGGTCAAAGAGAGTAACCTTTGGCTCATTCTCCTTGTTAGCGTATTCCCTTCCAGTGGACATCGTGGTGGGTTGCGCGCTGGAAGAGGAAATGGAGGAGTGGGAAGCGACAACATGGTTGTCCCGAGGTGGTTGTTGGTGGTTATGGCGATGACCCCGGTGGTGGTGATACTGTGGGAGCATTGCTTTTGTGTTTGTTGGTAGAGGAGTGAATGCGTGCGTTGTAAAAAGAAGGACGGTGTCTTGTGAGGGTGAAGAAGGGGTAGTGTAGCTATGCAATTCAGCAGTTATTGTGAAGAAGAAGGGCGAGATAATGTTAGAGTGAGAATGAGAAACAGGGTAAAAAAGACGAGAGGTGAAGTAAAGGGTGAGCAAAAGAAAGAGGGACGTGGACTGTAAGGCGACAGAGTTTACATAAACAGCGACCGCCTGTTTTCCTTCGTAACATGCAAACCAGACGAAAATTATATATAATTGCGAGGAAAGGAGGGGGGAGTCAAAACAAAGAACTCACACACAATTGTAGTGTAGACATACAAAGGGAATAAAAGGTATGAAGGAAAGGGAGGAAGTGGGTAGGCCGGCGCAAGCTGAGCATGAGTAAAGGAGGGGGATTGTCAGGATTTGACTTTACTTGCAAGAGGTAGGGTATGGCGTGTTTAGTCGGAGTGGAGAAAGGAAAAAGGGCTGTTCTTGGTACCTGCTCGTATTTCGACTTGCAAACAATAATGAGCTCAGCGTCGACGAAGAAAGAAAGTCTTGAGTGAGGAGGGACTCGAAGGTACTATGTGCCAATACAGAGATAAAGAGGGGTGTATGAGTGTATAGGTGGGAGAGGGGAGAGGTGAGTAGCAGTAGGAGCTGGGTGAAAGGACCAGAAGAGAGAGGGAAGTTGTATGTGTGTGTGTTTGAGTGTTGTGAGGGAGGGAAGTGGGTGTGGTAGTGGGGTACTGGGTTGCAGAGCAAGAGAGCAAGCAATAGCAGGAAAGAGGTGTATGTTTGGGTGAGAGCGAGAATAAAAGAGTAAGAGGGAGGTGGTTGGAGAAGTGAGTGAGAGTGGAGGTAGGGAAGGAAAGCAAAGCGAATGGAGTTGAAGTGAGGAGGAAGAGGAGGAAGAGGAGAAGAAAGGAAAGAAGTGAGGAGGAAGAAGAGAAGGTTTTCGTCTAGCCGCCTTGCGACCGATAGACAAAAAGGCAGAAGCACACAGGGCTACATCATATTTTTTTTCTTCACTCTGAGAGTATGAACCCTTATTCCTCACTTACAACACATACACATGCACATACATATACACACCCCTGTCCATAGTTGGGATCGATCCTTCCGTTCCTACTTCATCGACAGCCACAGTAAAATATTAGTTCCTGAGACGAATAACCTACACTGACGCAGAAACATCACCAATTAATCAAACACTGCTCTCTCGACCATGTCCTTGTCTTTGTATTTCCTCACTTGTTAGCCTTTGTTTGGGATGTATGGATTACTACAGTCGTGGTTGTTGCATACCCGCCTTTCTCTTGTATGTTCAAATGGTCTCTATTTCTCTACGTCTACATATCTACATATGACCATATCTGCTTTTGTTTGTGTCTGTGTCACTGAGAAAAGAGGCATTGATAGCGCACAGGGAGGGGATGCTAGAATGTATATTCCACTCAATACACAGAACCTTTCATTTTTTGTTTATGCTCCTTTCTTTCTTATTTTTCTTGTCCATGGTTGTGAAAGAGGGAGGTAGTGTCCTTGGCCCAGAGAGAAAAAGAGGCAAAGAGTGAGAGAAGGGGAGAGTAGGTGGACGAACGGTAAGGCGAAAAAGGCCATCTGCTTTGAGAGGTAGCTGGCGAGCAATTCTCCCATTCGAGAACCTTTTTTTTTATCCGTCTAGAACTGTTTCCTTCCAGCGCTTTTTTTTGAGTGCGTTTGCTTGCAGTGTCTTCTTTACTCATGTCTGTACATTTGTACATGTGCTTGTGATGTCAGAAAACAAGTCCGGCAGGCGGTTAGGAAAAAAAGAGGGGTGAGTTTGCTGTACCCTTGGATGTCTTTTGGTTGGTTTTGGTCGCGTGTGTTAGCAAATGGTCCGATTGGATGGGAGGGTTGATTTCCGAGACCGAGGGAAATGGATAAGGGCGAAGAGTACGAATCGGAAACTGCAAAAGATAAAAAAGGAAAGCGACACTAAGTTTTAATTCAGTCCTTGCTATTCAATCATACTTTTCATGTTCACATACGCGCGCTTTAGCGCGTAAACAAACAACACATACGAACACAAACACAAACACAAACACAAACACATTTTTTTTACATAGGCTAAGAGAACGGCTCTGCATCAGACGAGTCGCATTGTTTTTCTTCTCTATGCAAGACTGTTTATGCCTCTCGAGCACTCCGCAGATAACGCATCGCATGCATTTTTCGTCATCTCGGTTCTGCGTTAAGAGTTTGCTTTTTTGGTGGGTTGTAAAGAGAAGTGGTGGTTACCCATGTTTTATTGTTATAGAGATAATAGTTCGAGGTGCTCAGCGGGCTTAAGATGTCCTTGCTTGAGGTGGAGGGTATGACTAGGTCGCCATAAGTAGTCCACTTAGTCGTCATCTTCATCGCCATCATCCAGACCTGGAACGGATAGCCGCATTGTCTCATCCTTATTGACTAGCTTGCGATACTCCCAGAAGAGTGCCCATCTCAGTAGTTCTTGTTGTTGCTGCAGGTGAACCTGTTGGATCTGTTGTTGTAGCAACTGATACTGCTTTTGCTGGAGCTGATGAGGCTGGGCGAACTTATGCTGGTCCTGGCGGCACTGCTTCTTGAACTCCTGTACGCGCAAGGGAACTTGTTGTTCGAAAACCTGTATCAGATCCATGAGCTCCTGCTCCTGTTGTCTCATGAGCTGTTGGTATTGGAGGATCGAATGCTGTTGCCGAAATGGAAGGAGAGAAAAGAAGGGGAGGAGACAGGAAGGCGAAGATAAATTAGGGCGAGGGTGGAAAGTGAAAAGAACTGAACGAGGTACAAGAAATATGAATGATTTCCTTTTCTTTTGGTACCGAGGCTTTTTTGTTGTCTTTTGGTTTCTGTTTTTGTTGAGTGAATAAAGAAATGAAAAGAAAAGAAGGAAAGAAAATGATATTAACAGGCGAATACGAAGACGACAAGGACAATGAAGTAGGTCAAGAAGAGTGAGGGAAGACGCAAGGTCAGAAGGGGATTATGCGTGGGAATAGAACAAGATAAGAAGAGACAAAAAAGAAAGGGTAGTGAAGGACGGAGGTACTAGAATGGGGAAGGGTGTGACGATTGAGAAAGGAGAGAACTGGGAAACGAAAAGGGTATTTTCTTGCTTTTTTCGCGTTTTGATTGTTATGAAAGGATGTAATGGGGGAAAATAAGTAGAAGGGAAGGAGGGGGGAGGAGAGAGAGGAGAGAAAGGAAAGAAGAGGAAGGGAGAATTGGCCAAAAGAAAAAGGTGGTATGGGTGAACGAGGAATGAAAAGTTGATAGAGGATGTGAGTGAGGATGATGAAAAGTTGAAAGAGAAATGAAGTGGAAGTATTATGAGGAGATATGAGAGGGAGAACTGGCTATTGTTAGTTGCTGGTATTTTGAGCGCTGTTGTTGGGTCAAGGATATGTTGTGGCAATAACGAAGAGAAGAAGAAAAAAGAAAAGAGAGAGCGGATGGCCTTCCATATTATTACTGCTCGACCTCCTTCCATGTCGTCCACCATCTTTTTTTTTGTGGCCGTCATAGACAGTGAGGTATGTTTTGCTACGGTCGCTTGTTTATTTGTCTGCATTTACTTGCGAACATGTGTTCTATGTTTGTCTATCTGAGGAGTAAGAAGCTTCGATGATGCTCGAAGAAGGGAGCTCTGGAAATGTTCTCTATTGTACATAAAATCCTTACTTGAGGTATCACCTTCGTTCGTTTGTCCTGGTTGGGACCAAAGGAGGTAGAACCTTAGGGAAAAGGAAAAATGAAATTGAAAGAGTAAAGAGGACGCAGGGAAGAGTAAGCGACCAAGCGGATAGGCGAAAAGAGGATCATATACTTGAGAGAGGGCAAGCAGAGAACTTCGGCAACTTTTATTTCTTTTCCTGCTTTTCATGCTTGGTTTGTTTTATTATCTTTCCGATGTGTTTGTGTTGCCAGCATACGGAGACAAGAAAGAGAGACTGAAGGAAGTGAACATAGGCTGGTAGCGAAAGGGAGAGGATCTCCGTGGTGGTTGTTCGCGTTTTTTGTTTAGCCGAGTTATATATGGCATTCACTTGCCTGCCTGTGGAAACCGAGGGCTACCATATAAGCAAACGAGACAAAAAGACAAAGGCGCAAGCAGTATTATACATAAAGCACTGTCTAGAGGATATTTGAGTGAGTACTACGCAAGAAATGCTACGAATGGTGGTATACTTTTTTGTTTTTGTTTCTTATGTTTGTTTTCATGTTCTCTGTCACGACAACGCGACCACCAAAGTGGTTTCCGTGTGCATTCATGGTCATAGAGATGTGTTAGGGTTACAACCATAATATCGATTCAGCATGCTTAGTACTCAGAACACATACACATTGTACGTAATTGATGAGTGGCGATCAAATGGCAAGGAGGGGACAGTCGTCTATTAGAAATGGAGAGACCTTTTTTTTGACGCGTACGTCTGTCCTAATAGATCATGAAAATAAAATAAAAAAAGACACCCCACTTTTTCGGTGATGCGCGCACAGATCTCGAAAGTGCTGATTGTGTCGATCGTCTACACAGCTTCTCCTTTTCGTTGTGAGTATTCTCATCGTCATCTTACTTGCACATTTTCTACCTGATAGATATTTGCTTTGACATTCTCTGGTGGCGATGCCTGTATTGGGGCTGAGCGAAAGGCGGGCTGACGAATCCATGTAGTCGGGTTCGCACCAATAAATCAACTGATTCGGTAGTGACTTATCTGGGTCATTTCAGTTCCTTTTAACTTAGGCACAGCCCTCACACGCGCTGGTGCTTTTTGAAGGAAGTAAAAAAGAGAGAGCTCAACAGCATCCACAACGCCTTGCGTTCAAGGATACAAAGATGGGCGGTGAGGGCGTCATAGACATTGGACCTTGTCAGCCGCAAAAACAAAGGACAACTCTAGACCAAAAGATAATTGCGTGGTCCGGGAATCGAACCCGGGTCTACCGCGTGGCAGGCGGTAATTATACCACTAAACCAACCACGCTTGTACTGCTTGATGATCTGTCAAAAATGATTAACTTTTCTTCTAGTGTCACCAACTATAGCAGCAGCAGCGATCAAGAAAAGCGGTGACGTAGCCCGAGCAGTATATTAGTCCGCCTGGGACGAGCGGACAGCAAAGGTATCTTCTACTTGCTGTACTTTGCCTCCGCTTCCCAGACGCCTAGTCCCCTGCATCCCCTCATTCGGGATCTGGCAGGTGGCGTCCGGATAGCTACGGTTGATAGGAAGGTCCCTGGCGCTGAGTATCCGCACTTAGTCGATGCAGGCCAGGGAGCACACCCCCCCCCCTGAGCTCATTATGAGTCTATCGCTGGATCATACCCAAGGTGGTGCTTACTCGCCCCTAGGCTAGCGATTCTTTCAGATCTGTCGTGAATTGCCACCCCTCTATTCACCACTTCCCTTTTTCTCCTTTTCCACTATCTCTTTTTCTTCGTTTCTTCTTTTTTCTTCGTTTTTGCTCTCTTTGTTTGCACTTTCCCTTCCACCCGCAAACGCGACTTCTACCTCTTTCGTACCTCCGTCTACACCCTTTTTCTTTGTTGACTACAACTATCGCCGCCCCGCTTGCTCTTGACACCCAGTAACACAAGAGACTATCGCCCCGAGTCACCTTTATTTCTTTCTTTTCTCTTCTTTCCTGTTCTTTTCCTTTGACAAAGACTCTCTTTGCCAAAGGCCCTCCCTCTGCTGTTGATGGCCCCTTCCTATTTTCTTTCGTTGTTCATCAAGACTTAACCCTACACCAGTTAGTAGTAGCTCCCCCGAGCCATTTCTTTTTTCCATCTTCGTTCTATTCTCTTTTATTCAGTGCCCCCACAAGTAGTAGTCTAGTCAGATAGTATAAAAGGACACCTAGAATGGATGATTGAACAGTATCTTCCCCCCATTGTCAATCATACCCTTCTAGGCAAGTTCCTCTTGTGGTGATTTAGAGTGGCTTAGCTTCTGGTGGCCATCTCGCTATTTTACGCGCTTGCCTGCGAGTGTCTGGAAAAGCACCTTTCTTCCACGATACGAGCAGGTAGGCACTATGCCCTTTGACCATTGGTAGCAATAGTAGTTTCTAGCCTTTGGAGAATAGTTATTGACATAAAACGCCTTTCTTCTACGATACGAGCAGGTCTTGAGAGTTACTGTCTTTATTCGCGATATTGAGAGGGAACACATACCCACACACACACACACACACACACATATATACATACATCCTTTGAAGCGCGAATAAATGGAGATGTAGAGTGTCCGTAATGCGTAGTTATCTCAGCCCTCTTTTCACCTCTTTTCGACTGGTGAGCGTGGCTTCTTTGCTGAGCAGGGACCAGACTACATCTTTCGTGCTAGTATTCGCAGCGCTTTACATTATTGTCGTCTCATTCTAATACCACCTCCAACAAGGGCAACAAAGATTCTTTGACAAAAATCATTATTTCTTTGCTGCTACCGCAAGCACAGCCACAAATCCATTCATCCACCGGATCTGCATTCCGAGCAGAAAATAAAAATATGCAAGGCGTTACAAAAATGTCTTTATGCCCTCGCCCTTTGCGTAGACTTTGCCCTCCCCCCCCTCCTCCATTGTTTTTTTCTTTTTCTTTCCTCTTTCCTTCCTCTCTTCCTGCTCCCTCTCTCTATTACCAACCATCCATTCAACCCTTCTAAGAAACCATGGTCTACCACCACTCCCAAGACCCTCACCACGACATCGAGGTGAACGCGACCCCCCCCCTCCTCCTACCCACCACACCCACCAACGACACCAAGACCCACGACAACCGCATCAACAAACCCACCACCTCCATAACCGGCACCAGTTGCGGTCACACTTGCTGCCATGCCCACACCCACAACATCGAACGAAACCTCACCACGCCCTCTTACTACTATTCAGAATACCTCAACCCCACCGACTGGCTCGTCATGTTCGAAGAAGTCGCCCGCGCCAATAATTGGTCCCCGCGTGCAAAACTCGACATCCTCCCTATCTTTCTCCAAGAGGGGTACACGCCTCGGACCTGGTTCCGTCAGAACCGATACCAGTGGGAGAGTGTTGCTAGTGGTGGGGGTGCGGATGCAGAGGAAAGAGGGTTTGAGGTGTTTAGGGAGGCGTTTTTGAAGCAGTTTAGAGATTGTAAGGGTCGTGTGGTGTGGTGTTCTAGCATGGGGTTGTTGTTGATTGCGTTGGTGTTTTTGGTGGTTGTGTCGCTTGTTGTGCTCCTTATTTTTAAGTAGACAGGAAGTTACTTGTAGGGGAGGGGTTGGAGGAGGAGTGGGGAAGGAGGGCAAACGGCTCATTCTTGATACATCGTCTTCACACTACATCAAATAAATAAAAAAAGGGGAGCAAGCAGTAAACAAAAATATGGTCAAGGAAGTAGTCTGAATGTGGGAGAATTTCAGCCCACCCACCAGTTAAATATATATTTATGGCGAAGGTATTTAAGCCCCGTGGAAGTTGAGAATGAAGAGGTGCTGCATTAGTGCTGGGTGCCAGGAGTCAACAATGAGGTAACTACACGTGATTTTTACGGACTGTCTTTTACAAAGAATGAGTGGGGTGGGCCATGACCATTGACACCTCTTTTCATTTGACGCACGAGAGCACAAGGACCAAGCACTACCAGCTATTTTATTTACACAACCAGAGAGGGGTTTCCAGGATCGGTGGTCTAAGAGATGGGCGCAACACGCCCATCATTAATTATCGCACTGCCACTGCCATTTTTACTCCCGACACCATTAGCAGCAGCAGCAGACCGACGATCGCGAACCTCCTTGACGATCTTACACCCCGTCACATCAGTCTCCTCTGGTACAACCCTCGATCCAACCCTCTGACTACTAGGGTGCACCACCGGCGCTATCACGGCGTCCTGGAATTCACTCTCGTCCAGCACCTGCTCTGGCGGCCTGGCCACAGGGTGACAGTTATCACTGTGCTGGAACCAGTCACTGTCCAATACATGAATCGCCTGCCATCGTTTCCTGGTATCGGGTTCCAGGAGGTGCTCAATGACATCCGAGATATGGTTAGGCCATGCAAGGGTGATGTGCGAGACCTGTTCCAAGGAGGTGAGGTTGACGTAGTGAGGTGTATGTTGGAGTTGATGTGGTTGAATGTAAGATCCCTGGTCTGACTGTGATTGATGGTGTGGTTGCGCGACTGGGAACTCTCCTGAAGTGTGAAGGTCGCCGACGCTGAGGTACCGGTCCCGACGGTAGAGAAATCCGTCCCAGATGGGGTCGCCGTCAGAGGCCTCGTGCCATGTGTATCGTCCTAGCCTCATGCACATGTAAATAACGCCGCATGCCCACATATCGACCTTGCTGAATATGTGTCATCCGATTATCGTGAATAAAAAGAAGTGCACAGAGTCGTCGCGGTACAGAAAACGAATGAGAAAACGAAAAATGTGAAACGGATTAGTTTGGATCAAAAAATGGGGCCGAAGGACATGGGTGGGAGAAATGTCGAAGGAGGGTTGAAAAAGGCGCTAAAGAACAAAGGAAAAAGAAAAAATCTTACCGAGCATCAAAAGTCTCGCTGGTAAATTCCTCGGGTGCGATAAAGGGGCCACTCCCCCGGATCGAAGTCGACGATCGGACCTTCTTCTCCCAGGGCATCCGAAAGACTTCACTGTTGCCGAAATCGGCAATCTTGAGGCACCCATCCGACGTCAACAGCAGGTTCTCAGGCTTCAGATCCCGATGCACCACGCCCATCGAATGCAAAAAGGCCACGCCGTTGATGAGCTGCGAAAAGAAACAGCTCGATTCAGACTCACCCAGGGTGTTGGCCGACGCAATTAGACTGTGCATGTCGCCTCCTGCACAATACTCCATGACCTCGCTGTAGGTGTCTCCATGAAGTTGGAGAAGGTCCATCGTCTGGATGACATTGGTGTGCTTCAATGACGAGGCAATACAGAACTCGCTCGTCAGTCGGCGCATGTACATCTTTTGGGTCTCTCCATGAGCGTATTTGAACTCCTAAGTAGTTTCGGGACCCATGCAAGTAGTAAACGGAATAAAGAAAAATCAAAAGAAAGACTGGTTAGTTAGTGTCTAGTCGGTGTGGAGGAGCACAGAGGATAGTTGAACCTGCATACATGCTTGTGCGCTTTTCAGATAGACACGCTTGCTGTCTGACCGCACATAATCAAGGGTCAACAAAAAAAAAGCCAAGGAGAAACCGGAGATGAGAAAATAGTTCGGTAAAAAAAAAGTTACCTTGATGGCAAAAATGTGTTCTTCCCCGGTTTCAATGTTTCGCTTGACACTGATTCTGACAGTACCGAACGCGCCTGTTGCCAACAAGAAAGATAGATAGAGAGAGAGAGGCGATTAGTTCAATTAAACGTGCGTTTGTCATATGCCGAACGACGACGCACCCGCAGTCATTTTTTTTATCGTTAGCGCACGTTCAGACTGTTAGGATGACCCAAAGTTGGAACTCGGAATCGGATGTCCTCATATCATCTCTCCGCGATGAGGCAACTGCCGCAATCGAATGCGCGGTATTACCTTTGCCGATGATCTGCTGGAGTTCTCCGTACGTTTGTGAAAAGTCCGTCTTGACAGAGTGTCTCCTCCGAAGGCTGCTTGCAGGGCTTCCTGTAGGGTCAGTCTCGAGATCCTGATACTTTTCGTTAAGTAGTGATAGAGGATGCTCAAACACCTCGGGCTTGAGTTGGTGTTGACTGTGCTGTTGCTGTTGATGCGGATGGTTGAGCGAGGGATCATCCCTATCCCGTCTTCCGTCCAGTAACTCCCGTAGCCGTCGCACCTGGTTGGCAAGGAATTGTTGGCGTTTCGGGGCCGAGAGATGATGCCGGTGACCGCCATTGGGCAGTCGTTCGTAGCGGACCTTCTCAATCACAGAACCGGCAGAGGAGGGAGCAGTATCGGATGAGGCAATCGACCAGCTGGAGGGGGACGCCGAAGAGGGGCCAACAGGGCCATAAAAGTCAGCAGAGGACGGGATGTCGGTCATCAATTGGGACCGATGACCACTCCTGAGACGAGTGGAAGAGGATCGCAAGGGTTGGGGCGGTGGCCTGCGCTGTCGCGGTTCCAGGTCAGGCTGGTATGAGGGTTGAGGTAGCCGCGGGGATGATGTCAGGTCTGGGGTAGTGGCGGTTGCCTTATTGGATCCGTGGGCGATCTGTTCCAGCGGGAGGATGGGGTGCGATTGGGAGGACGTTATTGAGGAGGGCGCATTGGCAGTAAGGAAGGTAGCTGACTGCGGTGGTTGAGGGGACCAGGACCTTGACGCTATGGGTGTTACCTCTGGGTTACGTTCCAGTCCAGGTTGTTGCGGCGATTGCTCCTGTTCTTGGTGGTGGTGAGGTATTGGGTTGTTGCTGTTGCTGTTGTTTGGGAAGGCGGATAGTCCCGATGTGTTTAAGGTGAGCTTGTCTATTTGAGGCAGGCTGTTAGTGCTGCTGGAGTGTGTAGAATCCATATTTGGGTTTTTTTTGTAATCCAGGATCCTGGCTGAGGCAAAGTTAAGTGTGCGGGAAAGAAACAACGAGCGGGAGAGAGGGGAGAAGGTAAGGAAGGGGAAAAAGTGCTCAAAAACGACCACAAAGGGCAGAACTAGGGGTCAATGGTTGTGGGGGTGGATACAATCGACTGTGAGTAGCGAATTGAAGCGAATGATGGTTTTTTACTGCACGCAAAGGTGAGGAAAAGAGTGGACAGTTGCGGGTATTGGTTGGCACGAGTTGGAAGCAGGAGTGCAGGTGAAGAAGAAGAGCTGTCGTGTATGTGAAGGAAAGGAGGAGTGTGTGTGTGTGAAAACAAGACAAGTTTAGTGAGGAAGTGAGGAAGTGAGTAAGTGAGGAATGAATCAAAGGAGTGAGGATGGATGCAAATGAAGGGATATGGAATGGAGTTCTTTTGTTTTAGAAGATGGAAGTGAATGAAGAAAAGGAGAGGAGAGAGTTGAAGAGGTGGGAAAAAAAAGAAAAAAAAGGAGAGGCGGAAGGTAGAAAAATGGAAGGCGCACGGAAAATAAAAGGAGACATTGACAGACGATAGGACAGGACAGGACAGGACGGGACTGGACATGCAGAGTGACAGAGAGAGAGAGAGAGACACAGAGGCAGGGCATGGACAGGACATACACAACACAGAAAGAATATGTAATTTGTCAATAATGGACCCTCCCTCTCCAATCGAAAGAATGCGGCGGCACTTATTGTCAAATGAAATCATGCGGCGATCGACAAACGTCAACTGACATTGTCCGAAATATGTATTTCTCTTCTTGACCTCCTTCGCCCACACCTTTTCTTTCTTTCTTTCTTTCTTTCTTTCTTTCTTTCTTTCTTTCTTTCCTTCTTTCTTTCCTTCTTTACATTCTGTTTTTCTTCACATCCACTACACTCGCTCATTGAACATACACTATTCATATACATTCACTCACACTCACCCCCACATCCACACTCACCCCCACACCCACACTCACCCCACTCATCGCAACAACGATGGAGGAAAACAGCTACTCGGACACAATTGACGACATGGACCAGACAGAGGGCTTGCAGTCGCCCGCAGAGGAAGAAGACTTTGTTGCAGAAAACCTCGACTCATTGCTCGGTGTCGGCGTCGTGGACCAAGACACCCTTGAACGAGGCATCATTGCCAAGGTAATAGCTTCGTTCATATTCCAAAACAAGTGATATATCAGTTATCGTCATTTTCGATTTATTAAACAGGAACATTTCTATCACCCGCACAACTTTCTAGGCGAGCAAGGCGTTAGATGCAAAGGAGAATGAGCTGGACAAGAAGCGGTTAGAAAAGACATTGAGAAATGCAAAGTAAGCAAGGAAACTCATTCAAAACAGCATATTTTGGGTATGACACCTCTACGGTCAGAGTATAATTGACGGTTGGGTTGACACTCTTTCCTCTCGTTGTGTGAAATAGCAAAATCCGGTTGGAGATGCGGAAACTGGAGAATAGCCGCAAGAAACTGGATCGAGGATCGTTTGCAATGGCAAACCTTGAAGAAAAACTCACTGAGCTGGTAATTTAGCAACAGAGGTGTGTTAACTCATGGCGTTCATTCAAGTTTGTACCACAAGCTAACTACTACTGATTTATATAGAATGAAGAGTTGATACAGGCAGAAAGGGACGGACAGGATATCTCGGACAGGATCAGAGAACGCAAAACAGGGAAGCCGACTTCCACACCATCGTCATCCTCAAAAACAACTGCAGAAAAAGAGGCCGGCGAGACAGAGCGCGAGTACCTTATCAGGACAGGAAAGATTACACCTTTCGCGGCCATGTCTGGATTCGAGCGCCCCAAGCATGAAGGCTCATTCATCACATCCTCAACGACCAACAACGACTCGCCAGATTCTCATGTCCATCTGAAAAGACCTTCATGGAGTCTTGTCGGGAAGACACTCCAAGAGAGGATTCAACAGGAAGCGATCAACAAGGCCTCAGCGCCAGCAGAGCGGTCCAGCATGCGGAAAGCACGGAGCCGTATCGCGTCCACAGCCAACAAGGACAACCAGGACGAGGATGATTACAAGGAGGAGGAGGAGGAAGAGGAGGAAGAGGAAGTGGTGTCTGATGGTAGCGACCCTGACTTTGTAGACAAGGACGGACCCGACAGCGAAGTCGAGGCAAAGGATGACAAGGACTACACTGATTCTCGTGAGATCTCAGAGGACGATGACTTTAAGCCAGAGGAGGAGCTGTTGGAAAAAAAAACAACGTTCAATAAGAGAGCCAAAGGTGGAGCAGCGTACAATTTCTTGTGCGAGGACGACGGAGACGAAATGCACTATCAGAAGCGACTCGCAGAGTGGGCCAAGAAGCGGCGACATCTCCGCTGGCGCGTTCAACACGTAAGTTGCTCTCACGTTGACGATTGGGACGCGTTGTTCTGATCAACCGTGCAAGACCATTATTAACATCATGGTTTATGGCTCTGATTCACAATAGCCGGACGCGTCAATGGAGACAGATCTGAAAGAGGGCTGGGAGAACCCTGAGCAAAGGCTGGATCCTGAACTAGAGATTTACAACCCGCATCCAAATATACCCGATGCAGCATTGGAGGGCGGATTCCGGATCCCAGGCGACATCTTTTCTAATCTGTTCGACTACCAAAAGACGTGTACTCAATGGCTGTGGGAACTGCATTGTCAAGGCGCGGGTGGCATCATTGGCGACGAAATGGTGAATTCATATTGTCCTTGCATTTATTTAGTGCATGTTGGTACAGCTTGGCGTGTCTAGCGTGATTTTCTAACTTGCGGAGCAAATTCTATTTTCGATTTTGACAGGGTCTGGGAAAAACGATTCAAATTATCGCGTTCATTGCAGGACTTCACTACAGCGGGAAACTCGACGCGCCGGTCGTCATCGTCTGTCCCGCGACAATTTTGAAGCAGTGGGTCAAAGAGTTTCACCGGTGGTGGCCTCCGATGCGTGTTGCGATCTTGCATTCGAGCGGGAGTGGTATGAATGGCAGCAAGAGTGAAGGCTCGCGCGACGACGACGACGACGACTCTTTCTCCGAGGACTACAACGGCACAGGGAAACGACAAAAGACCAAGAAACGCTTTGGTGACAGCAAACGTCGAGGTATGGCTGTGGGTAACGAGAGAACTGTGGCAGACACTTTGGTGGAACGGATCGGCGCCAAGGGCCATGTTATTGTCACGACCTATGCTGGTTTGCGGATCCATTCGACCCGTTTGTTGCGCCAGAGCTGGTCGTACATTGTCTTGGACGAGGGTCACAACATTCGCAACCCTGATGCAGATATCACTCTGAGATGCAAGCAGTTCAAGACGCCACATCGGATCATTCTCTCAGGAACGCCCATCCAGAACAACCTGAATGAGCTGTGGTCACTCTTTGACTTTGTTTTTCCAGGACGGTTGGGTACTCTACCAGTCTTCCAGTCACAGTTTGCGATCCCGATCAATCTCGGAGGTTACGCGAACGCGAGCAATATTCAAGTTCAGACGGCATACAAGTGCGCGGTTGTTCTGCGGGACCTGATCAACCCGTATCTGTTGCGGAGGATGAAGGTCGATGTCGCATCGGATATGCCGAAAAAGTCTGAGCAGGTCTTGTTCTGTAAGCTGACACCGCCTCAGCGCCAGGCATATGAACATTTCTTAAAGTCGGACGAGCACAATTCGATCATGGACGGGAAGCGACATGCCTTGTTTGGGATTGACGTCGTCCGCAAGATCTGTAACCATGCAGACATTCTCGGTCGGGAACAACATCAGCATGATGAGGACTATGGCGATTACACCAAGAGCGGCAAGATGGTCGTGGTGAAAACGCTGTTGGAGATGTGGCAGAAGGGCAAGCACCGCGTGTTGTTGTTCTCGCAGACCCGGACCATGCTCGATATTCTGGAAAAGTTTATCAAGCGCGAGGGGTACAGCTACAGGCGCATGGATGGCACGACTCCGATTCAGCACCGCATGGGACTTGTTGACGAGTTCAATGCGCGAGACGACATTTATGTGTTCTTGTTGACGACCAAGGTGGGCGGATTGGGTGTGAACCTGACGGGAGCAGATCGAGTGATCATCTTTGATCCGGATTGGAACCCGTCGACGGATGTACAGGCGAGAGAGCGAGCGTGGAGACTGGGTCAGACGCGGTCGGTGACCATCTATCGACTCATGACTTCGGGAACTGTGGAGGAGAAGATCTATCATCGTCAGATCTTTAAGCAGTTCCTGACCAACAAGATTTTGAAGGATCCAAAGCAGCGGCGGTTCTTCAAGAGTCATGATATGGCGGATTTGTTTACGCTTGAGGATGAGAACGCCGTCGGTACTGAGACTGGAGGCATCTTTGCTGGATCGGAGGTTGCGGTCAAGTCTCAGGGGAAGCGCAAGTCTTCGAAGCGCGGCGAGGACAGTGTTGATGAGGTGGCCAAGATCGAAGGTGTCCGCAAGGTTGAGAAGTTGTAAGTCTCTTTGTAGGATGATTCGTCTACAGTTTAAGGTGCGTGTTTGTACGGAGCCTGACCAGTTTGTCTCCTGTTTTATCGTTCAAAATGAAATAGCAAAGCGCCACGAGAATCAGGTTCGCTTCCTGGTGGTATGGCTGACGATGAAGTGGATGCCGAGATCAACTTTACAAAGTCGGCGGCTCAGCCTGCCGAGACGGACCCTTCGTCGCATGACGGAGGAGAGGCCAACATTTTGTCGCGACTGTTTGAGAACTCTGGTGTCCACAGTGCGCTCAAGCATGACGAGATTATGGATTCTGCCAAACAGGAGAATCTCATCGTTGAGCGTGAAGGTAACCATTTCGCTTTTGTTCTTGGTGTTGCGATATATGAAGTTACTTGTGTTGAGCAAAAAAATAATATTGACGTGCACATGTTTTTTTCCTGGATGTATGGTTGATAGCTACAAGAGTCGCGGAGAGAGCGATGGCGGCATTGAGAGAGTCGAGGAAGCGGCGGAGACGTCAAGATCTGGATGTGCCGACGTGGACGGGCAAGTCTGGTACGGCTGGTGCACCAAAGCTCTACTTGATGCATCAGCAGGACAATGAGCGGAGTGCTTCACAGGCGTCATCGTCGTCGTCGTCGTCAGGGCTAAAGCCTAGGTTCGGAACTGTCAACACGTTCAACCCGAATGTCGCGTCTAGTGAGGTTGCTGCTCCACGGTTTGGACGAGCGGCGGCGGGGGCCGGTAGACCTGTATCGGGGATCGGGTCTTCGGCGACTGTGGCGGGTGGAACTCCAAAGTCGTCGTCGTTGTTGGCAGGCATGTTGGAGCGCAAGCGGTTGGAACAAGAAGGTGGTCTTGGTGGACAACAGCGTATCAGAGCTTCAACACCATCCTCGTCGACATCCTCATCTCCTCGTGGCTCACCTCCGCCCACAATCACCCTGGGCGGAATGGACGCATCCGCAATCCTCCAAGAAGGTACGCGCGAGAACTTGATCACGTCGATCCGGAACTACATGCTCGACCAAGGAGGTCGTGTCAGGTCTTCAGATCTGGTCTCGCATTTCCAAAACCAGTTGGCGGATGTGGAGCAGTTGGTGTTCAAGAAGATGTTGAAGGGGATTGCGGTTCTGGAAAAGTCTCCTGAGGATGGAGGGAAAGGCTGGTGGACCCTCAAGTCGGAGTATTATTAGTTTTTCTCCTAGTGGGAATTAGTCGGTTGTAGTGTAATATACATGTAATTTTTATATTGATAGTAATGACGATGACGCAGTGGTTCTGTGCCTGGGGGGGGGGGGAGGGGTACCCGCTTGGAACTGAGGGATTGTCGGCTTCTTTTGGAAATTGGATAGAAAAAAAAAAAAGTGAGTGAGAACCAAGGCTCTCTGTGACCCCGTGTCCGTTGCTCACAGGGTGGTGATTTGTCATTAATGGAGTGATTGTTTGGTGACCTGCTGGGGTATGGCTCAATCTTGTTTATTCGTTTCAGGATGTACAGATAGATGAAAGAAAAAGGTTGATGCTGATATATTCAAATGGGTGGCGAGAAAGGGAGGAAGAAGGAGGTTTTTTGAATGCTCTAACGAGAGGGAGGGCTGTAGTGTTTTTTTTTGGTATGTATGATACAAGGGTTAAGGTAAGAGCAGCAAAAACTACTTGGTGGTAACTCCAACAATAGCCCCCGCGCCACCAGGGATACCATTCAGAATATTGCCAATATCACTGGGGCAAGGAATAGACACATGCTGGTTTTTGATCGTAGGACTAATCGCAATTCCAATGATCCGGATCGTCAACTTCAAGTCGTAGTTAATCGCGATGTTGGTGGCATCTCCGCCGGCGATACCACAACGGGTGATGATGTCTTTTATGACGGTGAAGCCGGGGTCTTGGAGACGGTCGTACGAGGCGCCGATGGGGAAATGGAGGGTGATGTTTGATTTTGAGGGGAAGTTGACGTCGTGGAGGGAACCGCCTCCGATTGATGGGGCGTAGTCTGGGTAGTATGCCTATGTTGGTATGATAGGTTAGTTGAAAAGAGGGAGAGGGAGGTGGTTAGTGAGGGTAATTATTTACAGGATAATTCCGATAGGTTTCAAGGAGGGAATGAGGTGATAGTGGTGGTGGTGCTAGGAGAATTGTGTTTTTAGTGTCCAGAGCAAAGGAAAAAAAAAAGGGCGACAGCCCTGGCCTGGGTAGGTCAGGACAGTTATAGAACACATCGACTTCTTTCCTGCGCAGACAGATATAGAATTCTTCCATTTTGTTGTCTCTCTTAGCGCGCATTACAAAAAAAGGGACGCCAGGACAAAGGGCGCATACACACGACAGAGAGTAACACACGAGACACACAGCTAATTGTAATGCGCGCTTGTTGGTCGTTTGATGGCAGTGCGCCGCCCCGGGTTTAAAAAAAGACAATAAGGAAAAGAACATTCGCAATAATGAAGTGGATAAATAAAGCACGAGAGGGAAAACAAGGGGACGGAGGTCTAGATGTAGGACTGCAGGTGGAGCGTGTTTGCCTGATGCATCGAAAATGATGGCGTTCTATTTCGTCTCTCGTTGATTCTTTTTTTGGGCCTGAACTTCCCCTCACTCTTGCTTCTATTCCTTCTTTTCATCTTTTCCACTCGTCCTAACGTGTTCCCCCCTCCCGTGGTGCACGAATCGTCATCATGGCTGTGTCACAAATATAAATCTGGGTCGATTATTTTCCTGTTTTCCGTTTATCTCTGCAGTCTCTGCACACAAAACGAGAGCACCGCCGCAAGACCAACAAACAACGAAACAAAAACAAATAGCAAAAAAGCAATCTCGTTTTTCCTTATTGCCTTGGCCCCTTTGAGCCATTTGGTTCCTGTTAGAAGCGCAACAGCCTGCAATTTTCTTTTTTGGTCAAACGAAAAATGGCGAGGAGGTAAAGAGGAATAAGCAGGCAGTAACACCCCCATAAACCCTTAGTCTTGATTTTCGACTCCTCCCTTTGTTTGTCCTTCGAGTCACATACACACCCACTTGATATAAGCAGCCCCCGATCTCTGAGAAAGGTGTGATCATAAACAAAGGCATGGAGAAGAAAAGATAGGAGTGTGTGTGTAGACCATGTGTACAACCCAATCCAAATAAGAGAGAGAGAACCAATTATCCTTCGCATGCACACGAGCAACCCAAGCATCCAAAGGGAGGCAAAACGAGAGATGGAGGCAAAGGGAGAAAAGAGCACTTACGGTGGCGGTGATGGACTCAAAGTTGAATCCAATGGGGTTAGGGTTCTGGACCTCAATGTTGGCGGTCAAGTTGACCGCAAAGGTCGTGCTGCCCTGGTTATAGGAGAAGACAGGTTCGCCCTGCATGCCCTTGAAGTCGACCTTGGGCAGTTTGAAAACTGTAACGATGACAACGGCAAGCGCAATGATGCCCAGGAGCAAGATGAGACAGAAGCAGCAGGTGAAGCGTCCGCAGGTCGAGCGGATACAGGGGAAGCAGGGGAGGTATTTTGATTTCTCCTTTCCGTACTTGAGACGGGTGACTCCCGACTTGCCGCGGGTGAGGCCGCCAGCCTCGGGGCCGTTGAGGGGTCGCATGGGGGAGGTGTCGTTGGAGATAGAAGGGCGTTCTTCGTCGTACCCGTTGTAGTATTGAGGGTTGGCTTGGGCATAGTTGCTACTGCTGTTGGCCGCGTTGGGGTTGTTGCCTCCAAAGGGGTACCCTCCTCCTCCACCAGCGTTGTGATTGTAAGAGTCGTTCTGGTTGAGGTGATGCATAGCATAGGTCTGTTCACCAGCTTCAGCACCACCTACGGCAGCACCACCGGCAAGGGACTTTTCCTTGAACGAAGGCGAGAGAGCGTGTTCCTGAGTCGAGTGGAGGGAAGACTGGTGGAAGCTTCCTCCTTGGTACTGGTCTCCAGCCAGATCTCTACTGTTGTTGTTGTTGTTGTTGTTGTTGTTGGGAGAATAGGCGGATGTGGGCATGTAATCAGGGTTGTAAGGGTTGGTATAAGGGTCTTTTTCGGTGGAGTGAGAGGAGAGGGAAGGGTTGTAGGCGGATTGGGGGACAGGATCGTCGTCGAAGGGGGAGGCGATATAGCTGTTGTTGTTGGCGATGTAGGCGTTTGAGGCTGAGGGGCTGAAGCCTGGCTTTGTCGCACGGTTAGCGGTGGGCGGCGAGGAAGCCTGGTAATAGTTAGACATTATGTGGCCTTTTTTTGTTTGTATGTGTCTGTGTGTGTTTGTTTGTAGGAGTGGAGAGTGAGAAGGAAGGCAGGAAGGAAGGAAGGAAGGAAGGAAGGTGTGAGTGAAAAGGAGATAAAGAAAGGTAAGAGAGAAAAAGGTGCGAACCGACAAATTGAAAGAGTCGACCCTTTTATTAGTGTTGGTCAGGGCCAATGACAGACGAGGCTGCTAGCACTCTCCCTCCATTTGTAACTCTGGACCATACCCATCCCCATGGCCTCCAAACCCTGGTCTGTTGCAAAAATGGCGAAATATAAAAAATCTATTTCTGGGTTTCAGTGGGTTGTAGCATAAGGATAGACAGTACAGTAGTATGGGATAAATCATCTTTTCTTCTTGTGTCTGGCCGGTGGTGCCTGTTGTTGTTTTTTGTGTCTCGGTTTCGTTCTTCTCTTTGCCTGCCGCGAACAGGGCGCAACCCGTCCTTGGTGTTTGTGCTCTCTATTATTACTGATATGCAGCAGTGCTCTGTTACCCATGTCTTGTTGGACATCTTTTGCCTCTCTATCTTGTCGCATTGTCCAGTTGAGCTCATACGGACAACAAACAATACGAGTATGTGCTGTATGTAGCAAAAAAAGATGGGTGAATAAACCGTCATGGCGTCTGGAAATATCTCCGCATACTTGTCCTTCTTTGTACCTTTCCACTCCGTTTCCAGTCATTGTTCATGTGTATTTATCTCTTATTTATCTTTAACGGCGTAATGTGTCGCCACATCATCGTCCATGCTGTATGGTAGCCTGTTTGGATCCTGATCCTTTCCCGTTGTCTGGTGCATGCCTGTCTGTCTGTCTGATGTCTTATCTCCTTGGAGGCTCAAATATCGATTAATAGTTTCTAATGTATCTTGCATTCTCCCTTCTTGAATCCTGTTTCTGTCTTGACTCTTGGGTTTATCGTTTTTCCATTATTCTCTCAAGCAAGGGTCCTTTTAGTACTGCTAAGCCACTCGTTCGTCAAGAGAAAAAAAAAAGAAAAAAAAAAAGACTTTTGGTGTTCCCTGAGGTGGAGGGACTCACACACTCACTCAGTCAACCCGCTTTTTTTTCGACAGACATGGTTCTCTATTTCACGTCCAATGGTAAACATACTTTTTCTCTTTCTCTCTTCTTCATCGTCACCCTTTTCATCATTCTCGCTCTTCAACAGCCGCCGTATGTACATCGACCCGAAAACAGGAAGAAGAGGAATGAGCGCCCACTGACACAAGAAACACCTTTTTATTACTTTGCCATTATTGTCTTATCTCGACGAAATCATGACGATATGAACAGTGGTGACCCCGTCGGCGGTGGTGTACATGGGCAAGGACAAGTTCGAGAACGAGGACCTGATCAAGCACGGATTGGAGCAGGACGTCTGGTTCCACGTTGACAAGCTCTCCAGTGCTCACGTCTACCTCCGCCTGACTCCTGACATGACCTGGGACAACATCCCTCAACCCCTCCTCGACGACCTCGCCCAACTGGTCAAGGCAAACTCGATCGAGGGCAACAAAAAGAACAACCTTACCATCATCTACACTCCCTGGGCCAACCTCAAGAAGTCCGGAGATATGGATGTGGGCCAAGTCTCGTTCAAGAAGAACAATCTTGTGAAGAGAGTCCATGTTGCCGAGAGGATCAACGACGTTGTCAACCGGTTGAACAAGACCAAGGTGGAGCGGTTCCCGGATCTGGCACAGGAAAAGGCGGATTATGAGCGGAATCAACGTCGGGCTGTGAAGCAGAAGGAGAGTGAGAGGGTTCAGGATGAGTACAAGAAAGTGCAGGATTTGAAGAAGAAGGCTGCTGATAGAGGGTACGCGTCGATCTTTGAGGATGAGGAGATGATGAAGGGGTCGTCTAATTACCGTAACATGGACCATGATGGTGACGCCGAGGCCTTTGAGGATGACTTTATGTAGCCAATTGGTATTGTCATGATAGGAGTAATAACAACCAAAAAGGAGATCTCCGCGGCCTGTGCCTGTGTTGTCTCACGGCGCACCCTTGATTTCAATGACGTGTATTTTTTGCTCTCATGCGGGGCGATGAGAGGGGTCCCTTGCTCCAGCACTGCTTTGATAGAATGGAAGGTGGGAATCTGTCAAGATGGGCACGCGTTTCACACACCACAAAATGCTGTCGACTCCTGGACTGCGTTCTCTCACTTGCCCCTCACTTTCCCTGCGCCTTGTTTTTTGTCCCTTCATCCCTTCTTTCTTCTTTACTCCACTCTCATCCATTTCAAAGGATCGCTTCTTCCCACCACCACCACCACCTGTACATACTTTTCCACATACAACAAAAACAACAACCACAAGGAAGAAGGCACGAACACACCTTACAACAAACGAGTCGCCAGCCCTAAAACCAACCAACCCACCATGGACGCGACTTGGCACCGTCCAGCAACGGTCAAGGCCCATTCTTCCAGGCGACTCCTTCGCATCGCCGCCGCCCTTGTCCTCGCATCCGTCTTCGCCCCCGCAGTCGTTAATGTAGCCGCCGCTCCCTCAGACCCCATCGTTACCGAGTACCGCTTCGACGATGCCCCTCGCAAGCTCAGCTACTTTGCTGATTCACCCGTAGGCATCACACGCTCATAACTCCGTCGCCAATTACATTGACAACACATGTCAAAAGGTTTTGTTCTCACAACTTTCCTCAAATACTTTTTTCACACTTGACATAGGTGGTGTTGTATCATGACGTGGCGAAGAACGTCTATCGCTCTCCGGATGAAGGAAAGACATGGTCGAGGATCAAGGATGTCATACCCGCAAAATCGAATGCCTTGATTATGCATCCTTTCGATCCCAAGAGGGTACGTGTCACTTTTCTATTCGTGTTTTTCTAAGCTAAGGTGTCGGGAATGCAACACAAAGGGGTACCAGCGTTTTTTTTCTTGTTTTCCTTTTGATTTCCCTATTGTTGCTTTTCTTGAACTATTGTTGAACAAAATAATGCTGCCAGGGGTGAAGGTGGTTTCTTCACAGCCCATCAATCAATCACTACGCACAAAAAAGAAGAAAAATGCCAAGCCATTTTTTTTTGATTAGGAGTTTTGACTCCTTTTGTCGTGTCAGAATACAGCCAAAGAGAAAGGGGCCCAGGGAGTGTTTTCAATCATGCTGACTGGTTGACTTACCATAAAAATAATATACCTGTGTTTCCATTCTTTTAGGCGTACATTCTTACCAATGGCAAGACACATTACAGGACAGAGGATCAGGGAGCAAACTGGACACCATTCGATGTAGAGTTGCCACCAATCGAGGAGGACCATGTCCTCTCGTTCCATGCCACACGGCCTGATTTGATTCTGATCGCGGGAACATCCACCAACGACCGCGGTCTAGGCCACGATGAGGTGAGCTATGGATGACCTTTTTTTTTAACTGAACTGGCACCTACCCATCTGGTTATCTACTTGGCCAATTCGGAGAAAAAAATGAGTGAGCAGCCTTGGTCACTAATCATTTGCACTGCGATCCTTGTACTTTTATAGACATACTATACCAAAGACGGATTCAGAACAAGCCCAAAGCTGCTTTTGGCATATACACACAAGTGCGAGTGGGCAATGTCGAGCCCCAAGTTTGACGAGGCGCCGACAGAGCTGATCCATTGTCTGGAGTTCAAGTCCAGGGTCGACGGATCGACCACACTGGATGATGTACATATGGTCAAGAGTCAAGACTACTTTGCTACCAAGGAGCCAGTCGTCTTTGGCAGTCTCGATCGATCTGCAATTGTCAACTTTGTTACCAAGGAGACATTCATGTTGGCAGCTGAGGTAGGAAATTATGTCTGTGTTCCGAACGCTCCTCTCAGGATGTTTGTTTGCCCTTTGCTATCAACAACGTACTTCTCAGCTTACTCACATGTTCACTGAAATTTATGGGGGTCGTAGAAACATCTTACTACTGGCGACATGTCGCTTTATGTATCGACGGATGCCAAGGTTTGGGCCAAAGCCAACTTTCCCCAGCCTACGAACCTTCGCCAAAACGTAAGAATGTCGCTCTACATAATACCCACGCTTACATGTATGTCCGTTGAACAACGCACAACAAATATCTAACAACATTCCTTGCGCTTGTGCTTCTGTAGTCGTATACAATTTTGGAGTCGACTGAATACAGTTTGATTGTGGATGTCAAGGAATCTCAGCAGGATTCGTTCGGAAGTTTGATGCTCAGCAATTCCAACGGCACCTACTTTGTTCGGTCAAAACAGTACACCAACCGTAACCAGTACGACACCGTCGATTTTGAAAAGATTCAGAACATCGACGGCGTCTACATTATCAATGTTGTCGATAACCATGATGCTTCGCCACGCGACGACGAGAAGCATTTGCGCACCCAAATCTCATTCGAGGCCGGTTCTAGTTGGCAGTACATCATGCCTCCAGAGGCCAGAGTTGACGGACGACGCCACAGCTGCCTTCCCAACAATGTAAGGGTGCCAGTAGCGCACATGTTTACGTATGTCCATCCACCCACTGCCATTGAAGCCTATTCACTGACAGACGATCAATTGTTAATAATAGGATGGATCATGCAGTCTTCACCTGCACTCGGTGACATCAGCCAAGGTGGCTCCTCCCGTTTTCAGTTCAAAGGCGGCTCCTGGAGTGATCATGGGCGTTGGAAACGTTGGACCTTACCTGTTGCCTTGGTACGAGTGCGATACCTACTTGTCCGAAGATGGAGGTCTTACATGGAAGGCAGCTCTGGAGCACCCTCACAAGTATGAGTTTGGCGATCAGGGCGGCCTGATTGTAGCTGTCAGAGACGACGACACCCCTATATCTTACTTTCAGTACAGTGCTGATCGTGGTCAAACTTGGTAGGCTACACAATGACTTGATATCAATTGTATGGTTGACTGAGTGACGGAAGACAGTTTAGTGCATTGTAGTCTGACACCTATGTTGCTTTTTTTATATATAGGAGAAAGTATGACTTGGATGAAAACATCCGCCCTGGAGCATTGATTTCGGATCCCGAGTCGACATCTCAAAAGTTCATGCTGTTTCAGCGCCCAGGCGATAAGTTTGTCGGATACCATCTGGACCTGTCCAATGTTTACAGTCGGACATGCGAGCTCAACGCCGACAACGTGGATCGCTCCGACTTTGAAAAGTGGTATGCTCGCAACCTCCGCAACCAACCCGACTGCTTGATGGGTGTCAAGTCCTGGTACTGGCGCAGAAAGGCTAACGCCGAATGCATGGTGCGCGAATCTTTCAAGGACCCACGAAAGACAGATGAGGTCTGCCCTTGCACGGATGAGGACTTTGAGTGCGACTTCAACTATGTCCTCACGAACGGCGAGTGTGTTTTGGCCGGCAAGGAGTTGATGCCCGAAGGTTCGTGCAAAAAGGAGGGCGATAGCTATCTTGGTTCTTCGGGATATCGCAAGGTTCCTGGCAACAGCTGTGACTCCGAACATGGTCTCAAGAAGGATGAGCCCAAGACCAAGACCTGTACGGCCCAGGCAGTCCCAACCGATATTACGCACTCTGTTACCAAGTTTGATGCCCCTATGCAGGGTGGATTCCAGTACTTCCCCGACACGTCTGTGAGCATGTTCTTGTCCGAGTCTAAGCAGGTCTGGCGCAGTACTGACGATGGTTCGACATGGAAGCGAGTTTTGCCTGATGCCGGACGCTTTATCGGCATCTTTATTCACGACGTGAACAACAAGCTGGCCTACCTCTTCACAACCAAAGAGATGTATGTCACTCACAACGCCGGCGAATCGTTCGATAAGCGTGAGCTGCCTATCCCTCCAAACAAGTTTGGCTTCCCTCTCATCGACTTCCACCCCGACACCGATAAGAATGACTGGATGCTGTACCTCGGCCAGGATGAGAACGATTGCTTCACTAGTCTCTACCGTACTCAGAACGCAGGAAAGAACTGGGCCCTGGTCGACACCTGGGTTGACAAGGCTGTCTACGCCAGTCATAGAAAGCTGGACATGCCCGACCACGGAATCTTCTCGATGTCGTGGAAGAAGCCCATGCCTGAGAAGGCCTGCCAGGACGAGGTCTACTCGAACGATGCCAACCCTCTGCAGATGATCTACAGGCTGGACGCCGACAAGCAGCAACGTGTTCTGTTCACCAACGTTGTCCAGTTCTATGTCGTGGAGAACTTTTTGGCTGTCGCTGTGGTAAGTCAACTCGCCAATTTCATTGAAATTAATTGCATGCATGAGCGTGAGCATGGCGAATATGTAACGTCCAGCTAACAATGACTCTCGTCTGTTCTTCTTGATAATTTAGGAGGAGTCCAGGGATTTCATTCTCCATGTGTCGACGAACGGTTATAACTTTGCACAGGCGCACTTCCCTTCCAACATCAGGGTGGATAAGAACGGCTTCACCGTCCTGCAGTCGACCACCGGAGCGCTTATGGTCGATGTAGCCAAGTCGAGTGCTGTCAACCGTGAGCACGGACGTCTCTTCAAGTCAAACAGCAACGGCACTTTCTTTTCCTTGCAGCTCGACAACACCAACCGCAACGAGCGACAGCTTGTTGACTGGGAGAAAATTGGAGGCATTGACGGCGTTGTTTTGGCCAACCAACTCACGAACCCGGGAACGATGGCCAAGGACGGCAAGAAGTACATCCGCTCTTTGATCTCGTTCAACGACGGCGCTGTCTGGAACCCTCTTCGCGCACCTCAGGGTGACTGCAACGACAACGACTGCAGCTTGCATTTACACAGTGTCACCGACTATGATGGCCCTGGCGCCGTTTTCAGTGCTCCCTCTTCAGTCGGTTTGGTTTTGGGTGTCGGAAACACCGGCAAATACCTGCTCCCTCTCGAGAATGCCGCGACATATCTTAGTCGCGATGCCGGTAAGACCTGGAGGAAAGTGAGCGATACCCGCACCCTCTATGAGTTTGGTGATGAGGGCGGAGTCATTGTCATGGTCGATCCCACTGCTCCTACTCAGGAGGTCTCGTTCTCGTATGACTTCGGATCTACCTGGCAAAAGGCCTCCTTCGCAGACGCCCCCGTTATGATCCATACCTTGACGACCGAGCCAACCTCGCACACCTCCAAGATCTCGATCACCGGTACCTTTGCCAACGGCGACCGCGACCCCATCATTTCAACCCTGGACTTTAGCGGCCGCCGAGAGTGTGTCATGGACAAGGGCAACAAGGACAAGAGCGACTTCGAGAAGTGGTCCCCCTTCGACGGCGAAGATGACCGTTGTATCCTTGGCCAAGATGTAAGAAATAGTGCAGTTACGCACGTTCTCATTGATTTTTATTGTTCTTACAGCCATTGGTATACGTTGTTAACTTTATTTATGCTTGTTCTTTAGATTGTGTACTGGCGTCGCAAGGCGGACAGACCCTGCCTTGTCAATGACGACGACGGCAAGCCTGATATGGAGCAGACCAACTGCAAGTGCACAAAGAAGGATTTCGAGTGCGACTTTGGCTTCTTCAGGGACGAGACTGGTAACTGCCAGCTGTTTGAGCACGACCCCGAGAAGCCCAAGAACTGTGAAGGCACTTACAAGAGTCGTTCTGGATTCCGCAAGATCGAGGCGAGCAAGTGTAGAGACGGTGTGGACTTGACCAACGAGAAGATCGAGAGACAATGCGGTACTAAGAAGGATGTCGAAGCCAAGTTGACCACTTTTGATATTGCATTCAGCCGCGATCGCGACACCGTTTTCTACTTCCCTGATTCCGATGTAAGTTATCGTTTGCTCGTTGAGTTATCAGCGGCTGGGGGTTTTTTTTTGGGAGATCTACTGACAAAATTGCCCATTTCTTTGTTGTTATGATAGGTCGTGATGCTAAAGTTGGAGTCGCGCGTGTATATCAGTAATGATGAGGGCAAGCTCTGGGAGGAAATCAAGATCGATGAGACTATTACTGGTGTGCAGCGCCACCCCTACGACAAGGCGACCGCCATTATTGGCACGTCTGGTCGGAAGCATTTTATCACACGCGATCGCGGCCAGAACTGGGATGCCATTGAGCCACCATTGAACTCTGCATCGACTCTTCAGTTGAACCCTTGGTCCTTCCACCCAACGGAGTCCGAATGGTTGATCTACGTAGGCGAGACTGGCTGCAACTTTGACAGGGATGAGCATTGCCACGGCGAGGCGTTTTACTCGAACGATGCTGGACGTACATGGTTGCCTCTTGCGGCCTGGGTCCGATCCTGCTCCTGGGCTCAGGACACTGACTTCAAGATTGTGAACCCCTTCGGTATCTATTGCGAGCAGTATGATGACCATTCTGGATCTCAGCGGATTCTGATGAACACCAACACTCCCGTCAAGTTCGTTTACACACCTGACTTCATGCACTCGTCCAAGGTCCTGTTTGATGCCATTGTCGGTTATGCCACCTACTCAAACTACTTGATTGTGGCCGAGTATGTCCCCAGCCAGCGCGCCCTCCGCGTTGCCGTGACCACGGACGGTACTAACTTTTTGCCTGCTCACTACCCCGCCAACATTGATGTCGTCAACCCCGTAAGTATCAGCATAGTTGGCTTGTTTGTGAATGGTGTGTTCTCAACGATAGCATACTAACAAGGCTCGCTGTTCTTAACCCATGTAATAGGCATACACTGTTTTGGACTCTACTACTCGATCGATCTTTATGGCTATCAACTCTATTGATCGCAAGGGCTCCAAGGTCGGCAACCTGTTCACGTCCAACTCGAACGGCACATATTTCTCCCTGTCCAAGAAGCACGTCAGCGAGTCGGACTGGGGCAACGTCGACTTTGAGAAGATGCAGGGAGTTGAGGGAGTTGCTCTCTTGAACGAGGTCACCAACCCCAACGAGGTCAACCAAGGCAAAAAGAAGATCCTACGATCCCAGATCACCGTCGACAATGGTAAGCAATTTTTTGTTCCAACTCCCTGATGCTTGGAAGGCATTAAGAGTGACAATCATTACTAACAAACGCTGTACTCATCTCTACCAGGCAACTCTTGGGGTCCTGTGAACGCCCCTCAGTCGGATTCCGACAACAAGCCCTACAGCGATTGTCGGGTAAGAATGCCGTTTGCAAGTAGGAGCTATTGATCGAGTATCGAATTACCAAAACAAGAATCAGTTTGCTAATCCAGCCTTTTTACCCCTTGGTAACCATTTATTATTGATAGTCGACGGAATGTAGTTTGCATTTGCACAACTATTTGGATCGCAAGCACGTAGAGGATCTGTTTAGTTCTTCATCGATTCCTGGCATGGTCATTGGCGTCGGTAACGTCGGTAAATCTCTTGGCGAATACGTAGACGGAAATACGTTCTTGACGCGCGACGGAGGCCACTCTTGGAAGGAGATTTTGCGTGGACCTCACCAGTACGATTTTGGCGATCACGGAAGCATTATTTTGTTGGTCAAGGACGACGAGCGCCCCACGGATCATGTCATCTACTCCCTGGACCATGGAAACACGTTCAAGCTGTTCGAGTTCTCTAAGGAGGAGGTGATTGTCAATGATATTGTCACAAAATCCAATGGCGTTGGCAAGTCGTTCTTGTTGTTTGCCGTGTCGCGGGCGAGCAGCAAGCAGATGATCTTCCAAATTGATTTTGAGGGTCTGGACTTCCGCAAGTGTCGCCTGGATCTGAACGACGAGAAGAATGACGACTTTGAGCGATGGGATCTGGCGGATTTGCGTGGCGAGAAGTGTATGTTTGGACGCAAGGTCGAATACTTCCGTAGGATCGAGGAGAAGATGTGCTGGGTCGGAGAGCTCCAGGCCAACCCACGCAAGATTGAGGACAACTGCCAGTGCACGGCCAACGATTTTGAGTGCGACTTCAACTATGAGCCTGATGGTACTGGTAAGTGTTTGTTGATCAAGGAGGCCAAGCCGGTTGTCCTGGACGAGAAGGATGTCTGTGCTCATCTGCCTGATGGAGTCGATTACTACTACGAGTCGATTGGTTACCGCAAGATGGCCTTCTCGAGCTGCGTGGGCGACCATGAGCTGATGGGCACCAAGAAGTACTGTCCCGGACGCGGTGGACGTGGCTTCTTTGGATGGTTCGGCATTCTGCTGGCGTCTGGTGGTGGAGCCTTCGGTGTGATGTGGCTGTTGAACCGGTACAAGGGTCATTTCGGACGCCGTGGATCGTTTATTCGTCTGGGCAATGATGTCTATGACCAGTTACCGCGGTCATCGTCTTTGCCTTCGATGAACATGCCTTCGATGAACATGCCCTCGGTGCGCATGCCTCGGTCGTTCAGTCGCTTCCATGTGCCTGATTTCGCATACCAGGCCTGGGACAAGGTTGCAGGCGCGGCGACGGCGTTTTTGCCTAATCGTCTTCGTGGTTATTTCAGTCCACGGGGTGGATACCGGTACCAGAACCTGAGCCAGGAGCCCGGGGAGGTGATTATGGACGACTATTTTGATCATTATCTGGATGAAGATGATGAGGGTGGTGCCATTGCTGTTGGGCGATCGGATGGGCTGTTGGGCCATGGTGATGGACTCCAGGATGCGCAGGAGCGGTTCCGGGACGACTCTGATGATGACGATGATGGTGAGGAGGACCTTGATGGTATGGTTTAGATAGGTAGCAGACGTTCTTTTTCTTTTTCACACATTTTGAAAAATACACCGAGATTTACATTTCATCCTCTGTTTATTGGCTCCTACTTGGAGATATTTTTGAACTGGTTGTATGGTTGCATGATGGCATGTTTGAATTGATTCAAGACGATGCGCTAGAAGTGCGTCTCGTTTTAGTTCTCTTTGGCGAGAGGAGGGGGAACAAGACCGCCAGACAAATTGCCCTTACGGTCGTTCAGCTTGACGGACGCGGCGCGGGGCTGAGGAGGAGCAGCACGGCTGGAACGTTGGCTCTTGAAGAGCTCTGTCTCTCTCCAGGCCTTGATCTTGGGGTCCTCGTTAATGGCGGCCGCCACCTTGAGGAGGCCTGGTGCGGTCTCGGAGTTGATCAGTCCTGCCCCAGGGGGGAAGCGCAGGATCATGTCGACCAGCATTGCGGATTTCAGGTCTGCCAACGTGATCTTTTTAGCATGATGGGGGGGGGGGATGATGGATGGTTAGGACCGTGAGAGAATTTTTGATATGAAAAAAAAAAAAAGAAAAAAAAACTTACAGAGTCGCCGACATAGTGGCCATTGGAGCCATTAGCCCTCAAATGGTCTTCATGGATCTTGATCCACTTTGGAACCGACTTTGTCATAAAAATGGTCAACTGTTCCTGTTTGACCTCGGGGGATGCTTGGAGGCTATTGACAGAGTTGAGAAAGCTGTCGAGGAGGGCTGAGGTTGAGGAATGGAATGCGAGGATCTGGGTGCGTTCGTAGGTGTTACTGCCGAGGCGGTTGAAGCGGCTGGCGAGGTACTCTTCGATGGCATTTGATTCTGCGATCGGAAAAGTCTTTTTTTTTTTTTTTTTTTTTTTTTTTTGGAAGCGTTGGTGGATAGGAGAGGATGAGAAGGAGAAGGAGGAGTTGATGTTAGTGACAATGAGTTCATTCAGCACTGACGACAGCAACAAACGCCAACCAACAACCAAAAAAAAAAAAATATGCGAAAAGCGTACCTGAGAACCATCCTGAGAATGGACATAAAGAACAGGAAGAACTCCAAAGGGCGTAGAATGCTTATCGGCAAGATCTTCATTCTCCCAGTCCTGAGGGTACAACTGTGTCCATTGGGCGTCTCCCAGGGCGAGAAGGTTTCGGATGGGGTTGCAGATCCCTTGGGTGTCAAAGTAGAGGAGCGAGAAGGTGCTTGTGGGCGAGTCGAGGACTTGAGCTGCCGTGGTCGATTTGGGGAATGTTGCTACCATTTTGACGATAAGATTGGGCGGACAGGAGGCAGTTGTTGAAGAAAGGAGAGGAGAAGTGAAGAAGAGTAGAAGATCAAAGCATGAAGAAAAGAGAAAGGAAAATGGAGCCAGAAAGTGGTTCTATTTAACTATCAGAGGAGCCCACTTCCATCACATCTAATCCACCACCACCCCAAACACCATTGCCGTCGCTGAACTAGACCTCTCCGCAAAAAGGTCCCTGCCAAAGGGGATGGAAAAAAAAATGCGAAGCAGATATCCGGTTTGTGCCAATTTAAGAAAGAAGAAAGCTAGGGAGGAACATTTGAAAAGTAATCAAAGTAAAAAATGAGGCTGTGTGCCTGCCTACCTTGTTTCCATCTGCCGCACTGCAATCCTCACCTCATCTCCGCAGCTTTGCATCGCACCAATGGCGAGAGATATGCGGGATAACCTTGCTTATTATTCATCAATTGACGCCAGCACACGGACCGGCATGGACGAAAGGAACATTTCTCCGAGAAGTCAATTGCTCCTAAACTCTTTTTTTTTACATGCTTTTTTTATTCTTTATTTCTTTTGTCATTCGGGCCGTGACTCCCTCAGTCAGTCACCATTTGGTAATACCCTTCATACCGCCGTCGTTCTTATCATCACTATGCTTCTTTCTCCAAACCCCTCCCTTTCCATGCTGCGCTTTTACTTCCACTTTCGACTCTCCTTACTGCCGGGTCATATGTCGCCCCCGGAAAAAAAGAAACCCTACTCGTCGTTGACTTGAATGGATTCGAGAATAGGAATGATCTGGTCCCAGAGTGCGGCGCCCTTCTCGAAGAACTCGACTCGGCCCGACGAATAGTCCAAGAGACACTGGCGCAAGTCCTTGGTCTTTTGCAGCTGGAAGATCTCATACTCCTTGACAGTCTCGTTCGACACTGCGACGGAAATATCATTGCTCTTTTCCACCGCTTCTTGGAGCTATTTCCAGCCGAAAGAAAGAATGATAGGAAAGGAGGATGACGAGCGATGAGATGATTGAGCAAACAGAAAGATAAACCACCAAACCTCAACTCGGCAATGTCAAAAAAGGATGCGATCCATGCAAAAAGTTGTCGATTTTGGTTGTTTTTGTCATGAGGACAAGAAAAAATAAAGAGCGGGAAAGATAAATCGAAAACACAAGTTGGATTTGTCAGAATGGTGAACGGGTCCTTGATTTTTGGTCTGGGGAACCAGGAGGCCCAAAAAAGTAGGGCTTCTGAGCACCTCGCCTAGCACTCCTTCCATCTTCTACTATTTTTTCTTCCTTTTCCGAGCAAAAAAACCCCCCCCCCCCAAAAAAAAAAAAAAACACGAATACAGCAACAACGAACCTCGTGAATCTTCTCGGCAACACGTTTGAGCTTGTCCTGCTTGGCACGTTCCTGGTCAACACCCTTGATCTCGTCCATCTTTTGTTGAAAGAATCCTCCAATTGTTGCCGATCCTCCCAAACGTCCATTGCTCATCAGGCGGTCTCGTTCTGCCACCTGTTGCTGCAAAAAGTCGGATAATTCCTCGAAATCCAGCTGCTTCTGATCTCTCAGCTTCAATACACTCTATTTTTATGCAGAGCGAAAGAATTGGAAAGGGTGTGAGATTTTGATAGATGTTCACTCATTGCATAGTGATAGCCAAGTTCACAGTAAATCCCGTTGAGTTCACAATCCCGCACCTTGACACTGTTGCAGTAGGCCAAACATTCATGAAGCTGCGACAAAAACTCGGCATCCTCCTGTGTTGACTAAAGTGAGGTGGAGAAAAGTAAAAGCGAGTATTGTCAACTACCAAATACAACAACTCCCGACAGAAACACAACATCAGATAACAAGACGTCAAATAAATACTTACGAGCTCGTTCATGATGCTGGCGTAGCTGGCGACAGTGTGGGCAAAGCGGTGAAGGGGCTCGGTCAATCCGGTCTCAAGGTTACCGAGTCCTGCAACGGCTCCACCGAATTCACGGTAATCGGCCTCAAGTTCCTCCTGCCGCTTCAGGATCCTCTGCTCCAGTTTCTCCAACCCTTGGAGGTTTTCTTCCAATTTGTCGACCTCATCCCGCATGATCACAAACTTCTCCTCGGGCTTCTTGATCTTGGCAAAAGCATTCAAGAGCGCATCACCAATGGTATCAAGACGACCCTCGTCCTGTCGCTTCTTGTTCTGCTCTGCCAGATCCGAGTTCCAGTCGCGCGACTCCAAAAAGATCCGGAGAGGCTCTGCTTGCTGTAACACTGGGTGCACCGCCAGCTTTTTCAAAAACCGTTCCAGACTCGCCCTTCTCTTTTCAATAAAGTCTGGATTGAATCTATCTCCACGCACATATCCTATATTGAGTTACCGTACAAACGTTGATAATTAGCAGAAGTGCAATTGTCATAACATGTCGACTCAATTGATGAATATATAACTTACGGATGCGGTGCTTGTCGGGGAGGGGAGGGAGGACGGCAGCAGGGTAGAGGCGACCGAGGACGTTATGGAGCCAGACAAAGTCCTGGAAGCGACGGCGCACTGTAACATTCGGACTGGAAAACTCTTGAAGGGATGTCTATTAAGCGAGAGGAAGGAAGCAACCGAGAGGATGAGTAAAGTGTGCCGCGTGATGGAGCTAACAAAGCTCAGAAATAATGTGCGAAAAAAGGCGCACTGCACCCCGTGCTTGGCATTTTTTTCAATGGCGCCAGTCAATGACCACTACGTTGACGTACACCAAACTAACAACCAAACAAATAAAACGAACAAATTACCTTGGTATTGATCTGGTATGAAACGTAGCTATCGGTGGAGCCTTCTTTTTCCTTGTGCGTTTCCTTGATGGTGATTGCCATGGGCACCAAGTTGGCCAGTTGTGAAGCTGCGGTTGTTGACAATGACAGCTCTGACAGAGAGCGACCTGTATCGCGTTTCACCGCCTTTCCTGGAGCATGCGACTATTGTTTGTTGCGAGAGGGATGGATATGGGTGTTAGTATCAAGTAGTCGTGGAGGCGTATCGAGATCCACTTGAAGCCCCTTCCCTTCTTTCCACATAGCGTCTTCGTCTGAGTACCTTCACTCAATTCCAAATGAAGTCGCCTCTTCTTTCTATACAAAGCTTCTTCTTCGTGTTGTAAGAAGCCTTTGCCTATTATCTTCGTTCTGTTGAATCCTAGTACAAGATGCTTCTCGTTTCCATTGTCCTGTATTGAGTCTATTCCTTGTCCATAATGTCTCTTATACTTTGTCTTTCTTCTGACACAACGTCACTTCTTACCCAACTCCTTGCTCTCTCCTTCATGCAGTATACTCTTCTTCCCCCCGCATACTAAAAAGAAGACCAACTTACCCTATAGACCTGCTGACTGGTACGACCATCCTCCTCGTCAACATCATCATACGAATGGTTGTGTCTGATATCTGAGTCGATATGGATACTACGTCCTCCATTATTGCTGTTGATGCTTCCATTGTTCGCCCTTGTTGTACTGTAAGGATTACTGCTGGCTCCATTATGATGACCGTTGGTAGAGTGAATGTCGATGACTTCATTGTCCAGTGACTCGTCAGCCCAGGCAGAGGTCTCTGCGGGGAGGATGGTGGATGAGGCGGCGGCGGTGATGTCGGCCAGGTCGTCGTCGTCGTTATCGATATGGTTGTGGTGGTGGTTGATGTCTTCTTCGTCTGAGGAGGCGAAGAGGGAAGAGTTGAGGGTGTTCGAGCTCTGGAGTCTGCTCTTGTTGGTGGTGTTGTTTCCAGAGTGGTGGTTGTGGTGTGAGTCGTCGTCGGGGGAGTAGGTGTCCCATGCGACTGAGGAGTAGCCGACGTCGTCACTGTTGTCCATGGTGTATGCGTGTGTTCTTCAGTTGGAATCCCCTGTTGTTTGTTTGTTTGATGAGAGTATGTATGTTAGTGGCGGAAGAGGGTGAGGTAGGGTATGTATATGTGTCTTCTTCCTGACTCGTGCGTGCGTGCGTGGGTGAATGAGAAAAAGCAAAGGAAAAGAATTAGAAAGAGTAGAACCAGGCAGGCAAGGCAAAAGGGGAGGAGAGCGAGAAAAAGACGTCAACTGGCTGCACCTTGTGCACTCCTTACTCTTGTGCCTCTTACAACGGAAAGTCACGTTTTTGACTCTGAAATTTTTGAGGGAAGACTTTGCGCTGAAGATGTGAATCCATTTTTTATTTGAAAGGCATTGCCTCCAGAGACCGCGTAAATCATAGTGAACTGCTCCTCCTTCTCTCCCTCCTTTGGCTATTTGAGTTGATCATGTTTTGTCACAGATTATTGCTGTAGTTATTGATACAAAGAGCTGTTGTTGCTCACGCGGCGACATCACTCGAGCGTGAGTCGCGGAGACGAATCGAGTCTATCGCCATCAAGATTCCACAAAAGAACGTGGCGAGATCCAACTACGACAACAAGAGCTGGCGTGATCGTATAGCCGTCCTTTTTCCACCTCTTGATTTCTGGGCTCTGCGCGTATCCCCGAAGCTGTTGCTCAGGGGAACACCCCTTGCCAACTTTCGGTCCATCCAAAATCCATTCCTTGATAGTCTGACCAGTTCGAAATTTGTCTCCCCTGAACTTCAGGCCCAAGACCCTATTGGCATCGGGAATCTCCGCGAGAACATTGGCCCTTTCCAATCGTGTTCCAGATCCAATATTGATGTAGTCGATTTGGATGGACTTCCATTCGAGAACAAACAGCCGCTTTCGCAACGGAACGGATACTAACATGCCAATTCGGCCTGGCGTTCCCGAGGGCTATTACGGAAATTGAGAAAGCAGTTGTTATTACTGTAAAGAACACTCGTATCACGGATATCACGAAACGACATTATCCTTCATACCTTGGTAATGGTCGTCTCAACACCAACTTTCTGAAGGGACGGGTGGATATTAGCCAGTAGGGTAAAACGCATCGAGTTACAGTGATCCTCCTCCTTTTGAAAATCATGAGCTCCGATATCGTGTTCCTGCATTCCGCGGGCGTATAGTCCGAGGATTTTGTCGATGTTTCCGTTGTCGATTAGTAGCCTAAACGCGCCATTCACATCCTCCAGGGTTGCTTGATGCCTGTGCAGAATAGCGCTCCCAAATCGCTCTGCAGTCACCAAGTTTGGAATTCGTAGTGCTTTCTTGCCGACACAAAACGTCAGTCCGCCAAGGTGCACCATGTACGACAACCACGCCTCCTTGCTTTTGGCAATCTCGCCAACATGAAGCACATAAGAGCAAATATAAAAGACTGGGTTATTTACTGAACGAATGGAAGTATGAAAACGACGAAAACAACAACAACAACATTAGCAGCAGCAGCAACAGCAATTTGTGCGTTCTCTCGAACATTACCAGGCTTGCGAGAGTAAATGGTTGCCCGATATTGTCAAAAGGGATCACTCTGTCTTCCACATTCTTGCCTTGCTCGCTTCCGCTGAAGAGTCCGTCCTCTGACAATCGCGTCGCCACTGGCGATGCCGCAAGTAACCGCAGTGACACTTCCGAGGCCTCAGAGTTGGTGACTGAGAGAGGATTCTCCATCGGCTTCTTCACTGCGAGGCGCTATAAACGCAATTATAAATTGCAGATAAAGTGGCGTGTATGTGAGTAGACGTTAGTATCAAGTACTGAAGTTCACCTCTAACATGCCATGAATGAAACTCACCTCCAAGTACTTGAGGCATGTGTTTGTGTTATATGTCAAAGGCCCTTGTCCGCCAGGAACGAAATTGAAGCCGTTGTAATGATCCCTCATGATCTTCAAATGCTTCTCTGCTTCGGCGGTGGACTCGCAGACATTCTTCAGAGCCAGCGCAGCAGTGACATCCGCTTCCGTCAAACCACAAAAACTCGCGAGCTCTGGTTCCCAGGATACATATCGAGCCACGTTGAATCCAGACGTGTTGTCCACCAAAGATTGCGGCGAGACACCTGTAATATAGCATTTGGCAATCTTGAGCTTGCCCAGTCCGCTCTTCACAGACGCCCAGAATGCCTTCAGCAGGCTGTCCGTGTCGGCCCGTCGTGGCGGTTTCCACTGAACACTGTCGATGGGGACAAGGTACTCATTGCTGTAGCTGTCATATTCGTCCGCCATGAGGTAAATCTAACGGTGATAAGACAGCTGGTTAGTTCTCATCATAGGATAAGAAACTTCTGATCACAATTTTTTTTTCCATCTGGCACATACTCCCTTGATCTTTGAGAGGGGGTCCTCGGGAGACTTGACACCGGAGATAACTCTATGCACGGCGTTCACGCAAGCATTCAGGCTCAATGCGGCATTGTCCTTGATAAAGTTCTCAATGAGATAATCGGCTGACATTTGGAGATATGGTTCATAGGTCTTGTAGAACCGCTTGATCGACTCGTTCAGCATCAGGTTCAAGTTGTGCTCGGCTTTCTTTAGGTCCTGAGATCGATTGACTGCAGAGAAATCAAACCACAGGACAAAGTAGCGCCCTGGATTCAGACGCTCCTTTTTCACATGCTCGTCGATGGCAAGGCCCTACAAGCACGAACAGGCGGGGTTCAATAGACATACGAAATAACACTAGGAGCAAATAACTATGATTGGTAAAAGAGACAAAAATTACTTACTTCAAAGAGGGGTTTATAGTCTGGAAGGTGTTCACGGCCATGGAAGTGTGCCAATGTACTCAATCCGAGCGACTTTCCCGACCTGCGGGGACGAAGGAAGACAAGAGCTGGCTCGTCGAAGGACTCGAGAGCCAAGATGAAGGCGGTTTTGTCAAAGTAACAGAGTTCCGGACGTTGACGCAGTGTCTTGAAGTTGTTTACACCATGGACAGGAAAGCTTCTGAATGTGTCCTCTCTCTAGACAAGGTCCCCAGAGCGACTATTGTATTGGACGACATTCAGCGGTCCGCGCACGAAACCTAGAAATATGAATTGGTCAGTTAGCAAAACGTAAGCAAAATATCGTTCGAAATAAAACAAAGACAAGCATGGTAACAAGGTTTTACTTGGAGGTCGGACAATCACTTGAACCGTGTTCGTTTCCGCAAACATGCCACGCAGAGAGCTAATGGCGTTAATCTCGTCTTTCGCTCCGACAGTGACGCCTGGCTCGGTGATGCCTCCTCCCTTTGGGGCTTTGTACAGATTGAGGTCGCTGGCCTCCAGCATACTGAGGCGGATAGGTTGATTCAGTTTGATCCTTTCCTGGAGATCTGAACCTGTATCGTTGTCGTTGATATCCACAGGGAAAGCCTTTCTGGTGCCATCGATCGCGCAAAACACTTTGAGTGCGCGAGACTGGAGCTATTGGGCGCAGCCAAGGAATTAGTCTCGTGGGTTCTGCATACATGAATCTGTATAAATGGATGCGATTGAACTGAGAAATGCTTGCCTGAGGAAATTGGAGATGTCTGAGGTGAGACCCGGAGAAGGTGCGGACTTCTTGCGCACGAAGTGATCCGGCCGACAGCATTGTTCCAAGGAGTACAGCCCATGTGTGAAGAAGGAAAGGAATGAAGCGTTACATGCACAATGTGATTTACATGAACCTGTTTCCAACCTGTTCGCTGACCTTCGTTTCGTAGTCACAACAAGGACTTTAAGGAAATCCGCGAAAGAAGTCTCCTTCCCGCAGCATGTACGATCAAGGTATTCTAATGGGGCCACATACAGTAAGCTCAAGAAAGAGAGTTTTGCCCAGATGGATGGATGATTACCTCTGCGGCTGCAGGGGACTGGTTGGTTTGGTAAGGTGCAGGATATGACAACGACAATACTCATGCAAGTTACAGCAATACCCGCTCCAGGCGGATATCCCATTTTCATTCCATGAGGTAGGCTGAGAAAGAATGGGCACAGTGAACAAAAAGGGGCGCCGATGTACTCTTTGTCTCACTGCTGTTTGTGTCAGTGGGTCGGATACACCATGGCTCTCATTCTCATGTTCGGGTACAAAGTGTACATGACCACGCAGCTCAACATGGCTTCAATTCTTCTCTTTCCCTCGCTTGACTTTCCCATATCCAGAGGCAATCGCAATAATCGGTTTGTTTGTTTGTTTTTTGTTTTGATTCGTGCGTGTACTTTGGGTCGGCCCTGACTTTCTCAGGACAGGCACTGCTGCTGTTAATTGACTAAGGCATGTCATTGATTTTTTTTTCTTTTTACTCTGGCGCATGGTTGCGTGTGTGTCTGCTTGCTTACACGAGCCAACAGCTCGTCGACATTCGTCATCTCTGTTGCTCTCTCTCTCTACTCTGTCATGCCACATCAAGTCGCATACCTCTTCTCGGAAAGCAGCATTCCTGGTGCTTTCCAGTCGACAGGGTTGGAGAAGGAGTGCCCAACAGCCAGTTGTTTGACTCAGCAGCACCCACCCAGGTCGACTCCTATTCTTTCTTTCATATCTTGTCGATTTCTCGTTCGAGAAAGAAGAGTTGCTATTTCTTGGCGACCTGGCGTGGTTGGTTGTGCTGGTTGGCTTTTCTGCTTTAGCTGGAAGGTCCTTAATTACAAAAACACCAAGGGGGTCGGTGTGCTGGGAACCATCACCCCCCCGTATCCTTTGTTGACGACCTTGTGCTGGAAGGAGAAAAAAAACAAGGGGTTGCCAGCCTGACACAACAACAACATGCAAGCAGCAAGCAAGCAGGGAACCCAATTGACAGAGAAGGTGTCAGTGAGAGAGAGAGTAAGAGTGAGAGTGCAATTGAGAGATGCAACAGACAAACCTCCACTTCGTGTTCTTGCTACTGCTCTTCTTCTCGTTCATTTGTTTGTGTCCCTTGGACAGTCGATGATTTCCTTCACGCAACCCCTGTGTCAGCCGCATATGAATTTCTCTGATGTACAGTACTCTCTTCACTTTCTTCTTCTTCCTTCCCTTTCTGTCTTTCTCGCCTCCTCTTCTCGACTCTTTCTTCTCCCTTTTTCTCTCTCTCGCTCTCCCCTCCCGCTCTTTTATTTTTCTTCCTCTTCACTCTCACTCCCTTACCTTTCTTTCCCTTCCACTCTCCCCCACCCTCGGTTCATCACTCTCACTTCCCTTGACACTTTTCTTGATCGAGTCCAATCACTTTTCCTTCCTTCCTTTCCCTTTCGCTTTTCTTTCCCTTCACGCCTGAGAGCAACTCTCACTGTCTCCTACCCTAACCCTTTTTTTTTGCACTCCTTTCATTTATCCCTTTATCCCTTTCTTCCCTTTCTTCCCTTCTTCCCTTCTCACTCGCCCATTCATAACTCCCTTCACTCTCACAGGGAAAACACATCAGGAATCACTTCGACGCCCACTCACCCTCCCTTCTCTCTTCATCACCCACTGCTTGTCCGACACCCCTTCCCTCACACGCCCTTCAAAGAGGATAGTCAGCTCCTTCTTCTGCAACAACAACCACTAAGAAGAAAGAAAGACGGAATCCAATCCCATCTATATGACAGCACCGTCTCAGGCACCAGGCGCTACTGCCCATGCCCTCGAGACCTCTGTGCAAGTCGGTATGTTATCCTTCTTGTCTTTAGTACCTATTATCGGCACAAATACCTCCTTCAATCACTTATGAAGAATATCAGAAACATGGCCAATCTTTCCCTTTTCCAACCGCTGGACAGGCACCATCAGATCCCCTCCTTCTATCCCTCTCACTTTCTGTCAATTGGCCAGTCGACATATCGTATCACACCTACCCCCTGTTGCGACTATGTCCTCCTCGCCCAGCTTACCCATCTTTCTCTCATCCATCCTTTCTTCACGCTACTCGGATATTCGCTCTCGTTTTATTAACTGACGAGCAAGTTCACATGTGGCCAAAGAAGAAGCTGTCCGGTGGTGCAAGAAAAAAGAGATTGTGTATGTTGTGGTCCGTCGCTCAACAGAAAGCATGTCTTATTGACCAAACGAGAGGAAAAAAGAACAACCAAAAAAAAAAAAGAGTGAGCACTTCATTATTGCAATGGCATTTAAAAAAATCCAATCCATCTATCTCTTCTCATAACATTAAGAAAACGATAACAAACCCAAAGGTCGACCCAGCGCAAAAGAAAACAAGCCCATTTGCTCTCAGCAATGCTCTCACTTCTTCGTTTTTTTTTTTTTTTTTTTTTTTTTTTTTGTTTTCCACTTCCTCTCTCACTCAATCCAAGAGGAGGTGTTTGTATCTCTCTTGTTTGTTGTTGTTTCCTTTCGTATTGCCTATTAAAGACGCACGTCCGCCCCAATGCTGCTCCCATGCCGCGCATATACATCTCACTCTACTCCACTCCATTTTCCCTTCTACTCCGCAACCGCACCGCCCGACCCTGCTTTTTCCCTGCCCCCTCCCTTTTTCCCTTCCCCATTCATGCTTTTCTCCGTCTTGCGTTGAACAACAACACGTAAACTAATCCTGTGTTCAATTAAACGACATAGCTCTTCGTATTAGACCACTCGTCACAGATGTCAGGTCACTGAGCAGGCGGGTACGACCCGAGACCGAGGTTTTGTCGTTGATCGAGCGATCCGCTACACCTTCCTCCGTCTCGGGATCGTCAACACCAATCGAGCCACCCCAACAGGTCGTCGTCGTACCACTTCAGCGGCACTTTACATTCGATCATATTTTCGGCACCGATGCTGCTCAAGAAGAAATCTATCGAGGATGTGTTAAACGCATGGTCGACAGGTTCATGGAAGGTAAGCCCTTCTTTTGTATTTTTTTCTCCCCTTCCCACTTGTCCCGTGCGGCATACCCCAATTACGCTATTTTATTTTGTCGACTTGCTGCCAATCTCGCCAGTAGAAAGGAGCAAACCACATCCCCAAAAATTCAAGTAGATCTACGCCGCTCTCCCCTCGAACCACCATATATTCCATACCGTCGTTGACCTCACCCACACCCTCTTCCCCACTCACTCGTCGTTGTACCTTTTTGTTGACACTCCTTTTCCTTCCTTCTTACGAAACTTGCTGCCCCCTGATAGGTTACAATGTCACGATCATGGCATATGGACAGACATCCTCAGGAAAGACATATACCATGGGCACGGGAGCACCTTCAGCTGAAGATCGAGGAAGCACATCGGAAGGTAAGACAAACATGGGTGGATTAGCTGTGCACATGAAGGAGAGGGAATAGATGAAATGAGTTTCCCGGAGGATCCATGCGTGCTAAACTCCCGTCGTCATTTTCTCCCTCTCTCCCCTTCCTCCTCTTTCTTCCCATTTCGCCTCGTCTGTCGCATTACATCAACAACCCCCTATATTCCCGCAACCCTACAAACAAACAATCAACAAACCATCAACATGTGCAACCCAATTTTATTCGATCAGGTATCATCCCAAGGGCCATGAGTCAGCTCTTCTATGAGGCAAGACGGCCACCACCCGTCTATCCCGGATTCAAAGTGCCTGCATTAAAAACAACCTTCCGCGTGTCCTTTGTTGAAATCTACAACGAGGATTTGATCGATTTGTTGGTGAAGGGCGATTTCAGACCGCCCGTATCCATCCGCGAGGACGCCAAAGGACACATCTACTGGACCGGTGTTCAGGAGATTGTCGTCTCCTCTGTAGAGGAGGTCATCCAGTAAGCAATTGGTTTTCATGTACACTGAGCAATTGGAACGTGGTTGATTTGTTTTCGAAGGTATTGTTATTTCTAACGCCATATTATTGCATTTTCCTTCATTCTCTTGATCTACAGCTTGCTGTGGTTTGGATCTCAAAACCGCCAAACACATTCGACAGAGATGAACGAAAAATCTTCTAGATCTCATGCAATCTTCAGCATCACACTCCGTCAGGAAAAATTCATCCCAACACATCCACCACCACCTCAGCCCATATCCTCCGACAGTCAAAACAACTCCCCCACCTTTAGACGCGCCCACTCCAAAACCCCCAGCATAAGCAGCACCCCTCTGCCAATAAACAGCAATGGCAGCGGCAGTGCAAGTAGTCTTCTTAATGGGCGTCCAGGAACACCTACAACCGGAGGATCCAGTATACCAGCACCGTTCACTAGCGGAATCGTTGCCCCGGGATCAAAACTGAAACGACATAGCGTCATGCCAGAATCGGCTTCTTATCTATCGTTGGCGTCTCAGGCGATCAATGATGATCCGGAGGTGGAAGGCGAGTGGGTGACCCTGAGCAGCAAGTTCCACTTTGTGGATTTGGCCGGTTCTGAGCGTTTGAAGCGGACGTCAGCTATTGGAGACCGTGCCAAGGAGGGTATCAGCATTAATGCAGGACTGCACGCTCTTGGAAACGTTATTTCTGCCCTTGGAGACCCCAGCAAAAAGGCCAGCCACGTCCCCTACAGAGATTCAAAGCTGACCCGTCTCTTGCAGGATTCCTTGGGTGGCAATGCCCTTGCGCTGATGATTGCCTGTGTCAGCCCAAGTGAGGTCAACCTTGGCGAGACCCTCGTAAGTTTGTTTCTAATTGATTTGTTTTGTATCCCGCATTTTGTACACTCACACGGACAGACGGAATGTTTATTACATGATTCGATTAATTAACTTTGAGTCCATGGGAGGAATTTTACAAAAATAGAATACGCTAAAGTACGCAAATCGCGCCAGGAACATCAAGAACTCTTCTTCGCTCAATCAGGAGATCAACATGGAAAACCCCGAATACCTCCGGTCGATCATCCAAAAGCTCAAGATGGAAATCAAGGTCCTCAAGGCTGCCTCGCTCAACTCGGCCACATCGACCCCTCGGCCTGGAATCACCACCGATGCTGCAGGAACGCCCACGGCCGAACAGCCAAAAATCTCGCTCGCCAATCGCCTTTCGACTTCATCGTCCGCCTCAGGTCCTGTCCCTGGATCGCTCTCTGGTGTTGATGATCTTCATAACGAAGACCGCGCATTGTCACCATCCCCATCTCGGCGCCTTTCGCATTATCAGAGTCGGGATTCGATTTCGACGGACATCAGCCATGGTTATCTGGATGCTGTTCGGGAGGAGGAGGATGGGTACTCTGACACCTCGTCGTCAGCCAGGACCTCGTCGTCAGCCAGAACTTCGTCGTCAGCCAGAACGAATGTTGTAGGTATACCAACACCCAAAGCCTCAAGCGACTCGGCAACAGCAAGGCACAATCTCACGCCTCTCACCATCCCACCTTCGCTCGACTCCAAGTCTTTCGAAGCCTTTGTTGAGCCTGTGATTGAAGAGTACGAGAAGGTGATTTCAGGACTTGAGACGCACTTGGCCATGACCCAGGCTGCCTTGAACCACTCGGAGCTGATCCTGGAGGAGCAGCAAGGGCGTTTGGATGTTGTCGAGGACGAGAACAGGACACTGTTGCAGAAGCAGACGAGTCTTATTCGCGAAGTTTCCACCCCATCACCAGAGCAGCAGCAGCTTCAGTTGGAACTGGAGCAGACCCTGAAGAAGGTTCAGGCACAACTGGATGATGCCGAGATCCGACGTGCAGAAAGCGAACGGGCTATTCAGGATCTGGAATCCAAGTTGCAGGCCGAACAGGCCAGGGCTCAGGAACATATCCAGCAATTGCAGCAGGAGAAGGAGCAGCAGCGCGCACAATCGACTACTCCTACACCCTTGCATCCTGGACTATCTCCGGCCGCTCAGGAGAAGGAGAAGGAGCTCAAGGCTCAGGCAGACAAAATTCGTCAACTGGAGGACCAGGTCCGTATCTTAAAGGATCAGGTCGAAGCGGACGCGGACGCCTTGCGAGCTGCCAAGACTGCTAAGGTGGTTTCAACAGTCGAAGGACATGACGGAGACGAGACCGAGGAGACCGAGGAGACCAAGCGCGAGGAAGAGCTCATTGAAAAGCTTCAGTCCAAGGCCTCGATGGAGCTGGAGCTCGAGATGGAGAAATCTCGCCATGAGTCCCTTGAAGCCGAGGTCAATGCCGCCCGGAAGGCATCCCAGCAAAGCATCGACGACGGCATTTCTGACCATGAGGTACCACCATCTCAATCTGTTGTGATTGGTGAGAGCGATGATGTGGTTCGTCAACTCGACGTGACCACGCATCCTTCAGTGTCTCGTTCTGCTGACATCGCTGCTTCTGCTGGTCATGAACAGATCAAGAAGGATCTCGAGGAACAACTCGCAGCTGCACGCGAATCGGAACGTCAGCTCAAGGAGGAGATTGTCGCCTTGACCGAGACGCTAGAGAAGCTCCAGAAGAACCTCGCCGCCGCCATGGAGATGGAGGAGATGCTTCACCTAGCTGTTTCTGATCTTGAGGGACGATTGGAGACCTCCAAGGAGAACGAGACCAAGCAATTGCAGGAGCTCGAGCAGCACTTGGCACGCATTCAGGATCTCGAGACACGTTCAACAAAGGCCGAACAGGAAGCGCTCCAAGTCGTCGAGGAACTCAAGGCAAAGTTAGCAGATGCGAAAGTGGCTGCTGACGAGCGACTGGCGGACGAACTGCTCGAGTTGTTGGAAAAGATGGAGCAGGAGCGTTCCAAGGTTGAGGCGCTTCAGACCCAGGTCGAAAACCAACTTGTCGAACTGGCGGCCGAAAAGTCACGGGCGGCCGAGATTGAGGCTGACCGGGCGGCAATCCAGGCTCAGTGGGAGACGGACAAGGAGCGGATCAGTGTTCTGGAGAAGGACATTGAGGAGCAGTCGAGTCATGTCCTGGAGAAGACTGCGCTGATTGCTACTCTCGAGACGCGTCTTGTCGCCTTGGAGGGTTCCTTATCGGAGAAGGAGTTGTTGCATCAGGAGCTGAGCCAGAAGGTCGCCGACCACGATCATGTCATGGGATCCAAGGGCACCGCCATTCAGGAGCTGGAGGAACAGATTTCGAGCCTCAAGTCTGAGCTGGAGGTTTCTGACAAGTCGACCAAGGACCAAGTCGCATCTGTGCAGAGCGAACTCACCGTCGCTCAAGCACAATTGGTCGAGACCCAGACTCGTGTTCAGGAGCAGGAACAAGAGCTTTTGGCACTGCGAGAAAAGACGGCGACGCTGGAATCTGCAGCCACTACAGCTGCCGAGACTCTTGCAACCCAGGGGGCTGAACATGCCGAGGCTGTCAAGGCACTTGAGTCCAAGGTCAAGCTAGCAGAGGCTGATCGGGATGAAGCCGAGACGCTGCTGGAGGAAATTGAGAGGCGCCACAATGCTGTCGATGAGCAGATCAAGACTCTTCAGAATGATGTTGCACTGCACCTGACAACGATCGAGATTCTGCATGGTAAGCTAGCCCAGGCCAACAACGGCTCGCCACCTTCCTCTCGCCCCGTGTCCCTGTCGTCATCGTCCAATGCTCTTGCTGCCGGTGAGGACCCTGCGCCCATTATCCAAAAGCTAGAGAAGGAGAAGGCACGGTACCGTGCTCTAGTCCGCGAGAACGAGAAGGAGATTGAGCGTTTGAGTGAGGACCTCGAGTCACTCGCGTCCGAGTTTTCTAACGCCGCTACTGCCTTTGAGGATGCAGAAGAGGAGATGAAGGCACGGATCACGGAACTGGAGACCATTGTTGAAGATCAGAAACCTGCCGCCGGTCTTGGCGCGAGTCTGAACAACAACCTGTCGACAACTTCCTTGGCCTCATCGATCGCCTCGTCATTCTCTACCCGTCACCGCGAAGGATCAACAACCAACTCTGCATCGCACCCACCTTCAGCCTCGGCCAAGGCACAGGTCGCATCTCTCAAGGCCGAACGCGACCAGGCCCTCCAATCTTCTGAGGAACTGTCATTAATCGTCGCAGATCTGAACGAGAAGAACCACCATCTCCAGGAGCGACTCCTCAACCTCGAACGGGAACAAGAGTCCGACAAGCTGAACCAAGTTCTTGAACGGCAAGCGCAGCAGGAAGAGATCCGGGTGCTTCGGGAACGAGCCGAGCGGCAGGACCGCAACGCAAGTCCCAGCCCTGTTGGCAGTCTCCACTACGACGATGACCTGCGGAGTAGTGTTCTTCACGACCGGATCCTGCGCCACAAAACTTCGACTTCTTCGGATGCTTTCGGTGGTGCTGGTTTGCGTGGGGAGGATTCTTTGGCGACGCCTCGACAGAGCTGGAGCACTGTTGCCAGTCAACAACAACAGCAGCAGCAAGGACAAGCTGGCTCGCAGGTCCGTGCTGGACGCCACGAGTCGACGTTGATCCAGCAGGCGAAGCATATCAAGCTACTTGAGGAGCGGATTTCTGAGCTGCAGGCCAGCGGTGGATCCCCCTCGCTTCTTGCTGACAGCCGTCGTGGGTCGCTTTCTTCCCCTGCGATTGTACAAGCAGCCGGTGTCGGTTTGGGTATTCACCACAAGGCTTCTGACTCTGACATGACTCGATCGGTCTCAACCCCGCTGTTGAAGCGTGCAAGTGCCGAAAAGATGTCGCCCGCCCTCCGTGCTCTCTCGACCATGGGTGGCCCCTCGTCTCCACTGCCAGCAACTCCCCCACCCACCGCTCCCCTGCCCCCACCACCTGCTGGAGGAAAGATCACACCCGCCCATCTGACCGGAAGTGCACCCTCCTCGCCTCGTATTGGCGGTGTCTTTACACTGGAGACGGCCTCGCCCGGCAGCTCGCCATCGATGCGCCCTTCAAGGACCGGATCTGTCGGCCGTCTCAGCAACTCTCTCCGTCGTGAGCGCGACTCGACCTCGTCGAACTTGTCTGACGCCAACGGACCTACTACGGCCACCAACACTGGATCGATGAGCCCTGCCGGAAGCACCATCAGCACCGCTCCCTCCAACGCTGCCCCCAGCAAAGACAACAACGGCGCTATCTCCTCAGCAACCGCACAAGCCCTCCAGGGCGTAGAGGTAAACGAGCTCCGCGGCGTCGTCGATACACTTGCCCACCAGGTCCAAGCTCTCAAGGTCGAACAGACGATGCAGCAGGGCAAGATCCACCGTCTCGAGGCCGCCCTGGCCGACACAGAAGAGAAACTGAAGCGGGCCCGTTCCGACGTGTCCACTACTTCTGCCGACCGCGACCGCCTCAACCGGGAATTAACCGATCTCCGTGACGAGCTGATGGCCGCAAAAGTGAAATCTGACAAGGACCGTGCAGGACTGGAGACGGTCCTGGAGAAGGAGAGGAGGGAGAGGGAGAAGGCTGTGGAAACGAGGGCAATTATGGAGGCGAGGATGGAGGAATTGATGGGGCGCAAGAGTAAATTTGGTTGCTTCTAGGAAGAAACAAGTCGGCCTTGAACTCCACGAACAGGTCGCTCTTATACCCCATGGATCCCCTTCTTCCATTTTTTTTTCTGATTTATTGCCTGCCTTTGCCTTTCCTTTTTTTAAACGACATCGAACAACCTGCCCGACGAACTACAACAACAATTTAGTTAGTCAACCATCCAACCTTTTTTTTATTTTGCCCATTAATTTTCAATTTGTATACCAAGAATTAAAAATGTGAACCGCCATTTGTATCTACATTATGCCTTCTTCCTCTTTTGCTCGGCCTTGGATGTGAAAGATTTGTTGAAGAAAGTTGAAAGTCCACATTTATTGTCGTAAGGCCATCCATCCATGTTGACCTACCACCTTTTCTGCGCCGGCAAAAAAAAAGCCCTAAAGAAACAATGAAACAAAAGTGCTCGAAATGAGGATACAGGGTAAGTGAGTGGACGTGCGCATCATTCACAGGAGGGGCGCAATGATGACGCGTCGTTGATTTGATCAGTGGGGCCAAGTATTTTTTTGTTTTGTCGACGCGTCACACAATCGCTCGAGCGATTATTTTTTACGCGTCGCATTTTGTCCTCTTATCCATCATTCACATCATTCGCTGTCATCATCAAAGGAAGAAAAAAAGAGTCTATCAGATTGAAGGACACAGGATGATAATATGTACTTCGATTCTCGCGTAAGCCCTACGTTTGCTTCTTTCCTCCCTCCACCACTCTCCCATCTCCCATTCAATCAAACACGTCGGCAGATAAGAAGAACAATAAGCACAAACCATGTCAAAGCGCGCTAAAGAATGAAAAAAAGGTACCCAGATCCCATCCGTCCATTATATCGTGCTATCAAGACAATCGCTCTTGTCATCGACGATGTTTGATGAGTGAATGCTCTCGGAAGGCTCGGGAATTCGAAACAAAGCATCCGAAAATAAGACGTTTTGTCGCGCAATCGCATCCCTCGAACAAGACACTTTACAATAGTCGTCACGGATTGAGTGATAACAAAAGAAACAAGAAATGACTACAGCCAGAAGAATGCATCGGGCTGGACTCTGCCCTTCGGAGTAAGGCGGAGTCACGGACTCAGAGCATCCTTGTATTTTCTGTTCTTGTATGAAATGAAAAGGAGAGAGCCGCCATAGAGATTCTACATCCTCCACCTTGCTATCTATTTTTTTTGTTTCATTCCAAACGTTCTGTCAAAGCCCTAAGAAATAGTTAAATGAAAAAAGAAACGTAGTACTGAAAGGGAGCGAACAAAAATCATTTGACGAAACACCTCTACAAGAACCTATCCCCGGATAATATTTTTTATTCAGTTTAAAGGTCGGGCGGAAAATAATAAAGACTTCACCCATAAAAATGGCGCATCCTGCTGTTCTTGACTCTCACCTCATAAAGGCGTAATCGTCGCACATCAGGATAGACAGACATTCTAGTATTCTGATTTTTTTTTGGGGGATGATAAGGGAAGCGTTGCTCGACCTGAGATCCCACATCTTACTTGTTGGTATAAGAGACCAGAAACTCAAAGATACATCGCCCGAGTAAAGAAAAAAGTCATGTGTTATCGAAAGGAGCAAAATCATGAACACGCTATATCGGTCGACATGCAACAAGGATTAATTCGAATCCTTGACATGGATTTTTTTGAACTGGATTGTTTGAACAAGTGCTAAAGTCGAACAAAGAGCATGTCGATCGAGCTAAACTCTACCCTTGCTAGATAAAAAAAAAAAAGGTGCGAGAGTACCCAAAAAAAGGTCTTCTATCCTCGTACTTTTTGTTGCGTTGAATGAACCGGCCATAGTTCATCCTTTGGGATCCCGCATCTTTTTATTTACTCAGTTGTTTAGATATTAAAGATTCGCAAATCCCAACAGCATCGTTCAGAAATGACTAGTAACAAATGTGTGTTATCGAAAGGAAAGACTGGACCACTGGCCGGTATCTGATAAGTGATAGCCTGAAAAAAGCCCGAATTTTCATCCTTCGTGAGGCCGTGACCACGATAAGGTGCATATCATTGTGATTTTGGAATTGAAAGGAGGAGAGTTAACTAATTCCGAGATCTTACTTCTTCTTACGTATTTCTTTGGTAATGAAGGCCCCAGAAATACCATGGAGCATCGCCCGAGATCAAGAGAGAAAGCAACTGTGATTATCGAAAAGAATGCCAATAGGTCTCTGAGGAATCTGATGGCACCCAAACTTTATCCTCAATGAGGATGTCTATAGTTTGATTGACTGAATGAGTGAATGAGAAGTCCACGAAGAAAGATGATCGCAATCGAGCTGAACTTGTCATCCACTCTTATAGGAGAGAAAGTGCAAGCTCGCGCGACGCAGCTGTCTTTGTGTTTTCCTTTGTATTGCTTTACTGGAGAGATGCCTTACCGAGTGCATATCTGACATCCTTTTTTTTGTTTGATACTCAAGCTCCGCATATCCTTCAGACATCGTTCCAAGTGAATGAACAAAATATATGTATTATCGAAAGGAGCAGAGTAAGACAAACGTCAATCGGTCGAACAATAACAAAGATGAGCACGAATCCCCGACAAAGACTGTCTCTCTCAGTCCGACTGTCTGAATAAGTAAAAAAAAGATAACCATGGATGACTTAGTGCGACGAAGGTAAAGTCTCCTCCGATCCCCTGAAGATAGAAAACTTGAAGGAGAGGAGGGACGTCCATCCTTTTCTTTCGTTTTTCAATTGGCCGTCCCAGCCATATAGCCGCATTACAAGATACATGATAATAAAATTGAACCAGCGAAGGATACCATCGCATCCCGATCAGTTTTTGTTTATTCCAAACATCCATTATCTTCAACAAGATTGGAACGAAAGCTGAGTGCAAAAATCATACACTGCAACGAGATGGGTAAAAACCGAAAGAAAAGTACGAGCGATAGCGACGAGTCTGCAGTTGGTGACATCGCCAATGGAACCTCGAAGATGAAAGTCAGGAATAACGCGAATGGAGTTGCAAACTTACCCGTTATTCGTGACATTCAAATAGAAGGGAGTGGGTTGTACAACGTTAAAACCAGTACACCTACCCCGTCAAGACCATAAAATATAATATTCAACGGATCCGCTCGAATCACCACCCAAGCTCGATGGCAATAGGATAACGAAAAATGTACGACAAAAAAACAAAAGGTTTAGAACGGGTCGACAACCCCGATTGCGACACAGTCACTACAATAGAAGCGGCATTATTGGAACCTGGGTATCGGTCGTTACTCGCGCTCGGATAGACCAGAGAAAGGGGCACATGTTCTTATCTAATATAAATCAAAAAATATATTTAATCGCCCAACACTGTCGAGTTCTCAGCAAAGGAGTCGAACGCATAACTAACACCGAGTACCGCCAACTTAAATAAATACCATTCGCAGAGGTTTCATAAAGTACATAAGCTCATCCGGCAATTTCTATCCTTCTCATATTCGCAATTGTCGAATAGCCAAATGACTGTCACTCGCTACGAAAAATCCTCTACCATCTAGTTTTCTTCTACAAAGTGTCAATAAACATTAATTCCGCGACCGAGGCGCCACCATCACTCAAATAAAAAAAGATTCGATTACCACTTACTAATCAACAAACAGCGAACTGCTCCGAACCTATCTCCTAAATCAACACGCCCACTTCAACGTGTATTCAGTACTACTTCAATTGCAAAAAAGAAAATAAGAGAACTTTTCAAAAGAGCATCCTTGCTGTTCAATGGCTTCAAAAAAGAGATGAGCGATGACCTTGGAGACCATTTTCAACAAACAATAGATGGAGATCCGCGGCGTACGCAAGTATATAAAAAAATGTTGTTTCGGCCTGTATCCGTGTATTCGAATTTCTCATTCGAAAAATCAAACATCGGCTCTACTGTACGTGCGCGAACCCTTTACCATGTTTCCTTTTCTACTTAATAAAGGACGGCCTTGAAAGTCGTCATCACGCGATACCGCCATTTGGTGCACTAAAAGAAATAGCCCACAGAACACAAAGTCACCAACTAGAAAAAATGTTGTAGGTAGGCTCCTGGACACGCTTGTTCTGTTCAGATCGTTCACGATCAAAGATATGATTAAAGCGTAGAATCCCCAACAACCTGTGACGATACCAATCCTCAAACTGCTACTATTAGAAAAAAAAAAAAGGTATCGGTCAGGAGAGAACCGACACCGAAGTGTGTCCTCTAAATCATTATTTTTTTTTGCAAGCTGTGTAGATCTATTAGTCATCACCAACGAAAACAACGAGAGAGAGAGAGAGAGAGATGAAGAGCGGAACATATTTCGCACGTTCGTCTCTCTGAAAAGAAAAGTGTGCCTTCAGTTCACCTTCATTGTCAGTCGCCCTGTTGATTCCAAAAAAGAAGTATTGTCCACCATAGTCATCGCCATCTCATTTCCATTAAACCCCCCCTTCCTTGCTGTCTTTCAACCGCACCTCTTATTCTCGCCTCAAGTGCTCTTTTGACCTCATAGTCCCAAGTCCTGCAGTTGACTCCCAATCTTGCCGCCCATTTTTTTTCCCTTGTTAGCATCCTTGCTGACTCCTCGTTTTGCATTTGTTGTCTGCTGCCATTGATCTTTTGCCAACTCCGCTTCAATCTTAACTGAAACTCTATACCAACACCCATCATCGTTATCTCCAGCCAGTAGTAGCACCTCGTCTCATATCTCAAAAACGCCTCTCACACAACTCCACACAAGGATAATTCGATTGTAAATGGGTATCTTCCCTCCTTTAATAATAAACCAGTTCAGCACACATAATTAATGAATGCCATAAGGGGATTAACCGCTTCATTGAAAAAATCGATATACTATCTGAGTTCAAGACTGACTGACTTACTGATAGACAAGAGGAATGGGATGGTGAACTGGATGGGGGATGAGTGAGGGGACGGTATATAGGGTGGTTGTGTGTCTGTGTCTAGTCCTGTCGAGAGAGAAAAGAAGAAAAAAGAAGGAGAAGAAGAGAAGAGGATGGAAAGGACCAAGAATAGGACGAAGGACCATTGAAGGAAAGAGGGAAACGAAGAAAAAGAACAGGAATAAGAGGAGAGTAGAGAAAATCCACATGCTTATGGGTTCCTCAAAACTTCATGGCAGCACTCAACAAGTCATCATCCACCTCGGGTCCAATGGTACAAAGACCCTGGTGGTTGGCAATTTCAACTCGCGGGGGATGCGGTGGCTCCTCGACAATATCTTGGCCATCTAAACCATCCATAAAGTCCTCGTCTCCGAGTCCAAAACCTCCACCATTGTCTATCATAGTTCCCCTGAATCGACTGGCGATCCGGCAGAGGATGTCCCAAGCGATCCAACAGAACGTGTACGGCTGACCTGGTTGGAGATTCTTGTAGCAGACGGCATACCAAGCAGCTGCCTTTCTTTCCAGGAAAGGGATGTTGCTTGGCGGAACCACCTTGGCGTCAGGGGCGTAAAACTCCTGTTCAAGTTCCAGTCGGAACCGAGTCCGGATTGCTGTGAAAGCGCGGACGATCGATCTGCGGATCTCATACTCTCTCTTGTTCGTGATAATGTCAACCCCCGTGATGAACCCACTTACAACCTCCAGATCGCTAGAAGCATAGATATTTTTGACATAGTTAGGTGGCATACAATAGAGTAGTGAAATAGGTTGGACATTGCAGACACTAATATCATCCATAGCAAATGAATTACCAAATAGGAAATACTAACCTTTTGACGCCATATTGGTTCATGAGAGACTTCAGTTCCTGATCGTACAGAGCCTTCTGCACCATGCTGTCCCGCATGTAGTCTTCATAGCCCTCAATCAACATGGCTTCGTTGAACGACTGGCGATAGTCCTTGGGAACAAACGACTCGGTCCCGGCACATTCGCGGTAGATGCGCCCAATAACCCGACTTGACTCGTAGGATCTGTCGGGTGCCTTTTCCATGAAATCGGGGTACTTCTTGGGTCGCAGATCCGGCGTAATCTCTGCAGGCTTACCGCTCTTGGGGAAATCGACAGCGTCCGAATGAAGCTGGGCCAGTCGGAGGCACTTTTGGTGTTTGGGTCCTTCTCGCAGCTGGTCTGACTGGGCTAAGTGGGCGTTGGCGATTAGACCAAGGTTGTCCGAGACCGCGTACTGGACAAAGAACTTTAAAATGTCGCGGATCGTCACATCACTGGCAGGAGCCGCCTCGGGACCACTGTAGTCCATAGGCGGCATCTCCATGACATTACTGACGATGTTAGGATCCCAAATGACACTATTTGAAGAGTGAAAATGTTGCTGTTAGTAAAAATAGAGAGGACAAAGAAGACGTTAATTGATTCAAGAAATATGGACGTTTCTCTATAAGACATACGTAAAATCTACAAACGATAGACAATTGTGAACAACAACGAAAAGAAATATTTAGTGTCTGTTCAACAAGTTAAGGGTATCCAAAGAGCAATCCCGAAAAAACGTGAGAAAACTTACCATCGCCGTCAAGGTCACCGCCACTGCACATGCTTGGGATTCCGCGGCGGCCCTTGGTATTGAAAACGACCACATCGTGAAGGTGGCTCAGAGATGGGCACTTGACTGCGCGGACAACACGAACATCTCCAGGGTGGAAACACGGGCATCGGACCACCACACAGTCTCCCTCAATAACCCTCCACTTGGACGGGTTTTCGACACTTGAGACCTGGATAAAAATCTCGCCTTCCTCCAGATCACCCGTCTCATCACAGACTCCCAAAAGGTAAGCGCCTTGAGGCACATAGACGCGAGCCTTCTTTGATAACTCCTCCAGCATCTGCTGCCGAAACAAGGTCAGCAGGTTTTTGACAAAGGGGTCTTGGCGTTGAAGGAATCCAGCTCGGATCATGCTGACAAGCATCTTGGACGTGCCTCCTTCATCCCAGTTTTGGATCAGTAGCTTGATCGCCATCATGTCATCCGTCTGGATCATATTTAGGTCCCGCACCATGTTTTCTTTGAGGTCCCAAATGACCTGTTGGCGATCGATACGCAATAGAACATGGTTAACAAAAATGCCATAGTAATTAATAATTAATGCCAATAACAGCGACAAATTCAAACTTTAGCACGCTAATACATACTTTCTCGGGAACACCAAGACTTGTGAGAAGGATGATGATCTGGCGATTCAGGAAACTTGGGATAAAGGATGAAGTCTTGATAACTTCCAAGACATAATGGGCGACATCAAACTTCTTCATACTGGGTCGGATCTGAACACGGTTACCCTTTAGAGCCGCATCTTTCACTAGGACACCCTTTGCTCCTCCTAAGCGAATCTGGAACGCCGACGGGGTAGTCTCCTTCTCGAGCTCGATTCCAATCATCCTTGCCAGGTCCTCCGAGATCCGCCCGCAGCCGTCCGAGAAATTCTGGTCGTGGTGCTCAATATCGTCAATCATCTCCACATCTGTCGATCGAAGCCGAGTAATGTCCCTGGTCGAGGAGAAGCACTGACCCATACGCGCTCCATATTTGGCGATGGACTTGATGTGAGAAAAGTCGCCCATCCAGTTGCGAATCGTGTCGGGCGTCTCCTTCCCTTCCTTTGAGCAAAAGAACCACGCCGCATTGTCGCGCAACTGACTCGCCGAGAAGGCCAAAAATTCGTAGACGCGGTCACCGATCTTGATCCCGTCCGTAAGTGTCGTAAAGACTCTATTAAAAATCGCGTTGTTCATATTGCTCGACGCGTCCCTGGACCACAGCTTGTTGTTGCCCTCGTCAGAGTACTCGATTCGCAAGAAGTAGTCGCTCAGGTGGGAGTAATGGCGAATAATCCTGTTGGACGTCTCGACGGTTGGTGGCTGGAGGTACATGGTGGTAGGGGTGACGATGACCTTGCGGAGGAAAACACACTGTGAAGGCACAATGCGGGGTCGCGTCGAGATCCTTGCCAGTTTCTGTTCCTCATGTCGAAGGTAGTCCTGCAAGTTCCAGACACGTTCTCGGGACGCGACAATAAGCTCCAGCATCGTGGCGGCCTTGATTGGTTCCACGCTGCTAAGCATCTTGATAACCTCTGGCGTGAGTTCATAGTCCACAATATAGTTGAACGACAAGGCAGACTCGAGCATGTACCGGGTCTCAAAGGGAAGCTTGTTGAGGGAGGCCGTCATCAGCGGTCCAACGCCGCCCTGACCTTGCTGTGTGACGATGGGCGGAAGGGGGGAGAGGGTCTGTGTGAGCAGATTGAACTCTCTACACTGCGTGTTGAATATGTCCAACTGAGGAGCTGATTCTTGGTCGACGGTGAATCGGATCACAGTCCACTTGCCGAGTTTGGCCCAAAGGTTGGAAGGGTTGGGCTCCACCGGTGGACGTCCTTGGGTTGTCCCGTTTGTCTTGCCCTTGTTGGTAAACTCTCCGTTCTCACTGGGAATGTCAACCACGCGTCGAAGGCAAGAGTTGACGGACCACTTGGAATCATCCTGGTTGTCCATGTTAGGGTCGTATCTCCAGTAGGTTGGGGGGTATCGCAAATGAATCGTGACCGCTGCGACATCACCGAGAGTGTCGACCTGGATCGAGCCCTTGTCCATGTCCTGGAACTTCATTTCGACGTGGTATTGTATCGTGGTATCCTTGAAGTGCCGGTCGAACATGATTTTGATACACCGCCTCTGGTGCTGGAACTGGACGACGACGTTAGCGGTGGCGACAAACTCGGAGCAAAATGTGTCCTGAGCCAATTTCAGTCCAAGCTCCAGCTTTTGTGCCACCATGTCGGTCATATATCGATTCCGCGCGGGTGTGATAATCTCCATGTCAAGGGAATTTCCACCAATGTTAGCCGCTTGGATGCTGTCGATGTCGGGTTTGCGGACCTTCAGGCGGACGTTCGCATAGCTCATACTCGAGGACTCTGGGCGTTCGATCGTGACATCGACGATCTGACCATAAGGCTCCAACAGTTCCTTGATATCTGCCGCTGACATCGACTTTTCGAGCCCCCGAATGCGGATCAAAATGCTCTGGTTGGGGACGAGTTTCTTAAGGTCGTATTGAAGCCTGAACTGGCGATTTTCGGTCGTTGAGTTATGACGGGAACCGGCGGGGCGACTCGAATGGTCCGATTGTTTAGGAGAGCTCGAGTAGTGGGAGGATGCAGACCGTGGTCCCATCGTGGGCGATCCTGAAAGCGGCGAAGGCGAGAGAGATGAGTGGGGAGAGGTTCCAGAGGAAGGCGATGTTGTTGAGGAAGGTGAGCTAACCATGAAGGTAGCTTGCGAGTTCCTGAATGAGCCCGCAAGCGGCTGCAACATCATTCCGGTAGTGTTTTGGTGCTGCACTGTCGTATGGAACCTGCGCGTCATTTTCGGTTCTTCTGTTACTGTTGCTGTTATTGTCGTTGCTGTGGTATTGTTTTGCAAAGGTTTCGGCAATGGTCGCGCCAATGGCGGTGGTGTGGATGGTGATGGCTCAACCTGAAATGAGATATGTCACAGGCTCAGAAGGTGTGTGTCTTGGTGATAGATAAAAGAGGGTGTGAGGTGATAAGTACCCTGCTGACAGGGGTGCAAGCGTCGAGGAGGTAGGAGAGTGTAGAGAATAAGAGAGAAAACAGTGGGTTGGCGGGGGAGAGAGGAGGAGAGGGAGGGAGGGAGAGGAGGGGGAATTGCTCAGTTGATTCGTGACATGGCCAGAAGGACAAGAGTTGAATGTGTGGGTGTGGGATGGAGAAGGGAATAAATGCTGTTTCGAGAGCGAGAGGCGCGAAATAAGGCGAAATAGGCTGGTCACAAAGAGAAGAAACGCCACCACAAAAATGATAAAAGTAGTGCTTGTTGATCACATTGTGGTTTTCTGTTTCCATCAAACACATTCACAAAAGAACACGAAATCCACACGAAAGCAAAGCTCGGCATCAAGAAAACTCGGTCAGCCAGCCAGGAGCAAACGACCACAACCACCCTCAGGAACGGTCAGGACAGAAAGACAAAGAAACACAGTATCAACAACCACATCCATCCATCCACACATCCATCCACCCTGTCCATCAACAAAAACAACAAACAATGGGTGCCACATGTCTAGTCCACTGGAAGGACGCAAACGGCCAGCAATCCCTCACACTCCTCTCCGACAGACTTCTCAAGCAATTCCACGCTTCAAACATCGGTCGCTGGAACATCAACTGGAAGGTCTTTCGGGATACCTCCCCAGTCTCCAAATCCGGGACGGGCAAAATGATGCACGTCGTTCACGTCCAAGGGGGGGCTACCGCTCGGGGTGTGCCTCCCAACGCCAAAGCTGCGAGCCTCTATGCCGGGAGTGTTGTCGCCAATAATGCCAATGGTGGGATCGGAGGTGTTGGTTTAGGCGCTGGTGGTCCAGGAGTTGCAGGAGGAGGAGGAGTCGGTGGCCCTGGTATCGGTGGACAGGGAGGAGTAAGTGGAACTCAGGGACCAGGTGGAGCTAATTCAGGGCCGGGAAAGACAGGACTCGGGATCATGGGTGCAGCATCTGGAGCAGGCGTCGGTGGCACAGGTGGACTAGGAGGCGCAGGTGGACCAGGACAGGGACAGGGATCTGCCGAAACATCAACCGCATGGTGTCTTATTGACGACGGAGCCGTCGGTATTGCTCCAACAGCAAACACAGCTTCAGCAGCACTCAGTGTTGCCAGCACACCCATCAGCGGCGGCGGTGCTATAAGCGACGCGCCACCCAAAAAACGCGCTGTACTTGTCGAAGTCGAGAAGGATATCGAGGCCCTGATCGCCAAGCTCAAAACCCTCTGGGTCCACCGTCAGCATGCCCAAGTCGAGGTGCGTTTCTTTATATCTCTTCCTGTCTGAGTGCTGTTGGACCTTTGCTTCACTGAAGTATTGAACGCTGAAGAGTACATTAACTGACGATACCTTTATTCGTTTTATTAGGGATACGTATATGACTTGGGTGACTTTATCGTACGCGCAGGAAACATCATGGTCGCCTCAACAAGTTACAAGGGCATGCTCATCGAGGTACACCAACTACTCTCCTCGGCTTACGCGTCACATTTCAACCCGCATCATGCTTGAACACGCGAAAAATACTAAACACAAACCTTCCTCACTATTTCGTCCACCAAATAATCAGATCGAGTACTTGCCACAGACTTCAAGCGCAACAGCATCCAACGCACTGCTCGAAGAATTCGTCCGCCTAATTTCACCACCGGGCGTGAACCTGTACTCGCCCCAGATGTTCGACTATCCATACGAACAAGTTGGTCTGGACCCCAAGAACTGGTCCATGCTCCACTCTGGCTTTCAATTCATGACCCTCTTCAGGAGGCAGCACATCCTGTAAAATTACCGAAAATAAACATTAGACCATTGCAAACGAGCGCTTGTGTGCGTGCTTGACAAAGACATGTCCGTGGGTGTTTCGTTGACAAAAAGTTCCAAATATTTTATTCTAATCCTGTTGTTGGAATTTACAGCACTGATAAATGAGAAATTATGGGTTAGTTTTCGTTTTGATGAATACACGACTAATGATAAGTGCTCGTATATATCCAAGAACAGCAGTATCACTTACTCTCATCGTCTCCCCGGGGAGGCTGCTGAGGAGGAGCACCGCCCATACCGCCCATTAATCCACGAGCACTAGAGAAGATAAAGAAAAGAACCACAATATTAGAAACAAATGCCAAAATTCATAGCACAATGTCCAATAAAACGGCAAACAAATATCAAAGACAAGAACACTTACGCCTCGGCAATCTGGGGGTCTCTCATCATCTCCTCAATATTGGGGCGGTCGCCGCCAGCCATCATACGCTGAGCCATCTGCTGCATAGCAGGGTTGCTCATTAACGAGTTCAAGGCGCCAGACTGCATCATCTGCTGAGCCATGTTCATCAACGCAGGGTTGGCCATCATGCTAGCCAAGTCGGGCATACCGCCAGCACCGCCACCCAAAGCGCTCAAGTCGGGGAAACCAGCAGGCATGCCTCCGGCACCGGCGCCAGCTCCGCCGCTGCGAGCGGAAGGGGTGACCTCGTTGTCGCGGGCCTTGGTGCGGGCAGTGGCCAAAGAGCTCTTCATGGTCGCGTTGTTGGGCTCGAGGGCCAAACCCTTCTCGTAAGCAGTGACAGCCTCATTGTACTTTCCGACAGAGAAGTAGGCGTGACCGAGACGGCTATAGGCCTTGCTGTACGAGGGATCCACCTCGGCAGCCTTGAGCGAGTCTGTGATAGCGTTCTGGTGGTCTCCCATCTGACTGTAGGCAGCAGCACTGTTAAGTGTTGTCAAGAAGAAATTCGGGTCAGTACGGTAAATACGATTGCGAATCAGTACTTTACAGGTGTCAAGTTGCTAGCAGGAGGTGGACTCATACCGGTTGGCGTAGTAGACGGCGTTCTTGGGGTTAAGAACGATAGCCTCGCCGTAGAGACGAATGGCCTCAGCGTACTCCTTCTCGTTAACCTTGCGGTTACCTATCATGCACCCGATCCAATTGCGAACATGCAAATGTTGGCGTTAGTTTCCACTTTCAGCAGCATTACATACTTTCACATGTGCCAGTGCTGTTCCAAGTGAATCGATAAAAATCCTTACCGGCAACCTTCAAGTCCTCAGCATTCTTCTTCTGCTCAGCGGTAGGCTCGGCAGACTTGGGGATCGAGGCGGGGGCAGCGGGGGTGGAAGAGGCAGAGGAGGCAGGAGAGGTAGCAGCAGCGGTCTATTGCAAGACGAGGAATAACAAGCCGATCGAATACCCATCAGTCCAGTTGCCTGCATGTATTCCAAGAACCAAGAGAGTACCATGGAGTGCCTCTCTTTCAGGGTGAAGTACTGTCTGGCAAGAATTGAGTCGGGGTCATAAGTGGATGATGTGTGCTTCAGTGTCGTCCAGTGCATCCTGTTCATCAAATCCTGCATTCTTTCATTCTTTCTTGGCAAAAAAGAAGGCGATCCTGAGATGCCAGTTCCATCCCGCAGAGGAAAAATAGTCAATCTCATAAAGAAGACACGCCTCTTCCTCCATCCTGATCGGACTGTCGGTTCGAAGAGGTATTTGTTGTCCATATTTTTCATGCCTTCCAACCAGCAGGACCCGTATGAGAGAGACGAAGGTGCACAGCTCCCGCGTATGCAAAGAAGAGTCCGTACCTTGTTTCCAAGCTTCTTCTGGGCGTTAACAAAGACGTCGAAAATCGAGACCAAGGTGGCAGGCTTGGTGCTGTAAGCCTTGGCCTGGGCAGCGTCGTTCAAGTCAACACCGAAAGCCTCTCCAATACACTGAATAGCGACTAGTAATAGTGGTAATATGTGTGAGAATTAGAGCGACTGTTAGCACATCGTTCGCTTTCCATACTTTTTCTTTTCCCTGCCAAGACATGAGAAAAAGTACCTTCGACTCCCTCGGAGTCATCCTGCTTGATGGTTCCGTTGTTGACCGAGGTCTGGAGGAACTCAAGGATGGAGAAGACAAGGTGCTTTTGCTTTTCGTCGGCCATTGGTATAGAATACGTGTTGTTGAAAGGTGGGTGTGAAGAAACAAGAGAGAAGCAAAAAAAAAGAACACAAAGGAAGAACAAAGAACGAAGGTGGGCAAAGGTTGCAGTGCAAATGGTCGCTGAAAGATAACGTGACATTTTCACAGGTGAAAATCAAAGGGAAAAAGAACACTTTCTTGATTTTTATTTCATCGTGCAAGGACAGTTCGCAGGGTGGCCATGGTCTGGTCGATAGGGTATCGGAAGTTCAGCGTCGCTTGAAGATCGAGGGGGTTGTCAGTTGAAAGGACAAGGTCGCTGAAAACAACAGAGCACGGCGACAGATCATTTCGACTGTACCCCGTCAAGATCGCCAGATCCTCGCTCCAGTCAAGCCCAATCGCGCACAGCGAAATCCACACCGCCTATTTAAATATATTACTTCAAACGGTTAGTCATTTTCACTATCATAAGAGGCAACTATCCAGATGTTCTGTGGTTATATTGCAAGCACTTACCGCCGCCGCAATCTGACAAGTGTTGAATTCAAGGAAATGGTGAGATATCAAGCTAAGGTCGCAAAGAAACTAGAAATCGCGTCGTGTCAGAACAGCTAATACCGCCGAGAAAGAAAGAAAAAAAAAGACACGAGGCTTACGAAATCTCAAAAGGCCATACATCGATAAGCTGCCGTGTTTCTTCGTGATCAACGATTGCTCGCTGAATATAGTCAGAGAAGCCTGTAGCGCTGGCCACCAAAATCTCAAATTTCAGAGCCTTCAGTATGTCGACCTCCATATTCGCTATTTCCCGAGTTGAATAAAGATCGCAAAGTTGACACAGGTTGTAGGTGCCGAGCGTGCCTGCAGGCTCTTCAAGTTTCCTATACAGACGCGCGAAAAATGAAGGCCAATCGAGTTGGTTCGTGTCAATTATGATAGCCAACTCGGCTCAACAAATGGCCAGTTACTTTCTACCACTGAGAAAGTTGTATGAGTGTCCATGTCAAGGAGGTTTACCCTGCGATCATAAGTGCGCACATTCCTATGCACTGAAGTTTGTCGCGATGAATCGTTTCCGGTTTTACAACCGCAAGGTACCGGTCCAGAATATTTACTAACGACATTCACAAGAACCAAACTACAATTTAGTTTTCCAACCTCATATCCACTACGCGCTACACTTCAGTTGGAAAAAGAACATGTTCGGCCTTACCAGCGACATGGAGAGTGCCAGGAGGGAGCTTGAACCATCCATAGCAGAGTTCTATAATCCATTGAACAAGCGTAGCCCGATAGTCGCCAAACTCGGAATGTTCGTCAAAGTACAAATAGCGATCATATCGGCTCTATTTACATCGGAATAGTGATGAGTGAGTAGGCCGAACAGACCGAAAATGCAAACGTAACATGGGAATCGAAAGGAAGGACATTCAGAGAGTCAGGAACAAGAAAACATACCTCGATCTCTAGGAGATAGTTAAAGGTGTCGTTGGCATACTCATCCCAGTAGTGTTGACATTGAGGGAAGGGACTGATGACTACAAGGCGCGAGCGAGATATTGCTATAATGGAGACGATATGAGTGAGCGGGTGCACGACTAGGTGGGTCGAGATCTGTTGTTACACAGCATGGTTCAGGTGCAGACGACAATGGGCTGAGCTCAGCGTCACAACACAAACAATCTAATATCACATATAGACCACCTCACACCTTTCTTTGGCTGCCTTGTCATCAGAGGTCCCAGCTGCTTGGTGTTGAAGAATGCGGCCGGCTATTCATGTCAGATAAAACGAACAATAAGAGTGTTAGAAGAACTGTTAACGACCAGGGATAACGATAACCAGGTGAAATTAATACTAATTCTACACTCCAAAAGTTTGTGAAAAAAAAAAAAGAGTCAAGAACAAGGAAGCAGGAAGGGGCTTTTGAAAAAGACAACAGTGTCGTCAGACACACTCAATTGACACGCGCGGTGTTGTGTTTGACCAACGGACACATAAATCATACGAGGTGCAACGTCTACCCACGATAGGAGGACAAACAAAGGAGGAAGAATAAATCCTCCCAACGCCAGGATTTAAGGTCACAAACCATACACACACGAGCACGACATCAAGCATAACCAGATAGTAAAAAAACGTACCATAGTAGGTGTCCCTATACTGAGCGAGATATCCGTCAAAGGAGCCCTCCGGGTCCGGGAGCCACCCTTCTTGACCGGCGTCTGCTCTTCATCCCGCCACACTTCGAATTCAGCCGCCGGTCGTGTGGCGGGAGTCATTGGAAGATCGTCATCCGGGTTGTCGTCATTGTCGCCAGTGAGAGTCAAATCTACCATTATCGAACCAGTCGATCGGCGGGACAGCTTCGGCCTTGGTTTTTGCGGGTTGGAGTCAGTTCTCCACTTCCTACCCTCAACACCACGTAGTTCGCTCTTCGGCCGTTTATTGCTATCCTGTTCGACGGGATCGTCGCTACCGTTCCAAAACCCTTCGAGGTAGGATTGACTAGCAGCGTTGTCAATAAGGTTGTCGCTATCACTGTTGTCGAATATCCCGGGTTGGGGCGTATTCACCTCCTGGTTCGGATCCTGATGAGTGTTGTTGGAAGGAGCGTGCGAGTGTGAGCTGTTAGCTGCGCCGAAGGTATGGCGAGGGTGTTGTTGAAGAAACGCGGAGTGTGATTGAGAACTGGGAAGGCTAACCATGGATTGAGGACTGATCTGAGAAAGTGTTAGGCCCCGGGGCCGGCTCTCTGGTGCCTCTGTCGCTTTTCTCTTTGGAGTGTCAGTTCCAGCCTCCGACGACACTGCCAAGACAGGTGAGGATTTGGAGGAGGGCTGGTGGAGCTGTCCATGAAAGACCGCCGACACTCCAGCATTGAGGATGCGGGCTGACTGGGGAGACGGGGTGCAGTAGCCGGTCATCTTTGACTGGATAATGCGAGTAGCATTGGAGTGAAGCGGCGGCGCGTTTGAGGGCGACGGCGTTGAAGAGGCAGAGCTTGCAGGTGGTGTGGGGTGTTGTATTGCTCCGGAGGTGGGGGATACCCTTATATCCATGCTGGGAGGAAGGGTTTCTGTGCGGAGGGATGTGTTCAATTGCTCTTAATCGCTGCCGTCAATTATCTGGCACTCTGCTCCAACTTGCCACAGCAGGGTGCTCCAGGGCCTAAATGGATAGATATCGTCGATAAGAAAGATGGATCGAAGTGGCTAGGGCGAACAAAGTGGCTAGAACTCGCTGAAGGAAAACGGCTGGCAGTGGAGTACACAACGTTTGATGATGTTTGATGTTTTGTGAGAGAGTAAAGACCGGTTGAGAAGAGTTGGAGAGAAAGTGCGTTATGCGAGAGTGCGTGTAAGTGTGGGAAGGTTTGAAAGGAATACAGGGAGAGTTGAGATGCGAGGAAGGGGAAGGAGAAGAGGAGAAGGAGGAAGGGAAGAAAGTGACCCTTGGGGGTAGGCAGGACGATGACAAAGGAAAAGCGTTCGTATGCTACCGTGTGTCAGCTTCTTTTGCACAAGAAAGGAAAAGAATGAAAGGGAAAAGTAGAAAGAAAGAGCAGTGAGAGTAGGGAGTGATGAAGGGGGTTGGGTGAGCGAAGGAAGGAAAGGAAGGAAAGGAAAGGAAGGAAGGGAGATGTCGAGTCAAAGATGGTGGCAAAAGAAAAATAAAATATCCCAAAAATGACGATCGAGAAACGACAGTGTGATGTATTGGTGAGCCAAGGGAGCGGGGCAGTTAATGCGAATCTAGAGGATGATGAATGAAGAAGGTACGAGGGGAAAAGAGGGACAGGATGGGAAGTGGGAAGAATGACTATGAAGCAGGGAAGGGAAGGAGGGGAGAAAAAGAGGTAGAAGGGGAAGAGGAAGCGAAGAAGTAAGCAAACAGACAGAGAGCAAACACAAATAATGAAAACAACAACGACTACAACATCAACAACAACAACAACAACAACAACGACAACAGCGACAACAACAATAAAAAAAAACACCCGACACACAGTCTGCAGTAGTAAGTACCTTCTTCTTCCTCTGTATTCCACTTGATAGTAGTAAAAGGAGTGAGTGGTTGATGGTGAATGTCGAATGCAACAAGAGGCGAGTTGATCAGACTGACCCTGGTGTCCACAGTCTTCACACAACAAAGCTTTTTTTTTCTTTTCCCTACCTCGTAAATCACAACGCCAGCAGCCAATTGCATGCTGAAAGATCTGTGGAGCAAATAATGCTGATAGGCAATCAGTGCCATATCTCGGCCGCGTACCTCCCTCCTGAACCATGGCGCTCATTTTGTATACTTGCTTTTACGATTTGAACGACGTCTTTATTTGCGTCCGCTGATGATAAAAAAATATGTCTATTGCAAAAAAAAACCCCCCTTGCTACACCGTCCCCATACATACATACAATAGCATTCTTTCCTTAGGCGGACGAGGTGGGTGCTGGAGAAGTCTCGCCCTCGGCCTCGGTAGCCTCTGGGTTAGTCAACGCTGCCAATGCAGCTGGATCAGGTCCACCCTATTGAAGCATTGAAAAAAAAACACATACAAAGAAAAAGTAATTAATATGGATCGTAATAAATGCTCCCACATCCACATGCTCAGCTGCATAGCCTCTTGTTTCTCAATCCGTTCATCTTTCAAACGTTTCATCACTGGTGGCCCTCTTTCCACATCGTAGTATACACCCAAAAATGTCCACATCCACAAAAGAAAATGAAGTTTACCTTGGTAAGGATATCCCAGACACTGACACGCATCTGCTTAATCTTCTCCTCCAACTCCTTCTGCTTCTTCAGATTCTCAGCTGCCTCTTCCTCAACTGCCTTGTGTGTGCGCTTAAAGTGCTCCTGGAATTGTTGACGCTGAGCCTCGAAGATGGGCACAGGTGGCTGCTCAGCCTGCTGGCCGCCAACACGGAACATTCCAAATCCGCCCTTACCCTTCTTGCTCTTCTGCTCCTCCTCCCACTGGAGACGCATCTGTTCCTTGAGATCCTCCTCCCACTTGGCAAACTCGACAGGAATGTTGGTGCCACGGAACTTGCTCAATGGTCCACGAACGTCCTCAACCTCCGTCAATGCGAGAGCTATAAAACAGAGAATTGGACCGTTAGCATAGGTTAACAATCAGATGTCTTGGCACAGACCACATCAAACAAAGAATTGGTATCACATAGATACGTACTCTCAAGGAAGGGAATCATGGCAACCAACTCGGTATCGTTGGGATCACCCATCCATGGCTTCATAGCGATCGAGTTCTCGGGCTGGAGAGAGTAGGCATCAGGGTTCGAGTCCATGATGATGACCTTGGACAAGTCTCTGTTCAAATGCGACAAATCCTTGACGTGCTTTCCATCAATATAGCGAGTACTCTCCTTGTACAAACGGTAGGGGGCATACTGGTAAGGATCCAACTTTTCCAAGATACGCATAGCGGTCTAAAAAGGGAGAAAAATAGCGTTAGGTCAATGCGACTCACTATCAGGTATGACAATGGTTCTATTGCAACGTGATCGGCTGCAAGTAACGACAAGGGCGACTTACATCCGAGTTCTGGGTGGTAAAGATGACAATCTCATAGTGCTGGAAGAGGTAGGCGAGGAAATATTCTGCGCCGGGACGCTTGGCGACTCTCCAGCCGTAATCCTTGTCCCAGGTCGAATGGATAAGGGTATTGTCGAGGTTGATAACAAGGGTGTAGGGCTGCTGGTAGGGTGCGGGAAGGGGATCGGGCAAGAGTTTGTCCCAGATGGGGTTCGACATGCTGTCGCGTGTTGAATGGTAACGCTCCTGAGCTCTGCGGATAAATCCTGCCAAAAAGTTCTCGTCAGCGTGCCTCTCAGCGTCCCTGACTCCTTCCTCGTCCTCGTAGGGGCGTCCTAAAATATCACAGAATATAAAGTATTGAAAACCTGGTTAGCCCTCCCATGATGCTTGCGATTCAATCGAGCTCAGCGATCGGTCCTTTTGTTTCCTTCGGTAGAATCTCGCCAAGCTAGTATCAAGGCAAGACCGGAACCAATAAAGCGGCAGACAGCATACCAACGTAGTAAGTGAATCCGAGAGCTGTTGTTCCGAGAAGGCCGTAGAGAGCCTTGACAGCGTTGCTAGTAGGGGTCTTTCCGATCTTTGAGGGCTTGTTCTTTCCCTTGGGCGCTGTGGCCAGTGTAGGCGCGTGTCCGGTTTTTTGAGCGAGAGCCTCGGCAGCGATGCCCTTTGATGCCTGGTTGGCGGCTCCGCTGTTGGCGGGGGTGGTGAATGTGCGGCGTGCTGCCCATGAGGGCGAGAGGCGGATGCGGGTGGCGGGGTTGAGTGCCCTCGAGATGCGTGCAAGGGATGCCATGGTGGGTGTGTTGTATAATGGTGGGAAGAACGGAATGGAAGGAACGACCGCCGGTCTAAAAAGGGGGAATTCTTGGCTCGGTGGCTTGCGCCGGTAAACATGATATTCTACATAGCGCCACTAATTTTGTATAATCAAATCAGGTTCTTTTTATTCTATTTGAATCAATGGTATGGTTTTCATCCGGACACTATCAAAGAGAAGGCAAGGAGACAAGTGTATACTCTCATTAGTATCGAGAAAAGGGTACATCACAAGATTGATGACAACATCTTTCTTTTTTACGCAAGAACATGACGTACCAGAGCCAACAATCTCGTCGGCCTTTTGGAGGGCCTCAATCATCTTCTTGCACTCCTTGCGGCGGTTCTGAGTAAAGTCGCTCTCCTTCAACAGCTCATCCAGGACCTCGGTCTTGTACAATTCCTGGAGCAACTCGCGCTGGAGCTCTTCCTTGGCATTGTTGACAAGGTTAAGCATAATAGCCTTGGGGACAGTATCGATCACAGTACGCTTAACAATGTTAAAGTACGAGGAGATCAACAGCTTGATAACCTCCGTCTCGATCTGCTCACGCTCCGACAAGTTGCCAGACGCCTTGAGAACCGATGGTGGGGGCTCCATAACACCAGGGCGCTTCTTCTTGCCCGAGAAAAAGCTTCCAAAGAAGCCATTGTTCGTGGGCTCGGGCTCGAGGCTGGGAGGGAGGTTGGCCAGAGCAGAGTTACGGTTCTTGGGGTCGACAGGTTGTGGGTTCTTGGCTTGGTTAATACGGTCGTTGATGACAGCCATGGCCTTGTGTCCGTTCAAAAAGTCGGGGTGTCCGGTGTTGATGTAGCAGGACTCCATGGAAATCAAGTCCTGAACAAGCTTGTTGGTAGGGTTCAGCTGCTTGCGGAAAAAGTTGATGACAACCTGGTAGAAACGATCCTTCAACTGGGGGAAACGCTTGAAGAGCTGCTTGGACAAGAGCTGAGTCAAGATGCGGACCAACTCGTCGAAGACCATGTTAACGCAGCGTAAACTGGGGTCCTCCAGGCGCTTGATCTGTTGCTTGATAATGACTTCGAATGCCGTGGTGCCGACAAAGAGAGCAGGTGAGGAACCAGAGGAGTTGTAAAGAATGGTACGAATGTCGACATCCTTGACCTGATCAAAGGGGTCCAATGACTTGACTCCGTTGGAATAGAGCTCGTGGAAGACAAAGCTGATACGGGCACCTCCGGAAAGCTCAAATGATGACAAATCAGTCGAGTTACCGTCGATGATGGTGCGGAACTCGGTGCAAAACTCGGTGATAATGTTGAGGACAATGTTAGCCTGTCCTGCGCCTTCAGCCATGCCATCTCCGAGTGTTGCCAATTCAGCGATGTACTTGGCAAGAGCAGCCTGGATCTTTGCCTTGATCTCGGGAAGAGTGTTACGAATGTGATGCATCAAAATCTATCGCAGGCATCGTCAAGGGAAGTATAACAGCGACTTAATGGACATTGCACATAATATGTAGATTTTGCAAAAGATCATTCCAGTGTGGTCTTGTGCATCATTGAGATAGACGTCATACCATGTTCAGCTTTCTGGCCAAGTATGGGGTTCCGCAGTATTGGGCCTTGCTCTTGTAAGCGGCATGGTTCTCGAAGAAGGCGCGCTCTCCCTCCAAGGACTTGTGGATGGACTTCTTGGTATCAATATCACGCTGTCCACGGTTGACGACGGGAACGTAGCCGAGGCGAAGGGGAATGACACGACCGGCCAAAATATCGACAACGTCTGTGCCAGCGTCCCTAGAAAAAGTGAATGACACGAGACAATGGCCCAGGCGTTAGAAGATTTGCTCCTCGCATTCATGCAGTTCAATCACACACAAACAAGAGCAAAATTGAGCAGATGCCACTAGCTGTTGCGGCCGTATTGTTCTATGTTCTTACATAAGATCGACCTTGGTCAAGACTCCGATCGTTCTGGCACCCTCAGGGTCGACATTGCGGGCAAGTTGAAGACCGTCAGAGTTGGCGAGATCGACGTTGGCGGCAGTGACTGCCAGAATGATGGAGTTGGGCTTGGTGATGTACTTGACAATCATGTCCCTGATTTGCTTTTCAATATCCTTGGGCTGGTCTCCAACGGGCAACTAATGGCAGTGAATGGTGAAACAGGCATGGTTGTGTCAGTCCTTTGATCAAGACGAATCCAGAGATGAAATATGATGCATACACTTGTCCCACAGTTGTTGTGCTGTACCTTGGTCAAACCGGGCAAATCGACAAGGGTCAACGTCAAGACATGAGGGGAGTAGATGCGGAGGTTAATGGGAAGAGGAGAGATTCCTACCGCCAGCCAACAGAAAGAGAACACAATACAAGGTTACGATGAGATCTGACGTTTTTTTTGTTGTCGGGTGATTGAACTCAAAGGTGCGGGAGTCCAACTGATGGGTAAAATCTCTCCAGGCGGGATGAAACGAGTGCATACCTGCGTTCTTTCCAGTCTTGGCCTCGGTGTCGCGAACAATCTCCTCACGAATCAAGTTGAAGTCGGTGTACTTGACACCGGGTTGGTGCAAGAATTCACCCCACTCCTCAGCCTCCTTCTTGTCGTTCTCGTCGCCGTTCTGGGCATCTAGTAGGTAATCAAACAAATCCAAAAGAAGGAGAGACAAAGAAATGACATTATGTTAGCGTGAGCACAAACTGAAAAAAAGTTGAATAGGCAGGCAGCGGTAAAGTAGAAAAATCATCCTTGTGGTTTGACCCATTCATGACAACAAAAGAAAGAAAAGAAAAGACAGAAAAATAGCAGCAGCACATGGAAGCAGAAAAAACAAACAGTCCATCATCAACAACGGCCCAAAAATGATAAGGGGGAGGCTGTTGATAGCACGCGGATGTCCAAGCCCATGGATGAACACACACTCAGTCTGTATCCACGGAAATCTCCTCTGTCTTCCCCTTTATCCTCGTTTCCTTATCACCGGTCCAGTCCATTCCCTTCTCGTGCCTTCCATTTCCTTTTTTGCTGGGTTTTTTTTCCAGATATTTGTTGACAAAGGCGTGTGCGTATTAGGAATCAATGGCGTTGTGAGGAACGGCTGATAGTTGACTTGCCTTTGTCGCCATCGTCAGAGGTGGAAGTTGCGGCAGGACGGTTGATCAATTGGAGAACCTATGTGACGACAGAAAAGGTCAAAAGAAGACGATGTCAGGGCCGTGCATCCTTCATCTACAAGTGTGTTTTTGTCCATCACCCATCCATTATTTTGCCACCACTTTTTTTATGCCTTTTTGCTTTCTTGTCAAGAGAGCTGTCAAGGAAGAGGAGACGTTACCAATGGTCGACGAGTCACGATACCGGAGCCACGGGGCAGAAAGTCGCGTCCGACAATATTTTCGAGGACAGAGCTCTTGCCAGAGGATTGAGAGCCAATGACGACGATTTGGGGGAGGTCGACGGGGTTGTGGACACCGACGGTTGAGAAGGCGTCCTGGAGCCTGTTGATGGTCCTGATGAGGGTTGCGTCCATGGTTTGTGTGACGAGAGAGGACTATAACAGGGTTAGGTAGAGAAGAAAGAAAAAGCCAAGTCTGAGGTTGTTCTCTTATTGGCTTGGCGGACGTGAGGGAATGGGAAGGGGTGATGAGGCGGGGTTATTGTTTTCTATGTGCTGAGCGGGATCTGATGCCTCTTGTGCTCTTTGGTCGTCTTGTGGTGGTAGTGGCGGTAGTGGGTGGTGGGAGGGAGGGAGGGAGGGAGGGAGGGGGAAAAAAGGATGAAGAAAGAGAAAAGAAGAAAGAGAAGTGAGCAGCAGGGTTATCAAGAGGGTAAAAAGTAGAAAAAATGACAAAAAGGAACAGCCGCCCTTTTGTTCCTTTTTCTTTTTTTCTTTTGAAGGCTCTTGCTGGCTGCTCTCTCTCCACGCCCTCCTCCACGCCTCAAAAAGGCTGGAACACGCTTCGATCGCACTTCCTGCAAAGCACCAATCACGTGGACTATCGCCTCTCATTGGCCAATTGCGCGAACCCTTTTTCCATGCCACTTGCATTTTTTTTTTCTTGTACTTCCACCCAACCTTGTCCTTCACTCACTAATCAGAACTCGTCATCATCTTCCCGTCCTTCCTGTCCCCTCACTCTTCCCTTCACCCTCACAACTCCTCTCCCTCCGCATTCGTCCCCCTCTCAACCACCCTCTGAGGAGAGATAGGAATGCTCTCAATGGACTGGACTCCCTATAGACGCCTTAGCCTCCAGCTCCGTGTCCGACTTCGTCGCTTCCGCCTCCACTTTCGCAGAAACGCCCGCAGGAACACAGTCCTTCTCCTTATCGCAACCTACATCTTGTTCCATCTCATCGCCCGCGCAGGACATCTCCACAACTCGGTCGACAAACGATGGCAGCACCTTCAGGAGTTTGTGAAACCAGGCATCCTTGGTGCACCGCCCGACGTGGAACTCAACACTAAGGACTCTGTCCGCGTCCAACTCTGTGACACCGAGGATCGCCTCTGCTCCTTCTGGACTTCTGATCAGGTCTGGAAATCAGTGGAGCTTAACAGGGACGAGGCTTGGTTGAGCCCTGGATGGATCAAGGTCCCCATTGGAGTCCAGGCTACCTTGATGATGGATAACGGTCAGCAGCAGATCCTCCGGTATGGTCGCCACAGGTGTGACGACACCTCGCTCAACTGTGAGGGTATCAACAGCATGGTTGTAGAAGGTAAATATACATTCTTTGTGCACCAGTGGCTCCATGCGCTTTTTGTAGCACTAATTAATTGCACGTTCAGGGTCAAACAAACGCAGAGATATGACCATTGACACCTTATCCTCTTATTTCGCCACCCAATTAGCCAGCATCCTGTCAGCGATTGATGCCATTTCAATAGCATGCAAGGGCGAAGAGTGGCTGAGAGAGCCAGCTATTATGCACACCATCTACGCCAAGAAAGTCTTCTCCAAGAAGGATATCACCATGATTGCCCAGTTCTCGATCAGTCGACTGGATCGATTCGAACGCGCCAAAGCTGTCTGGCGTGGACCTAGCTCAGTCGTGATGTAATTTTTGAGATCATGATGGACCCTGACATGGATGACAAAAAAAATGCAACAGCCCAGGGCACTGACCATCTTGTGCTCTCTCTCTCTCTCTCTCTCTCTCTCTCTCTCTTGTGAAATACCTTCCGTACCACTTCCGTCGCACACAGTTTCCTGGCAACATACACGGACATTGTGGAATTGAAAAAGTACTTTGAGCGACCGGGCAAACTGGCACTGTACAACTCGATCACGATCACCCTCGTCAAACCCAATTACTCCCTCGGCACCCACTCACGATACCCCATCAACCACCTCCGTAACATTGGCATTCAGGCCACCATGACCGACTATATCTATGTGATTGACGCCGACTTTGTGCCCACCTCGAGACTGTACGACTTTGCGAGCACGCAACTAATCTCGCTCCTTGAAAAGGCCACGCACCCAACCGCCTACGTGGTCCCTTGTCTCGCAATCAAAGAGGAATACAGGGGCAAATTTCCAGACACAATCAAGGAGCTTCAACCGCTTATGAGGTCTGGAATCGCTTACATTACCGATCCGCGGTCAGGACATGGACCGACCTATACACAACTCTTTCTGAACTCACCTGTCTTCAAGAATCCGCCTGCTTACGAGGTCTGCTACGAGTCTCAATGGGAGCCCTACTACATCGTCAACCGGAACTACCCTCATCCATACTATGACGAGCGGTTCAAGAACCAGGGGGGTGACAAACAAAGTCATGCCCTGATGCTGAACGCATTAGGGTACCGTTTCTTGGTGCTGCGGGAACACTTCATGTACCATATGGACCACGCGGCTCTCAAATGGACAGGAGATGGTTTGGAACAAGGGAAGCAAAAGGATTTCACGTACTTTGAAAACTACGCGCCCGAAATGCAAAGGATCTTCGGTTCCAACTATCGCTGGCCTCGAGGATGTACTCGCCCTCTCGTCCAATCCTTCAAGCGGGACCTTCAAGGCATTGGGACCATGTAACCATACTTCTCTTAATATTTTGTTCCCTTCGTTTTGTATTTCGAATTTATCGCTATTACCCAGCATTCACTTTTCTTTCATAGACTGAATTCCTTTCTTTTCAACATGTACAATATCTTTCTTAAATATTTATTCTTTCTCAATTTTTGATCTTTTTTGGTGTTCTTCGGTGACAATCTTGGTGGAATGATCGGTATCTAAAGGATTGCCAAAATAACAATGCCAGCGACGACAGCGGCGATCAGCAAAATGTAGCACGACTTGTTGCGTGCATTCTTCTGGTGCACTGCTGCTATTGTCAGTTCCTCAGCCGCCGCGTGTGTGCTCATGCTAATCGATGTGACATTCGACTCAATCGAATCTATTGGTAGTTGCAAAGAAAGGAGTAGAAAATAGATGAGAAGCTGCCAAGAGTAGAAAAAGATACATGACAATGCGCATAAGACAAGAGCTTGGCCTCACGTACCAAGCATGCTGCCCTGCTCATGCACCATTGTGCCGAGATCGCGGAAGATCTCGTTGAGCTCGGTGATACCCTGCTCAATCTCCCGGATCTCATCTTCGCGCTGTGTGATCATTGACTCGTTATATTCCAGCTCATTATCGACGACCAACAACTGCATGCGCCTCTGGTTGTCGTTGATCAAAGGCTGGTCGTCGATATCCACGCCTTCATCGTCACTAAGAACCATCGAGGGAAAAAAAACAGTGGTCAATTGATGCCCTTTAGAAAGAAGCTGTGAAGGTATGAGAAGAAAAATACATTCAAATCAAATGACCCCTTCGAACTTACGAGTAGTCGCCCTTGGCGGCAACTTGACGGGCCTTGAGGACAAACTCACGCTGCTTTTCGGCAGATACCCTCTGGACCTTTTGGAAATCGACCAAGACCTTTTGGAAGTCCTTGGATACTTTCTGGTGCTCCAATTTTTTCTATATCACGACAGACATATATTTTTTTCCGTCAGTACAAAAGATGGTGATCGCTTAGGTGAGCACAGTGAAAAGAAAAGAAAAGAAAGGTTCTCTTGTTGTTTTATAGTCTGACAACGGTAAAATATTTTTTGGATGGTGGGTATTTTCTTGTTGTTTTGGTTCACTTACACCAGAGGCATCGAATTGGGTCAAATCCTTGATACTCTGACTGGTCTCACGGACCTGAACGCGGGTCTGCTCAGTCAAATCCTGCCTAAGGAATGCAATCAAAATGGGCGAGTACCTGTGTCAGTTGCAAAAGAATGAAACCACGATTGACACCTCTAACCCCATTGATTTGGAATGAAAAAAGAAAAGGGCGAGGAGTCAATTCCTTACAGCTTAGTGCGGACGTCCTGTGTGTCCTTGATGGTGCCGAGGTAGCCAACCAGACGCTGTATTGAGGAAACGTTGGAGGAGATACGGAAGATTTGCTGGGAGACTTGTTGGATCATGGCCTTGTAGGCATGTTGATTGACTACAAGTTATCCAGTGGGGTTTGGAGAAAGAGGATTATTCAGAATGAGCATCAATCGAAGTGAGGTTCAGGAGGCCACAACCAGGGGTCGTTGGTAAGGAGAAAGTGAAAGGAGGGACAAGAGTCAAAAGACAAAGAGGAGTACGAGAGGTGAGTCAAGGAGAGGGAATGAATGGCGATAAGTGGCAGTAGTAGCGTACCGTCGCCGACGTTGGCAGGGGCACCTCTTCCCCAGTTGTTTCCGTTATGACCGTTGCCATGACCGTTTCCGTTGCCATTGCCATTGCCGTTGCCACCAAGGGGACTGGGACCTGGTGCCTGTCTCCTGATTCCGCCGCCCTCTCCACGTTCCAAGTCAGCAAAGGACATTCTCGTTGTTGTTGTTGTCTGTGTGTGCCGTTGGAGTGTAGTTGTTGTTGTTGCTACTTGGGTATTTGTATTTGCCGTGGAGGTATGTCCTGTTTGCTTGAGACAGGGTGACGAGATGAGTGCGAGTGGCGGAAGAGGTGCGAATAAAAGGTCAAGAAAGGTCAAGAACCAGAAAAAGAGACGGACCAGAAAAAACAGAAAAAATAAAAAAGAGAGCAAAGCGACTATTGTCAGCCAGTGTGCTCAAGTCGAGTCAAGGTCGAGGGTTGTGCCCTTTCTGGCCTTTATGGGCCAACGTCACTTGAGAGCACCTTTACTCACTTCCTCCTGTCCTCTATTCCTTGTCTCTTCCCCTTCCTTTCCTTTTTCATTCATTCCCCTTTTGTTGAACACCATCTAAGCATCTTGCAGGATTGCTCCCTTTCCCCCACCCCCCCTTTGACATCGCCCTCCTCATCCCTTTCCCTTTTCTCTCTCGACAAACCCCCCGCAGGAAAACAAAAGGACCCGCGAACTTAACAACTTCCCTTCCTAGTCGACACGTTTTCTTCCATCTACGCTCAGTCCTCATCTCTTGGACTTGGCCCATCGTCCGCCACCTTGAACAAGGACAAGCATGCTCGGCGGCCATCTCACCCAGAACAACGCCCCTGCCACTGCCTCCACAACCTCAGCCAACCACAGTAGACACTCCAGTAGAGGCTCCATCAACAACCATCTCATGAACAACCCCAACGGGAACGCAGGAACGGGGAACGGTGCAGGAAACCGTCCCTACAGCCGCAATGGCTATCAGCAGGCTGACTCCACGCTCGATCCAGTCTCCTCCAGGCGTCTTCACAGCTCTTCAGCAGCCTCAACCAACTCTACTTCTTCTTCAACTCCGCTGTCCTCCATGACCAGCGCATCGTCGCGTCCCTTTGTTCGACAGGGCCAATCCATGCGACGGGACAGCACTGCTTCGAGCTTCAGCACCCTGTCTGAAGCGTGAGTGATCCATGGAGTTGTTCTGGGAACTGTAGTTGATGATTGATCCGGAAAGCTATTTCAAAGGGAGCAGTTCTTTGCCCTGTTATCTTACGCCACTACGTTTTCTTATCCGGGTTCATTTTTAGATCACTACCTTGGACACGAGCCGATATTGGATTCAATGGTAACATTTTGCTTTTTCATGAGATCTCAAAGCACCAACAGCATCGGACGACTGAAAGGAGATCACAATGACTGATCGCTTTACGCCCTGCTCTCAACAATATAAACCTCCATTAGCCATCTCGGGAGTGCTAAACAACCCGACAAAACGCCCTTCGTCTGCCGCAAAGCCAACAAAGACCGATATACCCCCAATAGCTCCCGTGTCGATTCGCAAGGTCAAGGCTTCAGAGTTCGACAGCTACATCAAACACATTACCCCCGTATTCGAACGTTACCAGGGAAACAGAGCAGGATCAAAACCCGTCGATGGAGCCAACATACACTCGCCTCGATCACCCTTTGGAGCATCCTTCGACTCTGTGGCCAACCATCTTCAGCCACAGAACGCCACGCCGTCTTTGGATGAAGCATCACAGGGGATCATGAACAGGACCGAGAGCGCAAGGAACCCTTACTCGGTACCGGATCTGTCAGAGATCAACGAGCCTGTCCCAATGAAGCCTGCCGTACCTGCTATGCCCGACACCCCAGCCCTCAACACCGTACCGTCCATCTTTTTCGATCCTAACTTCAACTTTGAGAATCCCAGGACGTTTGACCTTGTCTGCGAACAAACAGGGCCGGCAGAGTCGAAAAATAGCACCACGTCTATTGTCACCAACAGCATTCTCCAGGAGAAACTCTCTCACTACTTGGATACGGTCGAGATTCACTTGATGACAGAGATCTCACGGCGGTCGACGTCCTTCTTTGAGGCGCTGTCGAATCTCCAGGCACTTCACTCTCAAACATTGGAATGTGTGTCCCAGATCCACGTTCTTCGGGCGCAGTTGGCAAGGATCGACCACACGCAATCGAAACAGGGACTCGAGGTTGTTCGGCTCAAGAGGCGCAGGAGGAATCTGGGTCTACTTCACAATGGAATCCGCATGGTGAAGGAGATCCGCTCGACCCAGCCCATGATTCAAGTCTTATTGGGAAAGGCCGACTACTTTGGCGCGCTGGACCTGATTGACGGCGCGCAACGAGTCCTGATCGAGGGCGACATGAAGTATCTCGAGGCGACTCCAGGATTCGACCCAAGTCTGGCACTTGTTCCCTCGTCTTCTGCCATCATGCCATCGCCTCGTTCATTGGATATCCGTGGAGTTCTGGCGCTTGTCCACTTTAGCGGCCAATTGACAGAGATGAGAAAGATGATCGGCAAGATGATGGAGGGCGACCTGGTAGATCTGTTGATCAATGACTTTCGGTTGCGGATTGGCAAGTTGGATGTGGCGACTCTTTTGACGGACCTTGGAAAAGTCGACACATCCAACACAAAGTTCATCAAACCCAACTTTACTCGCGGCATCAACCCTTTGTTGTCCAAGCAGGCCGAGCGTGAGAGCGATCTCCAGGAGAGGATGATGCCGCTTATCCAGGGTCTTTTGCGCGCGAATCGGGCTGGAGTTGCACTGCAGACCTTCCGGGAACAAATCCTGCAGGAATTTAAGAACATCATCAAATCTGTAAGCATTTGATCCTTTTCGCGTGTAGAATGTACCATCTGGGATTGTGGCCTTTTTCTAACGCTCGTAGTCGTGGCCCTTTTCTTTCTTAGCAATATCCTCCGCCAGACCCTAATGTTCAAAACTCGGACGCTCCTCTTTCTGCAAAGAAGAAGGATCAGATGTAAGTTGGTTCAAAATAGTACTATGTTCTTTTCATACCCCACGACTTTCTCTAATAACAACTCTTATCTTAACATTTAGGGTTGCGTTGACGAATCAACTCAGGACAATGGACCCGGTGACGTTCTACAAGATGTTGTCTTTCATATATGCGTTCTTGCTTGGCGCTCTTCAACGAGTCTCGCTCTATCATCAGCTCTTGCTTCACTGCATCAGGAAGGCGGAGGCCCAAGGAACAGGCGATTTGATGATGGCCGACACATCTTCGGATTCAGACAGCATGCAGGAGTCAGCGTCTATCCGGGAAATGAGGGAGGGGGAGCACGAGGGCGAAGAGTATGAGGAGATTGACGATCAAGAGGGCTCCGATGGAGAGAATGCTGGATTCAGCCTCGGTACGAGCACACCGGGAGCAACACCCTTGCAGGCAACGATAGGCAGGAAACGTATGACGGCTCAAAGCGGTAGCAAGGTCGAATCTCCTAGGTCACCCTTCTCAGGCGGACCCATGTCTCCTCCCGTCAACCGATTCGGCGCATTGCAGATCGAGGACGAAGATGGACAAATGGGCGTTAATGCAGTAGCCCAGCTGTTCCGTCAACTCGAGACAGAATCGGAGGAGATCTTGTTTGCTGTGGCGGATCTGGCACATTCCAGGTGTGCTAAGTTGATGGGCATGAGATCAGAACAGAGTGCCAAACTTTTGCCCGCCGAGGTCTATAAGCTGCTGAAGCTCACCTGGTCGTTTGTTCTTCAGAGTGAGCTCCTCTCTGGTTACATGTGCTACGGTCTCCGGACAGCTATTCTCTCGCAGGTATGTACTGTGACCATGCCAACTGCTTCTCCGCCGTGGTATGGCTCTTTGAACTGGGTTAACTCGCGTTCTAATTACCTCTACTTTTCGTTCCTATAGTCCAAGACATTCTTGTTGCAGTTTCACATGGAAAAGACAAGTCAGCTAGCGCTGGCAGTAGGCGAAGATCAATGGGCTCAAGTGGAGGTGCCTTGGTCATCACAATCCACGGCCAACGAGATCACAGCTATTTCTAGTCTCAGTCTCCAGGAGGCCAGGAACAAGGACTTTACGATGGTGTTCAATGTTCTCAGTTTGTCCGCACCACCAGTTCAAGGGATGGACGATCACGACTCATTCATCCAATCGCGACTGGGATCCAAAGGATCCAACGGAGCTCTCAGCAATGACAAAGGAGACTCAAAATCAGCAGAGATCCCAGCATCCACGCGTGTACTATCGGTCCGAGACGAGGTGTTCTTTGTCGTTGGTTGTTCGTTGGTATTGCTGGACATTCTGGCAGAGTATCTGGATATTCTCAACAACATAACTGCCCTCACAACCGACGTCATGCAGCGCATCATCGAGCTTCTCAAGGTAACGTTGCAATTTATTCGAATGTCCACTGAGCTCCGCCATTGTTACGCATGCATTTCTCACCAATGGTATTTTGTTCGTATTACTCAGCTCTTCAACTCTAGGACGTGTCAAGTCATTCTCGGAGCTGGTGCGATGCGGTCTGCTGGACTGAAGAACATCACGGCGAAGCACTTGGCATTGGCTTCTCAGTCTTTGAGTGTATTTGCTACGCTTATCCCCTATGTCAAGGATTGGATTCGATCAAAGATGACAGACAAGCAAATGGTGATGCTGACAGAATTCGACAGGATCTTGCGCGACTTCCAGGAACATCAGAACGAGATTCACTCAAAGCTGGTGACGATCATGACCGAGCGCCTGGCCCTCCACATCCGCTCCATGACCAACCCTGCGGTGGTCGACTATGATGCACTGAACAAGCCTACTCAGCAGCTGGCGAACGGCGGTGCGAGCGTGAATGCATTCATGGACGGACTCGTCAAGGATGCTACCACTCTTCACAAGGTCCTGAGTCGTTTCTTGCCTGCGACCTCTATGCGAGTAAGTTTAAGTTTATTGCTAAGTGCAAGTTTATGGTCATTTTTATTCGAAAGAAGGTGTGACATTGACTTTTGTTTCCTCTTCCTACTGCATTCCATTATGATAGCGCGTCATTGATGAGGTGCTGCAGATCTTCACCGCTCGGCTTGAAGAAGAGATCCAAAAGTTGCCAATTGCTACTCCACTTGGAAAGACTAGGTATGAAAGATTGCATTTGTCTTTACGTCAGGAACCATTAGACTTTCTTTCATTTCCCTAACGGTTTTGTCATTTCCCTTCACCGGATAGACTTCAAGCGGATGTGGCATATTTCGGACAGAAGCTGGGACCGTTGGATCCCAACGGCGTGATTGGAACTCGACTGATGAAGCAAGTCAAGGAGCTGCTACTCACTGATAGTAATAACAGTAACAACAATAAGAAGAATGGAACGACGGCTCCATCCTCTGCAACCACAGCGACAACCCCGGCGGCAACATGAGCACATAGAACGCCACCAATTGTAGTTTCAGTCTTTCAGACAAGATAGTAAGAAGCAAAAGAGAAGAAGAAAAAGCCCGTCACAAACATTTGCTGAGGGAAAGCGATATGGTGAGAGGTGCAGCGTGGAATTGTTGTTTCTTCCTTTTATTCATTAATCATCATGGGTAGCGTAACCGGGAGTTTAATTTTTCCTATTTCGGAAGGCGCCTTGTTTATACATCGAAAGCGATGATGAATCGTACATACATCCATGATGAGGATGCTAACCATCGATCTGTCTATCTATCCATCTACTCACATCCTATGCACCCACTCGCCACCATTGCCGTTCATCGACCTCTCCTCGACACTCCAACTCCAAAAAAAAACTGGACATCTGGACATCTACTTTTTGGCTTGTCATCTGGATTCAACTTATCACAATCGGACTACACCTACTGTTTCTATTTGACGACAATATGTGACATACAGCCGTTGGAAAGAATAAGCGTCTCTCGAAAGGCAAGAAGGGTCTCAAGAAGAAGGTGTAAAGTATCGTTCCAGAACACCCAACCTTTCACTCTGCAGGAAGAACACTTACTTTTTCCCTCAGGGAGGGGAAGCACCCAGGAAACAGGATCAGATCTCTGCACGCGGAATGAGAGAGAGGAGCGATGGATCTTTCTTTTTTTTTTCTCTCTCTCAGACTCGCTCTTTATGCTGCAGATGGATGATTGGAAAAGAGCACCAACAGCTTGTTAGAGATTAGTGTTCTCGAGAGAGACGGGGAGGATTACACCAATGGTCTTCGACAACAAACCCAGTACGATTTCAGGGTCAGAGGAAGACGAATCGTCCATTTTTCCAGCAGATCCTTTTGGTGGTGCACCAGGGCGCTCCCTCTCTCTTCATCCTCAGACACAGCTTGTTTGGCGCTATAAGCAGGCTTCACAGCGAGAAGAGCAACACAAACGTGTGCTACGATGGACGCGGTTGTCAATCCAGACAGACCTGCGCCTCCGGCTTCAATAGTCGGATCGACAACTATCTCGTGAAGGCTTGCTCCGACTCGACCACCAACACATTAGATACAGGATAAAATGATGGAGTGCACCCACCACCAAACAGGAACTATCAACTACAACCACATCACACAGAACCTACGATCCTCATACTCTATCTTTCCCTCTCCCTTCAACGAAAAAATAGCGTCGACCCCTTCACCCGCAAGGACTGGTACGATATCAAGGCTCCTTCGACCTTTGAGGTTCGCAACGTCGGCAAGACCCTCGTCAACCGCACCCAGGGTATGAAGAACGCCAACGATGCCTTGAAGGGCCGTGTCCTCGAGATCTCCCTCGCTGACTTGAACAAGAGCGAGGAGCACTCTTTCCGCAAGATTAAGCTTCGTGTTGATGAGGTCCAGGGCAAGAACTGCCTCACCAACTTCCACGGTATGGACATGACCTCGGACAAGCTCCGCTCCATGGTCCGCAAGTGGCAGGTAAGATCTCTTTGAACATTGACGGTGCATACATTTGTTTGTTGTTTTTTTCCTTTTCTCAGAATCCAAAGACAAAGGATGTTTCTATTTGAGTTATGATCGACAGGCATTGATCATCTTTTCTCTTTTCCGTTTTAACAAATTATAAATAGTCCATCATTGAGGCTCACGTCGATGTCAAGACCACCGACGGTTACTTGCTCCGCCTCTTTGCTGTTGCCTTCACCAAGAAGGGAGTCCACCAGGTCAAGAAGACCACCTACGCTCAGTCTGCTCAGATCCGTCAGATCCGCAAGAAGATGTTCGAGATCATGATTGCCCAGGCCTCGTCCTGCGACTTGAAGGAGCTCGTCCAGAAGTTCGTCCCTGAGGTCATCGGATCCGAGATCGAGAAGTCGTGCAAGTCGATCTACCCCCTCCGCGACGTCTTTGTCCGCAAGGTCAAGATCCTCAAGGCCCCCAAGTTCGACCTCGGAAAGCTCCTCGAGCTCCACTCTGGTGCTGATGTCGAGAACACCACCGGCGCCAAGGTTGAGCGCAAGGACTTCAAGGAGCCCGCTGTCCTCGCCGAGGTTTAAAATTTACTCTTCTGTGTGTTTTTTTTGCCTTGATTCAATTCATAAAGCGCTCCTCTTTCAATATGTTTATTTTACGTCCGTGTCTCTGTATCGTTCTTATGCTTGTTGCTGGGTTTTGCTCGGTTGAATATGTGTTCGAGCTTTGCTCAAACATGCATTACTTCTTTTTTTTTTGTTTGGCTTCTCAATATTTATTTACGCGAGTCTATCGATTCTATTCCGCGATTGATGTGGATGTAGTTGTCACCGCCTGTGAAGTGGCAGTAACGGGTGGCGGTCTTGTTGGAAACTGGTCAGGATGGGCAGCACGGATATCCTCGACGCGACGGATCAGCCTGGTCAGTCTCGGGACATCCGACTCGAACCCAAGGTCCTCCATCGCCCGAAGCACCCGATCTGCAGGGGCCCATAACCGGTGCTCGACACAGGCCTTCAGCTGGACATAAAAGATCCTCCATGTAATCTTGGGACCATCCGCAGAGACAGACGCAGAGAGTGGTGAAGACGACGAAGAGGATGGCAAGGAAGAAGAGGAGGAGGAAGAGGATACGACGGCGCGTCGGAATTCTTGGAACCAGTGGTCGGCCTTGTCCATCATCAGTAGACTCGAGTAGCCCGAGATCATGATCGAGTAGGCACCGGCAGACATGCCCTCTTTAGTGTTCTTGTTGGCCAACTGAGCCATCGACTCTGCAAGCTCGACATCCCCAGCTTTGAAAGCTCCCTGCATCATGGCTCCAAAGGTATGGATGGTCGGCTTGTGTCCGGCCTCCTGCATCTCTTTGAACAACTGCTGCGCCCGCTCAAAATCGCCAACGTTGACTAGTCCCGCAATGATGGCCGAGTAAGTCACCGCGTTTTTGGCGACCTTCCGTTCCGTCATCAGATCGGCTACCTGCTTGGCAGCCTCGGCGTCTCTTTGCGAGAACAAAGTGTCGGTGATGATCGTGTACGTCGCCGCATCCTTCTCGACTCCAGCCTGATCCATCTTGATGAGAACCTTGCTCAAGTTGTCAGAATCCCGGACAGAAAGGAGACCCTTGATCATGATTTGGAAGGTATCGAGCGGGAGGACCAGATCCTTCTGGTCCACCATCTGGTCAAAGATCGCCATGGCTTCCTTAGGCTGGTGATTGTGAAAGAGCCCCGTCATGACGGCGTTGTACATGATCACATTGGGCTTAATCGAGTAAGGTCTCTCCCGCATCTGGTCCCAAAGCATCATCGCCGAAGAAGGATCCTTGGCCCGGAAGTAACCATTGAGCATGTTGGAGAATGTGATGACATCTGGCTTGATCTCGGGATTGGCAAGAATCTGGCTCCAGAGTTCACGGGCAGTCGGGAACTGGGTGGGGTCTTGACAGAGTGCCGAGAGGAGCGAGTTGAGTAGGACTTGGTCCGAACGTGCTTTGGGGTCTTCCCTGATCCTGTCCCAGATATGGATTGCCTCGTTGTAGAGTCGTGCGTTGAGGAGTCCTGACATGATGCTGGAGGCCGTGTAGGCATTTGGGTGGAAGCCAATGTCGAGGATGTGGTTCATTAACCGGTGGGCATCCTGAGGTCGATTGTCCTCGAACTGCCGTTGGAGTAGATGTGTGAACCGCGAGGTATTGGGTGAGCATGTTCGTTCCTGAATCCCGCGAAAGATGGTCTTGGCACGCTCGATCGAGTCGTTTGTCAATTGGAGACCCTTGGACCACCTCAAAAAGTCGGCCATGGTCTGCGAAAGCGCCTCTCCTGCATTCTCGGATGATGATGATGACGACGACGGTTCCCGATCCACCAATGCCTGAAGCCGAGTCTCATTCCCACTCTTAAGATACATCGCCATCAAAAGTGCCAGGGTCCTCTGCCGCATAGACCTGTCCGCCTTCAGGACCTCCCGATGCTCGGCCATCTGATCCAGAACCTTTTGGGCGTCATCAAATTTGTTCCGCTTAATATGATGGTGGATCAGGTTGTTGTAAAGGTTGATGTTGAATCGGAGCCGCCGCTTGTGCATCTCCTTGATGAGTAGGGTCGATCTGGACGCGACATCGTTGGTCATGAGAGGGCGGGTGCTGAGCCAGTCATGGAGTCGGAGGAGTTCTGTCATTGTGGGTTTGTGCTTCTGGTCCCGTTGCGCCTGGTAGACCTTCCAGTAATCGGTGTTGGGATCCTGTAGCGACACCTCGGGTATAAAGCTGTTTGTGGTGTCTTTTGACTGTGGTCCGCCTGAAGTCGTTGTTGAAGGAGTGGCAAGGTTCGTAGTAGCGGCTCTGAGTGAACGAGCGTGTCCTAGTCGATGCACATCTCGAGACGCGGTTGAACGGGGAGGAGTGACTGGAATGTCCCAAGCAGACGCGGTTTTTGTTGATCCATTCTTTGGCTTCTGTGGTGTGACGGCGTGTTTTGAAGAAGTAGAATGTGTGAATCTGGTATGACCGAGGAGGGATCGGGTCCTGGGCTTGACAGGCAACAGTGTTGGTGCTGAAGAAGGAAGGAGGAGCCACCTGAGGACTTGAGAGGTGATTGCGCCTGAGTGGTGAAGTTGATGAGGACAGTGTGCCGATCCAGAGTGAGCTCCAGCTGGCTGTGCGTGAATGGATGTCGTGATCCTGCTACGGATCCTCGTTGCACTCATGGTCTCAGGATGTCGTCGTTGCTGGTGGTGGAGGTGATGGCAGTGTTGAAGGAACAGAGATTCACCGTTAACGACATTTCCGGTCCTGAATGTGGCTTGTCGCAATTTGCCACCACTTTTTTTGTACTAAAAGTCTTAAAGGTCTGCGGGTCTGCAAAGTCCCTCTCTCCCTTTGTCTTCTCAAGTCTCTCGCTGCATTCCGTTCAAAGATTCGTCGACGCACTCTGTCCGATTGACATACAGCTCCAGCAAACACGCAAACAAACAAACAACACAGCAGCGACAATGGTGACACAATCGGAGAACACAAACGGAACACATGCAGAACCAGCCTCAGGTTCGAATGCAGCAGCTGTTGTTACCAACGGTGACGCAAACGGTGCCACTGCAGCTGCTACCGGAACCGAGGCAGCCGTAAAAGAAACTGTCCATCTTAAGCAGCTGTATGAACAGTCAACACAATTCAACCACTGGCGGTACGCCCAGCAGCAATTGGACGATATGCGAAGCAAGGTCAACCAGGAGGTTGTTTCGTCGATCAAGCAGAACCTCCAGGACGAGAGCGATCTGGTGCGTCCCTCCTTCGTTTTTCACCAGTACCTACTGTTTTAATGGCACCCAAATAGAGGAGATTCTAAAAGCTGTTGCTTCTTTGCTGTTAATAGAGGACGGCACAAGGACTTGCGCTCGACGATTTACCACAGGATCTCAAATATCTGACGGTTGAGGACGAACTGACATTGCTGGGATTCTATGAGCGCAGGATCGTCAAGATCTTTCAATACTGGAAACTGCCTTCCTATGTCATGGTATTCCACCTTTTTGCAGTCTGGTTCTCAGGAGCAGGAAGCCCTAAATGCTGGACAACACCCGCAGCGACGAATAATTGAGCAAGGCTTTTTGATCCCTTTTCGTGTAATAGGCAACTGCGGTCGTCTACATGAAGCGCTTCTTCCTCGAGAACACCGCCATGGATCACCATCCCAAGGATGTCATGTAAGCATCCAAGGATCAAACACAGGAACGGTACGGCATTTTGCAGCATGTGTGAACAATATATATGGACTCATTCAGGCTTTCACGTATACAAATAGGTTGACGTGCATGTTCTTGGCCAGGAAAACGGAGAACTACTTGATGTCGATCGAGGATTTCTCAAAGGTGCTCAAGAGCCCTGCAGAGTCGATTCTTCAACTTGAGTTTCTTGTCTGCAAAACCCTGCGCTTCCATTTCACGGTCCACCATCCCTACCGACCCTGCCTCGGTTTCTTCTTCGACATGCAGGTACTTTTAACAAGTCTTCAATGTTCCCATGTTGATCGCGCAATAGCACCTTGGCTTACAATTACCATCTGTTTGTATCTGTTTGATAGGCTGTGACGGAAAACATAAGCAAGTTGCAAAAGGTGTATGAGCGCGCGTTGACGCTGATTGACACGGCGCTTCACACTGATCTTTGCTTCTTATACCAACCATCTCAGATCGCATTGGCTACCTTGAAGATAGCAAGCAAGGACGAGGCGTACGACTTTGAGAGGTATGGCCGGCCAGGAATTCGAAACGTCATATGATACGCGCAGAGATTTTCGTGCCCTCATTATGCAATCATATACCCGGACTTCGCTATTAACACACCATACGCGTTTTTCCAATACTAAACGCAGATACGCCAAGTACAAGTTCAAGGCGAATGAAAGTGCGACACAAAAATACAACAGCCAACTGTTGCCAATCCTGGAGGCGATCGAGAAGGTATTGAAGGAGGACCGCCGATGTGTCGAGGTTGACAAGTTGGTGGCAACTGAGATTGACAAGCGGCTCAAGATGTGCAAAGACCCCGCACGAAACCCTGACAGTCTCTTGTAAGTCTTTTATTTGTTGGTGTAATTAATTGCTTTGTGCTAGAATATGTGATTGTTGTTTTTTTCGATGTCTGTTTGCTCACAGATATTTTTGTGTAATTTGTATTGTTCCACGCTCATAATTCATCTATGTAGGTACCTAAAGAGGAAACGAGGCGAGGCTGCGGGAGATGATGATGATGATGACGATGATAATGGCAACCCTCACCCTGAAAAGCGGGTCAAATTAGGCGACAGTGCCTAATTTTAGGTACCACCATCCTCGTCGATGTCTCTCGCTTTCTTTTGTATAGCTTGGGATGTTGACTCCAAATAAAAACCCAACAATAACAAAGGACAAACACTTTGCCTTCATCAGTTTTGCGCAGCGATGTTGTCTTTCATTCTGTGTTTATTGACTTTATTCTAAGGGTGTAGCTGCTCTAATTGCTACCGACACACACAAAGCCTTGAAACGATCCAGTGTTTACTTGATGAGAGGAATGCCGGTATGTGTCCTGGCCTGGTAATCACGATAAGACTGACCAAAGAAACGGACCAAGCACTGCTCCTCGTACTGGATGCGCTCTGAGAAGAAATGGTGTAACGCTCCTGCAAAGCCGACAATGCAGACGGGGTTCATCATCATCAACTGAGAACCCAGGGCCCAGTAATAGAACCCGAAATAGGAAGGGTGCCTCAGAAGGCTACGGTTGGAATGAGTGGATGCAGTGAAACGGAGGAATGTAATTAGTGAGAGCCGCAAGAGATAACTGCAATGCCATGGTTAAATTTACCGAAGCCATGGCTTTAATCCGCCCGTTCCAGGCGCATTACAACCCATGCCTATTTTTTTCTTCCTTCAAGTATTTACCTGTAGATGCCGTCGGTGACGAGAACATGATGCTCCTCCTTATAGAACTCGACGTGGTGCGAAAAGTTGGATTTGGCAGAGAACATGGCCAAGGTACGGGCTGCCTGACCAATGATCACCATGACTAGTCCGATCTTGTTCAGCAGGCCCCAGGACTTGAGCTGTGGGAAGAAATAGAGTTCGATCAGGAATTCTGTGATTCCTGCGGCTGTTGCTGCCGAGTACTCCGGGCTGTGGTTCAACAAAAATGCTAAGAGAGTGTTTGTAATGGAAAGAGAACGGAAAGGAGGAGTGGGGTGAGTGTAAGTAAAAATAGCCGGGTAGAGTAGGATTAATGTGTGATCATTAGTGCTTGCGCCTCCTTGTGTGGTTGTAAGTCATAAATAAATGCACCATACGTCCCGATCCCCTCTCGCTCGATCACATTTTTTATGAATCAACAAAGACGCACAGAAACTTACAATCGAGCTTAAGTTTTGTGGGGTTGAACAGTGCAATGGCAATATACTCCAACGAATGGAAGACCCCCAAAGCTGCAAGGAAAAGCCAGAACTGTGGGATCGAGGTACCGACCATAGTGGCCAGGATCACACTTCCTCCAAAGAGAGCGCCCAAACCGAACCCGTAGACGGCTATGTTTTGGGGAGAGTTTTCGCCGTCAAAGAGACGAAAGTCTGTGATTGAGACTGGAACGGGGGTGGCAGGGCGGCGGTTGGAGTTGTAGTAGATGGTGTTGTCGTTATCGTCGTCGCCGTTATTGTTGTTGGCGTTGTTGTAGGCGGTGTTGAGGAGGTGACTGCGTGCTTGTGCGCCGGTTCCTGGGGTGGTTGATGTTGGTGGACCCATGGAGGGCCGAGTGGATGGAGGTGTGAATGAGGAGGTGGTTGATGTCTCCTCGTGTGTAGTGTCCTGACTATGGGCCATTGTGATCCTTTCAGTGAATTCTTGTTGAAGGTGCCAAGTGTTGATGTCGAATGAGTTGAGGAGTGGATGAGAAAGAGAGAAGGAAATGGAGATCAAAAGCGGGTTTAATAAAACGATAAAAAAAGAAGTGAGCATTCGTTGGTGGATATTTTCCACGACTGTCTCCCCCTTGTTGCTTTTGCCGCCCTCGTCCAGATCCTGGCATTTTAATTGGCTGCAGCCCCACACTCCCTTGAAGGTTTCACCTCCATTACCAGCCACACTTTTTCTATCTTTGCTTCTTGTTCTTGCTCTAATTAACGCGTTTCGTAATCAACTTCCATGCTTCGCTACCGGCCCTTGTGCTAAATTGCATTACGGTATCGTCTGACAAGAAAAGCTTAAACCTTGCAGCGTCGTCGTTGATAACGGCGCAATTTGTCTTTCCCCTTGCATTTGGTCGCTCCTTGACCGCCTATTGGTTCTCTTTCAAGTCGACGTTGATGACCGCTGCTGTGTTCAAACCCACAATGCCTTTGCATAATGTTGCCCTTCACAATGTGTAAAGACACGCGAACCCTTTTCTTCCTGACAGATATAGTCAATCGAACGTGAGCTAAATGCCATGCAAAGATCAATGCCCCTCGACAAACAAATAGTGCACCATGCTTGTCTTCTTTTCGTAAAGCCTTCTTTTTCACCGGCAACATACAAAAGTCGGTAGTTTGGTCATTGTAATGATAGGACCCCTCAGACCACGACCATCAGCGAAAGCTTTGCATTTCTCTTTCAGCGACCCTGTCAATCTCATATATTATACACGGCAGCAGCTGACCACGATCATCAGTGAGGGCTTTGCTGTCTCCCTTCAATCTCATATATAATAATATATAATACACATCGTCTTTCTTCTTCCTTCTTTGCCAACCCTCTCTTATCCTTGCATCTCATCTATCCCCTTCCTCTTCATTGTCGACCCCTGTTCTCTACACCCATCTCTTTCCACCTCTTTGTACGATACGAACTAGTTCTCCTCTCCATCCGCATCCTGGCACGTACTCGTCCAGACGAACACCCTCGCACTTCTCGTTGCAGACCTTCTGTGTTCTCTGCACAAGGGGGTTCACCTCACTCACCCTCTCTCCAGTGTACAAGCAGCTTCGAGCCTTCTATGGTTCCATCATGTTCAAGGTCAAGAACAGGAGCTTAAAGTTGGCTCAGAACGCTACACTAAAAAAAACAAGGCTGTCGGCGTGATCATCCAGTCGTGTGGAATCAAGGGTAAGTAAAGAGAGGGAGTCAATAGGGTGTACGCCTTGTTTATTGCTGGCGATGGCAACTTCACATCCAAGCCCGATCGGTCCATCCGACGTTTGCAGTTCTTTAAGAAGCTGAAGACCAAGGTAAGCATTACTATGTTTCTTTCTTTTTCTTTAAAACTATTGGGTAACAAAAAGACATACAAAAACCTAATGCTTGCTTCTCATGCCTTGCATAGTTGGAAGTCTTGGGTTTTTGTGATCGTGTCGGCTGTCGAGTACTTCATTTCCAAGTCTTGCTGTCAATGCCACATCAACAGTGAGGACCATATCGCCATGGACCGTCGCCTTCATCCAATGCACACAATGCAACTGAGCCAGGGACCGTGACCACAACGGGGCGCGCAATATGGCTCGTGCAGCATTACAATGGATGACAGACTTCTTCTTGGCCTCAAGAGCTGTGTCGTCCCACCCCATCACCACAGCCTCAATCTCAACAATCACGTTACGCACCAGGCGCCCCTCGTTGGGGCTGCTCATTGTTGATATTAGATGTTCAGCTAAGATTCCTCTAATAAATTGATCCATATCACAGTAACAACAACAAGATGCGGTTGACAATATGAATAAGAGTTTTGTATTAGAGTCTACCCCAACCGACTACTATAACATGCGGCTACTACTTGGGCAAGGTATCTGCCTTGGGGATTTTATCATGTTTATGCCCCAAGAAAATCGTCTGCAAATCAACCGCCAAAACCACCAAAGCCGCCAACTCCAACAACGGCGAGAACACATAGAAAGCCCACAACGTCCCCTGAACGTCCGCATTCCCAAACGTGAAGACCACCTTATAAACCAACGACACATTAAACAACACCGTCACCACAAAACAGATTGTGAATGGGCGGCGGTATTCTGGGAACTTGGACCGGTAGACCCAGGAGCAGTAGAGGAAGACTAATCCAAAGACCATCAATCCGATCACGGCTACCTTCCGCAGAGTGACGGAGAGCTCGACTTGGTGTGGGTCCGTCATGGAGGAGAGGACACCGCTGGCGATGATGAGTGCGATAATCGGTAAGAGGAACAACCGCGTATGGTCCACAAGCGTCCGTTCAAACATTCCTCTCGGCAAACCCCCGGCATGATGACGGATCTTGGGTAAAATCGAATGGTACAACCGGGCAAGGATGAGAATGACAAAGACGGCGCCGACGTTGAGGAGGGAGACCTCAGTGATATAGTAGGAAATCCACTTCGAAGACCCAACAATCAAGGATCCAACGTCGACGTACGCACGAAGTCCGAAGGCGGCGATGCGGAAGACGCAGAGGAGAGAGCAGAAGAAGTAGATCCACCAGATGGAGCGGGCGAACCGGTAAGTGAACTGGAGGAAAAGGATGCCGTAGAGGGCTGATGTTATGATCGATAAGATCCCGTCTGTGGATGCCATCCTGGGTATGTTATGTGTGTGTGGTGAGTCCTGTTTGGCGGCGGTGGTGGTGATTGTTGGGGTTTGCTTGACAGATAGGGAGTGAAGGGGAGTTGGATTGAGAGACTGAGTGGAGAGGAGGAGTGTATATGTTGGAGTAAGAGGAGCAAAAAGAAAAGAGGCGATGATGACAAAAAGAAAAGCGAGGGAAGGAACTCGCTTTATATACCGCGAACACAGGGAATCGGCTGAAATTGTCTAAGGACATTAGGGTTGGCGGCGTCGAGAGGTCCCGCCTTAGAGTATGACGGATGAGCAAGCATGTCCATATCAACTCACGCCGCTTTTTTTTTTTCTTTTGTCCGACGCATTTTGCCCCTTTTTTCTCAGATAATGCCACCATCCGCGTAAACCTCACACTTCAAACATGGCAACCTTTTTTACACATTCTTGACTTCTTCCCAGGAACCAAACCGGGTCCACGTTAATAATCTCTTCTCTTGTGTTCAATACGTGGGAGTGGAACCCTGCCTTCCTTACCTCAACTCGCAATTCTCGTTGTTAAAGCTTCGCTATAGGGTGAACAACTGTCAAAGTAGAAAAGTCGAAAAGTCCCATCCGCTTAAACCTCCCTTCAGCCACATACATTTTTTGTTTCTCCGACTCCCAATGTAGACACACATCTCCCACCCCTCACTTCAGCCCACTCCCTCGGGCATCACTTTGCATCCAAAAAGAGAGTCGAACGGTCCAGATGGACACGCACACTAGTCCCTCTCAGCCACACTCACACAATGCCAAGCTTGACGTCTCCATTTTTTACTTTTCTTCTGCAGCGAGTGCCTTTTTCTTTGTTTTCGAATTCCCGATAGTCCAAAAGGAATCCTTCCAATCCTTCCAATCATCGAACTCTTGGCAAAAGTTGACCACCCGGCTTCAGCCTCATAAATATCTCTCCGCCCTGAAAGAGAACGCTCATTTTAGTGCTAGCTAAGCTATCTTGGCAAAGAAACGTGGAAGAAACCTTTTCAATTGACCCCTCCTCAAGGCTTAATTCCGTCGACTTATGGGCGACTGCTTCCAATTAGCTTTACCGTCGCGTTTATGGTTCTCATTATCAAACGATAGACGATCACAGGAATGTCTGGAACAGATGAATGTTTTTATTATCGTTCTACGATGGATGAAGTTCTAGACAAAGGCAGAGCTCAGTACAAATGAGTGAAGAGAGGGAAAAAAAATAGAAAGTAAAATGAACACAAGAGTAATGATTGGAGAATATATGAATGCACTGATGGAACAAGAATGACGATTAAGGCGCATTGGGACCGCGGTAACCGTGGTGGCGCTGTTCCCGTTCCCGATCCATTCGTTCACGATCCCATGCTCCTCCATATGGTCCAGGAGGTCCTCCTGGAGCTTCGCCGCCGCCCAGCACAACGCCTCGGAGATCGCCCTGACTACCACCATGGCTTCCTCCGCGACGATGACCATAGGGTGCAGGTGCAGGTCCTCCAGGCATCATCCGTCCATAATCCATCGATCCACCATGCGATGGGTGCGAGTGATGACCCATTGGTGGGATGGGTCCTCCATGCGAGGGTGGCATCGGGCGTGACTCCATCATGCGGGGGTCTTCAATCTCCATGGCAGACGACTCCTTGTAGTGCTCCTTGCGTTCCTTGTGTCCTATCGGTGCTTCTTCGTGGCGATCAGGAATGTATCCTCCATAAACAGGAGGAGGGGGAGCACCATACCCTGAAGAATGCATTCCGGGAATAGGACCGCTGGTAGAGCTTGGTCGGCTTTGGCTCATTCCAGCGCTTCCTCCTCGACTACCGCTGCCGCTCACATTGCTGCCTGAATAATGGTGGCCAGATGATTGTGATCCGGGAGGAGGGGCATGATGGTGAGGCATCGATTGGTGGTGGGGTGGCATATGGTGATGAGAGGGTTGTGGAGGTCCAGGGTGTTGGCCATGCTGAGGGTGGGATACATGAGGTCCTTGAGTGTGGTGGTGGCCTGGGTGAGGGTGAGAATGCGAGTGTGAGTGGGGTGCTCCGTGCGACATGCTTCCGCTGTGCATATGCCCGTGGGGGATCGGCTGTGTAGGAGGCAACTGTGATGAAGAGGGTGGAGGTGCGCCTTGGCCATAATGAATCGACGAGGCGTGCTGAGGGTATCCACCGTGGCTGCTTCCACTCCCCTGTGGAGGTGCACCGTAGCGCATCATATCATCGCCTGGATACTGTGGGTGGTAATCCGGGCGGCTCGAGCTAGAACTGCTGCCTCCGGGGCGTCTCTGCATATGCATCTGTATCTGGTGTTGGTGGTGCTGGTGCTCGCGCTGCTCATGCTCCCTCTGCTCATGGTCGCGAATCATCTGAATATCTCTATGCTGTTGGTGCTCTCTGTGCATCTGATGCTCGCGCTGCTGGTGCTGCATCTGCATCTGCTGCTGATCACGGCCGAGGTGGTGGTGGGATGGGGTACCCTGTTGAGGATGCGAAGGAGGGATCGACTGCCCATGTGGAGGTTGCTGAGACGAGTGCTGACCTTGTTGGGAATGAGGGGTCTGCTGTCCGTGATGAGACGACTCGCGGTGGTGAGAATCTCTAGGCTGGTAGTCCTTGGAGTGAATCTCGCGACTCTTTGAGGCGGCAGGGTAGGATGCTTGCGACGACTGGACTCCCACTTGCTGTGACTCCTTGCCGTTCTGCTTCAGTGATGTTGTTCCGGTGAGACGCGCCCGACGAGCTCCACCAGCAGCCCCAGAACCGGTACCAGCGCTTGCTACTATCGTGCCTGCGCCTTGGGTTCCTTTGCTTGACTTTGTAGTGGGTTGTGGAGTCCATTCCCCTTGAGCACTGCTGGATTTTGCCTGTGCAGCCTCTGAAGAGGCACCTGCACCGTACTTACGGCTGGCCGTTCCAGAGCTAGGTCCGTTGGTTGCTCCAAGGGGGCCGGAAAAGTTGTGCAACGCGGAAGATGTTGTGGCACGACCGCCAAGACGTCCTGAGCCAATGGTCGAAGAACTGCCAAGGGCTGGTGAGCCTGACAGCACGAACGATCCGTTGGCGTTGTGTTGGTTGCGACGGCCATCTTCTTCATCTGAATCTGAAAGCTCCTCATCAGGCACAATCCTTGAATCGGCCAATCGTCCTACATTTTAGAATTGATAAAAAGGGAATAATATGCGTTAGATCATTATCGACTTCAAGTCTTGTCATTTTTGACATGACCACTAATAGCGATCGGACAAGCGCTTCGTATTACGTGTGATTCTAGTGTCGACATCCATCTCGTCATCCTCATCATCTGAGGATGAGTAGTCTCTAGGAACCTCCTGCATTTGCACTGAAGGAGCGCATGGAATATGACGGAGGTTTTCAATGATCTGGGCCCTGTTGGAGATATAAAGAAAGAACCTAGGTCAGTACTGCTGTCATATTCCGAAAAACTCACGGCCTGTGAAGCAATGGTAAAAAGGCAATCATGTAAACACCACTTACTTCAGGTTGTGAAGATCCTCCGGTGTGTTGTCGTTCTTCATGTTGTTGGCTGGCACATCCAGGCGGAACTCAGGGCCGTAGTACTCGAAGTAAGAGTTGAATGGAAGCTCTAAAAAAATGGAACGAATCACATCTTAGCATGTGATCAAGAACCGGACATGGAGAGGCATACAAACAATCATAAATGATCGAGTTACCTTCTGGCAGCTGCTCGTTGAGAAGGACGGCAGTTTCGAAAGTCCATGCTCGGGCGACGTTGCGAACAGTATATCCTCCTCCACCTACAACAATCATGGGAATGCCAAAGGACTTGACGTAAGCAACACAGTTGGCGTGCCCCTTCATGGACAGGTTGAAGCATCCGAGCTTGTCACCGGCCAAAGAATCTGCTCCGCACTGCAACACAACGGCTCCTGGGCGATACCATTCCATGATGTGCTTGATGATCTATTAATTGTCAAAAGTAAATCCATAGGATGATTATGTGAGAACGTCAATTGGGATAATAATAGACAGGTAAAATCGCGATCTCTCATCATCAGTTCGCAAAATTTACAGGTTCAAAGAGATTCTGGTAGGACCAGTCGTCCATGCCCTTTTGGAGTGGAACGTTAACAGCATAGTTCTTGCCCTTGCCGATACCGGTCTCTTCCAGCTTTCCTGTACCGGGGAAGAACTCTGTCATGTGAAAAGACGCCGTCATGACACGATCTGTGGTGTAAAAGGCCTCCTCCACTCCGTCACCGTGATGGATATCGATATCGATGTACAAGACACGCTGATGAAATCGCAAGAGTTCCAGAACGGCGAGCACAATGTCGTTGATGTAACAGAATCCTGAAGCCTCAGTCTTTTTGGCGTGATGAAGTCCTCCTGCCCAGTTGATAGCAATGTCCGATTCGCCTCTTGTCAACTTGTTGGCAGCAGCTAATAAAGGCATATGCGAATTATAACTATACGTGTGAGTGGTGGAGCTGTTTTTTGTTTTCAAGGTCTGACTCCTGAATATTGACCCGGTCTTCCGGACCCCCTTTGATTACCGATGGATCCTCCAGCGGAGATTGAACAAAACTCGAAGAGACCGTCAAAGACTGGACAATCATCACCAAGGTTGACTGTGAAGGCGAGAGACATAAAGAAACACAAGAAAGGAAAAAGGGCAAATAAAAAGATATGTTAGACAAGACGACATGCAAGGTTACAGTCAAGATACCAAAACGGCTATTGGCTAATGAAACGATTGAACACTTACAAAGGTGCTTGGTGGAGTCTGACATTCCTTCGCCGCCAACCATCTCTGGTGTGAGTCTGGCCAAGAAATCAACGTACTCGTCGTTGTGGAAACGGGTCATCTGGCGTGCAGTAGCTCGTTTTGGGCGCTATCAACACAATATAAAAATGGTGGCAAAAAAAAGCGAGTTAGTGTAATATTCACGCAAGGAGTCCTGCAAGGGAAGGGATCCTGCAAAGTTAACGTATCAAGACGATGAACCTAGTTGTTAACGTACAATGACATCCATCTTCTTGTACAGTCCGTAGTTGGTCACTAGAGTGTGGCACATGCGTACTCTGTGGGGCTTCATAGGGTGACCTATATGAATAAAGAGAGGCACCAATTAGTGTCAGATACCACATACGCACCCTCGACGCACTGAAATAATATACTACCCAGGTTCTGGCCCATATGCTGTGTGGCACTTACCAAGACCATATGTATAGTTGCCGACGTCGTCTAAGCATCGCAATACGAAAGGTTGGAAAGAGGAGGATTTTCAGCTTGATTAGATTGCAAACCTGGGGAAGATAGTCATTTGCCAACGCTTTCTCGGAGAGGTTGAATCAGAAGGCAGGCTGCTTCAGCATGCTCTCAAGGCTGTTACCATCGTAAAAGTAGGAGACGCGTTGCTTTTGAGTGGCACCTCCGCCAAGGGCAAATGAAGAGAGGCCGGTGGTCATTGGGTGCGAGTGGGATAAAGAGCAATGAAGCGGCGGGTGTTTGTGTGTGTCGATGTGTTTGAGGGTTAAAGGGTGGTCGAGTTACGCCCTTGTGGTTGGCTTGGTTTTTAGCAAAGTAGTTTTGCAAGCTTGAGTGTTGAAGGCTGTTCTTCTTGCTGTTGTTTGCGATTAGTTTTTTGTAGCCCTGTTAAGTCCTTTGTTCCAGCAGTTGAGTGTCAGTCGGGTTGCCGGGGTCGGGGAGGGAGGTGGCCGAGCGCGAGTGGAGGAGACGGGGGCAGAGCTGACTGATGCAGGGTGCGGTGATGGAAAGAAGTGAAGAAGGTAAGAAGGGATAATAGGGACAACCAGCAGATAAAATGGCTGGCTGGCAGCCCTGTCCCTTGGCCTCTAATCTAATGTGGCTTAGGCTGAAAATTACAAGGATATGGGACGGTCTTTTTATTTCATTTGTATGTACATGAGGCTAGGAGAATAGAAGGGGCATAAAGTGAAGAACCATAAAAAAAAAGGAAAAGGAAGAAGCACGTTGGAAGAAGGCATAAAAGAGAAAGAAGCACGATGGGAGAAGTCATAAAAGAGAAAGAAGCACGATGGAAGAAGGCATACAAGAGAAAGAAGCACAATGGAAGAAGTCATAAAAGAGAGAGAAGCACTATGGAAGAAGGCGTAAAAGAGAAAGAAGCTTATAGAAAACATTGAACAAGAAAAGCTAGGAAGAATGCGTAAAACTGTAGGAAAGATAGTACATTAGGAAGTAACAGGGCTGTGATAGTCAGGAGGGCAATATACCTTTACTCCTCGTACTCCATTTCGGATGCCTAGGAAACACACAAGAAATGTACAAAAGAGTGGTGTGAGAAGATTTTAGTGGGCGAAAACGTTTGTAATTGGGCAGTCGAGGCAATGTAGGAGAGTTGCAAAAGGGGAGGCGGGTAAGTGGTCGTGGAGAAGGACAGCAAGTGGAGACCGCTCCTCCACATCAATTGGCAACAACAATGTGCTGTGGAGAACCGCAGGCCAAGCCAATAGATAGAAGGGATGGATGGTACGCCCATGGTGCTCATATATGTCCTGATTGCGATTGACTACCACCCAATTCAAATGTCGTCGTTTTGTATTCGCAAAATCGAAAATGCGCTGTTGGGAGCACAAAGAAGATTGTTCTTTTCAGCCATGCAAGAACCATCTCACTTTTTCTGTTTGTTGGTTTGGTTTTCGCTCTTTGTGTATATGTGGTGGTTGTTGTGATTGCGTGTAGGAGGAAAGGAGGGAGAGAGATAGGAGATAGGGTGGTGAAGGTTGCTCTTCTTTTTAATTTCAACTTACAGATTCATCGCCATCCGCTGATTCTCCAAGGTTGACCTGGAGGTCCCGCACTTTGTTCTTGAGCTCATTCTTTTGCTCCAGAAGGCGCTGGATGTAATCTACAGCTATAAAATAAAAGAAAAGCACGCCAACAAGTCAGTAAAATATCATTTCTACTATTTTGGGGGGTGACAGAAAAGAAAAGCCGATTGAGCACAATGACATGCATGTCGATACCCTTCTCCACTTACATTTCTGCAAGATGAGCGCCTCGCTGCGTTGGCACTCGCTTAACGTGGGAACAATTTCGACCAAAGAATCGAATCCGAAGCGGATATTTTGGCGCCTCTTCTGCTCCGACGCAATGTGGTTCGCTTTCTTTTCTGCGTCCGTCAACAGCTCATGGGGCAGCTTCTTTCCTGGCCCTCGCGGTTGCATCTGGTTCAAAGAGTTGTTCTGCTGTGGAGAGAGTGCGCGAGAGGGGTCTTCCTGGTCGTCTGAGTATGGGTGGCGATTGTGGTTGTTGAGCTTCGACATCATGGCCTCGTCGCCCTCAGCAATCTGTTCAGCCGTGTAGTTCATGCTCAGTCCGTTTGAGTAGTATCCATTATGGTGGTGCGGGTGTGGGTGCTGGTAGTTGGTGTGATCATTGCCATGACCCATATCCTCGCTGCCGTCTCTGCTGGTTCGACCAGTCACCACGTAGAACGATGCCTCGCTTGTCTTACGCTGAACACCACCGACGCTGCCAGCAGAATGGCCCGAATCATGACCATCGTGGCTTGACCGCTGGCCAGCCTTGTAGGTGGGACTTGATGAAGTATATTGATAATCGTTGGCCGAGGACCCCTTGCGACGAGCAGATTTCTTGGAAGGCGGAGTGAACTCTTGTCCTTGGTCAAAATACGCTGCGTGCTCGCTCTCGTAGTATCCGTCGGGTGATGTTGACACGTACGCCGAAGATGTCGAATGATGGATGGCACCAGTGTTCGATGGAAGAGGGGGAGGGGTTCCACTCGATCGTGATGTATGTCCTCCATGGAGACTGGTCTGGGACTTCCTCTTCTTGACTGTCCTTGCTGGTCCAAAGCCCGTCTCGAATGAAGGATCAATTCCCATTGGCATGCTTGGGTCAGAGTATCCATTGTGAAAAGATGACGGGATTTGCTGTTGTTGTTGGTACTGTGGATAAAGTTCTGAGGAAGGATGTTGTTGATAGTGATGCGGCTGTGGGTGAAGGTCCTGAGAGCGAGTTTCATGCAGATGAAGGTTTGGGTTCGAGTTGTGTTGTTGGTGAGCCATCTGCTCTTGTGCTTGAATCTGTTGTTGTATCTGTTGTTGTTGTTGCTGTTGCTGCTGTTGTAGCTGTTGCTGCTGTTGTTGCTGTTGCTGTTGTTGTTGTTGTGCGAGCACCATTGCCTGCGAAATCGCACTGGCCTGCGCCATCAGTTCGGGGTTCTGGAGAAACGCCTGGCTCATGGTCTGGGGATCAAGAACGCCTCCAGATGCCAACAACTGGTTTGCGTTCACTTGTTGTGGCGCCCATTCGTGTTGTTGCTGCTGAGCCATTGACAATGGAAGATCTGAGGGCACTGAACGAACTCTGTTTGGGCTGCTTGGACCATGTTGGGAGGACAAGACCGGGTTCAGTTGAAGGTGGCTCTGAGGAGAAGGACGGCCCTGGTGCTGATGTTGTTGATGTTGATGGTAGTCATGTCCACCGAGGAGAGGTTGTGATCCAGGTTGGTTGTGAGGCTTGGATCGTTCTTCTTCAGCGAGCTGGCCGAGGAATGCGGAAAAGGCCTTTTGTTCGTGCTCGGACAAGAGAGAGGGAAAGGCCATGTATATAGCTGTGTTTGATAAGAGACAGGTAGATGAGGACGTACTGATGATCGACTACAGTAGGGTGCAAGGGAAGGAGAGGGATTGGTTAGTGATCAGCGAGTGAGTGATTATTTATGTTTCTCTTCTCCACTCAGCACACTTCTCAGCAATTGGCGGAGTGGGTGTCGCTCTCCACCTTTCTCCTTTTTTTTTCTTTCTTTCTCCACAACGGTTATTCCTGGTCAGTGCAAGTGAATGAATGAGCGTTTCTTTCTTTTTTTTTTTTTGTGATTACTTTAAGTGAATAGGTAAGGGCAAGTAGGGAGGGGTAGACTGAATAGAGCGAATGAATGAAGAGGAAGACGAAGAAAGAAAGTTGGAGGTGAAGTGTGAATGAGTGAGGAAAAGTGAGAGGACGAAAAGTAGTGGTGAAAGTGAAGGAAGGGAGAATAACGAGGTCGAGTGAGGGCGGTTTCGTTTTATTCGGCGAAAAAAATAGAGTTCAGGTCCAGGTCAGGACACGCAGAGAGGGCAAAGGAGAGGAGGGCGGCATTGATCCATCAACCAATCAAGGCAGAAAAGCGTAGGGGAAACCAAGTCTTTTTTCTTTTTTCTTTTTGCACTCACACGGACACATAATCCGGAAAGATGCGAATCGAATCAGTCAACCATCAAAAGTTATTGTAACCCGATACATTGTCATGGATACAAGTGTCTCTTCTCTCTTTTCTCACTATTTTCCCTCTACATTGCTCTCTTTCTCTCTCTCCATCTCTCTCTCTTCCTCTCTCTCTCTCTCTCTCTCTCTCTCTCTCTCTCTCTCTCTCTCTCTCTCTCTCTCTCTCTCTCTCTCTCTCTCTCTCTCTTTCTCTCTCTTTCTCTCCTCCTTTTTGTCCTTCTCCCTTCCTCAGTCTATCTCTCGTACTTTCTATTTTTCCCGTCTCTCAACCCCTGCCTGTCAGTCTCTCATTTTTGCTCACGTCACAGCCTCCCACGCAGACGTGGAGGAGAAGTGGAGAAACGGGATTTCTTTCCCCTTGGCAATTGAAAAGAGGGGTTATGGCTCTCTTGCTTTTTTTTTTTTTTTTATCTGAGCAGAGAGGGAGCGATCTGATTTGTGGAGAAGCCCATCTCTCTTTTTCTCTTGCTCTCTCCCCCCTCTCTCTCTCCAACTCGAACGACTTTACTAAGATCGCCCACTAAGGTAGCCTTCCTCCACCGTTTTACACCCTTGTTTTTTTTCTTTTATTCCCTTTGTTTCTTTAATCAAACTCACTCCTAACACTAAAAACACACAAACAAACAAACAAACAAACAATAACATCAACAACAAAAGTTGAGCGAGAAGAAAAGGCGTTGGGCCTATTGGTGGCTCTCTTTGCCCTTGAACTACTCCAGGCCTCTTCAGATCCCCAACCCCAACCCCAACTCCCGCTGCACGTCAAACACATGTTTACATTTGGTTTTCCTTCTTTGTGTTTTTGTATTTGTGCCTTTTCTTTCTTTTTCTATTTTCCTGCCCCATTGTTCTTTTGTTTTTCATAGAGAGAACTTTCACCGAAAAGAAGTTGTTAAAAAAAGGTTCGAGAACGAACTCAAAAGGCGTAGTCGTAAGTTCTGTAACAATCATTCACATTGACACCACCAATTGGTATGTGAACCACTTGTTACTCTTCACTATTCTTCCACAAGACCATACTTGCACAAATACATACATAGACCTCTTACGTACTACAGTCTTACACACACTGAATCAAATTTAATCAACATCGAATCAAAAATCAACAGCATTCCTATACCGAAAACAACAAGAACGTGTACTACATGGTAAACACATACGTCAACTGTCTGCTTCAATCGTTTACCCAGTGGTGTACGATGAATGAGCAATCGGGTTATTCAAAGAACAAGTTCAACATCAACAAAAAAAAGGACCACTTGACCAGTTTGAACCAAGAGACTGATGACCTGCCCTTTCCCTGCCAATGCAGCATCGGCAATGCGCATTTTTGGTGGCGGCAAATAGAAAAAGCGCAACAGTCAGGTGACCATAACCCTAAAAAATGTATGTTCGTCTCCCTTTCTCTCGCGACCCATTTTTGGCCATGGTTGGTTGGCATCTAGCCTGCTATCTTGTTCAGTCGAAAAAGAACGTCGTCCTTGCTCTTGCTCTCCCTCCTTTTTTTCTTCTCACATTCTTCTTTCTTCATCAACCCCATCCCTCCCCCCTACTACCCCCTCCACCCAACTCCAAAGAATGGATCTCGGACTCGAACGTGTCACTCGATTGCTCGAGGCCCTCGCCCCTGCCGCATCACCGCTCCTTCCCCCGCCTCACCTGGCTTTTCCCATTATCCACGTCGCAGGCACCAACGGCAAGGGTTCCATCTGCGCCTACCTCTCCTCGATCCTCGCCGCTTCTGGTTTCCGTGTCGGCCGTTACAACTCCCCCCACCTCATCACTCCCAGAGACACCATCCAGATCAACAACAAACCCATCTCTCAGGAGGACTATGAATTCGTCACCCAGGTTGTCCACCAAAAGGACGCAGAGCTCAACCTCAAGGCAACCTCGTTCGAGCTCCTGACCGCGACAGCCTTTTATTTTTTTGCCTATGGCACTGGGGTCAGCACACATTCCCCTTCTTCCTCACCCACCTCGTCGTCGCCGTCCAAGGTTGATATTGCTATCATCGAGGTTGGCGTTGGAGGCCGTCTGGATGCGACCAACATTGTCCCTCATCCCAAAGTCTGTGTCATCGCTTCGATTGGAATGGACCATGCAGGACTGTTGGGAAACACAATCGAGGAAGTCGCCTTTGAGAAGGCTGGAATCATCAAGGCCGGTGCTCCTGTTGTCGTGGCACCACAGCACGAGGGCGAGAAGGTCTACCGAGTCATCCAGGAGAAAGCTGCCCAATTGACCCACTTGCCCGACCAGATCATCCGAGTCCAACCTGCGTCCTGGTTGAACCAACAAGAGGCTGACAAGCTGACACCGCCATCTCCCGTGGGTCGTTGGGCTGTCCGCGAGAACGGGTACCGGTTCTGGATCCCACTGTTGGGTGATTTCCAGTTGGAGAATGCCACGACAGCCATTGCGGCGATCAATGTGCTGAAGAGCTCGACGTTGAAGGAGAAGCAGGCGCAGTGGAGCGATAGGATCACAGATGAGACGATTCGGCAGGGGATCAGGAATACGGTCTGGCCCGGCAGGCTACAGTGGATTGAGGGCGAGAGTGCCCCAAGGGAGGTTCAGGGACGGGTGTTGGTTGATGGCGCTCATAACCCTGCGGCGGCTATCGCACTGCGGACGTATATTGACGAGCATATTTCAGAGTTATCGTCGGTCTCACCAACACCTCGGATACATTGGATCATGGCGTTTACAACGGGGAAGAACGTGGAAGAGATGTTTGACATTTTGTTTTCCAAGACATCCAAGAGGAACAGCGGGGCAGAAAGAGCATCAGGAGGAGATACATTCTCGGCAGTCGAGTTTAGTGCACCCGAGGGGATGCCTTGGGTGACTCCGATCCCGGCCCAGGAGGTATGCGATCGATTGGAGAAGCAACAAGAGCGAACGCACCTCCGAGAAGAGGACCGGATCCGCTCGAGGGCGTTTGGGGGAAACCTGAGGGCAGCCTTTGAGTGGGTGGGTCAACAGCGACGAGGCGACGACGTTGTTATTGTTTGTGGTTCGTTATACCTTGTAGCAGACCTCTTTCGATTGTAGCCGTTTCGTTTTTTTTTCTTTGTGCTCACATTTCCTGGTTTTTTTTTTTCCTTCTTGCATCAACGACAACATTTCTGTTCCCGTCTTGACGAATAAAAACGACGTATTCCGGCATGCACCCTTCCACCCATTGTTACCCTTGTTACTCCTGTTACTAGCTTGTTTTGGTAAGAGATGACCACGATATGACTGGTGCCAATTGACGTCGAAGGCTGTCAACACGACAGAAAACCCTTTTTTCCTTTTCGCGTGTCCCCTGAGCGCGTCCTTCTTGCAAGGCGATGTCTCCGTTTCAGCCTTGGACACCCTCGAGTCAATTTTTTCTCATTCCAGCGACGCGACACCTTCACCCTCAATATTGCTAACCCCCCACCCAATCTGTTGGCGTGATGCCCTCCTACTGCGACTGGCTGCGACTCATTCATCCAACCATTTCCCCCTCCCTCTTGTAATTCCTGTGTCAATTTTTTCTTGAGGTTCGCCCTTTTTGCCCCAACGTCTTTTGGGCAAATAAATAGCGCCGATCTGGTTGTCCCTACCCCTATCTTCCCACACATTTTCTTTCCTCTCGATACCCCTCCGCCTTCTCCCTCGCTCGCTGTTCTTGGCTTTTTTTTGTCTTCTGTTGTCCAATTTTCGTCTTTTCCACACACAACCGTTCTTCTCCATTCAACTTTACGATGGCCACGTACAAACAGCGAGCTCCAGTCATTCGTTATACACACATTGAAGACGAGAAGGACGCGGACCCCATTCACACAGAGTACCACCATCATCTTCATCATAGCCACGTCTCTGCAGCTGCAACGCCTGGACATGGGACGCACTCAACCGCATATCATGGCCGATCATCCTCCCCCTCCAACTGCAACGACTCCTTCCCCACAACCACCTCTTTCTTCGACACCTCTATCCCTGCCTCTAATCAAGAATGGGCCTCAGTCGGCAACTCCTCATCTTCTCGACGCAAGTCTCGTGAACGATTACAGCAGCAGTACCACGAGGAACAACAACAGCTTCGTGCTCAAGAATGGCACTTTGTACTCAATGAACAACCCTCTCGACGACGACAACTCCAACAACAACAGCAGCAGCGGCGACAGCACGAGAAGCAAAGAACGACGCCACTCTCGATCAGCCTGAATGGCAGAGCAACTCTTTCTGCGATAACAGTAGCGTCGTCGTCTGGGGACGATATCCCATTGTCAGACGAGGAGGAGGAAGAGGAGGAGGAGGAGGAGGAGGAGGAGGAGGAGGAGGAGGAGGAGAGGGAAGTGGAAGAATCAACAGCACCATCAACCCTAACAGTGCCAATAATGTTTCTGAGCGACGATACGGCAAGCAGTTTGGATTTTGCGTTATCCGACTTGACGAGCATCGAGGACCCCACTGAGGACGCCAGGTCCATATGGTCACACGATGACGAGATGGGCTCTTATTCCGCGTCGTATTACTCGCCCTCCCCCAACTACAGCGTTGCTGGGTTCGCGCCATTTGATTTCCCCTCTTCACCGTTCATGACAGCAACAACAACGACAACGACAACGACAACGACAGCACCGTCCATTTCATATAACAATACCCCACCACCTGCACCAGCACATCCACACACTCGTCGTCGGCTCCTGCCCTCCACCTCAGGGACCTCACTCGTAAGATCCACCACCACCCCATACTCATCCTCCAACTCGCTCAACCAACTGCTGTTTCACCCCACCATACCCCAACCACAACAACCACAACAGTTGCAAGGGTCGTCATCATCATCAACTCCGTTGTTTGGACGAGAGCGGAGCAGGTCCCAGACACACCACCAGAGTCAAATGCCATTCCACGACGGATCAGGAAATTTTGCCTTGTCACCTCCTTTCCTTCCTTCACCAAGACTCACGTCGCACACAACAACAGGGACGGTACCAGACTCTGAGTCAGGGTCTGATCTGGATCTAGAACTGGGTCCGTTGCATCATTTTCCACATCATCACGTATACCAGCAACAGTACCAGCATCAGCAACATCATATCTGGGGTCCGAAACCGCCTGTCCATCAGTACCAGGATGACTCTTCTTCTTCTGGCCCAAAATCGGAGATATCGAAGAAGATGACGATGACGACTATGAAGGAGAGGCAGCAGCGGCAATTGAGACTCAACAGCTGCCACAACAGCCCCCAATCCGCATCACCCTCACCCTTAACAGCAAGCACCAGACCGCGTCGCAGTGAGAGGACAAAATCGAGGCTGAGAGAAGACATTACCATGTACGACGATTCAGAGATGGAGGACATGCAGACGATGGAGGAGATGAACGTGTTGGTGGTTGATATCCCAGAGACCACAGGATGGCTTCAGGTGTTCGAGCATGCGCTGAGTACTTTCCGGACATCTTTTGAAGCTGAATTGGATTCAAGCGATTCCGAGACTGTGAGTCATAGGTTGGGCAATAAGTTGCAAACTACTTGCCTCAGTAGATAAGCGTACTAATTCTTCGCCCCTTTTTTCTCTCGTCTCTGTTTATCCCTTGGATTAGATCCATCCGATCAAGGCATGGGCGAGACGAGATGAAGGCTGCAATGAGAGGATTGATCATCAGATAGCAGGATCAGGAAGGACTGCGCCCAGAGGATCATCATTCGCAGATCATCAACATTCACCCATTGCTCTACCCTCGTCACAGTCACAGTCCTCACTACTTTCTCCCATCGAACGCGAGAGGATTACAGTAGTAAGACGGCAAATGTCAGCCTCGTCCCTCGACACGCTCAAACGTCTTCAGGCCCAGCAAACCCAACGACACCATTATAACTACCATTACCATCACTCCCCTCAGAGACAGGGCGCGTACGAGGATGAAGAACAGTGTAGCTCAACGACAACCCTATTGGCAGCAGCGTTATCAGCACTGCGTCGGTTTCGTGACCATGTCAAGTCGAATTTGATGGACCCTGCATTGGACGCGGAGTTGGTCAGTGACCTGTCAAGGCTGGGGTTTGCGGGCGATCTGGGGACGGTGGTTGCTGAGGGCAATTCTAGTAGTGGAGAGGAGGTTCATTTACTTTGATCTCACGCGTTATATCGAATTGGAGGTGCCTTAAAATAAACAGTATTTTTCCCCATCGCATACAATAGTTTTTTTTATAACAAGTCAACCACTTTTACTTCATCACAGGCCTCATAAGTTACAACCCTCATAAAAAAAAACCAGGAGTAATCCGCCCAAGATGTAAGGATGTCGATACTTAACAGGGACTTTGTCTCCGCCACCAGCTTTTCCTTTTAAGCACCTCGTTGTCGGTGCAGGTAGTGGGGTCGTTTCAGGAGAATTGATTTTCGCCTCCCATGTCGCACATCCTTTGTGCAGGTCCATGTCCGCCACGAGCTTTTTGGTTCGTGGGAAGGGTGTAGGAAGGGGAGGGCAAAGAGGTACAATTTTTCTTTTTCTTTTTCTGCCTTTGCACTGGTTCGGCGTTCTCCTTCCTCATTCTCCTTCTGTTCTGGGCAGCATGTGTCGCCGCGTGCCCATCAATGAATCATGGGTAACGATGTTGTCTATCATTAAAAAAAAAAAAAAAAAAGCGCACAAGAAAACGATCAAGGACCATTTTTTTTTTGCTATTCCATTCCTTGTTCTCATGACCAGATTGACGCGTCCGCATTTTTCGCGTTTTTGGATGACATTCTATTCGTGCGACCCACCATGTCTTACTTCGCACCTGTCCTCAATGAAGATATTCGTGTACTCGCGTTAATGTCTTTCTTTTCCCAGGAACGTCCATGAGGATATAAAGGTAGGGACTGGGCGCAGCAAAGAAGTACTTTTTTTCATGCAGGACAGGGATGGAAACAAAATACGGCAGTGATATATAACAAAAGACGAAAATGAACCCCCTGCTATTAAGCCATGTCTACGCGATCTTTATCACGGTGACGATACCCACTTGCGCGCTTTATTACGTTTGCATGCCGCTCCCTTTTGTGCTTCTTTCTCTACGACAAAGAAAAGAGACGGTGGTTTGAAGGAAAGTAAGAAGCCTCTCCCCTGTTCATCGCTCTTTTCCATATTATTTTTTTCGTTCAAGGCATGCTATGAATAGACTTTTTGCGATTTGTTTGGGCGCATTTCCCCCCCGCCTTCCCTTCTTTCCATTGCATCGCCCACATACGCATCCCAACATAAAATTAACATTTGGAAGGGTCAAGATTATCATTTTATGTTGTCAAAAAAAAAGGGGGAAAGGTGGGACAAGAAAGTGCTCAGCAACCGTTGTGTCTCTACCATGATCCGTACAAAAAAATTACACGTGCTTCTAATTCTAGATTTAAATCAACTCGGTAATGGCATCTCCAAGAGCCTTATGGACCTTGGCGGTAGGGTGGAAGGCATCCCAGAACAAGTACTTGCCTGCATCCTTGCAGACGGTTTTATAGTCATTGCTGACACACCCGTGAACATCATCCGTGATTCCGAGACGCTTCAAAACTTTGGGCTCGCGAATGTGGTTCAAGAAGTCATTCAACTTGTAGTATCCGAATGTCACCTTGGCCTTCTTGTTGTTCTTGCGGCAGGCACCGCGGAAGGGATGCTTGGCGTCCGAAGGGCGTCCATACTTCTTTGCCAATCGCTTCTCCAGGTCCTTGTACGCCACCTGCTGCGCCTTGGCAGCCTGCGAGAACGCTCCCGACACCGTCGCATTCCCACCAAAGTAAGGCATACTTCCAAAATCAAAGTTCTCGACCACCAAAAAGTTCTGGGCCCCCAACTTGACCAACTTCTCAATCCCTCTCTCGATATTCGCAACGACTGCAGTGGGGGAGGCGGCAAGGTTAAAGAAATAATCGTTGCCCTGGAAGTTGACGACGAAGAGGGAGGAGGCGAGGTCCTTTTTGGGGACGGGTTTGGGGGAGTAGTATTGGTCGATTTGTTGGATAAATCCGGGGACGGCGAGGTCGGATGCGGCACCGGTGTAGCCTTGGACGAATTTTGAATCGGTTGTGGCACCGCCAAAGGCGTAGTTCTTCAGCTTCAAATGCTTGTGGCGAGCAACCTGGATGAGGTATGGGTTAAGGAATAGATGGAGAAAAGAGTGGCGGAGGAGTTAGATAGAAGAAAATTGGCACGGTTACAAAAGAGTCGTACAAACAAAGGAGAATTGTTGGAGGGAGTGAATAGCAACAACAAAAAACAAAGAAGCGAGGGAGCCATACGTGCTCGGACCAGACAAGTCCGTTAGTGAAGCGGCCGTGGTCATTGAACTTGAGGGGCCAGGCTTTGTTGGACAGTTTGTAGACGTTGCCGATGTCCGAGTACGAGTCGCCAAAGACGAGGAGGTTGTCGAAATGGCAGTTGCCGTTCGAGGTTGGCTTAGCGTCGACAGAGGAGGTGGCGGTCGCTGTGGCCAGGGCGACAGCAACGAGGGATGCGATGTTGAATATCATTGATGGAGGGGGTAGGTGGTATGAAGAGAAGGAGTGAGCGAAGTGGAAGGGAAGGGAAAGTTGAGGGAGAGAAGAAAAGAGAAGAAAAGGACGAGATGTTGCTCTCATTTATATTACTCATCGGGGCACTGCCGAACTAAAGAGAGAGGGAAGGGGCGTTAGTATCCATGAGGGAGTAAATGCATGGAGTCCATAGCCCATTCTGGAGTATGTCCGCGATCGCGTTCCTCCCTATTCTCTCTCTCAACCGCCCTTCTATTTTCTACTTCTAACAGTTTCGACAACATCAACAAAAGGATAACGTTCTCTTGGGAATGATTGGTTCAGGATTAGGGCTCACCCTGTTGTTCGTGTTCTCTACACACAAAGAACCTTTACCCATACACCCTCAAGCCGAGTCATCCATTATTCCTCGCAAGAACGTCCAGACAGGAAGTCGAGAATGCAAGCTATTATTCGAGCTCAGTATCCTTTAATGAGATTGAACGTGTGATGGTCCAAATGCACTCAATTGAGGCACCTTGCCGCTCCAAATTCATCCTCGTGTTCGAGAATGAATTCTCCCCATCGCTGCAGTCAAATCATAAAGAAAGCATAGCCAACAACGCCCCTCCTCCTCCCCAACCGAACCTTGTCTGTTTGTTTAGTAGGTATCCTCTCTTTTCTCTGGCGATCGTCTCCTGTTAGAGACTAGTGTCATTCAAAAAAAGAGGCTTCGTTGTGGAAGTAAAAAGTTTGTAGAACACAATGAGACACCAAACACAACAAATGCGGGAGCAAATCACAGACAAGTTTCGTTCTGTTTGGTCATACGGGTAAGATACTGGCGAAGGAGAAAAGGATATCTATTTGTGATATGATATCGCGACTCTAGAAGTGACTAGAGCTTGACTTGGGCGTGACTCTTCTTCTCCTTGGTCTCCTCACTCGTCTCCTGTCCTTGCTTTTGTTTCTCCTCAGCAGTGTTAGCATTCGCGATCGCGCCTGCGGTTCTAGCCGCGTCCAATATATCCAGCAGTGTGGCAGAGTCGATAGTTGCAAACTTGATGTTGTCTTGCTTCTGCGGTTGCTCCTTGCCGGTGGCGGCGGCGGCGGCCTCCTGTTGGTGTTGTGGTGGTGTGGACGGTGCTTTGGCCTGTTGAGGTTCCTTTTCAGTCTCTTTGGCGCCAAAGATCGCGTCGAAGACATCCTTGGCATCCTTAGTCGCCTTCCCTTGTCCCTCAAGGCCACCAAAGAACGCGTCGAAAATATCCTTGTCCTCTCTCTCCTCACCTTCCTTGCTCAACACGTCCTGAAGGTCGCCTTCCATTTTGAGCATATTCTCAAGGTTCTCATACACCGCCTTGTCCTCTGGGGACAGCATGGCCTTGAGACTCTCCGAGAAGGCCTCGTACTGCGCAAGGACCGCCCTCATTTTCTTTTGTGCCTCGACATCATTAACTTGTTTGGCGAATCCGAGGATGTCCTCGAAGGTCGTAAAAAGCGTTGGCGGTGGCTCTGTTCCTGGTGCTCCAGTCGCTGCAGCCCCCACGCCCTGTTGCGTCTGGCGTTGGTGTGGTTGCTGCCGTGGTACCTGGCCGATTTTGATTTGTGCGTTGTGGTCCTGAACAATTCCTGCGGCTCCATCAATGGCCTCGGGAACGTTGGCCTTCAGCTTTTGATATTGCTCGTCAGAGACAATGCGCCTGCACTCAATCTTGTTGGCCTCCGGAGTGGGGACACTTTCAAAGGCCGTGTCCTTGCACAAGTTGGGTGAGTTGATCACCATAATGTAGTTGCAGGTCGAAGGCTCCGTCACCACTTGAATCCTATCATCAAACGGCGCGCATTGGAACTACCATTTTTGTTGCGAAATGTCGAATGACCTGGTTAGTAACATGGTCTCGTCCATATAACCGTTTCGCGTTTAGTAACGTGAGCGACTCAAAAAAGGCTTACCTGGACCTCGACTTTACGAGGCTGCCCTGTCAAGTCGCAGAGGTCTCCGTTGTCCCAGCGCTGGACGAGATACTTGCGCTCATTGCTGACCTCCAGCTCGGTGGTGGTGACGGTTGACTCAGTAATAGATGACGAAGGCGACCGCTGCTGAAGGGCGGCCTCGTTGTCAGGGTGGGCCTGGTTATTGTTGTTGTTCTCCTCCGATTGATACATTGCTAGGACATAGGTGTTCTCTGGTGTATCAGGGACCCACTGACCATTCGAATGCACTGCGTGGTATTGGCGAATCCACCTTTTGTGGCAGTACTCGTATGTCCAAAAGTCGCGTTTCTGTTACATGTATGACAATTTTGAAAAGGGTGTGCGAGACAGATGAGAATCAAGGTGCTGCCAATACACTCTTCACATAGCGTATGCCATATAAAGACTCGGCATCTCTGCTCCTTCCTATCTCCTTCATTCCCTCTTAACCTTCTCTTCATCTTCTTCCTCTTATCTCAATGAATCGACATGTTTCCGAAGCGCAATAATTACCATGAGAAGACAGTGTCGAGAAAGATGGTCGAGCAGTTCCAGACCGCGCTGGACACTCCGACGCTCCTCCTCCTTGATCTCCTGCGGGGTCAATTCGGGAGGTGCTTTAATCTCGTGCACCATCTTGGGCGGGATCATACATGACCAGCGCATTCCGTCCGCATCGGTCATCACCACGATCGAGGGTGACTCGCGAGTCGTCTCCTCTTGTTGTTCCTGATCCTGTGTCTCTGACTTTTTCATCCCAATCTGCGCCTGCGCCTGCCTTTGCTATCTCCGGTGAAAGGATCAACATAGAGCGTGGTTAGAACCGAGCGTAAAGTGTCCTTGGCAAAGTGAAAGTCGTCAACAGGGAGACCTTTACCTGTCGACGGTGTGTGCTGGAACGAGAGGCGACAGAGGAGGCGGGAACGACTTCCTCGAGGAACTGGACATCATACTGAGGGTGGGCGAGGAGGTCGTTGTAGACAAAGTTGACGGAGAATGCTTCTGTGTGAGGAATGTCCAGCAAGACGACAGCTCCGATGGTTGCGCAGACTAGGATGGCAGCCTTTGTGGGCGATATTGTCTTGATTCGCATTGTGTTTTTATGGTTGTCCTTGTCCTTGTACGATGAGTCGTGGAGGGTGGTTGTTGGTTGAACAAGAGATGCATAGATGGGTGGTTTTTGGGTGGTTGTGAACAGGCAAGAAACGGTGGTGGTTTGCTATTGGCCAATCGATTTTGATATATAGATGAGTGTGAGAGCCACTGGGCGCAAAGGGATAGTGTAGTGCAGGCACACAAGTCAGGAAGAAAGGGGGCAAGAGTGTTTACGTCCTTTTTGCACTGAGAAGAGAGTCGCCCTCACACACTCTCTATCCATGGTGGATACACCTTTGGTAGGTAGGCAGGCAGGTAGGTAATCATACAAACATGCAAAAGAGAGAGAGTGACAGAAGGGCGCCTTGGTAGAGTCAGAAAAGACAACCCCTGGCCATTTGATTAAGGGTATGTTGCACTTCAAAAACTTTTCCTCCCTCACTATTCCCTTTTTTTCCCTCTCTTTCTTTTCTTTCTTTCTTCCTCCTCCTCCTTCCTTCTCTCCGCTTCCCTTTACCACCAATTCTCACACTCTCACTCTCAACACCCTCTCACTCTCGCACTCTCGCTCTCTCTCTCTCACTCACTTACTCAATCGATCTCGATCAACAAACAAGCCAACCAACAGCCAAACCAACAACAAGCAACGCAGGATCTGATCCTTCTCAAACAAAACAGTTCACCAGACCACAAAAAAGATCTCTCACCCTCACTCTCATTCATTCTCTCCAACTCTCCATTTCACACGCACACCTACTCCTCTTTACTATAACCGACAACCAACGATATTTACCTCTCATATAATTCTACTCTCCTCCACCAACTCACCTCTCACTCACGCGCTCACTCTTTTTTCATTGAACAAGGCGACTCTTTCGTCACCACCTACTCTCACTCACAACCTACCCGCCTGCTGAACAACAACTGGCTACAACCACTCAGCAACAACTTTACACACGCTTCCACACCAAACAAACTTGACCATGGCCGCCAACCAACATCCCATGGCGTAAGTGTCTTTTTTTTAAGTCTCTTTGATCGCGACTATGGATCACGATCAGCCGGCTATACTTGCATTCCTTATTCAAAAGATGGTCATCAGCTATGGATCAACAAATAGACAAAGTTGCTATATCCTTGATGCTAACCCCTTTATTTTTTTTCCTGTATTGTTGTTCTGATCATCACCAGCCACGAGAATGACAGTTGGAAGAAGCAGCTTAACCTTCCCACAAAAGACGAACGGCCCCAGACAGAGGTGAGCTTCTTTCTGAACTGTCATTTTCTGCTTACAAAACATGTGTGATGAATCAAAAAAAAGGCGGTTGAACTAAAAAATATATTTCGTATCTCCACCTTTGTTGCGGTTTCGGATCACTCTCCACCCCCTCTTTCTCATGCCTTTTGCCTCTCTCCAGGACGTCACGGCAACCAAGGGCAACGAGTTTGAGGACTACTTCTTGAAGCGCGAGCTGCTCATGGGCATCTTCGAGGCTGGTTTCGAGCGCCCATCGCCTATCCAGGAAGAATCCATACCCATTGCCCTCGCTGGAAGAGACATTCTTGCCCGTGCAAAGAATGGAACCGGAAAGACCGCTGCCTTCGTCATCCCCTCGCTCGAAAAGATCAACCTCAAAAAGAACAATGTCCAGGCCCTCCTCCTCGTCCCCACTCGTGAGCTCGCCCTCCAGACAGCACAGGTCTGCAAGACCCTCGGCAAACATATGGGCGTCCAGGTCATGGTCACCACCGGAGGCACCACCCTCAAGGACGATATCATGCGTCTCAGCGAGACCGTTCACATTATCGTCGGAACTCCCGGTCGTATCCTCGACTTGGCCGGTAAGGGTGTCGCCAACTTCAGCGAGTGCACAACCTTTGTCATGGATGAAGCCGACAAGCTCCTCAGTCCAGAGTTCACACCTATTGTCGAGCAGTTGCTCACCTACTTCCCTAAGGAACGCCAGATCATGCTTTACTCTGCCACCTTCCCCATGATCGTCAAGACCTTCAAGGTATGTTTCGACCGTTGTCACCTGAGCCAAACTATATTGTCCGTGCTTGCTTGAATGTGAGCCTTACTTTTTTCTTTTGACTATTGCTGACATTCTTCTTATCTCTTCATGTCCTTAGGATAAGCATATGACCAAGCCCTACGAAATTAATCTGATGGACGAATTGACACTTCGTGGTGTTACCCAATACTATGCCTTTGTCGAGGAACGCCAAAAAGTCCACTGCCTCAACACCCTCTTCTCCAAGGTAAAAGAGATCTTCCATCGAAATCGCGCGCATTCATTATTTACGCGTTTTTCGCGTTATTTCTGTGATCGTCGATCTGCACCTTGACACAAATCTAACCTCATCTCCACAACATCTTTCCTCGCCTCAAACAGCTCCAAATCAACCAGTCCATCATTTTCTGCAACTCCACCAACCGTGTGGAACTTTTGGCAAAGAAGATCACAGAGCTGGGCTACTCCTGCTTCTACTCTCACGCAAAGATGCTCCAGTCACACCGTAACCGAGTTTTTCACGATTTCAGGAACGGAGTCTGCCGCAACTTGGTCTGCTCGGATCTTTTGACCCGTGGTATCGATATCCAGGCCGTCAACGTTGTTATCAACTTTGATTTCCCCAAGAACGCCGAGACCTATCTTCATCGCATCGGTCGTAGTGGTCGTTTCGGTCACTTGGGTTTGGCCATTAACCTGATCACCTACGAAGATCGTTTCAACCTTTACAAGATCGAGCAGGAGCTTGGAACTGAAATCCAGGCCATTCCCCCTGTTATCGACAAGCGTCTCTACGTCGCCCCTTCTGCTTTGGACCAACCCGAGGACGAGCAGCAACAACAACAACAGCAGCAACAGAAACGCTTGCAGTATAACCAGCCGCAACAACATCAGCAACAACATTTCCATCAGCAGCAACAGATGGCCCACCATATGTACCAACAGCAACAACAAATGAATCACCAGCAGCAACAAATGAATCACCAGCAACAACAAATGAACCACCAGCAACAACAACACTTTCACCACCAGCAGCAAAGGCCACAGCCGCCACCACAGTTGCAGCAACAGGAGCGTCGCTAGTGTGCCTACCACCTGTATTATTTGAGGCACTTCGGGAGAACGAGCTCGTCGGCGTCAGGACGAGATTTTTTTTTTTTTTTTTTGGACCCCACTTTTTTTTGGCTTCGTCTTGTTCTTTTTCTTCGTTCATTCCCATCATGAACAGACTTTTCAAATGGTCAAACGAAGGAAGGAATAAGGACGAGCCCTTTTTTTTTTTTTTTTTTTTTTGGCCCCACAAGATTCTTTTTTTTTTCTTTTTCTTTTTTTCTTCAGCGCGACCTCCTCACCATGAACACGCAAGTTGTAAATAAACCCCCAATTTGTTCGCGCTACTGAAAAAAGGCCACAGGATGAACAATGCTGAATGATCAATGGTGTGACATGAAAGGGTTCTAACAACCCGCCAAGCAAGGGCGCACAAGTGGCCAACCAACATCAACGAAGATCGCTTCGAGAAAGAGGGCCTTCTTCAAACGATAGACCTTGAACCTTAAATTGCATTAGGAAATGGGCACAGGCATTCCCCGCCAACAAAACCAGCCAGACAAACCCTTGACGAGAGGCCAGGCTTTCTCTCTCACACAGACACAAAAATGGCCCCATACACATACATCGTCCTACCATTCATCACAACCCCCCCCCCCCTACGACATGCATCGTGAACATCGTCAAAGAATAATAAATAAGAGTTTTTAGTGTTTTTTTTACGCTTTTTGTTTTTGTGCAGGGAGGAACTCTATCTAAGACACAGGATGAATATTCATAGCGACACCATTATTCACGAAATGCGGCTCGACATGACATTGCGTTGTCGGATCGGGCTGCTGTACGACAGATTGGTGTTCAGGAATAAACTTGCGCAACGAGGACGGGCGGCTCCCAGGACTAGGAGAAAGTGGAGATCCGCTGTGTAATGGACTACTGGCACCGTTCCCTTTGGCGCTGTGGAGACTGTTGATGGTGTGGACACTGTTGACGGTGTGGGCACTGTTGATCGAGAGACGGTTGGGGTTGATCGTGGGGCCTTGGATAGTCGACGACCGACTCCGGCCTCCAAACCCTCCAGCTCCAAGCATCAAACTTCCAGATTCCGAAACGAGTGTTGCAGTTGTCGACGAGGCTGGCGAGATGGCTCCTCCTCCTCCAAAGCCCGGCATGACTCTCTCATGATCCGACAGCGACACTTCATCAGCTCGAGGCTGAGGTTGAGGGGCGGGTTCCGGGTTAGAATACGACGCCAAAGAAGACAAGTTCGGGGAGGACTCAAACTTTTGTCGAAACTGTGGTTGGTAGGCCGAGAGGAGTGCATTAGGGGACGATGTCGTAGGTGCTCGAGCGTCCTCCAGATCCAGACCTCCATGGTACAACGACCCTGTGAGTCCCATTCCTCTATGAATAGATCCTCCTTGCCCGCCATCGCCATAGTCGTCCGTATCCTCGCTGTTCAGCATGAACCCATTTGGCTCGCCGCCTTCGCCGTCCAGAGGATGCTGCTGCAAGAGATCATCCTCACCATGCAAGAACCGTCCGATCCCGTTCGAAGAATAGTTTGGGTGAAGGTATGAGGATCCTCCAGAATGCGCTCCCTTGGTATGCTTCTTTCGGAACCCCTTGATCATCTTGCCGAGCGAGAACTTTTCCTTCTGGTGCGGGTTATCGGTCGTCATCGAGTTGGCATTAATGCTGCTCCCAGTGTTGCTGTTCCCATAGATCGACGGCGCTTGGTTGCTGCTATCCCATTGTCCATTCGCGTTGGCAGTATAACTCGACCCCGTGTCTCCAGAATCCTTCGAATTCACCGACGCTCTATCGCCATCCATTTGGTTCTGCTGCTGCTGCTGCTGCAGTTGTTGACGCTCTTGTCGCTCCTTCTCCCAGTTCTTCAACTTGTCCTTCAGCTTCTTCTTCTCCTTGCTCGCAGCCTTGTTGCCCTCCAGACCTGCGGGTTGGTACTCCGTGATCCCGTAATGACTGTAGTGCTCCTCCATTGTCCGAACGGCCTCGATGTTCGGGAACTGTTGTGGAGCGTTGCTTGGGTTGAGTCCCATCGACGTTCCTGTAGAGTACGAGAGTGTGATACTGGGGTCAAGTGATCCTCGTCTTTGGTGGATAGTCGATGGTGGTGATAAACTCCCGTTGATTGTGCTAGTGGTGTTATTATTGTTGTTCCCGTTCGAGTTGCCATTGGTAAAGTTGCTGCTGTTGCCGTTACTATTACTGCTGCTGTCGTTATTACTATTGCTATTGTTGTTGTGTTTCCGGTTGAACAGCCAGTTATGAGTCGTCGTCGTGGTGCTGGTTGTGTTGACGGTCGTCGAATTGCGCCTGTTTCCAGGAGTCGAATCAGGGGCAGAAGCAGCACTCGAGGCGGTGGTGTTGGTGGTGGTAGTAGAGTTCATAGTGGCTCCAAACCCGTAATCAGACACCTCAATCCCGCATCCTCCTGGAACATGCAGCGTCCGCGTGAACATCTCCTCGGGTGACTCAACAATCGGTCGCTGTTGGCTATGCTCGCCATTTGGTCGCATCGGATCGTCATCTAGAGAGTTGAGGGCCGGCTGCGGGTTTCCTGCTAGGTCGCTGCTGCCGCCATTGTTGGGGTGATTATTGGTGTAGGTATAATTCCGCTGCATAACTTCGTCGCCAAGAGACGCATGCGATCGAGACCCAGGGGCGTACTTGTAGATCGTAGGCGCAGCGATCGAATCGGCGCGAGGTCGGACTCGAACTTCTCCCGTGAGATCCATAGCAGTCCGTGGACTACTGGCGCCGGCGCTGTTGCTGTGGTTATAGGACTCTGTCACATCGATCGTCGCAGAACGCATGGAAGGACTGAGGGTATGAGAAAGGCTCTTCGCCTGCTGCTGCGGCATTGAGTGGGCGTTGTGATGCTGTTGCTGTTGCTGTTGCTGTTGCTGTTGTTGCTGTTGGGGTTGCTGCTGCTGGTTCGGGTTGGGTGTTGGATCAGCAGTCCCGCCAGGTTGGATCTCCTCGCCAAAAATACCTCCAGCACCGTCGCTGTCCGAAAACGGAATGTCGTCCATGTTGGGGAGGACCATGGTCTCTGCAATCGCCTCCAGCATCTTGTTCTCGATCGCCTTGATGATCAGGTTCGACTTGATATGCTTGTCCGACACCACGGGCTCAATCTTCATCTCGACCTGAGGCTTGTGATAGAATCCGTACCAGATCCGGTTACAGGGTGGAGGCTTGATCCAGACCTGGACACGACCCTCGAGACGAATCAAAGTCATCACAAGGACGAGGGACACCTTGATCGGCTGAATTTTCTTGGTGACCGTGACGACAGCCTCGGCCTCGACCTCTGCACGGAATCCTCCCTGGTAAAGGAGACTGAGATCCATCACCATATCACCGTTGGGTTTCAGGGCCAGGAGCTTGGGTCGGGTGATCAGAGGGACACCGTCGCCGAGATGGACGGATTTCATCCGCATGTCGTTGAGGAAATTAGGGAGGCGAACTCGCGACAGTTTTTCAACCATCTTTTGGAAGACCATGTCCTTGATCTGAGGAGTCTTGTAAACGCCGAGAAATAACCGTCCGAGAAGGGCATTCATCCATGCTGCCTGGAACTGGTGCTCGTTGGAATGGATCGTCCGGATCAGGGTGTTCATAGCCGACTTGTCAAACATTGTCGAGTCCTGATAGTGGTCATAACATCCGATTTGAAATTAACAACAGCAAGTGCGAAGTAACAGGTTGACCCAGATCGTGTACGTAGGATGACGCACACAAAAACGTTGGAATGGTGGTGAGCATCAACGGTGAGCAGACAGAGGAGCCAGGGCAAGCGGCAATTAAAGAAAAAAAGAAAAAAAAGAAAAAAAGAAATAAAAAAAAAGAGAGAGAGAGAGAGAGAGAGAGAGAGAGAGAGAGGGGGGGGGGGGGGGGGGGGGAGAGAGAGGGAGAGAGAGAGAAAAGAGAAAAAACGGGGATTAGAAGGAGGTGCATTGCTGGTTTTGGTCTGAGTTGATGTTCAAAGTTTGGGTCATAATTTAGGGCGCGCCTAATAATATAGGGCTGCAGCAATCATTCATTAAGTTGAGCTCTCATACGCAGACAGACAGACAGACAGACAAGCATGCAGACGACAGACAAACATACCCGCTTTGGAATTTCTCGTATGAAGGAACGGTTGGGCTTGAGCTTTGAGCAACGCAGCAATGTAAAGTAGAGATCTTCCTTATCGATGCAGCTCACCATGGACAGGTAATAGTCCTTGGATGATGAAAGGCTGTTCTCCGAGCTGGCTGTCGACCGCCGAGTATGATGAGAACTCGTTGAAGCCAGCGAAGCAGGACCTCCAGGAGCTTGGTACTTGAGCCAGATCGGGTTCCGTTTCGAAAAGATGTGTCCGTCCTTTTGTTGTCCTGGTACCGACACTTGATAGTTGGGTATTGTGATGACACCCAGGCACTCCTGCACAAGTTCGTTCTCGTATATGAACATGGTAGCCCCTTTGATGACAGCGTATTTCGAATCCTTGAATCGGGCTTGAAGCCATGGTGGGAGTGAGAGATGAGGGTTCTGTGTGTCGAGATATGTGAATCGAGGGTCCTGCGCCACTGGTCCCGCTCCAAAAGATCCAGCGATCCCTTGACCAAGCCCTCCTTCATCCAGAGGTCCACCGACATAGTTGTTGTTGCCATTACCGCTGTTGCCGTTGGAGTGCCCATTCTTCCTCTTGTTCACTTTCTGAAAATTGGGCTCAATGATCCGATGGTCGACATCTGGTATCCGCTTGACCGAGATCCAACCTGCAAATTGATATTGAGGGTCGAGGTGTTCGGGCATTAAACCCATTCCGGCTAATCCGTTGCCATTGGATCCGCCACTGCTCGGTCCGCCGCCTGACGATCGCAGGCCGCCCAAGTACGATGCGTAGAGGGCTGAGGGCATGTCCTCGAGGTCGAGCTCCAGTTCCTTTTCCTTGATCCGTTCTTGTTCGAGCTCCTGCCGCATTTTCTCCTTGTGCGATTCGGAATAGGTGAAGAAGTAGTATGCTCCGGCCAGGATACTCAGCGGCAAAAATAGGACTCCACAGAGGAATCCGTATATGAATCCCATTTGGACTCAATTGATAGAGGATAGGAGGGAGGGTGGTCGAATGAGAGAGGGAGGATGATATGGTTGTTGTTGCCGTCGTGGTGTCGTTATTAGTTCGGCTCTGTTGTTGTAGAGGCAAGGCAGGGTATGGAAAGAAGGAAGGAAAGACGAAAAGAGGAGGTTATTAGACGACGAAAGGACCCTACGTTTTTGAGGAACGACCAGGGGAAGATCAAAAAAAGAGGGAAGAAGGATAAGAAAGGAGATGAAGTGTGCATGTGGACAGAGTTACAAAAAAGAGGGGGTGAAGACAACGAGAGGATGATCGTGCAGGTGGACAGGTGTTGTGATAGTAATAAACAGGATCGAAGGAAGGCAGGAAACCCCGCACGCACACGCACAAAAAACAACCTGATCACGACAGCCTGTGGCCCAGGAACCAAACTCTCTTCGAATATGGTCGTCTGTCTTTACTCGAATCGTTTTTTTTGTTCGTTGGTTGTTTAGGAAGACGCAGGGGAAAGGGGCGAGGGATATGGAAGGAAGGGGGTCAAGTCTGAGAAGGCGCATAGTCGGACATCAATGAAAGGGAAGGGCATTGGCGAGTAATTGAACAGTAAAAAAAAAAGATGTGGATAAAGACTTCGCATTGGGTTGAGTGAGATGGAACAAACGATCTTAAACTCGGTGCTGGCTGTTGAGGGTGACAGTAACTCAAGAGGATAATTACATGCATCTGTCGCGCGAAATGTGGCAGTGGTGGAACGTCCGCTTTTTCTTTTTTTTTAATTGGTGCGCTCAGCACTGCCTTGCATCGTTGGTTATTTGAGTTTCAAAGCGATCAAGCAACTCTTTTCTTTCCTCTTTTTTTATCTGCCTCCGTCAACTTTGATCCTTCAATGTTATGTGTGTGTATATATGCTTGTATGTTTGTATGTTTGTATGTATGTGCAATTGAAGAGGATGTTGTGGTTTTTGATAGTGGACACGAATTATCAGTGCGAGTGTGGATAGTGTGTGTAGACTCCAATTCATCGCGCGGGGTTAGGGAGAAGACAATTGGCACATCGAGATACGGGAGTTGATATTGTCGACTTGAGAGAAGAAGAGATGGGGGGTTGCACCGCCTTGAGAGACGGAAGGGGATGGATATTGCATGGTTGAGGTATGGTGCGATTGAGGGCGAGAGTGCGAGCATGAAAGAGAGAGGGAGAAGAGCATGAATATTTCCTCCTGCAGCAGATCAATGGATAAGCGTGCAAGAGAAAAGAATAAAAAAGGAGAGGGAGAGAAGGAGGGTGAGGAGGAGGGCGGAGTAGCTCCAAGGACACGTACCGAGAGTCTTTGTCTATGGGGAGCGGTGAGGAGAAAAGAAGAGACGTGGTGGCGACTAGACAAGGCAAGACAAAAAGGTGTCGGGACACACAAGGGTGGAGGAGAGTGGAGAGTGGAGGGTGAATGCAGAGAGGAGAGAATGGATGGAATGAGAAGTGTGGGCAGATGCGTGAATGAGAGAGTGAAAGAAGATGCAAAGAACAAAACGTTGGCAGTGAACAAGTTGTCTGGGTAAATGTTAAGGCGGAAAAAAAGACGAGGGAAAGAAAAAGAGTGGCGTGAATACAGAATAAATAACGATTGCAAAAAAGTGGAAGCAGGCTGGTGTGAAGGGCAGGATGTGGAATGGGAGAAGACGGAGCGAGGGGTGATGATGCAGGCGAGGGGGAGAACAAGAAGAAGAAAATAGACAAGAAAGAAAAAGGACGGTGACGAAGAAAGGGATGGAGGGGAAGAGGAGGAAGAGGGAGAAGAAGAAGAAGAAGAAGAGGAGAAGAAGAAGTACAGAAAAAGATGAATGCGACGAGTAGTTGTGTGCGATGGAGACAGTGGAGAGGACCATTGGATGGAAGGGTGGACTGCTTTTTCGGTCCTCTTTATCTGATACTCTGATACTCTGATACTCTTTTGCTATTTATGCGTTCATCTGCCATGAGGCAGTATGTACTATGGGGTACTTTTGGTACTTTTTTATCTTTGCCTTTCCTTCTCTTCCTTTCCCTCTCTCTCTCTCTTTTCTTTTTTTTGTGTTCATCTCTCTCCCTTCCTCCTCTTCCATCTCTTTCTCATCAGTCGATACCCTTTTCTCTCCTTTCTTTGTTTCTTTGTTCCTTTGTTCCTTTGTCTCCTTGTTCCTTTGTGAACTCAGCCCTAAGCTACTTACATCTCATCCCTGTGCCCTTCCTTCTTTCTTCCTTCCTTTTTATCTCTGTCGCCCTCTGTAGCCCTCTCTCCCTTTTATAACCATTCACACTCTCTTTGCCCAATAGCTCATTCCCCACCCGCCATCAATTCATTCCACTCTGTCGACAACTCTTCACACACACACACACAGACACTTGACCTGCCATAAACCCGCACACACACGCACACACATACACACAATCTCTCTCTTTCTTGCATTCTGCGCCTACACTCATACATAATATAACACACACCGATGACGGACACTTCGACTGCCACCCTTGACCAGACAGGCGACGCCGCAGACAACAGCACAGTCTCACTGACTCTCCTCCTTGTTTCTGGCTCTCGATCGACTTTTACCTTCCAGGGGACAGAGACTATCGAGAATGTAAAGGCCAAGGTCTTTGACAGCTGGCCCAAGGACTGGGAGGAGGAGAAGCCTGCCTCACCCCAGTCCCTAAAGATCCTTTACCTGGGCAAGTTCCTCGCCGACTCCTCGACCCTTGAATCCAACAAGATCCAGTCCGGAAACACAACAATAGTCCACCTGACCATCAAGGCCCCTGAACAGGAGCCCCACGGCAACTCAAAGTCCGACTCTGCCGCAAAGTGCAAGTTCTGCCTCATCCTCTAAAAGAACCCAACCGTTTTCTCTTGTCTCTTGTTTTACATTTTGCATCTGGACTGGACCACTTTCTTTTTTACCTGCATATGTTTACACTCGACCACCACCGCCCGCCACAACTCTACAAACCAACCTTGTTCTCCACTACCAATCACAGCTCGTTTGTTCACCTTCCGTTGTCTCCTCGTCAAGTACTCACACTACACCCTGTAACCCACAGGCCAGTCAACCATGACGCTCTTCTCATAACTCCGCCTGACTTTTGTCGCCCTTGGTTCTTTTTTGACAACCTGAAGTTCCTTTATTTCTTTCTAGTGATCCGCCTTTTCTCTCACTCCTTGTCTATCTCTCTCACTCTCATCCACTACACTGCGTTTCTCCTGCGTTCTACACTTCTACTTGGTACATATCTCGATAATAAAATTCTGCAAGCAGTTCTGGCAAAGACAAACTTCATTTTGGCGACCCATGTGTCGTGCGTGAGGCACATCACGTGGGAATGTTCACGTGATATTCTGATCTTTGAAAGGAGGTGGCGAAAAAAGATCTTTTTCTCTTTCCAGACACAACCAACGAACTAACCAACCACCATCCAACCAGCCATCAACACAACACTATGGCTAAGAAGAACAAGAAAAAAGTCATTCGTCCCTGGTGCTGGTACGCAAACAAGAACATCACACCTACACCATAGTCGCCGGATCTGCCAGGATGTAACTGTTTCTGTACTCACGCACAGCCTCTCTCCACCATTGTTCCAATCTAGGTACTGCGAGCGTGATTTCGAGGATGAGAAGGTCCTGATCTCCCACCAAAGGGCCAAGCATTTCAAGTGCAACCACTGCAGCAAGAAACTCAACACGGCCGGAGGAATGGCCGTCCACGTTATGCAGGTCCACAAGGAGACCATCAGCACGTACGTCAACTACGAGAAACACTGGTGTTTTCGGAACCTTGTCAATTCTTTTCCTTAAGCTAACAAAGACGATACAATATCTCGCACCATAGGGTACCGAACGCAATGGAGGGCCGCGAGTCAGTGGATCTGGAAATTTACGGCATGGAGGGCATCCCAGAGGAAGATCAGATTGCATACAACGCCAGACAGGAGGCAGGAGACAATCCAGTCAGCAAGCGTCCCAAGATCGCGGTGGAGTCTGTAGAGTTCTCGGCAGAGGACCTTCAGAGTCAACTGGCGGCTCACAAAGCAATGATGCAGGCAGCGGCAACGCCCCCTGTTGGACCTCCAGCTGGGCCTCCTGGAATGATGCCTGGCTTCTCTGGACCCCAAATCCTTCCACCCGGCATTCCCGGCGGTCCCCCAGGCAGCATCCCTCCAATGGGTCCAGGATTCCCACCGATGGTGCCTCCTCCAGTGGGTGCCATGGGGGCACGACCACCCCCTCCCTTCCCAGGTCAGTTCCAATACCCAGGTATGCCCCCAGCTGCTGCTTCCGTCATGCCCGCTGCTTATAGCCAATTCTACCAACCAAGACCACCACCACCACCACATTTTGGAATGCCTCCCCACCCAGGGTAAGTTCATTACTGCTATTGTTATTGTTTCGTTGTGAGATGTCACAAGTGGATGTTACAGTGATATCGGAGCCGATCCTAACAGATTTTCATTTATTACATCTCAATTTAGTATGTCACACGCTGGTCCTCCACCACCCCAGTTTCCTCCTTTTGGCAGTCAAATGCCCCCACCAGGCGCTTGGCCGCCACCACAGAGACCATCTTTTGGAGCACCGCATTCAATGCCGCCACAGACACAACATGCGGGACCTCCTCCACCTAGATTCCCGAATGGCGGACCTATGCCTGGATTTACTCCACCTGGAATGCCACCCAAAGGACCTTACGGACATCAAGGACCTCCACCCTCAGGACACGCATTGCCTCCTAGACCAGGCGGACCTCCTCCTCCATTGCTTCACAACGGACCACCGGCCACGAGCGCGCCTGGAATGGCACCACCCTCAACAGGTATTCCCAGCAGTCAGATGCATCAAGGTTTGAAGAACACATCACACATCACATCTACTCCCGATTCGACCATAAAGCCTCCAACTGGATCAGCAGCAGCACCCTCAAAACCAATTGTGGGTGCCCCAACTGGCAGCGCTGCTCCTTCAATGGGTGCTGTGACAGCAACTGCTGCACCTGTTGCACCCGCTGCAACTGCAGTCAAGACAGAGAGTGCGGCAGCGACCCCTGCAGCCGCTGGCGGCGCATCGGCGAAGAAGGAGAGCGTCCTTGTCTACAGCGACAATGATGTATCAGTGGTAAGTGCTCGTGCTCGTGCTCTCGCTCTTTGCTTGTTTTTTTTTGTTCCAGGTCTTGTTTCTAGCTCTTACATCTTGAGCTTGCTCTTGCTCTTGCTCTTCTTTTGAGAGATGCGGAGGATCTCGTGGAAGTATTGCGGTCAATGCTCTCAATGTTTTCTATCGTTTGTTCTTCACACAGTTTACTGACTTTGGCTGTTTTTTGTATTTTTTATCATTGGTTTTGTTTTTGTTCGATGGTTGAAACAATAGGAGGAAGTCCGAGCTGCATTAGAGAGGTATCGTTTCAACCCACACACGGCATAAGTTCGGTCCCATTGTTATGTGTATGTTGCGCGTGTCAATATCCATTCTGTCATGCTGTTGTTTCCTCACCACGACATCATTCTAATAAAAAACACCAGAAAAAAGGTACAAAACCGTTGAACGTAAAGACTTGCTGAGAGAGCATTGTTGTCGGTGACCTAAACACGCTCTTTTGTGTATCCTTTGGGCTGTTGGATCTGGGCGCCTCTTTTTTTTTTTTTTTTGTTGGCGTGTGTCGAATGTCTTTCTTTTCTTTTCATTTTGCGCGTAAGGACGGAGAGGAAGGAGGAGCAAGCTCAGCTTTGTTTTGCTGTGCCACAATTTGAGGACACTTCCAAGGCGAGTTTTGACTCCATTTCTCTTCGCGAATTGTTTTCTGCAAACTCTTTTGCGATTGACAGAACAAGAAGAGGGTTCGCAGAGGAAAGAGATTTTCTGTGATCAACTATTTTTTTTATTTTTTTTTACTGTCCCGGGCGGGAGAAAAAGCAAAGTCCAAAGATAGAGATGAGTCCCAGGGACCGGAATAAAAATTGACAAAGAACTGGCCCCTATTTTTGACCCGACGCAAGGAAAAAAACAACAAGTGTGAGCACCAAGAAAAGAATTAATTGCCTTGACAGGGGAGGGGAAAGGGAAGGAAAAGGGAAGAGGGGAAGATAATTGGATTGGATTACGGAGCTTGCCTTTGGGAGGGTTTCTTTTTTCTTCCTTTAACTGGCTAGGATTTGACTATGAAAGACTACCTTTTTTTTTGCTTGCTTTTTGTCCCACAGATGAAGTGACAGAGGAAGGCTGCAGCGGGATGGGAAGGTGAAGTAAAGAGAGGAAAAAAAAAAGGAAAAAAAAAAAGAAGCAAAGTTTAATGACAGAGAGAGGCGACAAGGGAGTAGTGAACAAGGGATGACTCGAAAGGATTGGACGTAATTGAATTGATTGGGGAAGGAAGGGGTTTAGGGAAATGAAAAAGGGTGTCGTGGTATGTCAATGGTATGCATTGCTGACTAGTCCATTCGTTGTGTATGCGCATGGGGGTGGAGGGCAAGGACGAGGGATGTATGTTTGAAAGCAAGTACCAACAGTATATGTGCGTCGATGTGTCGATGTGTGTGCCAGTCAGCCATGTCTACCCCATCGTACAGCAAGCAGCACATCGCATAGGCCCCTCGTTCGTCCTTTTCTTTGTTTTTCTTTTTCTTTGAATTTGACTTTGGCTTCTTCTCCCATGGGCCACCTTTTGTCACCTTCTGCTCACAATTAGGTATTTTTATTACTATTATTTTTTGCGCCTTTCATCCTCCCCTTCCTCGTTCTTTCTTTCTTCTTTCTCCTTCTCTCCTCTCTCTTCCTCTCTTCCTCTTGTTCTGCTTCCTTCCAGACACCCACCTTTCCCTGTCATCACCTCGGCCTCCATCATCTTCTCTCTCTCTCTCTATTTCCTATTCTGCTCACCCTCCCATCTTCCTCTTTCCTTTTCTTTTTCTTCTTCTTTTTTTTTTTTTCGTTCACCAATGAAGAGCTTGAAGGGCGTGTTGTCGAGAAACAAGTCCAAGAACGCTCCTCCTCCACCTCCACCTCAACCCGCTCCTGTTGTTGCTCCTCCTCCTCCTCCTGCAGTCGCCGCTCATCTTTCCGCCACCTCTGCCGCTGCTGCTGCTCATCTTTCTTCCTCCTCTTCTTCTTCTACCCCCACTCCCACCTCTTCCCCTCCCTCCTCTCCTCTCTCCCCTCCCTCTCCACCCACCCCCACCCCCACCAACAACAATAGCGCTGCTGCTGCTCCTACTGCTGCAACCAATACCAGCCCTTCCTCCTCCAACAATACAACCACCGCTGCGGTCATCGCCTCGAGTGACCCATCCGGCATCAACTCCGGACTGACTCCCGCCACCACTTCAGCATCTACTACTCCTATTCCCACCACAACTACCGTCACCAACCCCTCTACTACTACGACCTCTACTGTCTCCCCTCTGGCCCCTTCGTCGCTTTTCTCTGCTGCCTCTATTAACGTCAACAACATTAACAATATCACCAACGCCAACAACATCAACAACCACAGCAGTAACAACAGCATTATCCACAGTAACACCAACGGTCTATCCCCTACTAACACCACTCTCACCGGAGCACACAGCAACCAGGTCCCAGTCCAGGTCCATACCAGTGCCACTAACGTCTACCCCACTGACTCAACCCCGCACCCAACTGCAACTACCCCTGCCTACACCAACAACAACGGTGCCATGACTCAAGATCAACGGGACGCTCATCCCCCCACCATCGTCATTATGAATGCTGACCCTGTAAGTGGTTTTCCTTTCGTTCTCCATCTCCAAACACGCACTCACACTCTCTCCCCATTATTATTACCTGTATCTCTTTCATTTTTGGAGTGAAGAGAGAGAGAGGAAGACAAGGAACCCAGAGGTGTTGTTTTTTTTTGCCAAAGGAAGTGCTGGGCCATCCTGTTTTTGCGTGTCGTGCCTGCCTTTGCTATAGTTGTCTGTTGTCTGTTGTTTATTGCTTGTTACCTGTTGTGTTTTTTCCACCTTTGTCCCCTCTTTCCCCCCTTTTTTTCATCCTTGTCTGTTGCATTGGTCAGTTGTTGACAACCGTCCCCCTGTCGACAGATCCCCTTCCCTCCCACCCCCTTCTCTCACAACACTCTCTCCATCTCTCTCTCAAGTCTCGCTTTTTATCCCCTCAATCCACGACGATAAACGACATAACCCTGACATCTAACTTCATTCGGATTGGTGCCTGTCAAACCACACGCATTATTAGGCTGAATACCAACAGTCCGGAGCTACATCGACGTTCGGCGGCCACCCAGCTTCTCCAAGCCCTGCATCACCGGCTGGGAAATTAACAGGAGAGAAGGAGGTGCCTAAGAGCGGCCCACTGAACAGGATGAAGAACGCACCCAAGGATGCGATCCCTATCAGCAAAACACCGAGGAGACAACGATCATCTCGATTCCATGTCACGGAGCGCGTTACATTGGAGCGTCTGCAGGGTCTCGATGGTAAAGTGAACCACCCAACACCGTTAGAACGGTTTTGTCATATTTTGTGATATATATTTTGTTTTGTTTGCCTGTGATCACATTTGAGCAAAGAGAAAAAGTACCTTTTGCTGGTTTGTGTTTGATAAGCTTATTATTATTATTATCATCCCCTTTCTTCCCGACCAACATCACGAATGAGTTGCTTACCGTCCCCCGATCCTTTTATTGTTATTATTTGTTCCCGAAAATAGAGGTGGCTCCCATCGATCGTCAGGAGCTCTTCTTGAGAAAGATTGGCCAGTGTGCCGTCGTCTTTGACTTCAACGACGCTTCTTCGGAACTCAAGGGCAAGGAGATCAAGCGACAGGCCCTAACTGAAATTCTGGACTATATCACCAACAACAGAGGCGTCATCACGGAGCCCATCTACCCTGAGGTCGTCAAAATGGTACGAACAAAACGATACGTCTCTCTGATCTCTCTTTTTTTTTTCTTTTTTTTTTCTTTCTTGCAGTTCTCACTCGGCATGAGAACAAGAAGTAACCTAATGTGCGTGTGTCTATTTGTCTTGCCCGTCTGTCTATTCTTGTTCTTTAATAGTTTGCCACCAATCTGTTCAGAACCATCCCACCCCAAATCAACCCATCAGGAGAGGCTTTCGATCCAGAGGAGGACGAACCTGTGCTGGAGCTCGCTTGGCCTCACCTTCAGATCGTCTACGAGTTCTTCCTTCGCTTCATCGAATCGCCCGACTTCAACACCAACATGGCCAAAAAGTTTATCGACCACCACTTTATCCTTCAGGTACGAATTCCGACCTGCTTCAGGTCGTTGAATGTCTATTCAACGATTTGGCACGCGACTAATCTGATTTTTGAATGTTGTCATTTGTAGTTGTTGGAGCTGTTCGACAGTGAGGATCCTCGTGAGCGCGACTTTTTGAAAACGACACTTCATCGCATCTATGGCAAGTTCTTGAACTTGCGTGCGTTCATCCGCCGCTCAATCAACAACGTCTTCTTCCAGTTCATTTACGAGAAGGAGAGACACAACGGAATTGCGGAGCTTCTGGAGATCTTGGGAAGGTGAGTCCTGCTGAACGACCTGTCATTATACCAACTGTCAGGACAAACAATTTCTGAGTGTTGGTAACTTGACACTGACTCAATATTTCCATATCTCGTGTCTGGGTGGATTCACTGGTATCTTTTCATCTCTCTCTTTTAGTATCATCAACGGATTTGCGTTGCCCTTGAAGGAGGAGCACAAGACTTTTCTCACAAAAGTCCTTTTGCCTCTGCACAAGGCGAGATCATTGACTCTCTACCACCCTCAATTGGCCTACTGTGTTGTCCAGTTCTTGGAGAAAGACCCTACCTTGACCGAGGAGGTATGGCGATCAAGATGTTTGGATGTTGGCAAGGAATAGCTGTCGATCTCTATGGCTCTTGGCTAATTCAGTCTTTTCTTTTCATTACTTTTTACACTGATAGGTTGTTCATGGATTGTTGCGGTTCTGGCCAAAAGTCAACAGTCCCAAGGAGGTCATGTTCTTGAACGAAATCGAGGAGATTCTGGACGTGATTGAGCCATCAGAATTTGTCAAGATCGAAGGACCATTGTTCACACAGATCGCTCGGTGTGTTGCCAGCCCGCATTGTCAGGTATGCCCTTTGCTTGAACGACGTTGCTTGTTTTTATTTTATGTGATAGTCCCATTCAATTTGCTAACTTGCTGCTTCTCGCTATGACCTGTAGGTGGCAGAAAGAGCACTATACTACTGGAACAACGAGTACATCGTCAACTTGATCCACGACAATGCCAACGAGATCTTGCCTATTGTGTTCCAATCTCTCTACAAGAACTCAAAGACGCATTGGAACAGGTATGGCCTACATTTGATTCTTCACCTTTACCCTGGATGTGAATGGTTAGTTTACGGGGCGTCTATTGGGCTACATAATTAACCGATGATTGTCTCTACATGACATACGACTCTTAGGACCATTCATGGTCTTGTTTTCAACGCCCTCAAGCTCTTCATGGATGCCACACCCAAGTTGTTTGACGAGTGCACGAACCACTACCGTCAGGCAAGACAAAAGTAAGATCCGCTTCCATGCAAGTTTCAAGCCTTGTCACCGTTCAAGGAGCATCAGCATACTGACTATCTATACCTATGTATTTTTTATTGGCTTGTTCTAGTGATCGAAAGCGCCTTCAGGACAGAGAGGAGATCTGGCAAAAATTGGAGCAGCAAGCGATCCAGAACTATGCCAATCTCTCAGCCCAAGGTGCCGTATCGGCCCCCATGCCTCACCTTGCAGAGCCTATGTCTGTGCCTCTTGGTATGTGGCCCAATTTTTGTTTCATGCTTGCATTGATTCAATGATCGACACTTCAATGTCCTAACCAAACATATTTATCCTATACATCAACATAGAATCATTTGACGATGGCGAAGTCATGGATGAGCCCGAGGAGGAGATCCTTGAGAATGGAACTGATCAGGACCATTATGGCGGAGACTTGCAGACGTTCGAGAACAACACCCCCGTTTTCCACCAGTTCCGCCGAAAGTCTATTATCCCTGTTGACGAGACTGTCCTGGACGAGCTCTCGCGCCATCGCAGTTTGGAGGAGGTGTTGGATATGAAGCGGTCAGCCACAAACCCCGACGTTGAGTAAAAGTAGAGTAGAGTACAGGAGAGGACAGGGCAGGACAGGACTGCAGTGGAAAGCCTACTCCCCGGAAGAGGACAGCAGGGCGATGAGGGTGATGATGATTTATGAAGGATAAGAACAAGAAAAGCGATAGTCCTGACGGTTTGGTGTATGTGTATTTGCTAGACATCGTCATGGAACTCGTCCTCGAACCCCATCTTTTAATGACCTCAATGATAGAATAAAATCACATGACCATAATTAGCCATTTGGCAAGAAAGCCAGCTGTTAGAAAAAAAAGCCGTGAGCGAGTGAAGGGACAGTGACGAAACGATGCATCCGCCATTCCTCCGTCCGCCTTGAATGCCATGAACAGGAACGAGCACAGGAGTCCAGAAGGACGGAACACTCACAGTAGTGGCCATATCAGCGACATCCAGGAGCACGAGGAGAAAGAGGACCACTCAGTCGAGGAGGACACACCTGCACACCTAGATCATCGTCCTTCCAATCAACCTGGTCATCCTCCAGAGTCTCATTCACATCTTCAACCGCCGCGCGACCATGACAGGCTATCGGTCAGCGACGACGACAATACCAGCAACAACAGTAGCAACAGTCCAACCAATAACCACAACAATAATAGTAATCAATCCAGCGACGACAGTCCGACAGGAGGAATCCGTAGTACCCACAAGCGCTTCGACAAGGACGGACAGAGACAGACCAGCTCCAAAACACCCCTCCGACTATCGACATCCATGGTCGGTGCGTCATCGTCTGCGTTTCATATCCACGACAACCCCATGTCTGCAGTCCTCCCCAAAATGCCGACGTTGTTCAACAATGGGTCGTCGTCGTCGTCCTTTGTTGATACCATGACTCAGCAACTATCGATACATGTTGAGCAGCCTGTCGGGAGCATGAGTATCTCGCCCAGTAGTCGGGATGTTGTCCTTGCCGCGTAAGTTTTTTTTTTTCTTTTTTTTTTAGTGGATAGCGTGGAACTGATCTCCATTTTATCGCAAGTTTGATTTGGATAAGATATAATAAGTGACCGAGTTGATACTTGTCTCGCCTCGCCTCCTAACTTGCTCATAGCCGGAAAGGTCTGTTCATTATTGACCTCGAGAACCCATACGAGCCGCCTCGCGTGCTTCACCACCTCACCAAGTGGGAGGTTGCCGACGTTCAATGGAACCCACATTTCAGTCGCGAGAACTGGATCGCTTCCACTGTAAGTACCCTTTTATCATTCCCACGCGTCGATATGTATGGCGCACAATGAACAAAGGCAAACATATGACTCGTGAGACTAATATCTTCTCTCACTCTTTTTCAAAACATGACAATAGTCGAATCAAAAGGCGCTTATTTGGAACCTCAGTCATAGCGCACCTCGCGCAGTGGAGCTCATTCTCCATGCCCACAGCAGAGCCATCAGTGATATCAATTGGTCCCCTTTCCACCCCGACTTGCTGGCAACTTGTTCTGTCGACACGTTTGTCCATCTGTGGGATCTTAGAACGCCAAAAAAGCCTGTCAATTCGTTTTGCGCATGGACTGGTAATTATTTTCTTACTGAATATCTAGTTTGGGCGGCAACACAGGATGGTCAAGGCTTTATGATACCATGCTGAAAGTTGCTTTTTCATACTCCGTTTTTTTTTTTTGGATAATAGCGGCGGCGACTGTGGTCAAGTTCAATCGCAAGGATGAGTTCACATTGGCGTCAGCACACGATACCAAAGTGGAAGTTTGGGATACCAGGAAAGGATCATCGCCATATATCAGCATCCAGGCCCACAAACAAAAGATTAACGGAATCGACTGGAGTCGCAAGCACAGGAATCATATTGTCACCTGCAGTTTGGACAAGATGGTCAAGTTCTGGGACATTGACGAACCCACGGAACCTCAGAATGAGATCACGACAAAGTCGCCTGTCTGGCGCGCACGACACACGCCTTTCGGTCACGGAATTCTTACAATGCCGCATAGGACAGAGACGGGTCTCTCGTTGTGGAATCGGGATCGTTCGTCGGAGCCGGTGTACAAGTTTGAGGGGCATACGGATACGGTCAAGGAGTTTGTGTGGCGCGTTCGTGAAGTGGGCGACGATAACGGTCAGCGACTTTTCCAGCTAGTGACTTGGTCCAAAGATCAGCATCTCCGACTTTGGCCCATTAGTGAGAACATGCTGGAGGCGATGGATCACAAGCCTACAATGCCTATTGACATCGCCCCATACCCCTCATCGCACGACAATCATTCCTTCAGAGACCCAGCTCCGCAGAACATCGCGGCAACTCCTTCCAGGGCGGTGTCGACGTTGCGAGTCTTGGCTGGAAATAGACTGTCGACTATGACACCTTTCCGGACGTCAATGTCATCTCGCACTATCGGACCAGTGGGCACTCAAGGAGGGTTCTATCAAGAGCGCAAGGCGCCTTCGCCACTGGTGTGGATGCAGGGCGTCCGTCTGGTGAAACCGAGTGGTGATCTCGAGCTGCCTGACCGTGCATCACCCCAGACTGTCGCCACCGAGATTGCCGCTGTTGGAAAGAAGTTTCAGAACGTCAAGTTTGAGAAGGTCAATGTTGCGGGCCGGACTTGCACCATCAGTCTGAACAGTTTGCGGCCCAACGAGGGAGTCTCGTTCTTGCGTGTCAACATCTCTTTCCCGCAATTCTACCCAAAGCAGGCTCCACCAACGTTTGAGATTCAGAAATCCGGAATGTTGTCGATGGCAACAAGAGCGGGGATCGCGTCAAGTTTGGACCAGATTGCGGCGAGCCATGCATCGAGAGGATTGCCGTGTCTGGAGGAGATTATTCGATGTCTGTTGGGAGAGGATAAACGAGACGCGGTCTTGGAGAAGGGCCTGGACGAGTCAGATGAAGATGACACTATTGTCAACCCCTTGCGGAAGTCGCGTGGTCGTGATAATGGAGCGGCGGACAAGAAGGACCAGCAGATTCCCTTCCCTTGCCTCTGCGGTGCCGTCTTTGCTACCAATGGTGAGCTCATTTGTCCTTCAAAGAGTTATCAAGATACCATTATCAAACAACGCCACTAATCTTGACTCTTTTTTTTTTGTATCTAGGAAAACTGGTTACATTCTTTTCCAAGCTCCGCACGCCTCACGCATCGACTTCAAGTTTGCCAGTGACAGGACGGAGCAGTACGTTGATCAAAACCCCATACACATATACCCACCCTCGAGCATATGCATCGATGGGCGAATACAAGGCTTTCTCGCGTCTGCCAAGCGGAGCTGAGGGACTGGCAGGAACAGTGTCCAGCTTTGTTGCTGACACGGATGACCAGGACGATCTCTGGCTAGCGCCCAACCTGTTCTCTAAGAACAAGCAACCCAAACAGGAACTTGTCCGTGTGACACGGAAACCAAAAGACCAGCCCGTGTTTTTCAAGCCGTTGCCTCAATCCCGAAGCACGCTGTATTTGAAGGATATCACTTATTTGCTTCCTGTCTCGCCACGTCTTGCTGCAGTCTATACGTACGTCTTTTTCTCATCTGCTTTTTTCGATACCGTTTCACCGCAATGTATAATTATTCTATCGAACAGCGACACTAACGAGACACCGTTTCGATGTCCACTTGTATAGCTTAAATGGAGAATATGTGTCAGAGATTTGCGAACAGAACGCGTTGCAGGCAAGGCATTTGAAGCGCATGGATCTGTACAAGATTTGGAAATTGGCAGCCTTGATCCTCACGCTGTCTGTCCCCATGGACCCCGTCACGTTTGAGATGAACAAGACCGAGATCTCAAAGATGAACTCTCAGACACACCCGGACAAGCTGCTAGACCTGATGAACCGATCTAACCATGCCAAGCAGCGTCGCGATAGCGGTATGGCCTTCATCCCAGGGTTGGAGGATACCTTTTACCAGAAGGTGCGGTGGGGTACTCATCCCCTCGGTCGCAAACTTGTCGACGTCCTGTAAGTCTTTTTTTTTTCTCCTGTAATGTGTATCGTGGTATGACCCCGATTGTTTACTGTGAACGACAGGATTATATGCAAGATATAACTGACATGAGGATTATTTTGTTTTGGATGAAAAATAGGTTTTCGTATTTGGAGCGCCATGGCGATATTCAGACGTTGGCTTTGCTCTCCTGTGTGTTCAAAGATCCTTTCAGGAACACGATTGCTGTTACAGGCATCACACCTGTAAGCTGAATGCTATGCATAATTTTTTTTTATCCATGACGGTGCGTGAAATACTGTTGTGGATCGCTAATATTTTTTTTATAATGTACGATATTCGATAGCCGCAAGCCAATTACAGGCCATACGAGTCGCCGATGAGTGATACGCCGGACTACTTCAACAGCCGACAGGCAGGCAATGCTACCCGGTCGCTCAGCGGACTGCCCCTCAACACGACACCCATGTCTCTGGAACAGTCTTCAACACGCCCCAGGACTCCTGCTGCGACCAAGATTTCGCCTTATCTGAATCGTGTCTCTCCTACAGCGGCTGCGTTTGGAACTTCGTACTCGTCTTCGATGAGACGAACACCCAGCCGATTCTATCCTGGGGGAGCTACCTCTCCCCTGACGACCCCATCGTCACTTCGGGAGGTGCATTCCGAAGCCAATGGTCCGTTGGTCCCACTGGGGCCCATCCCGAGTAACGCGTACGTAAATGGCCTTGGGCTGCAGGATGGTAGTGGTGGTAGTGGCGGTGTTGGTGGGACAGGAGCGGTCTTGCCGTATAGCCACAACAAACGGGACTCGTACCATTCCTTGCAGAGTACCAGTCCAACGATGTACAACTCCAAGCTGGTACCCATCATGCATCGACGCCAATCTAGTGCATCCCCATCCCCTCTTGTCGACAAGATGGAGCGGTATACTGTTCGTGGCAGCGGGTTCAAGATGACGAAGATGAACACTAGTCTCTTTGACGCCGAAGAAACGTAAGCGTCCTAGGACATTATTATTTTTTTTGTGCGTGAAAAAAGGAACGTCGTAAATGATATGTATATTAATCGACTACTATTATTATTTTTTGGGGGGTTCGTTGTTATTACTTACTTATAGGCCGATGAATATTCCGTTGCTGGATCCGGCAAAGGAATTACAACACAACACCTGGCGACTCCTCTACGCCGAGATGATGTACAGCTGGGGTCTCTTCGAAGCCCGAACAGAGCTCCTCAAATTCCTCACGTTCAAACACCAACCCAATTTCCGGGTCAAGGACGACCAATCACCACTCGAACGTCTCCTCGGGATCGAAAAGCGTGGGCCCCAGATCTTCAACAAGTGTTTCGAATGTGAGAAACGACTCTACCCGACCTACAAGTGCGATTTCTGTAAACGCATGCGGGTGGGCATCAAGTGTACGATTTGTCATATCTCTGTTCGCGGGAGGACGTCGGTCTGTTTGAAGTGTGCTCATGGAGGTCATACGGAGCATTTGTGGGAGTGGTTTGTTCAGGAGGGCAATGGGGTTTGTCCTACGGGTTGTGGGTGTGAGTGTTTGGTGAATTTTGGAGGGTGGGCTGGAGGGTTGGCGATTCAGCCGATCCATAAGCAGTTGTTGCCCCAGGAGTCTCTTTAGTCTCGTCCGAGGGAAGGAGGAAAGAGGAAGGAGGGAAAGACAACTATCATTACATGTAATAAAATATATAATACCGTTTCTTGTGTTGTTTTGTGGCGCCACTGCTTTTTTTAATAGGTGGTTTGAGAGGAGGGGAGATGGGAGGAAATACTAGAGCTTGGAGTCGGGAGTGGATTGGATCTCACGGTAAAGTTGGTCGAGCTGCTTGCGGTAGGCTTGGACGACGGGGTGGCGCTTGATCTTGAATGTAGGTGTCAACAGGTCGTTCTCGATCGTAAAGAGGTTCGGTTCAATCAACACTGCTCTTGGGATCTCGAACCTATACAATTCATTCAAGGGGGATTTCAAGTATGTATGCGTTGAGCACGAAGCAACCTCGGGAAGTGACGAACGCGAACAATTAGGCCAAAAAAAAAAGGAGGGAGGGTGGGGGGAGGATGAAAAGGTAAGTTTTTTTTTTTTTTTTGGTCGTGCTTACTTCTTCAACCCGGCAGCTTGGGCGACAAGTGTCACTTCTTGCAACACCGCACGCCGGAGTTTAGGATCCTGGCATGCGATCCTGAAGGTATCATCGACTTTTCCCGTGAGTCCTCCTGCACCAGAGGGGAAAAGGATGTTGTTGGCAAAGGCCGGGAAGGTGTCAGGGTCGGGGACAAAGATGGATACGAGACAGGGTTCGTGCGGGTCGCCGTGGACAAAGAATTGTAGCGCGATGGGTAGGCGGGATGCGATTTGGTATTCGATTTTCTCGACTGCTACGTACTCGCCGATCGACAGCTTAGGATAAATAGATAGAAAAAGATAGGAAGGCGAAGAGTTTAGTAAGAGGCGTTGTTGGATTGTTTTGATTGTTGTTATTGTTGTTTCTCTGAAATAAGAAACATATCATCCCTTCTTTTACCTTGAAGACGTTCTTCATGCGGTCAATGACGGTCAGTGTTCCATTCTCTTTAATGAACCCAATATCCCCCGAATGCAACCACCCCTCATCATCAATCGCCTCCTTTGTCTTCTTGTCGTCCTTGAGATACCCCGGAAACACGTTTGGTCCACGGACACAGACCTCGCCTCGAGGGTAGGGTTTGTCGGTTGAGAAGTAGTTGAGTTCGGGGACGTCAACCAGTTTGAGTTCGGTGATGGGACTGGGTGGACCGACGTGTCCTGCTTCCATTTCTCCGCGCTGTGTTGATGCCGCTCCTCCTGTGCCTGTTGATTTTTGCGGGGTACAGGGGAAAAAAATAGGTTAGTCGCTCGAAAATATAAAAAAAAATGGTGAACATTGACCATGTGCATCCCTAATCCAACAAAAAAAAGGGGGGGGGAGGGGGGGAGGGGCCAAAGGCGACTGCTCTTAACTTCTGTTTGCCCATAGGCCTCCGATATGTCAACACAGAACGCGACCCGAATGAACGACAACACCTCCGCAGAAATCGGCGCTGAAGCCGTCATAATCCGCTCCACCTTCCCACCAAGTACCATTCGAACCTTATTAAACAACACCCGGTCCCAAAACGCATGCTTGTTCCCCAACCCAGCCTTCAGGTTCGCCAACTTGACCGCCAACGCCCTCCTCGCCACCACGCCCGCGAACCCAGGAGCCCCCGCGGTAAGTGCATAGACACGGGCATAGATCCTGTTGAGGAGTCGAGGGACGGTTGGGAAGAAGGTTGGTTGGAGGACAGAGACGTCTTCGAGGATTCGGAGGGGGTCGCCTGTAGAGTAGCCGATTCGGCCGCCGGTGCTGAAGAGAAGGATTTCCAAGGCGCGACCAAAGACGTGGGCCATGGGGAGGTAAGAGATTCCGGTGTCGTCTGGTGTGAGGATGTAACCGATTTCTGAAGCTGCGACAGCTGCTACAAAGTTTGCGTGTGTCAATATCGCGCCTTTCTAAAAGATGTTTGAGTTTGAAGGGAGACTGCGGGGTTAGTCGATGCATGATGGCTCTCAGACGCCGTTGAAATCCATTTACAGTAGTTTTTCCGCGCCGTTTTTTTTTTTTTTTTTTTTTTTTTTGGCCCCCCCTCCCTTTGTTCGACATCTACTAAAAAAAGAAATACTTACAGGCTGACCAGTCGTCCCGCTGGTGTAACAAATAGTGAGGGGATCCTGCGGTTTGGGTGGGGTATGAGCATGGGGAAACAATCGTCCAAGCCCCTCGACTTGATCCCAATCGTACAGCTGAATGCCCTTGTCGGCCGCAAAAGTGCGGAGGATGGGTCCGGCAAAGGGGGCTTTGAGGTCCGTGGGTGAGTTGAGCGAGTCCATGCTGACGACGATTTTGAGGCCGGGCATTTTGGAGGAGTCCTTGAGGAGTGATGCGATGTGGTCCGCTGTTTTGTGTTGTTTTTTGTTGGTTGTTTTTTTTTTTTTTTGTGATGGTGAGAGTGAGAGTAGATGTATTCCCGTGCAGAAAGAGAGACAGTGGGATTGAGAGGAGGAGAGAATGGGTGATGGTTAATGGACTGGGTTATTTGCATGTTACTTTTTGGACGACGAGTCGATGCTCTCATGCGCACATGAAAAAGACCTCAGTCGCGGTAGGGCTCAAAGGCTTATCTGTTCATTCACCACTCTCACAATCCACAACTGCAAAATCAAAAAAACATGAAAAAAGAACCCCCCCCCCCATCCAACTTACCACTACAAACAACAACTGGGATCTCTGAATGATTAATCCCAAAAGTCACAGCCTCCGGTCCCAAGGTATCATAAAGTCCTACCGAGACGATATTATAAAGCAGCGTCGAAGCGCTGGCAATAGTCCACTCTGCGCGATTAATCGACCACAGTCCCACGCGCCATCCTTGAACCGCCTCAGAAAGTCCATGGATTTGGGTGTGGAGATGGACCAAGCCGCTTCCGAATCGCTCGACGCGGTCGCTGACTTGCTGGTAGGTCTGCCATTGGTAGGGACCGTAAGTTTTTGTGCTTGGGTCCCAGAGTCGGTGGCCGAGCATTGGATTGTTTGGGCCTAGGTTTACTCCTATTGGAAAACGATGAACGAAAAAAAAAATGTGAGAAGGCTGGATAAAAGCTAGTCAACGACCTCGGAGGAGGAATGGTACTATGTGTAAGGTGTTGTGGTCATTTTACCATGCTGGAAGGCGTCGTAGATGGTTCGGATATGAGGTCGGCTCTCAGGGATGGAACGGAGTCCGTCTTCAAATCCTCGTCGTCGGTAGATACCTAGTCATCCTCGTCGATCAAGAAAAAAAAGGGGGGCGTTCAGTTTTCACACCACAGCAACGATAACAAAAGGGGTAAAAGAGAGGAGGCAAAAAAGTGCGATCGCAGTGAGGGTGTTACCAGTTTGACCGGGTCGACGGGTGCCTGGGAGCTCGACTCCTTGATGGTCCTTGTCGTATGGTAGAGGCGGAGTCGTCATGGCCGATGGCGGGGAGTAGGAACAGGGTATATTTGTGTGGATGAGAAAAAAGGAAAGAGTAAATGAGAAAGTAGGAAAGAGAGAGAGAGAGAGAGAAGCATGGCTTATAAAAGAAAAAAGAGGCAAACCGATGGCGCACCAAAATTTCGCTCCGACCAGCAATGGCAAAGATTCACAAACAAATCAACAAAGCACTTCACGAACCAGAGTAAGTATGTGCTCTCCACATTCTCACTTAGTTTCCATGCGCACACACGCCTCTTATACTTTTGACTGGCGATTACCAATGTCCGGTCATCACCATCAAGTACATTGCAATTACGAATAACATATCCCCAGAGCATATCGACAGGCAGGTGTGTAAGTGAGTTTGAATAAACCCGCTTGGTGGGATATAGTTGATTGGTAATGTGTGTGGTTTTAACGACCTAGCGCTCTATATTTGTGAAGCGAGTTCGCAACAACGAACAATGAACCAAGCAAGGAACGTGGAACTATCAGGCATGAAAATGAACCAGAAAAGTATGTGGATGTTGTTGGCGACGTGAGAAAAAAAGACACGCCCCATTGGACAGAAATAATTTCGCCACCGATTGCAATCGAACGGTTATCATTGGCTCTAATCAGAAAAAAATGTCCAACGGTTGATGGGAGCCATTTTGGTGGCGGGGTTTCATCAGCTCAAGTTCAACACGAGATACTTCAATTTGTTTTTTTTGTCTCTCCGAGCTGGTCTGACCTCAGGAGATTGAGCCCCCAACATAAGGAGCTTCTTTGCAGTGTATCCCAGAGTACATACGAGTCACTGTCACAAAAGCAGCTTGCAAGAAACAAACAGTTCATCGATGTTGTTTTTTTTTTTTTTTTTGAACATCAAAACGGCACAGCGATCGAGCAGAAAGGTAGGGCATATTTTTTTGTCAACTTGGGGACATAGACCCCACAATAACTCGTCAAAAAATGATATCCATGAAAATCAGGATAGCATTCGAAAAGGCTACACGAGCTTCTCAGTCTTCTCGTTATCCAACAAAGAGCGCTTAGGCTTATCTCTTCCTCCTCTGGGGGGTTACGAACATGGATACTGGTTACAAGGAAAATATTAAAGATGTGAAAAGGAAGGGCTAGGTTGCTTGATAGATTCAAAAAGGTATCGCAAGGTGTTGAACGTACGTGAATGAATGCAAAAAAAAATGAAAAGGCAATTACTGATGTTTAATTTAATTGTTCACCACCATACAATCGTGGTAATATGTTCTGTACAAAGGAAACGTAGTTCTCTTAAAGGATTGGGATGTTACTGGGGGGAATGCCACGGATTGAGACACCGTTGGGCTTGGCGGAGCGGACAGGGACATCGGCTTAGTGGTTGGGAACGCTGCGGACTGGGACACCGTTGGGCTCGGCGGAACGGACAGGGACACCAGCCTCAGGGTTGGGAACGCTGCGAACTGGGACACCGTTGGGCTCGGCGGAACGGACTGGGACACCAGCCTCATGGTTAGGAACGCTACGGACTGGGACACCCTTGGGCTCGACGGAGCGGACAGGGACACCGGCCTCAGGGTTGGGAACACTGCGGACTGGGACACCCTTTGGCTCGACGGAGCGGACAGGGACACCAGCCTCAGGGTTGGGAACGCTGCGAACTGGGACACCCTTGGGCTCGGCGGAGCGAACAGGGACACCAGCCTCAGGGTTGGGAACGCTGCGAACTGGGACACCCTTGGGCTCGACGGAACGGACAGGGACACCAGCCTCAGGGTTGGGAACACTGCGAACTGGGACACCCTTGGGCTCGGCGGAGCGGACAGGGACGCCAGCCTCAGGGTTGGGAACGCTACGGACTGGGACACCCTTGGGCTCGGCGGAGCGGACAGGGACACCAGCCTCAGGGTTGGGAACGCTGCGAACTGGGACACCCTTGGGCTCGGCGGAGCGAACAGGGACACCGGCCTCAGGGTTGGGAACGCTGCGAACTGGGACACCCTTGGGCTCGACGGAACGGACTGGGACACCAGCCTCATGGTTAGGAACGCTGCGAACTGGGACACCCTTGGGCTCGGCGGAACGGACAGGGACACCAGCCTCAGGGTTGGGAACGCTGCGAACTGGGACACCGTTGGGCTCGACGGAACGGACTGGGACACCAGCCTCAGGGTTGGGAACGCTACGGACTGGGACACCCTTGGGCTTGGCGGAACGGACTGGGACACCGGCCTCAGCGGGGTATCCAGGGATGCCGCGGACTGGGACACCCTTGGGCTCGGCGGAGCGGACAGGGACACCGGCCTTAGCGGCGTATCCAGGGATGCCTAAGTTGTCATGGGAAAAAAATCAATGGGTAAGGGAGGTTGCATGGTTGAAAGGTAGGGTGGTTGTCGATCTGACTGATATGCAAGGTGTCGGACAAATATTGACGCAAGGATGATCAAGGGATATCCCCGGTGGGAGAGGGAAAAAGAGGGGAGGAGAGGTGGGATGGTAGGAGGTGGCAATTACCAGCAGGGGCTGCTGTGCCGGAAGCAGCCATGAGTCCGAGGACGACGGTCAAGGCGACGATGATGTTTGACTTCATTAGAATGTACAAAAGGGGGTATATAACAAAAGGAGGTTGGAGGTATAAAGGCGGAGGTAGTGAAAGGAAAGAGGAAAAACAGACGACGATGAAGGGCGGTGGAAGAGAGGAAGGAGTTGAGGACAAGGAGAGAAGGGGTTCTAAAGAAGAAAAATAAATAGGGCGGATATCCCTGTTGTTTAAATAGTGTCAGGACCGATATCGATGTTCTCATCAACGGCTTTTTGCCCAGGAGCAAACTTGTTTGAGTTTATCACCTCGTCCACATGTTTTGTTTGTTGGCTCACACCCTTCTCTTCCCGTCCTCTCTCACTTGCTCTCTTTCTTCCTGTCTCTCTTGCTCATTCGCGCTCACTCTGTTGTCTGTTTGTCTGTTTGTCTTTCGAGATGCGCAACTCACACAGCATCGTACCGGTACTTGTTTTTTTTGTTTGTTGCATTGGGCCAGAATTTCAAGGTACCGCAAGCTGGTACACGAATCTCGATGTTGCTTGCCAAATGGGTTAAGAAGGTCCCATCAAGTCAGGTCAGGTCAGGTCAGGTCATATCCACAGGCTGGTTTGGCTATAAATGCTACCAAAGCTCAAGGTTCAATTCAATCGCAGTTGCAATTGCAATGCAGTTCACAAGCGGGTCAACATCCCTCCATGACACAAACACTTTGGTTTGTCCTACTGACCAATTTGTTTGTCTTATGGCCGTTGGCGTAGAACAGCATTCCCCTCTCACTCGCACATTCACACATCTTTCTCCCAGAGAAGTTTGGGATACATGAACTAAAATGATGTCGCTTGAAAACAAAACCCAAGAGGGAGGGTCTCAAGTATGGAGGAATGTGTTTCCTGCGCGTGTGGTTATGTTGTTTCTCCAATGCACGATCAAGACGGACGAAGTTTTTTGACATTTCGGCATACCATTGAGCCTCTCTCTAAAGGAAGGGAGGAGCGATTAATAGGTACAATATTAGCCAACCCATCCATGATCGAACGGACATTGGGTTTGTCAGGATAACACCCATTTTTACTCTCATGCAAAAATTATTGCGATGCAATCTCCTCTTTTTTTTCCTTGGAAATGACATGATTCCAATTTGGAAAAGGATGGCGAGAGGACGCAATGGAAAAAAAAAAAAAAAAAAAAAAAAAAAAAATAATAATAATAATACAACGAGCAAACTATGCACAACGGGTGGGCCGGGAAACCGTCTGACTGAGTTCATCTGTTCACGGTTCACTAGGGGTTGGGGGAAAGAGAGCACCATTTTCCATCCAATCCCATCCAAACCGTAATCTGAGCGAATCAAACAAAGAATCTATGTCAATGTCGTTTTTTACTTTCTTCCTTGCTCTCTAATATTTTTGCTCACTCTCTTCTCCACCTTCTCTCGCTCTACTTCCATTCTGTCTCGCTTTTCCTTCACCTTCTCTCTCTGCCAGCATATAAAGACGGATGCCGTTTTTTTGTGATTGTCTCTTACACATAATCGATGAGCTAGCGATATGCAAGTAGACCTACTCTTTGCACTTTGTCGATTCGCCCAATGTCAGCCCTTCCACTTGTCTCTCTTCCCTGTCGTCCCTGTATTTTTTCTTACAGCGTGAAAGAAGAGCCCAATGCTGGGAAGAAAACAAAGTGAGGGTGATACCGCTTGAACCTTCTCTCTCTCTCTCTCTCTTGGTTTTGAGTATGACTTTTTCGAGTTACAAACCGGAGAAGTTTGATTGGCCCCTGTCATGTTTTTTGGTTCATGGACCCATCTGTCGTGCTCGTCGGACCCTATATGTTTGTTTTTTCCCATCTTGTTCTCCAACCGAAATTGGATATGTCTTTTTGTGCTCACACTGTTTTCCTTCTCGCTCGTTCTTTTTTGTTGAATGAAAAACTTGTACACACACATTCATGCAACGAGTGAGAAAAAACAAGGTTTAGGCACGGATGGATATGGATATGATAAAAAGAGTCTCCAGCGAACGAACGTGACAACGACTCTCTTTGCCTCTAGCAACAAAACTGCACGCTCCCACAGCTAAAAAACACCAAACAAAAAACCACCAGTTTTTTTTCTTCAATCGTTGCTCATCCATTGGTGTGACTCCTTCATGGCTACGTATTTCTCATGACAAAATAAAAAAGAAACTCAATGCACAAGAAAAAAAGAAAGAAAACTTTGCCCAACATTCCATGATCTTCGATTGAAATGGTGAATTCCCGTCCCGTCGTCCCATTAACCTTGTATGATGAAGAGTACTGCAGTCAATCATTCATCTCCAACGGTGATCGATGTGGTATGAAAAAAGGCCCATCCAGAAAACCTGCTGCAAAACATCCACCCTTTGCCCCATTTTTTCGCGCTTTCTCCTAACTGTCTCGCCCTCAAACAATACCCGATTTGTATCTTCCCAATAGTTTTTCCCGGGTGTCCTCGGAGCTAGGATGAAATAAGAGGCGAATGAGTGAATGAACGAATGAGTGAGCTACATAATACGTAGTTTGTCATGGAAAACGGCATACATGGCGCGATAAACAGAGAAGGATGAGCATGGGAGAGGTAAGAGAGAGTGAGGGATAAATAAAATAAACCTTTGGGCGATTCTCTCTTTTTTTTGAATCTTGTGCACAAAGAGCCACAAACAAAGCGAAACGGAAAATATGAAAAGAGAAAGAAAAATGAGGGTAATGCAGACTGCAGTCAGACGCAGAGGGCGTGGATAAATGAATGAGCGGGACGGAGTGTACTATGATATTGTTGTTTTTTATCCATAGGCGTGTGAACCAGCACCGACGTCTATCAATGGTATCTATTTGTGTTGTTGTTGTTTTGATTTTCGCTACCAAGTTGGGAAGGACGGGAAGGAGAGACTATGTACACCGGGATTGTTTATCCATTCTCCTTGATATTCTATTCCACTGTGCTTTTTTGTCTTTACGCGGAGGAGGGAGCCTGAAGGGCGGTTTGGGCAGCCTCGTAGCGGGCAACACGAGCCTGAACATCGGCAGCAAGGGCTTCCTGTCTGGCTTCAGAGCAAGTGGCAGTCTCGGCGAGGGTCTCGATCATGTACTCGTTAACCAGAGGATCCTGCTCTCCAATAGCGAGTTGGCTCGAGCATGAACCGGTATCTTCCTCGAACGCGGCTTGAACCTTCTCCTTCTCGAGTGTCAAGGCGTCGACGGTCTCAACAGCAGGAGCACAAACTTCTGCAGCAGCTGGGGCGGCTGCTTCAGCAATGACAGGTTCAGCGGCAGGGGCGGTGACCTCAGGAGCGGCGACCTCAGGAGCGGCGACCTCAGGAGCGGCGACCTCAGGAGCGGCGACCTCAGGAGCGGCGACCTCAGGAGCGGCGACCTCAGGAGCAGTGGCCTCAGGAGCGGTGACCTCAGGAGCGGTGACCTCAGGAGCAGTGGCCTCAGGAGCGATGACCTCAGGAGCGGTGACCTCAGGAGCGATGACCTCAGGAGCAGTGGCCTCAGGAGCGATGACCTCAGGAGCGGTGACCTCAGGAGCGGTGACCTCAGGAGCGGTGACCTCAGGAGCAGTGGCCTCAGGAGCGATGACCTCAGGAGCGGTGACCTCAGGAGCGGTGACCTCAGGAGCGGTGGCATCAGGGGCGGTGACCTCAAGAGCGGTGGCATCAGGGGCGGTGACCTCAGGAGCGGTGGCATCAGGGGCGGTGACCTCAGCGGCGATGACTTCAGGAGCGGTGGCCTCAGGAGCGGTGACCTCAGGAGCGGTGGCATCAGGGGCGGTGACCTCAGGAGCAGCGGCGGGGGCGATGGGCTCCGCGACATCCTCCTGAACAACGGTAGCATCTTCATCATGGACGACGCAGCCATCGGTTTGGATTTCGCCATTAACACCGCGAAGGCAGGTAACTTCAGGACTGGAGGGACCAGTTGAATCGAGAACAACAGCGTTAGCCTCGGCGGCAACCTCGGTGGGCTCCTCAACAACGACAGCGGCAGCAATCTCCTCAGACTGGACGCAACTCTCAGTCTCGAAGGTGCCATCGGGCCTCTTGGGGCAGGTCACGGTGGGGTCAATGGGATGAGTAGCATCAGGAACAATATCAGCGTTGGCCTCAGCCTCGACCTTGGTAGGCTGTTCAATGACGACGACTTCAGCAGCGCTCGCCTCAGGACCGGGACAGGTGACGCATGGGGCGGCAGGGGCCGTTGAATCGGGAATGACCTCCTGAGCTGCGGCCTTATTCAAAACCTTGGATGGCTCCTCGTCGACGACGATAGCTGCAGCCTCCTCAGCGTTGACCTCAGCGCCGACCTTGGTGGGTTCAAGAGTGACGTCCAAGGTTGTAACCATCTCTGGGGTGGTTGCTGCGTTCGTCTGTTTGTAAGGGACGGCAAGGGTGATGATTGTCTCCTCTCCTGATGGCTGCTCTTCTTCGATCCTTTGAAGGCCCTCGGATTGCCCTGCACTCGCTGTGCAAAGGGGCCACATCTGAGATGCACAGTTAGCATCGACACCAACTCCGGGTTCTAAATGATGGGTTGGGCACAAGTGTTGAGCAAATTAAATTGCAATAAAGTTAGGTGTTGTTGTCTTTGCATACATTATTCACAAAAGCAAGAGTACATGTCGGTTTTACGGAGGTATAGAACTCAATGTCCATACAGAAGAACCCAACTGATAACAAACGTAAACGACGCATTAAAAAAGAACAAAGAAAAGGAGGACACTTACGAGTGCCAACGCTGGGCTGGATGGTCAAACAGCTGCTGGAGTAATTATCACCATTCCAGGCTTTGATCCAGGAGGCACTCTCGAGGTTCTTGCTCAAGAACTGGAGGTCGGCAGCACCAACATCGGCCAAGGATCCGCCATAGCAGGAGGCACAGGCCTCTCTGGCCGTCTGGATGTTGAGGTTTGTGCTGAAAGCTAGATCACAAGATAAGAATCATAAGACAATAACATACAAATAATGGTACAATGTAATGTGTGAGCAGCAACAAATCAAAGTCAGTTCATGTGTGTGAAAGATGACCATAATATTAGAAGTACACAGTTCGGCTCATGTAATGTACTTCATGGGAAAAAAAAGAAAGTAAACGGGCCTTTACCAAAGTAGGCATTGCCCGAAGGACCGCTAAGGGTAGCAGGGCAGGAAGCGACGCTGTCATCGCGCTTGGCGATGATAGGGGCAGCATTGGCTGAGGCGACCAAGAGTCCGAGGACAACGGTCAAGCTAATCATTGCGGTCTTCATTATTAATATGGGTGTGGGTATGGGAGTGAAGGGGTATATGAGGATGTAAGTGTGAAAGGAGTGATGTTTGAAGGCGACTTGAAGAGATAGGAAAGCGAGGGGAGTAGAGGTCGCTTTTATACACAACCATTGATATCAACGAATTAGGTGTTGCTTGTGGATGTGCATACAGCGCAAAGTGAATGGACAATGACATTCTACGCGCGCTGCGTCGCTGTGTGTGTCTCTCTTGCTCCTCGTTATTATCTGTTTACTCCACCCCCTTTTACACATTCTGTTCCTTTGACAACCGACTCTGTTGATTTTGTGTACATTTCGCATTTACCTGCTTCTTCATGCCTGTCAACATGTAAGAACATGGGATCGACAGGAATGAGAATCTCCTCTTTGGAGGTCTGGAGGTAAGATGCATGTCGCTTCTGCACAAACGGGTAAGATACTGAGACGAAATGCGTTCTTCCATGGAACAACCGTCAACCGAACGTTTAGCAATGCAGTCGCCAGTGGCAAGCGGGGTTTTCTGAACTGGGTGCGATGGTCTCCTTTTCCGCCGCCGTCTCATCAAATAATGGATACAAGGGTGGAAGCATAAGTAGGCAAGTTAATAAAAGTCAAGGACAAGGGGTTGTACCCTCGCGCATCGGATAGATCTGAAAAAAATTATCCTTCCACCCCTCGCATGGTCAGTGGTGTCGATCTCAATCGAACCCAAGCCCGACTGACTCACTCAAAGTGTTCAGTCTTGCTATGGATTGACCTAGGTGGTTGTCCTTACACTTCAGAATATCTTATCCCCAAAACACTACGCTTTGCAATGTGGTTTCTCTCTCTCTTTTTTTTGAGGGTTCTCCATGTCTGGTCGATAGTAAGTATGTGAGAGTGACAAGAAGGGTAGGGAGGAAGAGAAGATATGGAGTAATATGTGCGGCATGATTCCTGCACAGCACTCTTCTCTCTCGCCCTCTCTGTTTTAGCAAAACGCCTAGAAACAAAAGGTGAAAATGAAAATGATAGTCAATTTTATCACTATCCACATGCTTAACGCGCCTTTTATTATCGTTCCTATGGTTGTAGTGTGTTACAGCCTAGAGAACACTCCTTTGTTATTTTACTTGCTTGCCTGTGCGAGATTGAGAATACATATTGCGCCATTCGACTGCTGGTTAGAGTAAAGTCCCTTGGCAAGGTTACCAGTCAAGGCGGTAATGAATCAGGGGGTGGGAGAGAATTAGAGTGGAGAGAGCGAGGGGAGTGAGAGAGATAGGGAGGCGATGAGTCGAGAGGAATGTAGTATGAGAACGGCTTAATGGTGCTTCTGTTCGAAGCCTTGGCCTTGTTTTTGTTTCAGAACAAAAGGACGTTCAAACAAAGGGCCAACATCTACGAGTAGCGACGCGCCTTGAGTCACCCGCAGACGAGGACACTGCCCGTGTCAGATCAACACATGCTCAGTCATTGGCTGCGGGAATTCCTTGTCAATTAGAGAACACGTCGTCAATTAGAGAAACAAAGCAGTCCTCTTCAGCTTTCTTTTGTTTTTCTTCCCTGACTAAACTCCACTCCACTACACAACACCCCTTCATTCAACACACATATAAAAGGGATCAACTGAATGCGTCTTCTTTCTTCATTCCCTCAGTTTCTTCTCCGTCGACAACACTCGCTAAACGTCTCGGTTCCCTTTTCTTCTTCTCGCCCTTCCTCAAGACTCGTCTTCGCCAACAACTACACTAGGATCGTAGTTACTACCACTACTACAGCAACAGGAACCAACACCGCGAATCTTTCACGGAATCTCGTCTTTTCATTTCGGCGCCACCACTCGACCTGCTCCTCAACTCTATCAGCATCCATGTCCGCCAACAGCACCAACGTCTCGCGTCAGCAGCCACCATGGCGCGTCCCTGAGGGCAAGCCTGTCCCCAAGCTCAAGCTCTTCAACTCCATGACCCGCACCAAGGTAACCGGGCGATACATGGATTCGAGTGGGATGTTTTCCGTTAATTGATCTGGGAGATAGTCGAAAGTTGCTCTAACACATATTATCTGCACTTGTAGACCGATTTTGTTCCTATGGATGGCAACCAGGTGACCTGGTATGCCTGCGGTCCTACTGTGTACGACTCAACCCACATTGGACATGCCAGGTACAGAGGAATAGCAAGCTGCTAGCAAGCACTGGGAGATGGCGACACAAACAAAAAGAAAGGACCAACAAACAACATCAGCAATAACAGGGGTGGAAGGCTCATTTTGGGTTGATCACGCAAGAACAAGCGGACATTGTATTGATAACGAATTCTTCTTCACAATGTTATTTGCTGACTCCTATTTCTTATTACTCCTTTGCTCGTGTAGAAACTATGTCTCATTAGACATCCTTCACCGTGTCGTCGAGGACTACTTTGGATATAACGTCCTCTTCGTCGAGAACATCACCGACATTGACGACAAGGTACAAGCAATTGCAATTCACACTGGAAAACAAACAATCGCCGAACCGCAGCACCTGCTCCGTTATATTCCTCGGGATATTCTCTTACAAATTGGCCATATAACCGATTTTCTCTAACACAGAACCAACGTTACTTTGTCTAGATTATCAAACGTGCTCGCCAGAACCACCTTTTCAACAACTTCAAGGCTGCAACCACCACTATCACACCAGCGGCTATTGCCAAGGCTGAGGCTGCCTGGAAGCTCTATGCTGACTCTGAGCTCAAGGCCATCGATGCCACTGCCGCTGACCAATGGGCTGCCTTCGTGGAGAAGATCAATAAGGACGCTGCTTTTAAGGCTTCACTCACCACCGCTCACCCAAAGTTCCCCATGCACTTTTCCGCACTTCAGGAGGCTCACGATGCCATTGAGCAGGCCAAAAATGCAGGAAAGGCTGACGCCGCCGCTTTCTGCGACGCCAACAAGACCACCCTCTCTAACCTCTTGGACAAGGAGCTTTCGCACACTGTCAGCGACCCCAAGGTCTTCAGAGATCTTGCCGCCTACTGGGAGGGAGAGTTTTTCAAGGATATGGATCGTTTGGGAGTCCGTCGTCCCGATGTTTTGACCCGTGTCAGTGAATACGTTCCCGAGATTGTTGACTTTGTGAAGAAGATTATCAGTAACGGATACGCCTACGAGGCCGAGGGCTCGGTCTATTTTGACACTGCTGCCTTCGACGGCAAGGATGGTCACCACTACGCCAAGTTAGCCCCTTGGTCCAAGGGTGATGCCGCTTTGATGGAGGAGTCTGAGGGATCTTTGGGAATCAAGTTGTCAGGAAAGAAGTCGAGCATGGACTTTGCTCTCTGGAAGGCTTCCAAGTCTGGAGAGCCCGCTTGGGATTCGCCTTGGGGTCCTGGTCGTCCCGGATGGCACATTGAGTGCTCTGTGATGGCTTCGGAGGTCTTGGGCAGCGGAATGGACATTCACTCTGGAGGGATTGATCTCGCCTTCCCTCACCACGACAACGAGTTGGCTCAGTCCGAGGCCTACCACCAGTGCGACCAGTGGGTCAACTACTTCACCCACTGCGGTCACTTGCATGTTGAGGGACAGAAGATGTCCAAGTCTTTGAAGAACTTTATCTCCGTCCAGGTACACCTCTCTCTTGCTTCGTCATGGGATCGATAAGGTTGATGGATCAAGGAAAATGCATGGTCATAATACTTACTGGCTCATGTAACCTTTTATTTATCGTTTACGACTAATAGCAAGCATTGGAGAAGTACACTCCCCGCCAGCTCCGTTTCTTTTTCTTACTTCATCAGTGGGATACTGGTGTCGATTTCAGAGATACCAGCATGAGCGAAGCCATGAGCGTTGAGACCACCTTCAACGTAAGCTCTATTCTGTCTCACTTTCAAGTCTAAATTAATTTCAGTGGTGCCTGATATCTAACGCGAATTTTGGTGTTTCCTCTTCGATAATCTAGAACTTCTTTGCCAACGCCAAGGCCATGATTGCAGAAGCTAAGCACACCGCTTTGGATTCGACCGGTACTCACAACTTCCGTCGTCTTGAACTTGACATGATTGTTGCATTGAAGGACAAGCAGAACGCCGTCCACGCCGCCCTCTGCGACTCGATCAACACGCCCAACGCCATGTCTGAGCTCCAGTCGCTCGTCTCGCGTACCAACGTCTACATCAAGGAGGCTGGTTCAAACTTGAACGTCGAGGTTGTCAATAAGGTTGCTCTGTATGTCAGCAAGATGCTTCGCACTTTCGGTCTTGACGGTGTCGTCTCGGACCCTATTGGCTTTGCTAGCGCTGAGGCTGGCAGTGCTTCGGTCGAGGATGTTGCTATGCCCTACCTCCAGGTGCTTTCAACCTTCAGAGATACCATCCGCGCCTATGCTCGCGAGGGTCGCCCCGTCCAGGAGATGTTGGCGCTCTCTGACAAGTTGCGCGATGAGGATTTGGAGCGTCTGGGTGTTTCTCTGGACGACCGTGAGGACGGCAAGGCGTTGATCAAGCTTATCCCTGCCGAGGAGCTCGCTGCTCAGCGTCAGGCCAAGATCCAGCAGGCTGCCGATAAGGCTGCCCGCAAGGAGGAGGCTGCCAAGGCCAAGGAGGCTGCTCGTCTTTTGAAGCTGGAGAAGGGCAAGGTCTCGCAGTTGGAGATGTTCAAGGCTGCGGCCAACAGCGCCGAGTATGGCTCGTTTGATGAGAGTGGTATCCCTGTGACGGACAAGGAGGGTCAGGAGTTGCCCAAGAGCAGGAGAAAGAAGCTGCAGAAGGAGTGGGATGTCCAGAAGAAGTTGCATGAGGACTACTTGGCTGAGAAGGCTAAGGGTACCATCGCTTAAAAAGAGGAACCAGGAGCATTGGTCAGGGTGATCTTCATGGTGAGCGTGTAATAAAATATCATAACCAAAAGCCAGCAGTTCTTTTTTTTTTTTGGTTTGTGGGCTGAATGCAGTAATGATTGGTGGTTGTGAGGAATTCCCAGCAATGTCTCGGTGAACATTTGTTCGTCTTCTTAGCGGCGCCATGTTTGACCTTGTTTTATGCGGCTTTCATGACCCATCCTATCAGTATGAACAACCTTGGAACGTTTTGGTTTGTTTGTTTTTCTTTATTGGGCGTTGGTGACATTGCAGTGGAAGAAAATGTAACGATAAATATTGAAGTTGGAGCGACTGGAATGAAGGGAGAACAATGACAATGTGAGGGGGGAAAGGCGTGTATGTTAAACCTAAACAGAACCGAGCTTGAAAGCCTGAGTGATCTCCAGGTCCTCATATGCCAGCGCAACGCGAGTAGGGGTTGTCGAATCGGGCGATTGCCAAGCAACCAACGTCCTGTTATTAAACTTTCTCGGGAAAGTCAACTTGTACTTTGTCAAATCACCACCCAAAACTTTGGTAATCTTCCATTTCTGCTGGGACGCATTGTTGGTGCCCAGGTAGGCACCGGGCAGTCCACCAGAGCGCCCTTCACCGAGGTAGTAACCTTTTTTTCCGACGAGCTCGAGGGAGATGGAACCGGAGGAATGGTTTCGGAGCTTCCAGACTTGGAGCTTGTTGGGGGTGGTGGATTTGGGCTCGATGGTGACGGCCCAGTTGGCAGGGTTGGGGCTGGCAGTGAAGTATGTGTAGCCAGCCGGATTGTGGTTGGTGCCGCGGAAGATGACGTAGTTTCCGTTGGGGAACAGGGGTGCGGCGAGGGCCATATTGATGAGGAGGGCCAGGAGACTGAGTAGGGCGATTGCTGTTGCTTGACGCATGGTTTCTATTTGAAGGAAGGAAGGACGAGGACAAAGAGAATGTGTGCGTTGGGTGAGCGAGTGGGTGTGAATATGGGGGCGTAGGATGGGGAAGAATAAGGTTGTCGGTATCAATAAATAATAAAGTTTATTCTTACCTTGTTTGAGAGTGAGGGAAGGAAAGGAAGTGTGTGAAGAGAAGGAAGGATGGTAGCATGACGCTCCTTTTATATGCGAATCTCTTTTTTTATTTCTGGTGTTCGCTCCGTTGGTTTTTGCTCACTTTCTTCTTCTTTGTCGAACGAAGCGCGCCCGCCCTTGGCGTAAAACCCCGGGTGCTCGACTGGATGATTCACAACATGCATAAAAACAAAAGGAGGAGGAATAGAAAAAAATGTTCTGTCAAATGATCATCGGTTCTCCTTCCTACCATCTCCACCTCCACTTTCTCCTTTCTTCACCATTTCTTTTCTAATAATAAAAGACGGCGTTAATAGTGCAAATTGCAGACTCACCAAAAAAAGAAAAGAAAGGGTTAAAGATGAAGGGGTCCTGGCTTTTTTCTCTTTTTTTTTTTTTTGCAGTTTACTCGGTTACGAGCCATGCACGGTTAGCATGAAAAACAACGACACACTAAACCTAACAGCCAATTGGCATTCAAGATGTTCATCACTCACAAGCCCACCCTTGGTTTGTCGAGTTGTGTAGCTTAACGTCCAGCTTTTCTACTCTTTCTCTGGAGTTTTTGTTTGTTGATGGTCATCCTCCCCCCACCTCTCACGTAATTTGTGGATTCCCCTCTAGTTGAAGCCATCTGCCATTTGTTGATGTCCCCGAGCATTAAAAAAAAGGAAAACCAAAAAAAAAAAAAAAAAAAAAAAAGTGAAATACAAGATGCAATCTTGGAAGAAAAGCACGCACGAAAACGACGATCCACTACTCCAACCCACAATCCAATAGCACGCGCTCTCTCAGACATGCATACTCACTTCAATGTAGACATGTCCCCCCAACTATGCACCTCTGGGTCTCCTTTTATGTCTGTCTATCCACCTTATGTATCGGGAAGTTATTTTGGTGAAACGAAAACAGACTCAACAAACAAACAAACACAACTGACAGAAAGAAAAAAAAACTACAACACGCGAGTCCCTGTGTAGTCCCTACCCTTGTGCAATCCTTACCCAATACCCACACACACTTTCATCTAAAATTAAAATCATCGTGCGCCGTCTTTTTTTTTATCTGTTTCGCGCGACACAAATCAACAAACAAGCACGAAACGCCAATGTGATCTTTGACAGGCCTACGAGCGAGCCCACCAATCCCTCCGGCTTGTCATTTGGCCGTTGTCACGAGCCCACTCTCAAATAGCTTGCCTACTTGTGGTTATGTGCAAAAAACCAGCCCTTGGCCCGATACTACTCTTTCCTCCCTAGATCAGGATAGTATCCAGTAAATAAAAAAACACAAAATAACGGCAGGGCTTGGCTTGATATGCGCTCTAAGACCTATCGCAAAAACGCCCATTCATAGGGTAAGATGAAAAGACTGAAAGGATTTTATGTTAGGCGCTCGAAAGTTTTCGGTAGGATGGTAGGATTAATCTCTGCTCGAAAGACGTGGGGGAAATAATATTCCAATGCTCGGCGCGCGCAGATGTGTTGAATGATAAACGTCACTGCCGACCGTTGGTTAGGCGTAGCTGCATTTACGCCACAATGCAGGATAGAAGAACATGGAGTAACGCAGTTGGCGCGTAGGAAATATCCCTACTTTGCCGTAGGTTGCAAACAAAAAAAGGGTTAGGGAAACCAAAAAGATCGGGCGTCTAATTTATTTCACAGTCACATGTGCAAATCCCCGGTGTGGAAGATCCATTTCACCGTGCAGCGCAGTCCTACATGAGCTGCACTCTAAGTAAGGCAATAAAAATGAATGGAGAAAGAAGGTCATGGTATGGTACACGTTTTATTGTAAAGAGGAAGAAAAGTGAACAATGGGCGGTATTGCTTCCGGCTGGACGGACGCGACAAAAAAAGTAAACTTGAAAGAAAAGTGATTTTGCTGCTTCTCCTGCTGAAGGAAGAAAGGAAAAAAGACGAGGATGATATGGTACAAGGAGTGATGTCTCTTTTTTTGGTTGATGTTGTTGGTGATGTTGTTGAAGGAAGGAGAAAAAAGAGAAACTGAAAAAAAAGATGCGGGTGGGCCCAAGCACATGGATGTGAAAACCCTGCCCATATCGTCCAATGTCGCCCTCCTTCACACGTTGTTATTTTTTTGTTGCTGTAGGCTTGTTGGCTGCTTGGTTGTTTTTTAACATATGAAAAGGCTACTCCTGAGCTGCCCGATCCAGATGCCTTATTTTTTTTGATGTTATTTGGCCGTTGTTGTTTTTACTATTGGCTTTGGGCTCAAGTGTCGGTGGTGTAATCCGTGTTGGTGTTGGTGGTGTTGTCTGCAGGGTCGCTGGTATGCAAAGGTCGAGAACGAGGAGAACTAGTATTGGAAGAGCTGAGGGCGGATTCTCAACAATCAGGCGTTGCTGCTGCCGCTGCCGCTGCGGGTGCTGAAGCGGCCAAGGCAGCGTTCTGACGAAGTCGTTCCAAGATATGGGCCATGCCTTTCCTGGCCTTGACTGAGTTGTCCATGAACTTGTTGATACCAAATGCCTCGACTCTTCCTGTAAGACCCCACTTGAGTTCACTGATAATCCTTGCCTCTGTCTTCACTTGTGTCCTGTTATGATAGATAAAGCGATGAAAAAGGAGGGGTAGGTGAGTAAGAGGTCCATATGTGTGTGTGTGTGTGTGTGTGTGTGTGTGTGTGTGTAATTGACAGATACAGCTATAGTCCTCCTCCGAACAACTACACTTTTGCATGCTACTACTAACTCTGCGTACAAATTGTTGCAATCACATCATCGTCATGCCAACAGCAAGAAAAATACAACATAGCTCTCTCTCTCTCTCTTTCTGTTTGTCGTGTGTTGCTCTGTTTCAAACATACCATTTTGGATTCTCTGGATGGACGGTAAATGTCTGGGTCTCCTCGACTTGCATTACCCTCACGTGGTTCAAGTTCTTTGTGCGAGTGACCATGGTCTGTGTCTGGGGGTTGACCTCGGACTCTTCGACAATATATGCGTCTGGATTCTTGATAAGCTACTCGTCATAAAGAGAGGAGTATTCAAAAAGTCAATTGATATCCATCGGGAATGAAGTGTGAAAATGTGGGTCAGACGACCTAGGAGGAAGGAAGGGGGTTATCGATGTGGTGGTTTGGGAAGTGAAAAATCATAACAAAGGAAGAGCGAGATCAGAGCAGAACCCGGTAATGAAGGAGAGAGGGAGACATACCCCCCGGCCCCATCGAGGGAGGACGCCTTGCTTGAGGATCAGACGGGTGGTGCGGAGGACGCCTGTGACGGGGTCGAGTTGGCGATCGATGACATCGCATCCGACGACATGGGATGCGAACGGGTTTGGATACCGGAGCCAGAAAGCGTAGGTGACATTGTCCCATGCGTGCTCGAACGAAGATGTGTGCTGGTAGAACTTGACCATTGTATATATATATGTGTGTGTGTGTGTGTGTGTGTCGGGGTGTCGAAGTGTCGTATGGAGTAAGGTGCAAGGAAGGAGTGCAAGGCACAAGGATCGATGAGGAAAGTGGAAAAGGAAAAAAGAGAAAGACCGTGCCGGCTTCTCTTTTCTGGCCAAAGGGAGTAAAGAGAAGAGGAAAATGTACCCGTCGGGGTTTGTTGCCTCTCGCTCTCTCCCTTTTTCCGTTCAATTCTCACGAGGGGTGGGACTGCGCTCTTGCATGAAACAGCGTGGCTTAGCAACCCTTTACTTCTTTCCTTTCTCGATCTATGCGCGCAAACGCACTAAAAGAACCGAGAGGAAACTAAAAGAACTTCTCTCTTTTCCTTTCTTCACCCCCCTAACCAATACTTTCAACAAACCGGCGACAAAATACCTCCACTCACAGGAAAATTTCAGGAAGACGATTGAACAATGGCTACAAGGACACTCTCCCTCGCAAGACTCGCACGAGCTCAAGCACCTGCCCCGCCAACCTTCTTTTCCGGCACCAATACAACCGCGGCGGTTCTATGCCGTAGAACTCTGACCACAAAGACCCCTCTGGATACCTCAAGAGCCATGCTGTCCCCATGGTCTTCCAGCTCCGGTCACCCCAGACCAGGATTCCTCGGATTGACACCATCAGTATCATCGACACGAGGAAGCCTAGCGCCCTCACTAGTCATTTTCCGGCCCTACCACGTCACCCTCCGAACCCTCGACCACCAAAACCGTCCACCCAACAACATCGACGACCCCACTTCCACTCCCGTCGGCACTAAAGCAATCGACGACGACATTCAGCCCCAACAAAAGAACCCCATCCCACCCAACACCGAGCCAAAAGCCCGGATGCTCATCGGCTTCACCTGCACCGTCTGCAACCACCGGTCCCACAAGACAATGTCCAAACACGCCTACGAACATGGGGTGGTTATCATGCGATGCGATCACTGCAAGAACCGCCATTTGATTGCGGATCATTTGGGATGGTTCAAAAATGGTGGAGTTACGGTTGAGGATTTGGTCAAGGAGAGGGGGGAGACGGTTCAGAAGTTGACTAAGAGTTATCAGTTGGTGAAGGATGGTGAGATGGCTTCTTCCGTAGGAACTGGAGTATCGGCGGCATCGGGGGCAGGGGAAGGAGCAGGGGAAGGAACAATTCGCGCAACGGGAATAGATGGAGCAGTGACGGAAAAGACGGAATTGGAGTTGGCGTTGGAGAAAGCCTCGGAGGGAATGTTGGAATGGATTCCCAAGGAGATTCTAGAACAGGAGGAGGAGCGGATGAAGAAGAGCCAAGAGACCGTCGACCATACCAAGAAGGCATAATATAGATCTTTCTGTCACATCTGTTTTATCTTTCTCAATAGAGTCATGATTCGGGCATGTCGGGAGGTGTGCGCAATAGTGATGAAGGCGAATAATTTTATTTGTCAAATGATGGCAAAAAACATACTCGGAGTGAATTAGGGGAATGGGGAGAATGCAAAAATACTAGGCTTCTATGGTACAGACAAAACAAAATGACGACAAAAACAACAGACAGATACAAACGACAGACGACAAACAAACGAAGAAAATGAAAGCGATAAACAGCTCAAACAACGACGACAACGACAACGGCAACAAACAAATACAAACAGAAACAAAACTAACAACAAGAAGAAGAGCAAATATAAGAGGGGTAACAGAATGGCGTCGGGTGGGGGAATAAGAAGATTGGCCCGTGGGGATAGAATGTAGTAGGAAAGAAGGCGACAAAAGGCCCCGGCGTGAAATTGCGATACCTTCTACCGTCAAATTTTCTCGGCGACGGTAGGATCATAAGGGTGACGAACCAGAAGGTCATACAGCTCGTCCGGCAAGAGTTTGACCATCCGGATCGTCTCCCTGATCACCTTGCCCGCGTTTAGATCCGGGAAGATTCTCAACAGCTTCATCGGACTATTAGGTTGAATGAGCATGGCAATTCATAAGTAACAGGTTTGTTGGCTGAGCCGCGTCTAGCGGATCACAGATACGAAGTAACACATAACAAGAAGAAGGACAAAAAGAGTGCTCACCTGGCATGGCTCATGAGTTCGTCACGGATCAAGTGGAGCTGGGCAATGATGCAAATGATGTTGAGATGGATGCCCCAGGCAAGCAGGAAATCCCAGAGCTGCATAACTTGATCCAGAGGAGGCGTGCATGCGCAGATCGTAAGCACCGCTACAGGATGAAAAATACCCCAGAGCGAGGCGTGGTTTGGCTGGTTAGTGAGAGTGATACCTTGATAACACTTACAACTACAACTCGGAGCAAACAAATTGCGTGAGTGTATGGACAATTGAAACTTACAAGGGAAGGCGTAGAGCTCTGCCGTAAGTCGCTTGGACTTGAGGTAGTCGTACAACTGGACATCAATTTTGCGGAGACACTCTTCCAGCAGCTTTTGATCAATCAGGAACCAAAAGTCGACGTATGAGGTTAGTGATCAGGGAAACTAATAAACTCATCTACGTAAACGCCACCAAAATATTAAAAACGCGTCGACCTGATGTTTACCTTGATGCCGCAGTGGACGCCTTGAAGTGTTGGTTGGACATATAGCGGACAGCAGTTCTTGATAAAGTTGGAGTAGGAGTAAAAAGCCTCCATCTCCGTCATCGTGTACAGGAATGGAGCGGCCAGCACATTCATGCCCTGTACATATGTGAACGACACATCCGTATCTTGAACCGACGTTGCTAATAACAAAAGTGTTGGTGATGGTAAAGCAAAAGTGAGTGTGGATAATAATGAAAACGCGTCTGTCATTGTAATGCGTGCATGCATAATGGCACCTATTAGCAAATAAAGTAATAGCAAAAGTAACCCCGAATAAACAAGAAAAGGTAGTAACAGTCATTCATTCTTACCTTGGGTGCTCCAGGCAAACGCGCACAGGACGCGGATCAAACTATCCTCCTCGACCACATCCAAGAACTTGCGGTCCGTCGCTAGGGTCCGGAAGGTGTCGTCTCGGATCTTGTTATACTCTTGCGGCTTGCCCTGTTTGACCAAGGAAATGTACTCTTGTGCCGAGACATGATGGACCTCGAGGAGTAACTTCCAGCACTTGCTTCTGATCGTCGGTTTGTTGGGCTTTGCCTTTGGCATCGTTGGCTAAAGATTGCATGAAAGATAAACACACATATACAAGATAGCAGTAAGGTATGATCCAGAGAAAGAGAGGGAAGGGGAAAAAGTAAAGGAGATTAGTTTAGAGAACGTAAATTAAGAATATGGGCATAATATGGACACCTTCTCTCGGAACCCACAGCAGTAAAAGAACTCGCTTACGAAGTGCATTAATGTGTTCATTTTTAGCGCATGCGGGTCGCAAAAGGTTGATCCCAACCCCACCTCCCGCCCAACTCTTTCGCTCCACACCACATCTCGCCCAACGAGTGTAATAACACCCTGGAGGATATCAAATGAGCAATGTAATGTTACGGATTGTTAGGGGGTGCTGAGCAGTTATAGATGATTCCATCCTCCATTGTCCGCCATTTTTCACACAACAAACGCATATTCCCTTCAATTGTCGTGTGCACGAAGAGATCAAATGATGACACCGAACAGCAAGTAAGAAGAGAGGAGAACAAAAAAATCCCACGGTGTGCAAAGGCCACCCTCTCCCTTCTCCAAATTGGTCTTTCTCCGTATCCCCCTTCTTTGTTACTTGCACTTCCCGTAGACGTTGTTGATAATTGTAATGTTTTGGTTTATACAATGGAAGTATAGACATCGGCGCAAGTGCCTGTAACCCAAGAAAAAAACAATATCAAAACGCAACTCCAACTCCAATCTGAGTCAATGAGTCGAAAACTTTTTTTGGCAAACAAACGAGGGGAAGTGTACAGAAGAGGCGTGGAGGAAAGCTTTGAGAAAAAGTAAAAAGGGAACCTCGTCGTCTTCCGTAACACGAAACAGGATGTTGTTGAAATTGCTGTTTGAACTCCCTGAAAAAAAAATTTGTTTTCCTCAGGGAACAAATCGCCTGAGCTTCTAGTTCGTTTTGTTTGTTTCGTGGGCTCTTTCTTGACGTTTCTCTTCTCACTCCCTTTTTGTTCTTTTCATACTATTTTTTGTCCTACAACACACAACCGAGGTAAATTTTTCAAGGGGTAAAAAAAAGCAATCGAGACATAAGAGGGGATGTAGAAAAAAAAAGGAATATGAAGCAAGATGAAAAACATGGATGTACGTGTAGACACAGTTACCATGCAATGAAACAAGAGGAAAGATAACCGAGCACGACATTCCTCTTGTACCACCATAGGAGAAGAAGGGGCCCCCCTTGTGCGCCATGGTCCGAGTCACACTTTCCTCCGTCTGATTTTTTTTTGGAGATGAAGAAGAAAATGAAAACGCTTGCAAAAGATGAGTGGTTGAAGCAGGAGCAAAAGAGATAAGCCGTTATAGGAAGAAGCACGCGCACTCACAAACGAAACAAAGAGGACAGAAAAAAGAAAACGAGTGCACGGGGCCCTCGGTTGAAAGGTCCAGGAAGTGAACTAACGAATGGAAAAAACATGCACACGATGGACACCATGACAACAACCATGACAAACATGAAAAGGATAACCCTCCGAGACCCGAGACATGTACACCAACATCGATAAGGTCCGTCATACCTTCCACTGAGTAAAATGAAAGGGGTGGGGTTGGAAAAGGGCACAATAAATGGACTAGACACCAAACCATTAGGAAACCACAAAAAGATAGGGAGGATAGCAAGCTGTTACAACTGTTTCCAAGGTTATTAAAAGAATACAAAAAAAGGATACAAAGGTGTATGAGTTTGTTTTTTTTTTTTTTTTTTTTTTTTTTTTTTTTCGTCACCGTCGTACTGTACCTGTTCAGGAATACCGTAAGCGAGAATCAACTGTCGCAATTCATGTAAGGACTCTGCAATGGCTTCCTCTGTCGGATGCTGTCGTTGAAAAATAGCTTCATATAAAGCAGCTGAGTCTTGAGTCGTCATAAGCATCGTAGGTTCAGGACTGTCGGAGAGAAGAAGAGCTTCGCCGATCATGTCAGCTTTCTTTTCTTCAGCAAAGACGACGGCATTGTCCTCGTCGTCCAATTCTTCGACCCCTGCAGCAGTCTCTTTCGAGAGTGAGCGAGGAAGAACTGCTGGTGTAGTGGTCAACAATGCAGTTGCTCCTCCTCCTCCTCCTGCTACAGCAATGCAAGCTGTAGACAGTTTTTCTTCGTCGGGACCAATGCTGTTGCGAGATCGAAGTGAACACTTGCGTGAGCGAGGGGTTGGTGGAGACAATAATGCTTCGTGAGGAGGATGGTCGGTCACAGTGCTGTCGCTGTCATTAGAGTGATCATGGCTATTGTCGGACTGGGGATCGATATCGCCCATGATGGTATTGTCGAGTTGGGCGGACGACGAACGATGGTGGAGGTGGTGATGTTGGTAATGAATGGATTTGAGATGGTTTGAAGTGCCAACAGAGATGGTGTTGCTGTTGCTGTTACTGGCATTACTTTCGACGTCGGTCCCATCGCTGCTTGATCCCCTACCGTCTGCGCCTTCTTCCTGGTTTCCCTTGTGCAGTTCAAGCTTGGTGAGCGGATCAAGTTCATGTTGCTTTTGTTGGTGCTGCTGCTGGATGGAGTGTTGTTGATGTTGTTGCTGTTGTTGTGGGGAAAGAAGGTTGTGCTGGAGAGCCCTGGCCTTGACTTTAGCCTTGGCTAGGAGAGAGGAGCCGACGGTGTAGACCTGGCGCTGGGGCATTGGATCTGGCGAGTAATAGTAAGGGTTGTGGAGGTGGTGCTGATCAACAACCTTGATGGTCTCAGGGTTCTTCTCTGATAAGTACGAATCTGGATATGAATCTGAAACCGGTGTTGGCGCTGCTGGGGCAGGTGATGGTGTAGATGGCGGCGCAGACAGGTCGGTGCCTGAACCCACCAAACGAAAGGTCACAGTCGTAGTCGTCACCAACGGCTTGTCCTGGCCGATAGCGATGGTCGCACCAACAAGTTGCTTCTTCTCCACGCGACTGTGGCCGCCGCGATGTTTGGGCGTGGTGGTATTAATCGTAGGACTGGTAGTGGTGGTATTCGGAGAGGTGGCAGAAGAAGGAGGAGTGTGGGTACTGGTGCTAGCCGTGGCCTTGTTGGAGTGAGTTTGGGCAACGCTAGGGGGTATCCTGATGATCCGCTGTAGCCGGTTCTTGAGCCGGATTTCTGTGGGCGAGGCTGTCGTCAACGTCGTCGAGTCGGTCGCAGTAATGCTACCTGTAGCGGTGGTGGTGGCGGCTGCTGCTGTTGTTGTTGCAGCAGTTGTGTTCGCTGCTGTAACAGTGGTAGTGACGACGGACGAGGTGATTGCGGATCTGATGAGTTCTGATTCGAATCCGTTTGGCGAGGTGTGAATCATGTTAGAAAGGGACAATAATGAAGCTGGGTTGAGATCGTCAAGTAGAACCACCTCTGTTCTGTCAGCAATCTCCTCCATGAGAGGATGGGGAGGGGAAGAGAGAAAAAGGGAAAGAGGGGGGCGAGAGAGGGGCTAACTTGAGAAAGGAGAGGAGAGAGGAAGAAATGGTTGGAAAGGGAAAACAAAAGGAGTGGAGGAAGGTGAAGTACAGAACGAGAGAGGGAAAAGAGAGAGAGAGAGGGAAGAAGAGAAGGAGAGACACAGAGTAACAATGGTAAAAAGGGTTATGTTTATGTATTGCTGTCTGTTCGCTCTCCTTTTGTTTCTTTGTGTGTGTGTTGGATGTATGATTGTTTGAGTGAGCGAGGTTTTTATTTAGTGTGGTGGAGATGGAGGGGAGAAGATACAATGGCCAGGACGGGACGGGACAGAGGAAGAACACACGCAGGATATCCACAGTCGATTCACGAAAGGAGAAGCAAGGTGAATATTCGGGAGAGGAGGCAAACAAAGTGGATGAACGAAAGTGGAGTACAAAAGTGAAATAAAGGAGCTTTTCAGCCACCTGCGATTCGAAAGAACACATCGGCGAACAAGAAAGAAGAGAAATAGAGACGATCCCAGCCTCTCTCGGTTGTCGTTTTGCCCAAGGGAGAAATCGACATAAAAAGCAATTGGACCATGGGCTATGGGCCATGGACCCATCGATCGATGCAATCAATCCAAGGAAAGGAGCAAAGCAACGACAACGCGGAAAAAAAAAAAGTAGCGATGGTAAGAAGTGGGAGGGGTGGGTGCAAAGCAGAGAGAGACAAACTCAATAGAAAGAGGGGAAGAAAAAAAGGGTGACCGTGCAGGTTGAAGACTTCTCTGTCGTTCTCGTCAATAACAACAACAACATCAACAACAACAACAACAATAACAACAACAACAACAAACAACAAATAACAGCAATGGTCGTCTTTCTTGTCTTATCTTGACTTTTTTTTGTTTTTTTGCTCGACACGACGGTTGAAAGGGAAGCGACGTCCATTCTTCAAAAGTAGGGGCAAAGAAAAAAAAACAAGAGTCGGACAAGATAGATATCGAGGAAATGAGGGAAAACACTACGACCGAGTGGCAAAGCGAGGAAGGGAAGACAATAACCTATTATACTCTGACTTACGATAGTCAAAACGAGCTCACTGAATCGATCCTGAAGGAACAAGCGCGTGTAAGTGCAAGTGGTTTGGAACTCTATTGCGAAGGGTTGGCGTGGCCAGCTGTCTTTCTTCCTGTCCTCCTCGTGTGAGTGTTCGCTGTATGTGTGGAGAGTTGATTGATTTGAGAAGGAAAGGGTAATGGTGGATCAAAGGGACAACCAAAGTGAATACTGGATCAAGTCAAAATGACACGAGAGCGCGAATGAGTGAGAGAACATTCGTTGACTGAACCTGAAGAATAAGAAATAAAGGCAATTCTGTCCTTCAAGTCCCCAATTAACAAAGTGCTACCAAAACGAAAAAGTGCAAGGAATGAACGAAAGCGAATCGTCAAGTCAAGTACAGGCACAATGCACCAAAAGCTTTTTGTTTGCCTCTTTGTTCAGACGGAGTGAGAGAGAACCAAGTGAGAGGTGAAGGAGAAGGAGGAGAAAAGAGGGGAAGGGGGAAAAAAGAGGGGAAGGGGAGAAATTCCAACAGACCCAGGGGTACCTTTGCCTCACTCCTTCTCTCTATCTCTCCCCTTCTCTCTATCTCTCCCCTTCTCTCCCACACCTTTTCTCTCTCTCTTTCTCAATCTGCGTGTGTGTGTCTTTCTCACCTTCTTTGGCACCAAAAGGACAACCCATACCCCCGTAATGACAAAAGGCTAGATGGACAGACCGACAAAAAAAAAGAACCCGCAAGGCAAGGACGAATTCTGGAAAAAAAGGGGACTCGAACAACACAAAAGAACGACGTGATTGTCTGTCTGTCTGTCTGTCTGTCCAGGGGAGAGGAAGAGGCGGGAGGCCGCGGAAAGTTAACGGGGTGGAGAAGGGGAGGCCTGCGTTTAAAAGTAGGGCAACCGGACAAGACGTAACTTCATATACCAAATGAATGTGCACCGCTGTTCTCCTGTTTTCTTTGTGAGACTGGCTGCATTCCATGAACTAGCGGAGAAAACCCTCAAGTGGTAACCCGACCCTCTGTTTGGATCTCTGTCAAAGAGAAAAAGGACGCACGTTTTTCTTTTCAATAATGCGAGGAAAGACCATGGCCATAGTCAGTCAGTCAGTCGGACAGACAGACAGACAGACAGACAGACAGACAGACAGACAGACAGACAGACAGACAGACAGACAGACAGACAGACAGACAGACAGACAGAGAGAGAGAGAGAGAGAGAGTCAGCTCATGAGGGGTAGGGGTGGTTGGTGGTTATGCATCCCCTTCCATCCCTTCGCATCCCTTTTGCATTCACCCACGTACAACATCCGTTTGTGAACAGTGAACACGAAGCTCCGTGTTCAAGTAGCTATGTACCATCATGCCAAGTACCATCATACCAAGTACCTCTCAATGCCAGTACCTAATGCTAATCTCCTTTTGTTTTGCTTAGGATGTACACTGATGCCATAGTCGACACTCTATACTTCCTTCCACAAAAACGTGGGCTTCGAACATCTGTGGGAGCACCTCTTCACTTTATTACCCTATGCTTCCCCACACTCTAGATTTTCTGCTTGAACATGTTCAAGTTGCCTGGACACATCCTTGAAAAAAAGTAAATGCAGATAGAGGTTCCCAGACTCCGCTCCTATATTTGATCCGTGGCCCGTGTCCTTTCATGTCGATCTTTATTCGGGACTCCAATGCCTAGGCAAGGCAAGGAGAGTGCAACCAGGATGCTTATTCGGACCATTGTTTTCTAGGAGACAGAGAGACAAAAATCCACTTCACTTCATCTCAAAAACGCTTGTGAACCCTTTAGCAGTTTAGCGATTGTCATTTCGTTTTGATAAAAAAAAAAAAAGAGCATCAGAAATGAACTGTCTCTCCTTTGCGTTGAGGCGTTTTTCCTTCTCGCCATCATCACAATGATACATGGTTCATTGTTGAACATCAGACACCCCTCCCCCACCAAACAATCGTCATCATCAAAGACGAGCTCCACCGCCTTTCTTTTTTACTTTACTGCTTTGCCATCTTCAATTTACTTGTCCATCCCATCTATCCACACGCCAGAGGTCAAACAAAAGGTAGTAACGAATACAGACTCTCTCTCTCTCTCTACTATCACTTTTAGTGGTGGGCATTATTTGATTCTGAGAGCGACAAAAGGAGCAACAATTAGTTCACCTTTGCATCAACGGGAAAGCAACAAAAGAATTGAAGGACAGCAAACAGCAAAACAAAAGTCTTTTTGTGCATGAGATAGAACGAGAATCCTTTCTTGTGGTTTTTTTCTCTTGTTTTGCAGGAACAAACAAAAATGAGGACAAAGAGTCAGTGATACAAAGTGTTGTGTGGTAGCACTATACGTAAAGAGACGTACAGAGCTAAATGGGGACAGAGGGAGAATAACATGGTCATGTAGGGAGGGAGGCGAGAGTATACGTATGCAATACCTTGTCTGTCTACTGCATGGATGAATGACCATGTATCCAACAGCATTGGGGTGAGGAGACAGAGAGGACCAAATAAGGGGAGGGAAGGGGTGGATGGGTGGGGTATGGGCGAATGGTCTGATTACTTCTGATATGCAACGCACGGCATGAACAAAAAAAATCAGCAACAAACAAACAGAACAATGACCGTCAGGGGTAAACAAAGGTTCAGAAGAAATAATGCAGAAGGGGAAGGGGAGGTAGTCAATCCATATGCCCTTTTTCAGGGTCTTTGTAAAAGTTTGGAAAGAGAGGATGACAACGCAATGTGAGGTCTTTTCTGCATGCTCCGCAGTGTTTTTCTACATTTCTTTTTCATTGATCAGCCGAGAACCATAGTTTCAAAAACCCATAGAACAAAGTGATCAGTCGCAACCTTGCTGGTCTCACCATAGCTGAAACAAACACTGTAATGATCAGCTGATAGTTCTTTTCCGGGGCACGTTTTATTTTGATGAGTCGATCGACAAAGCGTCGCGTTTAACTGGTCGCTCTCCGGAAGGGTGGAGAACTCGGCCCTGCGGGTGCTGATCCCCGTGTCGATGTCGATGGACTCACTCCTGCTGGTGAAGTAGAAGATCCTACTCCTGACGGTTCCCGTAAGCCAGCAAGCTCCTCGATATCCCGTTTGCAGAGAGGACAGTTCCGATGCAGCCGCAGCCACTCGTCGACACACTCCTTGTGAAAGTAATGCGTGCACCTCATCTTTCGCAGCTCCTCATCATCCTCATATTCGCACAGACAGATCGCACATACTGCATCCTGCTCGTCCTCCAACGTCAAATACTCTACCGCAGAGGAACTGGACGCATGAGGCGATGCTGCATCCTGTGGTTTGCCTGCCGCTCCCGAGCTCGAACCCTTCTTGCCTTTGCGGAAAAAGCCGAACAGTCCTCCCTTCTGCCTTCGAAGAGCTTCTTCAGCCGCAGATGAGGACGACATTGGGTCGGCCACAATCTCTGCGCTTTGTCCTCCAGGATGACTACTCGATGCTGCTCCTGCTCCTGTTCCTGTACTAGTTCCAGTTCCAGTACCAGTACCAGTACCAGCTCCAGCTCGCTCGCTCATATTAATCGCACTCTCGCTTTGCCTCTGATTTGCCTCCGCACCGCCAGAGCCTCGTGCTGTAGCCGGCGTCCTGTACTTTACAATCGGGATAGAGGCTATCATCTCGTCTGTTGCTCCTTTGATTCCGACAACAGGTCCAAGGTTGAAGTACCGCATCACTCGGAGAACCAGAGGAAGACACAGGATAACCGTCAAGCAGAGAATCACTGGAATAAGGATGACAATATAGCCCAAAACAACATAGACGACCGTAAGGTAAAAAACCGCCGGAGCCGCTTCCCGACATGTCGTCCCCGAGAACAAAAAATAGTTGGAGAGGAAGAAGAGACACGTTCCTGCGACCTCCATGAACGTCCGCTGTCGCTCCAAATTAATATCCCTAGCCGTCAATGGTGCGCCTTGGACCCGGGGGTGCAGATGAGAGTATACCGTGAATGGGAATGCCATGGCTGACCGCGCAGCATAAAGTCCAATCAGCACCTTCAGATACGTGAGGTTCAGACTCGCACACTGGGCATTACTGTCAACGATCAAGACCGTGGTGGAAGCGACAACCTAAACCGGCGGAAGAGTGACAAAAAAGAAAAAGACAAACGGAGAAAATGTGAGATGTTTGCTCGATGTTTGTTTGTTTGTTTTGTTTGTTTGTTTGTTTGTTTTGTTTGTTGATAGAGATGTCGTCGCCATACTTCGCAATGAGTCCATGTCCTTGGGTAATGTGTGTGTTTGTGGATAAATCGTCACCACTGGCTAGTTTGGTTTAGCCAGTCAGTGCGGTTGTTGTGTCCTAACGACAACCCCTTCCAGTGTCTCTTGTACCCCTCTTCGTCATTAGAGGGTCATCCGTTACGTTTGCGTAGGTGAGTTCCAGTGACCACCTGTACCGAAAGGCACGGTGGCCTACCTTTGTCCCTATTCGCTGGTGTTGTTGTTTGTCGACTGTTATCGCCATTGCTTCCAACAATGCTCCGCTTTCAATCTCGCACTGCAGCCGACAGTCTTTGTAGTCGTTGCTATTGTTGTAGGTTGTTATCGGTGGGTAGTAAGGTGATATGAATGAGACGGCGTTGGAAAATTAGGGCGTGTAAAAAGAAGAAAAAGAAGTGCGGCGACGATGGTCGGTGACCCACCAACGATATTCCTAAACGCTATACTCAAATAACCATCCCAGTTTTGACTGACCATAGCCCATGGGGCGCCCACAATCCAATCGATCCCATGTCCTGAGGTATTTTTGCCATTTCAACCAATCGTTCTATGAAGCACCTTGTTGTCGCTGCAGCTGTCTTAGTCTGTCGCTTACCTTTGCAAGGGTCATGGCGCCATTGAGGCACAGGATGATACGAGAGTTCCTTGGTAAGGTGTCCCAGCGGTCTGAGAAGCGGGCCATCAAGTTCCTTCGGACTTGACGTCCAGCGGGGTTGCCGCCTGCAGAGTCGATAGCGAGGTCCATCACCGAGCGAGGACGGGATAATGTTCCATCTGCAGGTGGGGACAAGGCCGCCTCTTGGTCCCTGTCCCTATCTATGCTCATGCTCATGTCTACGCCTGTGTGATTTCTGTCTGATGTGCTGCTGTTGTCGTTGCTATTATTGTCATTGATGTTGTTATTGTTGGTGGTTAAAGAGTCGAGGGCGACATCGATAGAAAGGGGGTGTGTCTGATGTGTTGAGGTCGACGGTGATGTCGATGTGGGGTTGGACATGGCCAAGACCGTAGAGTCGAGTTGTTGTCGATGTTGGTGTTGTTGGTGGTGGTGGTATTGGCGTTGTTGTAGTTGCTGTGTTGGATCGGAAGATAAAGGATGGGAGGTTGACGCTAACGAGGGGGAGGAAGGGGAAGAAGAGGGGGGAAAGGAAGAAGAGGAAGAAGAAGAAGAGGAAGCAAAGGAGAAGCGATGAGCGGTTGGTCCACCTGCTCCACCTCCTGCTGCTGTTACAGAGGAAGAAGGAGGAGAAGAGGCTGGGGCTGAGACCATCGAGGGTAATTCGAGAGGGCGGGAGAGCATCAATGGATTGTACGGCGACGAATACAACGGAGGGGATGGAGGATGTTGCTGTTGCAACAGCTGAATTTGCTGTAGCTGTAATTGCTGTTGTCGTTCGACTGAAAGAGTATCACCATTGGATAGAGAGGATGAAGGAGGAGGGGAAGAGGAGAGAGGGATGATTGGAGGCGGGATATGTTGGGAGTATATGCTGTAGATCGATGATCGGGCCGAGTCAATAAGCGAAGGGCTAGAGTAGACAACGGGGTAGGGAACAGCGACGGGTGAATAGTGGCGCGCAGAGGATGAGGAAGGGATGGACGGTGACCGAGACCTTGCTCGACGGCCTCTTGAAGATGATGTTGGCGGGGATGGTGCTGTTGTAGAGGAGTCTGCTGTGGATTGACCGGGCAGGTAGATAGGAAGCGACTGCATCGTTGGTTTTGTCTACTGGTGTTGTTGTTGGTGAAGGATGAGGGAGGGTATCGAGAGTATTGGGAGGGTGTGGTAGGGGAAGAGGAGTGAAGTGAGGTGAAGTGGGTAAGGTCTTTCTTTGCTGTCTTTGTCGGTGGAGGAGGAAGGAGCACAAACTGCGTTACGAGAAAAATATTAGAAAGAAAGTAATAAAACCAAAAGGGTGAATGAATGAACAATGAAAAGAAAAAGAAAAGAGAATGAGGGAGGAGAGATGGAAGAGGAGAGAGAGAGAGAGGGGAGAGAGAGGGGAGAGAGAGAGAGAGGAGAGAAATGACAGAGGGACTGAGACAAAGAAAAAAAAAAGTGGTGGCGTGGAAAAGGAAATAAAGAACCCGCCTTCCAAGAAACAAAGAACATGAACGAGTTACATCGAGATACAGGCACCATGCCATCGATACACGATACCCAAAAAAATAACAACAATGCATATCCCCTTGCCTTCATTCACTCTTTGTGGCTATCTTTCCTTTTCTCCTTCTCTTTCTTACCTTCACCCTCTCAATCTCCCCTCGCCTAGAGGAGATCCTCCTCAACAACAAATCATGCATCTTTGTCCGCCTCTCTCTTCCACTCGTGCCATGTCTGCGTTGCTAACTCGCTTTCTTTTAGCCTGGGCCAGCACTGGCACACAACAACAACAAAAAAAAGAAAGAACGCCAGGGTCCATATGAAGCGCATCATCACGCAAGGTTCAAAAATACATCAAGAGCGTCGACTTTCACTCCCAACTTTGTTTATCTCCTCCGCTCGCTCCGCACCCTACATCCCATCCGCATGCCCATCGTTTTAAAATAAAGGGGTGGAGACTGGAAAGACAACAAACAGGCAAGCCAAGGGTCGAAAATGAAAGTGAAAGTAGAAACCAACATAAGATTGAGAGTCTGAGAGCGAAACACAAAATCACAAAAACACGAGCACTAGCTTTTTGATGAAAAAAGCGTGCCATTCGAGATTTAGATATTCGTTTTGCTATTTTTTTTCCTTCGTCTATCTTTTCTTCTTGCGCTTAATGCGGCGAGAGAAGTAGAAAAAAAGGGTGAAATGAATCGGTAATAAAAGAATACTACGAAGGATAATAAAAGGGGAAACTACGTACAGGGAGAGGAAAGGGAAGGAATGGAAGAGGCGAGAGGGAGATATCTACTTCTTGATGGCCTTGTAGCAGGACGCATACATGTTGACGCGATCGATAGAGACACCGCTACCAGGGACGCGAACGCCGACAGGCTGGACATCAAAGCCATACTTCTCAAACAACGCATTGTACCAGGGCTTGCGGCCTGCACTCCTCCAGAGGACCATACCGCCCGAGCGAATCGCCCTCGAGACCTCCTTAATCTCCTCGTCCGCATCCTTGGGGTCGAACCAATCCATATGGTCCATCAGCACGGCTTTGGTCAGCTCTCCGTCCTGAAGCGATCTGAGGACCTCGATAATCGACTTTGTGTGCAACAACATCGCATCGGTCGACTTTTGAGTCTTGAGCGACTGGAACCCTTCCTCAGACAGATACGACGGGCACGACTCGCGCGTGTACTTGCGGTTGACGACCAGGTTATAGAAGTACTGGTCGTTCTTGAACAGCGATCGGGTCATGACCGAGTCCAGGGTGTCGTAGATGTACTGGACCGCATTGCCCTCGTCCAAGATCAGCTTCATCTGGTTGATCGGCACTCCGAGGGCGTTCCAGAGGAAGGCCGGGTGGGAGAGCACCCACTGGACAAGCCATTCAGGCAGAGTAGACGGCTTAACCACGTTCTCCCAGAGCTGCTCCTGGACTTGGATATCCTCCGTCGTCGAAATCTCCTCCGCGGTCTTGGTCAGACCCTTAATCCTCAACAGCCATTTGAACAGTCTCAATGCCAGACCCGAATATCCAGTCTCGTAGAAGCAATCGTCAAACGTGTTCCTGTTCTTGAACCAGAACTGAAGCGCGGTTGATGAGAGCGATGGCGAGAGCTGGTCAATCAAAATCCGGCGGAAATCCTGATGACGACCCTCTCCAAACATCTGCCAGAACTCGGAGTAGTTCAGGTTGTTGATACCGGCCAGCTTGAGCTCGAGAAGGTGGTTCTGGCATGGGTTCATGTCGACACAGTGGATCCGGCTGGGCTGACCCTTGAGGGCATACTCGAGCGCATTGTCTCCAGCAGACGTGATTACAAACATGACATCGTCCTTTTGGATGTTCAACACCTCGAGGTCAATACGGGGATCCTCCCAGGTGAAGGCATAGATGTAGGACCGAAACTGGGTGTGACAGGGCAGAGTAGGGTTGTAAGGGAGACGCCATTGGCTGAGCTTACGGCCGAAACGGGCTTCGACCTGCTTGTCGATCATGGCGCGGGTTGAGGCAGATTGGTTGGCACCGACCAGAGTACGAGAAGATCCAACGCTGCTGGGGCTGTCGGGTACCTCGGAACCTTGGCTGGAGCCAGAGTCGGTCGACATGGAACGGGGGCGAAGGTCGTTAATCTGGAGCTGGTGAAGAGTGGGCTCATCAACTGCAAGGCTGTCGGGCAAAACTGAAACAGCGGCCTTGAGCTGGGCAACGGGACTCCGCTGGAACTCAGAGCGTTTTCGTTGACCGACCCAGACGTAGAACGGGATCTGGACGAGGTAAGGGATGATCATATGGTTGCGTCCGTTAATGACCTTCTTGACCTCAAACTTGTGCTCGAGGTACTCGCGACGGGACGAATGGAGGTAGACATGGTCAAACGAGAACCAGATAGTCCAGAAGTTGCGGGTGAACCAGCTGCACTGATAGTTCTCTACGCCGTGGGTATCCGTCGTGATGATGTTGTTGGAGGCGTAAAAGTCCGAGACACCGAGGATACCGTGCTTGGGCTCGAGCAGTTCGTAGATGCGGTCGACGACAGCGTAGTAGCTGTCCATCATCGAGAGCGAGTAGGACATGGTGATGACATCGAACTTGCCGTCGGGGTTGTCGATTCCAGGGAAGCTGCCGTTGAGAGCATCCTCGCAGAGAACAACAACATTGGACCATCCAAGAGTCTGGAAACGCTCACGAGCAACACGGCATAGCGAGGGGCAAAGATCGACTAGATAGACACGCTCGAACTTGCTGATGGGGAAGTAACTGTTCATCTGCTCAATGTTCCATCCTAAAGTTAAGAAGGTAGAGCATTGAAGAAGGAGTGTTAACATTTGCATGGTATGGTGGGGTAAAGCAAGGTGATGAGATGAGGCCAACGTGATCTGATGAGCTTACCAGTTCCGCCACCAAGATCGACCCAGATGGGAGCCTTGTCGGTTCCCGAGACCTTGAGTTGTTCCTTCAGTTGAGCGGCGACGAGAGCGAGCCCTGTGTGACGGCCACGGAGAAGAGCGCTGCGGGTATCATCAAAGACTAAGAAACACAAAGAAAGGGGGGTGAGAGTTCAGGCGTGGGAGAGTTGAAAGAAAGCATTGGTCAGATTTATGTGGTCAGAAAAGTAAATAAATAAACATGCATACATCTCACCCACTGTCATCATAAAGGGTTGTTGATAATGTGAATGGTTTCTTCCTCTTATCGCTCCCACACTCTAGCCCGTTTTCACTTCATTCCACTCACACACCCCAACAACACCCGTCCACCCATTCTTTTGCTCTCACTTGTTCGCGTATTGGCAAGTGCCCCTCCTTGCCTCCTCCGTGAATATTATCACCGTCGATGTGTTCGTTTGCCATCCTGACCACAGAATCTCGAACATGTTTGAATTCCTAACAAAATAGGCCAACTAAGGAGTGAGCACAAGCCAACAGACAGCAAGGTTGCCTCTCCCGCTTGCTTACTTGTTTGCTTCCATTAAGTTTACTCTAGAAAAGAACCTCCTGCTCCCCCATCCATCCCCTCTACTTCCCCCGCGCAATGTTTCTCCTATTTTTTTTTCTCTCTCTCTCACTGTTTTTCTAGCCCCCTTCTTCACCCTTTTCTCTGCAATGGTGCAGGAACCTATTTTGTATTGCTTGACCTCCTTGACCCTTTCTTCTCCTGGTTTGTGCCTGTTAGTTGGGATCGCACACCATTTTAAAGTGGACTGACATCCCCTTTCTCTTAACAATCGCCTCACCTTGTTTCTTTGGCCTCATCTCTTCCTTCAAGGAATAAAACACTCTGGGAAGCTACCTCTCTTAAGGTTGCCTCCATTTTTTACTTTGTCACTCCTTTGAAAGGTCGTAATACCAAAACTTAATCATCGAAAGACCTGAGCGGCATTGGATAAAAGAGTGGGATTGGTCGAATGGGAAAGGGGAAGAGATGACGACCCCACGAACAAGAGAAAGAGTGGAAGAAACTCAAGAACAACGGGATAAAAGATAAAATGAAGACTGACAGACACTTTCGTGAGGGGATGGAAGGAATGAAAGAGTAAAAGGAGTGAGTAGATATTAGAAAAAACTTACTTTCTGCTTGGTCCTTGTAGAAGGCCTCCAAACGACTCTGGGGTGTTGAGACATCGCCCTTCTTGCTCAAGGGCTTGAGAAAGCAGGAGTAAATGAACTTGAGTGGGGTCTTGATCTGGTCGAACATGGCGATCAAGAGCAGGACAAAGGCTGCGGCGGCGCCTAGGAAAGCCAACTGAGAGGTCACGGCCATTTCCTGAGCCTTTTGAAAGTTCTCGGTCGTGTTCAGAAGATAGAGCGCCACCGAGGTTGAGGCCACCATCAGGGCAATCATCGAACCTGAAGCTGGCAGTTTGGCCGAGCTGTGCATTTTTGTTTGCTGTGAAAACTGAGCGGAGGGTTTTGGAAGGGAGAACGGGTTCCAAGGATGACGGTGGTTGGCGAAAATGGGGACTGAAAGCTCTCGGTGACTAATTTGATCTGTGAAAGAAATACCTTTGTCAGTACTACATTTCTCTCGGAGAATTGAATTGAAGGGCAGCCATTTGTAAAAATTGTGAAGATGAAAACGGGCCATGCACAGACAATGGTCGACGACAAATGACGCGCCGGAGTTTGGAAAACCATGGAGAGAGGTAAAAAAAAAAGGGCCATGGAGCAAGATTGGCAGACTTACCAATTGACAAACGGCGAGAAAGCTGCGTGTTCTTTCGATAAAGATGAGGAGGAAGGATGAAGACAAAACAAAGAGTGGGGAGATCGACAGTGTTGCTATTCTTTAGGGGATAATACCTCGAATCAAGAAGGAGAATGAGATATGGGACCTGGGTTGAAAGAGGAGCAGAAGGGTGAGGTAGAAAGAGAAAAGAGGATGGAAGAGTAGAAAGAGAGGAAGAGAAAGGAAAGAAAGGAAAAGAAAGTGTTTTTTAAAAGTAAAGGAATGTTTTGGAAAGTGGCAGATGAAAGTGACACACAGATAGAATGAGAGAAATCGAAAAAAAGGGGAACAGAGATAACAGGGGATGAAGGAAATAAACGTAATGAAGGGAAAAACATAAATGTAAGGGACGAGAAGGGGGAGGAAGTCAAAGAGAGAAGAGAAGAGAGAAGAGAAGGGGGTTTTGTTGTTGTGTCCATTTCTCCTTTATACAGACTCCATTCGAGGCGCGTTATTATTTTGGTTCCTTTATTCAAATGTCATTTGCTCCTCTTCATTCTTTGGTATTGAGCGTTCCTATTTCGCGCTTCTACCTCAACCACAAGCAACGCTGTTTTTTACTCCTTTCAACGAATCCCTGGGTGGGCCGAACAAAGGGGTGAAAAAAGTAAAGAAGGGGGGATGAAAGGAGGACAAGGAGGAAGGAGGAAAGAGTTCCATCCGCGATTGGATCTTTTCTTGTTCCATGTTTTTCTTCTACTCGCCTTTTCACTCTTCCCATGCACTCCTATTGACACTTACTGTTTTAATCATGACCACACCGAAAAATTGCAATACAAGGACCTCTCTCGCCGAACAACAAACTGGTGGTTTCCCAAGTAGTGTATGTCTCTGCCTACATTTTTACTCCCTCTTTTCTTGTGCGCTTCTTTCTACTTCAGCAACAACGCAGTTCAAACAAGCGCATCCAAGGATTAAGGCTAGCAAAAAAAGTGGTGGGGAGGACAAAAAAAGAGGTACGAAGGGTTTGTCGACGAAAGGTATGCACAAAGCCTTGTCCAATATGCGCGCGCTACTTTTTGAATCGATAAATGGTTATTTTTTGTCATGTCTGACCTTCTCTCTTGGCCACTTTCAATCAAACAAGCCATTGGCAAGCTTGACCGATCGTATATACTTTCTGACAACCCCGACTATCACGAGCTACCCTACCGCAAAGAGAACACTTCCTTGGATTGATAAAGAGAAAGAGACAAGATAGCCAACCAACAATAGTATCTGAAAGGGGGAGAGGAGAGGAGCATGAGGGAATGATGGTGTATTACTCGAACGCGATTTGTTGTTTTTTGAGTTCCCTCTTCTCTTGTGTATGTAGTATGACTGGACTAAAGGATGATAAAAAGCAGTTACTTATTCTCCTACTCTCGCCTCCTCCTTGTCTTCTTCATCCCCAGCAACTTCCTCCTGTCAAGTTTTTCCAAGCACAAGCAACAATCGAGCGTGTTGACTGGCTGGAAAAAATCGCAGAGACCACAAGGAGAGAGAGCCAGAGAAAAGAAGGAAAGTCGTTGGCTTCTGAGCAGATGATCGCCGTTCTTCAACCTTTGTCCCTTATCCAGGCAAGAGGGTCATGAAAAAGCATGAATCAAAACAAAAGAATAGTGGGCGACCGTCGTTTCTTGAGAAAAACGTGCAGCGGTTTGTTGTTGTCATGGACACACTAAAAACAATAAGAGTAAATTTATTCTTTGTTCATGTTGATGCACCTTCCTTTTCTCATCGAACAACCGCGGCTCGTGCCCCTGTATCAAATCTGAATTGGGCCAAAGGGATGGTTCAACAAATGGGGAAAAAAAGGATAAGGGAGAAGGAGAATGGATAGGGATGGGCCGGAGGGATAAGAAGAACAACATTATAGGAAGATAGAACTCTAGCAGCAATTGGGCGTGTGTGAATTGAGTGCTGCGATTGCTCAACTTCTGCACCTACGTCGTGCGGCACAGACGCCTCGATGGAGAAGGAATGCTTAAATTGCTCGCGCTCATTGGCCCAAACTAAGAGACAGAAAAATTTATTATTCTCCGCCCTTCTTGAGTGATCTAGGGGTGGGCGTGGGCCCTGGACTGGCCATTATTATTTTACTCATGGGTTATTTGACAGACTACGCGTTCGACATCATCTTGCTTTGACCTTGTCCTGGTCCTTTTTGCCTTCTATACTCCTGTGTTCTCCATTGCATGCCATTTTTTGCTTGCTTAGATGTTATGCATCAGTCTGTGTGTGAACGTGTTTTGTTTTCGTCCTCTTTTGTTTTGTTATTGACCAACATCACATAACATGATACTATTCACACTCATATCCGGCTCTAATCGCCATGTGCGCCTCAAGAAAAAAGAGCGGTATTTTGAGATTCCACCATGACCACGTCGAAAACAAAACAAAGCTAGGCCTTTCCCTAGATGACCGAGCAATAGAACGTCGTTTAACTCTAATAGCAAAAAACAACAACTAAGACTGAACCCTCCTGCATAACTTCGATGCAGGTGAAACGTGCAAAGGTCAATGGCTAGACGTCTATCTCCCTTTTTTGGGTCCGTTTTTTCTTCTTTTGGTTCCTTTATTGTCTCTCTCCTACTCGCACACAGACTGTCTGTGTGTCACTCTCTCCCCTTCTTTCTCTTCCTCTCTCTCCCCCTTTCACTGTCGCTTTGTTTGTCTGTCTCCTCATGTTGACGCATGGACAAAAACAGGGGATGAGAGAGGAGAGAGGATCAACAACAAAGGAGAGAGAAGGGATAGCAGCTACTTCTTTGTCATCAAAACAGGAGTCAACCACACATAGACATCTCTCTCTGTTTCATTGACCTTTGTCTCTGTATCTCTTTACCTCGCCTTCGTTTGCATTGCAAATAAATACTTATAAATTTCGCGTTTCCGTTCATGTGCCACTTTAGCCGTCTTTCCTCTGCTGTCTCTCTCTCTGAAATGACGACAACACAAACAATAAAGAATATGAAGGGATCATAAATGAAAAGAGAAAATAAAAAGATCGACGGTCCATAGACCATTCCATCTGTGATACGCTATATATGTCTTTGCGATAAGGCATCTCTCCGTGCATCTTCTCTACAACCGTGCCTCGGGTAAAATTCAAAATATAAAAGGCTTTTGTTTTGCATAAAAAAGAAGGAGTCTCCCTTTACCTATTTACCACATAGGCACTGCTATCATAGGAGGGTTTTTGGGGGCGGATGCCGGAGGGCCAAGCACCATGGCGCGCTTTTAGATGCGTACGATTTTTTACATTCTTGGGATTTTTTTTTTTTTGGATACGCGATTTTATTTCTCTACAACAGCTCGTGCTGGTAATCCAAAAATAAAGGACTATTAATATGGACCCCATCCCAGTTTGCCATCCCCTAGTCACAGTCCGGCTCTGTTAACACTGGCTCTGCGCAACAACCGCTGTCGCTCTTCATGACAGAAACGAAAGAAAATACCAAGGCTATCTATCTAGTTATTACTCTCAACTAAAACACATCCATCTGAACAACCAGGAGATAGTCAAAGTACTTTGTTTTTCAAGTGGGCGACGCCTTTTTGTTTTTCACACACAATTTTATTTCTCTAACAAACATCATAGAGAAGTTATTTGGAAGTAAAAGGGGACTACAGACCAAACTCTTCAGTGCACCATCCACCAGTCGCAGTCCGGTCCAGAACCTGGCTCTGCGCAACAATTGTCGCTGCTCTTCACAGCTTAAACGGAAGAAAATAAAACTAGATACGAATGAAGGGGATTCTCCCCATCCTCTCCATCATTGACAACCTCCTCCTTCCTAACAAACTCTCCAGCAACCGCTCGTCAGCAGCGCGTGGGTCCTTGGTCGCTCCAGGGCACCTTCCTTCATCATGTCTTTTAGGCGGACCTTTCTTAGGGGGGAAGATATTAAGGGGCGTTATATAACGTGACAGACGCCACCAATTTCTTAGTGAAGTTTGTAAAGAACATTGTGCTATTATTTTCACAGTACATCTGAAAAGCGTGGTTGGTTTAGTGGTATAATTACCGCCTGCCACGCGGTAGACCCGGGTTCGATTCCCGGACCACGCAATATTATTTTGCAACTGTATGTGCCCTCTTTTTTGCGAACCCTTCTTTGCGGTTGTGGCAAGATGTCCATCTGCTTTTGAGTGTACCTCCTGACGGCATCCCTGATTTTTTTCTTTGCCCCTGTTCTTGTTCTTGCTTCTTCTTTTACTTCCTTCCCTCACCCTTCCTCCTTCCTTCACTCACACGCAATCCTATCAGTCCCCTCTCTCTATAGACAGTATACCCCAATTGACAAACGACCGCACAGGAGGAGAAAAAAACCAACGAATACTACGTATAGCCGATTCGAGAACAGAGACTGGCAGCTGCAGATACATACCTAGAGTAGACCCCGACCCTATCCCACAGGACACTCCATCATGTCTCACCACAAGACACCATCCAACAGCGCTATTGCTGCCGGTGAACCAAGTACAACTTCAAGCGGAGAAGGAGGAGGGCATAACATCTTTCACCATACAGCGCACAATAGCAACAGCGTTCTCGATAACAGCAGTAGCAGCAGCGGTGGCAGCAAGAAGGATGGAGAACTAACCGACCACCAAATCCGGGAGCAGCAACGTCTTGCACTGCTTCTGAACCAGGATCACCAAGACCACCAAGACGACTCTCAAGAGCCCCTTGCACAGATCGACACTACCACGACCGGCACCGCGAGCACAACCAACAGCGGTAGCAACAACAACAATAGTAACCATGACCACAGATCTTCCAAATCCCACCGCGCGAAACGCCAAACCCTCCTCACAAAGGCCCTCCTCTCGTACCTGAATTTCTTCCGGGTCACCCAACCGCTCGTCTCCCTCGCCGCTTTTGGAACCATCACCCCTGTTCTGAGCTACTTCCGCACCCAAACCATCTTCCCAACAATCCAAGCAACACTCTACGTCTTCACCGCGACTCTCGCCTGCTGTTCCCTCTTCTTCAGCATCATCTACCTCGTCGACGTGTTGTACCACAAACCCCTCTTCTGGCCATTCACCAACAAATACTTCCGCCCGACGAGTAAAGCCCGTATAGGCGGGGACCTGATCATCTGTATGGTCTTCAGTGGACTCTGGTTCCTGTCGGGTGTGGGGCTGGTGATTGACACGGTCTGGGTAGATTGTGGAAGGTTAACTGGATTGGAGAGTGTATTTGCGGATAACCATCGGTCGGTGGAAAAGATTCGACGGGTCTGTCGGCTCGAGAAGGCGACGCTGGGTCTTGCGGTCGTCAGCTGGGCCTGTTGGATGGGTGTCCTCCTCGTTTTGCTATACGGGTAAGTTATCTTCAAAGGCGATGGACAGGGAGAGATGGAAAAACAAAATCGCTTTCACTCCTTTGTTCCCCCCCCTTGCCGTCCATCCCCCCTTTTTTTTGGTCCGGATTTTTTTTTTACATGTCAGGTCGAGATTTACTCGAGAACAGGGTGGAGTGACCCAAACCCTAAAGTATAAGGCGTGTGCCACCAAAAGACACACCCAACTAACAAAAACAACAACACCCTTTTTTACCCCTATTTTCTTGGAACTGCTCATATGGAATGACTAGACACTTCTGGAAGAGACGCCAGGTGATCGCAGAACGACTTAGGGACAGACTATCGCGCAGGAGACAACATGTAACAACAACACAAGCAGTACCTGAAGGAACGAGCTCTGCCGTCGCTACTCATCCATCCTCAGACGCCGCTATTGGACGAGAGGGAGCGATCACACCTTCAGGAGTGTCTGTCATTTCTGGTCGCGGCGTCGGTGTCGGAGGAGCAACTACAACAAACAACAACGGCAACAATAGATCAGATCATTTGCAGGTGCCATCATCACAACAGGATGGGAAGCGACGACAAGATTCGAGTGGCGAATACAATTGTCAGGATATGGAGGGCGAAGTTGGATTGAGGGGCATTATCTGTCGGTATGATGATGAGGAAGGTGGTAGTACTATCGGACAAGGCAGCAGACGTTCCCGACTACAACAATCCTCTGCTTAACAAAACGAGCATACCCTTTTTTTCTCTTGAGACCCACCTGCCCATGCAATCAAGAAGGTTATGCTAGCAAGTATATACACATAATCTTAAACAATACTATTATTTAATCAAGATTGCACTTTTCTGTTTCCATGTCAAAACCAAATGTTTTCTTACAACTTGGCAGGCGAAGCCTTAATAGCAAGACCCTCATAAGGCAGACCGAGGAAAGCAGTAATGACTTCAAAGCGATCCGAGCCAAAGAACAAATGGGGCTTGTCAGATCCAGCCTTCTTGATGACGAACGTCGGTGCGCCAAAGGCACCAGCCTCGATCGCCTCGTTGGTGTTGTCGATCAATTGCTGTTTGATCTCCTTGTCTGAGGTTTGCTGCATGTACTTGATGGCCTTGTCGGCGCCGATGATGGGAGCTACGGCGTTGATGAGGATCTCTTGCTGGCTGACATCCTTGTCCTCCACCCAGTAAGCCTCCTAACAGTTGCAGGGAAGGCAAGCATGAGAGAAGTGGTTAGGACTAGACAATAAGGTGGTGATACTTTCGTGGTTGGGATGCTTAGCTATGAGAAAGTAGGGAGAAATGCAAACGCGACTTACGAAGAGCTACGCAGATCGCGAGAAGGACGTATGTCCGGTCGGAGTAAACGATTCATTTGGCGCAGAGAAGCAAAAAAAAAAAGAGACGGCAAAATAGGGTCCGTTGGTCAGCTCAAAAAGGATAACACGCAAACTGCATCGGGCTTTCACATGGTGACACAAATCGAGGGTGCGGCACTTCGATCATCATCTCTCTCTCACTCTCTCTCTCCCCTTCTTACACACTCTCGTATTGTCACTTACCTTCTCCACACATTGCTCATATGTAGCAACAGACTCGGTCTTCTGGATGGCCACCAACAGACGCGAGGCGGGGACAGTCATCGCGGGGAAGTTGGAGGGGAAGTTCATGGGGATTCCCGATACGGTGCTCAATCTGTTCAGATCCTTGAACTATTTTTCGATCGATAATCCGGAGAGAAGTTAAAGTGTCAGTTTGAGCGAGCAGGAGAAACAACGAGATTTTTTAAGAATGCGCACTTCGCAGTGATGATGCCATCTGGCGAAACAGTGGGTTATCCAATTGACCGATATTTGTCCACTGTGTGCTAGCTTAATGTACCATGTACGCGCCCTTGGCAGCAACATTAGCTGGTGGCTGGTTCTTGGATCCCTATTAAAGTAACACCCCAATTGATTATCGAAGTCAGTGGCGACAAAAGAGAGGGGGTTTGCTGTTAGGGTGAGGAATGAGGAATGGGAAAGAAGAAAAACGGATCGCCCTTCTTACTCGCAAGTATAAAGGGACTTATGTCTTTATTTCTTACACTAAGAACACCAGCCAAGAAGACAGGACGAAGCTCCACATCGACATCCTTCCACTGAGGCTTGTAGCGGTGAAGGAGTTTAACTCCATAGTAACTGTAAGGGGAGACGACGTCGTAGTAGCAAACGATGCTTGAGCGAGCAGACATGGCGAATGGTTGAATGAGGATGAAGGAAAAGGAGAGGTGAGGTGAATGAGATGAGGAAGAGTGAGGGTACAAGGAAAGAAAAAGTGAAGTTGGAGGAATGAGGACGAGAAAAAGAAAGTAGAGAAAAGGAAAAAGAGAGGTACTTTCATCACTCAACAGAGTTTTCTGTATGTGAAAATGAGAGCTTCGGCTCGCGTGTAGGTTATGCGATCGATGACTTGTCAAAAAACAAATGCTGTTAACAAAAGTATACGGGAGGTGAGTGTGGGAAAAGATATCTATTTTGTTTGTTATTATTTGTTCTTTTTGTTCGACAATGGTCAATGGCGACCCTTCCACTTCCTATCTGCTTCTCGTTCGTTTCAACTTGCTAACGTGTTCTTTAGTAGGCGCCTTCAGGGAACCCTGCAAACTCTGACAGTTCATCAACGGGACCATGGTTGGCAGTGGTATATACGACTTTGAGACGCAGACGAACAGGGGTCTGAAAAAAAAACAATAGAGAAAACATTTGTATGAGCTCTTGGTGCCATTGCAATGATTGGTTCTCGGAAAAGTATGAAGTAGGATATGTACCTTTTGTGGGTTAGCAATCTTGAGGAGCTGTGTGGCATTCACGCCTCCTGCAATCTCGTTCGCTGACGCAGGGCGCATTTGAAGTTGTTGGGTCTAGTTAAATGGAAGACAAGTTGCGCATCAGATGACAGTGCCACAAACGGCATTAAAGTAACATAATTCATGGTCAGCCATGAAAGGCAATGTGTACCTTTGTCACGGCGGCATGGAATTGAATACCGCTGATGACACCTCCAGAAACATTCTGGTTGTTATGGAAAGTGGCAAGGATGTTGACAACGTTAGGGTTGCCGCTGTCACGCTGTGGCGTAAAGACAATAGAGAAACCATTCTTGCTGTAGACGGGGTAGGTCTTGTGGCCAGAGTTCTGGCTGCCTGCAGAGCCATTGCTGTTGGCTGATGCGGCCCTGACAGCGGGAGGAGTAGGTGTGGGAGAGGTAGCGGTGGCAGCCATACCACCTCCAAGAAGATCCAAAATGTTGTTGCTTGCTCCCGATGATGGAGGCGAGGCAGCGCCTGTTGATCCGAGGCCAGAAAAGAGGTCGCTCACAACAGCAGCCGAGGGCTTGGATGCAGCAGGTGGACTCGAAATGTTGGATCCCCCAAACAGGTCGGCGAGCAAGTCGACGTTGTTGGCGGGCCCGTTTCCTGAAATTGTGGGGGTTCCTGTGGAGATCTGTGCGTTGGTGGTGCCTCCACTGGTGCCAATGCCCATCAAGTCTAAAAGAAGCTGTATACAGGAAACGAATGACGAGATAGCATTAGTATACGTCGAAACGTGATGTCGGACTGCACGCAAATGCCAATCTGGGCGCTTACATCCTGGTCACTTGGTCCAGCAGGAGCGGCAGACTGACTGCTAGTGTTTCCAGAGGCTAATCGCAGAAAGCATATAGGTGGTATGAATATGTTAGTATTTCAATTCCTACTGTGCATTGAATAAGCACACCGCATAGTAATCACATGAGGTTTGACCCCTACCCGCACTGTTAAGACGCTCTCCAGCAACGACGGTCTCCTTGATCTGCATGACGGGCATCCTCTCCAAGACAGCTGGGCGGATATCATCGTAGAGGAACAGGTTTGTATATTCAACAGCACGCTGCTGGATCTCGACCTCGATCGATGTAGAGAATCCGGCCAACATCTGCTTAACTTTCTCCGACGAAGATGCGGACGAGAAGCGGGAAGTCAACTTCATGAGAGCAGTAATGATGTACTCGCGAAGGATTTGGTTGGCAAAAGGTCCAGCAAGAATGGACTCAAGGAGTTCAATAACATCCGACTCGGAAACCTAACAGTAGATAGCAAGGGATAGTAAGTAAGCCGAGCGGACATGGTACATCACAAGCAATGGTTCTCATGCGCGAAAAATTGACGAACTCCTTACCTCCTTGGCGAGTTCCTCCTCTTCATAGCTGCCTCCTTGAACAAGAATATCACCGTATTCTCCAATGACCCAAACACCAGCCAAAGTAAGCGACTCCTGTGAGATATCCTCCTTGAGAGCTGAGTACAACTTCTGGACTGTGTATCCCTGGAGTTCTGAAGTCTGAGTGACTAGACGAATGAAAGCAGCCAACATCTCCTCGCGAACATAGTTTCCTGCAAGCTTCAACACACGCAAAACGGTATCAATGTGCCAGCGCTTGTTGGGAGCGAACCTATATGAATTGAAACATAGACACTGGCAACGTTAGTTCGCCATTACATGCAAAAATTGTGTAATATCATTAGCAAATGACTGTATCATTGAGTATACCTTTCGGCGGCAAGGCAGATCTTGGTGGTCATGCTGGGCTTGAACTCATTGTCAGCAATCTCCAAGAATGCCAAAAGTTCGCGGGTGAGGACGCGCACGTTTGACTCGTTGATCAAAGAGAAGGAAAGTTCAAGAGCACGGCGACGAATGGAGATATCTGCATCACGGAGGCAGTCCAAGATAATGTTGCGGTGGCGCTGAACGGCATTCACATCCAGAGAGATCGACTTGTTGAGGGTGGTCAAAGCGACGTATCTATACAGGTAGTGATTTCATAAGTCCGATTGTCCCCTCACTAGCGGTAATAAAGGTGAATCTAGATTTGCATGATAACGTCCACGTACCTGATGTTGTTGTCTCTGTTGCTCAAAAACTTTCCGAGAATGTTGATGGCCAAGACACGGAGAGCGTTGTCCGAGGGTGTCTCCATGATGGTCAAAACGGTTTCGTACAGAATGGAGTTGCCGACGTTCTTTGATGACTCGGTGTTGGTGGCGACCTAGTCGTTACAATTAATATTTCAGTGAGTTTCCTGGGCTTGTTTTCAACAAAAGATAGGCTCGTCAATCCGCAACTCGTCCAGCGTGAACATACCTGTGCCAAAATATCGTTCATAGCTTCGCTGCTCTCGACATCGTCCTTGCCGAGAATGCGGAGAAGTCTGAGAATCTTGATCTGAAGGAATGGATCGGTTACTCCAGTGACATCGTGCTCAGCCGAAAATCCTGCGCTGACGAGATTCTTCAAATGACGGACAAGGACTGGGACTGCCTTGCGGAAGTGCAAGAGAGTTTCATGGGAGGAGAGGCACATTTCCGTGATGAGGGTGATACCGGACAAAAGAACTCCATGGTTGCGGTCGTTCAACAGCGAAGAGGAGCGCTGAATAAAGTTCTCCTGAAGGTCAGGGACCTTGCGAATGATCCTGATTGCGCACAGGGCAGCCTAAAGCCATTGATATACAAGAGAACCAACAGGCATGTTAGAGATTTGCCATATTGCCATTCAATCGCTCTCATTGTCTTATAAACAGCTGTCAGCTTCAATCTTTGTTGTCCTGTATGGCTATGTACCTTCTTCCTGATGTACATGTTGGAACTACCGAGCAACTTTTCTACCTCTGAGCACAAATCTCGCGACATCTCTGCTGAAGCAATGTTTCCCATGGTGCAGAGGGCCAATCCAACGATGTACATGTTGGCGTGATTTAGATCGCTAGAGCACAAAAGGAGTCAATAAAAAAAGGCCCAAAAAATGGGAAAGACAGGTGAATTTGTGTTTCGTGACGTGGGAATACGCAGATCATTCAAAACGTGTCAGGCTGATATTGATTTGCATGAGTAAGGTGCTTACTTCTTGAGCGAGTTGGTCAAAAGGGTTAGGACCTCTTGGTTCTCATCCAAAAGCAACATGGTACCGAGGTAACCCAGACGCTTGTCCGAGAACAAGGGACTGGCAGCCAACTTCAAACATTCGATTTGACCAAAGTGGGCAGGGTAACCAAGCATATGGATGTAAAGCAGCTTGGAGATGTTGGAGTGGCGAAGCTCGGTATTTTCCTCCTTGAAGGAAGTGCGGATGAATGCCGACTCTTTCTGGATGACAGCACGCTCATCGGCGTGAGTCTTGCAGGCACGGATGGCCTTGATGAGGTCTATGTGGGAAGAACAGCAGTCGTGTTAGAGCCTATTGGTCGGAGGTTCTTTCTTGCTGTCTCCTGGCAGATGCGACGACAAGGGTAGAGGAGCCGTTTTCATGAAGTCATGGCGACAGATGTTGAGAAGGTATTTTGTGTGAAGCTGCAAGGTGGTTGTTTTCCTTTGTCGTGTATCCAGTTTGCTGGCATGGTTGAATCGGTTTGATGCTAATGCTCTTTGGTGCCTGTGTTGCTTGGGGTCACTGCATCGAGGGGTGTGTCCAACTGTACAAAAGGGAGGGGATGGAAAACTGTGTTGTTGTCGGGTTGTGTGTGTTTGCAAGGTGTAGTTGTTGAAAGTGTACCTTTCAGACGGTAGAACACCATGGTCCCTTATGTGTGAGTAGGTGTGGGGGAAGAAATGATGATGACCAAGGTCAAGAGCGCGTTCAAGGACAAAGGGCGGGAGGGGGCACAAGAGGCGTGTCAAAAGAAGTCACGGTGACGGCATGGGAGATCCCACTGGTCGCTACTACTGATTAATTAATCCAAAAGCGCTGGACGCGTTCACTTTCTTTCTCTTTTCCCTTTTTCCTCATTCTCCCTTCTTTCTCCCTTCTCTCCTCACTCGCTTCATCATTCTCCATCGCCCCTTGGTCATTCGGACTCCATCTTTCTCATCACTCGTGTGTGAAAAGCCCTTAGTCGGGATATTGCAGCGGCGCCTCTTCTGACATCAATATCCTCCACTGAACTTGATACTTTGAGGCCCCAGCCTGGCGTCCCATTTTGTGACTGCATTCAGCGTAAACAAAAAGAACGCGTTTCGACTTTGTTGGCTCCTTTATTTCTTTCTTTCATTCTTTCTTTCTTTACACTCACACTTGCACTCGTACTTTCATTCACCCTCACACACACTCATCAAATCTCGTCTTAATTTAACCCTCTTACCCAACAGCACACATTCAACACATAAGGGCGACAGGCTAACGTCATTTCACCATGGGGTCGCATCACCAAACCACAGATGCCTTCAGCGCCATTCCTCTCCCACCCACCCAGTTACATTCACGCCCTACGACAAACACAAACACATCACTCCAAGCCGCCACAACCCCCACCAACGGATACTTTACACCCTTGCCGGAGCAACCAGAGACTAGTGTCGTCAAGAAGGAAGCCAAGACACCAAAGGCGAAGAAGGATGGCGAGCCACCCAAGGTCGGAAAGAAACGAGGCCAGTACAAGAAGACTATTCTTCGGAAACAGGCCGAGGCCGAGGCTGCTGCAGCCGCAGCCGCCGCAGCCGCGGCCGCAGCAGCAGGGGTGCCTTATATTACCCCCCGCCCTTTGAGTCCGATCGCTTCAACAAGGCTCCAGCCGACAAAACTTCACACGACATCATTACCGAGATCAGGGACGGCAAGCCATTCATCGACGATCGAAAGCCTTGCCATCAAGTCGCAAAAGTCCCGGCACGATATTCCTGCGGATCGCACAGCTCTGGAGATGGAGCAGGAGCTTGCCATGCTTGCAGAAGAGGCGGAAGAGGATAGGATACGTAGAGAGGAGGAGGCTGCGGATCGAATCCTGAAACGAGCGCAGGTTGTCAAGGTGAGTTGGACAGTCTCGTTTGATGTACTCCAACAAGCTGAGGTGCGGCTACACCAAAACCACGAGTCAAATGACGTTCGACTTATCATGAATCTCTTGAATTGAAACCTCTTAGCATCTTCGATCACTCAAGTCCAAGCTGGCGACGGCACAGATTCAAATCGGGCATGACCTGCACTACCAGAGTGTTGATCTCTTCTCACAGCTCTACGACGAGGTTCTTGAGGATATCGGGAAGAACAACTCGGAGATGATGGACCTCCTAAAGAGCGCACGCGAGCAGGACGGAGAGCCACAGTCGGACCAGGAAGAGTTGACTCATAGTCACCCAGGACATATGCTGACACGATCTTCGGACAGACCCAAGAAGCAAGATCTTATCGCTTCACTATCCTCCCCTGCCCCCTTCCCTTCCCGGAGTCAGTTCTCGGATTCGCACAGTAGCTCAGCCCGAAGGCTGGAATTTGAGGGCGGCTTCGATGACGATGGCGTGAAGCTCAAGAGATATCGGCGAGGGAGGAGCGATGGTCACTTCATTGGCCAGTCATGGGATGTCGGTTCGGGACAAGAAAACGGATCTGTTGGAGCCAAGGCGATGACGTTGGTTAGTTCGAGATCGAAGCACCAGGACACTGATGGCTCAAGCAAGCCGAAGGTTTATCAGCTGGAGGATGACGACACTGACGATGATGATGACGAGGGACATAGAGAGGTTGGTATGCCAACGCCAAAGAGGCAGTGCGTCCTCGGACCAAGAACACGTGAGGAGCTGCAACTTCGGCAGCGTCGAGAGCTGGAAGAGCTGCAGGCACAGCAACGCCAGGATCAGGAGGAGTTTCAGCGGAAGCAGTTGGATCAGCTTCGGGAGTTGCAGGAAAAGCACAACGAGGAGTTTCACAAGTTTGAGGCGGCCAAGGCGAAGGTGTACCAGGAGCACCTGGATGGACTCGCAGAGAAGCGCCTCAAGATCAGTCGGTCACAATACCACCGCACCCACCATGGAACACCTACTCGTCCAAAACAAAAGTCGGCCTACTCCTCCTCGTCCCTCGCATACGAGTTTGAGAGCGGTTTCGACGCATACAGCAGCGATGCCTCGTCATCTCCGTCCCGGTCGCCATCTCCTCCGCCTCGACATATTTCACAGCAGCCTCAACAGTCCCATCCGTCCATGAAAACATTTTCATCGGTCATGGAGCAGTCGCACACAGACAGGAGCACATTCTCGCCTGTGCCTGTGGTGAATACCCCGAGGGCACCCAAGACACCCAGTAGCGTTCACCAGCTTCCCATGTCGACCATGACGATAGCATTGGCGGCGATGAACGAGAAGAAGAAGCAACTGAAGCGGGCCAACAAGAAGCAGAGCGAGTACGAAAGAGCAGCGGACTTGTCCGAGAACGGAGGCTATTCCGGTGGCAGGCTCCAGAGTCCGCCTATTTGGAGTCAGAAGCGAGGGGCTGAGGAGGAGGAGAGAGTCGAGGTTAAACGGCGGGCATCAGTTGTCAGCACAACATCGGAGTCCCATTCGTCCACCACCACCACCACCACCAACTCACGTCACACTCAGCATTCAACAGAGCAACATCTCCATTCAGGACTACAGCAAGGATCGCACAGATCCATCGACCAGTCTTCACCATTTGCTGACCAAACTGAATTGCCACAGACGCCGACACCCAAGGCCCGCGGCAGGAAGCGCAAGAATACCCAAGCTACCAGAGTGGTTCCAAATGACCAAGACGATTCTTCTCAGGAGACACCATCAAAGACGCCTATTGACTTTAACAAGGAGCTGCTGAGTCACTTTGACAACTGGAAGCCTGACGAGAAGACGGAACACTTCTTCGACTTGGTGCTGAGCGACCCACCCGAGACCCATGTTGGCGAGGCCGACGTGGAAGGATTGCTGAGTGGTGGACGGCGACCATCCGAGGGTGCATCAGGCGTTCAGGAAGCGAACGCGACTCCGACATCCAATGCCTTCCGGTGGTATCAAGAGCAGCAGAGACTGGCGGACGAATTGGCGCAGCACCCCAAGATGACACCTATGCGGCTCAATGGCGAAACTGGCAAAGGGGCCACCATCCCTGCAGTATCTTCCCCCATGTCTGTCGCTGGCGACCAGACTCACGGTGGATCACCCTTTGCCCAGGGACTTGTACCCGGTGAGGATCCGCTGGCGGCCTTTATCGAGCCAGGCAAGAAAACGCGTCAAGTTCGAGGGACCTCGAGTCATGACCACAACAAAAATGGACGAAACACCCCATCCACAAGCGAAGGTCAGCATGGCGGCGTCTGTGTCGGCGGTAGCAGTCAAGGAGGCCAGAGTCACTTTATTACAGATTCATCCCCTTTCCTGGAGAGCTCACCGATGTCGATGCTCTTCTCCGAGGACGGAGCAGACGACTGGAACTTTGGCGCATTCACGACCAACGCGACGGACGAGTATCTGAACACCGACTTCTTGCAGAATAAATTCATTCATTGAATTGTGGCTTTGCAAGAAAGAAAAAAAGCTTGCCCTCTCTTTTTCCATTCTTATGTTTTCTTGCTCACTCACTTTTTGACACGCCAACCCTCATAAAAACTCATTGGGAAAGCCCGCAGGAGTCAGGAGCCCAATGTCGTCCATCAAAGCAGAGGGAGAAGCTGTTTCCGACCCATTTACACAACCAAGTCCTGTAGTGACAACCATGTTCTCTGAATCAACACTCACTTCCACAGCCACAATCACCACCCCACCTGCACCCGAACCTGTAATCGCTGACAATTCAAACTCTACTTCAACCCGCGAGCCTTCCACACTTCCTACCTCACGCCAAGCATCTGTCACACCACTCCAACCATTGTCGCCACCACCAACAGTTATAGTAGAAGCACCTCCACTTTCAGCTACAACAGCCGAGACACCTTCACAACCTGACACACCGACACACAGCAAGCCTAATACAGGAACGAATGGGACCACAGCACCAGCAGTAGGAGTACCAACATCAAGTGTGCACATTCCAGCAACTTTGAATGGACTGGAACGTGGACCTCTTGGCCTTGCACCCGATGAAGAGGAATGGGTTAGGGACAAGATGGAATACGCCCTGCATGAGTAAGTTAGCGCACTGCTATAACGCATTCACAGAGTTCACTTTTTCTTCTTGGCAGGAACGTCCGTCTCTTATTTCAGGTCGACTAATACTGTATGTCACGCCAAATAGCTTCCGAGTGTTGTCGTTGGCGATCAAGCGGTACCGGTGGCAGCTCGGTCAGGTGCCCAAGGATGTCGGTCGATTACAGAGTCTCAAGGAGAAGCACATGGATGATCCTTTTGAGTTCCTGCGTCAAGTCAAATCCAAGGTACGATACGTTGTTTCATTGAGGTTGATTGCAAAAATATTCTGATAAGTAAAGAATTGGACACTAATGTTTATTGTTCTCTTTCCTGTTGTTAGGAGTTTCGTTATCCTGAAGGTCAAAAGACTCTCCCGGCGCCTTCGATCGAGTGGACAAAGTACCAATTCCCACCGGCGAACCCTGTCCTTCCAACAAAGCCCCAGACCACCACATTCTTGGTAAGTGAACGACAATCAAATGGATTACTTTCTTGAAGGAGTGGAAATATACTTGCTAACGTTATCGAATTCCCTATGGTAGAACGCGATGTCGATATCAAGCAGCAACGACAGATCAAACGGAAGCAACATTGTATCTCTGGCGCGGAGCAATCGGTCAAGAGCAGGATCACCATCATATGAGCGTATGCGGACCGTCAAGGATACAGCAAGGAACCTCGGGATCCATGTCAGCCACCACAGTCACTACCAACATCTCCATTCTACTCAACTGTACCGTCATGACTCTGGAGCAAATGGGGTCGATGAGTTTGCGAGAGCCGGAAACGATATCGACGCATTCTCGCGGCAGGCTTCTCAGGAGGCCTCTCAGACGGTTTTTGGAGGACACAATCAGTCGCCAAGTGTGGCACCAAAGAGCCAGGACATGGAGGGAGTGACATTCACTGGTCAGGACCAATCCGCTATAGGATTCCGTGCGCGGTCCGCTACTGTCTCGGAAAGTACCTCAGCATCAGCAGGAGCATCGTCGTATTACCCAGCGACAGTTGCAGCGTCATCATCATCATCATCATCGACACACCAGACCTTACCGTACATTGCTCCAAACAACTTTGCAAACTTTGAGCCCACTCCAGGAGGTCCGGCCAATATCACGATCAGTCATGCTCCAGGATTCACCACCACACACCATACCAGCTTTAGCACCAGCGGTAACAACAACATCACCTATAATCATATGAGCGGGAGTGTCGACATTCAGCCTGGGACCACCAAGGGCAAGGGTTATTCTCGTGAGGGAAGCGGTGCGCGTGATGAGCCAAAACCACCATTGTACAACATCCCCTGGAGCGACGAGGAACAACGACTGCTGGAGAAATTGTTGGACGAGTATCCGGATGAGCCCGTGGCTGCGCAACGGTTTCAAAAGATCTCAGCTGCAATGGGGACTAGGACGCCCAAGCAGGTGGCGAGTCGAGTTCAGAAGTATTTCATCAAGTTGGTCAAGGCTGGCTTGGAGGCACCAGGTCGGATGAATTATTCGTTGGAGACGTCCAAGGCCAAGACAAAAGGAGCGCCACCGGCTGCCAAAGGCAAGAAGCGGAAAGATGGACCTGGAGGAGAGTCGGCACCCAAGGGCAAGGCAGGTCGACCAAGGAAGAAGGACCCTGGCGAGACTGGGGCATCTGGGTCAGGAGCAGCAGCAGGAGGAGGTGGAGGCGGATCGACCAAGAAGCAGAAGCCAAAGTCGTTGCTAGGATCAGGATCGGGAAGGACTTCGGGCACACAATACTTGCATTACTCTTCGGCACCGACTGTATATATGAGCGAAGAGGATGATGAGGACAGTGTCCAGGATATGCTTGCTGCCAGTCATACTGTCTCCAGCAGTGTGCCTGACGGTGGTATCTCCAGTCATGTTGGCTTCTCAGTACGTTTATTCTGGAACTTTACTTTGCTCTTTGTTTTTTTTGGACGTGTGAATTGTGATACTTTAGTGTTCTAACGCGTCATTTTTCGCTTCCTTCAACGACATGTAGTGTGATTCGTGTGGAGTGGACCCGATTCTGGGGATACGGTACTCGTGCATAGACTGTGAGGAGCTGGGAGGAACAGACTTGTGTGGACCTTGTTACAACTCTGGAGTTTACCACAACGAACTCCACCTGCTGTCGCATCGGTTTCATTCGATCGAGGCCTCCGAAGTGCCGTCGTACAGTCACAGCCAGGCCTATCGGCCGGCAAGTGTAGGACCCAGCGGGACCAGCGGCATATATCAATCATAGCCCTTTGCGAATAAACGTTTCAAAAAAATGCGCGGTAACACTATTGTGATTTCAGGGACTGAAGAAACGTATAAAATAATTCTCCTCGCGCTCAACCCTAAAGCGCTCATCACACCTTCCTTCTCTCTTCATCTCACATTCACTTTTAACCATGTCTACATACACGCGACCCGCCTTTGTCGACGGAGCTGTCGTCAAGGACCTCTTGGAGGATAAGTCCAAGGTCCCCGGAAAAGACTACCTCATCATCGATGTCCGTGATTCCGACTACATCGTAAGTCATTCACTTGTCGTCGTCGTCGTCTTTTTTTTTTTTTTTTTTTTTTTTTTGTCTTCACCTGGTGCTCAATTCACAACTCAAACGACATTAGAGGCAAAGGTCAAATCCCACGACCACTATCCCTCCTACACAAAAAATAAGACCCTTTTCGTAACCATCTTTCAAAATACGAAAAAAATAATAGGGAGGCCACATCCGCGGAAGCGTCAACATCCCCGCCCACGACATCCCCGAAAAACTGCCCACCCTGATCGAGGAATACAAAGACGTCCCCCAACTGATCTTTCACTGCGCCCTCTCCCAAGTCCGAGGTCCCAAAGCTGCCAACCGCTGGGCCGAGGCCCTTGCCGCCCGTGACGACGCTGCTGCTGCTGCTGACGTCGCTGCTACAGAACGCGCGGCAGTCGAGGCGGCCAATAAAGGTCATTTGGCACAGCAAGTCAACATCCTTAGAGGAGGATTCGGGGAGTGGCAGAGGCAGTACAAGAATGACAAGAATTTGGTTGAGGACTATGTGGCCGATTACTGGATCGATGACCAGTACTGAGAGGGAGGATGAGACCGTTGATAACAACATCCCAGGAACAACAATCGTCGTAGCGCCTTGGCTTCTCATTGACCTCTTCTCCTCTTCCTGCCATCCCGCCTTCCATGGATATATAAATCTCACACAAAGAAGAAATAGCGCAGTTGCAAAAATGTCAAAACGCTTCTCAATCTCGCAACGAGAAGGAAATGACTCCTCAATCTCTTTTTTCATTCTGTTTTATTTGTTATTTTGATGATTTTTGAAAAGAAAGCAATGGGGTGAAGAAAAGTACAGTGGGGAGGGGGGAATTGTGAGGTGAAATGCAGCACAACGCTATACGGAATGACGTGATTTCTGTCCAGGAACTTGCCACCAGAAGTTGACGAGACAGACGAACAAAGGAGATCGCGTGGAAATTAGCCTTTGCAAAGTATTTTTGGAAGCAATTGTTGATTGTTAGTTTGTTCGTTGCCGAAATGTGGAAATGGGAACAATCCCTGGTAATTTTAACGAGCGGAGACGGTTGTTTTGTCACTTAGGCCTCGGTCGCATCTGCGATACCGTGAGCGCCGATCGAGAACTGGGCCTCAGATTCAGGAAGGCATGGCGAATCGTAAACCTTGCATACGCGGTTCTCGCCTCTAGCCTTGCGAAGCGACAGTCTATTCACACGTATAGTCAATGAGAGGGAGGGTGGCGCTGGCGTTAAAACGTGAGGCAAGATAGATGGACATGCTATTTTAACATCTTAATGAATAAATCGGATCAATTACCTTGTCGTTGAAGAGTGAGCCATAATGTTTCCTCCGATAGGCTTCTTGCTGTCAGCGCTGAACATGGCCATTCCATCTACCTGTGCGACCACCTGGTTCGTGATCACTACCGCCACACCGAACTATAGCAAGTTAAAATAAAGAGTCGTGTCAGTTACATTTTAGTCGCAGGTTTCCAATCCTTGCGTCCTAACCAACACAGGAACATGGCCAAAAACTTCAAAGAAAGGTGACTCACCTCGTCGGCAAGGCGCTGAAGGTTCCGCAGGAAACGGGCCATATGCATCTGACGAGCCGAGAGCTCGCCTCTTCCAGAGAAATCCGTTCGGTACAATGATGTTGCACTGTCGACAATTAGGAGCGCGAATCTTGACTCTGACATCATCGCTGCTGCCTGCACCAACAGCTGCATCTGATGGTCTGTGTTGTAGGCGCGAGCATACGCGACATTGTCTAGCACTTCCTCTCCATTCAAGTTGTATCTATGTACATTAGTTCGAGAACAAACTGTTAATCACAATGTCGTAAACCATAGAAAGGGTTTGGTAGAAGGCAAGTCCTATTGTCACAGTGGTCGAACATACCTCTCTGAGATAGCAAGCAAACGCTCGGGACGGAATGTTCCTTCTGTATCGATGTACAGACACTTTCCTTCACCTCCACTCATACTCACGGGAAGCTACCCAATTAATTACAACGTAAACGATAAGTATGCTTATATACAGCCGTCCGTGTAACCAAAATCGAATGAGAACTCATAAGGCCAGACGTTCTTAGAGGATTGAAAAAAGTTACCTGACACGTTACAGCCAACATGTGGCAGATCTGTGACTTTCCCGTTCTGAATTCTCCAAAGAGCTCTGTGATGGCGCCCGTCTCGATGCCTCCTCCGAGTAACTTGTCCAGTTCTCCTGAACCAGTTGTGAGCTGCAGCATCCCGCTCCGTCGTTGGTGAAACTCTGTTGCTGTTGTGAATCCCATTGGAACCAATCTTGAAGCTAGTTTGTCATAGATGTGCCATGGCGGCGGCAAAAGTACTCGTGTAAGTGATGTGTTTTTGTCCTTATACACAGTTTTTTGGCATTCTTCTCCGCTCCAAGATTTTGCGCAGTCTAAAAGGACTCCAAAATGAAGCAAGGGTTAGGTACCTTCTGTAATAATTTTGTCCGCCTTGGCTTCGGAGATTCCCTTAATGGTGAGGAGGGTCTTTTTGGGGGTGAAGGCGATCGACTCGACGGTGTAGTATCCTGCATCCTTCAGTTTCTTGACATCCGCCGCTTGTATTCCACATTCCTACAACATTCACCGAAGCAAGACAGGGGCCAGGTTAACAAACCCGCTAAGTTCAAGAAGCATCATCGTCTCGGCATTTTTTGAGGAGGGGGGTACGAGAGGCACAGGAGCAGAGAGGAGCAGAGAGGAGCAGAAGGAAAAGTGGGCACTGCATTTACCTCGAGTTTCTCGGCTGTCAATGAGAAAGAGCAGATGCGAAAGGAAATAGAAAAGGTGTTGCTGGTTAGTCGAGGCTATAAGAGGAGAGTCTTTGCTGAGGGAAGGATGTCTGCAGAGAATTGTCAAATGAGATGGACTCTGTTTGCTGAGCGGTGGAATGACAGGAGGACTGGCTTCCTTACTGAGCATGTGAGTGGCGGCCTCCTCCTCTTCCTCCTCGATCTGGACGTTGTGTTCTTGTTGTGCGTGCTCCATGGTTGGCGAGTGTATATATATGCGTGTGTATGTATCTGAGTACGTGGGTGAATGAAAGTGAAAGAAAGAAGCAAGGTGGCTCAAGAAGGTGTGGAAAAGTGGACTTTTAGAAACGAACAAGTTCGCGTTTTGCCTGTTGTTTGCCACCAAATCGCTTTAATTAACTTATGTGCCCGTGGCACGTGGGTCACGACGTCAAGGAATAGCAAATGAGATGCACTTCCTGCGCTAGCCTCCTTGAAGTCCAAGCCCAAAACGCCAAAGCACACACACACACACACCTCACAAAACAAACTTTCCCATCACCTTTCTTCCACTTTCACTTTCTTCATCAACCCGCTTTCACTCCTTCAACACCTCGTGCAGCACCTCCCTCTCTCTCTCACTCACTTCAATGTCACGCAAGGGAGCTGCCAACTCAAAGTTCGGTCATCTCTTCGGTGATAGTGGTAAGAAGACACACTCTTCCTCCTCCCCTCTTTGTTTTCTATCACTACTTATTTGCTGCGACTTGGCCAATGCTCCTTGCTTGGCAAAGACAATATAGCCGTCCAAGAACCCAATACGGATAGCGCATAAAAAGTAAACACGTTTACCAACAAAAAAAACACGCCAATACCAACACCCTCCTCACGAACAAATAGACAACTCGTCAGTATCCAGCAGGGAGAGCCGTCTGCCAGGCCCAGGCGACTTGTACAAGGACCCCCTGGCAGCATTCATCCCCCCCATCACTGCAACCACCGCAACAACCCGCGGAGGCTCCTCAACCGCCAAGGCCACCCTTTCACCACCACCTTCAGCAACAGCAACAACAACCACAACAGCCTCCAGGGGCGGCTCACCTCCCACCTCAGGACCCAACTCTCGTAGTTCCTCAAGACTTCAGAACCACTCGCTTTTTTCTTCTTTGACTGGAGGAGGTGGGAGTGACAGTGGAAGTGTCAGTGGTGGATCGTTGTTTGACAGCACACCTACACCGACTTTATCGGCTGCGAAGCGGGATCTGCTCTTTGGCGATGGTGGTGGTGGGTCGACCAATAGCGGCTCATCAGTGTCTAGGAGAACTTCGTCTCCACCCTTGTCCAGAAACAGCAACACTGCAGCCTCTCAACAGTCATCTTCACGCGTCCCTTCACCCCCCATGGGCGGCACGTCTACCAGAACCAGCAACAGCACAAGTTTTCTGGACGCGGAAGCTTCTCCCTTGGGCGGACCTCTTGGTGATTTCAGTGCTATGCGTAAGGAGGATGATGATGTTCTGTCGCCATTGTCGACTGCCCCCCTGACTCGAACCAACAGTCAAGCTAGTACCATGAGCCACGAGAGTATCCAAAGCAGTAGGAGCGTAAGGAGTCTGGATGTTTCTGCGGTGGACTCTTCGGTGACTTTGAGATCTGGAATCACTACCAAGCCCACAGCATCAGTAACAGGAGCAGGAGCAACAGGAAGCGCCATTAAGGAAGCGGCAGCGTCACCGTTGATCCCATCGTCATCCTCCTCCTCCTCAACGACTTCTTCGCTTGCCCGACGCGCCGTTGTAAGGACAAGCATCGACCATTCTCAGCGACAGACGACGACCGCCACTGCCGCCGAACCATCGCCTGTGATCTCTGACCCAATCTTCAACCCCCTGACAGCAACGCACTCTCAACTGCCTCCACCTCCCCCTCGCCATTCCTCAGATTGGGGCATACCGCAGTCCGTCCCTTCAACAACATCCTCACAATCAATCGAAGCCTTCCAATCCATTTCTCGTACATCTTCACCTGCTCCTCCTGCTGCATCCGCAGCGGCATCTCGACCTCTGTTGTTGAGCAAAAACGGATTCGAGCGAGACCATCTTGACAATGTCACCCCTACCTCGTCTTCACCGAGCCCGCTCTCTAAATCGGTGTCGATGATGATCCCAGCGGACGACGATGCGACGGCAGCTTTCGCGAGCGACAACTTGTATTCTACAGGACCCGCACTCTCAACACCTTCCTCTTCAAGCATTTTGGATTCTGGCTTCAGTCACTCGCGAGCTTCCAGTAGCAACAGGACAACATCAACAAGTACGGGATCATCAACGGTAGCAGGAGCAGCAGCCATCGCCGCCGCAGCCTCGGTCCTTAGACTAGGTATCGGCGCCGGGACCGTGGGCCAACCCAAGACGCGATCCGGCTTTTCTCTGGGCGAGGATGTAGCAGACAGCTCCAACCCATGGATGAATACCTTGGCCGACTCTTTGGAAGAAACCAAGTTCACCCGAGAATCCGCCCCGAATATCGTCGATTATACCCAATCTGAAGCCACCTCTGCTTTCTCTGCCACCACCGCCACATTACCACCATCATTAACTTCCAGCTCCTCTTCAAGTATTCGACGCACGGTTATCTCCCCTCGCCCTCCATCACTTGAAGATGACATTGGCGGGTTTCAGGATATATTTGCAGACCTCCGTTCCTCTTCCTCATCCGACCGAGGAAGCGGCACCGCCACACCCACACCCTCCTTATTCCCTCCCTCCACCTCTTCCAAATCAGCAGCATCACATCTCAACAATAGCACAACAACGACAACACTGTCACTATCATCATGGAACGTTCTGGACGCTGTCGAGGCTGCGGCGCAGGACCCAGATTTCTTGGGCCCCAGCGCGATTGTTAACCAGAGTACGGCCAAGGTTCTGGCCTTGATGCAGATGCCCAAGGATGCCCTCGACAAAGATATTTCTGCTCAGGAGGTCTTTGATAACCCTTGGGAATAAAAAAAATAAATTGTTCCAGCATCGAAAAAGACGGTATACTTTGTTATATTTGCGCATGCTTGTTTTGTTGGAGGGCAAGAAACGTTGAAAGTAGAAGCGAAAGTGAAAATCAACGAGTGGAGGCGAATGCAAGTAGTGAGTAGTGAAAGGTGATATGGTATCAAAAATTTGAGATGGTTTATTGTTTTTTAACCAGGAGGAGGTGGTCGACGCGAGGATGGAGAGCCAGGGTTGGGGAACGATGCAAGTGGTTAGAGTGAAGGAGAGTTGTTGCTGCTGGAAGAGTGTTGCTGTTGATGCTGGTGCTGGTGAGGATGAGGGTGGGATGGAGTGGGAGAAGGAGAAGGGACATAAGAAGCGGTGAGTGCAGCCGCAGACCGACTTCGTTCACGTTCATAGCTCCTCTGTGCTGCAGATCCCCCGCCAATACTGCTGCCAGTGCCCGTCCGTTGGAGGAAATGGTTCTCGTCGCGACTTTGCGCGCGGCTCCGAGCTCGACTGGAGGGAGATGAGCTGACGTAGTGCCCAGATCCAGATCCATTTCCTAGACCCTCGGCGAGAGGAGAAGGCGCATGGTGGTTTCCGCCGCCAGAACCATGTGTTCCTGTTGCGTTCTGATGAGAGACATTTCGGACCAACGGCTTGAGTGAAGGCGAGTTGACGGGCGAAGAGTTCCTTGAAGAGTTGCTCCGGGCTCGTGGCGGTGTCGCGTCCCCCCGGAAGGAAGAAGTTGATCCTTCACGAGGAGACTTACGCTCCCTGGATTTAGGTGTCGGTACGGGTGGTGGCAGTTGTTGTGCGTTATTAGTAGAGTCATAGGTGTGGTTGGATCCAAAGGACCCTTGCCTGCTCCTGGGTGAAGAATCGTAAAGGTGTGAAGGAGGAGGTGGAGGCGCAAATGGATGTCCTTCCTCGTGGTCGTATCCGAGGTCAGGGCTGTGTCCAGAGTGCTGGTATGGGCGTGAAGATCCGTATGGTAAAAGGTGTTGTTGGTGTTGCTGTTGAAGGTGATCCGAAGGGAGGTGACCTTGATGGAGAGAGTCAAACTGTGGCGAGTATCGGTTTCTTGGTGAACGCTGAGGCGGGCGTGAGGCATCGCCAGGAGCGGCAGGCTCGAGTGATGCCGAGCTTCCTTGAGAGACCAGACCCCGTCCTTGGTATAATCGATCTGCACTTGGCGTCGGACTGGCCGATGACACCGAGGTAAACGATGAGTTGGTAGGGAGGGCGCGCCTGGAAGATGCTCCATGCGAGGGTGAGCCGGATCGAGAGCCGCCCGAGGAAGATGTGTATCCAGAGGAATGGCCAATTCTCTGAGGAAGGTCAAGAAGATCCATTAGAGATCCCTCGGGTGGAGGAGGAGCAGGCCGTTGAGGAGACTCTCGAGGAATTGGTGGCGGTGGCTGAACATAAGGCCGCTCGGGTTTGACGCCATCGTTTTCATTAATAGTCTGGTTCGTCACTGGTCCCCGCCAACCAGATCCTGGCGTGCCTTGAAGCTGGGACAACGTCACTTCCTGACTCCTGTACTTGCGCTGCTTGTCTGTCAGCGACTCGCGTCGCTTTTCAGGCTTGAAGTCGCCGTCCTTTCCCGAGCCAGTATCGTGGTCCTTGTTCCTGCCAGAGAAGAGGCCCTTGAATTTCTCCATAGCCTGATTTCCACCACCAAGGCCTCCGGAGGTGCCATGTGCTGCGTTTCGTGATCCAGTACTGACAAGGTCTCCGGGGTTGCTCTTGGCTCTAGCGATTGCCATGCCTGGGTTAATATGTCGCTGCCGGGCGACGCCGCCGGTGTGGTCCGACATCATGTTCTGAGCGCTCTGTCCTGCGCCCGAAATCCGCCTCAATCCCAGACCAAGTCGTGGCCCCTCTTGATGATGCGAAGGCGGTGGAGGAGCAATGTAACCCTCATCGTGTTGATAAAGTGGACGATCCGGGATGTGAACATGGGCTGTGGTTGATGGGACAGGAATGTTTCTGCCGGCTCTTAGTAATGGCTCGCCGAAGCTTTTCTTCGACCGTTCTGACGAGTGGGTAGGTGGTGATTTCATGGGAGCAGGTGGGAGGGTAGAGGCAGATGGAGGAAGAAGAGAGTTTGTTGGTGGCGACGGTTTGAAATTAGCAGGTTCCGTTTGAACAGGAGGCGCCGGAAACTGGATCTCAACCGTCTGGCAAAAGACGGATGGTTCGCGATGCAATCCCTCGCTCTTGAGTTGCTTCCGAAGGTTGAGATATGATGAAAAGTCGTCGCCAGCATCCTCTGACGGGATGACAGGGGATGTGCTTGCTTTACGAATCGATGAGGTCCGCTGCAAGGGTCCGACTTTGTCCTCGGCCAACCTTGGGTTCTCTGGGATATCAGACAGATCTATGTTACGGTTTCGAGGGTCGTGTAAGAGCATTAGCACATCTTAACCGCGAACTTAGCTCCAAAGATAACACGTCTGTGTCGATGCATACCTTGGACTGTCTCTGAGGCAATAGCCTGAAGATCGCTTTCGCTCAGCAATTTGGACCCAGTCCTTGACATCCTACTGGACCGCCTCCGTGCAATAAATGTCGACGAAAAGACGTTGGAGTGGCTGTGATGACTGCTTGTGCTGGAGGTGGTTGAGTGACTCCGTTGTGGGGTGTTGCCAGGCAATGATGGGCGGGGTATAGTAGGCCTCTGCAAGGACAGTCGCCGTTTGATGGCAGCATCCTCTGGATCGAGGGTGACTCCTGGTCCAGACATGGAACCATAGATCCGTTCGTGGTCAGCTGCAGTAACATATCCTCCACTAAATGTCAACCCTCGTGTAGGTGGACCGTGTGCAGGTAAACGGCCTTGAGACGGGCTTCCGAGTCCAAAGTTGATCATCTCCTCATCATCTTCGTCAATGTTGGGCTTGGGCATGGTGAAACTGCTCTGGTTGTCGATCAGGAATTTGAGAACGCCTGCCGAAGTCATGTACTCTCCTGGTGACATGGCGTGGTTGGGATGTGATATTACGCCAGGTTGAAATACAGATGCCAGGTTTTTAGAGTCCATTAGGTTCTCCTCGCTGTGGTGCGCAAAGACCGACAGGAGGTCCAATAGGTACATGAGAAGACATGCATGCGGGGGTGGCAGTTTGCTAATTAATTCCTGATATGCAATGATCTTTTCCTCATCGTCCGTTAGATTGCCTATAGTTGTCCAATAGGTGTTTTTTATCCCGGTTAGTCAGTCTGCTTTCCATTGATGCATGTGCTCTTTTTGCGCTCAATCGTCCTGAAGATAAGTGACTGAAGAATAACAAACGTACGGTGGACATCACGGAATTTTTCGTAGTACTCGAGGGTGATGACGGGGTCGGGGAGGTGGTTGAGGTATCGGCGGAGGACGTTTGAGGCATCGTGGACTGTGAACCCTGTCCATTCCAGCTGGCTTCCATAGTTGGGAGGGGTGTCGAAGATGATCTGCAATTCAGAGACTCGTTTGGCAGAGCCGCTCACCCGAAAGATGCCTCGGGTTTGTGTCGCTAATTGATTTTAATATTTAATTAGGTTATTAGTCTCGATCCTAAACCGCAAGGACCTCTTGAGTCAATCACTTCCTTTTCATAAACAACAACAACAACAACAACAACAACAACAACGACAACGACAAGACAAAAATGTCAACAGCAAAACAAAGCAACAAGACAGCTACAGCATCAAGGAGAATATAAATATAAAAGCAAACAAAGAGACTCACCGTGTTCCTTCAAGTAATAGCCGCACTTATTGACGATGGTAGGGATATAACCCTGACACCGTGTCTTGCCGTTGATGGTCACATTGACAGGAACGCCAGCATATTGGATCGAGTCAACAAGATCGATATGAAAGAGTCCGACTAATAAGATTGAACGATAATTGTAAAAAACCTAATTGTCAGCCAACGAGAGAGATTCTCCTGAAAACAACACGGCAATAACAAACGGGCCCATTGGCAATCAATAGAAAAAGAGAGAGAGAGGTGCCCGGGGGAACAATGATGGGGCCATCAGCTCGTTGTTTGTTTGTTTGTTGCGTAATATACTCTTGTGGGTATCTCTGATTGCCGTTTGTTGTTGAGATGTAGGTGCTGAAACAACGGAACTATTTGCTTCTGTTGTTTTGGTGTTTCCAATACAACCCCCTACTCCCTCTTTTTATTTTTTGCAGAGGCCTTTTGTTCAAAGTAACAAACACCACTCCCCAAAAGCGACCTCTTTCCTCTTCCTTCTTCATCAGTCAGCGAGGATCGAGTAACCTGGGCAATCTCGCTTCCATGAAGGTGATTGATCTCAGTTGTTGTTTTCTCGAGGACGTCCATCATGACTGAAGTGTAAAGGGGAGTAGTTTGAGACAAACGGAGAATGTAACCCGCGTCTCTTCCCGTCGCTTTCTATATGTCCCTGGGCGGTGTGTGTTTTTGGGGCTGGCTGCCACTAAAACGACTACGTCCTCTTTCTTTCAGTCCCCACGCCAACCAGATCACGAAAGGGCAGTGCCACCAAAAAAGAAACACCTACACACAATCACCACAACTACATCCACAACGACAACAAGAGTCAAAAGCCCTCCCTCGCCATTGCTTGTTTCCTTTCGCCACACCACACGCACATCCCTTTTCCACCCCCTCCCCTCTCTCCCCTCTCTGCTTCCCTGCTGTCACCAGGTCGCACCCCTCAAAAAAGCAAAACTCACGCCTCGACCAGCCCATGGGCTAGCGAAATAATATATTATTTCTTTCGTGCCACCGTGGTAATATTCTTTTTACCTTTGACGACCTTGGTCCCTGTTATATTCTTCAACCACTTCTTGAAAGACACCTTTTGCTGGGCCATGGCTCAGCAGTAAGGCCAAAAAAATGGAAAGAAAGGAAAGAAACACGAAAATGGGTAAGGAAAAAAAAAGAAGAAAAAAAGAAAGAGTCGCAAGGACAAAAAAAAAAGAAGAGAAATAAATATGGACAACTGTGGAGATCAAGTTGTAATTAAGAGTAGTGGAAGTGTTGGTGGTGAGGTTGTGGTCGTTCTTGTGGACGCTGTTGTTGTTGCTACAAGTGGTAGTGTGGATGAAGGTGCTGGATCGGCGGTTGCTGGGTGTTCCGATTCCTGTGAGAGATAGCAGACAATGGAAGCAGCAGTTGCCATGAGCGTGGGGCAGGTAAGGGTCGTTGAGAATGGGCTGTTTTTTTTGTTGTGTTTGTGGGATGAGACGGGTGAGAGGAACCGGAGGAACTAAGGGAAAGGGCGAAGAGGAGGTAGAGAAAGGATAACCGGCGATGATAGGAATGGAGGAGAGAAGGAGGAGACGAGATAAAATAGAAAAAGGGCGAAGGGATGGAATGATAATAATAGTTCTGTTTGTTGTGTTGCTGACTCGATGTAGGTGTTGCTGTTCGATTGAATGGCGATGACGGAAGAGAGAGAGAAGAGAGAGAGGGATAAGGAAAGAGAGAGAGAAGGCAAACAGGGGTGGGAGTAGTGAGAAAGAAAGGAAAGAAGAAAAGGGAAAGGACGAAAGAACGCTCGGACGACAACTGAGTGAAATGAAAAGTGTTTATTGGATTCAAGAAATGGTCGCGTTGGCGTTTCTTTTTTCTTTCGATAACGTCAATCGATTGCAGAGCAAACAAGAAGAGAATGAAAACAGTGTGTGAAAGAGAGAGAAAAGAGGCGGGCTCCTTCTCTTTCATTTTCTTCTTCTTCTTCTTCTTCTTCTTCTCCCTTCACCATTAGAGTGCATGTACTGTACAGTGCACTACGGCCAACCCTATCTGCCATGGTTGGATCCCCGGCTGACCTCCCATCAATCCTGCCCTCTGTCACTGCCCAAGTTAATCAAGCTACTAACTCCATTTTTTTAATGCCGTCATCGCTCGCGAAGTATCCTCTTGGCCATTACCACATCAAACTACCATTGCAGAAAGGACGAGGTGGAGCTCACAACGCGATTGTGTTTTTTTTATTATGTTCAAGAGAGCTTTAGACATGTATGTACAAACTGCATGAAGCAAAGTTTTTTTTGTGTTGCAAACGGGAGTGGACAATAAAAAGCAATGTGGAACAAGAAAGTGTTGCCTTAGATCTTGGCAAGACGTCTCTCGAGCTCACCACCCTTTTCGAGCTTGAAGAGATCATCGCATCCTCCGATGTGCGTCTGGGCGATGAAGATGTTGGGCACAGTGCGCTGGCCAGTCAAGGTCTGGAGGTAGGCTTGGATAGCAGCACCATTGTCGACGTTGTCGAGCTCAAGGATAAAGGCCTTGGCTCCGAGGCTTTCCAACAGGTTCTTGGCCTTGGTGCAGTAGGGGCAGTACGACTTTGAGAACACGACGATAGCGTGGGCGGCTAATTATTCGTAGGATAATGGTCCGGTGTGAGTGATGTTGAATATATTATAAAACGTGCGCAGTGCCTGCAGGGATCAGCATCAACAAACAAGGACAACGCCACTGTTCCATGTCGTGTTTTGTTTGCATTCTCCATCAGACAAGCCATCCTGTTTGTGATGCAAGTCCCGCGATGAGAATAACACTTATAAGAAGTGTGTAGTGTGTAGTGTGCGGTGCGAGTCTAACGGTGCTTACCGATGATAGCATCGACTTCGGTCTTGATTGCGGCGGCCATTTCGGGAGTAAGAGAAGGTGAAGAGAAGAATGATCCCATTTCAAGTTTTCGGGAGTGGAGCAGACTTATATGTGTTCTGAAAAAGAAGGGAGAGAGAGAGAGTAAAAAAAACGAGTCCGAAAATGCTGTCCTTACTCATGACAAATGCACCACCGCCTTCTTCTGTCCTCTGTTGGAATCATCCTGACCCCCCTCTGTGTTGCTCACTAATGCGAGCGATTCTGCGCCTTTTTGTGCGAATCCTTATTTATGCGCAACTGGCTCCTCAATATCGCGCAACAGTTGTAATCTAGAGTCCTTGAACCGATCACTTCTATCTCTCTCTCTCTGCTCAGCCTGCCCTTGTAGGAAGAAGGCAGGACCAATTATGACTGCAACAACAAGGGTTCTTTCCCAGAGCGAACGTTTGTCAAAACAATTATGTCTCCGCCCATGCAAAAAGCCACCCAACAACTCTCATGTTTTGTGGGGAATGAATGACTCTCTTGATCCCAACGGCGCCTTCTTTTCTCTTTTGTTCCTTTTTTCTCTTTTCTTCCACCTCCCTTCGTTTTTTTGCTCTCATTCACACTCCACTCTCCCTCCTCTCCTCTCACATCCTTCCCTCACATATACGTACACATACTCACTCACATAATGCTCAAACAAATCACACTCCTGCATCAATTGCCCAGGCAATTCATGCCAACTTTCACCCGATCCATCGCAACCTCAACAGGAAAAATCACTCCACCCGTCAGCCTGTCCTTCACCGAGACCCCTAAACCCTCTCCTCAGGAACAGGCCCGGTCACAGCCCATTGTGGTCATGCACGGTCTCTTTGGTTCCAAACAGAACTGGAAGGCCCTGTCCAAGGCCATGGCCCATCGTCTGAACACCCGAGTCCTCACCGTCGTACGTTTCCTCTTTGTTGCTTTTTCTTACCAAATTGATGGAAGGGTGTGTGTGTGTGTGGCTGCACCGTTCGATATCACTCCTTGCAGTTGTTGCAATCACTCGAGCAAAAAAAGATACGGTCAATACTGGATTCGAACGGTCGTTTTTTTTTCATCAAATTGATTGAAGTTGGTAGAAAAAAAAAGGGGGGAGGGGGGGGGGGGTGGCGCGACAACATCGTTCATCTCCCTCCCCCATGTCCTTTTCTCCTTTTCTTTTGTCCGGAGTAGATCGGAATCAATATCCAACATCATGAATAGCTCGTAGTTATTATTTTTGGAGCGTCTATTTCTTTTTTTCTCACGACATCCTCCTCCCTTGCCATATTTCTGACTCTTTCATTTTTTTTTCTCCCGTTTCTATTTGTAATAGGATCTTCGTAATCATGGAGAGAGCGGGCATTCAGAGGAACACGATTATACCAACATGGCCAACGATGTGGTGCACTTTTTGAAGGAGCAATCCGTGGATAAGCCTGTCGTCATTGGACACTCTATGTAAGGCTGGATTCCCCTATGCTTTTGTTACACGGGTCTTGAAGCAACCAAGGAGGATATACTCTGAAAGTTTGAGTCGATCTATTGCTCTCGTGAACCATTGGCAGCGGAAGGACAGGAGAGAGGAAGTGTTCGTAGGAAAAAAAAAAAGTGAATTCACAGAGTATGAATGAGGAGCGATCTGTGCCGAGCCCTTGGAGACTGCTTTCGTAGGGAATAGGGGGAAGGAGACAAGGACACAGGGAGGGGCACAACAAACAAACACAGGGAAAGGGACAAAGATAAAGGCAGGAACAAAGACAAACACAGGGACAAGGGACAAAAGATAGAGGCAGGAACAAAGAAAAACATGTAGGCGCAGACAAGGACGCACAGGACACACAGACAAGGACAGATTCAGGAACAATAGACGAAAAGAGAGGCCCTCCACGGGAGGACACGCGGATAAAAAAAAGCACAACCATGCCATAAGCGACTCGACATAGCGGGCGTAAGATGAAAACCACAAACAGGACAGGACAGGACAGGACGAAAGGGGGGACTGAAAAGAAAGGGAAAAGATGAGGACCTGCATTGCAACAAACAAACGCAGGATCTGAATGCAACAAATAAGCAAAGCTGCACAATGACCGCATCGAGCTCGGGATGTGGTTTTCTTCTCTTCAGGACGTAAAAACAAGAGACGGATCAATTGTCCATTGGACTGGACACACACTGAGAGAATGACAGAGGGAGAGATGTAGAGAAAGAAGGAGGGGGAGATGAATGGATAAAAGAGAGAGGATTGAGAGTCTACATTCTTCCTTTTTCCCTTATTACATATGTCCTAACCAGTGTTCATACGAACCTTATCTTTTTGTATCATATGTAAATACGTAGGGGAGGCAAGGTGGCGATGAACTTGGCATTGAAGCACCCTGCAAACCTGGACCGACTCGTCGTCGTCGATATGGCGCCCGTCAAGGTCAAACTGTCGACCGAGTTTGCGAAATATGTCGGGTCCATGAGGGAGATTCAGAATGCCAATGTGAAGAAGCAATCCGAGGCCGATAATATCTTGAAGAAGACTGTCTCCGTAAGCATTTTTTTTAGCTGTCATTTTCATATGGAAAGTCAATGAGGTGAGATTATCGTGCTATCCCAGGCTAACGCCACCATTTTTCTTTCTCTAGGACTTGGGAGTGCGCCAGTTTCTGTTGACAAACTTAAAGAGAGACGCCACAGGGGACGGATACAGTTTCCGGATCCCCTTCGAAACCCTGGGCAACTCGCTCGAGAAGCTGGGCCAGTTTGATTTCGTCCCTGGGCAGGACAAGTTTGATGGCAAGGTTCTGTTTATTAGGGGCGTAAAGTCCAAGTATATCATGGAGAAGGAGATGGAAGCGATTCGGTCGTTCTTCCCTCAGGCGAGGATTGAGAGTCTTGATACTGGTCATTGGGGTAAGTGTGGATTTATGATATAAACAAGGGATCAATTGAAGGATTGGGGATTGGGATGGGGGGATTGGCATGCGCATGTCAGGGAAGGCAAAGATGGACAAAACAAACAAAAAGGAGGAAACTAATTGGCCAATTGATCATTGACCATGGACCATGGGAGAGGAGAGAAGGAAAGACAGAGAGGGACAGGGGGTGGACAGAGACAAACAGAGAGAGGGATGATGTAGGACAATACTTTTTGCTCCCCATCTCTCTCCTCTCTCTCTCCTCTCTCTCTCCTCTCTCTCTCTCTGATCCGATCTGCACGCTGACATTTTTTGGTTTGTTTGTTGCGTTGTGCGTGTTGTCCATTTATTATTTTCTTTGGCATGCATGCAAGTAAAAACTAACCACACTTCCTTCCTTCCCCCTCTTTTTTGTTTGTTTGTCTGTGTTTGTTTTCCCTCCCTTTTTTTTGATTGCTTGCTTTCCCTTACTTCGTGTTTGCTTTTCCTGCTCATGTATGACGACGTCGTACATATCATACAGTTCATGCCGAGAAACCAGAGGACTTTTTGAAGCTCGTCACAGAGTTTGCTATCGAAAAGTAAAAAAAAAACCCAAAAAAAAAAAAAAAAAACACCATTGCCCCTATCCTCCACATCCCCTATAGACTTTTCCGCATCCATAGACTTTTTAGCATTCAATTCTGCCCATCCTCCCATTTAATGTATTCAATCAATGGTACCATTGAGTCAATCCTACCATTGAGTCAATCCTATCATGGAGTCAGTATTTTTTTTAATCCCAACTTTACCTACCTCACCCATCCTCAATCAAACCATTGACAACACTGCACATACACACATACATGCACCAAATAGACACATAGAGACATATTTAGAACACCACTAGCATATCTTCCTATTTTCCCGCCACAAAAACAAATACACATGCTGTCGGACTGATTGAAAGAAGGATAGAGAAAAAGAGATGCATAGGAAGATAGAGAAAAAAAAATGCTCACTATTTTTGCATCATTGCATGGCTTTGGGCGGGAAAAAGGAAAAGCATGGACCATGGCTCAGAATCGAAACAACACACGACGCGACCAAAAAAAAAAAAAAAAAAAAAAAGGGAGCATGGGTAGGTGGGCAGGTGGGGCAGGTGGGTGCAGCGTTTGCTATTGTTGTGTTTGTTGTTTGGCCCTTTGGCTGTGTTCCAATTTTTTTTTTTTTTTTTTTTGGATGGGAGCATTGGGTTGGTTGTGAGGCTGGGCAATGGGGCCAGCATAGAAAAAATTGAATGGAAATGACTGAATGGAGCTAAATAATCACGGCACTCTCGGGATCTGAAAGACGGGGTTCCAGAACCCTGACAAGTCTTTAGACAGGTCAGGTGAAGAAATGAGAGAGGAAGAAAGGTGAAAGAGTCTACTACGACCGAGGGTCATGCAACGTAAGCACATAAGTTGGAGTGAAATGAAAAAGAGAGGGAAGGGGGAACCAGGTTAGGTTTCATATAATGTCTTTTCTCTTGAACCATGTCTCAAATGTTGAATAGAAAAAAATATTCAGCCTCAACCCTCATTAACCCTCAAATGTGGATCAACCGACCCAGAAGAGGCGCCAGAGGAACGATGATCGAGTCAAAAGGATGTGTGCTCATACTGTTGTTAAGAAAAACATCTTGACCAATGGTATCATTGAGGGGGCCATCATGGAGAGTTCTATTTGAGCTAATCGGCTCCCTTGGATAGGTCATGTTTTTCATTGAACTTTGGAATGAAGGGGGTCCACGTAAGTCTGGACAAGTGATGGTGCCTTGTATGTGGTGATGGGTGATCCATGGTGACCATGGTGATGGCATATAGTAGTTACAGGAGGGGGTCTGGAGATCAAGGGTCGGAAGAGGAAGTAAAGAGCGACTATCAAATCAACGGACGAATCACGAACGTCACGAAAGAAATAGTAAAAAACGGCATGACCTAGAAGGAAGGGGTTGATAAAATGAGTACTTACAATGAAAGTTGCGCAGGTGTAGCTGGGCAAAAAGAATCGTTCGAACAGGAGGCAAAGAACAAGTTGAACGGAATGAGAAAAAAATAGTAAAGAGATGAATCGTGACGAATGAGCGTTCAGCCACACTCATGGGTATGGCTAGAAGATAGCCGTTTACAGTCTCCGTTCCGTCGTAATGTAAACAAAATGAAAAAAGTGAGGACCCATGTCTGTCAGTTTGCCTGTCCTGTTTGTCATTGGGTTTTCCTGGAGAAGTTGACTAATGCTATTATAATACTCACTCAGTCACATACCTGTTGTATATAATTGTGCCGATCGGTCGGTTGTATGTCGTGGCCAGTTAGTCAGTCAGTCAGACGTTTTGCTTGCCATCATGAACCAAATCCGGAGGATGGTTGATCCCAGATGACCTCTTTACATCAGAAAAAGGAGAGAGAATGTGGGACTGAAGGAGGGAAGGAGTGAATGGGGAGAAAGGAAGGGGAAACCAAACGCGGCAATGAATGGGAAAAGTAGGGCATGACCTGAAGACTTGCTTAATAGACTCCAGGTATTGAATTTTGTGTTTGCCTTGCTGGGATGTCGTAGCACCTTCTTTTTGTCACCCTTGTTTTTCCCGATTCCTGGCTGTGTATGATAACAAAGGTACAAAGCACTGGAAAGGGTTGGGAGGCGATGGGGGAGGTCAAAAGGGAGGTAGAGAGGGAAGGATGGAGGGACAAAAAGTAAATCAAAGAATGGATGCATGCAGGTCGATGTTGAGCCAAATTGTGGCCCTGTCGCGGTATGGATATTTTTCATTGTCTCCGCATGGTACAGTACAAGAGACAAAAACAGAGAGCGGAATACGGAAACGAGCAATTGCAACGAAGAGAGTTGACGAAGTGCAAGGGCGAAAAATGGGAGTTGGATGACAATCTTTGTTGACGAACACACGCAACGATTGAATAGCCAACATGACTCTTTACAATAACGACAATCGACTACTGTACAAAACATAAACAAACAACAAAACGCATACTGTGCCGGTGGCAAAGAAAGTCTCTTGATCGCACCTGCTGCCTGTTGGAAAGAAACGAGAAAGAAAAATTTTTCCCGCCATTTTTTTTTCATTTCCCATTTGCTCTCATTTCATCCCTTGTCGGATAGAAAGAGGGGAGAAGGGGAGGGGAGGAGGAGAAAGAGGTCGAGGGACGAGGAAACGTAAGGGAAGGAGGAAGGAAGGAAAAGAAAGAGGGGTCAGCAAAGGAGAACTGTAGTAGAATCCAATACAAACGACCACTATTCTAAAAAGAAGAAAGGACGAGGGGAAACCTGACCCCATCAATCGAATAACAATACGTATTCGGTCCATCCACTCAATCATTCAGTCAGTCATTCATTCGATCATTCATTTTTATCGTTTGTCTTTCGTAATAAAAAAAAAGGCTGCCTTTCGCTATTGTGAAGAAAACATTAGTAACACTGGGGGTGTCAGGAGAAGAAGGACAGGGGAGGGTCCAGGCGAAGAGGCATTACGCAGGATATATTAAGACGATGTGGGATGAATGACAGTGACCATGACCCGCGTGTTTTTTTTGTGCGATGTCTTCATCCCAGCTACAACGATTCTGAATGCACTTCAAATGATGGCTGTGGTACAAATGCGTAGACTAATGGTAAGAAAGTATATATGAATGAACACATGTATGTGCACGCAAGAAGAGGCGAAAGCGGAGAAGCGAGCGAGAACAAGCAAGACGTCGAGAAGAGGAGGATGATGATACTGCCTCTCTATTGATCAATGCTTGCTGTTGTTGAAAGGAGTGCTGCCCCGAGACGAGAAGAAGGTGAGGACCAACAGTGTTTTCTAGTCAGGATTTTTTTGGGTTATTATTTCTTTGTTCCTCCCTGTTCCATTTCATTCCTCTTTTTTCATTTCTTCCCTTTTTCCCTCTCTTCTTCTCCTTCATCTTTCACAATCCAACATCCCCTTTTACAACCCTTTGGATTAGAACTCATCACTTTTTGACAGGTAAGAACAAGATCGGCCAGGTTGTTTGTAGGTCTGACAGCCTTTTCCCCTTTTATTCATCAGTCCGTCCGTCGGCCGTTTTCTTCGATTGAATGAATGGATATGAAGTCTGGTCCGGTGGTCAAACAATTTTTTTTTTTTTATATATTCGCTGTCCACTTCATCAAAACACGATCTATCACCCACATTTCTTTTCATACCCTTTTTTTTTCTTTTCTTCTTTTCGCTTCTTTTTTTCATTTATTTCTTTTCATTCATTTCGGTTTTGATTTTCCTCACTCTTTTTTATTTCTTCTTTTTCCATCCTTTTCTCTCGTTCTTTTCCCGCGACCGCATCCTTGCTCTTTCACTCTTTCACTCTTTCACTCTTTCACTCACTCACTCGCGCTCACCTCCCACTTCCTCTTTCTCTTTCTCCTTCTCTCTTTCACAACACCTCACCCTTCCTCTCCCATCCCCATCCCCATCCCATCTGTTTCTTTCACTCTTTCCCTTTCCCTTCATCGCCAGCATCATCACATATCAAATATCCCTTTCTTCTTTTTTTCCTTCTTTTCTATCTTTCTTTTCTTTTTCCCTTTCTTCCTTCTCTTTCTCTTTCTTTTTCCCTTTTCCTCCCACCCTTTTCATCGCATCCCATCCCATCATCATCTTCCTCATCATCGCCACCCTTCCCTTCTGCCCTATTCTTATAATTCCTTCCTTCTCTCCTTTCTTTCTTCTCTTCCTTTTGCAAAGTACACCCTACATACATTCTCGTTGACTTGTTGTATTTCTTCCCGCCCACCTTCGTCCCACTAATAGCATTCATCACAATCTTTTTCTTTCCTTCTTTCATTCTTTCGATATCATAGCCCGCTTTTCTTCAAAATCAAATCGTCAACCACCAGCAACAACATCGTTCATTCTTCTTCTCTTCTTCTTCTCTTCTTCTCTCCTTGTCTTTGTTTCCAGTCAGACTGACAAACACACAAACAGCCAGTCAGACAACCAGACCCTACTTGAATTGACCGAAACAACAACATCAACATCAACCATCCATCCATCCAAACCACAGTAACCAAACAACAACAACAACAACAGCACAAACAACCAAAAAAAGAAAATAAGCCTGACTGAGAGAGATGGAGGAGGCAAACGACCCTACCCCCAATCACCCACGGCCCGAAGCTGCAGCTGCATCCCACCATGCTGCACCTGCACTCGAAGAACAAGAACATGCCCAACCACAACCACATCCCTCGTCCTCTTCCTCCTTGTCGTCGTCGTCCTCTTCTTTTGGCGCCGCCGCCACCGCTGCTGCTGCTGCTCCTACTTCTCCTTCCTCGTCTTCTTTGCTGTCTTCTCGTCTACCACATCCACATCAACAACAAGAGCAACAACAACAACAATATCACCAGCCAACCTCGCATCGTCAACCCACCCGCCAACCATTGCCACCCGTATCTTCTTCTTCCTCCACCACCTCCTCGCCTCCTCACACTTCCTCCTCTACAGCCACTTCTCCGTCCTCTGCAAAGTCGCATCATCAGCAACTGCCCCCCATATCGTCCTTTTCGTCCTCCACATCGACTCCTTTTCCCTCCATTTCTCCTCCCTTCCAGCCATTCCATCCGACTGGATCTGAACTAAGAATTCTGCATGGTCATGATCGCCCCTCATACCAAAGTCAACACCAGCACCACCACCGCCAACAGCAGCAGCATCAAAACACTACCGGCAGTAGCGGAGGCAACCTGGACCAGATCAACGATTTCGACAACAGTAACGTCGGACGTTATCACCCGCGATCAGACAAGCCAACGATGCGAGCCAATCGCGAAGGCAACGATTTCGAAGGAGACGAGGAGGAGGGCGACATAGAGGAAGACGACGACGAGGAGGACGATGATCTATCCAGCCTGTCATCTTCCCTTTCCATGGATGAACGAGACCACGACGACGACGGCGAGGCTGAGGTGGACAACAACAACAACAACAACACCAGCAGCAGAAATAAGAGCACTACGAAAAAGCGAGCCGCCAACGACCCCAACCGCCTCGGCCCTTCTCCCACGTCGACCGCCCGCAAGCGCACCGCCAACGTTGGCTCCCATTCAGATCTGGATTCGCAATCAGACTCTGCCATCGATTCGCAACCTCATTCAGATTCTGAATCTGATCCAGATCCGGAATCTCGACCTCAGTCTCCACCACTCCCTGAAGGGTCTAGAGCCAGCGCCACAGTCACAGCAAGGACTCCACTTCAACCCACCACAGCGGCGGCGGGGGCAGTAGACACTACTACGGGTACTTCTCGGCGGATGAGCGCTCATATCGGCCGTCGTCATAGCAGACACATGGGCGATCCGTCCTTGTTTGTGTCGTCGTCGCCTTCAGCAGGCATGGATCGACCCATGGAGGAAGGACAAGGACAGGGACAGGATGCAGGGAACATGTCGACGTCGTCTATGGTTGTACGACCGATGCCGCGTCGAGAGCTTCTTGGCGACGAACATGCTTCCTTGCACGATGATTCGGTGGCAACGGCCAGCGAAAGCGAAGGGTACGTGTTCCCATCGGTATTTTGTTGTTCTTGTTTTGTTGTTGATATTTTTATTCACGAACCCCATTACCCATTGTGACAAGAGTACAAAATGGACCTCGTTTTCTCTTCTTCCCTGTCCGGTTGTTACCCTGTTATCGTCGTCCCTCCCTGCGTGCTCCCTTCCCTCTTTTTTTTTTTTTTTTTTTTTTGCCTCCAACCACTATTCTTTTTCCCTTGGACTCGTTCTTCCCATCTTCCCCTCCCTGCGTTCCCCCTTCTCCCTCTTCCCCCTTCTCCCAAACCCATTATTTCACCTCATCGTTGCTCAGCAAACACAAAAACAAAAAGTTCTTCCCTGCCTCCCACATCCCTTCGTCCCCTCGTCCCCTCTCCCTCGCATTTACCCTCACCTTCGCTCATAATCACCTTCATCATCATCACCACCCTATCTTTCACCTTCTCTTACCCTTGTCTTCCCAATCCACTCCTGTCCTTTTGTCTACTCGTTGTTATTTTCCTTCGGACCATTGGGGCGAAGAACGTCCTGCAGCAAAAGGGAAAGAAAAAAAAAGTCAAATTCCAACATTCAACTTTTGAATGAAGCAGGAACATTGGACTGAGCCTTCAGATCAGCATGGAAGGATTGAAGAAAATAGGGAACGATTCTCAATCCCATGCTGCATGCACATGTCATGTTTGTAAGCTTGTTGGTTCAAAAGGGCGTGTGCATGGTCGAACTACTTTTATGTTTTGTTGTAGACATCCTTTTACTGCTTTATATTTTTAATGTTCCACTTTGACGGTTTTTTGTTTGTATCGGTCGCCGTGCATGGTCGTTATGCACGGTGTGGGTGAGAGAACAGAGACAATGAGAAGGTGAGAGAGATTAAAGTGGACACGACATTCTACGATGGCACAAGCGAGCAACATCAATAACATCAACAACAACAATAACATCATTGGCAACAAAAGAAGCAAAGCCTGTGGGAGGGGAGGGGAGGGGGGAGAGAGAGGAGAAGAGCAATGGGTACGATGAAGCATTATGACAACAAGAGTCAAAAAAAAGGAGTTTTGGGCAAACAGGAAGAACAAAAAAAAGGCGGCTGGTGTGTGCTTGTGTGTAGTGGAATGACCGATTACCACATTCAGAGAGCTTCCACATATCCAACAAACCATCTGAGTCTTAACAACACCAGCAAAACAAAAAAAAAAAGAAAGAGGCGAGACGAGCAAAAAAGAGCAAGGCTAGCCATATGCTGCAGGGGATGATGACTCTTCCAGGAAATGAATGTGGATTCAATAGCTGTTAATGTCTGATGGCGTGGGCGATGGTATGGACGCATGGGCGATAGGTGGCATGGTTGATATTTGTTGCTTACCATACGCGATCGGGACGTTTTTATTTTTTTATTTTCATAAGTTGTTTGCGAGGCTTGGTTTGGTTGCATGCTCATGCTCTATCATCATCATCATCGGGCAGGTAGCTCAGGTCCGATGGCATGGCTATCGTCATCTTACTCCTTTTTTTTCTTCATATGTCTTGACGACTTCCGTTTGTCCACACTTTTTCCTCTTTTTCGTTTTTTTCTTTTAAATCCTTTTTGTTTCTTGTCCTTTCTTTATTACTTTGTCCTCTTGACCTTCTTGACATCTCAAAACAAAATACAATAATCCCTTTTACCACAGCTAACCAACATCTTCCTAAACAAAATGTCTCCTCTGGCTTTTTTCGATTTCCCGTGCATCAGAAGTATGGCTGCAGACGGAATCGACCGCACCCGCTCATGGTCCTCCTCCGCACAGGAAAGACCCCGTCCCTCCTCCTCCTCTGCCTCCGCCCTGAGGCAGAACGCTGAGCACCGTCTTTCCGAAATCAAGTCCTCCCCCGCCCCCTCTTCCTCCAAACAGACTTCCGCTCTTCCACACCATCATCGCCATCACCCCCAGACATCCTCTTCCTTGGCACCGTCACACATCACCACCGTCATGACGACGCGTTCCAGCCGGATCAAGGACTCGATCACAAAGGACTCGGCCCCCCGCAAGTGGATCTGTAAACAAGTCCCCGTCAAGACCCTCGGAGGGGAAATGATGATGCCCATCTGGTTCTCTGGTACGTCAAAGCATAACCGCTACACATGTGCTGTAGATACCCCTCTCGTCCTCTTTTTATCACTGTTGTTTTAGCTTCCTCCCATCTCCCTCCTCTATCTTTTTCTCGTCCCCATCCTTCTCTTCTCTCTCTCTCTCTCTCTCTCTCTCTCTCTCTCTCTCTCTCTCTCTCTCCCCTTCCCTTCTTTTTTTTCTTCTTGTTTGTTTGCTTGCCGGCGGCCATGTTATTTTGGCTCTTTTTTGTGTTGTGATGATTCGAGACTTTTTCTTGAGTAACAAAAAAAAGGAGTCAGTTTAGGGATTGGGCGGGAAAAAAATCACGTAGGGTTGTTGTTCGAATCATCTGCCAGAAGAATACGAGTTGTTTCATCCACATCCACGGTTCCTCTCTTTCAATGCAAGTACGCGTTCTTATTTACAGTGATTTCATTTTCTCCCGGCGCTTGTCATGACAGTGATAAGACATACGAAAAAAAGGAAAACATTCAAATGCATCCCCCCCTCCTCCTCCTCCCCCATTCCCTTCCTTTCTTCCCTGGCGGCTAGAAAATGGGACGATGAAGAAAAGAAAGGGAAAAAAAAAAGGATACATTTTTATTTACGAGGTTTAAACCATGGTTTTACTGGATTTCATTTGACTATCAACGGAAAAGGGAAAGGTAGGGAACAGGGAACAGGGGATCAGGGAAAACAGGGAGCAGACAGGAAGAAAAAAAAACGCAGCTAATAAATTGGTGAGAGGGACGCAGGAAGGGCGTGAGGGAAGGGAAAAGGGCCCGAGGGAACAAACGAGGGGAGGGAAGAGGGAAACATCGACATCCAATGAGAGGCGATGCGGTTCTTTCTTTGTGTTATTGTTATTGTTTGTTTGGCGGAGCGAGCATTTGTGTGTCTGTTGTGTGTATGTGGGAGAGTATTCTAATGAATTCAAATGATTTTTGGCGGGAAAAAAAAATATGTAAAGGTGCATGGTGTTGTCATTATTGTCGTTGTTGTCTTTTGTTGTTGTTATTGTTGGTGTTGTTGTTTTGTGTTGTGTGTGATGTGATGCTATGGATGGAGTGAATGGATCGATGGATGGGTCGGGTGGTGATTATTATTATGATTCTTATTCTATGCGCGGTGTTGTTATTCAATAGGATGGATCATTGCATCGATGGACAATGGGCTACGGACATATATTTTGTTATATATAGCGCGAATATGTGCCGACATGTACATGGGTTGACATGTTGTAGGAGTCATGCTTCCCCTTCGACCAGTTTACCCTCATCCATCCATGTTCCATGGGGTAGTGTGGACATTTGGTGTTGAGCGGGAAAAAAATGAGCGAAGAAGAGTAGAAGCAGCAAAGTTTTTTTGGTCTTCTTCGTCATCGTCGGCCAAATAGACGACAAAAGTCAGCTGGGGGGGGAAGGAAGGAAGATTTGGCTTACTTATCGATCAAAACATTCTTTCATTTATTACCTACTCAATTCAATCCCTCTCCTATCCTGTCCCTAAACCTGCCTATCCTGTCCTATCCTATCCACACCATGTCCGCACCATGGGCATAGGATCCTTTCTATCCCACGCACTTATATACAATCAAACAAAACACCCTATAATGTGAGCCCATGTCTAACTTTTTCTTTTTACCCTTCGTTCCTTTCCTGCTTTCTACCTTTCCTCATCTCCTTCTTCCTCTTTCCCACCCTCTCCCACTCTTGTTCTATCCTCTCCCACTCTTCCCTCCCCTGAAACTCCCCTCTCTATTGCATCAACTTACAGAGGAGGACATGCTTCTGAACGAGCCTGTGGCCCCGATTGAGCTAGATACCGACAGTATGACTCTGGATCACGCCGGAGGACTCACCACCCCTGGACACCACCATCACCACCATCACCACCATCATCACCACCACCACCACCTCATGGTCGACGATCCCCTCCAGACCAACACTGCTCGCCACAAGAGGAAACTGAAACTCAAGGACATGGCGCTGAGAGAGTCAAGGGATCCACAGGACTTTATCGACATGCCCCAGCCAATGGACAACAAACCCCGCCATCACGACCCGCAGGCAAAGGATGGCAAGGGCAAGAGTGTCTCGCGTGATTACCAGCCTGGAGATAAGAGGATCAAGATCCAGAAGGAGAGCAGCAGCACGGCAGCACTCCGCAAGGTCAAGCTGGAAAAGACGAAAAAGATCCGCAAAATTATTCGAGAGCGCTCCGAGTCGTATGTTTCGACACGCGACTCGACCCCGACGACACCGCCGATCGAGCAATTCGAAGGAACCCCCGAAGAAGGCTCCCCTCCGCGACAACGTCGTCCTCCGGAGAGCAATATGTCGTCCCCCTCAGGTGGGCCTCGACCCCGGCCCTTTATCTGCGAGATCGAGGACTGCGGCAAGCGCTTTGTGGATGCCCTGCAGCTTGAGCGTCATATTGAGCGACACGGACCCAAGGAGCTGGAATGCGACCTGGACATGTGCGGTAAATTGTTTTCGTCCATTATGCTATTGCGACGCCACCAATCGATGGTCCACAAGAGGCGGTCCGAGAAATGGGAGAGCCCGCCCGGAACAACGCGACAGCGCTCTGGTCGATCAAGACGTAAGGAGCCACGTATTGTCGCGTCGGGCGACATCATGGATCCTGCTGAGCTGGAGGAGCTGCCACGTGATCCCATGGATGTAGATGATGAAGAAGAGGAAGATGACGATCGCGGCGAAGATGAAGACGACGACGGCGAGCCTTCTTCGAGCAGAGCAGGCAAGAGATCTAACGAAGGCAAGGCTAGAGACCTCAAGCAGCTCAAGGCACCTCGTTTATCCAAGGAGCCCAAGGAGCTCAAGGAACCCAAGACCAAGGACCCCAAACAGCTCAAGGAACGCAAGACTCCCAAGGCCTATTTGCCCAAGAAGCTTGCGCCAAGGGGGGAGGACGGAGAAGATGATGGCCAAGGAGGATCCGAAGCTGGCGATGGAGGATCGAACGCTGTCTCCTCCCCCGCAGGACCTGCCCAGCCTCGCCCTCGACCCTTCCACTGTACACACGATGACTGCAAGAAGGTCTTTATCGACGCCACCCAGCTGGAACGCCATTTGGAGCGCCATGGCCCCAAGGAACTGGAATGTGGTATCGACGGCTGTCGTAAGCGGTTCTCAGCCCAGATGCTTCTCCGTCGCCACCAATCGATGGTGCACAAGCGTCGTAGCCCTGCAGTGAACGTGTCTGCGACGACAGGATCGCGTCAAGTTCGACCTCCAGCTGGATCGGCGCCATCTAGTCGATTGGCAGGCCCACCCCTGGACGCGGCGTCGCTTGCTGCTTCATCTCCTGAAGGCAGCAGTGGCTACACTCCCTCACCCACATCTGGACATGGATACGGGCAAGGGCCTCCATCGTCATCGTCCGCAGGCTATCAACCAAGACACGCACCGCCCTCGTCTCACCACCATCATGGTCACCAGCAGCATTCCCACCATGCCCACTATGCACCTTCCTCGCAATAATTAATCCTTGTCAATATGTTCTGTACCTCTTTTCTATTATTACTTCTATTATTACTACACTACTATCACCTTGCCTTTTTTTTTTTGCTAAAACTACTCATCATTTGTATCTTCTTTCATTTCTTTTCTTCTTGTTTTCCCTTTCTTCTTCACGACTTGTTGCATTTCTTTGCTCCACCGCGCGCTTTTTTTTCCGCTTGTTTGTCTTATCGTCATCTGTTTTATTCTTTTTCTGTACTTGCTTCTGCTTTTCATTCATTTTTAGCCGTTTCACATTTTTTTTCTTTCTTTCATTCCATTCCTTTTTTTCGTTTCTGTACCATTCGTACCTCTGCACCTTTCACTATCAATCTATGCCATCAATCCAAACGTCACTTTCACCTTCTCATCTCGTTCGTTCGTTCGTTCGTTTCGTTCGTTGTCGTTTTCGTCAAGTTTCAAGAAAAAAGTTATTTCAAACCAAAACCAATCTAATCCAACGCCAATCCATCACGTCCCAAGAACCGGTCTTACGCGATCCATTTTTTCTCTCATTTTATCATGCTCATTACGATGTCCAATATTGATGCTTTCCTCTTTGACTTTCCTCCGATTGCAAAGAGCTGCCCCTTCTTCCCTACCCTCTAAACCGTAGTCTTCTTCCCGCTACCCTCCTCTTTCCATTCTACTCCTAGCACTTCAACACTTTCTGATCATTTTTAAACAAAAGCACTTAATATCTAATATCTTGGCTGTTTTGCTGTCTATTTTTTTTTGCTGTTGCCTTGTCTTGTTCACGTCCGTCCTTTCATCACACTACACGCATCAAACAGACATGCCATGCTCTGTTTCACAATTTCCTTTCGTTTTTAACGTTCCCTACGTTGCTATTACAAAAGTCAATAAAAAGTTTATGATTGCATTTTCGTTTGCATGCTTTGTTCTGTTTTTTATTTTTTTTATTTGGCTTTGAGGAGAGCGTTGCAGTGATATATGTAGGTGTTTGTGTGTCGCGTTTCAAGGTATCTGACAGCGGATAAGAGAGCGTTTGTGTGAGAGTCTAGGAGCAATTCATTTCACTTCTGCTGGACAAATGCAGACGCATAAGAAACACTCGAATCCAACATCGAAAGAACATGACTCGACTGCGAGTAATGCACAAACCGAATACGAAGACTCTTCTCAGCATGTTGTTGTTGTTGATGCTCCAGAGCCGCCAAGAGGACACCAATGGGGTGTCTTCCACAGATAGTATTCTTGGTCCGAGCAAGGTACTGACAGAACTCGCCATGGTCCCGCTTCTCGATCGTCCGCATCCCCTCACGGTCCAGATGCTCAATCGATTCATGAATCTTGCGCGCTCCCACGGATGGGGTAAATTTTCCCTTGCCACCCTTTCTTGGCGCGAGACTCTCAATCACCGAGGATGGGTTGTCGTCAGCTGCATAGTACGTGTAATCGAAACGTGTTCCCCTATTATTATTTTTTTCGTTGGGTTTCGAGTTGCGCATGAATTAAGAAAAAATAAGGCAAATGTTAGGTCAGCGCGTAAATGCGATACCGCATGGGCAAAATGGAGTCGTTAGTATTTTAGTATTTTCTATTTTTTCCTTTTCCTTCCCATCCCTTGCAAAGCTCCCGAGGGTGAGGTCAATCCATATATTACATGCATGTCTGCCATCCCTATTCAATAGTCTGCGCCCACCCTGTCAAACGCATAATGTTTCAATGGTGCAAGAAATGAGAACCCGGAAAAAAATGATACGGAAAACAAGATCTGGGCCCCTTCACCTTGTGCCTTTTTACCATTCACCCCAACTCGCCTTCCCATGCACCTTATCCAATCCCATCCCATTTTCCCTATTCTCTTGTTCCCTCTTCCTGCTCCCACTTTCCTCACCCTCTTCCTCATTTCAATCACCTCACTCCCAGTACTCACTCTCTCAACACTCCCAAAAGAAAAGCTTACCAGTGGCAGAAGTCGCTCGAGACAATAAAGAGGTTCTGCGGATCGTCCAGATAAGGCGCCAAGATCTTTCCGTAGCTCTGTTCCGAGGCCTTGTTGAGTGCACCGACCAGGATGGGTACAATCCTGATCTCATCAATGTGGTCCTCAAAGACCTTGTAGACATATGGCAGGTGCATCTCGATGCTGTGTTCGTCCTCGTCCGTGTCTCGCGACATTATCTCGAATTCACCTGTCTTTTGCAGTTCCTTGTTCACTATATGCGTGTGCAAAAAGAACAGGTTTGGCGTGTTTAGTTGAGGGTTGAACCGAGAGGAGTGCAAAATAGAGTTCAGTAGGATTCTCGTATCGTTTATAATTTACCAGTTTGGTCGATGGCCAAGTCGCCGAGGGGAGTTTCGTAACGGACACATTTCGTGAGAGCACATCCTCTTAGATAGACATGATGGGATGGTCCGAGGATAAAGACGCGTTTGCTGTTTAATTTCCACAATGCACAGATAAAAAACAAAAATAAAAAAAATGCGCGTGATCAGTCCCCTTGTCCTTGAACATATGGATTATGCCAAGAGAAGTAGTAATAGCAGCAGCAGCAGGATGGGTTGAGCCATCCACGATAACAAAGTCTACTTGTAAGAGGTCACTTACAAGAGTTCGGGCTGAATGGTCTTGTATGCGAATCCTGCGGCAGGTCCACTATATGAGTATCCCGCATGTCTAAGATTTTGCAGTGGTGATTGGTGAGAACGAATGCGTGTCAATGACTCGCCAGTCAATCAGTTCGTGCTGAACATTTATCCTAATACAAAAAAAAGGTCTCTTACGGCGCAATGATGGCTCGGAGTCCGGGGATAGGGAAAGGGTCCTGTCCTGTTGACGCCTCCTGTCCGGCCTTGTTCAGCCATCCTTCCAATTGCCTGTCAAGCTCCCTACCTATTAGCGTTGAAATATAGAATAGAGTGAACATCGTTAGAAAGAGTGACGAGGGAACTAAAGTCATGCACAAATACTGGTGGACTGTGCAAAAGTATCGAGTCTCTTTTACCGGTAGCCGAGTACCATGAGCCAGCATGGGAAGCGTTTCGCGCACTCATCTTGAACAATGAAGAAAGAGAAGGAGAAGCAGGGAAAAGATAGTTGTCCGTGTTGGGCGGGGTGGCAGTTTCTTTGTAGGAATGAGGACGAGCGAGTAGGAATGTGTGAGTGTGGGAATGACAGAAAGAGTTCACAGGCAGAGGAGTATCTCTCTCTCTTTTTTATCTTTCTGCCCCCCTTCTCCAACCGCGTGACAGGGTTCGGCAGTCACGGCGTTGACTTCGCCGTACCGCATTGCTTGTCCCTGATGCAAACAGTAAAACGAGGAATCACTCTTCTCCACGCTTTTATACCACGTCCCTGTCCGAATAAATGAATGACCTCGCAGCAAGAGCCGAAAACTCATCCAGAACTGACAGTCGTCTGTCGCATCCTCCAACAGGCATCCATCCCTCTCACACAAACTCAGTTTGATCAGCAATGGACCCCAACACAATTGAGCGCTGCCTTCAACTGGACTCACCATCTCTCAGCCATGTTTCTTGCTCTCGATAATAACTTATCATCCTTATCGGCGGGGCAACAAGTTCTAACGCCACAGAGGATCGTCAGATCGTTTCTAAAGTCTCGCGAGAGTGCTAATCGACAGTCTCATAGCAACTTCAATGGCAATAACAAATATGGTGACAATCGCTCATCATCGTCATCGTCGACGCCACATCTTTCAGCTACAGGAAACCTGCCTACCGAAGCAGAGCTCTTGGATCCGTCGGCTGCACTTCAGAGACGAATGCTCAGTAACCCGGGACTCACAGATATGGCGAGGCTCGAGATTCTCTCTCTCAATTGCTCCCAGCAACAACAAGTACAAGATGGATCCTCGTTTGAGATCAACAGCGACGCCCTGGTAAAGCAGCATCCCCATGCATTAAAATCCTTCCTGGATGTCACTCGCAGTGCTAATTGAAATGTAGATCAAAGGCACATTGACTAATTAGTCGTCATTTCTTTGTTCAAATTGCATTCTACCAGTCGATTATCAAGGAAAACGCACTGGGGGATCTGATTGCCGGGGCAAGAACTCACTTCTTACAGTTGTCGCTGCTCCCAGGGGTGGAGCTTCCCGATCTTCAAGGTATGCGATATAAGTACCTTTGGCAACGAAGAATCGAAATATAAGGGCCACAATCTAAGTGCGTTTTCTTACGTAACATTTTGCTGACTGATTGGTATTAGCTGACACGCTGTCGAACATGACGACCAGGTCGATTAAACAGAGGGCCAAGGCACGTGTGTTGTTCAAAAGGATAGAAGCGAGTAACGACACGACAATGGAGGTGGAGATGGTATTAATCCCACAGTTACGCAAGTATCTAGAGGTGTCGAGATCTGAGGCCTGGGTAAGTCTTTCCGTGATGATTTCGTGTTCCTTATTCTGAATTCCGTCGTTGGTTGTCTGGTTCGTGCAGGTTGACTGATTGCCTTTTGTGTGCTTCATTGAATGGTTAGGACGTGATATGCGATTTGTCAGATATGGTTACAAAGGCCATTAAGACACCGTCTAGTACCAGCGCTAGTGCTGAAGAAGGAGTAGGAGCAGAACGAAGCAAAGTGGATTGGGAGTCTGTTGTCGATGCACTGACACGACTCCAGTACGAGGAGCCTGTTGAACAGGCGCGCGAAAAATCAAAATAAACGAAACACGCGTGACCGCGTAATCACTATATCTGGGCTGCTTCTGCACCCAGCCCCCTTTTTTCAACCCCAACGTCGTCATTGTCAAACCCAACCCTTCCAATTTCTTCTATTTTATTTTCTTCATTCACACACGACATTCCTTCATTCACTCTCATCTTCAATCTTACCGACTTTGCGTCCTCAGCACACTCTTTTTTTTCTATTTCTTTCTTCTCAGGCACCTTCTCCACTTTCCCACTTCTTTTCTTTTTTTTTTTTTCTCAATCAACAAAATAACCATGGCTTGGGGAGGCGGAAACACAAATAGCGTCGACGGATGGTGCAAACGCCTCCGCTCAAACGATACAACCTTCACATCCCTCCACATTCTCTCCTTCCGTCGCGTCACCACCGCAGAACTCGGACTCTTGTTCGACGCCATCTCCGAAAACACCACCCTCAAGGAACTCTATGCCTCTGGTCATTCTCTTGACGCTGCTGCCGCCAAGAAACTCGCGACGGCGTTGGAATTGAATTCGACACTGGAGAGACTGAATATAGGAAACGATCGGATGGGTGGGAATGAGGAGGTTGTGAAGGCCTTGGCGGAAGGTGTGGCAAAGAACAAGGGCTTGGTGAGGTTGGATATGGAGAATAAGGGCCTGGGTGGCCATGGTAGTGGGGATGATGGGGAGGGTAGTGTGAAGGCGTTGGCGGAGGCGTTGGAGAAGAATACGGATCTGCAGGAATTGAATCTGGCCAGGAACAAGTTGACGGATCAGGATATTGATGTGATCTGTAAGGCTCTCGCCAACAACAAGGGTCTCAGAGTTTTGGATTTGTCGCTCAACTCTTTTGGAGAACATGGGACTCGTGCCATTGCTACTCTCCTTGCTGGCGATTCGACCTCTGAGGATGGCGTTGGGTTGAGAGAGATTGATCTGTCGGATAACGAGCTGACGGAGGAAGGAGGCATGGCAATTGGACAGGCCCTCAAGAGCAACAAGACCCTGCAACGACTCCGGATGAGCTCCTCCATGGACCCACCTCTGCCAGTCGAGGAAGGGGATGACGACAAGCTGCTGTGGGACCACGACCTCGCAGCACTCAACAAGCCCCTGTCGCCTGATCAGGAAGCAGAGATCCGCTCGGATGGAGATGCTATCCTCGAGACACTGTCAGAGTCGCTGAAGCACAACAACACCCTGCAGGAGATCTGGATGGATTACTGCAACATCTCATCGGTCGGAGTCACCTTCTTGGCAGAGGCACTTCGTTCCAACCAGGGGCTGACCACTATCCGGATGAGAAACAACAGGATCGGAAACCGTGGTGCTCGTGCCTTGGGCGCCGCTCTCACCCCAGCGTCTTCTAGCGAATACAACACGACACTCAAGAACCTGGAGCTTGGATCGAACAAGGTCGGCGTTCTTGGATGGCACGGACTCGTCGGCGCCAGCTCGCTCGAGAGCTTGGGTCTCTACGAGAACGGAATCAGTGTCCTGCACGAAGCTATCGACAGTCACCTCCTCTCCTCCTCCTCCTCATCGCCAACCTCGACAACGGCTCCATCCCTCAGCTCAACAATCCTCAACGGCGCGAGCACAGCAAACCAGGTCCTTGAGAAATTGGCCCACCTGGACGTTGGCTGCAACGGTATCTCTCGTGAGGACTTTACTCAATTGGGTGTCAGCCTCATCAAGGGCTCTCTCCCTTCCTTGATCCGTCTCGAGATTGCCGGCAACGGCGACCGGTCCCAGGCACCCCAAGACCCCGACCACGGTGGCGATGATGACGATAACGAGGGCGGTGACGACTCGGAGCCTCGTCCGGACGACGAGCAGAATGCCTGGGAACGAGTCGCAAATCGGATCGAGGAGGTTCGTCCTGGTCTTGTCATTCATTGGAAGGGCGCTGGAGCCATGCAGCAGCAATAATAAACCCATCTACCATTTTCCTTTTCTCTTTGGAAAATAAATGATAACATAACAACGCGACTTTGGAAGTGTGGAGACTTTGAAAGCGACAATAATAATAGAAAGAAAGAAAAGAAACGAAAACGTGGACTACAAAGGCAAACACTTCAACTACGAAAATACTACGACTAATACTACTAGGTTAAATTTTTGGACCCTGGCACTTTACTTGCTTACTCCTCCTCGGCAGAGCGGAGCCAGTCAACAAAGACCACACACTTCTTCTTCAACTCTGCATCCGTGGTCGCCAAATCGTACCAGGCCAACATCACATCCTCCTCGACCAACTCGGTGTCATACAGACCCTTCATCACAATGGGCGCTCTGGCCATCATGTTGGGACGGTGCTTGACAAACATCTGTTCCCAAGCACGCATCAACGCAAGCTGGTCCTCGCTCGACCGGACAAAGTTGGCCAACAACTTTTCCTTGTCCGTCAACACCTTCTTCCATGTCTCCACCGACGTCTCCGTGAACAGCGATGCTACCAAAATGTAGTACAGCTGGGGCTTGGTGAGACCATTACGCATCTCCAGACGGGTGACCTCCTTAATCTCGTCTTGGATCTGCTGTTGCTGCTGCTTCTTGTCCTGGCTACCTTCCTGGTTTTGCTGCTGGAAGAACTTTTGGAGATCCAGGATCAACTGGTCACGCTGAGCCTGCTTCGAGTCGGGCTTGACCTGAACAGGCGTCTCAGGACGACGAAGCTGAAACTTTTCCATATCCTCACTCGACATCTCCACAACCTTGGCACGAGGCTTGTCCTATTTTATTTAATCCGACATAAATAGAAAGATGTCAGTTACAAGGCTCATGATAATTCAACGCAAACATGCCATTCCACGTCAAAATTCAATCCTTCGACTTACGTTGAGGTCTTGGACGCGACGACGACCGTTGCCAGCCTTCTCCGATCCCAAAACAGGGGTGGTGGCGGGCGAAGTGGCCACAGGAGTAGTAGCGGCAGAAACCGGCTGAACAGCAGCAGCAACGGTGGCGGCGGGTGCTGCAGTAACAGCAACGGGAGCAACAATGCTGGTTCGAGGAGCAAGGACAGATCGGCTCAAAGAGTCATCGTTGGCCTGGCTAGAAAGGCTACGAGATCCAGGGGGGCGGTAAGCGCCAGTAGGGTTGACCTCTGCTTGAGCGCGGAAAGATGAGGTTGAGGTCTTCTCCTGCTCAATGATTTGAGGAGGCCTGTAAGGGCCATCGCGGTTCTCGCGAGCGTTCTCAGTAAAGGTAGAGCGGTAGGGACCTTCAGAACGAACAGAGCGGAAAGGGCGGTCCTCTAATCTTTCCGGCGAAGATCCCTGCTGCTGCTGCTGTTGAGGACGGTAAGCTCCACGATCCTGGTACCCCTCGCCGTTCGGCCTGTAGGGGCGCTCTCCGTTCTGGCCATCCCGAGAATATCCCCTGGTTTGTCCATTGTTGTTGTTGTAGGATGCGTTGGCGTTGTTCTGGATGTTCTGGTTGTTCTGTTGTCCAACGCGCTGGCGAAGTTCCTCGCGTCCGTGGGCATAGGTGCACTTGGTTCCAAAGGGGCATTCGCCATCGGTCATGAAACGCTCGCAAAGACGAGTCTTGTGGAACTCGCCTTCAGTAGGTTCGGTGCGCTTGGCACGGTTCTGGTAAGAAGCCTGAACAGCCGATACGGGCTTGTCCTGCTGCTCTGCTGAGGCAGGGCGCTGGCGCAGTTCAGCTGCGCCGTGGGCAAAAGTACACTTGCCGTAGTAAGGGCAGAACTGCTCCGTCTCGAATCTTTCGCAAAGGCGGGTCTTGTAGTTGGGGTTGTCAGCATGCGAGGTTCCTGACCCACCTAAAAGCACAAGACAAACAAGAAAAAATAATGCATGCGATAAGCATCATGACAATTTCTTCATATTGGTAGCAGTGATGTCTTGACCTTCGGATATCACATTTTCGGAACATGGAGGCCAGACAAACATACCAGTGTTGTTGCCGCCGTTGTTGTTGTAGCGACCGTTGCCATCGCGGTCTCCGCGGTCTCTGTTCTGGCCCTGCCCGTTGCCGCCGAGGCGGTTGTTGTTGTAGTCCCGGGTGATGGCCTGACGCTGAGAGTCCAGAGGGAGGGCAATGTTAAGGTTCTTCATGTTGGACTCGAGGCTGTCGCCGCCGCTGTTGTTGGAGTGGTTGCGGTGGATTTTGGGTGGGGCAGCAGCAAGAGCCTTGGCGCGGCTAGCCTCAGCCGCAGTAAAAGCCATACGGAGAACGTCCTGCATGGTCCTGTAGAGGGCCTTGTCAGTCGCCTGCTGGAGGTTGCACCACGAGAACTGAACGCCCTCTCCTGAGGGGAGGACCCTGGAACTGTCGGTCAACTCGGCAAGGTAGTAGACAACACGCTTGGGCCTGGTTTTGTCAAGAGGAAGGAGTAAAGATGGTCAGTCATATTTTTACTTTAGAGATCCGATCTGGTTATTACGTTCCGTCTTCGTGTTTCCTCATCGAGTCTCCTCGTCAAGGGTAAAGAGAGGGGAAGGTGAGCGCTGTTTTCCCTTCTGTATCGAATCTAAACAACTCTTCCTCCTCTTCAAGGCCATGTTCACTGGCCATAACGAAAGAAAGAGACAAAAACCAGGTTTGTCTATTCCCGTTCACGATCCGATCTGTTCGATTCTTCGTTTTCTATCTCTCGTCTCTTTTCCTCTTCAGCTGCTTCTTGATCCTCCATAGATCGTCCTGCTCTTCTTTGCTCTGCTTTGCTCTGCTCTGCTCGATTTGCGTCCTTGCGATGAATTTAGATGAGGTATTATCGTCCAGATTCACACCATGCGTCGTTATTGGTTCATTTCTATCACCCTTTCTCTGTCTCTCTTTTGTCTACACTGCCTTTGTAACAATGAGAGACTGAGGTGAGGTTCTTACTTGGTGCCAGAAAGGTACTTGATCTCGGCGCGGAAGGATTCCTCGATCTTCAGGTCCTTGACGGAGAGTCCAGTGATCTCCAAAGTCTCACGGAGCGCACATCTACCAACAATGCAAAAATAAAATAACCATGATTAGGCCGCGGGGTTGTTTTTCTTCAAAGGTCATGGTCACTGTCGCTCAGATGTGATCCAGAGTCATAGCCTAAAAAAAGAGGAGAAAGTGAAAGAGAGAGAGAGAGATGAAGAGACTTACTTGAGCTCGTCTTCATCGCCGATGACTCTGCCCTTGGGAGCAGTCCAGTGTCGTTTGTGGTTAAAAGAATCGTTAACTAATAAGATCTCTGTCGAGTTCCGCTGATGACGGTAAATGAGGATTCCTGTTACGTGCAAGGACTTGTCCATTGAGATGATGTCCGAAGTCGAGGGGAAGAGTTAGTGAAAGATAAAAGAAGAGGGGGTGGAAGTGAAGATAAAAGAGTATGGGGGGGAGGAAGGTTGCGAGGAGAGAGAGAAAGAGAAGGAGAAAGAAAGAGAAGGAGAGAAGGAAGGAAGGAAAGAGAAGGAGAAGGAAGAGAAGGAAAATGAAAATGAGAGAAATTATCCTCATGCCGTGCCGTGCCTGGGCCGTGTGAAATGAATCATTTCCATCATTACTTGTCGAAGGACGGGATCTCAATAATGGTGTTTGCCTGTAGCCGTTGCCGGCTATCTGTATGTTCATGGTTTTCTCTGCACCAATACTATTGCAGTGTTCCCGGTGGTCGGAATGAAAAAGAGTAGAGCATGGATAAAAAGAACGTGGTATGGCATGGCACGGCGTAACATGGTATGTGTGTGTGTGTGTGTGTGTGTGTGTGTATGCAACCCTTGCTTCAATGGGTGAACCCCATGGGTTGAGCCCCCCTTTTTGATCCCTGTTCGTCCAAATGGGCACACGACCTGTACCAATATATGATCTTTAAGGGCTATTTAACCTTCTCGAAACACATCTCTCACCACGGCCCAAGGAAGACTCGCCAGGTGAAAAAAACCCATGGCGTGAGTTTGGCTCTCTCTTTCCAGCTTCTATAGCTTATCGGATGGGATGCAACATACATGTACCATAGCATGTACAACAAGACACGCTGTCAATTGACTCCTCCCTTTTTTGTTGATAAATGACCCTTGACACCCACACACGCGTGCTCTACACACCTCTGCTCAGAACGTACTTAACATTTGGTGGCGTTCACATCCTATCTATTGCTTTGATCGATGAAAAAGACATGTATTAAAGAGAATGAGAGAAGATAGAAAGGACAATGGGGACGACCCCGACAAGAGTGTCTCTCAGCTTGTCTCCTTTTCTTTGCCGCCCAGTCATTTCTGTCGTCTCCTCAAGGGTGTCGTGTACACTTTTTTTTGTTTGCTCCATATGCTTGCATGAGGTGCGTGTGTGTGTCTCTCTCGTTTCGCTTTCTATTGACCCTTGTCTTGTCTTGTCCCTTTTAGCTCTCTATCTCTGTCTCCCCTTATTTCCTCTTATTCTCCTCCTTTGTTCTCTTCCTTTTCTGTAAATCCCACGCCGATTTGTTTGTTTCTTTTTCTTTTTCTTCTCCACTTTCCCAGACCCTCCCCCTGCCCGCACATACGCTCCTCTTTTTTGCGTCCTTTAACTTCCCCCTCCTCTTCTATCAACGTCAGACAAATAAAAAAAATAAAAAATAAAAATTCTTCACTCTTCGCTTTATCCCTTATTTCTTATTTCGTCATTCATCCCCATCTTTCCCCTCCACTCCACTCCATCCCCATTCAAGTCTTGTCAACCCACGCCATGCCCAATTACGTCTCATTGACAGAGTCCCAGCGACGGAAAATAGCCGTCTTCATCACAGAGTCTCAACCCCCCGCTCTCCAGAACCCTCTCGCCTCAACCAGCGGTGACAAATCAGCCATCTCCTCCTCTTCCCTTGGCGGCAGCCCCAGCGCAAGCACCGCCAACCTTGTCGCCTCAAACACAAACAATATCTCCTGCAAGGAAATCGTCCAGTTTTGCAAGACTCGATTCGGCTTCACTATCTCCCTATCCACCGCATCCCGCCTGCGCTCCTCCGCCACCGAGCGTCTCTCGACCGAGCTCCTCAACCCCTCTGCCAAGCGTCATCGCTCCGTCAAGTTTCCTGAATTCGAAAAGGCCTTGATCCAGGAACTAAGAGCGTTGGAATTGGAGCAACAACAGATTCAGCAGGAACAGGAGCGACAGATGGCTGCTTCTGACGGAACCATAGTACCTCAGGATACATCCCAACTGCCCTCAGTCATGACTCTTACCAGCGAGGCCTCCATTACACAAGTCGCTAAGGGTATTGCAGAGCGAATGGGCATTCCAGAGACTGAGCTTGGCCTGACCTCGGGCTGGTATCACGGCTTCAAGAGGCGACACGGTATCAAGCATCGCCAGTTTAAGCCCAAGGGAGGTAACGCCGCCTCGACTGGTTCGGACGGACCCACTCTGGGGTCGATCGGCCTGTCTAGCGGAGCAAGCAACAACACATCAGGAAGCACGATGGACCAGGGTGACGGTAGTGATGGTGCCGACGGTGATGAGGAGATGGAAGACGTTGGACAAGACGGCTCGAACGGCGGAAGTGGCGACTACGATAGACTATCATCGGCCATGAGACCCCTTCGCACAACAGACGACAACCCTTCTTACGACGGCGGTCCAGAAATTGACCCAGGCCCTAGGTCTCCAAGCGAGATGTCCCAGGGAGGCAACAATGCAGGATCAAGCAGCTCTCAGCGGTACAACATAACTTTTACTCCCAAGGAGCCCCAGTCATCGAACCTGGGTCACCGACCAGAGGTCAAGAAGGTGGATGCGTCCAAGGCCAACGACGCGCTTGATGTCATTTCAGAATACTTGCTCCAGAACGGTCAAATCGGTGCGGCCAAGCTGCCTCTTGTCAAAGAGCTCCGCAAGTTCTTCCTCGCCCAGATGGCGCTGGAAAATGGACCTGTTAACGACAATATCCTGTTGACTTCATTGGCCAATCCTGTCCCCCTTCCTGGCCCAGCGCCCGTCGCGGTCAGTGTGCCTAAGCCAAGAGACGAATCTGCATCGTCACCAGCCCCGATGGTCACCTCTGGTAGGTTTAATCATTCATCTCCTCGGCTTTAACTTTGGGCGAGTTGTGCTGTTTTATTTTTGCTTTTTTGACACCAATGTTCTTTACGGTGACATGTTAGAAGTCGACAATGACGGTCAGCCTAACACTCCACCTACCACTTCCACCCGTAGCCCCTAATGTCTTTGTAAATAACTCCGAATCAAGATACAATGGGCGGGATGAACCCTCTTTTTCGCTCTCTTCTGGAGGCGCAGGATTGGCACAGATCCTTGGGACGGACAGATCCCCTCTGAGCATCTCTAGCAGTGCCCTGGCGAACATGGAAAACGTGCTTATCGGCCATAACAGGCAACCCCAACAGGAGCAAGAGCGTTCCCCCCACCTGCAATAATAAACCCAACCACACCCCTTTCAACTACAAGGCATACGCACTCGTCATCACTATTCCTTTTTTCTGGTTTTGTGTGCGTGTGTTTTTTTTTTTTTTCTTTCTAGCATACCACCCACCGCCTGTAGTCCTGTACTGCAGCCGCGTCTTTTTTATGTTTATCTGTGTGTATCTTTGAATGTAAATCATGTTGTTTAATGTTTCAGATCCCCAATGCGTATTTGACCGTCATGTCCATAAATGACAAGACCGAAAATCACCTGATGATTTCGTAATTGATCACAGAGAAGAAAAAAAAATGGGCGTAAATGACAACGATAAGTGACGACCCCAAACCCACGATCCCCATTTCGCCTTTGTGCTCTTTTGGGCTTGTTTGCTGGAAGGACCGAGACCAATTTCTTTTTTCTTCTTCTTCAATCGAAACACCAGAGCAGGTGAGAGTAGAAGGTAGAAGACAGAGAAAGAGAGCCATTTGCATTTGAAAAAGAAAAAATGAAGTACGCGAGAGCGTATGTGTGAGTGATGATTACAGACATCAGACAGAGAGACACAGGCAGGGAGGGTGAGAGGGTGAGGAGAGAGAATTGACTTTTGTCTCTTTTGTGTTGACACAGAGAAGAGACCTGGGGTAGGCATACATGGGTAGGACAGAAGGGCGAGACCGCGGGGAATGCAATTGATAACGATTCATACGCACAAGACGAAAGCAATTGCTGTTGTTGTTGTTTGTCTGACAATCAAAGAAAAGAAGAGAGATGGGTCCGGAGGAGGGTTGCCAAAACAAGGGTGACGATGTCGCAGTGGCAGAGAAAGTAGGTTGTCAAGACAACATAGGATGAAGATACAACGGCTAGCGGACAGGGCAAGCAAGAACACAGGAAGAACAAAAAAGGTCAATCAAGTCCGAAGAGGAGGATATGGTTGGTATGGTTGTCGGTTCTCAGGACGCGGATCGATTTGATTTGTACTCAGAGTCGGTCGGAGGACCAAGAAAGGGGGAAAAGGGTCTTTCGGATATGTTAATGGGTGTGGTGTGTCTAGGAGGGTGGGTGAGAGAAGAAATTCACTGTCCAAAAGGAGCGAGTAAGACAAAGTTGCCCCCAATTGCCCAATGCTGACAATAGACAAAAGTCAAAAAAAGAGAGCATCATCATATGTGATAATATCAATACCATTGATGTGTGATGTGTGATGCGATGCGATATGTACGATGAGGTGAGGCTTTTCTCGCATACATCGAACCCGACCGAGACGAGACCTCGGACTTGTCCTGAGACAGACATCCACCCGCGCAACCTGCCAATGGTCCTTGCCGATGATCATGAGGGACTTGCAACCGTTTTTAATTTCTTGATGAAAGAGATATAAAACGTACGAGGTATCCTCCTTTTTGCCTTCACTTCATTACCTACTACTTCTTCCTCTTCAGCTCAACAACAACACCACAGCTCACTCACTCACTCACTCACTCACTCACTCACGCTCACTATTACATCAACCCACTTCTCTCTCACTCAAACCTTCAAGTAACTCTCTCCTTTCTCCCAACCCTCCCTCTTCACCCACTCACTACTATCACACAATGTTGGCCGAATTTCTCAGACAGTCCATGAAGGGTATGAAGGCCCCCACTGAGGTCTACCCTCTCATCACCGTCGTCACCGGTGCCTCCATCGGCGGCATCTACATGGCCACGCGCAAGCTCGTCACCGACCCCCATCTCCGTCGTAACGCCCGTCGCCCACGCGAATAATGTACCAAAGGATTCCTCAAGAACCATGACAACCCGCGCGCAACTACTACAACACACACACACACCTACAGTTCTTTTATCAATCCTTCTTCTTCGCAGGGCGACATCCTATCAAGTTTTTAATGTGTCTTAATGACCTAGTCCTCCCTACTTCAAGATGTCCCCTAATGCCTAAAGAATGACCCTCTATCCTACGCACTCTCCTACTCCCTGTATTATACTTCTTCACCCACCCTCTTTTTTCATGCAAAGGCACCCCCCAACCCAAAATTTCAGCTGAATAAATATTTTTGCCTTGTTCCAAGTAATAACATAATCCTTTCCATGTTTTTGTTGCTTTGTATTGTTTGATGGTTGTTGGGCACTGTTCGATGGTAGAGTGCAAGGAAGAGTGACGGTTGAAGGACACGGTTAGTGCATGGTCAAAAGACTTGGGGACGCGTAAACACAAGCAACAAAAAAAATAGGGATAGCCTTTGAGCGCTGGCTCATTTCTTAGAAGTCGTGTTCGTAGAAGCAAGAATGAACCTGCAAGCATTCTTGGGCGGTCCGAGAGCTTGATAAACACCACGAATAATATGAACGTAAAGGAGTTCTTTCTTTTCATTTGTCGACACGACAACAGACAACAGACAACAACAGGAGACAATTAAGTGTCTTTCATTCGTCGGTTTCTTTTGGTGGTCGTTGTAAAAATGAAGAACTCGCTTTTTTTTATTGATCGTTGCCATTCAAAGAAGAGAATGAGATCATTCTTATGATCTCAAGGATCTGAGCCCTTACTTGAAGGGAGGGGATCCTAGTGTCGAACTAGATATTCCCAATTGTTTCTGTCGATGTTTGCCTTGCGTTGTTGTTGCTATTCCAACAACCTGCTTAGAGGACATGAGCACATCATTAAATCAATGTGGAGTGCTGAACATTAGAGCTGTTGCGGTAAGAAGGTAATCCCGAGAAAACAGTTGGGCGAGCAAAGGGCAAGATGAAGCCTGCGACCTTGATAAACCTACATGTCTAGTTCTCATGTCGCGTCTCCTGCAACCAGCTTCAAAGCGCGGAGTTGGGATCGTTCTTGCCCCTGAATCTCTGAATACATTTTTATGTCTCGTCGAGCCACCCACCAGTCACACTCTCCCCTACTTTCAAACGGCAAACGATCACCCTCACCATCTTTCTTCACACAACACACACACGCTCTCTCTCACATCATGTTGCCACTGTCCATCTCTGCGGCAGTCTTGGTCGCCCTCAGTGCTACTGCATCTGTAGCTGTTGCCTCCGACGCAACTTCTTCGTCTCTGTTACAGCATCGCCATTCCTTCTTCTCTACCCTTCCAGTCGAACCCTCCGATGAAAACCTCAAGGTCTCGCGTCATCAGGTCAAGGTCATTGGGCTTACTGGCTTTAGAGAGTGGGAGGTTAAGGGCTCACTCCACGGTCTCTTTCATGTTGTCGGAAAGGTGAGCTTCTACACTGCACAATTGCCTGTATGCATGTACGGATAGACGATTCAGGACATTTACCACATTTACGGCGTATGAGAATGCATGAGACCTAACGCCAAGTGTTGTTGCTTTGTTTGACACGAACACTGGGGATGTAGACTGCTCCGGGAGATAGCCACGGAAATGATAACGGAAAGGTGCATGTGCAGTGGTTCGACAACAAGGCACCCCTCCTCCGCCCACCATTCACGCCTACCTACATTCCTGGCTTCCACCTTGCCATCACCAGGTTTGTTTTTCCCTATTGTAATTAATTGTCGCCATTTTGTTGTCAGATCGCTCCACCGCAACGTTTACCAATATTATGTTATTCTCGTTAATTGATATAGTGACAACTTTGAAAAGACATGGAAGGAAAACTGCCATATTGTAGCTGATTTAATCGGATCGGTCGATTGTCGGGAGATCGAAGCAGATGCAACAACGCCTTTGGAAAGACACCCCAACACCCTTCGCGCAGAGGATCTGACCGCCATCCACAAACATCGCTACTTGCACAAGACAGCCGACCCAGCAGGATTCTTGTCATCGTCCTCAGTCGTCTCGTCACTCATCTCTCAACAGCAGGCAGGATCTACCTCAGGACCTGCTCTTATCGATCTTGTCCTTCACAAGGGTAAAGTCTCCCTCAAAGTCATCTGGACTGCAGGGTCTGGCAACAACAATAACAAGGATGGAGAAAAGTCGCAAAGCACGGTCGAGATCTTGTTCAACGAAAAGACGGACAAGGTGGTTGAGGTTGGATGGTTCTATCGCGAGATCACCGAACAGGAGTATTCCGTCTACGACCACTACCTAGGCGCGACTGTCCAGTTGGATAGCGAGGGCGAGACAATCAACGAGGCACTGATCCAGACCCGGTCACCCGTTTTCCCACCCCACCGACGCGACTTTTCGACCGGCAACATTCGCGCCTATGGACACGGCTACAACTCGACCATGACCCCATCACAATCCTTCCATCCTCATTCTGTCACCACTATCCAATCCAACCCTAACATTCAGGAGACGACTGCAGGATGTGATCTACATGTTCTTCAAGTCTTGCCTGCTGGATACTTTGTGGACCCCTTCCAGCTGGAGGGGCTGGCACCCGAGATTGGCGAGTCGACAGTGTATGGCGAAACGGATCTGGAGAAGCCTGTGGGCGTTGTTACGGGATGGGGCAGTCTCGTCATGGTCAAGGCTCAACCAGAGGATTCTATCAAGACCTCCAAGTGGACACCCTCCAACATCACCAACATCGACACCAAGGGCATTAAGACGGATTCAGTCTCGTACACCTCGGTCGTTGATATCCCTATGCATATGCGATACCAGCCACCAGTCGAGGAGGGCAACCCAGCAACCCATGTTAAGGTAGAGGCACCCTGGCCCATTGTCGCCTGGGTCTGCCCCACAGCTACCCATGGAGGAGACGAATCGGCGGCTTTGAACGTGGCTGCCAAGAAGCTGTTCTACATCCCAGCCTTGCCTCTCAGCCTTTTGTTCCCACGGGACGAAAAGACGGACAGGGAAACAGTTGATTTCCGGTTTGTTTTGCCGGACCCTATCCCCAAACAGTTCCCCGTCGCAAAAATGTCTGTCCCTGTAGGTCGATTGGACGACATGAACCTTGTCCGGACCGCGACGTTTGTGATGGCGGGCGCAGGGACCTTGGCGGTGGCTTTAGCCCTTGTCCGGACTGTCGCCGGACGAACCTCCGGAAAGGGCAAGCAGGATTAAGCTTTTTGATTTATGCTGGCGTGAACGACGCGAAGGTTTTCGGTATAGACGGAATAAACACGCGCTATCGATCCCTTTGTTTTTTAGCTTTGTTTTTTTTTTTAGCTTTGTTTTTTTTTTTTTTTTTTGGTCATTTACTTGAACGGAGCTACTTGCACACTTTTTGATTGTATGTGATATAGTCGGCAGCATGGAGAGTTTACGCGACTCTTTAGATATAGACAAAGAAAACATAACGTGTTATCGATCTCATTGTTTTTTTTCATTGCGTTCTTTTTTTTTTTCTTGTTTTTTTTTTTTTGGAAACGATAGGTGGAGTGTTGCTACTGCAATAAGCGTACCTGTCCATTGGCATGTTGTGCTTTTCGACGGCTAATCCCCCGCCCTTGTGTAATCGTCGACCTCCCTGCATCTATATTGATCCGGATGCGATTACGAAAGAAAAAAAATGATGGAAAGGATGTCCAACTGCACAAAAGTGACCTTGAAAGGCTAGCCATCTCGAAAAGCAGGAGGGGGCGGGGGGTGGGGGGGGGGTGGGGTCACTGTCCGCGGCTCAATGTAACAACTTATTTTTTCGTTCTCTACTTCATCTCATGCATCACCTCTCGTTACAATTGCAATCTAGATCGCTCCATGTGCACAAAAAAAACGACGGACGTAAGATGATCGAAAACAAAAACATCAATTGGGAAATGGCAAAGAATGCTGAACGTCCCCACCCCCGAAATATGTATCCAGACTGTCTGAAAAAACAAACAAAAAACAAATTGCCCCCGCGCCAAGTGACAACATCAAGGGAGGAGCAAGGGAATGAAGGGCGAATGGTCGCTGCATTACGATCTAATCGGTTTTTGAATAATTGAAATAGGGGAGGGGGAGAAAGTAAACAAGTTGTCCGTGGATCCTTTCCATCATCTCATCGATTACATCGTCTGACATAACCTCTGTGTTTTCTCTGTCGCTTGCTTTCATTGTTTGTTTGTTTGTTTCGTTTTCGCTTTCATTATCCTCGTGGGACGCACATCCGATAAGGAGCCGACTACAAAGGAGAGACAGAGAGTGTGAACGATAGAGAGAAGAGGTGAAGGGGAATGTATGATTGTAATCAGGGTTGCACCTGCATTTCCAATCCTTTTGAGGGTATCAAACAAAAAAATACAGTAAAGTGCGGCTTTGTCATACGATCGGAGGAGAGCAATGGACAAAGAGAGAGAGAGAGAGAGAGAGAGAGAGAGAGAGGGAGAGAGAAAGAGAGAGAGAAAGGGAGGGAGAAAGGGGAGGGAAGGAGATGCAAACAGAGTTAGATATGACATCGATAACAATGATCCGCCATCTAGAGTTACCTCTGTTCCCATGGAGATAATTTCTAACCTACAGCCGCGATTCATTCGAGACGAGAATGAGGGTATAAAGATATTATCCGGAGGGTGGGGGGATGATATTAAGAACACTAGGATGCATGCAAACATGCATACCTCCCTTCCGAGATATCTTGTCTATTGTCAATTGAGCTCTGGTGTCACTTTCCACGATGACGCCAGAAAAGTAAGAAGGGGGGGGGAACGAGAAGAGCATTCACCAAATGGCTTTTCGAAACGAATAGTATATCCCTCAGGAAGTGACAAGGAAAAGAGGGCTTTCTGGACACCTCACGCGCGCTCTCGTGGCGTAAAGCTAACCTTGATTTCCTACTACCCCAGCGAAAAACAAAATCCAAACCCGAGAACAAGAGAGAGTACTGACGACGGATGAGAAATGCGATTGAACTTTGAGGAAGGGTGGATATCTTCGAGATAATAAGATCTCGACACGATAGACGCGTCTCTTTTGAGGTAGCCGTCCCTAACCCATCATCTTGGCTGGACCAATCAAGATACACCTAGCAACCCGAACTATCATTGTGAACTTTGACCCTCTGCTTTCTGACCATATGACTTTTGACCATTGACTTTTTGGCCATTGACCATTGACCATTGACTTTTTGGTTGCAGTCATGTGTACGCCAACCGAGCTCAAAGGAAAGGGAAAACGATCGGATCCTCCTTGGTTCAAGGCCGTCCGCTTTATGTTTATTTCATTGCATTTTGGTTTGAATGTTATTTGATTTGCATTAGCCTACGTACCTTCAAGCATGGGAAAGTAAACAATTACCGAGTAAGCCAAGGCACGATGCCCACTTTCCACCACTCAGACCTTCGCAGTGGTCTGATGATTTTCTATAGCCCATTGTTGCCTCACCCCTCTTCTTCTCAATTATATAGTACTCATGCCATTCGTACATGGGTCTAGACAAGCCATCATGAATCCCATTGCCATCGGTCAATATGGGAAATGAATGAAAGACCTGGATGCAGTCTTGCAGCTTCTTCTTTGCTTTCTTTCTTGCCAATCTCCTGACCTTGATATTCAATCACCTCCACTCCTTCATCGTCCAGCGAGGTATCCTTTTGATCGATTATTTCATTGTTTTCCAAAACTTTCCGAGGTTACTTTTCAGGGGTAATGGCGATTGAATGACACTAGCCCTCTTCCTCCCTCTTCCTCTCCATCTCCATATCTCCTCTTTTCATTAAATATTGCCCACGATAAACTTTTTTTCAATCACCATGCAGGTACATTTGAAAGGGAAAGTCGTGTGTATGTGTGTCTCTCTGTTTATGTGATTTGAGAGCTCTTCCTAAGGGCCGAAAGAAAGGACAATGGAGTGGAGTGGTTGATTTTTTTTGAGATGGCGCGTCGATAAGCGAGGGCGTTGTGTAACAATCGCTCTCTTTTGCCCCTCCCCCAATCTCCTGGGGTCCAGTTTACATGTAGTTGATGGCGTTCAGGTGGAGACACCTTGCCTTTGTTAGTTGTAATCAGTTATGAACCTTGGCTCCCTCCTTTCCTTCAGTTATACTGTCTCCTCCTCCCAATTCACGCGCGTTTGTTTTGTCCGTCGACAATCAGCACTTTTAATTACCACCCACGGATTATGTTTGATTGTTTTTCAGGTACGATTGCGGCATACAAATTACCGTGAACACTTACACTATTCAATACCATTCAGGCACGAAACAAAACAAAACAAAAATCTGTGGACCCTGAATACTATGGTAAACAATAGCCCTCGCTTAAGTCGAGCGTCTACTCTCCTAGTCTCCTTACCCGCACATACTCGGAAGTAATAACCCTTTTTCATTAGCTCTAGATTATGATTAAGAGCACCCATTGAGTATTTTCAATTGGTTTGTTGCTGCTGTTACTGTTGGCTGTTCGGATGCTTTTCATATCTGATATTCATCTTGTTATCGAAATCAAGCACTATATTGACATTGTTTATTCACAACGGCTAAAAATGAAGTGGAGGAGAGTTGCATGAGTAATGGAGGGAAAGACGGTTTTGGGGGCCATATAAAAACGGCACCCGCCACCCCCTGTTTTCAGCTTTTTTTTTTATCTTCATTCCTCAGCTCTCTCAACCTAGCCTCTCTTCTCTTACCAGCCTTTTCTCCACAAAACATCCTCGCCACCACTCTTCCTCTCCTTGTACTACACTCCCTTCTCTCCACCACCACCATCCACACCCTACATACACCTACAACAATGAAGTCCTTCCTCGCCACAGCTTTCGTCCTCCTCTCGGGATTCACCCTCCTCGCTGACGCTCACATTTCGTTCCGCTACCCTTGCCCCCGCCGCGGTGCCTACAACGAGTGCCCCCAGCCTGGTCCTGGTCAATGGGAGATGATTGATTATGATATCCGCTCCCCCATCGGCACTCACGTAAATCCCTCCTTTCTTCTAACAACAGCTTTATTGAACGAAAAAAAATGTTCCACTGGAGGCGCTCTGTGTAGGATTACCAGCATGTGACTGACGCGTTTTGTTCTACCCATCTATCCACCTCCCCCTTTTTTTTCATGGCGTTTGACTTCGTTGGGAACCTATAGGGCAGCATTGTGAGCCCAATGTGCAAGCACGAAAGCTCGTTCGCCGGTACTCGCCCCGTCTTTGCTGCCGGCCAGACATACCAGGCCACCATGGACATCGGTGCCTACCACCTGGGAGGCAGTTGCCAGTGGACCCTGTCCTATGACAACGGTACCACCTGGGTCGTCATTCAGGTAAACAAAAACATCATGAACGATGCAGCTGATGATGTGTTGAAGTGACACAAACAAGCGACGCGAACAAGAAACTCACTCCTCCCTTTTCCATAACTTCTCATAATCCCTCCCTCGCCTTCCTCATTCCAACAGGACAACTTGAAGACATGCATGGCCGATGCATCCAACGGCATTACATACAACATGCCTTTCAAGATCCCCGCCGGCGCACCCTCGGGCACTGCTATCTTGAACTTGATCTGGAACAACAACGAGGGTAACCGTGAGTTGTACTCTTCCTGTGCCGATGTTGTCATCAGCGGAACCAACGGTGGTTCCCTTTCTGGTGTTGCTCCCCTTATCGCCAACTATGGTCCCAAGTGAGTCCCCCCCCCTCTCTCTCTCTCTCTTTGCTCCTTTCTCTACTTGGTTTCCTAATTCGCAGATCGGCGTGTTTGATTCGTTATCCGTGATTCTGACACTTTTTGTTTCGTCCTCTTCGCGTTCTATTCTTTTGAACAGCTCGCCTTTCATCCAGGAGCAGGCTCTCGCTAACGGAAATTACGGCCAGGCCCTCTTCGCCGCCCGCAAGCCCATCACCGTCACCGTCCCTGCCAAGTCTTCCAAGCGCAGCCTCTTTGGCCGTCCCCACAACTAAATGGACCACCCCCAACACGTCCATACTCTACCTTCCCTCCCCTTCTTCTTCCTATCCTTCCTTCCATACCATAATATCCTCTCTCTCTCTCAACATACACACAAAAAAAGGCCAAATGGGAAGGTTATAGGAAAAACAGAGTGATCATGACTCTCCTACAGCCATAAAAAAAAAAAAAAAATCACAAAAAAAATAGGAGCAAATGGGTTTGCTTTGATAGCGCCCTTCAACAACGAAAAAAAAAATCCTCCTTTCTGCCCCTCCTGGGATCCGGCATCTCCAGTACTACTCCCTTATATCTACCCCCTCACCCTTCACTTGTATCAGTTTCGACCTCCAAGTACAGTTAGTAATTAAACGAATGTATTATTTTTCAAGATGGTTAAGTGCCTTTCAGACTGGAAGGAGAAAATGGTTTGGGGGAGAAGAAAAAGGGGAATGGTATAGGGGGGGGAAGGTTGAAAGCTGTGTGACAGAAAAATCTTTCTGGACACTACCAGGAGCGAGGGGATACCGGTACTATATTACTGGATCTCCTCCTTGCCGACTGTAACCTTCTCTTCGATCTCAAAATTGTCACCAGGAACATACTGTTGCTCCTCCATATCAATGTTAGCAACAGGGCCCTTGAACCAGTGGCGGGCGTTAAAGTACCAGTTACCAAAGATGAAAACCGCAGCGGCAGCAACGATGACAATAGTATAGTTCATGTTCTGGGCCGTCACGGGGCCAGCACCGGGGAGGACAAAGAGGACGGTGATGATGACGATCCAGACACAAGAGACGATACCGATGGGGATGGAGAAACGGCCCAAGGAGATGGGGCCGTCCTCAAAGGTGTTGCGGGAATAGGTAATACGGCAGAAGGTAGGGAGACCATAGGAGATGTAGAGTCCAATAGTCGCGATACTAGTGATGGCCGAGAAGGCAGCGGCGTTGATGAGGTATAACAATCCGAGGAGGCCCGAGACAAAGCACGAGAGCCAGACTCCCCAGACGGGCGACTTGAGTGTAGGGTGGATCTGGTGGAAGTACTTGGATCCGGGCATGGCTCCATCACGCGAGAAGGCGTAGATCATACGCGAGTTGGCTGTGATCGAGGCACTTCCACAGAAGAACTGGGCCAACAAGAGAATAACCAGCAACAAAAGAGCTCCAGTGTCGCCCACAGAGTCCAAGAAGATCTGGACGATAGGGTTTCCAGATTCAGAGTTGAGGACACGGTCGAGATCCTGGATTCCAAAGGTGAGCGCAAGGAGGTATCCGAGTCCAGCAACAAACGAGACACCAACAGCCATCATGATTCCAACTGGCCCAGCAACATCGGCGTTCATGGTCTCCTCGGTCATGTGGGCCGAGGCATCATAACCGGTCATGGTGAACTGCGATTGGAGAAGACCCAGAAGGACCACATAGACGGTGCTGCTCCAGCCGGTGTTGTTGATGAAATGGGTGAACACAAAGGAAGCCGAGGCCTTGTTCTCGGTCTTGACGAGGATAGAGACCAGGATGATGATGACGCCTCCAATGTGAACCCAGACCGAGGCGGTGTTCATGGCTGCAATGTACCTGACGAGAAAGGTATTGATGAGTCCGTGGACGATGAGGATTGCAAAGTAGATCAAGACCACATGCCAGCGTTCGTAAGCCCATCCTGTCTTGAGCGAAATGACCGAGCTCAACAGCAACGCCAAACCGAAATCAATTCCTATACGGATCAAAGTTGTCAGAGATGGTGAGTTGTTCGTTCCTTTGGCGGTGGATCTTTTTCAAGCATCATGAAGACCAATAGGCAAAAAGTGGTCCTTAAAAGTGTTCCTTACCTGCGGTGCATCCGAATTGACCGAGTAAATTCCACCATCCAGTGATCCAAGCATAGAAAGGACCGTGCTCACCAGCAAGCCTATTCATGGGTGCAAACAAAAAGGCCAGGTAATGATGTTAGTTCTATGGGTTCATATCACTTTCTATTGTCTGTCTCCTCCATCCATGATGAGGTTCCTGGTTGATTTCAATGGACCGATCCTGGCAATCACCATGTCCACAATGCAAAATCTTGCCCCTGTTCCCCTTCCTTGTGCCTGTGCCTGATATCGTTATCAAAGGGTCGACTTACTTGCTGCTCCAGTAGTAGAGTCCTCCACCTAATTAAACAAAATGAAAAGAAACGAATGAACCAACCCCGCGGGCAACAAAAAGAAAAGAAAAGTCAGTCAACCAGTCATTGAAGAGATAGGAGTAGAGTCACTTGTCCTTCAAAGAAAATGTGAAATCCAAAGCGAAATAAAGTTCTTGGGTGTGCATGAGTCCCTCCCTTCGTCCTCCCTCTCCCTCTTATCAACAAAAATGCGCCGAGGGAAAGAAGGCTCTGACCAAACGGCGTTCTGTTCCTTGTAGGATTCCTGACAAATGTATCCCGACCCAGACTACAACAACAAACACTTGAAGGACACATGCGACTAGAAAGAGAAGAGAAACGTACTTGTGGGGTAAGATGAACAAATTTCCGCCATGGATGCGGCCACACACATCGACATGATCGAGACAAAGACCTATCAATATGTCAGTAAAGAAGAAAGAAGAAGAAAGAAAAAACGGCGTTAGCAAAAAAAAAAAAAAGTACCATTCACACTAAACACATGTTATTAAACCGCCCTTTTCCTTTTCATTTGAGTCAACACCCTTGCAGGCAACGGACGCAAAAAAGGATATTCAAAGAATCTTACCCAACCCCAAATGATGACGGCAGGTCCTCCAGAATTCAGGGCAGTGCCATAGAGCGAAGTCAAGCCAGTGAGGATGGAGACGATCGAGAATGAGACTGAAAAGTTGGTGAAGGATGTCAATTCGCGCTTCAATTCCTGCTTGTATCCGAGCTCTCGGAGCCTATTTGCACGAAAGAGAGAGAGAGAGATCGAGAGTAGGACCATGGAGGGGGAAGATTAGCGATGGTGCCATATCGTCGTCATTTTTTTGAGGGCGAGAATGAGTTGACGTGAGCATAGAAGGAGAAAAAGGGAAGGGTGTTGTCGCTGAGAACGTGTATGTGTGTATGTGTGTGTTATGGGTAGGAGTGTGTTTGCGAAGCAAATGGTATAGCGGTGGTGAACTCACCTTTGCTCGGATCGATCGATTTTTTCTGTCATGGCTGGATATGTGTTTTTCTATGAGGAGTGGAGAGGAAGGTGAGAGGGATGGATGGGGTGGAAGGAAGGAAGGACGGAAGGACAAGGGTCAAGGAACAAGGAAAGAGAAAGGAGAAGAGAAGATAAGAGAAGAAAGAAAAGAAGAGAAAAAAGTCCATCGTGTGCCCAAAAACACTAACTCTCCTGTTGGGAGCCCTCGCTGACCCTTGTGAATGTCTACTCTTTGCATAAGTAAAATTATTTAGTCTCCTCGTTTCCATGGATGTATCTATTCCCGAGTACCCGCCGCCTTCACTTGTTCATTTGTTCCTTCTTTCTCCACTTTGCCTTTGCTACGCCGCACCAGCGACCGTGTCAATGCCTGTTGTTTGTGTTGATAGAGGCCTTGCTTCTCTTGTCTCTTGGTTTTTATTTTATTCTGTTCGGAGTGTTTTTTCTCGACACCACCCTCAAAACAACAACCACGAACAACAAAACAAAAAAGAATCAGAATAAAAAATGGTGCCCCCGTGTGCACGCAAGGCTCTCCAGCCTGTTTGTATATTTGTTTACTTGCTTGACATCTCTGTACCACGCCAGAGGAAGCCCTGGGGTCATTCAAACAAACAAATACATACAAAGCTAAAAACCTTACCTGTCAGCTGCCTCTTCTTACTCCTGCTTCAAGGTGCTTGTCGACTCTGTACACCATGGTTCTTCTTTTCTCGATCATACTTTGTGGTTGCCCTCGCGAAGAAACATCACAAAAAACAACAACAAAACGCCCATTGCTAACCTGGCTTCTGCTCGTCCCCCTGGTTATTCTTTTCCAACGGTCGCTCCTCAACTGCTTCCTGCTAGTTGGCAAACTTCACACGCCAATACAACTCTCGTTGTACACAAAAAAAAAAAAAACTATCGTACTAGGGAAAGACTGTATGTCAGTCATGCGGTTGGGATTGTATATCTGATACAGTAGTTCAGGCATCCCGCATGGAGAGGTGTCCATGAACAATATCATTAGAGCTCCAACAAGAAACACGCTGGCTAGGGCGAGTCACCACCCTTCGTATCGAGTCGCATACACCTCTTTCCTTCCTGCTTCTTTGCGAAGCGCCCAATAATCCTGTCAGAATTCCACACAAACAAACAAGCAAACAGCTGATTTCTCTACCACCTGTTGGGACTTCCCTTCCTGCTATCCTTCCACGCCCAGGCTTTTTGATAATAAAAGGGAAAGGGACTGACAAACAGTTTTGCCTTCTATCTATCCATGGCCCCCCCTCTCGCCGACAAGTCGTAGCCTAACAACCCTGCTGCCTAGGCTCACCACTTTTTCTTACGCGAGCCTATCTATTGACCTCGAAAGATTCTATCACTACACTCCCAGTATTCTTACATCATTACTTTTTGCACCATTTTTTTTATTTTGGATCGTTGGCACAAGAAACAATGAGAGTGAAAGAAGGAAAAGAAAAGAAGTACATTACAGTAAAGAGTCCTTAGAGAGAAAAAAAAATCATTGTTCAAGAGAAGAAAAAAGACGAGGCGTTGGGTGGAGTTTCGCGACGTGGTAATCTGCTATCTATCTCTTTCTTGTTTTTAATTGTCTTGTTTAAGGAAGAGAAAGACAGGGAGCCGCGCGCTTATTGGAACTCCTCATCCATGTCATCGTTGCCGTGATCGAACAAGTAGTTGGCTGCCATCTGCTCGTCACGGTCGCATGCCAAGAAAGCCTCTACGGCGGTCTGACGATCGAATCCAAGGCTCTCCAACTAACAATTTAAGAATATAAAAGAACGCGATAAACGAGTTAGAGTTGTGCAGATTTCCTGTTGAAAGAAAATATAATCAAAGATTCAACAACCCAATGACTCCAAGTGACACTTACACGCTGGATGGCCTCCTGCTCCTCCTGTGTGACGTAGATGTGGTTGGCACCTGCTGGTGGGTGGCCCTCCTCGCCATCGTTGCCTTCGTTCAAGAGCTGCAAGAATGCCTGCTGGTTCTGGTTGATGAGCTATAGTATTCATATCGCAAAGGAGTAAGATGGGTGAGAAAGACAGTCCCGAGCTTTGCCATGTTTCATTATTCAGGAACATTCACCAGAGTGTCTCGTTACCTGCAACATGTGGGGGTTAGTCTGGCCGAGCTGAGCCAAGAGAGGCTGCAACAGTTCAGGGTTATTCTGGACCATCTCGCGAATCTGCTGGAATTGGGGCTGATCCCTCAGGAAGGCAAGGCTATCAGCACCATCTCCTGCTCCTCCAGTCTCGGCAGAACGACGAGCGTTGGCAGCGGCCTGGGCAGCGGCAGTGAAAAGGTTCTGTGGCTGGACAGCGGTAGCAGTGGCGGGAGCGGCGCCGGCAGCGGCAGGGGTAGAGGTAGCAGCAGGGTTGGTAGGTGCAGCAGCGCCAGAAGCAGCAGGTGCGCGGGGGGCGGCAGCGGCAGGTGCGCTTGCCTGAGCCTGGAGATGATCAGGGATACCCTACAAATGCACAAAACGAATAACTGAACAATTAGTATTCGATTGGTCTTGCGAACAGTCGGCTGAATCAAAGGAACAGAGTGGACATGGTGAATAATCTATATCGCGTACGGTCATCAAGTATTCGACGGCTCTGTCAGGGTTGTTGAAGCTAGCTCTCATGGCGTTCATGCACTGCTCCCTGGGGAAGCCCATCTCCATCATGTTCTGGATAGCAGTTTCGAAATGAGTTCCAGTCACTAAATATGAAATGGTAAAATAATAATACCACAGTCAGTACCCAAAACATGCAACACCATTGCGTAGGGCAAAGAAAGGGCAAATCATCACATACAAAGAGCGTTGTCAGCAGAAGTTGGGGGTGCAGGCTCGGCAGATGCAGCGGGTGTGGGGTTCTCTCCGACAACAGGTGCTGCGGCAGCGGCAGCGGGTGTTGCCTCGACGGGTGCCTGGGCAACAGGTGCGGAAGGAGTGGGTGCTGCGGGTGCTGCGGGTGTTGCGGCGGGAACGGGTGTGGTCGAAGAGGCGGCAGGTGCAGCAGCCTTTGGAGCGGGTGCAGCTTTGGGCTATGTATCAAGTAGAACCAATATTGTCTCCAATCAGTCGCCTTTTTTTCCAACATGAACTCCTATTACTATCCTGCCAATGTCCATCTGGGTAAGTGTTGCCTGCTGTCATAGTTCCAGACTTACCTTGGTGACCATAATCACCAAAAAGTCCTTCTCTGTGATGTTGTATTGTGACACTGGGTTCTCATCAGCAAGGATCTTTCCTATCGTTCGCCAAAGAAAATGTATACAACGAATGTCGTTTAGTAAGTCTGCAGACCATGGAAGATATAGTCAGAACAATGAATGCGCATGAAAAGGTGTCACCGCACGACACATAGTAAGCATGACTTGCCTGAGAAGATAAGCTTCTGGCTGGCGACGGGATGACCCTGGAGCTGCTCGACCTTCTCCTTGATTGTGAGAACCTAAGAAGTTGACAGAATGCAACGGGAACGAGTCAGTTGTACTCTAAATGCCATAGACGTGTCCTGGAAGGTAGACAAGGCGCAGGTAACCGAAGCTAGTCTCGGTCAGGCGCAACGCGTTTTGGTAATTAGCCTCCTGGTGGTCGAATCTGTATGTTGACGAAGCACTTGTTGAGCTTCCTGTTGTCGCTGTTGTTGCATTACGCACTCTCTTGGTTGCCTCTGCGCCGCCAAGTCCACAGGTCAGGGGTTGGCCTTTTGTCAGACAATGCTTGCTTGGTGTGGGGTGTTCTGTATGTTTTTGTGTACCTTGTCGGACTCTTCGACGTCAACCTTGAATGACTCCTGTTTGAGTGTCTTGATGGTGATTTGCATTGTATCTGTGTGTTGGTATGGTAGAGTTGAATATTCCTGAGATGTATGTTGGTGTTGGTTTCGATGTAAGGGTGTTGTCTTTCAGAAAAGAAAAAAAAAAAAAAAAAAAAAAAGAGTGCAAAGAAGTGTGTAGAAAGTACAAAAAAAGACGCAGGCGTTTCCTCCGCTTGTGCTGACGTGGTCGTGATTTTTGTTCGCTCCTCAAGCAAGTCACATTTTTCTCGGTGCTGCCTACAAGGACCAAAAAAGGGGGGTACTCCTCGCTTCTCTTCTATCTGTTGTTTCGCATACCCCCTTTGTCTTCCCACCACCTCCTCCCTTCCTCGTCGACATTTAGGTAAAACCAGGAACACCATTCAAATAACGATGACATCTCGCATGCACTCGCACTCGTTCCTCTTTCGCTTTCTTAGTCGAGTTACGCCACTGACTCTTTTTCTTGTATCTCTTTTGTTCTAGTCTTGCCACAATCGACAAAATGGCCGAACTCGACGCAATCTACAACGCATACAACGAGATCACAGACGCCGGAGAAAACGCACCTCAGGTACTTGGAAAGCAAACTCTTGGTCCGCCTTGCAACATTTGCATGATATTTTGTCAAGTCATAATAACGCTCTTCGTTTTTTCTCGTCTGTAGCACGTGGAGGCATACTCCCAGATCATTGCGGGCGCACAAGGAACTGAGGGCACAAAGAGGCTTGCAGCACAGTATGGACTCATTCGGATAGGCGTAAAGGAAGAAAATGGTCTCATGTTAAGGACTCGACTCATGGAGGACAACTCGACTAACCAGGATATTCAATTTATTTATTTCGAGCCAGATTTATCCCGACCTTCTTCAAGCACTTTCCCGACCTTCACTCAAGGGCTATTGACGGGGTGTTCGACCTCTGCGAAGACTTGCTGCCTGTGGTAACTACTCACTCGGGATTTCAACGCACACAGAAGATACTATACACTATCAAGCTGAACATCAGAGAGCTCATACCTCAACCTTTTTTTTTCTTCGATTGCGGACAATATAGGTTCGACAGGCGGCGATCAAGAGCCTTCCATCACTCTGCAGGGATGGACCACAACACACGATCAAGATAGCTGATGTCCTCTGCCAGCTCCTTCAACTTGGTAAAGCCTAATGAACCTACAAGACAGCATGACAGACACTATGCGATCGAACTTATCTGAAAGAGCCTTAACATGCAACGTTTTTTATGCTGACTTACTAGACGACGAGGACTTGGTGATTGTTCAGGGAGCATTGCAGACGCTGCTGGTACAGAGTCCGCGAGGTGAGTCCTTCAAACTGCGCCTTTTCGGTACACTTGTTTGTGCGCATGCGGGATATAGTTGTTTCCTCAGTACTAATGAAGAGGTATTCCATGAATTCCTCTAGAGGTCCTCGCTGTTCTATTTACACAAGGAATCAAAGGAGTCGAGTTGCGGGATAAGACCATGGACTTTATCACCAACCAAGTCGTCACAGCGTTTAGGACAGGACTTGTCACGGATCCAGAGATTGAACTCTTCTTTGTTGATGAGATGCGAAAGGTACGTCTTGCCTCTTATCGCTGCATGCATTTGAAGCAAGAAAGCACAAATCTTTCTCTAACTTTAGTTTTTCGTTCCTCCACCCCTCCTTCGTGTAGGCTATGGGCTCTGTCTCGGACAGCGAACTGGAGTCCTTCGCAAAGATCATTATGCAGACAACATTATACAAGACTGGAGCGTTGGAGAACTTGACGGGACTATCACATATCTACGTGGCCCACATTACATCCGAAGTGCCATGGAATGTAAGCGACTCCTTCCCACGACGTTTCGCTGAGAGGTGCTCGTGAACTACTCACGGAGGCGCTCTACTCACAGGGTTTTTTGTCTATTCTGACAATAGATTCGCAATCCTGATTCGATCAAGCGGGTTCTCGTGGCAGGAAAACTTTCGATGCCTCTTTTCCAGGTATAAATCGCTCGCTTGATATAAATGATATATTATTAAACGGGCTTGGAATCCTATGCTTTAACAGTGCACTTACTCATGCCTACTCATCTTCTAGCGCAACGTCTCGGCGGACGTGCTTCTTGAGTTTTTTGCTACCCATATCCTCCCCCGCAACGAATTTGAGCAATTGACGGATAAGCAGAGAGCACACGTCTTGCGACTATACACGGACAGCATCACTACGGGGCATCCTTCACCAGCAGCGCTGAAACGTGCGGGCGGACTCTTGGGCGACCTTCTTGTGGTATGTATGCATGGTGGCTTTGCGCCTGACCACATGACGTGACAGACAAAAGTCAATTGCATGCATAGTGGTGCTAAGCTAATCAGCTCTCCTCTTTTTTTTTTTTTGCTCTATGTCCCTAGATGATTGTTCCTGCGGAACAAGACAGTACTACCCCTGTCGAGTTTGCGCAAGTCGAATGCTTGGTCCTTGCCCTTGACCTGCTCACTCAGGTAAGCAGATGGCCTTGTGTAACTCGATGAAATCAAATAACTATGACGTGTTCATGCAGCGAGCTAACTGTATTCGGTCATCACCTATGGCTGACTTTTTTTGGTCTTTTGTATCTGTTTTCTAGGATCCTGATCTGCTCGATAGAGACGATCTTGTCGCAAGGTAAACCAACGCTTGTTGCGTCTAGTCAGTCGAATACGAACACGAGCGAACAAAAAAAAAGTTCGATTCTGATACGCTAGCATTTGATGCATTTTTTTGGACTAGATTCAGGAACTTGTACAACCTTACCCAGATTCAACTCTCAAGCATAAAACAGGCCATCAAAACAGCCTCATCAAAGGTGCCGCAAGATGCCGAACAGATCACAACGATCAAGACGCTCACGAGAACCCAGACTATCCACCACAACATTCATACCATTGTCAAGGCAAGTTAACAGGTTTGTTCTTTGATCTACCTATATTTCAATTGCGTGACAAGGACGTGTGCTAACGTTTGTGTTCATTTTGGCTAATTTAGGAGTTCTTAAAACCCAAGAAATTATGGACCAAGCATGCCCTCCACCCATCCTGGAAGCCAGTACCAGAGCCAAATCACCCAGTTGTTCCAAAGACGGCAGAAACGTCGAAGCTTGCCACTGCAAGCCCTCTCAGCGTTGCCAAACCAGGCGCCAATCTATCAACAAGATTAAGTGCCAAACCAGCAGCGCAACCTGATACCAAACCCGGATTAAAGCCTACGCCACAACGACAGCAGCCTTCCCCGTTGCAACAGCGGCAGCAGCAGCAACAAGGCGCGCTGAACAAGCGGAAAGCTGAACCAGAATCGAATACGAAGCAAAAAAAGCCCAAGATTACTCGCCCGCAAGGGCCTGGTGTGGGAAGTCTGTCCGCCGGGAACAGCAGTCCTAATAGTCAAGGTCCGAAGGGAGCGAAGCATTCGCAGTCTCAACAGCAAGTTCAGGGACAAACTCAAGCTCAGGGACAGTCACCTGCGCAGGTACAGGCACAGCAGAAGCAAAAGCAACAGCCTCAGAGGCAGCAGCCTATTCAAAAGCATCAACTGACGAAGCAGCCACCTCAGACTTTGAAGCAACGAGGCCAGTCATCGCCGAAAGGATCGCCCAAGGTATCATCCAAATCATCACCCCGAGTTGTACACGGATCACAGCAGCAGGGAAAGAAGAGTCCGTATGGCTTTAATAACGGGGCCAGCGGGGCCGGAGGGTCGGGAAGCAGAGGACTGACGTCGCCTTCGTTCGAACGAGAAAGGAGACGTCGGGATACCAACAAGAAGATCAACTTTTTGCAGCCGCGCTAAGGACCAAATGTCTTGGGGCCTAGCTTCATTAAAAGTATTGGCTACAATGACCTGAACACGGCGTCCATGACGATGATGAAAATGCCAGCGTGGATACATATCCATGACCACTGTTATTGATGAAGATGATAAAAATGATGATGATGACAACAGCAAGGACCCTTTTGAAGAAAGCCTGTTTCGTATTCTTAGACTGTTCTTTTTGTTCTTTTTGAGGCGTGTGTGTGTATGTACTCTGTGGAGTAAAGATCGGGTCAAAAGGAAAAAAGAAAAAGAAAAAGAAAAAAGAAAAAAGAAAAAGCCACATGGTGAATATGATCCATGCCCCGACAGACAGACCAGTCGAAGAGAAGAAAGAAAAGGCGAACCCTTCTTCGCCTCTTCTTGAATCCTCTCTTTTCTTCCCTCCCTTGTTTTCAATTTTCTTTTTTCTTCTCCTTCCCTTTTTCCACTTTTACCTCTTAGCTCCCTCCCCCTCCCCCCCAACCCTCTCACACCTTCACCCCTTGCACTCCCTGCTATACCCTCCCTCCCTCCCTTCTTATCTCACCATCCACTGCTATTACATTTACTCTCTTACACACAAAACAACAATAACCAGCCATGAACAACTTCCCCCGCGGCAATGCCCCCCAGCCTGCGCGTCGCGCCCCTCCTCGCATGACCCTCTCACAAATGACCGGAGGCGCTCCTGCCCCTAAGCCAGAGACCCCCTTCGCCAACTTTTCTCGCTTCGTGTAAGTCCAACTTCTTTTTTTTTATACTCTGTGTGATTCGACGGCAGAATGCAGTAGCAACAAACAACACCACCCTGCTTTTCTCTCCCCTCACTGTCTGCCTCTGTCGTCATTGGTACACACCCTTTCCCCTCTTACAAAGGGGAAAGAAGACGAGGCTGATGCAAACGACTGATCTGGATCCCTGTGCTCAATCAACTCTGGTGTAAAAAGAAGCTGACGTATTTATTTCTTTCCTTCTTCTTTTTCAACCTATACATACCCCATTACACACGTCTTCGAAACACGGTGGATCGTTCATGGTTCTGGCAACAGTGATCCTTCTGGAAAACTCAACTTCAACGGAAAGGCGATCCTGCACTCTGACGGTGTTGACTTTAGCAATGGAAACAGCTTCAAGATCAACATGGAAGAGCTTAAGTTGCTCGAGGAGCTCGGCAAAGGACAGTATGGCACTGTGCAGAAGGTTTATCATAAACCTACCAATGTCACCATGGCTATGAAGGTAATCATTACCCCCTCCCTTCCTTCCCGCATTCCCTCAGCCTTGTTGTCGACTTTACACATTTTGGCCTGTTTATTATTGTCTTTTTCCGCCGCCTCCCTTTCCTCTTCCATCTATTTCAATGCCAGTGACACTGGAGTATGGTGGACAACAATGGTGCAAATGGTTTGTGTCAGGGTGTGCGTGTGTGTGTCAGTGTGTCAGGGTGTGCGCTGGCTGTACTATGGTGGCATCTGTTGCTGTTGCATTTTCGTCAATGGACAGTGAAGATGAGCACAAGACAAAGGGGAAAAAAAAAAAATTGGGAATCCGGTTGGACCAATCGCCAGTCATCTTGTGCCTGTTCTGCCTCCTCTTCCTTTTTTTTTTCTTGTCCTTCGACCGGACTCTGACTCTTACACTCGAAGAGAGAGGCGCGCGCAAACTGAACTGCCGCGCAAGGCGCTGCAGGGGTTTCTTCCCTTTTTTTTTTTTTTTTTGTAGATGTTGTTGTCAGGCTGTGTTGTCTTGTGTTTGGTTTGCTAGTCTGCATTGTGGTTGCTGTGGTGTTGATTCGCGCTTTGCTTCTCTGGTTATCAGCTATGCTCCGATCTCATCTACAAGGGGTTTCGTCCTTGCTCGTTTCCCATCCTCCTACCCCCTTCCATCCCACCTCTTTCGTCGCACCTCCTCCTTCCCCTTCGCCTTTTTTTTTTTTGTCCGCGTATTCTTTTCTTTTATCCATGACTGTCATTCCTCCGTCGACATTTTTTTCCTTCGATCCGCTGTTGCAAGTCAAGAAAAAAATTTGGCCTTTTCTATATCCCGTTGTCCCTGATTGACCCCGGGAAATCAAAACAAGGTGGTTATGGAGCTTCATCATCGGCGTGGTTATGGAACTAATAGGGTCTTGACGCGGTGCTCTCTCTCTCTTTCCCTCTTTCGGAGACAATTGTGAACAGGACCTATGATGGAATTGTGTGTCAGAACACCACACAAAGAGTCGAACGTGTGCCTGTTTTGCTCTCAATAATTGTGCCAAAAAAATTGCAATATTCGACTGGGGACTAGGCTTGATACGGCACACGTAGTAGTGCTCGGAAGACGTGACAGCCCCTTCGCCACCCCTTTGTTATTTTGTTGTGAATGTTTTGTTCGTGTTCAAATACAATTGGGATTTTTGTTGTTTGGTGGGTTCAAAACCATAGGGTACTAATCTCCTTTATAATTAAATTGAAAATTCACCTTTAGGAAATTCGCTTGGAACTGGATCAGAGCAAACTCAACTCGATTTTGATGGAGCTGGATGTCCTCCACAAGTCGCAGAGCCCCTACATCGTGGACTTTTATGGCGCGTTTTTCATCGAAACCTGTGTTTACTACTGCATGGAATACATGGATGCTGGATCACTCGACAAGTTGTATCAAATCGGTGTTCCAGAGGACATTCTTTCATACGTCACCCTTTCGGTACGATTAACACACAGCATGGAAGAACAGATGTGGTTTTCGCACAGACACAAAAGGACAGAGGATGTACCCCGACCATTGTGAGCACTCGACTGACCAATTTGCATTTACTCCTCCGTTTTTAGATGGTCAGGGGCCTCAAGTTCCTTAAAGATGAGCTTTCTATCATTCACCGAGGTACGACAGTTTTTTTTTTTTCCTCGATTGTATTGCAAAGTCTGATGAGGCGGCATGTTGGCCAAGAGGATTCACAGTGTCGTCCCACTAAACATTCTTTCGCTTGGATCTGATCCCATAATAGATGTCAAGCCTACGAATGTCTTGGTGAACTCACAAGGACAGGTTAAACTCTGCGACTTTGGAGTTTCTGGACAGCTTGTTCAATCCATGGCAAAGACCCACATCGGATGTCAGAGCTACATGGCTGTAAGTAATATCAACAGGATTGGACACTAGCCATCTTGGTTCGTACTTTCCCGCTATTTGCCGCCATTTTTTGCGTAATTGCTAATAATTCGATTCATCCATGTCATATGTGGTTAGCCTGAGCGTATTTCACAAGGACAGTCATACACCGTCCAGTCAGACGTTTGGTCGTTGGGCTTGTCGATTCTGGAGACCGCTGAGGGCTCATACCCATATCCACCCGAGAAATATAACAGTGTCTTTGCGCAGCTCAGTGCCATTGTCGGCAACCCACCCCCTGCTCTCCCCGACAGCTACTCTGAGGATGCTCGTTCCTTTGTCGCCCTGTGCTTACTCAAGGATGCCAAGGAGCGTCCCACATATGCAGCCCTCCTGGTACGTCGTTTTTAAGTTTGTGGTATAAGTGATTGGATGCACTTTATGTAAGGATGAAACAGTGAAGCTAATACGTTTTCACGATGATCGTTATGAACTTAATAGGAGCATGCATTCTTGACGAAATACCTGGATACGGAGGTTGATATGAAGGGATGGGCTGAGAGGGCCATGGAGGCAAGACTCGCACGCGAGGAGGAGAAGAAGAAGGAGGGAGGAGTGCCCCCATCGTCATAGATCCTGGAGTGGAGAAACATAGGTCAGTCTTGGAAGGTGAGGGCGCAGTGCCGTCTACTACTATGTCTCAGTGGATACGTGTGCCGGAACATTGCAAGCCTACCTGACCATTAGTACCTTAGAGAAAATAACACCCCAGGGAAAAGAAAAAAGTAAAAAATGTTAAAGTAACTCCCTCATTCACATGCGCTGAGTAGGAGGGGAGAGGCGCTTCCTTGACTTTAGTCTTTGCTCCTGAACAGCACCAATACCAGAGTGGATTATTATTCAAGCCAGTGAGACTGATAGAGTCGCTCTGATCATTTCCTCGGAAACACGAGGTTGTCAGTCAATACTTAAGGGTATGAAGGAATGCCTCTTTTAATTGAATGTTCAATTAGAGATACGCCTCCGTTTTACAAAGAGTAAAAAATCGCTTCCTTCACTTTTTTTTCATTCCTCTCTCTCTCTTCCCCATCCCCTCCACCGACTTTCACAACCACCCTCTCGCAACTCAACTCGGCCTGCTCTTACTTCGAGCGGTCAACAAAAAGGTATAGTACTCTTCATCCTTCTAATCCTCCAACGCCTACTCCTCATTCCCTTTTCACCTCTTTCATTCATTCGTTCAAGCGCGTTCGAGCGAGGACATACCGATTGTTGGGGAGGCTGTCAAACGACAGTTAATTCTTACAAAAGGGTCTTCGCTCTTGCTGTTGCTTCCTTTTTGTTGCCTTTTGTTGATTCCCCTCCTCTTTGGAGCGCGGTTCCTCTCTTTTGCTGTTTTTTGCTCATTTCTTTTGAAGGCAACAACTCCTTCTCGTGTGCGTCTTGATTCCCTTTGTATTGTGTCGTTGCTCCTTTTTCCTTTTGCAAGTTGGTTTGTGTCTTGCGTGGTGATTCCCCTTTCTCTTTGCTCTTTTTTTTCCCACGGCGGCGCTTGCCATCGTTGACTGCCTCAAAAGCGATGGCGCGTCAGTCGGTGGTTGTGGTTTGCCGTTTTTTTTTCTTGCGCCTTCCTGTGACCATTTTTGTGACTGTGTTTCCCAGACTGCCTTCTTTTTTTGGTTCCTGGTTTCCTGGTTGAAAAAAGAAAGAACTACAAGATGAATGGCAAAAGAAAGGGTCGAAAAAGCTTCCCAGCGATGAAAACAAAAAAAAAAAAAAAAAAAAGTGGAGGGGGTGGGGGGGGGGGGGGGACTGATAACGGCATCAAGAAAAAGAAAAAATTGGGCAAAGCCTTGCTATCAAGAGCTTCAAAGAGCGGAGCTACACCATTATCAACGAACAAGAACAAAAAAGAAATTCATTATTGATTTATACGCTGCCCGGGGTGGGAGGGAGGGTGGGCAGCAAAAGTATCAATCCAAAACACTCAACTGACATGCCAGTGGCACAAAAACATCAAAGGGCGAAACGACACCATTATCAACGAACAATGGTCAGCTAAGAACAAAAAGAAAAATCATTGTGGATTTATACGCTGCCTAGGGTGGGAGGGTGGGTGGCAGCAGGGAAGAAACACTGAAATAGGCAACTCAAAGGCTCGAGTGCCAAAGGGCGGAGCAACACTGTCAACCAACAATGACCAGTCAAGAAAAAAAATTACATTGTGTATCATACGCTGCCTAGGGTGGGAGGGTGGGTGGCAGCAAGGAAGAAACACTGAAATAGGCAGCTCAAAGACTCGAGTGCCAAAGGGCGGAGCAACACTGTCAGCGAACAATGACCAGTCAAGAAAAAAAAATTCCATTGTGTATCATACGCTGCCTAGGGTGGGAGGGAGGGTGGCAGCAAGGAAGAAACACTGAAATAGGCAGCTCAAAGACTCGAGTGCCAAAGGGCGGAGCAACACTGTCAGCGAACAATGACCAGTCAAGAAAAAAAATTCCATTGTGTATCATACGCTGCCTAGGGTGGGAGGGAGGGTGGCAGCAAGGAAGAAACACTGAAATAGGCAGCTCAAAGACTCGAGTGCCAAAGGGCGGAGCAACACTGTCAGCGAACAATGACCAGTCAAGAAAAAAAATTACATTGTGTATCATACGCTGCCTAGGGTGGGAGGGAGGGTGGCAGCAGGGAAGAAACACTGAAATAGGCAACTCAAAGGCTCGAGTGCCAAAGGGCGGAGCAACATTGTCAACGAAGAATGATCAGAAAAAAATTTATTTGTGGATCATATGCTGCCTAGGGTGGGAGGGTGGGTGGGCAGCAAAAGTATCAATGAAGAAAACTGAGTTAGTCAACTTAAAGACTCCAGTACTAAAGGGAGCAAATGCTACGAGTGGGAGGGCGGAGCATCGAACAGAAATCGCGTCGAGAAAAGAATAAAATGAAAGCGAGAATATCTGCGCCCTCCCCTCAAGATAATCAAGGTAATCAAGACTCGAAAGGCAAGGAAATAAAGAACGAAAGGCGATAGAAGAGAAAAATAAAGTCAATTATGGCCGCCTAAATAGCTAGATAGTTAGATAGCTAGATAGAAGAACGCGAAGTGGGTCTCTACCTTCGGGTGGGGATGGTGGCGGCTTATTTGTACCCTCCTCTTCAAGATAATCTCGAAAGTCAAGGAAATCAAGGAAATCAAGAACGAAAAGCGATAGAGTAGAAAAATAAAGCCAATTATGGTAGCTAGATAGCTAGATAGTTATATAGTTAGATAGAAGAACGCAAAGTGGGTCTCTGCCTTCAGGTGGGGATGGTGACCACTTTGGTTACTCGTTCTCCTTGGGGGTTGTAAGAAGGAGAGCGGGGTTTGTTGGGGTATCCGGCTTGCGATCTCCTCGCGATGTACCCCGGGCAACTATGCTTCTCCTACTGGAGAGCGTAGGCTAACGGCAAGCCAACCGCAATAAAAATAAAAACAAATACGCAAATCAATGTTGATGTTGAACGTTGCTTGTGGATTTATTCAGGACGATGGGCAAGATAGGCCTTGAACTCCTCCTCAATCGCAGGACGCTGCTCGTCAAAGTTGTACTCGTCGCAAACGTCAAACATGATCTCGTAGGAGCGCTCGTTCTTGCGGATTCCCAGTTGGGTCATCTCACGCCATAGCACCAGAATCTGCGTGCCTTGTCCTGATCCATGGAGGGCCGACATCAGGTTGTTCATCATAAAGGGCGCTGGCTTAAATCCGCCATCGAGCATCGTGTAGTACCATTCCATCGCGTAGCGCAGGTCGCCGTTCTGAAGGTATCCAGAGATCATGACCGAGTAAGTCAGGGCATCCGGATTGATTCTGGATCGCCGCATGTCTGCCAGAGTCCTCCTGACTTGGTCCATATCTCCCTCCAGTGCATGCGACGACATGATGGCGTTGAACGAGCGTCGGTCGGGCTGGACTCCCAATGCGGCCATGGTCTCGCGGATGACCATCAATCCGTCAGATCCAATCTCGCCCACACTTGCTGACAGGAGAGAGTTGAAAGTGTGGCGGTTAGGGAGGATCCCGTCGCTGATCATGTTCTTGAGGATCTCGATCGATTCCTGGACAGTAGAGTGGGAGAGCGCGCCCGCGATCATGGCCGAGTATGCGATCACGTCCGGCTGGATGTTGGCCTGTTCCATTGCTCGAAAGACCTCCCTTGCCTCTGTGAACTTGCTCATCTTGATATTAGCGTCAATCATGGCTGTGAAGGTGATGACGTTCGGTCGGATCCCGCGTTCTTGCATTTCCTGCATGATGATCGGAACATTGGCGAACTGGTTGCCGCGCAGGGCACGGGTGATCAGGGTGTTGAAGTCGCCGACCCTCATCTCGACGTTATTGGCCTTGCAATCCTTTATGATCTCAATCGAGTCCATTCCCAAGGCAGACAGAATCTTGACGTTGGCCTTGACTCCTCTCTCCCTCAGGGTTTGGATAAGAGCTGCAGGCTCTTGCGTTCGATGGGCACGCTTAAGAGCCTTGATCAAGGCAGCATAGGTATATTGGTCGGCTGGGATCCCGTCCTCCTCCATCATCTCAAAAACTTCCTTGGCACCGTCCAGCTTCTTGGCTTGAGCATAGGCATTCATGAGGGCGTTGTAGTGTTTCACGTCGGTATCGATTCCAAGCAGTGGCATCTCGTCAAAGTACTCCCGCGCCATCTGTGGATTCTTCGCTTGACCACAGACCGACAGCATAATCTGATAGGTTGCACTGGTAATCTCGACCTTGTTGTCCCGCATCTCCTTCAACAGCTTCCTTGCCTGCTCAAGATTCCGCTCATGCTTGCAGAGGTCCAGCATGATGTGATAGGTCGATGTCCCGAACTGGAGCCCCTTTTTCCGCCTCATTTCCTCGATCAGATTGGTCGCGCTCCTGAAATCCGAGAGTTTGACAAAGGCCCTGAGCAAGATGTCGTAGATCTCTGGGATGAGTAGTTGCTGCTGGTTGTTCTGTTGCCGAGACTTTTCGAAGTCGGTGAGGATCTGGCGCATCCGCGGGATGACTCTGTACATGTCTCGGCAGCTGTTCATCGCTTGCATGAAATCCTTGGGTTGCAGTTGTGGGAGGAGTGTAGGGTCTTCGGCAACGGATCGGTAGACGGAGATGAGGTGTTCGTGTTCTTGAAGGGTGCTGGAGGTGTTGATAGTGTTGGCTAGGGCTCTATACTGCTTGATCTGCTCTGGAGGGATGATTGTAGGATCGAGGAACCGAGATGTCTTTTCTCTTCCTGCTGGTGCTTCCGTCTCTATGTCGTTTGATGATGGAGATGATATTGTCGATGCGGATGTTGGTGAGGATGCTGGTGCTCTAATGGTATGTCTTTCCTGTATGCGGGGCTTATTAGGTGTATTATGGTTGTCGCCGTCGAGGTCGAGGTCGTCTAGGGTCATGGTTCGGATCGCTTGGGCGGTTGCGGAGGTGGAGAAGCGGGAGGACAAGGAAGAGTTCTTTAAGGAGGAGTGGTGGCCAACGAGGATGTTGTTGGTTCGTTGTTGTTGCTGTTGTCCTCGCGGTATCCTTGCGGCAGTCCGTTCAAGGCAAGCGAGACATGGCCGCAGCAGTCTTTGTGCATTCTTATGCATGGTCGAGGTTGCTGGCGAAAGAGTGAGTGTGAGTCCGGCGGAAGAAGAAGGAGGAACAAGAGCTTGGGGAAGTGGAAAAGGAAAGAAAAAAGATAGGTTGTGCGAATGAATGGTAAACAATCCTTTTGTTCAAATTAAATTACCAGTCACGGGCCAGTTCTCTCGCTCTCTCCTGCCCCTTGACCGTTTTGTGTGCTTTCTCTGCCGCTGCCTTTGCGCCTCAAGCACTTGCCCCTTCTTCTCCCTTCAAACAACCATCCACATCCCTGTACATACCCGACCAATACTCTTTTCTCTTCCCCTCCCCTTTGACGCGTCCACTCAACAACAACTACCGCACCACCACTATCACCGCAACAACAATACCCATCACACCTACTCACATTCACTCGAAAGAACACTGGGGGAGAAGAGAAAGAGCCCAGCATGTCCGTCCTGAGCGACCCAGCGTATATCGTCCACAACCTACGCCTCAGCAATCTAAGGCTTGATGACCGCACCTCGGACAAGGTCATCACCTTCCCGCCCCAGCTCATGTCCAACGAATACATCAAGACTGCCGGTCCCGTCTTCCCCGAGATGCAATTCTGCTATTCGCCCAATATCAGCCACGACTACATGATGCTCAGCAACAGCTCCCTTCTGACAACCACCAACGACCCGAGTCAGACCCTCAACGACAATAACAGTACAAATACAACACAAACCGCAAAGCCCGCCTATGGCATCAGAGGCAAATACGACCGCAGGAGGATTGTTGCTGCCCAGGCCGCCGCCGCTGCTGCAGCTGCTGGTCTCGGACGGGGAGGCATTGAAGGCGCCTCATCGACGGTATTTCCTATGCAGCCTGCTCCTGCCCCAACCATGCGGGTCCCTATCCCGACAGCAGCGGCCAGTATTGACAGTGACGACGACATTGACATGGACGACGAAGAGCCAGTGTAAGTGTCTCGTTACTTCCTTGTGGGTGCCTTTAATTGCCTTGAGGAAGAATAATTTACCTGATCGATTATTGTATGGCAACCTTGTAGGAAATCGCCGCCCAGAATGTTCCCCAAGATGGCAATACCGGCCCATATTGGAGGCAACTATGCGCCTGGAATCTTCATCACCACCCCCTCCAGACCTGGATCGGCCACCATTCCTGAGGATACCCAAGCCCAACAGCAAACAACATCAGCGAATGAACCCGACCAGAACAAGGATCAACAGCAGCAGCAACAACAACCAATACAAGAGGAGCTGGAAAGGACGGAGCGCGATATCGACGTTGGCGACATCACAATTGACTCAATGAACTCGCCTATTGACCTTTCTCCGGCTGATTCAACCACAACGGGCCGATTCGACAGAGGCTCCATACCTCTCACTCATACACTCATGTCGCCAGCGCCCATTCGACCCAACACACCCCCGCCCAGCAAAATTGGCATGAGTCTTGTGGATGGCCTCCTATCGGAGCCAATCCCTTTGACGCAACCATCACCCGTCTCGCTCCTCACGTCGCTCATCATTCAACAAAAGTCGAAGGAAGACAATCCTTTTGCCGAAGAGTTCCTCCGTATTGCTGGCATGGGCGAGACTACTCCAGTGAAACTCAAGATCTACCTCCCCAGCAGCGACAAACCCAAGGACCCGATGCAGGTGGCTGTAAAGCGCGAGGCGACAGTCGAAGATGTTATTGGATATATTCTCTATCAGTACTACAACGAAGGACGGACACCACTCCTATCGGATGAGCTTTCGACAGTTGTTCAGTGGAACCTTCGGATCGTGGAGGACGATGGCGAAATCGACGATGACCTGCCAGGTAATGAGCTACTCTTCAAAACTGTTCATACGGTTAAATTGTAGGTGCGCGCATGAGTTTTCGCCTGACAATGACCTCTATTTTTGACTAACAACACTGTTCACTAATGTAGCTGTTGAGAGAACGTTGAAGATTGGACGGTTTTCGATGAACCAACGGTTCGCAATGAACCAGTTTGCATTGTGCGAGGCGACTCCAGCACAGGTGCAGATCAACGAGAATCTGTATGCAAAGTCGGGTCGGGTTGTTGTTCGGCCAAAGAGACAGCAGGCAGTATCATCATCGACTGGACTTGGTCCTCCAGATCCTCCAGGAACAGAGTCGGGAGCCTTGGGCGAAGGATCTACCAACGCAACTGGCGACGGGGCCTCGGTGGATGCCAGCGGTGCTAATGGTGGAATGAGCGCGACGGTACAGAGCGGACGGCCGAGTATGACTGGAACAATCAGCTCGGCAGGACACGCTGTCCCTCCATTGATCGCCAGCACACAGCACTATGTTCGTGTCCGTCTCCACACGGGTCACGAGGTCAAGCACACGACTACGGTCGAGATTCTTCCCAAAATGCTCGTGTCGGGAGTCATCGATTATATCTGTCTCAAACGCAAGATGAACCCTGTAGAGTGGTCGCTTGTGGTCGCAGACACGCATCATGTACTACCCTTGGACGGTGCAGCAGAGGACATTTCCAACTCGACTGAGCTTGCACTTGTGCCCAAAGCTAGTGGTAAGGAAATGATCGTCGAATTGTCTTTTTTTTGTTTTCGAACATCTCGCTACTGTTTTTCCTGTTGTTTATTCTCCTCATTATCACTTGCAGCTTGATGTATGGCTAACGCTTTATTATATATTTGGTACTCATCTTTTACTTGCTTTTAGAACCGACGATTACTGCCAAGACGTCCAAGTTTGGTCGACCAAGTGTAGCAGATATCCCAGGATCGGGAGTATCATATCTAACGTCGACGGAGGTATATCGCGAGTATACGCTGAACCGGAAGCGTCGTGGAGGATATGTGGGCCATCACGAACAGGTGCTCGCGATTGACGGTGACTATATCCGGATCATGCCCACGTCGTCTAGGAATCTGTTGTTCGATTCTGGCAAGACGGCATCTTATCTGAAGAACACGATCCATGACTGCAAGCAGAGCAAGAAGGCGCCGAGCCATTTCAAGTTAGCTGTCATACGTGGCGATCGCGAAAAGAAGACCTATGAGTTTGAGGCCAAAACTCCTCAGCAAGCACGTAAGTTTTTTTTGGGGGGGGAGTGGGAGGAAGGGAGTGAGATGGAGTGTAATTGTATGGGAGTTTCTTTTTTTTTTTGGCCTTTTTGTTGGAGACTGCGCCAAGGGGCGATGCGCCGTCGGTTATGGTGTATTGGATTGTGCTGTCGCTATTGTCGGAGAGATTGAGCAGGACGGGAAACAAAACTACAGGAAAATAAGAAAGAAAAAAAAAACAAGGGACCCTGCTGTTGTGCTTGAATGAATGTATGGCCGGCGGATATTGAGCATTGACTGACATGTGTTCACTTTCTTTCCTTTCTTTCGGCTGTTAGAGGATATCTGTCAACGGATTATGCAACTCAAAAATAGTTAGGGGACCATTGTCGCATTGCCTGCCTTGCGTGCAGCAAGTCGCTTTTTTCTTTTTTTTTTTCTTTTTGGCTCCATTTTTCTTTTGTCAATGTTCTTTCGATGGATGGCGCGCTTGTGGTTCCCATTGTGGCTGTTTGTCTAGTGTACCTACATCCTACATGGTCGTATGCTTAGGTAGCGTTTTAAAGGAAAACATAACTCACAATACAACGCTGGGAATGAGGACATTTGCTTGCTCCCTTTCTTGTTTGAACGCATTCAAACAAAGCAAACAAAAAACAAACAAACAAAGAATCGGATCATTGCATACGGTAAGGGGCAATGAGTACAAAGCGAGTTGGAAGGAACGCACAAGAAAAGGTGGCCAATGCTCACCCACACTCACGCACACATACTTCCTATCACCTGCCTGTCACTATGACCCCTCCTGTCTTTTGTTTGCCTGTCCATCATCGCCCATAGTCCATTGGCATAGTTGGCCAACGGGTCTCTCTGTTCATGCGATGCAGTATCAAAGAAGAAATGAAAGCAATTTCGATGTATGCCTTGCGTGCGTTGTTCATTATTTCATTGTACGTTGGCTCTTTTCTGTTGAAATTCAAGCAAACCGTTGTCGTTCCTGCAATGGTTTTCTGTTCGCATTGTGTTGGAAATTGGAAGCAGAAAGGCGAATAGCAATGCTTCGACCCTTGTAACCTTCTTTTTCTACTCCCTATCCTCTCGGCTTGGCTGTATTTCCTGCCTTTTTCTTTTCTTTCACCACTTCTTTGTGGCCAGGCTCTCCTATCTTCATGTGAGAATCCCTGTCTGCCAGTCTGTCCACACCTCCTTGTTCAACAAAAAAGCGCGGACTGTGCCCAGTCTTCCTTTTCTTCCTCGGACCAGACTGGATCAGATCCCTTTCGCTCTCGCCATGGCCTTTTTTTTCTATTGTTGTTGGTGCTGTTGATTTGATCCCGCCACTTGCCTCCCGCTCCCACTGCCCCCGACAGCCTTTGACCCTTTCATATTTTTTTCACGGATTAAGTTTTTTCTCACTCTCACCATCCGAGGCGAGGTTGAAGTAATCGGATTTTTTTTCTTTGGTGTTATCTTTTAGCCTATCTCCATCTCTCCACTCATTTTTTGTTCAGCTGTTACACACTCATGCCATCCAACCCACAGATGTGTGGAGAAGGAAAGAAGAGGGATGCCAGGTGATGTGGGTTGGGGGTTGGGGATATTGATGTTGCGGGTTGTGGGTTGATAGTGGGGGTGAATATTTCGCTCGATCGACAGTCTATTTTTGCGCAACATTTGGATCCTCTCATACTTTGTCACTCTAGTATTTGAACTACCTGCTTACTTTCTTTTTTTTTTTTCTTTTTTTTTTTTTTTTTGGAGCAAAGCGCACACGGATACAGTGTGAGAAAAAAGTATGAAGGAGTAAAGGTCCGATGGACATTCGACAATCAACCCCTTGGACGAAAAGGAATCGCCAAAAAAAAGAGGTCTGGTTAGTGTTGTTGCCTGAAGGTTATGGCAAGGGGGTTGATCAGTAAGAGCGAAAAGCGAGATGGCAGATGGTGTTGTTCAAAAGCGGATCTATGTATGTGCGTCATGTAAGGCATAAGCATGGACGTGAGTAATGTTGTAAACGACAGATAGGTAATGGTATTGGCGAAGGAGCAAAGAGGGGTTCAACGATCCATGTTGCATTCTTAATGTCGTTTTTCTTTTTGTTTTCTCTAGTGCGAGTAAAACGAACGAAAGCGAAGTGGGTGAATGCTGGATGCTTATGCAATTGAGAAAACGAGGTAAGAAGATGAATGATACCGGTAGGCAGCATATATTGATGATTTATTATTATTGATATTGCTACTTGTTGCAGCTGAAATGGTACCATTGTTTGGAAGCTTGTTCATGTTCATCTTTTATTGTTCATTGTTCATTGTTCATTGTTGTCGGAAGAAAGAGGGCAGAAGACAAAGAGACCAGTTCAGCGCTAAGTTTAGTGCCTGCCTTGCTTGCTTCGATGAGAGAGTTCTCCTATGTTGACAGGATAGTAGCAAAAGGAAAAAGTAAGGATGCGAAAGAAGGAAGAAGAGGGGGTTCTCCCTTCGCCTTCGTCCTTCCTTGCACTTGGACCCCCCCTCACAAGGAAGATACGGATGATTACCGTTCAGTGTCCTTTTTTCAGAGTCTATTGAATGAGGGTTTTCTGTGCGTTCTTTTATCCGTTTACTTACTTACATACATGTAACTTGCTCACACACCTGCCCTTCTCCTTCTTCTCCTATCCCCTTCCCTCTTCTTCCCTTCTTCTTCCTTCAACTCCCCACTCAAACACTAAACTATTTTCCCAGTGCAAGACTCACGCCTTTCTCACTCTTTCGCCTGTTACTCATTCATAGAGAACAAACAGCTTGAGAGTCCAATTGAACCCACACTCTACCCCGTCTCACCACTCGGCTCCTATTCCTCCTTTTGTGTGCATACGATCCAAGAGTGTAACAACAACCGTTTCCTCTTCTTGTTTTCTTGGATGGTCCGGGCCACCGCAATTCATATATAAACCAACGGTCTCTTCCCCATCTTCCCGTCTCTTCGCTCTTCGTCCACTCTTGTTTCTCTTCTCACCCTTCCTGATACTCTCCCTTCCCTTTCTGATACTCTCCCCTACTCTCACTCTTCCTCCTCCATTCCACCTCCTCCACTCCATACTCCCTCTCACCTCTCTTTTCTACCCTTTTCAATTTTTTTTGGCCTTGCATATATTATCATTCTAAAACAACAACAACAACAAAAAAAGAACTCCTCATACATACATACATCCACCCGCACTGCGATTCATACAACACATATCGTGTATACCCCATTTAGGGTTATCTTCTGACATTGACGCGTCCACAAAAACACACTCACACACAAAAAAAGCTTGTTTATTTCCCGTATACCTTTGTCCAGCTACCTCTTCTTGTTGCTTCTCATACAGCCTCTGCACAGCTCTTTTCTTTTTCTATCTCTTTTGTCTCTTGTTTGCGTTCATTTCCCATAACTTTCCAAATCTTCATATCTTTTATTGTTGCATCGTACCCCTTTCGTACTTTTCATTATCAAAGTCAGTCAACCCATCCCAAACATCACACAAACAGTCAGTTACACACCCTTGGACTTCAATCAAGAGACCACTACTCTACAAAATGGCGTTCCGTAAACCAGCCCCCTCGTACGACCCCCGCCCTGGCAAGGACACCTCAGCCGCGTCGAAGGACATTTCCAGCAACAGCCTCGCCTTCCTCACCCACAGCGTGCCCTCCCGCCACCGCAGTGGCAGCACCGCTAGCACTCGCAGCACCAATAGTGAGCAACAACAGAAGGCTACTTCCACCACAATAACAAACAACAACCCCTTAAATCCTACCCTAGCCAACAACAGCAGCAATAGCAACAATGCACTCCTTCTCCCTCGCAACAGCTCCGACAACAGCAGCACCCATTCGAAGCAAAGCCATCACCATATCAGACTTCCATCCTTCTTTCGTCGACGAAAGCATTCTTCTGCTTCTGCCACCACCGAATCCCCTTCCTCTCACTCTCCCTCGCCTTCCTCCTCCACCGCCCAACTCTCCCTCCAGCAACACACCATCGTCATGGTCCCTACCCACGATATCCACATCAAATGGCCCCACCCCGTCCCCTCCGGAAACGCCTTCATTGCCGGCACTTGGTCCGTCCCCGGGCACGGGCCATGGGAAAAGCTGCCCATGACCCGCATCGACGGTACTGACTCCTTCGAGATCCACCTTGACGTCCAGGAGATCGAGGATATCTCGGACTATTTCGACGAGGATGGCTACCTCCACCATGAACTCCTTGATCACCACCACCCACACGACCAATCCCACCAAGGCTCCCCTCCCCTCGCCCCCACTTCTACAACAAGCTCAACGACGACCCATATCTCTCGCCGCAAGCGCTTCTCTCGATTCTTAGGGCGTGCTCGGTCCTCTTCCTCTGCCTCTGCCACCTCAACCACAAGCACCAACAACAAGGACCTCCACATCGACCTCCCTTATCATCATCAGAGTAAAGATGGGACTTACTTGCCTCTTGCCCGCGAGTATCGCTATCAGTACAAGTTTGTGATCGACGACGAGTGGAAGTGCGACCACGACCAAGCCCAAGTGCAGGACTCCCATGGCCACTGGAACCATGAGCTTGCTGTTGAGCTCGTCGAGCAACCCTCTGCCGGCTCAGGAGGAGGACGCAGCCGAAGCTCAAGCCTCCAATCCCAGCACGGTCCTCAAGTCTCTGAGCAAGTTTCTATCAACAAGCCTTTGCCAACCCCCCACCCCACCATCATCACCACTTCCTCATCCGACTCTACCACTACTACTACAACCACCACCAGCATCATAGTTTCCCCCGCGGAGGAGGATGAGAAGGATCTTGCACGGGAGGTGATCGAGAATATTGATGTTGGGTCAGCCCCTGTTTCTGCAAGCCCGACTACTGTTACTGCTGCTGCCCCTGTCGCTGCTGATGTTGATGCTGCGATTCCTACCTTGACCACCACAAGAATGGGCAACAACGTCAAATCCAGGGACACCTATGAGGCTGTCCTTATCTTTGACGAGACAGATGACTTGAGCGACGGCGAGGGTGGTCGTTCCAAGAGACAACAGGTCGTCGAGTCAGACGATGAGGATGAGGAATTGGAGGATAACAACATCAACAACAACATCGCCACGGAGGAGAAAGAAATTGTATTGTTGGGTGAGGATGAGGATGTGGTCAAGGCCGAGGTTACACCCCAACAAGACGACCATGCATCGTTATCGCCTGCTGATCCACAACAAGGTAAATAACATTACAACCAAGGGAAAACTGACAGCAAAACAACAACACTTTCGCTCTCACTCTCACTCTCACGTTCACACACGCACTTGCTTGCTCGCACTCGCGCTCAAGTCGCTCACATACACATGGGCAATTAATGCTGGTGCTACTTGACGGACCCCTACCCCATCCAATCCATCCCGCCGTCCATTTGTCATTCTTTTTTCTTCCTTTTTTTCTTTCCCGTCTTTCTCTTCTTTTCCTTCCCTTTCCCCTTTATCATTTGTTCTTTTTGGGCGCAGGAAAACGCATAATGGCATATTTCGATCCATGTTTTGACACCATCCTTCTTTATTGCCCTTCCCCTCATAGACAATTACCCTTCTGAGGAGACCTCCCCTGTCGTCATCAAGCTGTCTGCTGCCAATACTGCAGATGATACTACTGCCAACCCTGTCTCCCCATCGATCGAGGTTGCTGAAGTCAGCAGCGACAAGGTCATTGAAATTGAGGTTGCACAGCAGGCTGTAGAGGAAAAGAAAGAAGTTGAACAAGATGCATCTGCCGCGGCTATCGAGGATGTCTTTATGAACTCGCCCAGTGTTGCCGAACCCCTTCCTCAGCTGGGCGAGTCCCCCATCATCATCCCTGCCGAGTCTTCGTCTTCTACTGTCGAGGAGGAACATGAGTCATCTACTGCCGCTGCTGTTGAAGAGGTTGCCGTTCCTGCCCCGATTGTTGAGGCCAAGGTTGCTGAACCTTTAGTCGTCGAGACTGAAAAGGTCGCTGTTGTCGAGAGAGCCCTTGAGGTTGAGGAGACGCCTGCTCCTGCTCCCACTGTCTCGTCTCCTGCTCCAACCTCGGTTGCCATCCCTGCCTCGCCCAACTTTTCGTTTGAGTCCATCGCTGCCCAGTCTCACCTGCTCTCGCCCGATGTTGAGCCCGAGACGTTTGTTCTTCAAGCTGCCGTCAATCTCGACGAGGAGAACACTGGCAAGGATAATGATGGAGTGAACGAGGTCGAAGAGCTCGAGCCTGATGTCAAGCCTGCTGCTTCTGCACCCCCCGCACCTGTTCCCACCAAGGTTGTCCTTGAGGTTGTCACCGATGCCTCCGCCATTGCTGTCGCCACCGCCGCAGCAGCAGCGGCTGCCTCTGCCACCTCTACCGCGAACGATTACCCTCAGGTCCCATCGCCTCCCTTGACACCCTCCAATTTGAGCAGCTCGAAGCGCGACTTACTCACTGACCAGATCATCTCTGTCGAGTCGACTGAGACTGAAGGTGAGAAGCAGCAGCAGCAGAACGAGGAGTCGTTTGAACGGTCTGTCTACATGACCCCTCGTGCCGAGACTACCATGACCAAGCACTCCACCGTCGAAGAGACGACCACCGTCGAAGAGCCATCGACTGTTGCTGCTGCTGCTGTTGAGGACGAGAACGCGACGATCGATATCCTTGAAGACAAGGACCTCCCCGCATCTCTCCTGTCCAACTCCTCATCTTCCTTGTCATTGTCCACATTGAATGGAGGCCAGAGTAGCAGCCGTCGTAGCAGCAATAGCAGCACCAGCACCAAGGCCTCCTCCTCGTCCCCGCCGTACCGCGAGATGGTGGAGCATGACAAGAGCAAGAAGAACGGGCCTGAACAACACCCCAGCTTATTCTGGAGCATCTGCAAGACGACAGCTGTTGTATCTACTGCGGTTGTCATTCTTGGTTTGGGCCTCGGACGTAAGAGGGATTGAAGTTGATGGGAGCTACGTCAAACATATAGCTTTAGAAATATACGCCTAACAAACAACAATAGCAAAAGAACAAATAGCAATAACTTGTACATAATACCCATAGTAACCAAAAAAATAACAACCTCATATATACGAGCATCGTCCTAGTTGTTTTTTGAAGCATGTGGAATGGGTGAGTCTCTTCCTTGTGCCATTTTTTTGCACGCGATAAGGTTGGGGTTTCGCCTCATACAAAGTAGAGGGATCCGTCTACGATGACCAAAACCCGCAAAAAGGGCTACGAAGCAAAAGTGTTTGTACTCGGACTTGAACCGAGGACCGTCTGTGTGTTAGACAGACGTGATAACCAACTACACCATACAAACTTGCTGATTGCTTGATGGTTTCCTGTTTTGATTTGCATATTTAACCTTTATGATCTTAAATCAGCTAATCACGTGGATTTAGCACGTGACTGATTTAATTCACTGCTAAGTCTCATTCAAATATGTTAGAAAATTAAGCATTTTATCTGCGACCTTAGCTCAGTTGGGAGAGCGTCAGACTGAAGATCTGAAGGTCGTGTGTTCAATCCACACAGGTCGCATTAACTTTTGCTTTTGTCCGCTTATCAATACTTTTTGACGTCACCCAACCCTGTGTGGTGTGACCTGGCGAGGAGATTTGATATCTTTCGTTCTTGGTTGGCAAGGATTTTTCCTTTTTCTTCTTTTTTCTCCAAACACATCAACAACCCTCTCGACAATCCAACATCAAGCCATGGCTCTTAAGCGCATTAACAAGGTAAGCCTATCATCTCTGCTCTTCCTAGCCTGCTGCTCTCACTCTTACACACACCTAGACACACGCACACGCACTCGCTTTCCTTGTCATCGTCCTCTTCATTCCATCAACAAGCTCTTTTTCATTTCACGAACAACCCTTTTGACGGGGGCGTAGGTCTATAAGCTTGTTTTCTGGCAGGCTGCCGCAAACTCACTTGACCTTGGCCTCTTGTTTTGTACTAGCTCGCTGTGCTACTTCCTTCCACTTCACTTTTTCTTTCTTGCTGAGCCCTACGACAATCTCACCCTTGTTTTTTGTTCACTGCCTGCATATATCATCCTCGCCAAAAGCTAGTTTGATGAGTTTTTGCCTTTTCCTGGTGACCACAGAAACAGATGTTCTCATTCACTTTCCACATACATACACACAAACACACTGTGCCCCCTTCGCTTTTCGTTGGTCTTCCTTTTTGCTCTTGTGAGCGATATTTTTTGTATTCGTACAGCCCATCATACACCCTCCCTTTCCTTTTTGCCCTTTTTATTACCCCTCCCTTTTTTCGTTCCCTTTTGTTCCGCGACACTCATTTTCTTTCATTTTCTGTGGCTTGACCAACAGAAGGCCGAGGATCAATTACTTCTGCGCTTTTTTTAGTTTTGATATCTGGGCAAAGAGGGGACAATAGCCGCAGCATAGCTTCCTATTCGTTCCACGGACTTGGTTAGGATGACAAAGATGAATTTCTCTCATCAGTTAACTAATACATTTATTCCTGTTTCTTCGACCTTCTTTTCTGATGAGAGTAGGAATTAGCTGATCTCGGAAGAGATCCCCCCTCGTCCTGCTCTGCCGGACCTATCGGCGACGAACTTTTCCACTGGCAGGCGACTATCATGGGACCCGTAAGTGACTCTTCATCAAATTTTGATTGATATATTTTATATTTTTGTGTGCAAAGACGACTGCAGAAAGTGTGACAGAGGTAACTGCAGCTACACCGACTGTTTCCTTGGACTTCGTGCGACTTCTGCGCCTTATTACAACAACACTCGCCTCACCCCCCCCTTATCTCTTCAACCCCTTGTACAAGGGGTCTACGTGAAGCAGGACAAGAGGAGAGAGTGCACAAAAAGAAAGAGCAGGAAGTCGGGGCTGGGTCCAAAATGCAAAATGCGCCCCTCGCAGAACACATCAACGTCGTCGACTAGTACTTTTGGATCTTGGGTTGATTGGTATGCTAAGCTAAGCTACCCGACAACGTCAATAGGTTCCTTGTATTAACAATGTCTCTTCTCTTCTTTTTTCCACTACTAGTCCGATTCACCGTACGCTGGAGGAGTCTTCTTCTTGGCCATTCACTTCCCCACGGACTACCCCTTCAAGCCCCCAAAGGTATGTGTCTCTGCTAACACCATTCCTATCCTGGCAGTCTGAATGCCATAAAACATACTAGTCGACCCATCAAAGGATATGGACCGACACTTGCCCCTTGTTTTTTTCTGCGCCTCCAGCATGAAATACCTTACCATCGATTACTAATATACATTATCTTTTACTTTTCATCCGTATAGGTCAACTTCACAACCAGAATCTACCACCCCAACATCAACAGCAACGGCAGTATTTGCTTGGATATCTTGAGGGATCAGTGGTCTCCAGCTCTCACAATCTCCAAGGTTCTCTTGTCGATCTGCTCCATGTTGACTGACCCCAACCCCGACGATCCTCTTGTCCCTGAGATCGCACACACCTACAAGACTGACCGCAGCCGTTACGAGACTAACGCTCGGGAGTGGACCCGAAAGTATGCCAGTAAGTATCTCCTCTCCTTTTTCTGTGGTACTTTGTTGAATCGTGATTGGTGACGGGATCGATCAAATGTACTTGTTCCTTTTCGTTGACCAATGTCTCTTCTTTTCTTACTCCTCTTAGTGTAAATTTGATCATGGCGACTTCGGTATCCCCCAGGAAATACAAAAGATGGTGGCTACAGTGAAATATGCAGATAATAAAGCAAAGTGAACTTTCTATGTGTGTTTGTTTTCCATTTGTATTGAGAACGTTTGAGGGTGAAATTTCAATGCATGTCCCTGTACCCATTGTGTTCTGACAATTGGCTCCAAATGGCGCAAAAAACGTGGAAATGGGACAAATGGTGGTATTGGGCAATGATTGCATTTATTATGTGCTTGCTTGCTTGATTGCTTAGTTGGTAATGTGGAAACATTAATGTGGGTGATCATGAAACAAAAAGAGGGGACTTCTACGGCTGCATCGATGCCAGATCGATGGTTAATGGCTTGGTATGGTTTTTACAAAGGTGGCGGCAAGTCCTAGCTGACACTTTCTTTTTTTTTCTTTTTTCTTTGTATTCGTGCGTTCACTCTGAAAAGAGGGTTCATGCGCCTTGCTTAGCACTTTGCAGCGGTCTCGAAACGAAAGAACTGACGGAGCTTTGTCAAAGTCTTTCTCTTCTTCTTTGACGATGAATCAAAGCCATCATTCAATGCGTCGCTGGAAGGACACATCGCGATAGTGACCGCTTCGCCAGTCGCAGGAGAAACGCCATTGGAGGTATGGACCGAATGTGGGCGGTTGTGTTGCTTGTAAGGGTGGTGCAACATCATCTTGTCGTCCGTGTTGCCTGAACACGCGTTCATGGTGTTGGACCGCTTCTGGTAGGAAGATGGGTGGACCAGGCCACCGGAGGCGGCGGCGTTGGCGGCAGCGATGGCCAGGGCTTCGTCGCGGGATGTAGGGCCGATGGGTGTGCTTGGGGAGATTGTTGCCATGGTTTCGGTTGGGGAGCTGGCCATGGAGGGGGAGACGTCGCTCATTTGTTCGTCATGGTCGTAGAGATCTGGGACGGGGCTCATTGGTGAGGAAGAAGAAGTGTCCATCTGGTGGTGGTTGTGGTAAGGGTAGTGGTGGTGTTGGTGAGATTGGGAGTGCTGTTGGTTGTTGTTATTGTAGGGGTGGTAGTCATTGTTGGTGGTGGTAGGATGGTAGGAGTGGCGGTTCGTGTTGATGGTTGGTGGTTGTGGCTGTGGGGTGGTTGAGATGGTGGTGGGGACGACGACGTTCATGGTCTTGCTGATATCTTCATTGGGGTGGAAGGTGGGCAGACCAGTCGACTTTGCCTGAGGCTGCTGCTGCTGTTGCTGTTGTGGCTGCTGAGGAGGATTGGTGCGATTAGTGGAGGCGGAGGGTGGACGGATGGTTGCAGGAGCGGTAGAGAGGGCCGGGAGGGCAACAGAGATGGTATCCATACCGTCGGCGCGCATCCAGCGGGATCTGAGGACATCTGCCAATGTTGCACGGCGCTTGGGGTCGACCGTCAACATACGATGGATCAACGAGCACACATCTATAATTTTCGTGAAAACATAAAAAAAATCAATGTTTAGCAAATGCTTGCTACTCTTGTTAACTACTACAACAAGCAGACAAAAAAACAAAAATGCGTACCGATGGATCCTTCACGGGGCTTTTGGTAGTTTCCGCGCTTGATCTGCGCAAAGAGGGCTGGCAGGTCACTGGCATCAAAGGGCAGGCGTCCACAGACAAGGACATAGAGAATGACACCCAGGGACCAGACATCGGTCTCGGGTCCAATGTAAGGAGTACCACTGACCATTTCCGGAGCAGCGTAGAAAGGTGAGCCACAGTAGGTGGTCAGATGGCGGTCCTTGTGCCAGTTGTTCCCGAACCCGAAATCGGCCACTCGGACGTTACGTTCGCTGTCCAGCAGGATGTTTTCCGGCTTCAAATCTCTGTGCACGACATTGTTCTATCAAGAGGAAATGCAAAAATAAAAAATATGTTAGATTAAGAAAGGAGAGTATATAAAAGCCATGTCTCATGTCTGCATGAACATCTGACCGGTAGTATATACCTCGTGGCAGTAGTGGATGGCGAGGACAATCTGCTGGAAGATGCGACGGGCCTCCTTCTCGTCCAAGGAGCCCTTGTTGGAGATGTAATCAAACAGTTCGCCTCCAGTCAGGTTCTCCATGACGATCAGGATCCGGTAGTCGTCTTCCATCACCGTTTTGACATCGACGATGTTGGGGTGGCGGAGGGTCGCCATCAAGCGGGCCTCTCGTGTCGCGTGAAGACGCTGCTGCTCGCTCTTGAACTGCGCCTTTTCCAAGATCTTCACCGCGACCTAGAAGAATGGTGGCAAGGAAAATAAAAAACAAGCGGTTTTTCCGGTTAGTCCTTTTCTTTTATAACGAAAGGAAAAAAGATAAGAGAAGGGAGGAAATAATAACGAAGGAGTTAAACTGTCGCGTTTACCTGCTCGCCGGTGATGTCGTTCTCTGCCAAGAGGACCTTTCCAAAGTTGCCTTGACCAATGGTGCCGATGTATGTATAGCCCTGGATGTCGCCATACTTGCGTCTGTACGACTCCTATAAAATGATTGCTCGTCAGTTCAATGGCCATAGAATACATATGGCACAACTTGCAGATTTGTCAGAGAATGGGTGACATACCTTGGTGCTGCTAACGTTGCTGAGCCGCGACTGGCGACCGGATGCAGGTGGCTGTTGCTGTTGCTGTTGGGCAGAGGAGCCGTTATTGTCAACAGGGCTGGAAGGTGACGTCGGAATAGGTGCCTTTTGGTTATGGAACTCATTTGTTGGTGCAGAATGAGATTCGTGGTCCTGTTTAATATGAGTAGGACCTACCGCCGTGGGGGTCACAACACCGGCAGATGCAGTCGAACCCTGATGTTGGTTGGATGAATAGGTCTGTTGCTGAGGTTGACGGTATTGGTGGTTGTTGTTATTGCTGCCGCCGTTTGTAGTGTTTGTGGAATGGTTGTAGCGGTTGTTGTTCTGGCTGTCGGAGTGGATGGGAGATTCTGCAGTTGATTCCACCTTGGAGCGCCGGCGTTCGATAGATGCTGGTGTCTGAGCCAGTTTCAAAGGTGCCACCTCCTTTTGTTTTTTTTTGTCAAGTTAAAAGATATGGAAAAGGAAGGTTAGTTTTCACAACCACAGAACTGGATATTCGAGAGCTCCTTTTTTTTTTTTTTTTGTATTATGCTTGACTGACGATGTTTTTTCATATTTTTTATATTTTTTTTCTACTCACCTGCGATGGGTATGCCTTTGAGGATTCTCTGACACTCTGGGCGCGGCTGGCCAGATGGCGATCGACACGCGAGGCGCCATATGTCTCGTCAATGTCAGCAGATTTTCTCCTATGAACATTCTTTTGTTTTGTATTGAGGGGAGAGAAAAATGGAGACATCAAAGGCATGTTTAGAGTGTGGATGTTGTTGTTGAATAGCAATTGATGGAGGTAAAGTTAAGTGAAAGTAATGAAAAGTGAGAGTGCAAAGGACAAGAAGGATGAACGCACCTGGTGAGGTTCGCTGATTCTCATGACCTTCATGGCCTCCTGGGCAGAGATCCTCTCTGCAGCGTAGGCATCCTGTTGAGTGTTTTGGGAAGGGGTTGGGGCGGCAGTGTTCATGATGGGTAAAGTGGAAAGGGTATGGACTACTCGTGTGTGAGAAGATGAGGGATATTGTCGTTGGCGAAAGAGAGTGCGCTTCAGAGGGGTATTCGGCGAAGTGGTATTAGCGTCCGTTGTGTTTTTGTGATTTTTTTCTATTGGCTGGTGATCGACGCGCCTTGTTTCAGGGGCTGTGTGGGGTAGCTAGGCGCGGGGAATTAGGGTGTTACTGCGTGGAAGAGTACGTGCATCAAGAGGGGAGTGTGAGTATTCTTTTCTTTCTTTCTGAGGGAATCAAGAGAAGGAGAAACGAAGAGGGAAAGGAAGAGGGAAGAGAGAGAGCGAGAGAGAAAGAAGGAGAAGGAGTGAAGATGTAGGAAAAAGAGGAAGACGAACGAGGGTGAGAACGAGGAAGGAGAGGAAAGGCAGGTCGAGTCGAAACGGTCAAGTTATAAAAACAATCCACTGGCTTATAAGACGAAAATAGGATAGGGCGAGAGAAAGGGAAAGAAAGAGAGAGAGAGGGAGAAGAGAACAGGTGAATGAGTGTGTCTCGCTTTATGTTTTCAGTTCTCTTGTAAGTCACCCTCCCTCCAGTCAAAGTTGCAAGATCGCGCACCATCAGACCTTGGACGCAGTGGAGTACTAAGACATTTAACACAGCACGAGCAAGGTACGGTCATCATGTCAATGGGTTAGTAGGCGGAGCCGGCAGACGAAAAAAGGTGATACAGAGCACACACTGAAGAAGGGTACAAAGCAGCCTTGGACAGCAGAATTGCCTGAGAGAAGGAAAAAAAAGTGTGAATGTCGAGTAGTTGGAATCGTAACATCCTGCTTCCGACCATCGTCATGGCCTGGTTGAAAGTTTGACGAAAGAGTACGAAAAGAAGTGTGTATAATAGTCGCTCTCATGGCGTATATGCTTTATGTGGTGTGGGTAGATTGGAATTGCTATCTTCCTTACATTATTCTCTTTCTCACAGCAGCAGGCAGTCATAAATCTTCCTATGCTTCCAAGCAAATACATTCCCATGTCGACTCGGGCACATATATGCCAATTGGCCTCGACTTTAGTCCCAACAGCAACAAGAAATAACAAACACAGAGAGGGATAGAAGGAGAAAGACTACGGAGGGTATCCACACAAGATGAACCAGGAGTAAACCAACGATCGGGGTTCGGAACAGGGGTCTGTATAGCTTGTCCGTCTCTCTGTACAGGATCTGAATATCTCCGTCACTGTACCTCTTTGTCTAACGAAAAGGACTCTGTCAGTTGCATTGTGTTTATGCCCTGGAAAAAAAAATATCGGGCTGTCCAAAAGGTTGGGAGAGTGGAATCAACTTTATTGTGTTTGCTGAAGCACGCACGTTCGCGATCGACCTGGTGTGAGATGGGTACGACGATAGTATCAGCTTTCTTAGCCCTTGTGGCAACAAAGCTGTGGGAAGGTGGGGAAGGTGCATGCAATACGGGTCCAACGGTCCGACAATACCGGCTGTGGTCGATACTATGACGGAGAGACAGGAGGTTAGCTAGACCAGCTACACGTTTTTGAACGATGTGCACAGCTTGGGGGATTCACTACTGGAATCTTGTTATTGTTCGGCGTGTTGTTAACTGTTATCGACGTTGTGTGTATGGGTAGGATATGGGTAGCTTGCCTGTCCAGTCGCGTCTCGCGTCCCATTTTTCGAGGTTTATGCTGACGTCACGTTTTTTTTTTAAGCCTGACGCGTTGAGGGGACACGACGCCCAAAGGGTTTGGCAGACACACTTTGGACAAAGCTCTTTTTCTTACTTTTACTTTCCAGCAAATCACAGACATCAGACCATTCGCCGAATCTTCTTCAACTATCAACAGCAACCAACCCAAAGCAACACACGACCCAAGTAACAACACCGAAAGACATACCCAACAACCATGGCCATTTCAGAAGTTAAGCGCTTGGCACAGGCCCTCAGCCAGGAGTACAACGCGGCCAACCCCGACCTCGCAAAGTGCGGTCAGTTCCTTAGCCAGCTCAAGGTACCGCATTCGAGAGGATGTCATGCGAACTCTTGAAGCAAGAAAGAGATAACAACAACGACAACGGCATGCGAGCAAATCACTAAGGCGATTCCCAATACTACATTCTTTTTGGTGACAACGAATAGATTGCCCTTATTGAGCTTTCGTACTTGACACATGAGGAGAGACCCAACAACATCGAGGAGCTGACCTTGGCGCGTAAGGATTCACACTGTCTTGCCTTGCCTTCCTGTTTTACTCTTTCAACCTGGAGGCATTCTATGGATAAGAAACGAGGGAGTTACAGGGAGATAGCTGACACTGTTCCTTGATTACTTGTTCTCGATATTAGGCGATGTCCTGGAGATTGGAGCACAGTGGAGTATCCGCACAAAGGACATTCCTTCGTTCGAGAGATACATGGCGCAACTCCAGACCTACTACAACGATCACAGGTATGTCTGCCGCTCCATTGAAAACGCAATTGTCGTGATTCCAATTATGCCATTGCCGTTGTTTTGATCCCGTCCAAAGTTGACGCCGTGTCTGACGCTCTCTTCTCTTTTCCATTCTATCCGTAGTGCGTTGCCTGCTTCGCCTCTTAAATACAACCTGATTGGCCTCAACTTGCTTTGCCTCTTGTCCCAGAACAGGATCTCGGACTTTCACACAGCATTGGAGACGATCGACCCTGAACAACTTCACAACAACCCTGCGATCCAGCACCCCGTCAAGTTGGAGCAGTCGCTGATGGAGGGCAGCTATAACAGAGTCTGGAGCTCACGGTCCGAGGTCCCCTCGAAGGAGTACCTCTTCTTTATCGATATCTTGATGGACACCATCAGGTACGGCAAAAAATGTTGCTTTATTCGAGGCAAGGATGTCATGACACAGAGGAGAAGACCGATCTATCAGATGACACGAGGCTGACTTTTTTTGCCGTTATGTTTGAATGCTACATAATTTTAGGAATGAGATTGCAAGCTGCAGTGAAAAAGCATACACTAGCCTGCCCCTGTCGGACGCAGGAACGCTCTTGTTCTTCACAAACATGGAGGACATCTTGAACTTTGCAAAGGAGGTACGATTGCATCCTTTACCTATACACATTTGTCTCTTGAGTGGTGCGATTAGCATGAATTCTCGCCTGGTGATATTTGCTAACCAAACGCTCCTTTGTTCTGACACATTTTATAGCGCAACTGGAAGGTCAACCCTGTGGAGCAAAAGGCGTACTTCCACTCGGATGCAGATGAAAAGATCAACATTCCCGCGGACCAGATCATCAAGCAGACCATGTTCTACGCCAGAGATATGGACCGCATTGTCTAAAACAAAAGAAGAGATCGTCGCCATACCACCAAGGCCTCTCTTTTTTCTTTGTTTTTTACCTGCCTCTTTTCGATCATGACTGGAGAGTGCTTCATATGATGACTGCGGAGTGATAATCCCAATAAAAGCCAACAATGACAAACAATGGACAATGGATAACTGTGCACTTTTTTTCTAACATGGTCTTGTATTTACAACATCGGACTGACTGCAGTTATATAAATAAGCAGGGGCGGCGCTTTTCTCTAGCGTCATTTTTTTTACGCGCTCTTCTGGACCTTGAGCGAAAAATCGACGAAGGACACACCCTGGGTCATAGAACCCAAGCTGATGATGTCAATAGCTACACGAGAGAGAAGGGTGAAGGAGCGGTTTAATAAAAGTAGTCCGGGTGATCCACATTTGTATTGCTTGCCGATACAAAACACAGAGTTGCACATTTCGGCAGAGATCGGGATACGTTTTTCGTTTTGTATGTGTAAACTTACCATCACAGAAGTAGCTCTCAATGGTCTGCTCAGTTACACCGCCGCTGCACTCGACCAGGACTTGACGTCCCTGGGCAGCCCAACGCTGCTTAATGTTTCCGGCGGCGATCTTGAGAGCGTCACCCTCGTAGTTGTCAAGCATGACAATATCAGCTCCTGCAGCAATGGCCTCATCGGCCTCCTCCTCCGAGCGACACTCGACCTCAATCTTTAATGCGAATCCGCCCACAGCCTTGGCCTTTTGAACAGCGGCCGTAATCGATCCTATGGGGAAGGTTTAACGTAAAAGTGGTAAAAAGTCAGAATCACGACCAAATTTGCGCACGATTCATCTGCAGGTGGGGGGTCTTCTTCTTTTTGTACCTGTGCTCCAGACGTGGTTATCCTTGAGCATGATCATGGATGAAAGATCCATGCGATGGGTATCGGCGCCACCAACCAACATTCCGTACTTTTCAACCAAACGGAATCCTAATGATTCATAAGTAGAGTGAGAGAAAAATTGAGAGGATTAGTATTTAGGGTTGAGTCATTTTCATTCCCACCCATTCCGGAAAAAGGTTCCAGGCCCCCACGGGAAATTGACTTAAGGATAGGGAAGAAGGGTACCTGGGGTGGTCTTGCGGGTGCCGGCGATGACACCCTTGAAGCCATTCTTCTCCTTGAGGATGCGGAGACGGTGGGCCTGGGAGGCGATTCCACTGCAGCGAGCCATCATGTTGAGGGCAGTGCGCTCTCCGATGAGGATTTGGCGGACGGGTCCGTAGACGTGGGCGCAAGTCTGGATGGGCTTCAGCACTTCGCCTTCCTTGACGTGCCACTCGACACTATGTTGTTGTTTGTTGGTAATGTTGGGGAGAGGTGGGGTGTTAGATCTTCGGGTAAATATGAAACAAGAGGTTAGAATGAAGAGGCTGTCTTGAGGGAGGTGATCGCTTACCGGCATCCAAGCTGCTCAAAGATCTCTGTGAAGAATGGAATTCCCGCAACAATACCCTACAACACAAACGGATCAATTCGAAATAACCGAGTCAATGATCGCCCTTTCCGGATGGTATCATATCAAGCATGAAAAGATGAAAGGCCAGCCAACAAGAAGCAGAGAGCAAAGGTTATTACCTCGCTCTTGCCGTAGAGGATGGCGGTGGTCTCCTTTTCTCCCACGACATAGCCGCCATAGTCAAAGGAAGGGATGTCCTCCTGGAGCCATTCTGTGATCTTTGTCTTCCAGTTGGGAGGGAGGAGATGGTTCAACGAGGAGTTCTGGTAGGGTGATGCGGAGGCCATGGTTGTTTCTTGTTGTTGTTTCTTGGTTGGAATAAAGATGAAATGAGAAGAAAGGAAGCAAAAGGAATGTAGTGAGCGGACTGATGAGGACTGATGAGACCTGACCCGCTGGCCAGTCTTTTGTGACTGGGGTAAATTTTGCACAGCTGCATAGTCGCGGATGTTCTTTTATTGTTCTAGTCCGTTGCTTGTCGCCCTTAGCATCGCCCCTACAGCTTGATGACTACAACAAGAACCATTACAAGGATAAGGATGGTCATCCAAGATCCTAGTATCAAGAAACATTGAACAGGGGGACATGTTAGTTTACATTGCACACGCGTCAACTATCAGCTTTTGCTTCATCTTTCTACGAGGGGGACAACGTGTTCAATATAAATGCAGTAACGCACACAGCACTTACCACATCCTTTAGTGCCCTTGGCAACTTTGGCCAACTGACGACCAGCAATCGAGAGACGATTTCCCGTGCGGTCCACAAGGTGCTCTGTATCATCCAACATGCCAACTTGCGACTCCAATTCATCATTGATCGTCAATCCAATCTCTTGCTGCCGTCCCAACGACACGCTGAGTCGATCCAAGTTCTGGTCCTGATCTATTGGAATGCGAGTAGAATAATATATCCGCATAGTTAGTTGCCGCGCTTTTGAGCCATGCATGCATTAGCGATACGAGTGCAAAATGATCAAGTATGCATGATGTTTACCATCCATAATTCGCTGATGCAGTTGGAGCATTTGGCTGTTGTCCAGATTATCGACTTCTACTTCGTTCTCTGAGAACCGCACAATCTTTGACCTAGAATGCTTTGACGAGTTTTGGTTCAGTCCAAGTAGCACAGCTCTAGAATGGTCCAAGAAAAGGATAGAAGCAGGTCAGTCGACTGGTCTGATTTTGTTCCTTGTTCGTGGGACAAACTTGTTGGCTGAAAAAAAGCATGACGCCAGAACTTTCTGAAAGACAGCCTCCTTTCTTCTCTTTTTTTTTTTTTTTTTTTTTTTTTTACCTTGCGTCGGCGTCATCCTTGTCCTGGAGGAGCGCTTCCAGTTTCTCTAATTGCTGTTGCAGCTTGATGAGGGTATCTTCTCGACTTGCGAGTTCTTTTGACGGTCTATTTTAACCCCAGGAACAAAAGGAAAAAAAAAAGGAGTCTGTGTTAATGGACACATGGGGTGTGTTTTGCATTACCGATAGTACGTCCAATTTCAACTGAAAAAAAGAGGCGGGGGGGGGGGGGGAGTACATACACAGAGCCGTCCTGTTCTGCTTGTGAGAGTTCTGCCTCGAGTTGTTGGAGTCCTTCTCTGAGACGGGGCATGTTCTTTTCGATGGTCTTGTCCTGTGAAGCCGAGCTGAGATTGTTGGTTCGACAGCGGTTTCGTTCAAAGACTGTGACAAGTGTGCTGTCTGCAATCAAGCCCAGCTTTGAACCCCAGTTGGCTTCCATGGCGAGCTAGTGGTGTGTAATGAGTTTGAGAGGGGAAGTGTGTTGAGGAAGGCAAGAGAAGAGGAAGGAGAGTCGCTCAATGGGAGGTGAGGACAAGAGAGTGGAGTGAAGTTGACTGTTGGAGTGGGCGAGTGGGCCAAGAGTCGACGAAAACGTGGAAGGGAAGGAGTGTGAGGGAAAGGATACAATACGGAGTGTCTTACAGACAACTTGAACTGAATTCACTGACCGCCAAGCCATGAGAAAGAGAGGCGACCATCGTGACTTGCATACTGTGCACATTCAGCGCCCAAAAGCCAAAGGCTGGTCAAGGATCACACTCAGCCACCCTTCAGAAAGAGCTCACCGCTCGCCTCCACTTCTTCTTCCACAACCACACCTCGACCTGCATCCAAAAAAAAGCGATCAGGACAAGGATCAGGACCAAACGGGACACCAGCACACAACAACCAGGAATGTCATGACGCTTGACCGTTTTCATTCCAGTGATGTCCACATCAACGAGAACCTCGACTTTTCCTCCCTCGTCTCCAACCCTGTCCTCCTCAAGGGTCTGACAGAGTCCGGCTACCAACGGCCCTCACCGATCCAGCTCAAAACTATCCCCATGGGCCGATTGGGTCTTGATATGATTGCTCAGGCAAAGTCTGGAACGGGCAAGACTGTAGTCTTTAGCGTCATTGCCATTGAGTCTGTCCTCTCTCAACTCCCCAAGGATCTTCTCGCCAACAATATCAGCAGCAGCAGCAGTGGTTCTGGATCCAAAAGTCAGCAGCAGCAGCAATGTCCTAGAGCAGTGATTATTGCGCCAACGCGGGAGATTGCGGTCCAGATCCAGGATGTCATTGTCAACATTCTTCAGGGAGGACTCAACAAGTTAATCACCTGTGTCGCCATGATTGGAGGAATGCCTATCCAGAAGGACAAGGAGAATTTGAAGCGGTGCTCGATCGTTGTGGGGACACCGGGGCGAGTGCTTTCGTTGGTCGAGACTGGACATCTGGACACCAGCCATGTACGGTTGTTTGTGATGGACGAGGCTGACAAACTCATGGAGGATCTCTACAGAGACGATGTTTTCAAGATCTGTAAGGGATTGGGATCCAAGAAGCAAGTTATGGCGTTCTCGGCAACCTATGACGATGATCTGTTGGCGCATCTGGACAGGCTGGTCAAGAACCCTGTCTATGTGATGCTTACTAACGGGACTCCCGAGCTTGAAGGTAAAACCCGCGGATCAAATTATCATGGACATGGATCGATCTACCATCCTCATGTACAAGTAATCTAACCCACGCGTCCTTCTTTCATTCTCTGTAGGTGTGCTGCAGTTCTACAAGACTGTGAAACTTAGTCAAGAGCAACAGGCGAGCTCAGTCTTTATGCGCCAAACACATCTCATGGAGGCGAAGTTTGCAGAGCTCGAGGGGATCTTTACCCACACACCTTTCTATCAGGCGATCGTGTTTCTGAACCATACAAGGCGGGCTACAGATCTGGTCAAGTTTCTGGCGCGAAGAGGCTGGCCAGCTATGCATATCGCCTCGGGAATCTCGCAAGTCGAACGTTTGGCTGTCATGGAGAAGGCGCGCAAATTTGAGATTCGCGTGCTTGTCTGTAGTGATCTGGTATGTTGTCCATTCGTTTCTCGCTGTATGCTCTTGCAAAAGGATACGTTTGAAGAACACCTACTAATGTTATGCATTCGTTTTGCTTGATCAGATTGCGCGTGGAATCGACATTGACAGGGTCAACCTGGTTGTAAACATGGACCTGCCAAGAGACCCAGAAACCTACTTGCACCGTATTGGAAGGACAGGACGGTATGGAACCACAGGACTCGCAGTCAGCATCGTCGACGATACAGAGGTCAAAACGATCGAGATTCTCAAGAACGATTTCTCGATATCGTTACACGAGCTTTCGGCGGACGACAAGACTTATAGCGATCTTGGTCAGCAGAGCAAGAATGGACATCATACGCGACCGCTGCAGATTGTTGCTGATCAGGAGCAATTCAAGCTTTTGGAGGCCGCGAGGAAGGACAAGGAGAGGGAGATACGGGATGCGGGAGGAAAGGGGGCTTTGGATGATGTTGAGTCTAGTCATGTAGCTGAGTTTCAACAGGAGAGTCTGAAGAAGAAGAGAGCCTTGGATGCAGCTGAAAGCAAGGAGCAGATAGCTACAAAGCGCAAGGAGTCTCCTACACGCAAGAAGCGTAAACTGGACAGGAGGATGCCCTTGCCCCTGCCCTCACCTGTGGCCTCTGAGCAGCCAGCCTCCGTAGCTGAACCTCCGCACAAAGAGACTTGGTCTCCAGAAGGCGATATTCAGCATGTCGTCAACGGCGTGGATGCGGTTCGTACAGAGGAAGCTGCCGAAGAGACCACCGAGTCGCATGATCATTATGCTGGCCATAATGCGTGGTACCCTCCTGCACCGGACACGACCGCTTTCCCATACCTCAATCCATACATCCCTTACGCACCTCCAGCATACTATCGTCAGTCCCCGTCTGCATATTCTCACCATGTACCATATTCACACTACTATCCCTATCCTCAGAGCTACCCTCCGTCCACACCATTCTTCCCACCAGACTTGCCACTCTTTCCCAACGGACCTTCATTTTCTAGTCTCTTCCGATAAAAAAAAAAAGAGTTCTATTCCTAAAGACTTTCCTCTTCTCTATTATCATACGCTTTTGATAAGGTAAAGAGCTATTTACATCTCGTCGATGTTCTTGGTCTCGAGCTGGAACCCAATCTTCTTGAAGCCCTCATAGATATCCTTGACCTTGTTGGTGGCACTGGTAACAACGACATTGGACGACTCAGGGCTAAAGACCTTGATCAGATACTTGTCCATGGCATGCTGGAGATCAGCAGGCGTGACAGCCTGGACGCGCTCCAAGAATTCCTTGTTGTACTCTGCAGAGACCTTCTTCAGCACCTGGTTGACAAAGACCTCGGTCGCAGCCGCAGAGATGGTCTCCTCCTTGCGGACAATACGATAGACAATACTGGCCTTGGCACCCTCTAACTCCTGCTTGGTGAACTTGGACTTGCCCGAGGCATAGTCCTGGACGATCTGGTTGGCGAGGTTGAAGGCTCTCAGGGCATCGGGGGAGCGGTAGATGTTGAAGGACAAGAAACCCGACTCGACATCGACACGGAGGTTAGCGCCATAGACGGCGCCACTTCCACGGAGCTGCTTCCAGAAGGGTCCTTCGAGCGTGTCGAGGCACTCACAGAGGACCAAGAGAGCAGCATAATCGGGATCCAAAAAGTCAGTGGGGCCGCGGGCGACGTGGGCAGCGAAAGAGCTCTCGATCGAGGGCATGTTGACGACGTAGCCCTTCTTGCCGGGAGCCTTGCCGGCCTCGCTCCAGACCTGGCTCGAGAAGGGGATGGGTGCCAGAGGGGAGGAATCCTTTTTGCCACCAAAGTTCTTGACCCAGGCAGTCTTGGGCTGATCCTGTCTGAGAACGTCACCCTGGACCTGAATGTGGATGTTTGCAGGGCGAGTCACTAAACATTCATAGTGAAGATGAAAAAAAGTTATGCGTCAGTTAGGAAAGCCGTCAATGGGTTCGTGATGAAAAGTCAAACAGTACAAATGCTTAGGGTTACGGAGCCTTACAGATCTCGCGGAGCTCGTTCATGGCCTTGATGACGGTGTCGGGCTCCTTCTCGAGCTGCTTGATGACCTCGGGCAAGAACTTGGACTGCTGCAAGATGCTCAACGAAGAAATGTTGGACTTTCCAGCGTCGTACGAAATAGCATCCATGCACACCCTGGACATCTACAAGTACGAAAACAATAAAATTGTGATGAGTGCCACAATAATAACCATCGCTAGCAACGGTTGCTTGGTGTTCAAGAGAAGGGGCCAAACGACACTTACTCTAGATCCATCACGCTTCTGGGAAGGAATATCATTCAAGAGCTTGGTGGCAATGACCTTAAGACGATCAGCATCAAAGCGGGTATCCCAGGTCATTTTCTTGAGCCAGGCAATGCCCTCGGCGTACTTGGCGCGCTCAGTCTTGAGGAGGACAAGGGCTAACTGACGGAACATGGCGCTGACACCAACGCCGCAGTCATGGCTGACGGTATCCTGATCTAACAGCTTCACAACGATCTCGAAGGGAGTCTCCTCGCCAGTGGCAGGGTCGATCAAGGGAAGAGAGTAGAGCGAGTCAAAGTAGATGTCGAGGTATGGGCGGAGTCTTGCAGGGAGATCGGAGGTTGTGAGGAAGAGGCTCAATTCGACGAACTCCGATTTGATGTCTATGCATCAAGGACATACAAGTTGGTTAGCATGATGTCCGAGAGACGAGAGGTTCAGGTCGTACATAGTGCAGCCAAATAGGAACAACAACTTACGATCAAACTCAATAAAGTAAGGAACCTCAGCGAGGTCGCTATCCAAGTGCTTCTGAACCTCGTTGTCGCTAAGTTTTGGGCGACAATAAAGCGAAGGTTAGGGAATGAGCTCAATAGCACGAGTCATTTTTTGTGGAAGGATGGCCAAGGGTGGTGAACTTACAACTTGGCGTCAGGCTGGCCGTGACCGGTGACGACCTTGATCATCTCGATGCCCTTGACATCAGGGATAGGGAAGTTGTCTAGAGAATAATTAGAGTAGATACGCATAAGTATGTTTGTGGCTTTCGCTCATAGACAAGAGACGACGACGTTTGATCGAGTCATGTAGGGTGCTTACCAAAGATCTCGGCGGGGACGGGGATATCATTTTGAGCCCTGTGCTTCTCCAGCTCTTTCTCCAGCTCCTTCAGCTTCTCCTTGCCAAGAGACTTGCGCTGCTCCTCAATTCGCTTCTCCTCGTCCTCAGCCTGCTTGGCAGCGTGCTCAGCTGAAGGCTTGCCAATAATGGTGGCCCTCTTGGCATCAATAAAATACTCGCGGAGGTATGTCACCCAGGTGGCGTTGTCAAACTTGGCGACAGCGTCAAGGTTGTGAATATCGTCAACAAATTCGGCAAGATCGCTGTCATCCTTCTTTCCGTACAGCGAGTGGATCAAGCAGGGCCAGGCCAAAGTCATATGGCTGGTCTCGAGACGATCAAGAAGCTTAAGCTTCTCGCGCTTGATCACGGCAGCCATGCGGTCCATGTCGAATCCATCCTTGGCAATCTTTTCCAGGATCGAGAAGAACTTTGGCTCAACCTCTTCCAGCTTCTCGGTAGGGACACTCTCGAATGCCAGGCGAATCTCAGCACGAATGCGCTGCTGGGTGATAAAGTCGACAGCTGTGAAGGAGCGGAATACCACATTAGCTACATTGATTTTTGGTGGCGTAAATGCGCATTAATTTCAGTCAAAATTAACTTACAGGTGCAGTAAGGGTCCTCAATCTCGACCATCTCTTTCTTCAACACGGCAACAGCAGAGTCAGTGAGATAAGTCTCCAAGATATCCAAGGCTTGGAACGACAAGAAGTCCTGTTTTAAAGATGGCAAGTAGGAACAGAGGTAGTTAAGTAAGGCGGTTCTGTAGCCAGCTAGTTTGGAAGGGCATGACACACACCATACAGTGGTTGACTTACGGTGACTGGGGGACCAAACCAGTTGATGCCGACCTCGCCCATGTCCTCGTCCTCGGAGGGGAAGGTCACAGTCGTGTTGGTGGTCTCCTTCATGAGAGGAGCCTGAGGCGAGTCAACCCATGGGCTATGATGCATTTTAATTGAACGATGGTGAGTAACGGGAATACATAGTACCAGCCTCAGTGCTAGTTGGATAACAATATAACAATAGTTTGCGCATGATCATACCGTTTCATGGGAGGGAGGGGACCCTTGGAGATGATGCGCTCCTCAACAGGGCCGAGGGCCTTGAAAAGGTCGCTGTGCTCTACGCGTCCAGAGATGATTAAGCACAGGTTGTCGGGGCGGTAGTAGTCGCGGTGGTACTATTATAATCGAAAAAAGATATGTCAGTTATTGCCAAACGAAGAAAGGAGATTCGTCGATATGTCATTGGATTGATATTGTACCTGGCGAACTAATGAGTAAAAAAAAGCAAGCGAGAATGATGGAGTTAGAGAGACGGGTACTTTATAGAGAAACCGCTGACAATAGGTGCAAAGTATAGCAGAAAGCCAAGTCGTTTACTCTTTTCAGCCTTGAGAGAGCGAAGGCATGACATCAAACCACCGGTCTCATAGCGGTATCCAGAGTTCTCGGGGTACATGATGCGCTGACGCCTACGTAGATGATACATGAAGTTAAAGAAGGAGCGTCGCCGTTGTCTCCGAGCCGCGTCTCCAAGATTCAGTTGAGGTGCAGAATGGTATGGTGTCCTTACTTAAGATCCATGATAGAGTCGGCACTGTTCTCGCGACCCTGCATCTCACAGTAGACGACACCGGCGTTCTCACCGTCTCCGTTGATGTTGTGAACCTCCGTGTAGTAGGCAGCCTCGGTCATGGTAGGATACAGGATGTGATCAATGTAAACTGGAGTATCAGGGTTAGTACTAGTAATGATACATGTCAGACAATGGTGTAGACTAGCAGAGACTAGTAGCTAGTTTACTTACTGGGCATAATGTTCAGGAAACCTTCACTGCCGGCTGTGGCGATAGCTATTTTTTTTTCGAAAGGTACATTGGGTTGGATCGAGGATTGGAATTGTTAGGAGTTGGGTACAGTCAACTACGTCGAGTGGGGTATATTGCCTCCCTTCAAAGCCTAGTCGGATGCGTTGTAAGAATCACGTACTGTAAGCGGTATGATCAACATCGGTCCCTATAGCAACAAAAATTGAATGAAGAAATGGAGTTAGCGAGGAAAACTAAAGTTTTACTTAGAGTTCACAGGCATAAAACAATAGGGAGGCGCCAAAGAGATGCTGATGCTTACAAGCATTGGTGCCGTTTGCCAAGGCACGGTTGGCAAGGCCATCGAGGACACCCTAAGAGTCGATGGTTGTTAAAGAAGGTAAGCATACATGAAGTCAACATCGGAGTTGGGCTTGGAGCTCTTGATTCTGCCTCGTGGTACTTTTTGTCCAGTACTCCATGCTCACGCCCAATCGTACACGGAGACTGAGGGCACAATAAAAGAGGCACAGAGAAAAAAAAGACTGACCTTGTAAGGGTAGAGCTCACTTCCCAGGAACACAAAACTGCAGCGAGAAGACGGCGGTGGTGGGAAAAAGAAAGAAGGAAAGAAAGAGAGGAAGTGAAGGTGAAAATGGCGAGAATGGGTAGAGAGCAAATGATTAGTAATGTCGGGGATCGATATCAGAATTGCATTGTCCTCTCTCGTCTCGCGTGGTCAATGGATCATGTCGTGGGTGTCCATACTGCTCCAAGGTGTGAGGGCAACCATCGTCGTCGAAGGCTAAGAAGAGGCAAGCGAATGATAACGTCCATAGTCATTAGTTTTTAATTGAAGCGTGATATCCACTTTCATATCTTGCTTGACGTGGCAACTAAACAATTGAGGCTTACACTCTGTGGCCAAGGTGAAGTATCCGTTGACAATGGGACCTGGAGTATTTGAGTGATGATGGGAAACGAAATAGAGGTTACTAAAGCGTGTCAAAAGCGAGCCAATATTCAGCATTCTCACGGTGCAGCTCCGTTGAATATTGTTTTTTGCGCGTCAATCGACGGTGGGAATATGTGTGGAGAAGCACCTTCGTTGTCAACGTGGACCACGCTCAGACCGGTCTTTGAGGAGCGGAACTTTGTGATCTTGTTTCCGTTGACGGAGATCTCCTTTGTGATGACAAAGTTGGCAGCCATTGTGGGGTTGGGTAGAATGGGGAAGTGAGTGTGTGAAGGAATGAAAAAGAAAAAAAAGACAAAAAGGGGGCGTATGTATGACAAAAGAAAAGAGAAAGAAGAAAGCGTGGGTGATGGACAAGGGTGGCGCCTGTTTCAGGCTCCTTATTTCCCATCAGTACTGCATCCAATAGTGAGAACAAGGCTTAGCTGAAGAGAGAGTGACCGGGCCTTCGATGTTCATTTGCGACTGACTTGGATTCAGCCTGGGGGTGGACACGCACAAAAGGGACGCAGCTGAGTCCTGATCCCAGCCACCGACGGACCTCATCGCGTAATCTCTCTCGCGCCTCCCTAATGAAAAAAAAACGGCGTCACTTGAAAAAAAAAAAAACTTTCTTTGGGGCTAAAGTACTGTACATAGACACCCTTTCTTTCTTTCTTTTCTTCACACTCCTTTAATAATCCCCCTTCTTCCTTACTCACTCACTCACTCACTCACTCAACGCAATGACCGAAATCAATCAAGCCGCCGTCGAGGCTGTCCAGGACCAGCTCGAGGCTATCGCCAACGAGACCGAGAAGGTCGAGCTCCAGCTCGGTATGTTTGTTGTCTTCTTTTACTCTCATTGCCACCAACCTCATGGCCTCCAAACAAAACAGGCTGATCAACTCACACAAACAGAGATTCGGATCCGAAAAGACTAAAGACACTCGAATCAACTTGAACCACGCCTTCTCACACGCGTCTCATTGTTTTCTTCTTTTGACAAATAGCCAACAAGCGCAACGAGCTTATGCTTCCCATCTTCGAGAAGCGTCGCAAGGTTATCGCCGAGATTCCCAACTTCTGGCCCACTCTCTTCAAGTTGAACGACGGTACCTCCCAGATGCTCGAGGAGTCCGATCTTCCTGTAAGCCTTGCCTTATTATGCATTGATTGTTATTTTCAGTGTACCACACGAAAAGAGAATCCACAGCAGGCATGTGGATCTATCTCTAACTGGTCAATGTTCTTGTCTTTTCTAGATCATCGACCACTTGACCGATATCTGGGTCAAGCACGACCCCAAGGATGCCCGCAACTACGAGATCGTCTTTGTAAGTATTCATGGAAAGGCTTTCGTTAGGTTGTTTATGTTGGTAAAGTACAATAGAGCACGAAGCTAACAATGGGCAATGGCTATGTTTACGATAGACCTTCGGCGATAACGAATACTTCACCAACAAGGAGTTGATCAAGAAGGTCGTCCTCAACGGTGACGAGCAGACTGCTGAGAAGTTCACGATCAACTGGAAAGAGGGCAAGGATGTCACCAAGAACTCCAAGCGCAAGAAGGATGCCGATGAGTCCGCCGACTCTTTCTTCTCCTGGTTCGCTGATGACGATGCCACCTTGGCCGATTATATCGCCAACCAGCTCTTCAGCGAGGCATTACAGTACGTCTTTTTTGATATTCAATATCGATCTTGTCCTGATGTTTTATTATTGTTGACAACTCACCCCTGACGCTCTTGTGACTTGGTCTATATCTAGTTTGTACATGAACGGAGGCGAGGACGATGACTTTGAGCTCGATTCTGATGACGAGGGTTCCGTCGACTTGGGTAAGTCATAGTTCCCTCTCTTTTTACAATTTTTTTTAGCTGCTAAGAATGTTTTCTCCGCTCTGAGGGACCCTGTGGGGACTTGAACGTGTATTGGACCCAGACCCGCACACCCAGACCCAAATTTAGAGCATACTGTCTTACTTCACCCGCCGCCGTGAGCGAGTGTCTGTTCGCGATGTTTTGTCTCTACTCTCCACGGAAATACTCATTCTTATCGTTTTTTTTGTTGCTTCTCTTTCAATTGCAATATGATAGACGACGACGAGGATGACGAGGAGGTCGAGGAGCCCTCCAAGAAGAAGGGCAAGAAGTAAATTGTTTTTGCTGGTGGTGTAGTTCTTCTCTCTTTTGTTTGTAAATAAAAATAATCGCGTTCCACGCATGAACTGATGCGTGAGATACCAAGGATTCATGAAATGGATAGATGCATGAATGATAATGCAAAAAAGGTGCGAGTGAAAGTGAAGTCATCGTTGTTCGTGGGACCCTTGTCGCTTGTTGATTTTGTGCTGAGGGATCCCGACTCGACCTTTGTGTATGTGTGTGTGTAATGAAATGTGCGTGTGAAGAACACGCCCCTTTTTAATCGTAATCGAACTTGGGTCATCAATCCAGAAGAGGTTGCCTTTTTCGCTCAACTTTTATTTTTCCCAACACCTTTCTTTTACTCTTTTTCTTTTTCTTTTTCTCTCTTCTCTTCCTTTTCTTCTTTTCCTTTTCCTTTTCCTTCACACCTTCTTCTTTTTCCTCCTTTTTCTTCTTCCGTCCTCTTTCCCATCCTCGCTCGACCCGGCACGACTTGACACGACACGACCACTCACAACGCAACTCACTCCCTTCAAACAAAAAAGAAAAGCCCGATCTCCATACCTCCTAAAAACACTCAAGGGAAAAAGAAAGACAAGGGCTGTTACGCTTTACATTCATAAAAAACACGCGACGACATGTTGGAAGGACTAGTCGCAGGTCTTCTCAACCGATTCATCGGTCCCTATGTCACCAACCTCGACGTCAGCCAGCTCAACATCGCCATCTGGAGTGGTATGTTTTTTTACCAGGAGAAGAATAAAGCCGAGACAAGAGACACCTTCACCTCGTTATATGACCTCGGACAGGCGGCAGGGAGGTTGTTGTTTCTCACAGAGAGCACTCATTAACGAGATTTTCCGCTTTTACTATCCATAACGTAACATACACATCATAGGTGATGTCAAGCTCACCAACTTGCGACTGAAGAAGGACGCGCTCGACAAGTTCAACCTTCCCGTCGATGTGACTGAAGGTGAGTTAGTTAGTTAGTTAGTTCGCTCAAGACCATTTCCTTTGGAGTTGAGCGGTGGGGTTCTATCATCATCCCAACCCAACAATGATCGATGACAGAGTCCTGACAATCACCTCCCCCCCCCTTTTGACCATGGAATTATCTCCGCGCCCTTCTTCTTAGGCTACCTGGGTGAACTCACGCTTAGCATCCCTTGGGCCAACTTGAAGAACAAGCCCGTCAAAGTCTACATCAACAACCTCTACCTTCTGTGTGTTCCTAAAGCCGAGTCCGAGGTAAGAACAGGAACCCAGTCGAGACTCAGCAACAAACAACAGATATCAGTTGATCACCTTTGCAAGCCCAGAGATTCACATTCCTCATCACTTTTCATCTCTTTGACTTAGTACAACCCCGACGAAGAGGCCGCACGAGCACAGGCATTGAAGGAGGATAGACTGGAGAATGCCGAGCTTTTGAACACAAAACCCACGGCTGGCATGGATGGTATGGGCATGCGTACAATCACAATATCGACTTTGTCATGTGTGTCCAATTCGCAGATTTTAACCCCGTCTCTGCCTTTCGCTCTTGTTCTGTCTGTCTTCTTCTGCATCCCTCTTTTGCTGTCGCGGTAGACGAGGAGAAGAAAAATGCAACGTTCTTGAACCAGCTCATCACCAAGGTGGTCGACAACTTACAAGTTTCGATCAACAATATCCATCTTCGATATGAGGACAAGTTGTCCGATCCAAAGGTAAACAACACTCGCCAAGTCTGATATGCGAGCCACGGCTCGGTCCAAGGATTTCTCCTCATTGTTGTTTTTTTGTATATTTGAACTGTTGACCAATACGAATACGTTGTTGTCTATCATGCCACAACCATCACCCACATCCATCATAAATAGCATCCGTTCTCCGCCGGTTTGACTCTTTCACAGCTCTCTGCAGTCTCCACAGACGGCGAGTGGTCCCCAACATTTATTCATGACGAGGCCAATACCATTCACAAGGTAACATACGCACACGGACTTGATTTCATTTTTCTCCATTTTGCGAGGCCGCACGCGTCACAATTTTCTTGCCGATGATTTTCTTTGCTGACTCTCTCCAACCAAATGAACGGAATGTCAAAAAAATAGCTTACCACGCTGGACTCTCTGGCCGTATACTGGAATACAGACTCGCGTTCGCTTGCCGGACGGAGCAAAGAGGATGCATTGAAGGTGTTCGTGGACCTTATCGCCAAAGCCAAACATGTCCCCGAAGAGCACCAGTACATCCTCAAGCCAGTCTCAGGAACAGGAAAAGTCAAGCTCAACAAACGTTATGGTGGCGATGTTCCCAAGGCTGGAATCTCGCTCGACTTTGAGGAGCTGGGTTTTGTGGTGGACGATGAACAATACAAAAATGTGCTTCTGATGATGGGTCTCTTCCACTCCTTCATGAGGCAACACGAGGTAATCCTTCAATCGATTTCTTGCTTTTTTGTCATTGTTGTCCGACATATATAGCTTCATCCGCTTACAATCACATAATCTGAATCTCGTAATAGTTCCGGAAATTCCGACCTCCCAGGGCCATCACACCCAAGAAGGATCCACTGGCCTGGTTCCGATATGCAGGAAACGCGGTGCTCTCACAGATTCACGAGAGAAATCGCAAGTGGACCTGGGCGTACTTTGAGGAGCGTCGGGACGACCGCAAGGCGTATGTTGAACTGTACAAGAACCACAAACTGGGCCGTAACGATGTCGAGGACGAGGAGAGACTCAAGGCACTGGAGTGGAAGCTTTCATATGATGACATTCGCCTGTACAGAAGTATCGCCAAGGGTGTTTTGCGCAGAGAAAAAATCCTGATCGAGAAGAGGCAGGTTGCTGAACAACCCAAGGGCTGGCTCAGTTCTTGGTGGTACGGCAGCGGAGCAGATTCAACCGAAAGTAAAGCCGAGGTATGTCGCAGGCTCGCCTTTTGCTTCGCTTTGTTTGTCGTGTATTCTCTACAGCGACTCTAACCTTATTTGTTCATTCTTTTATGTGTTGAATAGAACGAGGAAGCGACATCTCTCACCGACGCTCAGAAGCAGCAGCTGTATGATGTCATTGATTACGACGAAAAGACGGCACTTCAGGCTAATCTCGAGGAAGCAAAGGACACAATTCTCTTTGCCATCAACGCCAAGCTCAAGACTGGATCTTTCGCATTGAAGAAGGACCCACATGGAGCAAACACGACTATCTTCAGCATCGTCTTCGACACATTCATCGCCAACGTCTTGCAACGCACAGACAACTTCCAGGCTGGAATCGCCCTCGGAGGCTTGACCTGTATCGATGGCACTACCCAGAACACGCTTTATCCCAAAATCATCCGTGTGAAGGAGGCTGAGAGCAAGAAGGGGTTGTTGTCCACTGTCACGGACGGCGGCACTGTGTACGGCGGAGAGGACAGCCATAATGCAGGCACTAACAATGCCGCAGAGTAAGGGCCTTCTCATGATGTTTGAGAGCTTCCTTGTCGCTTATTGACACATTTTTATGGCGCTTTATTAACATGCTATATATTTGCATTCTTAGACTGAACTTCAGCCCATTCTTCTCGGTCAACTTTGAGCACAACCCATTAGACGGCCATGCTGATAACGTTCTGGAGGTCAAGATGAGACACTTGGAGATCCTGTACAACCCCAAGACAGTCGATACTGTCCTCGATTTCCTGAAGCCACCTCAGAGTGAGGCCGACAGCATCAACGCCCTCTTGGAGGCTGCTGGAGACACTTTGGAAGGTTTGGCGGCTCAGACACGAGCTGGATTGGAGTACGCTCTAGAGGAGCACAAGCGCTTGGATCTGCGTGTTGACATGGACGCTCCAGTCATGATCTTCCCTGAGAGGTAAGATGAACCTGACTTGAACTCGGAAGCCGTACGTTACTGGATCTTTCTTGGTTGCTAACATTCCGACACAACATTGTTATCATAGCTGCACGGATATCAATGCGCTCGTTGCAGTGCTTGATGTTGGTCACATCTTCGTAGAGAGCAAGTTGGTCTCCAAGGAAGACATGGCTGTTGTAGAGAGCAACCACAAGCGCACCATGGACCCCATCGCCTTCGAGAGGCTGGAGGATCTCATGTACGATCGATTTGTCGTCCAACTCTCAAGCACACAGCTTTTGGTTGGTCAATCAGTCGAGCGTTGTTTGCAGCAGATCCGGAAGCCGTCCAAGGAGAACGACCTCCATGTCATCGACAAGATCAACATGACCTTCCATGTGCACCTCTCCATTCTGCCCCAGGCTCCAAACCTGACAAAGATTCGAGTCTTTGGTGACCTGCCATTGCTTCAGATCAACTTTTCTGACAGGAAATACAAGACTCTGATGCGCATTGTCGATTTAGTCGTTCCCAAGGATCCCGAGGCCCCAGCGGCGCCACCACCCAAGCCCAAATCTTCCATGAAATTGCCACCTTTGCTCTCCAAGAACGCCTACAAGGACGATCTCGTTTTCGGCGACACGACGGAAGGAGAGTCTGATGAGGAGCGCGGAAGTACCAGTCAGGAAGAAAAGATGGTCGAGAAGGAGAAGGTATGCTTACTATTAATGTGTCGACCTTCATGTTACTGCTTGCGCTTTAATGACATTGCGTAAGCTTTGCCACTAACAGGATTGTCTCCTTGCTATGTACATTATCGATAATAGGAGTCGAGAGGCGCCATGCTGTTCCAAAAGACGTTCCAGTTCAGCTTCAAGGTGGCCAAGTTTGCGGTGACTCTTAAAAAGGCTCTTCAGGATGTCAATGCCCCTGAAAGAGTTCTGGCGGATTTGATTATCGAAAAGTTCGACCTCAAGTTTGTGCTTCGCCCAGTGGACATGTGTGTGGATATTGTTCTCGGATCGCTCTACGTTGAGGACAAGGTAGAGCCAGCTCCACTCTATCCCTACTTGCTCTCATCTGATGCTGACGGCAAGTCACCAGCCTCTGGAGGAGTTGAAGATCTCGTACGAGTTTCCTATATCAAGGTCAACCCAACATCTCCCGACTACCTCACCAAGTACAAGGGCATCGACGCCACCGTCGACATCTCTCTTTCGACTGTCACGATGATCCTCACGCGTAAGAGTGTGTTGACCCTCTTCGACTTTATTCTCACCACATTCACCGGGCCTGCTCCAGCACAAGCGCAGCCTCCATCTCGCCCAGCGGCCATCAACGGAGAACTACCTGCCAGTCAGACGGCTCTGGCTCAAGCTGATGACAAACCTGCAACTCAGGACAAGATGAAGGTCAAGGTCAAGATGACCAGTATCAACTTTATTCTCAACAACGACGGTCAGAGATTGGCAACCATGGCGCTGTCACAGTGCGACGTCTCCGTTCTCATGACACCACCCACCATGCGCGTCAATGTCAAGTTGGGCAACTTCACGCTAACGGATGACATCAACCCAGGAAAGCAACAGATCCTTGCCATTCAGGGTGAAGAGTTTGCCGATTTCGCATACGAGACCTACGACGTTCATTCGACCAGCTACCCTGGCTACGACGCTTCTGTTTTCTTGAAAGCAGGATCTCTGCAGCTGACCTTCCTCGAAGAGTCTATCCAACAGTTGCTGGACTTTTCGACCAAGTTTGCCAGGATGCACGTCCTATACGACTCTGCTCGCAATGCAGCTGTCAACCAAGCGCAGGCTTTGCAGACGACTCAGAGCAAGTTCCATTTCGATATCAACGTCAGCACACCCATCGTCATCTTGCCCAAAGATGCCAAGTCTCGCAACACTATCGTCGCCAACTTGGGAGAGATTTCGATCAGGAACGAGTTTGCAGAGGACACCCATATCGAAGGAGGCACTCTGGATCAGATGAAGCTCGGCATTCACTCGATCAACCTTCTCAGCCAGTTCTACTTTGACGACTCGATCCAGGAATTGCAGATCATTGAGGATGTTGATATTGAGTTTGATGTGATCCGAGCCGCTCACAAGGATGGCTTGGCGCGTCCAGACATGGAGCTGATCGGTCAGATGTCGGAGGTCAACATGAACCTTACTGAGCTCCAGTACAAGACTCTCTACGAAATCTCGCTCTCGGTTGCTCGCGCCTTTGGGGGTGGCAGTGAGGAGGACACGAATGCGCTGGCAGCCTCGGCTGGAATCACAGCTGCTCCTGCACTACCCCCTGTTGTCGTCAAGTCGACTGATGAGAGTTGGACGTCGATGGATCTGGTGTTCAGTCTGCCCAAGGTTGCCCTGGAGATCTACCATGGCGATGCAACCCAGAAGGAGGAGTTGCGTGACTGCAGTTTCTCCAAGTTCTCTCTGACCAAGACCGACTTCAAGTACAAGATGCAGACCGATTCGACCATGCAAGCGGAGCTCTCTATTCAGGATCTCATCATCAACGATACCAGACGCAACGTCAAGACCAAGTTCCGCGAGATCATCCCTGCCAACCTGCACGACAGCCCCCAGATCTCCTTGTCGCTTAGCACTTTTGATGACAAGAGCATGCTGGTCTTGTTCAACTTGGACAGCCCCAAGATCATTTTCCATTTGGAGTACATCTTTGCTTTGCAGAACTACTTTACGAGCGTCCTCGCATCGGGACCCGCGGAAGAACCCCCCAAGGCTGGCAGGCGACCATCGACTACAAGCCAGGTTTCGAACCGCAGCAACAGCTCACGTAACGCCGCCGCCTCGTCTAATGCCATCGAGCCTGCCAAGCCCGCAGAACAGGGCCCTCCCCTGCACTACAGAGTCAGCGTCAACTCGCCCGAGATTATCTTGCTCGCCAACGCAGCCAGCTCTGCCACAGACGCCATTATCCTTTCAGCCCATCAGGTCGTGTTGTCGCAACAGGAGACCATGACCTTGATTGTCGATCGCGTCGGAATGTTTTTGTGCAAAATGGACAAGCGCGAGGATACCTGTCTTCGATTTATCGACAACTTCGACATTGCTCTTTCCATGGGAACTCGCTCGCCTACACCTGGACACCAGCTCACCAACATCACTCTGGACGTTCGACCCTTGGTTCTGAGACTGTCGTACCGTGATGCTATGCTGGTCATGGACATTGTCAACAAGGTGACGGAGCTCCAGTCGATGGTGCAGCCTGCCGTCGGGGAGAAGCCAAAGCCCGTCAAACAGATTCAAGGAGCAGGACCTACCCCTAGAGCGATCGCAGAGGCCGACAGACGTGCGGTTATCACCTCGGCCACCTCTATCGCGCCTAAGCCCAGCGCCAAGCGTATCGTCGAAGAAGCCTCGTTTGTCTCAACCCGCGAAACGGTAAGTCCGCAAGAATTTGAGGAGGCGAACAGTTCTGTTGTTATTTTTATACAGTCGTTAACATGACTTTCGTATGCAATTTTTCATGAAAATAGCTCAAGGGAGTCATCCAGGGCCTTCAGCTTATTCTCATCGACGACATGCACAGTTTGCCGATGCTGGACTTGAAGCTGGACCGGTTCGATTTGGAGGTCAAGGAGTGGTCGTCGGAGATGAAGGTCGATACTTCCCTTCGCCCGAGCATCAACTACTTCAACGTCAGGAACTCTCATTGGGAGCCTCTTCTTGAGCCCTGGCAGTTGGTGATCCACGTCGCCAAGGTTGTTCAGCCTGCCAACATGTTGATTGACATTTTCTCCAAGCAAGATCTCAACATCAACATATCGCACACCTTCATTGAAACTGCCCTGCAGATCATGACGACCATCCAGAAGGAACCAGAGCACGCGGCATCCATCAACCGCGAGACTCTGGTGCCTTATGTTCTGAAGAACAAAACAGGTTATCCTCTGCATGTCTGGGCCGAGTCGGAAAACAACGTTGACATTGTCGTTCACAAGATGAAGGACGGTGCCAGCCTGCCCTGGCGATTTGATGACTGGAGAAAGATGCGCGAGGTAAGTTACATGATACTCGGCATTCTTTTTAATCATGCTCGCATCTTATGATAGGTATTCATCCTCTCATCACTCCTTGTCGTTCTATAGACTGTGGCAAGCAAGAAGAACACTCTTGGTATCCAGTTCGATGGAGTCCCATGGGAGAGTCTCAAAGATGTCCCTGTCGAGAGGGAAGGACGTTACTTGTACGTGCTTCGACCCAAGTTGAACAAGGTCTCTCACCGCGTTGCTGTCGACATCCAGATCAAGAACAACGTCAAGGTCGTCACCTTCAGCTCTGCTTTGTTGGTCGAGAACGCCACTTCCTTGCCCATCGAGGTCGTGGTTATTGACGAGAAGAGGAAGCACCTCTCCAGTGCTCAGAAAATTGCTCCCGGAGAGGATTACTCAGTTCCCATCGAGTCAGCATACAAGCACCGCCTCCTCGTTCGTCCTGATCCAGGATTCAACTACAACTGGAACACTGAGCCCATTTTCTGGCGCGATCTGGCCACGCAGCAGCATAGCCAGCAGCGATACGGATCGAATGGCCAGAGTGTGAATTCAGTCAGCTGCCAACCCAGCGAAGACCGGACCCAGCAACCCTTCCGTTTCCAGGTTCGCGGAGGAACTGATAACTTTGATCCACTTGCCAAGGACTATCCCTACATGACTATCCGCCTCAGTGCACCTGTTGAGATCGAGAACTTATTGCCCTACAACATGCGATACACAATCATGGAGAAGACTTCGCCCAAGCACAGCGGACCTGTGGTGACCTCGTACCTGCGTAAGGGTGGTATCTCGCCATTGCACACCGTCGATGTTCGCAACCTCATGCTCCTTAGCGTCGTCATCGAGAACACGACCTTCCTCCCCAGTGAATACGCCATCGTCACGTCTCATGACCCCGACGAGCTTCCTGTTGAAAACACGTTGACATTGCTCGACCCTGAGGGTCTCAAGCTGACTCTTGGCATTCACCGACAGTATGTTAACTTGCGTTGCTATTGTCGCTTTTATCGATAGACTTGACCTTCATATGTTAACTGTATAATTTTTGCTTTGTGTCGCATAGTGTCATCCCCAACTCTGGCGGAGCAGTCAAGTTCAGTATCTTCTGTCCCTATGTGGTCCTGAACAAGACTGGCTTGGATCTCATCTTCAAGGCCAAGTCATTCATGCAGAACGCCAAGATCGCTGCCGGCCAGGGCTCCAACCGCATGGTCCAAAACAAGGCGCTTCCGCTCATGTTCTCATACGGCAAGACGGAGAACGGCAACCGTATGCTTGTCCAGGTCGGTGGAAGCTCGCAGTGGAGTCGACCCGTCAGTTTTGAGGCTGTTGGAAGCATCATGGAGATTTCCGTGCAAGCAGCAGAGCGACCTGAGGAGATTCATCTGGGAATGAACGTCGAGCTTGGCAAGGGCAAGTACGCTCTGACCAAGGTTGTCACCATCACCCCTCGCTTCATCCTCAAGAACAACTTGGACGAGGACCTAAACTTCCGCGAGGTTGGTTCCAACAATGTCACCTTGCTGCCAGCCCACCAACGCGTTCCTCTGCGGTACATGCGTCTAGGACAACAGAAGCTACTCTCGCTTCGTCTCCCTGGAATCACCTCGAGATGGTAAGCTTGCGGACGATCTGCTTAAGGATTTGTATTCTATGCGAGCCACCCTTTTCTTTTGTTGAACTAATAGTTGATATCGTGTTTTGTATCCAACATTAGGACGGCGCCTTTCAACATCGACGAGATGGGCAAGATGTACGTTACAATCCTGCGTAGCGATGGTGAAGTCGAGCTTATTCGGATCCATGTTATGATGGAGGTTGCTACTGTTTTCATCGTTTTGAACAAGGAGGAGGGTCGCTGGCCATACCGAATCGATAACCGTTCGTCGTGGGACATCGCCTTCAGCCAACACGTAAGTAGCATCGGCTTTGCGTGTTTTATATGGAATGGTAGTCATTAGGGTTCAACTCATTCTAACTCTTATTTCTTCCAACGCTCTTTGATCTATCAGAGCAACGTTCGTAGCGACTCTGCCACAGCGTCGACGGCCTCGTTCTCGAGCTTCGCCGCCAAGACCTACAAGCTCAAAGCAGGCGAGACGATGGCATACTCCTGGGATCTGCCTCACATGAAGGAGAAGACGTTGGTTTTGAACGTCAACGGTCGCGAGCGCGAAGTGAGTTTGCAGGAGATCGGATCCTTGGTCCCCTTCAAGTTCCCTGCAGGCGATACCAACGGCATTCTCGCTATTGATGTCATTGCGGAGGGCCCCACGCAGGTCTTGGTGCTCGCAGATTACGACTCGAAGCAGAGTTTGTTCAAGCAGCGATCGTCGAGTCAATTGACGGTCAGTGACAGGAGCGATGACGGCAAGGATATCTCCAAGGACGGCTTCGAGGTTATTGATGTCGACGCCGTGGTCACATTCAACTTCCAGGTCCGACTTGAGTGCATTGGTATCTCTGTCCTGAATCAGCGGATGCAAGAGTTGATCTACATATCGATGACGGGTCTCGAGATGCGATACACGGACTCGAACATGTACCAGTCTGTCAACATGTTGGTGAAGTGGCTCCAAATCGACAACCAGCTGTACGGAGGATCAAGCCCGATTATCCTTTGCCCGACGCAGACCCCCAAGGACGGCAAGGACTCGGCCGCTCACCCAACCTTGCACAGTGCCCTGGTGCGAGCCAAGGACGAAACTCACGGAGTTGTTTACTTCAAGTACTTCTCGGCGTTGGTCCAGGAGCTGACTGTGGCCATGGACGAGGACTTTTTGTACACTCTTCTCGAGTTCTCGAAGTTCAATGTGCCAGGGTGGACGGATGACCCAAGCAAGGTTCAGCTGTGCGACGAGAGTCTCGATCTTCCAGAGCCTACTGCCAATGAGGGCGAGAGTCAGCTGTTCTTTGAGGTGCTCCACCTGCACCCCATGAAGGTCAACCTGTCCTTCATGCGATCGGACCGTGTCAACATCGAGGAGGCCCAACAGAAGACCTCGAGCCACAACCCCATTATGTACGTCTTTAACGTACTCACTATGGCCATTGGAAACATCGATGTAAGTCTTCAATTTGTTCACTTCTTCTGCATTGGGTGCAATCTGCTTTGCCAACTATGTAGTGCATCATTCTAACCCTATGTCAACTTAACGATTACATCTAGGCTGCACCGATTACACTCAACGCGTTGTTCTTGGAGAACGTTCGTGCGAGCGGACCGGTGTTGGTGGATCTTTTGCAGAGACATTACAGCCAGGACTTCTTCTACCAGCTTCACATGATTGTCGGATCGATCGAGTTCTTGGGTAACCCTGTTGGTCTCTTCAACAACCTCAGTTCAGGAGTGGTCGACTTTTTCTATGAGCCCTACCAAGGATTCATCATGGCAGACCGCCCACAAGAGATTGGTCTGGGCATTGCTCGCGGTACTTCGTCGCTGCTCAAGAAGACAGTCTTTGGATTCTCGGACAGTCTTGCCAAGATTTCTGGATCGGTCGGAAAGGGACTTTCGGCCGCCACCATGGACAAGAACTTCCAGGAGCGACGACGCATGGGCAGCCAACGCAACGCACCCAAGCACGCGCTTTCCGGATTGTCTCAGGGAGCGTCGTCGTTGGCCAAGGGTGTTGTCAGTGGAGTGACCGGTATTGTCGAGCAACCGTTGCAGGGTGCCCAGAGCGGAGGCGTCGAAGGATTTTTCAAGGGAGTCGGCAAGGGACTTGTCGGTGCTGTGACCAAGCCCTTGGTCGGAGTGTTTGACTTTACGACTAACGTAACATCCGGTATCCGTAACACTACCACCGTCTTTGACAAGGACCAGACGCGCAAGCGCATCCCTCGTCACGTTCCCAAGAACGGCATCTTGACCCTTTACGACAAGTCTGAGGCCGTTGGCCAGTTCTGGCTCAAGCAGATCGATAGCGGACGATACTTTTACGACGACTACATTGCCCATTTGGTCCTCAAGGGCGACAACATGGTCGCGATGCTGACATCCAAGCGGATCATGGTCTTCCGGGCCGAGAGTCTGAAGGTTGAGTGGCAGTTGGAGTTCTCTGAGATCCAGGCGATTGCGCCCTTCCCGCGTGGTATCTCGATCACGAGTCGACGCGACCAACAGGAGAACTTTATCCCGATCTTTGAGCAGAGTTCGCTCCAGTGGTTCAGCAGCAGGATTGAGGAGAAAGTCAGTCAGTTCAACGCCGAGCTCAAGCCCTTGGAGTAATTGCACGGACGTAGAAGAAGGAAGGAGAGTTCTATTAGATAGCAAGTCATTTACAAATACATATTTTCATTCACCAAAATTCAACTCCAGCCTGCAAAATCCCATAAAAAGGATAAAAGCGGTTGAAAAAAAAACTGGCAAATCATTGGCAATGGGGGCAAAAGAGTATTTTTTTTTTATTCTTCTTCTTTTTATTGATATATAATTACATGGGTGGGTTATTGTTGTTTTTGTTGTTATTCTTCTAATGGGACAACGGGGGGGAGGATTGGGTTGGTATGTCAGACAGAGGGGGGAGAGAGAGAAAGAGAGGTTGCGTTTAAACGGTCATGGTGGCAAACTTTGATAGGATGTCCTGCTTCTCCTGGTCAGAGAGGCTCTGGAGGATACGGTCAAAGCCCTCGACAACACCAGCGCGGTCAGAGGTGTACATGCGAACGACCTCCTCAGCAGTGCCAGCAGCAGTCAACTCCTGGATCATGGCATCGACCTTACGGGACTGGCCCTCGAACCACTCAAGAACAACACGGTCCTCGTGCTCCCAGATCTGGGTAAGCTCAGCCTCGGAGGCGTGGACGGTGTCGCGGCCGAACCAGGCCTTAAGAGTGGCTGTCTGGTCGTCGCGGGTCTGGGTCTTGGAGGCGATGGTCATGCGGCGGCGGATGTACTCCTCAGCGAGTCTTCTGCGGACGCGCCAGTAGAAGTAGCGACGGGCGTTGGTCCAGTCGAGCGACTCGCGGATGGTACCCTTGGCCTTCATGCGGCCGGCGGTATCGTGGAGGTCGGCAAACTGGATGGCGAGCTGCTGGTAGACGGGGAGGAGCTCCTGCTCGCGCTCGGTGAGCTTGGTCTTGATCGCCTCGCGCTCGGCGCCGGCGAGGTCGGGCTTCTCGTACTGGGCCTTAAGGTCGCGGTACTTGTCGTCGAGGCGCTCCATGGTAGCCAGCAACTGGGCCTTGCGGAACTTGATCTCGACAATACCCTCGGGCTCGAGGACTCCGGCACGGGAGCGCTTGTCGGCGTACATCTCCATCATGTTCTCGTTGATGGTTGGGTCAACGACGACCCAGGCACCTCCACGGAGCTCTCCGTTGGGGACGACGTAGACAAAGACGGGCTGCTTGTAGGACGAAAGGGCATCGACAATGAACGATCCATACTTGAGGATCTCATTGAACATGTCGCGCTGACCACCCGAGAATCCACGCCAGTTGGCAAAGATCATCAAGGGCAGCTGCTCTCCCTTGTTAAAGTCGTTGATGGCCTGGGCAGTCTTGTAGGCAGAGTTGGGGTACCAGACATTACCGGCCTCCATCAAAACCTGCTCGACAGAGTCGCCGTTGGCGGGATCGGCGGGGATGATGTGCTCGACAGAGCGGGTCTCAACAGCAATGACTCCCATGGGGACACCACCCAGACGAGCGCGACCAACAACAACAGTGCGGGCCCAACCGGTCAAGGTCTCGGTGAAGGAGCCTTTGTCAAAGAAACCGGTCTGGAAGACAGCATCTTCATCCTCAGCATCCTTACCGCCAATCAACCAACGGGGGTCGTAGACAGCACCCTTGGGGGGCATGTAGTCGATATCACGGTCCCAGGTGTCGTTGCTGACGGTAATGGGGACGGGGGCGTTCTTACGCTCGGGGATGTACGACAACCAGTTGACAATCTTGCCAATACCTTCGTAGTCGTTCTGGGCGGTCAAATGCGAAACTCCGTTCTTGTACATGATCTGGGTACCTCCGAGCTGCAAGTTCGAGGTGTAGACGTCGCGACCGAGCAACTTGTTCAAGGCGGGGGCACCGGTCAAGATGATGGGCTGACCCTCGTTCTGAATAGTACGCTGACCCAAGCGGACCAAGTAAGCACCAATACCTATTTTCAATTATTGAGAACAAGCACAATTTGTCATTAGTAAATAAATCATGGTAACAGAACACAATGCAAAGAATAAATGAGCAATAAGGGTAAACTTACCGACAGAGCGGCAGGTAACCAAGGTGATGGTAAAGATATCATCGTAGGCACGGGAAGTCTCTCCGGCAATCAAACCAGATCCACGCAAGTTCTCAACACCAAGACCATCGACGGCACCAATGACATCGGTAATCTTGTGGCGGGTCTCACCATCCTCAACAATGGTCTCGGTCAAGACAGACTTCTTGCCCGAGCGCTCCTCCTGAGCGTCCAACTGCTTCAAGCCAGCATCGGTGAGGTAAATGTACTTGAATCCCTTGGCGGGGTTCGAGGCATCGTTCCAGCACGAGTTGAAGAGACCAATGACCTCCGAGGCAAGACCGATTCTGGCTCCAGAGTTGGCAGAGAGGTAGACACGAGGGACACCCAGCTTTCTGGCGAGCTCCGAGGCCTTGTAGAAGACCAAGTCCTCCTCGGGTCCGAACGATCCAATGTTGTAGGTGATATCGTTGGCAATCACAATGATCTGGCGACCCTCGGGGTACTCGGGAGTGCGGAGGGTGAAGATCCAGGCGACCATACCGCAGTTGTTCGAGCCGGCCTCACGGACAACCTGCTGCAACTGCTGCTTCTCATCCAAAACCAACTCGCGCATCTCCAAGACCTGGTTGGGGGTCTTGAGCGAGGGGTTGGCCTTGACGGCATGGTTCCACTGGGCACGAACAGCCTGACGGAAGAGCTCACCAAAATCGTAGACGTAGGTGGTGCCCATCAAGTGAGCCTTGTAACGTCTGGGCTGGAGCCACTCCTTGGTAGGGTAGGGCTGGTTGACGGGCAAGAGGTGGAAGGGGCCAGTGGGGCCGACAGACTTGAAGATGGCGCCCTTGTCGGTCTGGATCTCACGGTAGGTGTCGACGTTCAAGACGTAGCCCGAGACGTTGGAGATGATGAAGCGGAGGGGGATGGGGTCGGCGGTATCGTTCTTGGACTGGACGTTGAAGCGGATCTCGGCACCGGTGACGCGGAGGCGCCAGAGACGCTTGCCGTGGCGGTCAATGAAACCCTTGAGGGCAGACTCGACCTCGGTGGCATCCAACTGGAAGGTCGGGATGAAGTTGATGAACAAGTGGTTGCAGTCCGACTGCTTGTAGGTGGCACCGACAATCTCGAGGGCATCCAAAATGTCGTTCAACAAACGGTCAGTCTCCGAGATCAAGTAATCAGCAGTACGGACGCTCGAGCGCAGGCGACCAGGGCGAACCAAGGCGCAGACGAAGAAACGGCAGTCCGAGATGTTCTCCTTTCCAACGGCGTAGTAGACGTGGACCTGACGGTTGTCGATGAAGCAGGGCTTGATGTCAAAGTTGGAGAGACGCGACAACTCGAGACGGTAGGCCATGGCGGGCTCGATGTGACGGATGGTCTGGTCCTCGGCATAGTTGTTGCGCTCACGGAAGGTAAAGTACGAGGGGTAGTTGCCCTGACGGAAGATCAAGAAGGTCATGCGACGAATACCGTGCAAGCGGAGGTGCTCGGACTGGCCCTTGACGATGGGGCTCAAGAGGTTCAGCCAGTAATCGTCTTCGTTAGGGTGGATCGACTCGGACTTCAAGACAACGTTCAAGACGTTGTTGTGGACGCTGGTGGCCTGGACATGGGCCAAATGCTTGTTGGACTTGACGGCGGGGAAGAAGTCCAAGACGGCCTGGAAGCCGCCCTCGAGTTCCTTGATGTCGCGGACAGCGACGATACCACCGGTACGGACAGGCTCGGGATCGGCCTTGTTGATCAAGTAGCTCATGTCACTGACACTGGCAACACGGTTGGGGCCACTCTCGGACTTGTTGGGGGTGTTGAGCAAGAACTTCCAGGTGATCAAGAGGGGGTTATGCTCCATGTGGTAGTTGATATCCAAGATCTCGTAGGCATGGTAGGCACGACGGCAGTAGACCTCAAAGGCAGCAAGGCGGACGTGAGCCGACTCGTGGTAGAAGAAGTTGGGCAAGACATCAAAGACAGTGTAGGTTGTATCGACCAACTCCTTGAGGTTGTCGTAGTTGGGCATGCGGGCCTCGTGGTCACCACCATAGATCTCTTCGGTGACACTGGAGCGGAGAATCTTCTCCATCTGGGACTGACGCTCCTCGAACGAGGGCAACTGAACATGGATCAGCAGCTCCCTGGCCTTCAACGAGACCTTGGAGGTCAAGCGACCGTTCAACTCGGCCAACTTCTTGAGAACGGGCGAGAAGAACTTGTCAAGGGCTCCACCAGAGGAAGTGGGCTTGATCTGGTCTAGGAGAGTCAACACCAAGTTGTTCTTGGCGGTGACACGGGAGTGAGAGAGAGCAGTCTGGATAACCTTCTCGACTTCGTCTTTATACTGGTCACGGAGGGCTAAGAGGATCTCCTCCTCGCGAGCAGAGTCATCAAAGAGTGACTCGACCTCGTGGTACTTAGTCAAGTAGTGGGCGATGAAGCTCCAGGAATGGGTCTTGAGACCACTCTGGTATTCCTGGATAATGGTGGTCAAAGGAGCAACCGAGGCGAGGAAGGAGCTGACATCTGCGGGCTTGGAGAAGTTGGCGCGGCAGTGGGCGTCGATCAGGGCCTGAAGGGTGCGGGCGGGGAAGTGCTCATGGTTCTTCATCGACTGGTCAACTTCCTGGTGAAGCGAAATCTCCAGCTTGGGAGGGATTCTATTGTTGGGTAATAATTATTAGAAGAGTAAGTTAGAACAAAGTCAGCCAGAAAGACAGAAACAGACGGACTCCTCCCCGCCATTGACAATCCGACTCCATGTGAAATGAATCCCGCCCGTGTTGGTTGGGTTGCGCCGCTATAAAGTTGCTGTCAATATTTACCTTCCGCTCAGGGATGCAAAGACCTCGTTGAACTCCAAGTAGGGGAGCTCGGGGGTCTGGAGAACCTCAAAGATCTCCTTCAAGGTGGGCTGGACCAAGGCCTGGTTGTCGTATCCATCCATGGCATTGTCGAGGATCAATCGCAACTCGCGGTAACGCTGGTGAGGCTTGGCTCCGTGAATAGTGGGCTGACCCATGGGAGGGAGCTGACCCTCGAAGGGCTTGGCGTGCTTCACACGGGAGGGGTCGTCCAAGGAGAGGATACCGATGATATCACCGGCCTCCAAGGTGGTGCCGGGCTGCTTGATGAACTGGACAATACCATCCTCGGTGGCGATCAAGGGCATGTACATCTTCATGACCTCAATCTCAGCGTAAGCCTGGGAAGCCTTGACGTGATCGCCAGACTCGACTAAGAAGCGGACCAATTTTCCGGGGGAGGGGGAACGGAGCTGAGTGGGGTCGTTCTCCTTCTCGAGCAAACAAGTCTTTCCATCGACCATCAAACGGGTAGCCTGGACCTCCTCAAGAGAGTAAGTGGTGTGAGCCTTGCCGTCCAAAAGAACCAAGAGACCACCGTCAGTCAAGGGGCGGACGGAGATGGAGATCATGGATCCGTTGAGGTACATAGTGTAGGAGTTGGGGCCGGAGCGGGTGGCGGTGAAGTTGTAGCGAACACCGTCGTAGATGAAATCGAGCTGGGTGACGGAGCGAAGAACATCCTTGCTGGGGATCTGGCCCTTCTCCAGCGACTTCTTGTACTCCTTGAGGCAGCTCTCCGAGATGGTGTGGGCCCTGTTGACGGCACCGCACATGACGGCCAACATGGTCTCGGGACGCTCAGCGGTCAAGTTGTTGGAGATCAAGCTGTCGAGCCAGCCAGTATTGATGGTGTTTTCTTCGAACTCCTGAGTCTCCAAAAGGCGAATGAGATACTCGACGGTGGTACGGAAATCTCCACGAATCGACAACTCCTTGAGGGCGACGACCATGTTCTTTCTCGATTGGCCACGATCCTGACCGTAGGCAAAGATATGTCCGAATTGCGAGTCGGCAAACTCGTGGAGACCACCAGCAGAGCTGACCGAGAAGTAACCCCAGACGTTGGTTGAGGATCTAAAGTTGAGCTCCTGCATCATTCCGCTCGAGGGCTTGAAACCGGCATCGGGGTTCTCGGCGGTGATACGGACGGCGATAACGTGACCCTTGGGGGCGGGCTTGCGCTGGGTCTCGAACGAGGCCTGCTGGGCAAATTCAAAGTCAATCTCGGAGGTACCGCTGGGCTGGAGGCCGTAGAGAACACGGATGTCCTTGATGCGGTTCAGGGGCAGACCCATGGCAATCTGGAGCTGGGCAGCGGGCAGGTTAACTCCAGAGACAATCTCGGTGGTGGGATGCTCGACCTGAAGACGGGGGTTCAACTCCAAGAAGAAGTAGGTGTCGGTGGCGTGGGAGTACAAGTACTCGACAGTACCGGCAGAGACGTAACCGACCAACTTGGCAAGACGGACAGCGGCCTTCTCCATCGCCTCGAAGGTTTCGGGCTTGGCGATGGTGACGGGAGCCTCCTCAATAATCTTTTGGTGGCGACGCTGAACGGAACAATCACGACCAAAGAGTGAGATGGCATGTCCGTACTGATCGGCCAAAAGCTGGACCTCCAAATGACGAGCGTTTCCGGCCAACTTCATGATGAAAACGGGGGAGCCGGGGACCTCACCAAGGACCTGGAGGAAAGCCTGGGCGAAATTCTCGGGGTCCTCGACCTTGCGAATACCCTTTCCTCCGCCTCCCTCGGAAGCCTTGATCATGATGGGGAAGCCAATGATGTGGGCCTTCTTGAGACCGTCCTCGGCATCGGTGACACAGGCGGCCTGGTAGGCATCCTCGGGGACGGTGACGAAGCCGTTGGGGTCCATCTCGGTGTCGGTGATACCGGTACCGGACCAGCCCATGGTAGGGACATCGGCGGACTGGGCGACGATGGTGGAGGAGATCTTGTCACCGAGGGAGCGCATGGCCGAGCCCGGGGGACCGATGAAGATGATCTTTTGAGGGCTGTCGCGGAGGGACTCCGGCAGCTTGGGGTTCTCGGAGGCATGTCCCCTATTTATTGTTATGAGGTAATGTAGAGTCGCAATTAGCAAGAATGAACGTTATCTGTTGCTTCAGCTTGTCGGTCTGTGCGGGTACAGGATCATAGAAAAGACTCCATGACAAAGAGACAATGCAACAAAAAAGCCGATGATAAACGTCGATAGTTGCAACACGACAGAGCGACCAAGGAAACAACCAAGGTCGTAATACTGGCAGTGTGACTGTGTGGTGTGCGGTGTCGGTGTCGGTTGTCGGTGCATGTCGAATGTAATAAATCAAAAAAAAAATGTTTCGACCCCCAGCAAAAATATTTTTTTTTGGGGGAGGAGCAGAGGAGCAGAGGAGCAAAGGACGAGGAGAAAAGAAGGGGGATGGATCCAAGACATTGCTGTTCTCCACACTGTGCTCATACTCACAATGTGCCCATTGAGCACATTGAACCATTGAATCCACCTGTCATTGCCAATTGCTATTGCCACTAATATCTTGTACCGGTGATAACCCCTCATACTCCACGGATCAATCACATTCAACACCTCGCTTGCTCCTGTGCCTGTGGTGAATTTTGTATCCGTGCCCATGCCAATGCCACTTGACCCTTGTCCCTTTCTCCTTGCCCCAAAAGATCAATTCACTCTCATCATCCAGCCAACATTCTTCTGGTGGCTGTAGTCGTCGTCGTTGCTGTTGTTGTTGTGGTTATGCCGCTGAAATACAAGAAATTATCCCGCCAGCTGTTTCGTCAAACCTGATCTCAATCCCACCAAAAATACATTCAATCGAAAAAGAAAAAAATAATGCCCAAAAAAGAAAGGAAATCAAAAAAAGAAAAACGTACCATCCGGCCCAGACGGCATGAACTCCGGTGCGCTCGGCAATATCGACGATGAGGTCAACGTTGGCGTAGTTGTTGTTGTTGGAGCCTCCTGGTACCTCAACATACTGATCGGCCATGCGGATATATTCTGCGTTCACCTTGAGATCCTCAGGTGTAGCCATGACAGTGAACTGAATCGCGTGTTCGTCCCCAAAGGTCTCGTAAGCCCACTTGCGGACGGAGCGGATCTCCTTGACGGCGGCAATACCGTTGTTGGCAATCAGGATCTTTGTGATCACACTGTGTCCTCCATGTTGGCTGACGAAATCACGGACGGCGCCAGCAGGGGCCTTATCTAATGCGTTTCCGCCTATTAGAAATGAGTGATACAAAAGAAAAGGGGAAAGAAAGGCACGCAGGGTGCAAGGTTGTTGTTAGTAGTGACAAAAAAAACACAAAAACACAAGAAAGAAAAGCACGAGAGCATTGGCAAACGTGCCTGCAATGTTCAATTGCTGTTTGTCATCCATCTCTCTTCTTTTTTCCCGTTCTTTTCGTCGTTCGTTGTACTTTTTGACAGACCCGTTTTTTATGTATTTTTCCCATTTGCCCAACTGAAAATTTCCAGATCGTATTCCATTCTCCCACGATGTTGACAAACTGCTGTCCGACACACACAAGACAAAGGTGATAAACTCAATTGAGAATGGTGGACACAACAACTTACCGATGAAGGATTGTACGTTGGTGGTCATGATGGGATATTGATCTGCTCGCTTGTTTTAAGGTGAAATAAAGGAGCGGATATGTATACGTGTATGTGGGGAGGTGGTAGGTTACTGGTCCAGCGGGAATAGGTTATTATAGAGAGATATAAAGTGATGGACGAATGAGGGTGGAATGGTTGATGGTGGTGGATACAGATGAGAGAAGGGAGATATGCAGAAAGAAAGAAGAAGAATAACAAACAAGAAGAAGAAGAAAAAGTACAACGGAATGAAGGATTGCAATGCAAATGGAAGAAGAGGAATAATACGGATATGAGGAAGGAGAAGAAGAGGTGAAGAAGAAGAACAAAGTTAGAGAGAGGGGGGTGTTGGAAATAAGAAGAAGTGGTGAAGGAGAAGAAGAAGAAGAAGAAGAAGAGGAGAAGGATTTAAAAATGTGCGAAGAAAAAAGTAAAGGCGGGGCAACAACTGGACAGAGAGAGAGAATTGGGTGCAAGATATAAGAAGAGCAGTCTCACAACCTGGGGATGAGGGTTGAAGGGTGGGGGTGTAAAGGGCAAAGGTTACTGTGGCTTGGGTCCGAAAGGAAAAGAGAGAGGACAATCCCAAAGACACCCAACAAAAACCAGGGACCGTGCTGATTGGCCGGTGGCGGATATGCTCCCTCGTCGCGGGTTCCCCCTTCTGGCGACCCATTGGCCATGTTCCCAAGATCACAGAACAACGTAGTGTTGGCTCAGGATCCATCACTCTCATACTCTTGCCCTGATGGAAAATACTGGCTCCTTCATTGTCTTTTGTGTGCCTGGATTAACTCTTTGAGCTTTGTTTCTGAAAAAAAGACACATTAAAAGACGTTCATTCGACTCCTTCTCCATGTCAAGGGGGAGGAGTTACTACAACCACAGACCTATCGTCTCGCCTTTTGAATGCACCTCTTTGCTTCCATTATTCAATCGATCTGTTGTCCAAAAGATCCTTCCAGTCCGCCTCAAAGCAATCAACAACGCATCCAAGATCAATGAATGGACAGCAATCAGATTCTTCAAAGATTTGCTTTTGTGATCGTGCAGTCGGCGATAAAACAAACATCCGGGTACCCAACGCGTTTTTGTTATCTTCCACCCGATCCTCCCTTTCCCTTTGTCTTCTTTCTTTCTATAAGTATCAAACACGCTAAAGAAGACAACAGAATGGCAGGGCTGTAAGTGAGCGTTGATGGCCTGTGGGTTATCAATGGCGTATATTATGCAAGGTGGAGATAAACGAGTAAGAAAAAGAAACGACTATCTTGATGGGGAGAGAGGATTGGGGACATGGGGGAACTAGGGAATGAACGAGGCGCGGATCAAACCCCTCGTGGACCAACTATATAGACTACTAGGCCGACAAACACTTGTTCTTCGCCATTGCTTTCTTTCTTGACCACCGAAGTCGTTTTTCCCTACCCGAGCGCTCCTTGCTGAGGATGGGGGCGAGTATCAACGGGGGTGTATATAGAGGGGTTTATTCGGACGTTCGTTGGGCTAATTCAATAGAGTTGGTTGGATATTTTTTTTTGTTGTTGTTGATTTTCAGGTCCGAACACATTTGATAAGATCTTGCCCCCACAAAAATGCCTTTATTCTCTTACTAAAATCCGTACCCAAAAAAAAAAAAAAAAAAGAAGTAAGGAGAGGCCGACTTAACAGACATCATCCCCAGAAAGAACGGTGTTTCTTTACAAACGGACAATTGGTTTTTTTTTTAATTGTGTTGGCCTCTTTTTTTTTTGTGGGACTTTTGACTTGATGTTCAAAGAGGGTGTGTGCGCAATTAAAGAAAGATCTCTCTTAATGAATGCTCATCGTGCAGATACGACTCGTCTGTATTTCTTTTCTTTGCATAGAATTGTACTGTCCCATCATATCAAACCTTTGTTTTTCTTTTCCAACAGCATCGGAAAGAAAAAAAAATGACTTCACGGATCGGAAGCAAGTTTTAGTATGACGTTCTTGCGCACAAACCACCCGCAAGCAAGATATGATATCTGCTTATTGTGACAGACGCCCTTAATCAGTGTCTACGAGCGCAACGGACAGACACTTACGCCAATGAGGCGAGATAATGCAGCTCATTTGTCATTTGGAATGTTGGACCAAGACTCTTATATCTGAGCTGGCTAACCGACGTATGACAGGTTGTCGAAGCGGCTAACTATTTTTTCAACTGACCCAAAGTAGCCGATATTCACACTGCTATAGCCACATGCTACCAGCACTGGTTCCCCTTCAGCTACTGCTTTTCCTTTTCGACAATCGTACCTCCAAGGTGGGAGTAAGCAAAAGACGTCAACCATTTGTCATTTTTGATAAGTAAGTAACGTCGACGGATCAAAGCACAATGGCAAACAATAAGCGGCTCCATATTCTACTATTGTGTGTGTATGCACGGAAGAAGCGCACTATTTTCTATGGCACGCATGGATGGGACAAAGAAAGTAGACTCTCTCCAATTACATCCAGACCCGAGAATTGGCTAGGTCAGAAAATATAAAAAAGGAGCACATTTCCCGTGACAAATAGTTCAGGTAATAAAAGGCCCAGGAAAAGGAGGTTTGGTCTCCTTGACTTCATGACTAAAACTTGTACTTGAACGCCCGGACCGCTGCAAACATGTGTACGGGTACATAGCAATTAAGGACTTACTTTGTTATTTCGGCGATTGTTCTTGTCGTTCATTTGAAGCAGGGTGAAAGGGAGAAGGGTGTTGTTGGAGGGTGGACGACGGTTGTTGGTTGTTCTGCGGAATCTTTTGCTATGAGAACGGAGGGAGAAGTGACAGATGTCATCAAAAGAGAAGGAAAAGGGAGGGTAAAGAGCAATGGCAATTACTCTCGCTACCCGTTCGTCTTGACAGAGGAGAAGAGGGATGGTAATAAGCAACATGGTCGAGGATATTCCGCATTGATGGGATACCGTGGATGGATATGGCCACTTTGATGCGTTTGCTAGTGGAGATAACAAGGTCCCTGAACGTTTTGATCGTGTCAGGGGACGTGGAGAAAGAAGATTTAATATCGAAAGAGACAAAAAAACAACGAACATTCAAGCCGAGCCGGGCAACAATGAGAGATATGTTGTCCGAAGTACGGTGGAGGTGCAGGGCGTACGAATACAGCGATCGGTGCGCTGGGAGAATAGGACAAGCGGATTGTAGAGGGCCCCTACACGACATGCTAGAGATTCTAGACTGGTCTATTCATGAACGGTTGGTGAACAAAGAAGGAAGAAAGCGAGGGTATTGACGACTCGTATAAAAGGGTCTTGTGGAGACGAAGCTGGCCCCTTTGTGCTCTTCACCCACACTTCCCTCCCTTCTCCTCGTGTCCTTTCACTTGTTTCTCTTCTTTATCTTTTCTTGTTCCTCATTGGACATACACTCTCATTCTCCACTCTCTTTAGTTTCATCAGCTCTCATTCATCATTCACTCTCACATTCACTATACAATAACATGGCTGCCACTGATGTCGACATTCAAGCTGTAGAGCTTCCAGGCACCCGCCGCCCAGGCCAGACCGGTATGAGCGGGCATACACTTTATCTATTCTTCGCTACTCAGCATACTGACTTTTACACTCCTAGCGGTGATTTTTTCACGAATGGAACTCCGCATACTCATATTCCACCTGCTCCTGTTCCTCAAAATAGGCATTTATCGCCGCAAGGGTTTCGAAGATGCCCTGTTGGCCATCCCTCCTTCCAGGCCCCACATCAAGACCATCTACGATGCCTTCCAGCATGGTATGTAGACTTGTTCACAAGTTATTGACTGATATGAGCCAAGTGCGCTATGTTTTGCCATTGGTCCCTTTTCTGACCCGCTTCGTCTCCCTCTGTTCTGTTTGCATGGTCTGACAAACAAACAAAACAAATAGGATTAAGAGTGTCGCCCAATGAGGCTGCTCTAGGTCGCCGCATCTTTGACCCCGTCACCAAGACATATGGAGGCTACATCTGGCAGACTTACACGGAGGTCGGTGACCGTATCACTCGTTTCGGAAGTGGACTCGTCAAAATTCATCAGGATGCCTTTGGATTGTCGCACGTCGCCCAAAAGTTCGCCGTTGGTATCTGGGCGATAAACCGACCAGAGTGGACCATTACCAGTGAAGGTTCGGAATGGAGGAGCGAAAAGATGATAGGAGAAGATAATACTGAGCGCGATGGTTTTTTTGTTCTTTTTGATGGACGCTGGACTGACAATCAATGAATTATTTCTTTTTCTATTAGCTTGTTCGGCTTACAATTTGTTCTCGGTTGGGCTTTACGATACCCTTGGACCCGAGGCCGTCACTTACGGCATTAACCACTCGGAGTCTTCGGTTGTCGTCACAAGCGGTAAGGGAAAACTCTTTCAAGGATGTTAACGTATTCTACTCGGTGCACAAGAAACGAGAGGACTCACCTTTTATTTATGTTTCTTGTGCTGTGAATAGTGGACCATGTGGCGACTTTGCTGAACGATGCTGACAAGATGCCAGGAATGAAGGTCATCATCAGTATGGACTCGTTCGACGCTGAGAAGCCCCAGCCTGGCGCCACCAACACAGGATCGATTCTCAGGACGTATGCTCAGGACAAGGGCGTTCTGCTCTATGATTGGGCCGAGGTCGAGGCCATTGGGATCAAGTACGGGCGCAAGCACACGCCCGCCACACCCGATGACATTTATACCATCTGTTACACGTCGGGAACTACCGGCCTCCCAGTAAGTTGTTTTCTCTTGCTCTTCTGAGGTGTATGAGGAGAACTATGTCATTGTAGCAGGTGACTAAATGTCACTCTCCACTTCTTCTTCCTGGATCAAATAGAAAGGTGCAATTTTGACCCACAGAAACATGAATGCGGTTTTGGCCTCGGCTGACGCCACGACACCCATGTCGCCTTCGGATACTTTGATCAGTTTCTTGCCATTGCCTCACGTCTTTGGTCGCCTCATGGAGATTTTCGCATTCTCGGCTGGAGGCAGGATTGGTTACTCGACCGGTGACCAGCTCCGTCTTCTTGAGGATATCGGACAACTGAAGCCCACCATCTTCCCCGCTGTCCCCAGATTGCTGAACCGTGTCTACGCCAAGGTATATGCTGCGACTATCGAGGCTCCTGGTCTGACTGGTACCTTGGCTCGACGTGGACTTGCCACCAAGTTGGCTAACCTCGAGGCTGGCAAGGGGTTCCTCCACCCACTTTGGGATCGCATCCTGTTCTCAAAGGTCAAGCAGGCCATCGGAGGCAATGTGCGCCTGATGTTGACCGGTAGGTCAGGTGGCGCTGTTTTTGTTTGTTATCTTGGAGCGAGAACTTTGTATCCGTATTTTTCCCACGCTACGGCTAACGGCTCATATTTTTTTTTGTTCACTTTGATTATCTTTCCTTTTCGCGATCGACATAGCTTCGGCTCCCATTTCAGCCGAGATCCTAAGCTTCATCCGCGTCGCTTTCTGTTGCGAAGTGGTTGAAGCCTACGGGCAGACGGAAGGTAACGACTTTTCCTTTTCGTCCTGGATGGATTGTAATATGCAAACAAAAGTTCGCTTGAATCGTCATTTTTTGCTAATCCTTTATATTTTTTTTCTTGCCCGAATTAGGCTCGGGAGCGGCAACGAATACGAACTCGAACGAGCGAGTTGCAGGACACGTTGGACCACCGAACGCCTGTAATGAGATCAAGCTGGTCGACGTCCCCGAGTTGAACTACTTTGCAACCGACAAACCCCACCCTCGTGGAGAGATCTGTGTCCGTGGACCGAGTGTTATTCCTGGATACCTCAAGGATGAGGTCAAGACCAAGGAGACCATTGACGAGGAAGGGTGGTTGCATTCAGGAGATATTGGTATCATTGGATCGAATGGTGTCATTACCGTCATTGACAGGAAGAAGAACGTCTTCAAGGTAGGATATCACTTTGGTTCTCCTGCGACACCAGCACATTACATTTTTGCCACCAAATAGACATTTGTGACTGACTACTATAATTTCTGTTGCATCACCAGCTGAGCCAAGGAGAGTACATCGCAGCAGAGAACATCGAGGGCAAGATCCAGGCGCGTATCCCCTTTATCCAGCAGATCTTGGTCCATGGAGACTCGACCGAGAGTTGCCTAGTCGCAATTATTGTCCCCGAGCCCGACACATTTGTTCCCTTTGTCAACAAGGTCCTCGGTGGAGTTAACCTGGCGTTAGAGAATGTTGCCGATTACAAGCGGATCTGCTCTGACCCTAAGTTACGTCAGGTCGTTCTTCAGGAACTTAACAAGGTTGCCAAGGATATCGGCTTGAGGGGGTACGTTCTCTGTTCAACATTGTCTGTCACTTTTTTTTCCTGTTTTTACTGTTCATACTCTAGAGAAACAGGAACTCACACATCTACCATTTTTTTTCTGCTCGTTGTAGATTCGAGATCCCAAAGGCGATTTTGATTGAGCCAGAGGCATTCACGGTCGAGAACGACAAGATGACACCCACGTTCAAGATCAAGCGCCACCCCGTCGTCCAAGAGTACCGTGAGCGATTGAACACCCTCTATGCCGAGCTCCGTTCTAAGGAGTCCAAGCTCTAAAACACATGTAACAACAACAAGATACCATTCAAATGTGGACTGAGATTTCGATCGCGAAATAAAGGAAATACAAACAAAACCATCCATAGGTATATATTTATAATGAAATGTGTATGTCCGACCTGGACAATTGCGGACACAGGGTGACGGGGAAAAGATGGGAAAACGCGAGGCTAAGCTTCCAAAATCACGCAAAAAAAATAATAATTGAAGCTACGCCTGTTGAGGGCAGTCTTGTCGCGGTTGTGGTCCCCGACCCAGATGCCTTTTCTGCGTTTGTCAACAAGGTTCTTGGAGGAAGGCACTGCTATCACAAACGCCGTCTACCAGGATACTAAACTCCGTCGCGCTGTTCTTAAAAAGATTACCCTCGCAGGCCAAGCTGCCAATCTTAAGAGGTAACCTCGTGGTGATATTCCTTTCTTGAAAAAGTGTATTGTGTCGCTGCGACTGCCTAGCCAACTCCACTGTCGTTATCATATGTGAATAGCTTTAAGATTCCCAAGGCGGTGTTGATTGAACCCAAACCATTCACGGTCGAAGGAGGCATGCTGACACCGACCCTCAAGGTCAAGCGCCACCCTGTCGTCTAAGCCTACCGCAAGCAGATTGATAAGCTCTACCGCGAGACCTGCAGTGGCGCTGACCCTAAGCTGTAGTTGTTCAACGTTCATTCTAGTTTGATGAATAAGGTTTCGTGCCCTTCTCAGATATGACAGCCCTGAATCCTGTGAATCGAATTATTTCCCTCAAGCAACAAAGCCGCTCTGCAAATTTACTCTACTCCTGTCAGCCACCGCCCCCCGTTCTTATTTGTCGGGCGGGCACTTTCAAAGCGCAGTTGCGCTTTACATTTGTCACACACTTTCTCCTCTCCTTTCTCTTACAAAAAAGGAATCTCCTTCCCTCATTCACTTTGCTTCTCTTTCTCTTTCTCCTCTGCAAAACATACCCACTCTCACTTCCACACCAACACAACACAACAACTACTACAATGTTCACAGGCATCGTTGAAATCCTCGGAAAGGTCACTTCCATCGTTCCTCTCGACTCGAGCGAATCAGGCGGACAGGGATTCAGCATCACCATCGGCAACGCTGCCGAGATTCTGGGCGACTGCCACCTCGGCGACAGTATCGCCGTCAACGGTAAGCTTAGCACACACAATTGCCATTATTACTTTCTAGCGCGATATGCTTGACTTGTGGATACTCGGTTAAGGTCGTCCCCCTTGCGATCGAAAAAATCGATCCGCGATTAAAAAGGACCTGAGAAACTAACAAAAAACATTGTACCCGTGGACATGGATCTAATTCGCGAAATGATAGGAACTTGCCTGACGGTGACAGAGTTTGATGCGTCGTCCTTCAAGGTCGGTGTTGCCCCCGAGACCCTGCGCAAGACCAACCTTGGTAAGTATTTGTTCTCTCAACAGCTCACCATTCAATATTCCCGTGTATCTCTCATGGCAATTGCCTAACCCCTCCTCCTATTAATTTCACTTGCAAAAAAAAAAAACAGGATCGTTGAAGGAAGGCGACGCAGTGAACTTGGAGCGCGCAATGAACGCCCACACCCGCTTTGGCGGCCACATGGTCCAGGGCCACGTCGACACAACTGTCACCATCCTCTCCAAAACTGACGACGGCAACGCTATCACCTTTGTCTTCCAGGTCTCGGATGAATACAAGGATCTCATGGACTACATCGTTCCCAAGGGATTCATCTGCCTCGACGGTACCTCTTTGACCGTTATTGATGTCGACGATATCAAGCGCACCTTCTCGATCATGATGATCGCCTATACCCAGACCCGTGTCGTCATGCCCACAAAGGCCCTTGGCGACCATGTCAACGTCGAGGTCGATATGATGGGCAAGTATGCTTCCAAAGGTGTCGAGGCCATGATCAAGAGATTCTTGGATGGTGAGGATGGTGAGGCCATGGTTGCCAAGGCCCTCGACCGCGTCCTCGCCAAGCGTGCCGCCAACTAAAAAAAAACAACAGAAATGAAAGCTCGTCTTTCGTGTACATTTTTCAGCCACCTACCACATTCCATAGACATCCTCACTGTTATCCTGCACCATAATAAATATGTGGATCAAATCTACCCCTGATATGTCATTCGAGCCATGGGATACATACAAAAGCGCATGCAAAAAGAGATATTGAAAATAATTATATATTCATTGAGGTACAGAAAGAAAACAGCGAAAAAAAGAACATAAAAGAAACGAGTAGAACTAAAAAAAGGCGATAAAAACCGAGCTTACTCAAAAGCATCCTCCCTCTCAACATCGACCACACTGTCCTCCATACGGGCAAAGTTCAAGAAGTGCGTGGGACGATGCAACTCGTGGTAGAACTCCTTGGGCGTATCAAGCACAAGGCGGTACTTCATATCCGCAGTGTGCTGCGCACCCATGAACGAGTAGTTCCACACTCCCGAAGCTGGCACCATAAAGAATCCGAGAAACCGGTCTGACAGCAACATCTGCACCTTCTCGTAGTGCGAGGGCAAGTAGCCCTGGGGGTTGTTACCCGTGTCCTTGTTGTTGCGACCCCACTCGAATCCAGAGGGTGTCAACTTGTAGGCAGTCAACGAGCACGAGCCGGGTGTGAACGAGCAGGTGATGATGATGGTCTTCTCACCATCCCACGACTTGTTGTCGGCCATAATCTTGGCGTGAGTCGTCACGTCCTGGGGCGAGAGCTGGGCCAACTCGTTGGGCTGGGTGTGAAGCCATCCCAGGGGCTCGAGGTCGTTCAAGTACTCGTGGTTGGGCAACATGTGGGGCAGGTGCACGGTCTGATGAGTTCCCCATTGAGGGACCATCACAATAGCACGAATCTCCTTGACCTGGGCGTTGTCAGGAGGCGAGACACCGTACATATAACCAGAGATCTGGGTACGGAGATCCGAGATTGTAATGAACCGCTTGAGGATGTTCTTGGGCAAGACATAGGTGAATCCAGTCTCCTTGATATCGTCCGTCGACACATAGATGTGGTTCGTGCGCAAGTGCAAGTTGGTCGACGAAATCGCACGGATGCGCCACTCGGTCTTGGACGAGAAGGTCTGGGTTTCGTAGGGGGCTGTGGTGGTAACAATCATCTCATCACCGTGAATGTTCTGGGTCTTGGTGGTCACGGCAGTCAACTGCGAGGGTTCCTTGGCCTGCTTCTCAATCTCGGCAATCTGCTGGCGCTGGAGCGAGGGAGCAGAAATCTCCATACCCAAAATGATATCACGGATCTCGGACTGGGTCAACGAGGCGACGTTGACGTTGTTCTTCTTTCCGTAGTCTCCGAGAATGAGATCCTTCAATGCTGTCTCGACTCCGAGCCACTCATCATCGGACAGAGTGGGCCAAACGTGGTGGGCCTCGGTAATAGTGGCCTTGTCGGGGCGAAGGATCATCTTGGTCTTGTCGCTGTTGACGTGAAGGGCACGGAGAATCAAGATGAGACGCGAGAAGGCAGTGTAGGACGAGATTGACTTGAGCCAGTCATCGTACAAACCGAACAAGCACATCTGGGGCTCAGTGGCTCTGAGAATCAAGTCTCCGAACTTTTCAATCTTCAAGCAGGCTTGGAAAGGAAGCTGAAGCTCGGAACCCTTGATAACAATGTTGGGGAAATCTATTATTCGTGACAAAGAGGCGAGTTAGCTATCTGTTCCATGCGACGGCAATAGGAGCAACTTACGCGACAAAATACACGCGAAAGAATTAGATGACTTACCCAAACAGTGAACCTCGAGAGGATCCAGCATTCCCTTGCGGGTGACAATCAGCTGCTTGGGCTGTTCTTCGACGGGGAGGGAACGAATCAAAGCAGCGACTTCCTCAGCAGTCTTCCACTTGGCCAGCTGTCCAAGACGCTTCTGACCAGCCCAGACAGAGGTATGAATAATCTTCAAGAACAACTGTCCAGTTCTGGGGTTGAAGATGAAAATGGCACCGTTGATAGGCTTGGTGGTCTATTGTGGGTAAAGAGAGCATCGCAAAAATTAACAGGTCAGTGCCATGCATAATATACAAACATTTCATTTGGCGCGTCAAAGACAAAAAATGAAGAGCCAACTTACCAAGTTACCCTCGAAGGTCTTATGGATGGTGACACGGTACACGTTGGTGTCATCAACGAACCAAATGATCTGGTTCGAGAACAGTTCACCATAGTTCTGGGACGACAAGTATGGCTCAGTGGGCTCAGACGAGTAGAGCTGAAGACCCTTGCGAATACGCTCACGAAGGACATAGAGCGCAGGATTGGCCTTAATGATCTTGGCCATGGCCTGCTGCATCAAGATCTTGAGACCGGGGAACCAGTTACCGTAGGCACTGTAGAGCGAGTAGGCGAGATCCACGCCGACCATCACACCAGTGGGCGAGGGGTAGATCGACATGTTGTCGGTAGTGTAATCCAAGAACTTGGCGCGAGTGTAACGCTCAATATCGTGAGAATCGAAATCACCCCAGCGAAGCTGAATATCAATCCAGAACTTTTGAGTCGTAGCACCATCGGTGTTGTCCCTAGAGTCGGTGAGAAGCGAGGGGCGCGAGACCTTCCACTTGTAGGATCCGAACAATAAGATATCAGCGCAGGAACTGTTCATCTTGTACGACTTGCGGGGATGGATGGTCTCCTTCTGCACAGTCTCAATCTGGAGAGCCTCCAATTCCTGATCCAGAACCTGACACATATCCATCGTCAACGACTCGTGAATCTTCTGCCACAAATGGGCTATCAATATGAAGGTGAGTCAAAGAAAAGGGATGTTGTTAGAGGGTCGTTCAAACAACACAAAAGTACACCGGTACATACAACAGGAGCCAAGTAATTACCTCTGAAAATCTGAATGAGCGAAATCTTGAGCGTGGGGATCTTGCCGTGCATGAAGATACCGGTCAAATCAAGCTGGACCTGGAAACCGACATAGACGTTGGCACGGTTGATCGTGGGCGACCACCAGAGCGTGAAGCGACGGTTAGGAATCTGGTTCAAACCGGAACGCTGGGCGTTGGTCAACTTCTTGTACTTCATCGACTCTTCGAAGCCAGAGTTGTGGACAACCAGGAAATCGTCACGGAGGAAGCGCTGGTTGCCATCAACAAGGAAACCAAAGTACGCCTCGGGCTCGGCCTTGCGCTCGACAGAGGCAATGGACGAGAGATGCCAGTCACCACAGTCGCTGACCCGCTCACGAATTTGTTTGCGAGGGAGCAGCGTGGGAATCCGAGAAATGTCACCGGACACATTGAGAGCCAATTGTGTTCCTGTAGACGTTCCAGCCACCTCGCGTTCAGTTAACGAGACACGGAAGCCAAGCGACCGCGCAAGCCACATGACATCCTGCAGGAGTCGCACATGCCACCTCTTGGACTGGGTGAACCTGAGCTCCAGGCTCTCCGTAATACGGCATCCGTCGGTGTCCATAAGACCGGCCAAAAGCTGAAGACGGGCTTGTTCGCTGGCCATCATGTAAGCACTAGGAATATGCTTGCGATCAGTTTCGGGGCCGACATGAGTTGGGGTTGGGATGAGACTGTGAGCCAGAAGCATGTCCAGAAGCGGGTTACTGGGTCCTGACTTTTCGACCAAACTGTGGGCAAGGTGTCCAGGAGAGCTGGCGAGCTGGAGGCCGAGACGCGAAGCATAGTCCTCGAGATAACTCATAACGGGACCCTCGTGATCGTTGACAGTCGTGGCGCTGCTGCGGATGTTGTCCCCAAGCCAAAGACCTAAAAAGTAGGGCTCAATGTCGAGGTTGTCGTCATCCGGAGACTGGAAAGGAATACTTGAGGCGTGGTAGAGGAGGAGCGTCTTCTGGCTGGACTCAGGTAACGCAAGGTACTCATCAACAGTCATCTCGAAAAGCTGTTCCTTTGCGAGGTTTTCAGCTCCGTTAGCAGACTCGATAGCTGCAGTCTCAGCGTCTTCAGGGGTTCGTCGTGACGACTTCTTGAAGCACAGGATGTGGTTGTTGGTGACGGTCAAAGGCTGGACGTCACCGTGGATGCGGATCTCGTACAGCTGATCCTGACCAGTGACAATCTTGTTGACAGTACGAGGAGTACCATCGTCTCCCAACAAGGCATCACCGACACGAACATCGGGTGCAGCGACAGGGGTGCCGTCAGCGCGGAGCAGGCGAGTGTCGGCAGAGAAACAGGCTTTCTCCCAGAAGAGACCCTCCCAGGTAGGGAAGTAGGTGCCCTTGAACAGAGTGTGCTCCAGAATACCCTCGACTCCTCCCAATGCCTGAATCATGTCAGTACGGTAGTTGTTGAGCTGCCACAGCTTTCCATCATGACGACTATGAGTCCATGCAAATCCGTTAGTCTTGAGGATCTGGTACTGCTTGAACTCGGATCGGACACGCCATCCCTTGTCGTAGGCGAGGGTGTGGCGATCCTTTTGGAACAAACTGTTGATACGAGGAATACCACGGTCCCACGAGTCTTCCAGATCCTCGAGAGTGAGTCGACGGTTCTGGGCGTTGGCCTCCTGACGCTTGAGGGCATACTCGGACCAGACACGCTGCGAATCGATAAATTCAGACTCCCAGGGTTGGAGGTAACGGAACAAGTTGGGGATCAACTGGTCCGACTCGTGCGACATTCCGCTGCGGAAATGGGTGATGCCAGCATCGGTCTGCTTGGACCAACGCAAATCAGACTGGGGGATCAAGACGTGACCCATGGAGAGCATTCCCAGACCACCCAATTCCTTGGGACAGAAGAACACTAGATAACGTAAAAAAAATGGTAATAGAGGGTGAGCCATTGAACAGCGACAAAGGAATGTAAATTGTTCAAACGAGACAAACAAACGTACCGGTGGGAGGGAAACGAGAGGGCATCTTGGAGTTGAGACCAATCTTGACACGGGTCTGGATCTTGTTCTCGCACTTGACCAAAAGATCCAAGAGCTCGCGAGTGTGGACGACTGCCTCACGGTAGTAGGTCATCAAGGCAATCAGGGTCGAGTTCCACTTGTTGATAATCTTGGAGAAGGTGGTCGAACCCGAGGCCATCAAGATCTGACGGACACGGTTGTGGAAACGCTGAACAGACTCCTCGTCGACGCGGAGGAAGGCCTGGGCAGTACGTTCCTTGGACTGCTCGTTGATCAGGTTCCAGACACCGTCGCGCATCGAGAACTGCTCGTCCTGGTTGCGGATCTTGGGCAAGATACGAACTTCGAATCCGCACATGGCAAAGAGCAAGTTCGGGTTGTCCTTGCTGTAGACCGACACGTACGTGTCATCCCACTCAATGGTCGTCAAACTGCGAGGAAGACGGTTCTTCATATCCCAGAAGACGGCACGACCCAAGTTGACGTCGTGCTTCATCAAACGCATCCTGCAGTCGCGAGGCCAGCACTTGCGGTTGCGGTAACCGACAACGTTCTCGTTGTTGGGATCTGGGTGCTCGGTGAGGTATCTCTGGATCAGGTCACGAGCCTCATCCGCAGTGAAGCGAAGAACCATGTGGAACCGGTCAATGAAGCGAGAGTAGAGGCGGATGGGGTGCCGAACCTCGGTGGCAACGTCGCGGAACTGCAAAAAGTCGTTGGGCAGCTGAGGTGGTCCAGCCATCTCACTGGCACGCTGGAGACCCAAGACCAGGAGATCCAGGATCAAACCATAGTACTGGTAGATGAAACTGGCGAACTGAAGACCGCGAATAAGACCGTAGGCGTTGACGTGGTTCATGTCCTTGTAGTTGAGGGAGACGTTGTTCTTGGCGGTCATGTAGTCGGCAATGTTGTGGTCGAGAATGAGGCGGAGCAGACGGTTGAGAAGAGTGAGATCGACCTTCTCGGCCAACTTGCTGAACTTGGTTTCCATCATGACAACACACTCGCCTTCCGAAGTCTCCCAGACGTCTGTCAAATTGTTGATACCCTGGCACCACTTGTAAACCAAAAGAGGAGCGGGCTCTGAGTCACCGGGCTTGATCCAGGCAGGGAACAGGTGGCGCTTGTCGGCTTCATACCAAAGGTACTGGTCCAAGTAGGCATCCGAGATCTTCTCCAGTGGCTCGATATCGTAGACAGGGATCAAATGACTGTACAGATCCATAAACTCGATGCCGACCTCCTTGAAGGCACGCTGGGTGAGCAAGAGACGCTTGATACGACTGAGCGCCTCGTGAGGGTTGTCGTAGGCCTGTTCGACAAGTCCAAGCTCCTCACGCTGCGACTGGTTGAGGCGTCCCTTGACACTGTAAGCCTCCTTGAGACGTTCCAACGCCAAAATCAAGAGCTTGGTGTCGTGCTTGTAGCTCAGGGGAGGGAAAGGGATAGGCGAGAACTTTCTGCTCTCTAGCCAGTGGACGGTAGAAGTGTAAATGGCGACGGCCTCCTCAGCAGTGACGTAGGGTCCATCCTTGAGGTAGTTGTGCTGACGCTCCTGCTCGGCCTTCAACCAAAGACGAGTCAGACGACCCAAGTTCTTCTTGGTCACAGTCTTGTCGACAGTGGCTCCACGACGGATACGCTCACGGTTGTAATGGGCGACGTTTGTCCACCAATCAGCCTTGTTCTTGACATAACGGAGAATCATGTTTTCGATGGGTGCGGGCATCATAGGGACCTTCCATGGGATATTGGCCTTCCAGCACCTATACGACAAATGAACACATAGAAGGATGTTAGCAACGGTTTTTGTCAATAGATATACATGTTATAAATACATGTGGTAAGTGCGTATATTACCTCCAAGATTCACTGAGATGCTGCAAGATGGTCTTGGACTTGTTGGTCTTGATACCCTCGGGCATCATATCCAGAATATCGTGCATGACGGCGGCACGCAACTCGAGATCGTAATGGGACTCGACACGCTGCTTGGTCACCGTCTTGGCAATACCCTTGGAATGACGACCTTCGAAATGTCTTGCAAGCAAGTTTCCGAGCCAGCGCTCCAACAGTGGCACGATACCGCGCAAGAAGAAAAGCCAAACTCTCCAACCAGGAGCCCAGAATCCACATCCTGGTCCCTTTCCGACTGGTCCTGTGTTGAAACGGTAGTAGATAACGTGCTTCAAATCCTTACACTATTCACATGTAAACCATAAATAGTCAATGTTAGATGTATCAAACATTTGCAGCCAACACGCACAATAACCATACAACGAGTCAAGAGCACTTACGGCACGGATCTGTCGCATGAGTCTGTACTTGTAACGGTACATTCCTGTGAGTTGACCAACGTGAGCAAAGATGTATTGGAGACCATCGGCAAGCTGGAAGGCATCGACGTTTCCAAGACGGTACTGAACATGGGAGTCGACAATGAGCTTGGTGAGGCGGAGGATTTCACGACACAAATGCATCGCGTTACCGAAACGCGACTTCTTACGCTCCTTGGTTGTGAGTGTCTTGACGGGCTTGAGGTTGAAGTTGTAATCCAGATGAAGGTAGTTGAGGTTCTTACGGTTGATCAAGAGGTTCAGCATATTGTAACCCTGCCTGCAGACCTGCAGACCAACTTCAACCCAGTCCAGTTCTGTCGATTGGAAGAACTTTGTCGATTTCAGCTGGCGGAAGAGGTACTTCTTGCTCAGGGGCTTGGGCTTGCGATGGCGAAGAGCGTTGAGGACGTAGTTCTTCAACAGCTTCTGGTATGAGACGCGAACCTTGGTGGGGTTTTCGCTAGCGCAGTGCTCCAAGTACCAGCTCTGGACCAGGGGGATATCCTGTGCGCGGCGCATGCGTCCACTGCGCTTGTTGAAGGGATGAGGTGCCCAATAGAGACTGATTCCGTTGGCGGTGTTGTCAGTGTAAAGGGGCTCCTCGTCCATGAAAGCCTCCACCTCGTCTGGAAGTTTGAAATCACCATCGTCGTCCTCGTCAGCATCGCCAAACAAGGCGTCCTCTGTTGAAATCTCTTGGTTGGGGGCGAGTGTGCTGCGTGTTGTGATAGGGTTGATGATGGGGTCAAAGTAGAATGCCGGAAGGTCGGGATCTTCAGCGGGGATGTGGACGACGGTGGGGTAATGGTACCAGCCCACATGTACTGAGCGGGGGAGTGAGTTATAGACGTATGGGAAGGCGACCTTGTATTCTGTGCGGATAGGTTGACGGATGATGATCTTGTTGATGTCGTTGAACTCGTTCCAGTCCTCGTCGGCGGGATCAACATCGCGGTACAGGGGCTCGAACTTGGGCCCTCCGGGGATGGCGACGTTGAGAGCCTTGGCCGTGAAGAAACTGGGCTTGTCGAAAAGGTAGAAGTAGTTCTTGTCTGTGAGGTCGGACATCAGCTGCTTGGCGATTCTGTACAGGTTCGACATCTGGTCAAGGTCGAGTTGCCATGTCTTGTATGCTGATCCAGAAACGTTCTTGGTGTCGAGAAGGGGCTTGTGGTCATAGAACCAGTCGTAGATGGCCCTGTCCTCGTCTTCATCGAGCTCCATCTGGATTGCCTCTAGAGGTTCCACGTCCAGAATGTTATCGCCGTAGTCCAAGGGCATTTCCTCGTCGTCCATAGGAGGGAAACGCATGCGCTTGAAGTGCCGTCTGTCTCTCTTCTCGCGTCTCATCATGATCCACATACTGCCCCATTGTGCCATGTAAACGGGCTCGATCACCCGTGGGATCTCGTTGACAAAGGAGATGGCTCCAGTGATGTGATAGAGAACAGGGACTTCGCGAACCTGTTCCCAGGGCATGGGCATGTTCTCCAGCAGCTTCAGGACCGAGTGTGGCACGTATTTGAGAGCTCCGAGATAGATGCGTTTATCGTGGCGGAACTTTTTCGAGGACATGTCACCGTGGTCCTTGATGATTTTCCTAATGTGTTCTGGAGGCATGTCGGCCTTTTCATGTGCAACGAATCCAAACTTGCGCTTCTCACCATAGCGCTATTATATTGTTAAAGTATATCGAGGATGAGTGCGAAGTGGTTAGCGCACGTCCAGAGCACCCATAACTGACGAGAAAACACCAAACAACTGAAATTGATGATTCAAAACTAAGCGGACATACCTTGGACTGCAGCGCTTGCCATCTGTTGGCCTTGTCTTCCAGCTTCTCCTGCGTCATCTCCATGGGTGTGGGGATATTGCCGTAGGGGTCCATCTGGCCATATGGGTTGCCGTGGCCTTGATAATGAGCCATGGCTGTGGTCGGATCTGTGTTGGCGGTGTGTTTTTATATTGTTTTTGATGTTATCTATATCACGAAAAGAGGAACGCTGTTAATCACACTTGATCACGCTGAGCAAACATTGTTCTTGAGAGGAGCGAGGTAGTTTTTCTTGTTCTTTTCTTTCCAAGCTGGCCTACCTGTGTGATGAAGATAAGGTGGAAACAATGGTCAACAACGTCCTCGATCCCTGAGGGTGATGTTGAGGGTGTGATGGTTGAAAGGTAATGTACAAAGTGGAGGCCAAGCAGATCAGCGCCTCGAACAACTTGTACTTTTGACTGGCGCAGTAGATGCAGTGACGATTCTCTTCAGTGACGTAGTTATGGCGCCCATCGAACCGATCAATTAGATATCGGTCAATTGTGAAAATCGTTGGTGGCGCTAAAAATGACTAAAGAGCGAGTACGAACCGCGTCTCACTTTCCCACATTCTCTCCACCCCAACTTTTGAACACAATGGCCGACTTTCGCAGAACTGGTCGCAAGATCATCGCCATCGGCCGCAACTACAGCGAACACGCCAAGGAACTCGGCAACGCAGTCCCTACTGAGCCCTTCTTCTTTCTCAAGCCAACTTCCTCCTATATCACCGATGGACAGAGCATCGAGATCCCTGCTGGTTGCGAAGTCCACCACGAACTTGAGCTGTCGGTGATTATTGGCAAAGAGGGCCGAGACATCCTTGCTGAGAATGCTGAGGATTACATTGCTGGCTATGCACTCTCTCTCGACATGACTGCACGTAACATGCAGGATAAGGCGAAGAAGGAGGGCAGGCCCTGGAGCGCAAGCAAAGGATACGATACCTTTACTCCGATCGGTGACTTTATTCCCAAGGACCAGATCCCCGATCATGGCAACGTCGATTTGTCCCTCCAGGTCAACGGTGTCACTAAGCAGAATGGCAACACCCGCGACATGATCTTCAGGTACCTATGACATTTTAAAAGATAACTTGGGGTCACTTGGACAGTTGAACTGAACACTCAACTAACCTATCCCTCAACCTTCCCTTTTTATCCAGCGTTCCCGCCTTGATCGAGAATGTGTCGTCGATTATGAAGCTGGAGGAGGGCGATATCATTATGACAGGAACACCAAAGGGTGTCGGACGCGTCCTGCCAGGCGAGACCATTACATGCAACCTTACTGTCGATGGCAGGGTTCTTTCACAGTTGACATTCCCAGTCATCGATCGCCCCACCCCCAAACGCAGATAGACAACGTGACAATTAGTTCGATATGGAAGTAAAAAATGTATTGTGTATGCAAATGCTTGTTTCTATTATATGTCCTCGATTTAGTCCATGTCCATGCTCTCCACCATTGTCGTCGCCTCGGTCGCTGACGAACCAGCATCTGGGTTGACCCAGAGGTATGTGCCCCACTTGGGGTAGACCCTCTTGTATAAGCACATCATGATGGTATCCTGCATAGAGATTTGTTGGTCCCATTGGGCCTTGAAGTATCCGTGTGTTCCCAGGGATTCCTTGATATGACCTGTGCGACCGAGCTTTGTGCGCAACTCTACAGACTTGTAGTACCAGACATCGTCGGGGTTGAAGAACATGAACCGGATAGTAGCAGTGCGCTTGTGAACCTTGAAGGGGTGTCCAGTCAGAATAATCCTCTTGGCGACAATTCTTCTGGGGTCAGCATCCATGAGTGTACCAGTAGCGACCAAGATAGGAGCTAAGAAAAGAAACAAAAATATAGCAGTAAGGTTAGCTACCTCGTCAACGCTGTTGTTGCCCACCAGGCTGTCCACAGCTCTATCAGGGTTGCCGGCGCTGTCATCAGTCACAACTCTGACGATATCATCGATACACTCTCCCAGGTCTCCGTCTCTCTTCCCTCATATCAATTATACCGAGAAACATCGGATTATGCCAATATCCTAGAACTTACAGTTAACATCAGAGCTGTCCTTGGTAAGAACAACTGGCAAGCTGCCGAACTGGATGGGGGCATAGACGGTGACAACGGTGCTGCGGCCGTGCTGGAGGAAGCGCTCGCTCTTGTGGACATTGTTGGTTCCCTTGCCGTTACGCGAGTTCTGGGAGAAAATGGGGTTGACGACAAAGCGACGGAATCCGCAGTGCAAGACCAAGGGTTCCTTGGCCTTGATGATACCATCGTACTCCGCGTTACGGTTAACGACAAAGTTGATGACTCCCATCTTGTGCTCGTATTGCAAGAGTCCAAAGACAATGAAGGGGCGCGAGGCCGAGTAGGTATCCAAGACAGCACGGGGAACGTTGGCGATGTGGATAGTGATGTGGGTGCCGGGCAAGACACCGTCCTCACGAGACTGGTTCATGACACGGTACTTGGTGCGGCGGAAGTTCTCAAACTGGAAGATACGACCATAGTCCAAGGGCAAGTTCTCATAAGGATCCCAGGGCGAAGTTCTGAATGACTCAAGAGCACGGTAACGGGCAAAGCGAACCTGGGCGGCAACATCCATGGGTGCCTCGACTTCATCAGGGAATTCCATGTCATCCCTGTTCTCCTTCTCTTTGGCCAAGTATTCGGCATATTGGCGGGCCTCCTCCTCATCCTCAAGCTCGTCCTCGTAAACATCCTCGTTCTTGGCGGGCTCGTCGTTGTCGGCCTCAAAGTCCTCGTACTCCTCTCCTGAATCCTCTTCGTTGCGCGCGCTGGGGAGATCGTCGTCATCCATATGGTCGTCCTCGTCCTCATCCTCGTCCTCAATATCCTCGTCACTCTCGTGGTCAGAGTCAATAATCCAGGCAGCCTGGTAATTGGAAGTTCCCTTGGGGACACGGCGAATGGCCTTCTTGGGTGCGACAGAGTTGAATGACTGCTCGGGTCTCTGGCTGGGATCCATGTTCTTAACGCGTTCTATAAACATGCAAGGTAAAAAGGGTGTAAGTACTCAGCGATTGCATCACTTACTCACAGTAAAACGTCGTTTTCAGAACAAAGCATACCTTCAGCCTCCATCAGCTCCTCCTCGGTGGGCCAGGTCTGCTCGTTACCAAGCAGATCAGGCTCGTTTTCAGCGGCCAAATCATCCTGCTCGCCAGGGACGGGAGTATCCAATACAGTCTCGGTATCCTCGGCATCCATGCTGTTGCCGTGGACATGAACAGATTTGTGAGTAATGGGGGCCGATGTGATCTTCTCAATCTGGAAATCGCCAAAGTTCTGCAAGTGCACCAAGCGGTTGGCCTGGAAGTGGGTGCCTCTGGCGTATCCGGTGACCTTCAATGTGCCGACAGAGGGATCCGAAGGGTTCTCCTCGAATGCAATGTTCTCGGCCAACATGTAGGGGTGGGTATCACGCCAATTAATGGACTTTGGCAACTGGTTGGCGATCATACGGAGGAAGTTGACAGTCTCGGCAGCGTTGTCCAAGGCGTGGACCTTTGTCTCCTCGGGGAAGAAGTGGTTGGTGAAAGAGAGGAGGGACTTTTTGATGTCGGAGTGCTTCTTGGCAGGGGTGCTCTCCAGATTGCTGACAGCGGCGACAACCGAGGGGACTCCCTGAGACTGGATTCCGGCCAAAACCATCTCTCCAAACTTGTCGACCTCTTCGACAGCCGACATGACAAAGAGAATAAAGTCGGCGACCTTGGCAGCATCCATGATGTCGATGTAGTTGCGCTGAAGGGGAACAAACTGAAGCTTCTGCTTGAAGCGGTCAGTGCTAAGGAGTGAACAGACAGAATAAGAAAAATATCGCTTGTTAGTTTGAATAAACATCTTTCGGGTTTGACATCCTTGAGACACTGATGTACAGATAAGGTTGTAGACCTACGTCATGAGAACTGTTCCTTGGTTGGCGGGGACCTGGTCGACACTGGCAAACATTTTGGCAACAGCATCGTCGGTGCTCACATCGGCGCAGAGAGCAACAACAGCGACGACCTTGGGGGTTCCATTCTTGCCATCAAAGATCTTTGTCTTCCTGAAGAACTCCTCGCGCTTCTTTTGCTGGAGAATCTTGGCAGTATTGCGACGGTCGGTCCTGTTGGAGAATCCACGAGTAGACTGGTTCTTCAGGGAGACACGCTCAACTTTGCCTATTGATTTTTTGGCAATAGAGTAGAAAATGTCAGGTCCAAGGTGTTCAGTTGAGTTGGTGCTGCTGAGAGTTACAAAAAGTGAAACTTAGGAAGGTGAGGAAGGGGTGAAGAGAGAAAATTGAAGTAAGGAGGACGCACCCTTGGCCTTGTCGCGCAAGCTACTCTTTGTCAAGTGCTTGGACTTGAAGGGCTTGTTCTGCTGCTTGAGCTTTGTGTTGGACCGATGTTGATGCGCTTCGGACATGGTTGAAATGAGCTGCTGGGACAGAGAAAGAAGAAGCGGTCAAACCAAAAGAAAAAAAAAAAAAAAAGAAAGCAATGTTTTTTTGTCGATTTGGAGGCAGTCACCGCCACAAGGAATAAAAATGTAGCATTTACTATCACTCCTTTAAACCTCAACGTCATTTAAGAGAAAGGAAGGCGATGCTCAAAACTTGTATTTCTTCTTCCTGCACAACCAAACCATCAAACAGCAACTTCATCGACATGGCAAACAGGAGCAGGAGCCACAGCAGGGACAGGAGAGACCGCCACAGGGACACCAGGGCAAGGTCGAGGTCGAGATCTCCTGCACGTCGTGAGCCCTCACGCCGAGACACGTCCCACGATCGCCTCAGGCCTGATGACCGCCATAAGGAGAGCAGGCGTGACAACAGAGATAGAGACAGAGACAGGGACAGAGACAGAAACAGAGACGACCGTTCCAAACACCACAACGACAGTGGCTCCAGGCGACGCCGCGATTCGGATAATGAGGATGATCGTGGTCGAGACAGGGATCACAAAAAGAAATCCAAGAAAGACGACGAACCTGGTAGGAAACCGCGCGAGACCTCGGAGGAGCGGGCAGCCAGGAAGGCATTGCGCAAGAAGGAGAAGGAGGACCAGAAAAAGTCGCTTGAGATCGCCATGACCAACTACTCCAACTCTGACAACCCTTTCAACGACGCCAACCTTGCGCAAAAGTTCACTTGGGCAAAAAAGCGCGAGGTTGAGAAGAAGAAGGGTATCTCGTCAGCAGAATCAGCACGGCGGGATGTTATCAGAAGGGAGGAGGCCAAGATCGAGCTGGAAAATCTGAACAAGAAGAGAGCTGAGCGTGAGCGTGAGCGCGAGGAGAGAGAGGAGGAAATGCTTCGAATCCAGCGAGCATCAGAGCAGGCGCAGCTTGGAGACTGGCAGGCGCAGGAGGAAGAGTTTCATTTGAAGCAGGCGAAGCGCCGAGCCGAGATCAGGATCAAGAGTAACAGGGCCAAGCCGATCGACATTCTCGCCATGAATATCAAGTTGATCTCCGATATTCGCGAGGAAGACGAAGAGGAGGATGAAGATGACATTGGACTCGAAATCGATGTCGATGAGCCATATGCCATTTTCGACGTATGTTGTTCTTCTAATGCCTTGTTGCGAGTTGATTCAGCTCTGACTTGTATTGCTTGGAAACTTACGATTTCTGCTTTTTAACGCTTCACCAACTATAGAATCTCGACTTTGACGAAGTGCAGGAGCTGTCCCATGACATCAAGTTCTACCTGAGTCTGGACAAGGACGAGCGTTGCGCCGATTTCTGGAGAGCTATGCTGATTGTCTGCGAGGACAAGCTGAACGAACTGGACACATCGAAGAAAGACCACGGTGTTGTCGCACCTAATATCGCTCAGGAGATGTCAGCAAAGATGGCAGGCAAATCCCTCGAAGAGCTGACTCTTCTTCAAGGACAGATCACGCGGAAACTCGGAGGTGGAGGTGTGATTGATGTAGAATACTGGGAGGCTCTGCTGAAAACTTTGGTCGTCTGGAAGGCAAAGGTAAGCGCCCACTTGGCCTTGTAATACTTGGACGCTTGGAGTTTCATGTTGACATCTGAACATAGTACTGACAAAAGCAATTTTAATCGTATATTAGGCCAAGTTGAACCAGATCCATCAAGTCATTCTTCAAAAGCGTCTCGATCAACTCAAGGCTCGTCAGATGCGCGAAGCTGAAAAGGAAAAGGCCGAGCTGGCTGCCGTTCTGGCCATGCAGAGTCAGGATGTGGAGGGCAACGTTTCAGGATTGCGGGAGGTTGGCGAGGAGCACACAGAGTACATTGAGGAAGGCGAAGAGATTGACTTGGATGGCCTTTTGGGTCCCTCTGTTCCTTATGACCGTGCCATGAGCCCCGAGCCCTTTGATACTCTCTCTCGCGAGGGCCAGGACTTGGAGGTTGTGGATCAATGGGAGGACTGGGCAGAGATTGTAAGTTTTAGTGCTGCCATTGTTCGTTATGTTTGCGTCAGTGAAAGAGATTGACAGGTAACTGATATCGAATTTTGGACATTGAACTTTACCTTCCTTCTAGTTGGACAAGCGTCGTCAAGTCCTCAACAAACAGTTCAACCCCAAGAAGCGAAACCAAGAACAGGATGCAGGCGAACAACACCCTGACGACGACTTTGTTTCGAAGATTCTGCACGACAAGGAGGCTGCCAAGCAGCTGGCTGGCGATGAACAGACATTCAACATCGAGGCAACTTTACAAAGACAGCAAGTACGTTCAATTGCTTATCTGTGTATATTCCTATTGTTCAGTGCTTCATTGATTTTATCCTTCAAATCACGATATCTGACTTTGTTGATTTTCTTCTTGATTCGTGCTCATAGACTTACATGTGGCAAGATAAGTACCGACCCCGCAAGCCCAGATTCTTCAACCGTGTGCATACCGGTTACGAATGGAACAAGTACAACCAAACACATTACGATCATGACAACCCGCCACCTAAGGTCGTCCAGGGCTACAAGTTCAACCTGTTTTACCCGGATCTTATCGACAAGTCTCAGGCGCCCACGTACGAGATTGTCAAGGAGCCTGATACCGAGGATACGGTGCTGATCAAGTTCAGGTCTGGCCCTCCATACGAAGACATTGCGTTTAGGATCGTCAACCGCGAATGGGAGTTCTCGCACAAGAGAGGATACAAGTCTGTCTTTGACCGCGGTGTGCTCCAGTTGCACTTTAACTTCAAGCGCCAGTTCTACAGACGTTAGGCTGATTTTTTTTCTCTGAATATATATTTCGGTTTATGGAAGGATGATGGAGTATGATAGAAAATGATAAATGTGGTAATGGGGCTACTGTTGTGTCCCGGTTGACTTTTCGTTGAGCGACTCCAGCGATGTAGATGAGCTCTTATGGATAGTCGAGTCATCACTTTTAGTCTCAAAGACCTCGCTGCTACGACCGGCTTCGACTTCAACAGCATGACCGACAGCCTCTAGATCAGCATCATCTGGCAGCGCGGACTCTGGGTTTTCAGCCACCACGGCAGAGTCTCTGTGTGGCACCAAAAGGATGGCGATAAGCAAGCCGATGCCGCCAAGGACAGCTTCGGTGTAAAACGCAGCACGGTACCCAGGCAAGAGCTCAACACCGACCGCCACGGGACTGTTGCGACTATTGGCGATAATGTTGCTGAGCGCAACACCGACGGGCGCACCCAATTGAAGACTGACATTATATACGGCTCCAACAACGCCTTGGTCTTCGTCATTGGCATCGGCGACAGAGTTGACCTGGCAGCAGAGCCAGTTGGGTGCCATGCCGCACAGGTTCAAAATCAAGGCTGGGAAAGGGATGGCCCAGTAGGAGGTGTGGACGTCAATCTGGGCCCACACAACACCGGCGGCCGTCAGGAAGAACCAGCCGATGATGATGAGGATTTTGGTTCGGAAGGTTTGAATCAGGCGAGGCATGTAGCTGATGAGGGCGATGATTCCGACGCCGTGGACGATGTAGGCTAGAGCCGTTTTCAGAGCGGTATAGTTGAGGACGTCTTGAAGGACCAAGGAGGAGTAGAAGAGCATCGCGTTCAGGTTGGCGGTTACGATGATGATATTGACGCAGGATGCGATCAGGCGTCGGGACTTCCAGATGTGAGGGGGCATGATTGGGTAGTTGATCTTGTTCTCGTAGACAATGAAGCCGATCAGGAGGGCGATGCCGACAACCAATGGGGCTAATGTCGAGGCAGCCTTCCATCCGGCGGCAGGTCCTTCGCTGAGGTAGTAGATGATGGCAACGATTCCGAGGGTGAACGAGACAATACCAACAAAATCAATTCGACGATCCTCCAACTTGGAAACACCCCTCACAGCAGGAATAACAAATGCACCCAGGACAGCCATCGAGAATCCAATAATGGCGGTCAAGTAGAACATCCACCTCCAACCAATGGTAGAACCAAGGATACCACCAAGAAGGAACCCGATAATGGAACCAATAGCCCCGGTGCCTCCAAAGATGGCCAGCGCCTTGTTACGTTCTGGTCCAGACGGGTATGTTGTTGTCAGCAGGGCCAAAGCACTCGGAACGGTAAACCCAGCGCCCATACCCTGGAGAGCTCTCCCGACAGACATCATGATGGGGGTTGAAGCAAAACCGTTGAAGACTGCCCAGACTGAGAACCAGATCACTCCGAGCATGAAGATTCGGCGGTGGCCAAAGAGGTCTCCGAGACGGCCGCCAATCAGCAGCAGTGCTGCATAGGCAAGCGAATACGCTGAGGTAACCCTATCATATGGAAGGGGTTGAGATTTTCGGGAACAATTAGAGTCTACAAATGTATGAGTGCTGCGTTGAGAGAAGTCAGTGCAGAAATACGATATCGATGCTAACCATTGAAGCTGATCGACCTTGAATCCAACGTCTTTCATGATATCTGGCAAAGTAATGGTGACACTGGCAACATTGATGATGTCGAGCATTTGAGCCAATGAGACGACTCCCAAGAGCAAGCCCTTGCTGCTGTCAAGCCTGCGATACCATGGCTTTTGTGTCGTCACTACTGGGGTGTCTGCCATTTCTTTTGGATGATGAGAGGAGGGGTGAGGTAGAACAGTGAGGTGACCAGGGGAGAGAAGAATGGCTGGAGGGAGGGCAAAGAGTGGAAAGAAAATGAGCAGGCTAACAGCAATGGACGAAGTTGACTTGAGGAAGGAGAGACAAAGCATTGGAGTGCTTTTATACTTTTGAGTAAGGATGGACAATCCTTGGAACGGGGGCTATTAGCCGTACCCCCGGTGGGAGCAGACTTTTTGCATGTATGTAGACAGGTCAGGTACCACTCCAAATGTAGATGAGAAGTTTGTTCGCGATAAACAATTGTTCCTGGCTCGTTCAATTGCTTGCAAATCAAAAAAAGTAGGTCGCTGTGAGTAGGGAGCCATAGGGTCCACATGCTTAAATTTGTCAGAGCTCTCTCTTGTTTTGAGAACACGATTCAACAGCAAAGTAGTTGGACATTACACACACACAGAGAAATAGATAGATAGAGAGAGAGAGAGAGAGAGAGAGAGTGAGGATTGAATGCCGGGGGATAGGGCCAATCACAATTGCTTACAAACGTGTTCCAAACACCGAAACGCGCTTTTTATGTACTTGGCCCAAAGCACAAGCTATGACAACAATAGTTAGAGAGCTCGCACCATTTCACGTCCTATTGTTGCTCTTAGTTTGCCCTGACTCTGTTGCCACTGTTATCATGGACTTCAGGCATGTCCACTTGGATTCACGTGACACTAGATTTTGTGACGTAGAAAAGGGGAGGAGGATCTGTTTCGTGTCGCACTGTCAAAGGGATGTTCAGCCCAGGCGACAGCCATCTCCCATCATCATCCCTTCTGGCACCCTACTCCTCCCATCATTGCTAACTCATATACTCACTCTCTTTTCCCTCTCTTACATACTCACACGAACGCCCAAACAAGGATACACAACAACACACGCCCACCATGTTCAACAAGCTCACTCTCCTTGCTGTCACCCTCCTGGTGACCCTCCAGTCCGTTGCTGCCTTCAACGTGATCGTCCCTGCTGGAGAGCGCCGTTGCTTCTTCGAGACCCTCGAGAAGAACGACAACATCCACCTTACCTTCCAGGTCGGCGAGGGTGGCCACCTCGACGTTGACTTTTGGGTAATGATCTCCCACCGAGGACCTGACTGCGAATCAGTCCATCCTTTTTCTTTCGCTCAAAGATTACAATACGCGCTTCTTGGTTCCAAAGCAACTCTGTCATACAATGAACTTTTTTTTTTTTTTTTTGGGCATTAACGCTTGTTTGGTTCTTTTGTTTGTCAACAGATCACCGACCCCAACGAGACCTTGGTTGACGATGCCACCAAGGGCGCTTCGGGCACCTTCCATCACGAGGCCAAGATCAACGGAAAGTACGAGTACTGCTTCAGCAACGCCTTCTCGACCGTTACCGACAAGACCGTTGGCTTCAATGTCTTTATCGCCAAGCCCTACAAGCCCGATCCCAGTATGTGTTCCTTCTCTCTTTAAGCTGTCCTGGATCATTCTTTAATGGTCCTATTTTTTTATTGCGTGTTGTTATTGGAACCATGCTCGTGTTCGATCAATTAACTCTTTTGGCGTATCTCTATCCATTCAACAATAGCACACAAGGCTGATCCTTTGGAGGCCGACATTCGCGAGTTGGCTGCAGGAATTCAGGAGATCAGGAACGAGCAGGAGTACACCTTGGCCCGTGAGAGAACTCACCGCAACAGTACGTATCTCGACCGAGTCCTCTTCTCTGTTTAAAGAAGGTCAAGAACAGGATTGTCTGAGAGTCGTGATTTTTAACTGATCCTTACTCTATGTATCTCATTGTGTTAATGTCATTTTTAGCTGCTGAGAGCACCAACTCGCGTGTGGTATGGTGGTCGCTGTTCCAGTCTGGCATTCTTTTCCTTGTCTGTGTCTTCCAGATCACATACCTCAAGCGCTTCTTTGAGGTCAAGCGCGTCGTCTAAACGAATGTCGCAGTGTCCAGTTAGAGTCCTGCAGCACCAGCACTAGCACCTTTTCCCATTGTCTTTTCTTTTTTTTCTTCGTTCATCCACCCATACAGCACAACCCACAGCAACAAACAACAGCCTAAAAACCTAATAAACAAGCTCGTTTTTTTGTTGCCACCAAGTTGATCACCACAAAAGCAGTCGCTCTAAATTTCCTGTCGCGCCCTGTTGCCCTGTTGCTCTTTTCCGTCCTTGTTGTTTCAACACCACTCTCCACCAACCTTACACCCTTCATTCACCTCACGCTTTGACCACTGCATCATTTTGACCGCACCATGGACCCAAGTCAGATGACCGAGGAGTAAGTCCTCTCTCTTGCTCCGCTCATACTTGTCCTTTTGCATCACCATCCTCATCTGCAATGAGTCTCTTGGAATCATCCTGACTTTTTTTTTTTTTGGCGACCTTTTGTTTCAAAAAATACTCTTATCAGAGAAGCTCGCGAAACTGTCCGCAAGATGTTTGATGAGATGCGAAGGACCCTCAATGCTGAAGGAGACTACAGTGATAGTGAGGATGAGTACGAGACAGACAGCGACACCGAAGACAACAGCACCACCACTGCCGTCCCTACCAAAGACAAAGTCAACGCCGGAACTACCGACAAGGCCGACGCCAAAACCACCACCAACATCGACACCACTGAAAATAACAACAACAGCAGCAGTGATAACAGCAACAGTAACAACAACAACAACACCAACAAGAGCAATAGTAACGGTGCTCCTCACAACAACAACAGCACCGATGGCACGAGTGGAGAACAAGAATCCAATGGTACCTTTGCCCATTTGTTTCGACATCCCTCATCGTACTCTCACACACCACCCACCCTTATTGTTTTACGCATTATCACTGACTCGAAAGTCTATTATTTTGTGTTATGTACTAAACATAGAAAACTCCAAGATTAATCTGGGCTATACTCAACCCCAGCCCGCCGAAGGAACGATAGGCGAACCCGAGAAGGCCAAGAAGAAAAAGAGGAAAAAGACCAAAAAGGCGAAGATCGAGCTTGAAGACTATCTTGCATGCGAAGATGGTACTGATCCACTAGTCGAGAACCCTTATGACATGTACGTCCTTATCTGTGCCTCTCTTTCCATGGCCTGTGTCATTTATGGCGCGTGTCCAGTCCGCGACCGACCTGATGGAAATTTAGCTTCGATCATCCCAACGCGCTTAGAAAAAATTATTATTTTAACATACTTGTCGTTTGCACATATAGCTCCAAAACTCCTGCTGAGCGAGTCGAAATTGCGGTCACCCGGTTCCGCAAAAATCGCAAGTTTAGCCCGATTCGCTCCCAGATCCTGTCTGTCTACCTCGACTATGGTGGCATCCAAACCGGACCAAAGATGTTCCAGGGCGGTGGCGGTAACAGCGGAGGGGCTAACGATGATGGCGAGGTGGATTTTGACGCCATGAACGCTGGTGTCGACCGAGTAGATTTGCCCGAGGACGGGCAGGAAGTGGACTTTACTAACGTCGTCACGACGTTTCTGTCGCAGTACTTCTTGAAGAGCACCGGCTGGATCGACATGGTTTACTATAAGGACACTCCTGTTGTTGTTGCGGCTCTGCTGAACTATTTCCTTGTTCGTGACGTTCTGCCCGAGTACAAAGAGGATCTTCAAGCCGCCTTGGCGGTTGCGGAGAAGGCCAAGATCGAGTTGCCTTTGTGCAAGATGATCAGCAGTGGCTGGCCAAGTCGGTTCGACAAGGCTTGCTCGCTACTCTATGGAGGCGAATGGTTCGACTACCTGGAGGACCTTTGGCAGGGTGAAGCAGCAGCGATCGAGACGATTGGATTGGATCGAGCGATGGCAAGGAGGATTGTCAAGTCTGTGGTGGGACACGATGTCGACATTGAGACTCTGAAAGCTGGGCCACGAGAGTTCTTGGAGATGGAAGTCATCCATATCCCTGCTATTGACTTTGACGAGGGCGCTGATGTCGATACGGTGCCAGAGGAGGAGGACGATGTGGCCGCAGTTGATATGGTCGACCGCATGCTCCTTGGTGAAGGTGGCAAATCGTCCGAGGAACCTGTCGTCCCGGTGGTGTTCAATGGCACAACAGCAACAACAGCAATGACAGTGACGGCCGCTGCCGAGGCGGTTCCCGAGGTAGTTGATGCGTTGATGGTCAAGTATGTCGACGTGACACTGGCAGAGTTGGATCCAGAGGTCCCCATGGAATGGCAAAAACCCGCGAGCCAGCGACGCAAGATTCATGTATTCTTTGACCCGAACGTGTCGACCAAATTGTTGTTGGGTATGCGGATTGCGGGGTATGTCTACACGCTGTCGAATGGAATGTCGTATCTCGAGCAGGCTCAAGTCATGCCTACTTACTACTTGGAGGCGGATGAAGTTGTGCAGTCCGAGGACGAGTGGGAGGACTAAGCTTGCAAGTGCGCTTCCTCTGACACAGGCACACACATCATCATCAACACCACCACCAGCAACAGTATTGTCTCGCCACAATTGCAGAATGAAAGAGTTGATGGATATAACACTACTTACTTGGAAATAAAAGTTGCATACATATGGCAGAAAATACACTTGGAACAAAGGGCGATACTTTATTTCGCAATGTCAAGAAAGCCTTCAGAGGGGCTGAAAGAAAACACTGAAGAGAGGAGACACTGAGCAAAGGGCAAAACAAAAGGGAAAAGTACAGAGGAGAAACTACAAATAAAGGCAAGAAAGAAAGGAGTAGAGTACATGAAAAGTAGATATAAGTACAAAAGGTACCGAACCAATGAAGAAAAAGAAAAATGGTGGGCGAGTTCGATTGGGTTGTGTGTGGGTGTAGCGTGTGAGTATGTGAGTGAGAGTGGTGGGTTGTGTGTAGGTGGTTAGATCAGGTTGTGGAAATCGTTGGGTGGCGTGAGATGAGGCAGCTCAAGAGCTGCGCTTCATTCTTTTGTTGTCGGCTTGTCCAGACTCTTCATTTGTAACGACATCATTGGGCTCCCTCTTGGTGACAACATGGCCGTATGGTTCCCCCTTGGCCATCTGGTAAGCCTGCGCGACCCACTGCAAGAAACCCAGCCTGTTCGATTTGGAAGCCATCAAGACCTCGTTTTGGTGAGCAATAGACCAGCCATCCAGAGTGACGCTTGGGTTATTGTCCTGTTGTCCGCGTTTAGCTTCCTTGCGTGGGGCAAAGTATCCAGCTTCCGAAAGTAATCGGTATTGCTCTGACATGCGCCATTCTCCCTCAAGAGCTTGCCGCATAACCTCCCTGTTGGTCTAATGTATGTAGTCAAAAACGTATGAGGCTGGGTTAGAATTCAGCTCGATTGCGCCTCACCTGTCAAACAATTAAATTGCAAAATGTGATGGAGAGATACTTACAGAAAAGTCCCTGAGAACTGACACAGGGATGGTCGCCATGTCAATCGATGAGACCCATGCAAGATACGTCACATCCAGCCTCAATTGATACCGGTATCGGAAAGCCAGAGCAATACGACAACCTCGCTTCTCATGGATGCAGATATCCCCATGCTCGTGCCAACCTCCAGTTCCATCAAGTCGTCCGACACAATAAAGATCACCTCTGACAGGGTTCCTGAAGCAAGGTTCCATAATACAAATCTTGTTTTCCTCGACTATCTTCTTGAGGTGCTCATCCGCATAGATGATCGCTCTGGCGGGTCTCCGTTCCGCAGACGTCTCTGCTGCCAATTCCGCTACAGACCAGATGGCTCCATCTGGGTTGGGTTTCCTGTTGTGCTTCAGGCGAGGGACCGAAGTAGGCTTGGCTTTGTTAGGCACTCCTGTTCGTCCTTGATTGCTCCTGATCTGAGGATCGCCAATTTGCAGGATAGGTCGAATCTCGGATGGTGTGTGGCGAAGGGACGATGATGACGAAGTTGAACAAGGGGTATCAGATCTCTGTCGAGGTGACTTGTAAGCTCCAACTTCCTGTGATAGTTTTGGTGAGATGGCGTTGTTCAACTTTGGTGGACGTCCACGCCTGCGAGGGACGACTCCTGGAGAAACTATAGGTTTTGCCAATCCTGCTGTCATTGAACTGGCAGAGGATATGCCCACGGTCGACGACGAGGAAGGCTGCGACAGTGAGTCCCGAAGCAAAAGTGGCTGTTGAGATGATGAATGTCCTTGCTCAAGCGAAACATATGGCAGGGCTGAGTCCTGCGATATTGATGTTGAGGTGCTCAAAAGTGTTTTGAGCACCGGAGTCGTTGATGACAAAGTACGTAACGATTCGCATGTAACCAGATCGTCCTGAGATAGAGTTTCAAAACAAATATTAGATATTAATAAGAGTGGGGCATACAGTTCTGAGGAAAAACACCCGATGTCATTTTGCAATGGGGAGGGATGGCAACCAACAGCCTGAGAGTACAATACAATCGGTTGGAAAAAAACACTTACAAGGTTACTCAAGCCAGGACTGCCGATACGGTTCCCCACAACAGAGGCAACGGCCGACAGCAGGCTCAAAGGCGACAACAAAGGATCCTCAGTATCTTCATCAGCAGCAGCATCGGCAGTAGAAGTAATATGATCGACGCTGTTCTCATCCACTTTGGGTGCAAGTAGCTCTTCCGCGAAAGCAGCGCCAGCCTGCTGGGCGGACGCAGTCGACTCTGGGCTCCAGGTGGGCGTACGGTAGGGCGAGGGAGAGTAGTGTCGGGAATGGGTGTCGACCTCTAACGTGCCTGAGACTCCTCCTCGTGTTCGCTCCTGGCTCAAAGGACGAGAGGGCGGCTTCTCTGAGCTAGTATTAGGGGCTATGTTATTGTTGATGATGTTGTTGTTGGCTGTGTCGGCTGTGTCGTCGCTGGCAGGGTCAGGGTTGACGGCAGACGACAAAGAAGGGCTGGTGATTTTGATGGTGGGTTCGGGTGAGGGGAGGGGGACGGGCAGACGTTGGTGGTCCGCTCTCTTGTCCCTTGTTTGCTGTTTTGGTTGCTTTTGTTGTGTCTGTTGCTTCTGTTGCCGTAGTTGTTGTAGTTGTTGTAGTTGTAGTGGTTGTTGTTGATTGTTGAAGAGGTCGGAAGGAGCAGGTGGAGAAGAGGCAGAAGGGAACAGAGGTGCAGGTGGTTGGGGGTTGGAGAGTTGGGTCTGCTTAGGGTACGATCCAAGGACAAAGCCAAGTTTGGTCTTGGACCTGGTGAGTCGAGTGGGGATTGTTTCGTAGGGCATGTTGTGCTATGGATACGAGTGGAGATATGAGGACATTGGAAGGGAAGGGAAGGAAGGGAAGGGAAGGAAAGGAAGGAGAAGGTACAAAAGGAGTGAATGAGCGAGTGAGAAGGTAAGGAGGGAACAAAAAGAGGACACACGCAGTCACCCTACTCAGCCATTCATCACGCATCAAATGGAAGCGCACCTTTGTCTTCCTTGTCCCTCGTACCTTTCCTCTTTTACTTACACTTTCTCTTTTCCCTCTCCGCCACCACAGCCAACTACACCCACCAACGACTCAGACGTCCTCTTGCTTTTTATCATCAACGCCCGCTCCCAATTCTTCTGCAGCCAACTCTCCCTCTCCCTTCTCATTCGTTCCTTCGCATCGTCTGCTTGACCTTCTTAGCATGTCTTCCACTTCCCCAGAACAACCCTAGTCAAACTAGTGAGCCACTGGACGCCACTTTCTTCACGCTGAAGTAGAATGCCATTTCCTGCCTGCCCATTCAAGACGGCAGTCGACCACAACCTCCGTCTTCTCATTCAGGTCATGCTCATGACTCCAGAACCAATTGTATATTTATTGTTAGCGCTTTATCTCTTGCTCTCTATGTGGCGAGAAAAACGTATTGACATTGTTGTTATGTCGAATTGGCTTGCTGGTGTTGTCAGTAGCGCTGGAGGATGCCTATAGCGGCATCTGAAAGTGAGGCCATGCCTCGTCGTATGTCGTTTTCTGGGACAGCAGACCTTATGGACTCTTTTCGGCGGATGTGGCAGTGTCACCAATTTGTGTCTCCCAGAGATACGCTCCTGAATCGGCGGTCCTTCAACTAAGACGAGACCATTGAAATGTCTCTCCAAGACAGCACTTCTTAAATCCTTATACACGATCTCTTAGTCGACATTATCCAGTATCGTCATCTCGGAAACGTGCAGGATCTTACAGGGGCATGGACACCCAGAAGATTAGGAGGCGGAGCAACTCAACAACTTCGATCAGCCTCAACCGTTTCTCCTCGCTTCTCAACCTCGACCATCAGACGTAGCAGGACACACGGGCCGCCAACACGCGTCAATCGACTATTGTCAACACCATCCCCAGTCCTTGGCGCGTCATCCTTCCCACGCCAACCCCAGCCAACACTGACGCGGATATTTCCCACGCCAGTGGTCATCAGATCGAAGCGCGTGAGGTAGGACATCAAACACCCGACATATCACGACTTTCTCTTGGACATGCGACTATCACCAAGTTCAGTCAATGGTGGTCTCCACCTCTCAACAATCAAAACCCCTCAAGTTCCGGAATAATGCTGTATTATTAAGTACCCCTTCACAACGCGATGACTTTTTGGCGCCGTGTCGATCTCGACGGTCGAGTACATTCACTAAGTGTTAGTTTACCAGTCAAGTAAAGTAAGCTTCAACGTCGCCCACCTTGTAGGCATGGGCAACGTGCATTGGATATAGTTAAATGGAGCAGGTGCATCTCGACCATCATACCGAATCGGTTATCACCATTTCGATCAATTGCGCCTTTATTTGAAAGCAAAGATAATCTCCAACGGGCTGCTGTGGCGATGAGAGCGATGGCTTTGTCGGTCAAGAATCTACTTCTATCAGATCGACGCACGACTACTTCAGATTTTCAGCACTATGATAGAACGTCTGACAACAACCAACGCCGTATATCGTCATGGGAATCGAAATGTCAAAGGAACATCCCCTGGAAAGTCTCTTCTAAATCCATGCAATGCCAGTAGCACGTCCGAGCAGGACACACTGTGTTTTTAAATACTGCCGGCGGCATCAATTGCACCGATCGTTGACAACAACCGTCTTTCAAGGACTACAACCGCGGCAACAACTCGGACACCGCCAGAACAACAACAGGAACAGCGACAACAACACAGCCACCATCGCCTCGCTCATCGCTTCAATCCATCCACAATGGAACCAGGGCAACCCTTGATATACATCTACGGTAGCCAGTACTTTCTCCTCCTTACCCCACCTGCAGCGCGGGATCGAAATGGCAAATGAACTGTTTGAACAGTTTATTGAGTTGCCCGAGGGAAAGAGCAACAAAGACACCCCCTATCGATAATTTTATGCGGCCATCCTCAGCGTCACCTCTCTTGCCATTGACGACTTCTCCTGTGCCTTCAGCTCTTTCACCTGTTCCGTCAACTTCACTCGTACCCTTTGTCGAATCGCCAGCTGCAACACCTGGTTCCTCGTCTGTGCTCTCACCTGTGCCCGCCTCCCCAGCATCATTTCATGCTGCGTTCTCTATGATCCCAGTTACCTACAACTGCATTCGAATTTGCGCTCCCAGCAACCTCAGAAATAGTGACGGCTCGAAAGCCCACGAGTCATCGCCATCATCTTCACCATCACCGCCGACCCCGCTTCTATTGCTTTCGCTCTCTTCACCCTCCGCTGTAACCTCACTAACGAACCGGATGGTCGCTCTTTCGCCGGTACTCTCCGCAACGTCACTGCCCTCGCTATCTCCTCCAAACAGGAAGCAATCTTACGTCCCAGGATGATGCCATTAATTCCAATAAACGAGTCAAGGCAAAGGCAGGCGATACAAAGGATGACCTCCTTGACCACGGCCTAGCCATATTTTCTTATACAAAGCGTCAGGCTGCCGTTTTGCCCCTGCTGCCAAGAGTGGTATCGCGGCTGATCCTACACCTCTCAAGAAGATAGCCCTTGCAAAGGCATACTTCCCATCCTTAACCACTTATCAGGCCCTGTCAGCCAAGAACAACATTCTCAAGTGCAAAACGACTGCAGTAACGACAGCAACAACAACGCCAACAGCCATAACGCCAAGAAGGTCAAGGCTACGTTCAAGGTTGTTTTGACCTTTACCATCGACATCTTTTCCTCCACTTCGACATCTTCCGCTTCGTCGCGACCTACTCCCACGCGCGTCACCATCAAGGCTTATACGAACGGCACAACCAACACCGCGTGCTTGCTTGTCGTGACGCCTGTGATCAGGACGAGAATGAGTGGATGGCCATGAAAGATATGGATGATTTCAGTGAATTGGTATCATCATTCTCCTCACTTCCATTTGGACATTTTCAATTTCCCCTTCAGCTCTGTACATAGCTCATCTCCCATCTTGACTAAATCAAACAAAGTTTATATTCAAAAGCAAACCACGATGGAAAAAAAATGACAACTGTATTTGTTTGTCGATGATGCGAAAAAGGTGGGAACGCCGTATGTGTCTTCTTTTTTCAACTGAAATGTGGTATTTTGGACTTGGGTGACGACGATGAGGTGAACAGGACATAAACTACAATACACACGGTTACCAGCACAAGATATGAATGAATGTTCAAAGTCTTTTACGATTCTTGTGAGATGAGTGTGCGGTCTAAATGGGTAGTGCATTCATTCGTGCTGATCAACTTTTGCTCATTCCCTTTTTCGCCTTTTTTTTTTTTTTTGGGTGTCTTTGTTGTTTTCCCTCTTTCTGAGCTTTGCGACAGAAAATGTTGTTTTTTTGGACTTGGGGTGGCGACGATGAGGTTAACAGGGTATGGACTACAACACACACGCTTACTATCATAACATTTGAATGAACGTTGTAAGGTTTTTATGATTCTTGAGAGATGAGTGTGCGGTCGAAATGGGTTGTGCATTTCATTCGCGCTGATCAACTTTGCTCATTCTCTCTTTTTTTATTTTGTGTTTCTGTCTGTGTGCGTTTTGTTTATTTGCTCTTTTTTTCTGAGTTGGGCGCAAGGGGGGGGGGAGAAGGTAGTGAGACAGGGCGGAAATGAATATTTAATTTTGGTGGCGCTAAAATTGATGGAGTAGAAACAAAAGACCCACCCCTCAACTCTAAATCAATTCAATATGTGCACAAATAGAAAATGACAATTCAAACTTTCTACAAGTGCACGATCGTGTTCGAAGAAGAAAAAAAAAAAAAAAAAAAGGGGGGGAGGGACAACATTGGGTTAGCAAAAAGACAGTGTGTGATTTTCTGCGTTCCTCAAGTGTCAAACAGATGGCTGACACATGTCGTTCCCTATTCCTTCCATCGGTTTTCCTTTGGCTCCTTTTGACTTTTCGCGCCTCGGTTATGTTTTGATCCCAATCATGCAAAAAAAAAAAAAAAAAAAAAAGGGTCCTATCGTACTCGTTTTTCTTTTTTTCTTGGCACAAGAGTCAGGCATTTTCGCGTCATCTCAAAAAACAAAACGCCCAACTACCCCCTTCACCCCCATCTTCCAACATCAATCATCAATTGTCGATAGGCCATCGCCCATCCTTGCTCCATCTTTTCCAACATCCGCTTTGACTCCAGATTTGGTCTTCATGAAATGGAGAAGGACAACAGACCGACAAAGGTTGGCAATTGGCAATCAATATAGTAGTTCTGGAGCAATAGAAAGAAGGATTTATATTTTTGGCGCCAATCCAGATGAAACTGGCTAGGGAGTGGGAGAAGCAGGTACAAAGTGGATAAGAGAAGGGCACATAGCAAGGGTAGAATCAAATAAAAGGAAAAAAAAGTCTTGTGGGAAAATAAATATAAAAAGTGAAGAAAAATGAGATAAGGACAAATAGAAAGAGACCCCTCCCGCATGAACGCGAGAGATTGCGCACGATCATTACCAAGCTGCAGATTCACGAACGACAGCCCTCATCTTTCGCTTCTTCAGCATCCCACGACTGGGGTAACCCATGGCACCTTGATAGGCCTGCGAGACCCGCTGCAGGAACCCCATCGCCTGAGTCGTCATGTGGCTCTGGTTTTGGAAGGCAATCGACCACGATATCCGGTTTAGACTGGCAATCTTACCGTACTCGCGCGGGGAGGCCTTGGGTGGGTCCGAGTAGCCTTGTTTGCGAAGGATTCGATATTGTGCACCCATACTTGGGTCGTCCTTCAATGCGCGCATGATCAAATTGGTGCATGCCTTGAAACAAGAATAAAGGGAAAAGAAGAATGCGTCAGATTGATCCGCGAGTAGCTTGCATGAGAGGATTAAAAAAAGAGTGGCAGTGAAAGAGCAAAAATGATTAACTTACAGGAAAGGACATGATGATAGAGATAGGGATGTCGTTGCGGTCGATCCAATTGACCCAAAGTAAGTGTGTCTCGGTAAGATCGCTCTGGTAGGCATATCGAACTGCAAGGGCAACGTGACAACCCATCTGGTTCTTGAGACAGTTGTCACCTGTATGGAAATGACGGCCATGGACACCATCCCCTCGAGATAGACAGTAGAGATCCATCATATCTGCATCATAGACATGTGGCTCTCGGATAATGACATTCTGTTGGGCAACCAGCTCACGGAGATTATCATCCGCGTAAACGAGTATCCGGGCCAGACCTCGATCAGCAAACTCCTCACCATCCAGCTCTGCAGCCGATCGGCGGACTCCAGCATTGGGACCACGGATTCTCTTGCGGGAGGGGCTCAGGTTGATGCGCTCTTGTGCGGCCTCGATGGCCTGCAAAATGACTTTATCGTCGTGCTCGGCATCCTCCAAGTTGACCATCTCGTCGTGCTCAGCATCCTCCAGCTTGATCCTCTCGTCGTACTCGGCATCCTCCAACTTGATCTCATCATTTACCGAGGAGAGGTGCTGATTGACATTGTTGGTGTCAGGACTGGAATCCCTGTCCCTGATTGTGACGACAGGGGCACTAATGTCGCTTGGGAACATGAACGATTCTGCATGGCGGTTCATTAGAAGAGAGGCCGACAGTTCGCGTGTCATGGGAGACGAGCAATCGCAGATCGACTGGTTCTGCTGGTGGAACTGATACAGCTGGCGGAGCTGCTGCTCGGTCGACGTTGGTATGGACGGAGGCGAGATGGAAGTTCGTGGAGGTGCGCTGGAATGCAAAGCATAAGGGCTTGAAGAAAGCAGGTGATCGCTTGATGGGAAAGAGAGTTTTCGGAAGGTCGGGAAGTGGACGGGGCTTGACGATGGAGTGGTGGATGTAGGTCTTGACGACGAGGATGACGAAGACGAGTAGGATAAGGAGATGGGTGAGAGAGGAAACGCATTGGATGGGAGCGTGCGCACATTGGTGGCCACGAGTGGATGCGCGCCACCGCTGGGTGAGCTCTTCGAATATGTCTTTGGATTCGGAGAAAGAGGAGCGGGGGAGGGCATGGACAGGGGCATGGACCAGGTGAAGGGGGACTGCAGAGGTATAGGAACAGACATGAAGCTTGAGGACTGTAGAGGAGTATGGGGAATGGAGGTGGTAGGTGCAGGGGAGGGAGGAGGAGCAAAATCGTGAGTATGGGCGGAAGCGCCCCATGACTGGGAGAGACAGACGGACGGGGGTGGATGCATTGGCTGCTGGGTTCGAAGCCGGGGTGTCTGGATCATGGTGGGGATGACCTATGGATATGAACGACAGGCAAAAATTAATATGTCTGTGCATTCTATTTGTTTGTTTATTTGTTTATTTGTTTGTTTGGTGGCATCAATTGGGAGAGTAGAAGGGATGAAGAACGTATATGCACCCCCTGATAAATATTTTCTTCTTCGTTCTTGCTACCTTTCAATCGCGGCTGTCGATTCAACAACAAACAGAAAAAAAAAAAGAGGCACTTACAATACTGCCTGACCCTTGGTTGACATGCTGGTGCTTATTATTCGGAAGGAGCGAAGCAACAGAAGAAAGCATCGACAATGGCTGGTGCGGAGGCGTGTCGCGCTTGAGGTAGCCCTGTCCCTGGCTCTGGCCCTGGTTGTCGTGTGCAGTTGCTGTTGTAGTAGCGCTGGTCGTAGTAAAGTCGTGGGAGAAGCACTGCTGGTGCTGCTTCTCATGGTCCGCATGAAAAAACATGGTGGCCTCAGGACCAGGTTCTGAGACGGTCGAAAAGGGAGTATAGGATGACTCACGATAAGATGAAGGAGAGTACGACGACGATGTCGAAGACGAAAAATAGGGAGAGGTTGGAGAGGTCTCGATATTCAACCGGTTGGTCGTCACCCCTTGATTCCCATTCATTGATGTCGATGACGCTGACGAGTGGTCAAAGGTTGCTGGAGGGAAGGTGGTGTGATCGTTCATAGAGGGTGGAGTTGTGTCGATGTAGCTAATCGATGTGAGGGTAGAGTAGACTACGGTGCCATTAGCTGAGCCTGTACCAGTGCCAGTGCCAGTGCCAGACGCAATGGGAGAGTGGGTGGCTGTAAAGGGGAAGGCGGTTGAGGGTGGGCGATAGTTGCAGTTGATTCCACTGGAAGCGATTCTATCAAGGATAACGTTATTCTGTACAGGCATCGTCTGGAGAAGAGGCTGGATGGCCGAGGGATCCAAACCGGCGAAGAACAGAACTGAAAGGGCGTAAAGGAAGAAAAGTGGAGCGAAGAAGCAAAGAAGCAAAGAAGCAAGGAAGGGTGCAAGGCAGGGGTGGTATCCTGATGGATATGGGAGCTGGCTTGAGGTGAATAGATAAGAGAGGAAAGAAGATGAAAAGAACGATATAGAGAAGTGTGGAGAAAGAAGATGAAAAGAACGATATAGAAAAGGGTGGAGAAAGAAGAAGATGAAAAGAACGATATAGAGAATGGTGGAGAAAGAAGAAGATGACAAGAACGATATAGAGAAGGATGGAGAAAGAAGAAGGTGAAAAGAACGATATAGAGAAGGGTGGAGAAAGAAGAGATCGGTAGTGGAGAAGAGGCGGATGGGTTGGAAAAGGCCAAGCTATATATTGGTTCCAGCATAGAGACGTAAACTCATATGCTTCATACCCCGGGTACGGAGTGAGGGAGTGTGCACTGGCACTGTCGCTGCTGAAGAGTGGACGGTTCCTTCCTTCTTTCTCTTCCTATCCCTTCCTAACCCTCCCCCACTCCTCCTGAATCTCATCGAATAGACCCATATGTCTCTTGGATACCCCACCCTTGTCATCCTCCTTGGCCCTCACTCTTTCTCCTTGTTATTTGTTCTCCCTGCAGCAGCGTCTTCCATCACCCCCAACTTTCATTCTCTTATCCGGCCAGGCCTTAGCGTCTTGCTCTTCGTACATGTCCACGTACTTGGTCCATACGAGAATATTATCGCGATGTAAGTGGTAAATATAAAAAAAAGGAAAAAAAAAAAAAAAAAAAAGCTAGCGATGCACCTCTCAATCAAGACTCCAAGGGGTGTACCCTGTCTGTTCGTTGCCTGTCGTTTTTTTTTTTTTTTTTTTTTTTTTTTGGCTATTGTTTTTGCTTGCCCTTGTCTGGAGCCATCTATCGTCTTGTTTTGTTTTTTTCCAAAACGATGGTTGGGCCTTACTCTTTTTGTTCAATGTCGTATTTTCGCTCTGCCGCTCTGTTCGTCTAGCTCTCTGACCACCATCTGACCTGCACCTTTGTCGTTCATTCTAGGTCTCATGCCTTGTTCCAGCAGTTTGCCACTCTATACGTCACGGCTGTAATAAAAAGCTGGAATTACATCACGGTTACTCTTACTCTCGTGGGCCTTTGCAGTTTTATTTCCCACCAGCCACTCCACCAGCCACGCCATTTGCCTCCCAACTCTACCCCTTCTCTTCCGTGTTTCCCACCCCCCTCCCAATTTTCTTTGATGACACGAGGTTGTCGCAAATGGAGCTGAAAGAACAATGAAACGTTGTCAGGGTTTCCTTTTCGAGTCTATCCCCCCTCGCTTCATCTCTCTCTCTCTCTCTCTTTCTCTTTTCACTCACCCCCTGATCAATTAATGGAGAGTGAGATAGCGCCAAGTGTTACTTGACCAAGAAAAAAAAATGTGCTGCATAAATAAATTACAAAACCAGCGCATTGGGTAGGGCAGTAGGAACAAAAGTGCATGTGCTGCGGGACTTGTCCTTAGTTCTTTGGAAGGAAGGATACGAAGAAAATACACTCGACCGTAACACCACTCATCGCCCAGGGCCATGATAACTTACCAAGCATAGGAACCAAAGGAACCAGAGGGGTACTCCCTGACTACCCGTAATGTTCTCGCAAAAGGAGTCATAGTTCGCAAGGCGTAATATTATCATTATGTTTAGTCGTTCTTTTGTTCGTTAATGCGCAATCGTAAGTAATCATATCAAAGGGAAAAATTAAAAAATAAAATAAAATAAAGAATCTGTCCATCCGACAGTCCAACCAACCAAGTTAATGCCCTGGCTTACCGGACCACTCACCGCTCCTACTTGAATCCACCATCCCTTGCAGTCCCTCCCCATCTGTAATTAATAACGACGGTCCTTCAATACTCAATCGGCTCTTATCCGGATCATCAAGATCGTTCAAGTCGCCGTCCCTTGCATGGTTCAATAACTCTTCCTCTTCGTTCCCACCACTCAGACCAGAGTCGTTCCTGCCCAGACTATTATTGCCCTCGTGAAATCGCTCATCCAATCCGATGTCTCCGTTTCTGTCTCTCAAATCATCGTCTCTTTCGTCCTCCGCCAAGTCCTCATCTCCTTCTTCAATACGGTTCTCGTCCTCGTCCAATAACAGACTATGGTCAATCTCCAGCGTCACGTCCCCATCCATGGTCGCGTTAGCTCCACCATTCTCTAGTTGACTCTCCTTCTCAGCAATGGCCTTGTGAATCAAGTCCCGGAAACGCTGATTCAGTGCTCGGTCCTGAACAATCATACTCACCTCCTGCAGAGTCTCGTCCGTGGTCTTTTCTCCTTCGTTGAACGCCGTCACCACTAATATGATGATACAAGAGAAAAGAAATCCCACAGTTAGAACAGACACAGTGCGAAGCAACCTGTTGAAGATAATCGCAAAACGTTCAAATGCGATAGTTACCACGCGCAAACATTCCAAAGGACTGAGTATCCATGGAATCCCTGATTTCCTTGTAGAGGAGTGTAAACGCATTGGCGTCAACGCCGCTGCTGCTCTGCTGCGACTGATGACCATTGGAGCCCGCTGTTGATGAATGGGTACCGGACTTGTCACCAGACGTTGCGCTCTGTCGTCTGCTCTGCTGGCGTGTCGTAGACTCGTAACTTGACTGGTAGTGATGTCTGTCCATAGTAGTATCGTTAGACTTTGTCGAGTGTTGTGTCTGGGACTGATGATGTGTTGGGACAGATCGGTCCTTGACATGAGATCGTGACTGAGAATAGACCGCCGACCGCCTACGGTTCTCATCCTCGCTTGGATGATGCAATTCCTGCTGCTGCTGCTGCTGAAGATAACTAGGCGGACTCTTCTGTAGATTGATCTTTTCCTCTTCCTGCTTTTGCTGCCGCTCCTGTTGCTTGAGTAGCTCAGTAGCTGCTGGGGATAGGCCGCTGAAGGAATGCGCCGTAGAGCTGGGTGGCCTCTGACCCCGTCTGTTGGTCGATCCTAGGTCACTTGTCTTTCCAGAAACATTCGAGTCCGAGCTGGCCTGTCTCCGATCCAATGAGTCCAAGTGTGAGGCATTCGAAGGCGCTCCTTCAGAAAGGGTTGCCATTTGTGACATTGAGTTCCGGACATTTGCGCTGTACTCCCTCTGCTGCTGTTGTTGCCTTATCGTCCGAGTGATCACAGAGGTGGCGCTGGAGTGGGTTGTGGGCTGTCGTGGCGAAGTCGAAGGGGTCGAGTTGGACGAGAATGAGGAAGAAGCCGGTACGACTCGAGACGAGGCGGTGCCAGATCTGGAACGAGAGTTCAGGGGCGACGTGGTGCTGGAGTGTCTTTTGCTTGCGCTACCGGTCGAAAGAGGCGTATTAGGGTATATAGACCGGGAGGTTGTCGAAATGGTGTTGCGCTTATTACGGAGACTGTCTGTCGAGTCTGATTTGTGCATCTTTGTCTGTCCATTCGGCGAGCTGTCCGACAAGACCTGTGCCCTTCCACGTGTCCCGCTCAACCCTGAAGGCGAAAGTAACGTAGAGCTCTAGTAGGTATACAGATCAACCAGCGTAGACCAACGGTTAGCATAGGATAAAAGAGATCTAGCTTTGTTCAAACTCAAATCAAAACGCCACCAATTTTGGCTCTTACAGGTTGGTGGCGAGTCCTGGTTTCAGTCACATGGGAGATGGAGCCAGACCTCTTTGTCTAATGAATCATCAAACAGGAAGGCGATATTAGTGGCGTTCAACTGGCGGAGACGGGCACTGGCATTGGCATTGGTAAGAAGTACAAAATACGTACCGAAGTCTCAGTGGAAGCTCGAGGACGAGATGAGCCGGCCTGGGGTGATCCTTTTGCTGTGGCCGAGGATGAATGTTTCTGCTCCCGCATAGAGAAGTCTTCGTGGAGGCTTCGATGCTGATGGGGGTATGGTGCTTGAGGTGACTCTATGCCGCCATCCAGAATAAACGAGCTCGTATCGGCATCAGCAACCGCATCCAGCCCTGCGCCTGCGTTTTCTGTGTCCGCTTCAATTGTCTCCAAGATCGATTGCTCTAGCTCTGCGAGGGACACGCCCGAGTGTTGGTCCACCATTGACACAATCGCCTATGATCGAAATGCAACAGACAACCGTGCATAGATTTTGATAGTTAGTGTGGGTTGGGTAATGTTGTTATTTCGAGAGCAAAATCCGATATTAGGTAATCCGTTTACCTTGCGAAATACCTCCAATTGGCCCATCTAGAGTAGGAAGAAAGACGACTGTTTCAATACAGAGCGAATGAAAGGCACTCACGAAAAGAAAACAAACATTTTCAAGCCAGAGCGCAAACCAGTACGAACGACAGACGGTACCTCTTTCTGCAAGGCAGCGTACTTGTCTTCAACGCGGGCAAGCTCGGCTGCCATGGCAGTCATCTAATACAGCATGATGGGAAAGACGCGACATAGGGGTTACCAATCAGGGAATCCTTGCGTGCTTATAGGGGTCAGATAACGCATGCTTGCTTGTACTGCACATACGACGAACCTGGGCACTTTGCTCTTCGGAGATCCACTTCCAAGTGTTGACCTCTTCAATGAGCGACTGATGCTTTTCCTCGTATGCTTGCTGGATCAGCTTCATTCCCGCTCTAAACTACAAATCATTGAAAAAAGACGATGTTGACGGGTGTATTAGTGTCAATCTGATTTCGAGGTGGTGTTATGGAAAAAAGGCCATATGGTAAGGGGTGAGGCTAGTAGGGGTATGCTGTTTGTTGTCAAAAAGGAAAGTCCCAATCCTGTCTGACCGTTGGACAAATCAAAGCATCACACACGACGAGAGTTGCAACAGCAACAAAGACAACGATAAAGACAGACCACGCTAACAACAACAACACAACAACAACACAACAACAGAGCCCTGTTCGGCTAGAGCCATCTGTAAACAACGAGTGTCGCCTTGTTTGGCTCATGATTGAATAGGTTAAAGAAAAAAGGGACATGTTGCTGGTGGTGGTCGATATGTAGGAGGAAGGCGGTGTTGGAAACGAGGGAGATATGGTTGGCGAGCCAGACAAGAGAAAAAATTGGCGGTAAAACGAACACTTGGTGAACGTGTCGCCCACCCTTGTACAGTAGGAGGGAGTGGTGAATATCACGATGACCTACATTTGCATCTGCACCCGAGACGATAGAGCTCGAACCACTGCTACTGTTATTCTCAGGTCGACCGTTGGAGTTGCTGTGACGGCGGGGATGTCGCACATCTTCCTGATGTGGTCGCAGCTGCTGTTGGTGTTGCAGTAGTAACTGCTGGTCCTGTTGGAGTGCTGCATCCATTCTTCTAACGCTTGTTAAATCAGTTGACTGATAACCGGTGCCGTTGTATTTCTTGCTGCTGTACGGTGCATGGTCGAGAGCGGAAGAGGCTGTGTTCTTGGAGGAGGACACAGAAGCGGAAGCGGCGGCTAGGTATCCGTTCTTGCCTGAGGCTTGGATGGTCGGGAGATGCGCGGTTGATCGGGAAGCATGGGAGGATGAGATGGGAGCAGAGAGTTTTGTCGGAGGAGGAGCAGCATTGGACTCGGACCGTCGTTGCCTGTCAGCTCCTCCGCGGACGTGGCCCAGCATGGTCATGAGAATCCAGCGAAGGTGAATGCAGGAGGAGAAGGGATGGAGGAGTAGAGTTTATAGAACTCTGGGGGTGAGACTGCAGGAAAATAGGGTTTTCCTCTATGTTGAAGCGAGCTGTCGACGTGATGTAGGTGTGTGTAGTTGTGGGTGATGGTGAATGTATGGGCAGAGGAGGAGTGTGTGTGATGAGAAGGCAGCAATCCCGGTGGAGTGAAGGAAAAGAAAGAAGGAGGAGGAGGGAACGAGAGCCGAAGGGAGAAAAGAGAGCAGTGAAGGGAGTAAAAAGAGAGTGAGAACAAAGTAAAGGCGTATGAGAGAGAGAGAAGTGTGAGAGAAAGAGAGTGTGAAGAGAGCGAGAGAGAGCGTAACCCCGAGGGAGAACCTCTAAAAAATAGAAAGGAGGGGACAGACGCTTTTGCTTCAGCTACTTTATCGCTCATCAATGATGGCTAAGTCGTTGGGTGGACAAGACCCACCATCCAGTCTCTCTCCCTCTCTCTCTCTTTCTCTCTGTCCTTCTCTCTCTCTTCCTCTCTCTCTTCCTCTCTCTCTCTCTCTCTCTCTCTCTCTCTCTCTCTCTTCCTCTCTCTCTCTTTCTCTCATTGCAAAGAAAGGGGGCTGGTTCCTGCATTATGTTTCCAAGGTCTAATTAAGGTATCTGGAATTACGTGCCCTGTCTCCGTCTGCAAGGGGTATCGATCGTCTCAGCACATGGTGTAAAAAAGAACCAGCAGTGTTATACCCTATTCGTGTGTGTGATACAAAATAACACCATGCACAAGTGATAAACACACGCGAAGAAAGGCATATCGAGTTCACACGTTCGCAAGCATGTCCTCCAACCAAGTGTGACTTATCCACCACACCCTCTCAACTCATTTTGAAAATAAAGAAATCTAATTATGAACAGAGAACTAGCTGTTTCTTCTAGCTAGATTCAGGTGCCTTAGTTTGTGCCTCGGCAGAGTTAGCGAGCGCAGTGATCAACTCGGTATCGACATCGCTGAGGCCAGGGATACCGACTCCCTGCTTCATCTCATTGACCATGTTATGGAGCTTATTCCTCATAGCCACCTTCTCCTTATCCGTCAATGCTATTACGAGTGTTTTTGTTGTTAAAGTAAATATTAGCATCAATCAAACGCAATTACAGTACAATTACAATGCGGAATTGAGAAAAAAGAGATAATAAGAAACCTACGGAGGAGGGCATAGGTGCGAAGGGACAACTGGCTTGGGCTTGATTCAGGATCGATGGGGATGCAGACGGGATCAGGCGCATCAGTTCTGAATGCCATTGGGGTGTCAAGGGAGAGAACAAAGTCGTATGCCTCCTGGACTGTGGGAAACTCGATGACCTCTCTTGAGGTGTTGATGAGACGAATGGACATGGTGTTGATGGTTGTGAGCTGGAGTGTGTGTTGATCGCCGCCTTGACATATTTTTTTTGCCTGTTTTCGACGCAAGTCACAAGGAGGACGCCACCAATTAGTGTCTCTTTTCGTGTGGAGAGCGAGGCGCACATGCCCATGTCCACACGATGGATACCGATCGATGCCTCGAGGATAGTAAAAAAAATTGTATATGTATTGCTCAACAAAAAGGCAAGGTAGAGTGCCAACAGACAGGGAGAGAGTGGCCCAGGCAGGCTGGCAGTGCAGGTGAATCCTTATCCCGAAGGACATTCATCCATTCCCCTGCTGTCTATTAGGGTTACACACATAGATTGCATTTCGACTGTCTCCTGTGCCCGGCTTTGTCAGATGGGTCCACAACAACAAGAAAAAACCTTTTTTTTGACTCGATGCGCCCTCCTGCCCTTGTCTCTCTTCTTTTTAGCACTCTTCCTTCCCTCACTTAGTGCTGTTGTCGCACTCTCCTTCACCTCACCTCTCTCTCTCTCTCTCTCTCTCTTTCTCTCTCTCCTCTTCCCTTCTCCCTTTTTCCCTGCCATCCTTCTCCCCCGTCATCATCCTTCCTCATCCTCATCCTTCATACCCGATACCCCCCCTCCCTCCCCTCATGTATGTGGATAACAACCTCATGGTCCATCCGACCCACCTCGCCTGGCTTTGGCTCAATCGAGACACTTGAAACATCAAAACACGACTCTTGCAGACTTTTTTTTTCATTTGCTTTTGCATTCGGTTGACATCCTTTTTAACGCCTTCATTCTCTTCCTTGTACATAGTCGCTCTTTCGTAGTCCGCAGGCAACTAAGACATCTTGAAGAAAGTAACTGACACAACAAATAAACCAGACAGAGCAGAGTGACAAGACACCGCCACCACAACCATAATGGACGACCACCCGCAGAGACAGGTGCATTTGCCACACCCTTCCTCTTCCTCGAGGCTCGACCATCCGCCTCAGCACCCCCATTTTCAAGCCCATTATCGCCATCAGCAGGACATCCATGGGCCCCTCTCCGCCAGCGTTGTTGAAGGCCGACGTGCCTTCCCCTTCCACTCATCCCTGCGCTCGACACCCTTGTCCTTCTCGACCCCCGCCCCTCCCTCGGTCAATCTATCAGTGGCGGACATTCTAGACAAATACCAGGATGCCAAAAGTGATTTCTTGGTCTCCATCCTCAATGCCAAGGCCAAGGAGGATGAGGTATATTGACTGTTTCTTTCCCGCTCTCTTGTGTGCACAAATGACCGTGTGGACCTCTCGTTTCCCACCATCCGTTTTTTCTTTGGACAAGGAGATAAGCTGCTGCAAAAGAGTGCCACAACAGGACAAATCCAACGCCAACATCCCTTACTAGACCCCATGTTCACCTGTCTCTATCATCCTCACCTTTCTCACCACTCACCACTTTTGTCTGCGAGGACGTGCCTGTAACAGTTCTAACGACTCCTCAATTGATCTCATCACTGCAATAGAGAAAGGCCGAAGAGGAACGGTACAAGACTGAGCAGATAAAACTTCAGTCGAAGCAGCTCGAGTTGGAGCTCGCCAAGGAGAAGCGCCGAGGAGGATCCCCTTCAGCAGGTACTAATTGGCGCTTGACAAAAACAAATCAAACTCGCACTCATCTTGCCATGTGCGCAAAAAGGGGTCCAAGCAAAGAGTGGACAAAAAAAGGGCAATCTAAAACTAACCCATGTCTGTTTACGCTATGAATAGCACGACCTAGCTACGCTTCGGAATCATCGACAGGACACTATCCTTCATCGTCAAACTCGTACTACAACAATAGCGGCAGTGGTAACAATAATAACAACAGCAATAGCAACAACCACCCTTACTCACCCTACCCTTCAGGAGATGGCCCACGATCGCATCAGCCCAATGGTGGTAGTATCCATCGCGATCACCACAACTCTCACGGACCCCAGGATACCCAGGATTATGCTCCATCACCAGTTCGCCAGGATATGCACATGCTCCCAAGCCCTCAGAGTCGACCCCCTGTCCTCAAAATCAACACCTCAGTGCGCCAATACGTGCCTCAACCTCACTCATCCCAGCGCTTGCCACCGTCGCCTCGTGCAACCTTGCCACCCTTGCCTGCAACAGCCCCTGCAAAGAGTAACGGACGACACTACAACTTTCCGCCCTTATCGACTTCATCTGCACAGTCGTCACCTATCGGAGTGGTTGACTATCAATCACATATCCCACCCCCTGTCACACCTAAGGACGATCTTTCTCCAACTTCTGCACTCTCGCCTACACAGTCGCACAACCTGAAGCGCAAGTCGATCCACCATGATGCTGTCATGGATGCCGTCCGTGCAAAGGTCTTCAGGAACGCATCAGCATCGGCAGCCTCTGGGCAGAACCAGCAAAAGAAATCGACATCCATCGACTCTGAGCGTGAATCGACCCGCCGAAAGATCCATCATGGACCCACCTCTCCTGAGGCAACCAAGAGACCTACTGAGCTGCCGCAGCCCGTGTCAGCACCAGCGTCATCAGAGCCCAAGCAGCAACAGCAACAGCAACAACAACAACAGGATGAATACCGACCCGTGAAACTGGAGGGTCCCTTGTTGTCATCGTTGCAACTGACAACCTCGCCTCACTCGCCTTCACCTGGAAACGTGGACAACAGAGATTCCAACCATGGCGCCAACCGGTCGGGATCTGGATCCCCCACCTCTGCGAACGCTTCGTCCAACACTCGCCGTCCTTCCAACAACAGTAGCAACAAGTCTCGACCTTCTCTCTCAGGCCCTACTAGCGCAGAGGGAAGAGACTCAAGAGAGATCGTCGAAGGAACTTCCAGTTAAATTTTGACTTTTGACTTTCTTGCATCACACCTACATACACACATACCTTTCACGCTTTCCACTTACGACCCCTCTTTATCCGACGTCAAGATTTTGACATGTTCATGAACATTTTCATACGCTTTCCCACTTTCATGAAAAAGAAAAAAAAAAAAACAATAAAATAGTACAAAAATATGTTCTCTAACACTCTATTCTTTATTGCGCAATGAGTGGGCTCAGCGGTACTCCAAAGGTTCAGTAGCGGTAGGGGTGCCTGGAGCAGAAGTCTGAAGCGCTCTTGCTTTCACCATCTGAGCGTAGGTAGTCCTGTTGGCGTAGGCCCGGTACCAGCGCTCAAAGTCTTGCAGATCAATATGGGCAGCGTCATCTTCCGAGCTTGACCGTGCAGACCCTGCCAACGAGCTCCTGGAGAACAGATCCAGAAGGTCACCGCCCATTTCCAGCTTTGCTACTTCGAACTTGCCCAGCTTCTGCGAGTGGCCTTTGGTAGATCGCTGTGTTGATTGGATGGTAGCGGTGGTGGTGGTGGTGGTGGTGGTGGCTGTGCCGGTACTGGTTGTCTCGTCGAGGGTGTCGCTGTCTGTAGAGGGATCAGTGGTGGCCAATTTTTCCAGTATGTCTATCAAGCCTCGGGTACGCCGCATCTGGATGGTCAGCTTCGAGAGCTCGATGCGGTCATCCTTCGTGATAGGTCCTCGACGTTCGAGCTCTTGTACGACCCAGGAGATGACGATGGCCGTCATCTTAGGGGTCGGTTTCAGGGCATAGTGATCCACCAGAGCTCTCAGAGCGACCGTCGCGCCGATATAATCGTCCTGTGACAGAAACGCTCGCAAGATGTTTGAGTAAAGAGACGAAGTGGGCCGGATTCCGACAATGACCATGTCGCGGAAGAGAGACCTGGCGTCTAGAGTTTGGGTGGTTGATATGGCCTGCTTGAATTGGAAGGGTTGCGGGAGGCGAGGCGGGTATAGTGAGTCCTGGGGTGGCAATGGCGGCGCAAGGGGTGTTGTACGGGTCTGGATGATTTGACTGCTCTCGTTCTCCAATGTGATCGAATGCTGTTCCGAGTAGTCGCTTGAAGCTTGGCCAATGGGTTCGCTGATCTTGCGCAGGAATCCAATATCACTGTAGTTGTCCAATGACGATCCGCCCCCTTCACGTCCCTCTGCGCCTTCCAGAACGGCCTTGTCGTTGTGGAAGATGGCGTTGAACATGCACGAGAACGAAAAGTGGTCGAGACCGATGGTCGGATCCTGAAGCATGGTCTTGTAGAGTTGCAAAGTACGACGGTTCATCCTGGCCTGCTCATAGGCAAGGAGGAGGATGTTGCAGATGGCCAGATCGGGACCAATACCGTCTTGTATGAGCTGACGGAACAACGCCTCGGTCTCTCGGGGCATTCTCTGTCGGGTATAAGATCGCATGAGCAGCAAGTATGACAGTCGATCCGGACGAACGCCCAGGGTCCTCATCCTATAAAACCATTCGATAGCCTTGTCCATGTCCTGCTGACGAGTATAACAATGAAGAATCTCGTTGTATTCTAGTGTGTTCGGTTGGAACCCATGCTTGCGCATCAGTCGGTGGACCAGGATAGCTCCGTCGGCATCGCCCTTCTTCGAAAAGTTGAACAGGATAGAGTCCAACATGCTCTTATTGTAGATCGCCCGGTCACTCCTCGAGATCTTGTCGTTGATGGCCACCAAGAACTGGCTCCGTTCTTCTGGGTATGCAATCTCGGCCACTGCAAGACTGAGCATCAAGTTGAGCGACTCGATGTTCGTCTCAATCCCGAGTCCCGGCATAGAGTCGTAGACCTCCTGAGCGAACTGGCTCTCCCGAACAGCGACACATGCTCGAAGGATCCCGTTGACAGTCCCAATCTCCTCCAACGTGCCGTCCTCGGTGAGCGCTCTCCAGAACGACCTGGCTTCTGTTGTTTGGCGCCTCAAAAGATACTGCTGTATCAGATATCCAAGGGTGTACTCGCTCGGCTTGACTTGGAGCCTGGACATTGAGTCCCGAATCGTGTTGACTGCTCGATCAAGTTGTCCGAGTCCCCCCCAGGCACGGACAGCATGGTTGAGCAAGATGGGGTCGAATTTGTTCTTGGAGGCCAACACACGATCCAGTTCCTGCAAACTCTCGTCGTACCGTTGCAATTGGTTCAAGGCCGACATGAGATCGCTGCTGTCCCATCTCGTAAGGTGATGGGTAACTGAACGCTTGTCGTCCAGTACAGTGACAATCCTTGCTGCCCATCGTTCCTCAACCATCCGCCGAGTCGACATTGCGTCCGTCCGTCGAGACGCGGCTGTTGTTGTTGTTGATGTTATTGTTGCCCTCGTGGATGATGAAGGCGTAGCAGAGTCCTTGAAGTAAACCACAAGAAGTCGCCACACCTCGGTCGAGAGGTACCCCAGATCCTGACGTACTTCACGAATGGCCTCATACGCGGACCATATGGCTTCCTGGTTCTCCTCGTGAAGCGCAAGATACAGTTTTGTAAACCGGTCAAGTCTCTGTTGGCCCAAGGTACTGGTAAAGTCGATTGGATTGTCCTTGGTACTAAACGGGGTGAGGTGTCGAATCACGAGGCGGATCTTGCGGATGTTGGATGTTGCGAGCTCTTGTGGGGCGAGAGGTCGTTTGGCCTTGAAGAGTTCTCGACGGCGGTTGGGGGTGACAGGTTGTATTGCGACGGTGCGAAGTTTCTCTGTTTTAGGCGTGGCTGTCGTTGGTGTTGTTGTATTTAGGGGATTGGGCTTGGGCGTGGAGGGAGAAGAGAATCCTGATATGAGGCGAGACCGTTGGAGCGAGGCTGTGTGAGGGATAGTATGAGTGAATTGGCAAGGACAGGGTGGGAATACGGTGGAGCTAATTCTGCTCCATTGTGATAGTAATTGTGTTCCACGCTGCATGGTGGTAAAAAAGTGAATGTTTGCTGAAGGAGTTGTGAGTGAAGGTGGTGAATGACACTGGGGGTTTCCCTTCTTTGAACCACCGCGTTTGGAAATATTTGAAAGGCCAGTAAACAGCTGCAAGGCAGTCACATTTTTTAATGCTCTGTTGATCAACTGTGTCCGAGGGAAGAATTAAACATGATCTCCGTCCTGATCGTCTTTGTCTTTTCCTTCTTCTCTCTGCACATCGACAGTCAAGCAAGCATGTTTATACCACGGAAGCAACTCTGCGGGATCGTCCACTCAGGAATTCACGCCAGAGCTACATTCTCCACATTAACAACCAGACACGCCACAACAACATGTTTTCGACAGACACCTCCTTCACTTCACACCTTCTCCTCTGGACCCCGCTCCTCAATACCAACAACCTCCCACTACAACTCTTTAATATCCGGAAACACCTCACGGCATAGAATCCCGGGAACCCGGGGCATTATTACAGGGACATACCCATCAACACCCCTCAACAAATACAACCGCAAGCTGATCACGCTCCTCAAGGACCCCCAGATCTGCCTTCCTATTTTTGACAAGTGCCGAGAGATCCAGGAACTCAACCTTAAGCCTGACTTGACAACCTATACGGTGCTCTTAGAGGCGCATGAGCGGAATAATGATCTGGAGAGTATTATGAAGACTTTGGAGGAGATGGAACTTGTGGGGATTGCGCCCAGTATCTCGGCCTTCAACATTGCACTTAGGGTACGTTCTTTTCCCTCCGCTTTGAAAATCAGAAAGTGTTGCTTTTTCATGCATTATGGACGAACAAGCCGACTAACATTTGGAATGAAAACAATTGAACGCTGTTCTAGGCTGCAGGATCAAACGGAGATACTGTCATGCTGGAAAAGATTATTGAGCTTATTCACAAGGCAGGACTGCAGATGAACATCAACTCGTACGAGATCATCATTCAGGGACTCTGCGCCAACTCGGAGCTGGAGCATGCACTGGATATTCTCGGAGACATGACTGTCTCTGTCGATGAGGAGGGTCAGCCGGACGAAAATGGACGGCCGACGATCGACGTCCGTCCCTCTCTCCAGTGCTTTGTGCCGATCATCCAACTTGCCCAGTCGCTCCACGAGACCGAGACGGCTTACTTGGTGTTGAAGATGGCCGAGGTTCAAGCGGGACTTTCCAGGATCCCAGCAGTGGTGTATACCGATCTCATGGCTAAGGCAGCTGACGACTACGTGGTAAGGCAACGATACAGTTATTTGCCGACGAATTTGGATATTGACAATAATCGAATGTCGACTAACAGGCCATTTTTACCTCTTTGATCACTTGTACTGATGCAGCTACCTGCGGTTGAATACTGCTGGAAGAAGGGAGTCAAAGAGTTGGGGGCTTCTCCGGATGAAGGTTGCTGCATGCTGGTCCTGAACTGCGCTGCACACGAAAAGGCACCACAACTCTCGGCCGAGGTCATCCAGTACATGGGCGAGAATGACATGGATTTTCAGGAATACCACTTTGCCCCTCTGCTCCAAGCCTTCTCGCTGGCTGGAAAGTACAAGTCAGCGTTCAATGTACTGTCGATCATGAGGACGTCAGGAATGAAGCCAACCATTTTGACCGCCACCAGTCTACTCAAGGTTCTTGGCGAGCAGGGCAACATTGACGACGCGTACACATGTATGAGGGAGATGCACCAGGAGGGCAAGGCCATCGATGTGGTCGCATTCAATGTCTTGATTGAGGCATCTGGGCGGGCCAAGAACTTGACACAGGCAATGTCTATCTTTGATGCAGCCGCATCGTTGAGCATTGAACCTGACACGGATACCTACAATGCCTTGCTGACGGGATGCATCACGGACAGGAACATGAGCGAGGGCAAGAATGTGATCTTGATGATGCAGAGGGAAGGCGTGGACCCCAATGTGGATACGTATCAGTCGTTGATCAGCCTGTGTCTGACACAGATCAACTACGAGGAAGCGTTCATGTATCTGGAAGAGATGAAGAGCCACGATGTCATCCCGTCCGAGTCGATCTACACGAGTCTTGTGCGCAAGCTGGCCCGTGAGAATGACCCGCGTATCAAGTATGCGATCGAGGAGATGGAGTCGTTTGGGTATGTCGTCGGACCCAACTTGAAGGAGTATATTGAAACTGGTGGACTGAGTAACCTGGAGGAGTCTGAGAGGAGGAAACAGATCCGCGTCTCTCAGCGCCGTCGCAGCGGCAACCGGCCGCACTTTTAGATGCCCTCTCTCTCTCCCTTGTAACAACATCAACAACAACCACACCAACAGCATTTTTTTAGACAGAGCATTAAACTAACATCCAGGCACCTACGCGACTTTCCTTTTCGAACCGAGACTGCACAGTCACATTTGGACGCTCTTCCGTCAACCTTTTGTCCCCGCTTGCGCCTTATTTATTACCCTTTGCCTTTTTCTCCTTCTTATCCTTTACTTTCTCGCTACTTCTCCTCATTGTCGTCTCCAGGGCGCATCGTTGTTGTTCTCAATCCATACCCCAAAACACATCCTTACTTGACCCCATCATTAACTAACTCCTCGCCATCCTCCCTTCCTTCCTTCTCTTGTTCACAACAACAACAACTCACTCTCTCTTACTCTTCCTCCTTCTTCTCCCATTGACACTCCTCATTCACAAAAAGACAAAAAAAAAACGACGCAGCTACGCCCTCGCCATTCAAGTCAGTGTTGTCCCTTCCTTTGCCCTCACGCCGTCGTTCTTTTCTACGCCACCCGTCCAACCATAACATACACGCACGCACCCTCCGCCTTCAGTCTCACATAGCACCCACCAACCACACACACACGTTCAACCCAACACCGAAGCGCGCAACTCCAAGGCTTGTTAGTCTTTCACAATGAAGGCCTGGAGTTTCGGCAACCTCTTTTCGTCGTTAGCCGTTCCTGCAGGACTCCAGAAGCGCCTCGTTAGCTTCCTGCTCCAACGCGCCATCGGACACTTCCTGGAGGACTCACTTGACCTCGAGAAGCTTGACATTGAACTCTCTAATGGTATTGTGCACCTGACCGACCTCCAACTCAACAGCAAGGTAAAACAATTAACAACAAACTGGATCTGTGGCTCCGTTCAAGGGTCTCTTTACTTGGTATATTGAAAGGAGAGGGGTAGGGATAAGAAGGGGGTTGAAGGCGACCGAGGAAAGCAGAAACACATACACCACACACGGAAACAAGGGTGAAAACGCAAGTCGACAGAAATATAATGGGGAGAGGAGGACGGTAAACACATCACTGTAATGGGCGCAGTAGACCTTTGCTTTTTAGTCGTTTCTCCGCTGGTAATTTGTCCTTTCTTTTTTGTAGTGTGTGCTGTTGCTGCTCAACCACATAGTCTTTAATCGTTTTGCTTGTGAAGAACTCTGGGAAGTATGAGAGGGTGCTCTCATGCCGATAGCTCCTCAAGAGTCTCATGATGCTCGTCAGACAGCACGTTCTTTTTGTGCTCTCGTTTTGTTGTTATTGGACGTGAAAAGAGGAGGGAAGAACAGTAAAAAGAAGTCAATCAGATGGACACTTCAGGGCAAACGTTGATAGGTAATAATCCAAACAGTGACCAAAAAAAAAAGAGAGTTCGTTCTTATTTTGATCTGTTGGACGTAGCGTGAGGATTTACCCTGGTCATTCGACATCCTTTGCTTTTACCTCCAAGTACCTATTGACATGGCAACAAAAAAGAACCAGAGACAGAGAGACAGGCAAACAAACAGGCAGACAAGAGAACATCAGCCTAACAACATAACGACATAACAACACGCAAGCAACAAACCAGCAAGATCAGACCTATCACCTTATCCATCCAGCTGCATCAGACCATAATTATTTTCCTTTACGACGCGTGACTTTTTTGTGCTCACCCTATCATCCTATGCCGATCTCTACTGGTCCCCCTCCTTAGGTCCTGAATGAGCTCGTCGCTGGAACTCCGCTCGCCGTCCAAAAGGGCCGCATTGGATCCATCACGGCAACCATACCCTGGCGCAATCTCTGGAACGGACAGTGTATCCTCGAAATTGACGGCATCGACATCTCCCTCGCGCCCGTCCAGGCACAACCCGGTCACCTGCAGAATCTGGAGGAGCAGCTCTTATCAGCATCAGTCGACCTGGCTAGCGATTTCATCCAACAGAGCAGCTCAGCCAAAGAGGAGGCTGCCCTTCGAGAATCAATTCTCCAGTCACTCCAGGCTCAAGCCCAGGCTGCACAGGCACCTACAGGAATACCCGGTGACTTCAACTATCGACCCTCAGTTCGACCTTCGTCGCCTCTTTCTCCAGGGTCAACACCCTCAACAGATGACTTTGGCGATGCCTCCGAAGGAGAGGGTGTGCAGTTTGTGGCCAAGTTAATTGAGAAGCTCATGGCAAGGATCCAGATCATTTGCAGAGGAACCACCGTGCGACTCCAACACAGTTCATCCCTGCCTCTCGTCAACTCTTGGTCATCACCCTCAAAGACAGAGATATTGGACTATGAACTGGAGGTCCGGTTACCCTACATTGCTTATCGGGACGAGACACCGGGATGGGATCAGTCGGCCGCAGGAAGAGAGCCTGCGAGTATGGCGGCATCGACAATATACGGGAATGAGTCCACATCAGGGTCAACTATGCTGGAGGATTCCGTCATTCCGAGCGTCATCTGGCAGGATACCCCAGAGTCGATCAAAACTGTCACCTTCAAAGGCTTCTCAATCTGGATCAAGCAGAGTGGAGGTCAGGAGGAACTTCTTGCCAAGGTCGACCCTACACCACAGTCATCACCCCGACCGGCACCACAGCAGGCGGTCAAGACACCAGTTGAGGAGGCAGCTGACGACGATCAAAACACGTCCGACTCGGACTCGGATGTGTTCACTGACGCTCAGGAGAACATTTCGCAGTCTATGGTGGCCTCCAGGATCATCAGCAGACCAACCCCGGCTCCAACACCTCCCTCTCCAGCTCCGATACCTGCGCAGAGCTCCCGTCCCATCAATCAAAGTCGCCTATACCAAGCTGAAATCCTATCTACACTTCAGCACAAGAATCGGGTCAAGGTCAATATCAGGAAGAACACCATAATGCTCCCTAGACCCAACTCGACTCAAGCACAATCTACTGTTAAATCGCTTCTGGATATCGACTTTTCCATCAAGTCCATCTTCGTTGCTCTTTCACCCAACCAGATCGCATTCTTGCTGGAGATTCTTTCGCTGATGGATCAAGCACCGCCTCCGCCCGCTAGCGATAGCTCCAAGCAGAATCTAGCCCCAGCTTACCAGACAGGCGTCGACAGGGAGACGGGAGGTGAGCTCGGCCCTAACCGCGATCATGCTACTTCTCGTGGACCTATTCCTATTCTGCGATCCGACAACTCTGCAGAGCGACCATTAACGCACCACAACCTAAGGCCCATGTCTCCCAAACAGCGCTCTCCACCTGTCGACCCTCTCCGAGTACCGCAGAACAAGAGCCTTGGTGGACCAACACAGGAGCCTGACAAGCATGTGGATGCAAGGAATTCCAGAACAACCATACCTACCCCAGCCGTGTTTTTGGACTCTTCGCGCTTTTTGAGCGGTTCAAACTACAGTGAGCACCGCTCAGGATCCTCAACGTCCTCAGGAGCAACTGGCAGCACCTCGCCTGCCCTGACGGTGAAACTCAAGGCCAAGATCGGTACTTTCCAGGTGTTTGTTCTTTACCAGGACCCTCAAACCCTCAGCAACATCCCGTCGGAGGCCAACTTTTTCAAGTCTCCCACTCCAGAGGCGCTGAAATCGGGACATTTGAAACTGGAGTTGGACAGCATGGTTCTCAAGTACCAACAATGGTCCCCGACTGGCGTCGGCGCAGGCGGACAGAAGCCAACTAAGCAAAACAAGGGACAAGTGGACTTCACGCTCAGCAACTTTGCAGTATCGGAGTGGATCGATGCAGTACCCAAACCCTACGAGACGCGAGTCTGGGACAGCAAAGCAGACCAGTACCGACTGCCTCCTCGGAAATCATATATACCCATTGTCGAGTTTGATGCCGCGCAGGATTCGCTCTACCAAACCTCACCCAACTCCAAGTTCCCAACCCTCCGACTTCCAGATCGATACATGACTGAGCGTAGTCGAACGGTGCGAACGAAACCATCTGCACGGCCACTTGACAAAGCTACGTCGCCGTCTGCGTTGTCGGAACCTCAAGGAATATCCAAAGATCCTACGAGTGCAGCCACCAAGGAGGTTGTCCGCATGCGAGTGATGCTAAGTGGCAAGAAGGACGCTTCAGCTCATAGCGCTCTTCCTCCAGAAGGAACTCAGACGACGACTGGCTCAGCAACGCTTGTCCGCGATGTAACGATTGAAGTCAAGCCTGCACACGTGCATTTGGACTTTTTCTTGTTCCAACGACTTGAGAAGGTTCTACTTGCTCTGATGGGCTCCGAGAATAAACCCGAGTCGTCAAGTTCACACGTTGAATCTGTATCCGACCAGCCGCCTCAATCTCCTCGTGGCATTGAGCAGCAGATTATGGATGACTTGGATGGTCCTCGAAAGGCTGCCAAGGTATGTTGAACTGCAGTGTCGCGTAGGTTCATATTCTCAACGACACATTAAGGTTGAAGTTTTCAAGTGTTTCTGACAGCTTAATATTGCATGCCACGACCCCTTATTTCTCTAGCCAAGTACCCGTGTGCGACTTCGCCTCAACTCGATTCAGGTCTGGGTGTCTATCCCTGACATGGCTCTTGCGCTCAAGGAGGAAAGGGATACTGGACCAGAATACAGGACCATCTATGATGTCATTGCTCTGAATATTTCCAAGATGATTGTCACCAACGCATCTGACTCCAGTTCAAAGGGTTCCTCTCCGGCTCAGCCTAACACTGGTCCGGGATCCAGTAGCAGAGATGATGACCATGGCTCAAAGCTGAAGGTTGAGTTTGCGAGCGTGTCAGCCTTTGTTATCCCAGCCCATGGTGAGTCTACAGGCTGGTGATGTTCAATGCATACTGAGGGAATTATGTACTGCTACAAGACATTGATCAGAAGCGCTAATCGTCGTCTACGTTTCAATGCGTCTTTAGCAACAACCGCGAGGGCGATCCTTATGGTTGGACCTCTGCTCAATCATCCAGGATCGATGTCAGGATTCAACTCGTCGATGCCAAGTCTCGAAATTGTGTCGCGCTCGGCAAGTTCGATACCACAGCACTATGAGCATACTCCTCCCTCCTCCTTCCCGCGTGTCCCTGCATTGCAGGCGTTTGCTATCCTGGAGGCGGAAGAGAACGTTCACAATGCTGCAGATGAAGCAGAAGAGCTGCTCCACTTCAAGCATCGGACTATTGAGACCTCGGTATGTTTAATCCCGCCTCATTTCCCCGTTCATTCTTTTTGCAACATTGCAAAAGATACAATGTTTGACCAAATTCTCATTTGGTACAATAGCTACTGTTGATTGATGCGCACCTCCCACTGGTGTCAGTTCACCTCGAGAAGAACGTCCTGGATACATTACAGCTCCGGATCAACGATATCAGCACCTGGGCAGCGCTTTTCTCGGAGAAGCTGGCATCGCAGCTACCCGCACCTCCAGAGCCACCTAAAGTTGAGATTTCAAGCCCACAAGAGCGGCCCTTGTCATACCGATTCGACGAATCCAAGGAAGGTCAACGGAGCAGCCTTGATGGTGGCTTCAGGGATGACCAAAGCGAACATGGCACAGACCAATCGACGGCGTATGGCGAAGAACTCCGACATCAGGCAGAAGGAAACACGTCTTTGCCCCGATTCCGCACCTCTCACGACTTTCAGTTTCAATCAAGACTTGTCAAGCCGACAATGGCTTCGGTGGTCTTGTCTGCACAAACCGGTATGTTTTCACAACAACAGTTTTCATTTGCGCTCAGATTTTTTATGTACCCAGACTGACAAATGTACTCATTGACCACAATAACAGTTGATGTCATCCTTGACTATCCTACCAAGCCCACTGTCCTGGACCCAGAGCCGATCACCAAGTCCTACCAGATCAATGCTGGCGATGCACGTATTTTTGCAGCCGCAAAGTACCAAGGCGGAATAGACACGTATCTCACCATTGACGCGGAGGATTTGGAGTTTTGGGAGATTACGAATGGGAAGCCCAAGGCAATGTTGCTGAAGCGGACTGTTCCCAAAAACGTCAAGGTAGGGTTTATTTATGATGTTTGTGGTCCTTCCCGATGACGGATGATCTTGTACACTGACCATTAACATGGCCGTTACGCTGTGATATTTTTTGGATAGGTCAAGGCGCCCAAGCCCATGTTTCATATGACTAGCATGCTGTCGTTCGATCCTGTGGTCAAGTTTAAGGAGAACGATACGAACCTCGCCTTTTCAGGGATCTCGTGGAATTTTTCGATTGACCAGACTGCTGTGGACGACGTTCAAGACTTTTTCGCTGAGCCGGTGGGAATCGTCTACTTGAATCCACCTCATCAATGCACCCGTGTTAGTGTAACTCTGGGAGAGTGCGGCATGGATTACAAGCCTCTCAACATCCCATCCCGCTTTGCGCTGACCTTTGAGAAGATGAAGGTAAGGTTCCACTGTACTATTACGGTGCTATATGGTCATCTACCGAACCGTGCTTGGTAACCAATAATCCACTAACGCGAAACCTATTGTTTTTTATGACATCCAGGTTTTCTCTACCCTCATCCCAGAGTCCCCGACGCTTAAGTCCAAAGTACAGATCTACAACATGTCGCTATTCTTGATTGACCGCCAGCAGAGTGTCTTGACCCCACAACTCCCAACTTTAGGATCATCTGGATCAGGGATCGATTCGCGGCGGTTCTGGAGTGCGCTCGGCTTTGCGCAGATTGGAGAGTGTCCCTTCTTCGAGCTCCGGTCGGTCAAGAGCAAGAATGGTCAATTGCCACTCTACGATCTGTCCATCACCAACCAAAATTTTTACCTCGATACCTGCTCAGATTCGTTTGAGACCCTCTCACAGTTCGCGGCATACATGGGCGATAATGGTGATATGCCAGCGGAGAAGAAGAAGATCTTGGAACGCCTTGCAGAAGCTGAACGCGCCTCAGACCGAGCCGCGTCCAATGTGATCTATCAGGACATATTGGGTATGTTTAGTCTTTCATTTTTCTTGACTGGACTGTGCTTGAATGTGTAGCAGGGATAGTAACACTTGCAAACAATTATATTGTACTAGTGGCGAGTTTGGACGAGGATGCGTTCCGGAAACCGAAGCAGGACAAGGACCTCGCGGATGCTGGAACATTGGAATTTGTCGAGGGTTTCTACTCTGTCGAGAGAGATGACGCGGAAAACGACTTTTTCAAGGCCCAGATTCAGGACACACCTGATGTGGATGGATTCCACGAAGTCTACGCGGACCTCTTGCAGGGCACGAGGCGCTCAGGTCACAACGGCGGCCCTGGTATCGGCACTCAGGAAGCTACCAAGGGCAGCACCAAGACCAAGGGCTCAAAGTCAAAGTCCAAGGACCAGACACTCGCTCCTACCAGGATCGGATCAGCTCCAAGTGGCCAGATGCAGTCGCTTACTATCCCCAGTCCTACCAGATCAGTACGATCGTCTCTGGATGGCGGCAGACGAGATGAACCCATTAGGAAATTTGGACACGCAAAGAAGGAGAGTGTCATCGAAGATATCATTCGCGTCTTGGACCCAGACGCCAAGCTGAATGTCATTGAGGACCACTTTTCCGTACCCGTGCTGACAGAGGAAGAGCGAGCCAAGGACGAAGGGTTAGTCTTCAATATCTCGCTACAGTTATTAACAAGAAAATTGACGCCACCAAATGTATGCTAACTTCAAGCTTCCTTTCGTAACAATTTTAGCTCGCTGGCCAAGATGCGTGTGCGTGTCCGAGACTTCAACTTTTCGTGGCGGCTGTACGATGGACTGGACTGGGAGATCTCTCGATTGGATGAAGCCGAGCGCAAGAAGCATGCTCGCCAGTTTGCCAAGCGTCTCTACGATCCTAACGATGCCATTCACGCTAACATGGACGCTGCACAATCTAACCTCGAAGCCAGCATTTTTGAGAGTCTTTCGGGAGTGCAGCCTGGCTCGTCTGATCGGCAGGGTCATGAACGGCGCGATTGTTCGCCCTGCTCTTCTGAGGCTGACTCGACCTGTGATTACCAGAACGACGTGATGAGCCAGGCCAGCGGCGCTGGAGGCCGACCCTCTTCGACATCCTCCAACTCTGGCAGCAAAAGACCGGCCCATCAGCAGAGCCGGCACCCTCAATCAACAGGTCAGGGCGACCATTCAAAACGGAAAAGGAAGCTGGAACGATCCAAGACGGCGATGTTAGAGTTCAATGCGGACAGGGTGCGAGTCGACTTTGAGGATCATGTCAGCGGTGTTGAGACGGCATCTCACCTCTCTTTGAGGGTCAGGGAGTTTGAGATAATTGACAACTTGAAGACGTCGCACTGGCACAAGTTTCTGTCACATCAGCGCCACGACTCGAGATCGGCTAAATCAAGATCGGCACAGTCAAACATGGTGCGAATTGATCTGGATGGTGTTCGGCCTGTGGTAAGCGCATCGACGGTTGAGTTCCGACTCAAAGTCAAGATCTTGCCCTTGCGTCTCTACATTGACCAGGATGCGCTCATGTTCTTGATCAAGTTCTTTGTCCAAGGCACCGGCGGTGGTGCACCCCCTGGAGCTGGAGAGACACAGCCCGAAGCCATGGCCGCCGTACCTGATAATGTCGAGAAGAAGAAGAAGCCGAACGAGATGTACTTCCGTAAGTGCCTTTGGTTCCATGTGCATATGGGCTCAGCGCGTCTATTTGCGTTCTCCATCCAATGGCTAATGACTGTATGTATCACGTTGAAATGTAGAATCGGTCAAGCTGGGAGAGATTGCGGTCAAGATGGATTACAAGCCCAAACATGTCGACTACACAGGACTTTCAGGCGGCAACTTTGTCGAGCTGATGAACTTTTTCCATTTGGATGCGGCAGAAATGACGCTCCAGGAAGTTCAACTCCACGGCATCAATGGGTTTGCAAAGATGGGCCAGGATCTGGTCGCGGCGTGGCTCCCTCACATCCGGTCTACCCAGGTGCCCAACATGGTCTCTGGTCTGACGCCAATCAGGTCGTTGGTCAACTTGGGATCTGGAATCGCCGACCTAGTTCTTTTGCCCATTGAGCAGTACAAGCGAGATGGCCATATCATTCGTGGTCTACAGAAGGGTGGTCAGGCGTTCACGCGTGCAACGACGTTGGAGGCGCTCAAGATTGGAGCCAAGCTGGCGGTTGGAACTCAAGTTCTGTTGGAACATGCTGACGAGATCTTTGGATCTGGAGCTACTGCGGCGGGTGGTGGTGGTGGTCATGGAGGAAAATTGGGAGCCGAGAGCGATGACGGGTTGGACTCACACAACAGCAGCAAGAGGATGGTGGCGACGATGGTGACGGATTCTGAGGCGTATATGCAAGAATCCATTGATGACGAGGATCAGTTGCTTCAGCATTTGCATCACCAACAGCAACAGAGACAGCAGTTGGAGCACCAGCACTACCTCCAGTCGATCGGCCAGGGCACCTCGTCATTGTCGACCTCACCGATGGGGGCTGCAGGCCCTTTGACTAAGGGCAGCAGAGTGAGCAAGTATGCCAACCAACCAGCGGACATCAACGAGGGCATGGAGCTGGCGTACAAGAGTCTGAGCAAGAATATTGGCACGGCGGCGCATACAATCTTTGCAGTTCCTATGGAGGTCTATGAGCAGACAGGAGCTCAGGGGTCGGTACGGGCAGTGATCCGAGCTGTCCCTGTTGCGGTTTTGAAACCCATGATTGGAGCGACAGAGGCTTTCTCCAAGGTCTTGATTGGTATCCGTAACAGCATCGATCCTGCGCAACTGTTGCAGAACGAGGACAAGTACAAGCGGCATTAGTTTTTTTAGCTGCAGCGACAACAATAACCCGGAGATAGCCATACTTACATACATACATCCGCGCCGCTTTTTTCCATTCCCTATACACCCACTGCGTGATCCCAGCGCGTGCGCACAAGACAATCAAGCTCGTTCCCAGTAAACCCTTTGTACATATCGTTTTAAGAAAGAATGATGCTGATGAATGTGTTTATGAATGCAAAATGTATATATTGAACTACCACCGCCGCTTTACTTGCGACCCTTGCCCTTGATGTTGGATTTGCTGCGTCCAATGTTACGTTGACTCCTGTCGAAAGCGGTCTTGCCCTTTCTCCGCTTGGAGGGGTCTGACATGAGGCCATCAAAGATTTCATCGCCTCCGTTGGATCTCTTGCGATTCCTTGAGCCCATATCTTCGTCTTCGTCGTCACTATCGTGGGCCATGGCGGCCTGCTTGCGTTCGTTGCGGCGGGCCAAGACGTTCCTGCGGCGCTGCTCGTTTGTCTCCAGATCATCCTGCAATGGCGCAATTTGTGAGAAGTCGTTCAAGTTCTGTATTGTTTGAAAGTTGGAAAGAAAAGAGAAGACAATGTTGTTAGGTAACTTGGTTACAGCAAGGATCAAAGATTGTCCACAAACAACCAAAAAACACACACACACACAGCCACAAAAAGGAACGAGAAACATTACCTCAAACTCGTTCTCAAAGCGAGGAAGAGCACCCTTACGAAGCCTAGTAATCTCCTTCTTTGACAACATAGTTCTCGTGAAATTCGCCTCCTCATAATCCTCACGCTCACGCTGCTTCTGATCCATGCCCATTCCGAAATGGACTCCATCGTTCGTAAGCGACATCTCCTCTGGACGATCGTCAAACTCCGAGACCAAATCCTTCATGACACGCGATTTGGCAGCGCGGGCCTGGAGACGGGCCTGGTACTTCAGGCGCTTGGCGACAGCACTGGAATCCTCCTCAAAGTGGACGGGTGCCATCTTGGGGGCTCTGTACAATCCTGACTTGTCGTCACCGTCCCTGTCCTCCTGATCGTCTTCGCCGTCATCGCCGCCATTCTCGGTGTCCAGGACAAGGTTCTTGGGGTTGGGCTTGAACGCCAATGGATCAGCACCTATTTCATTGGGAAAATTTCATCAGAGACCTGTCAATATCCATACGATGATATACATTCGCTCTTTTTTTTGCTTGGACATCAACCACACACACAATCCTCCCCTCCAGTATCTGCATATATTTTTTTTCTTTGTTTTACCTCCAGCGTTAGACTGAGCCTCGCCTTCTTGCTGTCCAACAACAGCTGCTCGAACCAACTTATCGATCTGGTACTTGAGTTTCTGCTCCACCGGCTTCATCTTTTCCAAAATCGTCCTCTGTTCGATGAGGGAGACGACGGCAGGGTGGTCCTGGATGGACTGGCCGTCGAGTTTCCGGTACATGACAAAGGCGAGGTTGGTGATGTATTCCAGCAAGATGTGGTATTTCACTTCAAGGAATGAAAGTCCCTTTGAGGTGTCGATTTCCTTCGACTCCAGTCTGATTTTTTGTGGTTGTTTTGTTGTTTGGGTTGTTTGGGTTGTTTGGGTTGTTGTTGTTGGGGGAAAGGTGGGTAGGATATATTCCAGGTTTTGTTTTGTTGTTGTTGAGATACAAGTCGAAGGGGGAGTAAAAAAAACCCAAGTGAACAGTTCATATGTTTTTTTTTAAAAAGGTATACAAAAGAAAGTAAGAAAAAGAAAAAAAAAAAAAAGGTCAATAACCAACTTCTCCTTTACGCCAACTCCACAAGTAAAGAGAGACACATATACATAGCAAGGTCCAACTTTTAGCTGTGAAAAAAGAAAACCTCCTTGAAGAAGAAAACATACTTGGCGATGGTAGGCTTGAGCTTGGTCTCAATCTCTTTGAGCATGGTCGCGAGCTCCTGGAGGTGTTTGGGGAAGGCAACCTGATCAAGTTGAAGAGCCTCATGGACCGCATCTGCTGGGGATTTCGAGGCGACCATCGTGTATTATATGAATGTGTGTAGGTTAAAGGTATGACAATTAGTAAGGATGGAGGTGGTGGAAATGGTGGAATGTGAGTGTTAATGGTTGACTGACAGTGAGTGGAGGTGGGGGTTGTGAGCACAACTGTAACGCAGGCACAAAGAAAAAAAGAAAAAGAAAAAAAAACATTTGTTTATAGTGACTGTTTCCGGATGTTGCCACCAAAAGGCAAATTGCAAAAGGCATAAAACGACTGCAAGGTGACAACGAAACAAAGCAGCACCTGGAACGACGATGGATGAAATGCAAAACTTTTTGAGTGTATTATGATAACAGGATATGAGGTGTGTAAAAAAAAATGAGTGTGGATGTCTGTGCGAATGGAGAGTGTATGGTAAGAGTACAATGGTTTCTAGGCCGTGTTTTAGCAGAAGTGAATGCATTCTTCGTTGAAAGCCGCCAGCAGCTTGAGGTAATCATCTTGATCCATCTTTGCTGCACGTTCCTCAGCCATTCCGACCTTAGTCAACACTCCCTGGACCTTGGCCTTCATGTCCAATGGGTCCTCCAACATCATATCGTGTGTTGCGCAATATGTCTTGTAGTTGGTCTCCAACATCTCCATCACACTCTCCGTCTTGAAGTTAGCCGACAACGTCTATGAGATAAGTGCCAAAAGAGTGAATTGATTAGTTGCCAGTCTTCTGAAACAACATGTTCGATCGAGTGTTTCAATCCGCACCAATAACAACAACAGAACAACTATAAAGTACCTTGTTCTTGCGGACAAACAAGATGCGCATGAGACCATCCCACTCCTTGAAATCAACAGGGGGTGGGGGGTTTCTGGGCTCCATGCGAACGACACTGGACTCGACCTGGGGTGGGGGACGGAAGTTGTTCTTGCCGACCTTCATGATATGCTCGACCTTGGCAAACAACTGGACGTTGACACTGAGACGACAGTACAACGAATCACCAGGCTTGGCAACAAGACGAAGAGCGAATTCACGCTGGAACATGAGAACTGAGCTGCGGAAAACGGGGCGGTGCTCCAACAACTTAAACACGAGAACGGACGAGATCTGAAGATATCATTAAGAACGAAAAAAAAAAAAAAAAACCTGTTAGCTTCTTCCTTGAAAGGCTACATCCTTGCTGGCAGTAATCCTGATCATTCTTCCTTCGGCGCATACCTGGTATGGGGTGTTACTGATGCAAACGTCAAAGTATGGGAGCTTAGCCTTCATGAAATCTCCAATCATAATCTCGAGCTTCTTCTGGTCAGGACTATCCATTTGAACAAGCAGTAAGAGAAGCATATTAACATCAATCAGCCATCAACAAATGCGATTATTTTCTTTCATCAAAGGCAACGAGACAGCATGACGCCAAGCAGGCAATGTCCAATCGTTCTCCAAAACATCCTGTAATAATCCTTACGTTCCGTGAACACGCTTCTGCAATTCGGCAGCAAGACGAGGATCCATCTCGACGGCAACAACCTTTTTGCACTTTTCCAAGATCTTGACCGTCAAGTTTCCTGTACCGGGACCAATTTCGAGAACAGTGTCGGTGGGGCGCAAGTAGGCCTAATGGAAACAAGGGAGGAAACATGAACACTTTGTCAGCATTTCTCTGTCCTCAAACAATAATATTGTCCACATAGTACATAGCATATGCTAGCTCTATCACATCCTGCGACAAGTACTGAAAATGCTCCAAGTAATGTACCTTGTCAACAATTCCCTGAGCGACCAAAGGGTTTTTCAAGATATGCTGACCGAGATCCTTGTTGAAGAGGGGTCCGAAAGCACGGCTGGCAGCAGAGGCAGCAGTGGCCGAGGCGGCGGCCTTCTCGTCCTTCTTCTCTTTTGAGGGGCGTTCTGTCTTTTGGTTGAACTTTCTTGACACGACCTTTGGCATTGTTAAAATGTGTGTTTTGGTTGTTGGTTGTTGTTTTGTTGGTGGGTGGTGGTTGTGGGTGATGTGATGAAGTGGTATGAGAGTGGTGAGGATGACCAAATGGGCTGGGCGATCACAAAAAAAAAAAGAGAAAAAAGCAAAATACGTGACTGCTAGTCCGAGTGCAGGTCCAGATCGAGTGGGATCTCACGCGGCGCGGCGGAAGATCTAGAAAGGGGGCAAATAGGATAAGAGATACAAAAAAGACCCGCCCTATGCGTTGGCCAAAGCGACTATCAATACAAAGGGAGTTCATATCCTGCGAAGAAACACTCTGCCAAAGCTTCTTTTTTTTTGAGCCAACCATGTCCTTGGTTCATGAGAACTATTGCTCCAAAGCACATCAACACATCTCACAGGAATCAGTTCTGAAAGAGAGAATACAAAGATTACGATTTTTTTGTATTGAACAATGAATTAGGAAAAAAAATAAGACATATGGAATGGAAAAGAAGCTACTTGGTTTTTTGTGGTGTGGATTGGGGGGATTGTGGGTTCTGCTCAAGTGTTTTCTTAATGGGGAAAACTACCAAGAGGCAGATAAAGTACAGGATATTAATGGCATGATGCGCATGAAGGAAGATGTCAGAGTTAGGGGAAAGGGGGGCTGGCTTTACCAGCCAGAGTGATTCCTGTTTACTCCACCACCTCCTCCTCCCGCTCCATTGCCGGATGACCCTTTCGAGTCTTGTGGGGCCATGATGGAGCCGGTTGCCCTTGTCGCGTTGGACGCTGACGATGCAACTGGCATAGAGAGAGCGCCACTTGCACTGTTGTGGCTTCCAGGAGGAGATACAGGGGAGATCATTCCAGAGGGGCCTCCTTGGCCAAAGGACTGTGACAGTGGATATGCGTTAGAGGGGCCAGATGAAGCAGTACCCATGAACGACGACCCTACGGGGGAAGACAGACCCATCATGGACGAAGAACGAGAATGTCCTGCACCGCTGCTATAGTCCGATGCTCCAGTGCCGCCGTTGTTGCCGTAGTCATGAAAGCTGCGATAGTTTTGTGACCCATAGCTTTGAGGGCTGGCACCACCGGCTCCACTCGTCCGGTTGGAAGAGGGCGGTGAAAACCCGTAATTAACCGAGCCATAGAAGGCCGAACCTGGGCCTCCATTTTGGTTCAAGTGATTGTAGGTGTGCTGAGGGCTGCCGCCATGTTGGTTGTGGCCATAGTCTCCATAGTGGCCAGACCCTCCTCCTCCATAAGGCGTGCTGGCTGGCATCGAAAGAGGCCGTCCACCGTTGGGGAGTGAGCCGGATGTGTTTCCGCCGTTCTGTGTAAAGTAAAGCCCGGTGTTGGAGAAGGAAGATGGGGCGCCATTGGTGGAGTAAAACGAGTTGGCCGAGCCATAGTCGCCATGAGTGGGTGCCGTGGGAGATGTAGGTGAAAAGATGCCGCTCTGGTGGTGATGCTGAGTGTTGAGTCCTGAAAGAGCAAATGACGATGTCATTGACGTGGCATATGGCCCCTGCTGTTGTTGCTGTTGGTCCATGTGCTGGAGCTGGTCTTGTGGCGAGGCGTAGCTGTGATCGTGGCTCAAAAGGTGAGAATGGCGCCTGTTTCCTGAGGGGGGAGGCATGACGGGGATGATGGTGGGAGCAGGAGGGGTGTCAATTTTGAACAGGTAAGGGTCGCTCTCCTGGCCAGGACGCTTGGGGAGTACTGGCACTGGAGTCAAAGGGATCTCAGGGGCGGGGCCGGTAGGCATTGGGTGAGGGGTAGGATCGCTAGTGGCGCGTCGGCTGGCACGTTTGCTAGATGCAGACCTCTGTCCTGCACTGCTTCTCCTGGATGTCCGGCCAGTTCGTGCAGCACCTCCGTTGGAGCCAGTTCCTGCCGTTTGGGTTTGGTCGAGTGGGGCTTGGTGGTTGGGGTCAAGTTTCCAATAAGAACCCTTGCCGGGCTCGCTCGGTGGTCTCGGCACACGCATAAAAGACTTATTCAGAGAAAGGTTGTGACGAATGGAATTCTAAAAGGTTGGATGAAAGAAAGCAAGGGCTGGTTAGTAAGAGAGATCTTTGTCCAGTTCCCCACCCAACTCTAGAGCAGAAAACAGGCTTGTCGACATTGAGAGCACTATTTCTTTTTCCCTTCCTTCCGTTGGCTCTCGTCCTTTTTTTTTTTTCCTTTCCAATGGTCCCTCTTTTTTTTTGCAACCCGCAGGGAAAATGTGGGGTTGCAGTGGGTGGGTGGGTGGTTACATTGTCAATGTCGACAACCCCTTTTGTCCACGCGGCCGCCCCTTCCCTCTCACAACACAACACGCCCAACAACATACCGCCTTCTTTTTTTCCTTTTTTACGCCATCTTTTCCTTCATATGTCCCTTTGACTTTACCTTCCAGCCATTGATGGCAGTTCGATACCAAGGATATCGCTCCATGACCCACTCGTAAATTTCGTTCAGTGTCATCTGCTTCTGTCCACTCTCTGAAATCGCCGTCGTGATCAAGGACGAGTATGAATATGTCGGCTTGGGGTACTTTGAATGAAAGTGTTCCAGTCCTGGTGGGACTTCGGGCGCTTTCTTTGTACCGGCGCTGTTCTTCTTCTTTGCTGGCTTTGTTGCTCCTCCCCCATCGCCTGTGCGTTCCGTCGGAGACTTCATTGATGCTGCTCCTATTAGATACAAAAGACGTTGTTTTTGTAGTTGATAATGGTTTGACCAAGTTGTGGGGAAGAGACAAAGACAACAAGATGGTTAGTACGTGAGTGGTATCAGTTTGGAAAGAAAAAAAAATCTCCCCGTGCCAGTTCGCGCCTGTTGTTGCTGATAATTTTGTTGTTCGTGCTGTTTGCGTTATATTTGGTGAGCGCCGTGTATCGTGAATGGAGCATTGCTGAGGTAAACAACAATCCCATGGACAAAAAGTCACCAAAAAGATCGGTGTATTGTAGAAAAAAACGAGGGAGAGAAGAAAAGGCAAAAAAGAAAAAAGAAAAAAGAGAGAGCAAAAGGAGGAGTGGGGAAGGAAGGAGAAAAAAACGTAGCAGGGTCGTACCTGACACGGAGTTTGGGTTACTGGTTCCTGCGGAGGGTGGTGGTTGCGGATGCGAATTTGAAGGCGTGTATCTCGCAGAGTTGGGTGAGGACGAAGGGGAGTAGGATGGCTGATATGGCGGGTAGTTCAGCAGATCGTTCATGGGCTGGGACCACTGCATACCGCCCTTGGACGAAGATACTGGGTTCTGTTCGAGCTTTGTCATGGGTCTTGGGGATATATATGTGATAATGACGGGAAGAGTAGCTGTCGGGTATGTTGGTCGCTTTTGGAGCTTGTTTGAAGGCGTGGTGACGAGACGTGAGTGACAGAGTCGCTGCAGGTACGGACGGATGCGAGATATGTGTGCGTTTGTGTATGTGTGTATGTGAGAGAGAGAGTGGTGAGTATGCGAGGTTGTGAGGAGAAGAGAAAGAAAGGGCTGAGTCAAGAAGGATTGGATAAAAGGAGCGAGAGAAGGAGCGAGGGAGTAAAGGAGGAGAAGAAGGGGGAAGGGGTGAAGAAGAGTGAAAAAGGAAGCTAAAAGAGAGGGAAGGGAAAAGAAGGGAAGAGAAGGGAAGAAGAAGCAAGGAAGGAAGGCAGAGATGAGAGAAGAGAAGAGAAGAGAAGAGAAAGAGAGGGAAAGTGATAAATGAGAAGAAAAGGAGGATGGGGGGAAATGAAGGCTAAGTGACAGTCCCTGGCGTTGTTTGGGCGATGGACAAGGACTGGCTTGGATGTGGGGGACCCGAGAAAGTATGAACAATATCAACAACAACAACAACAACAAGAACAACAGCAAGGAAGAAGAATAAGGTGGGAAAGAGGAGATGGGAAGAGAGAGGGAATGGAAGAGGATGGAGGGAAAAGGAATACAACAACAATAACAACAACAAATACACAACAACAACAACAACGATATGAAAAGGGAAGGGAAAAAGAGAGATTATCGCAATGAAAGGGCTGTGAATTGGACTGGTTGTTGTTGTCAGAAAGAGGGAAGGAAGGGAGGAAAGCGAGGGAAAACGAAAGAGAAGGAGAGAAGAGATACTTGAAAGTTGAAAGAAAAGGGAAATGAAAACGAGACTCTTTATCATCTTGTTCTTTTCTTTCTTCCCCTTTGTCACCAGTTTCTCCGTTCCCTTGTTCGCTCGCTCACTCGGTTGTTCGTATTCGTTCGCATTCGTTCGTTTCGGCGAGTTGTTCTGTGATGGCTGACCAACGGCAGGAGAGGAACAAAAAGGATTGACCTGGATTATGGTTTATGAATTCACCCCCTCCTTTCAAAAAAAAAAAAAAAAAAAAAAAAAAGAGTTGTATTCACCCAGTTGGCGTAGGGGTTTCTCCTTGTCTCTTTTCTAGTGTGGCAGAGCAACCGAGCTACCAAGCACCGTGAATCAAGCGCCTTCCCAAGAGAAACTAATTCAGAGGAGACGAGAGAGGGAGAGAGCGGAGGGAGAGAGGGAAAGGGAAAATAGAGAGCAGAGACAGATAGACAAACAGACAGACAGACGGACAGACAGACGGACAGATAGACAGAAAGACAAAGGAACAGGGAATAACAAGTAAGAAAGCCAAGAGAAGAAAAAGAGGAAGAGGAGGCCGAGGGCAAGATAAGGTTACGAGGCAGGCGCGCGTGATTGACCGTTTCTTGCGGACCTCTCAGATCGCAGCATTTGATTCTCTGGGTATTCAATCGGACATGCAACTCAATAATGAACGATCGATGGAAGTCAATCCGTCTCAGTTCATTGGATGGTATTCAATCACTTCTTCTCCTCCTTCTTTTCATCTTTTAGTTCATACTCATCTCATACCTTGACAGAGCTACACTCACACAGTTGCACTCTCTACTACACTTTCGCCCTCATAGACCACCCACCCACGCATCATAGCTATCATACCTTCTCTCGTAATAATACATGGACAAGTAGAAAAATATCCCGAAGGAATCACTTCTTTTTCCTGCAGTCTGCAGGTCTATCTCCAATCCATCCACATCCATCAATTCAACATTTTTTAGAGTTCTGCTTGCACAACGAAATAAAGCTGCTTTTTTTTATTGTCAGTCAGGGGAAAGAAGGGACGGAAGGAATAAAGAAGAAACGTTTTTAGACGCCCAAAAAATGAGGCTCAGTGCTCATAAAAATCGATCGTGGAGGAAGGGGAACAAGGGGATGGAAAAAGTGAGCGAGTGAAGAAAGACGGGGGGGATGAGAAGGAGGTTGAAGGAAGATGAGAAAGAGGGAGGAGGGGGAACAAGGAAACAACGAGATGACAAAAGCAAGGCACGGCATAGGAAGACAACGTTCAAATCGAATCCACTTTATGAGATGGCAGTAAGACTTGCCGGGTCAAACTCTGCATTTGACAACGGTTTTCGTTTTTGTCCCGAGGATAGTTAAGAAAGTCATGACATGGGAATATAAAAAATGAACGAAAAATGTGGTCACCGACTCTATCAAAACGAAACCCCAGATCCCAACGCCTTCCTCCGTACGGCGAACCTCCAGTTACTCCAGCATGGACAAAAGGTCAAGAGCAAAAGAGAAGAAGGTTATTTCTCCATGTTCGAACATGAGCACGCAAACATCCTTGGCATTATCTCTTTTACGGACGTGGATGGATGACAAAAGAGTCGGGCTTTTTTGAGTCTATAGTCCTACTCCGACAATCGAACAGGGGGATTGCATTTGCCAAAACGTCTTCATTTGTTTTGTTGATTTGTTGATGTTGTTGTTGTTTTGTTTTTGTTGTTGTTGTTGTTGTTTGCGGTAATTATATCGGTGACTCTACCGCTGAAGGCTGTGCGGACGCATATCTTTTTTAGAGGTGTGTGCTTGTGTGCGTAAGTTTTTCTTTATCGAAAATCTCAAAGGAGTACTTAGTAATGTGAATCAGGGACAGATGCACGGAGCAGCAGCAGTAACAAGACAAGATAAAAAAATATCATCTCAACACAACCAACCATGACAAACTTGCAGCATAACTGGCGAAAAAACTGTAGCAAAAGACTGCGCGCTCTCTTAGGGTAGTGCTCAGGTTGCATCCGTGTCGGGACATGAAAAGAACAGAGGAAGACACTGCCATTTGGTTCCATCGCGTGGCCACAAAATACAGTGCCAGACATCGAGCAAAAACCACATCAACAAAAACAAACATAGACATCCGTTTGTTCATTCCGCCATTTCTTTTCCTTCTTTTATTTTGAGTCCGACAAAGAGAGATCGTCTTTTGGCGGTGATCGTCGCCTCCAAAATGTACGGACACGGACAAAAGCTCAGGTAGATGTTGATCAAAAACGGCAACAACGCAAGACACAAATATTAACAACCGCAACTCTCGCTGGAATACAAACAAGTAAAACTGTAGCGAGCAACAACAGCATTAACACCAACAACGTTAAGTGCTGCTCGTGTCGAGATCTAGGTTTTCTCATCTGCTTTTCTCCGTCAAATTACTGCTGTAATACCTCGAAGTCTGGAGGTTGTGGTATGATGTGGCCGACTTTGGCCGTGTGTACTTGTGCGTTTGTAGTAGGGTGTCTTTCCCTATTTCCGGCCGTGCACCTTAAGATGACATACCATCCACTTTTCCCCTCGCGCTAACTGTCTGTCTGCCGACCTCAGACTGCCTATTGTCCTGCATGTCTTCCCAAGGAAAATAGCCAATGCGCCAATAATTGGTAAACATGACAACAATAACAACAATAACAACAATAACAACAACAACAACAACCGTAAAAATAAAGGTGCGGGCGAAGCGTTCGCCTTTCACTTGTGACAAACAAGTTGGGGTATAATGGAATGAGCGTAATGGAGAAGCAAGTACCTCTAAATCCAAATGCAAACATGAACGAGAATACATGAGGCCCAGGCCCATTGTTTTAGATCCTGAGGTTAGAGTATAAGAGTGCGGCGGCTGTTCACATACTCCGAGGGGAGAAGGGGATGGGGGGAAAAGACACCTCAAAAAAACCAAACGTGCGGGGTAGTTCATTTGTTGAGACTGGTCGTCTCAGCGAATCAACTGACAAAGGCAATTTTTCGTCCTTACCAATTGGATATTCTTTTCGTTGCGTTGAGCTGTTGTTGTGCTCGGAATTGAGCATTCCGTGGCTGTACAAGGTGTAAGTTGACGAAAAAACTAATAGATGGCACATGCAGGGGCCAACCAAAGGCCAAAAAAAACAATAACGATGGAGGTATTGACTTTTTGAACAACAATAGCAACAATAGACTATACAACAAAAAAAAAAAAAAAAAAAAAGGTAGGGGATCCGATAGAGTCGACAGGCGGAGACGAGATGCATGTGTACTTGGTCAGATGGCTCACTGCAAGAAAAAAGAGCTTGATGTGAAAACCTGTTTTCCCTGGCGGGGTGGGCTCATTCATTTTTGGTGGCGTACTGTCTGCTTGCACACAGATGAACATGTATACCTTGAAGATGAAGAAAGACTATGGCTATAGGCTGACTACTTGGAGTTGATGTGGGTCCAGAGCCCACAGGTCCATTCAAACGAGATGGATGGAGGAGGGTCTCAAATCTGAATCTGAGACTGTAAGTGGCTGTGAGTTGAAAGTGCAACAACAAGGGTGACAACTCAGAAGAAGGAGAAGAAAGAATACAAGAGAAACGAGAGAGAGACGCAAAGGGGAGCGAGCGAAGACACAGGGAACTGTCAAAGGGGTAAAAGGGGCAAAAGAAGGTGAAGCAGCAGAGTCAGAGACGAAGGAAAAGAGGTGACTAACACATAATGAAAGACACGAGACAACCACTGTGGTCGTACAAGACTAGCTCTCCTTGACACCAGGCCAATAATCCATGGCACATCCCTCTCTCTCTCTCTTTCTTTTTCTCGCTCTTTCGCTCTCTCGCTCTCCCTCTGTGCATATGAGCCGTGCTAGATGACCCTTAACGGACCCCATCCTTGTCCTAGCCTGGCGCGACCTGCATCCTCAGACCATCTAGCTAATTTTCTTTTCATGCGACCTTCACTAGCTCATCGGCGCGTCAACTTCTTGCGTCCTCATCCCAACACTGCAGCAGGTCATAAGACCTTGTCTTCCATCGTAATACCTTGGTGACCCTGATGTCGATACTGGATCCCGTAATTTTTTCTTTCTTCTCACGCTGGGTGGAATGTTGTAATGCCAAGCACGAAACGTATCTTTTTTCGTTTGTTTTCGTACAGTGTGTACCCCCACAGACAACGTGTGTGACCTGACTTTGCACTCGACACAAGATGGAACACACGGATATCGACTCCGCTCGAATCGAGTCGGGGTGTGTGTTGGAAGGAACAGCCGATCTCCATGTGGGAACCATTACGTATGAGCCGTGCCTGTTTGTCCCACCCAACCGCCTGTTGTTTTTTATCTCCCAACAGCGCCACAGAAAATTCTCAATGGGAGAATGGAATAAAGTCTGCCTAGCGTCTTTTTTTCTCCTAACTTTTCTTTGAGTGCCCTGCCCTCATCATCATCGTCATAAATGGCATGGGAACCCGTTTTCTTTTCTTGTTTTGCGTTTGTCCCCCTTTCAAAAACAACTGGGCTGGAGGGGAAGCACTCCGAGGCCCAGTAAAAAGGCATTACACGCTTTACCTTCCTCAAGTACTACTCTCGAACCACAGGCGTTGCATCACCACTTTTTTGTAACTCTCTGCTTCCCTCTCCCTCCCTTGCAATGGAGAAAGATAAGCCCGGACCCAGTCCTCTTCACAGGCAACCACCTCTCTCTCCCTCTCTCTCAAACAACAAAGTCGTTCATGTACGCCCCTTGGAGCTTGGGGCTTAGACAATTATCTCGCTCTGTGAGAGGACAGGGCATGGGCAGACAGATAGACAAAGAGACAGAGAGATAGACAGGGGCATAAATGATGCATTCTCGTTGCCTGTTATTGTTCATGTGTCGCCTGAAGGGAAGGAGAATTACAAGAAAGAATTGGATGAAAGCAGTTACGACAACTATTCTCGGGGTGAGTAAAATGTCAAGTGTCAACTCACCGATCTATCAATGCGATAACGCCAAAACAGCGCAATAGCATAAAACAACACCACCTTCCTCGTCCTTGTCCACCAACACACATAAAAAACCCTCGCCTCCCCCTCCTCCTCTCTTCTACTTTTCTACAACTTGCACTTTATCCTTTGCTTTGACCTGCACCCTTCAAATATTTCACGCACCCCTTCCTTCAACGGCTATCCTTTGCTCGTCTGTACTCGGCCCACCGATCCCAATTGACACCATGCCTTCCTTCGACGAACACAAACACGCGATGGACTCTCCTTCTGCTTCTGCTAACAACGATAGCATCAAACCATCTTACTTTGATATCGCCAAACCCATCAGCATCCCCAACAATACCCTCGGTCGTATCAACACCGATGTTTGCAGTATGCTCGCCAATGAAGGTACTGTACATCGAACACAAAATTGATCCACATTCTTCGCTATCCGACATCAACTCTCGCTTCAATCATATTCACAGCGAAAGATTCGTATTCCTCCAAAAAAAAAAAAAAATGAATAGATATGGACGAGAGTGCACTCCCAGAGTTCTTGCAGTCGTTCCAGGACGCAGGTATCAGCGACGCCAGACTCCGGCAGTTCACATGGCTACATCCAAAGAACTATAGCAGTGATGGGTCCCTGAGTGATGATTACATCCTCTCTCCCTATGGAACCAGTGTCTCGTCCCCCCGAGGCGATGAATGGGAGATCATCGACAGTGGTATGTTTTCTTGCACCTTAATAGTTTGTACTACATAACTAAGTGCATCTTTTTTTTGTTTCGAGCCTCACCTTTTACGCTTTTCTTCCTAAATCTTGTGAATCCTTCAAACAGGTCCAAGAAAGAGCATTGATGAGTTATGGGACGAGGTTTTCGAATACAAGGAACGGATCAAGATACTCGAACGAGCACACCAACAAGAACAAGAGAACACTTCACTACAGGCACAGCTTGACGCCTGCAACGATTACGTCGTCAGGGACGACGACAACGACGAAAGTCAAACTCCGACGTCTGCTTCTTCTACTCCTACCACTGCTGGCATTGGTGGCATGGGTGCGATGACACAGGTCGATAAGACTGTTGTGTATGCGTCTCGAAAAGGGGTTCGGACCGGGCATGGAGGTGCAGCCCGCAGTTTATTGCAGCTTGCCCTTGGCGTAGGTTCCTCTCTTCGCTCGAATAGATGATGTTCACTCCATTTTTTGCTTCTGCAGGTCAGGCAGCGAAAAGGAGCGAGTAAAATAAACGCTCTCTCACAAACGAATAGTCATGACATTCGTCGTCATTTGTAAGTCGACTGCTTTGTTCAGTTAGTTGCTCTCGGTTGTTTTACTACGATTGGAAACGTTTTCCTAACATGCTGAGTGATGAGAAGTCGTTGTTGAGGAAGCTAGGGGATATCAAGATTAACTAGACCACGTTTCACTTGACCAGCGGGTTCATTTCATAGTTTGTTCTCGAGAGAGACGTAGAAAAACATCACCAAGGACGCGTCCAAGAGGGAACAAGTTCATAAACCGTTACGGGAGCGATAAACGCGAAGGAAAAGTTTATTAAGGAAACCTCGCAGTGTCCTGTAATGAATGCGTAAAAATTAGTGCAATAAGTAACCCTTAAGAGTTATAGGCAACCGTATCACATAATTTCAGATCATGTGTGACTCGCCAGCTCCCTCTTTTCTTCTCTTTGCATCAAAATGAGATTCATCAAGGCTAACAAGGCATGGATCTGTCTTGGGTGTTGGGGCGGGTGCATCAATGGGTTATATGCGGTTGATCCATCCATCGATCATCATGGCGCTATGCTAACCGTCGTTTTCGCATCGTATTTGGAACCATCTAGGTTGTCGTTATCCTCAACGGCCGCTATGCCGGCAAGAAGGCCGTCGTCGTGAAAAATAGCAATCCAACAACTTGCTCCTCGAATCTTGTTCTTCGTCTTTTTTTATTGCTTTTTGCTTTGGGTGGAGGAATCGGGAATACACAACACACAGGATCGGGAAAGTAGGAAGGCACGCTCATCCAGGACTTCAACAAAATACTATACATCGGGAAAGGGGGAGGGTTGAAGGATGTGAGGAGAGAGAGAGGGACATACTTCCATTCAACGATTCCGACCATCAACAGAGATCTACAGGGAGGTCCTGACCTCAATCGTCTCTTCTGGCGAGACGGTCGACTCCCTGACCACTTTCAGCCGGGATTCAAGGGATCACCAACATCTTTGTGGGTAGTTTTGTCCTTCCAACCGTTTTCCATGGACAAACCAACATCTTTTCATCTGGATCAGCTACAACGATAGATCTGCCATGCTCCAAACACCGTGCCCTGCGACTGTTTGCCTTGGCGCACTCTTTCGCCTCCCAGCAGCAGCAGTCAAACCACCTTCAACTATCGTGAACAGGAACACTCACCACGGTACGCCTTTTAGAGGCGACACGTCAAAAGGGAAACTGGATAGTGGATCAAGAGAGGACCGTTCAGTGCGTTTCTTATTATTTTTATTACTCCTTCTCTTTACCTTATCTCTTTCTGTCAATTGACATTGTTTCCTCGCATTGGAAACTCTGTGCAAGATTCGTATGACCTATGCTCGTCTCTATTCTATGCCTGTCTTCTTTTCTCTCTTTTCTATTGATTCCCAATAATACATGTCGATGAGGGATCCAAGGAGCGCGGTTACGGTCACGCCATCGTTGCCGGTGTCGAGCGTTACCCCCTCAAGATCACCAAGAACATGGGCAAGAAGCGCATCGCCAAGCGCTCCAAGGTCAAGCCTTTCATCAAGGTTATCAACTACAACCACATGATGCCCACTCGGTAAGGATTTTTTTCTCTAGTCGATTTTCTTTCAGGACACAAGCAACAAGACTTGGAGGAGGGAGACCAAGGGAGGAACAAGGGCAGGAGAAAGAGCTTGTGCCATCTTGCAGGAGACATTTGGACATGCTTATTCTGGGACACTGGTCTTTTTCTTGAATTCACGGGGACAGCACCACTAACCGAGTTGCTCTTTTTCATTGATGTACATTAGCTATGGTTTGGAGTTGGAGAACTTGAAGTCCGTCCTCACCGTCGACTCTTTCAAGGAGCCCACCCAGCGCGAGGAAGCCAAGAAGGCCATCAAGAAGCTCTTCGAGGAGAGGTACGACGACTCTTTTATTGAACAGGATCAAACGTGCTTGCATTTATCAACAACATTTGACACTCTTTTGAAGACGATCCACTAACGTTTATTTTTCTTTTGTTTTTATTCGAATATGCGTCTTACAGATACAACAGCGGCAAGAACAAGTGGTTCTTCTCCAAGCTCCGTTTCTAAACGGTCGGTGCGGAAATTACGCCTCACGAATAAAACTTGACCCGTTTTCATAACAACTTTCCTCTTATCTCTGTGCTTTGATCGAGGATATTGTTGTTGGCGTTGGCGTGTGCGCATTTTATGTTCGTTGGTGGCGTTGTGAAGCTTTTGCGACGTCAGCGGGAAGGAAGGAAGGATAGAAAATTATTTACAAATGGAGCTGGTGGTGAATCGCCGTCTTTCTCTCATTCACACCTCCGCTTCCACTTCAGATCACAAAACACAGGAATCATGTCGAAGGCGTCGTTTGAGCGAAAAGCGATCGGAATTCTCTACGACTTTCAAAAGTCGCGGAAAGTCTGGGGCGATCTTGTCTCGGATGGGTTGACACAAGCGAATGCACTCGTCAACGTGCAACTTCAACAAGGGTAAGGTTATTGCTTGTCTTGGTTCAGGAATCCTTTCGTTGCTGTAGTAGTTTATTACCACTGCACGCAGGCCAATTGACAAGACTAGTACATTTTATTTTGTGACCTGATGTTGTAGATATGTGGATAGTGCAGGATACTGGCCACCGGCGCTGGATCAATTTCTGGATCTTAAGGATCGATTCGAGAGCAAACTTCAAAAGAAGGCCGACGCGCTCGCCTTGGACTTTGAGACAACTTTTACAAAGATGGTAACGCCTTGCAGCGTGTCAATCGTGTAGCCGATTGCTTTGCCCACGTCTCTTTTGACCTTTGTCCTCTTGTACCACTTCAGAATCACCTACATCATCTTTTTTTTCTTTTTTTTTTTTTTTTTTTTTTTTTCGAAATGAATAGAGCGCACAGTACTCCAAGATGAAGCTACAAACCAGTCAATTCGAGTACTTGATGGAGGAGGCGACAGAATCATTTGGAGAGGCGTACACATATAAGGACCCCTTTGGCGCCACCTGCACACTTGAGCAGATCTGGATACAGTTCGAGAGGGTGTTTGGCCTGTACACACAACAAATCGCCCTCAACCGTGAGATTCTGGATCAATTGGTCGCGCGGAACCAGCAACAACAGAATCCAGCATTCTCGGCGCCATCACAGCCAGGAGGAGAGTCGAGCATAGCTGGATCGGTGGAAGGTGGTACGATAGGAATTCTGGCTCCGATGCCGAGAGATAAAGACCAAGGGATGATCCTTCTCTCGGCTTGGCTGAACCAGCCTCACCTCAAGCCTGATACGTTAGCTACATTCGACGAGTTCTGTCAAGTCGAGATGTTTGAAGGAGAGTAAAGCTGGCTTATTTTTTGTTGTTGTCATCGATTTCATATCTGATCGCGTTTGCTTTGGACCGTTGTCTTGTCTTTTCGCATATGAAGCTTGTGTTTGTAGTCTCAGGCTCTCATGGCCATTAGTTGATCAGTTTGAAGCAAGAATAGACAAAAGCCACACGCGCGGATTGTTATCTCCTTCTCTCCTCCGAGTTCTCTTCGTTCTTTCTTCCTCTTTTTCTCTTTCTCGCTCTCGCACTCTCTCTCTCTCCACCTTCAACTACCATCCCGACCATTACCACCTCCTCACCTCTCAATTCTCAAGAAAGTATGGTCAGCCAGAACTGCAATAGCCGTCGCAGGAACAACCGCCATCGTACCCGTCGAACCAGGTTGTCTCCTTACTCTTCCAAGGCGACCAATTCCAACGCCCAGGTGAGAGCTGCCAATCGTCAATCCCCCTCCCCTTCTCGGTCTCCTTCACCCTCCTCGTGCACTTCTTCTTCCTCATCTCATAGAGGTGACTGCCTTCACCCATCGTGCATCAAACACCGCTTTCCAAGCGGTCGCACCACACACGCCAACAGGCACTGCTATCGGTTTACCAACCCGAGACGGTTTGAAGGCATCCTCCTTAAGCGAGGCTTCTATGACCGCGAGACTCACCGTAGTTCTGGGGATTCATCTTCCTCAGACATGGCCACCACTAACGCTGGTCATGCTCAACAATGTGGCACCGCCCACCATGCTCTTGATGATAACTATCATCCACACACTCGAGCACAACAAGCACACCTCCTTAAGCGAGGCTTCTGCGACCGTGAGACTCACCGTAGTTCTGGGGATTCATCTTCCTCAGACATGGCCACCACTAACGCTGGTCATGCTCAACAATGTGGCACCGTCCACCATGCTCTTGATGATAACTATCATCCACACAGTCGAGCACAACAAACACAGACAGTTGAAACTTACAACAATGGCCATCCAAACGATGATGAGCTGAAAATAAAGGATTCCTTGTATCTGTTCAAACAAACCATTAACGGTCAAAAGAACCTCTGGGGCCTTGTGCCTGAAGAAGAAGAAGAAGAGATGAGAAATGTGAAGAAGAGGAGCGACTCTGTTCCTACTTCCGCCGCCGCCAGGAAGAACAAGAGATCTCAGCATGCCCGTCATCGTCACCGCCAAAGAGTCACCACCGCCGCTGCTCGCCGTCAAAGTGCCCCCAAGTCGCTTCAGAACCAGTACGAGGATGGGTTCCCACCTTGTTGCGATGGACGTATGGAGGCCCGTAAATTTCGCGGTTGCAGGCCTGGCTTCCGTGATTCGACCATGTCTGTTTCGATCAAGGGCATCGAATTCACAGCCGTTGCGGTCCCTCACCGCCAGAGGTCTTGCATCAACACCGAGGTCGCCGAGGGTCTTGGGCTTTGTGTCCACACTGTCTGCTACTACACTGAGCCATTGCTTGGAAGTTTTGTCAATCAAACCTTTCACTCGATTCCAACCTACCTGGGATCCTCCAAACAGTGCAGAGTGAGTTCAGAGTTTGATGTGGTGGATATGAAGTATTATGACGTTTACCTTGGCGCCGACCTTCTGCCCGTCTATCTCAAGGAGCATCCCAACTATGTGCTCTAAAGTAAGGCGGTACCTTTGTCCTTGCAAATGTGTGCTTGTTTTTTATGTCTTTTCTTACGTTACCTGTTTCTCACTCTTGTCGTCTTTTTTTTTCCGCTTGTGTGTTTTGGTATGCGATAGCCGTCTAACTTTCTCTTTCATCGGATGGTTGTCCTCGTGTCGCAAACGTGCCGCAAACATACCGCTCTTCCCCTTTTCTTCTTACATCATTATCTTTTCTATCTCTCCTCACTGCCGCAACATGCCGCTCAGATCTCTTGACCCCTACTATTTCCCTGTATGCTGGTCGCCGTTGTGCCCTCAACATGCCTAATAGGTCCCTTGACCCAGTTTTCCAGTAGCCAATATCATTTTTATCTCCATCTCTTTTTTCTTTCATAAATATATTTCTTGTCAATCGAGCAACGCGTTTGTTGAACTCGCCTCTTTCACACGGCGCCCCCGCCAGTCATTCAGTCAGTCAGTCATTCAGTCAGTCAGTCATTCAGTCAGTCAGTCATTCAGTCAGTCATTCAGTCAGTCATCACTTTTTTCTAATTAGTTTAGTTTTCTTTTTTACGTTTTTTCTTTTATCCAGTCTGTCAGGAACTGGCAGTCATCGTAGATGGGTGTCGGGGTGGCCAAGAGTGCCATTTGTGGATGACGCTATTTTTTTCTCTCAAGTGTACTTTGAACCCAACCAAGGGTTGGCAGAGGAATCGAAGGCCCCACAAGCCCGAACCGACAATCAATACATATGATCTTTTATTTTATCTCAATGCTGCGTATCCCTTTTTTTTTTTCTTTTTTCGCGATGCCGTTCTTGCAGGGTCAAGCGTATCCCTAGGCTCGGTTTCATCCTAAGTCGAAGACATTTACTTTACCAAGGTCGCAGTAAATGCTGTCTTCGACTTAGGATGGAACCGAGCCTAGCGTATCCCTCGTTTTTCGACATTCTTGTAGAACGCGACCAGAGAAAAATATGCATGCTAGTCACGTGTAGCCATCGTCGATGGACATGAAGGCGAAGAAAATGGCGGCGCATCACTTTTTTTTTCTTTTTCTTTCCCCTTTCCCTCGTCTGCTTTGCATTCGACCTCTCACAACCATCGCCTCCGCCAACACATGAAGTAAGAAACTCGCCAAACAAACAACCCGGATCAGAAAGTTACGAATCACGCTCGCGGACACACACGCACACATCGGCAACGCTCTTCATTGCAACCCACTCACTCTCCTCCTTTACATTCCTCATTAGCAACGTAAAAGAGATCCAGCGTCTAAACGCCCGTGAAGCAACCCTCTCGACCTCCCACTCCCAAACCGGGTCCTGGCACGAGCAATACAAAGATTCCGCCCACGTCTTTGTCGGTGGACTCCCCTATCACCTTACCGAGGGTGACATCATCTGTGTGGTCTCGCAGTTTGGAGAAGTTGCGGGTATTAACTTGGTCAGGGATAAGGATACGGGGAAATCAAAGGGGTATGCGTTCTTGAAGTATGTTGATCAGAGGAGTACTATCCTTGCGGTCGATAACCTCAACGGTGCCCAGGTAAGCAACTCTCTCTCTCTCCCTTTTTTTTTGATGTTTGTGTTTTAGTTTCTCAAAGAACGCTTTTTTTTTTTTTTGGTTGTCCTTACTCATGTATTAATATTCCTTACCTTTTTTTTTTCTTCTTTTCTGGTGGTAGATCGCGGGAAGGACGATTCGAGTGGACCATGTGCAGAACTACAAGGTGCCCAAGGTCTTTGATGCTGACGGAAATGAGATCGAGCCGGACGAGGATACCGTCAACAATGCCGCACCCAAGCCTATTCAAGGTACAAATCAAAAACCCATCCTTGCCAACCAAGCCATTTTGGCATCGTTGCGAAAATTGCATCATCATATTATTAATGCACACCTCCACCCTGTTTTTCAAACTTTTTTAGAAGAGGCGTCGGGTGAGGATGATGATTCGAGCGGGTCAGAGGTAGACGATACAGGAATCGATTTCGACGACCCCATGCGCGAATATATTCTCAAGAAGCGCAAGAAGGACGCCCGCAAGGTTAAACGCAAGGCCGAGAAGGAGGCTGGGAAATCAGAGTCCAAGGCTGAGAAGAAGGCGAGGAAAGAACTCAAGAAGGCGGCAAAGCGGGACAAGGATGGTGGTAGTGGTGGCAAGAAATCCAAGAGCAAGGGGAGCGGCAAGGATGACAAGGAGTCCTCGCCTTCACCGTCAACAGCGCCAACAACGGCAGTGCAGGATGGTGAGGAGAGCAGGGGAGGAGAAACCATGGATGTCGACATCAGGAAAGAGGAATCTGCGGACAAAACTCGAAAGGACTCATCCACCTCAGATCACAACATACCAATCAACAAAGAAACATCAACAGCAGCCGGATCGCCTCCACTATCTTCCTCACGCCAGGGGCGTCCCAGGTCTAGATCCAGATCTCCACGTCCTAGGTCTAGGTCACGATCCACCGGCAGGAACCGTGGCCGTGGCCGAAGCCAAAGCAGGGAAAGATACCACGACCGCAGCAGCAGAGATAGCTACAACAACGATCGTGGTCGCAGGCGGAGGGGATACTCAGGGGAGCGTAGAGAGGAGAGTCGGGAACGCAGAGTCGAGGATGTTCACAAAAGAGATGACAGCAGAGACCGCAAGCAGGGCGTCATGGATGACTCTTACCATCGGAGGCGACATGGTTCTCCGGACAGGAGTCGCCCCCGTTCACCAGACAGCAGCAGTCGTCGTCGAGACTATGATCGCGATTATCGTGGATCGAGATACAGGAGCCGTAGTCGAAGTCCTCCTCCTCCTCGTCGTGGTGGTGGCGGTGGCGGCCGTCGCACTCGGTCCAGAAGTCCCGAGAGATCTTGATTGCACATCGTTTTCTTCACAACCAACAACTGACAAGGTTCATAAAAGAGCAAGAAAAAGCTGAAAATCGAGTTTACTTGAATAATGTACAAATGTGGTGGTTTTTTAGAGTGCTGTTTGGTATGTGTGAGAATGGGTGTATGAAAAAGGGAAACAAAACGAGTTTTAAACCATGCGGCGGTCATAGACATGGCCAGCAGAGGAAGACCTCCTCACGCCAAGTTGCAGAGGCGTAGTAGACGAGATGCTGAAGTCAGAGTCCGCTGGAACAGGAAGTGGTCGAGGAAAGTGGAGCTGAGTCGCCGACCAAGGTCCCGAGTCCTTTGCATCACGTGAACTTCCAGAACTGGTGCGGCTGAGGCGGTCTCGAGTCATCTGACTGGCACTGCTTGCTCCACGACGATGCGAACTAGGTCCCCAAAGGTCGCCAACTTGATCCGCACCTTCACCAAACGATTCTCTACGGGCGTCCTGCGAATGGCGACCTACGGCCATGAAGGAGTCGTTCCTGTTGGCGTCCATGGCCTGCTGCGATTTGCTGGGTCCTCGGCGGCTGGAGAGACTGGGAGCACGACGGCTCGAATGCCTCGATACAATACTGGCAGCGATCGACAGACGGCGTTGGATCTTGGAACCTGTCACTCCCTCGGCCTCGGCTCCCTGGTTGCCCAGCTCGACCTCCCATTCCTTCCAACGCTGAACTGCCTCGGGATCCTTCTCCAGCTCCTGGTAGAGATCGACATCCGAGGGATACAACTGGGCTTTGATGATCTTGGCCATAATGTTGGGCAAGATCGCAATCATCGACGCCACAATAATAGTGAGCCAGAAGGGAAGGTGTGCAGCCAATGATTGGAAGGCACCACGGACATGGTATCCGCCAGTTCGGACAGGGTAAAAGAACGAGTAGGCGGTGTTGTATCCGAACCAGGCAAGGATTGTCATGAACGACGTGATATGGGTGACAATCGACCAGTTGTGCGTCTCCAGATACGCAATCTTGAATGTGACGACCAAGACAATCGTAGTGTAAACACCGAGACCCATAGGGAAGAGGGACTCGTCATCGGGCTCGACACCAAACTTGCCAATGGCACCAGCGATCCAGAGAGGGACCATCAGGGATGCAATCGCCTGGTAAACAGCGGCGGCCATCCATGTCCCGTAGGTAACCAATGAGAATCCGCTGTTCCGAGGTCCAAACGTGTAGAGCTCAGGCACGAGCAAGAGCGTCGACGCCTTCAGATCCTGCTCAAACATACCCACGACCATGACCGGCAACGACGAGAACAAGGTGTTGTAGAACGAAAGCGTCCACTGTTCATACAAGGACGTGCCAGAGAATCCTGTGAAGATCTGGAACAGTCCCTGTGTCAGGTAGAAGGTGGCGCACTTGTAAAAAGTTCCCAGGACAAATTTGGACACACGGACATAGGACCAGCGACCATGGACAAAGAGAAGTCGCTCAAGGAAGCGAAACTGGGCAATCGAGTAATCACTCGATCTTGCGGCTTGGAGACCCTCCTTTCCAGTGATACCAATGCCGACGTTGGCCTCCTGAATCATGGCAATGTCGTTGGCACCGTCTCCGATAGCGAGTGTCACGGTGTTCTTGCATCGAGCGCGGACAGTCTTGACAACGAGGGCCTTCTGGGCAGGGCTGACACGACAACAGATCACTGAGTCGGCACGGATACCCAGCTCCACAAACAATGCCATCAGCTCGGTCGACTGCTCAACGATTCCCAAGGTGGCTCCATCGATAACGACGACCACATGCCGAGACTTGCCCTTCATCACATCCTTCATCGCCTTGTTCATCGCCTTGTGAGCCTGTGCTTGAGTGGGCACATCCAAAATGATGGTGCTCGAGTAGTCCTTGATAAGACGGCATGAATATCCAATGTTGATGGCAGTCTCGCGCTTGTCTCCCGTCAACATCCAGAGTCGAATACCGGCACGGCGGAGCTTGTCAATCGTCTCAGGGACACCGTCCTGTAACTTGTCCTCAATGGCGGTGGCGCCTGTCATGTCCAAGTTCTGTTCCAATAGCTCGGCGACCTGCTCCAGCTTCTCCTGTCGTCCGTCCAGGGCGCTCTGCGCATCCGCATACTTCTTGGACCAAAGGCTGTACTCTTCCTTGCTCAGGAATCGGTGGCCATAGAGCAGCGTTCTCAGTCCTGTGGTGGCATACTCCTGGATATGATCCATCGTCTGCTGGTACTCCCACATCTCCGACTGAGTCCAACCAGGAGTTTGACCAAAGAAATAGGCGCCCATATCATCCTCCTCGATCGATGAACGACCATAACCCTCAGCACCGGAATTTTTGTACGTTCCAGATTGTTGGCGTCCATGAGTGAGCCCCTTTGCCTTTCCAGCGGCATTGTCTCCGCCCCCGCCAACTCCTGCGCCTGAAGTCGATGATCGGTTCAAGTTGTGCCGTGACTTTCCGGATTTAGAGTACTCCAAGCTGGCGAGCGGATCCATACCATCGTATCCATGGACAGAGTCGGGAGTGAAGGGCATGGGAGTATCCAGATTCTGAAAATCGGCCAGCCCAGTCTGAGGATCGCGCACGCGTTCCAGAATAATCGAGTCAGCACCCTTGGTGAAGAGGCAGATCTGGCCGTCGGGCATACGGTAGATGACAGACATGCGCTTGCGTTTGCTGGAAAACTCGATAATGTTCAGAATCTCGTAAAACTCCTCCTGGGGAACCTCGTCCGGGGAAGTGGGCATGGATCGGACGCGAATGCCTCCTCGACTGCGTTCGAGAAAGACGTAACCCAACTCCATGGCGCCGGCGACCAAGGCATTCTCGTCAGGACTGGCCGCCTGGTACTTGAAACTCGTAGGGTCTGATTCGTCCATCAGCTCGGGTACAGCATCGTGGCAGAGCGCCATGGATAGCAAAAAGAAACGGATCCTGTCGGCCATGACATGTCGTGTTCCAGAGCGCAAAAAGGGAACCAGCTGAGAGGTTGGGGTACATGGGACGATGGTCTCGACATAGGAAGGCATGTTGCCGGCGTGAATGCTGTCCGGGTATTGTCCTGAGCGGGATTGGTCGCGGTCTGCGTGGGCATCCTTGCCACCCAAACTCTGGTATCCTGATGCTGAACGCTGGCTGGCGTGGCGAGAAGACCGCTTGAGTTTTCCGACCACCTTTCCCGCTTTGCTCCTGTATTTGTGGCGGCGATGAGTGTCCTCGGATCCATCGGCACTGTGATCATGTCCTGTAGATACAGCAATTTCTTGGTTCTCTTGTGCGGTTTTAGCGGCGGCTATGATCGATTCCGGGTCCAGGTCATGGTTGAACGAGTGACCAGCGACACAGAACTTTCGAAAGACCATGATGTTCTCCGTCAGGGTTCCTGTCTTATCGGAGAACAGATAGCTGACTTGTCCCAGTTCTTCGTTGATAACTGTTGTTCTAGCTTCGGCTGGAGTGTTGGAGACGGGGTCGTACATCTCGATGTCGTGGTGAATAAAGTACGCCTGCAGCAGCTTGACCAACTCCATGGTGACGTAGAGCGAGATAGGGATCATAGTGTTGAAGAGCACAATGTAACCAAAAAGAATCGAAGCAGTGTCGCTCTTCATCGCGTTCTTGGCTGTGAGATACCATGCCAAATGACCGGGCTTGGAATTACGAGTGGTCCAGACTGCGCTGAGAACGGTGCAGAGGGCGGACAAAAAGATGACGATGCTGAAGATGACGATGATGACCTTGTTGATGAGGCGTTGCATGCTTGGTGCCTTGGTGCGCACATTCTTTGAGCCGTTTTGTCGAATCTTGGTGTCTTCTCCCGAAAAGACGATGAGACCGTAGATGTATGGGGTGTTACGGAGGATGGTGCCACGGAGCAGAATCTGGTTGATGCTGAGGGGGTATCGGGGCTGGTTTCTTCCCTGACCGACTTGCAAGTAACCTTCGAAGTTGTACAGATCCTGGTTGGGCTGTTCGGTGTGGGCGCAACCTAGATTTTAATAAGATGCCATGCAGAGAATATTAAAATAAGTATTAATATCGAACTTTGTTTGCCATTTGGCTGTCTGTTCATTTCATTCGGTTCTCTCTCTGCCCTTCTCTCTCATCGTGAAGCAGGTTCAAAAAACAACAACAACCGGCAACATTATTTTACGCGCACAATCCTTTCCAGCCCGCCTTGCCTCTTGCCAAACCTTCTCAATCCCTCTCACGTCTCAATTGCACAGTTTCCTTTTGCCAAAAACCGGGTCCCGCGCGGATAAAATTTACCCATCCATGACATCAACCCTTCTCCAGAATCATCAAATTATATCTTCTTAGCGAAACTATAATGAGAAATATCGACGCTCGATAGGGTGCCCTGACCCACTGTTGACGAAAAAAATTGGGCAATCGAGAAACAGAAAAAGGGAAAAGAACAACGGAACGACAACAAACACACTCAGATTACAACAGCCCACTCATGATGGTCAAACTCCCTTGTTTTCAGGCGATCCATCTTGTAAAAATACGGAAAAAAGAGCAGAAACTGAGGGAGAAAGAAGTCGACAAAACAATGCCTACCTGTGAACGTGGCAATATCTTCAGGAGTTTGGATCATCTCGTTGGTCACTTTCAAGGCCTGGCGCTGCTTCAGATTCGTTTCTCCGTCGAGAGCCGCCGTTTCAACATAACAACCTCCGTCTGGGCCGGACGAGTGCAGCAGGATAAGGTCGGCGGGCACCCAGTCATTCTGATCCACTCGGATAATGTCTCCCACCGCCAGATCCTTCCACTTTATCTGTTGAAAGACGGCGAGATTTGGCGTTGGGGTGACTGTTGCTGGGGTCAATGGGATGGTGATGGAGAGTTCTGCAGGCGAAGCTGGAGACTCGCTAGTGAACGAGTTGAAAGGACGGCGAGAGGAAGCGGATGTGGGCAAAGGGTATGCGGATGCAGAGGCTGTGGAGGGCTGCTGAGTATGGGACGAGATCGAATTGGTCGCATTCCGGTAGCTCCGAAAGACGTTGGCAGGCTGGTTGTTCTCACCGGAATCCTGCCGATGTCTCCTAAGATCATCATATCCTTCATGCGCAATTGCAATCGACAGGAAGAGGACCAACGGCACCAACGTTGTATACTGGCCGGTGGTGGACCAGCCGGGCACCATCTGGAGCGAGGCGACGAACAAGAAGTAGACGTTGGCGATCTTTGAGAACTGCGCATAGAGCTGTTTGGGCAGGAAATCCCAGAGGGTATAGCGAGCAGTGGTGACGGCGTTGGAGACAAATGGTTTACCCGTCTCTGGCTGGATCAAGGGCGTGGAGCGAGAGGAGGAGATGGGAATGATACGATTTCCAGTTTTTGGGACCATGGCGCCGCGGCCCTTGAACTTGTTGGCCAACGATGTCATCCAACCCGTTGGGCGTCGAACGGGCTTTGTGGAGAGGGGCTCAGAGTCGATATCGAGCTCTTTATAGGATTCTGAGGTGAGAGGCCCTCCAGCAGCTACTGGCGCTGTATGTGTGGTAGTGAAAGCAGTTGGAGGAGCGTTGTTGTTGTTGTTGTGTACAGATCCGAGCTCCATTGCTACTGCTTGCGCAGTTGCTGGAGTTGGCTGTGGTTGGTCGATTAGCACATTCCTTGGTTGTTGAGAGTTGTTGCCATTGTTGTTGTTAGGTGGAGTGGAAGCGGAAGACGAGGGGATGGGGTTGATGATAATGGAAGGTTGCTGTCCCTGAAGAGTTGCACGTCTTCGACGGGAGTGTAGTGTTGGAGTTGCAGGGGACTCTGGAGAGGATACTGGGGGGAAGACTGTTGAGGAGGAGGAGAGTGGTGAGGATGCAGGTGGATGGGGATATGATGATCCACTGGCTGTCGGTTGACCGGTGGTGTTGGCCTGACCATGGTTGGGGGAGGCCATGGCTCACACTGCGCGGAGGAGGAGGAGGAGGAAGAGGAGAATATGAAAAGGAGAGTGAGTGGGTATGTGATGTGAGAGTGAGCGAGAGAGAGAAAGAGAAAGAGACAAAAGCAAAGCAGGAGAGTATGGAAAGAACAGAAGAAAAGAAGAGAGGTGAGGCGAGCGAGGGAAGAGACGAACAGACGAATAGAGAATTGGGTGAGTGAGTGCATTGATTGGACAAGGTGGAAAAAGTGCGGATGTTGGATTTGGGTGTGTCGGACAATGGGTAGACAACTTGTTTGAACGAGAAGATGGGCTGGGCTGGACTCATACATATGTACGTACTGAATATGTACTGTATTGGCAATCAATAATGGGATGAAATGGCGTGTGGACATATGGAGAGCAACAACAGGGTGCAGAGAGGGAGCAGAGGGTACATGGGAAGGAGGTTGGATGGTGGTGTGCACTGGGTGAACACAAGGTTGGACATAGACAAAAAAAAAAGTAGAGAGCCGACAGGGGATTGGAACGAGGGGGGCCAATGCTGGGTGGGGTGTGTCAAGGGAGGGAATAAATAAGCTCGTCGGGTTACCTTGTGGTGCGGGGGTAGGTGAGCGTGGATATGGTTGCGGGCTGAGGCGTTGTCAGAACAAGACGTCGTCGATACTGATACACAACGGTTTGTTTGTTTGTTTTTAGCTGTTGGCTGGTGTTTGTTGTGGTGAATGCAAGAAGCGGAAAGTAGGATGGGGGATGTGCGATGGGGTTAACGAAGTCAAGAACGAGGAGTGAAGTGAAGAGAATAAAAAGGAGAATGCAATCGAGTGTGGATGAGTGAGCAAGTGAGAGTGAGCGGGTGGATCAGAAGAGAGCAACAGGATAAGCTCATGAAAGGGATGAGAGGAGTGGTTTTTGCTGCCGCTGTTGCAGTTCGACGATGGACTGAGAAGAGAAGGGAGATTAAGAACGAAAGAAAGAAAGAAGACGAGGGAGCGAGAAGAAATAAGAAATAAAAAAGGCGTTTGTCCCCAACCCGACGACTATCAACTGACTGACTGACAGCCTACCACCACCCCCCCCCCCCCCACACGGCAGACTCGTCGATTCGCTGTTCTTTTGTTATTGTTGTTGCTGTTGTTGTTGATGTTGTTGTTTTCAAGTTGTTGTCGTTGTTGCTGCTACTGCTGCTATTATTATTTTTGTTGTTTGCATGGTCTTTGAGTTTCGTTGGTAAACAAACATGCTCTTCTCCTTTCTCTCTTTGCAACTCTTCTCTGGTGAGCTTGGACCAGCTGCGAAAAAAAAAGATTTATTTACTCTGGTCAAGTCATCCTTCAATACATCGTGGCAATCAAGATCACCCTCCGTATCACCCCTTGAGAAGGTATTATGTCCCCTATTCTGCATGTCACTTGCTTCATTTTTACTCTCGATACTTCAGTGAATGACACCCTGCTTTCCCTGTCCACCTGGCTTGACGCTGGTCCAGGAGGGGACAAGAAAACGAGGACGCCCCAATAGGTCAACAGGGGAAAAAGGGGACAGCATCTCAATGAGGAGGAACCGATGCATTTTCGTTTTCAAGGACATATTTCGGATGAATTCTAATCACTTTCAATTGCCTCACATCTTCTTTTGTTTTCGATCCGTTTGCATTGCCAGGAGTCCAGGCGGGCATTTTTGCCATATTCTTCTGTCTGTAAGCTGACGTCTTTGAATGTTGTCAAGCAATGGCTCTTGCTCCAGCCCACGGTGTTAACGCAAAAGGGAAAAAAAGTACAGCCGACTGACCCACGTCGCTAAGAAATAAGCGCAGGTTCCGCTCTTGGTGGCAGTACATGCTACACAGACCGTGCTTGCGAAGAAGAAGGGTGCTACCATGTCATCCTTGGCATGGCCCTTGCAGGAAAAAGTAAATTGGTAACTGGTATGGTTCGAGGAGAGGAAGGCAGGCTGTGTGTGCTTGACTTTGCTTTCAATCCGATCCTCTTTCAAAGGTGAGAAAGCGCAGTCGAGAAGAAGAAGAGTTCGACCGGTGGGCTGCCTGTCCTCTGGTAAGAATAAACGCGAACATACAACAACAGCAACAACGACGGCAACAACAACGACAGCAACGACAGCAACAACAACTGAAGGGGCCGTGTCGATCAGCTTGTCGAGAAGTCATCCCGGACCTGACCATTCACGATTTTTTTTTCACAGTGTCGCCAATGGTGATGACAGGGCTTAGAGCTTATTGTTTATCAACACCCAGTTTCATGAGAGAAGCATGCTTCATTTCACTCCAAAAGTCCGAGGATTTCTAAGCTTGTTCAATGTACCCACGTTATTAGATCAACAGAAAATGTTTGCGGCAGTAACCCATTTTCAGCTAAGCCCAGTCCAATACATACTCGCCAACCTGGTTGCCCTAGACCACCGACCATTCGTTTCGGGTATTGTGTGGTTCTCGTCCTTTTATGTGTCATTTCCGCCCTAAAATGGGTTCCGCCCTCTTCTCTCTTAACCCTACATGGATGCACCATCATATTCAAAAATAATAAGCGACGAAGCATATTGCTTCCAACGCACTAGCCGACCTTTTCATCATCCCCTGCATTTGTCGTTTGCTTTCCCAGCGGTGAAAAAGAAATTGTCCAATTGCCAATCTTGCATCGCAGCTTGTCACCTTTTTGTTGCTCCTTATTCCTCCGGGAAACCTCAACCAAGGGCTGATGAGTGAGACAAAAAAACTTACGCCTACTGTGCAGAATTTTGAATTATGTCCACAACGTCACCACAGCCATGACCAAGAAAAAACACAATCACACTTTATTTGTGCAGGTAGATGGAACGCTTCAAAGGCGACTATTGATTGAGGCGGAGGCTACACCGCAAAAGATGATGGCTGGAGGAGGAGCCAAGAATAAGATCATTGTTCCAGTAGGCAGCAACCGTCGATGCTACAGCGGTTCACATGTAAAGATAGAACAAAGAAGTAAGGAGCTAGTAATAAAAAAACCAAAACAATCCATCCAAAAATAACATACCAAGAGAAAACTTACCAGAGATGTCCTCGCCGTTACTGTAAAACAAATCCTTAACTTCCCATTTCAAAGAGGGCAATTCGGGCTTGGGGAAGAAGTAATAGTTGCCCATACTGCTCTCCTGGGGAATGAAGTTCTCAGGCGCCAGCTTTTCAATCTTGACGACATGCGAGGGTGACTGGGGCTCGTAGCCAAGCTTGTGGCGGAGGTAAGTCGAGTACGAAGGGTGGCTAGCGACATAGATGTCTCCGGTATGCTTGTCGACCGACAGGTGGTCGACATGATTGCCGACCCAGATATCAACATCGTGCTCCAATTGTCCTTGCGCAATATCCTCGGTCGTGTTGTATACGTGGACCAACCTATCCATGAACGATGAAACATAGATCTGCTTGCCATCCGGAGATCCAGCAATACCTAGAAAGAAGTTGTTTCAGAGCGTGTTATTTCGTGCTCTCTCTGTCATATCGCGTGTTCTCATCGCGTCAGTATCCAATGCATACACTATGGTACTTACCATAGGGGTTGTTGAGACTCTGAAGAACCTTGAGAGACTTTTCACCGTTGTAGTAGATGACAGAGCCCATAGCTGTGCCAGTAACGTCCTCGGCAACTCGTCCGTACTTGTTACCCATGGCCTATCCAAAAACAAATCAGACCGTTAGAGATATTGACGTTTGTCTTTTGACACTAAAAAATGGTCGCATGCTTGCATAAATCTTACATGGTGATTGGTCAAGTAGAAGCGATCCTGGTCAACAGCAACAATGTCTCGGGGAGTAACAAACAGATCACTGCTGACGGTCTTGACAAGCGTCAACGTGTTGGCCTCCGAAGAATAGTCAAAGATCTCGACGACATCCCCCTTGTGAGAATGGTTGATGACAAAGAGACGAGTCGTCCTCTCGTGGGTCTTCTCGTCCTGAAAGTGGTAGAGTGACATTCCTGCTGGGTGGAAATCGTCTGAAGTAAACGACTTGAGCTCCAGCTCCTTGGGGGATCCGTTCTTGTGCTACGTGGGAAAATGATGAAAAAATAGTGAGCTGCGTGAAATAGGTGGGCATTTTGTGCATGCATGGTGCAGAAGTGAGGTTCTTCCTTACGTTCAAGGCGAGGGTATAGATGCCTCCATTCTTGGCAGTTTTGGAGCTGGGGCGGTGGAAAAATCGGCTCTCTTTCTTCCAGGAATAGTCATCCGAGGAGACGAATGCCAATTGATCATGGTCGCTAATCTCAATGTCGGCCGGTCCAGGGATATCTATACAAGAGAGATGTTGAAGATGAATCCTCTGTTCCTCAATAATCCTCTCCCCGCAATGACCATAACAAATATGCATAAAAACATAAAAATGCAACTTACAGGCGGTCTTGAAACAGTTGCCCTGGAGTCCAACGGTCTGCTCGATGGCGATCTCACGACCAGTAAAGACGAACTTCTCAAAGGCAGACTTCAGGAGGACACCAATAAAAGCGACGATGAGGGAGATCACCAGGTTTCTGAGCTGACTGTTCTTCTTCGTGCCCTGTTGCTGGGCAACCCTCTTGTGGACTTGTGCGGCAGTGAGTTTCTTCTTGTCCTCCTCTTCAGTATCCCTCTTGGATGCTGCTGCTGATGATGATGGCTTGGCGGTTGAAGATACAGAGGTGGCGGTTGTTGTTGCAATGTCCGAGTCGCTTTCTGCGTCCTCGACGGTTGTGCGCCTATTCCTGAGGGTGGCAGCGGACTGTTGCTTTTGGTCGTCTGATTCTGCCATTGTTGATGAGAGGGTGGAGTTGAAGTAATGGGAGATGAGGAAAGAAGAAGAAGAAGAAAAGAAAACGTGTATGCTATTGCAAAGAGTGAGAGCCTTACTCGACAAAGGATTGGTGACTGGGAATGAAGATGGGGTGGTGGTGGCGCTTCTGTATGGTGATACCGCCTGTAATTCGCCGCACGTGCACCATCGCTGTCATCGACAGGTCCATCTCAAGTCCATATGGACAGTTGAGTTTGATATGGTTCTCGAGAGAGCCTTTCTTCAGTTGCACGATGCTCCTTCCTCAGAGTTACGTGGCTAAGTACAGATCTTCGTCTTGCAGTTGCCAGACTCCAGCTGGACAAAACGGAGCAGCCAGCCATAGCTCAGTCTCTGATCTCTTCCTGCATCCTACCCCCAAGACAATCAATCATATCAACCAAACCTGTATGATAGTCTTCTGTATACTGCAGCGCACAGCTGCGCATACCTCACACACAGACTCATTCCATATCACACCCCACATCTATAGATACACATGTCACCATCTCAACTCACTCTCTTGACCAGCGTATGTCAAGGAGGATGAACAGGCACAACTGGTTATCCAACATCGTCCATGATGCCACAAATATCGCCACGGCTAGGCCGCGTTCGAGCAATTGGGTGATACCCTTTCGTCAATTGAGCAATTGGGCCATTTCGCTCGCATGTGCCAACTGCCAAGACGGCCCTATTCAAAAACAAACAAACAGGATGGAACCTGTTGACAGTTGAAAAAATTGTAGGGGTGAAGAGCGAGAGATAAAATAATTACTATTCTAGGCTGTCCGTTCTGTAGGAGAATCGTCCACGTAATCTTATCCTGAGGAGAAAGAGGGAAATAAGAATCAGAAAGCCTGTTTGTTGCAAAAGCGAGGCAGAACTGCAAATGAAGTAAGGAGCGAGATAGTAGGTCCAATTGATCCTTAAGACTTCAAAGGAGGTTGCGGTTTGAAGGGGTACATGTACTGCGGGAGGGGTTGGATTTCTGCGGACCTGAACTGTGCTTCCTTGATGGATTGGGACCCAGCTTTTCATTACCGGCACTGTCCTACTGTTCTTGCCGGCTGGTGAGAGGCTGACCAATGCCATGTTAAATAGAGCTATGTCTTGACTCGTCGACTTTTCATTTGTGTCCAGCAGACCAACGAAGGAAAAGTTAAAATGTACCGAAAATGATCGAAGGGGTGTGTGTGTGTGAAGAGGAAGACATGGCGATCTCGTCAGTTGTTGTAGTCGTTGTCGTTGTTGTGTTCAACAGATGTGTGACAAAAAAGGTGTATCTTGTCGTCTACAGCACAAAAAAGCAGATGCAACGCGCGTCCTTTTTTCATTTCTTTGCAAGTAACGAATGAAAACCAAGGAAGAAAAACAATTTGAAGACCAGCAATAGAAAAAAAAAACCTTAGCGGGTCAAGGTTGTGGCCTCTCGTACCGTAGTCAGCGGACCGAGCTTTTTTTCTTTCTGTCAGTTTCTTTCTTGTTCTTGTTGTTCATAAATGAGATCCTGCGCACTATCCGTATTTGTTATCTTGCGCAGTGCTGAGATGAAGCCTGCATGGGAACTGCTCTCAAAACAACACACACAGAAAATAGCAAGCAGTCTTTTACAGTGAGACTGACGGGTGGGCATGACCATGTCATAGCAGGGCAAAGAAGAAAGTAGCCGTTCCTGTCGTTTGTCTCCAGTCTGTTCAGGTCCAGACAAGACCCATTGACACCTTGTCATGTTGTATGACAAGACAAACGACAACGCGAGCAGTTGAGGTATCTACCTTGCAATTGAGGTGTCCTCTTCTCATTTTGTCATCAGGAGCACATTTTTTCATTGCTATCCACGAGGGAACCCTTAGTGTGAGGAAGAGAGAGGGACCAATGAAAAATTGCCTTTTTGGAGTTCAGCTTTGTTGTTCCCTTTCGCCGTGGGCAGTGGACAGTGGACCTCAATGATGACAATGCCCCCAAAAAGCTCCAACTCAGACGCACAAAGATAGGACAACATTCAAGTCAACCTATTCCAAAAGTAGGCACGATTTGGCTTTTCTTTTTCATGTTTCTCTTCTTCTCTTCTTTTCCTCTCTTTTCTTTTCCTTTCTTTTTGTCTAAACCTTCTTCACTCATCACTCACTCATCACTCACTCATCACTCCATCCCCTTGTCTTTCCTATCCTACCTCTCTCCCTCTCTCTTTCCACTCACCACGATCACTTCCCTTTCTTCACTCCCATCTCTCACTCTCGCTCAGACTTGGCACTTGATTACACATCCACTTCCTTCGTCTTCGCATTCTAATTAAAACAGAGCTCCGTTTGCCACCAAAAAAGCTTTCAACAACAACGACAACGCAGCAAGACTACCAACCAACCGATAGGGTACGCTTTCCACTTCTGCAGCCTTCCTCCTTCCTCTCTTTCCAACTGCAAGGAGACTTCGCCTCAACGACCGTTGGCTTGTCTATCCTTCCTCTCCTTGTTCTCTCTCCTTGCTGAACAGCCCAGCGAACGGACCAAGCTCCTCCACTTCCTTGCTACATACCTCTCCTCCTCTTTTTGCTAAGCCTTCTTCACACAAAACAACAGTACTCCTCTCCACCACTCACACATCACATACCAACACTGGCCGACCGAGTTTGACAACAACCCCCTTCCATCCACACCCCCTGTACCCCTTCCCACTATACCTCCTTTCTTCCTTATATCCTTTTTTCCCTTCCTGCCTTCTCGCTGCGCGATTTCCTTGCCTTTTTTCCCTTTCCACTGACCCCTGCCAAAAAGAAATCCTGCGCAGTAAGGCTACTCGATTCCACGTTTTCACGCCATTTTATCATATTTAGCAGTTGTGTGCGATGTTACGTTGTTTGCTTGGATAAGATCAGAGAAGGGACGGTGTCCAATGAAGAGTGAAGCGGGGGGGAGAGAACAACAAGCTTGTTTGTGTACTGTATGTGCGCATGTTATTTTTGTGACTAAGTCGGATCTGAACGAGAAAGTTTTGGCAGATGGACTTTTTTGTACCTTAGTTGGGCAAGAAGGGCAAGGGAGGCAAATAGTCCAAACGACGATAAAAAAAACGTCATTTTGGAAATATGGTTCTTGCATACACCGAAAGTTTCGAAGGAAAGAAAGAACAAAAGGGACGAAGCGATACGACAAAACGCAATCAACAATGGGTGGACGACAGCAACCGACCAACAACAACATGGGAAATAAAGAGAAAAAAAAACACCCACAACAACGAAGACAAACCAACAACAACACGAGTGAAAAAATGATGGGAGGATGAAGATCCTTGTTCTTCTTTGTTTGTCTCTTTCTACAGCCAATTCTTCTTGGGATTTATATCGCACTTATCAACCCAATTCCTTCGGAGAAGTGCATCAATTAACACCACCGCACATCATGTCCTCTTTCAAACTTTACCCCTGACTGGCCCTGTTGTTTGTGTCGGGCCGTGTCTACCGTGCTCACATTTTTAATCCCCTCTTAACCGAAATTCCTCTCCACCTCTCCTTTCACTCCATCATTCTCTCTCTGCCTCTCAGATCGTTTGCTTATTAGCAGCAGGACGCATCCTTCTTCACTCCTTCCATCCACATTGACAGACAACCACCACCCGTACGAGGCTCACCCCATGGCCACCCAAGAACAGCTCGATGCCAAGCGGCGAAGAGTTTCCCGAGCCTGGTAAGTTCTTTTTTTGTTTCTCGTAATTATAAACTCCTCCGGCTAAATCGGAGGAATGCACCGAGTTGTTTTATTTGATTGCCCTATCTCTTTTCCCTCTCTTTCTTACACACGCATTCCCTCGACCGAGTCATATGTGAGAACGGAAGGGCGGCACACTTTAACCAACAACCGATCATATAAACAGACTATACACCACATATCATACCACGCACCAAAACACTGCTCCACATCACATATGCACAATTGCACCATATATCACCCTTACCTCCACGGCAATCCAATTGAGTCAATCAAATTGCAACCCATCCAATTCCACCAACCTCCTCCGGAGACTTGCGTGCCTCCTGTCTGCCTTCTGCCTTGTGCCTGTCGCAGATGTTACCGTCTTTTCTCCAACATTGTGCAGTAATCCTGACTGTGTTATATTCCCCTCCATTCTCGTAATAGCGATACATGCAGAAGAAAAAAGGTTCGCTGCGATGGCATTCAGCCCTCTTGCACAAACTGTACCACCTTTGGCTTCCAATGCACGTAAGTCAACTCCAGCAACAGCAATTGCTTTTTCGCCGAGGAATCACAGGTTATTTGCACTATCATGATTGTATGCTGGCTTTCGGAAATCTTACTTCCTTGTATTTTCACTGCTCATAGGTTCAACGACTCAGCCAAGAAGCGAGGTCCTCCTAAAGGCTACATCGAGGCGCTGGAGAACCGGCTACACAGAATGGAGAACCTGCTCGGAGGACTGGTCCAGAATGGCGACCGCCCCAAAGTCGACCTCGACAACTGGAGGGACGACAACGACGACGATCTCGAATCGCTTGACTCTGCCTGGCCACCTTCGCCAGATACACCCATCACCCCCAGTCTCCACCACAGCCATTCGAGTCACTCCAGCCATACGGACCCTGCAGAGCACAAACCCTCGGCGCTCAGCATTAACGAGATATTTGTCGAGGACGATGAAGAGGTCTTGCCCTTTGACAGGGACGCGAGAGAAAAGATCAACGCCATTTCGGACACTCTCGACAACCTTTCGCTGGACGACGGAGGATTTATCCGCTATCTCGGCAACAGTTCTGGAATCGATATACTTCAAAGGACTCAGCTTCTCACCAGCGGCTATTTGGTGACGCCAATGCGGATGAAGGAGCATCGGGATTGGCTTTTGCAGAAGGAGGCCATGATCTCTCAGATGGAGGGCGAAATGCCTCAGCCGCCTCGGGATTTGGCCGACCACTTGATCGACACCTACTTTTCATACATCCACCCAAACATGCCCGTTCTTCACAAGCCCACGTTTATGCGTCTTTATCGCAGTCCCGACCCCTTCAAGCGACCTCCAGGCGTACTTCTCAACGCCATGTTTGCGATTGCGTCGCGTTTCTCCACTCACCCCGAGATTGTTGGACATGATCCCGAGGCCTTTGGAGACGAGTACTTTGACAGGGCAAAGAGACTGGTGGATTTCGAATACGAGCTGCCTCGCCAATCGTCCATCCAGGCGCTCCTCCTCATGGTCATTTATCGATTCACAAGTGCAAAGTCAGGCGGCCGTGTCTGGGTCATGCTGGGAATGGCCACACGCATGGCCCAAGACCTGGGTATGCACCGGAACTCAGCTCGCTGGCATTTACCTCCACTGGAAACGGAGATCCGCAAGCGACTCTGGTGGGCTTGTTACGTGATGGACAGATGGGTCAGCGCCTGCTTGGGACGACCTGTTGCGATCGATGACAACGACTGCGATGTTGGATTCCCATTCGTGGTCGAGCAGGATTGGGCGGATCCCGACTGCGATGCTGCTTCTATTGCGGAAGAGAGCGAGAAACTTAAGGAAGAGTCATCGTTGGCCCTGCAGTACTTTGTCGAATCCATCAAGCTCGCTCAGATCCTTGGCCAGATCCTGGCACGCGTTTATTCCGCCAACACCCGACATCACGGCCCCGGGCAGGCGAGCTCTACTGTCGCCGAGCTGGATACTATGCTCACCAAGTGGTTACTGGCTTTACCTGCGGAGCTCAAGTACGACCACAGTATTCACCCGACCAAGGTTGACCGAAAGGTTGCCACCATTCACGTCTCCTATTGTAAGTACCTCCCTTCGATTGTATCCAGTTTTTTCGATGTTTTTATGTGAAGAGTGAAAGCTAAGCCAACAATTATTGCGTGTTGTAAATATTAGACTCGGTGCTGATCCTTTTGCACAGGCCCTACATGGTCCCATCGTCACTGACAAAGTCAAAGTTGTCCGAATCAATGCCGTCGCTGAATATTTGTGTGTCCGCCGCCAACTCGATCACCCATTTGACGGAGCGCCTGACGGAGCCCGACGCTCTGAAGTATGTCTGGAGTTTCACCACCTATGAGGTCTTGACTTGCTCGCTCATTCACCTCACCAACTCGGCTTCAATCGACATCCGCCTCCAGACGCAGGCTCGCAAGAACCTGATCAAGACGATTGGGTTCATGAAGGTCCTCGGTAACCGATGGTTTAATGCAGCCAAGTTTTCGAGCATACTCGAGGACCTTATGTGTGCCCACCTTAACTTTGATGAGTACAGGAAAGAGGGCCGCTCTATGGAACCGATTCCTCTGGGCCAGCTGGACGATTCTGGTTGCACATATCCGATCATACTCCGAGATCAGGGTCATCCATCGGGAGGTACTCTCTTGTTTTCACCCAAGGTTCCTGGTGGAACTCAGACACCTAGCTCGAACTCAACTACACCATCGTCGTCCCCTTCGACCGCGTCTATCAGTCATCCGGATTTGCAGGAGGTCAAACAAGAGCCTGTAGTTCAGGAGGCTGCTATCTTCCAGAGCTACTGCAACAACCAGGCCCACAATCACGATCATGGCCAAAATCTCAACAGCTCCGCAGGCGCGAACCCACAAGCCGATGTGAATATGAATGCGGCAGCTGCAGCTCCTGTCACCAAGCCCAAGAAGGCGCGTCGAGGAACGTCACAGAGGAACTCGCTTCTGTTCCAAACCAACTCGAACTCTTCGCCATCGCCCGTCCCCATTTCAGGACCATCAACAGGAAGCAATAGCGCGTTTACATTCTCCTCGTTGTCGACTCCTGGCATGTTTACTCAGGGCCAAGCCTTTGTCGATTATAGTCAATTGATGGCTCAGCAGTTGCAGCAGCAACCACAGACTCAGCAGCAGCAACCACAACAGCCTCAGCACCTTGCACCTCAGTTCCCACAACAGTCCCAGGCAATGTCCCAGGGCGTTCAGCAAACGCAGCACTCCCAGCCATTCTCCGTCTCGCCTCTTTTTTCGTCACCACTCGCACTACAGGAAAAGTCTGCTGGTCAACAGCAACAGCAACAGCAGCAATCTGGTTCTCAGAACGCTGATATGCAGAGACAACAGCTGGATCCTTTCCAGCAACAGCAACTTCAGCAGCAGCAGCAACAGTACCTTCAACAGCAGCAGTTCTTGCAGCAGCACCAACTCAACATGCGATTGCAGGAACAACAACAACATCAGCAACAGCAGCAGCAGCAGTTCAAGATGGAGTCCAACGTTTCTCAAGGCAGCGCTTCGAGCGGCGGCTACACTCCAGTGTCCCAGAGCACAGCGACCACCTGTACCAACACCACGACAACGACGACGACAACGACGTGTTCTGACGAGACGGCGTCTATGAGCCTGGCGAACGGATCCCCGCAGGCCAACAACAGCAACAACAACAACAACAACAACAGTAACAACAACACGTTGGTTAATGATTACTCCAGCCTGGCGCTGTTCCCTCCTCAGGACATGACGCCAGATCCCAACATGATGGCGGTGCCCAACCCGTTCTTTGGCATGCCCAACACGATCGATTGGGACGACTGGAACCAGTACATTGCCAGCGCTGGTCTACAGAAGTTCTAGAGTTCACTTCTTTGCTCGCGTCTGTTATTTATTTTTTCGCCCTTGCATGTTTTTATTCTTTTTTGTCCACTTTTACTCACTTGTAACATATTCCTCCATAGTCTTCGTTGCAACCATACTCATCTTTCGAATAAATCGCTCTTGACACACACACACGCACATTGCTTTTGTTTGAATGCATTTTTGAGATAGAGTAGTAGTGATAACTGACGTGCTATGAAAAAAAAAAGGCATGTCCTTTGTGCTTTGCGCTTTGCGAGAGTCACAGTCAAGTCTGTTAAGACTGTCCGCACTTGGTGCCAACTTGGAAGACGGGGGAGGAAGAAAAGAGTATGTTAGAACGCACGTTGAAAAAAGTAAAAAAAAAAACATTCAAAGCTTAGCAAAAAAAACCAAAAGAATTTACCTTGATGGACCAAGACAGCAAGCAAACCTGTCCATCCAGTCTGATGCGAAGCCCCCAACCCCTTGCCGGACTCTGCATCAAAGTACTCATAGAACAGGACCAAATCCTTGAAGTACGGATCCTTGTCTGTCTTGTCAACCCCACCATTCGCAGCCCGCTGACCCTGCTTATTCCGTCCGACCAATTTAACCAAGCGGATCTCAATCTCCCATGCGACTTCCTCCAAATTCTTCATGATCCCTGAACCAGTTGGACACTCAACCTTGAAATCCGGTCCATAGAAATAATGGAATCGCTTCAAACAGCTAACAAGGAGGTACGTCGTCGGCAACCAAATGGGACCTCTCCAATTCGAGTTTCCTCCAAACATGCCCGAATCCGATTCTGCAGGCAAGTAATCCACCCTAAACTCCTGTTCATTCATCCACATGGACATTGGGTGATCCTTGTGGTATTTCGAAAGCGATCGGATTCCAAAGGGGGAGAGGAACTCGTTTTCGTCCAGGAGGCGTTTGAGGACTTCGCGGAGCATGGTCTGGTCGACGAGGGCGAGGAAGATAGATCCGTTTTCGTTTGTGTCTTCCTTTTTGAAGACCCGGGCGGGGCGGGTTCTTTCGCGGTAGGCTAGGAGCCAGTCGAGACGCTTTTTGAACCCTGGGAAGAGGTCGACATATTCGGGATCCAAGGCCAACGTCGAGAATAGTGGGATCAATCCCACTATTCGACAAGAAACAGGATCAAAGAAACAAACGGTCGCGTTAGTGTACGTTGTTATCTACTGCAAGAGGTCATAAAACTGTATGTCGACTTTGATCTTCATGTCCATGTCCCATATCCTTACCCAAGCTGCGGGTCTTGAGGCGCTGGGTGTGTCCGCCAGGCCAGGAAATCGAGTCATAGAAAAACTTGTCCTCAGAGTCCCAGAGCGACTTTTCCTCGCTGCCAGAATGGTACGTCATCGCGTCCGAGATGTGGAAAAAGTGTTCCAAGAACTTTGACGCGATATCTATTCATTGACAACAAACGCGAAATGGGGGTAAACAACCGCGACATAATAGAGAAATCAAGATCTTGTGTCATGACGAAGTAAAGGATGTTCAGAGTGTACATGAGACCACGTTAGTACCTTCGTAGGCCTTGTTCTTCTTGGCCAACTCCAGAGCAATGTGCAGCCTAGTAAAGATAAACAAAGCATTCAGTGAGTAAGGACTATCACCTGTCCAAAACAACCATCAAGACCTGCTTATAAGCCAAAAGAATGAAACTTACATGCAGAGGGAGAAGAAAGCCATCCAGGAGGTACCGTCAGCCTGGCGCAGGGTAGCCCCGTTGGGCAAGGGCTCTGATCGGTTGAAGAGACCAATGTTGTCCAAACCCAAGAAACCTCCCTCAAAGACGTTGTTTCCTTCAGTGTCCTTTCGGTTGACCCACCTAATCGTTTCATTCAAGTAGTCAAGAGCAAAACAGGAACGTGTTAGAAGTCAAATGCATGGAAGTGAAACAATGTGGAGAGGAACTGTGGTTCTGCATTACCAAGTAAAGTTCAAGAGGAGTTTTTGGAAAACGCGCTCAAGGAAGAGGTCGTCGGTCTTTCCGTAAAGACGTTCTTCGTTCTTGTACACCTGCAATGTAGCCCAAGCATGCACCGCTATAAGCATGAAATAAGAAACGGTTAGGCTTTAAGCAACAAACAACCGCAATCCAAACAAAGTTGCCTCAGCAGGACAAAGATCGACGAACTTACGAGGGTTGACGTCAGAAAAGTTCCACTCGTAGGCAGGGATCTGGCCCGAGGGGTGCATGTACCACTCTCGGGTCAACAGATCAAGCTGTCTCTTTGCAAAAGTAGGGTCGACCAAAGACAATGGGATGGTGTGGAAGGCCATGTCCCAGGCGGCAAAGAAGGGGTACTCCCACTTGTCCGGCATCGACAGGATATCGTCTACATACATGTGTTTCCACTCCTTGTTCCTCAAGTTTGTTCTCTCGGGTGGGGGAGGCGGACCGATGGGATCACCCTTACGCCAGGAGCGTTGGTCGAAATGGTAAAACTGCTTGGACCACAACATACCTGCCAGGGCTTGACGCTGGATCAGCTTCAGATCGGGAGCAAGATCCTTGTGCGCCAACTGGTTGTAGAAGTCGTCGCTCTCCTTGATACGCTCCTGGATGACACGCTCAAACTCTGCCGCGACCACACCGGGGGCTGCTTGACCCTTTCCAGCTGGTCCTGGTGGTTTCTTGTTCATTCGGACTCGAACCTCGACCTTGCCACCAGCAGGGACTTTCTCGAACTTGTAGACACCGGCGGCCTTGGTACCTCGATGATCCTTCTGGTTGACTGCCGCCTGGTTGCCATTAACGACATACTCATGGAACGCATCCTTGGCATAAGGGCACTTGTTGACATTGTTGAACACTTTCTGTTCATTCGTCTCATTGTTGGTGAAAATCAGGTCCGGTCCTGCTCCAGCAACAGCCTCAAAATGAACCCATCGCTTCCCCAAAGAATCATGGTCAGCCTCAATTACGAGATCGCCCTTCTTCTGGAGCGATGGAACCTTGACCTCGCCCTCAGGAAACCAAACCCAGGTGTTCCGGAACCAGAACTGGGGGATGATATGAACGGGCGCTTCTTGGGGACCTCGGTTATGGGCCGTAATCTTGATCAGGATATCGTCCTGATCCAAGCCGTCTTTGGCGTACTCGACAAAGACGTCAAAGTACTTGTCTTCACTGAAGATCCCGGTGTCGATTAACTCGTACTCGGGCTGGACGCGGCTGCGACCAGCGCTCTCTCTGACGAGTTGGTCGTAAGGGAACGCTGCCTGTGGGTATTTGTACAGATACTATTTTATTCCATGAAAAGAGAGAGAGAGAGCGGAAGAACAGAGCAAGAACGGACCATATATTAGCCAGCCATCTCATCGCGCCATTTTCTGCGTATCGATTTGCGCTTCTTTCTGTTCAAGCGATGGATTACCTTCATGTAGGAGTGGGTCGGGGTGTTATCCAGGTAGTAATACAACTCCTTGACATCCTCACCATGGTTGCCTGTGCCCAAAAAAAAAAGAGTTCATCCACAACATAAGAAAAACAACAACATAGGGACACACCATTAGTCAGACATTGACATTGAGCTAACAAACTCCCAATCCCCTCTAAATGAACAGATCGACTTGTTATTCGTTTTTCACCTTCATGGTTAGTCAAGCCATAGAGACGCTCCTTGAGGATATTATCCTTCCCGTTCCAAAGGGCAAGCGAGACACAGAGCCGTTGGTGGTTATCCGACAGACCGGCAAGACCGTCCTCGCCCCATCGGTAGACCCTGGATCGTGCATGGTCGTGTGGGAAAAAGCGCCAGGCGTCTCCATCTCCACTGTAATCCTCACGCACCGTCGCCTATTTGTCCCATGGAAATAACAAGAAGCAAAGATACTTAATATCTGATGCCTTTGTTAAAATATGCATGGCAGTTTCGCTGTGGACGAATTCTACGCTCTTACCCATTGGCGCTCAGAGAGGTAAGGTCCCCATCTTCATGTAGTATAGTACCCACCGCGACATAAAGAACATATATTAGCAAAAAAAAAAGCTGTCTTGTAAGTGAATTGTGAACAAGAATGAGAATGTCATGTCTCCATTAAAACCATTCATTCGTCGTCGTCGTAGTCGTAGTGTATGTGTGTACCTCATCCAGTGCTTAATGTGCGCGTCAGACTCCTTGAGTCGCTTTCTTTCGGCAGACGAGTCGTTAGGTGCGGGAAAAGTCTTCTTCTTCATTGTTCAAATAACAGACGGGAGAGGGGGTGATTTACTAGGAAGAAGTGTTGGGAAAGGAAAAGAAAGAAGAAAGAAGAGAGGTGTGTGTGTGTGTATTGTTATCCGGTGTGATAACTGATAAGCAACGACACCTGTTGGATCTAACCTGGGGCGTGAGAAAACGCGCTTCCCCTTTCTGTAAAAGAAAAAGGAGAAACTGTCTCCTCCTTTTTCTCAGTCATGCATTGCGTACACATACGATGGCGATACGTTCTTTTCCATTCAAGCCGACAAGTAACACGCCGACTTCAAGGTTTTTATTTGAAAGTGCTTTTGTGGATGTGAGGAGGGAAAGGGGTGCGCTGATTTAAAGACTTGGAACAGAGGGGGCGGAGTGGGAGAAAAGGATGAGAGAGCACTGCACGAAAGAACGTTGTTGGATCGGGTTTCCTGGATGTCCCGGGGCAAATAGTATACGCCTCGTCCCTGAAGAATTCGTCATCCCGCATCGCTTCCCGTGCCGTGTCAGTCAGTCGAGGCAGAATGCCGGCAAAATAGAAGGGAGCAAAAAACTGAAGCTGCTCTGTGGTCCAGTTTATCACCCTTGTCGAGCTGGGTTGTGTCTGATGTCGATTTCAGAACACGTCGCTCGTTCCTGCAGTGAACCAGTGTAACTCCTCTCCATCGTCACGCTCCTTTGCCAAGATCCGATAGTAGCAAAATGGTGGCATCTCCGACCACCCAGGTATGGATTCCCCCGTTGACCCGCGCCGGCTCCTTGTTGCTCAAGCCTGCATCCCGTGTCTCCTAGATGCGCCACTCCTGTCCCCTCTCCTGTCAGCTCTTATAGAATCGTAGGAGCCGCTCTTGACTGTCCTTTGGCGACTCCTGAGAATCCGCGTATGTAGTAATGTGTTGTCTGGTGTAAAATGTGTAGTTTGGTTGGTGTAATGCAAGTGAAAAATAGTTTTGTACAGTGGGAAATAACAAAAAAAGAAAGAAAATAATGTGTGCGTCGCGTCCTGAATCCATGCTCCCGTGTCTCTCCTTTGCGATGCCGACTATGTCGCCTGGGTGAAATGATACTGACTGAGGCCAATGTTACCGTGTGCATCCCTGATAATGACACCGCGGATGGTACCAAGCACTTCATGGGGCTCAGGCATTGAAAGTCGGGGGGCATCACTGGGGCCGGACATGAAATCAGTAGGCAATGGGACAGCTTTGTGACGTCCATGCTGTCCCGAGGTAAACGGCTGAAGGTGAAGACCGGCACCGACATGCTGGGCAACAGCAGCAGCAGCGCCACCACTCATATCCCAGCCACCCGTAGCTGCGTAGCCGTACATCTGCTGCTGGGCGGCAGGGTCTTGTCCATATCCATACGCATATCCAGAGTAGTCAGCCTGTCCGAGTGCTGGGTAACCAGGATGTCCTGGGTGGCCGTAGGCTCCATAAGCAGCCTGGGCGGCAGGATCTACTTGTGGGGTTTGCTGGTGAGCCCCTGGTGGATAGTGTCCTGGATACATGGGGTTGGCCGCTTGCATGTGCTGAGGGACGGCAGGGTTGGCGTCATATTGGCTCGCTGCCGGCTTAGGTGGCAAGGACGGGTGTGCTGTCAATGGAGATGCACCAGCACCTGACGATCCATGAAGTCTGTTGTCGCGTGGAGGTGGAGCATTGGTCAGGTCGGCACGATCTCTTCTCCTATCGTCATATCTGCTGGCTCCAAATGGCGCTTCGCTTCTAGCTGCGGGTGGAGGAGGGCCACGCTCTCTAAAATCACGAGGATCGCGCGGGTCCCGCATATCTCTCGAATCTGGGCGACCCATAGGTCCAGGACCTGGTGGCCGAGCGCCCATTGGGTGATCCCTGGGATCACGGCGATCGTAGTCTGGCCGGCGATGGTCGTCACGGCGGTCAGCATAGTAGTCATCACGGTAGGCTGGTCGGTCATGATAGTCGCGATGATGGCTCCTGGGTTCTCTGAAAGGTGGGGCTGCATGAGGTGGGCCGGCAAAAGGAGGACCGTAATGAGGCGATGAGGGGGGCAAACGACTGGGTGCGTAGGGGTGAGGACGTGTACTGGGTGGGCCAGGGGCTCGTCCGCCTCGGCTTGGGTATGGGCTCTGAGTTGAACGTCCAGCTCTTCTAGGCTCAATCTCAATGCGCTTGTGCAGAGTATCCCAAACTTGGAGGACAGCATTCAACTCTATTCAACATTAAGAATACTGGTTAATTGAGGTTCATAAAAAGGGCTGATCGTGGTGGTGGTGGTGGTGTTTACCCACAATATATGCAAATAGTCAGCTTACCAACGTTGCGAGCTGCGGTCTCCTCTCTCTCTTCGTCGGTCTCCAACTTTCTGGGCTTGATTCCATCGAGGTACAGATCAACACGGATGTCATGAATGGCATCCTCGTAGGCCTTGAAGACAGAGCTTTCGTCTTCGAATCGCTGCTTGATGATCTGTAAACAGTAATGACGACGTGGAAAAATATGGGCTGCATCAGTATTTTGTTTCCCGTATTTCCTCATCATGCTGTTTATTCCAGGGATAGATCCAAGGCCCACAACTTACGTCTCTTTCGGGATCCACATCCTTGAGTAACTCCTTTCCTTCCTCGTCAACCTCAGAAATGACGCGGTCGCGAGCCGAGGTCAAAACAAACTCGTTGGAGAAGGTGCGAAGATCTGCAGCGAGCGTCTTTTTCTCAGCAACAATGGCCGTAATCTCTTCTGAAGTCTTTTTGCAAAGGTATCCAGTAATATGCTACAAGGTTGAGAAAAAAAGGAGCAGATGGTGTTAGTAAAAGGTTGTCAATATCATGTCAGTCCTACAACGAGGCCGACGCATATAGAAAACCAAATCCTTACTTGTTTGCTGGAGTCCTGAAGCAAAAGATGCAGAGGCTGACCAGTTCTGCGGGGTCTGCGTTTCAGCTGAGGAGGAGGGACGGGTGCAGAAGGCTTGATAGAAGCCGGCTGAGACAATGGCTGAGAATGCTGCTGCTGTTGCTGCTGGTCTGGTGTGGAAACTGAGTCGACCTCAGAGGGGGTGAGAGAAGCTTCCGAAGCGGCGATCGTCTCGCCTTGAGCGGCGGCAGGTGATCCTTCGACGCTCTCGACCGGGGTGGGGATGGACGAGTCCATGGCGAGGGGTGTGTCCTCTGTGGCGACCTGAGGGTCCTGCTCCTGTACTTGTTCCGTGTTCTCCATGGGCGGCAAGGGACGTGTGCGGACGTGTGCGTGTGAATGAATTGTGAAATTCTTTTCTTTTTTTTTTCTTCTGAAAGGGTGGTGATCAAAGGACAAGCCACGAGGAAAGGGACTGCCCTAACGGCAGAAGGGAGAAGTAGCAGCAATCAAGCGAGAAAAATTAATTTATTGTTTTTGGGACCTTTTCTGACGAGAGAACGCGTTTCTGTTATCAATAATAACTAGCCCGACTCGCTGTCATTACCACCGCCACCACCACCATGAATCAGGAACTGGAACTCATTGACGTCTTTGGAAACACCCTCGCAACCAACCCCTCCGCCTTGGCAGAGTGTAAGCAACGGCAGAGAATTGTTAGTAAAGTAAAAATACTCGGAATCAGAACAGAACGGAACCTCATTCCTCATCTCGCTATCCACGGCTGACATACATAGGCGTGGGCTTGTTGCGCATATACCGCATTGAGCCTGGGACTCTGCATTCGAAATGGGAGGCATATATCATGAATGCTATCAGTTCCACTAGGGACGAGGACGACGGCTCGATGACGGCTGCACATTTGGAAGGCTTCAAGAACCATCTCCGTCGCACCTTGGAGAAAAAGGCACAGCAGAGCATCCAGCGTCATGCTCAGTCGACCTCGGGATCATCGTTTGCCACTCCCAAGAAGGCTCAGCTTAAGTCAAGATTTCCAGGATCGACCTCACAGGCTTCCAGGGTGTTTAATGACATGGAGATTGACCAGAACGACCAGTTGTAAGTAACCTTGAGGGGAGTTATGATTTTGTGGTACCTGACAGGAGTTGCATCCAAGTTTTAGCAAGACCTACCAGCTAATATGTTACATTCGTTTTGTTACGTATTAGTAACTCGCCAGAGTCGATGTCTTCAACGAGAGTGCCAACAAGCTCTTTCAGGAACCCTGCCCAGTGAGTGCCATTCGGGAACTTTTTTTTTTGGTGGCGCATGTGCTAGTGGCAAAAGGCAAACATGCTGAACTGATAAACGCATATCAATCCTGTTTTGAGTAGACCAACGCCTTCGTCGAAGCAGTTTGCGCTTCGCAAGAACATGTCAGAAACAGAAGAAACCCTCCACAGCCATCTGAAATTGAGAACGGAACCATCTCGTGCTGGATCAGAGTACAGGAGCACCGTCACCATGATCACCACAATCAAGCCTTATCGATACATGTTCGATAAGATTACAGACAAAGGCGAAGGTATGCAATAGGATCATGACTGACGTTAGCTTTGAGTACGGAATCCCAATTTTTTTTGCCTTCTTGACCAATCTAACATCGTTCTTTTTTTTTTTTTTTTTTTTTTTTTTTTTTTCCTGCTCCGTAGCTCTTGACGACCGGATTGACGCATTTGCAGATATTTACAGGAGAAGTTATCCCGACACAGAATTTCGCAATCCCGCGTACCCAAGTCAGTCTGCCGTTACCGTGGTGGGGCGAATTTGCTCCGACGCAAATGAAGGCAAGGCGAACGAGCAGTCTCTGCTGCTTGAAACAAGCCGCTCGTTCGGCAGTGGCGCAAGAGTCAAGCTGGATATCATGGAAGTTCCAGGATACAGCTTTTTCCCAGGACAGATTGTTGTTCTAAGCGGCCTGAACTCTTACGGTTCAGTCTTTGCAGTAACTCGTGTTCATGAGGTACGATCGCGACTCCTTGAGATAAACCTATGGCATTTTGAACAACAAGTTGATTTGTAAAGATGAACTAACTTGAATTTGTGTGTGCAATTGTTCGAATCTAGCTGCCTGCCATTGAAATGGCAGGTGCCAGCCCAGCGGATTTAGAGGACTTCCAATACAAAAGGATGGCTGGACAACCGATGAAGATGATTGTGGCGGCTGGACCATATACCCTGAGCGACAATCTTTTATTCGAACCCTTTGCAGCTTTGATGGAACACGTCAGCACTGAACGTCCGGATATTCTTTTGTTGGTGAGTTATACTTGAATGATATTTAGAGCCATTGTGCGTTGTATGATCCTCAGTGATGTAGACGTCATATTCACTGTATTCTGGTATTATCTTCTAGATGGGCCCATTCGTCTCGTCGACACACCCACTGATCGTTTCAGGAGATATCGACATGATGCCAGAGGCATACTTTGCCAAGTATATCTCGGCCCTGCTTGCCAAACACCAAGACCGGTACCCCAAAGAGATGCAGATCCTATTGGTACCAAGCTTGCAGGATGTCATTCATGAGACACTAGTCTTGCCTCAGCCTGGATTTGAGCATCCCCGTGCCCTTGGATTGCCAGCTGTAAGTCTATCGTCGACTGCAATGGCCTCGTATACATCTGAATAGCCCTAATTATTTGAAAATGACCTTATCTTATTTCATTTCTTTCATATGTAGGGTACATACTGCCTGCCCAACCCAGCACAGTTCACTATTAACGAGATGGTGTTTGCAGTCAACACTGCTGATATCCTGATGCATTTGAACGGAGACGAGATTGCAAGGAACCCTGGTCGGACCGACCGAATGAGCCGACTCTCTAAATATATTGTTGAACAGCGCAAGTATGTTTCGGAGGAGAACACTAGCGCCATTTTTGTGGCGCCACTAATTTTCTATTGTTTTTATTTTGTGTATCCAGGGAAGGTCCGCGTGTTCATACTAAAAGATCGATCCATCGTTTCTCTGTATTTTTACCTAGCTTGCACCCTGTTTACCCTGGCCTAGCGTCTGATCCAGACAGCGGAGTCGATTCGAGCCAATTCGACCTTTTGGATCTCAAAGTGTGTCCTGACGTTCTCATCCTGCCCAGCAAGCTGAAGCACTTTGCCAAGGTATGCATCCGCTGTCCCATTTCCGTGTCTTTACAGATCAATCACTTCCGAAGAATTGTCCAACTCATATATCAATGATTCTTGCTTTGGGTTTCCCTAGACTGTCGATAATGTGATTGTCATCAATCCGAACCAGCTCAGCAAAATGCAGTCTGGAGGCACGTTCGCCAAACTGACCATCCACCCAATTCCTGAAGGCGTGTTGAGTGACGCAGTAATGATGATGGATGAGGACGACGAGCAAACAATGAGGAGCTTCCATCGTGTTCAAGAGCGCTGCCGAGTCGATCTCGTCCGCGTGTAGTATTTGTTTTTGCGCATCACATCCTTCCCATTTCCTTCCCCTCTTTGTACCATCATACAGGTGTGGATCTAGCAGCCTTCGTCTTACTCTTGCTCCTGCGCCCCCTTGTCATTTCCCATACTCTGCCTTCCCCCTTAATACATTACTGTCAAAATGTCCATCCTCTACCCTTTGGTGGTCCTGTCATGCTCTGTCCCTGTTGGTCCAAATGCGTGCTCTAGGTGTCTCAAGTTTAAAAAAATTGTTTATTAAATTGTATGTACGCTCTGTTGCTTTGGGAATGGAGGGGAAGGAGGAAAGGGTCACCGCAGAAGTGATAACTCTTTACTTCTTGGGGGTCTCAACAAATCCAGGGAAGCAGTCGTTCATGGTCTTGCTGTGCTTGTTGGTGGCGTGCTCCTCAAGACTATCGGAAGAAAGGGGAAGGACAACGAGTAAGCATGGCGAAGTGTTTGTCCGGGTTTGTGCGCACTAATTCTTCCGAAAAATAGTCCAATCTGAATAAAAAAAAATCCGCAAGCATTTCGTGCAACTTACGCCTTGGTACGGATGGTGCACAAGAAGGTCTGACGGCAGGTCTGGCAAACAATGCTCTTGGCAGCCTCGTTCTATGTTTGTAAAAACAAGTGCGATAAGGAACAAAGGGGTCAGGTACAGCGGTCAATATATGGTATGGATTTTGGCATATTTGTTTGTAGCGTTGTTCCGTCGAAGGATAGGCAAAGGAAAGGTACTTACGACCTTGAGCTGGGAGTTGGCGGTGCCACCGGCGTTCTTGGCGTTACGCTCGCGCTTCATCTGTGCCTTTTGACCCTATTTAATTGCGGAGAGATGTGGGGGCGTAGGAATCAAATGTTGCTTATGTTTAGTTTATGGTTGTGGTAGTGGGATCATGGTACCTTTGAAGGAAAGGTTTTTAGTGTGGGTGCAGAAGCGCAAGGTGTGAATGAAGAGGCACTAACGTTTCCCATGGTGGATATATGTGTAAGGTGAGGAGAGGAGTGAGAGGGTGATGTGTGTTGTACAGTAAGAATTGAGAAAAAAAAGGAACACAACGAGGTATTTATTTTTTCTTAGCTCAGCCTACTCTGCTTGTGCCTGTGGTCCTATTGTCAAACCACAGGAAAGGAGGCGTTATCCAGCCCGTGCAAAGAAATGCCGTGCAAGCCAAATGGAAGACAACACTGATAAGCCACTGCAGCCAGAGTGCACTAATAGGCTTGATCGGCGCGGGACATTGAGAAAATCCTCTTTTAACTATTCAACAAAAATGTCCGCAAAGGGTGCGTTCAGCTTTGGCAGTCACATATGACCGTTGCCGTTCACTGGCTGTTCTCTTGAACACTCAAATACATGCACATGGATTCAGGACACCAGCGTACGCACATACATCCATCGATCCCAACATCGATCGATCAAACCATCGGCAAACAGCCAAATCACCACATTACCCACCCGACATCATCGCCCGTCATTTTTCATCAAAAACCAGCAGCACTCTGAAGGAGTGATGGAGAGACCTAGGATGGTGATGGAGAGGAGGGAGGAATCGATGATGAGTTCCACCTCCGCGGAGGTGTCCAGAGCCTGACTGGGTCTCTCGTCTTCGGATGGTCGTCAACATCACCCTACCAACTGCAACTGTATACTGGCGTCAACCACGGGAAGCAGAGACCAGCCAACACCAGCAACGAGAGGTTATCGTCAAGCACCTTCGTTAGCACAAGCTGGAGATGAGCAGAGTACACATCAGCGATCTTCACGACAGACGCTTCTCACTCACCTTCAGCAAGGTGCCAGTGCAGGAGTCCAGTCGTTATTCAGCACGGAATGCAAACTCGCTTTTCGATCCCCACATCAATCCGGCAGGAAGTAACATCTCAGCACATCTTTTTGGCACAAAAGACATCAGCAACTTTCAACTTCCTGCTCTGCATTAACCTCACAAACTGCGAATCGCACAAACAACAAAGGAATCATCAACTGGACGAGCGAAACATCAGGATGAACGAGAGAGCAAAAGAAGTTGAAGATCATACCAGCTAAAACTTTCATTCGTCTTACCTTTCCCTTCCACCCGTCTAGGTGGAGCTGCTTCCGGAAACAAATTCCGCATGACCTTGGGTTTGCCCGTCGGTGCCGTTATGAACTGCGCCGACAACTCTGGCGCCAAGAACTTGTACGTTATCTCCGTTAAGGGAATTCACGGTCGTCTTAACAAGTTGCCTGCCGGCGGTGTCGGTGACATGGTTATGGCCACTGTCAAGAAGGGAAAGCCTGAGTTGAGGAAGAAGGGTACGTCTTTGTTCCAGAGGGAATTATCATTGAAGCGCTGTCGTTTTGAACTATCCTGAACATTGTTACGGAGAACTAATGGTTCGCTCAATTATTTTGTGATACTTAGTTATGCCCGCCGTCATCATCCGTCAGCGCAAGGCTTGGCGCCGTCGCGACGGTGTTTTCATCTACTTTGAGGGTACGTTTTTCCTTCCCTTGCTGTTCAACAAAACAAAACGTCTACTGGAATAATATGCACCAATAACGAGCCCGTCAAACAAGATCTGTAAAACTAACGTCTGTCCCAATTTTTTGTACTTTGTTCCTCTAGACAACGCCGGTGTCATCGTCAACCCCAAGGGTGAGATGAAGGGATCTGCCATTACCGGCCCCGTCGGTAAGGAGTGCGCCGATTTGTGGCCCCGTATCGCTTCCTGCGCCGGTACCGTCGTTTAAATTGCTTTTTTATCCAGACACCAATCAGCTCAAGTTGCAATAATAAAACACACTGGTTTATCCAACAATCAATCATTGCCTGGTCCTTTGACTTATTGTTCGCATGTTCGCATTCTAAATCTTTGTCATGTTTGCTTTGTATGCAAGGGAGATGGACCGCGTTGTCCTCTCTTATGCGTCGTGGTCGTTTGCGATAACATAAGTAGCCTTCACATGGGCAGTCTCTTCAGGCAATTTAGCTTTGCTGTGGCATTTTAAGCCATCAAGGGCAAGGCATTCACGCTCTAAAATCACTGCCAATTTTCCTTCACTCACGCTCGATCCATTCACTTTTGATTGCGTTTTTGAAGAGCTGCGACTTCTTCTTTTCAGCGTTGTTCTCAATCAAATCCGGCGCAGTACGAAGAGACACTACTCTATCTGCCGTAGTGGTGAGTTTCTCGCTTGGACTGCCAAAGCTCCGTAAAATGCACATTCGGAGTTCATGCCCTTCAATTCACTGAAGACAGCTAGTCCCCTTTTGATCCATGGTTCTGTTTGGTTGTACTGGATTCGGCAATTGTTATTTTATTGCTGCACAAGTTATCCCTGATGACACCCCCTCACAAAGCAAGCGATCTGCCCTCTTCCATAATCTACGCCATGCCAGCGCTTTCTCCGTGATCCATGACTTAAACATCGTTGCGAAGAACTATTTGATACGAGTGGAAGGAAGACAACGTCGATGGTTAGAACTGTAGTTTAAACAATAGCAGCTTGCGTCCACTGAACATATCCAGCGTGATGAATTGCGGTTGTTAAACAATTGATTCTGACAGGGTTCACGTACCAAGAATGACAGAGTCTCCACGCAAGAACAGCTTGCTGATGAAACGCTCCTTGTTGACAGGCTTTGCCTTCTTGCCCTTGGCCGCACGTGGTACTTCTGTCCACATCTATTGAAGTGAAAATGTGTATCGCGGTGAAGTGGAGACAGTCAGTTTACAGTTCGGATCCTTGTTAACATGTCTCCTTGATCCACATTGAATAACGGCGGTCTCTGGCGCAAGATATCAGATGCGGCATCAATGCTGAACAATGTGGGTAGCTGATGGCTATTTTTAGTCGAGCGCCCAAACGTACCTCCTTGACGTTCTCGAGAACCATGTTACAGTGACGGTCGAATGCCTTGACTCTGGCAAGGAGCTTCCTGTTATTTCTGCAGCTGATAAGAATCTGTGTATGGTTCTTGACGGACAACTGCAACACTGAGAGTGGGCCTGTGTTGAACTCTTCCTCCTCGAGCTTGCGGAGCTCGTCCTCGTTCATCTCGCTCTTTGGCTTTGCGCTGCTATTTTTTGGGAAGGAGGGAAAAGGCGAATCACGCGTTAGTTGCGTCTTGCTTTGTTGGATGGTTTTCCAGATGTCAATGAAAGCCTGTTGTTGAGTTCGATGCAGTGCCATGCGGATTTCCTTCTGTTGGTTTTGGTTGTTTCGTGGGTTGCGAGTCCTGTACCTCATTATATGTTATGTGTTTGTGTGAGTTGTTTGTGTGGTGCTGAGTGTAAGTGATGATCTGCATCAAACGATGTTTTGCGCCTCCAGCCAGAGAGAGGTGAGTTTCGACAAGCCACCGCACATTTCACTTGCCTAGTGACTGCTGGGAGTTACCATTCACTCTCAAGTCGCGGCTTTATTTCAGTTTCATGAGCGAACCATCATCATCTCTCCTAACCGCCTATAGTACCTCGAACCATGAACGACATCAAAACCGCCGCCAACAGCCTCTTGACCGCATACATCAAGGGTAAAGGAAACACTTAAAACTGGACCTCGGGATTATCATCAACTTGTTCCCAGGATACCCTCAGCACCTCAGTTGCATTCTTTGGCACCCTCGTCTTTTTTTAGACCCAGCAGGCGCTCTAACCACCGTTCTTGATATTATCAAAACGTGATAGACACGCCAAAGTCCTTGAAGTTGATTGATAGTTACATGGTCTATGTGCTGTTGACCGGCATCATCCAGTTCGTCTATGTCGTCATTGCAGGAACTTTCCCCAACAACGCCTTCTTGGCCGGATTCATCTCGACCGTCGCCTCTTTTGTTCTTGCTGGTGAGTGGCAACGAAATCAACCCCTGCCGCTCAAAATCACCTGGTTTTTCTCAATTGAGGACGACAATCACGTTTGTGCAGGACCTACAAAGCGGTACAGAACTGACAAAGCGCGATCCTATACCTCTGTCAATTGCTCTTACTAGCCAACCTCCGTATCCAGACCAACCCCAAGAACGCCTCTCAGTTCCCCACCACCAGCCCTGAAAGGTAGTTTTCGCATTCGATAGAAGATCGCGTCAGGATCTCGATGTATCTTGTTACGTTCTATTTCATGAACAAGAAAGGCCGACTAACTTATCCTACTACGTATATATGTGTCGCCTGTATCAATTAGAGCATTCGCCGACTTTTTGGCCTGTAACGTTGTAGTCCACTTTGCCGTTGCCAACTTCCTCGGTTAAACATCCTCATATTAAAATAAAATTGACCAATGCGAACTCAACACACACGCTTCTAGACAACCCTGATTGAAGTTCATGCGCCCTTCATAGTTCAAATAATCACAAATGATCAAACCCTCTGTAAACTAAAACAATTTGACAGGATGCAACATGCGCGATCATCTCTAATTCTTTAACGCAATTTCTGTGGCTTTGATTTGCTTTTACTTCTCTCACCGTGTCGGGAAGGAGTGGGTGGTGGGAGACAATCCAAGCCGTGGGCAGGACACAACAAGATCGCTGCTACAAGATTCGAGGTCTACTTCACCCCTCCCCTTCAACCCGCATCTCTTCATCATCCCTCAAACCACCAAATCATCACAATGAGTCAATTCTGGAAGCCCACCTTCACGTAAGTGACAACAGGCGACACTCACTCACACCACCTCTGCATCACTCTCTCACTACCCTTCGACACTCTTTCGACAACCAACACCTTCGATGATCCTCTTTCTTCCGACAGGCGATCGAGCATCGACGTGTAGATCTTAAGGCGCTCAGGGGCGAAATCCAACAGCAACAGAAGATGTCCTTGACCACCCTGCAGGATTCCTCAAAGGAACGATCTCTTCTGTTCGGGTGTATTCATATTACCCGTCGCTTCAGCGCCAGCATCAGCATCAGTTACGCACTACCCGTCAATACATCAGTGCAACCATATTGGACCTGATTTTTCACCATTGCACCAGCCAGCCGGCAGCAAACAAACTCCCGCGCACTCAACAGGAACTATCACCTGCAAAGAGCACGACTATGCAGCGCGCAAACGCATTCAATCCTACACACACTCACACTTGTAACACCTCGTGTTAACTCTTTCTTTATTTTTGTTCACGTTACCCTTCTTGCTGTCCTTTTGTTCACCTGAAATAGCTACTTGCAGTACGCTCAGGTCTGCGCCCGCGCTGTCCGCAACTCTCTCAAGGAGGAGGCCCGCCTCGTCGCCGTCCGCCGTGATGAACAGGGTTTGAAGTACGCCAAGTGGGAGGCCGGCAAGCAGGGTGAGCTCAAGAACACCGTCGGCAACCGCACCGCCGCCTAAATATTCTTCTCGTCCCCCACCACTTCAACCACTCCAGCAGTCAGCCAATCCATTACAGTGTCGTCTCCTCTCTTTCTTTTTGCAGGATCAACACACACGGATTAAAGAAAAATCATCACAAACAGAACATCTGTTTTCTCACCCTCCACTCTTTTCACAAATATACATTTTTTGATGTTATCAATATTGCAACGGGAGAGATTTGGATTGAATGGTGGTGTTTTTTATTCCAAACTTTCGTTTGAAGGATATTATGAATGAGGCAAAGGAAGAAAAGAACTGGAAAAAAGGATAGGAGCGACACGAGAGAGAGGGACAGAAAAAACTAGTACTAGGACTAGGAGACGGAATATAAGGCCGAGATGAAATAGATATTGCAAGTAGGAGAAGGAGGTGGAGTGCAAATGGAACACCCTAGTGGCGTTTTTACTGGCAACAGGCCCCGCTACCGTTTGAAGCTCCAGTGGGCAAGGATGATCCTCCAGTGTGCATAGGTCCAATCTTGATTCCATGGGCCTACGCGTGTCCATTAAAAAAAGAAAACAGGTTAGGAAATGATATTGGGCCACATGCAAATTGAAACTATCCATTGTTGAGTTTTGTATATGGATGTGTCCGTACCTCGTTGTGAATGTCGAAAATCCCGCTCTGAATCTTCTCGTAGATGTTTGTTGCAGTCTCCACGAAAGCCTAGAGGAACAAACATGATCCATGGTTAAACGGACTTGTGATAGCCGAGAAAGATAGCATACAAAAGAAAACCAGTATATCATCTATGCATGGTCTTGTTCAAAAAGAACAAAAGAACAAAAGAACAAAAGAACAAAAGAACAAAGACATAAAACTCTGTTTTTCTTACCTCCTCGACGTTGGCCGAAGTCTTGGCTGAGGTTTCCATAAAGAAGAGTCCGTTGGCTTTGGCAAAGGCTTCGCCCTCCTCGTAAGAGACGGCCCTCTTGGACTCCAGATCGCTCTTGTTGCCGATGAGCATAATGGTGGTGTTGGCGTTGGCGTGCTGTCTGGCGTCCTCCAACCAAGTCGTCAGATGCTTGAAGGTGTCTCTCCTATCGAGAAAAGTTCATTAAAATACAAAAATAAGAAGCGTAGGGGGGATCAGACCGAGATTCCCATCCAGCTGACCAACAAAGTAAAACACGCTCTTGAACGTGCGTGTGTGCGTGTGTATGTGTTTCCATGTCCGTGCCGTCTTTTTTTTTTTTTCTAACCTTGTGATATCATAGACTGCAGGTCGTGAAATGGGAGTACAAACAAAAAAGAAATCAAACACGATCGAGTGTGTTAGACGAAAGGGAACTTTTAAGGGACCACCAACAAAAACAAGAGCGCATACACAAGGGCAATTGGCACCTTACCCAAAAGAGCTCCAGCAGCGCCTCTATAGTAGCTACGGGTAATGCTCCTGAAGGATTCTTGTCCGGCCTATGATCATTAATTTCGCGACAGCAAACGAGGGGGGAGAAAAAAAGAGGTCAGTCAATTATTGAGAAACATGTTCGCTTGGGGTTGGGGTAATTGAACAGTGAGGGAAGACGTCAACCAGAGGCGCAGGAAGTGGTATCATCAACATACCGTGTCCCAGATCTGGAGCTTGATCTGTTTGCCGGCAACAGAGACGAAACGTGCGCCAAACTCGACTCTAAAAGATGCAGATTATGATGCGATCAATGAAGAGAGTGTTATCATCGGTGTATTTGCCTGGGCATCTCGTGTGGGCAAGAGTGGAATCAGAACTGCTGTCATCCGATATTGTCGTGTGCGTCTGCAAGTGTATTTGTATTTGTGTTGCACATACCCGATAGTCAGATCATGGGCGGGCTGGAAACGCTTGTCGGTGAACTGCAAGAGTAAGCAAGACTGTAATCCGATTGGGAAAGGTAAAAGAATAAGAATACAAAGTCGGTTAGCAAAAAAGAAAGAAAAAAAGAGTTGGTTGTTGTCAGTTCACTTGGGCAAATAGGCTGAGGGGATGTCTGTTCGGTGAGCTGAGGTGCGGTGAGGTACTGTGAGGCGAGTGGGTGAATGAGAGAGCGTGAGCCGAATCGAGTCTCCTGCGGCGCGTGGTCTGGTCACCCAACGATTGTGAACTCTGCTCCTTTTGCGCTGATTCTCGTTTTTTTGCTCTAGTATTTTTGTGTTCATCGATCGGGCTGTTGAAGGTCTCTTGTTACCTTGCCGACACCTATATGGAAGAAAGAGAGAGAGCAGGAAGGGGATGATGAGTACAAAGAAGGGGTTCAGCATGAGGATGAGCTTTTTTTTTTTTTTTTTTTTTTTTTTGGGTGGAGAGAGCTGGCTACTTGTGAGGCTGTGCCTTACCGGTATCTCCGATAATGATGTACTGCGAGGGTCACAGGGTGTGAGTGCCGAGAGAGCAAGTGAGCGAATGAGTGATGAGTATAACAAGCGAAAGGAGAGAACGGAGAGAGTGTTAAGAAGAAGCGAGATGTAGTTTGAGTTATGCGTGTTGTATTTTCCTTGTGTGAGTGCAGTGCAGCGTTAATATATAAGAAGTATTACTTTGATAATGTAGTCGTAGTTGAAGCTGCTGCTCATGGTGGGCGGAGGTGAGAGTGTGAGAGAGAAAGGGGGTGTGTATTATAGGTGTGGTGGTGAGAGCGAAAGTGAAAGTGGAAGTGGAGGTAAGAGTAGTGTGAAGGAGTGACAAGAAATAAGAAATAAGAAAAAGAAGGGAAAGAAAGAGAAACGTGGGGCTGCTGCTGCTGCAGAGGACCAAGGAAAAAAGAGTGCTCCAACGAGGTATCGATGTCAGGAAAAGAACGTCACTTTTACACAGTTTGTCCTGTAGGAGAGTCAGCCACGCTTTCTCGCTTTCTCGCCCGCCCATCCAACGAACAGAAAGCGAACATCGACTAAACATCCACACTCTTACTCCTTCCCCACTCGGACAGGACAAAGACATACACAACTAATAACAACCGACAACTTGACATACCTGGTGCAGGAAACACAGCGGATTACTCTACGCGACAGCTCATCCGGGACAAAGGTGAGTAATTGCACTCGATACATATTGCCACGCCCAACCTGGGACAACCACGTTTTCTTCAAGGAGGCTATATTCACATATTTTAATGACTGTTGGGTAATGATTAGATACGTCATGTTCGCCTCTGCTTCCAACGCGGGCACAGGCGCGCCGCTGGGATCTGGATTGGCCCGAGGCACATCGCCCTTGCAGTACACCGCCTCCGCAGGCGGAACCAACACCACTTCAACACCGTACGACAGTTCTCAGTCATCCTCAGCAGCAACCCCACCTTTGGGTGCCACCAAAATCCTCTATGTTCACACCGACCATTTCTCAAAACGAGACTTCTTGATCGACCCAGCCTTCTTCCCCAATGTCCAGCCAAACGACCTATTCGAGATTTACGACCCAGCTCTCCCAAAGGAAGCTCAAAAGAAACTCATTATTCAGTGGACAGGGCCTGACAACAACACTCTACTCAAAGCCCCTGTCCAGGTGAGTCACCGTCCGTTCTGCACGAATTCGTTGCGTGATTCAATCTCGCCTCTATCAACATTCTAACCCCATAAAACATCTTCAAATAATAGGTGTCTCTAACTCACAGTATTGCCAAAGTATTCGGCCTGTCACCGCGTCAGGATGTCATCGTTCAAAGGGTAGGATTGTTAATCTTCGTACTTTATTTCCTCAGCATGACGATAAAAAAGATAATAAAGGCTCTAAGCGAATTTTATTTAATTACACTGCGTAGGTGGATCCATCTCAAAATGCCGCCAAGTACGTGGAGCTGACATTCAGGGACCAATACGTTGGACGGAGCGATATGTGGCGCTTGAGGACGAGCCTTGTGGGGTCTTGCGTGTATGAAAGCAAAAAGATTGTGTACCTGGGATGCATTCGCGCCCAGGTAAAAGAGATCTACGTCGGCAACCAATCGGTAGGATGAGCGCGAGGTCTTTCCATGTGCGCCGAGTGAAGAGTAGTCAATATGCCGAAGGTGTGCAATCCTGACACCCGAATTTGTTTTTGTGGTAATAGGTTCCTAGTGGATACATTTCGTCTGACACGAGGATCATCTTCCGCTCAGAGTCTGCAAAGTACTTCATTTTTATCCAAATGTCCCGCGAGATGTGGGAGTTTGATGAAGATGGTGACATCTTTTTCGAGAGGGTCATTTTCGGATTTTTGCCTCAACTTTTTGCTCGCTGGCGAGGAAAGAGAGACGGCAAGTCTGAGCTGGAAGCCCCCACCAACCACGTCGTCTCTATCGTACTCTTTTCAAGGATTTTCTATCAGGAGGAAGAAGAGGCGAGATTTCGGATTGACGGCTATCCAGGCGATCAAACAGGGCTGCAGCGGGATGATGAAGGACGCTATTACCAGGACTTTTACAAGGTCGTCATCGATTGGGAGGCGCGCACAGACTGGACGACAGCTATCATTCCGCTCAAGGAGGAGGTCATGCGATACCAGCGCGATATTCTCCTGCGTCCGGCCGGGCAGTACTCAATCTTGTCCGGCGAGAACTCGTTCGCGTTCGAAGGAAACGTTCTCGAGTCGATCAATCTTGCGCTCAACTCACTGGACAAGCATTATGTCGACCGTGATTTGCAGCGGACAGGACTCTCGATTGTCATGATCACGCCCGGCTCTGGGATGTTTGACGTCGACAAGCGACTTTTGCGCCTAACGACCGAGAGGATGATTAGCGGAGGAATAGGTCTCGACATGATCTGCCTGTCCAAGATCCCGGCGCACATCGTCCCTCTCTTCCGGTGGAAAGGCCCAGCAGCGGACTCCAATGGACTCACAGCAATGAACCACGCATCAGGTCACTCGCCCTCAAACTTCAGCATGGCCAACAACAACGGCGGAAACTTGATGGTTCGCTCCGCTAGCAACTACTCGCGCCCCAACTCTCGTCCACCTTCCATCAAAGACTCTTCTGCAGAGGGACGGCCAACGACATCGTGGACCCGCGCCTTCAAATCGCCGATCCCTAGCCCAATGCCGGAGGTACAGCTCGACATGTCGGACCCTCTTTACTACGACGCACCCGCGACCTTCCCATCATCGCTCACCAAAACCTACTACATGATGCCGCACTGGGTCGACTGTATGTTTTACGTTAGCTCACAACGACCCAACACCCAAAAGTTTTATACCCGCTGCAAGATGTACGAGCTACAGATGATGGGCATCATGGAGCACGAGATCTCCAGCATCTCTATACCCTATCTCAACGAGAGCTACAACCCACAGTACGTCACCTCATTCGGAAAGAGACTGAGCACATCGGACGCCCTCAACCTCCGAACCAACTTTGCCAAGCCTGTTGACTTTGACAAGCACGATGACGACCTTCTCTCCGACTCGAACTCGCTTTTGGCGGCGGAGCTAAAGCAGCTGAAAGCGGGCTCTGGAACTCCTACTCGCGGCATGATCAGGGACGCACTATCGCTTGACAACATTGAAGCGTCTGCAGCACGGAATGGAAACAGCGCCCGGCGTAACTACGACAACTACCTCAATGGCGGAACGGCGCACCAATCGATATCCAACCACCACAGCAAGATGACCAGCGAGTTGTCCCAGAGTCTGCCAAGAGTATGGAATACGTCAACCATGCTACCACCAAACGCCATCCATGAGAACCCCACCCTACGAGACCTTGCCGGAGCTACATCTAGTCGGGTTTCATTCTCCCTCAAGAGTGCCAACGGCTTCCTAGAGGAGAGTCGAGCGTCAAAGCAAGCAGAGTACGAAGGTCAGGGCGAGATGAATGTACACCGCGGACTTCAAGATGACTCAACCGGTGAGCAAGCGAACTATGGTCGGACATCCCAGCATGGCAACATCGACATCAAGTCGAAACCAGTTCACATTCGCGCGAGCACTGACGACGATCCAGGATTTCTGAGTTCGAGCACTGTCAAACCGATCTACATCTCTCGAAACTACAGGTCGTTACAGGATGAGGCCCAGTCGGAGGTTTCAGGTGCGGACTCGTGCAACACCGGCTCCCTCTCGAGCGACAAGGGTAACCGGACATACATTTCCAATCCCGCAGGATCAGGTGGGCGGATTATCCAGACACGCCAGAAATCCAAGCAGACGTACATCAACCCCTGCAACCCGCCCAAGACTATAATCCGCATGACATCGCACCTGCGACGCTGGCAACACGCCTTTCCACGAGTGAGAGCTCGTTCTGCTTCTCCGAACCTGATCAGGAGTGATGTTTATACCGATGGGCTGTCGAACACGGAAGCCTGGAGGGGGTTGATGTCACCTGCATCGCTGCCGTTGACGACCGATTACTTCCCCAGCAAGGAAGAGCTACAGGATCTATACTCTGAGTACATCCACACGATATCTCTCAGCGAGGACTGGGGGAGCTACGGAGCGAACGATCAACAACGCCGCATTAAGGCCACCAACCTCATGAAGGAGCTCATCTATCATCGCCTGGCCCAAGGATTCCAGCTCATTGTGGGGAGCAGCAACTCGTCGTCCAAGATCAAAAAATCTGACATTACTCTCACTAACGGCGACAGGAACGGTGAATCGGATACTACCGCGACCAACGGAAAAGTGACTGAACAGGATTCGGCAGCGTACGAGTTCCCAAGCAAGGACGTCGACACCATCAACAGGACGATTTCCACGAGTGCTCTCAAGGACAAGGCCTGCTATTTGAGCATGGGACAGCAGGTTCAGCGACTGTCGATCGATGCCGCAGACGGAAATGTGGAGGTCAAGCGATACGAGCGACGCCTTGGTTATAAGCCGGAGAACATCAAGTACCAGTGCGTTATCTGGGCCAAACAGCTGTCGGGATACATGCCACGGGACCTTACATTCGCCTACCCGTCTCTCTCCCAATACCAGTGGAACTACTTGGACCATCTTGTTTCTGGATACCAGGACGAACTTACAGAGGAGCTGATGTACTGGCGAGCCCGATTTATCTTGATCCCGATGGAACATGTCGTGACCAACAACCTCACGAACGTTGCAGGAGAGGTTCTCGACGATGAGGAGATTCGTCTGGCCGGCTTCCAAAAGTTCTTGGACCTTTTTCAGAGAGCACGTTTTGTCGATCCCGATGGCGAGTCATCTCCAACATCCTCTAGGAAGCAGGACCTCACTGTCAAGGTTCAACTGATCACCTGCAGCTTCGCAGCATGGGCGTTATCCGAGTTGTCGAAGAAGGAGCATGAGAACGGTCAGTCACCCACCTCAAATATCACCACCACCTCCGAGTCCGAAAAACTGAACCGCAACTCCAAGATCCAGGTCATTGCGACGGCGATCCAGAACCCATTGACCGGCATCAAGCTCCAGGACCGACGATGGCATCTCCGCGTATACAACAGCGTGTTCTTGGGCAACGAGGTCGTCGACTGGCTAATCCATCACTTTGTCGACATTGACACTCGCGAAGAGGCTACGGAGTTTGGAAAGAAGCTGTTCGACAAAGGCCTGTTCATCCACTGCCTCGGCAAGCACAACTTTATGGACGGCCATTACTTCTACCAGTTCTCGGGAGAGTATGCACCCGCTGGGAAGCAGACTCGGGGATGGTTCAGGAACACGACCCAATCGCTTACTCGACGGGATGTTGATCTTGACAAGTTGAGGGACAAGGAGAAGGAAAAGGACAAGGACACCGACCCCTCATCCGAGAAGTTGGCGCGACCTCCCTTGAAGCCGACTTCCGCTACTGGATCCACTACCACCCTAGGATCTGCTTCTGGGCCCACCACTAACGCCACCACCACTGGGATCGGTGCCACAACTCAGTCCTCGACCAACGCGGTTCCTTCGTTCAGAGAACGCATGGAGATGATCCAGAAGATGGCGCCCCTCAAGAAGGTCGATATGTCCAAGACGATCACCATCGATGTTGACCCCAATAAGCGCAGCGAGCGACGAGAGACAGCGACCTTGCACTATGACCTCGCCCACAACATCAAGCATTGCTTCCACTTCCAACTCCATTGGCTTGGGTGCACCGCCCGTTTGATCGAAGAGATGCTCCAGTCCTGGGGGCGAACAGCTGAGAGATGTGGTCTCCGTCTCATCGAGGCACCTATCGAACAAGACTCCCAAGGGCGTGCCTTCAATCCCTTCGAGAGTCCAGTCCCGATCAAGTTGGCTCTGCGTCCACCGCCTACCAAGGGCTTTTTCAAGCCAGCGTCCTCGTTGGATCCCCTCACCGAGCCCGTTCAGGTCCCTAAACTGCATTTCCTAACAGAGTTGGTCAAGTCCCATGGCTTTATTCTCGACATGGAATCCGATGAGTTGTACCCACCTGCAGCCCAACTCAACTACTCTTACAAGCGCGCGCCTTACAGGAACATCCAGTACGTTCATCGGTCAGGAGTTGCATTTATCCAGATCTCGTACAATGGCCCTCACGAGTTTTTCTGGGTAAACAATCGTTTGTTGACTTCTCACTCTATCCCTGCACCTGAGCGAGACCGAGCAGACTGGGATCGACCTAAAACTGGCGGCACCAGTAACCAAGAAGGAGGCAGTGGTGGCGGTTCGTCGTCGAGCAAGAGCGCGTCTAATCATATCCCCAATCCCGAGGTACTGAGGAGAAGGTTTACGGCAATGTGTGAGGATAAGGAGGAGCTGGCCAAGATCTGGGGAGAAATCTCTAGTCATCTCGAGACCATCTCTGGCATTCAGGATATCTTGGAGGATGTCCCTGACGAGAGTGTGGCTGAGCGTGAGGGTTTGGCGTGGGTTATGCCCTCGCTCGCAGCGCCAAGGCGCAAGTCGGACGCGAACCTCGATGTTGCTATCGATGGCCCGAACGCGCTGGGCGAGGATGGCAGTGCTGGCACGGATGTCGAGGCTGTACCTCCTGCGGTTCCTGTTAGCGTGCCGATCATCCGTATCGACATGGACCCTGCTTCACACGAGGAAGATCAGAAACGAGCGGAGGCTGAGGGAGAGACTAAGCCTGAACCGTCCTCAGAAGTCGAGACGTCGACAGCAGACCAAGAACAGCCGATAAAGGAACAAGATCAACCTGTCCCCGTTGACGTTTCTGGCGACGCGGTGGAGAGTGCTGTTGCTGAAAGCGTGCCGGAGACGACCAAGATCCAAGTGGTCAAGCCAACTCCGGAGGCTACTACGGAGACGTCAGGCCAGGCAGCAGCAACACATGAAGAGACACAAGAGCAGATGATCAAAAGGCCGTTTTAATACTTTGTACTGTACGATATAAAATTGAATGAGTAAAGGAAGAGAAGGGAAAGAGACTGAGTTTGTATTATTTAGTTGGTCGGAGAGGATGGATGGATGCCCAAGCACCGCATGATGCTCTCATTTTCTTTGTTTTTTCGATTGGGCAATGATAAAGGCAATGGAGGGTTCCATCGAAATCCGTAAAGACGGACGTTGATCGATTTTTCGATGTCTATCAAAACGCCACCACTTTTCAGGGGAAGAGAATCTTTGCAGACCGAGGTCAGTCTAGGAAGTCTTACTAAAGAGAGCTGATTCTGATGGTCTTGGTGACAGTCTAAAAGGTCTCAGGAGGAGTGTGCTTGGGTTAAAGTTGGTTCCCATCTGGGTGGTTGGTGGGCCCACAGGGTGCTTGTCTTCTTGGATTGAGAGCAATTGGGCGACAAGATTGAGAAGACTGCAAGTGAGCCAAGACACACAAAGCACAATTGTGCATGTTACGAGACAAAACAAAACACACACGCAAACAAACAAAGTAATACATGAAAACGGTACTTTAAAAGCCTGGCACATACATCAATGGGGGTGTGAGAGACCAGCCAGCGCCAGCACTAGTAGGAGAGGGAGAAGGTCGTGGCTGCCCACGTTCTTTCTTTCTAGTTCGGTTTCCGATTTCTCACTTTTTTCTTTCTTTGCCATTCACCCTTCCTTCATCCGTTGGTCCTCATCCTTCCCTCTCTCATTCCCTCATTCCCCATCCAACCTCTTTTTCTCCCTTCTTCCTCTCCTCCCTTCCTTCTTTCCTATCCTCCCGTCCTTCCTCTCCTCCCTTCCCTCCTCTCTCCCTTCCTTCCTCCGCCTGTCTCTTTTTTACACGTTCACACAGAATCAACCATGAAGGTTCAACAGGTCGTCGGTCAAGCCAAAGCCGTTACGCAGGCCACCGTTCTCCTATCCCCTCTCCTCCTCCTCACCCCTCTCTTCTTTCCGTCGCCTGTATCAGCACAAGGATACCTAACACTCCAGCCAGCCCCCGTCTACCAACTCGAACACACGTCGTTTCCCGACAAAACCCTCTACGTTCGTGGGGGACTCAACCAAGGCCGTTTTGTCCCTCAATTCTTTTCTCTCGACATCTCCCCGCTCCTCACCTACTCAAACCAACTCACCTGGAAGAAGCTGAACGAGACCGGACCTATTACCGACTATCGCTCACGCCTCCCCATGGCCGTCAATCGCCAGAACCAAGAACTTACCTATTTCGCAGAAGGCGGCTGGATGACAAGCTACAACATCGTAACGGATAAATGGGCGAGCTCGACGTTCCCGCTCTGTTTGAGCCCCGATAAGCCATTGAACTCTGTCAGGGGCACCCAAAAGGCTGTGATGGATCCCAAGTCTGGACTCATGTACATCCCCCTCGGCTATAACCTTCAGGATGGGATGCTTGTCTTTGACGCTGCCGGAAACGATTGTTCTGGTCTGCCGATGCCTGTGAATTCAAAGTGGTACAACAATGCCTGGAGCGAGTCCAAGAACACGATCTACATCTATGGAGTTGGAGCCGCAGAGCCGGCGGAGGTTCCAGGATCTTTGTGGGAGTTCCAGTTTGCTACAAAGAGCTGGAACTTAATTGTAAAGTGGTGTGCCTTCACGCTCTGGTTGTGATGTAAGATGAAGACACACGCTCACAAATGGCAATTCACAGTTGACAATTGTTACTCACCTTCACCTCATTTTCCCATCGCTTCATTCAATTTATCTGTTTTAGCCCCGTCAAGGAGATGCACCCATTGTGCACGAAGGCAGTTGCATGACTTCTGGTAATACACTTTGTTCCTTGCCACCATAGTCTCCTTCTGCGTTCTGTTTTTTAAACCTCCGAGGATGAGGACTGAGGACTGACAATCTACCACATATTACTATGTACATACACTATAGCATTTGGAGGCCAGAAGCTGATCGTCTATGGAGGAGCCACTGTCGACAACGTGTACGGCGAGATCTACATATTCGACACTGTCACCTACAAATGGGCCAAAGGACCCAACTCCCCAACCAACCGCTCAGAAGCGGCCTGTGCTTCTTCTGGTGATTTCTTTCTCACCTGGGGAGGTAAGCATTCCGCGTCTTTTTTTCTCCGTCTCTCTTTTTCTCTTGGATGTGCTGCGTTAATTTTGATATCCCTCTTCCGCTGTTGAAGCTATTGACACGTGTCTATATGTTTTATGTTCATTTAACCATCCTACAGGATACGACGCTCCAAAAGGATACCTTTCGCCTCCTGAAATCCTGTTCTACAACATCAAGTACAACAAGTGGATGACACAAGCCGAAATTGTTCCTCCCTCTTCAGAAACCCTTACAGCTACAGCTCCACCCACTGCGATCACCACACTTGCTCCTACGACAGCCCCTGTCCTTAACCCTAACCCCAACTCTGGCTCTGGCTCTGGCTCTGGCTCAGGAAACTCCGGCGGAACCTCCAACAATTCTGGATCGATCAACCCTGGCCTCACCGATGCTGGCTCGTCACCAGAAGCGTCCAAGGATAGTGGTGCTGCTGCTATTGGAGGCGGTGTTGCTGGTGTCGTTTTTATTGCCGCCTTTGTTGGATTCTTCTTTTACCGTCGTGGGAAAAAAGCAGGAGTCAAGGACAGGGATGGCTCTAATATCGAGGCTCTTGCCGGTGACAATTTGGGTGAATACCGGCAGGCACCGTACGCTCCTAATAGCGACAACAGCGCTCATCAGGACCCCAACGCGATTAATAACTCGTATGGGGCAGATTCGGCAGCCTTCACGTCACCCTACAATCCAGCCTATCCTCCCTACACGACAGCATCTGCGCCTTCTCCTCCTTACACAGAAGCTGACGAAAACAGCCCATACTTTGCCTCTGCCGCCGCAGAGGGATCTCAGGGAGCTTCCAGTTCGTCCCATGATGTCGGGTCAGAAAAGGACACCGCCGTATATCCTCTTCCTACCGCTACACCCATTGCGGCTCTTTCAAATAGCTGCTCGGGCGAAGACGGTAAGCTCGGGAGTAATACGTTTTTCCCCACAGCCCCATCCGCACCTCAACTACACGATAGCGATACTGCTTGGGCGGAACAGCCAACATCATCATCATCATCACCACATTCACAGGAATTCCAACAGGACCAGGAACAGTTCACTAACTCGGCGTTTTACTCAGCACTACCACTGCCACCACTTTCGCCCATCTCCCCTCGAAATTCTCAGAGCTGTGTGGTGAAGAGTGACGGACCTGCGAACTCGAAGGAGCAATTGGTGTCGGTTCATGCCAAGCATGATGAGTATATGGAGCAGTTGAGGCAAGAGCAGTTGAGGCAAGAACAGCAAGCTGAGATGGAGAGGATTCAGGAGGAGTGGGAGGAACAGATGGCGGGAAGTCAACAACGCATAGAGGACGAGTAATAAAAAAAATTAAAGGTAATATCGCGTTTTTTATATGTCTTGAAAGTGGAGGAAAATATTTGTATCAATCACCACGAACGCGGAAAGCTTTCAAGACCTGGACTCAACAGCGCCTACAGGCTGGCCAAAGCCGCCAAACAGCCCACCGCCAGTTTGTGATCCTGCGCCATACCCACCAAAACTCTGTCGCTGTGCAACTTCTGGGCGAAGTCGACGCATCAGCGCAACAAGGGCGTCGTTCTTGAGGTCGGGTTCTATACCAACATGGCCCTCTGTCACCAAACCGCGCATATCTTTCAGTCTTGGGAACTGCTTCGCCATCCACTCAACCTCCGCGGTATCCATTCGGTGATCCATAGACTCGAACCCTAGGTACTCAAGTTTTTCCAGAGACGAAAGCTGGTCGAGTCCTGTGTCGAGGCGTAGGTGGAGGGTGTCAGGTAGTACATCATTGTACCGGATGTAGATGCGCCCATCTCGCTCCGATTTGTAGCATCGCGTAGCACCGTGGCGGAACTCGAAGAGCTCGTTTCCAATCTTGAGGTCCGGACTGAGAGACAGGTGCTTCAGTGAGGTCAACTTTGAGAGCTGGGCCATGATGTGCTTTCTTGTATAGACGCACCTCTGATAGAGACCCATGAGCTCTTCCTCCTTGTCAGCCCTGTGTTGATGAACAGATCCTATCGCTCCTGCCTCCTCTCGCTGTCGGATCTCCTGTACTTGCCGCTCTTCCTCCTCGGTCAAATAGGGAACTTCAACAATCTGACAGCAAAACTCCTCGAGATCTAAACAAACCCAAGGTGTCTCCAGAATCTTTTTCGCCTTGATATTCTCACGCGAAAGATCCAGGACGCGAAGCCGTGAGAGAGACGATAACAATAACGAGACACTGTCCGGAACAGGAACTCCCAAACGACGCAGCGGATATCTGTTGTTGGGGTTGGGCTTTTGAGGAACAGATATGACCTCCAGGAACGGGCAATGCTCAGCCAATTGGGCGCCCACAGCGGGGAGCCAGATGTCATCATGGTACTCGACAAGCATCGGGAAACACCTAAAAAAACGCTCAAAAGCAGGCACGTTCACAAAGGAACCTCCACGCGACTGCCAACATTTCAGGACAGTGATCTGGGATGCTAGTGGCCACGCGAATCCGTTAGAAACTGGAGCATGTGCTTCTTGGGAACCTCCAAACCCATAGCCGCGGGAACCGAAGCCTTTGATGGACAGGGTTTTGAGGGAGGGTGCCTGGTTCAGGAGCGCTACAATGTGAGCGGCGGATTCAGCAGAAGTCTCCAAGACCTCCAGCCCCTCGTGGACTGGACCGGGAACTCCTGGTTTGGAATCGAGCCACATGCCAAAGTTTCGGATCAACGTGAGATTAGTGACGCTGGGTGGCAACACGGGGATCAGCCCGTCCTCGCTCATGATTGTAAGGATCTTGAGTGATCTCAAAGCGCTACCACTACCACTACAACTGTTTCGACCGGTACCACCATCCTCACCGCCTGCTGCTGACTGCACTATTTCTTGCAATCCACGAAACACTCTTGAGTTGTTGACGCAATACAATGTTTGTAGCCCCGGGTTGTTGAGAATCAGTCTCAGACAGGCCTCGATAAAGGGTCTCTCAGGGTCGGCTGTTCCTGCTCCTGTCACTTCTGGCATAACTCCAATGGGGTTGGTAGTGGTGGTGTTATCGTAGGTAGTGGTGATATTGTTGTTGGCAGCTGCAGCACCAAATCCGCCCCCGCCAAAGGCACCACCGCCAAAGCTGAAGACTCTTGACTGCATTCTCGAGAACAATTCGGGGAAGTACATCTCCAGATTTTGTGGAGAGACGTTGATCGTAAGGGACTCTAGGTTGGTGATCAACGATCGACCGGCGATAGTGGCTATGGGTACCGCCACCGCTTCTGCTCCTATTCTTGCTCCTGCTCCTGAGGGTCCAGTCCGACTGTCTTCCGCGAGAGGTGGTGAGAGCGGCTCAAAGGCGTCCTCGAGGCAGGCGTCGAGAATGGTGGGCATGTGGAAGGTGAGGTGTCGGATATATTTCGCATGACGACGATACACATCCTTGAACCACTCGAGGCCCTCTGGATGGCGTCGGCGGGTATGGATCGCGGCGACTAGAGCACCCCAGGAGGTCGTCTGTCTACCATCTTCGGTAAAGGTTCTCCAGAGGTGGGGTATGAAGGCGGCGTGCCATGATTTTGAGGCTTGGATACACTGGAAAAGGCTTCCTTGCGCTAGGTGGAGGGCAATGACGTCTGTGAGTTCGGGGAGGCCGAAGATAACGTCTGCGCTCATCCTGTGTCTGCTTAATGGTGCGTGAATGTGTGAGTATGTCAAGAGAGTCTGGGTGTGTCAGGAGAGTGAGGGATATATGTGTGGGGTTGTGAGGAAAGAAGGAAAAGAAGAAAAGATGGATTTTGTGTGGGGTGCTCCGTGGCAAAGTAGTAAAGTGGAAGGAGGCGGCGTTGTTATCGCCCTATATTTTTCTACTGCGGTACGTGCCATATTTTCGACTTTAGTGCAACAGTTGCATTCCAGCCTACTTCAACTTTTGATTGCGCATCGTGTCATACGGCGAGCACCGAGGACAAAGGTGTTCGAAGAGTGGCGATGAACGATAGAATCCTCTTCTTTTGAGTGATAAGAAAGAGAAGAGCATTTGGTAGAATTGGAGAGGATCCGGAAACAGTGCGAGGAGCAACAGCACAATCATAGAAAACAAGGAGGAGATAATAGACATGTAAAATAAAATATCAACATTACCACAACAACAACAGCGAGAAAAATAAAACAAACGTAGTTAGGCGAGATGCAGGGTTTAAAATGAACACAAAAATGAGGAGCTTATTTAATGAACGTTGAGAGAGACTACTTCCTATTACGACGCGTGCGAGTGGCTCGATTCAGGCCATTACTATTCGGGTTTGACAGATAGGGAAAGTAGCCACCAAAGGTCTGCTTCTGAACAACATCTGGGCGAAGTCTCCGGATCAGTGCAACAAGAACATCATTCTTGGGATCGGGTTCCATCCCAACATGGTTCTCCGTCACCAACCCGCGCATCTCTTTCAGCCTTGGGAGATGATTCGCGAACCACTCGATATCGGCAGTCTCCATCCGGTGGTCCATGGATTCAAAGCTCAGGTACTCGAGCTTTGTCAAAGAGGCGAGCTGGTCAAGTCCATGGTTGAGACGAAAGTAGAGGGTATCCGACATGACATCGTCGTATCGGATGTAACTCCGTCCATCTTGCTCAGATTTGTAGACAAGCCTGGCGTTCGCCCGGTTATCAAAGATATCGTTCCCAGCTTTGAAGTCTGGACTAAGTGACAAGAATTTGAGTGAGGTCAGCTTGGAGAGTTGAGTCAAGATGCTTTTCCTTGTGGAGACGCATTTCTCGCTAAGCTCCATGACCTCGTCCTCCTCATCTGTCCTGATGTACTCTTGATCAGAACCTATCGCTCCTGCCTCTCGCTGACGGATCTCTTGGACCTGCTGTTCTTCCTCGTCGGTCAGAAATGGCACCTCAGCAATCTGGCACCGGAACTCCTCTAACTCCAAGCAGACCCAGGGTGTCTCCAGAACAGTCTCCGCCTTGATTGACTCATAAGGGATATCCAGCACGCGAAGCCTCGATAGCCCCGTCAACAAAATCGACACACTGTCGTTCACAGGCCATCCCTTTGTGCGAGGCCTAGGCTTGGGGACGGTTCCGAACGAAGGAAATGCAGAGGCGTCTTGATTGACACGAATGACCTCCATGAGTGGGCAGTGCTTGGCCAATTGGGCTCCGGCGGCGGGGGACCAAATGTCATCATAGTACTCGACAAGTAACGGGAAACAGCCAAGGAAGTTGTCAAACCCGGATGCAACGCTGAAGGTGCCTCGAGACTGCTGACACTTCAGGACCGTGATCTGGGATGCTGGCCAGGAGATTTCCACAGGTGTCGGAGCGGCTGTGGCAAAGTAGTTTCCAAACCCAAAATTGGAGACGAACCCGTTGATGGACAGGGTCTTGAGGGAGGGCGCCTGAGCCAAGAGTCCCTTGAGGGTCCCAGACTTGATACGGGCCACCTCCAACGACTCCAACCCTTCATGAACCAACGCTGTCGTCCCCGGACCTCCCGAAGCGGGGGAGTGCAAATTCATTAGAGAGCCGAAACTGCAGTTTAGCCTGAGATGGGTCACGCTAGGTGGCAAACCCTCTGGGATCATACCATCCGTGGTGACGCACGAGAGGTTCTTGAGTGACCTTAGGGCGGCGCTACTATCACCTTCCAAGCCTTGGAGGATCAACTGAAAGTATGAGCAGGACAAGGTGCGCAATCCAGGGTTGTTGAGGACAAGTCGTTGACAGGCTTTGACAAAGGCTTTCTCGGTATCGGGTGGTGGCGGTGGCGCTGCTGTTGCGGTTGTTACTGTTGTGGAATTCGTCGTAGCATTACCAGTGCCGTTGCTGTTGTTGTCGCCGGTAATGTTGTTGGTGTTGACACCGACGAGACTGGTGCCAAAGATGGTGGGGCCGAAACTGCTGGTGGAGCCGAAGGCGCTACTGTGGGCAATAGGAACCTCTGCTAGTCGAATCGGAAAATAAAAATCGATAGTAGGCTTGAACAAGTTGAGGTCAAGAGACTCCAGGTTGGTCATGTGCGATCCTCCGGCATCGGTAGGGGCAGCAGCAGCAGAAGCAGGCTCTGTTGTCTTTGTTCCTGAGGATCCAGTAGAGTCGTTCTCCGAGCATAACTCCGATCGCAACTGTTCAAAGGCGCCCACGAGACAGGCATCCAATATAGTCGGCGTGTTGATGGTGAGGTGACGGATATATTTCGCATGCCGGCGGTAGACGTCCTTGTACCAGTCAAGGCTCTGGGGGTAGTTGTTTTGGATCTGGATGGCGGATGCCAGATCGCGGGACCAGGTTGAGTGTTGTGCGGGGTATTCGGTGAAGGTTCTCCAAAGATGGGGTATGAAGGTGGCGTGCCAAGTTTTGGAGACTTGGATGCAGCGGTAGAGGGTTCCTTGGGGGAGGTGGGACCCGAGGGCGTCTAGGAGTTCTGGGAGGTCGAAGATAGTGTCTGCTTTCATCTTGCGTGTAAGCGAGCAAGCGTGTGTGTGAAAGAGGGCGGGGTTGGTGGCGGTTGTTGTGGGAGTGGGACGAAAAGAAGAAAAGAAGAAAAAGGAGGCGCAAGTCTAGAGGGAATTTAAGCAGGAAAGAAAGGGTGATGGCAAGTGGCAAAATGGTGGCACAAAAAGGTTCATAGTCGGAGACGCCGCTGCCAAAACTTTATTTTATTTGGGTGGCAACGCAAGGACATAGCAGCATTGGCCCATTCGTCGTTTTGTTAGTACGCAAACAACAGGCCCCCTTTCGTGACCCCTCTTGCTTGCCCCTCAAACATCGACCTTGCTGAACGAGCGAGAAAAGTTCGAGGCGATTGGATTTGCGTGTAAGTAAGCACCGTTTGTAAAAAAGAGATAAAGTGAGAAAGAAACGGCCTGACTATGAGCCCTGAAAGCATCGTGTTCGCTTTGAACATTTTTTGTCGTGAACATGCCTGAAATTAACATCCTACTAGCCCCCATCACCTTTACGCGTTCGAACGGTGCACTGCAAGGATAGCAAAAAGACAACAGATTTGAAACACCACTCGAATCAAGGACATGACTTGACGACAGGTGAGAAAAATATGAAAACAATGAAAACACTGTTAGGCGAGGCGTGCGGTTTAATTAATTATTGGTTGGACGAGATCCTCTGAAACGAAACGCTCGAGGCGTGTTGCGAGTTTTAGGACTGGACCGGGACGCCTTCATCTGTGGAACATTAGAAATGTAACCATCAAAGGTTTGCCTCTGCGCCACGTCTAGTCGAAGTCTCCAGATCAATGCAACAAGAGCATCATTCTCAGGATCGGGTTCCATCCCAACATGGTTCTCCGTCACCGACCCGCGCATCTCTTTCAGCCTTGGGAGATGATTCGCGAACCACTCGATATCGGCAGTCTCCATCCGGTGGTCCATGGATTCAAAGCTCAGGTACTCGAGCTTTGTCAAAGAGGCGAGCTGGTCAAGTCCATGGTTGAGACGAAAGTAGAGGGTGTCGGGCAGCACGTCGTCGTATCGGATGTAGACTCGTCCGTCCCGCTCGGACTTGTAGACATGGCTCGCGGTCAGCCCATGTTCGAAAAGATGAGCGCCGATCCTGAAATCTGGACTAAGTGACAAGAACTTGGGTGAAGTCAGCTTGGAGATTTGAGTCAAGATGCTTTTCCTTGCAGAGACGCATATCTCGCTGAGCTCCATGACCTCGTCCTCCTCATCTGTCCTGATGTACTCTTGATCAGAACCTATCGCTCCTGCCTCTCGCTGACGGATCTCTTGGACCTGCTGTTCTTCCTCGTCGGTCAGAAATGGCACCTCAGCAATCTGGCACCAGAACTCCTCTAACTCCAAGCAGACCCAGGGTGTCTCCAGAATAGTCTCCGCCTTGATTGACTCATAAGGGATATCCAGCACGCGAAGCCTTGAAAGTGACGACAACAACGACGAAACACTGTCATCTATCGGAGCTCTTAAGGCACGCGGTGGTAGCTTAGCCCTGGCTCCCATGGACGGCAACGCATAGGGGATATGAATGATCTCAAGAAGGGGGTAATGCTCAACCAGCTGGGCAGCGACAGCAGGGTACCAGATATCGTCGCGGTATTCAACAAGCATAGGGAAGCTCGTTAAGAAACTGTCGAAACCAGGCTTGTTGACAAAGGCACCTCGCGACTGTTGGCACTCTAGGACAGTGACCCGGGATAACGGCCAGGAGATATTTTCGATGACTGGAGAGGACGCTCCAAATCCAAATAGAACCACAGAGTTGAATGTGAAGCTGTCGACGACCAGGGTTTTAAGAAAAGGTGCCTGCGCCAGGAGTGCCGTGAGGTGGGCACAGGATTCGACATATATCACCTCCAAAGATTCCAACCTCTCGTGGACATTCGGCGCTGAACCCAAGGCGGTGTGCGGAAAGGACCGGTGACCGAACTCGCACCACAACCGGAGACTGGTCACACTGGACGGTAGCAGTTTTGGAACCAAGAGGTCGCAGCTTGAATACGAGACGTGCTTCAGTGACTTTAGGGCGGCGTCACCACCACTGTGTCTTGCTTGCTGCGATGAGGCTTGCTGCACGCCTTCAAGGATTTTTTCAAAGTATGAGGTGGACAGGGTGCGTAATCGAGGGTTGTTGAGAATCAGTCGCTGACAGGCCATCACAACGCGCTGCTCGCAATCGTATGGCTGTATTGCTATATGATCCGTCGTAGCATCGCTGTTGTTGGTATTGTTGCTGCTGGTACCGAAGGAATTGGTGCTGAAGGAGTTGAATTCGCTGAACCCGCTTGTTGCTCTCGAGATCGGAAAATACGTTTCGATAGTATGTCGGAAGACGTTGACGGTAAGAGATTCCAGATTGATGAGCAACGACCCACCAACATCGACATCGGTAGTAGCAACAGCAGGAACCACAGTAGTAGCGGGCACTGTCGTCGTTGTTCCTGAGGATCCAGTAGAGACGTATTCCGGGAGTATCGATAATCGCGATGATGCAAAGGCACCCTCGAGACAGGCGTCCAGCATAGTCGGTGTGTTGATGGTGAGGTGGCGGATATATTTCGCATGGCAGCGGTAGACGTCTTTGAACCATTCGAGTTCATGACTTAAGTGGGTTTGGGTCGGGATGGCAGTCGTTAGTTTATGGCCCCACACACTGTATTATATGTGTTCTTCCGTGAAGGTTCTCCAGAGGTGGGGCAGGAAAGTGGCGTTCCAGGAATTTGAGACTTGAGTGCATCGATAGAGACTTCCTTGTGCCAGATGGGTGCCGAGGACGTTAAGGAGTTCCGGGAGGTCGAAGAAGACGTTGTCTGCCTTCATCCTGCGTTTTGTTGTTGTTGTTGTTGTTGTTGTTGTTGTTGTTGTTGTTGTACGGGAGAAATAAATAAGAAAATGAAAAAAAGGACAAGAAAATGAAAAGTGATCCATATAGCAATAGGCCATTGGAACTGAGGTTGCCTCCTTTCTCTGTTTGTTATTATTGCCTTGTGTGACCCTCGAATGCAAACACAACAGCGACAGCATGCATGTTCAAGGTCCAAAGTGTGGGCAGCCGAACACTTGTCTACTCACACGCAGCAAGCAAGCAAGAAGACGAAGAAGACTAAAGGAAAGATGGACGAGCATGACTTTTTTTCCCCTTTACTTTCTCTTGCCCTCTCCTCCCTGACCTTTCTTTCGTATGCAAAGAAATGGACATGGTTAACAAGCTGGGTCACACTCATTGGACTAAGAAAGCATTTGTTTGTGACAAAGAGAGAAAGGCAGTGTTGACCGTGAGCGTCCTTCAAACGCGGCGTGTCGATATGAAGGATGAAATGCACTACCATTGAGAGCAATTTACCACCGAGATCGACAAGCGAACTTGGTCCATCCAGTCTCTCGACTCTCTAGGCTAATTTGCCTCTCCCTTTCCCCCCTGCACACCACCAAAGCTACCAAACAACGAAACAAATAAGCATGCAAGCACAAACAACACCTATTAATTTCTCCCTCACCTTCGAACCATCGCCTTCTCTCTTCCTCCCTTTCTCATTGTCCTTCTTTCGTTCACTTTTCCATTTCTTGTTATCCCTCATTTCACATTACTTCATCTCTCCTTCATTCCTTCATATCTCATTCAGCAGCCTCTTTCCTCCCTTCTTCCAAGCTCCAACATAGGCTCAGCAAAGGCTATCATCAAATTCTAATAAGTAATGAAGGTTCGAAGACGCGACGCACCTGGCGAGAACTTCGTCCACACCCAAGCAAAATCCTCCTATCCCTCGCCACTTTCCCTCCTCCACCTCCCTCTCCTCTTTCTCCTCTTCGTCGCTCCTTCTCCAACATCCGCACAAGATGCCGTCAAGCCAGTACCTGTCTACCAATCCCATTTCACATCCCTCAACGACAAAACACTCTACATCCGAGGAGGTCGCCCTGATGGCTCAGTCCAAGAATCCATCCGACAATTCTTTGCCCTCGACCTCACCCCTCTCCTCGCCAACTCTATAAACCTGTCATGGAAACAACTCAACCCGGTGGGGCCGAATACCGATTTCAAGGAACAGATGCCCATGTCCGTCTCTTCAGATAACCAAGAAGTGACCTACTTTGGAACAGATGGAAATATGTCTGTCTGGAATAAAGCCTCGAACAGCTGGGGCAATGCATCGCCCATTTGTCCATCGCCCACGACTGTGACTCCTACGATGTTTAATACTCGTGGTGGTAATCAATCTGCAGTGAAGGACCCGGCTACTGGACGAGTGTACATCCCACACGGAGCTAACAACGGCACCCAGATGCTAACTTACCTAGAAAGTAGCTGCTCTGGCGAGAACATGCCTGCAAATTCCACTGGAAAATACTCTGCATGGAATGAAGCAAAGGGGGCCCTTTACATGCTTGGAACCATGACGGGTGCGACAGAGACGTCCATGTGGATGTTTAGCCCTTTATCGAGAGCCTGGTCATCCATCGTAAGTTGTCTTTCTGTTCGTTTCTTTGTTCGATGGCGTTGGTTGGAACACTAGAAGTGGTACTAACAAACACCCTATCTTTGTTACGTTTATTATCATGCAGCCTATGCAAGGAGAACTAGTGCCCTTGTTTAACGGCAGCTGCATGGTTTCCTGTACGACTTCTTTGCCAGTGCCAAAAAAAATACTGTCTTTCGCAATTTTTCGCGTTCATATCTGACATTTCGTTTTTTAACACCATCCTCATCCATAGATGGCGACAAGCTCATCGTGTTTGGTGGAACTTCGAACAAAGCCAACATGAACAACGACATATTCATTCTTGACACGAACACCAACCTGTGGAGTAAGGGGGCTAAACCTTCCAGAATCCGCCAGGGTATGGCCTGTGCCGCCGGAGGCGATTACTTTGTTGTGTGGAGCGGTAACAATAACGGTAACGTCTCTCTTTCTCTCTCTTTCTCTCGTTTCATCTTTCTTCACAGGTTAAACGCTTTTTCTTTTTATTTTACCCAAAATGCTTCAACAATTGACAATAAGTTATTCTCTTTTTTTCACTACCTATACTCTCAAAGGTTACGTGGACGGACTACCATTAGCCGATACACTCTTCTACAACATCAAGACCAACAAATGGGTTGACGAAGACTCTACACCCTCCGGCTCCGGCAATAACCCAAGCACGCCTTCCAATAACCCAAGCACATCTAATGACTCTGCATCAAAATCCCCGGGCATAAGTGCCTTCACTATTGGACAGATCATAGCAGGAGTCGTAGTCGCCGTGTTCATTGTTGGGTTCCTTATCTTCCGCCATCGTCGACGCAAGCAAATAGTTGCCAACAATAACAGGAGTGATTCGCAGGATGCCTTGAAACTCCACTCGATGACGTTCCGCCCTGACACGTCAAACGCGTCTTTTGTTTCCAAGGCCCAAATGGACGTTCCTGTGGCTGTTTATGCTACCTACGCACCGCGCCCATTCACCAGCCCCCAGTTTCCGACTACCCATGACCAACAACAATACCACATCATGGCTGAACATCTACCAGCAATACCAACAACACCAGCGACACCAGCAATACCAGCAGCAGCAACATTAGGACGCTTTGTTTCGACACATGGGTACAAGGCACCTCCGAATCAGTCACCCATACCGCGAGAGGCACGCCTACCACCGCCGGCCTCACTATCACCGCGACTATCTCCTTTTGGTAAACAGTTCTACAACACGCCTCAGCATCAAGATCAGGAAGAGCGACAGCCGCAACCACAATCGAAGAAACCACAAGACATTCCATCGCTTTCACCACAACAACAGCCTTTCTCTCCACCGTCACAAGGGAGTGGCAACCTACTACAACGACAGGGGGAACAGCGATCGAACAACCCGCAATACACTCCACCGCCTTTACCACCACAACAACAACCCTCCTCTCCACGGTCACAAGGCAATTTTGTCGACTTACAGCAACAACAGGAGCTCCCACAGACCCCACCTCTTGCTCGTAGTCCCCAAGATCTGCCACCACTTCCCCGTAACCCCCAAGGTTTGCAACTTCTTCCCCGTAACCCTGAAGATCGAGGCCACGATCATGACCAAGGAGGAAGAGGTGGTAGTACTCCTGTAAGCCCTTTAGAACAGCTCGCACAAGTCCAGGCACGGCACGAACAAGCACTTGAGAGGATCCGGCAAGAGCAACAGGCAGAGTTGGAGAGGATGAGAAGAGTCTGGCAAGAATAGTTGCCAGAAATGAGGAGGTCGTAGTCACCACGCACATAAAAATGCAAAAACCATAGAAATAAATGTCTGTGCTGTATGTTTTTATCTTAAGTAGGTTGGTGGTGTTCCTAGTTGAGCACTCATTCTACTACTTGGCATCCTAAAGTCTCCTCGCCCCCCAGGTTTTTAAGCAGGGATGCGTCCGCGAAGATACTCCATTACAGCCTCGGTGCCCTGTTCCAAGATCTGCCTCCTTGGCACACGGAATACGTTCCCGTCGAGCGACAGACTCTTGATCGACCGAATGTTGCCCAACAAGGGAGGCAAAGACCCAATATCATTACCAGCCAGATCCAGAACCGTCAACCCTTCAAAGGACTTGGGGTCAATGGTCGTGATCTTGTTTCGGGCCATGCTCAACGTCTTAAGTCTGGGGAATGCATTGGGCAGCCAAAGTGGGATCTCCTTGATCTGGTTGCTGGACAGGTTGAGTTCGTTCAGGGATGGGAAGTTGTCCTGACCAATCTGTGCTACCGATCCAGCATCGACAGTTTCCAGACTCGTCAGTACATTGTCGGAGAGGTCCAGCGTCAACAGCAAAGGGAACGAAAGCGTGAAAGGGAACTCTGAGATCTTGTTGTGATGGATCGTAATCTGGGTCAGAGTCGAGCCCACAGTTTGTTGGAGGATTGCCGGGAAGACGGTCAGGGCGTTGAAGTCCAACAATGCAATTTGAGGGCTTTGGCATGCCTCCAAGATTTCCTCCTTGGTGAGCTCCTTGAGTGCTTTCTTGGAAAGGGCCAAGTTTTTGGAGATCTTCCTGGGGGAGGCAACAGGGGTAGGTGTATCGTTGGCGGCATTGTTGCGGGCAGAAGCTGAGCCTCCACGGGATGCGAGTGGCCCGCTCTGCGAAGATGGTGGCGAGCGGTGGAAAGGGCTTGAAGAAGCAGCAGGACTGCTGGGCACAGAAGAGTTGACAGAGAGTGCCTCCATACGATCAGCATCAGCTAAATAGTTGACAGACGACGTATAATCAGTACACAACGCCATCTTGTACAGTGACATTTGCATACTTCTCGCCCTTCTGACATACCATGAGAGGGACCGTCAGTAAGACGCTGTCGCAACAACTTCATAAGAGCCTCAGTATTGTTACAGGTACGGGGGATGTTCTTGATAGGGTTGCCTTCCCACATAAAGTTGGTCAGGTCGTACATAGAACCAAGTTCGTTGGGTATCCATTCCAACCTGTTGCTGGCCATATCAAACTGGCGAAGAGACGGCAGTTCCAACACACCGACAGGCAGATCCGTGAATTGGTTTGATCGAAGGTCCAAATAATGCAGCTGAGGGGCGACATAGAGCAGGTTCTCCAAGTTACTCAGCAAGTTGTGCGACAGGAGCAGCTCCTTGATGGCCAAGAATGCAATCTTGGGCTTAGCTGAGTCATCCACTCCATCGATGTCCGTGATTCTCTGAAGTCCCGAGTTCCTGGCATCCAGCCGAACTAAGGCAGGCAGCTCCAGACCTTGCACGCCTTCTTCCGTCGTTGGCAACTCCCCAATCCCGCTAAAGAGACATCCAAGCTTGTTGTCGCCAATCTCGAGCTCTATGAGCTTGGGCATGTTGGCCAAGATACTGACAGGGAACCGTTCCAGCTTGTTCTTGGACAGGTTCAACTTGCGGACCGCCTTCAGAAGAGTAAGTTCCTGAGGAATTTCCGTCAATTGGTTGCTGGAGAGGTCGAGAACCTCAAGTTTGGTTAATTTGGCGATGGCTGGGTCCAGGGTGCCTGAGAGTTGGTTCCCGCCCAGCTGCAAGTCCACCAACGTCGTGAGTGTGAGTAGGACGGGTGGGAGTTCCGCGAACATGTTTGACGAGATGTTGAGTTGAGCAAGTCGCTGCAAGTTGCTGAATTCCTCAGGTAGGCTTGTCAATTGGTTGCCACGAAGCTGCATGTTTTTTCACAGTGAAGAAGAGATTATCAGTCCACTGCGTGATTTCTTTCTTTGGTGTTCAAGAAACTAAACAGTCTGCGATATCGATCATTCCAAACGAAGAAGCCTCCATTCAACCAACTTACATCGATAGCGACCAACGCACCAAACTCCTGAATCCTGGCGTCGATATGTGTGATCTTGTTGCCAGACGCAATAAGACGCGTCAATTCAACAGCATCGTACCAAGCTGTGGCGGTCGAGTTGAAGTCCACGACGACCTTGTCAGGGTCAACATGGTACATGTTCCAGATCTCCAGTGGGATTTCCGTCAACTCTCGGCTCGAAAGGTTCATGATACCTACAAGCCGTTGTTGTCGTACCCCGGGAGTCACAACATGAAAAAGGAGATAGAGAAAACAAGGGCTGTAAGGAAAAAAAAACGTGGCTCTCCGTACTTTTTATATTCAACGACCAAAGAGACCATGGTAACCATGGAAAAGTGGAAAAGGAGTGATGTACCTGTGCCTTTGGCGTTGGCGATCAAGCTTTTGATGGACTTTTGTGCGTGTCCCAGAATCTCCACGTCGGTTTGGCGTCTGGGGGCAGGGGCGGTCTTGCGGACGCCAGGAATGTTCGATCCAATGAATGCCTCGCGCTCGTCGGCAGCTCCTCCTCGAATCGACTTTGACTTTGCTTGCTCCTGAACCATCCTGGCCCTGGCAGCAGCGATGGTCTCGCGAACTGATGGTCGTGACATGTGTTGTTGTGGTGTTGCTGCTGTTGATGCGAAAGAGTGAAAGTTAAAGTAGTGTGCTAAAAGTAGTGTGCGTGTTGTGCAGTATGGAGGACGGGAAAAGTAAAGGAACTAAAAAAAAGAAGGCACAAGTGCTCAGGTTAAATACCCGAAGCGGGAGAGTGACTCCAATCTTTTCTTCTGCGGACCTTGTCTCCCCTGTCCTCTCTGTTTTGAGCTATCATGCAGCCACTAGTACATCTTACATCTTTCTGCTTCCTGGCTCCTGACGGCCGTTTCTCTGCTAGACGTCATCCTCGGGTCAACACAGCAGCATATGCCCTTTACCACTTTCTGAAAAGCTCCTCTGAATTCTTTCTTTACTGATGAAAGGAGCCACCGCGAGGAATATCATGGTCATTCATACAAGTAAAAAGAGATCCGTTGTCGCACAAGGCACGATGAAAGAAATGTCTGAAAAAAAAAAGTATGAAGTGTATTCTTTGCTTTTCAGCGCGACAGGAAAATTACAAGACCCTCAGACTGTTGGCAGGGAGAAGGCCAAATGGTGGGAAAAAAAGGAGAAAACGATTGTCTAATACGGCGGGAGCAGATCCTGTTTATTATTTACATAGATCCCTTGGTCTCCTCCAAGCGTCTGACAATGAACAAGCTGGTGTCGAGGAAACTATTGAGTTGATAATAATGAGAACAATTAGAAGTATTGGAAGGTCAATGTCAAGTGCTTGGTTGGTTAAAGTATATCATCGGCGAGCCATTGACAACCGAAAGAAGTACTCCAGATAGAGAGAAAATCCATGCTAGTCGTGCATTCTGCTTACCGATCAACAGTGTTGGCGAGGCAGGCCTCCTCTGAGCGATCGAGCTTGTTGCCTAATAAACAGAAAAAAAGTAGGTAGATACGCCAAGAGCCATGTTAATAAACCTGATTAAAGCACTACACCGACTGCTATTGGGTTGTTCAGATAGCTTCATAGTTGCTTTCATAGCCAGATTGGTGGTTGTCGCCAATGAGAATGGTCTCTGACTGCAAAGCGGCTTCTGGTCCGAAATACAATATTTCTTGCGCCTGATCTCTTTTTCGTTTCTCCGGCGACATTGTGGGGTTGTAGGTGGCGATGAGTTAAGCTGCTGCTCCTTTTGTGTTCCGCGGGTATTGCCCGCCTGACTTTGTTGAGGTTTCGCTTCCTGTCTGTTGTATCTCCTGAAAGTTGCCTTGAAGTACGGAGACAAGAGGGCAACAATATTATGGTGCCAAGCCGCAGACGGAGGCAGACGAGAGTCGGACGACGGAGTAGATCAACGTACCAATCTTGGTCACACACTTGTCGAAAGCGAGATCGCAGAAGGTGTGGATGGACTGCTGGAGACGGGCCTTGGCCTGCTCGGCCTCGAGGAACTTGGCGAGCTCACGCTGAGCAGCTTCATCAAAGTTTTGAGCCATGGTTGTTATATGTGGTGGAGAGAGACGGAAGTAGTTGGGGTGAAGAGAACGCAGAGTAGAGCAGGAAAAGTTCCCTTTTCTGCCTCGCAAAGGAGATGCTGTTTATGAGACTGCTTTTACAAGTCACCTGCTTTTTGACCCACAATAGCACACGTGACGTCTCAGAAAACTGAAGGAGCAAAAAAATTCACGTATAAAAGGTGGATGAATCTTTGGTTTCTACTTCAAACCACAGCATCGTTGTAGAACACGCTGGCTTTTTGCTCCATGGCCACACGATATTGGACACGTTCGCTAAGACTGAAGGGCTATGAGCACGCCCACCGGTAGACGTTCTGTCTTTCATTGACAGTTCTGCCTCTGGTGTCAAACAGGATCACTGTATCCTAGCTCGCCCTACATTCATCCCATTATTACAATGAAACAAAAAAAAGAACGATCAATTATTGATCTCAGATCTCAGATCTGAATGCGAAAAAGATCCGAATGCAACACATGTTTTCTCCAAGAAAAAGTAAAGGAAGTGTATATCTGGGCAACTCAATTGGTCGATGAAGGTTTATTATCGGTCCGTTTAAGTCGTCGAAGTAGGGAGGGGTTGATGCGGATCCACCCATCTGGCCCTGTTGATCGAAGAAGGGCTCCTTGTTGGACAAGCTTCTCTATCCGCTGAATCACCCATTGCTTGGTCTCTACCGGCCTATCATTGGCACGTCGTGCCACAGTACCAAAGTTTAAGAACAATGCCAGCAAGGTTGGCAGCTTCCGACTCGAGGTTGGAGTAGCGTTTGTATCGTCTTGAGCGCCGACACGCTTTTGAACCCGATCCCGAGAAACAGATGACGAAGGCTCGTCCAGCTCTGCACCTGGCAGGAACTCGAGCCACTCGTAGACACCCAAGAAACACTCCAGGTCCTGAATTTTGTCGGGTTTCCTGGTCATATCCGAATCCTGCATCAGTCTCAACTCGTCCGGACGACACCCGAATACCTCGGCGATGACCTTCCTGCTATGCTGTTGACTCAAGATCGCGTCACTAGATCGGACGCCAGGCAACACAACTTTCCGACCGAGAATTGATGGATCCTGGAAAGAAAAGGGTGCCGGATCTGCCCTGTCCGCAACGAGTTCCCGGCTGTCAATCAGTTGCCTCATCAGCGCCAGCGCCAAGGCATCCCTCTGAACAACATTTATCTCTGGGCTCATGAATGGTCCTTTCAATAAATGATGTAGTGACCTCACAGGCAACAGCTATTGATAAGTGAGTGCGATGAAAACAATGGCTGTTAGGTAGTTGATATTTGAACGCCAGATCATTTAGTCACGAATTAAAAAAAACGCGTCCTGGTCGAGAGACATACCGTTCCTCGTGGCACGCTGGTAAGCAAAAAGTTTCTTGCCCGATCAACTGTTATCCGGGGGTCAATAAGTCCAGGTTGGTAGCCGGGCTTGAACTTTTGATTTACAATGTTATCGTACATCTTCAGCGTCGCAAAGGCATCCTGCGCTACACACCGGACAAGCTCCCTGGAGAGCTCAAGGTTCCCGTGCGACTCCCAGTCCCATCGGCGCGGATCAATGATTGCTCCTTCCTGTGGACTCTGCTGAGGCTGTTGCTGTGATCGGCCCTGCTGTACCTGCTGCCGATCTGCTTGCCTGGAATGGTTGCCGCCAGGATGAATTCTACCGGGTATATAGACGTCGTGTACTTCTCCAAACACATCATGTAGCATCCCCACGCTGGAAGATCCAATGCCCATGACCTTGGCCATCCAGTGGATATCAAGGATGTTCTTGATCGCGATGCCGTATTGGTCCTTGATCCGCGCAGAGTCCTCGTATGCTCCAAATCCGATCTTTGTATATGCCGAGGATTCCAGGAAGGTCTTTAAGAGTGGTGGGATCAGCTCAGGCTGTCGCCCTCCATTGGTGATGTTGTAGGTCGGTAAGATCAAAGAGAGGTGTTGGTTGGCGATCTGAATGTAATGGATCAATCCGGTGGAGGAGCAGGCGAGGACATTGACAGCGAGTGGCCGCGGTTCGTTGTTGAAGTCGGACATGAACAGTAAGATGTTGAGGGAATGTTGCACTATTGATTGAGAATATGATAGTCAAGTCGTTGCTAGGTGTTAATATATAGTGCAAAAAGAGCCGATCTGCAAAGTACACAAAATATCGCGACCAATTAATTCGGTACCTTCTTCACTCGTAGAGGGCATGAACACCGGAGGCTGTATTTGAAGCATGGGTACTTCGGCGTTGCGCAGGAGGACAACAGCAGTATGAGGTGTGTTCTTAGTACTCCGCTTGGCAAAAAACGGGTTCTTGGGGTCAGGCTTGATCTTTGCCCAGTTCCAGGCATGCCGGAGGGATGTGGTCCTTGTGTCGAGGGGAGGTGAATTCCATGCGAGTTCCTGGTATTGGTAGCAACACGGCTGAATCCGGGTAGTCCGAGCCCTTGTCAGCAGACAAGTGTGTCGGAGGCTTCTTTTCCACATGCGATCCCTTTTTCTAAGGTGGAGTTCGTCTGTCCTTGAGGATAGCGCCGAGGTTGACTGACGAGGCAGCAATGGAGAGAAAGGTGCACTCTCCACTTTTTCGCCGAAGGAAAGTGAGCCTATGGGTGGCAAAAATGCTGAATGTGGCTTGTCACACTCAACATTTTGTTTATTCCGCCTTCTTGCTTGAACAAAAGCACAGACACGGACGCGTTCTTTACTCACTCCCTCAACGACCACAACCCCATGGCAACCAGGACACTTGTCGTCGACAATGGCGCAGCAACTATAAAGTTCGGATTCGCAGACGAGGACACGCCCTATAGGACATTCGCCAACAACATCTCTCGGTCCAAGGCAGAGCGAAAGACTTTTGTAGGCGATCAGCTCGAAACCTGTAAGGACTTTTCAGGACTGTACTACAGACTCCCTTTCGAGAAGGGCCTACTGACGAGTTGGGATGTCGAGAAACAGGTCTGGGACAGACTGTTCAACGGGAAGATTGTACCCGTACGTATCACTCGTATTCACTTGCAAGCAATCAAAGGGGCGTCCTTCACAGACAGTTTCAGGAGGAGAGACCATGGATGAGAAAAAATACTCACACCATTTGGTTTGCTATCTCCACCTTGCAACTAGTGTGAGCCTTCAGCGACAACCCTGCTGATCTCAGAGCCGATTCTGAACCTCCCCAACATTGCCACCACCTACGACCAACTTGTCTTCGAGGAGTACGGCTTTCACTCGTATACCCGCATGTCCGCTCCTCAGATGGCCATGTACAACGAAATCCCACGACTCTACGGACAAAAGATGACCAGCGGGAAGAAAAGGGTCGATTGTGCTGTTGTGGTGGACTCTGGATACTCTTTCACCCATATCATCCCGTTTTGGAAGGGTAAGCCGATCTTGGTTGGAATTCGAAGGATCAACGTCGGGGGCAAGCTGCTGACGAACCATTTGAAGGAAATCATCTCCTTTCGATACTGGAATATGATGGACGAGACGTACCTGGTGAATGAGGTCAAGGAAGCCTGTTGCTATGTCTCCAACAAGTTCTGGGATGAATTGGATATTTGCAAGTAAGTCATTGCCCTTTGGGGTCTCTTTCTCTTCCTCCCTCCTTCTCTCCTCTGTCTTCCTTGAACGGTTGGCATCTAAACAAAGTCATGACTGACGAGTCTTTTTATTTGCTAATGTTAGGAAATCTCCACGAGCAAACAAGATTCTCCAACATTATGTCCTGCCCGATTACTCCTCTCAACAAAGGGGCTACGTCAAGGGTGGATCGAAATCGAAACAAAGAGAGAAAAAAAGAAAAGGGCCAGGCAAGATGGATTTGGATCATGCTGAGGATGAGACCAACGAGGCTGACAGCGAAAAAGAAGATTCAGATCAGGGTGACAGCGACAGTGACGAGGATATGTCCGAGCCAAACGAGGATGAGCAGGTGTTGACGATGAACAACGAACGGTTCACTGTACCAGAGATTCTTTTTAACCCCTCAGATATCGGCATGGATCAGGCAGGCATCCCGGAGGCTATCGTCGACGCCATCTCTTCATGCGACGAAGGTACAAACTCTATGTTCGACTGCCTCAGAGCGACTGAACAGGTGAATGTATCGATCATGGCCAAACCGATTCTGTCTATGACTTCCTGACGTTGCGCTATACTTGCTTGTTCTTCAAATAGAAATCCAAGGGATGCTCTATGCCAACATCGTGCTCATCGGCGGCAATGCTAGACTTCCAGGATTCAGGAAGAGAGTGGCTAACGACCTGCGGGAAATTGCGCCGTCAGAGTACGACGTTCGGGTCGGCATCGACAAAGAGTAAGTCTTGTTTCGATGTAATATATAGTTACCTTGTATGCGGCAAAAAAAATTGAGGCGAAACCACTACAGGAAACGACTAACTCTAGCGATGCATGTTCAATTTATTTGACACTAGCCCCTTCGGCTATGCATGGAAGGGGGGGAAACGCTTGGCCACGATGGACGAGTTTGCAAGCGAGTTTAAGAACAGGTTGGTGACGAGAGCCGAGTACTTGGAAACCGGTAGTGCCCTATGCGAGTCAAGGTTCCGCTCCGCTGTTTAGCGCCCTTTGCTTGACTGAACCCTTCGAAAATGTCCACATCCCACATGAGATGTTACATCATCCCTACAATGACTCTCACCTCCCCTACGCCCCTACTCTATGGCTTACTAGTGTATTTTTATTACAAAACATGTGTACAATAACAAAACGAAGACGTTTCAACTTGAAACAAAAAGATGATGTGAAAGAAAAGACAAACATTTTTTCTGCGGTTTCTGCGGATGTAGCATTCCAAAACGCGCCGAGACGCGTTTGTGTCTCTCAGGGCGGTCTGCACAGCGAGTGCAAAATGTTGTAATTGTATCCCCATATAGGATATTTTTAAAGCAAGCGATTGTCTTGCTATGGTTGTGTTCGGAAGCGCGTCCTCCGGGTACCGTTCGTTCATTATTCCGTTCAGATGTCTATTTCACCTTTGTCATTTTTCTTTATCTCCATTTTCCTTTTTCTCACTCCACTTTATCTAGGACCCCTTCACTCTCTATCCCACTTCAAACCGCTCCTTCCTGGCTCTCATCCGTTTCTTCTCTCCTTTTGCTTTGTGTTTTACACTCTTGACCTTCTGTGTCCTCACTTTAGCTACATATACAGCATTCTTGCTCACTTTTGCCTCAGCAGCAACTCACTCCTCTTCCTCCTCCTTCCCTCATACGCTCATTATCTTTATCAACATACCCCCTTTCCACCACCCCTCTTTCCCACTCTGCATTCACCTTGAACAACTATCTTCACTACCAGTAACGCCCCTCTCAATCACCTCCACCATTCACAATGGCCATGGCCAAGAAAACCGCTATGCCCACGGCATCGTCCGCCTCTTCCCCTGTCTTGGGCACCGCTGCCAAGGACAGTTCCACCCCCGCGTCCTTTTTGAAACGCAAACCCGTCAAATCAGTAAAACCCTCTGGTTCACCCACTTCTCTCAACTCAGTAGCACAGAATGCCATCAAAGCATCGGCAACCCTCACCCCTCCTCCAAAGGACGCAACCATGTCCAACATGGTCGGACCCCCTCATTCTCAACACCAGCAGCAACAGCAGCAACAACAGCAATACCCACAAAACCGCCCAAGTCGATATCCGATCGCCGGTTCCAAAGGCAGGGGAATGATGGCCATCAGTGCGGACGAACAATCGGGGAGGGCATCCCCTGTATCTTTTCAGCAATCACAAGACGAGCTATTCTCGAAGCTGGAGCTATTGGCTGCTGCAAAGGGCAGGACCAAACCTGGAGAGACCCAGAGGCCAATAACAAATGGATCATTGACGACAGGAACGAGAGGCGGTAACAGCAATGGTGGTCAGACGATATCTTCAGGTGGGAAGGCGCATGGATTGGTTGGCAACAAGAGTATTACTTTTAACCAAGGCCTGAGTCATAACCAGAGTGGGTCGCTTATGAAGCAAGGGAGTACATCGACTGCCACTTTGAAACTCCTGCCTCGCAAGACCCCAGGAGGAGTAGGAGGAGCGCAGACCGTCAACAAGTAAGGCGAATGATGTCAACAATCAGGATTGGTCTATGAATTTGTGTGTTTACCATCTGGGGGTGGAAAAGAAAATTAATAATCGCCCTCCCCTATCGCCGTTTCGCGTTGTGCTAATTCCTTTTCAATTTCGGTTTCGTCCTCTTCGCTTCTGTTCAGTTCCTCATCGTTGTCGGTCAACCAGAAGCCCCGCGAGTAAGTGCCACGATGGACCATTGGAACTATTAACATGATCGTCGCTATTCAAATACAGATCAGTTGCCCTTCTTCACTTCGGCAACCAACACAAAAATTAACCTCTCTTTGGCCCTCTGCTCTCCCGTTCTCCCTCTTCTGCAGGCCACGACGGAGGATCAACAGTGCTCAGTTCAGGACCCCTAGTGCAGTCGAGACGGCCGAACTTGCTCGGGTGGTCATGGCCAATGCCTCGCCCCCAAAGGTCCAGAACAAGCTCCGCAAGAGGTACTTAATACACTCTTTCACATTCCCATCTGACCAAATGCACAAACATATGAACTCTTGTTCCATCCCATTCCATACTGACAACTTGATTTCACTTATTTATGCAAAAATAATACTTCCACTGATGCTAGGGCAAGCACATTGAGCCTGACTGCCACTACATTCATGCCCTCTGGTAGCCATAACTCTAGCGTGGCAGGAATGGGCTCTCACGGAGGAGCAGCACCAGACCACCATGCTGACCAGGATTACCGTCAGTTGTACGAGGCAGTCCTGAAGGAGGCCAAGGTCTGGGAAAAGAAGTGTTCTTCTGCCCAGAACCAGATCCACTATGAACGTGAACGTTGGGAGGGTAAGGGAAAAGCGCCAAGCAGCATCGAAATATGACATGAGTTTCTTCATCCCATGGTTGAATGTTACTAAAGGTCAGAGACTCGCGCTAACCCATTTGCCCTCTTACCTCCTTTATTTATTTTCGTCGTTTTGTGTCCATGACACAACATGCAAAAAAATCTATAGAAAAGTATGGTGAACTGGAGAGGATGTACAGGGACTTGGAGAGCAGCAAAACAGAGGCCAATGTGGACAAAATGAACTCACTCCTGGATACGGTCCAGCAACTTCAACTGGCGAACGAGGTTTTCAGGAAGCAGCTCCAGGATGCAGGTATCGAACCCGATCCTATGCCCGCGGCTGAGTTCCATTCTCAACACCTACTTGTGGGCGAGAACTTGGACCGGACGTTCTTGGAGGAGAATGAGGTGATGAAGGAAAAGTCATTGGTTACCAACCAAAAGATCTCTCATCTCTCAACCGAGATTAACGTAAGTGTTCTTGCCTTGGGCTTTTTTGAGCATGTGCAAGCCCTTGTTTTCAGTTGGGTGAAATGGGGTCTGTAACTCCTGTTCTTTTTTTTTGTTGTTGTTGCTGGCACTTTACTACCTTATAGAATGTGGCGATTGCGATCTCTCAGACGGTCAACTATGTACAGCTCCGCTACTTGACCCAGATGCTCGACGCCGCTGAACATGTCTCCTCTCAGAGTCGCACCCGCGCCATGTCCAACAGCTTCCTCTCCGACATGCTGAGCCGCGGCGTCAAGAAGACCGGTCCTGCAGCCAAGAACACTAATTCGATCTCGACGCAGACCCCGGCCATGCTCATGTCCAGCCTGCAGCAACAAGGGAACAACAACGGAAGCGCCACCTTCCGTTCCCTCGAGACAACCCTTAGCAAAAGTTTCAGCTTCACTAACAGTATCTTGAACCTTGCCGGCCTCAACAACAACGGTCAGGGTCACACTGAGATTATATACAAACTCAAGGGCGGTGTCACCGACGATCGTTCGCAGCTCACTCGCCAGGGTATCCCTCCTTTGGTTATCCAAGACCTCAAGGGCAACCCTGCCTCTCCAGACTCTGAAGATGTCATGGCCGCCAACCGAGCCAACCCTCCCATCCCCAGATTCCAGTACGCCTCCCCCACAACCTCCCAGCTCCGGATCTTTGTCCCTGACTCTAACAATCCCGGAGCCTTTGGGCACAGTAGCGGTGCGAGCGTGTGCAACATGAGCATCGCCAGCGGATCCCGCTCCGGCAGTGTCCTCAACGGACTCGAGGACCACGGCGGAGACGGTGGTGGTGTCGGTATAGGAGGAGGCATCGGAGGAGGTCTTGGACAGTTCCGTCGGTCATCGTCGGATGTAAGCCTCCAGATGGCAGGTTTGCATAACTACCAACAAGGACTGCACTCATTGCAACAAGCAAACTTCCAAGGACCTGTCAGGACTGGAGGCAAATACCCCTATCCGTACCACCATCCTTCGTCCTCCTCCTCGTCGTCGAATTTATCGTCGCGCACTCCTAGCCAGCAAGACTTATCCTTCAGCGCGCCTACCAATCTGCCTCAGGCGGCGCCGAGCCAACAGTTCCTGTCACCCGAAATGGCGGTCCTCCATAGTCACCATAACAAATCTCCCCATAGCATCAGCAGCAGCAGCACGCATAGTTCTTCCAGCTCCTCCGGCAGTACCGGTGCCAATAACGGCAACGACACCACCGGCATCGACGTCTCCTCTACCACCACAACTACATCCAGTAATAGCGCAAGCGACCCGAGCGGGGAGTAAAGCCATTCTATACCCCCGCTTGACCGCTTTCTGCTCTAGTTATTATTGCAATTGTCAACAATGTATTCTATCTTTTTTTCCTATTGTCTTACAGTCTCATCGGGAAAACGATTGTTCACGCCTGATTTGTCAATGCTTTTGCTTGTTTGTTTGTCCATTTGCTCGAGGGGGACACAGCAGTGCTCCATCTACCCCACACATGAGAGTACTTTTTCATTGAACGTCTTTGAGCAGGAAAGAGTGAGACTTATGAACAGCATTAACTCGCCGAGCTTAACGGTCAAGGGTTGAAAGAATTAAACGGTTGGAAAATCAGGCAGGGTTGAAAAAAAGGGCAGGCAGTACCCACCGACTTGTGGGTTCATCATTCATCTTCTCGTCGTAGCACGATTCCACTTGGTCGTTTGAAGATGTTATTGTGGTTGCTGATTCTTTTTTTTCTTCACCAACTCACCCAAACAGCGGACCATACTCGGCAGTGAATGGCGTTGTCTTGAACTCAATCTCAAATACAAAAGGAGAAATGTGGAGGAAGTACAATTCTTCGGCCCCCATCGTACTTTCTTGACTCTTACTTCAGTATCATGTCACAATAAGGGCAAGTTGTACCAGTTGTGCATTTTTGTTGTTGTTGTTTTTTTGAGGGAGAACTACTCTCTGCCAATTGATCATTCTTTGCCTTTGTTTTATTTTTGTTTTTTTGTGTGCCTGGTAGTTGTAGTTGTTGGTGCACTTTGTCCGTTGGAAATTGCGTCAATTCAAAAAGGGCTGCTTAATTCGCGGTTGGATATCACTCGCTCAACAAAACACCTGCGTAAGGGCTGATAAGGAAAGTCGACATCGCTTCGAAGGAGTACCTTCATACCTCCTTCTATTTACAACTTTTTTGTCGTTCGTCCCGAAGATTGGAACCACTACATGTAGTCTACACGTGCCTAGGAGTAGGAAGTATGTACACGAGATATAATGGCGCCGTTTTGTTTGTTCCATGAAGAAGGGAGCAGTCTTTCATTATCCGACGCCAGGTTAGCCATGCTTTCCCCATGGCGTTAAGCTGTACGGCGCTTTCATAGTTCAGACAAGAGAAGTCAAACCGCAACACCCATCTTTCACTGGACAAGAGAAAACGTAAAAAAGCAATTCACATTTCTTATCCAGGTTTGCCTTGCTTCCATTTATTATTTTTACTTGGGTCTGGATGCAAAGGTCGAAAAACTACTTACAATTACATGAGCACATACCCATAAGAATTTTAGCCGGCTGGAGGGTTTATGATTAATGTGCATGTTTGTTTGTTCACTCTCAACAAGAAAAACAAAAAAACATAGGGTACGACTGTGATCTGACGAACGCGTCTTTGTTGTTGTTGTTGTTGTTGTTGTTGTTGTCGTTGCACCATCCTGGACCATTATTACCCTAGGCCCCAGGACAACAAATCTTGGGTTCACAGAAACAATGACGAAGGGAAGGGGAAGCAGGGGGTTGCAGGGGGCAGGCAAGGGATGGGCTCACCTTTCTAACTTCTGCAACTCAATCCAACACCACGCCCTTTACAGAAACCTTAACGACATGGGCTCATCAGGGGCCACCCTTCAAGACCGAATCATGGGCTATGAGTAGCTCACCCTTTTGTTCCCATTAAACAATTGGCGAGGCTGCAATTCATAACGGTCGAAATGAAAACGGACATAGGAAGACCCTCTCTGAGTGGTTTAGTAAGAATAAGGCCTGGAGAAGAACGAGGGATGCGAAAGGACGTATTATCAAGCGCTGTTTATTCCTTCAAATGATCAGTTCACAAGGCACGATGCGAGCTGTCCATTGGTAACACAACAACAACAATAACAACAACCATAGCAACAATAGAGGACGATTGTTATCGGACCCAGTCGGAGAAAAAGGGGGAAGGATGGTAAACAGCACTACCATCATCATCAACAATACTAGCCTTGTTTACAATTCCAAAGTTTCTCCCTGCAGGCGCTACGGACTCTATATAAATACGATTCGCTACCTTTTTTTTCTGGCTCCTCATCGTCGCCGACGCTTTTCCCCCTCACTTCACAACGCCCCTGACGATCCCCTCATCCCTCTCACTCCCTATCGTCTCACCTTCCATCCTCCCCTTCCCTTCCTTGACCATTTGAAACTAACATTCGCCATGCGCTTCAACCTCTCTACTGTCATCCTCTCTCTGTTCATCGCCAGCTCGGTCATCGCTGCTCCAGCGCCTGGTCCCAATGCGTCCGAGCTGGCGAAGCGAAGCTGGCTCGGTGACAAGATGACTGAATGGTTCCAGGAAGTCAAGAACTCTTTTAGTTGTGGAGCTTGTGTTACTGGGCTGGTAACCGTCAAGGATATTGCCTGGTTGAAGCGAAGCTGGGCATTGGACGGGTTGGTAAACCTATGCCCACTAATTAAGATGGACGCCGACGTTGTAAGTAGCTGAACTGTGAGAAAAAGAAAACAAAGGCATGTCAAGGTCTTCGGTTCTTCTTGTCTGATAATCGCGTCTTATCACTTGGTAGTGTTCCAACTTCATCTACACTGATGGTGCGATTCTGGTCGAATCTCTCTTATCGGCCGACATCATTGATGGCGATGGCAAGTTTATTTGTTTCCACACCGGAGGGCTGTGTGGCCTCCCTGCCAATACTTCTGGCACCCTCACCCTTCCCCCAAGTACAAGCCTGTCAATACTACCATTCCAACCCCAAGTGGTACTCTTGTCGACGTCCTTCACTTATCCGAGTAAGTTGCTCGTCTCCTGTTCTTTACAGTCTTCATTCACCATATGATACGAATCTGACAAATCTTTTATTCTCATATATCAACTGGCACGTCGATGGTCAATACGACCGGATCCGAGGCACTTTGTAACAAAGCCCTCTGTTGCTGCAAGTACACAAACTCACCCGCAACCGTCACCTATGCTGCTCCTTCCTGGGGAGACTACAACTGTGATGCGCCTCCCAAGTTGGCCACAAGCATGCTCGACTATGTCCCTTCCGTCGCCAATATCTCCTTCGGAATCATGACCGGGGACATCCCTCACCACGATGCCTGGCTCGAGACCCCCGAGAAAATCATCCCTCAGCTTAAGGCTGCCTTTGACGTTATGACCATTATCAAGGCCAAGATCTACCCTGCCATCGGAAACCATGAAACCTCACCTCTCAAGTAAGTCTCAGTCTATTTTGATGCTCTGTGTGCATGTTTACGCATTTGGGTTTCTGAAGAGTGTGGCGTGTTATTCTTTTCTCATTGTTATAGCATGTTCCTTACTCCTGCGACATTGCTTGGTTGTACAAAACCTTGGCGGACGACTGGACTCGATGACTCACTAGTGATGCTGTCAAGTCGTTCAAGAATTACGGATCCTACACCCTCATCCCCGACCCTGGACTTCGCATCGTCTCGCTCAACACCAACTTTTGCAACACCATGAACTTTTATCTGTACGGTCATACTTCTGAGTACGACCCCCATGGTGAAGTACAATGGCTCACTCAGCCAGGGCGCCGAGGACATTGGTGAGCGCGTCTGGATTATTGGTCATGTCCCCCCCTCTCAGGTCGATTGCATCAACAACTGGTCGTCCCTTTACCGCCAAGTCGTCGCCCGTTACTCACCCCACGTCATTGCGGAGCAGTTCTTTGGTCACTTTCACTATGACGACTTCTCGCTGACCTATGGACCTGGCGGCAAGTCTGACTCAGAATGCAGTCTCGACTGCTTGGATCGGGCCCTCTGTCACGCCTTACACCGGTCTCAACCCTGCCTTCCGCGTCTACAAGGTCGACACCAAGAGCTGGAACGCCTTTGAATCCTTGACGTGTGTCGCCGATCTCGACAAGTCTGCCTCATGGGATGCGACTGGCTCGTCTCCTAACCGGTACCTCGAATACTCAGCCCGTCACGCCTACTCGGCCTATGTCCCCATCGCTGCTGACCAGCCCCTGAGCGCTGGCTGGTGGCACAACGTCACCAATGCCCTTGAGTCCAACCCCGCGGCGTTCAAGCAATACTGGTCCCTCCGCGGGTACAGCGCCAACCGTCTCCCAGAGTGCACGCATGCGAACGGATGTGTTGCTGATATTGTCTGCGACTTGCGTGCAAGCATGCGATCCGAAATCTGCAACGGTGTCGTCGTGCCCCTGAAGAAGCGCGATGATGATCACAGTCATGACGCTTCAGCAGCTGGAGCGGATATGTCGCCCAACCTGCTGCCTCTGTCATCACTGGCATCAAATTCCTCGGCGAGTGGGGACCTAACGCCAAGCCCTGGAACAAGAAGCTCTGCTAAGCATTATCCACATACCACGTAGACGCCTTTTTACCTAGCCGTGTCTATCTAGTTATCCACTCTATCCATTATAAAATTATAATCATAATACAAAAAGGCAGCGATCTAATTTGTGGGCTCATGGGTCAGCTGCGAGGTGTCAGCAAGGAGCAATTGAACAAAGACAGGATAACTCTTTCTTGCATGTGCATGCATCTTCGACTACACTCATCTCGTCTAGGATTACCTGGAATCGAGAGTGCGAGTGTGTGTGAGTGAGTGAGTTTGAGCTAGAGAGCAAGAGTGCTTCCTCTTCCCTCTGATCCCTGACTTTCCCATCTCTATTTTCCCTCCTCCTCTCGCCTCCATGTGATTTCTCCCCGCAGATATAAAAACTAAGGGCTACACGGTGCAGGGTTCTCTGAGTTTATGGGAGAGAAGTAAAAACAGGTATGTAACGTAGCCTTTCGTTCCTCTTCCTGATTTGTGTGCTTACTGTGGTATTGGCCGGAGGTACATGGAGCAAGAAGGTACTGCAGAGGCAAAGAAAGACACAAAGGCAATCAATAGTAAATAAGACTAGCAGTTGTTTGGACCCATGGCCAAATGTACACCTCTTTCAATAATTCACATCATTCTGCCCGTCTAGAATGATCGAGGGGTCGAGAAGGACAGGGGAAGATGAATGGGTTTAATTATCTACTTCATCCAAATGGGGTTTGCAACAGAAAAAGGAGCGAGAATTTGCCTCGCACAACGACAGGGAGAGAGAAAGTGGAGAAGAATTCCCGGGTATGCAATATCTCATGTAAACAAACAAAAACATTGGGCAACAGCGAAGAAAAAAACAAAAACAACCGAGGAGAGGAAGGGAAGCAGGGATTGGATGAGAGAGTACGGGCGACCCCTGAGGGTGAGAAGGCGATTGGCTGGTGGAGGAAGAGCCAATGGCGAAAGAACGAGAACACGTCTGCCATCGACTGGCTGGACAAGGCCTTTTCAGTTCTCCAATATGATCGGGAGGGCTCTCAAAAATGTATTCCTCTGGGGCCTTTTGCTATGACCCTCGTCGTCGTCTTTTTTCCAAATAAGAGCGAATTATAGAGAGAAAGGGGGTTGCTTGTTTGTTGTTTCCTTGGTTGGTTGATTTTGTAAAAGAAGAGGAAACGACCACTTTCACACCAGGACAGGAGACATACCAGAGTAAGACGAGAACGAGGAAAATTGAATAAATAGGCGCACGCACATACATATTTCATGCTCACACCACCGCTAGAACAACCAAAAAAACATCAACATGAACACAAACACATGTGCCGATGGTTGAGAATGATTTTTTTGTTCTCCATTCTGGCCAAGCAGAGGAATGCTCGACGCCACGCTGGTATTACCACCCTAAAAGACTGGCCAATGGGTCTTTCAAAACGAGGAGCCCTAATATTTTTTTTTATTTCCGCTGGTCGTTATCAGAACCCGTTCTTGGGTAAGGGGTAGTAGCCAAGCCGGGCCGGATTCGTCTGTATATAGTAGGCTTTTCAAGGCGCATGCATGCCAACGAGAATGGTGCTCCAGAAAAGTAGGGGTCCAGACAAACGTGTCCGGCGGGGTTCCAAGTCCGCATTTCCGCGTGCGTCGTCGGTACATGTTTGTTTTTGCTGCTGTCTTTTTTTTGTCTCTCTTCAATGTGGTTCGACATCATCATCGCTGTCATCAAGGGCCTCCTCTTGTTCACAACTCACACTTTAGCCCTTTTTCTTTTGGACTGTGTAACGACGTCTTGTCATCTAAGCATTGAGCAGGCCCTGTCCATGCATGGTTTTGGCAAGCGCCAATTCGAAGGCGAGAGAAACGAAGCAGGACAGAAACTAAAAAGTCAGGTCATGGTATCTTTTATGTAAACACATGCATTTGAGAAACGAAGAGAAGGAAAGAGAACCTTTGCCTATTCTATGTACCCTTTTTCCATCCCATTCCCTTCCATCCAGGTCGAACGCCTTGCCCTCGAGCCTAGACGGGCGCTACAGACCGGTTCTTGTTTTTGTTTGGATGTGGCAGCCCAAGGGTCACAGAATATTGCTCACTTGGCCAAAACAACATGGGAAAAAGTATTTACTAGAGTCCCTGAATTTATTAGCTTCCCTGCACCTGAATTTACTCCAAAGTTAAAAGAAAAGAAGACCATTGACATTAAATATCCATCCGATCAAGAACGTACTGCTCTCGCTCATCTTAGATTCTCCCTTCCTATTCAATCGAGATGGCCTTCATACACAGTCTATCGCCCGGCCACTTTTCCCATTGTTTATCGTTCCTAACCTCCTCTGTCCTCAGATGTACTTTCATGCGCATGACTTTGCCTTTCCTTCCTTCCTTCTATTTGTAATCGAACCGGTTGGATATCATCACCCCCTCTCTCCCTTGACGAGTTCCCTTGGACCGACCGTTGCCCCAAATGCTTCCGCTGCATCGACGCAAGGCCCAAGGAAATATATAAACCCCCTATTCGCGCCACTTTTTTTTGGATTCCTTGTCCTAGACCTCGCATCTCCCCCTTCTCTACCCTTTCCCCCTCTCTTGCCCTTGAGCAACCAACCAATCCTTCCCGACGACAAGTCAATTCTCATTTGCCACCTATACAAAAACAAATCCTTACCCTCTCATTATAACGAGTACCGTCAACACAAAAAAAATGCGCATCAATTTCGCCCCCGTGATTCTTACATTGGCCGTCGCCAGCTCAGTCTATGCTGCCCCTGCACCTGCTCATCTGGCCAAGCGAAACTGGGTCTCCGACAAGCTGAAGGATCTCGTTGAGAAGGCCCTCAACACTCTTGAGTGTGGTGCTTGCACGGCTGCTTTGGTCGGGGTCAAGGACGTCGCCTGGTTGAACAAGAACTGGGTCATCGATGCCTTGTCGTAAGTATCTCTCCAGGAAATGTTACAACTGAAGGAAAATAGCAAGAAAATGAGATCTCCGAAGTTCTTTTTCTTTGGAGCGAGCTATTGACCAATATGTTCGTCTTACTTCTTTCTTCTATGATGATGTGGTGTTCTCTAGCGACATTTGCCCCAAGGTGTCCAAGCTCACCCCTGAAGTCGTAAGTTATTGATAGACTATTCTTTCCTTGCATATTCCCCTTGGTTCATTGTGATATATGCCCGATCGGAATTTGGTAATAGAACGCTAATCATCCTCAAACCCTCCGATCCCCTTTATTTACAAAAATAAAACTCAAATAGTGCACAGGCTCTGTCAAGCTGGAAGGCCCTGCTCTGTTGGATGCCCTTCTCAAGGCTGACCTCCTCAGCGGTGATGCGAAGTTTATCTGCTACCAAGGTACTTCTACGTTCCTTGCTTTCTTGAGCAATGCAATCATTTTTTTTTTGACCATGCAATAATGACACATCTTTATCTCGTCTTTTTCGCTCTTCAGTGGCCGGTATCTGTGCACCACCATCTATCTCTTCTGGATCCCTTAAGTTCCCTAAGCCAAGACCTGCCAATGCTGTCCCCCCTGCATCCAGCGGCAAGCTGATCGATGTTCTCCACCTATCCGAGTAAGTTGATCTTTCCACGCCTGGACCACCATTACATTTCGTTTACCAACTCACTCCTCTACCTTCTCCCATCAAACCATTCCAACCATATAGCTGGCATGTGGACGCCGGATACATCCCCGGCTCCGAAGCTGAGTGCGACCAACCCCTGTGCTGCCGCAAGCACAGCAACTCGCCCGCAGTCCCCAAGCGCAAGGCCTCAACTTGGGGCGACTACCATTGCGATGTTCCCATCAAGCTGGGCCAGAACATGATGACCTACGTCCCCACCGTTGCCAACGTCTCCTTTGGTATCTTGACCGGCGATGTCCCCCCTCACGACATCTGGGCCCAAACCCAACAGACAGTTGTCCCCCAGACCGCCAACGCCTACGGTGTCATGGCCACCCTCGGAACCAAAATCTACCCGACCATCGGAAACCACGAGGCCGGCCCGTCCAACCTCTACCCTACCACTTCTTCGGGCGGTAGTGTCCAGTGGTTGTACAACAGCCTGGCCGACGACTGGTCCCGCTGGCTCCCAGCCGAGGCAGTCAGCTCTGTCAAGTCCAACTATGGTGCCTATAATGTCAGCCCCGCCCCCGGTCTTCGTATCATCTCCCTTAACACCAACTTCTGCTACAACATGAACTTCTACCTCTACGCCGAGGTAAGAAGAGGATTTGACTGCATTGAGCTTTGTTGTGCGTTTTTCTCTTTTTGCTTCTCAGGTGCAGTACTCTAATATGATTCTTTTTATTCCCCTAAAAAAAAAGATCTCCGACTACGACCCCAACGGTGAACTCAAGTGGCTCGTTGTCCAGCTTCAGGCTGCCGAGGATGCCGGTGAGCGCGTCTGGATTATTGGTCATGTCAGCCCTTCCATGACCAGCTGCATCATGAACTGGTCCAGCCTCTACTACCAAGCCGTCCAGCGCTACTCGCCCCATGTCATTGCCGAGCAGTTCTTTGGACACTCCCATTACGATGAATTCGCCCTCTCCTACGGACCAGGCGCCAAGACTGCCCAGAACGCCATCGCAACCGCCTGGATCGGACCCTCCACCACCACCTACACCAACCTCAACCCCGGTTTCCGTACCTACAAGGTCGACACCAAGTCCTGGAACATCTTTGACTCTCAGACCTACATCGCCGACATGAACCTCGCTCCCACCTGGGACGCGACCGGCGCAACTCCCAACTGGCACCTTGAGTACTCAGCCCGTCAAACCTACTCGGCCTATGTCCCCATCGCTGACGACAAGCCCCTGAGCGCCAGCTGGTGGCACGACGTTACCAAGGCCTTCGAGACCAACCCAGCCGCCTTCCAGACCTACTGGAAGCTCCGTAGCAAGTCTTCCGGTCTCCAACTCGCCTGCCCTGCTGGCGGCCCTTGCCCCGCCGAGATGATTTGCAACCTCCGCGCCGGCAAGAGCTCCGACTCTTGCACAAAGATCGCTCTTAAGCTCTCCAGACGCAGCGACGTCGACAGTGAGGTCACCCCCGTTGCAGCTGTTATTGCGGGTGCCAACCGTATCCTCAAGCGTTCCGAGCCTGCTGCCGCCGCCCAGAGCAACCTCTGGAACGAGAACCTCTGCATTTAAAAAAAACAACAACAACAATATCCTCCCTCTTTCTGAAAAGAAAAGAAAGGGTTGAATGTTAAAGCGATAAGAAATCCGTAGTTTTTTTTTTTTTTTTCTTTCATATTTTCTTATGGATAGATAGCATATCATAGTATCCAATCCCCTCCTTTTTATGCCATAACAAAGAGTATTTTACGATTCAAAGCATTTCAATGACAATTATCAATAGGCCGTCATGCTATTCGGCAACGCTCACCCATTGTCCTTCCTTGCCATGAACTCTATCTGTGGATCCAGAGTTATGAAAAAATAACTGCACGCGAAGTTCGCTAGGGATTGCGAGATGCTGTAGAACGCCTCAACGATAGTGGGAGAAGACCAGTTTGCCGTGGTTAATCACGTCGTCCAGTAGGATCGCCTTCTCTAGTGAGGCGTTAGCGCCGACCACTCGAGCCATGTATGGACGGTGGTCCGCGTCCCGAGACATCGGCTTCATGACCTCCTGGATGTACTTGTAGATCCGATCGCTGCCGAGCCCGGGGTTGGCTCTGTTCGCACATCGGATGATGGGCGTGAGGGGTCCCCATCCCCGATTTGATATGTGTCGTCCTGGCAAAGCGGCTCTGGCCCGCCGTGCGTCGGCGATACCAGACTTATGCCCTGACCGAGCAAAAGTATTCCACTGGGTGAGACTTGATAACAACCGCCTTAAATGATCATCTGGCCTCCTCGGTGTTCCTAGGGGAATACGACAGTATCTGGTCAAGTCGAATAACATGACGACTTAAGCTTATCATCCGAGGACTAGGACTATGTAGAGTATGTGTTATCTTCTTTTATTTCTCATAGTCCCAAAAAACTTCTGAACCAAAGTGTGCAAGCTGGAAAAAAGGGTGGGGTCAAAATGGCGTGCGTTAGAATAAGCAAGCGGATATATGTATTGAAAGATTGTGCAACGTATTGGGAAAGTAATATGTTACAGGGAGGCCATGGCCTTGAAGATGCGCTGGAAAACACGTGTCTCCTGCTCCTTCGTAAGGTGCCGTACACCCACTCGCGTCGTCGAGGAGCCACCATTGCCTTCAGCGTCACCGCCCATCTCATCATCATCAGCTGCAGCAGTGTCTGGACTACCGACTCTACCAAGCAAGTACGCAAGATCCATCACCATACCGAGTCCTACATTCTTGACGCCGCGAGTGAGACGCAACTCCTCCTCCCGCTTGGTTTCCTGCTTAAGCTCAAACTCCTGTGCCATTTCCTCCGCACGGTCAACAATCTCGCGAGGGACGCCTGCCATGTGTGCGACGTTCATACCATACGACTTTTCACAGACACCATCCACTAACTTGTACAAGAACGTCACTTCTCTGTTGGCCTGGTCTACTTGGCATGCCATGTGTTTCAATGCAACATTGGGATCCCGTTCAAACTCGTTCGTCAGTGTTCCATAGTGAGTCGAGAACAGGCCCAGGCATCCAATCCGAGTCGACAGCTCATGCAGGACAGAGTATGCAATCGCATACCCATCGAACGTGCTTGTGCCTCGTCCCAGCTCGTCCAAAATCACCATCGACCGCTCTGTTGCCTCTGACAAAATCTTGGACGTCTCCGACAGCTCCACCATAAATGTCGACTGACCAGCCAAAATGTTGTCGTTTGCTCCAATACGCGTGAAGATCCGGTCAAAGGGCGTCAGCCTGCACTTTTCCGCGGGGACATAGCATCCAAGTTGCGCCATAATGATTGCCACACACGTCTAAATGGGAGTTACATAAGAAAATATTAGACGACATAAAGCGAACACTACCTGCTAATATCCTCGTCATGAAAAGTATATCAAAGCGATTCGTTACCTGTCTAAGCAGCGTGGATTTACCACCCATGTTGGGACCCGTCAGCAGAATCAAGTTGGACGTGTCTCCTCCAAGCATAGTGTCGTTAGGGATAAAGTCCGATGCGATACCAGGGATAACACAGGGGTGCCTCAATCCTTCCAGTTCCAAAACCGACCGCTCGCTATCCACGAACTCTGGGCGGCAAGAAGGCGCTAATGTATCATTGAAGTCATATCCAAGGTTAGAAATCGGTTCCGGGTAACCATGTTTGCCAGTGTCTACGAGAATACAACTCTAAAAGTGACTTACAACCAAGGGCAGAGCTACTCTTCGAGAGAGAGCAGAGACAATCCAGCTCAGCAATGATCTTGACTGCCTTCAACCAGTCCTTGTAGTCCTGGTCAAACTTGGCGTAGAGTCGTCCCTTAAGCTCCTTCATGATAGCGTTCTTGGTCTCCCTGGCCTCCTGCAACTTCGTGACAAGCGCCATCAATTCCGGCGTGTAGTATCGGCTAATCGTCTATTTGGTCACAGGAGGTAAATACAGTCAGCACAATGCTCCAAGGTAATCGACAGTGCATCACAATATCCTCTATTATACTTACGCTAGTAGACGAGGTCTTCTTCCAGTTCTTGGGAACAGTGATCTTATTCGACATCTCCAGCTGGTAGATTTCCTTACCCAAATCCTTGTACACAATCTTCGTTGTCCTATAGATATTCAAACGAAGAGTGCACTTAGTAATGCAATCAAGAACCTACAAGCCCCCCCCCCATTTGCCCGACACGAAGTACTTACTTGAGCTCGCGTTTGGCCTTGTCCAAAAGTTGTGCAAACTGAGAGTCAAGGTTGTTCAAGGCTTCGTTGTTGGCATCATAGTCCTCTGCGAAACCAGGGTGTGGGATAACATCGCCCTCAGCCTGTGCCACCTTGTGATCGAAAGCCTCTTCAAAATAGTTTAAGTGCTCCGTCAAATCTGGCAACTCGTCTAGGACTGACGCCAGCTTCTTGGACTTGAACTGGTCTGTGTATGAGCTCAACAGACGGGAGGTATCCACCAACGTCCTGAAGGTCGACAGAACCACCAAAAACTCGGAAATCTTGCAAGATCCGGCATGGATTCGACTCACAATACGCTCCAGATCAGGGAAGCGAGCACACCTCTCCTCAAACAACTCCATGAATCCTGGGACACGCATAAGATCCTCGACAGCGTCCAGACGCGCTCCAATGGCTGAGCTCGATCGCAAAGGGTGACACAGCCATCTGCGGAACAAACGCTTTCCGAATGGGGTGACACATCGGTTGAGGAGTCGAAGGACAGTCCCAGTCTCAGAACCATCGCCGTTGTTCTGGAACATTTCCAAGTTGGAAAGAGTCTGGCCGTCCAGGATAAGTGTAGAAGCTTGGCGAACTGGGTCATAGACGTGAAAGTTCTTGAAGGACAGCAGCTCTGTATCAAGCTTGAGCTATACGTTGGAATAAAAAGTAACATCGTACTTAGTATGCAGCGTCGATTCGTTAGCTACTGCAAGGAGCAATCGGTTGCTGGACTTACAGATCTCAGGTACCAGACCAGACCTCCAAGCGCACTCATCACTACCATGTTATCCTTCACACTCTGCAACGCGGCTGGCCAGCAATCTAGATCGAGCGAGAGAAGAATGACGATTCGTTAGTATACGAATAAGCGAACTGGTGGATCTTTTGGTGGCGGACAAAAATAAATACAACAGTCATCGACAACAATGTACCTGAGGCAAGCGAACCTGCTTCATTAGCTCCAAAATATTCTTTGATGCGAAGCTCGTCCGCTGTATCCAAAGCGTTCCAGAACTGGGCCTCAGGCTGCAAGTGATTCCAAATCGTGTTGGCGCCCAGACTGTTCTTCAAAATCCTGGTGCTCCTAATGCTGAGACCACCCTTCTCCACAACAACTTCTTTGGGCTTGATCTGGGTGATAAGAGTCTCAAACTTAGTCCTGTCCATGTCGTCATAGAAAGTCGCCAGGTTGAACTCTGCTGTTGAGGTATCCACAAACGCGACTCCGAACTGTGTGGGCAAATGCTCGGCGCCAGGTCGATTGATCTCCTTGATCGCCATACAGTAGGTCGCCATGTCATTGGTCAGCAGACCCGAGTCTGTCAATGTTCCGGCCGTCAGAATCGAATGAAGCTCGCGCCGAATGACCTTCGGTGCCGACTTTGCAGCAACTCCATCACGTTCGCGCATAGCCTTCCCGAGTGCCGTTTCCATCTGGTCGACCCTCGCCACCTTGTATCCCTTGGCAATAAACTGAGCCGCCCAGTACTCGAAACTCGACTCGGGCACTCCCACCATCCTCATGTTGGTGCGGTCTGTAAGCTTGAGGTCAAACTTCTGGTGTCCAATGTCGGCGTCGTTCTCGTACAGCTCGTAAAACTTGCCCTTCTTGAAAAAGACCACTGAGTCAAAATTCTGGCCTTTGATCTCCCAAAACTGCCTCTCAAACTCTGTGAACGTGGCCCATGCTGTCTTCGGTATGTAAAGTGTCCTAGGGTCATAATCCGGTGAACCTGCATGTTTCAAGTTAGCAATTGGATGTTAGTATCAGTTTGTCTATACATCGGTAAATCACAACAGAGTACGATAGATAGATTCAGATATCACGGTTACCTATTGGGTTCATGTCAGCATCCTTAATATCCAAAAGCCAGCTGTATCGTCCGTTGTTTTTCTCCTCGAACCTGGCTACTCGCTCTCTCTTCTTGTCATCCTTCAACATCAGTGTTGGGCGAGGTGCGGGCTTATTTGAGGTCTATATAAGTTTAAGATACATTATTACGTTGCGCCCTTTTTGTGGAGGAAAGGTATTAAGTATGAGCTTGCGGTGACAAAATGCACTTACATTGAAGACGGCGGCCACGACAGGCTTGGATGGTGTGGTAGGTTTGGGCTTGGACTGAGCAGGTTTATTTTTGCCCCGAGCTGGTGACGATGGCACCTCAATATCGTCTTCCAGTAGACTATCATCCAGCTCCACATCATCTATTGCGGTCATAAGGGTATCGTCAGTGCCAATGTCACATTAATAGAAAGAGGGGCCAAGCAAAAAAATACCGAGAATCGTCAATTGTCTTACCAATATCCATAAAGTCATCCTCAGGTGCGAGAGCAGGCGCCTCATACTCTGAGTCATCGTCATCATCCAGCTGGACTCTAGACTTTCGCTGTGGCTTGCTGGGGGTAGAAGGGCCTTTTTTCTCCGTATCATCATCGTCGTCGTCCTCATCGTCCGAGATTTGGTACTTGATCTTCCTGGCACTGCGGCTCTGTTAATATAACCGAAGAAGAGAACGACCATGTTAGAATGTCGCAAGCAAAGGGAACACGCACCAGCTCGATGCAAGAAGGTTACAGCTGGAAAACGTACCGAACGTCGAGACCCGATAGCTTCTTCCTCATCCTCAGGCTCGATATCAAACAGATCCAGCTTGCGGACAGGAGTGCCCAACGACAGCTTCTCAACCGCTGCCGCAAATTTCTTGACCGACCGCGATTCGTCCTGGTAGGCGATGGGACTACTGTCTTCGAAATCGGCCGTCTTGCGTTTGTGCGCAGTAGGAGTAGTACTTGATGCAGATGTGCTGTTTAGAATCGACTCATCCGTCGAGAACAGCGGTGAAGAATCCAGAAACAAGGGTACGTCTTGTGAAGCTGCTTCGTTGGTCTTCTTCTTCTTGATGGGTGTCCGCATGGGGTCCGAGTCTTTGATTGTGAGTGAGTTTCCATTGCTCACGTTGGTGGCGTTTGTGGTTGCTGCTGCTGCTGGAGCAGCAGGAGGTGCGGCAGTCTTGAAGAAGGAGAGGAGGGACTTTTGCATCATAGGTGGCTGCGAGGAGCCGCCCTTGGGACGAGCCGGTGATTTTGGAGGCCGATTTTCTGAAGTCATGGTCAATGGAAGAAGATCGCTGGTGGTTTTGGATGGCAAGAAGAAAAGGAAGGAAAAAGAAAAAGGGTCCAGCAGTCGCGCTTGGAAGGGAGGAAAGAACAAATAAAACACACAGGCACACAAAAAGACAATCAAACGAGTCACATAAACAAACATTCATTAAACGCGTCTGGGACGCGTTTATGAAAAAAAAGGTCAAAAAACTGTACATTTGCACATAAGTAGCAACTATCTATGAAATAAACCACATGCAATTAAATGGGGACATTGGGTAGCATAGAGAACTCAAGGAACTCTTGGTGATGATGGGAAGGTGGCAAGGCTGCAGTGTGCACAACGGGGTAGTTGGTCTGTCCTCCAGACATGGTAGTCGAGACCGAAGACGTAGAGGTAGATGAGGACGAAGGCGTCATGGCTGTTGAGAACAACGTAGACGATGCCGCGACAGAGGGGTCATACGAATACCGATGTCCAAGAGTCACAGGGGTTGCCAATGGGAAGGATCCATAAGTGACGTACTCGGGCATAGGACCAGTGTATGCAAAGGATCCAGTGTTATACGTCGGCACAGTCATCATCTTGGAGACTTCCGACAGGACAGGGGTTGAATCGATCGCAGCTTTGATCTCGTACTCGTACTTGTAGCGCAGCTTCTCCATGCCCGAGATCTCCTCGTTCTCATCCTCCTCTTCCTCATCCAGCGTGAACAGTGGTGGGGGCACGGCCTGGTTGGGCAGAAATCCGCCAAAGCCTGCTGACAGAGGACCTGCTGGGAATGCTCCGTAATGTCCGTTCGTGGGCGCTGCCATCATAGGGAGACCAGGGACGAACGACTGAGCAGCGCCGAGAGCCATCTCTGAGAACGCCACTGGACGATGTGCGGCCAAGGGATAATGTTGCTGTTGTTGTTGCTGATGAGACTGCTGGTGCGGTTGAAGAGGGTGCTGCGGCTGCGAGTCCAGAGGCAGGCCCATTTTGGAGAACCCACCGCGCTGGAAGGGGTCATGAACACCAGAGGAGAGCCGCATCATGTTGATCATACTCGCTTCGTCGTCCTCATCACCACTGCTGAGCTCGCTCATGCTCTCTCGCTCACTCATAGACTCCATTCCACGGTCCCTGTGTGTGCGGCGTCGCTTCCTGGTCATGCTATGGTCCGAGGCGTAACCCTTGAGTCTGTGGAGCTCATCCTCTTGGTCATCCTCGTCCAACTCGTCCTCCTGATCTCCCTCTCGAGATGGGTCATCATCGGTAGCCCATGATGGCTTCTCGTGAGTCTTGCGATGAGCAGCCAGGTTGTCGCTTCTGGAGAAGCGCTTGGAGCAGATGGTGCAAGCATAGGGTCTCTCCAAGGTGTGTGTCCTCCAGTGACGCTTCAAGTGTTCCAGGCGCTTGAAAAGGCGACCGCAAAGCTGCACCGGGCAGGCGTAGGACCGCGAGGGGTTGGCTGAGTTTGAATGCAGTGCCTGCAGCGACGACATAGATGCAGATCCTTGGTGGTGAAGAGGGCGACCTCCGTCGTGACCAAATCCGCCTGTGAGTCCATGACCTCTCGATCCTCCGTTGGAGCCGTGTCCATCCAGGTAATACTCGCCTCCGTCATGCTCAAAGTCAAAAGACCCATGCCGACTGTCTCCGTGCGAGAAGGATCCTGATCCTCTGCTTGCCGAAACCATCTCCAGGCTACGTTCGACAGTCTCTGACAACATCGAAGGGTTGGCGGTCGATCGCCTGCGTCTCTTCTTGTATGTGGGTGATCCCTCAAAGAGCGTGAAAGATCCAAAAAGCCCCGTGTTAGGCTCTGAGGCATGTGCTGCATCTGAACCCAAGCCCTGGCTACCTTCAGGATCCGAGGGGACTTTTGACTCTGAGTTGTCATCCGATCTAAAAGAGACAATCGTTTTGGTGGCGAAAAGCAACATTAGGATTTGATAGTTCCTTAAACAGAGCAGTAGTGTTTTAGAGTAAAAGTCATGAGAATAATTACATACCCTAGGTCCTCAAGATATGAGTGTCCTGGCGGCAGGTCGTGACGAGGTTCAAAGGGACCGCCGTGAGAGTCCATCTTGGAAGTCACTAATCCTGCTGGGCCATGTGCACTGCCGCCCTCTGGGACGAGTTGAGCTTGTGTGGGCGAGACGGCCGAGGGTGTTGTGGATGTGGGCAGCTGACGGTTCATGGGGGCGACTCCGTCTGGGGTGAAGCTTTGTAGGGTCTCTGTGATGGTGTTCATCTCGATGGTCCGGCGAGAGAGCCGCTCGACCAGATCGCGCACAGTCTCAAGCGTGCACGAAAGAGCCGGTTCTGTGACTGCCTGAGAGGTGGGCTCGGTCCCCGCCTGCTCGCGCTTGAGGTCTCGCTCCATGGCGTCGAGGAAGAGGCGGTCGTGGGGTACAGAGTACCAGTAAAACACCTTTTGCTTCTTCTGTGTCCGAATGCAGTTGTTGCGGTAGAGCATCTCCAGGAACGGCGACTTAGGCTCCTCGAGACAGGCGTCGGCACCGGGTTTGAGGTTCCTCAGGTCCGAGAACACTCCCTCCTCAAACTTTTTGATGTTGCGGACAGGACGTCCAAAGCTCTCGAAGCGGGAGACGAGGGAGCGCACAATGTCGGTGCCTGTGATGTGGTAGAGCTCGTTCCAGAGGACGCAGGCTATCGTCTCGCCTGTTGGCAGCACAAACTTGGAAAGCTCCTTCTCGTAAGTGGGCGCTGTTGTCAAGAATACGCTAAGGCGGTCAATCTCCTCTATCCTTGATGCCGATGCTGTGGTCAATGAAAGGGATTCGTGCAGAAGAATGCTTTGTTGATCATGTTGCTGCTGTTGCTGCTGTTGTTGTTGCTGTTGCTGCTGTAACTGTTGTTGCTGCTGTTGATGTTGTTGTTGCTGCTGCTGTTGAGGATGCTGTTGCTGTTGATGGTGATGATGAGGATGCTGTGGGTGCTGTACAGTAGGTTGATAGTGGTGTTGTTGCTGTTGTTGTTGTTGTTGTTGTTGTTGTTGTTGTTGTTGTTGTTGCTGCTGCTGCTGCGAGTGCTGTAAGTGCTGTGGGTGTTGTTGCTGTTGTGAGTGTGGGTGGTGTTGGTACTGTTGTTGCGGCGTAAACAGGTCCTGTCGTCTGGAAGTTGCGGTCAGCATGATGAATTAAGAACAGGAGGGAGAGGAGAGTGGGCGTGTGATAGTTGCGTGTTTGTGTTTGTGTGGAAACAATGGGTATAACAAAAAGAGAAAACGTAAAAAAGGGAGGGAAAAGAAAAATGGAAAGGAGAGGAGAGTGAGGGGCAAAAGGTCCAAGTGCGGTTGTTGTTGCCTTTTGTATCTTTGCAGTCGGTCTGTTGCGTACTACGTCAGATGTTGTTTGTGTTCTTGGAGACAAGAAAAACAAGGTCTGAGAGTGAGTAATTGAAAATGGGAATGAGTCGTGAGCTGCGGTGTCGTGTCGTCAATAAATACAAGTGCGTGAAAGCGAGAAAGAAATGAATGCGAGTGCGAGGGAGTGTATGCGAGGGAGAAAGGGTAATATGTTCAGATGGATGATGCCAATGGAAGGGGACAAGAAAGAAGAAGTTAAGTGAAGGATAGAGGAAAGAGGAAAGTGGAAAGAGAAAGAGAGAAAAGACAAGAGAGAGGGACAAGTTTAAAAAAGAGTGGGCGAAGCTGTGTATCGGGCAATTATTATCACTAATGAGGTAAGGAAAGAGAGAAAGAAATGACAAAGGAGACCGTCAGAAAGAAAGAGCGAAGAAATAAAAGGAACACGTATGTGCCATCTGCGGGAGACCATGGAGCATTCTTGTCATCAAGCAGCTCATATCTACCTCTTTAGACTTGCTTGGCTCTTGAGTGATTGCTGTGCCAATGGATAAGAGCGAGGGGACAGGGGCCTGGCTGAAAAATATATACGAGCTTTGGAGGTAAAAGACAAAAAAAAGGGGGAGCAAGTTTTGTCGTCTTGGACTCAGATGGGTAGTGGGCACTGGGCACTTGGACAAAGCTGAAAACCAAAAATAAAAATAAACCGGACAGGGAGAGAGATAGAGGGTCAGTGAGTAGAACAGACGCGAAGGCAAATTAGGACCCAGGAGGCGCGAATGGAGTAAACTGGAAGGATGAAAGGATGAAGGATAGGAAGACTGGACGATGACGAAGGGCCATTCATTCAGTTCGGGAGGGCAGGTAAACAAATAATAAAATGACTGGAAATAGGAGTCGAGGTCAAAAAGATTGGTCGAGGGAATACATATATAACAAGAAAAAAGGGAGAGGGACAGAGAGAGTAGACGGATGTAGATTGGGTTGGGACGAGCCAAGATGGGAGGCCAAGGAGAAGGGGGTGAGGTGGTGTCTGTGTGCTAGAGAAGGAAACGGAAGAAAGAAATAAAAAATGGGAGCCGGGTCCTTTGACTTACAGGAGAGAGAGAGAGAAGTAAGAAGGAGGGGGGGCCAAGCGGGAGGGAGAGGGAGGAAAGACTAGACAAGGACGAGTTGCGGGTCGAAATTGGATGGGTTCTTTTTCTATTGAGCAGATCAGGGCCTAGGAGGGTGAGGATAAAAAGGGCAACCGTTGATAACAACCAGAGGCTGACTGTGACAAGGAGACAGAATGGAAGGGAGTGGACCAGGAAGGATCGTCAGTGTGGTAGGAGTCGAGAGGCAATGTCGTCCGAATGGTAGATGACTGCAGGAATTGTACAAAAAAAAAGATTGGAGTTGTTCAAATTAAAGAAAGAACAGAAAAGACAGAAGACGATCGAGGATCGAGGACGAGAAAAGAGAGAAGAGAGATAAAAGAGGAAAGAAAGAGTAATGGATGTGGCAAGAAATAATAAGCGAATTTCAAGGGGATGAGATGATAGCAAGCAAGTAAGAAGAACAAGACACGATGCGAAGAAAGTAAATTAGATTAAGAGGGAATAATAGGTAGAGGAGTTCAAGAGGAGAAGAGTAAGAAGGTGCGAGAAAGCGACAAAGTCGACGAGGAAAAGAGAGAAAGAAGGAACGATAAAGAGGAAAGAAGAAGAAGAAGAGAAAAGAAAGAAGAGAGAAGAGAGAAAGAGGGTTAGAAAAGACAAGTGAGCACGATACAATATATCTCCATTTGAACAAAAGCAAACAAGGCAACAAGGCATTCACTCTTGTGTCCACTTTGGACACTCTCATTTTCCCCTCTTTACTCGATTGTTCACACACTGGAACTACCGTCGATCCTATGTATCATCCAGATGGTAGCGTTCAAAGGTACATAAAAAAATATGGGAGCGCCCATCTGGGTCGAGGAGAGGAATCACGTCAGTCAGTCGGTCAGCGCAAGCTGGTGCAGGGTAGCCCGAATGACTGAATGGCTCGACTCCATCTCGGAGCGAATGGATTGGATCGGATGGTTTGGGGACTAGCGCTGGTACTTATGTCTGGTACACACAGACACCAGTGAGTGTTCAGGCACACAGGAAAAAAAACAAAGACAACGATGTGGCGCATTGGCCACGGTCCATTATCTCATGGATCGAAAACCAATTGAACCATTCAAACGACTCAATACAAAGAAAAACGATAGATCGAAAAAATAAACCCTCATTACTCTGGCTGTTGCTCATTGCGACTGTGCGAAAGGACATGCAATTACAATAACCACAACAACACCCCGTCTTGAACGCGCGCGCCGTTGTCTGTCGTGGTTGTCCTTTCACAATGGTGTCCCTTTGTCGTTATTTGTTGTGTTCACTTTTGGTAGTGTCAGCCTGATTCTGCCTTGTGCACCATCTTGTACCTCTTATGTGAACAGAAAGGGACATCTCGTTGTTGTTCGCCACAAACAAACAACGTGAACCATAAAAAAAAATGAGAATGCAATCTAAATGCCATTAATGCAAAGTTTTTGGCACAGAAGTAACAGAACAAAGATGCAAAAGGCAATGCAAGGATACACATACAGAGTGAAGAGAGAGGAAGAGGGAGGGAAGGGAGAGAGTGGAGGGCCGAGAGCATTAGACAGAACATAGACTGCATTAAAGAGAGAAAAAAGCTGATTGCTTGTCATCGTCTGTCTTTTTTGTTATGTGTGTATGAATGTGTGTTTGAGAATAGTGAAATCAAAACAAAGAAGTACATTCGGTTGCAATTAAATCCCCACCTCCTCTTGTTAACCCCTTCTTTTGAAGGCATTCGATTAGATGCGGAGCAGCAATACTCAACCCTCATTTAGCGTAAGTCAAACGAGAGTGAAGGGAAGAAGAGGGGGGAGGGGTGTAGGTAGAACACCTTCCGCTCACGCCTTTGCTGTCGACCTCATCCTCTTGCTGCTCTCTATCGCATCCCACCCTCATCCCTTATTCGTTTTTGTTTTCCCTTTTTCTTCTTCCCTTTGATTATGAGATGACACAAAACGCATTATGGGATGGGGTTCAAAACAGGGAGAAACAAGGGGTGTGAGAGAAAGGAGCTTCTCCCCTTTTCTCCAATTTCAGAGGGAAAGGAAAAAAACGCACAAGTAAAACACCACTACTTTTTTGGTACTCTCTGGTTTCTTGCTTTTTGCCTTGCTTTGCTTTGTTGTTTTGTTTTGTTTGTGCCCAATCCTCCACAAGGGACACATGCACAAACAGAGAATGCAACCACGGGCAAAAAAAAACCATCAACAAAAGCAACAGCAAAAAAATACTCCTCAGTTACGCTAGTTCGCACTGATCGCTGTGAGCACCAGCCTTGTCGATGCTGGGTCTGTGTGTCCCGAACAGAAAAAAAAAAGAATGTATAAAGAATAACCAAGAATGAAAGAGAGCATCAAGAAAGGCATGATGATAAAAAAAAGAGCTGACAGGGGAGACGAAAGCAAGAGAGAGACATACCAAATGTCGTACCCAATTTCCAGCGCAATCCTCGGGGAAAGCCTTTTCGATGAAGAAATACCTGAACAGCCAGAGACCTCCTTTCATGGCTCAGAAAAACATAAATGGCCCGGCACAATAATAAGACGAATGCAATGGGCACCTCAAAGGCCACTCAATAAATAAATACATACGTGCCGAACCCACTCTCTCTCCTCTCTTTTGATCCATAGGGGGGTTTGATCAAATTACAGCTCTGAAAAACGAACATGATGAAATAGAAAAGAAAAGAAAAGAAAAGAGTACAAGGGGCGGGACGACTACAAAGAACGACCGTTCTGTTGTTCAAAGGGCTCATCCCTTTTCGCGGGCACAGAGGAGCCGTACGCCAACCCTCAATGTTGGCAATACAACCATTTCCACGGACAAGGGGTGAAGATGGGGGCATTGGAGGGAAGGAAGAATGGATGGGGGTAATGAGGAAGGGTCGATAGAAAAGACGAAGAAGAAAAAAGTAAGGGGGGCATGAACAAAGCAAGCAGGATTGCTCACAAGAGAATCTCTCATGCATGGCCAGAACTTTAACACGACTCCAACAACAACAAGAAACAGGGCTCCGTCGCGAGTCGCAGAGAGAAAGACAAAAAGGCACAATTGCGAATTGTGTTTCCCTCATCGTGCAAGTGCTGAATATAGGTAGGCCGGGAGCTACTTTTTCCTATTGTTGTCCGTCACACAACATAGACGTGCTGTAGTGAAGTCTCCTCTTTGTGTCCCATCGTTTTATTTTGCCGCCGCCGTTGGATTGATTGCTTGAGTAAGTCCCATCTCAATTCATGCACAACTTTGTTCTCTTTTTCTCTATGTTGTTGCGAGCGTGTATGTCGACGCGCATGCACCCACACACACACATCATCCCTTTATCCAAGTTTGCGTTGCGCCTTTTTTCAAGCAGACAGGAGTGCCCATCCATAAAAAAAGGGTTCCTTGGACATTCGGGCTGGGCCTCGTTTGCATGAATGGGTCAACAGCCATGCATCCCAAATAATATTAAGGGGGATATAGAGCATGACTGAGCTGAAAGAGTTAAAAAAAAGGGGAAAGGGAGGCAAGAGAAGGAGGGCGTCGTAAGCCGTTGAGGGTGCAAGGTAGAAGATAGGGGGAAGGGCCTGACCGTTGTCATCAAGGCCAAGGTCAACGCCCATTTCTCTCTTTCGTCAGGGTCCTCCCTTCTCACTCTCTCCATCTCTTTTGATGCGATCTTGGGAGTAACTGAAAGGTTGGGGCTTACATTGGAGTCAGCGAGTCTGGATGCAAGGAGGGCATGATGCGAAGGAAGGGGCGAAGCGAACAAGAAAGTACCCAGAGCCAGATTCCTTTCATCGCACACACAGCGACAAGCGAAATCGCTTTGATAGATGCTCTCGCATACACTCACACTCGCACAAAGATGAAACACATGAAACGGAACGGGGTCATCCCCGCCCTTATTTCACCTCTCATTGCAACAAAAAACTCCTTTGACTAGTGTGTCCTCCCCTAGCATCCGTCTATCGTGGTGGATTTTTTGCCTATGACCACGGTATGACACCTGGTCCTTGTCCCATTCTACGTTCTTTTAGTTCTTCCTTCCCCCTTTTTTCTTGTTTGGACGTTCTACGCGTGGAAGGTGGTGTACATGGCTCTACACCTATTGCTTCACCTTATCTCTTCTCCAGACATAACCTCACTTGGTGCCCTTCGTTCTCAATTGTCTACCTGACCCCTTTTTTCATTTTCCTTTTGTTTTTGTTCTTCTTTCTCCTTTTTCTCTCATCCTTGCCTCCATTCCACAACAGTCTCTCATCCTTCCAAGAAGAAACTTATCAAACAATGAAAACTATCATCAGTCAGGCCGGTATATCTTTCTGACCAGAAAGTGATCGACAACACATACCTTTCAAGCTGGGAAGTTCGATGATTCGGTTTGTTTCAGTCTTTGTCAACGCGATGGTGCCTGAAAAAATATACTGTATCAGTCTCAGGTGTTGGCAATAAGGAATAAAGTGGAGCAAAGTTGAAAGAAGAGGCCAAACTGAACGAAAAAAGGTTGAATGGGGGGTGAATTTTGTCGCTGGAGAATGTCGGCTGGGAGAGGATGTCTGTTGTTTCAAGGAATTAGGAATGTACAATAGAGTTGTCGAGTCGAATAGAGCGCAGTGAATGTACAGTGGAGTCGAATCGAGTGAAACAAAGGAATGTGAAGAACAACGTGGTGGTGAAAAAGGAATGAAAAAATGCGAGGAACGGTCAAAGAGCAACGTTGATCAGGGTGCCAACAGAAAGAAAAAGAGGAAGGGGATAAGGAAGAGAAATAAAAGAAAAGAGAAGGAAGAGGAAGATAGTGCAAAAAAGGTTTGAGTACTCGCCATGATGCAAACGAGCTGGCAGGGGGGCGGACAATTTTCGAGCGGAATAATGAGTTATTTCTTGCTATTCGACGAACCTTTTGACTCTTGTTCTGGAAGGTGATGGAGGGTTGTTAAGCACTGTGCCTGAAATCAAGATCTCGACATCTTCATTCACATTCAACTTTTCGGAAACAACCCTTCTACATTTTCCTTTATCACTTCACTCTCGCAAACTATTCGTTTTTCTCGACTTTCGAACTTTCGATATGCTTCTGCGTCGCTGGTGACATTCAAATAAAGAAACGAAAAGGGTATGTTGCGTTGATATTACTGTTTGCTCAAACACTCTGGTCAATTTACCGCAATAATGAACCTTCAAATTGCTACTTTGTAAAGGGTACCTGCCTCACTGAAAGATTCCCCATCCCGACTAGTACTTCCAATTTGCAGTTGGCCTTCATAACCTTATGATACATAATACTCACAAAGCTCAGATGGTCATGGTTCGAGCAAACACTCTGCAATGGCTCGAGACGTACGTTGGACCATGTGGTGCACAGATCCATCTTCTTTTCATGGCCTGACTTACATGATTCGATTGGTAAGAGGACGTGTTCCTCTCACAAGAGCACTTCGTTTCTCGTACCTTCCTCATGCACTCGTACCATCCCATAGCGCGGGAATTTACTTGTATGATATTGCACCACATATTCGTGGTGGTAGTGATACAACATCCAACTGTCTTGAACAATAAGGATAAGACTCAGAAGAGGCGGGTTGGTATGGTACCTATTTCTGGCCTCGATCAATGCTATTTCTGAAGTAACTCATCCGGATACAAATTGCAGCCATGTACAAATAACAACTATGTATATAAAAAATGGACAGTAAAGACGAAAAGACATCTGGCTACATAGTCGCCATTGCATTTATTCTATCCAGAATGGGAGGCAAGAACGCGTTTCTTAGGGGTTGTTGACAAAGTTGAACGAGTATCCTCCTGTCGCAGAGTCCTGTTTCATTTGAAAGTTGTCGGTTGACAGTCCAAACTTGCCAAGAAGCGTGTTACCCATCGACTTTAATTTGGCTAGTAAATTAATGTGTAGTTGTCCGGGAAAAGGTGTGTGAGTGTGCATGTCATTTGTTCATATACATGAAGGATCTTTCTGGCATACCGTGGCAGAGGTGGTATAGCTTACCCATCATCTCGGCCTTCTCCTTTTCCAGCATCTCCTTCAGAATGGGTTCCATGCGTTTGAGTGCCTGCTCGCTCGACTGGAGAAGCATCCGATGCTTCTTCTTGCCCGCCTCATCCAAATCAAGTTTCTTGGGCTTGTAAGTAGGTTTTTGCTCTTTCTGCAAATTCTGAGCAGGCCGTGGCCGTTGAGGCCCCTTGGACACCGGCGAAGATGATTCCGGTGTAGGTGATCCAGTCTCCGTAAAAGACATTGATGATGCTTCCTCAGTTGCTGAGGTGGTTCCCTTCTCCTGTTCCTCTTCCTCCTTTGGCGGTGCAATCAGCCCGAGCTCGATCTTCAGGGTCTCGACAACCTTCAGGTGATCATCCTTAGCCTGGTTCATGCTTGCAAATGTTCCCAAGAGCTCTTCAGCCTGTGCTTTCCGTTGGAGGGCCCTCGTGTAGGATGGGTCAAGCTCAAGCGCCGCTGAGCATCCCTCGATCGCCAATTGATACTCCTTCAGCTTGATGTGACATGCTGCCATGTTGGCATGGTATACTGCCCGCTCTGTCCGATATTTAGCGGCTGCCTCCACGTTGATCTTGGTGTCTGTGGTGGCGCTGTTGTTGATTGACTGTTCCTCCCCTGACTCCTCATCGTTGTCGTTATCGTTGTTGTCCTGGTCATCATCTGAGGCCGACGCGGTGGAGGCTAATGGTATTGAGGGACAGGTTGTCAGGGCCAGCTGGTAGTACTTGAGTGCCTCGGTGTAGTCGCCCTTGCCAAACGCTTGATTTCCTGCCACCTTGTACCGCGATGCCTCCTCAAACAGTTCCTACAAACGCAGATTCGTCGTCAAAACAGATACCGATGGTTAGATTCAACATGGCTGATAGGTTCGGTGTTGAGTTTTTTGGATTGTGCCGCTGCTGTTTCCTTTGTACCGCCTGGGAAAATAGGAGTCAGTCATTCTTACTTCATCCTCGGAGAGTTCTAGTTTTTCCAGTGTAGCAGTGATGTCGTGGCCGTTGATCTTCTTGGTGGCGGTGTCTTGTGAGGATGATGATGTCTCTGTTTGTGATGGTGTGTTGACGTGTTCGTCCTCGATGATTTCTTCAATGAGAGCCATTGTGTGAGGTGTTCGGGTTTTCCTGCTGAATAACCCCTGTCTTGACCCGTTTGCTGTGTGCGGTTGAATGAGTTGAGTGATGTCAAAGGCACAAAGGCACAGACACAAGGAAAAGTAGAAGTGTACGAAAGAGCAGTCCCCGTGCTCAAGCACAGTAATCTTCATGCAACGATGCACACAGGGTCGAGGGTAGGCTGGAGGAAGCTGAATCTCTCTTTTGAGAACAAACACAAACAAACAACCCCTGGCTTTCTCTCTTCATAAGAAAGCTCCAATTGGCTTCTTCTCTCACCTTGAAGGAGAAGGAATTGGTCATCACACATCCCAACAAGCCAGCTTTCCTTACTCCAGCAACCTTACCATTGACATCCATCAATGTCAGCCAGCAAGTGGCCAAAGAAAGATAGAAGATGGATAATGGTATGAATGAATGGCATGAGGGTTAACCAACTTACGGCATCCGTCTGAACAAACGCCAAAGAAAATACCTGTGTGATGTGCATGTACCTAGACCTTTGAGGCATTCCTGTGTTGTGTTGAGGCGGGAAAAGTGAGCACTCTTCTTTTTTATCCTTTTCCCTTTATGTTCTCCTCTTTCCTCTTTTCTTTCTCTCCTTTTCTTCTTTTCTTCACCCCTCCTCCTCCTCCTCCTCCTCCTCTTCCAACACACATACATATATCCAAGATGCCAGTGCATCCAGCCCTCCTCAAGACACTCAACCTGCTCACCTTTATCGGTGCAGTCTCGACCATCGTCTACAACCGCAAGTTCATCACCGAGGAACTCGGCCAGCGCCCCAACTACCTCTCCAACTCCCCCGTCGGATACATCATCCCCGCCATCAACTGGTTCCTCCTCGGAGGCTTTACCCTCGTCCAATGGCTTGATTTTGCCCACGATGTTGTCGTCGAGGCCATCGACTGGAACCTTTCAGCCTCTAACCTCATCATCGCCTCCTGGGTTCTGTCCTGGGTAAGTTTGCCCTTTTTTTTTTGCTACAGCTGTTGAGCTGGATATGAGGAGTCAAGGAAGAAGGCGACCAGTTTGGATTTTATCGTTGTTACATCTTTTTCCTACTCCTCCTGCTCGTTCGTTCGTTTCGTCTCTGGTGTCTTTTTGTTGTGTTTTTCTTCCGTCTCGGTGTGCCTGTCAACCTTGCCGCACTTCCCATCGCATCCCATCTTGCAAAGGCAACCAACCACCCATTTATCTGAACCCCGCTCGAACACGCATGAAAAAACTTTATATATATACAAAGCTAACAAAGGAAAGAGTGCAAAGGACACACTAAGAAAACCATTCAATCGCGCACGGCGGGCTGGTTGACTGGAAAAAAATGCTTTGAAAGGAGGTGGTGGTTTGGCTGGCTTTGTTTTCTTGGGTGACACCAGTGAACATCTGGTAAACCCTCTCCCTGCCCTGGTTTTCTTCCCGTCGTCCAACTCAGAAAAGTCACTAACCTTCTTGTCATTTTCTAAAACTTTTTTTTTTCATATGGCACACAATACTCTTCTTTAGAAATACGACTGGTTGGTGGTGGGCCAAATCCTGTTGGTCATCAACGCGGTGCTTATCTGGAGACTCTACGTCAAGATGCGCGTCTTCACCGCAACCAACTTGATCGATTACGCCTTTGTCCACGTTTCCTTCTCTCTCTACACCGGCCTCGTCTGGCTCGATGTCTTCCAAAACTTCTTTGCCGCCTTCACCAACAAGGATGGTGGTCCCGACTCCTGGGCTGCCATCGGTGCTGCTTTCGCCATTTTTATCCTCTTGGCCATTGGAAACTACCACGCAGAGTTCTCCAAGGATCCAGACTCGTGGTCTGGCGCTGCCATTGCCTTGTAAGTTTTATTTTCATCTTTTTTTATCCTTTCACCCCTTTCTGCATTCCCTTTGGTCTTTTTGTTACATTTTCCTTTCTTTTTTTTTTGCCGCGTTTATCACTATATCAACCCGCATGGGAAAACAAAAAAAAATGCGCTTCCACCTTCATCAGGACACAGCGACAACGCCAAAGAAACCACTAAAAGGAGAATCAAAAGGGGAAGGGAGAGTATAAGCAAACAAGAAGAAGAGGAAGGAGGCAGCAACATGACATGAGCCATCGATCAACAGCAACAACAGTAACAAACACACGCAAACAACAACAACTCATCAACAAACAAATAAGCATCGCTGACAAGATGGTCTTCGCCGATTGCTTTTTGGCTGTATGAATTCCGTGCTTATGTCCTTTCTGGCAATGTGTTTTTCTTTACTTTGTTTTGGTGTGTGCGCATGTGGTCCACCACCTGAACGAAGGCGTATCTCATTTTTTTTCTTGTGTCGCCATCTTTCACTTTGAGGCTCTCATCTTTTTGCTGGTATTTTTTTCCCTCTCCTTCCCTCCATCCCGCTGTTGTCGTATTCGCCTCCTCGTCTATTTCTCCACGGACAAACAACGAGGGACGAAAGTGTGGATAGAAGATGGCGAGATGGAGAAACAATCCTCTTCCTCAGTTATGTGGATGGGTTAAGAGTCTGTGTGTCCGCACATGTTGTTGTTGTTTGGTGTTTATTTTGCCGCTTACACGTTCTCGACTGGTCTTTGACCTTTTCACCTCGGTGCCTGACAATTGGAGGGAAAACAAAGAAATCAACCCAGTTCTGCTTGCTTACCAAATTGTTCTTTCACGTACTAAACCTTACATACCGTGCCATACCATTCTACCTGTGAAACCCTTTTAACATACCCATATGTCCTCCCGTTACCCTTTTCTAATAGGATGCTTCTGAGCATCGGCATTGAGCAGGGAAGCGCAGTTCCCATTGTCCAGATCACCAGCTTGGTCAGCTTTGGTTGGTTGGTCGGAGCTCTTGCCCGTCGTGGGATCAACAACGTGGCTCTCTGGCACGAGCGCGCCCAGGATGACATCTCTGTCGGCGAGAGACGCGGTCTCTTGGGATAACTTTTCCCCTTCACTCAGAGACATACCCCCCCCCACTCACTCGACAACTTTCAACAAACAACATTATCGACTCTCCATGACCCCCCTTTTCTATACCACCAACTATCTCTATTCACCTCTTCTGGTCCTCTTCCCCCGTCTATACCTTCCTTTACCTTTATTCATTTGTATCATTTTTGCCCTGACTTTTACATATCACACACACACCCCTCGCTAGAACAAAAAATACAAATGGAGAAAATACATCTGTCCAGCAACACCAAACGCGACTATCAGTATGCTATTGGCTGTGAATACTCGTCTTTATCAGTTTTTACTATGGAAGGATCGAGGAACTCCTATGAAAGAAGAGGGCTGCAAGCAAAAAACTACCGCCGGTCAAAAGCCGCCTCCCGGACTACTTGGAGGCATCATTCTTCTCCTCCTCCTCCTCCTCCTCCCCCTCAGAATCAGACTCATCCTCATCTTCGCCATCCTGCAAGAGCCCAAAGAAGCCTCCAACACGAGAGTTGACTTGAAACTTGGACCCCTTCTGGGGTTCTTCGTCTTCTTCTTCTTCTTCTTCTTCGTCCTCCTCATCTTCACCCTCGTCGCTATCATAAGCGCTCTCGCCTCTCAACCGTCTTGGCACCTCCTTGTTGGCCTCGTCATCATCGTCATCAGTGCTGGTGTTTACAACAGCGGCATCGGCCTCGTTGACCCTCAGTTTTTCATACTTGGTGCTCGTAAAGTAACCAGGAGGTTTGAACGACAGCAAGATCCGGCCATCGTTAGCCATTTGAAGTATGGCATTGGCTAATTAATTCAGGGAATATGTTACAAACATGTCAGTTGGCCCGGTCTAACTTACTTTCAAAAAACAAAAAAAAAGAAGGTTGAAAAAGACACATGCTAGAAAAAATTAAGGTAGTTTCATACCTGCACGATAAGTATCGGCATAACTCGTTTTAGCCGTCATGAATCCGCGTTTCAATCCGAATGCTAAATAGGGCGGGAAAGAGTATTTAGAAACACGATACGTAACACAACCGTCCACTGAGCAACGTGTCTTTCAAAAAGGAGGGAAAAGCAGTCGATTACACGTCCACTTACATTCACAAATGCCATAGGCACTCCAGCGGAACGGTCCAATCGTATAAGTTGGAGGAGGATCCAGCTTGAGAAGGCGAGGGATGTTGATTCGTTCCGCCAGATACTGGATGACAGAGTACGGCTCCTGAACCTGCGCAATGGGGAACATTCCAGACAAGATCTAATGAACGCGAAAAAGCGCGGTTATAGGTTAGATCTCCAAATCATGTATGATAAGGCCGACCGAGTATCTTCAATCATTATCCTTTTCACAGAAAACGGCGCTGTACCTGGAGCGGCTTTGGCAACAAGCTAGGGAAGACCAATCCTGGAGAATCGCAAAGTCTCACGTTGTGGGTCAAGTGGATGGTCTGGAAATGCTTAGTGTGTCCTGGAGTCCTGCTCGTGCTGACAACTGTGCGACCCATGATGCTGTTGATGAGCGAACTCTTTCCGACATTTGGATGACCTATATGCGCCGACGATCCCAGTATTTATTAGGTTAATAAAACATGCGCAAATGCAAGCAACTAACGTTTGCCGCCAGAAATCGAAGGACTTCTTACCAACTAGACCGATTGTCACGTAGTCGCCGTGAGGCACAGTTTCATCATCCTCAACCTTCACCGTCTTCAAAGTTTCGACTATTGGTGTAGAAAAAAGACAACAATAACCAGTTAAAAAAAAATCCTTCGGAAGACACGAGTACACCGCGACAGGCAGCAACATACCTAGCAGGCTCTCGTCATCGGACGACTTGTGGCCCTTCTCCCGGAGTCCTTGATCAATACCGTCAAGCTCTTCATCGCTCTCGTGGAACTCTGAATCCTTGGGCTTGTCGTACTGTGCAATCAATTCGTCCCACTCGATCTGAGCGCCGTGCTTAGAGACCTCAACATCCTTGCACGCCATCAACACATCCTTGACGCCAACAGCGTTATAGTACCGGTGTCTTGGTCTCTTGGCCACCTTTTTCAACGCCGCTATCAATATTGAACGCAAGTTTTTAGGAAAGGCAGTTAGTCAAAGCTCAGTTGAGTAACCTTCTTCGAAATAATTTGCTCCGCATACTGGACGAACCTGTGCTGGAATCATTGATCAGGCTTGGGTCTGGCGGGTAGCAGCTGAATGTAGCAACATGCAGCTCTGGAAACTGCTCCTGGAAGTACTGAGTCCATGCGAACACAGTGTTGGCCGCCACCAAATCAACCTTGTTGAAGACAACGACTAGCTTGCGCTTCATGTCATTGACGACATACTGGTAAAGAGAAGGAGGGAAGTGGATGACTGGATGACGAATGTCCACAATGATCATAATAATATCCGAAATCTCCAGCACACGCCATCTATTCGATGTATACCAAATGCAAAATGATATCATGGAGCATGTGTAAGTTCATACGTCCTTTCTGCCCGCGAATTATGAACACGACATCATAGAATACATGTGCCACATCTATCATCACTCCAACTTACAATTGACGCCAGACATCCAGGTTGTGTTCAAAATAACTGAGCTCATCCGCAGGGTATTTGTCGTAAATTGAGTCCATCCAAGCGTCAAACATTCTCTTCTCGTTTTTGTCGAGCTCCTCGCGGCTCATCAAATAATCCCATTTTGGACGAGTAGGGAACCCAATGACGTCAGGGAACATTTCTTCGAACGAGACTTCAAGCGCGGACTATTAGTTGTAGCAAGGGATATTGGTTAGTTACAGAAGTCTTGAGGTTATCTCTCCATGAATGCACTCGTTTGCTTCCTGGTGTTTACCTCCGGCAAGAGTTCGAGAGGCTTCATACTGTCGAGACGAGACCTTTTAACCTCCATGGCAGACCGCCTCATGAACACCGATCGAATTCTACATGAATAAGAGTCGCAAAAGTGTGTGAGTATTTCGTAATCGCCATACATGTCGTGCATACGTTGGCTTGAAGGATAATGTCAGTATTGGTCCTTACTTTACGGATGAGGCGTGGTTAGCGCTCTCACCCACCGCTGCTCTACCACTCCCGCCTCGGTTTGCATCTGGCTTGAACTCCTTTCCGAAACTCTTGACAAACCGTCCGTTGTAAGCGTCAACTCCTGTTGCTGGCTTTGGCTGAGGCTGGGGGTTAATGTTCTCCTCTCTGAATGGGTCTATTATCATCACACACACAGAAAAGATAAGTTCTGTTAAATAAACAATCCGAGTAGTCGTAAAAAAATTAATGAGCCATGGTGGGTCGCGTGAGTGAAGCGAAGAAAAGTACCATTTTCTTTCTCGATGCGACGCCGTTCTTCTTCCTTTTTCTTGAGCCTGGCGCGTCGCTCTTGGAGCTGTACTTTTTTTTTGCTTCCGCTGAATGCTACTGCTCGTTCCATTGTGTTGCTGAATGGAGGGAACGAAGATCTGCTTTCTCTTTTTGTTTGTGTTACTGGCTTTTTTGTGTTTGTTGAGAGAGGGTGTTGCGAATGCGAGAAGTTGCTTGTGGAAAAAGTGTGTTGTGTTGTGAGGAAAAAAGTTGGAGAACTGACTTTTCTCTTTTATGCATAAAAGTAAAGCTGCGGGCGCGACCCTCAAACTGCGGATGCAAGTGACTGTTAATGCCAAACTCCAGTCCTCCTCCATTGCTCTCACACCTCCTACGACCTATCAATACATCCTCAAGAGACGGTGGAGAGCAATTGGAGAACAAAAAAACGCGATATATATTATCATTGATCGATGAGAATGCTCATATGGGAGTGGGGATATAAGTGCGAAAGAAAAGGAAAAAAACAACTATCTAGACTCGTCCGCTGGAGGCTGCACTCCAAGCAACGTTCCGAACAGCCTCGCTGCGCACGGCAGACGAGGTGACCTGAGCCTTGGCCTGGTCAAAAGTGTGTCCCTGTTGGTTGTAGTGCTGGTGGACTTGGCTATATATTCCCAAAGGTGAAAAAAAGGCATTAGTTATGTGTAATAGAGGATCGCTTGTAAATGGCATGGTCTCTCTTGAACGAGAATAATGAACAAGGATGATGTTGCTGTTCCTGATTTCTGGTGCCATACCGGTAGAAGAACGCGCCGCCAAAGGCCTGGACAAACCAAAGGGCGGTCGAGAAGACGCAAAGAATACCGGCAAAGATGTGCTTGCCGTTGAAGACCTGGATCATGTTGATCACACCAGCCGATCCACTATTGGCCAGTTTTCAAGGTCATAAAAATAGAAATGAAAGAGACACAAAAAGTCAGTATGGTCCTGGATAACGTTGCCACAGCGTACTCGCCAACTCTTTGTCCCGACCGACATTTATGTGCTTTCCCGACTCCCATCCTGCCTAGCGAAACGTCGGTCTACTTGAATACATACGTTGAGGGGAATCCAAGGGCCATGTAGAAGGAGAACAAGACGTGGAAGCCATTGAAGATGAAGTAGAAGTCTAAAAGTGAGGTGAAGACGTGTGAAAAAAGGTCAGTAGTCGTCCTTTGATCCCTGTTTCTGACAGTATCAAACTTGCTCTTCCTGTGTTGCCTCCTGCACTGTTGTCCATTCTTGTCCTGCTTTTGCGCACAGGCTAAACGAATTGATGGTCGTTGTTGATTGAGTGTCTTATTCGTCGTGTCAAGAAATTCGTCGAAAACAACGAAAAATCCGAGTCCATTGACGAATACGATGACCACATGGGATAGATAATAATAGAGCGGAAGAAAAAAAGAAAAAAGCAAAGGCTGTGTTTGGCAATTGAAGGACGAGTCAAGTCAAGACAATGAAGAGTGTGAAAGACCTACAATAGTACATAGACATCTCCTTCATGAAGGCGTTGTAGACGGGGCGATACCACAGCAAGAACGAGGCAGCAGTGATGGTAAAGCAGTATCCGAGAGAGACTCCCATGTCAGCCGCTCCGTTGGGAATGCCTGCAAACAGCATCAGCATACAGGCCAGGAAGTTGAGGCCGAGCGTTCCAAGGAGCGCCAGCCAGAGATGGTAGATGAACTTGACGGTGGCCTGGTGTGCTTTTGGGATCTCGGCAGGGATTGACCTAATATCATTATGCGCGGACAGGGGTTGAACACAAACAAGAAGGGTTAGTTCTTCCTTGTTGTGTTTTCCAGATAGACTACTGGGAACCAAAGAAAAAAGAAGAGCTCACAAACAAGAGAACAAAACACAAAGAGTCGATGAACATACATATAGATAAGAGGGTAGAACTTGGGAAAGTTGTTTTTGCCTTGGGTGCGGACACGCTCGGCCTCTGCCTGGGCAGCCTGAATCTCGCGCTCTCTTGCTGCGAGCTCCTCCTCCCGACGGCGAAGCTCGGCGGCCTTGGCGGCGTTCTTGGCGTCATCAGCAGCATTGCTGGGAGCGGCGGTGGTGGTCTGGTAGACAGATGACTGGTTGTCGCCGTACTGGGTGTAAGAGGTGTAATCCTGTCCAACTTCGGCCTTTCCAGCGTGGTCTGTCAGGGGCACATCGGCCTGGATCTGATTCGAATCCTCAAAGGGATTGTTGTTGTATTCTGAGTGCTCAAAAGGGTTTCCTGACATATTGACTTGTCCTGAGCCTATGTGTCTGTGTATTTGTGTTTGTGAGAGTGTCGCCTGCTGTTGCTTTCCTGTTCGTAGTTAGCCAAGGGTGCTGCGACTAGTAAGTTGGAAGCGGAAGGTTGCTGCGTATGGTTATCCGTGAAGGCTGGCTCGAGAGTCGATAGTGTGTATGAGTAAGAGTGAGAGTGAGAGATTAAGAGAAGAATTGATTGGTGCAAAATGGGATGATGTAGTTATTGTGAGTGCAAAAACAAAGGGAGAGAATCAAAACCAGTGGTCATAAAATAAAAAGAAAAAGAACCACGGCGGTCCCACTCATAATCATGACATGTAACCCTGACCACGACGACAACGCACGTACATGGCGAACGTCCCTGGATGAATTTATTCACGTACATGCGTGTCTACTTCGCCACACACCCTCTCTCTATGATATCCAACTTGTCGCGTTCCATTCCTAGTCTTATCATGGCATCGACATATTGTACGCTTTCATCAACCATCGTTGGAAACCTGCTCATCGTCAATCGCAAAAAAAAGTAGAAGAATAGAGACATCTGCTCAAGTCCTCTCTCATATACCTGCTCGAGGTACAACACCCACATGACGCTCGGACCCATCCTGGAAGCTCATTCCCGTTTCATCCAGGCAACAAACCGATAGAACTGGACAAGCAATAACAACAACAACAACAACAACAAAATATATATACAACCAGGACAAACCATCCCATCCCGGATCCCATCTTCTGTCATCTCATTATCATATTCCGCAATAAACAAAACCGCATTTCGCCTCTTCCCTTCCATCGCCACTTGTCCTTTTTTGTTGCATTCTCGTTAACCAACTTCACCTCCTTCTTTTCTTGTTTTGTTAGCCATTGATACTTTCCTGTCCCACAACGCATTTTCTTTCTGTTTTGTGTACTAGCCTCTTTGTCGAACATCTCCTCCTCCACTCTTCTCTCTTCTCCCATACTACACACCTTCCCACTTTCAACTCGCCACTCACAGCTCTCAACGACCCCGCTGCCACTCCCTCCTTCACCATACTCTCTTGCCACGTCCCCAATCCCCTCCCACTCGTGAGGTGATCAAAAACTACCCATGAGGCCACCTACTTTCTTATCCTTCATCATCCTGGCCGCAGTGATGGCGGCATGGACAATCCACACAGTCCACGGCCAGATCTCTGTAGGCTGCTTTCAGAACCAACTCGATAGCAGCACTGGAGCGTCTGACATCAAATCGTATCAAGACATCTACATGTCCCAAGGAGCATGCACAAACTACTGTCGAACCAGTGGAACAGCCTACGCACTGACCATGGACGGATCGGCTTGCCATTGCTCCAATAGCGCGCCCGTGGATTCCAACAAGATTGACGACGCAAAATGCGACAAGCCCTGTATGGGATACCCGTTCGAAATGTGCGGGGGCTCTTCGAGTCGGTCGATTGCGAACGTCTTGCTGATTGGAAGTTCAACCGCAGTCCCTGGAGGAGCAGGGGGAGGGGGATCGACATCTACCTCCAATGGGACTGGGGCAGCCACCACAGCACCCACCGCCTCTGAATCGAGTAAGAAATCGCAAAACAGCAACAGCAGTAATAATAGTAATGGTGGTGGTAACGGTGCATCAACAACTACAACGACAACGGATAACAACGGAGGTAAAGCGTTCAACACCGACACGGGTATGTTTCCACCTCCTCGACCTACCACCTCTCCGACACATGAGCATGAGCCTGGTGTGCATGATCGTGATCGCGAAGGTAGATTGAAGAAGGAAACGGGGCATCTCGATGCTTCGAGTGACATGGATGAAGGTAGCCAGCCATGCCCAAGTGTCGTCCTAGAGTCGATGAACAGAAATCTACCTCCTCCCTCTCCTCCCTTCATACACTCCATGCACTCTTTTGTTCTATCAGGCACGCGCAGCAAAAAATGAGAGAAAACAAGAAAAAAAATTACACGAGGAGATGATTCGCAATGTTTCACTACTATCACACTTCCATTTATTTTCTACGCTTCCCATTATTCATACATTTTCTTCATTTCCTGCATTCATTTCCAATGCATTCAATCAAAGAACGATACATTAATGTACCCCAATGGCTAACATCCGCCTTTTCTCTCCTTCTATCATCATCTGTTGCTTTTCCTTTCATACAATTGGGGTCCGCCCTCATGTTACAGACAGCTCATCAGGGTCCGGAGGAGAATCAAGTCCCGGTATCATCGCCGCAAGCATCGCCGCCATCTTTGGTTTCGCCGGCCTCTTCGCCGTCGCCTTTGTCTTCAGCAAGCGCCGTCGACAGCGTCTCTCCCAAGCGGCCTGGACAGAAAATATGCTTCTCCCTTCCTCCCTCATCCACACCTCGGCCAATAACGACGAACTAGAAGGTCACGATTATACTCGATCGTCGCCTATCTACCACCAACATCAACATCAAAACCAACACCCGAACAAACAACGAGAATCTATCCCGACTCCTCTTCCTCCCCCCAACATGCATTTCCCTCCTCCTCTTCATCCTCGGCAAGGTGGACCCTTACATATGTCCCAACCGAGTTACCCGCCACCTCCTCCTATGATGGGCATTCCTGGTGGCGGTGGCGGTGGACATTATCACCAGATGAGAGGAAACCCATACCAACCCTTTCCTCTCCGCGCCCAACGATTGTCACAGCAACAGCAACAGTACGACCCACATCTGCCCATCGAGCAAAACTTGAACCACAAGGAGCCCCTTCAGGCGTCACCACCTCCACCACAGCTTGCGCCTTCCTTCAGCCGCGGTCCTCAGTCGTTGCAGCAAGGGCCACCTCTACCGTCAGGAGCAATAGAACATATCCGCGACAACAGTGAAGATGGAGATATTGAGGAGGAGAATTACGAAAGACACGACGAGAGGAGTCTTTCGCATCACCCCTCAGTCCGATCGATCCGTCACGATCGCCAGGAGAGAGGATCTGTGGATTCCACAGCCAACATTTTGAGAGTAGTGAACACAGATGATTCACATACTTCATGATTCATGAGGTTGGAAATCGAGACCAGACCATTACCAATAAGAAAAAAGGAATAAACCTAACTTGTTCTTTGCGAGGCTCTTCTTTGGTTTTCACAAGAATACATGTCTGACTGAAGTAAGCAAGCACCCCCAACCAGCGGAAAATGACGTGGGGAAAAAAAGACGAATTGACGAATGCAGTCGAGTGTAACCTGGCCGGCAACAAGCAAATCCTCGTTTCCCTCTTGGTGGTTGGTGGGTGGTGTTCCCCAGAATCGCAAGCCTGAAAAAGCCGAATTGAAAGGAATGGTGTATTTGACCCCTTTTGACCATAGAAATTGGGAGGGGTGTGGTTTTGCCCAATACTCTGTCATACCCTTCCAATGGTTCAGAACTCAAATCCTCTTTTGCATTGTTTGCTCTGATGGGCGTTTGTGTTCTGTGTATGGTTCACGACGAAAGACGGCTGAACCAAAAACATATCCCCGAGCTGGTACGAAAAGAGGACAGGACAGCACATGATCTCTCAACGGTCCTCAAACCAGTCGCCTCTCTTCATCGTTAGCGGCCTTTTTTTTCTTTGTTCTCCACAGACCCATAAGCGGGTTGGTTGGTCGTTACCTTTCTTGCGACCAAACAAATGCTTGATACGTGAGAAAAGAAAGCACACTGGCAAAATTCAATGGTTGGATTTTATCCTTGGTGATATGAACAACTTGAGAGCAAACAACAAAAAATGGAAGTATAATGAACGAAGGCACTTGCACACACAATAGGAACGAACTCGATCCATGGTAGTTAAAGCAGGGCTTTGACTAGACTGTGCGGCAGGTGAGCGAAAAAAGGAAAAACGCGCAACCCAACTGGCTGGTCTGGTCTGGAACACAGTCAATCGGCAAACCAAGGCGTGACCCTTTCGTCACAAATAGAGGCCACCCATAAGAAAATGAAAAAGGACCCCCACTTCCTCAACAGGGCGCTTGGCTGGTTTTCGATCGTGATGAAATGCAGCGATTGCCTGGGGCCCTTCGTCATGCAACCTCTAGTTTCTTTGTTTATAGAACGGAGAGAGAGGGAGAGAAATGAGAGAAGGTTGTAAACCCGCCAGTCGAGTGCTTGCCCTGTGTCCTTTTCCATCATGGCTGGAAAAATGAAATTGCGCGAGAAATGAAGAAATAGAAAGCGAAGACTGGCTCGAGGAGGTGAAGAGATAAAAGACAAAGGAAACAGCGCAGATTGGCTAGCCATTGAGGGATAGGGATGAGTAGCGGATGGGGTTCGAGGAACAAGTAGCATCATCATCGGACCCTCAAGAGAGATTGCGGAAGTATGCTTGTTGCTGTTGTTGCATTGATGCACGAGCAAGAAATGGACGACTAAATGACTACATGAAAGTTGGTTTTGGTACTACGTGCAAAATATGCAAAAAGGGGTCAATGAATGAATTGAATGAATGAAAGAAGAGAACACTGCTGCACGCATTCAGTACATTGCACATTCACCCCCTTCCGCCCTTTTTTTTTGATGCATCATCTCTCCTCATCCATTCTTCTCTTATCCTTTCTCTTTCTTCTTTCCTTTTTTTCTTTTCTTTCCTTTTTATCTTTTCTTTCTTTCTTTCTCTCTCTCTCTCTCTCTCTTTCTTCTTCTTCTCCATCGTCACTCGTTCATCTTCCTCCTTCTTCTCCATCATCACTCGTTCATCTTCCTCCTCACCTCCAATTGCCCCTTCAAGCAAACATATCTAACTCAATTGCATACGGGCCTATCTTTCTCTTGTTCCATCCTACCCTCACACTGCACTCTTTTTTCTTCTTTATCCGCCTGTCAGTCTAACACACAGAACTCCTTCCTCACCAAGCCTATTTTTATCAACCGTCCACCTCTTTCCTTCATACTTCTTCTCTATCCTTCTTCTCTATCCTTCTTCTCAACTCCCTTTTCAACTCTTCTCAACCAATACTCGCGCCCAAAGCACAAGCCCACTCACATACTCGCATTTTCGCACTCCTACCCCCTGTTTTCATTCATACGTTGCAATCGATTGAAGGTCAAAAAAGTGAGCCTTGAACCTTCTCAACCATCCCCCTTCCTTTACCCTTTCCTATACCTTTCAATGCAGAGCCAAAGCCATCAGCACTTGGGCGACGGTAGCACCAGCATGGACACGTCTCTTGCAGAACAGTCGACCAAGCTCCAGCAAAAGTATGGTAACCTCCCCGTCTTTACCAAGAACCTCCTCGGCCACCAAGTAAGATACATTTTTCTTTTTCTTTTTCTTTTTCTTTTGGTCGTTTGAACTTTGGGAGGGTGGAAGCTTGGGATACTAATCGACTGTTTTCCAACCTCCTTGTTCTTATCACTTTGTGTCCTTTCATTGCATCCTTCTTATGACCATCAGCGTAAATATTTCGATTCGGGCGACTATGCGCTCTCGAAGGCCGGCAAGGACGCAACCGTGGGCTCGGAGCACCCGCAGCCAGAGAACATCCCTCACTCGGTGCCGCTCAACCCCGTCTATGGATCGATCCCCTCCCGCCGAGGCTCGCTTGCCAACATGACCATCCAGCCCAACAACGGCGCTGAACAACAAGCACTTTAAATACGCCATGTCTGCAGTGTCCGTGTATGTGTGCGTGTCTCCCATCCAGCCCACCCCCCTCCTTCCCCCTCTCACTTGTTTCTCTTTCTCATGTTCTTCCTTCTTTTGTTGCATGACCCAATGCCCTAAAAAGACACTGAGAGAGACCTTTTTTTCTCGGATGTGACCGAAACGAAAATAGTGACACCTTCTACCCATCCCCAAATTCCCTCCAGAACCGGCTTTTTATGGATCCCTTTTTTTTTTATTCTTCCAAGTTCAATCCTACTCATTGCTCCCTGCTCTTACTCTACTCGCTCCACTCCTTCTCCCTCTCCGTTCTTTATCCAACGTCTTTCTGAAACCCTCAAAAAGCGCTCACAGGAAAAAGTGCAAAATTCGCCCATCCCACCTACTGCATAGCATAATTTTTTTTATTGTCTTTGTGATCTCATTCTCAATACCACATCTTTCGCCCATATGCGATCTGTCTGTCGTCGTCGTCGTCGTTCCACACCCCCCACAAGAAGTCGATATCCGCCTGCATGTCCTATGCTGTCTGTGAGGAAGAAAGAGAGATGAGGGGTCAAAGATGAAGAAGAGGTGAAAGAAGGGAGATCGAAGAGGAGGAAGAGCACACTTCATCTCTACTTCTACACTTCCCCCCTTTTTCACCCCCTTGTCATTTTCCTTTTGCGCTCTCGACGAACGTCGTTCGAAGAAAAAGAAATCAGCAGCAAGCAAGCCGTTGGGGGGGTGTGTGTGGTGAATCCGTGTCCAATTGGAGTCGACAAGGACCACCGGCAAAGAAGTGTCTTCTCTCTTCCGTGTCCCTATGCTGTCATCACCGCTATCGTCCCAAGACCAGCGCCATTGGGTCTATTTCTCAGCCCAAAGGACATTCTTTCAAGCTAGCCCACCTTTCCGTAGTCGACGAATCTAGCGACGAGATCATATGCCTTCAGCCTTCAGCCTTCTGTCTTTTACCTTCTGCCACTATATCTTTCAATTAAAAACAACAATATATCTCTATTAGTTACTGCCGCCGGTGGTGGTGGTGGTGTATTTGTGCAAGTGGGTGTTAAAGGTCGGTGTTGTTTGTCTTTGGTCTGAGCGCATGGGGACAATGCAATTAATAATACTGGGTCTGCAAGGCAATAAGCACAAAACAAGAGGAATTGCTAGGCAAGGGATGAAGAGCTGCAGATGTCGTGTCGTGGAAGATTGTAGATTCGCTGCTACTTTGTACGATCCATCCACCCAGGTCCAAAGCCCAATCATCTTTCTTCTTCTCTTCCTCCGTAGAAGGGCGGTTGTCGGGGAATGAGTTTTCGAGGGGATCCAGTGTGTCCACTTTTTTTTGTTCGCCCTGCTCCACAATTTAGTGAACAGTCGGGTGGGTGGAGAAAGACAGGAAATGACGGACTGAGTGTGTGTGAATTGTTGAAGACGGAAGGTGGGTGAGGTGAAAACAAAAGAGCCCGGGTAGTTGAATGGGGACGAGAGTGAAGTGGGCGGTGTGAGAGCGAGTGTCGGTGGTAATCGAAGTTTTGTGGCCACACGCTGTATGTTACAAGAGAGCTGTTTCAACCAAGTGATGAGCGAGTGGTTGCCCGCCCCGCTGAATTGTTTGCCTTTGAAGGATGAACTCTAATCTGCATATCTCACTCAGGAGGGAAGGAAGGGAAGGAAGAACAACGTAGGAACAACACATCCACAGCATTCGCATCCTTGCTTCCTTCTTTTTTTCCTGGACTTCCTTTTGGCTTCCTTCGTACTTCTTGTCACTCCTTCATTTTCTCTTACTTACTTACTCCACACTCCTTCACCTCCTTCCCTTCACCTTCACCACCTTACACTCACAGAACATGACTGCCACTGCTGTTGCTCCCCAGGCCTCGGTCGCCTCGACCCTGTTGACCGCCTACCTGACCGAGCTCGCCGCCAACCCTCTCCGCACCAAGGCCCTCACCTCCGGCACCCTCTCGGGCCTCCAGGAGATCACCGCCACCAAGCTCTCCGGCATGCCAAAGTCAAAGAACCCTGACGACTTTATCCTCGGCATCAACAAGCGTGTCGTCCAGATGGCCCTCTACGGTAACATTCCATCTCATTCCTCTCCCCTGAACTCGTCCACATTCGACATTCAGTCCATTCGGCATTTCTCCAATTGCGCAACAGCTTGTCATGGAGAGTGTGAAAGCAACCGACAAGAACAGCATGGCAGCGGTTTTTTTCTCCCTTGTCACTTCCTCTTTTTGGATAGTGCGAAGTGGTTTACAAGAGAGAGAGAGAGAGACGCATATCGATCGAGCATGAGCGGGAAAGAAGGACATTGAACCAGACCTCAACAACGGAGGAGAGAATATACAACAAACAGCAAACGAATGATTTTTGCTCTGCTCCCCGACGCCCCGGCATATTATTTGATCGAAAGGGGGAACATTTCATTCCTGCTATCCGTGCCACCACACACACAAGAGCGGCCTTTTTCTGTTACTTTGTTACTTTTTTTTTTTTTCTTACTTTCGGTTCCCCGTCCTTTTTGCATTCTCACCCGGAAGGAAACAATACCAAACTATCTTCCCCACACAACAACATTACACATGGTCCAATTGAACGCCCTCTTTTCCCCCACCGAAAAAAAGAACCCCGGAATGGTTCCTGAACTTGGTTTTTTCTTCTCTCGTGTCCTTTCTAACATACGCCCTGGAAATATGAACAATTAGGTTTCTTGGTCAGCGGTCCCTTGGCCCACGCCTTGTTCGAGCTCGTCACCAAGCGCTTCCTCGGCAAGGAGGGCGCCAAATGGAAGATTGCTCAGATCCTCAGCGCCCAGCTCATTTCCTCCCCCATCCAGAACGCCAGTAAGTCCCTAACGTTCATATCAGTAGCCAAAGGGCTACACCAACATCGAGAAACCCTTTGTCAAGCTTCAAAGAAACAAAATAAGTAACGCCCTTCACTCTTCCCCACCCCCCCATCCAACTATGATAGCCTACATTTTGGCAATGGCATTGTTCGCAGGCGCCAGAACGTCGGGACAGATCAAGGGCGCCTTCAAGTCGGGATACCTGCCCATGATGAAGACCTCCTGGGCGATCTCCCCCATCTCCATGGCCATCGCCCAAAAGTTCCTCCCTCCCAACGTCTGGGTTCCCTTCTTTAACCTCGTCGCCTTCACCTTTGGCACTTACGTCAACACCACCATCAAGAAGGCTCGTCTTGCACAGATCAAGAAGGAGCAGCAGCGTGACGCCGAGAAGCGTGCCCGCGATGAGCTGTAAATTATTTTGCACATCCCTTTCCCTCTTTCCCCGCGTATATCCTCACCCCATCTCCCTTGTAAAAAAAACACACATCCTACACCCCCCTTCTTCCCCCACACAACACAAAAAATAAAATGACAATTTGGCATATCGCCAAACCAAGTCCGAGCATTGCGGATCAAACTCTCTTGTTTCGACTGTGAAAAAATTAACATTGTTAATGTGAATATATGAAAATGCGTGGAAGAAAAAATAATAGTATGAGAGAGAAAAAAAATCTATGAAGCGCACTACTTGCGTCCCTTTCCACCACCACCTCCGCTCTTCTTCTTGGACGCCTCCACACCAGGTGCAGACACCTTGCTCTTTCCAATCATCGCATTAATGGACTCCTCGTCCTTGACCATCTTGATCAACTCCTTCTCACGCGCCTCCAACGCCGCCTCAGCCTCACGGAGCTCAGCTCCGCTCAATCCACCCTCGACAGCAGCGCGCTCAGACGAAGAAGACGACGAAGAGTTGTTGCCATTGATGTTGACCAAAAAGTGGTTGATCGCCGTCTTGACAGCCTTGCCCTTCTTCATCGTTCCAGGAATCAACTTGACCTTGTACTTGAACTTCTGCAGCGCTCCATAGGGTGCGCAGACAGGGATAGCAAACTGCAAAATATCTGTCGGCAATGGCTTTCCAGTCAAGCCATCTAAGACCGTCAGGTTCTCAGACTCCTCGGGCTCCAACATCTTGATGTTCTCCTCCTGCAGCAGGCGGCGGACTTCCTCCACCTCATCCTCGTTCGCATTCGCGTCCATAGGAGGAGCAATAGCCTCGGGATCCTCCACAGCATCGGTCACAGCAGTAGCAGCAGCATCCCGTCCCTTAAAGTCTCCTTCGGGCTTCCTGCCGCTCTTGTTGCCACCCTTGTTACCACCCTTGGCAGGTCGAGACTTTTCAAACTCTTCTTGCTGCAAACGTCTCTTCTCTACAAGCGCCGCCTTCTCCGCCTTCTTCTCCGCTTCCTTCTTTGCACGCTTGCCCTTCAACTGAGGTCCCTTGTCAGGCTATTTCACACAAGAAACAAAGTAATTGGGGTCAGATAACTCTAGGTGCTTCTTCAAGAACGATCAACACATAGAACGCGTAAATAAAAAAGGCACACTTACGGCAAGGAGTTCAAGACGAAGCTGGCGTTCTTCTTCATCCTGATCAGCATACTTCTCCTTGATCTTTTTGGCCTTGCCCTTCTTGCCACGAGCCGACGCCGCAGGAGCAGCAGGAGCCGCAGGGGTCGCAGTGCCCTTCTTCTGGTGGTCTTGCTGAGGCTTCTTGGCAGGAGCAGGGCGGGTAGGAGGCGGTGAGTTGGTGTCGCGGTTTTCATCCTGACCACCTTGTCCTGGAAGTTTGCCCTTCTTCATGTCACGGCGCATCTTCGCAGTGATGTAGGCCGACTTTTGAGGAACCCGGTCAGAGGATGCAAGCGAAGATGTATCGTCGCCCTTATCGCCCTCGTCGTTGCTGTCGTCGCCGTAGTCCTGAAGTGCATACTTGTCGGCTGCAGGAACAGCTCTCTGGGCAGGCTGCTTGGGTTGTTCCTTGTTCGTCTTAGCTGCAAACTGAATCTGAGTATCGGGGAACTCTTCATCAGACGACTCAGCAGCCTCGGATTCATCCTCACTATCCGAACCTGACTTGTCGCCCTGAGCGTCCGATTTCTCCTGAACTGCACTCTCCTCGGTCTCCTCGGCGGATTTGTCGCCTGTGGCACCCTGCGTTTCCTCCTCATTGTCCTCTTCGTCAGAGCCATCCGAACCTCCCAGAACCTCATCGGCCTCGTTTTGATCCTCCTTGGCATCCTCCTGTTGCTGATCGGCTGACTCCACAGCATCGGCATTGTTCTTCTCCGAGACAGCATCGGTAATTTCCTCACCCTCGCCATCCTCGATCCTGGGAGCACGTCTCTCATGCAAGTGGTTGCCAATCGACGATTCATCCAGCTTGAACAATAGTCCGAATCCGTAGACCAACTGCACAGGTGGCAAAAAGTTCTTCTTGCCGCGGATCATGAAACTGCCGGTAGTCAGGTACTCTCCGGTAGGGGCCGACTTGCTGACTTGATCTGCTCGCACCCAGTAGGCGGACGTTACAATCTTGGAATCCCAGGCCTTGCTCTGACAGACAGACATGATACCAGCCTGGTAAATCGAGCTGGGAGGGACAGGCTCCTTGTCAGATGGATTCTTGATCAAGACAGTCGCCGCACCGTGGATATCTGCATGGACATATATGTCGTCCTTCTTCATGTATCTCTTGACAATCATCTCGTTCTGCTGTGCATCGCGTCCTGCAATGACCAGGTAGTTCTCCGAGGTGATGAACCACATGAACTTCTCGAACCAGTAGGGCTTGCGGGCACGCTGGATCGAAGTCGTAATCTTGACCTCCTGCAACTGCTGTCGAATTTTCTTCTCCGCACTCTTAAACGCCTTGGATGCATGGGCCAGCGTCTTTTCCTGCTTGATGGCCGACTGCTTCTTGACGTCGTAGTACTTGCGAGCGTTCGCAAACGCCGTCAAATAGATGTCCAAATCAATTAGTACTGTCGCCTTGGCCTTCGGCTGATGGCGGTCCTCGGCTTCCTGATCGTCCTGGTCGTCGTCCTCCTGCTCCTCATCCTCTTCTTCCTCTTCCTCGTATGGATCGCTGAGGATGACGCAGACATGGTTTGACTCCAGCTTGAGGGTATCGATCATTAGGGCAATGGGGTTTCCGTGCTTCTTCTCCTCCTCGACCAGATCGGCAAGATCCTTCCAGTCCATGCCAGTCGCGACCGCATTGCGGATAATCATAATGGCCTGGTCGCACATCTCCAGATTGGCCTCAATCAACTCTGCCCGCATGACGTTCATCTGTTGGGCTTCCTCCAGTCCTCGCACTCGACTGAGATGCTCCATTCTGACACTGTCCAGCTTCTTTTGTGCATGGTCCTCCTGGGCACGCTTCTTGACCTCCAAACGTTGGCTCTCAACTGCTGAGAAAAACTCATCGACAGCAGCATCAAATGACTCGTACTCCTTGAACGTCAGCGATTCGTGCTGAGCAAAGAGGTATGGGTGGAATTCGTCATATCTATTGAGTATCAATAAGCAACATAATGTTAGAAATTATGAATGGTACTTGTCTTCAATTATTAGTAAGTGTAATTATTTGCCGCTTGCTTACGTGACAAGTTCCTTCTCGTCTGGATCGTCTGGATTCTTCTTCTTATGGTTGAGCAAGATGATGTATCCTTTCTTGTCGACAGCACCTCCATTTTCAATGATGTTATCAGCTTCCTGAAGTGATTTGAACAGAGCATCCAGATGCGGTGATCCATCTGAGGTGTCGAATCCTGATGATACCACCATGTTTGGCACCAGATCGGCCTTGACGATCGCATGTTCCGTGAGCGCAGGGCCGTAAACTATTTCAGTAATCCAGCAGGAAATTAATAAGATGTTCCATTGGCAAACATATCCTTGGCCTAAAGCCACACCGACAGCAGTGATACATACAGAGCTTTGTGTTGAGAATCTTCTTCAAAATATCCTTGGGTCCTGCCTCCCGCAACACTTGGACCAGATGCTCCTTCTGAATGGGTTCAAAGCTGCGAGTCAATGCGCCGACATCATAGGTCTCTCCGACCGCCATCCTGACCTTCTCGTTGGGCTGAACCACACGCAGAATCGACAAAATCTTATAGTGGCCATCCGTCAAAATCAAGTTTCCCTATAAGAATTGAAAAGGCAAAAAAAATCGTCACCTCCAGCGCAGCGCATGAGTACTGGGGAAGTCCAAGTTCATCTTCTCACCAGACCGTTCATGACAAATACAACCCTTGGAGGCGCTCCATTCTATGTTCCTTTGTGTTCCCTGAGATGACCCGCTCACCTACCGCAGCATAAAATTCGGCGATAATGTGGTATGTGTTGTTCAAGTCGTCTGCGCCAAACTCAAAGTCAACAATGCGGTCTGATCCCAACTGCTTGACGCCCGTCAGTCGCCTTGTCCTCAAGTGCTTGCGAATCTGTTGTAAAGAAAAGAAAAAGGGGTGTTCAGAAAAACAGGAATGATACCCAAGAATGATGCGCAATCATTCACAAAGTGATGCCATTTTTACACAGCCAATGTGATGTGCCTTGTTGGCACATCAAGGCGAAGGCAGCCAAAGCAACGAAAGGTGGTGGAGTAACTTACCTTGATGCAGAATCCAGAGGGAGTAATGGATTTATCACGAATGTAAAGTGTTGTATGCATGCGGATACCGGACTCGATAAGAACCATCTCCTTCCTGTCAGGCTATGTGAGAGTTAAGGCAAGTAGGCAAACGTTTTTTGTTCTCACTTGATCAGCCAACATCCTTATTGTTTTGCAGTCGCATGCAGAGGCAAAAACACATCAGCACCAGTGCAAGAAGTTTACCTTCGAGAACTTGAAGAGGTATGTCCTAGAGTTGACATCGTAAACGTTCTGAAGGCGGAGCCCAACGATACTATGAACAAGTACCGGAAAAACAGACAGCGATGCGCAGGTGGAGTAGGTTACTAAGTCTGATCAGTTTGTCTTGTTCCCATGAGAGAGTATGGTTCATTGTTCCGAAGAGAAACGTACGATTGCTGGAGGGTTGCAACGGTCGCACGCACGTCGAGAGAGCCAAAGCGAAGCTTGGGCATTGTGGATTATTGTGGTGGTGAGGGGTGGTTGGGGGAGGAAAGGGTGTGATGGATTGAGAGAAGAAAAAAGGTTGCGGAGGGCCTTTGGAGCAACCGTAGTTATTTTAGCGGCGTACAAAAATCTTCGCGTTGCTGTCATGGATACCACACGTGACCTTTCGATCCAAGGTGGGCGCAAGTTCGGACATCTCCTGCTCCACTCTCAATCATTGACAGCAAGGGGCCGGATAGCTGAATAAACCCACAGGTATTATTAAAGTGCTGTAGCTTCTCTATTAGCTAAGGTGCTAGGTAAGAACATTTATCTAATCTACAGCTTTTGGCTGTTGGCGCTGCGTTCTGCAAGGTATTTGACAAGATCGCTGTGGAGCTTATACCAGGTGGGGATGATATGTGTCAAGTTGCGCTCCTCTGCGATCCTGATGGGGTTCGACATAATAACCTCCATCTCCATGGGCCGTCCTTCCTCGAGATCGATCACCATACTGGCCTTGTATCCGTCTGCAAGGCGCGCACTAGTCATCATGCTCATGTCGACCAATGTTGGTGGCATTGGGTGTCCCAGGGCCTCGGCCAGCGCAGCAATCTCCTTCTTTGTTGTCAATGCCATCTGGTAGTACTTTTCGTCTGCAAGGACATTGGAAACTGTCCACAGGTTTGACAGGATACAGATAGGGTTCATTGCTCCGTTCCTATCAACATTTCAGGGGGGCGAAAGATTGATCGGTTAGTGCATGCAGTCGTGATAATATGAATCACAGAGGAGATCCTCGGAGGAAACGGAAAAGAAAAAGGACTCACCAAACAAGTTTCTGCCACCGGAAGTTTTGAATATCATTAGTGACAATGGTCTCCAGACCTCCAAGCTTGCATCGCTCACCAAAGGTTTGGAGCACCGACTCAGCATCGACTCCCTCAATTGGCTCAAACAGACCAACAACGATTCTTTGAACAGAACCAGAGTGGTAAACAACTCCAGCAGTGTTCTGGGTGACTCCAATGTAGGCAATGCTCGAAAGGATAGGGTTGCGAGGGAAACGCTTCTTAATGGGGTCCTCGACGCCAATACCGTTTTGGATAAGAACAATGCCAGCATCAGGAGATACCTCGACCGCGGGGGCAATGATGTCGGGGATGCTGTAGACGGCAGGCAAAGCCTTCATGCAAACGACAATTAAGTCGAACGTCTCATTAGGTACCGTCTTGACAACTATGGAGATGAAGAGCAACAGGGGCGCAAAGGTCAGGCCGATGTTCAATTGGGTTTGCTCGAGTATTGCTGACTTTGTCCGAGAACCAAGGAGAACAAATTAAAGTAAACTGACCATGGTCGGGTCTGAAAACGTGTGGACCTTCGCCCCAGGCGACAGTCTGAATCTCGATGCCATTGGCCTTGACCGCCTCGTAGTTGGATCTGCAGACTGCTGTGACGGTGCAATTACCCGCCTGCTGCATGCGCCAGGTGTAATAAGCGCCGATAGCACCGGTACCGACTAGTGTGAGACAAACGAAGGATCATGTCAATGGGTTGGCAAAAAGGACGGGTATCTGCGTGAACAAAGTATGTACAAGAGGAGAGACATTCTATGCAATTCTCCGTTTCGGGAATAAAATAAAGGGTCGTCGCACACAGAAAAAAATAAAAACGAACCTGTGAGGATGCGATGGTGAGGGATGTTGGTCATGTCTGCAAAGAAGGAATGAGTAAGGGAATGAGGGAGACAAAGAGACAAAAAGAGAACTAGGTGAAGAGAAGAGAAGAGAGAAAGGTTATCGGAGGAGCCTTATTCCCCAGCTGATGACACATAAATTGAAGAAAGGTACAGAAGGATAGGCCGGGCAGCCCTTTTGCCGGCAAACCTTGCTTCAGCCTGAACGCCCTCTCTCCCGACAGGCCGAGGGATCAGGGTACGTTTTTCCTTTCGATTGACTTGATTGAGTCACGCCAGGTAGATGCCCGTAATCGCACATGCAACAGTCCTTCTTGCTGTTCCTGTTCTCAAAGCGCGCACAGAAGGGGTTGCAACAAGGTTGGAGGGTGTGGAGAAGTATGTACAGCCAAAGACGCGCTCCTACCCGTGAGAAAATTTGGAGAAAGTGCGGGGGTCACTCTCCCCAAAAATGAACACTGGCTCGGTTCACCCTCTGTTCCCCCTTCCTTTTTATTCATCTCTCTCTCATCTTCTCACGCTCATCACCTCTTCCTCCTCTCTTCCCTTTTCATCCCACACTTTCCTCATCAAGATGATCGCCTCATTCCTCGCTCGCTCATCGCAGTCAAAGGCCCGCGTCGCCACCAAGCTGGCCTCGCCTATCACCGGTCTCCGCTTCAAGTCCACAGGTATGAAGCCGTTCTACTTTTCGTCTTCATCCTAATACTCTGGCAGAGATACATCCTGCTTATCAATCACTGACTCTTCGATTGGTTTTCTTTACTTCACTCCTCCTTTTGCTGCGTAGATGTAAGCACGCTTCGCATTAGCCACACCTGAATTCGAAAGGAAGAACAGAAAAAAGCGGTCTAGCCTTGGAACTCCGTTTCAAGGAAGGACGACACCGCGATGTAGGAGATTCAGGAACAACGGCCATATTTCAGGGTCTTCCTTGACATGGCTTAACTTACAAATATTTCTCCCACTCCTCTCATTCCTACTAGTCCAAGGTCAAGAGAATCGGATTCGTTGGTTTGGGTAACATGGGTCTTCCCATGGCCACCAACCTCTTCAACGGATTCAAGGATAAGGCCGACTTTATCATCTACGACATCAACCAAACGACCACCTCCAACTTCTTGAAGGATCACAACACCGACCCCAACAACAGGGACAAGGTCAAGGTCGCTAAGAGCCCATTAGAAGTCGCACAGGAGGCCACCGTCATCGTCACCATGTTGCCTGCCTCCCAGCACGTCGAGGGTGTCTACTTTGGCAAGGATGGTCTCTTTGGCGCCTTGGGCGAGAAGCACCTCGTCGTGGATGCTTCGACCATTGACCAGTCCATGGCGACCCGTGTCGCCAAGGCTTTGCAGGAGAAGGGTGCTAAGGCCATCGATGCTCCCGTCTCTGGAGGTAATTATCTGTCTATTTTCGCTTTTAACTGCCCTTTGTTGCGTTGATGAGTAAGCAGCTCACTCAGCAAATGCCATTGGATATCAATCTTTTTCAAATCGTTCGTTTGTGTCTATCTCTGGTTTACTACATGGCGCGACAAACTATTACTTATCAACCCTCACTGTCTAATCTCGCACTCATATAGGAACTGGAGGTGCACAGGCTGGAACATTGACATTCATGGTCGGATCAAACAGCAACGCCGATTTCGAGTTGGCCAAGCCCTACCTCGAAAAGATGGGCAAGAACATTGTCTACTGCGGCACCAACGGCAATGGACAGGTTGCCAAAATCTGTAACAACATGCTCCTCGGAATCTCGATGATCGCCACCTCCGAGACCATGAACCTCGGTGTCCGCATGGGCATGGACCCCAAACTCCTCGCCGGTATCCTCAACACCTCGAGCGGTCGCTGCTGGAGCAGTGAGGTCTACAACCCTTGCCCCGGTGTCCAGGAGAACTCTGCTGCTACCCGTGGCTACACTGGCGGATTTGGTATGCCCTTGATGGCCAAGGATCTTCGCCTTGCCGTCAACGCAGCCGTCGATACCAAGACCACCGTCATGCTCGGTGCCATGGCCCAGCAGCTCTACAACCAGATGGCTGCCAACAAGGACTATGAGAACCTCGACTTCAGTGCCGCCTACAAGTGGTTGTCCGAGAACTCCAAGTAAACAAAATCATCGACCCATTCATAGCCCTAAGCAATACCGCATCATAGATCAAATAAAAATGCATAAATCCCATTTCTTTCATGTTCGTGGTATAATGAGAACGGATATTAGTTATGGTTGCTATAGGGGTGGTTCTGGCGACTCGAACAAGACTTGGGCAACCAGGTATTCTCCGTCATGCGAGACGCTGCAATGTGCCGTTCCGATCCCGAATTTCTCCTTCTCCGGGATATGTAAACATGGCTTGCCTAGTGAATGAGAACAACGTTCATTGCATTTATATCATTGCTCGTTAGCAGTTCTTTTTTCATGGGGATGCAACATCCACCATCGCAACAGCCACGACGTGTACCTTGGTCTTTGTATACGGTGACATCCTGCCATGTTAGCTTATGTCGTGAAGTCATTGCCTTGTACGTTGCCTCCTTCAATGCCCACCTAACCAAAGGACAGGGTAGATGAATTGTCAGTATTGATGAAGATCAACATCCTCTCAATTCCTATCAGAAATTGGTGAAGGAACAATGAAAGAGTCTTCCTCACCAACAGGGGAATACAACATACCTGACGCCAACGAAGCGAACGGCTCTATCATGGGCAACCTCTCCATGTAATTCAGCCTTGAGTTGCTCAAAATCGGTGAGTTCAGCTTTGGTCAAGACCCTGGTCAGAAACCTGTCTGGTCTACGAGAGAGGACCTGCCTGAGTCGTGGTAGGTGCAGAATGTCGATTCCGATACCAAGAATTCCCATAGCTTTGAGCGGAAAGGGACTATGTGGCGCCTAATGCAAGATATGAGGGAGAAGGAAAAGAAACAAATGCCAGTAAGAAAGAAAGCAGAAAATATTGCAAGACATTGCTAGCAGTCACGTGTACATGGTAGCGTTTCAAACGATTATTTTTTTCCTCTCACTACAAAAAGGACCGTTTGGAGTTCTCTTAATTCTGATCGTTGCCCTTCATTCATTCACCAACAATGGAGTATAAGCAATTCCTTCAAATCCACCAGTACCAGCTCGCTAGTATTCCCGAGAACCTTTGGGAGGTAATGTTTTTGTCTCTCTTTCACCCCAACACGTTTATATTTGTACTTGTCCTTGGCTGTATCTGTCTCTGGGCGCGACAAGTTCGCTTTTCTCACGCTTGAAAAGATTTTTTTCGGTGGTTCACTTTTTGTAGCCACTCTTCCAAAAGCTCGGACAGGATCTCTTTGACGCAGGCGAGTTCTTGGAGCTCCACTATGGCGATCCTTTGGACAAGTATTCACTCCACGTCAAGAAGGAGGGTGGTCTGAAGAAGCACAGGTAACTAGTAGAGATACTGTTAATGCTGTTGGATTTATGCGTTTACATTGTGATATAAGATTATGTCCATCCTAACACCAGCTTGCTACATCTGCCAATAGTGATATCTTCCTTGTCGATCATGCATGGACGACAAAGCCCGAGACCTCGCGTGCCCAGCTCCTCGACAACCCTCAATTGGTTCAGCGTCTCACGTCGATGATGGATATTTCTGTTGATGCCGAGGAAGAAGAGGTTGCTGAGGAGACCGCAGGAGCTGGCGATGGGGAGGTTGTTAGTAAGAACCCCGATCTGGAGGTTGATCAGACTATGATCGAATTGGTTGCTTCTCAGGGAAAAGTCACTGAGAAACGCGCCAAGGTTGCTCTCCAGAACGAGAACGGCGATATTCTTGCTGCCTTGATGGTATGAACATCTCTCTTGACAAATCGAGCAATAGTGAGAAGGGTTGCATGCCAATACGAACTAACAATTCTTTGTTTTGTTCTACTTTTTGATCTAGTCGTTGACGCTTCACCCTGATCACGATGCCGCGGGCCTCAAGAACCTCGAAAACGCCATTGGTGGTCAGGTCAAGAGTAAGTACTCGGTTATTGTAATTTCATTCACGAAGCAACAGCGCTCGCTCTAAGTAACTTCTACTGACCTTCCCTTGACCTATTTCTCCATCCTACTTATAGGAGACAAGGAAGCCAAGGCTGAGGAGAAGAAGAAGCAGGACACTGTCAACAAGATCATGTCAGAGATGTGGAAGTACAGCCAAACATACGAGTACGCCGTCGTCGACCCCTCCGGACAGACCAAGAAAGAGAGCGCCTGGTGTAAGTTTTCAACCCACAAGTATCAAATAAGAGAGTGACCACGCAAGCTTCGCAAAGGAGATGCGACTTGTGGACACACACAAAGAGGATATGCCATCTCACGCTTTGCTCTCCATTTCTTCGTTGACTGCGGACAAAAATAATTAGACATTATGGACGAGGTTGGATCGTCGCTGGCTCACTCAGACTCGCCCAACTGTATCTGCGCCCCCTTCATCTACGTTGGTCGTGGCACCGTCTCGTACAGCATTATCTTCCCCATTGAGGATATCCCCAAGGGCGGAGCCTTGACCCGCGACTTTGTCCCTGCCGATATCAAGGACCCCATGGACCGCAAGGCCTATCTCCAGATCTATAACGATGCCCAAGATGCCGCCGAGCTCATCGCCGTCTATGAGGTACTCAATCTGTACAGAATCACGCTTGTTTGTCGGCTTTGATCATGACAAGATTTACTCACAATCCGATTTCTCCCATATCTTATTTATAGACGTATAAGTTGGAGGAAAATGAGGTGAAGCCATTCGATCAACCCTTCACCAAGACCCTTACCAGGATCCCCGCTCCAAAGGCCGGCGACCGCAAGTTGCGCTTGTACACGACCACAGAGTGGGTTGCTACCAACTGCAAGCTGGCCAACGTGGAATTAGTCGACTCTGAGGATCAGGCCGACTTGCTCTGGTTCAGCCAGGACTTCAAGGAGTTTGACAAGTTGACCAAGGGCCAAAAGATCAACCAGTTCGAGAACGAGTCCTGTGTGACCTACAAGCAGAACCTGGCAGCCCTCGTCAAGTCTGCCTACGGTACCGTCCCCTGGAGCTCGACCACGTATAACTTGACCACGGAGTTGGCACCCTTTGTTGGGCATTACCTCTGGAACCAGGAGCATCATCATCGCAACCTTTGGATCTGTAAGCCCTGGAACTTGGCCCGTGGACTCCAGATTACTATTCAGGAGGATCTTGCCCCACTAGTCCGTCTTCGTGATACGGGCCCAAAGATTGCTCAGGAGTACATCCAGACCCCTGTCCTCTATGAGGGTCGCAAGTTTGATCTCCGGTACATTGTCCTTCTGAAGGCTACCCACAAGGTTGAGGGCGATCCTAGTCAGGGGTATGAGTTCCAGGTCATGATCTACAAGATGTTCTGGATCCGTCTGGCCAACCATCCCTTTGACCTCGACGATTTTGAAAACTACGAGAAGCACTTCACCGTAAGCCTTTCTCGCTCTTTTTTTTTTATTGTTGTTTTGTTACTGTTGTTGTTCCTACGTGTTGCCGTTCAGGTACAAGAAAAGCTTTACTAACACCTTCTTCTCTTTGATTTTGGATAATGGAATAATGTTAGGTGATGAACTATGGAAACTACAGCCTGACACAACTCCTGTACACAAAATTCATCGAGAACTTTGAAAAGGAACACGCCGACAAGAAGAAGTGGTCCGAGATTCAGGCCGACATCAACGAGGCCATCAAATCCATCTTCGCGGCCGCCGTCGTCAAGCCCCGGCCTGAGGGACTCGGCGCGGCTGACGATAAGGCTAAACCCTATGAGGCTTTCTCGATCTATGGAATCGATGTCATGCTCAAGGATGATTGTCAGCCCGTGGTGGTCGAGGTGAACTTCTCGCCAGATTGCACGCGTGCTTGTAAATATGACCCGGATTTCTTGAACAATATCTTGACGGTTGTTGATCCTCGTGCTGGGTCTTTGGATAAGGCCGTCCAGGCCTTTAACGTCCTGTAGAGGATTGCGCTTTCTCATGTAAACATTCACATCCCATCCACTTCTGTAGTAGTGTTATTTTTTGTCGCAACAAAATAGTACTTATTCTTTTTCAAAATATTTGACTAAACGCACATAAAAAAAATAAAAAAAATAAAAAGATGACAGCTTGCTTATGATAGTGAAAGAAACGAATGGATTATTATTTAGTATGAACGAGTAGTGTAAGTATGTGTAGCAAAGAAGAAAAGAAAGAGGCAAAAAGGAGAAGAAAAGAAAGAGGCAAAAAGGAGAAGAAAAAAAGACAAATTGCATACGCTGGCAGCTGTTTACAACTCCAAGGTGGTGCCAAAGACCTAATAACAACACACACAAAAGCAAAATCATGTTAGCGTTTACAGAAAAATCAGAATCCCGTGTCAAAAGCCAAAAAGGGAACGTCGCAACGTGAAAAAACAAAAGAGCATCCAAAACTCCCCCACAAAGAAAAAAAAAAAAAGGAAGAAACTTAAAGCAATAACTTACGCGATCCCAGATCTTAGAGGTGATACCGTATCCGCCCTCAAAGTTCTTGTAGTGGTGGGCAAGATGGTAGGTCTTCATCTCCTTGAAGTGGATCTTGAAGACCTTGGCGTGGTGGAGGTAGTAGTGGGTCATATCGTAGAGGACGTAGCCAAAGAGAAGTCCCGCCATCATCACGTAGCCCTGGGCCAGGGGCATGAACGTGTGCATCAGGTAGTTGATAGGGATCGCCAATGTAATCGCCAATACTGGAGGCATAACCAATCGCAATCTATTGTAGAGTTCGTAACACAGAGGAGAAAGAAGTGTTATTGTTAATGTTGCTGCTGTTGGTCATTTGGGCAAGCCGACAAGTGGTGTTGCTGGAATGCGGTTGAGCCGCTAATTGGTCCCCTTTTCTAATGTTGCTAAACAACAAAACATCAAGTGAACATTTCTCCTTGTTGAACATTTCTTACCTGTCCATGGGAAGGTAGTGGTGGATACCATGAAGCAAGAAGTGACCAATGTTGCTGTAGTTGGACTCAGGCATGAGATCGTCCAAGTGGAACAAGAACCGGTGGATCATGTACTCTGCCAGCGTCCAGACAAACATACCAGCAACAAACAGACCCGACGTATTCTCAGTCGTCAAACCTTGCTGAAGACCACGGTTGACATTGAAGGCAATGATGGGCAACCAAAGGATGGGGACAATGTACCAGGGGGTACGGGTGAAGATCTCCAAGAAATCCGAGCTGAAGAGACGAGCCGATCCGCCGGCGACATGGCGAGGGATGTGGACCTGCTCGAGATAGAAGGACTTTGAGAAATTGGCATGCCAGAGCTGGTGGAAGAGGGGCTTGTTCAGGTCCAGGAACCTGTTCTTCTTGTCTGCCACCAAGTCGGTATCGTTGAGGTAGTACTCTTGCTCCCCCGTCTCAGAGTTCTTGGTATCCGTCACATTGGCGCCCAGTCGCCTGTGCATTTCCGCCTCGTGCTGCTGTCGGTCGATGGCGGTGGTTGTTGCTGAAGTAGTTGTAGTAGTGGTGGTTGTTGTGGTTGTTGTGGTTGAAGAAGAAAAGAGGGCACCGATCAAGAGTTCGTCGAGCATCTCGTAGGCACCGTCTGAGTGCAAGTGCTCGAGCTCGTCCTTCATCAGGGCGGTGACATCTTTGCCGGCGTGGTCGAGGATGAACTCTTCTCCACCGGGATGGTCGGCGACAAAGTCAGAGACATTGTAGACTTTGTTGTTGTGGATGAGCCAACAGTCGTCGGCCTTTGTGTGCTTGGCGACCTCCTGCTGAGTGTAGACCTTCATTGTCGTTTTAGCGCTTTTGGAGAGTTGTGGAGAAAAAAAGACAGGAATAAAAGATGATGAAACGGGAGAGCAGGAGGAGGCGGGGGGGACAACAAACAAGAGGTTGAAAGACGAAAAGAAGAGAGGCCAAAATAACAGGGCACAACAGAAGAACCAACCAAGTAGAAGAAGACCCTTTTTCTTTCTTCCTCTTCTTTGCTTTCAATTGATAATCATGTGATCACCTTCCAACGCTACAACACAAGATAAAACTGCGTGGTGCAGCCATCCAGCCATGGTTGGAGTCGTTGTAGCAGCATCGAGGAACAGGGCAGCAACAGCCCGGGATGCCCTTTTTAGTCCACAAGCCTTCCTTCTTTTTCCTTTTATTCTTTCTTCCACCTCCACCATACCAACTCACCCACCTTCTTCCCACCTGCGCCTTGGCGCTCATAATGTTTTAGAACAGAGACGATGGCTGAAATGTTGACCCACAAAGCAAAAATTAAAAAAAATACGCGTCGTGAAAAAGAGAAACATCCAATCGCTGCCAAGGTGCACAAAAAAAAAGAGCTCTGAAAAAACGTGCGGGCCTCAATTGCACAATCTTTTTCAATACACCAGCTCGAGCTTGAGCGGGAAAAAGAAAACCGAGGAGGGAGAGCAATGAGATATGCAAAGAACGAAAACTGCGAAGACCTGCCCCCCCCCCCCCCCCCCGGAGAAACCAGGCAGACCACGTCCTGTCCTATCTTCGGTAACTGTGTGCCGAGTGGAAGGAAGAAGTACTCCCTCCGGCAGCGCTAATGGGTAAAAAAAGACGCCACAGAGCGCGCTCTGAGAAGTTCCGGCCACCAAAAGAAGAAGTACCAAAAACTCACCCACGGAATATTTTCGCACGATCTCTTCCATAGGTGTAACGCCTCCATCGGATACTCTGTCTCTATCCCGATCAGATAAGTGATTTTAACCTATGGTAGGCTGCATGAACCATTGAGGGGTTTTTTTGAATGCTTTTTTATATTTTTTTTTTGTAGGTTGCTATTTTGTATGAGCGCGATGCCTGCGTGGTGCTTGTGGTTGTGTGTTGTTTGTTGATGTGGCTGCTGGATTGACGGACATGATGCAAAGGAGGGAGATCGAGTTGTTTTCCTGTCTGTAAACTAGTGTTGTTTGTTGTGTTGGTGGCGTAGTGAAGTAAGAAAAAAAAATATAATAAAGCTTTGCTGAAATGAGAGTATGCGCCTTTAGTTCCTCCACATCAACATCCCAGTTTCGACAAGAGTATCCCTTCTACACGGCATGCAACTTTCACTCCCCCTCCTTGATCCAGAACATCCCGCAAATCCAACAAATGTCTCCCTTGCTGCTTTAACGAGCCTCGAACTGAACCACTATATAACGTGAAGATACAAGAAAAATGAGCGGTGTTGTCAGCTACTGCGCTTTCCAATGTGCTGCTGGTGGCGTATGCTCTAAAACAATGAGCAAACCCATAGAAGATATCATGTCCAGTTTTCTTGATAGAGCAGTGGTCCAGGTCTGTTCCATGTCGTTTGATTAAGTCTGTTGCCAAGAAATAATAAAACCACACAGGCGCAGCTCTATGATTCCACAGCCTTTTCTCATCAAACGTATCGATTGCGTGCGCCCTTGGTTTCGTGCATAGATCGAACTTGTCCAGTCCTGCTGTAGCCTTTTATCCTCCTGAAGTCCAGAATATGCACAAACAAAATTGCCATATTCAACAGTAGACACGCTTGCCATCAAAAAGTCATTATAAAGAGCAAATAAACGAACGAAGAAAGACGTACTTCTCTTGGTGCGCTTCTTGTACATGATACGGTAACCGCACTCTTTGCAACGGATGGGCTCCTTGGGCTTGATTTCGTTGTCTGAACCACACTCGGCGCAGATGTAGGTCATGGCCGGTGCTGGGGCCTTAGGTGCGGTCGACTGAGTGGCGTTATAGTTCATGGTTGTTGCGTGTTGATGAGTTGGCGGTTCGTTGGCGACGAAAGAGTCAATGGACAATGTAAGAGCAAGGAGAAGAAGAACAATGGGCGACGAATCGAGTTGTTTACATCCGTTTTTTTAGCCTGCTAAAAAGACCAGCAGATTGTGTATAAGCCACAAATCACAAATCGCAGCACTTTTTTTGGATTTTTTATGTTTCTGCGGACACTTGCCTATGAATGTGGCGAAGGTTATGGATATGAATATGATTTTCGTTTGCAGTTCGTTCGTTCGTCATGTCAGGTTATCATTATGAGAATCCTCAGGAGACGTGAAAAAGAAAAAAAAAGATGTGGACATCTAGTAGTCGTTGCCAAGGGTGTTGCCGTGGGTTTGGGTGGATATCATCTCGTTCACCGTCCTCTGCAGGACATTCCAGTCCTCAGCGCGCGGCGTAGCCATCTAATAAATTGGAATGAAAAGCATGTTCGCCCAAGTAAATATCTTGCTCTTCTTGCAATTTTCATTATACTGAGAAAAATACCTCTCCTTCCAAGCAACATGTCCTTACCTCGCCAATGTCATAGACATAGACATGTCCGTCGCTCGAACCGATAGCAGCATGGCGGCCATCCTTACTCCAGCTCAGCTTGTTTAATGCCTTTCCGGCCCCAACAACTGTGCTCATCACAGGGACTTCGGTATCAAGGTTCAGGTTCCAAACCTCAAACTTGCCGCTGCCCTCTACAGTTCCAAAGATCGCAGGGTGTGTAGGAGACCACTTGACATCATAGACATAGTCATCCGCAGTCTCGAACGAGTATAGTGGATGAACAACTGCATTGTCAGGTGTGGGTAGCTTAGGGTGAGTCCGCTTTCTCCACAACTTGACAGTCCAGTCAACCGAACTGGTCAGGTACAGGTCGGAAAAGTCCATAGGTCCGAACAGTGGGTGGAAGTGAAGTCCTGTAATAGGTCCAAAATGTCCCTTGTACGAGTAGGCAGTGTTGATTCCAGCTTTGCTATATTTCAAAATGACAACGATAACCCGATGTTAGTTTCGCACTTATAAAAATAAACTGAGCACTCAGCTGCATGATATCATAAGGTGAAATGTCATTTTGATACATTACCTTTGGGCCCGTCCATATCGGTTTGCCTGGTAGACATTTCCTTCTTCAGTGCCGACCCAGAAGGCATTGGTCTCACCATCAGGGAACCCAAGGGTCGTGACAGCAACCTCATCAGTCGTAGGGTGGGAAGGATTGTCCAACGCCAGAGTTTCCTGAGGCTGTGCCAACATATCCAGCTGCCATGAGCACATGGTTCCATCCGTACTGACACTGACCAAGTTGTGAGCGTTTTGAGTGCCGACCATGTCGAGGGCGTACACTGGATGGGTATGGCCACCCACAGAGAGATGAGTCTTCAGGACGGGCAAGGACTTTGCGCGAGTGTCCCAGAGAAGAATCTGTCCAGAGTAGGTGCCTCCGATGATAAGGTTGGGGTGGAAGTCCGAGAATCGCACAGTGAGAACATCCGATTGCGAGTGGAAGACAAACTCGGGACGGTCTGCCAAGTGAATGTTCCAAACGCAGACAATTCCATCGGGTTCGTTGACTGCCAAAGGGTTCTTGTTGTAGGATGATACAAGCAACTCGGGGTGCTACACCAAGAAAGAAATTGTTAGTCAGATACGGTGAATAATTTAGAATGAGCATTTCTCTTCTACAATTTCAATCTCAAACAACATCCCCTTACCTTAGTAGACCACCCCACATCCGTGACAGATCTGTTCTTGGACCATCTGTCGTCATGGAACGAGCTCACGAGCCTCATTCTGCTTCCGTTGAGGTCCTCACTGCCAGGTCGTAAAAGTTGAGATGTATGACCGAGCTGTTAGTCGATGAAGAATTGAGGAGCCTTTCCAGTTCTCAAACACTCGATAATACCATATCTTGAACTCAATGATGGGTAGTACTTACGTGTCATCGTCAAGGCCCAGGGTATAATCCTTCATAAAGTCGTACTTCTCCGTCATGGCTCTCTCCAGAATCTTGGACGAGTGGTCAATGAAATCGACAAACTCGGCCGATTGCACAATTGACTTGCGCTCCTCGTCAGTCAGCTCTAAATGAGAGAAAGAAAGATATCATCATGTTCAGAAAGTTTACTCAGAATTTTCCTCATTCATTCCATGCCTTTCAAGTCGAATACTCACCAGGTGCTTCCTGAGGGACCACTGCCTCGTTCTCCAAACGTTCTGCCTCTAGTATTTCCAATCGAAGTTGCTCCTCCTTGGCAAACTCCTCTTTGATTTGCTCCCTAAGTTCCTCTTCGCTAGGGCCCTGAGGCTCGAATGAACCCTCCACAGTCTGAACCTCCTTGTTGTAAACGACTCGCTCCTACGAAAGTTCAAATAAAAGGACAGGGTTAACAACACTCCAAGCGCCACCAATGTCAACAGGTTGTGTTCCTACGTAAAATAGGAGGGTTGACCAACCTTGGGAGGGATATCAAAAATGACAGCCTCGACGGAGGTGAACTCTGGAATCAGCCGTCCTCCAAATGGCAAAGCACCATGGGGAAGACCTCCTTGAGATTCAGTACTAGTCAGTCAGAAAAATAGAGAATTACTGTCAGCATTGAAGATATCTGTGGCAGCTCCCCTCTCTATGGGACGACTCTGTATACAACCATGGACAATACATACGGGTAAGGAGGCGGCGACATGACAGCAGAGCTGGAGGTGGCCCCTCTGTCGGATCCTGCGTCCGAGCTCCCATCAATGGTCAATGTTGGTGTAGCTGGTCGGTCGACAAGCGAGGCGACAAGGTCGTCCAGGTCACGACGAGAACTCGTACTTCCTGGGGTAGAGGTCTATTTTGTTCAGAGAAGAAATAGCATGAGACGGATGTCATTGATAAGAGGCAAGTTGGAAAACCACATGTCAACCGGACACAACAAACACCCTCTTGTATGACCCCAGGTGAAAAAAAGAGAAAGTAAAATGAAAGAATAAGGTGTACAGTCAGAGAATATACACTTGCCCTTGTAGGTTGAGGCGCCATAAGGGCGTCTCGTCGCTCCAGGCGGGCCCTCCTCAGCTCCGCCAACTTTAGTCTCTTCTTTTCCAGTTCTTCTCGGCGATCCATGGTGAAAATGAGGGTTGCAGGCTATACGTTGTTGTATGTGTTGCTTTAATGTGTTAAACCTCAATGAGGGTGTGAGTGAGTGAGTGAGATGGAAGTGATGAATGTGTCGTAGGTCTGGTAAAGTGTTCTTGCAGTTGTAGCTTTGAGTAGAGTGAAAGGTGAGAGTATGCGGCAGTCGAGAGGTGAGCGACTCCTTTGAGACGAGAGGATGTGAAGAGCAAAGGAAAGGCGAAGGATGATGGGTCAGAGAGTCTTGTAGCAAATGAGACTTGTCAAAGGGAGGTAAGAGGTCACGCTGCAATGTTCATTGACCGAAATTTATTAGGACTTGGCTCAGGCACACTCTTGTCCACGCTATCGATCTCGCTCTCGCTCCTGCTCAAAGTCCCTCGACTGCTGGCTCTTGACCGCAGGCGAAGATCTCCGCGAGATGGGCAGCGACGGCACAGAGGGCGTGTACGATGTCATGTTCGATGCCGCCGCACTCGAGGCATACGCAAGTATCCACTATGTCACATAGACATACATCAAGGTGTAACAATGGTGTCAGTCAGTAGATATGTTACAGGTCGATAGTCAATGGCACTGGCATTCTATTTATTTTTACCTTCGTGTTGGTCAGCATATACTTCAGGGCACGGGTCCACGTCTCGCCCTGACTGAAGTGGAGCTTGATTGACGCATCGCCAATCTTGTCCTTGACGATTCTATTTGATAGGAGGAAAAGTGCGTATATGTCAGGAAGATGCACAGCACAGCCAAACTAAACTACCCATAAGATGAGTTAAAACAGAAACGGTAATGTACTTGTAAGGGAGTTCCAGCCTTGGCCCTTGGCCACCCTGCTGCTCAGCGTAATCCCCGAGCTGCTGTAGACAATTCAAAAACGCCACCATGGCATTATCAAACCGTCGGTTCAAGAACACGCGGCCGATCGCGTACTCGCCCGAACCATACAGCTCGTAACTCGCTCGGTCGCCTTCAATCCTGTCAATCCTTGAAAATGATCCCAGGGGTACCAGACGATATGTCTTGAACTCAAAATTCAGCTTGTTGGCAATCGTATGAAGCAGCAGCAGCGTCTGACCCCAAGCGGCATTGATTTCGGCCCAGTCCACGGGTTGCGTAGGAAGTCTTCCCAGTCTGAACCCATTGATCGTAGCAAAGTTCCCGTCGTGAGAGATGCAAAACGTGTCGTTGTACACGTTTGTCTTGTGGAGCTTTTCCAGTTGTCGGGAGTCGTAGTCGTATTTGAGGTTGACGCTATCCCGTTCGTTGTGAAATGTCTGAAGAGTCTGCTGGAACTCGTTGCATTCCTGCCAATACCTAAATCCCAAAGATAAACGGACTGGGTATTAATGACAAGGGAAAATGAAGCAATACCATCAAGACAGGTGAGGTAGCAGACTGTTCTTACTGTTCTTCTTCTTTGTCCAGCTCCAAAGACTGCTGCTCCAAAAGCGCTATCTCTTCCTTGACCGCTCGCTGTTGCTCCTCGATGTCCCGGAGTGCCTTGATAGATGCGCTTTCGTCCAATTGAATCTGCTTGATCTCTGTCTCCAGTGCCTCCATCTCGTCATCGCTCGCCACATTCGAATGAACTATCCGCAAAAAGTTGATGTAGCAATCCCGCTCCATGGATACGTCTCTCAGCTGTCTCGCCAAGGAGTCGGACAGCATTTCGGCACACTCATGACAGAGCGGATGGTCGATGTCGGATTTGGACGACATGAGGTCAAATAGCTTTCCCGTTGTCCGCAGTCGATTTGCCTTGACAGTCCTCTCGGTGTGCAAACTCTCCATGCCATCCATTCCTTGTCCTCCAGAAAGAGATTTGAGGCGACTGGCGGCACTAGAGCCTCCATTTGAAGGACCGCCGTTTAGTGTTCCTGCAGCGTTACTGTTGTTGATATTGATGATGTTTCCACCAGATGATTTTGTGCTCCCTGAGGAAAGGGTCCCTCTGGCATAGTAAGGTTGGTTGTTGGTGAGGTGTGGCAAATGGGTTGAATCGAGAGTGTTGCCTTTGGAGAGCATGACAAACGACTCTGCTGTATCCATGGGGGGGTGCATGTGGTGAGAAGGAGAGGCTGAATAATCGTGGATACCGAGTCGAGATCCGGGCTGGACATTGGAGGGAGGAATTGAACGAGTATAAACTGCTTCCGTGCGGGAAGGGTCTCCCGAAGATCCGCCTTGGCTCCTTGGTACTGAGGTGCCTTGTGAAGTGGCCGTCTTTTTGTCTGAGGATGCTCCAGAATTGTTTCCAGAGTGATCAGAAAGTGGCCCTATGAGAAAGAAAGGAGAAAAGCGAGGTAAGAAATCAAGCGAAGCGAGGCTACGTCAGTCGTTGTTAGCCACGCGAGAGAGCGGGGTAATAAGACTTGGCAACAATGAGTACCCAAGAGGAGGTCGAAGGCTGTTGAATGAATGTCCTGCAAGGACTCGTCGATCCCAAGCTGCTGATTGCACTTTTGGCAGACAAAGAGGCGTGCGGATGTGGAAGCCATGGTGTTGTGGACGGTCGTGCTGGAATGGTAGAGTTGTGGAGTAAAGCAAAAAGGGAAAAAGGTCAAAGAGGTGTGGCAGGCAGGCTAGCAGGCATGTGACTGCTTCGCCATCGAGTGTGTGTTCAAGGAGTCCGAAATTTAGGGCGTGTCAGGCGAGAATGAATTCACTGTTGTCTGCCACCCAGCTGTCCTTGCATGCACCTCGTCTACAATCAAACGTCTCTAAACTTCGTACCCAGTAGAAAAGGCTCTTACAAGGCTGTGAACTAAGCAAGAGAGGAAGGACAGAAGTATCAGACGTTGCATGCAGCATTGGTGTTTTAACTAACACGCTCAAAAGGGTTATATCGAGAGATCCACGTTCTGTTCGAGCGATAGAGATCAACATCGTTTTTTTTATTCAGAGTGGAGTAATGTACAGGTATAAAATGTTGGGCATGGCAACAAAAAAAAGTAAGAGGGATGAGAAGAGAGGGAGAGAACAAGATGTCGTAAAAGGAAGGATGAAAGAGATGACAAGCGCCTGTGAACCAATTGGTTCAAGCAGCTCGAAATATAAAAAAGTGATGTTACAGGAGTTCGTAGGATTGTCGTTTAAAATTTGAACTCTTCAAAGGCAGAACCGGCAAGGGCAGCCTGAATATCAGCAGACTGTTGAGATGTTGGCTGAGCAGGGAATCCGTTTGCGGCTGGTCCAGCTGCTGAAGACGACATCATGTTGGGTGCGCCGGGTGCTCCAGGAAGACCTGTAGGCCCGACGGCTGGGTTTCCGCTGTTACCGCTGCTGTTGCCATTACCGCCCTTGTTGATGATTTCAACATAGTTGCTGGGGAAGAGACCCATCTCACCGTTGCGAAGACGTCCTCTCCACCAGAGCGAATCCTGGCCCATGGGGTCCTGTCGGCTTAAGATGGCAATGATATCGCCACGACGGAACGCCAACTCCTGCTGAGTGTTGGAGGGCGTAAAGTCGTAGAGGGCGCGGGCAAAGTCCAAGCCTTGGGGGTTGACTGGGGCGACTGCTCCAGGTTGAGCGACTTGGCCCTCCTGGGCGGGCAACTGACCCTGTTGAGGAGCGGGGTTTCTGTTGGAAAGAGCACGGATCAGGCGTCCCATCAGGTAGGGCAAGCCAAAGACGGCGAGCAAAAAGATGACGATGGGGCGCTTGGAGTATCTCGGCTGGGCCTGGAACTCCTGAAAGTTGCCGGGAGTGAGCTCCTGAGTGTTGACGGGAGCCTTCATGCCGACCATACGGTAGGCGAGGCTCTTGGCCCATCTCAGCAGGGCAAAGATGCTCAAAACTTGACCAAGATAGCCACGCAAGTGGCCAAACTGTTCTGCAACACCGACCATGGCCATGAAGGACGAGTGGGTGGCCATAAAGGTCGACTCGAGCATCTGGGCAAATCCACCAAAGGCGCCGACCACGGACTCGATCAACTGAAAGGTGGGGGCGGAACCCTGTTCCATACGCTGCATCAGAGACATCTCCTCGGGACCCATAGGGCCATTCATGCCGTTCATGCCGTTCATGCCGTTCATGCCATTCATGCCATTCATGCCGTTCATTCCCATCCTGTTCATGCCATAGCCACCATAGCTAGAGCCGTATCCGCTGTAGGACGAACCGTAGGAGGAGCCGTATCCGCCCATGCGGGAGTAAGGTGAGGACATAGATGACCCGTAACTTGAGCCGTAGCCACCCATTCTGCTGTAGGGTGAGGACATCGAGGATCCGTAGCTTGAGCCGTAGCCAGACATTCCGTATCCGGTGCTTCCGTATCCGGTGCTTCCGTATCCAGTGCTTCCGTATCCAGAACCGTAGCCGTTCATGCCTTTAAAGTGTACGGTAAGGTGGAGAGTGAGAGAGGAGGAGGGGAGATGGTTAAGAGGAAGGTTTTTGTTATTGTTTGCTAATAGCGAATTAGAAGAAGAGAGAGAAGCAATTGAAGAAAGGTGTGGGAAGGAAGGAGGGAAGTGAGAAAGGGGGGAGGGGGAGGGGGGAGGAGGAAGGGGAGGGTACGAAGAAAGGAGAAAGTAGAAAGAAAGAGAGACAAGACAGATAAAAATGTTGTGGGGTAAAGTGTAAAAAATGGACGGATAGCGGGAGGACAGACACGGGGATTTAGAAGTAAAAAATATTCCGTCCTTCCGGGTGGGTGTCGGTGTGTGTGTATGTGGATTGCTCGTGGGTTGAGTGGAGTGAAATAAGCCAAGACGAATCATACGAAGGCCGTCGGCTTCGGCTGACGAGTTCGCCGCAAACTGAACTCTCTCTTTGGTCTGCCAAAAAAAATCGTGCTAACTCACACATACATTACACACCATAATAACAACAATAAACATGAGCACTGTCGCCGGCTGATAAATACTTTTCACTTTCTGCGCTCGCTTCCTTTACTTATTGCTGCCGTTGTCATTCTTATTATTGTCCTGTGTGGTGTGTTCCCGTTTCTTGTATAGGTCAAGTCGAAGTCTAGTTGATCTTTTCTTGTTGTCTTTATTTCCCGTTGTTTCCTGATTGCTCCTTCATTCCATCGTCTACAAGACAAGCTGAAATTAAGTATTTACCTGGTCGGTATCCGGTGGAAGTAGCACCCATGGTACCCATGGCGTTGGAGCGAGCGGGGAGGCCAGGGGGACCAGCAAGGTCGGTTGTGCTGGAGGACATAGCTGCGGGTGAGGAGGCAGGCAGGGCGGGTGGTGCGGGGCCAGCAGAGGTGGCGGCAGGGTTAGCCTGTCTGGCTCTTTCCCATGGCTTTTCGGGCATGTTTTATATATGTGTTTGTCGAAAAGTAAAGGAAGGGGAAGAGAATGAGAGGGGGCGAGAGAGGGGAGAAGGAGAAGAAAAGAAAGAAAACGACCGAGAGACTGGAGAGTGGAGAATGGAGGACAAAGTGGTTGGAAGGAGTGAAGAAGAGTAAAGCTAAAAGAACAAAATCCAGACGCTTTGAGAGCAGCAGGGGAGAAGGAGGAGAGAGAGAGTCAGACAGCATCAGGTAGACCGATCGGTCGAAATGGATTCACATGGGCCTGGTTTTGATTGGCCAGGGTCTGCTATCACATGACGCTTACTCTCTCTCTCTCTTCGCGACGACGGGCAATGTCTGTGCCTGACTGTGGAGATCGACGGCAATCAGCGGAGGTGATCACCTACGCCTCCTCTCTGGACACGATATCCATCCATCACTGATCACCATCAATCCATGCCTCTCCTGTAGTACTCCATAAACTACGAATACCTTAACGCGTATTCTCCCATACTACGGTACCCGATCAACAGACCGAGGGGACTGTTGTGGAGAGAAAGTACGGAAAAAAAATGAGGCCTGTTTACTAATGGACTCGACATCTCTCACTCTTTCTCCTTCTCTCTTCCTCTCTCTCCTCGAATGGATACATATAGTACCTTCATCTGGCAAACAATGGGATTAGAAAGAAAAGGCTGCTTGAGAATGAAGTGTGAACAAAAAGAAAAAAAAAGAAAGATTGCGTAAAACGCACGTTCATCTATCTTATGCTTTGTGGTTCAAGCACCTTCCGTCAACTCCTTCTCCTAACGATCTATGGATGTGGCAAAAAGGAAGAAAAATCGCCAACCCGCATCCGAACCGTCATTCTCCTGATCCTCTCCTTGCGGCTTTCCCTTTTGACCATCGGCACGGACTCACCCCCTCCGCCCTTTAACTGTAGTAGCCGCCTTGGTTCCATAGCACTTGCTCGCTCGTGTTCTTTTGCAACGTTAGATAAGAGGGCTAAATTATGCTCCGGGAGTAGATGGACGGACCATCCAGCTCTTTGTGATGTTGACATCTTTTCATTCTCCCTTTTTTTTTGGTCTGCCTTGGGCTGACGAGCGTATTTATTGGACCCAGTACATTGTGCTTTAGTTGTTTGTTTCCTTTGCTGAACATGCCGAAGTGCGAGGCGAGAGTCAATGAATAACAGAGAAGAAAAGGTCAGGAGCACGACGCTGGACATCCTTTGTTATTCATATCTCACAAAATACAAAACGAAACATATAAAGACGATAAATGACAAAGGGAAAAAAAAAATCAAAGGAGTTCCAAACTCTTCGCGCTCCTGGTCAATGCTCATAATATTTCTTTTTATTCAGGAGAGAACTTATTGTAAGGAGACAGGAGATGTCCAGAGAGGTTGTACATGAACGCAAATAGCTTTTTTTGTTTCCAGCTATGTATGTTCCCTAGTCGTGTTCAATCAATGCAACGTTCCGATTGAGTGGTTGAGCCACTTGGCTCAATGGTTTGTTCATGTTCGCACATGGTTTACTTTCTTTTCTGGGTTATGGGTTGACTGGCTCTTTTTTAGTAATGTTCGAGTACCTGGATGGTTGTGAGATGTGGAGGTAGAGAGATGACCTAGTTTACTGAAAAGCATGGGCCAAAGGGGAAGGGCTTTTTTAACCCGAGGCTGCCAAGGACATAATAGTCCAGTTACCGTTCGTCATTTACTTTCTCATTAAGCATGACACAACTAAAGAAAGAAAAAACGGAGATAGGATGGATCTTCGAAAGCAAAAAGAAACTAATACGAGAAAAGAGTGAAATGTCAATAGGCCGGACAAAAAGCGGTTTAACTCCGCATGAACTGAAGAAAGAGTAAAAAAAACGTCGGCTCACCTTTTGGATGTGAGTTCGATGTTGCCTCGGCCTCATGGACAGCAAGCGTCCTCTCCACAAGGCCGTCTTGTGTACGTCGAGTCGTTTTCGTCACTGGTTCACGTTTATGGAGTGCTCGGGATCCTTTCTTGGTCGGCCATTTTTGTTGGCGGCTTGTTAAGCACACCAATGCCTCGATGGCAGGCAACATGGTCTTAAAAGATAAACGTAAGTCCGCCAAGACAGGTTGACCAAGGGATCCTAGCAGCTGGCGCAGTTCTACTGTTCTACTCGTGTCAATGTAGATACTGATGCTAGATGTCAAAGCAATTTGTATTAGTCGTTCGTTTGATGTGCCTAATGATGGATAATGAATGGCTTTCTTTAACTCTTTGCTTTTGCCTTCACCTCCATCGTGATCATCCTCATCACAACCCTGCAAAAGTAGATGAACTACACAGCAGCGGCGGCGGCAGCAACAACATTCTCATCGTTACGCTCTCCTTCCTCTCTTCGTTTCTCTTTCTTTCTTTCTCTCCCTCTCACTGCCTTCCTTACTCTTTTTTATCCTGGTCCTGGTTAAACCGTGCCTGCCGCGAGAATCTTCTGTCCGCCTTTTTTTTTTTTCTTTCTTGTATTACTTTCTCGCTATTTGTTTCTCACTTCCCTCCCTTTTTTTTGCTTTCAATAATTGAACTGCATTCGAGTTCCCTCTGTCTCTCGCTCTTTCTCCGTTTTCAACACTCACTCATTCTTTTTCTCTTTTCTTTCTCTTTGCTCACATCCATTCATTCCTTTCTTTCTTTCTTTCTTCACCTCTTTTCTTACTCATCTTTCTTCTCTTCTCTTCCTCCTCTTTTCTTGTTTCTCTTAATTGTCCCTCTAGTCCATCCTCTTCTTCCTCACTTGGCGGTCGTCCATTCTCTCGACACTCCTTGTGCCATCTCTTTTTCTGCTGCACGTTCTCCAGGAACCGCCTCAGCTTAGCCCTACCCCCACCACTCATCATCCTTCAATCTCATATCCACCCCTCAGCTCCACCTTCACCTATCCATCACAACCACCTCCCATTTACCCTCTCCTCCACTCTCAACCCTGAATTTAATGCTCCAACTCTCCTCATTCGACTGAACCGACTTTGTACGATCACCTTCGCCCACCCAAAAAAACACAACAAAAAAAGCTGGCTATTGTGCAGCCATCGTTCACATCCTTCTGCAGCCAACAATTCCCCTACCCCTTGTCTCCTTGACCACCTAACCTATCGACATACAACTTTCCTTTTGTACCCGATTCTCGCCCACCATCACTTCCTTCCAGAACTTACATTCGCCTGGATCCACGTACACAAAAAGGTAGGCGAAACACATCACATCTCATCACTCCTTTTTCTCTCTTGCGCCCGAAAAAATCCTTTTGCGGCAGTGTTTGTCCCTTCTACTATTTCTTGTGCAACACACACCGTCAACTGCCAACGCGTCCATACCCTTCTCCTACGCAATATTTTTCTTCCCGCATTTGATATTTCACTGCCACTCATCCCTTTTCCTCATTCGAGCAATTGCTCCTAAGAAAAAAAAAGACAGTGGCCTGCTCTTCACCCCCCAAAAGTGCATCGGGCTTACAATCATAGTATTGCATACAAACAAACAGATATACATGCATACACCACCAAGCATGCCTTGTGTGAGTGTCCTTCCCTTGCGCTTTCGTCTCCGTTTCTTTCACCTTTTGAGCCATTTACGCCGGGTCTGAAATATGATGTATATTTAAGCTTGCGCGGTTTAACCGACTGGCTGTTGACTGGGCGCACCAAGGATGACTCTTTTCCGCCATTTTTTATTCACTCCGCCTCCCTAGCCGCCGAATGGAAGAGGAACAGCAAAAAAAAGAGGGTGTCCGGGGTCACAAAACGGAAACGAAGAGCAGCTAAACTGGCATGGGCTGGGGTGAAAAGCAAGGGGTGGATAAAAATGGCTCAAGCGGAGCCACGGTCAATGCATTTTTTTTTGTTTAAAAAAAAAAGCAGAAAACAAAACAAAGGCCACCGCCATGGTATGATATAGGCCATCGAAGGGGTTTACAGCCCGATAGTTGGAGTGAGAGGCGCACTTCTTTCTTTCTTATTTCGTTACTCCCTCTTCATTCTCCACTCTTTCTCTCTCTCCATTCCCTCGCACCGGTCCCCTTCTCCCCTCTCCACTCTCCACTCCATACTCATTCACCTCCCTTCCTTCACAAACCGCCATTCACTCATTCCTCCTCTCCACTCTCCATTCCCACTCTCACGTCCGCTTCTACTTCCACTGTCCTTGCAAACCTCGCTGGACCTGAACAGCAAACAACTCCCCTATCCTTCGCTACGTCTCCACTCATAATAATAACCGGGCTTTAGTCAACAACCTATCGCATGGTTCCCACTCCATGGTCCCCTTGGATAACATCACATCTGCCTCTCTCTCTACCTGTACGTTTCCTATACTTATTCCTTTTACCCTCTTGTTTCCACAATCTGGCGTTTTTTGGATGCCTTGTCTCGTTTTCTCTCCTGCTCCTCTCTGCCCTCCTCTCCTCTCCTCTCCTTTCCACCACCACCAACAACTCCTTCTCGCCCTTTCCCTCCGCCCCATCCGCCTTCTCCGTGAGTGCACCTTTCCTCCTTTTTTTTTAATTGTTCTCTTCTTTGTTCGAAAAGAGATATCTTTTCTTCCCTTCTCTTTGTTTCCTCTTTCCATTTCGTCTGACTTCGGTGTCCTGAATCAGAAAACGCATACACACATGCACGCCAGATAGTCGGCCACTGCACTTCTGTTCTCGACTCTGTGCAACCTCAATTGCCCTCTTCATTGTTTTCCCTTTCTTCATATTTCTCCAAACCCCAGCGGCGGGAAAATACACACACAAACAATGACAAACAAACAAGCACAACTCACACTCGACCATTTCTCGCATTGTTTTCTTCCTCCTGTTTTTCCTTCTTCTTCTTAGTACACTTACGACGATACCCAGCAGCTTTATTATTGATATTACAATAGAGGATGGAGACCATTGTTGTCATGAATGACTGTCCAATGGGGCTGATCCAGGAGTGCCAACAGAAGCAGCAGCAACACTCCAGTGTCAACGTGGAACATGACTCGGTGCTGAGTGCCAACTTGTTTGCGAATCAGGGTCAGGGCAATTTCGAATCCTATCAGTCTCACTCTCAGTCACACCATCACCATCGCGACGATACAGAAACAGACAAGGGGAGGAGGCCTTCAGGGCACGTCGCTGAGGAGAACCGCTTCCCACACTCCTCCCAGGGCATCGACAATGCTGTGCACTCCTATGACTCTAGGATAGGTTCCGGCCACCAGAAGGGAGCCTCTTTCTCTCACGAACACACCTCGCCTCCGATGCTCACCCGATTCCCTTCGGCAGCGTCCCTCACCCCCCTCCCCGCTGTCTTTTCTACAGAGCAGCATCATCAACAACAATATTCACCCTCTTACCACCACGACAACAACAACAACAAAAACCACCTCCCTTCCCCCAACTCCTCTTCTTCTTCCCGCCATCGCCCCTCCTCGAAACACTACCAGCAACACTACCAGGAGTATCCTGCTCACCCTGTCGCCACCATTCTGTCCATGTCCGACTCCACACCCACTGCCCGTGCACGTATGAGCCAGGAGAGAGTCATGCTCCCGCCTAATGCCAGCGATCTCTCCGAGGTCCCAGCTGGCGCATTCGCGGAGGGGGAAGTGTTAGAGATCGAGATGTCTGACTGCGACGTCTGGGACCATTACTCCTCCGATCCCTACTCTTCCGACCACACTCGACAAGCCCGCGCTCGCTGTTCGTCCTCCACCCTCTTTGACGAGGCCCGTCCTCCTTCTAACCAAGGCTCATACCACTCCAAGCATGACGGCTCCGACAGCCCTAAATCCAGCCCGGTCCTCTTTCATACCAACAAAACGTTTCAACACCAGCAGCAATTGCACTATGAGCAGGCTCAACAGCCTCCCAAGAAACAGGTCATCGTCTTTCTTGACCAGTCGAGCCACCCCCACCACCAGCAGCAAGATCACTACGATCAGAGCTACACGACCGACAAGAAAGGTTCGATCCACACGCAAGATACGGCCAGTACCAATTCGTGTGGTGACAGTCCGTCATGGACGACGGGAGCGCGATTAAAAATAGAACCTTCTACTCCCATCCGGCCCGCGTCCGGCCACCACCACCACCGTCTTACTACCTCCCACCAGCACAGTCAACAGCAGAGCACCAAAGGTTCTTCACCGTTGACTGCACCCACTACTCCTTTGACGCCCACTCCCGCTGAATTGGACACGCCCACCAAGAACTTGATGATCTTTAACAAGATTCCCCGCCAATGGCCTGCCTCGCAAGAGACGCTACACCACCACTATGTATCCAAGGCTAACAAGAAGGCACCACCGGTAAGGCCTCAAATCAACACCAACGATTCTTAATTCGTATGCATTTTGAGAATTTTGCGGTTATGTCTTTAGCAAGGGACAAGAAAGAAACTTTGAGACCAGGAAAAAAAAGTTGGTCGGGGGAAGCAGAAGAGGAGCAAAGGAAATAAAAGAGCAAGGTCCAAGGTTGGAGGTAGTCTAGGGGGCAGTGAAGCAAGAAGAAAAAGTGCGGGAACGCCAGGGCAATTGTCAGAAGGGGATAAGAGCTGGACAGACAGGCAAGGCGATGAGGATCTATCCTTACGAGGAGTGGGTGTACAAAACGAAAAAGAAAAAAAAGAAAGACAGAAAAAGGGTGGTTGATTCTGCTACTGCCATTCTCCATCACTCGGTTTCTTTTGGTACTGTCAACATTCAGACGGTCAAGTGACATCTTGCCTTCATCCCTCGCTCTTCGCTTTCCCTCTTTGCAATCCATGGCCCTTTGTCTCTTGCCCTGTCCCCTGAACTCCTTTTCTTGAGTTGCCTAGACCCGATATCTTGTGAGGTGCATGCATTTTGCATAATGGCCCTAAATACTAACCGACCATTTTTCCTTTTCCTTTCTTCACTTGAATCCTCCTTTCTGGTCTGTTCCCCCCTCCTTTCTCTTCTGTTTTCTTTTCGAACTGCCGTTCCTTTTTTTCAAACTGCTGTTGACAATATAGGTGATCAAGGAGTTCGATATGGCCACTGCAGAACGTATCGACCGTGTCATCAACAAAGAACGGCCCTTGAACAGAGCCGCCAAAGAGCGAGTAAGTCTTTTTTTTTGTTCTGATGTTGTTACACATTAAAGTAACTCTCCCCCAACCAGTGGGCTGGTGATTTCTTGGTGGCACAAAGGGAACATAATGGGAGCATTATGATTGACCAATGGTAACGCGTCTTCGTCCACAGAACTGACCTACATTCCGTTTACAATTTCTTATCCTCTTGTCATAGCTTGCAGCTGAACAGAAAGAGGCAGAGCTCGAGGCTCGCGGCTTCTTTGACCCTGCTCGTCGATGGAAAGGTCGCGATGTCTATCCCCGTCCAGCGAACTGGGTCTACTGCCGTCGGGTAAGTCAACTCACCTTTCTCACTCCTTTTCTGATTTCATGCCTTTCTGTGAATATGCATAGAGCATTTACTGACAGCTACATTCCCTACCTCTCTCCTATTGAACAAAACCTGCAAACAGACTAAGAACAACTGGTTCGAAAAGACAAAGATTCTTGCCCATAACTACAAGCTGTTTAAGAATCAGGTCCTCGGCAAGGGTCATCATGCGGATGTCTACAAGGGGATGGACCTTACAACTGGCCAAGACCTGGCCATCAAGGTCATCTACAAGACTGTCAACCGTCGGTTCGGCTTTGTCAACGAGGATCCTATGCAAGAAGTCAAGAACCGTCGTCTCTTAAACGAGGCCTGGTTCATCGACTACCTCAAAGACGGAGTAAGTCATCTTGCCATTTTCTATCTTTTGAAGTTAAGCCATAAGGGCTATAGAAGGCCTTCTTACTCATTCACAATTTCACCATTTATTATTTTTCCTCCAATAGCCTGGCATCTGCAAAATGATCAGTGTGGTCGAGACGGCGACCAAGTTCTACTTCGTTATGGAGCTAGCTCAGTCGGACCTCAACTCGTATTCCAACGGGATCAACATGCGCGAGGAGGAGATCCGGCATATCCTCAAGCCCATCTTTGATTGTCTCAAGTATGCACACAGTCAGGACATCACCCACCGTGACATCAAGGTATGCATTAGAGAGAAGAGAGCTCGCGCGATAGGTTGCAACTGCAAATACCATTGCATGTACTACCACCGGAACTGATACTCTATTGCATGCATCCAATATGAATTCCTCTAGCCTGAGAACATTTTGCTCCGAACCAAGAAGGATTGGCTTCGCAACAATGGGCATACCGAGGGATCAATTCACCCCAAGTCCAAGAGTAGCAGCAGCAAGGCCAACACCCTCAACACCCTCAACACCTACACCAGCCACAACACCATGGTCAACAATAACCATCGCAACGACCACACAGCTGGTCTCCGCATCCTCAACGACAGCTCGAGCATCTTGAGTAGTACATTCGCCAACGAGAGCTCTTACATGGACATGACTGACGATGCCGATGGCCGTTCGTCCATTGACTCTTCGACTCTGTACAACTTTGACCATCGGTTTGATGCCTTCTTGGCGGATTGGGGTCTTGCGGTTGAGCATGACTGCAACAGTGGTCGGAAGCCAGTCGGAACCCCACTCTATGCCGCGCCCGAGGTCGTCCGCAAGATGAAGCGCATTCGTCGTCGCGAATGGATCAACTACCGAGCATGCGACATCTGGAGTTTGGGCGTCACCATGTTTGTCGTGTAAGTTACGCCTCTATATCTTTCGTTCTTTTTGTGTCAGCGATTTCTGGATGCTTTGACTAATGGTGTACCTTTTACCTTTTCTTTTTATAGTGCGAGTGGAATATACCCATACCACACACACGATGCGCTTGAGGCTCAGTCGCCACCCAATTGGGCAGCACTCGAATCGTCGGGCATGTCACGAGAGTACATTGCGTTCACCCAGCGTCTGATGAACCTCACCGCGGAGCATCGCCCATCAGCAGCCGAGGCATGCAACGATCCTTGGCTCCAGGGTTAAGAAAGATGCCCCGCTCTATTCACCCACTTGGTCCCCTCTCAGTTTGTGATCTCCAACATCTAATCGATCCCACCAATGGATTCAACCCCTCGGGCACTCCCCGAACCTCCAACCACCAGCATTTTTTAATCATCTAGTTCATTCGCCCATCTTGCTTTCTCCCTCGTCCAGTCTCCAGCATCATTAATCGCGTTCTTTTGCTTTCCTTGCGTTCGTTGATTCCTTGTTTCGTCCTTTCGCTTAGTCATTTACCCTCCACCGCACTCAACTATCCAAGAATTTTTTAACAGACAGTTACATTAGCTTCCAGACTTTACCCTTCTTTATTGTCTTTACCAGAGAACAATCATATACCAACAAGTTGAAGCAATTACTGCCTGACCCCACGGTCCTTGTGTTGTGGTGCCCAGACTCTATTTTTTTTTTTTTTTGTGCTGTCAAATAGGTCTTGACAAATAAATAAAACTTTTTTTCCCAACGTGGCGTTCTTTGGTATGTGATCTTCGCCGCCTTGAAAGGATGTTGACTTGTTCCCGAAACATAGACATTTTTTTTCGCCTACTTTTCCTGAGAAGCAAATTCCTTCCTATCTCTTGTCCTCCTCTGTCGTGTACGTATCAACAGAAGCACGTGGTAGGTGAAGACAAGATCGACACCATGCGGTCATTGGAACAATCCATGGGAAGGGATGGCGGGTGCCAAAAAAAATGCATGTTCCACCATGGGCGAGGTTTTTTTCTCATCTCCACATTCTTCGATGAAACGCGATATTTTCTCATGAAACATTTTCTTTGCGTCGCCTTCTGTGTATCACCTTCCGCACGCGCCTTTTGGGGGGCATTGGAGTCTTACGCTCACTATTAGTCCCCGGTTTCACTCGTTAGGATGTTCTAGTATAAAAAGTGATCTTTACTCCTACGACTTGTATCAATTCTCTGATACTTCTTCTTCTTCATCAACTGCGACAAGCACACACTCTCTTTCCATCCAGATAGCATACAACACTGTACCCTCATACATCTTTTCTCAAGCAGACGTATTATGAAGTTACCTTTCTCACTCGTATCTTTGAGCACTCTTGCGAGTGGACTGTTGATGATGGCCACATCGCCAGCTTCCGTCCAGGCTTCTGGATTCTACGAATCGCTCGACAACCACGACAACTTTATCGTCGCCCACGGATGGGGGCCCGAACGCTGGGGTAAGCCTTTTGCTCTTCATTTCCCCATTGAACTTGCAAGGAATAATGAGCATTGTTACTAACCAACTCTTACATCAAAACAATGACACTCCCTTTGAAGGTTGCTCGTTTACACGCACACAAGTACACGCGTCAGGCGGCGGGACAAAGATCACAATAGGCAAAGACTCTGACCTCAAACCCTTTTCCTGTGGTGAACTAATCCACAAACGCCATAACCTCGGCTACGGCCGCTACTCAATTGACATGATCGCCTCCAACACCGTCGGCCAAGTCACCTCCTTCTTCCTTATCGCCAACGAGGTCTCTGAAATCGACATCGAACTGACCGGACTCAACAACAAAGTTGGATGGATGAACGTCTGGCATGATCATAAACAGAACCCGGTCGCCATCAATCTACCCTTTGATGCCTCGAAGGGTTGGCACAACTATGCGTTCGAATGGCTTCCGAACCGTATTGTTTGGTTTGTCGATGGAAAGGTGGTTCTGAACCGAACAGATGTTATGACGGCCAGGCCGGAGGATGCGAATTATAAGCTGGCGGTTAATTCGTGGACCCAGGTGCAGAAGGAGGTGAATATTGACTGGGCGGGCAAGTTTCGGTACCCGGAGGATGGGTCCATTCCGTCGGCGCAGTTCAAGAACATGAAGTATTCTCCGTGACTCATAACACCCGATGGCGAGGAGAGCTTTGATGACCCGTTGGAGAGCTCGCCCGACCCCGCCGTGGGTGACAATAACAACAACAACAACAACAACACCAACAACACCAACAACAACAACACCAACAACAATAACAACAATAACAACAACAACAACACCGACAACAATAACAACAACAACAACAACAACACCAACAACGCGAATCAGCAGGATGGAAACAGTAACATGAACACCAACCATGACGGTGGCACGAAGGATGGGCAGCGTTCGGGTGCGGATGATACCAAGGCTCTATTTACTCAAGGGTTCACAGCTATCATCGCCGTCGCCCTCACCTTCACCATCCTCTTTTAAAAGATTTACTTTGTACGAAAGAATAATAATATTCAATATTGAAATGATAAGCTGTTATTGAATGCGCGTTTCTTTTGCGTGTGGTTGAGGAGGAACTCTGATGAGAACTACCAAGGCGGGACAATGAAAACGCGAGATACTAAGAAAAAAAACAAATGGCGATACTATAAAAGACGCGCCATTGACAAGAGCTCACCTACAATACAAGCATATCGAAATTGGGCAAATCGATCACACGTTGTTCAGGCTCGAAAAAAAAAGGCTGAGGCGCAGGGGGAGGGCCTAGAGATCCCAGATATTTTTTTTCAAGAAGGAAGCACACGAACGAAGGTTTTCACAGACAGGTCCTTGGCCATCGGAGGACAAAAAAGTACTCAAAGAACGCGCTCAAGGCCCTTAGCCATTAGCAGGCCAGCCCAGACTTCATGAACGGGGAGCCAGTCTATAAGGGTCAACAACAACAAGAATAACAACAGCATAGCGGAGGGTAGCCGCCACCACGTTCAATATCGATGTTGATTGCCTAGAAACAAAGTTATATTAACTTCGGGTAGCCAATGAAGAGCCGCGAGGTACCCTTGAGTTAAGGTGCCTGAATGGTGCGTTTTCTGTCGGAGTAATTGTTTTTGATTAATAAAAGTGTCAAGTCTGCTAATTGCTTGCTTCCCTCCTCTTCTTCTTCACTTCTTCACTTCTCCTCCTCAACCCCCCTCCTCCACCATCAAACAAAATGAAGTCCATTTCCACTCTGTCCCTGGCACTCCTCACTACCCTCGCTCTCAGCACCATCCACCCAATAACCGCCGCCGCACTCCCTCACCCTCTCAACTCATCCTCCAACAACGACAACACAACAATCTCAACCGCCGCCACCGCATCCCGTGCAGGCTTCTTCGAGTCCCTCCAATCCCCCTCCTCCTCCACCACCACCGGCAGCCACGCAACCTCAGCCTCAAACCCCCTCATCAAAAACTTCATAATCCCCAACGAAACCGGCCCCTCCAGTTGGAGCTGCAGCTACATGACCCAATCCATCACCTCAACCTCCCAGGGGACCTCAATCGCCATCGGCAAGAAATCTCACAGAAAACAATTCTCTTGCGGAGAGCTCATCTCGCGCGAGACAAACCTCAACTATGGCCGCTACTCGGTCGACATGATCTCGACAAATACAAAGGGCCACGTCTCGGGCTTCTTCCTCATCGCCCCAAATGGCGCCTCAGAGATCGATATCGAGTTGACGGGTCTGAACTCAACAGTCGGGTGGATGAATGTCTGGAAGAATGGGGCCCAACATCCTATCAAGATCCCGCTGGGCTTTGATGCGTCCAAGGGTTGGCACACTTATACTATCGAGTGGAGGAAGGAGTATTTGGCTTGGTATGTCGACAACAAGCTGGTCTACAAACGATCCGATGTCGCTACACTGGACCCGCGCAAGAACTTGTACAAGCTGGCTTTGAACTCTTGGACAAACCAGGGCAATGACCAGTGGGCTGGTCGCTTCTCGTTGCCCTCTGGAGGAAAGGAGGTGAAGACCCAGTTCCGCAACCTTCGTTACAATCCTTAGAAAATCCTGCATTATGTACTGTACCTATTTGTCACCTTTGTAAATATAGTTTTTGTTTTTTTATTGGACTTTTGTTTCTTTAGCAAAAGAGCAAGAGAGGGTCATGAATGAAATGAATGGGATAGTAAAAGCACAAGAGAAGTAATAACGCGTCTGAGAGAATAAGAAAGGAAGAAAAAGAACAATGAGCGTACAAGGAAACAATACTAATGAAAAATGATGAAAGACGTAAAAAACAGCAATAGAAAAAATATGAAAATGAGCGAGGAGCTACGAAAGTGCGAGGAGAGGAGTGGAGGGATAGGGATATAATGGTTTGATATGTACAAAAACAGGCAAGTCGATAGTGACCCAAGAAAAAGAAATAGCAGACAATACGACGCAATGGTTTGTTTGATGCAATAGGAGGACAATCGAAGCCGGAATACTCCCATTAACATCCTGGCGCAGCAGGACACCACGTCTATCGTCTAGTGTGAAATCCAAGGCCGGCATTGCGTCCAAGTGCCTGTGGCTGCTGCTGCGACTGTTGATGTTGTTGCTGCAGCTGCTGTGAATGGTGTTGACCCTGATATGGGGATCCTGCCCCGTCCGAAGAGTTGTTGCCATTACTACCATTGTTGGTGTGGTTGCTGCCGTTGCTTCCGTGGTTGTGATTTGAAGTTACGCCGCCGTAGCTTGGGCGTGGACTTCCAGAAGATAATGCGCTCGAGAAGCTGGGCGCGGGTGTGTGAATGCCAATGATCCATCCCAGCTTGGTCTTGAACTCTTCAATTGCAGAAGAAAACATGCCCTGAGATGTGTTGTTGTGTTGCTCCAAGCTAATAAAATCAATCGAAACAATCAATATTGGTTAGTAAAAAGGTGTTTTCGTTCACCACTAACAAAGTTTGACATATGCATGTGGTCCATAACCCCACAAGCATGATCATTGTGCTTACTTTTTGGCCCATTCCTGGACAGTCATCTGGCCATAGATCTTGCCCTCCTCCAGTTTGCTGCTGGCATCCTGAATGGCCTTGATCCAGAAGTCTGCAAGGGACTTGTACAGGTTCGATTTGTGCTCGTTGTTGGCGGGGTTGTCCCAATTTGGCAGGCGGTGGCAGAACTCTGTAGCGATATGAAGGAACGAGAACGATGTGGTCGGAAACTCTGGAGGCGATGTGAAATGGTTGGTATAGTCCACGAGATTCTCCTACAATGCAAGATCAAAAAGAACACAGGGGTTAGAAACAACGGTTATGTTTGCGTAAGGGTGTGTTCGTTGTGACAACCATTGTTTGCTTCGTGGTGAGGCGGACTACTTTTTTTTTTCTTCCTGTTTAGCTCACAATTAGCATTTTGGTTTGTCTGGCTGCGTAAGCTAAGATTGCGTAGTCCCTCTACCCTTCCACCCCCATATCCATTATATCCATCATGCATGAGCACAAATGCACACTCCAAAAGAAACACATGAAGGGCATTAATTACTCTGCTTTAACTTACGATAAGCTCGTCCAAGGCAGGCTTAACTCTGTTGAACGAATAGTCATCGTGGCTGGGGCCCCACTTTGTGTAGGGGAAGGACTCCTGCATCTTTGTCTCAAGTGCGGCAAGGTAGGGTTGCACAGAGCCAATGGTGGGACGGGGGACAAGGTTGCTAATGTCCTCTGCGAGAGACGGGTGACTATCGACGAGGGTGTTGACAAGGTTTATCAACTGTGCATTGGTAAGAGTACCTAAGTAGCAAAGCAAACATGTTAAAACAAAAGGTGAAAAGAGATGGCGTAAGTCGGACAATTCACCTGAAAACCCGCAGCATTCAAAATAAAAAAAGAAAAGAAAGGCGGAGATCCCACTTCACTCCAGTGAGTGCATTGCTCCTGTTGCTCGTTTGGAGTGTGTGTGTGTGTGTAAAAGGAACACGTTTCGAGTCGCACGGAGGAAGGGCAAAGGGAATACCACAGGGCTAAAAAAAGCTAGAAAAAGAAACTCATGGACCTTACCAATCAACTTTGAGACAGTCTTTTGCTTCGAGACCCGTTGAATGGTGGTACGGACGCGCTTGACTTTAGCCTGATCGTTGTTGCTGTCGCTGTTGTTCTCGGAGGGCGATGGAGGACCAGACGAAGGCATGGGGCTGTCGATGTCCTCGCTCGGTTTGCGTTTAAGCGTCGCTGGTGAATCCATATGCAAGAAAGGTTCGAATGGGCAAGAGCGAGAGAGGGAGAGAGAGGGGGGGGAGAGAGGGGGGGAGAGAGGAGGAGGAAACGAGTAGGACAGGATAGGAGAGGAGAGGGTACGGTAAGGTAGAGGTCAGGACAAGAGAGAAGGAAAGAAGACAAAAAATAAGCGTTGGGTTAATGTGGATGCTTGCGTTGTGTTTGTGCTTGATATATGTATTGGAGGGAATAAAGGGGAGCTTGTACACCCCATCAACAAAAAAGCTTACAGCGAGGAGTGTCCATGGTGTGGTGAGGGTTACCGAGGTGGCGGTGGTGATGGTGGAGGGGCAGACGAGGCTGGGCAAGGGAGCCGTTGAACTGGTGCGGGTGTTGGAACGCGGAGGGCGAGTGTGCGTGCGGGATTGCAAAGCATGGACTGTCACCCATTGAGGAGGAGAGGAAAGGGTTAGAGGAGAGAGGAGAGAGGAGAGAGGAGAGAGGAGAGAGGAGAGAGTAGAGAGAGAAAGAGTGACGAGAGAGAAAGAGTGAAGAGATAGAAGAGAGAAGAAAGAGAAGAGAGAAGAAAGGGAAGAGGGAGAACAAAGGGAAAGGAGGAGGAAGGGAGGCTTGCGTGTGTGTGAGTGTGTAAGTGTATAAGTAAAGGAGTGCGTGTGTGTGTGAGTGCGTGTGTGTGAGAGTGTGATGAGTGAATAAAGGCAAAGGGGGAAAAGGTTGGCGAGGCAAAAGATGAGAAGAGAGAAGGAAGACAAACGAAAAAAAACGACTGGAAGGGTTATGGGTGGTGGTTGGATGGATGGATGGGTAGCTTGTGCGATCGATTTGTCATTCCATCATGTGATGTAATCAAGTCTTCCCGCGTCTCAAAGTTCAAGCATTAACCTCTTCTCCGGTGACGACTACCGGATCGGAGTTGGGACAGGAGTTGGCCTGTGCGCCCGTCAAATTTTCGTGTGCATAGGAAAAGATAGCAGAACCGTGGTGCAAAGGTACATGCAGTCTATGTCTATCCATCCGATCCTGGTTGGTTCTTGTATCTTGGAGGAAAAAGAGAAAAAGACAACGGTGTTCTTCCATTGTTCGATCCCCTCCTTGGAGGCTTGGACAATCAGTCTGTTGTCATGCCCTCGTTCTTTCTCTCGTTCTCTTTCTAGCCCTTTTCGAGATCGTAAGAAAAAAAGGAGGGGTGGGTGACAGCAGATTCTGTTTGCACTCGACAAAAATGCCTGCACTTTTGGTCATGCAAGTGGGGTGGGGTATGGGCGGTATGTAGGTGTATGTAAATGTATGCACACGACTTTCTTTTTTTGGTTACTTCTCTGCAAAACGATGGACATATAAAAGTATGGAGATAACAACTCCAAGGTCAAAAGAGAATTCTCTTCAGACCACCTCATCTTTCGCTCATTCAGACACTTCTTGGTGCATACCACCTTGCCATTCATAGTTCAGACATTCCCCACTTTCTCTTTTCTTATATATGTTATCCATTCTCGCCCTTCTTTTTCCTTTTCTTCTTCTACTCTCTCACCTCTCCCCTCACGCTTGTCTTTGTTATCATACTACACCATCTCTCTCTTCCTCACTCCACGACGTTCTTCTTACCACTCTCACACCCATTCACTCAATATCCAATTTCTATACCCTTTACTACGTGAAACTACACAATGGTTCGCCTCCTTCTCGGATTGACAGCCTGCGCCGCCATGGCTATGGCCGATGGTAAGAACGAAAAGAACCAAAACATTTGACTGTCGTCCTTTCCTTTCAGAGGAGATACTCAATCTGCCTTGGCGACTAACCCCGTATTTTTCTCCCTTCCATTTACCTACAGTGACATTCAATGTTGTCGGTCTGCGCGAAGATGCCGGAGACTCGTTCGGTGTCATGGTTAACGGCAAGCTCACAAAACTCACCACCACCGAGGACACTTACCCTCTCTGGTCCGCCAACGTCGCTGACGTTGATGCACCCCTAACCTACAAGTATGTCCAGCTGGAGAAGAACGGTAAAGTTGGCAAGAAAGAAAAGGAGGAGCGCAATTTGCCCCAAGGTGCCATCCATACCCCCAACGAGTTCTTTGATCGCTCGCATACCCTCCACAACCTGCCTCCCCTTCCTCAGGTCTATGATAACAAGCTGGAGCAGAACTCGCCCTTCTTCAGAGAAGGGTTTATCGGAAACATCTTCGTCGAGGGCGATCCTGCCAAGATCAAGTACCTTAATAAGGGTGGTGGTGACTTCCACCCCGACCCTATCAAAGTTCAGGTCCAGTACATTGGGTAAGTTCTTGCTATTGATACTATGTAGTACAGCAATCATGCAAACAGCAGCAAGAAAAACTATCACCTACGCGACGCTCCTTTTTAATCGCTTTTTTTATTTTCTACTGCCACTCCTCAGCGCGAATGAAAACGTTAAGATTAGCAATGTCACTTTCAACCTCTCCGGCGCGTCTGCTCGCGAGTACGCCAAGCTCGCGTACCAGCTCAAGTTCCCCAAGAAGAATCGCCTCCTCGATCTCGCCACGCTCAAGCTCCGCAGCGAAGAGACCGATGCCACCATGATGCGCGAGAAGCTCTACGTCGACATCCTCAATTCCCTCGGTGTCCCCGCCCAGCAAGCTACTTATGTCCGCCTCTTCCTCAACAACCAACCCATCGGTCTCTATGTTGCCATGGAAGAGATGAAGAAGCACTGGATCAAGAAAGTCCTCCACCCCAACGTCAAGAAGGTCAAGGCTGGTGCTCTCTGGAAGATGAACTCTTGCTGCGGATTCGAAGGCAACCTTGAGTGGCTTGGACCCACCACCAAGAGCTACGTGGTGGAGGATATCTACAAGAACATTCTGCCCGGAAAGAACCCCAAAGACGACCAGATGGCTGACTTGATTACCTTTATGAAAGATCTCAAGGACTTTGATCCCAAGAAAGTCAAGGACCCCATTGCCTACTGGGAGGAGAGAATGGACCTAGAAGTTTTCTTGAAGAGCATGGCGATGGAGCACCTTGCTGGAACCTGGGATGGCTACTGGAAGTCTGGCTCGAATTACCAGATCTACCACGACCCCATCACCAACAAGTGGATTTGGCTCCCTACTGACTTTGACGACACCTTTGGAACATCCTTCGACGGCAAGATCGAGTCCTACCGCGCGATCCCCAAAAAGAACGAGGAAGGATTCGAGTCCCCACTGGCCCAGAAGTTGATCATCGAGACCCCTCTGATCAACGCCAGGTTTGAGCAGATCCTCAAGGACACCATCAACACTGTCTTCAAGCCCGAGGCCCTTGGCCCTCGTATCGAGGGTTACAAGAAGATGATCCAGGAGGATGTCGCCTGGGACCGTGCCCAGCCCCGAGTCTCTAAGGGCAAGAGCGAGAAGTTCACTATTGAGGACTTGCATAGGGGTCTCAAGACGGGTGCCAAGGGCAACTGGGGTTTGATGAACTGGATTGAGAAGCGCACAGATGAGGTCCAGAAGAGTCTCAAGTTCAAGGTCCAGGCCGGTACTGCCAGCAAGGTTGCCCTCCACAAGATGACCACGCTCAGCTCTCCCTTTGGCATCGTTGCTGCCAAGCAGGCGACTACGGTTTCCCAGGTTGGAGTACCCGGTACAGGAGATGACGTTAAGGATGGCGCCCCTGCCGACGCTGTTCCCATGAAGGATGATTCCTCTACGACCTTATCAACCAACGGTGTTGCTCAGAAGTCTACCAAGACCGCCAGCGCTGCCCAGTCCTTGAAGAGCCAATGGACTGTTCTCGGAGCCGTAGCCGCCGCCGTCTTTTTTGCCCTCTAAAAAACTTAGTGAACAACAATAACAAAACCATAGAAATAATCCTACCACCAGTCGTTTCAGACACCTGTAATTAAATTCTTCCGTTGTGGCAATACTACACTATCCTTTTGTCTTTATTTTCAGCTTCCTTGTTCAATGGTGCAACCACGATCAAAACACATTTGAACGCCCAAGTCGGCAACAAGAAATAAAGCGATGAGAAGAAAGAAAAGAAGACGACAAAAAATCAATGTTTTCTCCTACAGGCATCCGTGAAAAGAACATAAAAAGGGGGAAAAGATAAGGAAAAAAGGCGCGGTCAGGAAAGAGCAAGGAACGATTCCAGATTCTAACACGGATGTGCGCGATGTTTGTGTTCCTACCAGCCTGAATGGCAATCAATCGATAATACTCTTCCCTCCGCGTCCTTTACTCCGTGCTATGTACATCTTGGTATCACACAGATAGTTGGCTGTTTGTGTTAATCGACGTCTTCGTCGTTGGCAGGCATCCTTTCTCACTCTCCCTTCCCTCTTTCTTTCTTCTCTTTTTTTTACGCCCGGCCTTGGCCTTGTTCGTCCCCTCTATCTCTCCCTCCATCTTGTCTTCTCTCCTTCGTTTGCTTTTCTTACCCACCACCATCCCCTCGCTCTCACCGCCACCATTCATTTCACTCCCTCCTCCTTTGTCAACTCGCATATCTGACTCCTCAGCCCATCTCCAATCGATATCCTCACATATCCTATGAGTGTCGCTGCCGACCCATTCGGGTCCCCATCGACCAAGAGCACTACCACATCATCCTCTGCTACCTCCCTCAACACCCTCGCCAATGGTATAACACCCTCTCATTGCCCCCGCTTACTCATTTCCTTTTGTCTCTGCAAATTGAATATCAATGTACTCATCAACATTTTTGGAACCTTGCTTACTTGAAGCACCTTCGCCTAGACCCCCAAGAACGATCAATCCTCCTGCGAAAGTGACAAGGCCAGAGTCTTCGCCCCAATTGCAATCTCAACTACTTCCTAACTCGACAGCAAAAGATACAACTGGAGCACTAGCACCACCAGCAGAAACGAGACATGTAGATCAGACTGTAAAAGTTGAGTCTTGCTCTGTTTCAATCTCGCCTGTTATCCCTCTACAGGATTCCCCTACATCACAACCAAACGTCGACAACAACAAAAATGATAACAACAATGGCCATCAGCTCGCATTGAAGGTCGACACGCTCCGAAAGAACCCTCTCTGGCGCTCCCAATCCAGTCACGCACTCTTCAGTCCCAACCAACTCCATGGGGTCGTCGTCGAGTCCTTGAAAACACCTGTCAACACCAACCTCCCACACCATCAGCTATCTTCTTCCCACAGTTTTGGCATTGGCGCTTCGTCATCCGGTCAAAACGATATTAACATCCATGGTGATCTGGTGTTTGAGCCAAACTCGCCAGATCAGAAGGGTATCCCTTGGATGCTTTACCGCCAACGATCGCAATCCACGGGCGCTATTTCTTCGTCGGGTTCGTCGATGAGATCGGGTGCTGGGATGGTGGCGGGTGCAGCGGCGAGTATGATTGCTTCGGCGTTTGGGAGCCATGTTCGATCGACGTTTGGATCTCAGGAGCGACAGCAGCAACACTACCAGCAGCAGCAGCAGGTGTTGGCGTCGGCTGGGTCGATTAAGACACCTCTTGGGTCGATGTTTGGGATCGATGCACTCTCCAGCCAGTCCCTCCCTACACCGGCACCAGCGCCGTTGGACAAGAAGGACGTCGAGGTCGAGATGAATCCCGCCGCAGAAGATGGAGAAGACATCAGGACTGAGCAGCCCAACGCGCCGTTGTCAGAGTGCAACGCTACCCGCCAGTCGTCTTCGAGACCAGTCCTCTTGCCACCTTCCACTCCAGTATCGACCATATCCTCTGGGATCGCCGTACCCCTTACCACCGCCACAGGAGGAGGGCCGTGGTCGGATGATGATGACCAATCCTCATCGGCGTCTACAGATACGGAATTGGAGGCGGATGACCAAGCCGGAAGCTTGCACGTCCATCGACCAGCGCGTCGTACCAATAGCGGTCGCACTGGTGGCAAGAGCCATTACTCGGCTTACCGTCGACGTATCCAAAGCATCAGTCAATTGCAGAACCTTCAACTTGACCAGCAGCAGGAAAATCAGCGACAACAAAGCCATCAACCACAAGCAGTCCAGCAGCAACATGAGCAGAAACAGAGCAGCTTGTACGACTTTAACCACCCTGACGTTGATGACTCAACGTCCTCAATCCTGGCCATTAGCACTGCAAGTTTGGCGACCGCGAAACGAAACACTCAAGAGATGGACGGTACACACTCTATGCACTTTTTCAACCGCCACCTCCAACGCGTCCAACAACAAGTCAATGGAAGTTATGGAAGACGACCATCAGGGCATGCAATGGACGCTAGTAGCCCCTCGACCTTCTCCAGCGCGACCATGTCCCCTGCCTCGTGCACCACCACAACTTCGATGCATTCTGCCATGACTGCTGGGTCTGATACGACCTCGTATGCTTCAAGCACCACCTCGGGCATCTCTGGGACTACCTCTTCTTCTGTCTATACGCTGTCGTCCTCGGATCCATCCGAGATATCCATCACTCGTACCACGACTGCCTTATCACAGTCGTCGACACTTTGTGGAAATACGGCTGCTACTTCTTCGAACAACAAGATCCCGCTCCGCGCGCGAGGCGTGCGCCGATTCATCCGCTGGACCCACCTCGACGTATCTTTCCGCCCATTTTCATCCTCAACTCCGGAACACTCTGAGAAATCAGGAGTCAAGCGGGACGCAAGCTCTACTACTCCACTCCAAGAAATCTCCAGTCGCGAAAACCGGTTCTACGGCAAAGGCCAACCCACCTCTAGCAGCAACACCACATCTCTTCACGGCCCACCTCGCAGGAACGGCAAAAAGGGTCCCAAACGGCCCGACGCAAAAGCCTTCTTCTCCAACGAGCGTACCTATATGCACTGGATAAAATTCGGTCTCCTCCTCGGTTCCATGGCCCTCACCCTGTTGAGCTTTGGAAAGTCCATGGGTATGCAAGTGGGGCTGTTTTTGGTCCTGGTAGCCATGTCGTCGTTGGTGTATGCGACGACGATTTTCCATTTGAGGGATCGGTGGATGAAGCAGTTTAGGCTGGATGTGTTGTACTATGATCGTGTGGGGCCTTCGGTTCTGTTTATGGCGCTCTTTGTCGCCTTTGCCACCAATGTTGCCCGTAAGTTATACTTTTTTTTTCTTCTCTCCCTCTCTCCTCGCTGTGCTGTGCTTTGCCCCTTTGCTAAAACTGAAAGTTGCAAAAAAAAAAAAAAAAAAAAAAGGCTAACTAACTGATTCTTTCTATCGCTTGACTATTTGCTAGTAACGGTGTTCAAGTTGATGAGTGAGGATGGCAGCGATGACGGCCACAACTTTTACAATGGCTACCAAGATGGACCATTGGATATCTAATCTTTTCCCGCTTCCCCGCGTCCAGTACCCAATTGAACAATAATGAACAAATGAATAGCATCGCATGAATAAAAGCTAATGCCACGACGACCAAGGTCTCTTGTTTTGTTGTGTAGGATGAAAATTTTCGTTTTATTTTGTACAGTTTTTTTTTTTTTTTTTTGCTTGCAAAAAGGTTGTTAAACAAACATACAGAAAACAGCATGCAAATCCAACAGGGGTATCGGTAAGAAAAAAAAAAAGGGAATGTCTACAAAGGAAGCAGATACAAAGAAAACAATAAAAACAAAATGACAAAGAACTAGCTGACATTCCCTTACAGGGACAAGTACTCGTCCCAGTCGACATAATAGTACTTGCCCATGAGGCTGGTACTGTTCCTGGGCGAGCTCTGCCGTTTGAAAGCTGCAGAGTTCGGATTCACAGTCTCCTGGCTGGCCATCGACGAGATCGATTCCTTGGCTGCATGGGTTCGCCTCGTCGTATCCGTCGCCGTCAAGGATGGACTTGCCAGAGCCAGCTCGGACGAAAGTGGGGATGACATGTGGGGTGTTGTGGAGGTTGTTCCTGGAGCACGTCCCATGTTGTAGATGGGTCCCGTTGCAATCGGCTCGTGTGAAGACGACGACCCGGCCGACAAAAGGGCGCCTCCAAGACTGCTCAGATCCAACCACCAGCTGCTGACCTTCTTCAGCTTCCGCCTCCTCACACCATGAGCCTTAGTCACATAGTACCAATAGTCCTCATCCTGCGTCCATTCGTGGTGCTCAGGCAGATGATCCGAATCATTGTACGTCTGCAAGAGCACCAGTTCCATAGGCAAGGCGTGCGGTGGCGGTGTGAACATCAATGGCGCCGATGTAGCACCATTACGAGCTCGAGCTGTCGAGGATTCAGGAGACTCTGGTTCCATCTGTTTGAACTCTCCATCGTTGGTGTCAAACGGGCTCACGTTCCTCTCTGTTGTGACCATCGATGCCTGAAGATACAGAGCGGAGTGCGTCATCGTCGTCGGTGTCTTCTCGTACTCGACATTCGCTTCCCTGCCGTCGTCGTCGGTATCCAGGTAGTTTCCGTCTGTAAGCGTGCTCTCATACAATGCCTGCATCGTCATCGTCACGCTGAGCGGTGAGTCGGATAGAGGTCGATCGCCTTTCAATGGAGCTAGCCGCGAGTCTATGTCCCTGTGGTGATCCCGATCCCTGCCAAACGAAATTACTCCTCCACCATTTCCACCTCCATGATTCCCTAGTCGAGAAAGGTGTCTCAATTGATCCACTTGTGCCGGGTCCGTTTCCAGAACATCCAGACCGGTGATGGCGCGAGACATGTTGGGTGTAGAGGCGTGTCTCTGAAGGGTAGGTCTTGCCCGCAGACTTGAAGAAGGTGTACCCGCCGATCGCGGTGGGATTCTAGGACTCCTGGGTGCATCATGCTGCTGATTGTAGCGGGAAAGGTCTCTTGGTCCTTGTGAGACCATTGAATCTCCCGTTTTTTGTGACCAAATAAGCGGCGTCTCGGCGGGCAGCAATAGAGAAGGAGTTGGGGTCAGAGAGGACTGTGCGGTCTGGCTTTTGTTGGTGATGCTGTTACTACTGTTGCTGTTGTGGATTTTCCCATGGCCGACGGGGAGTGCAGGAAGAGGAGAAGACGTATGAGTGGAGGATGAAGGAGGAGGAGAGGGAGTTGACAGGATGCGTAAAGGGGAAGGGACAGGTGTCGAGGGTCGAGAGTTGACGGGGGTATCTTGAGGTGATGTGATGGGACTGAACGCTGAGAATTTGGATGTGTGGTTGGGGGTGCTGGCATTGTGACAACTGTAGAGGTTGAACGATCTCCGCTGCTTTTCCTTGCTCTCCTTTGCGTTGTTGCTGCTGGAGGTGGGTGAGGCGATGGAAGAGGCTGATAGCGGTCGTTGTGGCTGATGTTGGCGGGATTGCTGCGGAGATGATGGCGGGAGTTGAGGCAACTCTTTCCTGCGGCCCTTGTTGTGGATGACGAGCACTTCTTGAAGGTTCTCGAGTTCGTTGTCGGGCAATTGACCTGTCAGGAGCAATTGTTCTCTGAGAGACTTGCAGGCAGGGCAGGTGCACAGTCGATGCGCGGTGGTCGGGTAATGATAATACGCCGAGGGTGGCAAAAGCGACTTTGAGACTCTCTTGATTACATACTGAGGGCCAACGATACGATTACCAATAGGAGGAAACAGACACCACGTTAGCGTCGATGCGAGAGAAACAAAGACATCAATGTGAACCCTGCTATCCTGACAGCGATCCTACTTGAAGAAAAGTGAGTCTCCTTACCTTCTTGCCATTGGCCCTGGAGATCACAGTGATGGTCCAGCTGTACTTCCCGATTCCCCAGACAGCCTTGCCTTGACGAAAGCTCTCCTGATCGATCACATATTTGTCCAGAAGCGACTGAGGCAGCCTGATCGACATAAGGATAGAAGGGAAGGGCGAGTTGGCAAAGGGGTCAAGGGCTTGACGATGACCATTGGACGAGGTCGCAGGACTACTTCCATTGTGGTGGTGATAGAGGTGTTGTTGCTGTTTGCTGTCGTTGCCATGATTGTAGAGCAAAGGCTTGAAGGAAAATTTAAATCCAGAGCTGCCGGAAGAAGAACGGGCCGAAGAGGTGGAAACTATAGAAGTGGTTCGTGAAGCCTTGGTCTGGGCGCCGAGGCCGTGACCTGTGCTCGAACTCGAGCCCGACACTGGCCTGGTCTTGTACTCGCTCTCGCCCGTCGGGAACCTTTGTAGGCTGAGCTGACCCACTGATTCGGTGGTGCCTCCGCTCATTGACGTTGTTCTAGTCGTGACCGTGTTGGCGCTGCTGTTGTGGCTTCTCGTGGCACTCCCACTGCCACTTGTCCCGCTGCCGTGGCCACTGCTGCTCCCACTGCTGTTGCTAGCGATACTCCGTCCTGACAATGATGACTGGGAGTGCATACTCTGCTGGGAGAGAGAGTTCACCCTTCCGCTGATCCTTGAGCCTGGACTGCTGAGGCCAAGGTGTTGGTGAGCATTGAGACTGTCGCTTCGACGAGGTTTGCCAGTCTCCTGGTCGGGAAAAGCAGAGGGAGAAAGAAGAAGGCTTGCCGACGCTGAGGCAGGCGAGGCCGGTAGTGGTTTGTCCAACAGTGAGACGGGGGTCGGAGAGGGCATGGGGGTATTGGATGATGTGTTGGTGGAGGTGGAGGATGTTGTCGGTTCTATACTATGGGGATTATTGACAACGGAGGCAAGATCATTGTCGTTCCCGCTGTGGATATGAATGTTGTTGTTGTTTCTGGTTTGGTTGTCGCTGTCGTTGTTGGGTTGGAGGATGAAATGGAAGGTTGGGGGTGGGACAAGTCGAGTGGAAGGAGGGGTAGTTGAAGAGGAGGGAGGAGAAGAGAATGTAGAAGGAGAGAAAGAAACAGAGGATCGGTGTGCTTTTGCCACTGTTGTTTTTTCTGTATCTTTCAAAGGCGAATCGGCAGTTGACGATGATAATGATGCCGATGAGACTGCGGAAGTTGTGGAGCGGGGGACTTCTGCAGGAGGCGTGGTCGAGAAGGAAGAAGAGGGTGTTGAAGGGAAAGTGTTGTTATCTGGCAGAGACTTTGAGGAGACGTTTCCCATCTGGTGTGGTGTCAGTGAGGGTTTTTGTTTTGCGATATCAAAGCGAGCAATACACGGCGACGCTTCTTTTGGGATTTTATTCTTTTGGAGTGGTTATTTGGAGCCAGCTGTCGGGGTGGCAGAGAAAGTGGAGTGTGATGAGCAAGAGAGGAGTGTTGAAAGATGACAAATGAATCGGATGTGAAGAATAAAGGAAGAAAAAGAGAGAAGAAGAAGAATAAGAATGAAAGAAAGGAATGAGAAAGAAGGGATGCGACTGGAAGAAAGAAAAAGCGAAACGGGTTGGACGGAGAAACGAGCTCGCTCTTTCTCTCTCAAGAAAAGGAAAAAAAAAAGACTGAGCGTGCGCAAAAATATGAACCGCAAGAAGGAAGAAGAGTAGACGCAGCAAGAGAGAGAGAGAGTACACAAGTGAGGTACTATTTCACATAAACGATTCAGAAACACACAGCCTGAAGGCACCCCTGTGCTTAGTATGCTCATTCAATTGAAAAGAAGACTAGAGTGTGAGGTATTGGATAAGTGGAAACATCTTTTACTCAAGTTCGATGGCGCCAAGAAGGGAGACGCGTCCTTTTGATGAAGGACAGTGCGTTTGTTGTTGTGCGAGTACTGCACACAGCAGTGGCGCCGCCTTCAACAAAACAGTTGCATATGGTCTTACTTGGCATACATCAATAACAGTTGCCACCCTTCATTTGGCAGACAGAAGGGTATGCGAGTTATCTGATCGACAACCCCATTTTGGGACTGGGGATAATGAACAAAGAAAAGAATCGCGAAGGGACCCTTTCTGTGACTCAGGCATTCCCGGAGGATTTTTTTTTCTTGTCCCTGTTATCAACCCTCAGTCCTTATTTTCCTCGCTCCTTTCTTTCCTTCCTTCTTTGCCACTAACCCACCACCTTTACAATCAACAACAGGAATGACCTCTCCCCATCCACGCACTGCATTCAGACCTTGCATCGACTTGCATTCAGGCCAGGTCAAACAGATCGTCGGCGGCTCATTGAACGACAAAGACGAGTCTCAACTCAAGACCAACTTTGTCTCCAGGTGCGCACACACACACCTCTCTCTCTCTCTTTGTTCATATTCTCGATCATCATACTTATAAATGTATTGAATGGACTCCTATCGTCCTATGCTTGCTGCTCACTCACTTCTCGATACCTGTTATTACCTTATCACGTTTCTCCGTTCATCCGGTAATTCGCTCTCACTCACTCACACAGCACACTCACTCATTTGTTCTATTCTTTCATTTCTCTCAACATACAAACAACAACAACCCAGTGAACCGCCAAGCTACTACGCCAGCCTCTATCGAAAGCACAATCTCACAGGAGCCCATGTCATTAAACTCGGTCCTGGGAATGATGATGCCGCGAAGGAGTGTCTCCGCACTTGGCCAGGTAATTGGTTTTCCCTTGTTTCCTTCTCTCTCTATCTATAAAAAAAAACCTCAACAGCCTTGATATTAGCACAAGAAAAGTGAGATAATGCAGGAGCTATTTTATTTTGCTTTTATTAACTTGTGCTTGCTTCTCCGATTGGGCTACTACGCAATAAACGATAACTCCTAGATGGACTTCAAGTAGGGGGAGGTATCACTCTCGATAATGCCCAGTTCTGGATTGATGCCGGAGCTGCCAAGGTGAGAGCCACATATATATTGCACTAGTGTTGAGCGTAGAGGAGGAGAGGGTGGCTGTCTTTGTTCTTTTCTTGGAATGCGCATGCCACTATGTTGTGGTCTTTTGGAATTCGCTCAGTGAGCTGACAGAATGTCTACGTGGGTGGCGTTGTTTTCCTAGGTCATTGTGACATCGTACCTGTTCCCAGGAGCCAAGTTCTCGTTGGAGCGGTTACAAGCCATCTCCGAGGCGGTAGGCAAGGATCGCTTGGTGGTCGATGTCAGCTGCAGGAAACGAGGAACAGAGTGGATCGTTGCCATGGACAAGTGGCAGACCATGACCGATATGAAGGTCAACAAGGAGTCTCTCGACATCTTGACCCAGTACTGTTCAGAGTTCTTGGTCCATGCTGCCGATGTCGAAGGCTTGTGCAAGGGCATCGACGAGGATCTTGTCAAAGGTAACAACCAAGCCTTGCTTACTCCTTTCGTTTTGGTATGTTGACCATACCTAATAGTATATACTAATTTAATCTTCATGATGCGGATAATAGCATTGGGCGAGTGGACGACTATTCCTACGACATACGCTGGAGGTGCGAATGCATTGGGCGATCTGGAGCTTGTTGACAGACTGTCGAGTGGCAAGGTTGACCTGACGTATGGGAGTGCGTTGGATGTGTTTGGTGGCAAGACAGTCAAATTTGACGACTGCGTGGCATGGAATCATGCTCACGCACAAAAGTAATAAAAAATCATTTTGGGCTTTCTTTCTTTCCTACTCCTTTGACATTGTCCCCTTCTCACTGGTTGCTGCTACCTCTTTCTCACCAAACAATGTCAAACTATCACAACAGCACAAACCCATTCCACCCCGACAACATGACTCGCTCTGCAACACTCTCGCGCGTCCTCGTCCAGTCAAACGTCCTTCACATTCTCATCGCCCATGCTCTCTCCACTGAAAAGGTTTTTGACCCTTGACCAAGAAAGAAAACTCTTGGCATCAGCCTTGCTTGCAGACACTCAGCAACAACAAGACACACAACCACCTCTAACCGCGTCGACTCTTTGTCACCTATTAGGAGGAAATCATGGGTATGCTCATGGGCGACTGGATTGTAAGTCAAAAGCCTTTGCATGGACACATGAGAAACGGAATGCGACAGACAACAAGAAGCGAGCACAGACGTTTTGTGACAGGACAGAGTCTATCGCGTTCAGGAAGGAAAGACTGATGGTAGTATCGCTTTCTCTTTGACCTGTTTTGATAGACAGAAGGTACCACAGAGATTGCAAGGGTTGACGGAGTGTCGCTGTTGACACGCTCCGAGAAGCGGAAAGATCGCGTCGAGATTGGTCCTGAGCAGCTTACTATGGCTGCCATCGAAGCAGAGGTACATATGCTTATCATCCGAGAAGGTTGTTGTCATTCGTACGCTTCACTGATCGCCAAGCCTTTCTTAACACTGTGATATTTATCTGGTGATTTTGTAGGAAATTACAAAGGCGACAGGAAAGACTACACGCGTCATCGGCTGGGTAAGCAATTCACACAGGAGCAACACGGATGGCCTTGAGTATGGATACATGGACATGTCCATTGATAATTTGCTCCGCTCAATAGTATCATAGTCATCCACACATTACGGTGTTTCCGTCTCACGTCGGTGGGTACCTTGTTCACGGGAGTTACTTTGCACGACGGAAGGCTGATGTGGAAAACCGCCAGACTCGACAACTGACATTATACGATGTATCTCTCTGATAGATCTCAGGACGCAGCTCTCACAGCAACTTATGGACTCGAGATTCATTGGGATGATTGTCTCCTGCTTCAACAAGGACAGTGAGCTGGTAATGGTCTTGCCTGGCATTCTTCAATGTGTTGTGGCATAAGGGTGAACCCCTAAGATTATAAGAAAAACTGATGAGGAGTTTGCAATGACACTCTTTAGTCAAACAAGATCCAAGTGACATGCTTCCAATCTAGACCAGATGACAGCACATCGTAAGTTAAATATCTCTGCTCAACCGTCAGAGGGATTCGAGAATCTCAGTACCCACCACACATTATAACACACCTCATCACGCACAATAGATGCCAACACATCAAGCTTCCTTTCAGCGTCCTGAACGAGAACCCACTTGATTCTTTGACACTTCCAAAGCTCTTGGAGATCCCAGAGCGCATTTTCGACGAACAGCGCCAATCCTTTTACAAGTCTATACCCGTATCTGCCACATCTGCCACCACCAACCCATCGTCTACTGCTGCTGCAAAAGAAAGCGCCAAAGGCAAGAGTGGCCGACTCTTCTCGTTTTCACCTACTAGAGCGTTTTCGTTCTCATCATCTTCGTCCAAGGATCAGGAAGGCGATACGGTCATGTCACCAGTAGATGACCACTCCAGCGACGAACAGGCTACCAACCGGAGCAAAGGCGGTAGGGGCTCAATGGATGACATTCCAGCAGATGAGCTCAACACCAAGTAGGGATCGTACAGTCAGGGATGAGTTTTGTAGTGATTGGAGAGTTGCTGGACATTTCGGTGTAATGGACGACTAATTATTCGTTGCTACTCATAGGATGATCAACCACAGGGCTATGTCGTTGCCGGACAGGATGACTTTGATCCGCAACTCTGGAGTATATGTGCAGTCGCTGTCGAGTCTCGTTGACAACTTGGTCGGCCCAACCCTCCAAATGCTGGTTGACCGTGAACAGTACAACCAGTCCATGGTACGCCTCAATGAAATTGGTTTGGTCTTGTCATTTGCATTTTTTCACCTTTAAATACAGTGACTAACTGGTTTCCAATTGCACTTCATATCAGCTGGAAGCACTTCAAGCTCAGAAGCAGGCCTTGGTGCGTCAGCTCAAGTCGCCAAGATTTGTGAGCGGAGGAAAGGACCTTGTGGACATTTCAGACGAGTAGCGTGTGTGAAAGTAAAGAAAAAAATGAGGTTGAGAAATAAATTAAATGCGCCACCAAACTTATTTGTTTGCTTCTTCATTCTGCATCTCCTTCACATTTTCAACTCCATTTCGACCATGAACGACAAGACTGATTCAGAAATTGCCATGGCCCTTCGCCAACGGTCCCTTCACTTCTGGATAGCAGCTTCTCAAGAAAGTTATCCCGCCAAGATTACAATCCCTGATAGGTAAGCTAAAGGATCAACTCTTATTGACCGATGACATCTATGACCTGCTCTGGATGTTATCTGATTGCCCGAGCTAGTATTAACAAACATCCTCTCCATTCTCAACTTGGCAACTCATGCAGTAAACCGGTGAATGGTATTTTCATTGCAACAGACACGCAGGAGCATCGCATCCGTATCAACCGGCTACAGACGCCACTCGGAACATATGATAAGGTCGTCCTCAGGGGCAGCGACGTTGACGCCATCGAGTTTTCTCTTTGACGTCTATCCATGCCCAATCTACTCGAATGGCTTGCCAGTGCCGACACTGGCCGTGTTCCGTATAGATATGTTGTTGCCGTGAGCAAGCACCAATGTCATATAAAGCTCGTTTTTTCACTCCTTTGCTTTCTGGCTCTAGCCGTCACATGACTTGATGCTCTTGGAGGAGGTTCTGGTGGCGCTTTTTTTTTTTCTGATTTGCGGCTCAGTCTTTTTATTCTCTCACACCCACCTGTACCTTAATCATCCATCCCTTCAACAATCGAATCCACCATGTCCTGCTCAGTCGAGGAACCCACCATGACCGTCGCTGAGAAGCGAGGTACATAGACATTCACACATTCGTTCTTCAGGAAGTGGATTGTGACACCACTTCGGACAAATCGACTCAACTCTTTCATTTATTCAATTTCTCGCTCCATGCAATAGCCAAGGACAGGGCTGTGCACGTCGGATTCTGCTGCAAGTGCAAGACTGCAAAGTCCACCGTTACCGTCCGATATGCCGAATACTGCGAGTATGTGCTATCTCTGCCAGCTCTCTTATATGTACTTCAACGACGTTTTTTTTCGTGGAAGAATGTAAAAGGCTGACATGCTTGCTTCTTTTTCTCCGAATCACCTATCCCCAAATCGTAGCCCTTGTTTTCTTATCGCACTTGACTCAAAGTTCAGGACCGCTCTTCGCAACGCCCGAGCTTACAGGGTCATCACGCCTGAGAATGTCATGCTCGCCTTTTCGGGCGGCCCTTCATCTAGGTAAAAAGCAAAAAAAAAAATGTTGCAAATATGCAATGTAGCGGATCAAATTAAGGCGACTACAAATTATTTACTTATACAGCCTTCCCGTCATTTAATAGGGCCTTGATCCACCTCTTCGATGTCTTCCACTCTTTGCCTCCAGAGGTCGCCACCAACAAAAAGCAGCCCAAGATCTATAACGACATCCACGTGTGTCACATTGATGAGTCTTGCTTATTGGAACCAGTACAGGATGTTACATCTTCTGGATCGACGATGGAGCAGGCACGGTCCATTGCTGGGGGATACGGGTACAGTTTCCATGGAGTGGCCATTGAGGATATCTATGATCCAGAGTGGACGGACTCTCGGTGCTTTGAGGCAGTTGCGACTCTGATCACTTCTCTTCCCAAGGATCAATTGACTACCTCAGGACAGGCACCAGAACTTCTCTCCCGGATCATCCCCACATCTGTGACAGCTGCATCAGAGGAGGAAGCACCCAAGCTGAGCCGTCAGGAAAAGATCAGCAAGATGAGGGCGCTGTTGGGCGCCTGCACAACCCTGACCGCCAAGGAGACAGTCCTTCAACATTTCCGATCTAGCCTACTGATTCAATTGGCCAAACGCGGCGAATGCACGATCCTGGCACTCGGAGATTCTGCCACCCGTGTAGCGATCCAGATCATTGAACTGACAGCGATTGGGCGCGGATACTCACTCCCTCACGAGACTTCGCTCTTGTCAAGCTGGATTCAGGACTGCAAGGTGATCCGACCTCTCAAGGACTGTCTTGTCAAGGAGCTGGATACCTTTTGTAGGCTCAATGGGTTGATGCTGATTGAGCGCCATCATGCGCAGTTGGACTGGACTATGAAGACGAAGGCCGAGGTCAAGTCTATTAGGAGGTTAACGGATGAGTTTATTACAGGATTGGATAAGGAGTTCCCGTCGACCGTGGCGACTGTTTGTAGGACTGCTGCAAAGTTGACGCCTCCTGAGGCTACTTATGATCAGAAGTGTCCGCTCTGCCATGGGTAAGTTCTGTCCTTCATGGAGCATTTTTTTTTGCGATTGGCGCAAGCTGCTGTTGTTGTGGTGAGCGTGACCTGATAATGGGTTGTTTGCTAAATTTCATAATATTTTTTATTCCATTATTTAGACCTGTCCAAGACGGAGTTCAGGAGTGGAAGCGCAGGATCACAGTGACGACTGCACCAGGAAAACTTGAGACCACCACTACCAGCAATAGCACAGAGGCCAAGACGACGGAGATATCAGATGGATGCTGCTCCTCTGACGCAGGGGGCTGCTGCTCATCATCATCATCATCACAGCGCCCTTCATGCACCACTCCACAGACAACAACAGTCTCATCCACATCGACACCATTTTCGTCGCTCCTGTGCTACGGCTGCTTGACCAACCTGCGTGATCTGAACCTGAAATCGATGGCGAGCCAGGAAGACGACGTTTCTTCTTTATCGTTTGAGTTGCCTCCTTATGTGGTCGAGACGATTGTTCACCGGATGGGGTTTGCGTCATTGGACGAGTTTGAGCACCGGTCTGATGGTGGAGTGTCGGCATCTGGGACGGCTGTGGATCCTCAGGAGAGTTTGCGTGCCCAGATCCAGGAGTTTTTGATCGCCTCGGATGATGAGGACGAGTAAGTACTAGAAGTAAAAACATCCACCGTGGCACATGTCGCAATTAAATTAAGAAACTATCCAATTGTGCTATGGTCGTATGTTGAAGTGATATGTTATTAGGTAGATAAGGAGGGGGGGGGGGGTACGAGAAGAAAAAAAATGACAGCAAAAAAAAAAGCAGAGGTAAAGAAAGATAACAAAAACAAAAAAGCGATACTATATTGGTTGGTTGCAAAGCTAAGCAATTTATGCCTTCTTGGCCTTGGCCTTGGCAGCGGCAGCAGCAGCAGCAGCGCCGTTGACACCCAACTTCTCAACAACCTCCGCCGAGACCTCCTCTTCCTCGGACTCCTCATCATGGCTCCGGTTATCATCCGCAGCGCCACCCTTGAACATCTTGTAAATAACCTTAAAGATCATCAAGAACCAGAAGCAAAGAACGGCCTCCAATCCGTAGAGGAGGGCCAAGAAGCCGCGCTGGACGTTCAAGGACATGTACTTGTCCTGTTCGGGGGCCCATTCCATGTCGAGGAACTTTTGGGGTCCGTTGTAGAGCGACATGATGATGATAGGGAAGAGGTAGTGGCGGGTGTAGGCCCATGAGATCACAAAGAGGCCGAAGAGGACGTCGCAGATCGTGGTGTAGCCCTGGTACTTGAGCATCTTGGGGACCTACAGAGGTGTTGAATAGAAAGGACATGTGGGTTAGTGAAGTTGTAAAAATGGGAAAGGGTGTAGGGAAAGTAAGGGGAGGACAAAGGGGATGGGCGCGCATTGGGCATTGTTTTGATTATTTTGATCCTTCGGACTTTTTTTGTCGCAATGCGTCTGTTGTCTGTCATCTGCCATCCAAACATTTCACATGGAAAAAGTAGGGGGTCAATGGGCTGTAATGGACTTACCGCAAGGAAGACATCAGAGACATCCATGACAATCAAGATGGCGTTTCCGATACGGGTCAAGTGGACAATGTAACTGAATCCGATCAAGGCACTGGTAATGAAGTGGTGGATCAACATGGCCATGTAATCCTTGCGCTTCATATCGGTGTTGAGGACATAGAACTGCTGGAGCCAGAAACCAAACTGGATCAAGTAGTAGGCTTTGAAGGCACCATTAGGCTTGTTGTGGGGGTATCCGATCCAGAAATGGTCAGTGTTCAACCAATGAGGGGAATTGTACATCAAAGCCTACAAATTCATAAAAGAGAAAGCGTTTCTTGGTTAGTTTGACAGCGGCAGAGAGTGAAGAACGAACTAGTGTAGGAAGTGTTAACAAAGCAGCATGCATTGTCTGGATCATAAGTTATCCGGAAATCTTTGTCAACTTACCACGCCGCAAGACCAGGAGATAATGTAGAAGAAGACGATGTAACCCTGCTCCTCAAAACGCTCCAGCTTGGAGCCACGGATGCCCAACTTCTTTCCAAAGGGGTTGAGGAAGGACTTCATGATGGCGATACGGATGTAGGTGAAGGCGATGATCCAAAAGCCGACAAGGTACAAATCGTCCCATCCCTTGGTGAAGCGAGCAGTGTACCAGGGCTCACCCTCGATAGTGAGCTCGTCCTGGACAGGGTACGACAGACTGGTCATTTTCCTGCAGACGCCATTGCCGAGGAAAGATCCAAGCAGGATTGAGCCGACCATCTTGATAGCCAAGTCTATATTAGTATAGGTTTGTGTGTTTTGCGTAGTGCGGATTGTTGGCGAAAGGGGTGTGTGATTGACAAAAGGAGGGTTTTTTTGTTGTTTGTTGTTATTGGAATGTGTTGTTGATAAGTCGTTGTCAAATGGTAGTTGTTAACGGGCCGAATTGACCGGAGACGCACGCGGATAAAAAAATTTGGTAGGGATGGAACGAAAGGAGAGAGGAAGGGATGACGAGAAATAAGAGGAATTAGTGCTTATGAACATGGATGGACTCCTTGGTTGGTAAAGGGGTGAGGCGTGCTGTATATAGCTCGCAAGGAAGAATCGAGACATCGACTCCATTGATAAGAGAAAGAAGCAATGTATGTATGGGAGAAAAGCGGTCGAGCTTGCGACGATCTACTCCCATTCTCGCTGCCTTCCTTTTTTCCCGAGCGGTCCAGTATGACCATATCCTCCATTCCCCTATTGATGTCCTTTGTCTTCGTCCTAGTTGTTATTCGTCCCTACAGTGAAAAATAGTCTCCATGTTGAGTGCGCTCCTTGTCCGAGCACTCCTGGGTTGTGTCCTTTGAAGTTTTCCACTTTTCTCACTCTTTACTCTAATAAGGCGAGTGTGTGGGGGTGGTAAATAGGGCCAATCCATATGTCCAGTGTATGTAGACGAGAATGATAAGATGTAGAAGTAGCGAACCCCAGGGAGATGATGAACCTCAAAGGATGATGAAAAAGTGTAACCGAAGGATGATGAAAAAAAATGATGATGAAAAGTACCTCTGTCATCGCGGAAGAATTTCTGGAGACCAAGGGTCTTGACGAATCCGGCAAAGACGGGGGCGGTAGCCTTCTTGGATGACCGCTTTGCGACCTTGGGGTCTTTCTGTTGTGACCTCGTTGCGTTCTTGGCCATTGTTGATGATGAGGGTGGTGTGTTTGTAGTGTCGGGGATGAAGAAAAAGAAAAAAAAAAAGAAGAAAGAAGAGAAAAGACAGGGGCAAGCGAAAAGGAAGAAAAGGACGGCCGGTCAAACTGGACGGAGTGAGAAAAAAAACATAAAAAAAGAAAGTCCCGCCTTTGCTTGAAAGTGGACTGGGCTCCTGGAATTAACAAGTAATTCTTGTGCTCATTGGTCGTGTCGTTCTCCTTTTTCTCGTCCCCCACCCTGCACGAGTGGTGCCTTTCTTGTATGACCTCCAACTCCAAGTGCCCATTCATATTAAGCGCACCGCCTCTATTCTCTTTTAGGTTTACCCACACCCCATCTCTCCTCTTCCTTTGTCTTTTTATCTTTCATTCCTACGAGGAGCCATCAATCGTTCCCTTACTTTCTCTACTGCTCATCCACTCTTCACACTTCTACTTCTCCACCTCACACCTCCACGCCCATATTTCTTCATTTTTCACATGAACATACAATCGTCCGTCTCGTCCTTGCCAATTGGTTGTTATTGCTTGTGCGTAACCAATTGTACCCTGTTTGCATTGACATTTCATCCAAAGCCTTTTTTGCGGCCATTTTTTGTGACACTCGAGATGTGGGATTCTATGAAGTCTTTGTTTTGCTTGGAGCTACACCTATCCATCTCTAGACCCAAAAAAAATCTTCCTGACCTTGAACGACTTGAAGTGGACTGCGCCTGAACGTTGACAAGCGGGATATGAACTCAGTATCAGATTTGCAAAGTGAGCTTAGCTTGGCTATATGAGTTGTGGGATGAGAGATATGAGATGTGGGATGTGGGATAAGTAAGATATCACACCCACTCTTGAAACATGCCATATTTTGCACTCGTACTACGACTCCTTCTGATACAGTCCGTATCAATTGAACCTCTCATGCCTTATGTTTTTTATTTGAGCATCAGTTGGGGCAGTTGAAGAAAACAATACCACAAATTTGGTCGAGCCAACAAGCAGGACACATGAGGTGGAATGAGGTAGAGGGTGTTCCTTTGGAGGCGAGGAGAGAGGGAAGGGGAGAAGAGCAGGCTTGCTGAGCAATCATGTTGCCGGATTCCACTTTTACGGAGACTTTTTTATCCGAGATCGAGGGTGAAAAAATGAGCATTGACATACACAATAACAATATTCATCTCTTTTATTTTTCGCAGTACCAAGGAAGCCGTAGTCAACAACTGCGACGGACAAAAAAATAGGCGCGCTCAAATCTGCATGTGGCAAGTGTTATGCGCAATGTCCGCATCGTAGTACTCATCCTTCTTCATCATTATCTTCCTCAGCAACCTTCAAAAAGGATCTTGTTCGACGATTCGATTCGGAACAAAACATATTGCTTAATACCTTTCAAAGCATGATCTGCAGGGTCCGTCGACAGGATACCATTTGTATGACGTTGACATAACACGAAATTAAGACTCTACTTTTCGACAGTTTTATTACAATGCTATAACAACGGCACATAGAAGTGCTGCTCGCTCTGGCCCAATTGCTCCCGAATGCCATAAGGGAAATGACAGCTCGTTCAGGTTTCGCGTATAGATGCGAGTGATAGGGACTGGTGTCAATGTAAAAGAGCAATCGCAGGGTTGTCAGATGATTAATGCGTCGAGTCGGTAGAAGGAATGCAGAGTGGAAATAGAGGGGTCGCCAGCGACCCATATTTCCCCGTGTTGTGATTGCTGGTGCGTATGCAGGTGACGATAAAGAGGATCAATCCAGCTCCATAGGAATGTCCTCTCTTGCTCCAGAACTCGCTGCCGCTGATCCTGGTCCCGATGTTCCTGTTGTTGCCCCTCTCTGTGGACCTGCTGTCGCGTTCTTTGCGACTCCTGAAGCGGATGGCTTGTTCACCACAGTGTTGGTCCCGATGACCCGATTCCGCTTTGCGACAGTGGACATCCCCGCCGCCTGTCTAGCAGCTTTCCAAATAGACTGTGATGAGCCTCTCGCCAGTGTCTTGGAGGCGACTTCGTCCAATTGTTGAGGCTGAGTGTTCTCGACATGAACATCAATATCGACGGGCGTCATAAGTTCATTCCGGACCAGCTCTACAGGGTCAAAGATGACGTGTTTGGTAGTGATGGCCAAAAGTTCCAGTGCATCCGTGTTATTCTCCTCGGTGTCTTCCATGCCTTCCTCTACATCCTCGCGAACTATTTTGTCAAAGAAGGGCGACGGGAATCAGGTTAGGTTGGAATTTGAGTCATGAATTAATTACCCGCCTAGGGAAAAAAATGTAGCAATGAGGCATACCTTTCATGTTGAAGATCAAATCCTCGGTAAAGGCGTTCTCCTCGAAGCAGCCCTTGAATGTATGAGCACCGCATTTGAAATAAGGCGTCCCTGTCTCCAAGCCCTAGCGGTCGTTATTAAAAACACGCGATGGGTTGCAAGGATTAACACATGAGTTGTGTTTTATGGGAAGACAACAAACACCACTGTCGTCGCATGCAAACTGAGCAAGAACATGGCGTGTCTTGACTTACGACAAGACTGTATCCTTTTATGGTGAGGTGCTCCATGTCGGATGCGTCGAGGTTTGAGCCACCAAAGTCGAGGACGATGTACTCTGTCTCCTCGACCCATTCCCAGTCTTGAGAATCTTGCTGTTGGGGGTCTGCGGTGTGTTCCTGTACCTCCATTGTTTCTGTTTTGTGGATTGTTGGGGGTGTACAAGAGTAAGAAGTGGCTAAGAGAGTGTGTGAGAACAGTCTGTTAAACTAAGAAGGATCGACAGGGAGCGAAAGTAAGAGAGCCAAGGTTGTCAGCAACCACGCATGTTCGTTGTTTTGTGCCTGTTTCTTTTAGTGCCAAGTGTCGAATTCCCAACCCGTGGCTTGGACGCAGAAGTAACAACTAGGCACACGTCTCTCTCAAATCTCCCACGCCCAATACCGACTTGTCCCACCAAAACTTCTCTCTTTCTCTTTTCTTTTCTCCACATTCTTTTTTTCATTCTCTTTCTCCCCTCCCAACCCTTTACCCTTTTCTTCCTTCAACACGGAACAAAGGACAAGCATAGCGATGACAACCTCAACACCCATTCGCATCGGCTATGTCACAAGGATCGAGCGCTTCTCAGCCGCACACCGACTCAACTCGGTCCACCTCAGCGCATCAGAGAACATTGCCCTTTACGGCAAATGCAACCACACCTCTGGTCATGGACACAACTACAAAGGTGGGTGTGCATTCATTCACTCTTTTTCAGCGTCATTCAACCTCGAACAAATTTTGTTGCCGAATGCAGAAACAATGATCAAAATAACCATACTCACACTTCCTCCTTTTCATAGTTGAAGTGACGATAAAGGGACAGGTAAATAACAACCAGGACAACTGCGCATAGGGTCCCATTTGAATGCAGTCTCAAAACAATAAGAGGAACAGAGGGCTGCACACGATGCATTTTGGCTACTGTTCTCTTCCTTTACTGACATTCTCTCTCTCTCTCTCTCTCTTAATCTCTCACTTCCATTCTCCCCGCATGACCTTCTCTTCCTCTCCTGCCTTACTTCTTCACCCCATGTTTGATCCCATCCTTGGCCGGTTGTCAATGCAGATCAATCCAGTATCCGGCATGGTGATCAACATCACAGACTTGAAGAAGACTCTACAGACCGCCGTCATGGACCCATGCGACCACCGCAACCTTGTACGTCCACATTCTTTTGTTGACGACTCTCTATTTTGTCGTCATTTCATGTAACCTGCTAGGGCTAAGTTTATGTTAACTTTTTATTGTGCTTTACTCATCCGAAATAACTCGATTAGGATATCGACGTCCCCTACTTTCACTCCACGCCCAGGTAAATAAGAGCACATGTATTTTTTTGCTGTGCCAATTGCTCACCCGAGCAAACGAAGCCCTTTTCTGCTATCCAATAGTTCCACAATGACTTACCACGGATTATATTCTGTCTACTCTTCTATCTAGTACGACTGAGAACTTGGCAGTGTTTTTGTGGGAGAGCATCAAGGAACATCTGCCTCCATCAGTTTCTTACGAACTTCATGAACTCAAGGTCTATGAGACTGACAAGAACATCGTTGTCTACCGAGGAGAGTAAGCACCTTGGCTGGTCAATTGAATAAGGACGCATGCATAACACAAACCAACAGCATATGTACAACAAAAAGTAAATATATATCGTAATATTCAGAGTGTCGATACATGGACTGGATGATGTATTATTGTTGTGGATGTGCTATGGTACAAGTTATCAATACGATAAGAGTGCGTGCAATTGAGGATTGATGATGGCGGCTGTTGAGTATGGTAGTGAAGAGAGATTGAATGAAGGAGGGTACGGATGAATGTTAACGGAGATCACTTTTTGCTGTTTTTTGGTGGCGCAATGGTGGACGAGAGGGTGAGGTTGGTCTGGAGGACGTGGAACTGGTGCTTTCCTTGCGAGATCAGCGACTTGATCTTGTCCTAAGTATATTTAGGTTGACCACAACAAAGGCACGTCAGTAAACAGTAATGAAGCAACGTGAAAAGACGAGGGGTATCAAGGGCTAACTTAATTGCTAGAAAAAACAACCGGTTAATGTGTTCAACAACATACCGGGTTGGTTTCATGGCGGAATTGCTCAAAGTCTGATCGAGCCCAATGCTGGAGCTCTTGACGGTCCCGAGGGTCTTTGATCCCCTTGAGTGACCTCTGGATCTCTCTATACAACGACAGTACTCTTGCGCGAGTAAGGAACTGGTTTGGAGATAAGGTTGTTTTGTTATTAATAAAAGGGAAGTGGAGAGCGAGAAGTGGGGATGAAGGGTCCGGAGATTAGTTCAGGCGCTTTATATTGTTTGCCGATTCCCGGAATGGGATGAAGGTGAAGGTGAGTGAAGGTAATTACATATTCGAGGTTGGGTCCGTCCTTGACAGAGATCTTTCGTGCGGCGCGGGAGAGAGATGTGGGGACTGCTGGAGGCTTCATGGGGAAAGGATGAATGTGTGTGTATGTGCGTGAGTATGTGTGTTTGACAAGATGGGGAAGGAAAGGGAAGGCCGAAAGGGAAGAGGGGAAATAATTGTTGTGCGCAGTGATACAGAGAGAGGTATGAACAGTGCAGGACGGCGTTGTGCTGCGAAACAGGAAAGATGATTTTCAAAGCGGGGCTTGATTATTTTTTTTCTCCTTTTTTTCTTTTCGTTATGTCTGCGGAGCGAGTTCTCCCAGCCACCCACTCAACACACACACACAACAACACATGGGGAAGGGTTTGTGTTCCACTGTTAACAGGTACTCAAGCAGAAATGAAGCGGACCTGAAAGTTGAAGCCAGCCTCCAAGGTGGGGGAGTTATCACTTATTAATCTGATTCTTTTTTCTTTTTCTTTTCTTTCCTTCTCTTTTCCCTTTTCTCTTTTCTTCTTTCTTTGCGCTCTCCCTCTACACTCCTCAATTGCTACCATCCTCCATCCATCCCTATCTCATCTTCCATACCCTCCACACACTCCAAACGATCCAATCCACACCTCATTACCCCATCTCCAACAAAGTAGCACAAACCCCATACAACAAGGATGGTTGACAAGTCTGCGATCCGGATCCGCCCATACACAGAAGCAGACCGGGGCCAAGTCCACGAGACCCTCTTCCTAGGCTTTTCCATGGTCGGCGACCGCATCGTCCAAAAGACCGTCCGCCACCGCACCACCGCCCTCTCCATCCTCACCAAATCCGTCATCTATACCCTCGTCCTCGAACTCCTCCTCGTCACCCTCTCCGCCGTCGGCAACAACTCCACCACAGGAACAGGAATAGGAGGAATGATGGGTGATTTCACGGCGCTGCAGGAGGCATTGATGGAACCTACGACTGTCCAGGGGATGGTGGGTCAGTTCTTGAAGCCCTCGTTCTTGCTGTTGGGAGCTGGGATTACAGTCTTGGTGACGCTGGCGACGCTTTATTCGATCTATTCCCGTAACCTGAAGGAAACTCAGGCCTATATCCAAGGTTGTTTGGATGAGGATCTGGGCGATATTGTTGCCTACTACCAAAAGGACGTCTCTACTGTCGAGAAGCAGGACAAGGACAGCAAGGCAAACGGGAACAAAACGGGACAGCAGACCAAGAAGAAGAACAGATCGCAGTTTTGGGTTGCATGCCTCGAATCCCACCCGCAACTGGTCCTGGGCTGCATCTCCCTCGACGACGTGGCATTCCACTCTGAATCCCTTCTCTCCAAGCACCTCAAACAAGGTTCTCCCGCCACTTCTTTCGAAGAGCCCTCAGAATTCGATGCCGAGTTACGCCGTCTCTCAGTCCACCCCAACTACCGTCGTCTCGGTATCGCCAAACTCCTGATCCAGACCTTGAAGGACTCTGCAAAGAAGCAAGGGTTCAAGCGAGTGATCTTGTCGACGACGATTCACCAGAGCGAGGCCTTGGTGGGGTATATTCGATTTGGATTCGAGCGGGAAAAGTTGGTAAGGATCTCAGAGTTCTTTACGCTTTGGTATGGTTCTTTGAAGCTTAATGCCACGGCCAAGGAGGTTGAGGAGCAGAAAGAGAATCAGGCGTTGTTTTTGAAGGAGGTTGGGTTGTTGAACTGAGTTTGAGTAGGACCTGTTGAGGAAGAAGTCCAAGAGGTCCATGATGGGCGAGGATGGTCCAGGCTATCATAATCATACCTCCATAATAAACCTTTAATGTTGCTGATTTGTTGTGTTTGTGATTTTTGTTTGCGCCGTACTCAGACTGTAGTTTTTTTTTCCTTCGATCTGCTCCATCTTTGGAATGGAAACGAAAAACTCCCTGTGACAGTTTATTTCGTGCATGCATGCAAAGAAAAGGGTCCTTCCCCCTCATCCTCCAAGTCCATCCCAAACTAAGAAACCCACCCCTTTGCCCGTCGATCCAACCGATCCGCCAACTGCCTCAAATACAAACTCCCCGGTAACACCTCACTCCCCAAATGCTCCTTCCACCCCTGCGCATCCCACGGCTGTCGATTCTTCGCCTCAAAATCCTCACTCCCAATCACGAAATTCTGGAATCCCTGGGCCCTATGCGTCAAGATCCCTTCCCTCGCCCTCGAATTCCAAACCACAGAGTTTGCGCCTGAGTAGCCTTGGCCAGTACCCATGTCGCCGCGGTTGACGATTTGGATGGATCCGTCGGTTATGACTTGGTCGAAGAGGATGCCTGTACAGAATTTCATGTGGGGCCCGACTTCTCCCGGCGCAAAGTCGAGGGGGAGGGGCTGATGGGGTTTGCCGATGTTGGTTGCTTGGGACCGGTGGACGACGTTGGGGCCGGGGACGTGGTTGATGTCGACAAAGAAGTGGAAGGAACCTTGGGAGAGAGAGTTCTTGATAAGGACGAATTGGCCCGAGAGTTGAAACGCGGATTGGCCAGAGAGCATGTCATCCGGGTAGGAATGGACGACCGAGTCGAGGGTGACATGGTGCACATCCTTCCCGATCGAGATGAAATTGTGGAAGAATGCGGTAGTGATGTGCGAGAAGTACACATGCGCGGCAAGATCCAATCTCAACGCGTAATTCGCAAAGATTTCATACGAGAACCTATAATCCCCACTCCCCCTCCCTTTCTCATCCAACATCTCCTCCGTTGTCCTCCCTATATTCTTTGGAAACACCAAATCCAAGAACTGAACCCCTATCGCCCGGATCTTCCGGTCTTCATATTTTGTCACCCACCCACCTCCATAATACCGTCGAATCGAAATCGGCAATGGCGCATCCAACCGCACAATCCCCGTATGCGGGTCCAAGGATCGAATGGTACGGAACATGTGGGCGAGCATCTTTTTCCAAGGTTTAACGCCCTCCTTGGAGGAATTGAAATCGTCCATGCCGATATCTTCGACCCACCGGTCGTTTCCGACACGGGTGACCATGATTTGGTCACCGACGGCGAGGGTTGATTCTGGGAAGTAGGTTGGGTCGAGGGCGAGGAAGAAGGAGCCCACGGGGGTGTAGTCTGAGACCACGGGGACCCTCGTGTTATCAAACATCTTGTCTTTCTGTCCTCTATGTCGTTAAGGAAATAATAATGTTAGCTTTTCACACAGTCAACTGGAATGTGGAGAAAACAACAGATGCAGAACAGACACACAGAAAGAAAAACTTACTCGATCTCGATAGCATATCGCGGCCCAGTCGACTCCCACTGACAAACAATCCTCGATCCACCCCTAGGGTCACCCCTAAACAAAATGCCACTATCCCTCAACTTCAAAGGCTTCGAAATCCGATACACACCCCTCGCAAGCGCCAACGCCCCCGTTGGCACCACGGTCTTTCCCTGCACAACCCCCACCTTCGCCTTCTGTCCAACCCGATCCAAAGCCTTCTGAATTCTCTCCGTGTCATCTCCCGTATCAGTATCCTTATCCGCTCCACGCCTCGGGAAAAGTCTCTCCACCACCGGCACATCCTTGATCGCATCCGGCAATTCGGTATTCCCCTCATTCCAACCGACCATACTGAAATCCATTATTCTGTCACCTTGACGGTTATAAGCGACATAACCCAGGGGGGAGAGAGGGTTACGGAGGGTAGTTGGGTAGACGATGGCGCTGTATGGGTCTTTGGAGTAGGCGCGTGGGAAGATTGTTCCGTCCTCATCGCGGTCTTGGGGTCGCTCGGCGCGGTTCTTGCTGTAGTTATCTGGGCTGCGTTGGGATTTGTAGATCCCTGCGTGCTTTGGATTCAGTCCTCCTGAGAAGAAAGGTAGAAGAAGAAAAAATATGATGATGATGAGCAAAATAAAAGAGTACCCATTTGTCAAACGTAGGGAACTGTTACGACAACAGAAATGTGATATTGCCGAGTGGGACTTCTTTCTCCCCTGTTTAAGTTACCGTGCTTCTTTTGCCAGTCGGGGTCATCCAGAGGGAGCGCATACGACCAAAAGCCCTCATCTCCATTGATATCCTGCTCTTCGTTGCCTCGTTGTCCAACTTCCTCCGCCTGATCATACTCATCTTCCGCCGCCTCCTCTTCATCACCAGATTCTTCGTCGTCGTCATAGTCGTCCTCGTACCCACCACTCGGGCGATGATGATGCTTCACGCTCCAAGTACGCTGAATCTCATCCTGCTCCTGAAGCCATTCAACCTCTGCCTCATGACCCAACAAATCGATCTGGTCCAACTTGGGTCGCACCGTTTCCACCTCTGCCTCCATCGACCCGTCCATGTCCAATAGTACCGTTTCTGATCCCATGGGCTCTGCCTCGAAAGAACGGCCACCTCCTGGCGCATTCACAGTCTCCATCTCCTTCTCCTTCTCCTCCTGTATGGCGGCAGTGTTGACAGATCCAGAAACAGGCGCCTGGGCGTACTCACGCGTATTGCCACCGCCACCAGTCGAACCCGTTTGTTGTGCAGCCCCCTCAGCATCCCAGACCTGTGAATCCACAATCGCCTCGAATGTGTTGTCAATGACGTTGGGGTCCCGAGTCGTGACTGATTCTCCAAACTCGCCAAGCTCTTCCATCTTGAGGGTTTGGGTCTTTTCCTTGGCCTGTACGATAGTGTCATTGCTCATGTTCTCGTTGTGGTTGTTCTGGGATGGTGGAGTTATGAGCTCGAGTTGTGAGAAGTCCTGTTCCTCGACGACCGACCCATCATCGTTGTCGGCCCCTGTCATCGCCGAGAACTTGTTCTCCTGTTGCTGGCGCCATGGTGACACAGAAAGACGCGTCCTGCGTCTCGTTCTTCCCTCTCCACCTTCTTCCTCTTCTTCCTCGTAACAAAACTCATCTTCATCACCATAATTATCCTCCTTATCCTCAGTGTCACCGCCAGGCGAGGATATCTCATACCGGAACTCACCACCCCAAGGAGAGTACGACCACCCCAAAGAATCCTCATCTTCGCTATCAATCCCATTCCAATCCAGCGCATCCTGATCTAACTCCCAACCTTCAACCTCATCTTCCAACCCCTCCCAAGGCATGGGTTCCTTCGAGTAGCGCATCCTCCCCGCCGCACCCTCACCAGTACCAGACGCATAGGCCGCAGAAGCGGCGATTCCCCGTTCGTAAGGTGTGAGTTCGAGATAGAAGGAGCCCTGATGCTCGAACCGCTCCATCTCCAAATGGTTCATGTAGTCCTGTTGCTGTTTGGATAGCTCTTCTGGGTTATTGTTGTTGGTGCTGGCTGCGGCGGCTAGTGGGACACCGGCGACGACGGGAAGGAGTAATTGGTCGCTGTAGGGTTGGAGTGGATCGTATGGTACTCCAGCTGGGTTCTCGAGTCGCGTGTATCCTTCCGGTCCTCCTCCTCCTCCTCCTCCTCCTCCTCCTCCTCCTCCTCCTACTGTTGCAGCAGAGACGGAGCTGACTAGTACAAAGAGCGCCCACACTACCCTCCATCCCTTCATACTAGTGACTTCCCTCTTCTTCCTGCCGACAGTAGTAGCGCGATGTTGTTGGCTGTCGGAGTAAAGCGACCCAGTCCAGCAAGTATCTTGAAGGCGTCGGCACATGGTCCGAGAAATGCATTCCTGCACTGTCGTTGTTGCTGCTGAATTCATCGTCATTTCTCTTCTTTCAGTTACTGCTCCTTGGATGACTGAGCATCCCACGTGGACCCTGAAGGACTCGACAAAGGAGCTGTTACTGTTCTCCGCGACCCCAGTTACAGTCGCAGTGGAGGTCTCAATTCGATCGTCGTCTACTTCATCCGAGACCAGTGGGCATACTGCTGGCGGCGGTTTTGTGGAGGATGGTTTTGGTTGGTGTGGCGGACCTAGAAGAGTTTTCTCCAGGGCCTTCTGAACCTGAATCTGAGCCATGGGTTGGGTTGTTTGGGCGGAGATGGTTAGGTCTAGGCGGAGAAGTCTGGACACTAAAAAGAGGGGGGGGGGGGGAAGGATGGGCAGAAAAGGAATTGAAAGGACATGGTTGGTATGGTTTATGGTTTGCCTCCCGCGCGCCTTTTTTTTTTCTGTTTTCTTTTGTGGTCTTTCTTTTTTGCGTTTGAGGATAGCTTTTTTTTTTTTTGGATGGTTTTGACTGAAGCATCATCTTGTCCTTTTTTCATTTCATTTCGTCTTTCCACTTTCTTATGTAATTTACCTGGTGCTGAGTTGTTGTTGAGTCGCGATAAATGGAGAGTCGAGTGTATGCACTTCCAGACTACGATCTGCGACCTGCAAAAAGTAATACTACTTCTGTGTTTCGTATTTGTGCGGGGACCAAGCTGACAGATGCTGAGCAGCAAAAAAAAACGGGCAGAGGATCGGAGCAATGGGGGAGATGGAAGTTGTTTGTCCTGCCACGCGGGAAAAGGAGGGTTCTTTTCCGTTTTGATCTTTTAATGTTTTCCTTCTCCGTTTTCCGCTCTCTGGACAAAGAGACGAGTCAGAGAGAAGGGAAGAGAAAAAGAGGGTTCGGTTAGAAGGGCGTATGGGCGTTGATTGGTGGAAGATAACTTTTGAGATTAGGCAGTCTGATGTCATACAATGGGGGTGGTCCTGGCTGAGTGTGGAAAAAATAAAATCTCTCTTTGTGCTTTGTCACAACTGGGTTTAAGGTGAAGGAATGAGGGGGAATGGGTGGAATGGGGAAGAAAGTGGAGTCAAGGAAAACAGGAAAGAAAGAGAAAGAGAAAGAAAAAGAGAAAAGAGGAAAGGACAACCACAAGAACAAGAAGAAAGGACAAGACAAGAATGCAACATTGTTCACACCCCTCTTTCACGAACAAGGAGACAGGGAGAAAATGGTAGGGGGTAGGATGGATGACACCTTCGGTCCTTCCCTCCTACTTTTCATTCTCTCTCCCTCATCCCTTGCTCCTCTTTCTACGCCATATCTAGTGCTACAAAGACAAACAAACAGGCACACGAAAGACACAATTGGGAGAAAGGAATGAAGGTCGACTAATACCAAATGCAAGATGCCGAAAGGGATGCTGGTTATTTATTTGCTGTGTTCTAGATGCTCATTGCGGTTGTTTGTAGATGTGCAAATTTAGTTAGAATGTCTGTGGTAGGTGTTTGAGAGTGGAGAGAAAGAGAAAGAGAGGCTATTCGGCAGCGGCGATGGCAGAAACAGGAGAAAATAAGGCAGTGGCAGCTTCCCTCTCCTCCTTCTTGAGCTCCATATCCTCCTCATCAAGAACCTCGCCCTCACCCTTGGTAAAAACTTGGACATGCGAAATTGTGGGCACACTGCGGAGCTCTGGAGGATTGATAAAGTACAAGTAATCGCGGCCGGGCAATCTCTCCTGGAGGTACCGACGGATCCATACCTCGTCTGTCAGGGGTTGACGGGACCAGATCAACCAATGCTCGATGCCTGGTTTGACCGAGTAAGGGAACTCGTTCTTCTTCAGGTTGACCTCGAGCGGGTCGACAGGACCGGTAGGGGATGTAGGTGGAGAGAGGGATGACGAGCATGAGGAAGTGGAGGATTCGTTTCCATCAGAGTAAGAGAGGGGTGAGGAAGAATCGTCGGTCTTTTCGGCGGGAGGCCAGTGGAGTATCCGCTGGCGGATATATTCGTCGGGAGAGCCGTATTTTATCGTCCTGCGCTTGATGGCCTTTTGGTATGCGGCCTGGACGGCCTCAGAGCGACCCATGGGGCCGAGATCCTTAGAGGCGACCATCTTTGTGAGCTCCGACCAGGAGAATTGGTGTTTTGTTGGTTTCTTGAAAACGAGGGGTTTCCTTGGTGATAATGATGATGTGGCCGAGGAAGGGGAAGGAGAACGGGAGTCTGATTTTGATTTGAATTGTTGGGCAAGGGAGCGTTGGGCGAGGGAGGTGTCGAGGGTGCCCTTGAACTGGGCACCCTTTATCCGCTGCTGCTGTTGTTGCTGTTGTTGGTATTCTTGCATGGTGGGGATGTTGTCTTTTGTGTGTTGTTGTGGGATTTGACCAACCGCCATCTGCTTTTTATGGCTTATGTATATGATTGTGTAGGGCGGAGAGGAGAGAAGGATGAGTAGCAGCGATGGTAGAAAAGCCAAAGGGTTGCCGCTGTGTTGTTTGTTTTTTGTGGGTATTGGGTATAATGCAGACAACAACAGAAAACAGAAAACAGAAAACAGAAAACAGAAAAGAAGAGAACTAGAGAGGCGATTGCCTTCTCTTTTTATAAGAAAATGATAAGAGGCGATTTCAGTCCTGGCAATGACGATGACATCATTATTGATTAAAGGAAAATTTTTGTAATCGCTGCAGGTGTTCCTTTCACTTCCTATCCGTTTCTTTATTCATTGAGCGCCTGCCCCTTAGTCAACACCAGCTCGTTAATAAGGGCAATTGACAGAAAGCCATATGGATACTTTGGCAGGGACCATGATCCAAAACATACTGCTCACAAAGAAAGCAATTGTACCCGTACTGGATTTAACGATAACATGCACCCCACTCGTTGTACCTCCCTAATACCAGGGCTATGCTCTCTTTGTTCTTACCCCAATAGACCAGTTGTCATCTCGGGTTTCTCATTCATCCTTCCCATTTACCCCACAAATCCTTCCTTGCTGACTGCGTAACAATTCTCTCTCCTGCTATCGTCCATCACCTCGATAAAGTGAGTTTATTTGTTTATTTCTTATTCTTCTTCTTCCCTTCTCTCTCCTGCTATCGTCCATCATCTCGATAAAGCGAGTTTATTTTTGTTTATTTCTTCTTCCCTTCTCTACCACTACTCTTACCATCCCCACGATTTGCCAGTTCAGCACAAACCTCCCACTCAAACCTGACGCATCACCTGCCTCCACCCCTCTCTCCCCTCCCACCCCTCCAAGAGAAAGAGGAAAGATATGGGCAACAATCTCTCACAGCAAACAAGGAAAGTCAACAAACAAACAAGTTATCTTATCCGCGAATCGCTGAAAGGGGTCGTGTTAAGAAAAATACGATCCAATTGGCCACTGAAAGTTCACCCAACATCACCGACCAAGGTTATCTATCACTCGGTTTACCTTGGCGCTTTTCTCCTTTCTTCTTTTTTGTGTTACTTTGTCGTTTCTTTTGTCTATTCACTACTAGTCCTGCCCAGACCACTCGCCCCGTCCCCCAGCTTGTGAAAAAGCAGATGGATTGGGTGGGATAAATAGATAGAGGACATGAGAATGAGAGTGTGGGAGTGAACTTTGTATACTCTGCCACACTTCAATGGCATCTGAAAAAGGAGGGTAAAAGGAAGGAAAGAAAGAGTGAAAAAAAATATTCCTCGAAAAGGTTTTTATGGCCAATGCATGGGCCACATGGCGGCTGGACATCTCTTGTGTTGCATCATGCGTTGTGGTTGTACAGCGTGCTTGACAGAGGTTCTGAAATGCAAGGCGGAAAAAGAAAGAAGAAAAAAAAACAAAACAAAACAACAAACAATTGGATGTCTGTGCTCGGGAGTTTTGATGATGTAAGGAAATAAATAAAAAACGACGGGGTGATAAGGGTGAAATATACACGGTTGTGGACGGGTGAATGAGATATCCTACATGTGTTAATAATGAATGACGTCCAATGATGATGATGGAGGGAACCCTGACAAAGGGTATTTTGCTATTTCTGAACCTGGTATTGGTGTTTATGAGATCATAGCAAGTGACTGATTAAGATGTGTTTTCCAATGGTCCAATGCATTAGTAAAAGCCTGGCCTAGCCAATATGGAGAAAGAAGAAAGAGAGCCTGTTGATTTGGATGTTTGTACTTGTGTTGCCGTGGCATGTTGGTCTGAGAGAGAGAGACACTGAGAGAAGAGTTGAACCTTGAGTGCCACGCTGCGCATGAACCTGTTTGCTCTGCCTGGCCGTTTATTTTGCCAGAGCACGCAGCGAGACAGACAGAGAGCTTCCGCTCAGTCAGCCGAAGGGCTCTAATGTGATTGGGCAGGATGAACCTTTTCTTTTTCTTCCTTCCTTTCTTCGAGGCTATATCATTTTTTACCCTCCTTCCTCTTTTTCCTTTTCTTTCTTCTTCTCCTTCTTCTCATCATCTCTTTTCGATCCCCTCCTACTTCCCTTTCCTCCTCCTTCTTCCTCTTCCTTCCTCTTCTTCCTTCCCCTCCGTCCGCTCTCACTCGCACCTCACACACACTTCTTACATCTCTCACACTTCTGACACACATACACTCCGTCTTTTTTTATTATTCTTGCATCCTTCACTCTCTCTAATAACTCTTGCATACCATCCATCCATCCATCCATCCTTACTTCCCACTCTCTTTTGCATCTTTACACTCTTTACCCCTCCACTCTTTGCATTTTTATACCTCAACTCTTATCCTTTCCTTCCCTATCCAACCAACCAAAGAAGATAACAATATGGCTGAGCTGAAAAAGAGAACCCGCTCGAGCTCCGTCAGGAAGGGTGTCCAGTCCGTCGCTGACAAGGCCGCCTCCATGCTCCCCCATATGCCCCACATGCCTCACATGTCCCTCGATCTCGAAGGCATCGACGCCGCCATTCTCCACAAGCTCGACACCCTCCTCCAAAAGATCGAATCAAAACTCAGATCCATCGAGGCCCCATCCCTCGAAAAGGTCGATCTCACCCTCCGCCAGCTCGAAGAGACCTATGCCACCCTCGAGATGCCTTCCCTCGACGACAAAATCCACGCAACCCTCAAGATCATGGAACAAACCTACCAGCACGCCCTCCAGGCAAAGTCGACCCTCAAGGACAAGCTCAGCACAGCCATCTCCATCCTCGAGGACAAGTACGTCGAGCTCGAACAGACCTCGTTCGAGCGCATGGACGACGCTATGGACATGCTCGAAAAGGTCGACAGCCGTGCTATTATTGACTACACTATCGACACCATCGACGCCCCTCGGCGGGCTGCACTCGCTGGCGCCAAGAGGCTGTTGCGTTTCGAGGAATTGCCTGAGCAGTGGCAGGAGAACAAGTACATCCTCTCGGGCTATCGCTTCCTCTCCTCAAAGACACAGTGCTTCAAGTCCATCTTTTACGTCCACAACGAGTCTGGCAACATCTGGACCCATCTCCTCGGCTTCTTTTACTTCTTGGCCGTCGGCATCTACTTCTTTTCAGGATCCAACCCATACTTTTCGACGACGACCATGACCCCAACATATAACCTGCCCTATGTGCCCGCAGACGGATATGACAAGCTGGTCTTCCTTGTCTTTTTCTTGGCTGTGTACAAGTGTCTCCTCATGTCTTCGCTCTGGCACACATTTGCTCAGATTGCACATGAAGGCACGATGAAGTGCATGGCCTGTCTGGATTATGTCGGTATTTCGATCTTGATTGCCGCCAGTGTTGTTGTGACCGAGTACTATGGTTTTTACTGCGAGTCGACCTTCCGCAACTCGTACATTGCTGCCACCGCCCTGTTTGGTGTCGCTGGTATTGTCGTCCCTTGGTTGTCCTGGTTCGATCAAAAAGGTATTTACTTGCATTCCGGTTGTCTTTTATTTTATTTTATTTTGTGGGGTCAGTGGGGTATGTCAGGGTTTGCTTGCGTCTTTTATCTTTGATTGTGACAGTTGGAGTGGGATGGATGAAAAAAAATAATAATAAACCGGAACATCGGTGTTTCTTTTTGTCCTTTCGCCCACCGTGTGAGCAAAACACCAAAAGGTCTTCTTGTTTCTAACCTTCTTTTTTATCCCCTTCTTGAATGAATAACAGAGACACGCTGGCTTCGTATCACTTTCTTCATCTCGATGGCAGCGTCAGCCTTGTTGCCTGTCTTCCACTTGATGCTGATCCAGGGCGCTGCCCCCACGGTGGAGTGGATCTTCCCTCTCCTCAAGTCGATGGGCTCTTATCTCCTGGGAGTCTTTGTCTATGCCAACCAGTACCCCGAGAAGCTGTTCCCCGGACGGTTCGATCACCTGGGTTCCTCTCACCAGTTGTGGCATCTGTGCGTCCTTGGAGGTGTGTACTTTAATTTCTCTGCTGCACTTTCCTTCTGGGAGCGTCGGTATGAGTTTGGGTGCCCCTCTGGTTGGGATGGCATTGCCCCCGTTGGTGGTTTGGTCCCCTTCTCGTAAAACACTTATTCGCTATTTAGCAATAAGATAGACAACCTCCAACAATGTACATTTCCTTTAAACATATGATTTGAGAATGATGCGACTATGGTACGGCATGATGATGCGAATGACGGTATTTGCTTTACTGCTGAAGGGCCCTGACGAGTGACAACAGACACAGGTTTGAGAATCAACAAAAAGGGGGGGGGCCATCGATTAATACCTAAACACGAGGTCTATGTGTCGTCAAGACAAACAATGCCGTCGATATGTTCATAAGTGATATTATTGTTGGGGAAGGGAGAGAGAGAGAGAGAGAGAGAGAGAGAGAGTGGGAACAATTCGACGATCGATATTTTTTTTACTCCGCTTTTATTTCTATCGGCATGTCTGCCGCTGTTACCGTTGCTGTTGATCAACTGCATTGCTTGCGCAATCCTTCAAGCTGCTCTCGCGCCGTATACGTCAGCGGATACGGGTAAGGAGTTGAGGTTAATTGTCTGGGAGTGCTTCTTCTTGCCCCTGCTTGCTTGGGGGGCCAACGGTAGAAGGTGAATCCAACCATGACGGAGATGCCGCCTCCAATGGCTGCAACATTGCTCTTTGAAGGAGGTGGTCGGTGTTGGATAGGCCTGCGTAATTGGAACCGGGACCGGTCGTGTGTGCTGCCCGAGGGTGGTGAAGGGAAAAGAAGAGGTAGTGTTTGTGGGAGGAAGAAACGATTTCGGCCGCCTTATTCATCCATTTTTCGAGCTTGATGTTGTAGAACAGCATCTTCAGGGGTCACGTTTCCTGCTGGAATATCATATCCTGCAAAATTAGAAAAAAACGTGCCACACTGGAACGTTTGGGACCCCTGGCCTTTTCTGGGCCGATTGTCTAAACCTTATCCCCTTCGCCACCATTTTTTTGCCACTGATTTTGATTTTGCCACTCACCCTTGCTCATGCATAAAACAACCTCTCATTCATTCATTCGTTCATTCACTTACACACTCACTTAGTCACCATCTCACTCGCTCACTCATTCATCCACTCACTTGTTCTCTCGCTCCGTCTCTTCATACCAACACACATATACACACACAGAGGATGAACACAGAAAGGATCATTGACCTCCCAGAACTCTTCGACGCAATCGCCTCCCACCTCCCCCTCTCAACCCTCTACCAATGCGTCCAAGTCTCAAAAGTCTGGCACACAACCTTCATCCCCCACCTCTGGAGGTCCTTCTCCGAAGACCCCTCAAGATGCGTCACTTGGTCCCATAATCTCACAAACGCCGTCCATGCACGATTCGATCGCCCTCAGGAACTCGAATGGTACAAGGATGTCTATCGTCGCCATGCGAAATATATTCGACACCTTACACTCTTCATCCCTGTCATCCTCGACGCCTGTCTTGAAGGTGCCTTTGAGCCGCTCGCACCGTCGCTCTTGGACGACTATATGACAGGAGCCTCAGGAACAGGAGCAGGAGCAGGAACTGCGACTATGCCAGCTGTCGGCGGTCAATCGTTAATCACCAACCTAGAGTCCTTCGCGAACGAAATCGTTGGTCTGGCGTTGGAGATTTACTTACCAGAATTGGCCACAAGAACGAATCCAATGAGTCTTTTCAGCACTGAACGCGACTACGGCGTCGAAGCAACGACGGAGCCCGCTGCTGGAGCAGGGGAGATGATGACAAAGGCAAGCCGCAGTCCTCAAACACTCCTTATCGAAGCCTGTCAGAGGTTGATCCTCTGTAACCCGGGGTTGAAGACCTTGAATTGCGGATACACCCCACATATGTTTTATGGGATACAGGCGAGGCTGCAAGCGATGGGAGAAACAGGTGGTGGTGATGGTGATGGTGATGGTGTCGGAGGTGCTAGGGTATTCAGGTCACTCAGGAACCTTTCCATCGTGGCCAGCAACGATCGGATCCCGGTATTACCGCCCAGCGTGACAATTTTCAAATTGATTGGTGGATTCGGCACTGCTGGCGCCCCTCACCATGCCAATCAAATGAATGTTACAAACAAGTCCTTGAAGGTCTTGGAGATGACCTGCATCGATTCCGAACTCCATCTCCAGACAATCCTGACCCAAGCACCTGCCCTCAAGACCCTGAAAATCCATCGGTTCCCCCTCCCAGCCTTCGCCGCCATCCCAGTCTCGAGTCCTTGGCCGCTCTCTCGGATCACGGTCCTGAAATGTCAACATAGTCGAGGAGGTGCCTCGATTACTATCCCCGCGTATCCTAGCATGTTTCAGAGTTTCCCGTTGCTAGTCGAGTACCATGACAACATGTGGTCCCCAGCTCTCGCTACCCAGTTGGTCGAACATTGTCCGCTCCTGGAGGTCATTTGGGTCATTCGAGACGCCGGTTTATTTGGGTCACCGTTTGTGTCTGTGCCCAAGGTTGTATCTCGTCAGGTGGGAGGTCCTGTGACTGACTGTGTGTCGATTTTGTTGACAACGCTTCCGAGGCTCCGGGTCCTGGAGATGCCTCATGAAGTGGTCAAGGCAGAGAATGTTTTGGAGCGGCCTTGGGTCTGTTTAGATCTGGAGGAGTTTTGGTGCCAGATTGTCGAGCTTCCCTATTTGACTGCAGAGGAAGAGCAGAAGACCCAAGAGATTCGTCGGAGGGAAGAGGAAGGGGCGAAGGGGTCTTACCAACAATATGCCAGGAGGACGGACAAGGAGGGAGAGCTCATGGAACTCCATGAGAGTTGTATCTCTACAAGAAAGCAGATCATGGCCCAGCTTGCAAAGTTGACCTCACTCAAGTACCTTTCCCTTAGTCCAGATTTCAAGACCAGAGACGACCTTTTCGGGAACCGACTGGGCTTGAGGCATGTGTACAAGTCTCCGCGGGACGGACGGAATTATATCCGATACGACGACGTCCTACCGGACACCCTCCATCTGCGCCTCGACACAGGACTCGACCAACTCGCCTGTCTAAAGAAGCTAGAGTTTCTCAGCTTTGAATCCATAGACCACCGCCTTGACACTGCCGAGATCGAATGGATGGCGAGAGAGTTCCCTAGACTGAAAGAGACGCGCGGTTTGGTGACGGATAGCTACGTTGGAGCTGAGCCCGACCCCAAGATCGATGCTCTGATTGCACTGTTGCGGAGACTTCGACCAGATGTGGCACAAAGACAGAGTTTTGGCGGGTATGCAACGAAAATAGCACATACTTCGTTTGGGTTTACTTACAGTAACGACTGGAATTGAGAATAGAAAAAAAAAAACAAAAAGAGTATTCGGTAAATAGACACTTTGCGACAGCATTAATTATTTATTGAGCGTGTTTTTTTCTATGGCTTGCTGGCTACTTTTTCTGGCGTTTTGTTCAAAACGAGAATTAGGCGGTAAAAAGTGGAAAAGTGAAGAGCAAAATAATACGGATGTGAAAGAGTGGGGTGGTGGAGAAAAGAGGTTCATTAAAAACAAGAAAGAGTAAAAAAAAAATTACAGAGGGGAATGCATGCCGAGTTTGGTGTTGAACTCAAGTTTGGCCAGCTTTTGAGCACGGATACACTCTTTCAGATCGCGGGCCTTGACGACCTCCTGGATCGGTATGAACACGATCGGCCAGAGGAACGAGATCACAAACAGCCACCAGGGAACATCATTCACCTTATGTGGGCCCCTGAACAGCGACACTGCACAGAACACAAACTGCAGCGCCAGGCTATGAAGATAGGAAGAAAAAGAAGTGTGGTAGGTTGAAAATGAGTTAACAAGGACCCCATAAAATCGTCATGCTGCGGCAGCATGAAATGCAGGGACTGTTCTTACCAAACAATGCAAGCGCCGATCCAGGTACGGTTCTTCCAGGGCTGGAATGAGCGGAGGGAAAGGGCGCGGCTCATGAACGTGCTGGACATCCAAACCATGTACCAGACCCAAATGATCATAGTATAGTTCTGGGCATACAGCAGTGCCCACTGCTCATTCACTGACCACTGCAGCCAAGGCGTCCCGTTCCCGAAACTGTTGAACAAAAAGTGGTATCCTTCCTGGCCGTCATATATATGTAGCGAGCTATTGTTTGAAGTATGACACAAAGAAGTGGATATTAGACGGCATGTTGTCTTGTGCGTATCGCTTGAGTTTCAAAGTTAACAGAGCGGTAACAAAGTACAGGGATCTCATATACTTACTAGAGGAAGACAAAGACGCACATTCCGGTGGGGAGGATAAACCGTGCAAGGAAGTAATAGATGAAGCGTGGGAGATCGCGAAGTGGCGACATATTCTTGCCTAAGAGAGGTAAAGATTGGTGGCAAAATTTAGCTTTCTTCCTTGTGACAGGAACTTACGCTCAAACATCAATGAGCGAGCATACATCACAAGAATGAAAACACTTACTGGGCATCATGGTCATGGTATCTGGCTCGTGAGGTGAGAAAAAGTAGGAGAGAATCAAGAGTGGGACAATGACCCACATAACCCAAAGGATTTGGTATCCCGTCATGGCTGGTGGCAACAGGAAGCAGTACGAGATCAGGAGCAGTAAGGAGACTGACATGAAAGAAGCAATCATGAACACCACACCCTACCATAGCGAAGGTACAAGAAATAAGAGCAAAAGCTAGAAAGTCAGTCCACTTGAATAACCTTGCGTTGTCATTTCGGACTTAAAAGTATTGACAACTTACCTGGCGTTGTGAGTTCAAAAGTCGACGGGCTTCACGGACAACCTGAGTCAACGCGTACAAACTTGTTTCACTGTGCATGGTAAGACCACATGGCAGACTGTTGATTTTGGCGCCAAGCGAGAAGGCCGAACGCGACTCTGGGCTCGAGTTCATTTTAATCGGTTCCATGCCAACACTAATATCCGCCTGAACAATGTGCACATAAAATGACAACCCTGCGTTAGTTTCGTCTGTTGACCTTGTCTGATGCCCTGACATTCAGTTCCCATAATGCCAAAAAAACACCCGAAAAGTCTTACCTTAGCGAAGGCGGCGGTGTTGTTGATGTTGAGTGAGCTTCCGATACAGCAGACGACTTCGCCATAATCCTGGAAGATCTTGATCATTTCCGTCGCTGCCTCAGGACCACATTCCGCAAATAGAGAAACGTGCAGAGGGATATCGTCCACGGCCTCAAGATGGGGGCGGATGTTTTCAATTCCCCGTGGCAGCTGAGCCTTGATGTCATACGACTCCAAGTATCCTGTGCTGGCGCCAAATGGGTCCGATGCCGACGACAAGAGAATACAGCTGTTCCAGTCCGTCTCTAACCCCAAGCGATCTGCAAACGCTTTGCTCTCCCTCTCGCTCGCAGGTGAAAAGTATACGAACCGAATTCCAGCCAGCCCCAAATCCTCAATAAAATCGCACACGTTCTATGGAGGGAGAGAGTTCGATGGTGGTAAATATCAGAGTTGGATGAGGAGCAAACTTGCACATACCAGCATGAGGTGCGAACAACATACCGTTTTGGGTTGGTGAGCAAGGGTGGTCATGCCAAGGAAGATCTGACCTTGGATCGCCTCTTCAATAAACTCCTGAGAATCGACCTGTAGCGTGGAATCAAGATGTTCCTCTGACCCCTCCTCCTCGTTTTCAGCTTGCGCCAAGTCCATTTCCCGCAATCTTCGCCACCTCTGCAATGGTCCTGTGTCGATCTTGGCTGTGCTCACGCCTTGATCCTCGACCGACGCCCCAATGTCCTGCTCTTCATCCTCGACGTCGCTATCGCCACCGATATGAATCACAATGTTGACCGGATCGGGCAAACTGCTCAAGTCCATCTTGCGGCCCTGGCCCGACCGTTGCATAGTCACTGGAATAGGGTCTTCCTCGATCTCATCATGTCCTTGACTCGAAAGGTGCCCGCTGTCAGAAGATTGAGGGTCGACTTTGTTGTCTGTCTCAGGAAGCACTCGTAAGGGCAATGTGATGAATCCATTTGCGGAAGAGTTAAAGTCCAGTGGCTGAGGACCCTTTTCAATCGCCAAGGGTCGGTAAGCGTAGGCGACACACTGCAAGTCATTGACAACTGCCGTCTGATAGAAATCCGAGATCTTTTTCAGCATCTATAGTGTGCAAAACCAACGTGGGTTAGGTCTTAAAATTTCATCCGCATATATCACGAAGTAATAGTCATGCAGGCAACCGAAAAACTTACAGCGTCGTTAAGGTCCTGAAGCCCGGTGCCATCCCAATACTCTGTGCAGCACTCCACAACACACTCGACATGACCGTCCGTCAAAACCATATAACCGTCGCCGGCACCCTCGTGGTAGATTGTACTGATCATGGTTGGGATCTCGAATGTTGTCAGTTTGCCAAAGGTCATTGGCGGCATAGGGACATAGGGGTGATAGCAAAAAATCTCCTTTTGAAGCGTGAACGGGCGGAGTGCTTCACTGGTGAATCCAATCTCCTTGCCCAGTCGACAGAGGCAAGTCTGCTGAGCCGCCCTCGTCTTGCAATGGTAATGGAGAGTGTTGCATTTTCGGTGAGATTCCCGTCGCCGGACCGCCGAGAGTGTGCTGCAGTTGGTGTTGAGAAGCTGGTTCAATCCGATGGGTTTGAGCGACTGAATATAACTCTCCCAGTCCTTGTCCTCGAACCGGAGTCCATTTGGTGACAGATCGTCCTCCAAAACATCCAGCACAACCGTGTCCTCATCTTCTTTTGCAACCAAAAGCTGCTCAACTGCCGGGAATGCAGTGGCAATGGTTCCTTCCTTGTCGATACTGCAAATGACGGTGATCCCTCCCAAACTCTCTACCAAGTTGGTACTCCGTGTCAAGCCGTCATCAAAATCCTGTCCACTATTGCCCCATCTCGTCAACAGTCGCCAAAACCGTTTCCAGACCTCCTTCCGAGCAATGTCGACGTTTTTGGTGGGCGGGGGCGCCTCAACATCAAATTCGTCGACATCTTTCTCATCCTCGTACTCGGTCTTGGAGATCTGAAGGGTGTTGAATAGGACTAGGATGGTCGCGTTGGTGAACGCCTTGGAGAACTGAAGTAGTGTTGGCAGCGAGAGCGGTAAAAGAGGCAGGACGGCGTAGATAGGCAGTGCGAGTAGTTGTTCAGGCCCTTGAGAAGGGTGATTCAGTTGTAGAACCTCCTTGAGGACATAGCGTAAAAGGTTGATCACAAGCGCCAGGAGAGCAATCGCCATAACGACCTTGAAAAATATTATCCTAGAGATGACAAGGAGCTGCTTCTGAATCAAACTGTTGGGTCGGGGTGTTGGATCCAATGCCGTATGAAGAATTTGCTCCAGCGGCGTCTCCAGGACCTCAAATGTGTATCGTCCCCGAAGTTCGTGATGACGCTTCTGCCACACCTCCGAGGGTGGATTCCCGAATAATGATGGCTGAAAGATTTCTCTCCTACTGAGAAAAAACTCCCTGGTGGGAGAGGACCTGCGAGAGTGCGAATGGCGATGATGGTGGTGATGCTGTGGGTGTAGTGTCTGACTGGTGCTCTCGACTCCGTGTTTGGACAAGGTGCAGAGGATGTTGCAAGGAGCCGCATCGCCGTAGACCATCTCGACCAAGTCGCCTTTCACAATCAAATTACTAGGCAATGTCCTGACAATGCCTGAACGGATAACCCTGACAGTGCTGACCGACGGGATCGACGGGATTTTAAGCTCCTATTCAATATATGCAGACATAGTCCCAGTGGGTCAATTGTCGATTCGTTTGAATACGAGTGACAGGCAAGTGACAAAGTGTCTAGTGGTCGTTACCTGGCCGGGCTGCACTCTGATGGTCTCCAGTTCTAGGATCACACCTCGAACGCGATCCTTGACTTCCCGACCTCGGAGTTGAAGGTCGCGCCTGTGGATAAATGCATTCCAGATAAAGATAGTGGCAAGAATGGCGATTTCGACAATGGTCCCTGTGAGTCGAAACTGCCGTGGTGATGCGTTGAGAGTGCCGTAAACGTAAAAGATGAGCAGGCCGAGAATGGCGATAATGGAGGTAATTGAAGGGACTGAGGTGATGTACTTGACAAAGTCTAGAAGGAAAGAAGAGTAAGACAGAGGGGATGGCGTGCATGTTGGTAAGAAACGTGTGCCTGAAAAATAAGCAACAAGTCGCACAGACCATGGACGAGGGGAAAGAGGGAAGCTTGATCCTCCTCTTTGGGTTGCAACAGCACCGATTCGCTGTGTTCTTACGCTGCATATTCGTTGCGGGGGTGTGGTACTTGTCAAGGACTTCGATGGCCAGATCGATAAGTTTCCTATTGTGTGAATGAATGACCATGTAATTGAGAATACTCTTTGGGTGTTAAGGGATCAATTCATTCTGTTGTTCTCTTTTTCTCTGAAAAGACAAAGAGCGAACGACACACAGTAGCAAGCGGGTCCATACGTGATAGCCTCGTCCGTCGTCAGTCCAGCTAACGATCCGTTTGGCTCGTTCATCGCGACCGTAATCTCCTGCACACCACGCTCTAGATCATCGTCCTCAGAAGGGCGGGGCCCCTGTTCAGAGTCGCGGTTGGCAAGGTCGTCAAAAAGTATAGGTTCGTTCGATTCCTGAGTCTTGCCCCTACGGTTAATGCTGGAGTTGTGGTGCGACGTCGAGGGGGTGGCGGACTCTGTCAGGGTCACCTCTGGGGCGACACCCGCTGCAGAGGGAGTGGTGGTCTCACTTGGGGATGAGGTTGTTGATGATGCATGGAGTCTTGCGAGAGGAATGGAGTCGAGTGAGGAAGAGGAGACATCGCTTGTTGTTAAAAAAAGAGGACGAGGGGTGAGGGAGGTGGGGTCATGGAGGTGTTCGATCGAGCGGTGCTCTTGAGGAGGAGGGGTGTGCTGTTGCTGTGAGTTCATCTCAGCATGCACTCTTTTCCATTGGACGGACGAGTGTGATGTTGTTGGTGTGTGTATGCGTATGTGAGGATCGAATGGACAAGGAGAAGAGGATGAAAAAGAGAGAAAGTGATATGAAAAATGAAGCTCACAACCCACACTCCTAAATCAAAAAAAAGAAAAAAGAAATGACGATTGAATTAAGACACAACTGAGAGCAGGGAGGGAGTTGTCTGGAGTTAAGGGCCAGGGACATTGTGTCCCATGCACGCTATCTTCACCTCGGGGACAGACCAGAGAGCAGTCTTCTTGCCTTGGCGATGTCCTACTTCTTTCGCCCACGCATTCTTCTTCCTCCTTTTCTTTTTTCGCACTTCGACACCATTCAAACGCCACCATCCCGACAATGTCCATCTATACAATGCCAAAGAACTCAGACCTCCAGCTGAGTCTCTACCTCAGCCAGGCACTCAGCTACCTCTCCGACCACGCCTCCATGACCCTCTTCTCCGTCAGGAAACTCAACGTCGGCTCCTCACAAAAGGTCTTCAACCCTGACGGCTCACCTATCGCAGACAACGTTCAGTTGACCATGCGCTCCAGCAGCATCGGAAGCAACTCTGTCGACTGTAAGACCTACTTCCTTTTTTTCTTGCAACAACACGTCAGCATTGGACAACAGTAGCACAGTGCTGATACACAGTTCACCCACACGCGCGCGTTGCCCACTGTATTACGTGGCATTTCTCGCCAAGCCTTTTTTTCTTTTGTTGCCTTATCACACACAGCAGCCCAAGTAACATTTGCCTTCCATATATTCCCTTCATTTGTATCTCACTAGTGCAGCTGTTCTATGATCCATACGACTGGTCCTTCCCTCCAGACATTATCCTCCATGGCCTCTTCATGAAGCCATCACTCAGCGATCTGGGACTGGACGATACTTGGGATCACGAGGACCCTGCCAATTTGAGCAAAGTGCTCAAGAGACTCTCGTATATGATGCAGGTAAAATACCACCGCACCTTTTTCATTGCTCAAGCCTTGAAATGTATTCAAAAAGCGCCGTCAGTGTTCTAATGACTTCATTTTCTTTGTGATTGTACGAACTGTAGCATGATGAGCGACAGAGAGTGGCTCGGTGCGATAATGAGCGGATACAAATCGAGTTTGGGTGCCTTCAGGACCAAGAGGCAAGTTGGCGTTATTTAATTTCCTCCGCACGCGTTTCTGGAACTTTGGATGTGTGACGCGTACTAGGACAGTGATAGTTCAATAACGCGGCACTTCTTTCCACCTTTACAGGAGATGGATTGTTGTTTGATCCCTGGAGTCGATGGACCTACAAAGGTAACAACTTGGATGTTTGCTGCTTTGGGGTCTGCTACTTCCTCAACTGTACAAGCGGGACATCTGAGATCGCCTTGTAATCTGACTGAATCACGCTTCCACCTTTGTTTATGTAGGTCATTTTCGCAGTTCCGTTCTACATCAACTTTCAGGACCAGGGAGTGAACCAACAGATCAAATGTAATGTGGATTATGGACAACACAGGATTCATGCTGTGTCGCGGTTGTTGCTATTACTCAATGGACGTTTCGACAACTGACAAGCTTTTTTTTCGATGCTCATCATATGCACAGTGGTGGCCAAGATTCAGTTTTTGATCAGCTCCTTGGTACCGAACGATGTGGCGGCTGTCAAGAGCCACATTGAACCACTTTCCACATTCGACTACCCAGATCTCTTGCGCGGCGTAAGGCTCCAGACGATACACGTATGATTGTGTGATGTTCTACATGTTTGATAGAGAGTACGCGCGACTCACAACGTTGAGCGTGATCATTGCATATACTAGGTACCGGATATCGGCAAACACGAGCCTGTCATGGAATACATTGAGCGGGTTTCAAAGAGGATCACAGAACACTACGACAAGTTACAGAGGAGACGCGAGATGAAGAAGGAGATGATCGAGACCCTTGTCGGGACTTTCAGACAGTAAGTCATTTTGCCATGTACATTTATACGAGCATCGGTGATCTTATTCTTTCTACTCTTTTTGGATACTAATCCCAGCGATTTCATCCATGGTTGTTATAGAAACTTGCTGGAGTGTGACCTTGTGAACTATACATTCGCCTCATTCATGTTGATCGCCAACAGGGACAAGGGCCGCGACGGAACAGCAAGTGCCATCGCCACATGTAAGAATAAGAAAGACAATTGCCAATTTTATTTATATTGGCACATATTTTTGCCTTTGTTTGTGTGCATACTGACCGTGTGTTTTTTTCATGTCATCCAGTCTACCTGTCAGACTCGTTCCCAGACGAGTATCCAAAGCTCACATTGTCAGCACCCCTCTTGCCCAGCTCGTCGTACCTGCCAACACCCGAACCCGAAGTCATCCCAATCAAACGGTACAGTCCCCGATGGGCCGCCGAGAGGATTGTCACCGAGATCTGGGAGCAGCTTTATGACGAGATCCCGCGCTTCTACACCAAGGCCATTCACTTTGCTTCTGCACCTTCACTTCCGTAGTTAACATGTTCTCTTTTCGCTTCTCTCTGTCGCTCACTGTACCTTTGCATTTTGCAAATGTGTCTTGTGAATACAATCGAGTCGTACAATAAACGGACTTTGATACTGTTGATGTCATATCAAATATTATTGTTGAATGTCTATGAAAAAAAAGTGTCGTACAACTGAAAAAAAAATGAATACTACAGCGACTTGATGGACGGGTGAGAACAAGAAAAAAAAACCCGGCTTCACTCGTCACACCTTTCGCATCTGGGTCCACCCAGATCAGGCGCCTTCTTGCCATCGGCATACCAAAGCCAACGCGAGACAGAATCAACCCAACCTCGATCCTTTTCCTGCTCTCTCGAGTCTAGGCTTTCGACCCCCGAGTCTCGACCGTCGTCATCTCCTCCGATTGGATGTCCCTCATCATTTAGGTATACTCCTCCTAGAACTAATTCACATTTCTCGTTGGATACTTCTTGGAGTCTGTGGACTCCTGGGGCTGGACCACGTCGACTCCTGAGCGCCGTGCGCTCTTCTTCCAGGGATGTTGAGGAATGACAGGACTCGGCCTTGGACTTGTACAGGATCGGCGAAGATGAACATGCCGAATGCGCAACAGCACCGAAATGAGGCGGAGGAGGAGGCGTGGAACTAGCCTCGCGTTCAAACTTGATCTCGCGCGCCAGTGGGGAAGACGCCGAATGAGGTGGACTCTTGTATGCAGCACTAGGCGAGATCAACCCCCCTGTCGCGACGCCCACAAAACTACTCGTGATCGACGAAAGGATCGGTCGAGCATAGTATCCACCTGTATCCGAAGAAGGTGTCTCAACTTGCGAATCTGCCAGTACTAGTGTTCTCGTCTCTGGGTCTATACGGACAGTAGTCTCGGGCTGGACTATACTGGCCGAGACAGTCGTGACCGCAGTTCCAGAGTTTGGGTGAAGGGAGGGGCGAGGTGGTTTGGTGTACCACCACTCTAGGTTCGCGTCCGACTCTGAGCAGTCGCTGCTGATAGAGGCTGCATCCCAGTTATCGTCCCGGTCACGGTCCTTGTCCCAGACAGGCTTAAAGGGTGCCTTACTGTGCACCAGGACTGGACTCCGGATCACGGGAGCGGCGACCTTGGGAGCACTCCAAGGCGCAGACAAAGATCCTGTCGATCCTGAAGACGATGGCGGCGTACGGTTCTGTACCTGGCCAGACCCATTCCCTGAAGTAGGAACAGAAGGGGATGTCCATATGGATGTCAAAGTCGCCGTCGGCGCTGCAGTAGCGGTCTCAGAAGCCGGATCCGTGAAATTAAATGCCGGCCGGCTTGACCCATTCCTTGCCGGCGAGAGCTTCAACGTCGAGAAAAATGGTGGCGAGATCTGAACGCTGTTAGGCCCTTCATGGTTCTTGTACTTGAGCAAAATGGCTCTGTTGGGGAGACTGTCCAAGGTGGGGAGTGGGGACTGTTGCGCCAATGCTGGAGAGAACTGGACTTTGATCCCGAAATCCTTGTCGAATATCGTGTGGAGCTTATCCTTGCACGCCTTGTCAACTTCGTTCTTTGTGAGCGAGAGCGCGTTCTCATTGCTGTCGATGAACGTCGTATTAAAGAAAAAGTGACACAGGTGGCACTAATAACAAAAGACCGGTTGGAGATAGATGGGGAAGGTTAGTTTTGCTGTGCGCCTGTTGCTTCGTTTTGCAAAGGGAGATCGCATGAGAAAAAAAGAGAGGGAATACTTGCTCTTTTGTACGGACTGTCGTACCAAAGCATCATCTTGACATCGCCTGCAAGCACAATCTTGTCAGAAATGCTGATCCTGAGTTGCTGCTTTTGACTGTCTACTTTGCACTGGAAAAAAAAAGATATTACTATGAATAGCTGAAATGGTTGCATGACAACAGCATCCAAGCATCTTGACCTGAAAAGTATTCAACAAAAACATGCAATTTACGTGTTGAGGCACAGACTCGTAGATTTTGACATCGCTAGACATAATGGTGAGGATGAGATACTTTGATGATAGCTCCACGTTCAGCAATGGCTTGGGTATCGTGTCGATGACCAGCTCCTGAAGGACCAGCAGACGCGGGTCATAGTTGAGTGTCCTGGATTCCAAAAACTGCTCGTAGTAGCGGATGTATCGGAGCTGACTCGGAATAGTAACGCCCTGAAATCCACAAGGAAAAACAGGTTCGCCATAAAAAGTAAGGACGAGTCTATCAGTTCAAGGTAGGTCATACGCAAAGCATGCACGTCTCGATTGCGAAGACAGAAGCATTGCTGCCAAACTTACACATCCGTCAAGGGTCCGCTTTTGTCCATAGAGTTGAATGGCCTCTTCCGCAGTCGCTCCACAGTGAACCAGGAACGAGCAGATCATGACTCCTGTGCGCCCCTTTCCTGCCTTGCAATGGATAGCGACTACATTTCCCGATGTTGTGTGGAGCCAGTCTGATACGTCCTCGCAAAAGGGGTGGATGAGCTGGAAGGGTGGCGGTGAGTGATCTGGGAAGGGGAATTGAGCCACTAGTATGTGAAGAGAAAGTGGTTCGCTAGGCGGTGTCAGTTAACAATTGACAAAGAATGTGAATGTGAATGTATTTTAGTTGAGATATGTGCTCTTTACCTCGTCCGTGAAACCGTTGGTCTGAATATGATCTCTCTGAGCAACTATTGTGAATGAACAAAGGTATGGTTAGTCGTCAGTTGCAGAAGTGAGAACAGGTGGGATCTGGCGAAGAGATATTGTATCTAGTACAGATCAGGAGAGTTACAGAGGCACGTCATGGACATAACGGGTGGAAAAATAGGTAAAGGAAAAGGGTCTCTTTTTTTCTCCGACAAATCCGTCAGTCTGGCTGGTGTGTTGGTCATCACACCCCCTCCCTCTTCTCCTTTTGTCGTCGGTGTTTGTTTGTTTGTTTGTGTGTGGCATGGGATGAGCTGAGCCTGCATATTGTTCCCCTCAGTCAATTCAGTCAGTCAGTTCTCAATTCAGTCCGAGTCAGAGTCAGGTAAGTACATATCGAGATGACCAACAGCCTCGCCCCTTTTGAGGGTGTCACTCGTTTCTTTTTTCCTGTCGTATTCATCTCCTTACAGATTGTAGACCTTGTATGCTCCCTCGTGACGAGAGTCGAGGAACCTTGCAGATAAAAAAGAAGTAAAGGAAGAGTATGAGGAGGATGTTAGTAAATATGAAAAGTAGCGATGGCCCTGAGACGTGGGTTGTGGGTGGTGCGCATGTTTCGTTATGTCATCCCCTGTTGGAGACAAAACAAGAACTGAGCAATTGCGAGCAGCGATCGACAGTTCAAGACAACACACTAGCGCCGCAGTGGGTTTTGAGGGACGACGAATGAGTGAAAGAAAAACATGGAACGGCACCACGCCTCTCGCTGCCACTTTTTTCCTTTGTCGTTGCTCTACACTTACTTTTCGACGTCGCTCATTGGGTTGCGGTAGAAAGCCTCGAGAGACTTTGACGGGTAACCCATGGCGATCAGTGAGGTCGTGATGTAGGCCAGATCCAGGTCCAAGCCGGCCTCCTTGTCGATAAAGCGGCGCTATTAATTTTGTTGTTATTTTCAGGCAGCATGCAGATCAAAAGGTAGGAAGGTTGTCCGAGGTGTGAGCGAAGGCTGGAAGAATGCAAAGGGAAAAAAAAAAGAGAGCGATTTTGTACGCAATTGGATGGTCCTTGCTCAAAAAAAATAAGCATACGGGAAGGTGAATGAGCTCACCTTTTGCTTGGAGACGGCATGGCGAAGCAGATTCATTCACAAAAGAAAAGTGTAGTCCCTTGGACCAAACACTCACAGAAGGGAGAAGGAGGGTGTTGTGTAAAAAAAAAAAGAGCTGAGGGCAAGAGAATTGATGATTGAAGTGGAGCTAGGAACGGAGGGAAGGAAGCTGCGGGAGAGAGAGGGAGAGGCAGAGACAGAGAGAGAGGGATAGTTGTTGAGCGGCAGTGGCAGTCGATTGGATGAGTGTTTGGGGTGAAAGAGGGTATAGATGAAGAAGAGTGCGTTAGGGTATGTAAAGTGGTCTTCTTTGTGAGTTGTTGTAAGAAAAGAAGAAGAGTGAAAAATGGAGAAGGGACGGAAAAGGGGAGGAGTGGTGGTGGCTGACATCAACCCACGTTCTCCCTGCAAGAGCAGCAAAGCAACAATGCATCAAAGCAACAAACGAGCTGAATAACGATTGTGGAGCAGAAGAGTCAGCGTGGGGTGAAAAAGGGGTTGGGTGACAGTCGATTATGGTGAGTGGGAGACATGCCACTGAACACATTCGTTCCCCCGAGGAGATGCCATTTCAAATGTTCAAGTGTTCAAATGTTGGCAGGGGCCAGAACAAGAGCTGGTCGACATGACCAAAGGTATATATCGCAGAGGAGGCCCATGCGAGGTCTAGCGAGTGCTAAGTAGTAAGAGACATAGTAGAGGCAGTTGGAGCATATTGCTACGTCTCGCACATGCAATAATGAATGCATGGGTTCTCGTTTGCATGGATGTTGTTTAAAAAATAAGATGTGATCGATAAAACGTGTGTGTGTGAACCAGCTGTGTCCCCAATGGTTGGTGTACACCATTGCTTCCCTTGTTCTTGCGTTTGTATCTAATCCTCCTCCTTCCCGTCCATACACCATCCATCCCAGGCTCATCTTTCTTCTCACCATTTTTTTTTTTTTTTTTTTTTTATCCCGCCTTTCCATCCCATCCCATCCCATCCCACCCTATCCCTCTCCCCTCCAAGCATCGCCGCTTTACAATTTCTTTTTCCTTTTTTTTGCCCTGTCTTCGCTTGCTCTTTTCTTCTTCCTTTTCCTCTTCCTCCTCTCAACCCTCCCCTTCATACCCATACCCATTGACCATGGCACACAAGCCTCGCGTCTTCTACCCTCTCAAGGGAATCACCTACTTCCTCTCAAACCCTGGTCTCTGGCCCCGTGTTATTATCCCCTTCCTGATCCTCGCTGCCATCACAATCACCCTCCTCATACTCGCATTCACTTACCTCCTCCCCTTCCAAGTCGACTTCTTCCAAGACCATTCTTGGCCCTCATGGCTGGCCTACACCGTCGCTGTCTTCCTCACCTTGATCGAGGCTGCTCTTGGAGCACTCATTGCCTACCTCGCACTCATGCCCCTCTGGGAAGACGGTAAGGCACAACTTAGACGCATGCGCGTACACACACACACTAAAACATCACTTGCGGTCTGTTGCACAGGAACAGGAAAGGAAGCGACAAGTTCACTCATCGATGTGGGAAAACAGGGACACAAGGAAACATAAAACAATCCCCTGACCTCTTTCTATCTCTCTTATTCAACTGACGATTGTAGCACTGTTTGACGCCGTGTTGAGGAGCAGGAAGCTGGGATACATCATTGATGCTGCCCACGGTGACTACCGTTCGTGCCTTCAGGGAGTCCTTGCAGGTGTTTACATTATTGCCTTCCAGTCCATTGTCCTCTTGGTCTTCCAGGTACCATATGACCCCCCATCCTCCCCAAAACGAACACTACTCCAGCCTTTCCCTTGGTCCCATTTGTCCGAACAATGCACTAACAACCTCCCTTCCTTGACATCGTCGAATACATAGGTTGTGTCGCTGATTGTGCTTCTCCCTTTGCATGCGGTCCCGGTTGTGGGAACTATTGTCTACTGCTACCTCAATGGCTGGGTCCTCTCCTTTTCCAAGCGCATTCATTACGATGTTGAGCTGTGCAAGCTGGGGTAAGGACAAAGCTAGGGCTTGGCGCTTTTTTTCATTTCTATTATTGTTTTGTCCGCTTTGCTTATTAAACCCCTTTGGCTGACGCAATTGAAACGATCAATTGATCTGACCCTTCTCGCTTCTTTACTTTAGAGTGAACCAGTCAAGAAAGTATGCATGGAAGCACCGGGCAGAGTTCTGTGAGTTTGGTGCCGTGGCCGTGCTGCTCGAGATGACGCCCGTGCTCAACATATTGTTCTTCTGGACCAACGTTGTCGGTAAGTAAAATGAAACATTCGCACCCTCTCCATGCCTAACAACAGCCTAATTCGAATGGACGTCCTAACAAGTCATTTTCATTATTCACTTATGATATACTGTAGGTGCCGCACTTTGGGTTGCTGATGAGATCGAGGAGGCAAGAAGACAGGATCGTTTGGCAGTCAGAGCTGCTAACAGTCAAGATTCGCACTATGTCACTTTCCGCCCTTACGACTCGAACGTCCCAGGCTTGCCCACGGAGCCTCTGCTTGGCAGCCACCCCTACGACACCTACGGAGGTGCAGCTCAGCAGCAGCAGCCTTCCCAATACCAGGCAAAGCAGCCTCAGCAAGGAACCACTGTCCGTTACTAAACGAAAATGCTGTTTTTTCAAGGCGAGCAAGGTGTTGACACGCAGGAAATACGAATGACAAGTAGTACTTTTTCTTCATCTTCATGCTCAAAAATGCTTCGTTTGTGTCTAGGCCCTTGCATCACTTCAGCATCCCATCATCTAAAATACATATATATGCAATTGGCTTCGTTTCCGTGTTAGTTTGATTGACGCGAGATTGAAATGGCTTAGTAGTGAACTAAAGGTACGAGAAGGGTGTTGAGCAAAAAAAAACTAATTGAGGGCACTGACAAGACTGCCTGTCTCAATGTTAATTCTTGCCATCGCCACACGTGGAGCGGTGAAGGCTTGGATGCGGCAAGTCTCAGGGGTCCATGTGACAAACAAAGAAGAAAAGGATATGGTAATCTTTGAGAGACATTCCAGAAAGCAAAGGTTTTTTTAGGTACCACCTGGCTCGCGATCTTCTCGCAATGTCTCCTCGTCTGAAGAATACAGGTAAATGGCGAGCCAACAAAATAAAACACAAAGATAGCCCATGGATACGAACCCCGAGAGTGGCATGGCATGTGTTTTTTAATATTTGTTTTGCATCCGTTTTCATTTTTTTTTCATACTTGCATTCGAGTGCGTTTGTTGTCTATGTAAAGCTGGTACTAATACACCTACCAACCCATGTTCTCCATCATCCCATGCCCGCCACCGCTGTTACCCCCACTTCCAGGCATAGGCCCACCCGTGTTGGAGGAATCGTACTCTTCCATCTCTGTTTGGTAACGCTTCTTGTCGTCCTCGGCCATGGATCCGTACGACTCCTTCTCGGTCTCGGATAGCTTTTGCCATTCCTCGCCGAGCATCTTTGTGATCTCTGTCGGCTTGAATCCCGGATGCTTCTTTTTGATATCGTCCCTGCAAGAGTTAAATGGACCAGTGAAAAAAAAAATATGTAAAGAAACGCGTTAGCATTCATGAAAGGGTATAGCCGGACACAATCAGGACGGGGGGAAAGACCCAGAGTGAGCAGTTTTACCTCTTCATGAGCGTGAAAAAGATGTACGAGTTCCGTGGCCGCTTGGGGCAGTTCTTGTCCTTGATGACAGGAGCAGCCGCCTTCTTGATCTTCTTCTTGGACATGGGACCCAAATTACCATGCAATCCAGGACCACCAGGCATGCCTCCAATACCGCCCATCCCTCCAAATCCACCCATACCGCCCATACCACCCATATTCATACCTGCCATCCCGGCCATGCCTGCCATGCCTGCCATTCCTGCCATGGGTCCACCCATGGGCCCACCGACCATCCTTCCTCCATGGGGACCTCCCATGCGCTGTTGTTGCTGTTGTTGCTGGAGATGATTAAATTGTTGCTGTTGCTGCAGGCTATGCGAATGAACCTGTTGCTGTTGCTGTTGTGCGTAGTGGTGGTTGTCGTAGGGGTTGGCTCCAGCGCCAACCATGCCTCCCCATCCAATACGATTATCGTTTCCTCCACCGCCACCATTACCTCCCATGGGGTTCATCCCAGACAGACCAGCCATTCCTCCCATCGAGGTGTTCATACCCATGCCGCCCATGCCGGCCAGACCGCCGATATTTCCGCCATTGCCACCAGAAGGGTCCATGGCACTAAAGTCTCGACTCCGCTTGTTGCCAGCGGCTCGGCTTTGCTGGGCGCCAACTGTATGTCGAATGGGTCCACCACCGTTGGAGACTCCACCGCCTCCTGCAGATCCAGGATGGTTGCCGTTGTTATTGTTGTTGGGCATCATGGCGTTCTGCTGTGTTGGCCAAGGGTATTCTCCAGAGCGAGATCGACCCATAATGGGATCCATGTACCGCTGCTGCTGCTGCTGCTGTTGCTGTTGTTGCTGTTGCTGTTGCTGTTGCTGTTGCTGTTGCTGTTGCTGTTGCTGTTGCTGTTGCTGTAATTGCTGTTGCTGCTGCTGAGAATACAGGTTCCCACTCGACTGAGAGTGCATCAGTTGGGGTAGTGATTGTTGTTGTTGTTGTTGTTGTTGTTGTTGTTGCTGCTGCTGCTGTGGCGTGGTGTGGTGGGATAGGACATTCTGATAAGGTGAAGGTGCTGTCGATGGCAAGTGGGAGGTATGAACCTGTCGTTGCAACTGTTGCTGTTGCTTCTGAAGCTGCTGCTGCTGCTGAGGCGTCTGAGGATGCTGTATTGGCGCAGGCTGGTGTCCCTGGAGGTGAGGCGAGTGTGGGTGATTCTGATACGGCTGATTCCCTCCACCGCTACCACCTCCTCCTCCTCCTCCGCCTTTGTGAAGGGCGTCATCCAAGATCTGTTGAGGGTGTGGTAATTGCCCTGACCGGCGGCCATCTGGGTCGTCCAAGCTGCGTCGCGAAGGGTCGTCCAAAGGGTTCGATGTCTGTGCTCCCGTTGGTGTACCCACTCCGCCGGCACTATTACCGCCGCTATTACTCGAATTGTGCCCGCCGTTTCCATGTCCGCCATGGTGTCCTCCATGTCCATGTGGTCCGCCGCCGTGAGAAGCCCCTGCAGAGCCAGATGTCCCCATCGATGATCCAAGATCTCCGCCTCCCGAAGAAGAAGATGACGATAAGGGACCACCTCCGCCGTTGCCGCCGCCGCCACTACCTGGAGCGTTAACATAAGAGTTTGAATGAAGTGGTGGAAGGACTGGGGGTGTGGAAGGCCCTGGAGCTTGTTGATAGGGGCTTCCAAAGTTCATGCTCGAGTTCATGGCGCCGTAGAGTGATCCGTAGCTGCCGTAAGAAGAGTGTCCTCCTGGGGTGGTTGAAGTAGTGGTGTTCTGGCCTGCCATGAAGGACGATGGATCCGACTCAAAATGGGCAGAGGGGTTTGCCATATGCTTGTTGAAAGAGGGCTTGCCAGAAGTGACTTTTTAGGCTAGAGCAGTTGGCTAAAGGGAAAGAAAGAGTGTCTATTGTTTTGTGGAGGGAGAGTCGAGAAGCAGGAGGATGAAGACACAATGACAGAGGAGAGTGAAAGGAGTGCAGGAAGTGAGACAGAGAGGAAGAGAAGGCGAGTGTCGGTGATAAGGGGATGAAAATGGGAACGATGAAAGTGAACAAAAGAAAAAGGAACAATGAAAAGGGCGTGTTAGGATGTGACGCGAGGTGCAAATGTAATGGCATCAAATGGAAGATTAAATTGACTGGCAGTGTCCGAAACCAAGAAGGAAAGAAAGAAACGTAAGAAGGTGCGGAAGGCGGGAGGAGACTCAAACAGTAGCATAGGGGGTGAGAAGGATAATCGCGCACCACTACAGTACGCCTTTCTTTTGATCCCGTTACTACTGTCAAAAGTGTACCATTCTGCCATTTTCTTTTCTTTTTCTTTCTTTGTCCACCGCTTGGCATGAACACGCACCTACACACGTAAGTTTCTCGCTTAGTCCATCTCCATCACCGAATTATTACCCTCTCTCACTCCCACTTCTCACATCTTCCCCTCTTGTCCTTGATGTCCTCAGCCGACGACGTTCCAATGCGCACATAGACTCGTTCCAACAAGACAGATCACCCAACAGTGTCGGACTCTCGCAAATATCGTTGTTATCTCTTCATAAGACTTCTCTGTTTTCCACTCACTTTGATGGTGAAATCGAAAAAAGGAATCCACTGCCACACCTCTCCTCTCACGCCTCACCCTTCTATCCCACCTACTGCCAACCATCGCCACCCCAGTTCTGCACAACGAAAGCCCACCTTATTTTCGCGTACTTTCTCAACTCTCATGTGGTGTTTTCAAGGAGTGAAAAAAGAAATAGTGCGTGGATTCAAGAGATTCCCCGATATTCGACTTGCCACTATTTTCAACCCTCCATTGTATCAGGATTCAAAAATTGTACATGTGCAATGAAGAAAATGTCAAAGCGCGGCTGATGGGGGGTGTTGCCTTGTTTGTATTTTTCCCATCTTTTTCTTTCCTTGTTTGCTCGCACCCCTTCCTTTCTGGATATCACGCTAAAAAAGATGATTGTCGTACCGAAACTTGTGTACAATGACAAACGGGGGGGGGGGGGGGGGAAGGGGTCATAGTAGGGGGGTACAGTACATTACGCTAAGTTTTTTTCCTTTGGTGCATGTTTGTTATGCTTTTTGGGTTGTGTCCAATTGACAAACGGGATGTGGAAAATTAAAGCTCAAGAAGAGAAGGAAGAACGCGTCTGGACGCGTTTTTTTTTCTTGGTGTGGCATATTTCTGGCTTGGAGTGCTTACCTTTTCTTAACTCGGAGAATAGGTGTGTGTGTATATGTGTGTGTGTGAGAGAAATATATATATAAGGTCTGTCTATGTGTATCAAGTTGGTGCCTGGATGCGAGAGAAGGGGGGAAAAGAAGGGATGTGTTAGAGTACCTTCTGAAGTAGCGGAAAAAGTATCATCAATTGGTGTGGAAGAGGCGAATTCAACTCGCATTATGGCTGCTGCGCCGGGCACGGGTGCGAAGCATGTGTAATAACCATGAAAGTTTTCATTCACAAAAAAAAAAAGTCGTAAAGCTGATGCTTATTACGATTTTGCCATAAAAAATAATGGTATAGATGACCAGGTAGAGGTGAGGATAGAAAAGGGTGAGAGGAAAGAAGGAAGATTCTTTTGCTTGTTTTGTGTTAACATGCCTATTATTAGTACACTCTCTCCTCTTCATATGCTCTGCTTCTGCATCCTTTTGACTGGGGGCGGTTTGGCTGAAACCGAGTGTTGGCGTGCCATAGAAACATGTAAACACAAGCAGAGTTCATATCCTTCTGTGCAAACTATCTGCACCTTATCGCCCTGTAGCATGGTCTCTCTTCACACTCACATCCTGCTCTGTCGGTACAATGTTGTACTGTACATTTGAAAACCCTGTCAACTACTCCATGACACCACACAAATCTAGAAGGTTTGAATGACCTCTTACCAGTGATGACCTGACCGAACCGTGCGCGCGTATAGATGCTGCACAGTTCGTCATGAAAACACCATGGATTCCAGACACCAAAAGGAACATGAGGAGGCGATTGGTGAATAAGGATGCAGAAAAAAAATGAAAAAGGACCCGCGATAAGGACTGGGAGATTGAAGCAAAATTGACAGGAGCGCACGACACAATCAAGATAGATGAGCAGAGAAGACGAGTGTATATCCAAGGATGTAATAATGCATGGTCATTTGCTGTGGTATGCTTGTGCCGTTGTATTGTGAAGAGGAAGGTACAACTCGTGGAATTGTTTGTTGGTTCGGAGAGTTTTCCTTTGGTTGTTTGTTGTGTGTTGGTTGGCAAAGCCAGGGATTGCGAATATAATTTAACGACACGCATCAGCGAGCGTGTGTGTTTATGCTGCCTGTGTATATGTGCGTGTGTGGATGTGTGGATGAGTGGATGGGTTGAGGGCGAAGGAAGGAGGGAAGGAGAGGGAAGAGAGCACAGGTACAAAAAAAACGCTTTCGGACATACAACGCGCGCTAGTCAATCGGTCTCAATAACAGGCAAGGTCCAACAGACAGGGAAGGCGAAACAGACGGAGAGAGAGAAGGTATGTCGGAGAAGAGAGGAAGGGAAGGAAAGAGAGAGAGAGAACAGACAGACAGACAGAGAGAGAGAGAAGAAATAAGGGAAGAGAGCGAGAGACAGCAGAGAGCAAGTAAAAGAGCAACGAACGAAATGGAATGGGAGGGAATGGGAAGAGAAAGCAGGGAAGGGAAGGAAGGGAAGCGAAGGGACGGCAAGGAAAAAGGGACAAAAAGAAAAGTGACAGGTAGGCAACTAGAAACGCAATGAAATAAACGATGTGTGCACAGCGAGGAGAGGGAGAGCAAAACGAGGAGGAGAAGGAGGATGAAGGGGGGCTGGAGAAATAAGGAAAGAAAGCCAAAGGCACAAGAGAAAGGGAAAGAAGAAAGAGAAGCGAAATAGACTGAGGAGTCTTTTAGCAGGATATGAATATACGAATGTTGCACAAGTCGTCCTTACTTCCTCATCACTCATGCTGTTCTTCTCAGTTTACCTCCACCCCCTTGCCAATACAATGAATTCATTTTCCTTTATTTTATCTTTTATATTGTTCGCGCAGATAGAGGAGAAACTAAAAGAAAGGAGGAGGAGCAAAAAAAAAAAGAGGAGTTAGCTCCCGGCATCTCGTGGTGCCCTACTCTCATTCTCCCAAGAATGGAAGGTGTCTTGTTTTATTTTACTCTGGGACCTGCGCGCCAACTTTTGGTCCAATTGGCCCAAGTATCCGCCAAGAGAGACGGCCAAAAACGAGGTTAATGCCCATGCTCCATATCACATCTCAACCCATATGGTCCTCGTCATTTTAGGCACCCACCCGCGATTGGAAAATTATACCCCAATGTACGAGCGGGACGGAAAGTGTCGAAAGTGACAGTCAGATAAGGAAAAAACCAAGGGGTTGGCCATGGAAAAAAGGGGGCTATGAAAAGGTAACAACGAGAAGAGAACGGGGCAAAGGTGAACGGGAAGAAGTAAAGGGGACAAAGAAAATGGTCAAGGAAAAGACAAAAAAAGAAAGGGGCATATTGAATTGAAAGGGATGGGGAGTGGGAGCTTGAAAGCCTGTATCTCTCTTCCTTTTGTCCTTCTGTCCCCCTTCTCGTCGTCCAAGAAAAGCTTCCAAATTGAGATTCGACTCAGGGGTGGCACTCACTTATTCTCTCTATGGGTCATTTCCACACACACACACACACACCTGTGCGCACTCAGGTTCTGTTCTCACCCTCCTCTCTCGTAAGAAAAGAGCGTCGAATGGACATGACACACCTATCCCGGAAGAGAAAAAATGAGGAACCAACAGCGATGACAATACAAAGACAGCGTAGAACACCTATGCTAATGAGCCTCGCCATCTGATTGAGTACCAAGAGCTTGGGTTGTGTCAAGACGAACACGAATGGTTGTAGCAATTGTCGGTGTCATCTTGCATTGATTGACAGCTGTTATTGCTGCGAGTGATTGGTAGACGATACTCTCGTCTTTAAAGGACTTCCAGTCACTGATGCCAATAAAATGTACGGTAAGGAGGGAGAGACGAGAGGCAGAAGGCTGAGTATCCATCTCCACGTTGAGAGGACACACGACAAGGGCTGTAAGAGTGAGTAACGTGGAACTTGCTACTGGATCTGCAGAACGCGACGCGAAATTGCAGACAAATAATCAATGTTGCGCTCGACCAATCACTTCCCGATTTACTCACTCTCTGTTTTTATCATGCGTGTGCACGTTTGTATGCCTGCTCATCTCCCTTCAATTCTTACTGCTCTCGCAGTCACACAAGAAAAACGTGGCCTTCATGATGTCGTCGTCTTCGGTTGTGTATTCTGTTTGCGCTTGCGAAATATAGAAGAGACGGACAGAAGGCAGGGAGACGAAGAAAAATGGTGGTGTGCTTTTGTGTGTGCTGTGTTGTTTGTTCCCTGTTTTCTTGGACCCTGCATGAGCACAATTGAGGGCAAACAGGGTCAATGGTAGGGTATCGGAGAAAGAATTTACAAAAGGGTGACGAGCCTCCGTTTTTATCAATCTACTTCTCGCCACACACACACGCACACGCCGTGTCTCCCTTTGTGTGTGTCTGTCCCTCTCCCTTTTCCCCTTCCCGTCATGCTCGTGTGCTGTTGTTGGTTGCACACCCCGTCTATCCTCCTGTCCTCATCGTCCGTGCTTTTACCTGTCTATCGTGTGGTGTGTATGTATGCCTCTCAATTGCATGAGGAATGTTCGATTGACTTGTGCCCACTTTACCCACAAGTTGGGTCAATTCTGATTGGGCGTGGCTACGCAGCAGATCAGTTTCAGACGATCAACGTTATTTCGGTAAGTGTCTTCGTCTCGGCTGATCTCCGCTCCTTTTCTGCCCATGTCCATGTCCATGGTACAGTCCCCCTCATCATGCCTAACACGAGGGTGGAGGGCGACGACGAGGAGGAGGAGGGGGAGGAGGATGTGGAGCTAATGAGATGGAGTTTGGCGTCATTGTTCAGTTGTAGCAGCTGAGGTCAAAGAAAAGGCGACACGAAGGTACCACCTCTTGTTTCTCTTTCCCCCTCGAATTCTCCCTCTTTCCCTCTCTCCTGCCCTCTCCTTCTTCTCTTTCTCCTTACCACTCCCATTGGCCGTTAATATTTCCATCCATTCTCGTCCCCTTGAACACCCCCTCTTCATTTCCCCAACTGCTAAGAAAAACAGTAATTAAGAAAAGAAACCCATATTCCTTCCCGTTCTTTTTTTCACCCCCTTTTCCGCGCCATCCTACAACAATGCATGCACTTTAACTCCACGATAAAAAACGATAACCATGCCTTGCGGTAAACAAAGAAACAACATGGGGTTAGTTATCTTGCGATGTGTACTTCCTTTGTGGTCCTTTTGACTCTACCCATCCTGGAATATGGATGGGTGGTTGCATTACACTGGGTGCTGGGTCCCCATTTCGGCTTCTTGGCGACACACTGTGCCTCTGTGTGTGTTTGCCACACATGCAACATGTACACAAACATGCACTCATAGGCACACCCATAGACTTCAATGAATGGGTAACCCCTTCAAATCCTTCCCTCCCTCCACCTTTTTTTTCTCCTAGTTTCCTTCATTGCTGTTTGTTCACTCATGGGCCACGGCAATCATCCAATTCATTCACGTTCTTGATACCCAACCAGCCAATAGTCCTCTTCCTTCCTATCGCATGGTCCGTTCGCCCTTTTTCCTTGTTTTTTTTGCTCTCTTGTTTTTTTTTCTTTCGTTTCTTGAACGAGTTGAACACCTCTTCACTTTTTGTTGCCTTTTGTGTTATCCCTTCCGTCCTTTCTATCGCCTTTTTCTTCTTTGCCTTTCTTAGAGTCCACATTCCTTCCTTCCCTCTTCCCCATCTATGTCTATTCATTCATAGCACACACCGACAACCCCTCCCAACCCCCTATATCCGATTATACTCATTCCTCTCTCCTAACGTATACCCTACACAAACAACCATGGCGACCGCACAAGCATTCACCAGCTCTAGCTCATCCACACCCCCCAACAATCCCTCAAGTGCAAATATCAACTCCATCGAACCAGGCACAGTCTTCTCCGATGACTCCCCTCTCACCAGCTTCGTCGACTCTGGGGACTTTCCCTACGACTCCCCTACCCTCTCCTCTCCACCACCGCACACTGCCAACAAAAGCGGCGGCGGTGATGGAAGTGGGAGTAATGGAGGAGGAGGAGGAGGATGGGACCATATCGGTCAGATAGAAGTCAACTCGACCATCGAAACCATTCTAGTCGTCCTGGGATTCGGTGTCGGCGCGTTGTTTGTGTTAGGTGTAGTAGCCATGTATTATATTACCCATAAGAACCGTCGGGCGGAGGAGAAGAAGAAGCGGAGGGAGGAAGAATCCGCAGGTGCTAAGTTTGGACAGAGTAGTACCCCTTTACCACTTTCGTCGTTGTCGTCGTCGTCGTCTTCATCTTCGCTGCCGTCGCCATCTCATCCCAACATCTCTGCCGGCACCGGCACTACAGCAGCAGCAGCAGTGGGAAGAGAGAACCCAGCCCACAGAATCATCATCACCCGGAGCATGACAGCCACTACCGCCAATACGCGAGTCGGAGCCGGAGGACCCAATGACGAGAAGGACAATGGTGGAGGGAGTGGTGGACTGTCGCCGATTGGGGATGGGAAGTCGGATATGGTGTCGATTTATATCGACGAGATGCCAGACGATGACGAGATCCGCGCTCGACACCATTGCGATGATGATGGTCATGGCGGTTGTGAGGAGAAGCAAGAGCTGGATGAGAAGGAGGACGACGAGAAATCTCCGTCTCAGGAACGGAACCTGAACCCTATGAATGCTTACTCTTCTCCTCACAACGGCCTCTAGTCTATAGTATTCCTCCCCCACCCCCCTCGTATAAATAACAACAACATGCCCTTTTGATACCCTAATTACTTTAAGCATCCATACCTCCAAGTAAATCAACGCATTTTGCGACAACACGAGAAAATGTACTGAGAAGCAAAAAAAAAAAAAAAAAAAAAAAAAACTGGGGCCGTTCTTTGAATTTTAATGAGAGGTTGGTGGAGATTATTATGTACAGTTGTAAGAACAAGATGGAGGTGGACAATGCGCGAAGAAAAGAAAGAGGGGAAAAAAGAAAGCAAAAATCAAAACGACAAGCTACAGAAGAAAGATGCAGAAAAAACGAGAAAAGAAAAAAAAACAAGGCAATAGGAGAAAGGAACAAAGGTATAACATAGTATAACATACAAGAAGATCTAGATGGTGGTAGGTGTGGATGGAGGGAAAGATGCTGCACTAGTCGTCTTCTCAGCATCCACAGAAGTACGAGTAGGAGTAGGAGTAGGTTGTGATGGATCCAAAGTCATCGATGGCACCACCGCAGTAATGCCCGCAACAAAAGCGGTCGCAGGAGGGATAGTGACCACTCCAGACGACGATGAAGGGTTGCTCGAGGACTGGCTGGCTGCATTGATTGGGCAAGGGATATTCTCGACGCTGAAGGAAAACGCAGGTTTCCAGACCCAAGACAGTCCCCAGACGTCGAGCTTCCCGCCCACAACAACATCGACACCAAGGGGCTGCTTGTTGGGCAGTGTAGACAGTATGGGCATTGGAGATGGCGTCGGCGTACATGCCTCGATCAAGTCGTCAAGGATTCTGTCCACAACATTGCCCTTCGTCACGGTTCGGTATTGGAGCTTCATCGGGATCGAGACCACTTCCTCAACGCGAGGCTGGATCACGAATGCCGACGCCAGGTTTACGTTGTCTGCGATCTTGATGCCCTCTGTCTGGAGCCAGATCTATTAAAATTGGTGGCAAATCGTATCAGCATTTGTTAGTCACATACACCTTCAATGCACCCATTCACTCCCACAATGAATGAACGTCATATCCTAGCAATGACATACCTTCAAGTCGAGGCTATTCAGACGGATGGGCAGATAGTTGGCCGTACTGTCAATTAAGAGTTGAATATGAAAGGGTTCCTCGATCCCATCGTTGGAGGTTGACACAGGTCCGTTCGGCATGACCGACTCATACGTGAAAACTGGCGTACGCGGAACGACAAAGAAAAGAGTGAAGCCCAAGCAGACCAGGAATGACAGCGTTATGATGACACAAACTCGTGTCGTACAACAGCAGCATCGTCCCTGGGCATCTCTTCTCTGTCTGTTTGAGCCTCCTCTGCGTTTCCGTGCACCTCCTGCCTTTGCCCGTCCTTCCTCCTCCGAGTCAGAGGTCCATTGACCCTTCCTGCGAGACCGGCCGCTGGCTTGGGTTAGACCGCTCCTGGTGCCTCCGCTCCTCGAAGCACTGCTCACAGCAGACAGGACACCGAGCTTCTGAAGGATATCGTCGTCCTCATCTTTCTCCACCGTCTTTGCCTTCTTGGTTCCTGAAGAGTCCGTCTTTGAAGGCTGCGATGGATGTTGGTTCCTTGACTGGCGAGCATGTTTGCCAGAGGGAATGGCGACCGCTGTTGAGAAATCAAGGTCTGATTGCATGGCGCCGTTCTCGCTGGATGTTACAGTCGCGGTCGCCTTCTTGGATTGTTGGTGTAGTGGGTTGCGTCCATGTTCGTAGTAAGAGGCTGAGAGGGCTTGATTCGAGTCCTGGCCCGCCAGGTCACGCATCGGGTATCGTAGACTGTTACTGCTATTGGGTTGACTGCTGAGGCCGGAGACGCGTGACTCGAATGAGGATGAAAAGTCCTCGTGCATGTTGGGTGAGCCACCGCCTGAGCCCAGATAGGGTGAATGGAGACTTGCCGCCGCTGCCGCGCTGTTGGTATTGTTGTTGTGGTGGTTATTGCTGGTTGACTGGGAGTAAGCCGACCTATACGGATCCGCCTTGTATTCCGATCGGTCCTCGTGAACGCCGTAATGACTGAGATATGGCCCCAGACCCGGTGATGACATTGATCCGCTTGATCTGTATGCGTCCGCAATGGTAGGCGAAGGCAGCTGTTGCTGGTTGCTGTAGGGCTGGTAAGGCAGATATGGCTGGAAGGGAGACTCGGGCCGTCCGGTGTAGGATGCAGCCAAGGTTTGACTGGCGACGAGTGTTGGCGAGTGACGGTATTGATCCTCCCGCTGCCCGATGAATGGTGGAGGGTGCATTATCGCAAAAGCCTGTTCTTCCGTCAAGCCACTTCCATCCAGTAGTTGAATGTGCAGATTGTGTAGCTCCTCGTTCGATCCATGTCCGCTGTAGTATGGGTGGGAGTGATTGGGGAAGGTCGCTGGACTGTCGCGCTTGGGAGACTGGGCTTGATAATCTATTCGCAAAGACAATGAGAGGGGCAACAGCAACAACCACATTAGTTTTGATCCTTGTCAAACGCGATAGGGGTCTGGGTGCATGGTGGTCGCGAAGGGGTTGGTGAAGCGCTTATTATTTTCGTTTTTGATTACAATCGTTCTCAAACGATAATCCGCATCCTTGCTCGAGCTGTGATCACCCTGTTTGTGTTTCTCGCCTCGCTCTTTTCCCTTTTGCCCCTCTTGTGCTCTCATCATACTAGAACATCAGCTCAGCATGCGAACTGACTAAACACACTCCACACTCCTTTTTTTTTTTTTTTTTGTATATTTATTTTGGTCACCAACCTCCTTTTAAAAAGGGCTCGCAAACATGCCACTCTCACTCCCGCCCCTTTGCCATTGATTGAGACAGGAAACAAATGCCAAAAAGGAGAAAAAAAACACAAAGGCACCTTGGGAGATAAAGGAAGGCAATGGTCAATTGGAACTATTGAGGGTGTTGCAAGTACTGCATGTATGTGCATGTATGCATATGTATGTACGATGGAGGGTTGTTTGGTGTTCGCATCTTGTCTTGAAGCACAAAATTCGGAATGCGTCGACCCGATCTTCCACACGCAAAGGATAGCCGAACAGACGGGCCATTTCTTGTTTTCATGGAGTAGCCAAAAAAGTCTCCAAGAAAAGCACTTTCTCCTTGAAAATGTCATAACAAGCATCTGGCTGGCTTCCTCTCCACCTCCTCGCTCTTTTTTTCTCTTTCTATTCGCACTGAATTCTGTGATTGCCCGCATCATTCTCTCAGTCTGTGTCTCTCCCTCACAACACCGTCTCTAGATGAATCTTTTTGTTTGTTTGTTTGTTTGTTTGAATCTTCAATTGCGATTATTGTTGTCCCATAATCCAATCCGATTTGTATCGTCCAACCCCATCCTGTTATCGCAATTCATCCAAGAATAACCTTTCTCTCTTGTACGAGCGCGCGCAAAATAATGTGGATTGGGTTCAATACGTACAAGGAGAGTGTGTGTGAAAGAACGTCAAGTGGTGAAAGGGATGTGGGCGATCGAACATCCCCATCATCGATGACAATAATGACCATGATCATTGCCTCCTTATTGCAAAATGTCAATGCAGAGGAAGAAGTGGGAGGGGGGAAGAGGAAGATGAAGTAACCGGATACTGAACAGAAAGAAGAACGGCTGTAGACCTTTCGGAATGTAATGTATACCAGTTCCCATGACAAATAAACCACAACCAAAAAGGCGAGAAAATTAAAGAACGCGTGGAAGACTCCTATCCCGCCAAATGTTACTGGCTCCTCTGGGAAATGGGGTTTCCTTGAATGGTATCGCCACCACCGGGGTCAGTCGTCTTGGCTGTTGTCTCGTGTTTCATGCTTACCATTCTTTACCCTGTTGGCGGATATGCCCGGCTGACGCGAGCGGTATGGATCGTACAACGAGAACTCGTTACTCGGCATGCGGCGGGTGATGCTGCCACGATGACCGCCCTTGCCGTATGGAAAGAGTCCTCCTGCGGTACTGGCTGGTTTGGGCAGACTTGGAAATGATGCAGAGTGTTCTGATCGGGGTGAGATGGCTGTCGGGGTCATAGGGATGGCGATGGGGTGAAGGGCGGTGGGTGTTGTGGGAGTCGTTGGAGTGTAGGGGCGATAAGATGGATATTGGGCGGTATAGGTCTGAAACTGGGTCGCACCTCCTCCACCTCCTAGTCCTACTCCTAGTCCTCCTACCCCGCTGTGGGGATCACTGAGAGTCAATGGCAGCCTTTGTTGTCCCTGTCCCTGAAATGCTCCATGTTGTTGTCGTTGTTGTTGTTGATGTGATAATTGTTGTTGTGGTGGTTGACTATTTATACTTGACGACGAGTTGTTGGAGAGTGTCTGGGATTGTTGAGGAGTGATCTCTTGGAGAACCAATTCCGGAGGCATGGGCTTGCCATGCCTACTTTTGGTCTTTGAGGTCCGGTGGGCGATCGCAGCCATGGTTGTCTGTCAATTGCCCTGAGTTTTTTTTTTCGATCGCTTGTGCGAAGGTGGTCGATTGAAGGTCTGAGTGTCTGCTAGAGGACTGAGGGTATGTCCACTAGTACACACTGTTTGCTGTCGACGACCTGGCAAGCGAAAGCGAAGGAGGAGGAGGAGGAGGAGTTGAGGAGAAGGAGGGGCTGTTGGATTGTTGTAATGAGGACAAGGCAATTACACTGTCGCCGTCGACTACTCCGCGCTTATCCGTGTTCCTGGAAGGCAATTGAAGGACAAGAGGCAGACAGTATGGAGGGTTGGGTTGATAATTGAGTTGTGGGTTGTTATTGCTGTTGATGGCGATACGGGCGACAAAGAGAGTGAGGGAAGCGAAGGAGAAGGGGAGAGGGGGACAGAGACGCGGAAGGAGGAGGGGCTGCAGAGAGGATGTTAATAAAGGTAATAAGGAGACAGTGGACTGACAGGGTTGTTGGATGGTTGTTGCAGTTGTCTGTCTGTTGTTTGCTGTTTTGTTGTATCTGACCCTTGAGTGGGGAGGCGAAGGAAGTGGCTGCGAGTTATATGTTCAAGGTGTCGAATGAGTAATGGTTGATGAGAGAAGAGAGAAAGAAGGCAAGGAAAAGAGAGATGAGTGAGTAACTGATGAGAGTGAGAGTGAGAGTGAGAGTGGGGAAGTGGGATGAGCAAAGAGAAAGGAGAAAAGATGTCGAAAGTGAATGAGGAGGGAGAGTAAAAAAGAGAGGGATAGAGAGAAAGAGAAAGAGTTGAAAGTGAGCTAATGGATACAATCGATGCTTCTCTGGCTGGAGGACGGCTGGGAAAATGGCTTTTATGAAGGAAGGACACGAACAAGCGAGTGAGTGAGAAGGGAAGCGATAAAAATGGGTTTGGATATTGCTTTTTTCGAGGGAACTTTGGTCTCTGGAGGGGAACAACACACAACGGCGAAATGGGAAATGAATTGAATGAATGAAAGAAAAAAAAACGAGGGAAAATAAAAAGAGATAGAGAGGGCGGGAAAACGATTCGAAGTGGGAAATGGCAGATAATGGTGCATCGATCGCACCGTTCCACGCTCCATACATATACAACATGCAGATAGAATAGGCCTGGTGCACATTGAACCGCTGCCATCAAACACCTACTTTCTATCCATCACAATGCTCACGTAACCCTTCCCACTCCCCGGCCCATGTCCTACATAGGAAGTCCACTTTATAACACCCAAAAGAGGATCGATGGAGAGGAACCGACACAAATCAAGTCATCTTCTTCCGCGTTGTTTCTAGGGAACGACTAGCCTTCACTCGTTGATGTCACGCCCCCTCCCCCCACCTTCTTCCACCTACGACAGCCACCCGACAGCAAGGCAAGCTCTTCTTTCATAAGGTAACCTTTGTCCCTGAATTGTTGCCACGAACTTCTATCCTTCGTCCCTCGCTCCCTTTCACAGTCCACAGAAGATATCTCACAATGGTATTTTATCTGCCTTCCCTACCAACGACACTTTTTTACCCGTTCCCCTCGCTGGGAAAAAAAATACAAAAGCAAACACAAAAAAAAACGAATGAATCCCAACCCAAACAAATCAAAAAAAAAAAAATGAACGATGAACGTGGATGGCCTGGGTACTCTTTTCCTTTCTTCGTGATTCGTTTCCGTCAACCTCCGTCGTCTGGTTGGCTGGGAAGAAAGTAAAAAAAAGTATGAATTGGAAGAAGGAACGAACTCTGTGGCGAGCTTTGCCTTGCTTCTTGCCATGCCCTCATTTTTTCTTCCCTGTCTGCATACTACCTACCGGCTGGCCCCTGATTGACTGTTGTTGACCCCGGTTTTTTTTTTGTTTGTCACCTTGTCTCTTGTGCACCCTGGTTATTCCACCCCCTCTTTTTCTCATCATTCAACTCCCTGTCGCTCGTACAGAGTAGAAGGAAGAGCGTAAAACACAAGGTATATCACTTTTGCCGATTTGGGGGGGCTGTACCCAAGGAAAGATAAATAAGTCGAAATGCACGCACGCATCATCGCCAGACTACTACTAGCCTAACCCGGTCCTTCTTCCCCCGTTTAAGAAAGTAGAAAGTAGAAACATAGGTGCGGTTTCGCTACTTCTTTTTCAGACGAGTCGAAAAGGGCTTTTATTCGAGGTCTCCCTGTCCAAAGAGCCTAGCTACGATGGTGATGACCATATTAACTGTTGCGAGCTTACTTCCAGAGTCGCTCTAGTAAGGAAAGAAGAAATAAACAAACATAAAGGTCGGTTAGTACCCATCGCATCGCATCGCGCAAAAATAGAACCACAAAAATATAAAAAATGAGAAATGACGCGAGAAGTATTAAACAATCAAATCCACAACAACAACAATAAGTATCAAAAGAAAGGGTAGGACTGGGTGGAGCAACCAGGGGGAAGGAAAGGGATAATAGAGAATCTCGTTTTCACAACGGCATAACTACAATGAGACAGGGGACAGAGAAAGAGAGCTCAACGATCGAAATTTGTCATATGTGACCTCCTTTTCGTATGGTTTCCCATCAAGAAAAACAAGACAAGGTTGGACAAGGGTAAGCTCACAAAGACAGAAGACAGGGAACACGACATTCATTTATTCATACACACGACATGCAAGACAGAGCACATGGCAAGGAGAGGTGAAAAGAAGAGAAAAGAGCAAAAGGACTTACGTGGAAATGCGATCGGATCCGGGCACACTTTTTCGCAATGTTTCTGAGAACAGCCACCTGATCCGACTCCACAAGCACATCCAGCTTCAGAAACACCGCATACAGCCACTTCTCCTATCCAAGGTATAACACACGAGCAACACGAGATAACAACACATGTTAGCGGGGACCCCTTCCATTTGGTTTAGTTTGGCCGTTTCCTTCTTTCCCTTTCTTCCCTTCCCTTCTTTCTTTCCGTTCTTTCCGTTCCTTTTGAGCATTCACCATCCTATGATGGTTTACCGTACCTCATGTTCTTGCAAGTCATCCTCGGCAAGCCAGCGGAGATGATATCTCAGCAACTGAATCAAATGACCCTGATCGAGACGGATCAGGAACTGAGGTGAAGGCGACATCCACTCTTGCCGAATTGCTCCTGTCGATATTGGCGCTGGTCTCGTAGTTGCCGATGCCGGTGTTGCCACTGCTGCTGCTATCGTTGTTGATGTGGCGGTTGCAGTGGTAGTAGTAGTGGTAATAGAGGAGGGAGTAAGGGGGGCTGCAATCTCGGTCACTACTGCTGTCGTAGTTGACGCGATGTGAGAGACTGGGGCGCTGAGCGATGGCGTGGGTCCATAAAGCAACGTGCGCCACTTTTGCTCATCGTGCATCTTTGGTAAGACCACTTTGCAAGCGGTAGCAGCAACAGGCTTGGAGTAAGTGGAGGACGGTGGCTGAGTTCTGTCCAACTCGGGTATATTGTCGTGCTCGTTCTCACTCGCTTCTTGTTCACTGCCCTTGTCCTGCTTTGACCTTGCACCACCACCTGCTTCTTCTCCTCCTCGCTTGGCTTGTCGCTCTTGAGACTGTTTGTACCGTTTGAGGCTCGCTCTGGCCACATTGAAATCCTTCATGAACTGATCCTTCCACTCGAGCGTAGGAGCGCACCCTTCAGGTGCAGGGAGACAGGACTGCCAGTCGGTTCTGTATTTCCGAGACGTGTTCTTGGCGGCAAGGTGTTTTTGCGTCCCTGCACCTGAGGCCACGACCACCGCGGGGCATTTCCGTGCCTGGGCTCTAAAATAAGGCGTTCAAAAAAAAGTGAGGGTGAGTCGTATGGTCGAAGTCTGTCATTGTTCGGCTGTTGAAGTGAATGTTCCTGCATTTAAGGATTGGGAGAGGGGGAGGGTTCGAATGAGGACTTACTTGACCATGCGCAAGTACTCCTCCCCTGAACTGGGCAGCATGTTGTCCATAGTGGCGGGTGGGGCGTGTGCTGTGAGCTGATGTAGAAGTGGTGGTAATAGTCAAGTCAGTCCATGTCCTTGCCCCTCCTCACTCTCATTCAGGCGAAGTAGTTCGTTGCCCACTTGCAAGACCCTTAATCACTGTAAAAGACCGTCACTGTTGTTGTAGGTATTTTTTCTTTTTTTTGAAGAGTACGCATCATTCGAGGTTCATCCATCAACCAACCTACAACCAACAACCAGCAAGCAACAACCAACAATGTCATCCCTTCGCAACGCCGTCCACCGGCGCAACCACAAGGAGCGCTCACAGCCCCTCGCCCGCCAAAAGTTCGGTCTCCTCGAAAAGAAGAAGGACTATGTTGCTCGTGCACGCGACTACCACTCCAAACAGGACCGTCTCAAGGCCATGCGTGAGAAGGCCGCCTTCCGCAACCCTGACGAGTTCTACTTCAAGATGATCAACTCCAAGACCAAGGGCGGTGTTCATTTGACGGAGAGGAACGATAAGTTCTCACAGGATTTCCTCAAGTTGCTGAATACCCAGGACCTCAACTATGTCACCCAGCAGCGCGATATTGGGAAGAGGCGGATTGACAGGATGCAGCAGGGGTTGGTCCTTTTGGATGATGATGTCCATGATGAGTTTGCAGAGGAAGAGGATGAGGATATGTTTGGTAGCGGACTCGGGAGCAGTTCGAAGGCTGCTGTCAAGCCCAAGAACCACATCGTCTTTGTCGATACCGAGGACGAAGGTAATATTACATCTTTGGGCTGGAAATGGCCTGTATTGCATTGAACATAGAGCCTCCCTGGCTACGATTTACGTATTTCTTGCTAACCTGTTTACTCTCCTCTTTTTGAACAATCTTGACCCTTGTAGTGAAAACATTCGACGCAGCAAAACACTTTGACACAGCACCAGAACTAGTCCACCGGAAATTCAACCGTCCCCGGACCTCGCAGCTCAAGAAGGACACTGTCGTTGCTCATCTGGAAAAGGCCGAGATCAAGGCAGCGACCAAGGAGCGTGAACGCGCATTGACGGAATTGGCCTCGAGAATGGAACGTGAGGAGACGATGGCCAAGTTGGAAAGTGAGATGAAGCTTCGCAAGAACTTGATGCTCAAGGGTCGCAAGAAGAAGATTGGTGTCGATAAGGATGGACTTGCTAAATACAAGTGGAAGGCTGATCGCAAGAAGTAGAGGACCAATCTGGGTGGACCTCAAGGTGGAGAGATAAAAGCGACGAGCGAAGCAGGATCAGGTACAGGAATCAGGTGCAGGAACAAGACGTTCTTTTCAGCCTTTTTTCCGGCTTCTCGACTTGTCAACTTTCTTTTCTACCTTTCGGCTCGTGATCGAATTACGCAACTCCTTCGGCTTCTTTATCCTCCGACCCTTTCCCTTCACTCCTACCTTCCTTTCCCTCTTCTACCTCAGCTCATAGAAGCGCATTCGTCATAATTGTACATTAGATAAAAAATAACCAGCATTCAACAACAATACGGCGACGGAAGAATTGGCTGAACAGTAGTTGTTTTATTGTCATATAATGCAATCGGGGCAAGTAAGTCTAGATGAGTAGTTTCTTCAGATCTTGAAGCCGTAGCGCTTGGCGGTGAAGGCATCCAGGACCTGCTCCTTCGTAAAGTACTCCGTCACCTCCTTCTCGTACTCGACAGGCCTCTCGAACGCCGCAAAGTGGCCTCCCTTGTGGAACTCGTGCCACGAGATAATGTTCATGTAATCACTATTTTCAGGAAGAGTTTTCAAGATGCATCATGTCAGTCTCTGGTCATTCTCGTTTCAAGCAGATACATTTTTCACGGTTCACAAATGAGACAGACACTTACTCGGCCCAGGCTTTGGGAACCATGAAGAGCTCCTTGTTCCAAACACCAACACCGACCGGGACACTCGCAGGAACAGGACGACGAAGCATCCACTGCACATCCTTGTTATGATACGTCTCATAGTATATCCTCGTCGACGATGTAATCGTCTCTGTCGAATGATAGATCATAATCTGCGTCAGCAGCTCTGTCTTCGAGAATGGCCATGTCTCGGGCTGGGTAGGGTCCAGATCCGCCCAACCGAGATACTTCTCCGTCAACCACGACAACAGGCCGACAGGAGAATCCTGCAAGGCATGACCCAACGTCTGGGGTTTGGTCGACTGTAAGAAGAAGTAAGCGCCTTCTTCAGCAGCATAGAGTTTCAACCCTGCGATGGAAGCCTGTTCGCGTGGGTTGTTCTTGTAGACGACCGAGGGGAGGGCGAAGCCGGTGATGGCTTTGACGAATTGGAAAGGGCTTGACCAAGGGCGTGGTGGGAGGCAGGGCAGCATGTTGATATGGATGGCGAGACAGTTGTCAGGGTAGAGGGTTGCGATAGTTCGTGAGATGATGGCGCCCCAGTCTCCGCCTTGGGCCAGGTAGTACTTGTACCCGAGGTGCTGCATCAGCTCGTGCAACGTCTTGGCCATAGCCTTTGTTCCGAATTTCTTCTCTGTCGGGGCTAAAATGGACATTGCAAAGAAGCTGTTAGATATCTCATTACAAAAGCAACTTCAACGACATTGTCTCTCTAAACAATACCATGGTTAATTACCTTGAGACCATCCAAAGCCAGGCAGGGAAGGGACAATGATCTGGAACCGGCCCCGCTTCTTTAACAACTGAATCGCCTTCCCAAACTCATACCAAGTCCCAGGCCACCCATGGATCAACAACAACGGCATCATAATTTGCCCCTGCTCATTCACCATTGTCTTACCCGCCCACGGCCCCTCCTCCCCAGTCTCCTGTCCCGTAACGGGATCCTTGACTTTTTCGGTCCAAGGATCATGTCGGACATAATGAATATCCAACCCATTGATCCGACAAGTCCAATGGTCATAATCCTGGTTGAGGTGGTTCAGCTCCTTTTCCCAATCATAGTTGTGCAACCACTCCTGGGTCAACGACTTCAACAGACCCGTCTCGGTTCCATAACTCCATCCGGCGGCTTCGATCTGGTCCGGGAAGGTTGCTTGAGAGAGGCGCGTCCGGAGGGTCGGTAGGAGGTCGGTTCGTCGAGCCGAGAGCTTCATACGACGCGGGATCGTTGGGTCGTCCTTCTCCTCCACGACCGACTTTTCGTCAAGGATTTGTTCCTGGTGGCTGTGGGTGTGGTGGTGTTCTTGGTGGAAGGAAGAGGAGGTAGAGGTGGAGAAGGATGTCTGGGAGGTGGTCTTTTCGTGGACAGAGACGAAACTGTCTTCAAGCGAGCTGGTTGGTTGAGCCGACATGATGGCGTTCAATGGTATGCGGGGAATAAAAAGAAGTAATGGATGCTGAGTGGGAACCGGTGGAATAAAGTAGACGATGTTTCAAAAGACAACTGTCTAGAAGAGTGATGTAGCGATGGACAGAGTCTTTTGAGTTGAGATGGGCAATGGGATGAAAGAGGAAAGAAGAGAAACTCATCCACTCTCAGGCTCTTTGCCTTTTTATCCTCAAGGCTCGGCTGGCTCAGCTACCCAGGTGTGCACGAGCGGGCAAGCAACGGCACAATTGACACTGTTGACACTTTGTGGAGAGCACCGTGCGCTCGACAATTGTCAGACTCAGCTGGACCCTTTCTTCCTCTTCCTTGTCCTCCATTCTTGCGAGCAAGAAAGACGCGAACTCTTCTTCTTTAAGCAAACTAAACATAATGCGGAGCAAGAGATATGTTTGCACAGGTGTTTATCCTAAGACGAACATGGTATCTGTAGAAGTGGGAAAAGGCGGTCTATGGACTAACAAACTATCAAAAACAATACAACAAAAACAAAGATGGATAAACAAGAACAATGAGAGGAGAGGCGGAAAGAAATGGTTGACGGATGGATAATGATGCCGTGTAGATAGATGTATTGCGAATATTACAAGAGAACAAAGAAAAAGGATGAAGGGTTTACATAGACAAGGAGCATGGACTGTAGTCCAGTGCTCCAATGGGTTGGTAGGTTGTTTCTGAAAGAACGACGGATGAATCAAAGGGTGATTGCCCTCTTACTCCATGCTCAATCCTTGCAGAAAAAAGAGAGAAATGCACGATGGTTTAGATGTGCTTGCTCTTCTTCTTGTCGGCCTTGGGGGTCTTGGGGGTGACGTTGGATCCACGCTCCTTGGCAGCCTTGGCCTTGGCGTTGTAGGTAAGGCGGTAGAAGTTGATGAAGAGCAAGAGGTAGCTGGAGAGGAGACCGCAGCCAAAGAGAGCAGCACCCTCGGTACCGGCGCACTTGCCGACGTTGGGGAGGTGAGGCCAGTAGGTGGAGGCAAAGTAGGTATAGGAGCAGAAGTAGATGAATCCGAGGTCGAGGACGAACTGGACGATCTGGAGGGTAGTCAAGTACTGCTTCCACCAGATGCGAACGCCGGCAGCAGAGCGCATGTAGTAGTAGTACATCAAGACGTGAACGGTCAAGTTGAGGGTGATGGGGACCCAGGAGACGGAGGTGTAGCCACCGAGCTGGACGAAGCAGAGGATCATGGTCATCGAGTGGTGGAAGTAGTGCAAGAACTCTATAAGGACGTAACAATTGAAAATGGTGTTTGTTAGTTACGTGATACTCCACACAGCGATATAAAAACGTGTTGTCCAAACCGTGGCCATGATGGCGATTCTTCAGAGGAAGACCGCGCACAAACAGCAGGTGCGGGACTGTTGTATCCATCACAGCTCATGCCATTCTTTTAAATCGGCATATGAAAAAATTGGAAGATAACGAAACATAAAAAATGAGGTGGGAAAATGATGGAAAGGGAAAAGGACGACTCTTGTTTTTGTCCCGCGCCGCCGTTGCTTGCTCTGCTGTAAAAAAAAGTCCGTACAGTACGATGACCGCATCCTGTGTTTCTGTCTCTTTTTTTTTCACTGACGTGTCAAACAACAAGACAACGATACATTAAAGGAACAGTCAAGAATCCCGTTTTCGGTTCGCATGAGCCAGGGGGTGAAGATGAAGGTGGGGGGGGGGGACGGCCATTTCTTGTTACTGTAATGTTTTGTTGTTGAGTCGCACTCTGTTGTTGGATCCGTCGTGTCGTGGAAAACGATTAATGAAAAAATGGCAATAAAGGGGGAACCGGAGTACGTCCCCTTGTCGTGTCGTGTCTTGTTGAGTGCTCTGTTGAGTTGTCGACACGGGATTGTTGTTGTTACTGTTGTTGTTGGGTTCATCGTTTCTTTCTCCCTTTTTCTGTTTGTTGGGCGTGCAATATAAAAATAAAAAAGCACAGACAGGCAATGGACGACTATAGCATAAAAAGAAAAGCATGGCGACACAAAGAAAACTATAACAAAAAAAACAACATAATCGTTCTCTCTTGATCTTCCTATTTGTTTTTTTCAATTGATCCTGCCTCGCCATATTCTTTTCCCTTGTAGTTGGTCCGATGTGGGGTCCTGCAATGTAGATAATAAAACAAGGAGGATAATAACACGTACCAAGAGGCTTCTTCTTAAGGACCAAGAAGACGGTGTCGGCCAACTCCCAGTACTTGACGAGGTAGTTAAGGTAGTAGAGGAGCTCGAGACGCTGGGTCCAGGCACCCTGGTGGCAGATGGCGTAGAAAAGACCGTGGCGGGCGAGGATGGGGACGAGGTTCTCGATGAAGAGGAGGAGGAGGGCACCGGAGGCGATGGTCAGGAGGAAGTTGTGGAGGATGAAGAAGGGCTTCAGCTTGAAGGCCTCCTGGGACTTCATGATCTGGCGACCGCCAAAGATGACGATAAAGTAGGTGACGGTCCACATGGCGACCTCGTACTGGGTCGACAGGGGCGTGACACCCTCCTGGAAGACGAACGAGTCGATGGACTTGCCGGTGACGAGTTCGTAGCCCTTGCTGAAGTAGTTGTCGAGCTTGATGCCGAAGGGCTGATCAATGCTGAAGTTGACCTGATCCAAGAATGCGGCGGCCATGGCGGTGTCTTGCGAGATGAGGAATGGGAGATGAGAGAGAGGGTGGAAGGGATGAGGAAGAGAAGAAAGGAAGAGAGAAAAGAAAGGAAAAGAGATGAGCGGGTTTTATGAAGTGAAAAGGAGGCTGTTCGGACTGTAGAAAAGCCGTCGCCGCACAAATGTTGGAAGTTGGCTCAGCAGTTGAACAAAAGAAAATGTACTTTCAGAGCAGGGACAGACACGACATAGCAACCATGAACAAACATAAACGACAGCCTGTCTGCCTTCTATCAATCGAATGGCGACAACAGCACACAAAACGAAAGGTAGACAAACAGGAGTGCCAGCAATAGAAAACACAAGTGGTAACTGTACAGTACTAGTCGACACAGGTCTACAAAAGAAACCAATCGATATCCTTTTACTTTCTCTCTTTCCTTGACCTTTAGGGTTTCCCGTTGAATGGAGGGAGAGGGGACGGCAGCTTCTTTTTCCGAAGCAGGCGTCCAAGAGAGGGAAATAAAAATCTAAAAATGAAGTTCCAGGCTGGGGAAATAAAGAGCAGCCGCGCTCTATCATACGACATCTTGTTTTTGCCTGTTGCTCTCTGCTCCCTTTTGTCATCATTGTCATTGCGAAAAACAATAATATGAAAACCCTGTTCCTAGCCTACTGCAACCAACAGCAGTATAATCATCATCATTCATTGTGCAAAGGATTGTCCACCAGCAAGGATGGTTGTCGATCGCACCCCTTCTGGGTCAATTGCTCCCTTGGTTGTTGCTCAATTGCTCCTTTTTTCTTTTTCATCCTGTTTACCACCTTCTCACATATGTTTCCCATTCTCCATAACTCTCGATTGAGATGCCAACTATTTTGATGTCCCGCCAGTACTTTCCTTTCGCCTTCAACCCAGATATTTCCCTTTCCTCTCAACCAGAAACATGAGAAAGCCCTTATTTCCGATCCAGGCACATTCTCGATATTTCACGTGCGTGCAAAAACAGAGTGCTAATTCTTTCATTTTCAGCCCCAGTTCTAAACCTCCTATCATGCGCAATGACCGCCACATTTTTTTTTGTTGCGTAGTTCCAAGAGGGGACTGGCAAGTGTGGAGTAGGAGAAGAGGACAGATACCCACCCCAACAACATTCCCTCCTCCAGCTTGTACAGCTAGGATTATCTTGCGCGTCGATTATGCCTGTCGCCATTCAAAACGCACACACGAACTTGAAGGCTGACCGTCCGTTGTCCATTAGCACAGACGTTCATTCCCGTGGAGAATAACCCCTGCGATCACCAATTATACCTTCACGTGAAATCGTTGGACCTCCCTTAGCTTAGATGCAACGTGGAGGCATCTTTGCACTGAAAAAAAAAACGTGGAGGATGTCATATCCGATGCTGTTCGCGTCTACCAATCGATGGTGCGAATAGATAACGATGGAAAAGAAAACATAGGTATATTAGGTGGATGAAGGAGTTGAAAAGAATACGCGCGCTTGTTGATTGGTCTTTGTCTACTCTTCCTTGACAGAAAGAGGCTCCTCAACAGCCGCCTCCAAGGCGGCAAGGAACTCCTTGTAAGGTCCCCCTACATAGGTCACCACTCCGTCGACAATGACAATCACACAAGGGATGGCCTTGTACTCTGACACCTTGTAAACGGCTAAATTAACGAAAGAAAAGTAAAGATAGTTGTCGTTTGATATTAGTGCCCGCAGTTCAAACACAGCCTTTTGGCAGAAGAAAAGTGACAACCCTAATTTTCATTCACTAACTCTCCGTTTTAATCAATACTTACTCTCGCAGGCGTGTCCTTCGTCGCTGTCGACGTAAATGGTATAACGGAACTCCTTCTTGTGCTCTTCAAGGAATGAAGTCACGACCGAGATATCCTTGTCCATAGGTCTGAACATGCTCTCGTTGTTCACTCCAACGATCGCAATACGACCAGCGTATTTCTCGGACAACTCTGACAGTTCAGGGCCTGCGCGTACGCAAGGTCCACACCTGAATGGCAAAGATGAATGTTGCATAGGATGAGTACGCTGAGAAAAAGAAGCAAGAGACTCAATCTATTCTTTGATAGAACAACGAGACGTACCAGGTGGCCCAAAAGTCAAGGACGACAACACGTTCCTTGCCACTAAACTCGGGTCCATTAACATGTTTCAAAGGCGCAATGACAGCAGCAGGATCGACCTTGGTTCCAATATAAGGGCTCTTCCATCCAGCACGGAAGCAAGCAGGCGGACCCGCCTTGAGACGATCGCGGATGGACTCGTACGAGGTAATTCTGAACTTTTTGAGGATCTCAAAGGGATCTTCAATGCCGATTTCCTTGACTTTGAGCTTGAAGGACTCGACAGCGGCCCAGTAGGTGTCTTCTTCCCAGGCGTCCTCGTATTTATCATCAAAGGGGTCGCTCAAGATGTCGCTGTAGGCGTTCTTGAGGAGCTCTTCAGGACTATTGGGGTCTGCGACTGGCATTATGCACGATGAATGAAGGTGAGGGTAGGAAAGAAGTGGAGGGTGAAGGAGAAAAAGATAAAGAAAGCAGAGCAAAACCAAGAAGGAGAGGAATGGAGAAGGGGTTGAGCCGGTATTTAAGAAGGTTGAAGTCGAAGGAAAAAGAAGGGGTCGAGGATGGCACCATTTTGCCCAACGAACATTACAAGGGCATCATAGGGTCAAACACGGCGCAGGAAAAAAACTAAAAAATAATAATGAGCCGCCTTCTCACCTTCTAAAGGTCAACAAGCAGCGACAACATTGGGTGAACAAGGCGCTTGCTTGGCCTGTTGTGCCCTTTGTTTTTTAGGTTTCCTTTCCATTTCGGGCAGCCTCCGCCAGCGCCATTGTAAAGAAGGGTCAATGGGCCTGTATGTCTGTCAGTTTAGCCCATCCGCACAAAAATGACTAAAAAAATGCTCTATTCCAGGAACCGAATGCCTCATTGTGGTTCGATTTTGGCATCGATTTTCCATCCAAACGAATGCTTCTCTTTTTTGTCTACGATTTCTTCTGTCTTTGTAGAGTAAATGTGCTCCCGTCTTTGTCATCCATCTTCCATTCTGCCGGCAGTGCGGGATACAAAGATAAGAAGGAATAATACTTATGCTTCTTTTCCTTTCTACTTCTCCGTCTCAGTTGCTTGGATCGACAAAGAGGGGAAAAGCAAGCATGTGAACACTTTTTCCTTACTCTTGTTCCTCTAAGGAGGTTTTATTTTTCTTATGTACCTTTGGGCTGAATGAGAGAGTGGAGTGAGCAATGAGAAGGATGGAAGGTAGAAAAGACAAAAAATCACTCGCCTCAGTGGGAATATTGTCTCCTCTTGATTGGTCAGAATAAAGGGATGACCTTATTTCGGTGGACATCCGATCAAAGCACACCAATGAAATAAAAGGTGGTGCTCTCGTGTTTATCTCTTCTTCTTGCACTTCCGTTAGTTTTCTTGACTTGCAGTGGTCATTGACTCTCGACTATCTCGCCACATCCACCCTAGATTTCGTTCTTTTTGCTCACTCTCTTTGTTGTTCTTTCTTCGTTTTGAATTGCCCTCGGTTTTCTTTATTGGCGGCAAGTACCTGCGACCCAATCTCCTCCGCTCGTTTTTCTCGCGACACCCTCCCCTTTATCAATTGAGCTCTCAACACTTGTTCGAAGAATAAGCAAAACGGCACGGCGAGTCAGCCAGTCGATAGCGCCATCCAACAAAAAAAGAGGTGCATGGCCATTTCGCTGCTTCACTCACGCTTGCTCGTCAACATGGCCCTGCCTCCTCCCCTTCCTCGGAATGTCACTTCCATTTTCAGGTTTGCGTTAGGGTTCAATATCAATAAATATGCAAGATGAGATGCATCGTGTCCGAATATGCGTGAGGTGTGTTTTTTTTATCCGGAAAACTCAAAAGTGTTACTCGCCCCCCTATCTACTCTATTCTCCATAGTATTCTTTGTCCAGTTTGCTGCTTTAAAATGGGTTGTTTGTGTGTCTTGTGGAGACGTTTATTTTATCAAGTACATTCTATCCAGACTATCAAGGATGTCCGATTCTCACACAGCTAGTCAGCCTTTTTTCCTCACTTGATGCTCTCGTTAGTGCATCGTGTTGACACTACTACTACTACTGTCCGCGACTCTAACGATTATTGACTCATTCCTCCTTCTCCAAAGCGATGGCGTCTAGTGAATTACTCAAAGCTTGCTTGAAACCTTCGCCAGGACTACCAACATATGAGACGATGTTGTTGACCAACAGGATCAAACAGGGGATACCTTGATACCCGCAATGGTTATACACGCCTATAAATTGAACGAAAATAAACAGGAATAGAAGCGAAGGGAGTTGGTAGTCGTGTTTTTTTTTTCTTGTTGGAGCGTTGTTTTGACCTGCGGTTACTAACAACAAGTGTTGAGCGAAGCAAAAATAAAGACGGGACTTACTATCACGAGCATGGTTCTGGTTGTCAATGAAGCAGGTGTACCTAAAGGCGTTCTTCTTCTCTTCAAGGAAGCCCTCCAACTTTTCGACGTCGTGTTCCTTGTCCTCAAAGATCCCCTCGTTGTTGACGCCCACTACAGCGACTTGTCCGGCATGCTTCTCTGCCAAGTTTGATAGTTCTGGAGCAGCTTCGATGCATGGCCCACACCTATGGCAACGATGAAACAAATGTTAGAGCAACGAATGTTTAAATCGCTTCACTACTCAGTCAAGGACTAACATCCGCGAAACAGAAGAGAAAAGAAAAAAGACTTACCAACGCGCCCAAAAGTCCAAGACGAAAATCTTCTCACCCCCCTCAAACTTCCTCCCACCAACGAGTTCACACCGGTCCAACACTGCAGCAACGTCCACAGTCTGCGAAAGCATCTCACTCTTCCACCCCTCCCGGTAACATTTTGGTGGACCTTCCTTCGTAACATCCCGGATATCTTCATACGACTTGTACCCCAACTTGGGCAGGATCGCAAGAGGGTCGTTGATCCCCGCTTGGGCGGCCTTGGTCTTAAAATCGTCAATCGCGACCCAGAAAAGGGCCTCGTCCCAGTTATCCTCATACTTGTCCTGGAAGGGGACGTGGATGATGTCGTAGTAGAGCCTGTGGATGACGGCTTGGTCTTGGGCTTGTTGGTTGTCTTCGGCTGATGGTGACATGTCTGCGGATTATTGGAATAGCGTTAGTTTGTAGGAAATAAGAGACGACGGAAGGTTGATTGCTACGGAGGCAGATGTCGTTTGAGTATCTGATGTTAAGAAGAAAGGAACGTGCAAGGCCACCCCTTTATATGAACAAGGAATGCGCCTTGAAGAAACAAAGCAATTGAGCACACACACTTCGGATAAACAAAGCAATTGAGCATGCACACTTCGGATACGAATGAAAATGGATCTATCTTGGCAAATGGAATATTGGTCCTTTGGGCTACTAATCAAAGTTTTGCCGTTTCATGGTGCCCAAGGTCATTTTGGTTGGTTAACTTTTGTCTCCGTCGACATTTCTTTTGTCGCAAAGTATTAGACGCTGCACGCCGCAGGTGTATGTGTGTAGGTGTAAAAATTATTGTTCGTTTGTGTTTTGTTTGGCATGCGTGTACACATGCTCAGATACAACCATAGACGACGAACAATATGTCTTTTTGGTCTCATCAACAATGAGAAACAGAAGGAAATAAAAAAGAAGACCAAAGGAAGAAGAGCCACATAGGAGATAGGAAGAGCAGGAAGTGAAAGATAAAGAAAAAAAAAGAAAACACCGGAAATCGTTAACTTTATTGGTTACTTTCACATCCTCTCCGAACATGATGTCCACATGTCCGCATGTCCAATATATGAAAAAACAGAAGGTCTCCCATTGGTCCTTGTCCGGTCTTCATGGATGTGTTACTTCTTTTGAGTTTCATCTTTCCTTCAACTCAGAACGCATCCCTCGCGTTTGAAGAACGAAAACGAACAGCCTAAAAGGCTCACACCTGCCTCTTCCTCCATCCATTTTTCTTCTTTTCATTTGCCACCCAACTGAGTACCGTCTGGGCGTATACCCCCTTTTCTCTTGTTCGTAGAGTCGATACTATGCATATCGCGTACGCTTTTCTAATACCCTCTCTTTTGTTCTCAATCGTTTTGCCTTGCATATTTTGGTCAGGGTGCCGTTGTACAGGGATGTTCAGCCCAGCGAGCTGACAAATCCAATGTGGGTGAATGGGTGTCCATTAATGAAATGGAGAAAAGTCGTAGGGATGAGAGGGTATGCAAGAAAGAAAAGGTACACGGAAGGATCACCCGTGAAGTATGCACCGTGTTGACATAGCACAAGGGGCACTAAGCATAGTACAAGGGGCACCAAGCTGACGGGACCGAGAAGAAAGTAGGCTTCTGCATTTTCTCTTAGCGGTTTAAGAAAAACGTGTATCTCTAGTCGAATATCTCTTCAGGAAAAACCATCCCCTTCTCTCCCGCCAGCTGCAAGAACCTATTCGTACACGATATCCTCTCACGATCTGCGAAAAAATGAAGCGTAGGCGCGACGAAACGAACGCGTTAGACAGGTAATCATAGAGTACAACGCACGCAAGCCATGCCAACAACAGAAAAAGATAGATGTATGCGACTGCGACTTACTGATGTTCCGGTTGGGGTCACAATGGCACTTGGCTTGGAGTTCCAGTTCTGCTGGGCAGTTGTGAAACGGTGCGTGAAAGTATCCAATCTCCTTGAAGAAGTGGATCTGGTCGATAGGTAAAAGGAGTGCAGCTGCGATCGAGTGAACGGGAGCATCTCCCCATCTTTCGTAGAAGAATCCTCCTGCCTGATCCAGATGGCTGAAGTACTGCTGATAGGCCTCGTCTCGCATCCATCGCGCGTCTGCTATCTCGAAATTGGACCAGAAGTGACACGTCTAGAAATAAGCGTGACGAGCGATCAGTTTGGTGGCGCGGAATGAAAGGTGTTGATTGGATTCACTGATCGGTTCACCCTAAATGTTTCCCTTTTCAGGAACGAATAAAAGGTGAACACTTACGTTGTAGCTCTTGCCTCCGTCGTCAGAAATAAAGTCGAGTGCATTGTTCTTGGCCAGAAGGTGCGGGTACATGTCCATAAAGTCCCTTGTTACATTCCAGAGCGACGGGATAGTCTCCATGTATTCTGGCAGCGACATAGTAAATGCTATTTTGGGTTTCATTCACACCAGAGTAGAAATAAAGGGGATGGGTCAGTGCTCTGTGAAACGTCATATTAGAAAGACCTGAAGTGACATTCTCGATGTGTCAATGTGATACCGTATTTCTTGTTATTGTCCTGCATGTACAAGAAGGGGTCAAAGTCCAGGTCACAAGAGTACTCCACGTCGGGTTCGATGCGCCAGTAATAGTCGAATGGTAGCATAGCCTCATGTTGAAAGAAGAACCCCGATTGATACCTAAGCGCCCATATGATTGAGGTGAGGAAAAACGATGCACACACCAAACTATCTAAGTGTTCTCAGGTTCACACGCACACAACCTTGACGACAGCATTCATAGTAAGACGATGCAAAAAAGTACCGCGTACCTGCACATATGTCGATAGCTTTCACTCCGCCCATAAGCAACACCCACCATAGCCTCCCTTGCCTCCTTAGCCTTCGTAATCGAGATCCACTCCGGGTAACTCCAGTGCTCCGTCGGGACCAACCCAAACGTCATGTTGGCCTTGGACATAGGTCGAATCAACTCCTTGAACTCTTCCGTGAACGGAACATCATTTAGAAACACATACGGGTACTGAAAATTCCGGTTGAAGCGGTCCTCGACCTGTCGGATAGTACTCCGAGCGCCTTGGCCATCTGAGTTTCGAACCAGCATCACAAATGCTGCGTTGGCGCGACGGGTGAGGGGTTTGGGCGGAAGTGGTTTCTGGATGAGGAAGGTGTTTTTTCGGTCCCGTTTGGGCGCTGCCTTCTTGTTGTCGTTCTTGAGTGGTGCAGCATTCATGGGTGTTTGTTGTTGGGTTTGGCGGGTCCTGTGTGTTACGCTTTGTTGTTTCTCCTTGACTATTGATGATCCTCCTGGTGTATCGACGGCAGCCAAGTCATCACGAGGAAGATTCCGATCATTTGCTGAATGGTGCCAGTTGCTGTATGTTGGAACGAGTATGCACAGGATGGTTATTGAAATTACCATGATGGTGACAGTTCTAGTCTGTTGTTGCATCCCTGCTTTTGTGTCACAGTGTTGTGGTCGAATTAGGTTTGTCTGGCAGGGTCCTCTTCTGTTGTTGTTCCTTTAGTTCATTGACTGTCTTTGGAGGTAAATATCGGTTGAGAAGAATAGAAAGAGACCAGGAGGAGAGAGTGTCGAAGCTTGGTTGGGAAGAAACGGTGTAATGAAGGAAGAGATGTGAAAAAGAAAAAAAAGTAACGAGAGAACGAAGTCAAGAAGCGTGGAAAAGGGGAGGGAAAAAAAGATGGACTAGCAAGGAAGGTATCCCCCTTTTTCATTTTGCTGCGAGGAATGAAGACATGCACAATGATAGAAGCGGTGTGGCTTGCAAAGGGGCATTGAAAGAAGACAAATCGACGATGGATTCACAGAACATACCATACTCGGCTGAGAGCGTGCACGCATCCTCTCTGACTGGTAAATTTTAGAAAATTAACTCCCCTCTTTGCAATCTCTTTTTGTAGGGTGCGTTGAAGACAAGTATGTCGCGCTTATTCGATTAAGTGATATGTCGTTTTCTTTATATTTACTTTGAACCCTGCGAACGTGGCTGGAAGATGTAGGACGAAAAGAACTTGAAGGAGAATGAAGGGTATGTAGACTATGCTTGCCGATGTTGTTGTTTCTCTCTCCTTCTCTACCTCTCAACCTACTGTCTTTCTCCTACTCCCTCTCTCTCTCACTTGCTTACTCTTGCTTACTCTTGCTTACTCTTCCCGACGCGCTCCGGTTTCGAGAAAGTCTAATGTCTGCTCGAGAACGGGTCTGAAGTTCTCCTGCGGCGTGCCCACATAAGTGACAATGCCGTCCACCAGCAGTATCACGCAAGGGATACCACGATATCCTCCTGGGTTGTAAACAGCTAATTTATGAACAATGCAATAAGATAATGGTTAGTTGGAATTGTCCGGAAGGAAAAAAATGAAGGCGGTGTTGGGCGCTAATGTTGTTATTCATGTCCCCAATGCTCAATTGATTGGTTCGATTGCCCATAAGAGTCCGCATGCGAGAGACAGAGCGAAAACGAAGCAAGCAATCGTTTGATAAACACACACACACACACACACACGACTGTCCAAAGGGCCCTCTTCCTCGGCGCAATATATTTTCTCTCTTCCCTTTCCCCACCCTTTTTTCAACATTCGAGTCCCCAGTCCATGCCCAACTCAACTGTGCCCATGCATGTGCACTCCAAACTTACTTTCTTTTGCATGGCCCTCGTCGTTGTCGATGTAGATGGTGTATCGGAATCCTTCCCGGTGGTCGTCCAAAAACTCGTTCAACTTGTCCACATTTCCTGGATTTGTCTCTCCAAAGATACTCTCGTTGTTGATGCCCACAACCGAAATCCGGCCTTCGAATTCGTCCGCAAGATCTGATAGTTCCGGTCCTGCCTGAATACAAGGGTCACACCTATTGATCGAAACGAAAGAAGTTATGGAAGAAAAGAAGTGTGAGTGTGTTGTTCAGTGCACAGAAAAAAATGGGAAAGGGTTGGGTGAAATATGGTTCCTCGGAAATACTGGCTACTTTGTCGGTAACGGTGACAACGGACATTGAAGTCTGCGCATTGCCCGTCCTTCGACAAGATAAGAGCACGCCATCCACCCCGATACTCACACATACATTCACACGCATACCCTCCCATGCACTTAAAACAACAACAACAAAGAATAGCACTTACCATGAAGCCCAGAAATCCAGCACGATGACTCTCCCTTCGCCCGTGAACTTGGGTCCCGAGACATAATGACATTTGGCGACAAGGGCGACGGGATCGATCAGCTGTCCCAAGAGATCACTCTTCCACCCTGGACGGAAACAGGGCGGGGGTCCCTGTTTGTGCTGTTGTCGGACAGCGTCGTAGGACTCGACGCGGAACCGCTTGAGGAGATCGAGGGGTTCGGCAAATCCGATTTCGAGTGCCCTGGCCTTGAATTCCTCGATCGCCCTGTCGAATGGTTCGTCCTGCCATCTGTCCTCGTACTTGTCCTCAAAAGGGTCGTTCAGGATCCGTTGGTAGGCCTCGATCAGTTGGGTCTCTTGTTCTGTGAGTGGAGGGCCGAGTGGTGCCATTGTTGGATTGAGCGATGTAGGTTAGGCGGAGGGTTATTATTTTTGGTGGCGGTGTATGTTGGAATGTCAGGCGCGTCGAATTTTTTCGGCAAGGGTGGATGATCCTGTTGAGAAGGGGGGTTGATCTGTAAAGTGAGAAAAAAACAAGGGTGAAGAAGCTGAAGGATTGTTGGAAAAAAAAGAGGGAAGAGAAGAAAGAAAGCGGGTGTTTTTATGCAGAATGGCAACAGAGTGAGAATGAAGGTAACGGCTCTGTTGTAAAAGGTGTCACTTGCGCATGAAAGAGTACGTGTGTGTAAGGTTGTGTCAAGGTGTAGGGGAGGGACACTAATGCAAAGCAACTTATACGCATGTACACATTTTGTGCTCGATTCGACTCAACTCGCTGTTGTTCTGCAGACAAGAACAAAGGGAACAACAACAAAACAGCCTCCCATTCTTTTGTTGTTGTTTGTTTTGCTGTAATGAAATTAGTTGTAAAGAAGCAGAGAGCCGGTCTTGAAGGTACGCTTGAAAACCTGTCTATTTCCAGTTAGGGTCAGAAGTAACCATTCAATCCCAATCTTTTCATTCTTTTTCGGGACTGTGCGTGTGTGTGTGTGTGTGTGTGGGACAGACAGAAAGGAAAAAAGGCATAACAAGAGAGCGGACAGAGGAGAACTACACAAATGTTGTAAACCATTCAGAAAGAGAGCCAGAGGAGTATTCAAGAAGATCGTACTAAATCGATGAAAAGTGTACATGAACAGGTGTTCAATTGGCACTGCTCATGTAAAACATTAAACATCGTCAATAAACAAACAATTATCGGGCGGGTGAAAGGCATTGAGGACGAAAAATAAAAATGAGTTGGTGCCGATTGAACGTTATTTGAAGCAACAACAAAGCAAAGTATCCAGGCACTGGTAGAATTAAAACATCGATAATCTTTTTTTTTTCATTCGCGTGTTGTGTTTGTCGACGATATCGTGCGTGATTGAAATTCGAGCGTGTCAAGGAGGGTACTGCATGTGTGGCTTTTTGAAGATGGAAAAAAGAACGACCTCGATCCCCTGAAAGAGCTGTCTGCTAATTTGTCCGGCAGTGCATCGCGACATCTTTATCCCTCATGCCTTGTTCTTTCTCATGCACTACATCGCACGAATGTTCCTAAATGCTCCCTCCTCCTGAACAAATGGCATTTTGCGTCCATCCAAACCAAAAGACGGACATGTCCTTTGTTTACGTTAATGTTTCTGTGTGCGGCACTTGCAGCTTTCGTGGAGGATTGTGGTCCTTTCCTTTCTGATGCCCTGACCTGTCCAATACCACCATTTGTTTTGTTTTTGGCCACAAACACAAACACAAACAACCAAAAGAAGAGAAGGGACCACTCGGCGGATTGACCATGGTCTTGTCAATGGTTTGAATCATTGAGCTATCGGTTGTTTCTGTCGGCGCCTCTTTCCCCCTCCCTCTCCAATACTTTCCGCCTCCAAAAGAGCTTGTCTGTGTTGTTTTGGTATCCCTCCCATAACGCGCCAAGCAACAACAACAACAACAACAAATTAATATCGATATGCATGCACCACGACATCAATTGGACCGTTCGTGTGCTCCGGGGTACTTTGTTCTCTTATCATCATTTATCTTCCACAGAAAGCAATTCTTGTGAAGAATGGAGGGAGGGTGAGATAGAAATTACAGTTGAACGAATATTTTACGAGTACGAAGGGGGAAAAAACGAGAGCTCCCCTTTGGGGTTTTGTGCGGTGTCATTGTCATAAAATTACCTGTCTTTCAAGGCATGTCTATAGACGAACACGATCGCTGTTGCTGTACATCGGATCATAAATGGAGGTTTATGCTTTTAGCATGCATTACCAAAAAGAAAAAGACGACAGGGCATTCCTGAAGGTCGTTTACCACCATCGGCCCTGGGGGGGTTATTATTATTGCTACACAGTCGCATTTAAATATCGATGAGGGACACAAAAATGAGTATGAATGAACGCAGTAAGAAAACAACTCATTCAAGACCCTTTGACTGCCTACGACTAGTTTCTTTCAAAACCACCCGTTCTTGAAGAGTTACTCTCCCAGTGCTCCCGCAGACTCCTACGATCTCAATCCCTATCGCACCATCTCCCCGCAAAGTGATGAAAAGATAACGCTACCTTTGGCATTGCACGTGCAACCACAATGGCTTCCATTCTACCCTACTTCCCGTCTCCCCTCTGTCTCCCCTTTTTTCCATATATATATATTTGTTCTTATCCGTTGATCTGTCTGCTTGCTGTTTGTTGACTGTTGTTGTTGTTGAACCATGGGGGTAGGTAGAACGTTTTGCCCTCGCTTGCTGTGCATAGTGCATCCCAAATGGCGTCAACAACTGCCTTGCTATGCCTTGCTCCTCTGCAGTGCGTTGCATTGCACTGCCCATGCCTCTCCTTGCTGGGATCGATGTCCAGGTCCGGGTCAAGGTGGGAAATGGCTTGCCTACCCTTTACTATGTTTTGAAACGTCGACTCTAGTCTCTGTCTGCAAACAATAAGGTTGGTTAGCATTGACCATCGCGGAAGAGAAAATAACGACTTCGGCCTCTTTTCATTTTCCACCCTTTTCCACAACAACAAACAAGTGTGAGAGAGTTGTTGCTTGTGTTTTTGCCTTTTGCGTCCTGGTAATCAGTGGACTTGCGTCCATTCGTTGACCAGCGTAAACATAAATATGCACAAGCACACGCCTCCTTGTGTAATGTCATAAACGAAGAAGTAAAACAAATAACCACGTAGCAAAGTTTCGGCGTAAGATCCGAGATGGCACATGCAGTTTTTGTTTTTGTTGTTGATTCCTAGAGCGTTGTTTTTCCTTCCAAGAAGCATGTAGAGCACAGTCCCTCTCGACTTTCTTGTGTACTTGCCCAATTGCCTCAACAAGCCTTTTCCTGCATTTATGTTTGATGCTTGTCGCTTGTCGTTTGTCCGTTCGAGGCGGATGGCGCTAGTCTCCCTAGAGGTTTGACATAGCCGAAAAACTTGATGACAGCTTACTAATTGACAAAGCGAACGCGCGAGAAGGATAGTGTGGGAAAGCTCTTTTTCAATTTATTCTTGGACAAGGCCTAAGGACTGTGCAATCTCTTCGTTCAGGGTATCGTCCGATCCAGTACAGCGCTTGCACTTGCAGGTAAACATATACTCGGTGCGGAGGTACTGCTGTCGTGTGTCCCTCTTCCAGCGAGGGTCGCAATAAGTGATCTGGAGCTGCTCGTCCCGCTTGATAGTCCTGGCCAGACGAACACTGACTCCATAGTTGGTCCCTGCTCCCGGGTGACCAATGACGGCGTTGGGGTTGCAGGCATGGTTGAGGGCCGAGTGGAGGAGATAAAGTCCACCGTCTTGGTTGTTGATGTTGTACCGTCCGACAAACTTGAGGTAGGTATCCATGGAGAAGAGCGAGTCCTTCAAGTGATCGGGAAGAGGCTTCGTCAGGACCGAGGTGCCGCTCTTGGGGAGCGTCTTGAGAGGGTACTTGCATCCCTTGATGAGCAACTCCAGTGCCTTCTCCCAGACAGCTCTCGATTGGTCGCCCATCATATCCCATGAAGTCTCTCTCTTCTGGCGCTCCTCCTGACTGACGGTGGCAAAGGCGTCAAAGTGCTTCAAGACGGTGGTGAGCTCCTCTGGCGAGGTCTCGTTGGCGATCAAGATGCGCTCGTAGCAGCGAAGTGCTCCCATTCCGGCGTTCCAGTTCTCTTCCACGCAAAAGTTGACGTACTCCTTCAATGCTGGGTTCAATCCGAAGCATTCGAAGCGATGTGAGCTGTTCCATGAAGTCTCTCTGCATGCTGTTGGCCATAAAAAGTAACGGAAGCACTGTTAGAGACTGGTAGGTGATAGGTGCTTGCAAACGAGTCATGACATCAATGTAGAAAGAACGGTGGTTTACCTTTTATGCAGTACTTGATTCTGCTGCAGCCTGGGCACACGCAGCTGAGGAGGCTATCAGTCTTGATGGTACGCGCGCAGAGACCACAAGCACCACCTTTCGTGACCATGTTGTATCTCTTCATTGGAGGAAAGTAGATGAAGGGAAACTCGTTGAATACCACTTTGTCCTTGGGGAGCTCCTCTGTAGCAAACAATCCTGTTTGTTTGTAATAAAGAATTGGCTTTGAGATTAGTGTTGTTGTCCTGGCGTATAGCGCGTCCATGTAAACTGCACCAGACTATCCTCTGCCTAAAATCAATTGGCGTCGTAGTTTGCTAGGTCGTACCTTTTCCGATGACTTTGTTGATCATCTTGGTCTTGACGAGTCCATTAGTCAAGGCACTGATGTCCACGGCGGCATCGATATGACTGACAGGGACCGAAGGGTCCAGCTCTCCCTCGGGCTCAGCATTGGCGACGGCAATACCGGCCTGGTCCATAAGCTTCTTGACTCGCTTCTCGCTCACAAGCCAGGTGGGTTCCTGAGTCTGAATCTCGGCGAGAACCTTCTTGATGCCCAGACCGGGATCGGCCTTTTTGATCTTTGCGATGAGCTCGGTCAACACTGGTGCCTCTGGAGTGATTGTTGCCATGATGTCCTTGTTGTCTCCTGTTGGACGAGTGAATGAGAAAAGAAATGGGCGAGTGTGAGAGAGGATCACTCACCCAAGATTTATTTGTTTTGTGGCTTGTGCGCTTACTTTTCTTTTTCTTTTTTCTTTCCTTTGTTTCTAACGACTCCAGTTCTTTTCTTCTTCATTCAGGTCATTTCGCTTTCGCCCAAACGGTCTGCATTCATCACAACATGAACTTTTACAAGCAGGCCGCAGATATCCTCGACCGTCTCGGGAAGAAGGAGGGCTCTATCAAGGGACTCACCCTCGGTAACGCCGAGGTTACAGACAAGAAGCGCATGTACGCCGTTATCTGCGAGACCCTCAAGCGTAAGCCATTTAATTTCCCTATGTTCAATTACATCTCCTGTGCCCGATTTCTTTCCAAGCAGGACATCATTACTAACTTTGACACTTTCGTTTATCTAGATAACACAACGTTGTCATTGGTCCTTCAGGAGTCCAAGTTGCTGGCGCTGGAAAAGAAATTGACGCGATCGCTGGCGTTGCTACTTCTTCACGACCTTTTGATGCAGAATCGAGGAATTCAAGCATCGGACGCATGGCCCATGAAACAAGCAGTGATGCGGCATAAGGCTCGTCTGAAGGCAGAGTTTGTCAAGGCTAAGATTAAAGTCGGCGCCAAGAAGGATGGTCTCATCGAGGGCGAGGACGAACGTAAGTCTCTTGAACACGCTAGACAACTGCAAGTGTTCCGCCCTACAGGATCAGTGACACCAACTAACGCCCACTATATTCAACTGTGCCATTGCATCTATATAGTTTTACTGCCAAGATATGTGCGCGTCAACTTGCTTATGAAGACACCCCAACAGGTTATTGACGCATTCATCGCTGATGGATGGACATTCCTGCCAGAACCCCCCTCGCCACCAGCACCACCACCAGCTAACACTTTCCACCGCGACGAACATCTGGACTTCATGCTTGTCTTCCCACCCAAATCCGACCTCCATCTTCACCCACTCTACGTCTCGGGAGTTTTGATCTTGCAGGATAAGGCGTCCTGTTTCCCAGCAGCTATTCTCGCGCCTCCCAAGAATGCCTATGTCATTGACGGGTGTGCGGCACCCGGAAACAAGACCAGTCAGTTGGCGATGGGGATGGGTAATGGCGGAAAGATTATTGCCTGTGATCTGGATCTCCGGCGACTCAACATTCTCAAGCGGTTAACGACAAAGGCAGGATGCACAAGTACGTTGGGAGTATATGTCTTTTTACATTGCAGCTCTAGGAAGCGGATGAAATGAATTTTATAGAGTTGGGATTCTAACTGTGTGCATGATACATGAATTGAAATCATAGATATCACGGCTCTGAACACGTCGTTCTTGACATTGGATACGACAACACCCGACAACTCAAAGGTGTCTCATATTCTGCTGGATCCTTCATGTTCAGGATCAGGAATCATCAATCGGCTGGACCACTTGGTGGATGCGTACGCAGAAGAGCAAGAACAAGCGACTATCCTGGAAACGACGACAACAGGCGGAGCAGCAGAGAGAGCGGCGGCAGAGGAAAAGAAGAAGGAGCGTCTTTTGTCACTAGGCGAGTTCCAGGTCGAATGTGTCTCCAAGGCAATGACGTTCCCCAACGTGCGTAAGATCAGTTACTCTACCTGTTCCATCTACGCGGAGGAGAACGAACATGTCGTAACGACACTGTTGAAGAAGCATTGGCCGACATGGAAGCTGACCCCTCGCGCTAAAGTCTTGCCGACATGGCACCGTCGTGGAAACCCCTCTGAGGTATGTGATATCCCAGGGTTGGTCTCAACGGACGAGGATAGAGCCAAGATTGCGGATTGTGTTGTCCGAGCTGTACCAGGTGGACCAGAGGGAGACCTGATGAATGGATTCTTTGTGGCTTGTTTTGAGCGGGTGGGCAAGAGCAGTCTTCCTGGGCTGTCACCTGTTTGGAAGGGCCCAAGCATTGGAGGTGTCAAGAGAGCACATGAGGAGGCGGACGAGATGGATGATACAACAACAGAGGCAGCTACTGAAGGCTCATCCCCCGCCAAAAAGAAGAAGAAGAACAAGAAGAAGAAAAAGAAGAAAAGCACAGCCGTCGAGGCAGGTGACTCTGCTTCTGCTGCTGGTGGTGTGGGTGGTGAAGGGGACGAGGTGGAGGACGATGAAGCGTCTGGCGACGACGAATAAACAAACCATCTTGAAGTCATCCAAAAATATATATCTGCGCACAAGTGGGGGTTGTATTCGTGTGATTCTGATGGTTTGAATGGTTGGGATGGTTCACGAAGCAAGGGGCATGGTCGTAACGAAAATAAGAGCAGGAGGCGAGCTGCCCAATCTCAAAAAACGTGCCAACGAAATAGATAGATGGAAAACAGACAACATCAATACATAGGGAATTTGCCTTCCCTTTCGGTTCGATAGCACAAGCAGGTGTGGAGAGGAATAAAAACACAATTCCTGGTTAAATAAAGGGAGAGATTGCACTATGCACTGGAAGGGATGTGACCCTCGGGCGATCAGACTTGCCAATTTGCCACAGACGCAGCAGGAAGAAAGCCTTTAGTCGACGCATTTGGGTGTGGAAAGATGGTACATGGTCCTTGGTAAAAAAGAGTCGTGGGTGATACTTGAAGTTGTGTGAGACGCGTGTCAGGCTGGCGAGTGTTCAAAAAAGTTGAGAGAAGGTTTTGAACTTGAGGGAGCAGACATGGTTGTAGTGGGTGATTGAGAGGGACCAGAGGTGTGTTAGGGGATTGGATGGATTGAGGAAGGAAAGAAAAGAGAGAGGAAAGAGGGAAAGGGAGCAAGGGGATGGATGCATGACCAATGTCCACCCGTTTCTGTTTGCCTTCGTTTTCAGAGATGGTTGTTGGGTTTTAAACTCGAGAGCACACACAACAACAACATCAACAAGGTGACCAAGGAAGACAATTGTGCACTAATGGCCCTATTGTTTCGATAGTTCAGGAGAGCACGCAGAAAAAATAAACGCAAAGCATAAGCAAACCTTGTCTTGCAACAGACAGACCAAAGACAACAAAGCGGACAATGGACTCAACAACACCCTTGTTAATAGTCAATAACAGAGGCAACATAGAGAGGGTATAAAAAACAGAGAGGCGAAAGCGTTGATGATGATGATGTTCAGGAACGATCGCCCTCAACTATCAGGGCCAATGGCGACTAAATGCAACATTAGAGTTCAATATTATCCACCCATTGTCATTGTTCGCGTCCATCCCATCTCATTCTCCGATCCTCACGGTACCCTACTCTCTCTCCTCCCAGCCGTTTTCCTTCCGCAATGATGCGTGTCTTTTCAAATTCATGTTTGCCTTGACGCCGCAACGTACCTTTGTTTTTTGTTTGAAGGCCGATTTAAAGAAGACAGGATAGGACAGTGGGCGCTCTATCCCATTTGTCTTGTAGGAAGGACAGAAGGGAGGAGGGGAAAAGAGATTGGGAAGACAGAGGGGTCTGTGTGGAGGAGAATTTTGTGCATCAACCGTCAAACAGAATCGATAAGGCGAAGATGGCGTATCTGCCCAAATAAAACAAGTCTTTTTGCCTAAACGCCCTTCTCCTCTCCTGGACTGGCAAGTGAAAAAAAATATGCAAGGCGAGGTGGAAGGAAGGAAGCTAAGTGAAATGGGTGGGTTGGGTCACGAAGGCTCTTGCTTGCTTACTTGGCCTTTCTTACATTACCTGTTTTTCTCTCGTTCCCATTGTGGGAAGGTTGTAGTCTGCCAGCACAGCAGAATTCCAGCGGTCCCAATAAGGATAGCTTTCTTGAGGACTGATATTGAAAGGCGACTTGAAATGTAGAGGCTGCGCCACCCGTTTGCAGATCTTTTTGTTGGTTGCTGATTTCATGAAAAAACGAAGACAGACGAGGGTCTCATCACTGAAACAAACCGCATATGTTTGCTGCTGCGGTCAGGTAAAGAAAACAACTGTGAGAATAGATCGATAAATGAAAACTGTAAAGGAGGACAATGAGGATGGCGAGGATGAGGCGAAAGAGAGAGTGAGAGAGGCAGCTGGCTTTTATTTAAAGGATTGGGATCACGGTCCTTCGGATGGATAATTGAGTTTCCTCTTCTTATTGAACTATGAGAGGTAGGGACCATGCTATTGTCTCCATGGTCGTTTGGTCTCTCTATCTCTGTCCATATCTATCACACAAACCATGTCCATGTCTATGCGTGTTTGTGTATGTGGGTGTGTGTTGTGTACTCGTCGCTATTGTTATGGTTTGTTGTCGTTAGAAAAATGACAACAAAATCTCTTTGTTCGCCCCTTTTGTCCATCCCATCCATTCTCGGATCCGGTCTCGTCGCTTTGTTTGTGTTTAATGTTGTCCACCCTTGCATTGGTCTGTTGTTTGTCTCCCTCTCTTCGTCCTCTGTCCCTCGCATTCGCCTCTCTACCTTTCCGCCTTGTTCATATTAAAATACAGTGCCATACTTTTTTATCTTCTTTTCTTCTCTTTTCTGTTCTTCGTCTCGTCTTTTTTTTTCCATTTCTTTCCTCTACTCATTCTTCCTTGTCCATTAACTCTCCCTCTCATCGCTGCTTCATCACCTCCTTCGCTTTCATTCATCACTCTTCTTCATTTCATTCACACCTACTCCTCATTGTTTTCTCAGACTCTCATTCACTTTGTTCATGACCTCAGATCCCTCTTCCTTCACCTCCTCCCCTTCACGTTAACTCCCCTTTGTTTCTGCCACCCCTCATCGAGATCATCATTCTTCTACTTTCAACTGCTCTCTCCGTCTCTACCCCCACCTCTTTCAATCTACAACAACAACTATTTTCAAGATGCGCGTGGATCAACCGACAGGCAGTTTTTCCCTCTATGCCTCCACGGCACCGCATGTCCTCTGCAGTTCATCATCGTCCATGAACCATGCTTCTCCAACGCTTACTGTCCGAGGTAACGTAATGTGTCCACCTAAACCTTACACATGCACGTATAATTTTCTTCTCCACACAATTCTCTTTCCTTCTCCGCTCACATTCCATTCTCCATTTTGCCCATCCCCCCCGCTGCTACATAGCGTCCTTCGCTAGCCCCTCGCCTTCTCTTTTGTTCGGTAGCTTCGGACAAAAGTCCAAACGCTCGGCATCTGCAATGGAGCTCGACAGGCAATTCAGTCTCATGACCCAACTTCACCCTCACAAACGAACCACCCACCCTCACGTCTCAAACAGCAAACCGCTCTCTCTCCCATCGCCACCCTCTGCCATTGTGCCCATTAATACCGCCATCCCAGACGAACCATCCCTCTTTCTCAGCACATCCTTCGAAGAAGCCGCCAGTAGCCCCAGTACCCCTATCTCTTCGCCCCCTGTTAACATTCCCTCGAAGGCAACACTTTCTACACAATCGACCACTATCATCCCAACAACCTTGATAGAAAAGCGTACATCCAAGTCCAAACCCTCTTCACACCGCCCAACCGATCCCTCAACTCCCTCCTCTCCATCCTCTTCCTCCTCCTCCTCTTCCCCTTCCATATCTCCCTCCCTTTTATCAAAGCGTCTAACTACCCCTGGCTCGTCATCAACTCGCCCACTACAGTTCATCAACAAATCCGGACCACCAGCACCTCGGTCAAAGCCTCAGCAGCCCCCAGGCTTATACATCCAGACTCACTCGGCGATGCAGCAGAGGGCTCGAAAGAAAATACGAGAGGAAGGCAAAGTCAAGCGCACATCAAACTGCTTCATCCTATATCGAACCCACGTCCACCCCTTCATCGTTGCTCGCTATGGTCACCAAAATAACAAGGAGATCTCCAGACTTGCTGGCCGATACTGGAAGAATGCACCCGAGTCGGTCAAGAGCTTCTACCGTCAACAAGCCGCGGAGGAGAAAGTTCGCCACGCAGCCCTGTACCCATCCTACAAGTACACTCCAGCCAAGACGGCGTCCAAAGACGATGCCAACGCCAATTCTGCGAAATCAAAAGCCCAGTGTCCGCGGGACAAGCCAACTCGGCTCTCACACCCTCCGGTCAAGCCCTCCTCCTCCCCATCCGTCCCAAGTACACCCCTGCCATTGCTGTATGAGCCTGAAAGCACCAAGGATGATGCTGAGAAACCTGCGGCGGACGAATCATCCGAGCACCCTTCGCTCCCTCAAGCCGTCGAACGTGACAAGCCAGCAGTCAGCGCTGCACACTCTACCGCTACGAGCAAGCTTCCGAATGAGCGTGGCTTTGTCGTGACAGAGACCCCCTTGTTCGACTTTAGTGGGAACGCCGATCTCAGCGAGAAGAAGCGAAGCTCTAAGAGTCGGACAGGATCTCGACCTAATCGACCTGGCCCACAGTTGCCTGACCTGGAGGACCCACTGTCGTTCGAGATGGCACGTGGATCGAGTGCCACAGGTGCAACTCCAGTAAGCCCTTTCACGTTTGTCCTTCAAGGACCTACAGCGCCCAAAGCCCCACTCCCCGTAGGCCCGAAGGGAGTGTCTGGGCTGACCCAAGCTCTTCCCTATCAACGGTCTGATTCCCAGGCTGCAGCTGCTCCCTCCATACCCGCCTTCCTTCGAACTCCCGTCTCAGAGACCCCTCCTGGCTGGAGTAACATGGTCAGCCATTTCCAAGTGTCTGGAGCTGCACTTGAGCAGCAGTGGCCTGTTTCACAGTCATCGCCATTACTAGACATGACGGAGCCCCTGAATGCTTTGTTTCAGGGTAATATCGGTGTCTCACCTAGTGACACTAGCGCGGCACAGCGTCTTGCAAAAACTCTCGTCCAGTCGCCTCTGCCATCCGTTTCTATCCAGATCCCTGTTCCATCGGCATCTACAGCAAGCCATTTATCTGGGTCCTTTGATTCCCCAATTTATATTCCTGCCGTCCCCGCAGGCACAAGTCTCGGAACAAGTAGCTTCCCTTGGCAGTTGGATGCCAATCTCGACGGCTCGCCAGACTTTCCATTTTTGTACACTTCTGGGTCTCTGTCTACCGCGCCAATGATGCTGTCCTCTGCTCCAGAGCACAGTCATTTTACTCTCGGTCATCTACCCCTGCCTACGGTATCTTCTTTCGTGGATGGTTTCGAGTGTGTTGGCCTCGAGCAAGAGTTGTCAAGCTCCCACGTGTCCGACGATATATATAACGACGCCACATGGAGCCACTCTTTCCGGATGCCGTCTCCAAGTATTTCAGACCTTGATCAGCAGCAGCTGTTGTCCACCTCAAGCAGCAACTCGTCTCTGTCGTCATCCTTAGGATCCATCTACCCTGACATTGCCATCTCAGCCTGGACCACCCTTGCAGAGCCCTGCGGCCCTTCGCCAGTATGTCTTTCCAACGTCAGCAGCCCCAGCTTCAACAACATCAACCTTGCCTACGATAACGACAGCAGCAGCTGCTGCATGAACATTAGCGACATCAACGCAAAGGTTGACGATGGTCATGCTCTCGTGCCCATGTCATTGGGCAGCCAGACACTTCCCTGGGGTGAAGAGGAGCAACTGAAAATGAGCATCTCCTACTTTGAAGACATCGTTCAACAACAAAAGGCGCTTCTCTCTCTCCGACAGCAGTGGCGACAACAGGCGCTGGTCGTACAACCATCAACATCCACCATAGTAGAATGAACCTAAATGAAAATAGATTCTCTCCTGTATATTACACTAATAAAATTGACCATATCTCCCTCCTTTCACGCGTTAGCATTTATTTATTATTTTTTGAATGAAGGGAAAGAGGAGAAAGAGACACGGGTACCTAAAAAATAGGGTGTTGGACTCTTTATTTTTGTAGATCAAGGCAAGACATTGGCAGGGAGGAACATTCGAGGTGCTCTTTTATGCATTGGAGAGCGTGATGTTCGCTTAACCGAAAAGCAGAGAAAGAGAGACTGAGAGGAATGCATAGGAGTAACGGAGGGGAAGGATTCGCTGCTGGTATCTGCGTAGATGTAATGCTTGCGATGCCAAAACCGCGCATGTGGGAGATGAGAAGCAAAGTGAGAAGAGCCACAGGCAAAATGCGGTGATGATGCTAGTATGCATGCGAGACAGAGGACTGAAGCATTTTCGAGAAATGTAGTGAGCAAAAAAATAGTAGGAAGAGTGCGCTATTGATCTTGAGCAACAACGACAACCCCCCTTTAGAAGGTGCTCAAAAGTTGTTCCGTGAGTACACGACGTTAGCCAAGGAGTATCCTTCTGTTCTTTTTTTACCTATCTCAACAAGAGCAGTAAAAAGTCATGGGGCTGAGATCATCGTCCGCAGCTATGATGTCGTTCAATACCCCAGTGCCAGCGGTTAGGAGTGCCGGGAGTCTTAACGAAGTAGCAAGAGGAACAAAGTAGAATACTTGATCCCGTAGTGTGACCGTAAAAGGGAGGAGAGATAAATGGTGCCATGTTTCGAGAGCCGCCTCTCTCATCCCTGATAGCTTGATGACGGGCAGCTTTATTCTGAAAGGTAGTGCAAGCAGGAATCTAACGTCGTCGAGTTTGTTATTCAATGGCCGTGTGCTGGCTCCCTAGTCGACGCCCGTACTTTGAGGATGCAGGAGAGAGGAGGGATGCTGTCTCCCTCCAGTTCTTTACTTTACAATAATGTTGATCCGTCAGTTAGTTGGCAGTAAAAATAAAAAAAGGGAGCGAGGAGGCGCAATTGAGTAAGTATGGGTGTCCTCATGTGAGTGTAATTCCTTTTCCGTTCTTTCTTCCTTTTCATCTTTCTTTCCTCCTTTTCGTCCCTTTGTATCCTTTTTCGTCCTCCGTATCCTTTTTCGTCTCTCTCTCTCACTTCCATACAGCCTTTTGACTTTGTTGTTCCTCCCCTCCTGTGCGCCATTCGTATCTTTTTGCTCATTAGAATTATCGCACCGACCATCAACACGGACACCACACATAACACACGTACACACAACACACAAAATCCTCATAAGACAATCATGTCAGACAGAAAGACTCGGTCCACTTCTACCTCTAATTCTCCTTCCAACACTCGTCCTGCCGTCAACTACTCTCCCGCCACTAGCACTCCTAATAACACAAGCAATAGCACTCGTCTATCCAAAAGCAAAAAGAATAAGAGTTTGTCGCTAATCCCAGCTGCAACCACAGACACGCCATCATCATCATCGCCATCAAGACAACAACAACAATCACAGTCTCAATCACGACGGAAATCGTCTTCGCCCTCTCACACACACAGCAGTCGACGTTACCGACGTCAACTCGCCCACAAACCTAGCCAACAAACCCTCCTCAACGACAACAACGGCTCGACTCACAGCAATGATGATGATACCTATAACACCAGCCCTACCTCACCATACGGAAACATCGACAGCAGGAGGTTCGAATTCGGCGCTTCCACGGTACTGGCGCCACTCACTATACCCCAAGGCGTATACATGTCGGATACTTATACTCAAGAGGGACAGCGGACACTTTCATCGCAATCGACACTGTCTACATCTCCACGATCACCCAGCCACGACAGTCCACGATCACAGTCAAGGACGGGGAGTGTAGCCGAACCAGCGTCATCTTCGACGTCGCACTCGGAGGAGGGAGGATTACCAAAGGTTATTGCCTTGAAACAGACAGAAGTCCGTGCTTGGGTAAGAAGGGGAGAGAGTAGGATGAACGAGATGGATCACACGATCATGGAGGCATGGATGCAAGTTTCATGCGACACGCAATATGCATTTTGAACCCCTTGTAGACTCACCTTCTTATCTCTCTCCCCCTCTTATTCGATCGACGTTTTCTCATGAAAGTATCTTCAAAGCGCAACGTAAGTAACAACACACATGATGTTGGCGTCCGTGATCTCCCACCACGACCTCCCACTCGCGAAATCTCTCCATCGCTCACACGATAACTGTGACACGAGCAATTACCGACACTACACGCACAGGATGAGAAGAATGCAATCACTGCTCAGCGAAACACTCCTGGTTTTCGTTCATTTTACTCACCAACGGTCAAGGACAAAAGGAAGAGCTCTCTTACCTTTGTCTTTACTTTCTCCGTGTCATCATTCCTTTGGTGCTTGTGATAATGCAATGAACCGAAAAACATAATTCTTTTATCCCTTCACTTTCCCCCCCTGTGGTTTGCACCCTCGATTCTCATCTCTCTATTCCTTTTCTTCATCCTTCATTTTCACAGGTACTGCGGGTATGGATGGGTCAGTGCCGTCCTGTTGGTCCCACTGCTGGTTCAGGATCTTGCGGCAATGAACGGAGTCCAGGCAGCCAACTTGACCGAACGCTGCGATACCACAGAGGAGGATTACAAGTGCGTCATGCACATCTTTGGAAATCACTATCTAGATCCTGGAACCATCTCGCTCTATGTTTCCAGTTTCTCGGCCGTCATCTCCTTTGTCGTCTCGCTGTCTGTTGCTGCCATTGCTGACCATGGAGGTGAGTAGTAATCCGAGAAAAGGCGTGCCATTTGATGACGATGGATCATTATAGGTCGAACAGAACAATGCAGGTATTCATAGCACAAAACAAGGAGGTGGACAACAAAGCGGCTTCAGGCAGACACTCGAGTAACCAACACCTCATTTTATGCTTAATTCTTAATGTTCTTACCATTCATCCCCCCCTTGAAAAAAAATCTACTCTCTAGCATACAGGAAGCGACTATTGGCGGCGTTTGCGATTCTGGGATGTATGACCTCGGTCTCATTTTTCATAATCCAGTCCCCTTCACTCTTCTGGATGGCATTGGTCCTATCGCCCCTCGGATGGGCATGTTACAATGCCTCCTCAGTATTCACCAATGCTTTCTTACCCATCTATGTCCGCGTCCACCCAAAGGTTCTGGAGGCCCAAGATCGAGTTGAGGCACACTTGACCCTGCAGGAAATGGATGAAAAGAACAAGGATTCTTTCCACGCCAACCACAGGATGAGTGCTAATTTTTACCCGTGCGGAACCACATTGACCAACCCTACAGGAACCAACTACTCGGTCTTGGTGAAAGAGCAGCGCAAGGTCGAGGAGCAGGTGTCGAATGATCTGTCGGCTTGGTGTGCAGGCGCTGGGATTGTTGGGACTGTGATTGTGCAGGGGTTTTGTATTGGGATTTCGGTGGGGATGAAGGAGTCGTTGTTGAGTCTGCAGATCGCGATTGCGTTTACGGGAGTCTGGTGGTTGGCTTGGACGATGGCTGTCTTGCCCTGGCTCAATGCCAGACCTGGACCGCCCTTGCCTGAGGGTCAAAACTGGATTGCCTATTCCTGGAGCAAAAGTACGTTTTTTTTTTTTTTTTTTTTTTTTTTTTTGGTATTATTGCATTGACGCTTCATTTTGACGCGACACAACGCGTAAACACTGATCATGACACGTGTTCTGAGTGTTTTTGTCATTTTCTTTTGTCAATACATCTTATAGATTTCAAGACGATCAAGGCAATGCGACAGCTCTCTCAGATCACAAAATTCATCCTCGCATGGTTTCTCCTCTCCGACGGGATCAACACAGTAACAGCCCTCCTCTACGTCATCACCTACCAAGAGCTCAAGTTCACACACACAGAGTCCCTCATGATGACCATCGCCCTCTCCTCCGTCAGCTTCTTTGGGACTTATCTCTTCCTGATAATCCGGCGGTTCTGGAAACTATCGACAAAGTTCATGGCCATGTTGACTCTTGGATTGTATACGGCCTTGACGGCTTATTTTATTATCATGCCGTATTTCTCGACGGTTTATGGGTTGCGTCAGGATTGGGAGGTATGGGTGTCAGTTGTCTATTTGGGGTTGATTATTAGTACCTTTTTTGGTGTTGCCAAGGTCATGATGGCGGAGCTGTGTCCGGAGGGCGAGGAGAACGAGTGGTTCAGCCTCTTCCAACTCGCCGACAAGGGATCTTCTTGGTAACGTAAAAAAAAAAAAAAAAAACCATGTCCATCATCTCAAATGGTTTATTTCTGGCGCTGCCGGGTTTCGAGAAAGTTATAGGTCAACGACATTGTCCTGATATTTTTTTTTTTTTTTTTTTTTTTTGCATCACTCACCCAACATAGGATCGGGCCGTTTGCGACGGGTGCTATTCAGGCAGTGACAGGAGAGTTTCGACCAGGGTTCTGGTTTCCATTCGCGTTGTTTGTCGTTGGTGGGGCGATACTCTTCACGGTGGATATGAACAAGGGCAAGGATGAGGCTGTACGATACACAGCAGATCAGGAAGCAAAACGACGGCTTTTGGCGTCCATCCCGCCCATTACTATCACTACTGCTGGAGAGGGCCCCTTCTTGGCCAGGAGTGTCTTTTTGGACTTGTGAATGAGAGAGAGAGAAAAAATAAATTAATGAGATAAACGCGGTAGTGCTATGCTCCTCCTCGTCCTGAAAAAAAAACTCACAAAGACAAGGGAAGTCTCTTGAGATCCATACAGTTTTGCCTGTTTCGAAACAACAAAACCTTGTAGCGTTACGAAAAAGGAGTCTAAAGAGCGCTGATATGGTGCATTCTTCGATGTCCAACTTGCCGCCGTCGCGGGTAAGAAGAACTTCCAGTTTATGGATCAATGTCACAGAACAAAAAAAAAGGAAAAAAAGGAAAAAAAGACGATAAAGTGGCTACTCTAAGTTGGCATGGGCATGTGCCCGTATAGCTATCTAGACAGAGTGCGATCTACCAAGACTTAATAGGCCAAGCCAGAGAGACGGACAGGGCGCTCCGAATGGTAATGAGGCACGGTCGGATCCGCGTTCGAGCGACCCTGTTGAGCCATGACTTGCTTGCTCAGGTCCATAATCTTGTGGGCAAACTTGTTCGCGTTCACCAGGTATGATTCCATTGTTCCCAACGCTAACAGATAAAAAAAAAAGTTCGCACGAGTAGCAAAGGGAGAAAAGGAGAGAGATCATGGTTAGCACATGCCGAAATTGGGGGGGGGAAAGCTAGATGAAAAATCCCTCAAGAGAGTGTGGCGAAAAAGAGAGAGATAAAGGAGAAACGTACAGTGCTGAGGGACAAGTACCACATTCTCGACACCAAGGCGTCGCAGCTGATCACGCCAGACGAGGCGTCGCTTCTGAATGGCGGTCGAAGGACGACCATAGCGACCAGTCTTGAAGCAAGCATAGTCTTCGGTCGAGTAACCCTCATCTCGAATCTCCTCCTCCAAAGTCGTCGCCTGTGTCTGACCATCGACCTCGGCGCACTCGTCGAAATCGCTCGAGGGCACAACAATAGCGACGCCACCCAGTTGAATTGGCTTCTCCGTCTCCGAGGCTGGCGTAACAGCCTTCTCGAGCCAGTTCAAGAACTTTTTAGTCCTCTGACCGTCATCGTCTCCAACGCTGGTATGGATCAAGATCTGTCCCTCAAGAGACTTGCGGACCTGAACCGAGGCAGGGTTGGAGAGGAGGTCCTGGTCGTCGAGGATGACCATAAAGTCAGCTTGCTGGGCGACGGTGGTGAGGTCCTTGACGTTGGTGGTGCGACCGTAAGTCATCATGTGGAGTTGCGGGGTATGGGCGACGACGCGCATGCCGAGAGCCTGGGCGAGGATGCCGGTTTGGTGGCCACAGACCTGGTTGGATTCGACTCCGAGCAGTCCCAGGGTCTTATTGCGGACCTCGTGGCAGTTGGTATGGTCCTTGTTCCAGACACCGTTATGAGCCTGGCGAGAGCGGCTGAGGAGCTGGCGGGAGAGGATAATGGTCAGCGAGAGGCAGAGCTCGCTGACAGCATAAGGCGAAGGAGTCGAGTCCAATGCCAAAATAGGGATCTACAAGTTGAAGGTGCAGCATTGAGAGAAGATAGGGAAAGGGTCCCGAGTATGTTGAGGTTAGTTTCCAATGCGGTTATTTTTTGGAGGTGTCTTGTGTCCGTTAAATATGTATGTTCTAATTGAGATATGTAGATACTTGCATGACTGATAGTGAGGGCCGAGGCAACACCGGCTTCAAAGCACGCAATAGCGTGGAGGCGAGAGGTGGGCCAGTAAGAAAGCAAGTAAGAGATGATCTCTGCGGTCTTGCGGGTGCGGATGGCAATGAGGTTGCAGTAGCTCATGCGGAGCTGGATCTCGGCGTAGGAGGCCTTGTGGGCGTCGAGGAACTCGAGCTGGATTCCGCCCGAGGCAAGGATGTCCTTGCAGGACTGGGGGAGGTCATCGAGGATGAGCATCGTTGGGCGGAGGGTGGTGTCAAAGGTGGAAGGCATTGTTCGTTGAGGGTGGAGGGGTATGTTATGCCGTATGTAGGAGAGTGTGTCTGTGTGTGTATGAAGAGTGAATGCAATGAGGGATGATGATGAAGAGAGTGCAGAAGAAGTGAAGAGGAAGAATGAACCCCATCACTTTTTTTCTTTATTGTTATTTTTTTTCATGCATATTTAGCCCAGTCTCGTGCCTGTCTGTGCCTGGATTGCGCACAGAATAATGAGCTTTTCTCTCGCTGTGAACGTCGTCTGCCAGTGTGTTTGTGTGCAATGTTTGTCTGTCTGCTTGTTGCCACAGGGAGTGGGTTCAATTGCTACAAGAACGAGTCGTCTTTGTGTTCCGTACGGGTATGTCTAACCCATTCATGGTTTATCAATGTATGAGAGCAAGCACGAACAAAAGATGAGAACGAAGAAAAGAAAAAAAAAGGGTAACAGCCTGTTCCTCTTTCTTTTTTTCTCCACAGTCGATGTTCAAGGGAAAATAATAAGCCAGGAGACAGCTTCAGCGAACAGACATGTCATCCTTCCGTGTGAAAATTGACAAAAAGAGAGATGGGCACGGATACACCTTCTCACAGTTCACAGTTAGAAAGATAACCGGGGCACCTCCTGCCCCTGCCCGGCTCTGCCCAATGACCGGAACTGGGATCAGCCAGCGAAACAAGAATAGGGCTCTTCTGAGCAACACAGATTCGTCATTTGGCGGGATTTTCTTGCAATGGCCGGTGAAGAAGGAAGCGAGTCACACTGGTCAACTCTTCCTTCGGTGACACCCTTGCAAGTGATGGATTTGCTCCTCCTCCTTTCTTTCTTATTTCTTCGTTCTTCATTCTTCTTTTTCCTCCTTCTTCTTTCTTCCCTTTGCTCCAATCTTCTTCCTCTTCTCTCTTCTCTCTTCTCTCTTCTCTTCTCTTCTCTTCTCTTCCATCGCTATCCTCGCACCTCTTCTTCTCTGGCCTCACTCACCTACATAACTCTGCACTAACCCTCCTCAAACCCACACACCTTTACCCCTCCCCCCTTCTCTCCACGCTGGACTCCTTCAACACCCGTCGCTTCAACACTCCGCCAATGTGCCGCATGCTACTTTACAAGGGCAACCAGTCCATCCAACTGGCCCATGTACGTCCTCATCCGTACTGGTTCACTTCACGTCTTTTATTTTCACATTCACCCAACTTACTCCTCTTTCTCATTCGCCCCTGCGTCTAATCTAGCTCTTGACAAAGCCCGCACACTCAATCATCAATCAGTCCTTCGACTCGAGGCTGCGACTTGATACACGGAGACCCATCAATGGTATATATCGAAACAAACAACAACGTGGAGTAACAGTTCCATCATCTATGCAGAGTATGGCGTATGCATGGCTCATAAAGAAGAAAAGTACTAATGTATATTTGTGTTTATATTTTCACTGTTGATCTATTGTAGGCGATGGCTTTGGAGTTGGTAAGGATTAAGGATTGATTCTCAGGGCTGACACACAGGCACATTCCTTTCGTCTTTGTGGTGTCCCCTATCTTCCTATTCAATGGATGCGAGAGAGCGGCGAGACTGGAAGAGAAGCGATCATGCCTCCCTATGGACGAGAAAAGAGAGAGAGAGACTGGAAAGGGAGAAGATAATGTCCCCTATGGAAGAGAAAGGGAGGTGTGGTTCAACAGGGTGATATATCTTTCTCCTCATCTGTCACCTTTACCTTCCTCTCTTCTGTTACCCCCGTGGCCACGACAGGGTCTTTTTCTCTCACCCATGGTTTTCGTTTACTCTCCGGGATAGAAAAGAAGCTAATGGGCGAAAACAACCAACCCAGACTGGACCGGGGCGAGATACAAACAACGGACAGCAGGGATTAGCAACGGGATGAATACATACAAACAAAAGGAGGCTCAAGATATCCTCTGCAAAAAAAAACAAAAGACACCATTGGGAGACTGTCACGAACTGGATAAGCGAACTGACTCATTCGTCCATTTGAATTGTACCTTTGACTTGTTTAGGATGGTATGAATCAGAGCCTGACTCGGAACTTGGAGCTGCTCCCTGTATCTTCACCTCGGTGACACCTGCATGGAACAACATGAACCTGATCCGCCTTGCCGACAAGATCAAGAGTCCACTAGTCTTTGCTCACGTCAGGGCATCGACTGCTGGATCCGTCTCAGAGAGCAACTGTATGCAACAACATTTTTTTCCCAACTACAAAGAGTACTTCCAAGAAGCAATCGGATTATGCAATCAAGAAAAAACGACTCACCCTTTCAATACTTCCTGATGCTAATAGGCCATCCATGGCAGTACGGACGACTCATGTTCATGCACAACGGCAACGTGGCAGACTTCCACCTGGTAAGAACAAGAACTTGTATGGCGACTGAATGCACCAATTGGACTTTGGTGCTCCCATAAGAAAAAAGGTTTCTTTCCCCTGTCTAACCATGTGTATGCACAACGTGCCTGCCCTTCGTCGGAACCATAGATCAAACGCAAGGTACAGGAGTCATTGACAGACGAAATCTTTTTGACAGTCAACGGAAACACAGATTCAGAATGGGCCTTTGCCGTCTTTCTCAGCCAACTGAAGACCCCTCGCCAGGCAGAGCCCTTCTGTCACAGTGTCCTCAAGGAGGCCATGCTCAATACCATCGCCAAGTTGAACGCCTGGGGAAAAGAGGCTGGAATCACTGAGGCGTCGATGATGAATTTTGCAGTCACGGATGGTGTCAGTGTCGTCTGCTCACGGTATATCAGCTCAAGGACTCTGGAGGCGGCCAGTCTGTATTTCTCGTCTGGCACAAGGTTTGAGAGTTACAAGCCAGGACACTACAGGATGATCAAGGCTGACAAGCGAGAGGATATTGTCGTCATTGCATCAGAACCCCTGACGTTCGAGAAGGCCGACTGGTTGACGATACCCACCAACACCATCGTTGTTATCACCTCCAAACTCAATGTCCTCATGTACCCAATCGTCGACGAGTATCATAACTCCGCACCCTTGGGTCGTGCGCCGGAGCAGGCTAGTGTTGCCGTTGTCCAAGGTGAGGGCCGTGGTGATGGAGCACGAGATCAGCGTCATCGGGAAGTCGTCTTCGTAGAAGATCATCGAGTCATCCCCTCAGTGCCAGCAGTGGATTCACCTCGACCTGATAAGGAACAGAGCACATTGGGCCATTCTGAGTCTGTGGCGAAGGATGCTCCAGCTAGGGCATTAGCAAGCACAGCGCCCGTCATGGTCGCCTAGGTGGATTTATTTATTTTGATAGAAGAGCTCTTAATACATCCCACTTGTACTTTTACGACCACATTTCTTTGCTCCAGACTGTCTATGAATGGTTCTATTTTATTTCATGATATCTATGCTGAGAGGTGCTCCTTGCGGACATATTCCCGCCAATGGTACAAGAATGTCGTCTCTCCATCTTCACGGCCCCACTCCTTTGCTTGACGACAATCAACCAGCCCCATCTTGTCCATCCAGAAATCGAAATCGGCAATCACATCGGCATGTGTCTTCCTGAGCGGGAACATAATATGGAAGGCGGGCCGGCGTCGTTCAAGAGGGATCTGTGTGTCGTCCGAGATAAGGTCCTTCTTGAGGTACTCGTCCACCACATGGGCGACCAACTCAGCATGCCCGTGGTCGTAGACCACCTCGGCGCCAATGATCAAGTCCACGCGTTCTGATTCTTTCAGTTCTTGACAGTCCGTCTCGTCGTCCCTGGGTTCCGCCGAGATTGAGGATGGTGCGAGGTTATCGTACTCTGTTGACCTGTGAGGAGTCTCCGCCGTGGTTGTATCCTGTTCTTGCTTGTCGCCCTTGTGCTGCCATGCATTCCAACGAAGCTTCCGTTTCCGAAGGATATCACGCCAGTCCAGCAATCGGATATCGCATTTGCTGTTGAGATTGTTGAGTTTGCTGTTGTGGTGGAGGGTCGAGATGACGTTAGGGTGGTAGTCTGAGAGGATGACATTGGGGCCGTTTGGATTTGAGTAGAGTGCTGCTGTAAAGCCGACCAGTCCTGTGCCACTGCCGAGTTCTAGGATCTTTGGGAGTGCTAACTGTGTTGATGCAGGAATGGTCGGTGATTCGCTTGTCCATGGTTCCAGCTGTGGTATATCTCCTTGTGCAATATGTCTAGTTGTAGCGAGAGTGAGAATCGTTAGGATCTGTTTTCAATTTTGACCCGCCTTGCGGCGACTAAGAGGCTACGCTGAAAACCGAGCAACATACTTGGACAGTAGGTAGGCAGATCCAAAGGTCTTGAACCCGACATCACCACCCGTAAAACTCGGATCATGGATCTTCAACGATTGAGGCGGATTTGATCGAAAAGTCCAGGTCCTAGTCATGGCCCCCGACGCAGCCCGTCCGCAGAAATGAGCCACACATGCCGAGACTCGTTCCGTCAGCTTCTCGTGCTCCTGTCGATACTCCATCTCCCCCTCTGTCTCTTCCAGTTCTACAAGATTTCCCGATTCGTCTTCTTCTTCCTCTGGAGGTGCGGTTTCTTCAAGTCTGACGAGAGTTTTGAAGAGCCAGTTCATGAGTGCTTGGTCTTCATCATCGTCACCCTTTTGTTGAGAGTGGTAGGAGTCGATATCGTTTCCGTCCTGATCAAGACCTTGGTCGATCCTATCCTGGGAGTACTTGTATTCGATCCTGTCCTCGATGGTCTTGAGTTTTGCCAGCGATGCCGGTGGGAGGAGTGACGACGTCGCAGTCATGTTTCCTGGTATGGTGAAGGGGTTGTTGAAGAAGGAAGAAAGAATTGGATAGGAAGTGGAGCAAGTTTTTTTTATTTTTAGTGGCTTTTGAACCCCTCCTTCCAGGGGTCCCCAGCCCAATTGTGACTGTCCCCTGGGGTTGAATTGTAACTTTGATGCTGAGCGCAGAGCTCAGACCAACGACTCTCCAAGGTATTTTCACACGGCTTGTCTCTCTTCTTTGTTCTTCGTCACTCACTCCCTTCCTCCCTTCCTGACTATCTTCCTCAATTCACCCGTCTTCATAGGAAGGAAAGAACACTATAAAGCTCTCTCGTTCCCGTGCACAGTACCTCCTTCGGGCACTCCCAGGCGCCTAATATATACACTCACGACAGCCCACCTTGTCCCCCTTACCCTTCTCTCCTTCTCCTCTCTCTTCTCCTTGTCTCCAGCAGGAACATCCTTTCGCCACCTCTCCTTCTCCCTCACCCTCTCTCTTTCATACACTCTTGCATCTCCTTCTTAGGAGAAATAAGGAAAAACACAAGTTTACAAACCAAACCTTCCGACCAACCACCCACCACCACCGCCTCCTGAACTCGAACCATTGACGTCCTAATCGGATTCAGGAATCAACCCACGCAATGTCGAAAAAGAATGACGCCCGCTCTCCTGCAAAAGGTTCTTACTCGCCCCTGAGTCTACACGACCCCGATACCATCCTGGGCGATCCTCCTGCAAGACAACAGGTAATAAAAGAAGAAAGTAGGCCACGAAAACGACCATTCTTTTCTTTCACCTCTTTTTTTTTTTTTATCGTCATTGCCCCGAGCTGTCTGCATAGAACGCGAAATTGTACACCCGCTGACTGACTGTCCTGTTGGAATCTCTCAATTGCCCTTTGTTCTTCCCTATCATCCCTGCTACCGCTCGCCTTTCATTGCGTCATTCATCGGATATTACACTAAAATAGCACAATACAGCGCACGCCAACGACAGCAGTAGCGACGACGACGACGACGATATGGATTACCACGGACAGAGACGCACAAGCATCGAAATCGAGCCCACACCCATCACTGCCGGGGGCTTGTCGTCCTCCTCCGCCATCTACGGAACATCAACCCGTCGACCCACTTCTTCTCAGCAACGGCTCCAATCGTCGGACGGGGATATTCATAGCTCCGATGATGATGGTCATGTAGGAAGTGGTGGTGGTGGCCAAAAGAGCACACATTGGGGTCGCAATTGGATCCGATATGTTGCTTTTGCGTGTATTACAGCAGCCTTGGTGCTCTTGGTCGCTTTGCTTGTCTTGAAACCGTGGCAGCAAAAGCAGAGTAGGTTGATTGGAGGAAGACGATGTTACACACAAATTGGGGACTTGAGAGCTTTGCGATCATTATATTAACCACCTATACATTTCTTTCCGTTACATGTTATAGTACTGCTGCCGATCACGAACGATGCGGTCAAGGTCCTGCCAGAGAACCAAGCCATCTGGCCAGTCCCAAAGTCATTCTCTCACGGCGAAGGCATAGAAAAGGTCGTCCTGACACCTAATTTCCAAATCAAGGTCCAGACCTCCGCCAACAGTCCGCCTGTCGCGTTAGCACCAGATTCCATTCTGGCAAAAGCTATCGCCCGCTGCATGGACCGACTTCAGGTCAAACGCAACACCACCATCTGGACAACCGACGCGGCCGTTGCTGACATTGCTGGCACTGCAGCTGCAGCTGCACCGCTATCAGAACTCACGCTTGTGGTTGACAACACACAAGCCAAGCTGGAATACGGGATGGTTGAATCGTATGCTATCAACATTGTGAGCAACCATACTGGAAACACAGATGGGACTCCACAGTCGCTTGTAGACTTGGAGAAGCGAGCGCATCATCACGTCGCTTCTCTTAGAGCAAGGGCGGAACCAGACTCTCCACCTGCCACTACGGCAGTCATCACCGCGAGCACTCAATGGGGCGCCATTTATGCACTGGATACCTTCACCCAGATCGTTGTCGCAACCAAAGCGGCTGCAGCCAATGTAGCGCAAGCCTCGCTTCCAATGGCAACCAACAACCAATTGGAGATCCCAAACACCCCTTGGTTGATTCTTGACGAGCCTCGCTTCTCGCACCGTGGGATCTTGTTGGATACTTCGCGCAACTATGTCGGCGTGCCCGAAATCATCCGGACCCTAGATGCCATGGCGGTAGTAAAACTCAATGTCTTTCATTGGCATGTCTTGGACCAGCAAACATACCCTCTTGTCTCCAAGGCCTTCCCAGACCTCACCGCCAAGGGCGCCCAGGACCCCGAAAAGATCTACACTCCTCAGGATGTTGCAGCGATCATCCAGCATGGATTAGAGCGCGGTATCCGTGTCCTCCCAGAGTTTGATTCTCCGGGCCATGCGGCAAGTTGGGGTCGCGCTTACCCGAACATTACAGTCTGTCTGGATGCCCAACCTCATGGAACATATGCCGCCGAGCCGCCTGCTGGACAGTTGGACCCTTTGGAGCCGTTTACTTACACTGTCCTGGACACGCTCGTCAAGGAATGGTCAGCGCTCTTCCCAGATTCTCAGGCGCACATTGGTGGAGATGAGGTTAACATGAACTGCTGGAAGTCCTCCAAGCGACTCTCAGATTATATCACTAACGAGAACCACCGGGCTGAGTATGAGAAGTCCATCATGCCCGTTGTGGATACCCCCAACCCGACGACGAGGACTGGTACCGGACGCCAGAGTGGAGAGGATAGGTTGTTGGAGTTGTATCTGGACCGGATCTTTGCCATGTTTATCGCTCAGGGCAAGAGACCGATTGTCTGGGAGGAGATGGCGCTTGAACATAATGTCCGGTTGCCTAATTCGGCTATTATCCAGGTCTGGAAGGACGCCACCAATGCCAAGAAAGGTACCTCGCTCGATACATATGTTGGTCTGTGGCCCCAAGTCTTTTTTCACATATATTCACTTTTGCTAATCGCCTTATCTTTGTTTGCCTTGGAACTTTGATACGATGGATACATAGTTATTGCGCAAGGACGGCCGGTCATCTTGTCGAGCTCCGAGTTCTGGTACCTGGATTGTGGAGCAGGTTCATGGCTCATCGGGTCCCAGGGTCAAAGCTGGTGCAAGTTTGCCAGCTGGCAACGAAGTACGTCCACCCCTTTTTTCCCCCTCCATTTAAAGACGTTTCTTCAGCAGCCCAGGGCACAACATTTACTCACAAACCACACAACTTATTTTTTCTTACTAGTTTACTCGTACGCCCTCACGGACGGAATGAGCGAGGAAGAACAAAAGATGGTCTACGGAGGCGAAATCTGCATGTGGGGGGAGCAGACGGATTCTTCAAACTTGGACTCGAGTGTCTGGCCCCGCTCTGCTGCCGCTGCCGAGGTAAAAAAAAATGCCCTTCTCTTCTATGTCTCTTTACGAGATAACGATGGATGTGCATTATGTGCTCACCAAACATGCAACGCTTCCGTGTTTTTCTTATCTAGGTCCTATGGAGTGGCACAAAAGACACAAAGGGACACGCAAGGCCGCTACTCGACGCTTCCAGGCGCCTGAGCGTCGTCCGCGAAAGGTTGGTCAAGATGGGCATCAGGGCCGCGCCCATGTTCCCATCCTGGTGCGCCAAACATCCCGAAGCCTGTCTCGTAGAATAAACTCCATGGCTCCCTTTTTTCCCACAACACACCCTCAAACAAAAAAAAAATGCAAAGTTTGTCTATTTATTATCACATCAAAAATTTATCGGCGTCGTTGCCGAACAATACTCTGAATGTCCCTCAAGAACTGCTTTTCAGTGACAAAAATCACGCCCATAACGACCAAAAACGCCGCAACGCCAATCCCCAAATGAACAGCCTTGTTGTACAACCCCTCCCATCCGATCCACTGCTCCGTCGTCGCGGTCAAGACAAATGCCGCACCAAAGGCCACCAGGACCGTGGGTCGGGGGACAATGTTCTGCCATGGCACATATGCGAACCTGGCAAGGACACCCTCCTTGACTGCGGCTGACGATCTCCCTGCAATAGGAATATACCGTCCATAGTACCCAGACAGGAACCACATACTCCAAATGATCCGCATGATCAAGTTCACACAATTGGCTAAAACAATACCCTCAGCCTTGAGATTCAGCGCACCCATCAAAAAAGCGCCCGTACTACAAAACACGGCCGAGAACCCAATCATCCAATAAGAAAGAACTCCCAACTCCTTCTCTGACGCGACAGCCTGGACTACAGCCTCCGTAATACCATTCAGCCCCATAATAGGGACATAGTAACAGTACAGACTCAATACCTGGGGGGCATTGGTCAGGGTGGACCAGTACCGTCCGACGACCAGATCGATCAGGGTTGCAGTGTAATGGGTTCCAAAGGCGATGAAGACGAGGCCGAGGAGAACATGGAACTTCATGATGGTCAACAGCAGGTTGCGAGAGAGGACCAAGTTGTCCAGCTGCGTTTCCGTCAGCGTCCTGGAGGTTGAAGTAGTACCGTTGCTGTTGTTTCCTGAGGTGGTATCCTTGTTGCCTGAAGGAGTCGACCCGGGCGAAATGTCGCTCAAAAGTCGGCTGAACAACGTCCTGCTGATCTCTTCCATCGGTTGAAACAAAATCCTAGCAATCAGTGATCCTGTTTTCATATACAGAAAAGAATCGGGAAGAGTATTAGAGAAAGGAGGGCACATAGCATGCTAATATGGAAGAATGCAATTTTCGCGTGTCAAACTCACCATAGTTGACCACAAAGGCATATTCACCCTGGGCTTTTTCATCGGCGAACTTGGCCATCATCATTTTGTCTCCTTCCGTAAGAATATGCTTGAGCAATGACTGGGAGGTCAGAATCTTGGACAGCTTGAGCAGCTCTTTGTCAAAGTAAAACGACTCGCTCCTATTGCGGATCAAATTAAATATATAGGGCATTCAATTAACTTCTCAATCTTCTTCAAACCCAAAACAACATGATACGACACGATATCGAAACAGATCATGCTACGATCGACTTACTGTCCATCCTTGCCTACTTTAGTGAGTCTGCGAGGAAGAAGCGCGCTCATGGAAACAGTGTCATAGTCCGAGCTTGGTTGATCCTCGACCGCAATACCATCGCGCTTTTTGATCGCAGCAGCCATCCTCTTTCTGTCCAGATCCCGTCTCTCTGTGCTCTTACTCCAGAACGCCAACAAGAATCCTCCTAGTATCAACAGTCCATACACAAACTGAGCAATCGCAAAGGCAAGGACACCCATTGTGTTCTTGTTCGATCCCTCTGACGATGATCCTGTCACAACTGCACGGGAGCCATAGATGGTCAGGGCACAGGTCAAGACACATCTCACAATGACGGCGGCTCCCTCGACAGAGACGCGAGTCTTGAACCACAGCTTGTACTGCGCGACCATGAACATGGGCTCGGCCAACAACTCGACCAGTGCAGAGATACCGTACAAGTAGATCGACAGCTTGTATCCTGGGATGCGATCCTCGCTCTCGTCGGTCACCTGCAAGAGATAGTATCCGACCGCGAGACAGGTCATCAGAGCGCCGACAGGAATGGGCGCGTAGACCATGTTAACCAACTTTTGAAGGCGGTAAGCCTCTGAATCGAGAGCGATCCGCATCTTCCCATTCTCCTTGCTATCCGATGACGTTGATTCCTCCTCCTCCTCCTCTGCGGAATCGTCGCTGACACGGATGGCTGCACAGCGGACACCCTCCCTGGAAAGGAAGAGAATCGTGTTGAGAAGCAGTTCAAGCTGCACAGAAGCAATCCCCAAAGTCTCGGCAGAGGTGAAGCGGAGCAAGACTTGGTTGAGGGTGAAGGTCAGCATACGAGAGACAAACTGAAGGAGGACCAGGTAAGAGGCGCCCTGAACGGACGAGGAGAGGATGGATGAGGCCTGGTCGGTGGACTCGATGTCGACATTGCTGGCTGGGTCGTTGGTGGAGGAAGTGGATGACGTTGGAGGGTGGTCGGAAGTAGGGACAGATGACCGCTGCCGGAGCGTGGGTCCTGATGTGTCCATGGTCGAGTTTTGTAAGAGGTGATGAAGAGGAGTTGTGAGCGTGGATGTGAGCATGCAACGTTGAAGGCGAATAAAGACTACAGCCAAAGTGCCTTGTCTGTGACTGCATCATGAAATTACAGACGCGTTTCGATTCATCGCGTTTTGTTGATGGCTGATATCTTACCCTGAAGATGCGCGCCCGGACCCACCTAGTGACCAACCAAACAAACCAACTGACCAACTGTCTGTATGTTTCCTACTCTGGCAGTGAAAGAAGACGAGTAGCTGGAGCAACAATACGTAGATAGGATCATTTAAAGGGAAGGGGATAGAACTGTTCAACTCATGATCCAAGCGTTACACGATTGCAATCAATAGAAACTAACTACAAAGACGTGACAAGATGAAAATACCAACAGACAACCTGAACTAAATAATATCCCTTCCTCCACCCCTTTGCCGAACTCCCACATGCATCTTGCGACAAAATAAAAGGAACAAAAAATAACTCAGGGAACAGGTTTTTGCGAAGACAACAACGCATCATATAAAAGTATCCGGGAGATGCTTTTCTCCGGCATGCCATACTACTCTTTTTTGTTCTTTGTTGTTGATATCACCAGTTTTTCTAACTATTTTCCATCTTATCCTTTGTACTTTTGATTTTATTTTTCCATCCTCAATCTTCCTAACCATTATCAATCTGACCTCCTTCCCCCTATCCTACTCATTTTTTGCATACCTCACCTTAGCTGGTCTATACTCGATTCGCAATCCATATCAAATATCTACAACTCTCCATCTCACTCTCACTTTTACTCTCACGCATTTCCTTTTCTTTAACTCTCCAGTATTCCTTCTTTTACAAAACACAATTCATACAAGTGGAAGTGTGATTAATGAACTACAAAACAAAAGTCGTGCCAAACAACTTTTCGGTATCAGCGATGGAGCTCGCACAGCTGGAGGAGAAGCAGCAGTTCCAGAAAGTCCAACCTCTTAAGAAATCGGAGCTTTGGGCTTGGGTAAGGTTGTTGTTGAAGTTTTGATTTCTGTGTTTGATTTGCTGGGCTGAGTCGCAGCGAAGAACGATCGCTGACATCCGTTTATTTTTCACAACTTTGCTCTCGGACCTCGCCCCTGCAGTACATTCAATCCGCAACGTAAGTACCCACATTTGCCCTATCCCTCATGTTTGTATCATCACTCCTATAGCCTACTCATTATCTGACCATTCCTCTCTTCGTTCATAATCTCGCTCGAAAACGACAACAAAAAAAAACACAGATATGTAGCATACGGGTGGGTAGGGGCATGGCTGCTGGTCCCGCTGCTGATCCAGGATATGGCCTCCAAGTACGGAGTCGAGGCTTCGAATCATGCGATTCCATGCAACACGACCGCCCCTGTAATTCGCTGCGTTACTCCCTTTCTCGGAACCTACGTTGATCCAGGAGCCATCTCCCTCTATGTCTCCTCACTCTCCTCCATCCTCTCCTTCTTCACGTCCCTCTCCATCTCTGCCGTCGCCGACCATGGATGTAAGGTTCTTTTTATAGAGATGGAAATGCATTGTGCTGCAGGTGTAGCATTTTTCAATCTTCCGTATCAAGGAGGTGACATAAAGGCCGAACCACATTGCGTGATGCCCTTGCCCCTCGCTAACACTTTTTCACTTTTGTGCTGACTTTCGTTCTATCAGCGTATAAGAAGAGTCTGTTGATCGTGTTCTCGGTTCTTGGGTGCCTCTTCTCCATGGGGTTCTTCATCATTCAGGAACCCAGACTGTTCTGGGTTGGCGCGATACTCTCCCCACTCGCCTGGACCTGCTACAACGTCTGTGGTGTCTTCTCGCACTCGTTCCTACCCATCTACGGTCACGCCCATCCGGATGTCCTCGCCGCACAGGCCAGGGGAGAGTCACTGAGCGTGGTCCGCAAAATTGAGGAACAGATCGTCAATGATCTGTCAGCGTACTCGGGTGCCATTGCCAACATTGGCTCGATCATCGTTCACGGTGTCTGCATAGGGGTGTCGCTGGGGATGCATGAGACCTCGCTCAGTCTCCAGATCGCGATTGCTTACACAGGTGTCTGGTGGCTGATGTGGATTCTGATTGTTGCGCCATGGTTGGATGCCAGACCAGGACCCCCTATGCCCAAGGGCCAGAACTGGGTCGCGTACAGTTGGATGAAGAGTAAGTAGCCCAATTTTTGATATCTACAGTATTCGAACGTCGGGATGGACGAGATTTAGGAGGCTACTTTACTTACTTGACACCACTTTCCAACTTTTATTCAGCCTATAGAACTCTCGTGTCGTTCAAGCAGCTGCCCGAGATCTTCAAGTTCATGGTAGCATGGTTTATCCTCTCGGACGGGATCAACACAATGCCCGCAATCATGTTCATCATCCTCTATCGCGAACTCTCCTTCACCCACGTCGAATCCTTGATCATGTCGGTCCTCCTCTCCGTGATGGCATGTCTGGGTGCATACGGGTTCATGTATCTCCGCAAGGTCTGGTCCCTGACAACTAAGTTTATGATTATTTTGTGTCTGAGTCTCTATGGAATCCAGATGGCTTATTTGGTTGTTGTACCGTACATCACGGACAAGGCTGGTTTGAGGACTAGCCATGAGGGGTGGTTCCATGTGTTGTACTATGGAATCATTGTCAGCACGTTTTATGGATCCTGTCGAGTTATGCTTTCAGAGTTGTGTCCGGCTGGAGATGAAAATGAGTGGTTCTCACTCTACCTGCTCGCCGACAAAGGATCATCATGGTATGCTCGCGTCCCTCTTGACAATACATCCAATCGTTATCTGTTGCTGTTCTGTCAAGGTTTTTGTTTGGTTGCTTATGGACAGCTATTCCTTTTTGAAATCCTGTAGGGTGGGTCCTTTCATTACAGCAGCCATCTTTTCATTGACAGGGGACTACCGCAGAGCTTTCTGGTTCCCCCTAGTACTAATCCTCGTTGGCGTGCTGATGCTCTCCCGGGTGGACGTGGACAAAGGCAAGGATCAGGCTTGCAACTTTGCCCAAGCAAAAGAACGCGAACGCCATTTGGCAGCCACGACACACTCTTTGCACTAGATACCTTAGAACCTTAATATACACAATCATCCGTTGCATTGGAAGAGCAGTAATCAAAGTCATTTTTCCCCAGCAGAATGGAAATGTAGCATTCGCTCGCTCACTACTTGTTTATGATTGAGATCGCTATCGTCTTTCGAGCTCACGGTTGTATTTTTTGTAGAGTGGTCCATGTCCCTCCGTTTCACAACGTACCTCAGCCGTTACCATTCCAGAGAAAGAACAAAAGAATGATGGGGGAGTAGACTTGTCAGTCGTCCATCTTCATGCCTCGCCTGTCATCTTTGTACGACTGATCACCAGTGCAGCATTCAATTCGCATGATCTCACCTTTTTCTTTTGTGTTCGTAATGCAGATCAAAAACGGTGCTTTACTGTCTTTTTTTTACTTTCGCCATTCTCGAATGGTCCACAAGCCAAAAACATCTTGATCTTGCTGCAAATTTGCATCCTACAACTATAGCGGTTAAAGGACGAGGAAGAAAAACATCCCATTGACAAGATGAATGATAAAAAAGGGCTGTTTACAGCCAGTCTTTAAATAAGACATGCATGCCTTGTATGCCAACCAACCCGACTCCTTTTTCTTGCTTTATTTTGGTTTTGTTGGCAACCGCCACCGCGTCTCCCTCCATCCTCTCCCCTTCCTTTATCATACACCCTCGACCTAGCCGTCTCCTGTCGATTGCTTTTTTTTTCAATCATCCTTGTCGTTCTCTTTTTACTTTTTGGCATTCCAACCTCTTTCTCTCTCTCTCCATCTACTTCGTTCTTTTTTTCCTTTCCTTCTCACAGACTGGATTTCGCCCATCTTTTTCTTCTACAAGCAAACAAACATTTTCAGGGACAAAGCGCCAAAAAAAAATGGCGACTGGCAAGTTCAACCTCGCGAACATCTCCGACACAGACGTCGTCAGTCTTGAAGAAAAGCAGACCCCTCAACAGACCGTGCGACCTCTTAAAAGGACAGAAGTTTGGGCATGGGTAAGAGGTAGTATCTCGCAGTAGGCATGCGTTTTTTAACAATGTCGCCATCCACTCTAACTAACGTCCTTCTTCTCATCTATTCTATCGATAGTACATCCAAAGTTCAACGTAGGTTTTGAATGTCAAAAAAAAAAGTGACATGCCAACAGCAAGCAAACAAATAAGCAAAGCGCACGGACACTAAGCCTAATACTTCTTCCCATCACATTCATTGAACAACAGCTTCTGTGGGTACGGATGGATTTCAGCATTCATGTTGGTCCCAGTACTAATCCAGGACATGGCCTCAAAGTACGGCGTTGAAGTCTCTGACCACTCGATCCCATGCGACACCACGGTCGCGGCCTTCAAGTGTGTGACCAATGTCTTTGGATACTATGTCGACCCGGGTGCCTTCTCCCTCTACATCTCTTCCCTGGGCTCTATTCTGTCCTTCTTTGTCTCTCTCTCCATCTCTGCAGTGGCAGATCATGGCTGTAAGTTTGAAATCCAAAAAGTAAATGCTCTGTCATGCAAGATTTTTATTCCTTGGACCATTCCGTTCCCTTTCACCCCTTCCCCCTTCTCTCCTTTTACATCCTACTCCTGCCTTCTTTCTTCACCAGTCCCTCTCTGTCCCTCTTTCTCCCTGTGATATACGTCCATAACAACGAACTCAAAAAGAAAAGAAGTAGAGATGGACCTATGCATATTTTCCCTTGCGTCACGTTATGCATCATCACATGTGTGCATGCATCGACACTAACACACATTCTCCTACCATCTTTCTCTCTCTCTCTCTCTCTCTCTCTCTCTCTCTCTCTCTCTCTCTTTTCTTTACACGAAATAGCATACAGAAAGTCACTACTAATTACCTTCTCAGCCATCGGATGTCTCGCCTGCCTCCTCTTCTTCACCGTCCAATCCCCAAAACACTACTGGATCGCGGCAGTACTATCACCCATCGGCTGGATCTGCTACAACATCTGTAGTGTCTTTGCACACTCCTTCTTACCCGTCTATGGACGAGTTCACCCAGACGTCCTTGAAGCAGTCGCTCGTGGGGAGAGCAAGAGCGTTATCAGGAAACTGGAAGAACAGGTCATCAATGATATCTCGGCGTTTGGATTCACCTTTGCCAATCTCGGGACGATCTTGATCTATGGAGTCTGTATTGGATTGTCGATTCTTCTGCATGGGAGTTATATGAGTCTGGAGATTGCGATTGCGTTTACAGGAGTATGGTGGTTGATGTGGATAGTGATCGCTGCGCCTTGGTTGGATGCTCGGCCGGGCCCTCCTATGCCCAAGGGACAGAACTGGGTTGTCTACAGCTGGAAAAAGAGTACGTTCAATTATCTATCGTCCTACTTCATGGGAGAACACTCAATGAAGCAGAGCGTCTCGTTAACCTCTAGTTCGTGTGTCATTTTTTTATACCCTACTAATAGCTTTCAAGACGGTAGCAGCTGTCCGTAAACTACCTGAGATCTTCAAGTTCATCGTCGCCTGGTTCATCCTCTCCGACGGGATTAACACCATCACCGCGATCCTCTTCGTCATCCTCTACCGAGACCTCGCCTTCTCCCATTTATCATCCCTCTACGTCTCCGCCCTCCTTGCCCTTACCGCCTGCACAGGCTCTTATGTATTCATGCTGATCCGCAGGATGTGGAAACTGAGTACCATGACCATGAACATGATCTGTCTTGCACTTTATATCGTTGAGCTGGTCTACTTGGTGGGCGCGCCTTATTTCACGACGAGCTTTGGGTTGAGGAATGTCTGGGAGGGGTGGTTCTTTATGGGGTACAATGGGTTTATTATTAGTACCTTTTTCGGATCTTCAAGAGTGATGCTTTCGGAGTTGTGTCCTCCTGGCGATGAGAGTGAGTGGTTCTCCCTCTACCTCTTGGCTGACAAAGGGTCATCCTGGTAAGTTCTATCGTGTCATCTTGCCGCGAGTTGGAAAAAAGGGTTGTCTTGTCGTTAAATACCTTGCCTTTCCCGCATCAAATGCTAACCTTTTTTTTGGTCCATATTCCACCAATTACAACCAGGGTGGGTCCATTTATCTCAGGAGCGATCTTCACGGTGACGGGCGATTATCGGAGAGCATTCTGGTTCCCCTTGGCATTGACGGTAGCAGGAACAGGGCTTCTGGGGATGATCAACATGGACCGTGGGAAGGACCAGGCAGAACAGTTTGCACTCGAAAGGGATGCTGCCTCTCCACAAGAACATTAGTCATTGTATACCCCTACTTCCCTTTTTCTTTGCCGTTATCTCACATATAATAATAGAAAACAAATAACTTTCCAAGAAACTGTCGTTCGTTTTTTATTGATCGTGTTTTTTTTTGTCGCGAAATGAATGAGCTCAACGCGACAGCGACTACTACATTGTAGGCAATGTGCACGTGATCTTCGAAGACTGCTTTTTCCGCAAGCCCTGTCAGTAAACATAAAAAAAGCGAAGCATCAAGCTTTACATTACTTTTTTTTCTTTCATTTCATTGTTCATCCATCAGCCCTTTCCTCGCCACTCTTCATACTTCATACATCATGTCCAGCAAAGACAACGTTCTCTTCTCCGATATCTTTGACATCAAGGACGTCGATGGCGCAGGAAAGAAGTTCGACAAGGGTAATGGCCAAGCTATACTAGAGAGGACAGACGACTAAAAAAACTTCTACGCAAAAACTAAGAAGGGACAAAGGACAACCCACAAGGGAGGACGACGAGGAGGAGGAGGAAAATCGCTCAACTCCATAAAGGCGCACTTTTTTTTTAATCTTTGTCAATTGAGGAGGAGGAAGAGAAGTGAACTCTCCCTGGACTACAACACACTCGACAGGGAACAAACAATATTATTAATTACAACAAATCAATCAACAGATCGAAGTAGACTTCGCCCCTTCCTTCAACAACCGACACACACAACCCCCACCCCCCGCAACTGCAGACACTAACGAGTCTCTCCCTTTTACCACAACACTTTTTACTTCCAACCCATAGTCTCGCGTATCAACGCCCGCAGCGAGAACTACGAGATGGAACTGACCTTGGATATCAACAACGAGCTCTACCCCCTCGAGATCGGCGAGAAGTTCTCCCTCGTCCTCGCCACCTCGCTCTCCCTCACCACCGCCGTCGGAAACGATACCTCGGGAACTCAGGAGTCCTGGCGCGAGAAGGTTGGAGGCGAGCGTACCCTTGCTGATGACTATGAGTATGTCATGTACGGCAAGGTTTATAAGTACGATGAGGGCCAGGGCAGCAAGGTGTAAGTTTACTCTTGTTTTTTTTTTGTGTGTTTTCCCTGTTGTTATGTTGTGTTCTGAGAATGAAATGGAGCGACAATTACCGTTACTACAGGCATGGATAGTCAGAGAACAAGGAAAAAAAGTGAAAATAAGTACAGAGGAGTACGATGACAAAGTCAATAGGGAACTTCAGGAAAAGAAAAAAAAACAACAACAACGGTGCATCAGACTCCAAATACATCCTGGAGCTCGCTCGCCAAACTCACACATCACTGGAGGGTTCAAGAAAAAAAAAACGAGCTGTTCAGGACTTACTCCTCTCATGCACAAGAAAACACGTCTCCAGATCACCGAATCTCACACATTTTTTTTTTTTGGCCCTTCTTTTACGACCAATAGCTCGGTCTACATTTCATACGGAGGACTCTTGATGTGCTTGGAGGGAGACTTTAGACATTTGCAGAGCATTAGCTTGGGCGAGAACTTGTACCTGTTGATGCGCAAGTAAAATGTACAGGACGTCATGGAAACCCCGTTTCAGGGATAATAAACGCCAAAAACAACAAAGGAGAAGCATAGTCCAGCAGGATGAGCAGCTGTGTGCCAAGATCACAAGTGCGAGGATGTATTACGCTAGGGAAAAGAGTGAAAGAGTGGGGGTGGGGGGTATATGGAGATAGTGCGTCGAAGATGGGCACCATGAAGGACCGAAAAAATGAAAAAAAAAAAAAAAGATGGACAGAAGTGACTCTAAAAGTTCATGAATGTGCTCTTGCGCCAGAAAGGATACCACACCAACGCGGAGCAAAACACGCCCAACTATGAGATTGAGAAAGAAAAACAGGAGATCAATATCAGGCTGGCATTCAAGAACATTGCGTGTCACAGAGCAAAGGGATTTGAGAATATACAGCAGAGGGACGTACTGTGATGGAGACGGCAATGTTGACCATGCTGAGCGCGAACTGGAACCCTTGGCTGGGGTCACCCTGAGTGGGATCAGTTCCAATGAAAGCCAAGACACCTCTGACACCAACACTCCCAGGAACCAGCAAAAGAACACCACTCAAGAGAGGCACATAGCTTAGGTTGCCTGTGATGCGTCCATAAGCCTGGCCAGCGATACCGACAGCAAACGCCGCGATCGCTGGTGAGACTTGAGGGCCGGCGGTCAAAAAATACGAGACAGTATATCCGACAGCGGTGACAAGAGTCATGCCCAGCCATTGGCAGGGGTGGGCATTGAAGACAATGTTGATAGATGTTGATACGGCGGGGAAGATGAGGAAGAACCACCAGTGGTCGACGCCATGTTTGCAGACGTCTTCTGAAGGCTGTGAATGATCTCTCGACACCTATTGAAGGAACAATAGCGCCGCAAGTTGTAAACGTATGAATATGTGTCAGTACTCAGGCACACGCGAAATCACTTTACCAAAAAAAAAAAAAAAAAAAAAAAGGACTTACGAATATCCAAAGTTCGGCACCGAGGGAGAGTCCGTATCCGAGGAAGAAGGCATACATGAGTGCATAGAACATCCTGACAGATCCCGAGACAATATTCCTCGACGCCAGTTCCATGATCGACTGAGTCAGCAACAATCCCGGCAAGAGGATAACTACACCCGCAAGCGCAACCGCCGCGAAGCAAACACGGTCACCAAAGGACCGGGCAATAAAGCCGACAAGGATACTGGATGTGACCTCAAAGACGTTTCCGTAGACTGGGAATTTGGCAGCAACAACACCTAACAGACCGACGATGAGACCACAGAGACCAGCCAGAGCAGTGTCCAACCAACTACCGTTGAACGCCAGGGGTGCCACAAACGCGGCCGTGGTCATCCATGACATCACGGTCACCCAGACAGGGTAATATCCCGGCTCGATGGTGACACGCTCCAGTGCCCTGTTGGCTTCCTCGACTCCCTTGCCGTGCAAGACACCCCAGGCGATCTTGTAGACCTTGGACAGCTTGTACATGTCCATTCCTTGTGTGCATCGCAAGTGGCGAGTATCACTGGTGTGGGTCTCGGGATCGCTGAAGGAGATGGTCATCAGACCGGGCAAAAGTGCAAACGAGGCGTCGACCTCCATCTTTCTAGCCAACAGCGCACAGGTCTCCTCGATCCTGTGCGAAGGTGCGCCGTAGAGAATCAAGGCCTTGGCGATCATGATCAAGAAGGACTGACGCGTCAGAATCTCGGCGATGTCGCGTTGGATACCCAGGTTGGCGTTCAGGGTAGCCGCTGTTGCCGCAGCACTGATCGCCTCCATCTCCTCCATATTCTCATGGTGGTGTTGTGCGGTAGATCTGGTGAAAGGCGAAGCATTATTGTTGATTGAAGTCGACGGTTGGGTTGGCAGGCGGGTGATCGTCGCCATGGGTGCCAATGGGTCCAAGTCAAAGATTTTCGAGTTCCTGGGTGACACCTTGGGTGTGGTAGTCACCGAAGGAGAAGCCAAGTCCGCCAACGAGTTATTTTTGGAAGACGACCGGTAATAAAAGCCCTTCTTTGTCTTCTTGACAGCTGCATGCAGAGCCGATCCTGGCTGTGTCGCTGAACGTCTAGATCCTGAGGAATTTGCAGTAGGTGATGATGACGCTGCTGCCGCTGCAGCGGCCTCGTTCCTCTGGAGCTTGAGCAGTTGACTGAGGATTCCTCCCTTGGGTTTCCTGCGACGCATTCCTGCCGAAGTGGCGGCGTCGCTGTCGACGTCGATCATAATAGTTGGATCAGCCTTCGTGCCAACAGCAGCCTCAGTAGAAAGTTTACTGTTACTCTGCTCCAATCGTCGTCGGATGTCGTCTCCTCCACTTCCGCTGGTCCGACTCTCGTTGGGGGCTTCCTGCAGAACTGATGGGCTGGGCATGGTGGGCAAGAGCATGGGTTGAGGCGAGTATGAGAGACTCTCCATAAGCGCGACCTGGGCGTCCATCTTAGAGTTCGAAGTCGAGGTAGCGAAGGGGTTGGACAGATCCTGGAATAGACTGCCTCTGCGGTGGTTCAGGTTGTTGCTGTTGCTGGTAGTATTGGCATCGTGTTGACTGCTGCTGGCGTAGCTGTTGGACTCGAGATCGATCATGTTCATATCCTGCGAGCGCTTCTTTCCCGAGATGGCCCTCTTGATCGAGTTGAGGTTCAATCCTGTGCTCCTGCCCGTAGCTTCAGCGGTTGTCCCGTCATGATGAGGTGACAACATGGATGGATCGTTGGAAGGGATGGGCGACAGCTTGTCGAGGAGGATATGAGAGGGTCGCCTCTTTGAAGCGATAGGGTGAGACTGGGAGAGCGAAGGCAGAGGGACGACGCCAGAGAAGGAACCTATAGGCCCGTTATCCTCGATGGCTCGAGCATATCTCTCGACTCCGAGGTTCAGTTTACGCAACTCCGAGGTGGGCGATCCGAGAGGGGTAGCCATGGGAGTCTGGGCAGGGCTGAATGGGTTCAAGGGGTCATTGTGGTCCATGAAGGGATTAGAAGCGGGGAGGGAGAATCCTGAAGAGGCGTTAGCGTTGCCGTTTGTTGTTTCGGCGGTGCGAGCAACAGCCGAGCGAGAGGTAGAGCTATGTGCAGTAGGGCTCTGGGTATCGTTGTTGATATTGGTGTCTATGGGTAAGCTGAGGGTGCTGCTGGATGCACTGTCGGTGGTGATTGATCTTGAGGGAGGGGCATTGTTGTTGTTGGTGAGGGTTGATGCGATGGAGGAGGAGGTGGCAGCGTGAGTCAGTGGCAGGTGGGATGCAGGTGGTGGTAGTGCACCTGAGGATGAGGTGTTGTGGTTGTTGTTGCTGTGATCTGCCATGGACAGTATGGCAGTTGTATGAGGGTATTGAGGGAGGGATGAGGTAGGGGTGATCAGAGGAGAGGAGAAGAGAAGAAGAGGAGGAAGGAAAAGGGCGAAGGAGCGAAGAAAGTGGGGGAGGCGAAGAAAGAGAAGGAGAGAAGCGAAGAGAGAAAGAGAAGAACGAATTGAATGAATGAATGAATGCGGACTGGCAACCTTGTTTGATGGCATCACTTTCCAATTCCAAACAAACAGAAGAAGAAAAATCTTTTTTCTCCCACCCCTCCCCTTTTGGCCGTTTTGTGTTCACGATTGTTGGACATTCTTAGTCGTGTCGTGTCAGTCATAGCTGTCATAGCTATCATAGGGTCACACTGGCCATAACAACGTCGTCCGACTATTATTCTCCTTACCCCACCCTTCCTTGTGCCTGCTGCTCAATGCGCCACTTCTCTTTTTATTACCCACAACACTTTCTATGGTCCGCCTCTTCTCTTTTTTCTCTTCTTCATGCACGCCAGTATACACTCTCTCTGCACCACTAAAAACCCTCTCTGCACCCACCCACCCTTCCATTCACTCTTTATCCGCTCCGCTTTCTCCGCTGAGAAAGCAAGCCCCTTCCTCATCCACCACCGTCACCACAGCCAACAATAACTTGCATTGGAAGGAACAGCTCACTGGAGTTCATCCATTCATTCTCCTCTTCTACCCCTACTCTTCGCACCCATTCACCCAACCATCGTCAACTCTAAGTTTTCTTTTTTTCCTTCGATCGTTCTGGGCCGTTGTTCAAACACTGCTTACCCGCGTGAGCACCTGAGACCCATAGGAAGGACATCCGAGATCAATTCTCAGCTCAATACCCACAACTCAGCTCAAGGGTTCTTCTTCTCGCTGTCTCTTCTTGCTTGCGGCGCGTGTGGGGTGTGGCGGAATGAGAAAGAGGAGAGGCGCAAGAATGAACTACCAAAACACCGCCATCCTGGAACGGCTTTCGACCCCTCTCCTCCCCTTTTCCGATCGGGATCCAGAACGGATTCGTGATAGACCCTTTTTTTTTGGATCGATGTTGTATACATTCGCACTACTCCTGCAACCCCCTCTTCATTGACCGTTGTTGGGCGCAGCTGCACAATTTTTTCGTACACACACATACACACAGCATCAACAATCAGAGACCACTCGTCGCACAATGTTGTTCCGTGGAATGCAAACAAGAAATCGATGACAAGAAAGGGAAAAAGGTTCAGTTAAAAGGAAAGTAAAATATCTGCCTGGCCTCCAAGCTTTTAATTAAGCCTTAGCCATGACAGGCAGCTCTTCAGGAATGACTTCGTTGAAGAATGACAGTAGGTCTCTCAATTCCTGAGGAGAGGCACTGTGGCCCATACGAGGGTATGTATAGAATCGGACAGAGTACTTGTTCTCCTTCAAGAACTCGACCGACTGCTCGCCGTACTTGTACTTGACCACCTACATAGTTGGACGCGAGAGCGGAGCAATTGAGAAACAGTGGGTCGAATAATCCCGTTAATGAACATGGTCCCCCCCTCCACTTGAATCATTCCGGTAATTCTCTTTTCTTTTTTGCTTCGTCCAAGACAAAGACAGGACAAAAAAGATATTCATCCAGAAACGATCGGTAGATATGCACAGCACGATTTACCTGATCAGCATCGCCGTGGCCCCAAAAGATGGGCGTCTTGCGGTTGGCATCAGAGACCATAGTCATGATCTTGGCATGCAGGGGCAGATAGCCACTCAATGCTGTCACGCCTGCAAACCTGAACTCGGAGGTCAATGCGGCCAGGAGACTGAGAACACATCCCTGCGAAAATCCTCCCAAAACAATCCGGTTGGCTGGGATATTGTTCCTGTCGACCTCCTCGCGCACCAGTTCCATTACTGCCATTGATAGATAATCAAATGGCAAAAGGCAAGGGGTCAATTAAAAGCGAAGCGTCTACGGCAGTAACAAGTAAACACGCGAGTGAGATAAGGAGAGGTGCGGATGAATCCCCTACAATACATACCTTGCTGCCGAGACCGGAGCAATCCTTGCTCATCCTGTTCGTGTTGGATAGTCGAAAGAGACTTGATGTCGTACCAAGCAGACGACCGCATGCCTCCATTAGCAGTGATGGGGAGCGCAGGCGCATTAGGAAAGATAAACTTGACGTGAGGCACATACTCACTAAGCTATTGGTAGAAAGGGGAGCAATTGAATATTGCGCAAGGTAACACATGTAGAACAAGTTGTTCATTTAGTAACCTACTGAAAAGAGGTATCTCTCGATAGTCATAAACGTGTCGGTCAGTTGAAGATGGCGCCAAGCAAAAAGTACCTGCTCGCCCACTGGGGCCCTATTGGTGCATAGCCATAAATTGGATAAAGAAGGGGGCGGGGAGGAGTTGATTAGCACAGCATCCCTGTTGCTTTAAGTGAATGTGAATGTTTAGAAAGAGAAAGGACATTGTTTCATTACCAACCAGCTCCTGAATCGCCAAAGCCATGCAGAAAGATCACGGTGGCAGTGTGTTTGGCGGTGGCATCGTGCACGACGGCTGTTAACTTGGCGAGTGTCGAAGCCATTGGTCTATTCTCTAGAGTGTTGTTAAAAGGATGAGGGATGATGTCGGTTCAGAAAGGTCAACGAAAAGATAAAAGAAACAGGGATGTGAGTTGTCGGTTCAAACAGGAGAAAAGGCACGTGCTGGTAATCCACTCCCGTCTTTTGGCTCAACGTTCATCCTCATTCTGTCTGTTGCAAAGGTCAGTCATCAGTCCATGCATACCGATTGAAGTTTGAGGCTGTGCAGGAGCCGGTGTTGGTGTCGTGAGAGTAGTTGTTAGAAACGAGAAACGCGTCGTGTCAAACAGGGACGAGTAGTGAATCGTCAGGCCAATAGAGCAGACGAGGACTGCCCAGAATGTCCAGTGCCAACGAGTGTTGCTACTACTCCACATCTTTTGGCTTTCTTTGGATGGTATGTAAGGAAAGGAAAGGAGGGAGCAAGCAAAGAAAAAAGGGTATGGAGAAACAAACAAAAGTAAACGTGTGAGCACCGAGAGAATCTAGATGTCAACAGCTGTCGGGAAGACGGGACGATGGGCCAACAAGCAAAGGGGGGGTTGTGTGTTCAATTGGAGTATTGGGGGTACTGCCCCTTCCTTCCTTCCTTCCTTGGATAGACTGTACGGTAAAAGGTAGGGCAGGGCAAGAATAGAAAACTAAGACGGAGAGAAGGGAGTGGTGTGCTTACTTGAACGGACAACAGTGTCGTGTAGTGTTGTGCAAGCATGGTTGTTTACCGAGCAAGATTTGACTTTTGGACTACCTTATGGACTATTGCTTTGATTAACTTGAAAGCAAGCCAATCAATTGCGATCAGGGTCACTGATGGCCCATTCCCACGATGGTAGAAAACCCCCTCTTTCCGCTCTCTTAGCTTCTTCTTCTTCTTCTCCTCTTCTTCTTTTTCTCCTCTTCTTCCTCTTCTTCCTCTTCTCTTTCTCCTCTTCTTCACTTCCCTTCCTTCACACACTCCCCCCCTTTCCCCTCTCCACACAAAAACCATCATCTACAAGAAACAAGCATGGACGCCCTGACTCCTATCCTTCTCAACTTCCTCGAGGAGCATGCCCGCCCCCACGTCCAGGAAAAGGTCTCCGAGGAGCTCGACGAGACCAAGGTCGACCTCAAGAAGGACCTGCCCGATACCATGATGGACTTCATCAAGGGTGAAGATGGAATCCCCATGATTGCCAATATCATCTCCAACCTGGGAGATGACTTTATGGAAAAGATCCGCAGGGTGACCGACTCGACTATCGAGACCGCCTCCGAAGGCATGGACCTGTTGTTGACCAACGGAGTGATGAACATCTCCAAGGATGTTTTGACAAGCAACACCGATGGCAAGGGCTCGTCTGGATTCAACTTTGATTTCTTGAAGACTGGAAAGGAGGGTATGGTCATGACCACCATGGCTGCCTCGGCGCCCGTTATCAAGCAAGTCAGCGATAACATGGGCCGTAAAATCAGGTAAGCAACTTCCTTCAACCGCTTTTTTCTCCCTTTTCATTGTTAAAACACAACAGAAACAGATAAGAGCAAAAAAGGGGAGAAAAAGGTCTAGACTCACAACAGTCACACACACACGCCTCGGACATGTTCCATGGAAGCTCACAGTGCTGTGCGTACATTCTGTTGCATGATACCGTCCCCTTTTCTTTGTTCAACAGCATTACTCACTCAACTCTGGAGGACATGTCAAAGAAAAGAATGAGAAAGAGAAAGAGGAAGAGAAAAATTATAAGAAGACAAGTACGTCTGCATTAGAAGGAAAGAGAAAAGAACAAGAACAAAGCAGCCTTGCTCACCCATACCGCCTTTTTTTGTATAGTGCCCACTTCCCAGCCCAGATTGGAGGTACGATCCAGGAGATGATTGACGAACACGGCGGATCCGACGGACTGTTTGGCAAGGCTGCAGGATTCCTGGCCAACTTCTTAATCTCGGACAAAGATGGTCCTGGTGAGCACACCGTTGCCGGAGGTGGAACCGACCGCGATGTCGAGGCCGCCGGCGGTCACACGGGTAAAATCCAGCAAATGCTCCAAAAGTTCTTGGCCCCCAAGGTCCTCCTCATGATCCAGCCCTACCTCCAGAGGTTTGAGGCCAAGATGGTAAGTTATCTTTTTCGCTCATTATGAGATCGAGTGTTGAAAACGAAGGAATGGCGATAGTGCGATTGAACATTGCGCGGTTTCTTTTTCTCATCGTATCAAAGCGACGATGAAAAAGGGGTGAACGAGGCATCGAGAGAGCACATTGAACCAATCCACAATATTGACATCACAACTATATCATCATACACTAACACTTTCGCGTCGTCCTAAATTTTCGTCATCGTTCCTTTGTCTCGTAGACTAGATCATTGGAGACCGAACTTCGTGGCAAGGTCTTCAACATGGAGTACATCAAATCCACCGCTCTGACTGCCATCACCGGCTTGGGTGGCGCCGCCGGTGGCTTTGGTGGAATTCTTGGCTCCCTCTTGGGAGGCGGAAAAGACAGAGACGACGATGACGATGATAATGGCAATGGCGGCAACAATGGACGAAGGAGGAACGACGATGATCCTATGAGTGCCCTAACTAACCTGGCAGGGCAGTTCTTGAAGAGTCGAGAGCATTAGGATCACGACACGAGGAGAGACATCAACGAAATATCTTCGCGCCAACATCTACATCGAGGCAGCCACCCCTACCGCTATTTATCCAATCCAACAAGTAACAACAAACAGGGTGAGGCAACAGCCACTGTACAAAGTTCAAACAACAAAAAAAATAAAGATGTATTTTTGGACACACCGTGTGTATGTTTTCTAACAACTTCTATCCTTTGGACTTGTGAGCACGACGACGCATACAGCACCAGACAATGAATGCAGGAACAATCATGAGGCAGAGGATGAAGGCCAGGGCATTCAATGGTCCTCTGATGGACAAGATAGGTGCTTCGACTGTATCAGGTGAGATGATGGTGGGTCCAGGATCACCTTGTCCTGAATTTGAAGGTGGAATAGGGCGAGTAGTGGGGCCAAGGGATGACCAAGTCCATCGAGGGGTGAGCGTTGTTGATGCCATTGTTATTGGTGGCGGCATTAGTGGTCTGAAAGTTGTTGTGGGCGTTAGTTGTGTTGTGGGTGGTGTGGGTGGGTCCAGGGTGAGCCCCGGCTGAGGGATCGGTGGTAGTAGTAGGAAGAGCATTCAAGGTCGAGGAGGAGAGATAGGGTAATGGTGTTGAAGGAGAGAAGAAACAAGAGGCGATATCGATCTCTTTTTTCTCTTTGTTTTCGAACGCTTCATTTTTATATGAGCTCGCTGGCTTCATTAACAAAGACCTTCTTCAATGCTTGAAGACGCGACGACAACAAGGCACGTAGAAATGGAGTGTTCTTTGTGGGAAAATTACTTTGCGTTTTTGATCGGCACAAGAAAAGATCAATACTTCAATCGCTCCTTTTTGCTTTCAGTCAGGTGACATGCACCGTTGCGCTGGCATCCTCGCATCATCACTTTTTTTTTATTCTCTTGTCTTTTTCCTTTGAAACTAACATCACTTTCCAGGACATCCTTCTCAGCACTACTTACAAACAACAATGGGCGCATGGACTGTTCTTCAGGAGAGGTACCTTTCTACTTCTTTGTCGCACCTGTCCTCAACATCTATCGTCATCAAACAACGCTTGTCGACACAAAGAAAAGCGATGAAGCAGGCGGACGCGTGGACAAAAAAGACGGCTTAAACTAACCCCGACCTTCCTCGCTCTACGTTCTTTGTTCGTTCTTGTCGTTGCCGATGACCACCTACTTGCTAGGCAAGCAATGCTTCTCGATCCAGGTATGAAGTCGGCCCAGTCATCATCTATTTTTGCATCTGCGTTTCAGGAAACACAGGAAGAATACGAAATAAGGCTACTCTCTTCAAAATCGACAGGACAGTACTCTAACAACCACCTCATCCTGGGCGCTTATCTCTGACTGAACATACAGCTATTAGGGACTGGGTGTTGATCCCGATTATGATTGTCATGGTTCTCGTCGGTGTGGTCCGTCACCAGGTCACCGTCCTCCTGAACGGAACCCCCAAGAAGGCCGATCTCAAGTCTGCCCGCGAAACGTAACGAACCTCCTTCTTTCCCCTCTTCCAACCTATCCTCGACAGATCGAAAACATTCATCCGTTATCCTTTGAATACAAACAACCCCTCCACCAACTCCTCAATGGACACCTCCTCACTCTCCTTCCTCTTACCCTCCGCGTCCATTTTAGTAAGGCACTGCAGCGCTGCGGCCTTCTCCGTGCACACGGAGTCCACATCCCCGAACACGCCTTCCACGGCCGCAAGGCCTTTCTTTCTGAGGCCTTTGAGAAGGGCACCTACCTGAAGGAGACCAATACAGGAAACAAGCCCCGAGGAAACGTCATGCAGGATCCCGCCTATGTCGAGACCATGATGGACGGCATGAAGAAGAACATGATGAATATCGTCCCCCAGACCGTCATCATGGGCTGGATCAACTTTTTCTTCTCTGGCTTCGTTCTCGGTACGCCTTTTTGTCCTTCTTTGTTTGTTTATTTGTTTGCTGAAGTATCTTAGTACTTGAGGATGGCGTCGAAGTGGTATTGTTTGTGGATCTTTTGATTATCAAAGAAGATCCCGTTTCCACAATTCGCAATCCGCCTTTACTTATTCGTTTCTACTGTATCTCCCCCCGTTGACGCTATTAGTCAAGTTGCCTTTCCCTTTGACGGTCAGGTTCAAGGGCATGTTGCAGCGTGGAGTGGAGACTCACGATATGGACGTCTCCTGGGTCTCGTCCTTGTCGTGGTACTTCCTTAACTTGTTCGGTCTCCAGAGTGTCTTTACCCTCATCTTGGGCAGCGGACATGGTAAGCAAAATTAATTATTACCAGCAATTTACCCCTCATTCCTCTGAATTGTCCATGCTTTTCTCGGTTTGCAGCTCTTGCAAAGCACCCTGCTAATCATAAACCAACTTCCTACGACTTCTTTTTCTCTTGCAACTAATAGCTGCTGACGCGATGCGTGATATGCAGGCAATGTCAACCATGGGAATGGGCGCCGCCGCCGGCCCCAACTTGAGCCCTACCGGCCAGCCCCAGGACATGCACAAGATCTTTTTGGCCGAGAAGGAGAATTTGGATTTGACCGAGCACGAGTGGGGACTGGAGAATGTCGAGACTCGTCTGTTGGTCAAGTATGGCAAGAAGCCTGCCTCTGTTCTTTTGGATCAGAAGAAGGCCAAGATTGCCAAGCTCGCTGGACGTCAGGCCACGAAGGAGTTTGCTGCGGTGGCTGCTCCCTCGGCCGCTGCTGCTAATGCTTCCAGGAAGAAGGGCAGGAGACAGGTTTAAGATATGGCTGGAGGATCAGAAAGGTGGAGAGGATATATACATACGAGTTGAATTCGAACGGGAGAGATGAACTTGCTGCTCCTTTGCTGTTAATACATAGATACAAATGAACCCTTGAAAACAATCGTTCCAAAAAAGAGCAACCCTTTGCATTGGATACTTGCAATATGTACGATTTATTTGAACGTTGAGAGAAAATAACAAAAAAAGGTGTGTGTATGTAATATATATATTTTACAGGCCACGGGCCTTGTTGAAGTTGAGGGTAATGGCATCCATAAACTCGCTAGTGCTGGCATAGTGCTCACGCTTCAAGCCAGAACCATGGATAGCCAAAGCCAAATCCTTCGTCATGATCCCCGAGACGTCAACAGTGTCCACACAAGCCTTCTCCAAATCCAGCGAGAACTTGAGCAACTCCTGGTTGCTGTCCAAACGGGCACGGTGGGCCAATCCACGGGTCCATGCAAAGATCGACGCAATAGGGTTGGTGGAGGTCTCGCGGCCCTTCTGGTGCTCGCGGTAATGACGGGTGACAGTGCCGTGGGCGGCCTCGGACTCGAGTGTCTTACCGTCGGGGGTGACCAGGACCGAGGTCATGAGTCCGAGGGATCCGTAGCCTTGGGCGATAATGTCTGATTGGACATCTCCGTCATAGTTCTTGCAGGCCCAGACGAATCCTCCCGAGGACTTGAGTCCCTGTGCGACCATGTCGTCAATCAAGCGGTGCTCGTACCAGATCTTCTTGTCCTCAAACTCCTTCTTGTAGGTCCTATGAAAGCACCCCGACAAAAAAAAATTAAGCACCGATCCAGTCAGTTCACTCTTGTTTCCTAAGAACAGGACTTTGTGTTCCTTCTTTTCAAACCCAAGGGGAAAATACTTACTTCTGGTAGATGTCCTCAAAGATGTCCTTGAAGCGTCCATCGTATTTCTTCAAGATAGTGTTCTTTGTGCTGAGGTACAAGGGCATATCCTTAGTAAGAGCCATCTTGAAGCACGAGTGAGCGAATCCGATAATGGACTGTTGAAAAAAAAAGGAGATTTTGTGGGCTTAGCGAATCAAAATGTTGCAATATGTGACCTTATCATGATCTCAGCTTCGTAATATCGTTGTTGTCGTTGCTTTACCTCGTCAGTGTTGTACATGGCCATACCGACACCGGCACCGTCAAAATCGTAGACGACCCACTTCTTGGCCTCACCGCCGTTCTTGGGCGTGAAGGTCATCTCGAAGCGACCGGGTCCCTCAGCGACAAAGTCAGTGGCCTTGTACTATTTAAGATGTCATCCAGTCAAGATCCGATCAAAAAAAATAAAAGCAAGTCATGAGAAATGATCCTGTTAGTGGGTTTCTACTACTCTTGCTGAGGCTCAATTGCTTGACTCAGGGTTTATCAATTCGCCCTTTCGCATAAAAAAGGCAAAGAACAAAGATAGGCCCCAATAGAGCAACCAAAAGTGAGAGATAAAGAACCTCATCAATCATGGGGCAAAAGACAAGCAAAAGAAGCAAGACAAGAGATAAACGGTACCTGATCACCAAAGGCGTGGCGTCCGATGACGATGGGCTTGGTCCATCCAGGGACGATCTTGGGGATGCTCTTGAGGAGAATGGGCTCACGGAAGACGGTTCCGTTGAGGATGTTGCGGATGGTGCCGTTGGGGGACCTGTACATCTCTGAAAGGTTGAACTCCTTGACGCGCTGCTCGTCGGGCGTAATGGTCGCACACTTGATTCCCACGTTATACTTGAGGATTGCCTGCGCAGCGTCGATTGTCACTTGGTCCTTGGTCTGGCGTTGAAAAGTAATAAAAGTGAGGGAGGAGACACAGAGAAAGTAGTAAGGTATGATGATGAGTATTCATTGCCATGGCAGGTGAAAAGCGAGTGTCGTTGCTCGATCTGCAAAAGAACAAGGGCCGTTCCTGATTTCTGTTTTCCTTCTTTTTGCTCACCTTCTCACGGTACTCCATGCCCAGATCGTAGTACTTGATATCGACATTGACGTGAGGCAAGATCAACTATCGTGCATAAAACAAGAAAAAGAACAAGAGTGAGTCAATAAGGGAACTATGCAACTCATCGAAGGCTTGTTCAATCGGGGGCGTCGTGCCGTTAGACAGAAGCAGGAGAGAGAAAAGGTTACCTTCTCCTTGATAGACTGCCAGATAATACGGGTCATTTCATCACCGTCGAGATCAACAACGGGGTTGGCGACTTGAATGCGAGCATCCTTCGAGTCTAGAGAAATGAGGGTGAATGCAAAAATGACATGAGGTTTAGGATTTGTTCTGAAGGTGTTCCTTCTTGGAATGCGCGGGTGAAGTAGTGAATGAGAGAGAAGGCAACGAGAAGAGAGTGTCACTTGCATGCGCGGGTGGCCTGGGAGTTGGCTGTGGCGAGGGTTGCTGCCCTGGAGAGGGTAGGGAAGGCGCGACGGGTGGAAGAGGCAAGCAAGGACATGGCGCGAGATGGCGATATAAACAAAGAGAGGGGAGAGAATGAGGTAAAGAAGAACAGAAAGGAAAGAAAATGAGGTAAAGGCAGCGATAAAAAGAGAGTAGAGCAATGTGGGGAGTGGACTGCCATCTCTTCACACGCGACGAGCGCAGAAATGAGTAATTTTGTGTCGGTGCCCGGCCGACTCTATTTGGGTTGTTTGCCGTTGGTATCTCCCTTGTGTACCGACTGTGTACACAGGTATGAAGGGCATAAGGCACACACGAATTGATAAGATCCTTGCCTTTAGCCTTCCAGGAAGTCGCATCTTATCCATCTCAAAAGAGGGCCACCAACCCTAGCCCCACATCGATCAACCTTTATCTGCCTTCTTTCCTCTTTTCTCCTTGCTCACCCCTTGCTGTACGAATTAAAATTCCTCCTCTCTCCGAAAGCAGCACATTACTACTCTCTATCTTCCTCTACCCTCATGGATCCCTTTGTCATCGCTTATTTATCGCGTCACTATGGGCTTTTATTCAGAGTTCTGTGTGCTATTGATATGTGCTGTAGGTACTGCGTATGAGTATACTATATGTTGAGGGGGTGCTTGTATGTTGGAGTGCAAGTATGTGTGTGCGAGGAATATGCAAGTTCGTGTGTGCGAGAGAGATAAGCAAGTGGTGAGTGCGAAAGATATAAGCAAGTGGTGCGTGCGAAAGATATAAGCAAGTAGTGTGTGCGAAAGATATAAGCAAGTAGTGTGTGCGAAAGATATAAGCAAGTGGTGTGTGTATGCAAGTAGTGGTGATCGCGATTTGTTGCCTGTTCTTGGAGCTGAAAGAGTAAAGATCTTGGCAGTTCCTCAGGGACACTCGAGGGTTATGGTTTTACATGAACCACATGACTAAAAGGTTATGATTGAGAGAGACATTAGTATCGAATCCACTGCTACAACCTTGAACAAAGACCCATAATTATAATGCGCAAAGTAAAAATGAACCGACAATTACCCCGCATAAGTTCGGGCTTAACAGTGAGGTAGCTGCTAGCCTCACCGGCGCCGGATTCGGACGACGTAGTGTCACTCCAGCGCTCACCGCGCGCATGGAATCGAGCACGGGCTGCGACGATGTGCGCATAGTACGCAGGAGGTACATAGGAGACTGTTCGGGAGCAACGAGCGTAGAGGTGACACAACTTGTAGCTGAGATCCTGAAGTTCATCCGAGGAGAACCTGTTGTCATCATAGAGCACGTAGTAGTGTGCAGGGCGCGAGGTACCTAGGAGGCCGGCGTGGCTTTGAAGGTAAAAGTTGAACTCGACCGGATGAACGACTTCCTGGTCAACCACGGTCCCAGGCAAGCAGTTGCCGATGCGGTCACCTTCCTCGCGTCGCATCGGGAAGAAGCGCGTGTGGTGTCGCTTCTGTACGACGACAAAGGTGATCGTCGGCCTGTACCCAGCCTCGAGCTTCTGGCAGGCTGCCTTCAGGTCCGCCACCTCGGTCTTGAGAACCTCCGCGAACTGGCCCTCAGAGACCCCGTCGCGATAGAAAAGGATTCGCTCCGGCTTGCGGCCGCAGCTATTATGAGTGAGTCGAATATGAAAAGACGAGATGGGATAAGCTCGACATCAGAATGTGAAAAAGGGGGTCGGTTGATGTCCGGACTCGTAGTCGTCAAAAGTCGGGCTGAAAGAAGAGAGTGGGGACTTACTTCTGGTAGAAGGTTCTCAGCAGCTCCACGGTCATGTCACCGAGATCCGCAATCGTCTCGGTTCTCGCCGTCTGGACGCGGACGGTTGCTGCGTAGCGTGCAGCCTTGTTGTCCATCGAGCCGACCAAAGATGCAATGGACGGTCTGGAGTTGTCACCTACCAGCACACGGGAAGAGAATGACAGAAGTGAAAGGGGTAAGATACTGAACAAATACAACAAATGCTCACCGTCAGATCATGCTGATGTAAACGCTATTCGAAAGGAAATGCATACCAAATCGTACCTGGTTGCGGGTGAGAAACGTCTCCACCCAAGACAAGAGTGGGCTTGGCCAGGAAGGGCATCATACCCGGAGCGAGATGCTGGTTGACGCCACCAAGCTTGACGTTCATCTTGAGGCAGACGTTCGAGCAGTACTGCTTCTTGGGATCGCGGGTGTGCTTCATCTGCACGCACTGGGAAGAAACACCGAGAACCGTGTCGGTCACGCGCTTAATCTCCGCGTAGAGGGGGACGCCGGTGTTCGGCAGGATGCAAACCAGTAGCTGGGGCTGGCTCTTGACCGCATTACCCGTCTGGATCCAGGCATTCTTGAGGTAGCTCTCGATATCTCCGTGTGGGTTGTTGTACATGACTGGGGGGCCCTTGTTCGGGATGGTCATGCCGGTCTCAGTGCACGACACGATGAGCTCTCGGACAAACTTGTTGACCTGTGGAAGAGGGCAATCTCGCTCGGTGCCAAATACCATGATGCCCCAGGATCCGAGGGTGGTGCCCTGGGTGACTTTCTTGTTCATCAGGCTCCAGGCACCGTCACGGGGGACAAAGCTGGCTTCGCGAGACTGGGCGTGGTAGCAGACGGTGGGTGCAGGAAGCACTCGGGCCTTGATTTGAACCATCTCGTTCGAGACCTTCATTCCAAACTCCTTAAGGTACTCGTTGTCGTCGTACTTGAGGATCTTGAGGCCGTCCTTGATGTTGTTAGCGCGCGCGTGGGGAGGCTGGCTGGTAAACTTGATCATGTCGGCCGTCTGGCGTTCGTCCAGCTTCTTCATGTATCTCTGGCCGTCAATGACGGAGCACAACTCGATCGGCAGGATGATGTTCTTGCCGGCCTGGACGCAAGGCAGCATCGGGAAGTTCAGGTTGATGTTGTATGCCTTCTTGAAATAAGTAACCAAGTCGGTCTCGACCTCTTCCTCTGGTGCGGTAGGATCGCCGTTGCCTCTGGGCTGCAGCTTGAACTTTGTGTCCTTGGCCGCGGTCTCTGTGAGGGCAAAGACCTTGAAGGATCGCTTGACTCTCTCGCGATGAGACACGGTGAATCGGAGACCTTTGATGGTCTTTTCAATCTTCTTCCAGTTGATAGGAGGCGATGTTCGGCGGAGGTCATCTACCATGTAATGAATATGAAACGAAACGCAGGGGTAGAAATTAAACTCTGCACACCTGTGGTTTTTTTCTTTGGGCAAAGTATTTTTGTATTTTTGCACAGTGCTCAGATGCAAAATTAGTGGCGTAACTTACCGACACTGCGCACGTTCGCGATCTTGACAACTAGTTCGAGCAACGAGCCAGAGCGGAAGAACGCAGTAGCCGACACGTCCATGTTGATCATCATCTTGCCTATCGATTCATAAGTAAGCAGAGGAGATGAGAGGTAGTTGGTCAGTAACAATGCTCCACAAAGGCAACGTAGAGCAAAGAAAGCTTGACCCTCACACACGCGACAACATGTCACAGAAGGAAGAACTGAAGAGAAGACATGCCAACAGCGGGGCGAGCAGACTGGTAAAAGCCTCTCCAGACATCCAAGGGGCCAGCGAGAGCCTGCTTGCCGATGGGGGTGTAGAAGGAACGACCGACTGTGGCGTAGAGCATGGCAGGCTGGTGACGGATGAGGACATCGAGGGCCATGATGGCGGTGAGGCAGTTGTTGGTCAGAGGCGAGCGACCGTTTAGGAACCGATGGAGCTCTTCAAGGTTTATAGTTGAGGCCTTCTTGACCTTGACCTTGAACTTTGGTGGAGGACGAGCCGGGTTGGGGTTAGGCGTGATGTCGCCCGCGAGCACGATCTAGTGGGATGAGAAATAGTTAAAAATATTGATCAGGATTCATCATCAGTAGTCAGTTGTTCACTATCCATACATCCATCACCAACCAGTCATGCGAGCAATACGTCCAAAAAAAAGACAGGCAATCAAACAAGCTCAACATGTATAGTCCAAGAGAACTCAGCAGACGGATAGACAAACAGACAAACATCGCTCCTTACCTCGAACATGCGGCTCTCAAACGGGAACGCCTTAGGAGAGAACATATTCTTCCGACCATCAAACACGGGCCGGGCACCGTTCAGATCAGACTCGCGGTAAGATGTCGTGAGCTGCTGAAAGATCTTGCGGTTCACTGGCGGAGGTACATCGGGAGTGACAGTGACATCGTAGTGGTGGATCGTGATATTGGGCAGTTGCTTGACTTCAAAGAAGTTGGAGTGGATGTTGACAACCTTGCCCACCTTGCCTGGAGCTGGTCGACGGACATACTCCGTCACTTGAGTCGGTGGAGTAGCCATCGTGAGGTAGCAGTTCTTGTTCCGTTGCTGAGCTGTTGTTCAGAGAGGGCGAAAGAGCGAAGAAGAAACGAGGCGGTTGGGTTAGACAGGGGTAAAAAGGTTGACGATTTACGAAAAGGAGATCATGCACGCGAAGAACGAGCAAGCAAAGAGAAGGAGGTTTTACAGTCGAGTGTGCTTGCCGTTGTCGTATGCCGGGACAAGAGAGGAGGTGGCAGGCAGGCAGAGCGTGTCTTGTTGTTTGTGCTCGAGTGGAGTGGGTGGAGTGGAGTGGAGAAGAGATACAGCGAGAGAGAGAGTTGTGCTTGGAGGATGTTGAGTGGTTTAGAACCAAAAGGCGGAAGGAAGGAAGAAAGGCAAAGATGCAGACAAGCACCCTTTTTATACCCTGTGGTCTGTCCACATCAGACGCCTCACTTAATGTTTGACTTGTTGGGACAGTGGATTCCTGGACTGATCAAAACCAATCCCACACTCGCTCACACGATTCGCATCCCGTGGACGATGCAACCTGGATTCCATCACCTTCACTTTGAGCAGTACTCCTTCTCCTAGGGATATCTACACTTATGCCCCGTTGCTCTCGCTCGCTTCGTCTAGCTGTGCCTGTGTCCCATGCTTTCTCTCACAGCCATATTTTTTATTTCCTGTTCCGTTGAAAGTTATTCAGCCAATGAGATGCGAGCAAAATGCATCCCCGCGCGCGCCCTGTCCTCTCGCATCTCTCACACACCCGTGAAAAAATAAAAGGATCAGACCCATTTGCTCATCCAAATCTCCTCTTTACACCACACCCTCGATCCAACCACCATGGCCGCTGTAAGTGCTGCTTCTCGACACATCACCTACACATACTTACGAGCGCCGCTAGGCCAAGTTCCTGAACTAGTTTCCCCATCCTCGCAATCTTCCATGTACTAAACAGTTCCTCTCTTGCTTATTTTCTCTTGGCATGTGAAATCTGATTTAGAGACAACATACCGAGGAGGAGTTTGCCGCTCAAAGGAAGAGACAGCAGGAGTTCGAGGAGGCTGCCTTCAAAATCCAAACCCTGGTAATCATTCTTACTCAATTGCAGGAGCAGCTAGCCTGAGCAACACTCGAAACTCGACCTCAAAGAGGCGGCAATCGCATCTCACCAACTGTAGAGACTTGATAACAGGAAAAGTCCACGTCTTTAGATCTCACTAACGCCAATTATTGCAATCATCACAATAGGTTGAAAACATCCGCCATGACCCCATGAAGCTGCGCAAGATTACCCTGCACGGAGTTGGCAAGACAAGAGAGGATTTCTTACGCCGCATTCTGGAGCCCGCTTTCCAGGCTAGATCCCTACACGAGGTCATTGGTCTGAGCAGACAGGCTGTTCGTAGGATGGAGCGCTTCGGAATCTTTGAGGACCTCAAGATTCAATTGGACAGCCCCAGGGACAGCTGGCTTCAGGACCGTAAGGATCTGGTTGACTTGGGTATCTGGCTCAAGGAGGGCAGCCGCATTCAAATCAGGACAGGAACTGAGGCTGGAAACGCCGAAGCCAGCCTGGTAAACCGACTTTTCTTGGATTTGTTGTGGCAAGTTTTCAATTTGCCAGTGGGATGACTTTGATTCATTGGATACGTCGCAAACTTATCCGACGCTTATAATACTTTATCGCTTTATAGTACGGTGCGTTGACAGTCAAGAACGTGTTTGGTGGTGCCGAGACCTTAAGCACCAGCATGGCATTCGGAACCCGTACCTCATCAGCCTTCCAGGTATGACTCGCAGTATCAGGACAATGCTTCGACCATGAATTTTTCAAGAAGGAAATCATTCAGTTATTTAATTGACGCGTTCATTGTGGAATCCTATTAGTTCGCCCTTGCCACTCCCCTGCTCGCGGATCCCGATAAGAACCTGTCGATCAACCTCTACAGCCAGACCAGGAACAATACCCAGTGGAGCTCTTACGAGGAGGATCTCAAGGGAGGCGCCTTGAAGTACACCGTAAGGTCTTGGCGTGCTTTTCTAAAGTGTCACTCTTGTATCAAGTGAGATTTTTTTTTTGTAAACTTTGAATGCTCACTCAACATTTTTTATGAATTCTTGGCACTGAGTAGACTCTCTCGCCTTTTGGATACCACGAGTTTGCCTACGAGGGTCACTGGAGAGAGATCTGCCGTCCTTCTGAGAAGGCATCCCTCACGTATGTGTTTTCTCTCCCAGTTTCAATTGTCTACAGGAGAGGCTACCATCGTTGCTTTGGTGACTAACAATGTTATTTACATTGGTGTGACATTGTATAGTATCCGCGAGCAGTGCGGTCACAGCTTGAAGTCGGCACTCACGCACATGTGGGTCCATGATATGAGAGACGAGCCCTTGTTGCCCTCCACTGGACACTTTGTTCGCGTTATTCAGGAGTACGCTGGACTCGGTGGAGACGTCAACCATGTTCGTCAGGAAATCGAGGCCCAGGTCGCCCGCTCTAATAACACTGGTTATGTAAGGGGCATACTTTTCTTTTCGCGTCGTGTCACATTTCTGTTCAATGGAAATTGGATTCGTTCAAGAAGTTATTAACCTGCTTTTGACGCTTACGAACAATAGATTTTGTCCGCAACGGTCAAGTCGGGATACTTGCACTCTTTGAACGGCAAGCCCTCCAAGATCTCAGACCGCTTCTTCTTGGGAGGTCCCATGTCCGTCCGTGGTTTCAAGTCTAACGGCCTTGGCCCTCGCGAAGGAGAGGATTCTCTTGGAGGAGATGCATACATATCGGCTGGTGTTAGCCTGATGACCCCCTTCCCAGGTCTTGCTGGCCGTGACTCGTTCAAGGCCCACTTCTTTGCCAATGCTGGAACCTTGGTCAGCGTGAAGCCCGGTCAGTCTGCTACCAAGACGATTGATGATTTGACAAAGGCGCCCAGTGTCTCTGTCGGAACCGGTATTGTCTACCGCCATCCTCAAGTTCGTATTGAGCTTAACTTTGCTCTCCCCCTGATGGCTTCCAAGACTGATGCCCTTTCAAGAGGATGGCAGTTGGGTCTCGGCATCAGCTTCCTGTAATTCCTAGTGCCCTATCTCTCTATCCCTTCAATAAAGCTGTCCCCACGACGCGAACATAAACAGCATTTTTTTATCGACGATAATAAAACAGGTAGATATCAATACGACAATGCGACGCCTATTTAATGGGATTGAAAGCAATGAGCTCACGGACCTCCGTCAACTCCTTCTCCAACCCGCCCAACCTTTCCTGCAAGGTATTCATTTCCTGCTTCGAGACCGAGATCTGTTGTTGCATTTTCAAGAAGTCCGCGGCGACTTCGAACCCGTTCTCGACCACGCCTTCCTCCCGCTGGCTCTTCTCTGTCGATGCGCGGAACTTTTCGAGTTTCTCCTGGCTGCTGGCGACACTTGAGGAGGATGTTGGTTCTGCGGGGATGCCTAGTGCTGTAGTTGGTGTCAAATTTTAACGATCGTTAGAAGCGGTGGTGTAGGACGAGAGGAAGAGAGGGAGGGAGAGGAAAGAGGCGAGAAGGATAAGTATGGTGGGCGAGAGAGTTGGTAGCACTCGTCTTTGTGTCATATACGGCGAGGCAAAAGCAAAGGAGTCGGTTCGTTGAATGAGAAAGAAAGAAGGTACCATTGTTGAGTGCATTGTCGGTGGGTTGTGAAAGGGAGATGGATGCGGAACGGAGGGTGACGAGGTCGTTGAGGATGTTGCTCAGACTTGGCAATGGCACTGAGGATGAAGTGGTGATGTTTGTCATTGGTATGGTTGTGAATGTGAATGGGTGCTGTGTTGAACAAAGGAGATAGATGTGGGAGAGAAACAAGAGAAGACGTTTGCTGGTGTGAAATTTCAGTACGCCACGTTCCTTTCTGCATCCCGCACAGGCACTACTTTTGATGTTAAATTTGGGACACACTTTCCTCCAGTCCATCCTCAACATTTCCTGCTGTGTTTCTCTTTTACTTTCTGCACATCTATGCACGGTGTCACTATGTGATTACTACACGCGACTGATTGACAGGACAAAATCGCGTTTAATTGACAGAACGCGTTTGAGACAAGTGGGAGGCTGCTTTTGATCCCTTGAGTCGTTGATGAACATCCTGAGACAAACGCGCTTTTATCAATGTTCAATGATGATATGACGGCAAAGCATTGTCACTCACTAGGAAAGACAGGTAAAAATCCCCCCTCACCTCCACTTTCTTTCTTTCTTTTCCCCACATGCCCTTTACACCTTACATGCTACACACACACTTTACTTTCTGTCTTACTATCCCAGTTCTCCTACCCTTTCATCCCTCGATCACCATGCGACTCAAAGCCTTCCACTCCCACCCACACATCCAACACCCTAACCCCATGGAGGAAAGCATTGACACCACCAACGCCCGCCCTCAAATATGACCACCCCACCTATCACTTGAATCGAATTCAGAGCAAGGAAATGAGAGAAGAAGCCGGTAAAAAGAGACGAGTAGACGAGGGCATGAGAAACGCCTATCAATAATGAAAAGTAACTATGAACGAGGAAACCGACTATGTTTTTTATATTTTGTGGCGACTACTTCTAATCATATTTAAAAAAGCTTCTTTATCGTCTACAAGAACTGAAGCTGCTGGTTCGGGAGAGGAGGAGAGAAAGAGGGCGAAATCAAAAGGAGAAAAGCTCCTTCAAGATCCTCTCAGTGTCAAGTGGACTCTTGACAGTATGTCCAGTAACGAGAGGGTGACTGAAGATCTCATAGTCGTTGCCACCCTTAAAGGTCTTGTCGCCGAAAAAGTGAATCGTCTTGAAGTTCTCGTGCTCAATGTGACGGAGGCAGTAGGTCTTGTCCCATCCAGTAGGGAAGACATCGAACGAGATTTGACCACCGATCGAATAGGTCAGTCCATAGTCGGGGAACTCGTTCTGGAGAGCAGAGACAAACTTCTCACGCAACTTGTGCTCCAAGTCGAACTTCTCGAACTCGTTACGCTCAGGGTGGCTGCAGTTACGTCCGATGGGCGAGATGTTGATCATTCCATTGCGGAACTCGACGAACGTTCCACTATTTGACCATGGAAGAAAAGAGTATGTAAAGTATCAGATATCGTGTCGATAGCCTACTGTGATTCGTACAAGGTTGGTTCCAAGAATATTTACTGAGCACGTACCGCTTGACAGGGATATCCATATCGGCAATGTAACGGAGGACAAAGTTAACGAGTTTCTTGTAGCGATCCTCGCCCAAGTATCCGATGAAGCCCTAAGATCGGTGTCAAGCAAGAGAGAGAGAATGTTCATGTCAGCGTCCTTGTTGTCACTAAAAGAATTTAATTGCAAGTATCAATTGAGAAAGCGACAGCAGTGCTTTCGACAGTATTACCTGGGAGGTAAGGTGCTCGCCCATCTTGTAAGCAGTCAAACCGTTCTCGGAGAAGCAGTAGTCAAAGTTCTTGAGGACTAGATCGCAAAGTTCGCAAAGTGTAATCGGACACGGTTGAGTGGTTAGGAGTTGGTGCGTCGCGTTAAGATTGCGATACTAAAATTATGCGGGGTGATAACGTTTGAGCAACAACGCTCGACTTTCATTGGGAGATCGCACAACACACCCACAGAGAGAGGGAGACCGAGTGGACACGTACCGTTGGGTCCCAATTGCTCAACCTGCTTGGTCAAGTCAGATCCTCCAACAAAGCCGATGACACATTTCTTGCGAAGCTCGGCAAGTGTCACCTCCATCTCCTTGGAGATATACTACACAGGCAATTGGAATGAACGAAAAAAAAAAAAAAAAAAAAAAAAAAAAAAAAAAAAAAAACTTTAGTTGTCATTGAGCGACAGTATTAGAGGTCTAAAAGAGAGCAACGGGAAGAAGTTGACGTACCAAACGAGCGGGGGTGAGGGGGCCGTCGACATCGAAGAGGCAGATGGTGTCGGGGTGGACACGGTCAGCAAAGGTAGTAGAGGGAGACATGAAGTATGTGAAGTAATGGTGAGTGTGTGAGAGTTTGAGAGTGTGAAAGTATGAAGTTTGATGAAGAAAAGAAGAGTAGGAACCCCTTTTATACTTTTCGACGTGTTCTACTTATTTTTATTCGAGTCCCTTAATTTCTTCAAAAACTACGTGGTCGACATTTGTTGGGATGACGGATATGACCTAGCCATTTTCTAGTCAAGGCAGCAAACGAAACGCCGTCTCTTTTCTCATAGTCACCTCAGTTGGAGAGCCCTTGTTAATATGTAAAAGAGTCAAAACAGTGGCATTGCTTGACATTGATGGAGATGTCCTGAATACACACGTTTAGGCAACAACCCGTCGGGAAAACAAATAGGTGCGTCGACTACAAAAAAACTCCCCAGGGCCAGTAGTCACAACCCTGGTTTGTGGTGTTTGTGTGAACGTTTCAGTCGCGCCACGTTCAATATCATCGCTTCTCTGTGCAGGCACCAGTATTACAAAATTAAATAAAATAGTTTAATGTTCAATAATACTAAGGTTGTTGGTTTGTGGAAGTGGAGAGTGACATAAAAGGTTTAGACGTCGAAGAGCTCCTTCAAGATCTTCTGGGTGTCAAGAGGGCTTTTGACGGCATGACCAGTGACGATAGGGTGGTTGTAGATCTCATAGTCGTTGCCGCCCTTAAAGGTCTTGTCGCCGAAAAAGTGAATCGTCTTGAAGTTCTCGTGCTCAATGTGACGGAGGCAGTAGGTCTTGTCCCATCCAGTAGGGAAGACATCGAACGAGATTTGACCACCGATCGAATAGGTCAGTCCATAGTCGGGGAACTCGTTCTGGAGAGCAGAGACAAACTTCTCACGCAACTTGTGCTCCAAGTCGAACTTCTCGAACTCGTTACGCTCAGGGTGGCTGCAGTTACGTCCGATGGGCGAGATGTTGATCATTCCATTGCGGAACTCGACGAACGTTCCACTATTTGACCATGGAAGAAAAGAGTATGTAAAGTGTCAGATATCATGTCGATAGCCTACTGTGATTCGTACAAGGTCGGTTCCAAGAATATTTACTGAGCACGTACCGCTTGACAGGGATATCCATGTCGGCAATGTAACGGAGGACAAAGTTAACGAGTTTCTTGTAGCGATCCTCGCCCAAGTATCCGATGAAGCTCTACAGTGGTTGTCAAGTAAGGAAGGGAGTGTTTATGTCAGCGTCGTTGTTGTCTTCAACGTGTCCGAATGCAAATTAACACTAATTGAGAGAAGGGCGTTGTTGTTACCTGGGAGGCAAGCTGCTCGCCCAACTTGTAAGCGGTCAAACCGTTCTCGGAGAAGCAGTAGTCAAAGTTCTTGAGGACTAGATCGCGAAAGCATAAATATGTAATAAGACCAAGATTGAATGGTTAGGCGAGGATGGACCACGTTTAGATTGCGATGCAGAGGAGGGCTATAATTATCTGAAAAAATTAATTTTAGAGCCACAGCACTCGATCCTTATTGGAAGATCGCATCACACACAGTCCAGGTGCCCCGTCTCATCCCTCCACAAGGCAGGGCACTCCAGGAAGGGCAAAGGCTGAGGTTGGGTAGGATAACATCTTTTTGTACTCATAACTGCTGCATGCTGGGTCAATTGGTCTATGGAAGCGAGGCGACAAGAGGTCTTATCGCTCAAGCGAAGCGTCCAGATGGCATTCCTGTGAAGGTTCACTCAAAAAAAACGATGGAGGTAGAGGCACGTACCGTTGGGTCCCAATTGCTCGACCTGCTTGCTCAAGTCAGATCCACCAACAAAGCCGACAACGCACTTCTTGCGGAGTTCGACGAGAGTCTCCTCCATCTCCTTGGAGATAACCTACCAAAGCATTGGAATGATCAAGATGGAGAGAAGGCGGTTAGTTATCACTGAATACCAGTTTCAGGGACGTAGGGTCAAAACAAGTGAAGTTGATGTACCAAGCGGGCAGGGGTGAGGGTGCCATCGACATCGAAGAGGCAGATGGTGTCGGGGTGAGTGCGGTCGGAGAAGTTAGTAACGGGAGACATGGCGTGTATGAATGTAAGTGTGTGTGAAAGTGTGGAAGTGTGATGGGAAAAAAAAGAAGAGATGGGAACCTTTCTTTACTTTGGACGACTTTCTACTTTTTCTGGTCCCTGACTTGCTCGAATGCAGAAAGAAAGAGTTAAATCCTGTCAGGGCAAAGTAATTCAGATTGGAAATAAAGAAGCCATCACGACGCGTCCCCTGATTGGTTACTGATCGCAATGTTCTTTCCTCTTCGCTCACACCTTTGAAGGGGAACCTTCAAAGACCTCTGTCGCCCTTTCGTTTTGTTCTTTTTTCTTTCTTCCACTCTCACACACACCTCCCACCTCAACCCATCCACACTACAATGGTAAAAACTACAGCAACCTCGACATGCATCACCTACTCGCTCACACCCGAGTTTTCTGCTCAGCTTAGTGATCAGCTCAGGAAGAACCTTCTCGGACACGAAACAACAGCCAACTTTTGACGCCTTATATGCATCCTAACCACTTTCTGATGACTCTGCTTCTTCATCTCAATAGTCTGACGCCTCCCCCAACCCCGCCGGTGCCTCCCCTCGCGCTGCTGCCATCAGGTGCGTTCTTTATTCTCAACCACTGGCGACCACCTTTCTTTAGTTTTCACCCCTTCAGGATGTTCTTTCAGGAGTGTCTTCATTCATTCATCAGCTGGACTTGCGAGATGATGGCTGATCAGCGCAAGAGATGAAGAACGCAATAGACCACCCTCGCCCGCGTCGCACTTTGGATCGGATCGCTTTGGCCCTGGATAACTTTGTTACTTTACAGCACGATTAAACTAACCCTCGATCCTACGTTTCGATCCAATAGGAGACGCACCACCAACTCCTCGTCCAAGGAGAAGACCTCCCGCGCCCCTGGCCCTAGCACTGCCGGTATGATGCGCATCTACACTGACGACTCTCCCGGTCTCCGCGTGTAAGTTCCATCTTGACTTGTCCACCGAGCAGCTTTCTTTTTGCCTTGTTCGACTGTGAGGAGTAAGGGCTGAAAATATCGCAAGTCGAAAGGGACGTGGGTTCTCCGGGGATCCCACCCCTTGATTTCATTTTTTGGCGCTTCGAGCAAATTATCGCTCACCCCTCTTTCTGGACCATTTGAACCCTCTGGAGCAAAAAAACTTGACCTGACAGCTGCTTTTTTTTATGTTTCTCGATATTTAGTGACCCCGTCGTCGTCCTTGTCTTGTCGTTGGCTTTCATCGCCTCCGTCTTTGCTCTCCACATCTACGGAAAGTTGACCAAGGCCTAAACGGATTCCTCTCTCGACAACCCATTTTCAACCTACTCTCTCTCAGGCGACAACCTTGTACCATAACAGAAATAAACAACTAATTACCCCAAGATCAGCACTGGAACACAATTTTTTTTGTTCATATGGACAATCCGCTCTGCGTGTTTATTATGAGGAGGGGTTCATCTACGATCTGGCCTCCTTGCGCATCTTGTACGTGCAGATGGGACGCAGGATCGCGACGACCTTGACAAAAGGACCCAAGTCGTCAATGATATCCGTAATCTCCTTGTAGGCGCCAGGCTGCTCTTCAAACAACAGATCAGTATCCTCACAGATCACGCTGGATCCCAGATCGGTGGTCTGGAGGGCAGAGATCGAAGCCTGCTTCGAAGTCTGGGGCCGTTTCTGGAGAGCCTTGGCACGGGGCAGCAAACGACCTGCGCCATGGGCCAGCGAGAAGCCGTTCTTGTCCTGGTCACCGTGGGGCATCACCAGGTATGAGAAATGACCACGGCTGCCTGGGATGACGACGAGACCGCGGTCACTTGGCGCTGCTCCCTTGCGGTGGATCCAGCAGGGTCTCTGTGGGTCGATAGACTCGATGGTCTTTTGTTCGACATTGTTGTGCCAGATGTCGAGGATCTTTGTCGCGTCTTGCTCGGCGTTCAGGCGGGTCAGGACACGGTGTGCGATCAGCTCGCGGTTAGTGCGTGCCCAGGCGCAGGCAAGGTCATGCTGCTTTAAGTAAGCCTGACCGACCTCTGACTCCGCATCGATTCCCTGCAGCTTCTTCTCGGCCTTGGTCTGCATGCTATTCGAGGCCTCCAGAACAGTCTGTCCAAATTTGCGGGATCCAGAGTGAACAATCAGGTAGGTATTGGCGTCTGTAAGACCGATGGAATCACACAGGTCCAGGTCCAATCGACTCTCGATAGTGACGAATTCCGCAAAGTGATTCCCGCCACCTAGTGTGCCCAATTGGTCCAGGTGGGCTTTTCCAGTCTCGGTGTGCTCCTCGCCTAATTGTGAGATCAGGAACGCGTGAGGGTCGCCCTCGGTCCAGCGTCCCTCGAGGCCGTGTAGTTTGTCGACAATCTTTTGGGGTTTGATTCCTGACGACAGTCTCGTCCTGTACACCGCCATTCCACATCCCTAATTCAAATTTGTACATGAACGTGTCAGAGAATTATTTGTGTGGAGGCTGTCAAATGACAAAAGCCCACAATGGACAAGAGGCGCTGGGTGGTAGACTTACAATGTCATTTCCAATCAGTGCTGGGTAGATGAACTTTTGCGTGATAAACGTCGCGCCAATCGGGTACTGGTTGCCTATGAGTATGCAATTGAAAAAGATAACCTATTGTCAGTATTATGTTGGCCAGCATAATTCACCAACAATAGACCTAGAAACAAGTGCTCGCTCAATTACCTGGGTGAAGGTCGGGTTGACCGACGACTTTGCGCATCCCGGGGAGCATTGCTGTCCTGTTCAATTGAGCGTTGGCTTCGGGGTCGACATAACTCTTCTTGGCAAGGATCGAGATCGTAGCAGAGACTTCCGAGTTGATGAGTAATGACTCAAATTTCAAATCTGTTGTTGTTGAGGCAGTGCTGTTCATTATCTCGCCTGTGGATGTTGTGGAATCATCGCCTTCCTGAGTTGCTGATGGTGTTGTTGATGCTGCAGCTCCTGTAGCTGGCAATGACTCTTGACGTGTCTGACCAACATATCCCTCCCCGCAAGAAACGTAGACAAGACTATCGTAATCACAAAGTGTAAAACGACAACAATGACATTAGTGTCGAAAACCATAAAAAAAGAAGATTTGGTTGAAGGTGAATTGAACGAAGAAATATGTGCCATGGTGGGGTACCTGTCCTGCGCGACTTTTCCGTTCTTCAGCCATGACGGATCTACGAGCTCGATGCCATGGTTGAGGTAGAGGGTCTTTGCCTTCTTGAGCCGCAGCTTGTTCTTGGCTAGGGTCAGGATATCGGCCAATGGATCGGAAGTGTCGTCTACTTTGAGAATGACGGCAGATTTCTGTGTCTGTTTGGCGTTGTTGACGAGTGTGAGGCGAATGGAGGGCATTATTGTTGTGTAATTAGGGGTTATCGGAAGTAGTGAGGGGGTATTATTATGGGTAATGGGAAGAAAAGGTTGGGATTGATAGAGGGAGAGAGTGAAGATTGAAAATACCTCAAGAGTATTTAAATACGTCGCGGCAAAGCACAGAAAACTGCGGGCACGGCCCTTGAGCGCATCGTCATATCACATGACCGCCTGCGGTATTCTTCATGATTGCAGTTGCGACCGTCAGGCGTTCTTAACGTCATAGACACACTTGGTTCACACTTTGGGGGCATATAGCCCCCTAGATCTCTTTAACACCTTGTAGTTGCATTTCACCACCGCCAACACAACCTTTCACATCATGCCAGCAGAGGAATTCTACGTGAGATACTAGTACGTCGACTACTCTTCCTCGCATTTCATGGACATCGGAGCATGGCTGACAGGACAGGGCCAGGACAACTATCACGCATTCAAGGCTGGAGAGCAAATGGTAGCAAGCTTTTCCCTTTTGGACTAGATGCAGAACTGGCATATTTTTTTGGTGGCGACTGGAAGGCGTGGACGTTATTTTGAACCCGCCCCCTAAGCATGGAGAAAAACTATCAACTCCAACAAGCAAAAGCCCTCAGGAAGCCATGTTGATTCAGCATTAGATACTAAATTCGATCCTCCGCCTTTTGCCTGCTACTGTTACTAGCTCCGGTCATCAGGGACGATATGGACACGAGTTCATCGAGTTTGAATTCCATGCCGACGGACGCTGCCGATATGCCAATAACTCTAACTACAGGAACGATTCTTTGATCAAGAAGGAGAGTACGTATTCTTTTTTCTCTCTCTCTATTGTTTGCCACCTGAACCATGTCATACTTTACTCCACAACTACAGTCGCGAAAAGATCCAAAGTAGGCCAACACGCTGACATGGTTATTTTGTTTTCTCGACTCTGCTTTTCTAGTGACGGTGAGCCCATTGATGATCAAGGAGTTGAAGAGGATCATTGCAGATTCCGAGGTCATGAAGGAAGACGACCACAAGTGGCCAAAGAAGAACGTTGTCGGAAAGCAGGAGCTCGAGATTCGTTTCGGAAACGAGCACGTCTCCTTCGAGGTAATGAACTCCCTTCCACAACTCTGAGAAGATGGCCTTCTTTTTGGACTTGAGGGTGTCAAAATGTGTACAGCTGGAAACAACGGACAATAGGAGGAAAGCGGGCTTTACGTCACTGAAGGACACTTGGAACAGGACATGACAGTACTGGCATTCAGTCAAGACTTTGCTATGCAGTGGAACGGATTTGCTCTTTGGAGGAGTACATCTATCAAAGTTGATACAGGGTGGCCATTTCAAATCCATACTAGAATGCCACGCGGCATTATTCACTCCAACTCGGCACCAACACCGCCAGACGCAATATCGCCTGTCATTATATACCTGAGCAACACATTACATCAACAAAGACAGCAGATATTGACAATTTTTTCCACTCGTTCCCTTTGTTTACGTTATGTAGACCGCCAAGATCGGATCATTGGTGGATGTCCAGGGCAGTGAAGACCCCGAAGGTCTCCGTGTCTTCTACTACCTGGTCCAGGACCTCAAGTGCTTAGTCTTCTCACTCATCACTCTGCATTGGAAGGTAAGAAGCGACTAAATTCAACAGTGTGTGGCGTTTAAGACATTCGTGGGAAACATACTTAACACTTGTGCTAGACAGACATCTAACCAAACATAACGTGTTGTCTTCTGCTGCTGCTACAATAGATCAAGCCCATCTAAATATTCAGACGAGAAGGCGCACAACGCAATCCTTGAATAAATAACAAAAAGTCCCAAATGTTTTCTGAAAAGTTGCAAAATTGTTGATACATTTCTACGGATTGGTGGTGGCTATGGTACAGTTATTAGAATGGGGAGGGAGAAGATGTAAAAATGAGCGCTCTAAATAAAAAGGAAAAAAAAATGGTTCGACAAAACAATACAAAAAAAAGGGGGCTCGTTCTAGAAGCCTTGAGTCCGGATTTTCTTCTTCTTGGGCCTGGAGCTGGGATCGACAGCCTTGCCGCTCTTGATCATCGTCCGTTTGGTCGCAAACGCGCCCGGAACAGGCTGACTTGCGGCAAACAACTGCGATTGTTGTGAAGGCTGTGATGTTGGTTGTGATTGTATCTCTAGTTTGACGGCGTCCTGGCTGGAACTGTGGCTTCCAAAGACGTCCGTCCCGCGGCTGTTACTCGGTTTCCGATCGCCGCCTGACGGTTCCCGTTTCCTAGTCATAGAAAACAGCCCAGCAGGATGAGACTTGGATTCGACGGGCGACAACTCGCCCTTGAGCCTGGATTGACTGCTGCTGACGCCGCTCTTGATAGAAGCTCCTCTGACAACGGAAGCGGGTTGCGAGAACGAGAACGGATTCCTGATAGCAGTCGTCGTCCGGACAGGGTGCTGTTGCGACCTAGCCTTCAAGCTACCCCTCTGAAGCTGGGAAGCCGCAACAATCGTGGGTGCCGAGAACATGCCATCCTCATTCGCATACCCCATCTGACTGAACAGCTGAACCTCTTCCGTAATAATACCCGCGGGTTGTGAGGCCGAACCCTTGGCGTTGATGTTATACGACGAATCCTGCATCCTGGTGCCACGGATGCTACTCTCCTTCTTCTCGCGCCTCGCACGCTTCTTCAACAACGCCTCCGCTTGTGCCATCTTGGCTTTGTCTGTCTGGAGAACCGTCTCCTCTTCTGCCAGGCTGAGATCGCGATAGGTAAACTCCTGGGTGATGTCGCCAGTGTACCACTCATCCAACACACCCTGTGCGCGGGATGACTGTATGACCTTTGGCTGCTTGAATGATCCGTCCTTGGTGTCCTGGAACAAGTACTTGAATGCAAACGGAGCCTTTGTCGATGACGTTATTGTAAGGCCCTCGTCTTCCTCACCCAAAACTTCAGGCTCCATAGTCTTGACAATAACTGTAGTCGTCAAGGCGAGCTCCTGCGCCATCCGCCGAATAGTCGCCTCCCGAATCTGTCGAGACTCCTGGGAGGGCCAAACACAGGCACCGTCCTCCACCTCCTGGACATTCTCCGACCCAGACGTGCCCACGGCCTGCGAACTCCTCGAACATCCTGCAGACTGACTCTGGCTGCTTCCTAGATCCAAAACGCGCTCTTTTGGAAGAGGATAGAGGTGTTCCAGATACGTCTGAATGGTCTCAACAGTCGCTTCGGAGCTTCGGATCGTGGTGCTGATATCGAGGTCAAATTTAGGCCATGTCCTGAAAACCTTTTGCGTGATGACACGCGAGTCGGAATTTGTAACGAAAGGATCCAGCTCGATCCTGTTCTGGATCTGTTGTGATAGGGCGCTCCGGGTAGTCATGGGTAAATGGGCGCACCTGATCTTGCGGAGGATCTCGTACCTAAAAACCACAGATAACCCAACCAATTCAATTAGGCGCTTATTCCAACGAAAAACAAAAAAAAAAGATATGATCCAGAACCCAGACAGGATTTGCTTACATTGTAACGGACGTGGTACATTGCCCAATAAACATCATGGCTTCGTGGACCTTGCTCTCGAGATCGATATCACCGTCATTCGTCTCCCGATCCAACAGCAGATACCTTCTCAACCCCTCCATCACTTTCCTAACATCGACCATGACATGTGCCCGCACATCAGGTTCAGCTAGCTCGTCGGCCGCAACCTGTGCCTCTTCAACGCCTTTCTTCCATGGCGCAACCCATCCCTGGGAAGCCTTGAAGATCTTCTCAACCATCTCCCACTTCCGAGAATCCTCCTCCGAATCGCCCTCTGACTCGAACTGTCCTGTGTTTTCCTGTGCAAGATCGATCGCCAGAGTGTTCCCAGATGTCAGAATATGGTCTGAAGAAGCATCGCAGTCAGACTCCTGCCTCTTGATCATATCAATCTCCTGTGCGTAGACAGCGCCAGTGGCGGCGTATTGGAGTACTGAGAACTTAATAGTGCTGCTGCCACCGTTGCGCCTCTCTGATGACATCGAGCTCTGGCTCAGACCGCCGTTCTCATCATCCTCGTCGCTCAATATCGCCGACGGCAGTAGAGCCAATCCTAACAGCGGCGGTTTGATCCCCTGGTACATCCGATCTCCAAGCGCTGCCGTGTCACCCAAGCGCGTCAGTGGATTCCTGAGTTCGCTGGTGTTGGTATAGTGAGCATGCGTGTGGAAGGATGGGAGTTCCTGAGCGCCACCGCTCATCGATGGCGGCTCCATTTCTGTTGCGTTTGATCCTTGTGAAAAGTTGTATGCGGTGATGCCTGCATTCCGCATATCCCAGGTAAGCACCGTTGCTACAATAACAGAAGCGAAATGACCAGATATTAGGAGAATGACGATTTAGGAGATATTGTTGGTTAAACAAAGTCAATTGAGACTTACTGTATCGAGATCCGTCGGCAGTGGTGTCCATTGTTTTAAGTCCAAAAGGCATAGCGCGACCCATCTGATGGGATGTTGAAATAAGTGGTCGTTTGGGGAATCGCTGGTCGACGCATGCAATTTGGTGAGAGGTGGCGACGTATGTATAGAATGGTGTAAGTGGTGACACATTGTTCTCCTGAAGTGCTTGGAACGTTTCGCCTTCCCGCAGATCAAATAGCGACGTCGTTGCAGTCGGGCCCTGTTTGAAATAAAAGGCATGCCGTGGTTAGTCTCTGCAGACTCAACGAAGTCCATCGCCGTACAGGTTTGGTAGTACAAGGAAAACATACCCTGTAATCAACTAGCTCCATGTGAGTCCTGGAGGTAACAATCAGATTCGAGGGGTGTGCAGACCAGATGCAGCTCCGCCAGGGATCTTTTTGGTCGTTTGAGGCGTTGTCGTGTTTCCTGATGATTGCTACGGCGTCTGTTGACTTTTGGGTATGTCGTGAGGTGTTGCTGTCTGAACTCCGTCTTGTCCAGATCGCGACCCGCCCTTGATCTCCCACGAGTGCATAGGTATTCGGGATATAAGGCGAAATGGCGGCATGGATTGTGTGGTCCCGACAGTTGGTTGGTTTGCCCGACATGATCCCTACTGTCCGAATGTAATCTGGTTGCATCCTTGCGAGAGACAAAGGAACTTCTAATTGTGGAGCCACGATTGTCACAGCCTCTCTTGTGCGGATCAAAATTTGCTCTATTCGTATAGGAAAAGAAAGAAGGGGTGTTAGCACTGAGAGTAGAGCGGCTTCCTTCTGATGGAGAGGGTCCTGGATCGAACACATAGTACGTACCATCGGCTTTGTCCTTGGAGGATAATGGAGGCGCCGCAATTTGCAAGATAGGTGAAAGGAACTGCTTCAGAGTTGATTTTGGTCGGATAAGGGTGAATGGTGGTTGTTCTTTTGGTTTGTGGCCGACAAGGATGATGGAAAGGTCAGATCCTGTTGGTCCAGTTGGCGTAGCAACGACGGGGAGTCCAATGAAATTACTGGCCGTGCAAACGTTTCCTTGGAACGGGTCGTATATCGACAATGCGAAGTCATCATAAGAGGATTCTGCCAGACTTTCCTGCATTGCTGTGTCGAAAAACCATTCATGTGGGTTATTTGCCATTAGATACGACATCTATTTATGTTTGCAGACAAAAAAAAAATGGTGATGTTGGACGTCAGTTTTCATACAGCCACCCACTGCTAACGTTGGTTGATCTCGCCTTGTTTTTTCAAGACTTACGCCTTGGTTTATCTCCGAGTGGACAGAACTTAAGGGAACAGACTTGGCATCGGCCTTTTTCATGTCAATCCAGCCTTGAGGTGGTCGTGGTTCCCATGGTCGCTCTCTCGATAACATCTGCGTCAACGGCGATGAACTCGTATACCGGAAACCTATCAAATTCATCAAGCAGCTGAGTTCGTTGAGTAGGCGCCCAATGGTCTGCGATTTCAATGAAAACAAAAGGCCAATTGCATCTCCTCAGCCCTAATATCCCACGAGCAAGGCTGGAAAGAAAACAAGCAACAAGAAAAACAAATGAAAAAAAGGCTTCGTCTTTCTCACCTTCGCTCTCTCTTGCAAACTTCCATGAATTGCGGTCGGGGTCGTATATTGCGCCGCCGAGGAGGCCGATGTCCAATATTCCAGCATGCTTTGCATCCCGAGTGGGCCAGAACATTGGCGCCGTCATCATGCTGTGCTCGTGTTGTTGTTGCATGGCATGGTGTGGTGGAGCAGTGTGAGGCTTCTGGAGTCAAGCGTTCAGTTTTTGTTATGAAAAAATGCTATTAGCAGTCACCTCATGCATCCGCACGTGGGTTTTAATTAATGATACAAGGAAAAATACAAAGGTGAGAAAAAAAACTATGTTCAAAGGTCCATCTGCTCAGATGGCCTGCTGTCAGAGAGCTGGCGCACACGGTCTTGGTGCTGGATCATGGCTCGGATATCTTTCAGGAGGGCCTCTTGTTCTGAGCGCTGGGGACGGATGGGGCGTCTTTGGTAGGGGTTGAAGTGGGCGATGACCTGGACGGTTCCTCGCTCTGGGCTTTGAGAGTTGCGAGTCTTGCGGTCCGAGGAGCCTTGTGATGTCTGGCGAGTGCTGCGGGTGGTGGGGGATTTGGCGGACAGCTCTTCGTCGCTCAAGGCGATCTCGGGGTGCATTTTGGCCGTGTGTGTCTAGAGTTCAGATAAAAAGAAGGAATGAGGTAAGCGATTGATCTCACGGCTTGAATGACATCTGACAAATGTTCAACCTTTCAGGTCCAGAGTTTTACCTTCAAGTTTCCGAGCTGACTGAATGATTTGCCACATCCATCCAGGCGACACATGAAGGGCTTGACCTCGTCATGGATACGCTCGTGCGTCTTCAGGTTTCCGAGCTGAGTAAAAGTCTTGTCGCAGCCTGGGTGGTGACACTTGTAGGGCCTCTCACCGGTGTGCTTGCGTTCGTGGGTCTAGGTAGGCATCAATGCAAGCGCGTGCGGTTAGTGATATTGGTGGATATGAAAACAAGTACAAAGAGCATATTGAAAAAAAAAAAAAAGTGATTCGCCAATTACCTTCAGGTTTCCGAGTTGCGTGAAGGAGCGTTCGCATCCGTCGAAGCGGCAGACCTAGATAGTATGAATGTGCAGGAGAGAAAAAGAGATGTCCAAAGAGCGCAACCGTCATAGATGCAACCAAGAGTCGATGCCAACCCGCACAATACCAATGCAAATTGATTTTGTTGACACGGTTGCAAGGAGGCCAAAAGAACGGTAACAAAGCACAAGAGTTGCGTGGGGAGACACACAAAGCGACAGCGCAAAGAACCAACAGCCAAACAGCCAACCAAAGAATGTCAAAAAAAAGCCCACAGGATCACCAGCCAAGCCAAATTGTAGATTAAGTTTTTGCAAAGGTAAAGTGGGACAAAGAGCGGCAAGGCCAAAGGAGCAATAGCGCAAGGAACCCGACAGGACCCAAGAAAAAAAGGAAGCGGACAGAACCCAACAAGCAAAACGCATCAAGATCCAAACAAGAGGTTGGAGATTAAAGAATAAGAGAGAGACCGTGAGTCGTCAAAATAAAAGTACGCTCGTCATTAAACATTACATGAGAGGAATCGAGAAAACAACTCGAGAAAGTAAACACATGAAGTGAAAGAAAAAAAGGACAGTTGAAAGGAAAATTGACAACACAATAAGGATCGACAAAGACATGTATTGCCGCTCGTTCATTCTGCTCTTCCATTCGTATCCCTCGCTCCTCCTCCTCCACAAAGTTCTTCTCTTCATAATCGCTTTTCTCTTTCTAACCCTCCCAAAGCACTTGAATAAATAAATGCTGTGCTCGAACTGACGGATGTACCAAACTTTTCGTCACGGCCGATATCGCGTGGTAAAACAGGTCGTGTTGCCAACAGTAATGTCATCTCAACTATCCATATAACCCGTCCAATACTGAAATCCATTCGCGTCGCTCGCTCTTTTCCATTTGATAATGAGCCGCCACCAATCTTTTTTACTTCGCCTTTCATCCTTGCCGCCACTCTTTACAGTCCATGAAAAATGACACCCAAAACCAAAAAAGAAAAAGACGAAAAGTCCGAACCCCCCCCCCCCCCCAAAAAAAAAAGCAGGAAAGAAAGAATGGAAGAAAGAACGAAAGAAAAAAAAAAAGAACTTGAAGCAAAATCACCGAAGAGAAAACTGGCAAAGAAGAGAGATGTCAAGTTCCGTCAAATGTGTGGGGCCTCCTTTTCGTGCGTTTGAAACCAAGCAGAAATGCATAGGAATCAGTCAGCATTTGGGGACAAGGCAAAAAAATGCCTGAGCGGACAAGGGCTAACAGTGCGGTGGCAAATGGGAGACCTGCTGCAACATGGGATGGGTCAATACCATAACAAGAAAAGACGGCTCTGACTCCAACCTTGGCGAAAGAGATCAAGAACGCGCTTGACATGATCCTCGCGGATCATCCGGTCCATTTGCTTGGTTGAGGGGAGCCACGGAGAGAGAGGTGCGGTCCAAAGGTAAGCAGAGCCGAGATGCTTCGTCTTGGATTAGTGTGCGGCAGTGGCTCCCGTGTCATGCCTCGATTGCGTCTTTGCGTCGTTGCGTCGTGCGTGCATTCATACAGCGTTGGTCTCCCTCGGTCGTGATCGTGGGCGTCATTGATTCCAGATTTCCATCGGACGAAAAAGTGGGCCCCAAACTCCTTTATCTCTTCTTCTTCGCTCCGTTTTCATGTCTCCAAAATTCAATCCTTGCAACAGAGTACAAAAGGTAGAGATTCCAGGAACAGAAGGGAAGACGAGGTATGCAAGAGAGGTAAGGAAAGGGACTTACAAATGGACGTGTCCCCGTGTGACACCTATTGAAAGGTAGATATGACAGAGGTGTGGGTGTGAGTCACGTGGAATGATGGTACCTGTAACCTTTTCTTGTCTCAATCTTTCAGGAACCAAAGCAAGACAAGAGAAAAGAAAAGACTAGTATCACTGGCGGTCATCATCGATAGACAACTCTGGAATGCAAAAGGGCTTACCGCTCGTGAATACGGAGATGGGCGACTTGGTAAAACTTCTTCTGGCAGGTCCCAATCATGCAGGCAAACGACTTTGTGCGCTCGCTGCTCGATCCTGACGACGAGACAGAGCTTTGGCTGCATACGGACATCTTGCGTTGAGGACTCATTGCTGTTGTGGGAACGGTCGACATCTGGTCAGGGAAGGTGCTCAGAGGGAGCGTAGGAGAAACAGGGGAAGGCGGGAAGGAAGCCTCATAGGACATTGATGGAGCAGGAGGAGGCGTAGCTTGGGAGGAGACGACTGATTCCGGCAAGGACAAAGCGGGAAGCTGGTGGAGAGATGGGGTCTCGCCTAGGTCGCTAGACTTTTTCATGAAGAAGGTAGGCGACGAGGGGACGGTGGCGTTGGGGTCCTCGTTTTCGTTGTCATAGTCGTCAAAGTCGATTGAGTAGGCTGGTCTATAGTGGGCGTACTCGAAGTCACCCTCCAATTCTTCAGCAGTAGCTTCCAGGGCGAGGACGAGGGCGTCGAGAGAAGTAACTGGGGGGTTTGACAGGTTCATGAGGCACTTGACGGAAGGGCGGTGGCGGTTATCTTTGGCGAGCGAGTCCATGGTGGCGTGGAAAAGGGTGACAGGGGAGAGCGAGGGGGAAGGATAGGCATAGTTGTTGTGGCTTGAAGTTGAGCCAAGCGAGTCCTTGTGAGGAGTGTTGTGGAAAGCGGAGGATACGAGCATTGCAGAGTACGGCTGTTGTTATTATTGTTAATAGTGTTGCTGTTGGTTTGGTGGCGTTTGGTGTAAGAGTGTAAGGTAGAGGATGATGATGCTGGTGAGGATGATGAGCAGTGGTGGAGGAGTAGAGAAAAGGAGAGCAAAGGGCAAAAAAAAAAAAAAAAAAAAAGGTAAACAAAAAAAAATCAGACTGAGTGATGAGCCACCAAGGAAGGGGTCCCTGCGCAATCAGGGCCTGACCAGTTTGTTGGCCACAGTGACTTGTTTGTTGGCTGTGTAACTTGTATATCACTACAGGAACAAGGCCAAGTCGACTCTTCACATTGCACGAAACTTCCTATCCCCTCACTGGAAAAACCATCATGTCCACCGACAACCAAATGGGCGGCTTTTATTAAATGCAATGGAAAGGTTGGAGGGAAAGGGGTATGAAAGGAGAAGGGAGGAGCAAGTGGAGGAGGAAAGGAGGAAGGTGTAGAAGGGGGTGCCGCGGAGGTAAGCAAGTAGAGTTAGAAGTATTCGTCCTGAGGCATACTCATGTACTTCCTCCTATTCCAAATGGACACGACAACGGTGTAAGCGTATACCTCTCTTTTCTGTCCAACCCCCGAGCGCCATGGCACGTCGACCCCGTGCAATTGAGTCTGCGTTAGTTGTAGTGTCCCTCCTTCCTTGGAGAATGTAACCAGGATGGGGTACATGCATAAAACATGGGTGAAAAGAATACGTAAACAAGCTCCCCTTCACAAGATGAAATACTCACCATTCAAACAGTAAACAATTTCAGCTTCAGCGGTAACTTGTAAGCTGCCTCCTCTAGCGAGGGGCATTGTAATCACATAAGCCCTGATGAGTAAAGACGAAGAAAAAGAAGGGAAAGGTAGGGGAGGGGAATGACACGTTCCTGCCCTCGATCTTAGGTCGGCTTGTTGCAAAAGCTCGATTCTAGAGTTTTTAGTTAGAAGAAACAGAGGAGGAAGAGCCAGACAAATGAAAGAATGAAAAGAGCACACGCCTAAGGACTCACTCCTCCCTCCGTGTCATTTTTTCTTTAGCTTTTCAAGGAGGAGCAGACGCGCTTTCGTGTCCTTCTTTTTCATAGTACCTATAACTTTGCTCGCGATGTCTCTCTCCCTCTTTTCTCTTTCTCTGTCTTTCATTCTCCTTCACCCTCCTCCTAGCTGTCTGTCTCCTTCTTCTTGGTTAAAGGAGGGAGGCCAGTATTCTTCCCTTCAACATAGAAGAACGGACAATGCACCGGCTTATTGGTGCAAAACGCTGACTGGCTGGACAATACACAAATAATGTCGACACGAGAATGTCGTCGTTCACCCGAAGCCGGAGCGTAGACGCATAAAAAGGTGAGGACCGAACCAGCAGGGCAAGGAGGCTCTAAATAGTGAATAAGGGAATAAAGGGAACACACAAAAAAATAAGGATGTAAACAAACAAAACAAAACGAAAATACCAAAAGGATGCCGCCATGGATATGGAAAAAAAGGAGTGTCTACATGATGCTGCCCAGCAACACCATGCGATCGTTCAACCTGTATAATGATATTATTATTATTAGTTGAACCAGATAGATGAATTGAATGGATGGTGGTTGCATGGCCACCTTTCACTCCTGTTCTCTCTTACTGTTGTTTGCCATGATCCTCCCTCTTGGGGTCGAGCAGACAAGACAGGCAACCCTGTCTGCACAGGGTGTGACATGGACAGCAGTTTCCCTGTTTTCTTCTTCCTTTCCTCTTCCTCCTCCAATTCTCATCCTCGTTTTCATTCCTCTCGCTCCTCTTTCTTTTCCTTCTCTTCTACCTCCGTGAGCCTTTTACTTTATTCACTGCTTACAGCAAAGGCTCACTTGCTTTGATTTGTTCTTTTCATTCTCTCTTCTATCTTTCTGGGGTGGCCGTGTCCTTCCTTTCCATTTGGTCAGCATCGATCCCATTGCCTTCTGCATTGCATCCTGCTCCGTGCGTGAGCGTCACTCAACCTTGAATACTCCATCTGCACCTCTCTTTCCCTCCTTTTCTCTTCTCTCTTTTATTCCCTCGCTTCCTCCATTTTTTCCACCTCTTTCGCGATTCCTCCTTCCTTGCTTCTGTTTTCTTTTGTTCCTTGATTCACCGTGCGCTCACTTGCCGCAAGCTGCATTTTCTAATTGCAATTGCTTTTTTTTCTTTCTCTCACACCTGTCTCCGCTTCTCTCTGGCCAACTTTACTCCTTTCCTTCCACCGCTCCTCCATCCATATACAGAGACAAAGGAAGAACTCAAGGACTTTTTTGACCACCCCCACCGATACTTCCTTCTTTTCTTTGAGCAAAAGAAAACGCTCCCTCCCTTTCTCCATTCAAAGAGCACAAACCCCTAGGGATAGCCGACATTCAAACCAATTTGACACCAGTTTCTGCGATATTGCTTTTTTTATTTTCTGTTACACAGCTGCAGCACATTCTCGATCCTCCTCCCCCTTCGCGCGCCACCCCCTCTCTCGCCCTCACATGCCCACTGCACTTCCGAAATCGGATCGTCTGGCGCAGTGGGGCCCCCGCCCTGGTCAGGACAGTAGTTCACTGCCATGCCCACTCTATAATGGTCGTCTCCTCAAACTAGGGTCTAATGATCGCTGGCAATCCCGTCTGTTTACCTTTGACGGTTCAGGTAAACTACATCAAAAAAAGTTCGCGTCAAGGACACACAGTTTTGGTGTTCTTACCCGCGCGCTTCACTTTTTTGTTTTTCATTCTCAGCCTATGCTTTCTTACGCACTGACATTAATTCTCCTTTCTCATTATTGTTTCCCTTCACACCTCTACTTCTGCTGACCACACACCATCTACACCACCGAATTGCAAAAACCATTTTATCACTCAATTACAAACACACCATCCGGTTTACTATGAACAGTTTTTACCTGCGTCGGTAAGAAGCCCAAGGCGCCTGTGATTATGACCTATGATCCGTACGTCTCGTCGCCTTTTCAATCTCCTTCCTGCCACCCCCGACCACTGAACCCCAACACAAAGTGGTACATCGAGATTGCCTCCATTACTGCCATCAAACTCTTGCCCGTCACAAAGATCCACAGGTGCTTCCCCTACAGCGATACCTCCAAAGAGCTGTCGATCCAGACCAACGATGGACGCAGCATGACCCTTCGAGCAAGCAAGGACGTCGAGCTCGAGCGCTGGTACTTTGTCCTCTCCAAGGTCTGGGAACTTCAGCATAAATCGGAACATCCCGTTGCTGCTGGTGTTGCTGCGGAGGAGGAGGAGGAGAAGAAAGAGGATGCGGACGTGGCCGAATATGCGACCTCGCCTTGCGCGACAAAACATCTTGCAGCACATCAACAGTCGGCTCAACTCTTTCAGCGATACCTCCAGAAACAATATCAACACCAAGAGAGTGCCGAATCTCCTCAGGAATCGCTTCCCTTCCACCATCATCTCCGACCACAACAAAAGAAGAAGCCCCGGGAGAGCTTTCTCCCTTATGAAATCCCTCCGCCTCCCCGTGTATCCGCATTTTTGCCCCAAGGGTTCGAATGGTCCCTTCCAGAGCAAGGCGACGAAGATGACTTACCTATCGGTTATAATAATACTCATGGAGGCTATCCAGATACTCAATCAGCATCTGAAGAACAACGGGACCGTCGGCCGATGGAGCGTCAAACTTCTTGGAGTCACCATCCTCAACAACAACGCCAGCAGCAGCAGATACAACAAAAAGGGCAACAACCACTTCAATTTCAAGGATCCACCTCAATGGTAGTCCCAGGAAATCGTCATTCAGGAGAGGTTCTGCACACTACCGCCTCGGCAGAGATGTACCACCAACGCTTTGCGTGTCCGGCAGCGAGTTCGATGGAGCCAAGAAAGGCAGCCATTATTGACAATTGGCGACGGAGTCTTCACCTGCCCTTGCTTGTTGACGATACTACCTCGCCTCACGTGGATGACTTTGCTGCTATCGGTGTGAGCCAACAACAGCAGCAGCAGCAGATGCGCGCACGGGCCACTGATCAAGACCTGGCTGATTTGGTGCTGATGGACAGTCGTGACCTGGAGACAGCACTCAAGCGATCGCCCATCCTTGGTCTCGACATGGCGGCCTGCAACAATACCGAGAGTGGTGGTCTTCATTCTGCCACCATTGTACCCTCCCCCATCACAGACTTGACCTTGACACACCGGGCCAACAACGCTCACGAAGACTACTCCTACACCAAGAATGAAATCTTTGCCCACGTCTACCAGGACAACCACCATTATCATCACCAAGCACAGGACCACATTGTCAAGCACCTCTCTATCATTGCGGGCAACAGCAGATCCAGCACCATGGCCAAGGAAGAGGATGAACTCCCCCTTGGACTCCTCCAGTCCAACCGACACTCGCGATGGCTGAACACCCAGCTCTCCTCCGAGGACGGAGCCTCAAACGCTCCAAGAGAACAACAGCCGCAGCCGACAGGTACCCTCACAACCACAACCACCCACCAACTCCTACCCTCGGAGCCGATTACACCTGAACGAACCACGGCCAAGAACTCGGGTGCCCTGAACCAGCTCAACAGTCTTGCCTCTGCCGCCCACCTTGACAGCAACAGTAACCTCTGCTACCTTCCCGTTGCTCTCATCCCCTCTGCTACTTCGTCAAAGATTGAACGCGCCCCATTCACCGTCCATATCCCCATCCGTCAACTGCGACGATGTCCCAGTATCCCGCCCTCCTCTGTCAACATCACAATCAACAAACTCAAAAAATACATTCCTATCGACACCACACCCTACACGACCATCAGCTCTTCACTCCCTCACCATCCTCCTCCTCGCCCCCCACGACCCCCAAGCGTTGGTCTCAACTCTCTGGCCGGCCCAGACGAACTCAACAGCGCTTCTCTACGAGCCCCCTTCAGCATTAATATCGACAATCGTCTTAATAACAACAACAAAAACGACCTCTCCCAAAATAATCCTTCGCCTCCTCTGCCCCCTCCCTCGAACTACACTAGAAAACAACCCCATAACCGCCTCTCCCTCTCGCGGTCCATCTCGGCAAAGTCCACCCAAGCCCTTCAGCAACAACAACAGCAGCAGCAAGACTATTCAGTCTACCCATACCAAACAGCACCTCTCCCTCATGACGATGACGACGACGAGGACGAGGATGAGCCCTTGGCATTGACCCTGTCCCGCCAACAGTCCTTCCGACAGCGTCAAGCCCTGTCTCATATGATGCAGCACCAGCAGCAGCAGCAGCAACAGCAACAGCAACAACAGCCATCCATGCCCGCAGTATACAAGAGAATCTTATCCACCACTGAGCATTTGCCAGTTCCCTGTATCGCACTTGCAATGCTATAAGCAGGTGACTCCCGCAGCGTCGAGTGAAAGTGTCAGTTACTACTGAAAAAAATAATATAAACTATCGCCGTTTGTTGTTGTACACATTGGCAGCTGTGGACATTGACGAAATAAAGGGGTTGGGGCAAGCTGAGAAATCAAGTTCTTTTTGGTTGTTGTCCCTATCTGCCCCTCTTCTCTCTCATCCACCTTTCCCCTCTCTTTCCACCCTTTCTACCATTGGTCCCAATTGATATTCGCTTTTCGGTTCATTTCTTGCGAGGATTAGGGAGGAAGGAGGGGGGGAAGGGTTAAAGGAGAAAGAACAAAAAACGACGGCGGTCAAATATCTCGAGGCAATTATCAAGGAAGAAAGTGAGAAAGGATACGTTTCATATGTGCATGCGCGTCAACCACGGCAATGGCAAGAAAAAAAATGTGTGTCGTTTTGCTAACACATAATTCCATGCCATGGGAAGGATGAGCAAGGAGTCATGAACAAGTCAAAATAGTATTTGTTGTCAAGGAACGGAGTGGATGTAGCAGCCATCATTTATCGCTAATCCTTTCTAGTAAAAAAAGACACTACGTCCACATTCTGGAGGAAATGCCTTTGTTTTAGAAAGGACAGGAGAGCATTCATTATCAGGCCATGCATAGCTGGTACCTTTTTTTTTTTTTTTTTTTTTTTTTAAATTCATGGTGCCTGGTTCTGGATAGAAGGATGATGTCGCTTTGGGGACATATTAGATGGGTTTGCTGCAGCGGGAGAGAGAAAGAATGAATGAGAGAGCTGGCTCAAAGTGTGGCTCATTTTTCTTTTTGGATGAGACACGCACGAATGGCAATTCATTTGCTCAGGAACCAGGAGCTTCAGAGAGATAGGAGTCGGGTGAGGAATTGGCACATAAAGAGACAGGCAGACACAACGCGTGTGTTTTGACAGATGGATGATAGGAGAAGAGAGAAGACGAAGAAGAGAGAAGAACCCGCAGGAATACCAATGAAAAGAGATGGTCAAATGGACAAGGACAACAACAAAAGGGACGAGAAGAGAAGAGAAGGGAAGAGAAGAAAAGAGAAAGAAATGGTTGCCGAGTGGGGTCATGTGGCTCACACCACTCAACAATGACCATCGACTGAGCCAAAAAGTTGAACCAAATGAAAAATCAAACATGCAACTCAGACGCATAAAGCAGAGAGTCCTTTTTTCGTGTTCCCTCTTCTTTTCTTTTCTCTTCTTTTCCTTTTTTTTCCTTTCCCTTCTTCATACACATCCCTTTCCCTCAACCCACACTTAATCAAACCAACACATCAACCATGGACAAGTTCAAGGAGGTACGTCCCTCTCTCTCTCTTCCTGCCTCACTTTCTCTCATTCGCTACCATTACTCGCTTTCTCACTTCCATCGCCATCGCAGCTTTCCAGTGCACAACTCGATTGCGGAAACACAGCAGAGACAGAGTGGTGCCTGAGAAAACAAGCTATTGCATACCACATGATGCGTGGTCCTTGAAACTCATGATTTTTTCTCTTTTTTCCATTATCATGCCCTGCCCTGCCTTGCTTTGCCCTGCCCTGCCCTGCCTGTCCTGTCCTCCTGCCACCCGCTGCTGCCACGTCCTTTTCCAATTACCTCGACTGCTGCCTGCTTCTGCTACTGCTAATTCACCAACAAAACAGAAACTCGCCGCCCTTCGTGAGGAAGTCAACGCTGCCGATGCCCGCGCCCTCGAAGCCGAGACCAAGGCCAAACTTCTCTCGGATGAGCAGATCCAGAAGGATCATGAGATCACCTCATTGAAGAACAAGCTCAACTTGGTCGAGTCTGACCTTGAGAAGGCCGAGAACAGAATCGCCGAGGCTAAGCTCAACTTGGACGAGGGCGAGACCTCAAAGACCGTCGGCGAGACTCTTGCCCGTAAGGTCTCCCTCCTCGAGTCCGAGCTTGACAATGCTGAGCGCAACCTTCGCGAGACTACCGAGAAGTAAGTTTCTTGTTGTTACTTCCCACTGCACTCTTTCCATTGTCTGCATTCACCCGCCCCTTTATCTTTCATTCCTCCTTCATTTCATTTCCATGCCTTTTTTTCGGCTTCTTTTCTGTATGCTCCTTCTTTTTATTACTTTTCTTGTTCGACCTATTTGTGGGATGAGAAGCATGAACATGAGTACCAGCAACAAGAAGTGTCGTCTCAGTCAGATACGACAGCAATACTATTTTGAGAGCAGGAGTGCAACGAGAAAGAGAGTTCAGAGAAGGTTTTCTGATATGTGGGCCAGGAACGAATGAAATGAGGAACTGAGCCGTCGGTTTTATTTTTACAACATTCCTTTTCTACTTTGACACTCCTCCACCTCTTTTTCATTCTCTTTAATACCTCTCAACAAGCATATGCTCACCATCATACTCATCATCATTTCTTATGCTATCTTTATATACTAATCTATAATGTCTTCCTTCCTTCTCACTCTCATCTCTTACAGGTTGCGCCAGATGGACATCAAGGCAGAGCACTTTGAGCGCAAGGTTCAGCAGTTGGAGAACGAGCGTGACACCTATGAGCGCAAGGTCGAGGACTTGACCACAAAGTACAACGGCATCAAGTTGGAGTTGGACGACACCCTTAAGTCTCTCGATGATCTGTAAAAGAAGCAAAAGGACAAACGATCTGGCACCACCAACATCTTGCTCATCGTCATCGGGAGCCTAGCTTTATCGAAACGACGATGTAACGCAATGTGCTGGCGGTCTCAGGAACACGCTCTTTTTCTTTCCAACAGCAAAACATACCTCCCATTTTTTCTTGCATCCTACCGACGCTCTATTTACTTTGCCGCACTTTTTTTTTCTTTTTTTTATTTTCTGGAGGGAAAAAAAACCAACACATATTCTTAGCTTACAAATAAACGATACCATCGCGAGAAAAAAAAATTGCTGATTGAATGCTGTTGAGAACATAGGGTTTTTATGGGTGTTACTATGGTACAGGACAAGTAAAAGATTGTTGTCGCTTCTAAGATTCTAAGGATATTAAATGGGGAAAAGATGGTGTGTATGGTTTCGATGGGGCGGGGGTTTCTACCAACGTAATGTTCAGAAGCTCTAGGTCGAGAAGGTAGGTGGGAGGATCGAGGGTACAGAAGAAGAGATGGTGGATGGCGAAGAGGAAGAAGAACCAGAAGCTGGCGTCTTTGTCGAATCGCCTTCAAGGTTTTCCTTAATGTACTCATACGCAAACAAGTACCCCATCCCTCCAGGGATAGCCGCCATAACCTTGGGCGCCATCCCCTTAAAGAACCCCCTCACCCCCTCCTGTTTCGCAATCAACTTTGCCATGGCCCACCAACCCTTCTTCAACTGCTCCGCCTGTTCATGATGGACACTATCCAACAGCTGTAACCGCACGCGGACCATATCAAAGGGGGACGAGATGACCAACGACATGACCGAGGCGTTCAAGGCCGAGAGTCCAACGATGAAATAGTTGTTTTGGGAGAGACGGTAGTGGGTATAGAATGAATCTGTTTTGCCTTGACGGAGGTGGTGTTGTTCTTTTGCGGAGAAGTGGTTGAAAAGGACTTTTTTGGAGGCTTCGTAGCCGGCCCAATGGGTGACGCTGGAGGGTGTGAAGGCGAGGAGGGTTGCCATGAAGCCTTGGTAGTATCCACGTAAGCCGTCCGTCCTGTAGATCGACTTGAAGATGTCTATTTAGAAGCAGCAGCGTCAAAGCAACTCATTTGTCAGGTTTCCAGGTACGTGTCTCTTTAAACAAAACATGCCAAGCCTAGAATGCCACCTCATTCGTTCCCCCCTCTCTCTCCACCCCCCTTTTTGCAAGTGGATCCATGTCAATTACCTAGGCTGGTCATGTGGGGACCCCCTTTTGATTCCGATTGGATACGCAATCGCTGGGAGATGATATCTGTGGGGACATACAGAATCGCCGAGAAGGCTTCTGCCAGAAATCCTGCCGTTCCTGCCACAGCGACCTCTAATTATTGTTCGTAATTAATTATGTGTGTTGTTGTTGCGTTAGTCACTCGCTTCTTTGCTTTTGTTTGAAGCTCTTCTTAAAGCTTAATGCATGTCCTCTGGTTCGTCCATTGGGTTATCTCGTCGTTACCTCGCATGGCGCTGTTGGTGTTGTGGTGATCGGGAAAGTTATGCTCGATGACGGATGTGGCGTGCTCGTAGACACCGAGGTATAAGAACTGCGAAGGCAATGAAGTCAGCACTAGATTTAACAAGAGAGAGAGAGAGAGAGAGAGAGAGAGAGAGGGAGGGAGAAGGGACAGTCAGCATCTTAGATCTTCATGTGTTTATACTCTTGTTCAAGTGCCCCTTGAGGTCGTTGTGCTTACAGAATGGACCAAGGCCACGGAACAACTTCGTGGGACCTAATATGGCAGGAGATAACGGTATTGATTTCAGTAGTTAGCATGCTGTGATTATGATGAACTGGCAACGGATATCGTCCTTTAAAAAAAGCAGCTTCGCAAATATTATTATTTTTACCTTCAGTTCTTGCAATGTCGCGCAGCAACTTGAATGTCGATTGAGGCCGGTTCTACGCAATCCAATAAAAAAAAACAGTATTTGGTTCGTAAGTATCTTGATGAAGCTGCAGCAGAGGTGCTTGAAGCGTATCCCATCTGAAAAAAAAAGAGTTTCTCCCTGTTGCCAACATACATCCTTGCTTGCTTGCATCCTTGTCCTGGCGACTTCCATAGGCCACACCACGACATCTAATGTTTTTCAAGCACGCATTGAAAAGCATAAACCAATAAAGCCCGCGGGAAGTTTTCGGGTATAAACAAATGAAAAAAGGCGTGTTAACAAGCTGGAAGAGGAACACATTCCACGCTACGGGCACAGCGACAAAATTTAAGCACTAAATGTCCAAGAACGGTTCCTGAGTTGTCGTTTTCTTGAAAACAGTAGGTGAAGTAACTTACCGAGGCACATAAAGACACCGGTTCCTTGGAACATGTAGGCGATGACATTGGCGGGGCCCAAGGTGACCTTCTTCTGGGTGTAGGGTTGTGTGCCCGTGTTCTCGACCAATGCCGTCGTCACAGGGTGGGATATCGTTGCCATCTTGAGTTAGAAGATCGGGGAGGCAATTGAGGGTAAAGGGTGGATAAAGGGAACGAAGGGGTGTTGGTTGGGCCTTGAAAACTAAGGAGTAACAATAGGGGGGAAGAAAAGAGTGGGAGAGGGCTGATCTGAATGTCGAAGCTCTGATCCTTTTTCAAGTTTCGCTGGTGGGAGGAGACGGGGTTTGGAGTGAATGGCGACTCTGAACAAAGAGTTGCTTGTTGGAAGAGGGTAAGTGTTGTTGCAGATGTGTGATGGCGCAGAGGAGGGTCGATCTGATGATGAGTGTCGAATTCCCCAGGGACCACCGAGGCTGATGTGAAGAAGCAAAAGATCAACGGCTGCGAGAGTCCTTTGTGATAATTTCCATTTCGGGAGTACTGATGTTTTGACAAAGGCCCCGAAACGAAGAGACACCGGGAAGAAGGGGGACAAGAAACTAGCCCTTAAGAGACATATCTGGGCGTAGCCATTTGGCTGGTGAGTGTGCAGTTATGGGAATATGATCGATCCATGCAATTAAAGGAGGTCTAAAGCACAAGTTGTGTGCAGTTAAAGAGGCAGCCACCAATTTGTTGATTTGATCAAGAATGAAGAGGGCGAGACAGTCAAGTGCAACCTGAGTGGTCATGTCTCGCATTCACGCATTCAAGGCTGCTCGGGCCGAACATACTGCCATTGGCAAAGTTTATGTGCGCCCTTATTGCTCCTTTTTGCTGGGGTCCAGAAGGGCAATGGTCATTTAGAGAAAGATGCAGGCTGAACTGAACCTGCCCTTGCCTCTGACATACACGGTCCTCTTGCTCTGTAACCCCACCAACCACGCACGCGGGTCAACCTTTTAGCAGCTGTTCTTGAAAATTTGAAAATTGCGACGATCGAATCGAAAAGTAAAAAAAAGTTGAAAAAGTGCGCATCATCGGTTGGAGCGGCGGTGGTCCCTGCCAGACTGACAGACATCATCATCATCATTATCGCTGTTTTTATGATACTCCCGTACGTTAAAGGAATTCCTCCTTATTTGTCTCTCTCTTGTGGGTTGAATTGAGGTCATATCTCTCTATATTCTCAAGCATTATTATTAACAAGCATTATCCTTCAACAACCTTAACACTTTTTACATCCTCGCTCCCTTTCAGTCGCATCCGAAAAAAAAGAAAAATGACTGGTGCCTTCTTTTTTCCGTCTTCTTGAACAACCCATCCTTTTCTCGCATAAATGGCCCTTCAATTGCCTCACTCTTCTTGTCTTCCTTTCTTCCATAACTCAACCAAAGTTGAAAACCTCTTACACCACCACTTCCTCATAACCCCTTTCTTTCATTCACTACAAACGCAGCACTCTGTTCTCTTGCCAAACCCCTTCTCGCAAAGTCCCTTACTTCCTCTTCTTCAGTATCTTCTTCTTCTCTCTCTCTCTCTCCCCTACTCTCGCTTACCCCTCCCCTTCCTTCACCCGTCCCCTCTTTTACTATCCTGCTTCTCACAGCCCCCTATCGACCTTTGTTTTTTCTTCCACTTAAAACCTCCCCAAACACTTTTTTCACACCCTCTTTTTCTCTTCCATTCTCTTCCGCCTTCAACATCACTCTCCCTCCCTTTCTATTTCTCTCACCCCACAGTCTAAAAAAGATACTCAAAATGTCTCCAGCAGAAGTAATTGCCGCCACCCCAGCAACCAAGCCCAGACGAGGCCTGGCATCGATCAAGACCATGTTCAGCACCAAGAGACACACAGTTGCCCAGATCCCCTCTTCTTCTGCTCCTATCTCTGAGGAGGATTCGAACAACACTCAATTGCCTACACCTTCGGAATCTCCCTCAGCCGCCGATAGCGCAGAGTCTTCGCACTCGTCATCATCGTTGCACAAAGCCTCGTCGCTGTTTACGCCCAACCCGAAAAAGGCCCAAGAAAAGGCCGCCGAGAAGGAGAAGAAGGAGCAGGTCAAGCAGGCCATCCAGCTGAGTACCGTCGACCACCACGGTGCCTTCTTGCCCCCGACCCCACTCGAGAAGGGCTACAAGGATCACTTCAAGGATAACGACGAAGATTACTTTGACACCATCATCTCGACTCCTCCTGAGCGTGTCAGGACCTTCCTCTCTGCTGCGTCGACCATTAGCCCCGGCATGTTCTCTCTCCCCTCCAGCAAGATCAAGAGACATACTTTCACGTCCTTCCCTACGACCAACTTTTCCAAGCCTCCTACTACCGCATCGGCTCCAACGTCTCCAACGACTGCTTCTATGGAGCAGATGGCCAGCTCACCTGTCAGCCAACGCCAACTCCCACCCACGGTCCCACCCAAGGATATGTACTACACTCCCAAAAAGCAACAGATCCGTAACCGAGCCCAGATCTCGTTCTTGACGGGCGACGGATCGGACGAAGATCTGACCGAAGCCCTCGCAGACTCAATCGGCTCCCTGCTCTCCTCCTCAGGCCCTGCCTCGCCTTCCCAGGAGATCCCCGACTTAATGGCCGATGACGACGAACACTCTTCTTCTGGGTCCGAATCGCCCTCGTCATCGACCAATGTCTCACCCAGACATTCGACCGCCTCGCTCCAGTCGTCTGGAAAGATGATGAAGAAGTGGCAGCCTGAGGAGCTTAGCCTTGGAGGGGAACTTGCCATCTCGCACTAAGTTGGCATCTTGTGGCAGTTGCTCCTTTCTCTTCATCCCCTACCTTCTGCACCCCCATCTCAGTAATATATCCTTGTACCTATAGCCTCGTTCTCCTTTCTTTATATTTTAGTAGCTCCTCGTAATTCATAATACCACTCTATCTCTATCTCAATTGATCTATCGCTTCTTTTTTCTTGTCCCCCTTTTTCAACAGTACGCATGTGTCCATGCAAACCTAACAATAAAAACGTTGCTCTGCTCCTCCGAAAAATCTCAGAAATGAAAACGCTCAATTGACATCCATCTCAACACTGCAACGGACTTCTTTTTTTTTTTTTTTTTTTTTTTTTTTGGTCTTTTGTTTCTCAAAAATAACCACATCCCCTTTCCACGTCTGCGGAAAGGAGGAAGGACATTGGGCGAGGACGGTGCAGCGTTGCAAGATAGATAGGTACCACCTCCTTGTCCCCACCTTCTCTTCTTCAAAAACGGGGGGGTTTTTTTTTGTTCAATGGATCTGTTTTATTTTTCTGTGGTTACATCATACGGCCCGGCCCAATAACCCATCAGTTCTACCTTCGGGTGGGAAATAGAAAAGAGAGAAACACAATTGTTTTGATTTGTTTTTATTTTAGTTTCTGTAGAGTGAGAAGTTGCATGCATGCATCTGCGGAAAAAAAAGGGGGGTGGTCAACAACAGAGAAACGAGAAGGGAAGGAAGCGGTTTTGCGCTCCGCGTGGCCAGGTTCTTGCAATTACTTTGGAGGTCCAGGGTAAAGGTAAAAAAAAAAAAAGAATACGCAGCATCCCATTCAGCTTAGGAATCAGGTCAAGAAAATCACATTTGGGACCCTTGAAAAAAAACCCCTTCCTCTCCCAAATACCTCGATGTAGTTTTTTTTTTTTTTTTTTTTTTTTTTTTTTGGAGAAGTTGCGCAGACTGGGACATAGTCAACCCAGAATAAAGAACGGGCTGAACCGTGGGCTGACCTTCTTGTACTTTCTCTTTCTTTGATGTGGATTTGTACAGCCAAGCTCAAAAAGTCGGAGCCAAAGTCAAGTCGTCGTCAAGGCGCCTACCTACAGAAATGGACTTTTGTAGTGACCAACAAACCCCTTGCGGCGTAAGGGGAGGAGGGGGAGGAAGAAGTTGTGCGAAAGGGAGGTATTCCAGATTTCATCATCAGGTACCATTTTGAACCCTAGAACAGGCTAGAAGAAAACTAAGCCTGGAATGGAGTGGGCTGCTAGGTGGTGACGAGCTGAGCTGAAGAGAGCTGGCTCAACTGTGGCACCATTCCATAGAGCGAACAACAACTACTGTAGTCCGTGATACATACATGTCGTCAAGCGCGTTAGTATGTATTGCACCACAAGATTCGACTTCATCAGGTTCGTTTCTGTGGTAAAGAAAAAAAAGGAAAATGCATGACAGCTGCCCCAGATCATGCCAGATGTAACAAATCAGATGAATAATAAATTCCCCTTGGATGCTTGTACGTGAATGGTTCGATGTAAGTAAGCTACTTGTTTATTCTCTTTATGCTGCACTCGCCATAGGTTCCCTCCTCCCCGCGTTTGCCCCAACTCCAAGATAAAAAGAAAAGAAGAGGGCTGTTGGGTTAATTTTGATAAGAAACCTCGTGCCCCGAAGGCAAAAAAAAAGTATGCACCAATCTTAGGCGCAGGGGAATGGGCCTTTGACTGAAATGAAGAAGAAAAATTGCATGCCTCTCCACTCAAGTACCCTGCATGCATGGCATGAATGATGTTCTCTCTTCCTCGTGTACTTGGACGGATAATCAATCGGACAAAAAATGCCTCGTTTTTATTCTTCCTACCGGATATCGGATTCAATTGAAACTAGAGCCAGAAAAAGTAACCGTTTCCTAATTTATTATTTTACACGCTGGCTTCTTGGAGGGACTGGTACTCGTTGACACTACCTCTGGCGAAAACCTGTTGTTGCTGGAAGACGGGGAGAGACGAATCTGGGTGCGAATCGCCACCTTTACTACCCCAGGCGCCTCCACCGGGAGTACAGATCATGAGACGGTCCCCAGTCTTGACATGGGCCGTGTTCTTTCCAGAAAGATTGACCGTTCTAAAGACTGTCTCGGTCTCGTCCTTGCTGATTGTTGAAGTCGATTCCACGGCAAGGAGGAGGCCGTCCTTCTTGCGGATCGTACGCTTTTGGACCCACAGGTTTTTCCCCGATGCTCCGGGCCCACCGCCTGCCATGCCGTAGGGCTGGAAGACTCGGCGCTCGCTCAGGATCGACACCTCCATGGGTTCCAGGAACTCGATATCGCGGACCAGACCTTCTCCACCAGGGTGGAGTCCCTCTCCTCCTGAGCCGGCTCGGAGTGCAAACTCACGAAGGATAACAGGGTATCTTCGTTCCAGGATCTCGGGGTCCGTAATACGCGTGTTTGTCATATGCTGTGAGTAGGACAAGAAAATATGCTTAGTGATATGAAACTTTCACAAGATGAACCCCATGATTCGAATGTATCTCACTTTTTAGTTGGCAACTTACAGTGTGCACACCGCTTTGTCCGTTCCAAGTGGGTCCAGCACCGGCACCTCCAGCAATGGTCTCATAGTATCCCCAGCCCTCAACAACCTTGGCATCACCCGTTTCGGCATCCAAGGTCTTGCCCCCAACACCGAAGGTCAAGTTGTTCATGCAGCCCTGGGAAGCACCGCAGACCTGGAAGGCCTTCAAGATCACATCGACCAGCCTCTGCGAGACCAAGACATTGCCTCCGACCACAGCAGCCGTCTCTGAGGGAGCCAACATCGACTTGTCAGGAATGTTGATTGTGACCGGGGACAAGCAGCCCTGATTCAATGGGATGTCCATCGCAACCATGCAGCGCAAGCAGTAAATGATGGCCGAGTGGGTGACCGAGGTAGGTGCGTTGCAGTTACCGTACACCTCCTCGCTTGTGCCCTCGAAATCAAAGATGGCCGATCCATCCTCGGGGTTGATCTCGATACGAAGGCTAATCCTACTACCGTCGTCCATGCAGTCCGAGGCGACCAAGTCCTTGCCCTGCGAGCGACGCAGTGCGCCCTTCAAGAGGTCGCGGACGGCCATCTCGGCGTTCTTACGGATATGCATCATGTAGGCCTGAACCACATTCAGACCATACTCGCCAATAAGCGCCTTGACCAAACCGATACCTTTGTGGTTGGCAGCGACCTGTGCCTTCAGATCCGAGACGTTGTCGCGCAGGCAGCGAGTTCCACTGCAGCCAGGGTACTTGGCGGGCTCGTCTACCAGCAGCTTGGTCAGTCCCTCCAGATCAAAGTGGCCCTTCGAGACCAGCTTGAAGGACCGGATCGCAGCGCCCTCCTGGTAGAGCTCCTTGGAGTTGGGAGGCATCGATCCTGGCAAAATGCCTCCGATATCGGCATGGTGTCCACGGGAGGCGACAAAGAAAACAATTTCGCCATTGTTGAAGACAGGCGTGATGATGGTGATATCGGGCAAATGGCTTCCTCCAGCGGCTGGGTGATTGGTCATAATCACATCGCCCTCGGTAATGTCGCCCTTGTAATAATCCATCTGGTACTTGACAGCGTGCGACAATGATCCCAGGTGGACTGGGATATGAGGCGCGTTAGCCACCAGGCCTCCGTCGGGTCCAAAGAGTGCGCAAGAAAAGTCGAGGCGCTCCTTGATGTTGGTGCTGATGGCAGTCTTTTGGAGAGTTCGTCCCATCTGTTCAGCGATCGACATAAAGCGGTTGCCAAACACAGCTAACATGATGGGGTCCATCTCGGTCGTCACCTGCGACTTGTGTCCGTCGCCAATAGTGATGACAACAGTGCTGGATGTTACCAGACCTGCGCAGAATGGCTGGATCAGGATGGCCGAGTTGGCATCCATGATGATGGCGGGTCCTGCAATGGTGGTGCCAACAGGCAGTTTCTCGAGCAAGTAGGTGGGAGTCTTGTCGTTGCGTCCAGTTTCGAAGTAGATGCTGGTCAAACCCTCGGCGTTGGAAGGATCAACAGATGCGGGCTTCAAAGTCTTGATTTCCTCGTGAACAGACAAGGACGAAGTCTGAGCCGACTTGCCAATACCGCGAACACGGACATCATCGACAATAATGTCGCGGTCAGGCAGATGGAAACCAAACTCGTACTTGTAGTTCTCAACAAAGGCCCCGGAAAAGTTCCAGTCTTCCGCAGCCTCAGGCTTGAGAGTCATGAGGGCGCAGTCTGTACCGTTGTATCGGAGGTTGAGGTAGATCTCACAATCGATACGATCCTTCTCGAATCCCTGCTTTCCGAGTTCATCGTGGCACTGGGAGACGAGGACATTGATTCTCTCCTTCAGTCCTGGCAAGGATTTCTCAGAGAGGTTCTCGGAACTGGGCTCTTGTGCCTCATAAACGACATCGGCCAAGGACAGTCCGTAAGCAGAGAGGACCGAACCGTACTTGTGAATAAAGATGTTGGAGATGCCCAAGGCGCGTGCAATGGCGCAGGCGTGTTGGCCACCTGCTCCTCCAAAGACGGAAAGAATATGCTTTGATGCATCATGTCCCTTGGCTTCTGTGAGAGCGCGAATAGGACGGCACATAGACTCGTTGGCGACCTTGATGAATCTATAGAATGTGGTGTTGGGTTTGTCAGTTCTCTGCTCACATTAAAATCGCGTTGCCTTTTGAAATCGTGTCAAAGATAAACGCCATAAAACTTACCCATATGCAACTTCGTCAACAGACATGTTGTTCCACTGAAGACCCTCTGCCTCCTTGTCCTTGGCCATATAGGTGTTGATCTCCTTCGTGAGCTCCTCGAACTTGCTGCGTGCAATTGCGACATCCAACCCTTCGTCCTCCTTGGGGCCAAAGATCTTGGGGAAGTACTCGGGGTTCAGGCGGCCAAGGACCAAGTTGGCGTCGGTCACAGTCAATGGCCCACCCTTGCGGTAACAGGCAGGTCCAGGGTGTGCGGACGCACTCTCTGGTCCGACCACAAATGTTCCGTTCCTGAAGAACAGCATCGATCCGCCTCCAGCGGCGACAGTGTTGATGTCCAACTGAGGTGCCTGGACAGTCACTCCGGCCGTGGTTGTTTCAAACACGTGCTCGTACTTGCCGCTGAAACGCGACACGTCCGTGCTGGTGCCTCCCATGTCGAATCCAATGACAGGGACACCGTCCTTGGGGTCGTATGCAGTCATACCATATCCGACAACACCTCCAGCCGGACCGGAGAGAATGGCACGGAGACCTGAGAAGTGGCTGACGGGAACCAGACCACCATCACTCTGCATGAACTGTAACGAGACGTTCTTGGTGAGGTTCTCGTCAAATCCACTGACGAATCCGTCGACATAGGTCTTGATGCATGGTGTCAAATATGCATCAGCGGTGGCAGAGGTTCCACGGGGGACCATTTTGATCATGGGCATGATGGCCGAAGAGAGAGAAATGTGAGTAAAGCCGATCTCCTGAGCGAGCGCGCCTACCGCCTGTTCATGGTCGACAAATGTGTAAGAGTGAAGAAGACAGACAGCGATGCTCCTGAATCCTTGGCTGTAAAGGTCCTGAAGCTGCTCCTTGATTTTGATCATGTCTATTTTTTTCAAACATGAATAGCATTTCGTCAGTAATGTGAGGAGAAATAAACTGTAGCCATTACCATTTGAACGCAATAGCTAAGCGTACCAGGCTTTCGTAACACATGGACGTATTCTCCGGAGATACCCTTGACGAAAGATGGGTCGTTAGGGTCAATGTTCTCAACAACACCCATTGGACTTGAAGTGTATCCGACCAATGTAACTCTACCAATAAAAACGCGTCAATACGATAAAGAAAGCAAGTACACGGTCGCGTCCAGATGAGCATTGATGGCGATTCAGTTGTGCATGAGCAGTGAGAGGTGTCGTACCTCTCTTCGACCTCAACGACGGACTGGTACAATACGTCTGGCTTGGTGATGGACAGATCAAAGATCTTGGGACGCGACTGATTGCCTGTAAGACGGACAAGAAGGAAGGGCGAGTTAGTATCTATGCACTTGCCTGTACGTTTTGCCATAAGACCTGATGCCACTCGTGGGTTGAAAGTCGAACACATTGTGCTCTAGGACCCATCGTTGGAGACAACAATACGTTGCGTCGATCTGCCAACATCGCGCTCTTTGTTTTGTTCAACTCCCTGACGTTTCGACATCTTACCGATCAACAAAAGATCCTACAGTTGCATGAATTGAAAAAAAGATGTAAAGCAGTTAGGACCGGAGGATAGACACGAGGATAGGTTGAACCCGCCAAGCAAGCTAAAATGGTGTGTTGTGTCATGATGACTCTCGATTGGATTACCTTGAACCCTTTTGTAATTAATAATGCGCAGCGTTCGCCCTTTCTCTCCAACAACGCGTTCGTTGCCACCGTGGTTCCCATGCGAATCGATTCTATATCAAAACAAAACAAAAGTTGAGCGTGAGAACAATTGATATAATTACAAATTGAGCGCAGAGGGCTGACAAACAAAGTAAGGAAAACGTAAGCAGATGATGTGCGAGCGGGTTGTTACCGAGTTCCTCTGTGGCGACGAGCTTCTCGCGTGGGTGGGGCTTTCCGGTGGCGATCTCGAGGATGCGACGGATACCCTCTCTGGGAGCATCTGGGTAATTGCTTGGATCAACGGAGAGCAGTTTGACGACGAGTTCCTTGCGCCCGGAGGGGTATGTGTCGGAGACTGGGACGGGGATGGAGGCGACACAGTCTGTAAAGGTTCCGCCTCTGTCGATGCAGACGCGAATGCCGTTCTTGTGATTTGCAGTGGTGGCCATGAGGATGGGAAGTGTGTATTTGTTAGGTAATGAGGGAGGTGTGAAGAATGAAAGTGCGAAGTGTGTAATGAAGAAAGAAAAGGAAAGAGAAGGTTGTCGTGGACACAATTTGTACCTTCTCGTCTGTGTGTGCAGCTGTTTCGCATCCAAAAGAGGGCAACAACTCGCCTCCAATTGATCCCCGGCCGGTCAGTCAGTCACATCTCTTCTTTCAGGTACGATACAAACGGCTCGATCGAGAGAGCCTGTCTGGGGACAGAAAGAGAGAATAACAAAGAAAGGTTCTCACCCTTCCCATAGTCAACCGTGGGAAACGGCGCCCATCGCTCCTCGTAAAAAGATACCTCTGGCTCTGGGGATGAGTCAATCCAACCACATATATTATTGTAGGGAGGCTCACTTGAACCCGTAGCCGTCAATTGTGCCCTGAGTTTTTACTTTTTGTCCGTGGACACAAAGCAGTCCCGTCCAGGTCTTGTTTTCCTTACCGCGTTCCATGTCTTTTTTTGTTGTCTCCCAGAGCTCCTCTTTTTTTACTCCTCGCCACCAAACATCAACAACAACACCAACAACAGGGCAACACATTCGCTTTTTACATCTTCGCGCAGTCGCAACAAGAAAAACCCAACAAACCAACTCTCCGACACTTGGCTTGACTGGACTCATTACACGCAACTATCAACCCAAGGACGTATGCATCTGCCAGTCAACACAGAGGAATGTCATTAAATGATTTCCTAGCCGAACTGGCAGTCAAGTACGAGAGTCTCGAGACTCTCTATCTCGACATTGGAACACCAGAACAACAAAAGGAAGAAGAGTCTCAGGCGCTATTCGAAAAACTACTCGTTGTCCTCAATGACCATATCCAACATGTCGCCCAGACAAAGGACGCCTTCACACAGGAGACGGACCGGATGTGGGACAATATGCAACGGATGAACCGACTTATGGGTCAGAGCGACGAGGCCCCAACAAAGCTGATCGACACGCTCGCCAACATGACCCTTTGGGACCGCCGCGTCACACTGCAAGAAGAATACAGCTACATTTATGACGTAAGGCTCGAACATTCTATTTGCTCCATGGAGCGATCTTTCCTTGACCACCAGAGACTGACGCCGATCGTTTTGTTTGCCACTTGATTAGCAATACACCCAAAAGCTGGATGTAATCAAAAAGCTGCACAAGGAGCTCGAAACATATATCCCCATTCTCGGACCAGCATTCGTCAACCCAGGACCATTCCCAGAGGAAGGTGCAGAAGTGTCGTTTGAAGTCATGCAGACATTCTCTGACAATATTGCCGAGTGCGAAAAGGAGCAGGTACGATTTAGCAATTGTGATGACTTCCATTCTTGCAAATATCATGTAACAGCACAGCATAAGTAAACGTAAGAATATCACCTAATACTCGGCCGCTGTATCCCAACGAATGAAATATTTAGAAAACGAGGATAAAGAAGGTAGAGGCCGATATCACCATAATCAAGGGTATATGGGATGAACTGGGAGCAACGGAGCGTGATTCGTTTGATCAGGAAGTCATCGAAGGAAGTGGCGGCGAATACTCTATTAGCGATGACATCCTGAGGCGACTGGAGAGGAAGAAAGCGGAGGTAGGTAGTTGTCGTTGCGGTTATTTATGTAACCTCAGTATATTGAAACGCCACTTCCCGCCAACACTTTCATATTAACGTCTTGCACCAATCTTTTGTTATAGCTGCAAGTTGAACGCTCAAGACGGGAGATTGTTCTTCAGGAGCTTCAAGCTGACGTGACAAGATTGTGGGATAAACTGCGTGTAGATGTGGACGAGCGCGAAGAGTTCCTGGCTGGGCATAGAACCTTGTGCGTGGAAACGATCCGAGCTGTATGTATTAATTTTCCCCGCAAAGTGCATTGCCTGGCTGTTTTTGTCGTGAAGAAATACCATTAACCTTAATCGTGTCTTGTCAACCTATAGTTCAAGGAAGAACTGACGAGTCTGGAAGAGCTCCGAGTTCAAAAGGTGCAGGACTTTATTCTCATGGAGCGGGAAGAAATTATCGAACTTTGGATGCAACTTCGGTATGGTCATGAGCAGCAGGAGAGTTTTACTCCGTTCTATGACGATTCTTTCACCGAGGAAAACCTGACGGCACATGAGAATGAAGTGGCTCGCCTGAAGCAGGAGATGGAAGAAGCAGCTCATATTCTTGAAATTGTCGCGAGGTATGAGGCGAGACTTCACGCCATTGAGGAGCTTGAGAAATCCACTCACAGTGCCGACCGGTTCAACACGAGAGGAGATCCTGGTCGATTGCTGAGGGAGGAGAAGGAGCGGAAGCAGAACGCGCGTGAACTTCCCAAGCTTGAGGCAGAGCTCACAGAAGCACTGAACAGATGGCAGGAGGAAAAAGGGCACCATTTCTTGGTTTATGGCGAGGAGTATATCCATACCATGCAGGCTGCTGCTCAACTAGCACGTGAAGGGAAGGAGAACGAGAAGCGGGAAAGGGTACGTTTTTGTCAACCAGTTTGCGTCGAAGCAATGTTTATATGGAGACTGGATCACAATTAAACTAATACACTCTTTCTAACTTTTCAGGCGGAAAGGAGAAACAAGGCCCTGCATGGATCCAAGAACTCGAAAAAGATTGGACTTCAGTCTCCCAATCCTCGACGCATATCTCCCAACCTGGTGCCTCCAGGGGAAAGCTCGGGAAGGCGCTCGCCGACATTAGGATCCAGTTCACCCATGCCTCAAACACCCACGTCCAAAAGGATCGGATTTCCAAGTCGACCAGGAACACCATCCTCTCAACACACCAGGACTATCCCATCCTTTGCACCGACGACCCCGACAAGGGCGCGATCACACACTCTCCACTCTATCCCCCCTCCGCCAACATCACACAATACATTCCTTCAGTCGCCTTACAGTCTTCAAGCGCTACAGCTTCAGAAACAAAGCGCCAAGTTTAATTCACGGAGCGAATCTCCCGCCACAGCCTTTCCAATCATGAAACTGCCGTCAACCCCAAGCTCGAAACAGTCTACAGCTCACAGTCTGGGCCCAACTTCGACGATTGCTTCCATGAGCCTCGACAACAACAGGGATAGCAAGAGGAACCCTTCGATTATCTCCATCTCGTCTACAACAACCGAAGTTCAGGCAGGACCTTCCACACCTAGCCGTGGTGCGAGAACAGGGCGATTCGTTAGTTACGACCTTACAGGCCATGGCATGGATGAGGACGAAGATATGCCGCCGAGGACCCCTCGTAATATGAAACGGACTGCTGCAGACATGTCGTCTCCGATTTCAACACCGCCTGGATCGCCTAGTCTCTACCTATCTCGAAAGACTGCACGAAATGCGTCAGTGGCAGCACCAGCACCGGCTACTGGACATATGGCAGAAAGGAGCCAACAAGGATACAGGGACTCGCCTTTCTGGGACGAGGATGATTCCCTTCTTGCCATGGCTGCTGCGGCTCAGGAACATCGCAGTCCCAGTGTGGCAGCCAGATCAAGTCCGTTTGTGCAGCAGCTTTTAGAGACGGCTCAATGCAGCGAGGCGGGTGCTGATGAAGCTGCTCCTGCTGCTTCGACTGTAAGAGACTTTACGCGGGAGGCCAGTGTGATTGAGATGAGAAGGTCGGAGGCTGCGGCATTCTTTTCGACACCGAAAAAACCAGTTGTTGTTGTTGATCTTGTTCATGGGCAGGACGACGGGAGCGAAGGTTGGGTGACCGACACGGATGAGTCGCCTCGGTCACGGAGACACTCCAAAGTGGGTCAGGAAAACCCCGACTCTCAAACGGCCGATCTGGCAACTTGATATCCTTCCTTATGGCCTTGGCAAACTCAAACACAAAACACAAACAAATACAACGACAAACCACACAAAACTTTCCTGTCTGCGTTTTGTTCTCCTATTTATCGTTTTTTTTCCTTCGTTTCGTCCCTCCTTCGGTCGCTTTGTTGTATCATAGTATTGTAAAAAAAATAAAAACGACGATCACTTCAAATATTTATTAATTAGGCCTTGTTGGCATACTTGGCAGCACCGGCACGGATCCTTTCGAGGAGGGCGACCTTGATGCGGGGCCAGTCCTCCTCAAAGATCACGTAGACGTAGAAGGAGACCCACTTGTGGGTGGCGGTGCACATGAGTTCGTCCTTGTTGATGTATGTCAATGGGATCCCGCACGCCTTTTCCAGGAAGCCACGCATACCGTCGTTCTTTTCCGTCGTCTCATATGCCATCTATCACATACACAATAAAGAGGGCGTTCATTCTTGTTAGCATGCGTCTAGTAGGCGTCGAAAATGGATATGCCGTATGATCCGCGATGTGATGTGTGGTTCTACCTTGTGCATCTTGTCGTCCTCAAAGAGACCACGCATGAGCTCATACAAGGCCTCGGTACCATACCCACCCGACCAATACTTCTTCCACAGAATAATGCCCACATGTGCATTCCTATCAACCCTATTAATCGAGTTTGCCCCCATCACACCTGCAAGTTCCCCTGTAGCCTTGTCGTGGATGTAAAAGCAAGACCCAGATCGGTCCTCAATCTGTTTCGAGTGCCCCTCACGACGGGCGACGATCTCAGGGATGGTCCAGCCGCCGTTTTCTTCCTTGGTCTTGAACCGGAGGAAGGCCATAGTGGGGATATCGGAGAACATGGCGCGCATGGATGGGTCGTCCTGGGGGGAGGGAGGGTCCAGGGACAGACGGGCGGTTGTGATGGTTGGTTGGAGTTCTGCGAGGGCGGACATTTTGATTTGCTGCGGGAGGAGGAGGATGTTGAAGGGAAAGGAAGAAAGAGAAGAAAAAGAAGAAATGGAAGAAGTAGAATGCAACAGGGGTTTTTTTTCTTTACCTTCTCACGGTTCTCCTTTGCTCTTGTGGGAGAAATTTTCCAGAGCGAAAACGAGTCATCCGGAGTCGAAGATACTCCTCCCCTCTTTACTTTTCCCTTTCTTACTTTTTCTCCTTCTCCCTTCACCCACTTTCACAATAACCCAGCCCCGCCTCAGGAGAACAAAACAATAAAAAAAAAGTCATGGTCAACGTGTACACATACCTGGAGAACCTGTTCAAGCAGTCCTACACTCTCCCAACCATCATCGCCACCGTCTCCATCGCCGTCCTCATCACCCTCTTCCAGGACCACCAGGAACAGAAAAAGGAGAAGGCCAACGCTGCTGCCAAGGAGCTCGAGGGAGACAAGAAGGAAGCGGCTCATCCTTCCTCGAGCAACACCTCTGAGGAATCACCTGCTCCAAAGCCAAAGGCATTCGCTCTCCCCGCGACGTATGTTTTTTTGTTACATTCATTAACTCTCATTCCCTTGAGAAAACGTTGTAGTTCTTGGCAAAAAAAAAAAAAAAAAACCTCTGCGGGAAAGACGGAGGCGGGACTTCCAACCTTGATCCGGACCGGCCATTGAACTAAAACCCGGAGACTTACTCTCAACGTTTCGTCTTTGTCATGTCATATTAGACCTCTTCCCCCACCAAACCTGGAGCGCATTTTCACAAAGGAAGAGCTTGCAGAGCACGACGGCGAAAAGGAGGATGGGACAATCTATGTCGCGATCAAGGGCATTGTGTTTGATGTGACAGCCAAGAAGGCCATGTATGGACCCTCAGGAGGATACCATTGCTTTGCCGGAAAGGATGCCTCCAAGGTAAAGAGTGACACGGGGCATGGCTACAAGTTTTGCGCAGACGAACAGGAGAGAATGTGCAGAGTGAGGCTGATCATTCGATTGCTCTTTAGCAGGTGGCGTGACATTCTACAGCTTGTCGTTTTTTAACAAACATTTCATATTTCTCTTGTCAATTAGGCGCTTGGAAAGAGTTCATTGAAGCCTGAGGACTGCATTGCGGACTACAGTGAATTGACCGAGAAGGAGGTACGAGAAAGATTACACATTGGATCGGACCCTAATTGATGCAGCAAGTGGACGCTTTTCTGGAAGCTGTTTCGTCAAACTTGACGTGCACTTTTTTCTAATCATAACCCTTTTCATATTCTACTTCATGTAATGATCTATTAGCGCAAGACGATGGAAGATTGGTACGTCTTCTTTGAGAAGCGCTATGCCATCATTGGCAGGACTGAGGCATAAGAAGAGAGACGATCGATTCACAGATAGACAAACGCACACTTCTTCCAAGAATAAAAAAATAATAATACGCCCAACGTCCAAACAAGTCACGTGTATTATGAATGAAAAAACACGACCTTTAAGAGCGAGCTGATTTGTTGTTGTGTCCATCTAATTCATTCATTCGCCAACTCAACCAAACAACAATCACACAACCACAACACAACAAAATGGCAGGAAACTCAGGACGTGTAACAAAGAAGGCACCTGCAAAGAAAGCTGGCACAAAGTCAACGTCATCAGGATCTAAAGCACTCTACTCTGGCACCGCCCAGGGCACGACTCAGTTGCCAGTCGCCAGAGTCAAGAGGATCATTAAGGAGGATAAGGATGTTCAGATGGTCAGCAATGATGCAGTCTTCCTTATCAGTCTTGCCACCGTACGTTTTTTTTTGTTTGTTTTCCCGGTGTTAATATTCGAAAAAAAGGGGCAGTTGATGGGAGAGTTATTTTGAACCGGACTGGACGTGGATATTGACTTCTTTTTTTTTTTTTACTTTTGATGATAGGAGCTGTTTTTGGAGAGCTTTACAGCCAAGGCGTTCAACTTGGCCAAGATCGAGAAGAGGAAAACAGTATCTTACAAGGACCTTGGTACGTTTGCGCTTCTCAATCTTACAGGATCTATGGAGTCTGAAGAACTATTGTACAAAAAGTGCTTTGGTATGTATGACCCAAGGACCACGACATACGACGTTGAACAGGATCGCTAACAGGAATACAAATACTCTTCCAACATGCATGTTTATAGCCACGGCGGTCACTCAACACGACTCGCTCGAGTTCTTGCAAGGTATACACATCACTGCAAATGTTACTGTTCTCTCGTCGACATGGAATAATGATTCGTTGGTCCTCGTTATCGTGTATTAACCTTTGCTACTTGAATATTTCAATCTGCGGAAATAGATGTGATCCCCAAGACGATGACATTGACGGCAGCAATCGAGAAGCAGCGGTCAGCCCAGGAGAAGGAAGAAATGGGTGGTGAGGAGGAAGACGCAGATCAGGAGGAAGCTAACGGATCACAAGTAGGATCGGACGGCGAAGTGGAGGAGGAAGGAGAGGAGTCTAGTCGACCCATGTCGGAGGATGAGGGCGAGCTCTCGACGCCTGAAGATATGGACGAAGATTGAAGGCGATATAAAACAACAACAACAACAACAACAACAACTAGAGCTCGTTCCTGTAACAACATACAACAACAGCACCACAACTCTTTCAAATCCATCTGTAATAACATCGACGACAACAATTAATATACGAGAAAAGGGTATGCAATAAGGTATTCTATTGTTTTGGAAAATTAATCTGTTCAATTCAGGGCAGAAAGATGAAAGGCCTGCTTCTCGGTCCAGAAGGGACCCGCCTGAGCCTCCCTCGCAAAACCCTCCTCGACATCAAATTGGGTATTGCCACTCCACTGGTTCAGTTGTCCCTGTGCATCCTCGACAATCCAAGGCAAGAGTCGGATCCGCATCCTGTTGTCGTCGCTATCTCCATTTTCATCAGCTTTGGTGGATCCGTAGATCATCAACATAAGTTCGTTCAACTGGCCAGATCCGGCCTTGTGAACCAGTCCGTCCATCATGTAGAAATCGTGTTGAGGCGAGTCGGATCCAAAGTACCGACCGACTAGGATATTGTTAAGGATGATCATTGCCGAGAACTCGCCTTCGATGCGGAGACAGAGCGGGATATGGGCAGCCATCGACTGATCACCCGGAAGAGTCACGCCAGATCCAGAGAGTGCTCCGGGGGGACCTTCGAAGTGTGTACGCCACCAATGGACGCCTCCTTGATTGGGATCCACGTGTGGACGGTTGGGTGTCGAGCTCCAGCCGTGTTTTTGGTGCTCGTCGGGGAATCCAGTACTGGAATGGACCATGTCCAGGTTTCGGACATCGACGCCGGTGACTTGCCAGGTTTCGCTGTTCTTGACGACGGATATACCCTGCACATGTGCGGAGAGGAGGCCTCGTGGGTTACGGACGTCGTCGAGGACAAAGGGCATTCGACTGAGGCCAACAGAATCGATGACGAGGAAAATCTCGTGTTCTTGGACGCGGTATCCTGCTTCTGCACCGGGCTGAGTGATACCAGCAAAGAGGGCTTGAGGTGGGACCAAGAACTTGTGTCCTCCAAAAGAGATGGGGTCATGTCCGACCTTGGCACCGGGTGAGAGGAGCGTACGCGAGTAGACCATATGCGACCCAATGGCGACGCCATTGACAAAGGCGGTGATTCGATGGCGCATATTAAACTTGAGCCAGACTTCGTGCGGTTTCGGTGCTGTGGTACTGCCATCCTTGACGTCGCGTTCGCGGGTCGTGAACTTGCCGCGGTAGAGGATATGACCCGACGTGAAATGATAATCGAGCTGGACGTTCTTGAACCATTTCGAGCCCTTGGATTTGCGGGGACAATCCTGCCATGGCAAGGCTCCAACATCAGTGCGACGGATCTCCCAGTTCTCTAGAACCATACCCTGGCAGTTCTCCTCGACCCATTGAGCATGTGCGAGATGTAAGTTGGTGGTGGTAGGTCCGTTGGCCTTGAGGGGGAATACTTTATGAGCCAGCCTGGGACCGTAGATAGTCTCGTCCTGGGGAGGGAGGAGGGATGAATCCTGACCAAATGTCAAGACATGGAGCTCGGTCTGGGACTCGGTCGAATCAGCGGTCAGAATCTTGGTGTGAGGGTTGTAGTAGGCGTTGTAAGAACCCCAGGTGACAATCTTAGGTTGAGAAGCAGCCACCGCCGCTGCCGCCTTGGATATGCCATCGCCATGTCGATTGTTGTAGTAGCAGTACAGCGTCGAGAGAGTAGCCTTGTCCAAGAATATGATGTGCAGCTCGGGATTGGAAGACGCTTCATCGGCTTCAACCACGGTGACGGCACTGGACAGAACTACATGTGTATGCTTGGCTCCTTCAGGGATGGTCACGACCTTGACATCCTTATCATCCGCCGAGCTTCGTAACCTAATCCCGGAGGCTCCGACGTGTTGACCGCCCAAGGATGTAAGAGCCAAGTCTCCTCGGAACGCCATCTCTGTCGCGCCGAACTCGGCCAAAGCAGCGATCCAGACCTCCTTCTTCTTCCTCTCGGACCCAGAGTAGGCTCGGATATGAATAGGTGTCGCGGAAAGAACGAGGTGGATATCCGGATTGATAGTCGTATAGTTTCCAAGGGCGATAAAAGAAGCTTTATAGGCCAGGTTGCAAGAAAGACGGGTGACGACGTTGCCGGCCGTGGAGAGCGCAAAAAGGTCAAAGCAATCGACCTTTTGTGGCGAGAAGTTGCGTAGAAAAGTCAATTCGACGGGCCCATGGGTACCAGCCGAGGCGAGGGATTGACGTTGGAGGGAGATGGTCTTGTCGAGGGATGATCGGACGGATTGAAGCTTGGAGGAGAGAACGGCGTCGGTTCGGACCATGATGTCGGAGAAGGATTGGAGGAAAAGGAGACCCTTTCGTAGGTTGCGGAGTCGTCCTGACATCAGCCCATTCTCGCGGATACAGGCGCTGTAGTCGTACGACGTGTAGACATCGCTAAGGCATGGTATCAAAATAAAACGTGTTAGATGTCAGCATGGGTTCGTTGCGTCACATGGATTTGATCCGCTTTATCTTCATCGATAGGAATCTGACCAATATCAAAAAAACTTACGGGTCGCCGATGGTGCCCCAGTTGGTACCTCCATAAAACATGTAAAAGTTCAACATGGTACATCCCTGTGAGAAGACAGTGTCGAGCATAAGTCGAGTATAGTCGTCCCCATAGAACCGGTAGATGGCGTCGTATGTATACTTGATCCCATAGTGGTTGAACCAACCGCCTTGGAGTTCAGGGATGAAGATGGGTGTTCGTTTGTTGGCGTGTCCAAAGGAGCGGACCTTCTTTTCCATCTTTTCCAGTTCCTTGACGACTGTTGAGGGGTCCCATTCCTGAAGATATGAGGGGTCGCGGCCTACGACCCACGATGTCGGCTCGCTGTTCGGAGTAAACACTATCATGAAATGAAGCGTGAGTAAATATGTGGTGTTAATAATTGCAACATCAGACGCTCAGGTCCAACATTGAGAGAGTGGCATTACTTACCGACGTATTTATCAAAGCCATAGAGATCGACTCCAAAGTCCTTCTTCTTCCTCTTGGGATCGTCTTTGACAATAAACGAACCCTCCTCAAACCCATCATTGGTAAACAACGGCACCGTGACCCCACAATCGCGCGCAGTCTTTGCAAGTACCCTCATATCATCATGAAGTCCAATCGGGTAATGGAATACATGCTGAAACGACTCGTTCTCGATCTGCAACCCCAAGACGCAGCCTCCCTGTCCATTCGTAATCTGATGCCTGGCGAGGATCGGGAGGATGTTCTCGAAATACTCGACACAGTATTTCATAAACTCGGGATCATACGTCTTCCAGAAGTTGGACTTCATATGCCTCAATCGGACATCCCGCATGGCCGCCAACCAGATGGGGAACCCACCGGCCTGAGTTTCTGCACATATATACGGCCCGGGGGCAGCAAGGACATACAACCCAATCTCTTCACAAAGATCCAACAGATAGTTGATATCCCTATTCCCTGAAAAATCATACTGCCCCTGCTTGGGAGAATGAAAACCCCAATGAAAGTAAATCCGGATACAGTTCAATCCCGCGGACCGGTACTGTTCGAGGATGGGTCTCCAACGCGACTGATCCGGCAGTCGCCAGTAGTGGAACTCTCCCGAGAGGATGAGGGTAGGTTCACCGTGGAGGATGAGGGAATGTTTGTCGTAGTCGAGGATGTGTCCGTATTTTTGTTTGTCGTAGAGGGTGTCGTTGGTGTGGATGTGGGTTATGGTGCCCTTGACGCGGTATTCGAGAAGTTGGTGGGCGGCGGCGGAGAGTCCAGCGAGCGCCAGGACGGCCGATGTGGCTATTATTGCCATTGTGCACAAGGGGGTGTGTGGGAGAGTAAGGTGAGTGTGTGGGTTGTGTGCGAGGGTATGGATGCGTGGGAAAGAAGAAGTAGTGGTGTAGGCGCGTGTGAGAGTTGTGAGAGTAAAGAAGAGTGGATGATGAGAAACGTGGAGAAGAAGAAAGAAGGCAGCGCCCTTTTATTCAGTGCTGAGGAGGGTGCTGAGAAGGGAGAGCAGAATTCGGAAGGATTGTTACAAATGGCTTGTTGTGTTTGTTTGTTTTGTTTTTCGTCTTTTTACGATAAGATTGTCTGAGCAACTGACAAGAAAGGAGGGGGAGCGAGCGGTGCAAGCTTGAGCTGATGAATGGACATGGAGTGTGGAAGCAAAGGGTGACAAGGGTGGTGGGTTTGACGCTTTTCAGGCACAGGAGGCTAAAATGACTAAGGAAATGGCCGAGAGAAAGAGAGACTGAGAGAAGGAAAGCTGTAGTCAGTGCACGGGTTTGCAGAGTGTGCCAGTGTGCATCCTTGCATTGCATGGGTATTTCAGACTCCAGTCTGACTTGCTTTCTGTCTCATGAATGACTACGCCCAGGGAGAAAGGAGCGGAGTCGGATGAATTGAGCCCTGAGCCACGTTTTATTGTTATATCTCATTTCTTTCACGTACGGTAAAGAAGATAGATGGTACCGCAATATGCAGCACCCAGGCAAACGACGTAATCCCATCCAAGAGTGCAGCGCGGATGTAAGTTTGAGTGCTGCACACGACAAAGTTCTAGTAGAGAGCTCTGCAAAATGAAAACAGCGAAAAGGCCGAAAGAAAAAATTTTCGTTTTTCGTTTTTCGTTTCGTTCTTCCTTTACTCCCTCCTTTTTCTCCTTCTTTCCTCTCCTTTTCCCTTTCTCAGCCTTCATTCTCGCCTCATCCACGTACGCACTCATTCCTTCCCTTCACTCGCCCCACTTGGCGCTCTTTTCATTCCTCATCCTTGGACTCACTCCCACCCTCTCTTCCACCCGTTCTCTTTTACAGCACTCACTCACTTTCACTCTCACCACCCACCCACCCACAACCTCTCTCACGTCGCTCTCTCTTCCCTCTCTCCCTTACGCGCGTCAAAACACGTCCCCTGCCAGCAACCACAACAGCTATGGCAACAAACCAACATACCGCCGCTCAGCTGGCAGTCTCCATCCCCTTCGCACCAGGACCATCATCCTCGTCAATAGCTGCAGCACGATATCCTGCCCCAGAGCCACAAGAGGCCCCGGTGCCTGCCCCACTCGTCTACGTCGCAGGGTCCACCTCAGTCTCTACCCCTACCTCGGGCATGCACTCACCCCCTCTCTCGGGCACTCTCGAAGAGGAAGCAGACGAAAAGCGAGCCGCCCATGTCGCTTCTAATATCCGCCGGAGCCAACCGTCGGACCTCGGAAAAACAGTAACACCAACCTTGACCTTCACAACACCATCCTCAGTAGCAGCAACAGCAACCAGCAGCAGCGGCAACAGTAACAGGCCTCTGTCTAGTAGTAGTCGTTCAGGAAGAGAACGACGGGGATCTCCATCAGTAACATCGACAACTTCGAAAACCGCAAAAGCCAGGCCCGGCGTGAAGACCACTCAGGTCAAGAACCAGGTCGACACACAGATGCACTCATCAGGCGCGAGTGATCGCTCAAGAGATTCCAATTCCTCGTCCCATTCAGTTGGACCTAGGACCGTTGTCGACCATCACTTCCGACCTGATCTTCACCAAGTGCGACGACCTCTGAGCAAGGAAAAGACCATTGAGCATGTGCTGCAGCAAGGAAAGATTCTGAAGGTAAGAATTATTGCATGATATGCACCGCTCTTTTCGCGACATACGCATACACGAATTAGCTCAGTGCATTCGATGGTGTGATACCGCTCTTTTCACTTTTCAGCGAGAGTTGGTGTTATATTTCCCTTTTTCACAACCGTTATTAGTTCAGTGCCTCTTTTACCTGTGCATCTATTTTTCCTCGGACTGTGACCCCGCTACACCGACGATTCTGGACACTCCCTCCTCTCTCTTTCACACATCCTTCCTTCTCAATGACTGGTGCGACGACAAAAGGGCGTTTCTTGCTTGTGTGCTCATCTTCCAATCCTCACGACGCAGTCACAACACGACGATGCCTGGAATAGATTCTCCCAGTCGTAAGGAATAAGAGAACGCACAACATAACCTTCACCCCCTTTAATATTTTTTTTCCTTCTGTTGAACCGACCAGTTATCCCGACGACTAAGAACAAGACTCGAGTACGCCATCCTCAAGATCCGACGGGGTTGGACAAAGTACACGCTCCAGGAGGTCGAGTCCCTGATCCAACCCGTCTGCTCACCACGCGTCACCCCCAAACAGATCCACCAGTCCATTTCCCTCCAATCATCCCCTCTCCTCACCGAACGGAGACGAGTCAAACATACCACCCATAAACGAAGACTGTCTGACCCAGCAAGAATCGAGTCATCCGACATCGACATGCCTCCACCCTCCTCCTCCTCCTCCTCCTCACCCTCAGAGAGGTTCAGGCCCCGCATGCCCTCGCTCTCCCAATTCAAGGACTCGGAGTTGTTCCTCCCGGCAAAGTCCCTCATGGAGATTGCCACCTCGAAGCCTGAGCCAGGCTACCTCTCTCCATATCTCGGAGCGCAATCATCGCCCTACATGAGCCAGTCTGCTTCAGCACACAACAGTCCTCACAGCAGTCGCTACGGAACTCCAGAGCCCCTGTATCGCGACATGACTCCCGTCCGAGAGAATTGGTCAGGATACTCGTCACCCGCTAGAGTCGAGCCCATGGATGAGGACGAGCAGGATGAGAACGGTGCCCCTTCTGACACCCAAGCCGCACGAACCATCTTGATGCTCTCGAGCCCCACTCGTCCTGCGCCCAGGACTCTCAACCAGAACTACATTGCGGAGATGCATTCAGGAAACCCTTCTCACTCGCCTCTTGGAGAATGGACTGCGCCCTACTCTCCCATGACATCATCGCCACTGGTTCAGTTCCAGACAATGGACTCAACTACACCCTCTCCCGATCGCACTCCTACCGTGTCAGGCACCTCTACTCCCAGTCACCTGACAGACAGGGAGAGAGGTGGATCTCCATCTTCATCCTCAGTCTCGTCGTCGCATCAGCGTGGATCGTCCAATCCATCCTTCCGTCCCCCAAAACAAACGTATGCCAATCTCTATGAACCATCATCGCCATCGCCACTCTCATCTGCACTCTTTCCCTCCTCCTCCTCTTCTATGTCAAGCGATCACCTTGATCGATTCAAGACCAGTAGCCGGAGCTCTAGCCCAACCCTTAAACGTGCAGTGCGATTCGCTGCTGAGGCGACTCAGGGATCATTGGACCCCTCAGGACTTTCGGTTGAACGGATTAAGGACAAGATCACTGGACTGACAGGCCGCGGAGAGTACAACAGCACGGCGGACATGATCTATCCTGGGTCGCAGCCAAGACAGGATGACAAGAAGGAGTACTCTCCTGCTCCTTCCTACGCATTACCTGCATATGGAGAGACATTTTCTCACCAACACCAGCACCAGCGAGACATCACGCCTCCTCCACCACCACAGCCAATGTTGGCAGCAGCAAGTTCGTCATCAAACTTGTCGCTTCAAGGTCCTGGAGTGGCGTACAACTACAACCATTCAGGACAACATGGGATGAGGACGCCACCACCCAGCGGAGGTAAAGATATGGACATGAGCCAGTATTCGGCATTGGGAGGAGCGCAAGCGGGCTCCAGGTCGACGAGGATGAGGCGTGATAGTGGGATGGCCCAGGCGGGGAAGACAGATGATTTGACCACCTTGCTTCGACGTGGCGCGCCCTCTTCTTCGACACCATCATCGACCTCATCCTCGTCGCACCCTGGCTCGTCTATGCATCGACAGTAGGCGATCTAACCACTGCAACCTTTTTGTTCTTTTAATATGTGTACTTTTGTCTGTATTCACTGCTCTGTCATTATATATTTTGTTTTTGTCTTCAATGTAACTTCAACTTCAAATAAAACCTTATCAATGAAAAAGGAAACGTGCGGAGGTGACTGCCATTGATTGAGCAAGGGCAAGGAGGAAAACACAAAAAGGGTGTGAAATTCACTCTTCTCTTCTTCTTCTTCACATTACTCTCCAACTGTCCTACACAAAATGACCGGCGCAACTCTGCAAGCAATCCGCTACCAGCGCGGGTCCCTCGAGATCATCGACCAGCTCCTCCTCCCTCACGAGACCCTCTACATTCCCATCTCAACCCTCGCTCTCGGTCATGACGCGATCAAGACCATGAAGGTCCGAGGCGCTCCCGCCATCGCCATCGTTGCAGCCCTCTCTCTCGCCGTCGTCCTTGTCGACCCTTCCACCGTCGCCTCTGGCCGTCTCTTGACCGCCCAGGGAGCCGTTGTCTTTATTGAGGAATCCCTCGAGTTCCTTAAGACGTCTCGTCCTACTGCTGTGAACTTGTTTGATGCGGCTCACAAGTTGGCCAAGGGTGTGAGGGAGGCTGGTGCGATTGCTAGTGCCAAGGGACAGGATGTTGTTGACAAGTATTTGGAGCTTGCGGAAAAGATGCTGGAGGATGATGTGAAGGATAATATGAACATTGGTCGGTTTGGAGCAGAGTTTATCTTGAAGGTTTGGAAGGGTGGAGATGACCTTAGGGTTATTACGCACTGTAACACTGGGTAAGTGATCCATGCTTCACATGAGGAGTATGGTTGGTTGATTGATTGGCTTGTGAAAAGTGCGCATGGAATGAGAGGAAGAAAGGGTATTGGACAATGGTTGTTGAATGTCACGTCATTTTTCACAGGACTCTAATTAATTGTTTATTTTTCCCACACGCCGCCACCGCCTCCTCTCTTTTTGCTTCCTTCCATAGATCGTTGGCTACTGCAGGATACGGAACGGCTCTCGGAATCATCCGCGCATTGGCAGGACAGAACAAATTGACTCACGCCTACTGCACTGAGACCCGTCCCTACAACCAGGGCTCCCGCCTGACCGCCTACGAACTCGTCTACGAAAGGATCCCTTCGACCCTCATCACCGACTCGATGGCCTCTGCCCTGCTCGCCCAGAACCCTGACAAGATCGCCGCCATCGTCGTCGGTGCCGACCGTGTGGCCGCCAACGGCGATACTGCCAACAAGATTGGAACCTACCAGTTGGCTATTACTGCCCGCTACCATAACATTCCTTTTATTGTTGCTGCGCCCTCGACCTCGGTGGATTTGAACATTGGTTCGGGTAAGGAGATCCATATTGAGGTCCGTCCTGCGGTTGAAGTCACAACGTTGAGGGGTCCTGTTGTTGAAGTCGAGTCGATCTCCAAGGGATCTAATGATGTTGTTTTCAAGACTCATAACGGACAGGATGTGACGGAGACGATTGCTGTTGCAGCAAGGGGGATTGGTGTTTGGAACCCTTCGTTCGATGTCACGCCTGCGGAGCTCATCTCGGCTGTTGTCACTGAGAAGGGTGTTGTTCTCAAGGAGGACGGTGTCCAGACGTTTGACATGAAGACCTTCTTGACCTCCCACTAACCCATAGCATTCTCATATAAATACATTCAACATTTCTTAATTTTTCATTTCTTGTTGGTTTACGTTTTTTTTTTTTTTTTTTTTTTTTTTTTTGGTTGATCACTCTCGCTGATCATGGAAGAAACAACTCAGATATGGAACCATCACTTTTTGGCTCATCAATCTTGGCCCCCCCTTCCCTATATCACTCTGTAATCATCACTCAAATCGAGCAATTGACACGTTTGTATTTAGAAGTAAAGTGGTGACCTAGAGAGACATGAACTCGTCGCGACGACGCCGAAATTCACAAAGCCGCTGCAACGCATACTCCAGATAATCAAACTCGATCTCACTCTGAGTCGCCTGGATCAGACCCCACAGTCCCCACATGATATGAGATGTCAAAGCAAACTTGTTGACCTCCTTATACATGCTGTCCAGGATCTCTGCCTTCGACACCCCGGCACTGCCATTGCCGCTTTGACCCTTCTTGATAGGGTTCACTATCTCGTTCTCGATCGCACTGTTGCCCCTGCTGCCCTTGACGCCGGACATCTTAGACGACGTCGTGGATGTGGGTGTGCTGGGTGTGCTGGGTGGTGGAGTCGGTTCCTTTGAGTTGTTGCTGGTATTGGTCTGTTGTTCCGTCGAGTTCGTGGCTGGAACATCCTCCAACTTGAGATCGACAGAAGGCTTCTTCGCGAGCGACTTCTTGGCATGGATGGCCGACAGGGCAACAGTACCGAGTCCATGAACGATCGCCTTTGCAACCGACCGCCGACGCCGATTCTTCGTATACTGGGCCAAGTTAATCGCCGTCAGATGGTACCCACACATCGCAATCTCTGCCTCCATATAAGCTTCCAAAAAGTTGAGCTGCTCGGCCTTTGTTGGGTACTTGTCATAATGAAGGATCGAGGGTCGTTCCGAATGATAATCGGCGGTCCATTCGCAGAAATGGTTTCCGATATCGAACCCTCGCGTGTTGTAGCCTGCGTACTCAAAGTCTATTACCACCAACTCTCCGTCCTCGTCTAGAGATTTTAGGATGTTTCCGTATTGTGCCTATGTAGATAATGCATTAGAATGAAAAAAAAAATTGGGGTAAGGTGTTCGTTTCGTCCCAAGAAATCGGATCAGTCAATGCAAGAACTAAAAAAAAAATAAAATAATGCGCAAGCGCTTACGTCGTTGTGAGCAAAGACAATGGGAGAATGCACAGTCATGAGTTCCCTCTGAACCTCCTCAATCTCTGTAATCAGCTTGTCAAAGTCAAAGTCATCAATGACCGCCCTCTTGGATGGATCCCTAGCACAGATCGTCTCGATCGCGTCCTTGGCAAGAGGGATCCATCTGGCAATATTCTCCTGCGACTGAGGGATGGTCCCCTCGGGAGGCGGAAAGACATTGACAATGTTGTGGAGCTCGCACATGCGATGGGCGATATGTCGTGACGTCCTTGGGTTCCGAATGTCGTCCTTTGTCAATGTGGTCGATTCGACGTATTGCTCAAACCGTCCGTTCTTGAAGATTCCTAGGAGTGAAGGTCCGATATCCATGGTCGACAGGTTCTCTAGCCAATGTAGCTCCTTTTCACGCGAGAAGAGTGCATCCAGTCCATTACCATACACTCTCAACAAGACCTTGCGAGGCTTAGGTGGGTCCGATGTGGGTGCAGGTGTTGCTGCTGCTGGAGATCCCTGTTCTTTTTGTGAGGAGACTGCAGGTTGGGATCGGGGAGGACCAGAGACGAGAAATACACAGTTGGTCATAGCGCCACTGATCCGGTCTAGTTTGAGTTGGTGGTAATCTTGTACCTCTGACCAGTCCTCCACATCCATGAGATGCAACAGCTCCAGGACCCGTCTTGGCAGTTTATCGCCCTTCAAAGCACTATACAATGGTTCACGTCGAAAAGAGAGCCGAGTGTACAGAGGTGTTAATTTAGAGTTTGCATGAGTCGGGGGGTTGAGTTGGGCAAAGCAAAAGAAACGACATCAAACAAAAACAAAAAGAGAGTCATGGATGGATCCAAAACATAACACATAAAAAAAAAAATACGTTACAGAAGATCTAACTCCTCATCGTCCATATGTTTGACAGGATCTGCGCTAGCGACGGGCATGACTTTGAGACCTGCGAGACTCGAAGATCTCTTCGAGAGCGGGGGTCGATGAGGCGCATACTGGTGTGAGACCGCAGGCTTGTGCTTCCGCCAAGGAAAGATGGACGACGCCCTCGACTGTCTGGAGGAGAAGCCGAAATGCTTGTCTGATCCGGCAAGATAGATGGGGTCATCGACAGGTGAGGTCGGGGGTGAGTCTCGACTGGTCTCCTTGGCGGCAGAGGACGGAGTGTAGGCTGGGAGACGGACGGGTTGTTGCTGCCAGGAGCTGTCGACTTGCAACGAGTCGTCGTCCTCGTTAGCATTGTTATTGTCGTCCTCGTTGGCATTGTTATTGTTGTCTTCGCTGGTGTTGGTGGTGGTGGTGGTGTTGGTTGTTGTGTCATCCTCGTGCAGATCGGTATGTGGAGAGGCCGGAGTTGGGTTGTTTTCTTGGTGCTGCTGTCCTTGTCCAGCAGTGCGTTTGTGATGAGCTCGTGTTGGCATGGCTGAAGAAAGATGTCGATGATGGGACGAGTGCTGAGGAAACGAGTGAATATGGGAAAGAGTAAAAGGCGAATGAGGAAAAGAGAAAATCGGTAGAGAAAGGAAAGAAGGAAGGAAGAAAGAAATCGGCGACAACGACTACCAAAACGAAAGAACGAGTTATGACGATCAGAACCAGAACGAACCTACTTTATTTTAGTCATTATCTGTGAATACCTCCAGGTCGTGTGCTGTGTTTATTCTCGTTTTCTTGGCCAGGACCGAGGCAGGCGACCTCCCTTTAGATCTGCTCGTCTGTCTACAGGTCTCATCGCGCTTGCATGAATTTTCAGGAGGAAGGGGAAGAAAAGAATGCCAACTGTATGACATAGTTCCATCACATCAAGCACTCACACAGAACAGCCATAGCGGCAAGAGCATCTTGTATTAGACAATCTAGATGAACATCCGAACTACTTAGACGAACACCCGAACTACAGCTTCGCCATCTCGCGCTCCTCCCATTTGCGCTGTTGGATCTGTCGCTTAATCCTGCGCTCCTCGATCTTGTCGGCCTTCTTTTGCTGCCGTCGACTCGCCGTCTCCTCAACCTCCTTTGTCAAAAACTCCTCCAATGCCTCTGGCCGGATATCGTCCAACGTGAACCTGCCCAGCTTGCCTAGCCGATACTGCTTGACCAAGAACTGTGCCGCTGCTGGCAGGTTGTACTCACCGCCCTTCTTGAGCGCGCCAATATACTTGGCCACTTGAGGGAGAAAGACCTTGACGTCATCGGTTGGCTCCTTGACGTTGTAGAGTTTCACATAGCTAAGACCAATCCGCGAATTCGTTGTTTGTTAGTCTAAGCACTGGTGGTAGGATCTTGAGAAGTCCATAACTATAAACATAAAAGCATGGCATTTACCTGTAATCTTGGGCTTGGTTCAATTGAAATAGGAGGTAGTCCGCAATGACCTCTTCGTCAGAGAGATGGTCCGAAATAGCACCTTTGAGCGAAAAAGTGATGCCGGTTAGCCTTGACAGGTCGTGAGAACATCGCGTTGGTAGACTTCTTCTTTCGACTTTAAGCAAAACAAAACATATACCTGTGAGTGCGACTTTGATGGCGGAGATAGGGTCAGGAATGTGGGGGATCATGACTCCAGGTGTGTCGATGAGATAGACCTTGGGCGACTCGAGGACCTTGATCGTTCCTGCGACAGTTCTCGTGATTCCCGGAATTGCGCCCGTGGGTGCGGCTTTTCCCTTCTTGACGCCTATCCGCCTCAGGGAGTTGATGAGCGATGACTTTCCGACGTTGGGCATGCCGACCACCATCACCATAGTTGTCAATTCCTTTTCTGATGCTGTCCCGGACACCTTGGCCTTTTCTGTTGATTGTAGATAAAGAAGAAAAAAAAGTGGGTTTACGGATGTTGCTGTCGGTAAACAAAAACCTTGTTTGCACACACGTGCATTAGATGACTACAAGTAGAAGGACATACTGGCTAAATACTTGATAATCCCTTTCACATTGACATCGTCGTTCGCGTTGGTGAAGACAACGTCCTGACCCTTGTATTCCTTGAATGCCTTGGTGATCGCCTAAACACACATTGGAGAAGCACCAGGCGCGAAATCAATTGCTGAATGTCGGATACATATTATGTTCGTTCCAACACGTCCAAACAGATCTTCTTACGGCCTCCGTGTCGGGGTGGGCGAGATCGGACTTGTTGTAGACGATGAGGCGGTCCTTCTTCTGGGCTATTGGCTCAAACTTGTGATTGATAGATGACAAGGGGATGTGTTGTTTGGAAACAAAGGATAAAAAAGAGCAGAAAAGACATTTTCAAGGCGATTGACAGAGTTAAGGATAACATAGTTCAGCCATATGTGGCGATGAGAATGAGTGAGGGAGAGAGAGAGAGAGAGAGAGAGAGAAATGCTGACAGATCCAAGTAGCAAAAAAGAAGAGCAAAGTAACAACAGTAGAAAATGAAAGGGCGCGCCAATGATACGATAAAACTTTCTCCTCTTAACGCAGGGCATACATCTCGATCGAAGGGACAAAATACAGGCATGAAAACAGAAAAAGGGAGACACGAGAGTTGATATCCTTGCGTCGCGGACTTCGATGACGACCTGGACGGCATTGAGTTTTTCGGTGATCAGGCGGAGACCCTTTGCCATGTGTCCTGGGAACCAGTTGATGATCTTGTCGTAGACGAATGCGCGTCTGACATTGAGTGGGTTCATGTTGTTGCTGTCGTGTGTGTCTGTGCTGTAAGCTGTGAGGGTGTGTTTGCCTGCAGGTGAATGAGTGTGGGTGTGGGGCGGGGGTGTTTGTTTGGTGGCAAGAGGTCCAGTGCGTGTCTCCTTCCAGGGCGGGCAAACGAAGTTTTCTTTACTTTGTCTTCTGTGGCTCCCTGCGCCTGCGGACAGTCACACCATTCAAGGAGAACTCACATTCAGGAATTACCCCGCCTTTTTCCTTATTCTCTTCCTCTTCTTTCTTTCTCCCGCATCCTCCACACCTTCTTCCACTCAACTCCTACTTCCTCCTCTTCGACACTCGTTCCTCCTTCTTCCTTTCATCTAAATGACCCAAGATACCACCACCAACACCCCCACCAGCGGAAATGTCACCATCCCGTTGATCGATTTCAGCCTCTTCGCCACCAATCCCGAGGAGTGTGCCCGTCAAGTCGGCGAGGCTTCCCAGAACATCGGCTTCTTCTACCTCACGAACCACGACCTCCCCCAAGATCTCATCGACAAGATGTTCGACTCCAGCGAAAAATTCTTCCAGCGTCCCCTCGGGTCTAAGACTAAGCATATGATCGGACCCGATAACACCGGTTACTCCTCCATGAAATCCGAGACGTAAGTTCAGTAGCTTTTTACCGAGTGTGGCATGGTTTTTGTATTTCCGCATTGTCTTTATCGTGACTCAAAGTTTACAAGTCTATGAATGCTCTTTCTTCTCTTTTTTATGCGTTTTCTTTTCAACTCACCCTCCAACTTCGCACCAGCCTTGATCCCGAGACCCAGACCCAAGGAGACTTGAAGGAGTATGTTGGCATCATCAATTGCGCATTTCATACAGTAAATGATCAAGGACAAAGCGCGGCGCAATTAAGCAATCCCCCTCCCTTCACTTTCCAATGGTCTTAATAGGGCTTACAATGCGCGCAAGTGGTCGATTGATGATGACATTACCCTCCACTTTGCTCAGGGCGATAAAGAGCTTCAGGCCAGAGTCGGAGAGTTTTTCAAGGTACCGAGTTCCAACCCTTCTTTTCTCGAAGCCTGTTTATGAATATCCTTTCTCGTCTCTTCTAATCCGATGTTTACTTCGATGAAGATCTTCTTGTCCGCCTCGTGTCAAATGCAACAAAAGCGTCAACTGACGGATATTTTTGGCGCCTTCATTTTTTTCTCACGCAGGGCCTTCACAACCTGGCAAGAAATGTCATGCAGTGCTTTGCTATCGCTCTCCAGGTCCCTGAGACTGCTGGCGGACGACATTACTTTGACGGAAGCCATCAGTGGGAGGCCAAGTCGGGCACCACACTCCGTTTCTTGCACTACCCCCAGCAAACCGGTGATCCAAACACACCTTTGGCCGGAAGGTAAACCGAATTCTGTTTTATCAAAAACCTTTTCCGAGAAGGGAAACGATCGCTAACCCCACTTCAGTACAAAACCAAAATCAACACTATGAAAAACAAACAAATAACCCTAACTTCAACCTTAAAAACGCATACTGCATGATAGCCATACCGACTATGGATCGATCACTTTGTTGATGCAAAAGGATATCGCCGGCTTGGAGGTCCAGGCATCAAGAATCCACAAGAATGTCCCTTGGGTGGCGGCACCTGTGATCCCAAACACCATCCTGGTCAACATTGGGGATCACCTGCAAATGTGGACCAATGGCTTGTTGAAGTCGACCAAGCACCGTGTGATGTATAATCCTCAGCAGCTGAACCATTCCCGCTACTCAATTGCGTGTTTTATTCATGCGAACGATACGACCAAGCTGGATCCTATCCCTACTCCGTTGATTACGCAGGAGATGCGCGCAGAGGGTGTTGAGTTTGAGGAGGGACGCAATATGACTGCTGGCGAGTACCTCGACTGGCGCCTTGCCCAGACCTACAACTTCAACTTTGGCGAGATCTCTGGGGGAGCCATGTAAGTTTTTCTTTGCAGTCAGTCAGCCAGTCGAATAAAGAAAGAACAATCTTGTGCATATGAGAGAGTGAGAGTGAGAGTGGGTGTGTGCCTGGATTTTGATTTTTGATTGATGGATGAGAGGGTGCAGTATGGGCGATAATCATGCCTTCCCCACCCTTGCCTGTGCCTGTGTGTTTGCTGCGAGGCCTAAGCGGGTGAGCAACATCGATATCAAAACAACATTTTTTTCCCAGTCTCACCTCCCTTTTTACACTTTGTTCGCGTCTTTTTTGCTTTTCTTCTTCTTTACCCCTCTCACCAACTCCTCCTTCTCTTCCTCCCCTTTTGGTCACTCCCTCCCCCCTTGACCAGAAAACCTATCCAACCGACACAATGGACTCAATCTTGCGTCTGGCCCACGAACAGGTGCTCCCTGCCTGGTTCGCCCCCAGACCCTCCGCCCCTTTCCTCGACTACGGCCTCACCCACTCGGCCTCCCTGGCCTCGGGCATCCCCGAGCCTTCCCTCCGTCTCCTCCTCACCGTCCTCGCCGGCTACCCTATCGCGATCTTCTACCGTCTCATCTTCCTCAACAAAACATCATCCATCGTCGGAGAATCCGCCCGCAACTCATTCTTCCTCGTCAGTGGCTTGTTGATGTCTTACTACTTCAACTCCTTCGACATCATTCACCCTCTCACGACCTGTGTCGGTACTTGGCTCATCTGTCGCGTCATTGCATTGATCGCTCCCAAGAACCGGTCCTTGGCTTCAACATTGTCGTTTTTGTTCAACTTTGGGTATCTGTTGACGTCCTACAAGTATGCGGCCACGGAGGAGTATGATATCTGCTACACGATGCAGCAGTGTGTTCAGTGTCTGCGTATGATTGGCTATGGCATGGATTTCATGGATGGACAACCAAAGTCGGCCAAGAAGAAGGATGTTGCCACCCCTGCATCGGAGGAGAAAAAGGTCGACACCCCAGCACCTACACCCGCACCAGCAGCGCCAGTAGTTGTCAGGGACAAGACCCCCATCTCGTTCGGAAGAGACATTGCCTTGGCTCAATTGCCCACCTTGGCCGAGACCATCGGATACGCCTTCTTTCCTTTTGCTTTCTTGGTCGGTCCCCAGTTCTCGTTCTCGCTCTATAAAAAGTTCATCTCCATGGAGCTCTTCAACGTTCCCATCCCTGCCTCGGCCGCTGGATCGGATGAGGCCAAGGCTGCTGCTGCCGCAACCGTCAACGGTATCCCCCAGGGATCCCTGCGTTATGCCCTCCGCTGTTTCTTCCTCGGTATCTTTTATCTGGGTTTGGGTCAGGTCCTCGGAGGTTTCTTCCCCACTGCTGCTCTCCTTGGCAAGGCCTTCCTTGAGCGCTCCTTTGCCGAGCGTGTCTTTATTTTCTGGTGGACCGGAAAGACTGTCTTGAACAAGGTATGTTATCATTGGTATTTTGTGTGTGTCAAGGAGAGAACAAGAAAGGAACGGGAGTGGTGGGATTGGTCATGACAAATAGATCATGATCATGGTCACTTTGTCACGAAAGTTTTCTCTTACTCGTGTTTGTTTGCCCAGAGGATTAAGAGCTGGGCCTGATCTGTTTACTTTTTTCTTTGTCCCTTTGGCGGTGGTTGTGGTTGTGCTTATGGGCCCATAAGAAACACATGTGCTCTAAAAAAAACCAATACCCGTCCTTCTCTGTTATTCGTGACTAACGCATACTTTTCCTCCTCTCGCCTTATTATTGAACATAATAGTACTTGGGTATCTGGACGATTGGAGAAGGACCTTGCGTACTTTCAGGAATCACCTTCAACGGCTATGACGCTCAGGGCAAGCCCGATTGGGATGGACTTCGCAACGTCAACCCCATCAACTACGAGTTCGCCACCTCGCTCACCCAGATCGTCACCTCCTTCAACATGAACACCAACTTCTGGGCCAAGCTCTATGTTTTCAAGCGTCTCCGCTTCCTCGGCAACAAGAACCTGTCTGCCCTGGGTGTCCTCCTCTTCTTGGCCGTCTGGCACGGAACTCATATCGGCTACTTCTGCTGCTTCGGACTCGAGTTTATGGACATGGAGACTGAGCGCCGTATGTCTGCTCGTTTCGGAAAGCCTATCAATGCGTTCATTACGCGTCAGAAGGGTGTCGCGCATGTTGTTGCCAAGGCTGTCTGGGGCGTCATTACCTGGCTGTTGACCACCAGCGCGCTCTACTTTGCCGCCGTGCCCTTTGATCTTTTGCAGTTGGACAAGTCCAAGCAGGCTCTTCAGACGATCAACTACTTGGGCGTCTATGTCATGCTTGGATTGCTCTTCTTGGACATCTTCTTAGGCATTGTCATGCCCAAGAAGCGCTCAAAGTCCATCAAGACGGAATAAGTTTGATGCTCTTTTTTGTGTCCTCGTGTTTTTTTTTATTTTTATTCTCGTTCCATTTCACGTCCCATCCTCTCTCTCTCCTCTACCTCATTTTATCCTTTGTTTTTTTTCCCCCTTTCTTACCATCCATCATACAACAAAATAAAGAGATTACCCCCTCCCTTGTGTGTTTTCTTATCCTTCTGCATAAAAACATTTTAAAAAGATAAGAAGCGTCGTGGTTTAGAAAACTGTACTGGACACAAAATGTGGTTCTCTTTACGATCCGAGAGCCCTGTCTTTGTGGCTTTTCAGCCTTTCATGCTGACAAAGGTGGAATACAAAGCGTCCAATGGTTAACCTCCACCATGAACATGAAGTGTGTTCGGCATATGTGGCTTGTACAAGTACTTACTATACACATGCAACTCCTTGCCCTTGTTCCTTTACCTTTAGCCCACAAGGGGGGAGGGGTCCCTGATAAATGCTCAGGAACGAACAAATATTTGTTTGTTATTTTTTATTTCGCAAAGAAACCTCATGCATCTTTGTGAGAGTGTTCTTTTGCACACCGTGGCTCGTGTGCTGAAGAAAGCTATATTCGGTCGCCTGTGTGTGTGTGTGTGTGTGTGCCTAGACTATGCCTGCATGGTTTGGCCGCTCAACTCGCGCTCCAGATCCTCATCCACCTCCATGGCCGATTCCAAATGTCCACCTCCCTGTTGCGCCATCGCGGGTTCCTCCTGGATCTGTTGGCTAGCACGAGGGGTATCTCTGGCCGCATGTGTCGTTGCATTACGATCTGCTGCTGACAAACTGGCCGCACGACGCAATCCTCCGTTCTGAGATCCCAATGCCTGCTCCTTGCTTGCCTTGAACGACATCACCTCCTGTGCAATCAAGCCTATTTTGTATCGCAGCGAAAAATGTAAACATTTGTTAATGAAGACCGCTCTAGAAGGAGTAAGGGATGATGGGGAGAAAATCGCACCAACGAGCAACATTTGACAAAAGAATTGATCACTTACGCTTCATCTCGTCGATACGGTCGGTCACCTCGAAGGAGAAATCAAAGATCTTCTCGTGCGAGGGCTCGTCGTCCTCCTCGTGATAGGCAGCCAAGTAAGGGTGGGCCAAAGCCTGCTCGACCGTGATACGGGCAGCGGGGTCAAAGTTGAGCAGCTTCTCCAACAGGTCAATCGCCAAGGGACTGGCACGAGGGTATAACTGTTGAAAGTGGATTGTTGGCATCCTGGGCAGACTGCGAATATAAGCTTGTGCCTAATAATAGACATGTCCGAAAAGAGGAAACAAAAATAAACATAGAGTAGGTTTGTCAATCATCCGTCCGTTTTGGCAATTGCTCCTTCCATCGCGCACAACCGTCTGTGTGTTTGTGCATTTGTTTGTCACCCTGCTAAAATTAGCCCAAAACATCATCTCGTAACGCCAACTGTTTGCAAGTCGCCGTCCCGCTCCATGATACCGCTGCTTTGTGTCTTTGTGTCTCTGTTTCTGCCATTGTGCCTGAAAACGAGGTGCGTGAATGACTTACCCTCTCGCTTCCAACACGTCTCAAAGTAGCCTCATCCGGAGTTCCAAGAATCTGAAGAATCTGGTTCAATTGATCCACATAGTCGCGTCCCTTGAACAAGGGCTTTCCTCCAAGCATCTCGGCGAAAATGCATCCGACCGACCACATGTCAACTATAATACATCAGAGAGTAAGGATAAAAATAACCAAGGACATACGATCAATTATTGTTTGCGCGAGAATAAGGTAAACAACACAACAAATACGCCCAACAGAAACATCCAATCATTAACAACTCAAATAACAGCACTGGGCACTTACTGGCTTTGGTATAGCTCTGGAAGCTCAACATGATCTCGGGAGCTCTGTACCAACGAGTGGCGACATACTCTGTCATGAATCCGACGTTTGACTCGGCATCATCACTGAATCCACGCGCCAATCCAAAGTCGCAAATCTTGAGTTCGCAATCGGCGTTGACGAGCAAGTTACCGGGCTTCAAGTCACGGTGAAGGACGTTGGCCGAATGAATGTACTTGAGTCCTCGGCAAATCTGGTAGATGAAGTACTGGAAGTGGGCGTCGGTCAAGGGCTGCTCTGAACGAATAATCTGGTGAAGATCCGCCTCCATCAACTCCTGAACCAGGTAACTTATAATACAGAATGGAATGTGTCGACAATGACGCGCAGTGTAAATAAAGAGCGAGTAAAACACACACAGAAAGTGGAGAAAAAAGAAAGAGGAAAAAATAGAGTAGATAAAAATAGACGAATCCGTGATTAGCGAGCAATTCCTTCAGTGTGGTACTTCTTTCACGCATTGGTCATCGTCCCTGGATGCGAGCTACTGTCCAATTTACATTTCGTTGAACTCCTGGACATTGGTGATATCCATATCGAGGATTGATGTAATCTAAAAGACGCACAAATAAGACGAAAATGAAAGGACGGTACGTCAGTGTTGTGAATCACCCGATGTGAGTGTGTCCTGTCTGAATATGTGCGCCGCGCCCATCCATTTCCAAAAACAACCTTCTCCCAAGAAATCCTGTCATTTCTCCATTCCCCTATTACGCCTCGGCAAAAGAATGACTCCTTGTCCATGAAGACCACAAAGTCTAAAACATCCCACAGATCAGCTGGTGGTGAGAGTGAAATGAAAGTCGCCCATGATGTCAACCAAGAGAGATAATAAAAGAAAACAAAAAGTAATGCACAGTGTGCAGTCTGCAAGAAAACGTCCGGTGCCTCTACCACCTTGGTGATATCTTCCGCTTTTCATTGTCCGCCAACCCGTTGACCTAATTTTATGGTTTTTTTGAGTCTCCACCTCAAGGAGTTCCTGAACTGTCCCGCGCCCTCTCACGCCCATTTTGAGGCCCCACAGCGTGTCCTGGTCCGTCATTCTGATTTTTTTTCCCGTGCTTGCTCAGGAGGAAGAGCAACAGAGGAAATAAAAAGAAAAAAAAAAGAGTGAAAGGTAATCTCATGTCCGCTATCATCGTCGGTCCGCCTCAGCCGTCCATGTTCCGCAATGAGCAGACGTCGTCCTTTCATGCAAAAATTCGCAAGTCGATCGAGTCTTAGCCCTAAAGGCGAAGCTGTAGCCGACATTCCATTGAAAGGGCAAGGGAAGACCGACGTCGTTTCCCTTGTCATGGGCGAGTGCATTGGTTGGGCAAAAAAATCATGATATGAAAAAGAGAGTCGAAAAAACAGCAGTCGAGCGAGAAAGTGGAGAAAGAGAAATCGCTTACATTCTCGTGTCCTGAAAAGTGGCGCAAAAGCTTGACTTCACGGAGGGCGCGCTTGGCGAGAATGGCCTTTTCAAAGACCTTGGTGACCTTCTTGATGGCCACATCTTCTCCTGTCTGGGTGTTCTTTGCAGCGCTATAAAAAGTTCAGAAAGGAAGAACAAAAAGGCGAACCAACAGGGATAAGATTAGAGATCACGTAGACTTTTTTTGCTTTTTGGTTTGCAGGATACATGCTCATTCGACCTTTCTCCTCCTTTTTCCCAGATATAACTAACTCCAAGCATCGGGAAGGTTATCGAATTTCGCAACAGCCTTTAGGTCTCTTGGTTTGACCCCGAGGAGGAATAAGAAAAGCACTTACCAGACAACTCCATAGGCACCTTGACCAATCTCGCGAATGAACTGGTACTTTGTGTCGACAATGAACTGCTGGTTCAAAACCGGGAACGAATGGGTAGGCATGGTTGGCGGTGTTGGAAAAATGTGAAATGGGAAGAAAGGAAAAGGATTCGCGGGGTAGTGTGTTTGTCTCTATGAGGTTGGAGTAAAAACAAATGCCAAAGTGAGGGGTTGGCAGGAATGAAAGAAGAGAGGAGAGAAAGAGATGAGTCTTGTAAAGAAAGGAAAGAAGCGCGTATGCATCCTGGTGTGTGCGATCCCTCTTCGTGCTGTCATCTCCTTGCTCTTCTGTCCCATTATGAAAACAGGCAATGACTTTTGGTGGCGAAGAGTCATACGGAAGGGGGCGAGGCAAGTCGGACTGATTCCTCCGCGGAAGTGGCGTGTGTCTGGTCGTCTGGTTGGTCCGGCCCTGTAGTTTTCCTGTGCAAGAGCCAACTTGTGCTGTTTGTCTGTCTGTCTACTTGTCCCTTTTTCTCGTTCTTGGCCCGAGCTCTGTATTATTTTTACGCTACCTGAAAGAGTAAGGAAGAGAGGCGTAGAAGAAGAGAGGGTGAGGACGACTGCCGAGTGGGGGAAAGGAGGAAGTATGGAGGTGAGGGACAAGGAAGGGAGGTGAAGGAGGTGAAGGAAGAAGAGAAGGGAAAAAAGTGAAGGGGTTTATATGAACAGGAAAAAAGGGGAAACATGAAGAGAGACCATTGCTGAAGCTCATGCGATCAATCGTACCTTCCACATGGTACAAGTCGTGTTCATACTTCATACATTCACGTACATAACATACTTTTTGGCTCATTTATTATCATTGTGATTATTAACATCCACGGGGGCTTGACTCTGCTCAGCCCACTGTCCGGCTTCATCGTCGTCACCGCCATCCTGAACCGAAGATAAGCACCGCCATACATCGAAATTGTATAGGACACACCACTACTTGTTCTTCTTGGTGTCGGTCGACTCTTGAGATGGGAACCCGCTGTTAATCAACTCCTGATCCGACATGTCCCTGTAGACACCTGGGGGTGCCCGGTAGTACCACCATCCCAAGACAATCTGCAGATACGACACTCCCTCGCGACCCTTCTTCCACTCGCTCATACATCTCTCGGCGTTGAATCGTAGGCAAGAGCCTCCCCAGCTGGTCACAATCTCGTGCTCGACAGGGTCATAGACATGCAGACAAGGCACGCCCTTGGTCTGCCACTCATTCAAAATATCCTGCCTGACGGGCTCGTTGTAGGGAATCGCCAACCAGCGTGGGTGTGCCGCCAATGTCCTGTTGAATGCCTCCAAAGATTGGTCCAATGAGATGTAGATAATTACAAAGTCTGGGTTTGCCTCCAAGAACTGGTCAATGAGCTGGCAAGTAAAAAAAAAAAAATGTTAGGGTTACATGGTGAGGAAGAAGTCGAGTATTCCTGCGCCAGCTTAACCGTGTAAGAAGTCTCATGAAACAGTTGCTTACAGTTGCCAACTCCTGACAGGCAGAAAAACGACCAGCAGCTAATGAAAAGACAATGAATACCAAAAAGCATGTCAGTCTTCGCCCACTCTCCAACTATCCCACGGTCCCTTGTTTTTGCCTCGTTGAGTATGTCTGTTGATGGACGATTAAACCGATTGCTATGCTAAAAGAAGAAAAGGAGACCACGATTACCGCAAAGGAAGCCAATGGTCTTGTTGGCGACTTCGTAGACAGGGACATGCTTGCCGGTAGCATCCTGGAGCTTGATCTTGAAGAGGATAGACTCGTGCTTGTCGATGGTTGCCTTGGCTTTTGTTGCACGTTCTGCGAGGGATGAAGCGTCAGTGGCAACGGTGTTGTTGTCTGTGGGTGAGTCGACTGTGGTTGCCATTATTATTGTGTTTTTGTTTGTTGTAGTCGTTGATGAGTGAGAGTGGGTGTTTTTGAGGATGAAGAGATGAGAGAAGGCAGAAGCGAGTGGACGAGATGAGATTTAGGGACAAGGTGGTGGGAAAAAGAGATGCTTCTCTTTCTTCTTTTTTCGACTGCTTTTTCAAATGCATTTTATTCGAACGGACAATTTTTCTTCATTTCGGCGAATCGATCGAGAAGAGCAAGAATCATACCACACACGACTCGCCAACGCCAACGGTTGCGTATGCACTCTAACCGATTCAAGCAACAGTGGTTCCTTGTGCCTTGGCCACCTCCTCGGCAATCTGCTCAGCCGTCATGTTGGCAATCTTGGTCCGCGCCTCCATCAACACAACCCCGAGCATGTTCTTGCCCTTCCCATCCCCTCCATCCGCCCAATATCTGTCATTCTTCGTATGCTCTATTCAAAATGATACAATTAGTAACTCTGAGCCAAAAAGCAATAAACTCCATCGCTTGCAAATGTCAGCAACCATTCTATCAACAAAACGCCCTTCAAACCAAAACTCACCATTAAGATACCGGTCCCCGGTCCCTCTCAGCACCTTGGCAAGATCAGGATGCTGCAGGAACTTTTGCAGCACGCATTCGCGCATCACATCGTCCTTGATCTCCTCCCAATCCGGCCTCAAGGGAAACGATCTATTCCGACCGAGTTTGGCAGCATCGCCTGGCGTCTTGGAAATGCGAATCAATTCGACATACTGCTTGTCTTCGATATGGGCAAACTTTTGTGCTTGAAAGTAGTGTTCTGTCGTGGGCCATTCCTGTCCGCCGATAGTGATGGGGGCATAGAAGAAGTTGGAGAACTCGCCGTATGCGTCTCCCTGACGATAGAAGTTGATGGTGTCCTTCATGATTTGTTGGATTGATAGATAGGGGATTCCTCTGAGCAAGGTGGGAAGGTGTGAAGTGGGAGAGATAAAGCTAAATTGGGAGTAGGAGGGTAAGAGTGTCAAAGGAAAGAAAGAAGAAAGGTCAATTGACATAAGACTCACATTTATATCCGCGAAATGGTGGCAAAAGAGAGAAGACGCAGCACTTTGCTCTCGTGAGTGTTTTCGTCACGTTCAGTCAAAGCCGCAGCAGAGAAGAGGCGCCGAAGAGATGGCCTAGACAACACTCGGAATGAAGAGGTGTCGGAGATGAGCCTTGCCTTTGTTGGCTGTGTTGCTTGTGGTAATGGAGAACGAGTAACAAGGTTGATGGAGAGAAGAAAAAAGAAAAGTGATGACGAAGGGTTGGGGTAGTTGTTCCTGTGTCGGTGCTTTCTTGTCACACCGTTTGTTGTACGGTGATGATCATTGGGCAATCTTCATCCAATGATTCCCTTTCAAGAGAATAAGAGAGATATATGGTCGACGCATGTGGCATATATAGCATCGGTATGCCACCCATTCCTCTGAGCTACCCTCGGGAACGTGGCTAGATGTTTTTGAGAGTCGCGAGTCTTGCAGAAGAGAAGCATGCCATTGCTATCGGACATGGGGGATGAGAGACGGAGAAGGTTTTCCTTGACCACCTCAACCGCTCTCTCCATTTCATTGACAGCGGCCAATTGGACGATGGTAATCTTGCACACTCTACACGCTCTGTTGAGGAATTGAAGCCTTTTTGAGCCTAGTGCACACAGGGATTCAAAGACATAGAAAATGTCGTATCAACAACAACAACAACAGTGAGCATGTCTGTCTGTGTCCGTCCATCTATCTGCCAGCATGTCCTGTCTGTCTTGCCACCTGTTTGCATTCTGGATAACGAATACTACACTGGCAAATTGCTTCTCTCTTGAATTCATAGAGAGGCCTCAATGAGAGGCAGTGACGAGGCATTGCATGGGTTTCACGATCGCGTTTTTTTTTATTATTTATTTTATTTCTTCTTCCCGGTAATGAAGCAGAAGATGGATAATTGCAATGAACGACCAACGACTCGGGAGCTCAAAAGAAAGAGTACATGGTCAATGAGCCATTGTTGAGTGGATGGAGCGAATGAAAAGAGGCTTCCAAGCAGTGGATCGAGAGCTGCTGAACATCTGTCAACAAAGAAAAGAAAAAAGAAAATGCGGCCAAAAGGACGATTGAGCGCGATGCAAGGTTATTTTTTCATTAGAAAAAAATCAACCCCAGCTGGCCAACCACCTGCACCAATCGTCCCATCATCCTTCCTCGTTCCCCTTCTCTTTCTTCTTCCAGCTTCGCTCCTTCCTCTCTTCTTCTTTCTCCTTCTCTCCTTCCCCTCCTTTCCCTTTCCCTTTCCTCGCCTCCACCGTCCCCCTTCATCCACAATACCCTTCTCACCACTCTTCGACTCTGTACCTTGCTGGACTTTTTAGTCTCTAACTCATCAACCAGGAACACTCAACGCCATCAACATCTGATCACCCTCCTGGCCACACCCAAGTGTAACCCGTCCATCAACAAAGAATAACATATATATACACTAGCAGGATGCTAAAACTAGCGCTCTGTGCTGCTGGGTAAGAACGAACACCCACTTCGCCGGTGGTGCTTGGTTGGCCTCTTTTTGCTCATGCCTACTTGTGTGTGTTACGATGGAGGTAACACTTCTTTTCCGCCCTCATGTCCCTAATGCGCCCTGGACACTAACCTTGCTCCTTTTCTACCCTTTTTTTTCACTTCTATGCCCTCACCATCGTGTGTCACAACCAACAACCGTTCAACAAACAAAACATGGAATGGAATCAACAGCATCTACTTGTGCTTCCTGACATGGGGCTACTTCCAGGAAAAGGTATCAACAACCCCCTACGGCCTGGAATCCATCCGGTTCAACTACTTCATCTTCCTCAACATGCTCCAAGCCATCGCCGCATCCGCCACGGCCTTCTTCTATTTAAGGATTCAGGGCAAACCACTCAAAATGCCCTCCAGGATGCTCCTCGGAAAATACTTCCAGGTCGCCTTCTTCAACGCCAGTGCCTCCCCTTTCTCCTATGCCGCCCTTCAACATATCGACTACCCAACCATGATTCTCACAAAGTCGTGTAAACTGGTCCCCGTCATGCTGATGAACGTTTTGCTTTATAGACGTCGGTTCCCGACGTACAAGTACGTCTGTGTGGCACTGATTACCTGTGGCGTGGCCGGGTTCATGCTCCTGGCACCCTTTGACGAGCATAAACAGGAGACTGTCAACAGCTCGCTCTTTGGCATGTTCCTCGTCATCATCAACCTCACCATCGACGGCGTCACCAACTCGACCCAGGACCAGATCTTCCAGACCTTCAAGATCACTGGCCAGGAAATGATGTGCTTCATGAACCTCTTCATGTCTGCATTTATGGCCATCTGGCTCCTCAACCCCTTCAACTCGGAACTCGGCCAGGCTCTGTCGTTCTGCCAATCCCATCCGGCGGTCATCAAGGACATTACTCTGTTCTGTATCTGCGGCGCATTGGGCCAGTGCTTCATCTTTTATACCCTCGAGCAATTTGGATCTCTCTCCCTCGTCACCATCACTGTCACCCGGAAACTGCTCACCATCCTCCTCTCGATCTTTGCCTATGGCCATATCCTCAATATCTCGCAGTGGCTCATGATTGGCGTCGTATTTTCAGGAATCGGACTCGAGGCCTATATAAAACGGAACGATAAGCTGGAAAAGTTGGGCCACAACTTGCCCAAGCATTCCCCGCGACCGGATCAGCTCTCCTTCAGTCAAGTCGAGATGATGAAGAAGGACAAGATCCACTCCCTCAACGCCAACTTTGTGGGTTTTGCTGGACAAGGCAATGCTGGCTCGAACGAAGGGTTGGCGCAGTACGGACAGGACTATGGATACTCTAACAATGGCAACAACACTCAACTCCTTCAACCACCTCCTTTGCATCATTATACTCAACAAACCCAACAACAGCAACAACAATATTACCAGCAGCAGCAACAGCAGCAGCTTCAACAACAATCCGTGGATGGTCAGCTCCAGCCACCCTCAGGAGATGAGGCGGATACCCTCAAGAGCAAACGACCCTTCTCGATCCGGGCGTCCTACGTCAGTTCAAGTACAACCGCGCCAGGAACCCTCCCGACTAGTGGCGGCGGACGGCAACGTACCAGTGTCGTCGCACCCAGGCGTCTCTAGAGGTTCCTTTTTTTCAATCAGTTTCTTTCCTTCTTTTTTTCGTTATTATTTTAGAAATTGCATAAAAAAAACGTTAATACCATACAGACACCATACAATGGATGAGGCTTTGGTCTTGATAAACTCTTTTTTTTTTCGACTATGGGACTATGGAAGATGCTCTTTTTTTTCGCACCCATCCTTGAGTTCTGAAACGTAAGGAAATGGACAAGAGGACCAGAGCATGGCATGGATCTGATTGGTCTCTTTCCTACTTTCCCCAAACATAAAAAAAAGGACGGAAAAAAAAAAAAAAAAAAAGCTAAAGTGGGAAAAGTAGTATAAACGGGCCAAAGGGGAGGGAACAGGAAGGGGCGAGAACGAGGACGAAGAAGGACGAAAGTTGGTTGAGTGGGCAGGGTAGAGAAATGAAGGAAGGAAGGAAGGAAGGAAGAGTGTGGAATACCAAGAGGATGGGAAGTTCTTTAAGATGCTTAATTTCTTCTGCCCTTTTCCACTTCGTTGTGGATTTGTGTTTTTCATCTTCATTGCTAAAAAATTCACACCTTGGGGAAGCACACAAGTGTGTCAACGAATCAGTAGTGGAATTGAGAGGGGCGGGGCATATCGTAACGACTTTCTCCATGTCAATATCAATGGATAGCATGCAAAAAAACGGCAAAAAGGAACCCAGGTAATAGAAAACTTGTTTTTTGTTATTGTACAATTGATAACGACTACGTCTGAAGATCGCCATTAGGGCCTCCACCAGGTACAAGGCGCATCATCCCGAACCCTTGTTGGAGAGACCCTGGTGGGCCTTGAAGACCATTACCAAGACCATTACTGCCTCCGATGCCGCCGCCAACGCCAACGCCACCATTCGACATGGACTTTCCTTGAAGCTGAGCCTCCAATTCCTGATTCCGACTCGTCTGGTTGGCGACCAATTGTTGGAGGTGGCGAATATAATCAACCGATTTGCGGAGGATGACGCCCTTGTTGGGCTTGTTGGCCGTGTCGACGTAGCACTCGGGCAAGAGTGTCGACAGTTCCTGAATCTTTTCGTTGATGTTATCGCGTCTGCGTCTTTCGACTATTGGTAAAAAAAAAAAAAGGGAGCCATGACAAAGAGGCGAAAGGCGAGGAAAATGATCACACGGTTAGCCAAGTAATATGAGGACAACCCAAAAAAAAAAAAAAAAAAAAGAGCATTGTAGAAAGGAAACGAGAAGGACAGAGAAAGAGGGACAGTGAGGAACCCCCTGCATTATTTTCTCTCTCTCTCTCGATTGCCATTTGAGCACTTGTGTCAACCACGATGGATGACCCAGAATAACCCAGGATGACCGACAGGGATGGTCCTGCCCTGCCTGTCGACTGTACTTTCATTTCTTTCGACTTACCAGCATTGTGCGATTCACGTCGGCGTCTCCGCTTCTCGTTCAAGAGCACGGCACGATTGTTACCCCTATGGACAAGATAAAAAAAAGTTGCAAGGATAAAACGAAACTGGAAGATTAGTGGTGACACATAAACTACAGACATAGGCGACCAGAGGGAATTCGATGATGACGGGTGGGAAAGCAGGTTGCTATCCTCACCCGTCTAAGTCTTCCCCAGCGTTTTTACGAAAAGCAGAGAAAAAAAAAGGCACTTACTTGGGCTCGGATCCGTCTTCAAAGAGACTGTCCAGCATGTTCATCTCTCCTGTCGCAAACTGAAGGCCAGAGGGGTTCTCGAACGAGCCGACAGAGTGACCGTCGCCTGCGCCAAACCAGTCTGACCGCTGGGCGGGCATAGACATGCTGTGAAAGTTGTTGCCTGCGGGGAGCGAGCTTGGGTGCATGGGGCGTCCAAACTTCATGTCCAAGTGGCGTGAGCTCTTGGGAAGAGAAAAGTCGCCCTCTGGGAAAAAATCTGACTCTGGTCCTGGAGAGTACAACGAGCCCGTTCCTGGCGACTCTCCATACGATCCCTGATGAATGTTGAGAGGCGTTGGCTTGGCTGCGAAGGAACCTGACCCAGGACCGGGATTGGGTGTCGAAAAGTCATCGGGGCTATCAAAGTCGTTCAAAGGCGAGTTCAGGGGAGAACTCGAGCCAGGCGAGAGCATATTTCCAGGCTCGCCAAAGTCCATCTCGGAAGCGAGGTAATCGGGCGAGGCAGCTTCTTGCTTAATGGTCGGCGTGGGAACGGTATTGGCAGAGCTAAAAGAGTTACCGCGACCGAGAAGCGACTGGTTGTTGAGGAGCGAGGTTCCAGAGGTTGGTGGAAAGAGCGAGTTCATGTTGTGGAGCTGGGACATATCCATGCGGTTCATGGTCATTTGGAGAAGACCGGGGTCGATGGTTCCTGCGAAGGAGTTGTTAGGAGTTCCTGTATTGTTGGGGTTGTTGTGGTTGGGGAAGCTCATAGGCATGGCCATAGGGTGTGTTTGTTGGAGGTGTAACTGATGCTGGAGGTGGTGTTGCTGCTGTTGTTGCTGTTGTTGTTGGAGGTGGTAGTTTGTGGGGAACTGCAGTTTTGACTGGGTGGGACTTGATTGTGGGATCTGTTGTTGGCCAAACATGTCTTCCTGTATGTGTGTTAGTGGGAGAGAGGGAACGTGTGGACGTGTGAGAGTGTGAAAACGGGTTAAGTCAAGGGAAAGCGAACGGGTGGGTTGTCGCAGCAAAAAGGAAAGCTTGGCGCAGAAGTAGTTGGTGGCGAAGAGGAGTGTTCAAGAAGACTGATTCGTTTGACGAAAAGGAGTCGAGTAGAGTAGAAAGTGATGAGTAAGTGTAAGAAGTGAGGAGGAAGTATGAAGTAGGGCGAAGGAAAGGGAGAGTGTGGATAAAGAAGACGAAGGAGAAGAAGAAGGAGAAGAAAGAAGAAAAAGTGAGAAAATGGAGAGGGGGGGAGTAGAAGGGTAGAAAAGGGAAACGAAAGGTGAGAGAGCGTCAAGAACGACTCATCGGGGACTGGCTTTTTTTTTCCTTTTTTTTTTTTTGAAAAGAAAAACCCCACCAACCAGACGTCCTCAATTGATTAGTCGTCTCCTTCCAATTCAATCAGCCCCAATATTTGATCGGGCCATTGCTGAACCGCGGTTACCCTTTCCGTGTTCGTTTTCTACAATGCTCATTCACTCAACAATGCTCCCCCTGTTTGCTGCAGTCGCCTTATCATTCTTCTTCTTTCGTCTCTTGAGACTTGGAACCTGGGTGGGATACAAAACAACAGAGGTTGCTGACACATGCACCATCCAGCAACAACCGTTCGCCATCTTCCTACTTCTTTCTGGCTCCTTGAAATAGAGAGCCGTAATGATGAACCTAGCTCAGGTCTGCATCTTCTCTCCAAAGGTACAAACAAAAAAAGGGAGTGACAACAGGACACCGCTATCGTTATGCAGGAACGTGGCAACCCCATCCCTCTACCCACTCTTGACTTTGCCCCTATTCTCCGGACCTTTGGTCCCCTTTCTTTTACCCGTCTCTCACCCCTTTCCTTCCTTGGCCCCTTTTTTACCCATGTTGGTATGGTTGCGATGGATCAGAGTGAAAAGAACAATGGGGCGATAAACTAACAGATGAGTGTCATCCATCCACCCATTTAAACCGACTTTCTTTTGTCTCTGTACAGTAGCTGTTCGCCTTCGCCCATGCTGCCATCATTACCTAAACAAACGAAATATTGCCATACATCCACCAACTTACAAAGTTATCCATCCTCTTTCCTCTCCCCTATTTTTGCCAACTTTTTTTTTATTCCTTCCGACGGATGGTCTTGCCCTACGCTGTTGCTTTTTTTTGTTGTGCCTGGCCTTGTTCTTCTCGCCCCTGCCTAGCCTTTGCCCTTTGCCTTGCATCGATCACCCACAGCGATGGGCCATGTGGCCGCGCACTTTGAACTTTGTTACTCTTTCTTTGTCAGACTGTTGATTTTGTGCCCATTGACAGCAACAGGCAAGTACCTTTTTTTTTTTGAGTTCTATCCATCCTCCTCTTTGTCCTTTTGCATTCGTGTATCGTCATCGCCGAGACCGTTCGTTGCCAACCTTCACCACCATCCTTATCCCCAATAACAGCGACTTGTTTCTCTGTTCAATCAAGAATCCAGAAATCCCTTTGGGTATGAAAAGCGATACCCTCCCTCCCCCTTTTTTTTTTACTTGCCGCCCTGTTGTCATCAACTTCAACCCCTGAGAACCTTCGCGCGTTTGCCGTTTTTGCAATCGATTCCCGCCCATTTTTCTTTCCACGTTGTTTAGTTTCTGCGGGTTTACCATTCAAAGTCAATCCGTCTATCTCTTTCCTGTCAAAGGGTTTTGCGTTTGTTCGTTCTGGTTGTCGGAGAGCTGTTTACGAGATTTTGCTTGGTGAAATAGACAATGGGTCCGTTCTAAGTGCATGCGGGTATTCCAGATTGGGATCGCCGCTCAGGGGGTAAAACAAGAGCGGAAGTTTTATTTCCTTTTGTCTCTTTCAATGGTTGTCCCATTACCTCATTGCCGCGTCTTTTGTTGTTGTCATTGCTTTGTTTCGCAAAGGGGATGGAAGAGCTGGGTTTTTTGTCCAAACCGAGAAACGAGACAACATCAAAAAAAAAAAAAAAACATAAACGGCGCTATCTTCTTTTCCAAACACCCCTTTCTTATATTTGCCATCCCTTTTAGTCCCATTCTCCGTCGCCCTTCTTTACTACTGCAACGGTTGGTTGTCGAGCATACGAAACTCGATCCATTTGTCACGATCCGTGAACCACAGTTCTCTCTTTACTGCGATTGAGGTTGTTTGGAGCCTTTTTTGGTACTCTGGCGCCTATCATTGTAAGGAAAGCACCAAAGAGACAGTATGGGTCGGTCCAGAAGGAGCTCTCCTCTCTTTTTTTGTTACTTTTTTTGAGTGTGTATGTTTTTATGATCCTGTGCGACAAGGGCTCTCAATCGATCCTCTCTCCCTTGTTGGTCTTCTTACGGACGAAGGGTGTTCCTGCATTCGTCTCTTTGCCTCGGCTCTCCTCTCTGCCAGACATAACCTTTTGGTTGGTGGATTGGCTGTTCCTACCGCCACTGTGTTCGCAGCTCTCGGCAAATCTTTTTTTTTCCCTCTCACTCTCCACCCAACTTGTTCCTTGTTTGTTCTTGTTTTTCTTGCGAGGTTCTCCACAAAAAAAACTGACTCTCCCCCTTCTCCTCTCCGTCAACAAACAAACAAACAACCAGACAAACAAACAAGCAAACAAACAAGCAAACAAAGATGCACGAAGGAAAGAAGAACGAGAACAAGAAAAACAAACAAAAATGCGAGAACAGACTCCATCCTCCACCCTCCACCCCTACTCCCTTCCATCCCACGCATGTTCCACCCCTACTCTCTTCCATCCCACGCATGTCGCATAGCCAACAATCCTTCTTTCTCGATCGATCGTCTCCAGGACAGGACCACACACAAACAATAATCTGCATCAACAAAAAGTTGCTTAGATTATCTTACAGACCCATTCCCTACATTGTCTATTCTCAATTGCTCCTGCTCCCAATTACTCTCTTCATCTTGAAGTAACCACATTTCCCATTACACGGATTACAAGAGGAAACGCGTCCAGTTGCGGTCAGTCAGCGGAGGAATGTTTCTAACGGAGCACCAAAAAGGGCTTTTTCGGTTGTCTGGGTTTTGGCGTTGTGTGGGCTGTGGGGTAGAACTAAGGTAATGTAGCCAATCATTTTCGATCCAAGCACAAACCAAGTTTTGTCTGGTTTTTCTAACGGAGAAAGCGACCATCCAGAACCCTCGTTCTTCTGGCTGGGGCCTCTAAAAAAATTCGATTGTTATCAACTGAAACAACAACTTGCCTAACATGGGGCCAGGGTGTGGTACCTCTACCTGGACTAGACTGGACTGACTGGACTAGACAGAACTAGACTAAGGCAAGCGATCCATCGCACCATACTGCCTATCCACTCATACACACATTGGTCATCATGACCAAGAAGATTGTAAGGGTTGGGTACCAGTGAAGCTGGATTTGATCCTTCCTCCACACAAAAATGTTTGAAAACATACACCTCTTGATCGCTACTGGACCGTTGGCTCGGTGCCCCCTTTGTTCCTCTCTCCACCCATCTACCAGCTAGCACTCTCGCTGCCTAATTGTCGTTTTTTTCTCTACGCAAAATTATCGCAGTTGCCCGCTTCGCACGGGTACGGCGCGTACAACGCAGGAAAACGGATCAATACAATTCCGGAGCAGGAAACAAACAAACGCAGAAGAATAGTTTAGCTAGCGATTCATCCCAAGCTACAATGACCTCAAGCGCGCCGCGAGTAGGATTTCGGTCAGCCCGTCATAGCCCCTAGGCGACAAGAATAGAACTGGTACGTTCGTTTGTTCGCCGCGAAGGTTAACACCAATACGTCCATACCCACAGAAGCAAGGAAGCAGGAAGAAATAGACAAACGCTTTCGGCGCAACTCAAAGCAATGGATGCAGGACGGGCGGTCAAGTGTACTTTTTTTTGTACACTTTCCTTCCCATCCATTCGTCATTGGTTACAAGAAGTGCACAACTGTTAGAGCCACAAGGAAGAGGTGTCTTGAACTCAATGCTTTCTTTGTCAACTTGTGCTTTGCAATGCCGGCTTTGGGTCAACGCCGACGTGTTTTTATTTTTGGCATGTACGAGTTGTACTACAAGTTGAACTACTGAACCTATTCTTTTTTTAGGATCAAGGAAAAGGGACAATGCGCGTGTGCACACTTTCCCCCCTCTTCGTTCGTACTTTGTGGTGAATGTGCCTGAAAGGACATGGATGTCGAAGGTGAACTACTTTGCCATAGGTTACTAATCAAACGCGTATGGCATTGGCATCGGCGTTGTAGTTGATGCTTCATTTTATCAGCTGCCTCGCTATGATATATGGTCAATTCTTTCTCACCTCTTTCATCCTAGGCAACGAGAATAGTATGAAGTGGCGGTGTTTGGTCGCAAAAAACTATTCAAGTTTCTTCCGTGGCGATGTTCGTTCCTTACGTTCGGCGAGGCGATAATCCCTCTCTATCCTATCCACTGTGCTATCCTGTTCCCTTTGCGCCTTTTTTTGATATGGAACATACACCCAGTTGAAAGCAAAGATAGCGTATGCCTGCCACATTTCGACTCTTGCAAAGAAAGGGGAAGGGGGTAGGTGAATGACAGGGCTGTTTTTTCACAAGAACATAAAGAAGCACTGCCATTTTCTAAAGGCGGGTGACCTTGATTTTTCCATTTTTATCCCCACAACAACAACACGCAAACACAGACGCAGATCATTCCTAAAAAAAGGAGTTCTATCGGCGTAGATGAAAGAAGACAATAAAAAAAGAATTGACCCAGTTGGGATAAAAAAAGTCTTCTGTCCTGTCTTAGCGCCCAATCACCAGTCACTGGCTCTCGTCACGATCCGCCATCCTGTCCCCTTTTGTCCTTTGCAGTGGGCCAGCAGGACAAGGCAAAGAATGGATGGACACAAGAGGGAAGGGAGTCGCTGGCTAAAGATAGAATGGGGTCTCTTGGGCTTTTCAGATGCGTAAGGATACAGACAGCAATGTTGCAGTGCCGTGCACATTCCGACAGTCATTCCTTCGTCCCACTTGTTTCCTTTGCGCAGATTTATCCTTCATCCCTTCTATTGTCATTGATAGGGTTGATGTTCTACTTGAGGAGATGGGGAAGAATATTGTATAAAAAGGCGCCGGTTTCCTCAACATTTCTTTCTTCTCATCATCAGCCAACCCAACAGCAACATCTTCTCTTCTCAACAACAACCACAACAACAAACAAACCCTCAAGAACCAATCCAAACCCAACCCCAACAACCACAATGAAGACCTCAATCTCTCTGGCAATCGCCTCCATTGCAACCCTCCTCCTCTCCTCCGTCCACGCTGCCCCCATCGACGCCTCCGCTGCCACAGGCCAAACCGCCGTGATCCTCTCCGCAACGGACTACTGCATCTTCCTCCCTCCCAAGTACGGCGGTGACATTGCCGCCAACGAAGACCGCGCCGTCGCCTTCTGCACAAAGGCCAACCTCCCAGGAGCACCCAACGCCCGAGTCCTCCCCGAAGGCTTCATCGCCTCCTCCCACTACATCGAGAATACTTCAAAGGGTTACGTCCAGATCACGGGCCGTATCGATCGGTCTAAGTATGGATTGAAGTCTAGCGATGGTGGTGGACAGTACGATTTGAGGGCTCCAGTCGGATCCAAGATGACGGGTTATAATGCCTTCGTCCAGTTGACAGAGCCCGATGTGGAAATCTTTTGTATCAGAGCTTGCAAGAATAAGTCAGATTGTCCAGTCAACAAGTCGACCTATGGATGTGAGAAGGTCCTTGGCGGTGACTACTCTTAAATTCTCTTTCCCCCCCCCCTTTTTTCACCCCTTTTTTACACCCCTCTTCTCTATCCCCTTCTTTCGTACTTGGAGTCCGCGTGAGGTCTCCACGTTTTCTCCCCTTATTCGAATACTTTTTCTGTATATATCACCTTTTTTTGTAGCATTACAACTTCTTTGAATGAATAAAAAAAAAGGACGCGCAGTCTTTTTGTTTCAATTGAAAATTAACATTAACTATCATGTGTGCTCTACATCTTTGTTAATCCCAACATCTAAAGTCTGAACTGACCACAGTTCTTGGTGAACCATGGACGACTTCCAACATCCACACCTTCCCACACCCCCTCGTCATCATCCTCAGCCCGCTTCCTGAACCCGCTCCCGGGAACAATACACGCATCTGCACCCTGAGCCGACCTGAGCGTGCAAATCATCTCGGATGGACAAGTCGTGTTGCCCAAACAAGTCGGGATCAACTTGGAACTCTTTCCACGACGCTTCCAAAAATCTTGGAACGGTCCTGTCATATTGGCCGGGTCCGCTTCAAACGCAACCGTGACATTGTGCCACCACGCCGCGCTCAAGGGCTTATCGGCAGCGATGGGAACCGACACACCATAAGCCTTGCGCGCAGAGTACTCGACATGCCAGTTAGGCGTGGTCCCTTCAGCATCCCATTTCGCGGCCTGGTCCAAGTCGGCGATATAAGTCACCGACTCAAAGACATTCCAGCTCCCGGTATCGACCTGGTAGGTCCTGAAACCAGGGTTAATGTTCGTAAACGGCGCAACCGAAGGTCCCGTCCAAGCCGTTCCAATCGCATTCTTTGCTGTCTTGTTCCCATCAGCTCCATAATAGATCACAAACTCATCCGTATGCGAATGTCCAAAGAACTGTTCCGCAACAACATGAGGCGAGTACCGCTGAATGACTTGATGGTACAGATCCGACCAGTTCTCCAAGCAGTCGGTCTGGTAGGGAGCGACATGTCCAATGACCCAGACGCGTTCCTTGTGATCCTCGGCATATTGGAGTTCGCGGATCAGCCAATGGATCTCGTGGTTGGGATCGGCGTCGCGGAGGTCACTGTAAAGGTAGAGGTTGTCCTTGTAGCAAAAGTTGGTGTTGAGCGAGATGAGGCGGAATCCGCGGTGGGGGGAGGTACTGTAGGCACCGTGATTGTGACGGACGGAGGCTAGTTCGCGAGGGGATAACCAGGAGGACCAGTCCTTGGCCAGGCTGTCGTAGACCCATTGCAGGTCTCCTCCTGACCTCTCCGTTGGGAACAGGCTATTGAGAAGTAAGAAATGCAGGTTCACGTAATTCAGGGGTCAGTAATGCAAACCACAGGTAAACAAACAAACAAACAAATGGGCAAAGGAACAAAATCGCAAACAATTAAACAAAAAAAAAATACGGTACTTGGTAGGGCCGGCGTCGTGGTTGCCAATGGTAGGGTAGAGGTTGATGTTCTTACCCAAGAACTTCTCAATAAGCGCATAAGAATGCTCAAAGATGGGCGTAACAGTCTCCCTAGTCTCCAGCCAAGTATCATGAGGCGGGATATCGCCCGTCAGGATGGCAAAGTCGATATTGGGGATCTCCTTGCGAATAAACTTCATGAGGTCCTGAGTCAGCTTGATCGGGGTGTCACAACGGTAATCGCCCCATGTTGCGGCTGCGCGGCGGAGCGGGGCCGTGGTGTTGGTGGTTGGGAATGTCCTGCAGCAGATGGGTTTATCGCATGCGGCTTCGACCCCTGGTTCGTACAACTCATCCACATGCCAACTAGAGATTTAACATGGGGAAGGAAAATTTTGTAAGTAGATTGACGGACGGAAAGAGAGATGGCTCTCAATTGTGAGCTAAGCACAACAAGAAAAAGAATACATGCGAAGAAAAAAAGGGAAAATGCGCCATCTTCGCATGCAGGTATGCATGCATTGCATGAGTGCAAAGCACCAGAAAGAAAGAAAAAAAATAGAGAAGGGAACTGGAAGAAGGGCCAAGGGTAAAAGACGGGGGGGGGGGGGGGGGGGAAGAGGAAATACTTACTCCGAAAGATGGACAACATTGACCAGTTTTCCACTATGGACAGGCTTGATGGGGAATCTTGGCTTGCGCCGAGGGAACCTGAGAGCATTTGCGGTGACAGCAGGACTGGGGCACATGGAAAACATCGAGTGACAGATAAACTTATCGTCACCTTCCTTAAAGTACGCCGACTGCGTCGCCTTGATCATCACAGGGACTTGCATGTCAATGTACCCATTGCACTATTTTCGTCAATGAAGAACAAAAGAAAAGGATGGGCGAGAGTTAGGTTAAGTTTTTTCGGTTGCAAAGCTGCAATGAAAACGCACAGGCCGAATCAGAATGACGATTGTCAACGTACAACGTCAACAGGGTACTTGGTGATACTGGGACAGATATTCTTGGATAATTCAACCGCTGCAGTGGCATTGGCCCGGGCGTATTCCCTGGAGATTTTGATCGCTGCAGTACAGTCGTCGCACTTCTTGGTGGTCGCAGCCTTGGTGATGAGTTCACGGACTTGATCGGCAGTTGGGGGAGTGGCAGGCTGAGCGCTGATGGTGGATGCGCAAATCACCGCGGCCACAGCAAAGGTGAGTGTGTGGATGCGGAACAACATTTCTTGTGGTATGTCCCTTGGTGATAATAGGAATGTGAACAGAGGTGAGGTTTGGATTGAATAGAAGGGAAGAATGAAAGAAAGAATGAAAGAAAGAAAAGGAAAGGAAAGAAAGGAAAGAAAGGAGAGAAAAATGGGAAGGGGCCACCAAGGGGAAGGACGGGGAGACACATCAAGGCGACAAATACCAATAGAGAGCGAAAGATAGGGCGCAACCAACGGACAAACATATACGTCAAAGATGAGCATATGGTTGTTTGCTGTCTGAATTTTTAGTGCCTTCCGGGCTTTTGGCATGTGCTGCAGCATTCCCGATCGCGCTTTCTTCCAATTGAAATTGCGCAGAACTGCACGCGTGTACCTGAACATAGAAATATTCGCATGGAAAAATGAGAACGCATTTATTAGATACAAAGAGAGGAGAGGGAGGGAATAAAAGAGGGATTTAAAGGTTGAACTGGGCACCGAGTCCGCAGAGCTTCTTGTTCCAGGGCTTGGGATCGGCACGCTTGTACAAAGAATGAAGACCAGTAGGGTCAGCAGCCTCTGCGTCGTCGTTAAGATCACGCTTGACCGAGAAGTGGATCTCACTGCAAGCGTCAGAGCTCTTTCCGGCACGGAGGTTGCAGATCGTCTCCTTGGCGCAACCGTTGGCAGCAGTGCAGGCAGGGAGACGTTTGGCAGACTTGCCGCGGAAGGTCCAGTAGTCCTGGAAGGCTGCGGGGTTGGTCTCAAAGGCTCTGGTCACTTCGTGCCACCAGCTAGCGCTCAAAGGTTTGTCGGCAGCGATGGGGACGTGAGCGCCATAGGCTTTCCTTGCGCTGTACTCAAGGTGCCAGTTAGGAGACGAGCCAGTCGCATCCCATGTCGCGGCCTGGGTCATGTCAGCAATATAAGTCTCAGAGTCGAACACGTTCCAGCTCTTGGTGTCGACCTTGTAGATACGGAAACCGGGGTTGATGTCGGTGTAAGGGGTGACGGAGGGTCCGATCCAGGAAGTCGCGATGGCGTTCTGGGCATTCTTAGCACCGGGTCCATAGGAGATAGCAAACTCGTCGTAATGGGTGTGTCCAAAGAACTGCTCAGCGATAACATGGGGAGAGTAGCGCTGAACAACCTGGTAGTAGAGGGCAGACCAGTTCTGGAGACAATCGGTCTGCGAAGGCCCGACGTGACCAATGATCCAAACACGCTCTCCGGCATCCTCGGCAGCCTGAAGCTGGGCAACGAGCCACTTGAGTTCTCCCATTGGGTCGTAATCCTTTCTATCGGCATAAAGGTGGAAGTTCAGGGTGTAACAAAAGTTGTTGTTCATCGAGATGATGCGGAAGCCGGGGACAGGGCTGACGGTGTAGGCACCGTAGCTCTTGACAGCTTTGACGGCGTCAGCGGGCAACCAACGCGACCAGTCATCAGCCAAACTGTCGTACAGCCATTGGATATCTCCGCCAGAGGCCTTGGTGGGGAACAGGTTGGGGGGGCCAGCTTCGTGGTTTCCGACGGTGGGGTAGACCTTGGTGGGCAATCCATCAGCCATGGTCTTGTAGGCCGCGTCCTCTTCCCTGATGACCGACTCACGGTTCTGGAGCCAGATGTCGTGAGGAGGCACATCTCCGGTCAAGATCGAGAAGCTGACGTTGGCGACCTTGGGGACGAACTTCAGCAGGTCGACACCCAGCTTAACGGGCGCGTCGCACTTGTAGTCACCCCAGCTGGAGGCCTTACGCTTGGGAGTCAAGGGCGAATCGGCGTACTTGCGACAGCACAGAGGGCGGTTGCAGTCGGCCTCAACACCAGGCTCGTACTTGTCATCAACATGCCAGCTATTTTGTTTTCGATAAGCGTGAAAGCGTTTAGTTAGAAACAAGCGTGTAGGGAAAGACAACTTCAGCAGCAACTCAAAAGATATATGTACTTACTCGGACAAGTGAAGGATGTCGACGGTGTTGCCACTGTGGGTGGGAGCAACAGCAAAGGCAGGCTTGGGCTTGGGGAATGAGACGACACCAGACTGCACGCCTTGAGGTGCACACGCTCCGAGCACTAGAGAAAGCAATGAGTTCATGAATATACTGTTAATGGATGGTTGCATAGGTACACGGTTGCGATTTTTGCTTGGACATACGAATGACTTTGTCGCGTCGTAATAAAAAAAAACGTATCGTACCTTGGTGACAAATGTGCTTTCCATCCCCGCTGAGAAGGCTCGCCTGTCTGACCGAGTTAATGAGAACGGGGCCTTGGCTATACACCAAACCATGGCAAACATCCTTGGGCATCACCTTGAAGTCCGTGCACATTCCTGCGGCGGCATCGAGGACCCAGTTCTTGTTCAGGTACGAGATATCCTTGGCGACAACGAGGGCAGTAACACAGGCACCACTGATTTTTGGTTGAATGAAGAGAGTAGTAAGGCTCACATTAGATTCTGAATGATTGAAAAAAAAGCACGCCGTTCATGTTTGTCCATGATGTCGTGTGGAAGTGTGTGTCCTTGTTATTTACCACTCCATGGACTTGACGGCCTTGGCAAAGGCATCCTTCATCTTGTCCATGAGCCAGCCTCGCTTCTCGAGGTGGTGGGTGGGTGCAGCTGGGGCTGCGTACACCGACGAAGCGGCGGCGAGCGTGAGGATGACGGTTGTTGGGATTCCGATGCGCATTTTTGTTATAGGGTGTGAGGAGGATTAAGTAAGAAGAGATGGGTATGTAAAGTTGATGCAGAGGGGATGAGTGTCGATCGACTATTTTGTTGCTCGTGAGGAGAAGAAAAGGAGGGGCGTAAGTGCGAAGAGGAAGGGCAGGGGACGGGTTGGTTGTGGAGGTCAAGGACAAAGAGTCTCATTATTTGGGCAACAGGGGTGGTATTTATATTGAAAGGCCCTTGTGTCCCAACAGGCCTTTCGGGCGTTTTGCTGTTGATGTGAATATACACGAGAGGAAGAAGAGGGCGTGTGGGCGGGATGGGGCGTTGGAATGGAGTCGAGTCGGAGGCAATCCGCTCCGTTGGGGGTATTGTACACTAAAATACAATGAGTACGAGTTAGAATGAGACATAAACCTCATGTATTTTAGTTTATGTTCATGGATACGGTTTTTGTTGTTGACAAGGACACCATTCGCCCAAATGACATACTCTCACCAGAAGCCGATGGATGTCGGAGTGGTTACTGCACTATGTTTTTTGAGTTAGTTCTGGATGAGGAATGTGTGGAGCAGACGAATGCAAAGGTAAAATAAACAAAATCGACAATACAACCCTAGTACCCCTGGACAAGTACTTCCTTCTCTCATAAAACACAAACAAAAAAACACCACTGTGAGAACACAGGGACAGGGAGACAATTGTAACGAAAGGTTGAACCATGAAAAGGTATCGATGCACATTAGTGGATGCATCGACAAGAAACGACAGCCAACCATTGTGCACGAAAGACATGCCTTCAATGCTTGATTGGCGCGCGCGCGCCGTTGGAGTGAAGGATGCAATGTAAATGACATCCAATGGTCTTGAATTACCGCCATCGATTAACTAACGCAACAACAACTTACACGAACACATGCATTTGAGAACATTAATCATCCTCCCTCTCTTCTCCTTTACCAGTAGTTCATCGCTCTTACCTCACTTGTTGATTTCTCTGGTCCATGAGAAGCATTGACATTTCCCTCCTTCCCTCCCTATTTCCCTGATATGTACCATGTCTATCCACATTTTTGAGAGCGAAAAAAAAGTCAATATGGAAGGACTTTTCTATTCTTTCTGCTCCTTGTTTACTCGCCTTTTCCCCTCTTAGGCTTCCCTTCTTTTCACAGTCTAGATTCTGTCATAAATACATCGAGCAAGGTACTTGGTCGTTCGTAGAGTGTGCAGCGACAATCGAGAAAGGGTGAGAAAATGAGAGTCGAATGAGTGACCACTTCGTTTTGCTATTGTGCTCTGAAATAGAAATGTTTAGGTTATCAATTCTTCCTTCCTCATGTTCCCTTGCATTGGTATGCTGGCTGCTGCATTCAGGGGCGCAAGCCCAACTGACGAGCGGCAAAGATAATTCAGGTGCCAATTTTAGCGCAATTCCTTGACCCGGTAAACATCGTGGAAAAAAAATTAATGAACAACCCAGGGGACAGGGCAGTAGGAGGGATGTAGACAATGAGGATTGACTGTTAGGCATATTTTTGCCGAAGCAGAATACCTGTCCGTTCGCGCGCGTAACTTTCCAGGATTTTGTAAGGAGTTAAGATGAAAAGGATGATTGGGTTTGAGTATGCCCCTCTCTGTCCAGAGGAACGAGCGCAAGGACTAAGAAAGAACAACAACTCGCAGTGTTTTGTCTTGAGAGCCTTCTCAGGAACAAGCTCATCATCTACATCAGCACACCAATACCCACACAGGGATGGGGGACATGGGTATTCCTCCTCTCCCTTTCCCGGGGTGAACATCCCGAAAGCTAGTCATCAAAAATACTACAGAAAATCGCCTTTCGTTATCTCTCTTTGCCTAGCACTAGTACTTCTAGCCTCAACAGCTGCATTACGGGCTAATTGACACATATTTGCACCAGCAACCGATTGCATAACACCTTTTTGACTTTCAAGTCGACTATAACTGGGATCTGGGGGAAGTACTTCTATTTACCTTCATAGACATACATGCAGGCAAGCCATCATAATTAAAACCGTTTCGGCAGCTGCCACTAGGCATTAGGCTCTACTTGGCTCTCGTCGCGGCAAGCCCGGCTGGGAAAAATGTACATTTCTCACCCACATGGTCTGCAGGTACCGAACATCAAAATACATCCTTCTCCTCTATTTTCTGACTTATTGCACGCATGGAATGGGGGATGGATCCTATTGCTCTCAGGAGTACCTATCAAAAAGGCCAAACGGGATTATCATTATTCGCATCCCCTCCTCCCCTTTTTTTCGAAGGGAAGACGCAACTACATAAAATAAAAAGAAGCTACTGCATGAGAAAGCTTGTTAGGCGAGAGAGCCTCTGAATGTGCGTAGTGCTGACGAAAGGACAGGACGTATCTCTACATGCCATTACAGCAACGTTTATATTGGCTACTGAGAACAGGCAAAATGGAATTGACAGGTACAGGTACTCTTGTTGAGTTCAAAACATAAGCATACGACGAATGGGCTAATGTGTACTCACAGTGGAACCAAAACGGAGCTAGCCGAGTAGAGTGTGAAGGAAGGAAAGGAATCTTCCCAGCGTCAAATAACGACAGATACGCGCTAGGGGCCCTTTGATACACTCTCGATTGCCATTCGCAGCAGCCAGTGCTGATGTTCTCGTTGTTTGTTTGTTTTTGTATTGCCATCCTCACGAGAGTAAAAAACTGACATATGAAAGTGTGTCCCTTGTACATAGCGCGATTAATTAGGCGGGCGAACGGATGGATCTGTAGGCTTGGCCTCTTCGCTGTTGTCCCTCCCTCGACCAAGGACTGTTTGCTCATCTGCGTACTTCTCTGTTCCTTTCCTTCACTCATGCCACTTTGTTTTGTGTTCGGAATCTCAACACAACAGATTGTTGGAGATGGTCCCTCGACAGGTATGAACACATCTCCTTTGCATACGCCAACAGCACTCGGACCTCTTCCTTTCTTCTGGAGCAACAAGGCGTCTAGATATCTGGACTTCACCCGGGGAACAGCAAACCAAGGCGCAAGTGAGCAAGGGCGCAGGGCGCAAAGGCGTCCAAGAGGGAGACAGGGGGTCGGAAAAAAGAGAGGAAACGCGAGGGGTCTGCGCGCCAGGCAGATAGGGAGGCGACAGGGACAAGGTGAGAAACTGATGGAGTAACATTCCAGGCGCCAAATGCCAAAGCCAAAACAAACCCCATCTTGTTCTCGTAAACAAAGAGAGCGAACAACAACAACAACAACAACAACAACACATGCACACACAGTCAGACAAGACAAAACAATGAGAGCTGCATGCAAGCTCCTCACAACAAAACCCTGTTGTGGAGAGAAGACGAGAGGGAGAAAGCGTGAGAGAGAAAGAGTGGAATGAGAGTCAACGTCCATAGATGGAAAGACATGATGACAAACTTATCTGATCGAAAAAGGCAAATGAATTAACTTAGACTCTGCTTGTTGAGAACGAGAAGCCAGGCTACCTCTTCTTCCTTGTCTCGAACATGCATTAAAAAAGGACAGAAAGCGGAATCGGAATTGCTCGTGAAAAAGCTCTTGCAGTTATAGTGTTGTTAGCGTTCATGATTAGACTTTCTCGCTATCTTGTCAAAACGGCACGCCGTCCTTATTCTCGCGCTTGTTGACCTGCGTGCGCGCGCCAGTGGCCCCTATGGCTCTAGACATCCGCCTTTTGGCTCTGATACGATAGCTTCTAGAATAAAGCGCCCTCGGTAAACCCCCCATCCGAGTGGGCGCTAGGCAACCCCCTCACCCGATGCAAGGATGACAAAGTGCGACATTATCCCCTGAGAGTTGAGAGGAGTGAGAGCCAGGGTCCAATCGATTCTACACGATGCTTCAATGACGAGATGTCGTTGCTCACTGCTTAACTCGTTGTTGTGTCCCGTTCGGGACCCCGCACCATCATTGCTCCTTTTCTCTTTTCTCTTTTTCGTAGCACCATCTCAAACACGTGCGTGGTCCACAAATCGCGCTCGAAAAAAATGTCTCCCCCAGAGGAGTTGCCAGGTAAGAGTCTGCTTAATTGAAACCGCGCCAAGCGTCAACGAGAGCACGACAAACCGTTGCTTGCTTTTGACCAACCAAACCCACGGAATCGCTCACTTCCATGCGGTCTGAACATACACTTGCCCTAGCCCGCCCCTCCTCCCCCCTGGATCTCACAAGCAACGATGATGGCGAATGAATGATAATGAAACCTTTTGAAGTTAGGAATGAATCTATTACACAATTCTAGTAATCGAAATCCATGTCGACGCCCATGCTGGTATCGTTCTTGACGGTGTTCAGCTTCTGGTCGTTATACATCTCCGCAATCTGCTCGCTCGAAGTCGCGTTCTCGGGTGTCTTGTCATCACGGAGACGGATGAATCGCGGGAAACGAAGCGAGATACCCTTGTTGGAGTCCACAATGCCCACCGCAGCCTTGTACACAGGGCTGACCGACAGATCTGCACACTTGATCTCCCAGACTCGAACAGGGGCAAACCAGACATCGGGCTTGTTGCCCTCTCCAAGCATATAGTACGACTTTGGTTCCGGAATCACATGCTCCTTCAGATCCTTGTGGTGGTCCTCCAAATCCTGTTCACTAAATCCCGTCCCGATCTTGCAGATCGACTGGTACTCCTCCCGATCAGGGTCATAGCATGCCAACAGGTATCCTCCATAGACCCCCGTACGCTTTCCACGTCCGACATAGGCTCCAATAACGACCAAGTCGATCGAATCTCCCACACCCGCTAGATAATCCTTCTTGACCTTAAGCCAGTTCCGAGATCTCTTTGAAGGCTCATAAGTCGCCTCGGTACCGTTCAAGGTTTTGACCATCAAACCCTCACAGTTGTCGGCCACACTCTGGTCCAAAAAGATTTGAATATCCTCGATCTGTGTAGAGTTCATACTCTTGGCAAATGCAAATTCGCCATCGATCTCGTTGAAGTGCTCCAGTAAGAGTTCGCGGCGCTTCGCAAGTGGTTCACGAAGAAGAGACTCGCCGTTGAGGTACAGCAGATCGAATGTAAAGATGCAGACCTGTACCTTGATATCCTCCTCCTTGACATCCTTACGTTTCCTTGTGCTCAGAACCTGGAAGGGCAGAATGCATTTCTGTTCACGATCCCACGCCACAGCCTCACAATCCAAAACAAACGACGTCGTGTTCGGCGTTGCAAACTACAAGTTGTAATTGGAGAGGTGCAAAAACTGGTTAGCAATATGGAGAGAGCTATGCCAGGATAAAAGGCGTGTTCAGACAAGAAGTTGTGCACCATACCTTGCCAAGACGCTCCATGACATCGGGGTATTTGTTGGACATGTTTTCAGAGTTTCGACTGTAGATTCTCATAGATCCGTCCTCCAGCTTGTGAATCTGTGCGCGCTCTCCGTCGTACTTATACTCGCAAGTGAACGCAATATTTTCGAATCGGTCCAGAATATCCGTCAGCGCCTTGGTAGGATGTGCCAACATGGGCTTCAATGGGATGCCTGCATCGTTAAATATTGAACATAAATAATAGTTAGAACCTGGAAAACGAACGTTAAGTTGACAGCGCAATATTCGAAAGGTGTATGTACCTGGGGTCAACTTGCAGGCATCTTTCAGACCGTTGATATCGCCCTTAAGAAGTGCCGGTACAATGAGATCGTAGCATGGTAGTTCGCTATGAAATGCCATTCAGTCACAAAGAAGGGGTCAGCGTCAATGGCAACAAATTGGTGTACACACTCTGTGCGGGCCGAAAAAGAGAGTTGCTACTACTTACCTGTATACAGATTTGACAACAGAGGCAGCCTCCTCCAGCTCCAGTTGCATTTTCTCTTTGGACAGCTTCTTGATATCTAAAGGCGCAGTCAAGAAGTTATTTAGTAGCTGTGCCAGTGCTGTGCCTCAATACATCATAAGCTTACACCTTCCGAAGACACAGGGTACTTACTGGGACGCGACAGGACAATGGCTTGGGCAAGGGCGACAACAACTGTCCTCTCAGCAAGTCCGATTCTGAGTTTTCCCTCGAGCGAGCGCATCAAATATTTGGCCTCCTTGTTACGACATGACACCAGCATCAATTTGATCTTGTCGACCTTTTGTTTTTGTGACTAAAGGAATTGACAAATGAATCCATTCTCTTATGAGTGGCTGTCCGGTGGTCACAGTTTGGATGGTCTGCATGTACATTGATACACCGTCACTCTGGCTTACCGAGTTTCCCGTCAAAGAGGCGATGTCCTTGAGGGTTTTGAAGACGTGCGGGATGGTAAGTGCCTTGGGTTTGAACATGGTTGGCTGGTTGGTTCTGCTGTTCTATAACAGTCAAACATGGAGCGTGTTAGCTGATATTCCTGTCAAGGCGATACGCATATGTGAATGAAGGTTGAATCCATGAAACTCCGCGTTGCGTTCGTATACCATAGCAATGACACCTAGGTCTCCGATCTCTGCATAGTCAGCCTTGATCTTCTTCATCTCTCTTCCAGTCGATTCTGCGATAGCCTTCAAAAGAAGGGACTCGCCAATTCCCAGTTCAAGTCCTTCGTATTCTGGGCACAACTATCAAAAAGGCAGAAAGTGGAGGTTAGATATTGGCTTGCTATAGATACCTTAACAGGTCAAAAGAAACGTTCATACCTTGTTGATGGACAAATAAATGACAGTGAGAAGACTCTCAGGGCTGAGCTTGATGACAGAAATAAGGAATTTAACAAGATAGTCCAGAATCTGAAGGCGCTTGGTGGTATCCTCGATCTGCTCGAATGTGTGGCACAGTGCGGCATATGGGACACTATTGGTTTCAAATGTTCATCCAGTTATCAGAGATTTCTTCCATGTTAGATAAATGTGATGACTCTCCCGCATTTTATCAGCTCCAGAACTCTTCATGATACTTACGGCTCGCCCTTCTTCCAAGATGCAGATTCTACGTTGCTGGTCGATTTCGAGAACATGTCGGCCCTATGGTTGGACAAGGATACAACTCAGTAAGTCATTGGGCACGATGGACCCTGCAGGTTAATGAAGATGCACGAACATGACAACTGCGCAACTGCTGTGCTAGTTACAATTTCGCGGCAGACTCCTTTTCCTGCTCAATTTCGTCCACTTCGACTTTGACGTCAATTTCGTCCTCATCCTCTGCTGGCTTCTTGACCTCCTCTTCCTGATCCTTGACATCATCTTCCTGATCCTTGACATCCTTGACATCTTTTGTTGGTGCTGCGGGCTTAGTGGCTACTGGTTCTTTGCCCGCGATTGGTTGTGCCTTGGGCTTCTTGGGCGAGGTAGGATCCAGCTTGAGACGTTTTGTCGTAGCTGTGAGTTCCTCATCTCTGTGCTCCTGAGTCGACGGCTGTTCCTCGACTGCTTCCGTCTTTTCCTCGACAGCAACTTCTTCTTCATCGTCAGACTCGAGGATTCTGCGGCGCCTCTTCTTGACGCTCACATTGGCTAGACGTTGATAAAGGTGTGACATTAATTAGTACGAGAAATGATACATTTTGCCACCAATTTTTACAGCGCCTTGACTACAAGCTTACCTGTCTCGGTATCCTCATTCATAGCTGTATCCTCGGTGATTTCGACCTTTGTACTGTCGAATGCCTTGGCGGCTGAATGAGTCTCCACTGGCCTCTCCTTCTTTTCCAAGTCCTTTGTGCCATTAGAGCCTGACGCCACCAAAGGTGCCTTGGGACCGAATGAGCTATTAAGTTTTTTTACAGGTGTGAAATGAGGATTAGAATGTAAGTAAAGAAGAGGTGGTGGCATGAGATGATATGTTTTTGCTGTGGAGTAAGATAGGGAGACGTACAGTTTACTTTGGCGAAGGGACATTGTTGTGGATCCGACTTGTTTGTTGAAGTTGTTCAAGTGGGAGGTGAATGAAGAACGCGTTCCTTTCAAAAGCAAAAGACAAAAACACAGTTTGCCACTTTTTTCTCGGTCTTAAGAAGGCAGTCAGCCCCTTAATTGAAATGACTCCAACCTGTGCGACATTGATTTTATGCTCTTGTCCCTGTGTTCGTGTGTTTGTGGCGTGAGGAGGACGTGAAAAAAAGAGAACAAAGCAAGTTACGATCCTAGGGGATCATCGTATCTGCGCAAGAAAAGAAAAACGGATAAGAGAAGGGCGATTGATTGTCGGAAGGAGAGTGTGCTGTGGCTATGGCCGTATTGGTGGCAACGGTACCATGTCTGCCTTGGATCTTGTTTTTTCGTGTGCCACAAACACACAAAGACGCAATCGTGCACGGTCACGGAGCCTTTGCCTATGATCTCATTTTTTTGTCTTTTTTTACCTTTACCTCAGCACAAGAAGTAAAAAGATTTTTCCTTCCCAGTTCTCACACCTCTTCACTCTTCACACTCTTTTCCTTCTTCACTCACATTCACTTTCACCTTACCATGGCTCGCAAAAACAACGGCTACCAAACCCTCGCCGACGCCGCTGACCCCGTCCAGTCAACCGCTGATCAGCTCCCACCTGCCCCCGCACAACTTACAAAGAGCTCAAGTCAGAACAGCATCACAAACACCCATTCTGCTGGAATTACCTCCGGAAGTGCTGGTGTCCCCCCAAAGATCATCAACCCAACCAAGCAGGCATTCACCCAATCCCACCAGCTCCAGTCACCCATTCACTCCCAGATCCCTGGCTCAGCTAACTTCACCGCCAAAACAAACACTGCCGCTGCCGCCGCTGGCTCTGGAAGCAGTTCAGGTGCTGGTACGAGTGCCGCGGGTGCTACTGGACGACCCACTGCTCTTACGACCGCCCACAATCTGCCTACTGCTGGAAACGTCGCTGGAGGAGCATCGAATGCCGCCATCAATCAGCGTGGAAAGGTCAAACAGCCTATGAGAACCACCAAAACAAGTCAGAAGTTGACTCTATTCCCAGAAGAGAAGGATGTGCCCATTTTGGAGGACGATTATGTCTTTGATGACACTACTTACAACCAGATCGGACAGTTGTCTTCTAGCATGTAGGTTGACATCAACGATTTTGTTTACTAGTGGTTTCTTGTCAGTTGAACGATAGCACCACTAATCGATATTAGAGACCATGGATACAAATGTTGTTAGTTGGGATCCTAATCGTGGTACTAATAATGTTCATTCTCTCACTCTCTTCTTTTGTTCAAAACTGTCTCTGGAACAACGCGAATATGGAAAAACGTGTTCGCATTGATTCGTCCTCGCCTCTAGTGCAAGAAATGATGCCCATCGTATGAGTAAACTCGACAGACAGCAACTGCCTCGAGTGATTGCGTACTGCACAGCTTCGTCTTACCGCATGGACGATCTCTTCAACTACCTCCAGTCCAGAAAGTTGACAAATGGAGCGGCCCCCAAACGCTTTGATGAATGGTAAGTATTGTAGCTTCGCCCTCACGCGCGACACAGAAAGGATGGACATGTCCTTTTTTTTATTGTCAATCCACAGGGGTGTCTCGACTTTTCTTTTGCTGGTGCGGATAGGTCCCCTTGAAATCTCATTCTAAGTTGACTTGGAATACATTCATTCATTGCTAACAACAAGTCTTCCTCTTCTCTCCGACTCATCGTAATAATAGTATCTATACTCCTTTCTCGTACACAGTGACCTCAAAACCCCCCTCAACGGCCGATCTCTTGGGTTTGGATGAGTTGGCAACAAATGGATCAGGACTGCAGCAGCACCAATCGAAAGACTCAATTCCAGAGGTTCTCTACTTTGACTATGGTGTTGTTGTGATTTGGGGAATGTCAGAACAGGAGGAAGTACGACTTTTGCAGGAGTTGGCCAGATTCGAAGAGGAAAAACTTGGTACGTATCTTCACAATTGAACCATCAGTCAATGCCATGTTGGTGGCAGAATAGTGATGCTAACATCGTTTATATCGTGCCTTTCTTACCGCTACTTAGACGAGGAGGATGTTGAGACCGAAGAGTTTTCTTACCACTACAATTCGCAATACCAGCCAAGGTATGATGTTACCTTCAGGACTTTTTGACTTTTTGAAAGGACAAACACCGACTGGAAATCAGAGATATCAATTGACACCTTCTCCGTGCTGCTTATTATTTTCTCGCCCATAGGATTTATAACGATGTTATCACGCTGAAGAGTGCCGGAAACTACATGGTCAAGCTTACCATTTCTCACGCCATTGCTCAGTCTGTCAAGATGACGCTCTTTGAGGGATTGATTGAGAATACCATTAATGCCACCAAGAACATCCCTCAGACCATGGCCGAGACGGGCAAGGTGCCCATGTCCAGGTACAAAACGAGTGCATGCACGATGATGGCATACGATATACTTATGAACCTTACCACGATGACACTGTCGGACACTGTTCTGTGTTAACCTTCCCGTTCTTCTTTTCCTCTTCGCGTTCATAGAACTGCGATTACGAAAAAGATTGGACAGCTCTTTATCATGCGAATCAACGTCAACTTGGTCAGCAATATCTTGGACACTCCGGAGATTTTCTGGTCAGAACCCTCGTTCCAGCCATTGTACTCGGCCATCAGAGGTATGCAACTAAGGAGCACATTGAACGAACGATACATATGATTGTTTTTCAGATATGACAGAAGTTAATTCGGTATATGCCACTATTTCGAATAGGTTATCTGGAGATTGGACAGCGTGTTGAGCTTTTGAACCAGCGCACGTCTGTGATTAGTGACTTGCTGGATATGCTGAAGGAGCACTTGACGTCGTCGCACGGTGAGCAGCTGGAGTGGATTGTTATTGTCCTCATTTTCTTTGAGATTGTCATTGGAGTGATCACTATCTGCCTGGATGCCTTCAGCTACAGCCGTGGCGGTGGACACTAGACAGTGAACAAGCTACTGTGTGCAAAAACCCAACCGCGACCCATAGATTCCTAACTTAAAATAAAAAAACCAAGAGTGACTGACTTCACAAAAATTGATTTTTCATTGGCATGCCTTGCTGTCTGAAGTTAGTGGTAAGTAGTAAAGAAGATCGAGTACACCACACCACACCCTCGCTCACATCTCCTGAACTCTTGCACAATCAATCTTTTCTTTTCTTTTTTTAAATCTCTCAAGCCCCCGGACAATGGCACCAAGCGACGATGGAACAGGTACCCGACGCAGGATCACAAAACAACAACAGGAATCACAGCAAGTCACAACAGACTCGCACACTCACTCACACGTTGCCACCGTTTATTCATCCATTCTATGAAATAAACAATAATAGACCTGGCACAAAAATACAAGGACAAAGTCCAAGCAAGGAAGCGAGGAGCAGGGTAACAACTTGAACGAAAAAAAAAAAAGCGCGCGTCTGCCCTTCTTGGATGCAGCCATGGAACATCTCCACGAAGAGACGTCCCGCAACAACACCTTTCGGTTTTTTTGTTTCCTAATCAGTCCCGTGTGTGTCTCTCACGTTAACGTCCTGTAGAACCCATCAGTCAAAGTTCCGAAACTTTACAATAGGAAAGTCGTCCAACCCCAACAATGACGCCTCTGACTCCACTGCCACTGCCGTTGCTGCTGCCGTCGCGGATAATGAAGATACCATGGAAAAGGCTGCCCATACCGATGTTGTCAGAACTAGCAGGAACAGCAGAGGCATCAAAAATAGCACTTCACGCACAACAACAACCGTTACAACAAAAGCAACAAGAGCAGCAGCTGCAACAGCAACAACATCAACAGAAACCGAAGTGGAGACCATAAATGAGACTACAACAGCACAAAGAAGTATCAGGCAGTCGTCCGCAAAGTCTACACCTGCCGATGGAGGTGCTCTTGGACTCACGGAACGGTATCAGGAACGAATGAAGACTCGAATCCGAGGAGCAGGGTATGTCCTACGAAGTGGTATTCAACCTCATTGTGAGAGCACAAGAACACAGGCGATTCGTAGAGCTAACCATCCATTGTATGACACACATTACTGTTGGTAACCTAGAGCGCACAAGTCAGAATATAAAGGATTCACGCTAAAGGGCATCAAGAGCAGCAAACCAACGGCCGGGCAGGCGGAGCAGGGAGAGCGGTCAGAGGGGCAGACGACAGAGATTGATACGGATACAACATCTGCTTCTGCACTGGCCGACAAGGAGCCACGGAGGACAAAGTCAACACCAGGGCCATCGCATACGACTCCTCTTCCAGGCAGTACTGGCTCTCGACGATCTACAGCAGGTCCTCGGGCCTCGACCCCCAGTCTCAAAGAGATGCTTGCCCAACCATCGACAACTATTCCTATTTCATCAAGCAACCGAATGACACGAGCCTCGAGTCGGTACACTGGTATGCCACGCCTTTTTTGTGTGCTTGTGTGTTGTAGGATAGCACTTTACTGATTGCTGAAATCGTAGATAAACTAACCCTTTTCAAACTTCTTTGTTTGAATATTAGGCCAGTCGCCGAGTTTCAAGCTTGCATGGGGAAAAACCCTTGTCGTTTCGGAGTCAAGGAGACAGGAGGCAGCCCAGGCACGGGAAAATGGAGTGGCAACACCAGCAACAGCACCAAAGAATGTGGCGACACCAGCATTAGCAGCAGTACCGGCGACCGACAACAGTGTAATAGACGACCTCGAAGGTTTTGACGGTTTTGGTGACGGTGGTATGTCTCCTAGTCCGCCACGGGACACGCTAACTCCAGAACCTGGACGACGAGAGAATTTTCCGGCCAAGAGGAAGTCAGCTAGTATCATTGCACCCGAGGCCACCTCAGCCGCTTCTGATACAACAGCCGCTACTCGTAAACCCAGCCTTGTTCTCGCTAAACGAAGACGACTTATTCAGGAGGAGGTTGATGAGAACGAAGAGCCGCTGCTGTCGATTGAGAATCATCCCAAGGCAGCCATGGCAACGCCCAAGGACTCGATTCGCGGGCGAACGACTAAGCCGACTACCATCACGAAAGAAAGCGCGCGCGACCAACCGACAAAGGAACCCGCCACTGTCGCCAAAGATTCCAAAGTGCCATATGACGCTATTTCCAGGAAGGCCTCGACCAAGAAGTCAAGACAGACAGGAGTAACGAAGGCCAAGTCGACAGGCTCTTCAACGACCAAGCCGGCCAAGACGTCGCAAAATTCCCTTATGCCGCTGAAACAGACGTCATTGATGCAACTAAACACGCAGCTCAGCAGGACGGACCTTAAGGATAGTTCGACATCATTGGCATCTCGGAATCGTGGCGTGACGGACGATGATTCTGAGGACGAACGCGAATTCGAGGATATGCTCCAGAAGCAAATGTCAAAGGCACCGAGTCGAAAGAGTTCAACCAAAAATACGACAGCCAAGAAAGGCAAGGGACCCTCTAGGGACACTGTCAAGAACTACCAGCAGCTTCAGATCAACTGCCTCAAGTTCTTTGGTCCTGCTGCGGCTATTGCGAAACCGGCGATCGTCAAGAATCAGGCTATTGGCAAAAAACTGCTCACAGAGGCCGATGGCGAAGAGGCAGTAGCCCAAGGGAAGAAGGCTGTCCAGAGCATTCTGCAAATCGAGAGAGCGCCCCTGAGCGAGATGGATGTGATTGCTGAGGCTGTCCGCGATGTTGTCAACGCTTACATGTAAGTCCTTGGCTAATATGACCCGTTTTGCCACTTTTTCGCGTCAAGGATTGGTACTTATACACGCTCTTGTTCATGGACTTCTAGTGATTCGGTCGAAGATCAGGCTATGGTGAAAAACTTGCAAGCTCTGAGGTCAGAACTGGAAACTCGTCTTATCGAGCAGGTAAAACTAGTTGCATTTGAAGACGCCTTTATTGCGCAAGTAATTAGACATATTATTGACATTCATACCATATTTTTTTAGGTTGACATGCTGGATGATCAGTCATTGTTGCGGGCGTCGGTCAAAAAGGCGGCGGCGGTAAAGAGGGAACTCCGGGTGCAGCTTCTAGAGACCCAGAGGCGGCGACAAAAGACCCGACAAGAGTTGGCGAAAGTTCGGGCTGCGTTTGAGCGGGAGGAGAGGGCTCGGCAGCGTCTGGAGGAGACGCACAAGTTTTTGACTGATCTCGAGTCTTTGCGGGACGAGGTCGCAGGGTCGGACGGCGAGAACAGCGAGGATGATACTTCAGGACAACAGATCTATGGCTCATCGCATGATAATGTCAAGGTAAGATGTTATTTTGTAGTCTTTGTTTTGTTGAGCTGAAGCTCGCGTGGTTGTTCTTTCTTTTATTAACTGATATTCTCGATGTTACATCTAGACTGGATTGCAGAGCTATATTGCGACGGTGGGAGCGCGATCTGGTGGAGCAGGAGCACAAGATGGCACGGATACCCGACCTGGAATGCTGGGAGCCCTCGTAGAATTTAATCGACTGCTGGAGACGATGGTTAAGAATACGCCAACCAGGGTCGATGTCTCTGGGTCTAGGTCTGATAGTGACAGCAGTGATTATGAATTGTAACAGGGCGCAGGAACCCCCTCAGAAATCATTGTTACAGGTCTCCAGGCATACCATTTTTGTATTTGTATTTCTAAATTTCATTTTTTATTTCGCGTGTCTTTTTTCATTGAGGTGGCATGGTTTTGTTCAATACTGGGGTATTTTGATGATTAGGTGTATTGGGTATTTTGGGATGATGAGATGTGGTGCGGTATGATAGTACTTAGTATTCTCCGTCAATGACAGCTTTGCACCCATAGGTGCTCTTTCCGACAGGGCAGTCCTCCTTTGTCTGACAGCAGCGCATACAGAACAGCGAGTCATCTTTTGGGGCGAAGAGATGAGGCGAAAGGAAGTGAGAACAGGTTAGCATCCATCGACAAACAACGGGAACGACAATTCATGCAGGCGAACGATAATAATGAAGGAACCTTACCAGGCTCGACCATGTTGACAAAGTACTTGTAATCAGCACAAGCAGCACCTACGGGGGCCATGACATCATATTGTCCACCATCATCCTTTTTCGAAAGACTATACAGCTGAGGGATCATCTTTCCCGTGACCTGGACCCAGTTCTGTTCCTTGTTTTCCTTGAAATGTGCGGATTCGATAAACCCCTTGGGGAATAAACGGGCACCGGGGGCTTTGGACATGGGCTTTGTACAGAATGAGATGGCTCGGTCTTCATTGTCGGAAATGTTGCCGCCCTCCATTGGAGGGAGGAAGAAACAAAAGTTTTCGGCGGATTGGACTTGAGCGATTTGGCCAATGTTGCCCTTGCGGGCTTGGACGGCACCCAGGAGGGCGAGGGCGGAGAGGGCGAAGGATCCGATGAATTTGGTCATTTTTGAGTGGGGATGATGGGAGTTATGTGAGTGGAATGAAGTAAAAAAAAAAAATAGAGAGGAAAGTAGGGGTGTGTGCCTTGGGGCTATATAAGAAAGAAAAAAAAGTATGACGAGAGATGGTATGTGGGTGGTCGTCGTCAAGTAAGCATCTCGATTCCATGTTTTCGTATATCAAATGCATGATTTCGTCTGCTCTTGCTCATTGCTGGCTCGATCCAATATGCTGCATTGTGCAAGTTGTAGCAAAACTAGAATCGAGGAAAGGAGACTATTTTCTTATCTTCACGTTTACGTTTACTGCTTTTCTGTGTGTACCGTGATACATATCAGATCAAATCGGGTAAGGCGTGGCAAGACGCGAGCATAATGCGAGTAGGAACGCGTTCGTACTAAGAGGTTTCAGGTGGAGGAGTCATTGCTACACGTGCAGGGCAGAGGAGCTTCGATTGAATTGAAACAAGACAGTTTGGTGTCATCAATGATGAAGGCAAATGGGGGCCAAGAGTCGGGAGACAGGAAAGAGAGGGGGAAGGGGAAAACACCGCTCGAATATGAACTGGATGGATAATTGTCCGTTCAAGCTTGCCACACCATCGAGAATATTAGAATCAAACAAACCTAAAAAAAATCGAAGGACATTTTCTGTCTCCTGAAAAAAATATACATGAACTGGATTGGAGGAAGCGAAACACGAAAGATAATTCCAGGCACCAAAGAGAGTGAGAGTGAGAGTGAGGGAGACTGAAACCGACCATGGAGAAAATGGACGTAAATAGTAGCCAGTAGAAGCACCGGCGTCAGTGTTGTAGCTAGCGTGGTCACTACACCTTCGACATGGTCTGTTGCATTTGTGTGCCATTGATGTTTTATTTTGCGATGTGGAGGGAATGTGACGGTGTGGAATAGACGATCCCATTTTACGAGTAATCGCCAGCTCCAAGGACACCCGTGCATCCACGTGTTGACTTGTTGGTAGGACAATCAGCCTTTTCCTTGCAGACACGGAGGCAGTAGATGTTCGAATCGGGCTCGATCAATTGGACAAAGTACTTGTAATCGGCATAGGAAGCGCCTTGGGGGGCCTTGATATCGTACTGTCCACCACCATCTTTCTTGGACAGCCCATACTTGGTCCGATCGATCCGTCCAGTAATCTGAACCCAACCCTTCTGGGTGTTGCGGACCAAATGGACCGACTTGATAAAGCCCGTGGGGAGGGTCTTGGCCTTAGGGGCGGTGGCGATGGCCTTGTTGCAGAATGCGATGGCGACGTCCTCGCTCGCGGCAATGTCGCCGCCGTACTTGGGGGGGAGGAAGATACAGTATTCGTTGCCGGAGATCAGGGCGCCGGTTTGGCCGGGGACGCCGGCGGAGACGGTTGAGAGCGTGGCGGCGAGGGCGACCAAGGATGATCCGAGAAGAGTCTTGAGCATCATTTTGTGTGGTTTGGTTTTGTAGGGGAGAGTGAGGTGCAATGAAGAAGAGGGAGGATGAGATGAGTAAAGAATAAGAAAAATAATGGTGGGGTTGAAGGTGCCTTTTATACAAACAACCGCTTTTATTCTTTGTTGTGACCCGTTCTTTTTTTGTTCGCCTCCTGAACAACATGCACCCAAGGTAGGTGGGTCGTCGAACGAGCAAGAAAGCCCATGATGGATACAGAAAGAACGAATCCAGACAGCAAACAGCACGCATGCCCACTACTTTAACTAAATCTGTCGAAGGCTCTCGACCTAATGTGAAGAAAAGGAAGGGGTTGGAACCGTCGTGGGCACGCACCCCTCGCATCCTCGGTAATGTCAACGACTGTGCAAGCATGCTCACAACTGTTTCTCTCATTCTGTCCAAAATAGATATCTCTCGATGCTATTTTCTTTTAAACTAAATGGGTGCACTATAAGTTGAAGCAAGGAAGGGTCAGTAGAAGATAGCTTTGTGTTCCATCTTTAGAAGTCGTTCAAGTGTCCAAGAAACAAATATTGTTGTCACTGTTAGTTCGTTAACATGCCCACTTGCCTCGTTTATTTTCGGATACACAAACAGATGAAAACGGAGGACAAACACCACCCACCCACCTTCCCAAGGCCGACAGACATCGAAGCATGGGGGCGGTGGAGACGGACGAAAGAACAAAAATAAGGTACGCCGCTCCTTTTTTCCCCCTTTCTCTCCTATCTTTGAATGCGAATGGGTCCATATGCATAACGCACATGTGTGGTCCTTGCCGCCTTCGTCAATTAAAGAATGAGCGAAAGCAGCGTTGTCAATTGATAGAAAAACAAGGTCGGCTGGACAGGAATGATGGAGAATGGGGATGCGATCCAACCCTCGCACACAGTCACTTCGCGCAAGGGCCTTCCACCACCATTTGCTTGTTTTTTCCTATTCAGGTACTGGGCACACTGTCGTGATTTCTGAGACTGTTGGAGGATAGGGGAACATCCTTGATTAGTTTTAGTTTGCAACAGTCTAGGAGTAAAATCCACCTGAAAGCCCAAGAAAGTGTCATGTTCAATTCCCTTTCTTCTTCCGCCCCTCTCACTCCTCCTCTTCACATCACCGCTACCACATCCAATTTAACATGCGCTCGTGTGGTAGAGATAGCTCGGTAACAGGTACAAGAAAGAAAAAGATAACATCATTGCCGTCGATTGAGAGACGCCAAATGTGAAAAAAATGAGAGCGTTGCACAGGACAACTATTGCATAAAATAAATCTGCCAGAAGTCTAGAGAACGACCATTGGTCCATCGAAGAGCGAGGATGTTACTGTTTTGTTACAGGCCAGAGAAGAGACGGCAGGATTGAGAGCCTTTCTTACTGCTGCCAACAACTACGAATAACAAAGAATGAGGTCAGACTTTGATAATTCGTTCTGGATCGTACAAGAACTGGTCGTAATGGAGATAACAGCAAATAGAACAGTGGCAAAAGGCTGCGCTTGTTTGTTGCCATCCTTCATTCTCAAAATATCTTTTCTGTTCACAACCTCGTGTTTTTAACGCCCAGTCTTGGTGTCTATTCTCCCGAACCGACAAGGGCCAGAGTGAGTGTGAGAATTGAACATGATAATGATAGTAGTGTCGTTCGTCGCTATCGATGAGTGTCAACAGAAAGGGCGCGCACTCACTTCCCTTGTCGAAAACAAGAGGACAATGCGACGGTTAGACCTTCTGACTCTGCTTTGACCGCGGTGCATTCCCCTTTTGTTACTTGCCAACAAGGTTTTTGACAAAAATAACAAAACGGGTCTAATGGCAGCTGGGTGAGTGATACGACCACAACATAACCTACAAACAAAACAAACAAACAAACAAACAAACAAACAAACAAACAAACAAACAAACAAACAAACAAACAAACAAACAAACAAACAAACAAACAAACAAACAAACAAACAAACAAACAAACAAACAAACAAACAAACAAACAAACAAACAAACAAACAAACAAACAAACAAACAAACAAACAAACAAACAAACAAAAAGGATGGCCTGTTTGTTACTTTGATCTTCGGAGTAGCTTTTCCTTCGCAACATCATCACCAATGCCTTCAACGTCTCTTATTCCACCCCCACCTTGCCCTACCTAAATATGGCACCTACCTTCACGCCTCTCGGATCGTTTCCACCTGTAGCATGATCGCGATTACTCAGCGGCGGCCTTTCTTTCTTTGTCCACCCACCGACGACCAGTTTTGACCGGATGATCTATGACAACGAGGGTTATTTTTAACGAAGATGTATGTCAATATTCGATGGGGCATTCCGTAGTAACGCATAAAAATAGCTTGTACAAAATCATTGACGCGTTTGCCATCATTTTTATCACCTTCAGCCTTTTGTGGTTGACCCGTCGTATGCATCTGGTTTGGCTGTTCGGCGCGCCACAATGGATTGCGTCCGTGTGTTTGTGCGGAGGTAAAACACTGCCTTAATGCACGAAGAAAAAAATTACATTCTCCTTACTTCGCAACTTGAAATGTGAAAGGGGAAGATCATAGAAATGGACCATGGGAGAACAACGAGAAGTAGTATGCACGTGGACGATTCGGCCTCTGCAACAACCCAACCCAATCAACGTCCCGAGCGAATAAAACGATAAACGCCAGCTTGCTTGGTTCATTCAGCCTGACAGTAAGCTCTCAATCCTTGTATCCTTCCTGGTCCTGTAGTTCCAAAGGGGTAGTAGGGAAGGAAGGTGCAGTCGCGATCGCCATACTTTCTTCGATAATTTTAGATTTTCTTTATTATTCATGGGTGAGCAGTACTTTTTCGTGGCTACGGCTGTTGCATAGTTGTGCGAAGGATGAAAAGGTGAGGAGAGTTGAGAAATGGGCGTAAGAAGATAGGTACTTCCATAAGATTCGTTGTTTCTTTTACCCGGCAGTGAAAATTTTCGTCATCTCTATCCCACTTTCTCACACGAATAAAAGTGAAATGAGCAGCTGAAAAAAAAAAAGAAGAGGCGTTTGACGATGGTGGGTGACCAAAAATAAAAAAGTGGATTCAAAGAGGGGAAGAGGCACTCGGCAGAATGTTAGACAGACAAGACAAGACAGAATACGACAAACGCGCACAGAACTTCAGGATCATTGATCGGCCGAAAGGAACAGCCATTCGCTATCTCTCCTGTCTCTTTGTTCCCCCTTTCTCGCTCGTTCTCTCACCCCTTCACTCCTAAGCGGCAAAACTCTCCGTGATCTTTTTTCTTCTTTCATTCAAGAATACCGATGTTGTTCCAAGAGATTCACTGATAGCGATAAGAGAAAAACTTGTGGGTGGCAACTGAGTGACGCGGATGGTGCTGTGGAGGTGGTCCGAACCCACGATCATTCCATTGTCAGCACATGTAGTGTCCAGGTGGATCAAACATGTAGGAGGTCAATGAGAAACATCTTATTTGTGTTTTATGGGTGTAGGTTTAGAATAATGAATGTATCCTCGTACCTTTCTATCATGTACTTTCTCCTTCCCCCTTACTCGCAACAGCCATGGCTCATGGCTGCAACCCACCTCTATTTCATTGGGTGATGGGGAAGGACAGAAGGACTTAGATGCCCCAACCTCCTTGAACTCTCACCCTCTGTCTTAAATGTAATTTACAAGGAAAAGACGTTATCAAGTCTAGAATACTTGAGACGCTAAAATATTCTGGGATCCTAGAAATTAAAGGTACATCCTACTTTCTTCTCTAGTCGGGCACCGATCCTCTTCTCGAGACATTGAAAAAAGGGTCCATTGAGATATAGATCCTTGTCGCCAGGGTTTGGCACTAGGACTAATACAGGAGCCTCATCGAGTTAATTGAGCTACCCAGCAGCCATGGTTTTCCTCTTTTCAGCCAGATGTCTAAACCCGAGGCAAATGCTCAACCCTGGCAAAGAGGATAGCCCTTTTTCGCTATCCATCCACTCGTTTGTCTATTATTATTTATGGTTTTTTTCCCTCTTTTTTCTTGCTCAGCTGAGATGACCTTCTGAGCCTGACCTAGAGTGGACGAACGGGGAACAAACAAAACGATCGTTTTAGGAAAGTATTGCTCGAGTGGTGAGGTGAAGATGGACAGGAATAGTCCATTTATCCAACATGGGTCGGGTCAGTAACCATCTTTTATCCTTATCGGTGCAAATAGAACAGAACAACAACCAACCACTCACAACGATCCAGGGTTCTTTCGCTCCTTCTTGCACGATATAAAAGAAGGGGAAGTTCACCCCTGTTCCTGGTTGTTTTCTTCTTCATCCTCCTTCATCTCCTTCACTCCTTCCTTCCTTCCTTCCTCCCTTCCGCAAAACACACGCACGCATAATGCGCTCGAACATGAAGATCATCCTTGCAGCTGTGCTGTTCGCCTTGATCGCCAACTTGGCCATGGCTGCAAAGCACACCACCACTACCACCACTACCCTTCACAAGAAGGCCACCACCACCACAAAGAAGGTCACCACCACCACAAAGAAGGCCACTACCACCACAAAGAAGGCCACCACTACCACTACCACCAAAAAGCCCACTACCACCGTTACCAAGGCAACCACTACAACCACAGCAAAGCCCACAGCTACTCCCACAATGGGCCAAACCGCCGTGATCCTCTCCGCAACGGACTACTGCATCTTCCTCCCTCCCAAGTACGGCGGCGACATTGCCGCTAACGAAGACCGCGCCGTCGCCTTCTGCACAAAGCCCAACCTCCCCGGCGCGCCCAACGCCCAAGTCCTCCCCGCTGGGTTCATCAAGTCGTCCCACTACGTCGTCAACACCCAGAAGGGTTACGTCCAGATCACGGGTCGCATCGATCGGTCCAAGTACGGTCTCTCGTCCAAGGATGGCGGCGGACAGTATGATTTGAGAGCTCCAGTCGGGTCCAAGATGAATGGATATAATTCGTTTGTCCAGTTGACTGAGCCTGATGCGCAGATCTTCTGTATCCGTGCTTGCACAACAAAGGCTGATTGCCCGGTTAACAAGTCGACCTATGGATGCGAAAAGGTCCTTGGCGGTGATTACTCTTAAAGCAGCCGTAATTGACCTTTGTCTCTAGTCGACTTTTTGCATTATGCAGAGGAAAAATAAACAATAAACACAAAAAACAACATAAAAACATACTTTCGCACAATACGCATAGTGTCCTTTTGAAAAGAGGGAAAGGAGCAGAGGACGATCTATTCCTTTACAGAAATGTGAAATCAAAGAGAAGTCGAAAGGGGAGAGCAAGTTGAGCGGGGGAAAGTGTAGTCAAGAACGAAGAAAAAAAAAGTGACGAAAAAGAGATGATGGATATTCCACCGCGTTCCTAGGTTGATCAAACAACCGTATCAGTCTCAGACATGATCGTGCCGGTTTGATATATAATCTACTCACTATCGGTGGTCGGTTCAGGGAAACTGCCATGAAAATAAACGTGTCTTTGTCTCTCACACTCGTTCCCATGACACATTTCATATACTTCTTGTGTTATGTCATTTTTTCGTGTCTTTGTTTTATTCGATGGTGTTCAAAACAAAACTACAAAACACAAAAAAAAAAGAGTTATGGTGGGGCTTGTTGGTTATGTTTCTGTGAAAAAAAATGAAAAAAGGGAATTGGTATCCTTGGTCAACGAGCCCTCGGAAGAGTAGAGAGAGAGGAAAAGGTACTGAAGATACTGAAAGATAAAAAAAGAAGAGTATCAATAAAAGAGAAAAACAAAGAAAAAAAACACTGCTAATGAGCATTCAGGAAAGATGGCGGCTATTCCCTTGTTGAATGCTTTCACACTGTGGCCACCACAATTCCATGTCCAGTCCTCCTGATCGTGTTCTTTCCCCAGTCCAGATCTCCGTACGAAAAAAAGGTTGAGGCAACGACTCCTCGTTTAGGCCTTGGCCACAAAGTGACCAAAGACCAAGTCGCAGCCATCAAATTCGTACAGGATACGATCAGTGCGAGAGAAACCGGTGATACGGCCCATAGCCTTGACCATGCGGCGCTGGCGGCGCTCCATTTGGCGCTCCGATTCCATCTGACCATCCTCAGTCATATGGGACGAAAACAAGGTGACGCTCATGGTGCCAGGCTGGAAGATCTCGACCACCCGCGAGATCAAGTCTGTCAAGGTCTCAGGTCCAGTGTAGGTTGCCTCGCTGACAACATCCTGCTTGGTCTTGCCCTCCTCAGTGGCGTCTCCTTCCTCGCTAGCAGACGACGATCCAGCCGGGTTGTTGTCAGATGCAGAGCGGCTCTTGCTGCTCTTCTTCTGGCGCAAGCCCACAGGAATGTTCGTCTCGAATGACGCGTACGAGCAGACGGGCTCGGGGGTCACGTGGATCGTATAGTAGTTGCCGTCCTGGAGCGCGTTAGCCGAGTAACCGCAGGGTGTAAACAGGAACGAGTCCAACTGAGCCTGGGGGAACAATCCTGCCAAACCAGTCTCCTGATCAACACGGACACCACCGACAGTGCCGGGGACATCATCCTCGCGCTGGTAGAACCGCTTCATGGCCTCGGGGTTCAAGTTAGTCATCAGAATCTCAACGGTCTGATCGTGCGAAGGGTAAAGGTAGCTGGCACTGCTGGAGGAAGACGCGATCGAGATCGAAGACGAAGATGACGAGAGAGACGAAGCCGACGAAAGGCTGGGCGATGAAGCAATGGGCGAGGCTGCGCCAGAATCACCTCTGATCTCGCGAGTAACAATGCTCAAGGGCTGAGTACCAGTCTCCCCATGTCCGCCGACAACGACCACATCGCTGCTGTTTTCCTCGTTGCCGTTGGCGACAGTGTCCGAGCTGAAGCTGTTGCGGCGAGAGGTGATGTGCGAGAGGCAATCGTCCTGAGGAGCGGTCAGGTAGAGGCACCAGTGATCGCCGTTGACCTTACCGACTGTGTAAGCAGATCCGTGTTCTAACCGATGCGAATGAAAAGGGAATTTTAGGCCGGTTAGCAAACAATTCATAAGGTATACAAACAATTGCACCAATTGATCAATTAGTCCAGTTTTCACGCGATTTACCAAAGTGACGATCCAAGAAGGCGACCTCGTCCTTCCAGTCGCGATGCACATGGAGCTGGCGCTCGGGGAACATAAAAGTCTTGCGGGAGTAGAACACGCGCCAGACCGTCTCGAGCCCACAGTAGTTCTGAGCAATCTCCAAGATCTTGGGTAAGGCCATCAACAGAGTGGTGGTGCCGCAGGTCTTGAGGATCAACTTGTGAGGGTAGACAAAGAATGAGGACTCGCTCAGGAGGAAAGCATCCATGCAGTCGTTCTGGATCGAGTTAAGGACCTGGCACTTGACAATGGTCAGCATCTCGTCCCAGACAGTTTTGGGGACGATGCGGAGGCCGTAACGGTCAGATCCTCCGAGAGGATCTTCCTCCGAGACGGGAGTCTGAAACTCGACGGGAATGGTGCGGATGCCCTGTAAGAGGTAAGGAGCAGGGCCGAACCAGATCTCCAAGAGTTTCTCGGGTCCCTCGAACGATCCAGCTTCCTGGGTGTCGTTGGTGGTATCCAAGAAGGCATCGTTCTGGAATCCGGTTTCGTTGTCGTGCAAATGAGCAAGATGGGCGGGGGCAGTGGGGGCGGTGGTTTCGTTGTTGTCGATGACAGCGGCGATGGCGGAGGCGGTAGTGGGATTAATAGAGTCGTTGAGATGTTGAAGGGCAGCCGACTTGAGCTCGCCGGTGGCGGCGGCCTGGGCCAGAGAGGAGGCAGGGACAGGAACAGTCATTCACGTGGGGGTCTTTCGGGGGTGTAAGAAAACTTAGGGTGGCTTTCTCAGAGGATGCACGAACACTAAGGGCACTGGAGGTTGCGTTTCTGACGAAATGATGGGCAGGTAGCTTTGGAATGTAAAGTCCTAATAAGTTTAATGAAGGACCAGATGGTTAGTGAAAAAAGCCATTGGAAGTGTGAGAATCTGAGGCATACAGGGCGGAGAAAGGTGTGTATTTGTCCATGTTTCCGTTGGCAACAAACAGCAGCAGCAAGGGGAGCGCGGCAGTGGGCAGTGACAATGGTGGGAGATGTACATGTACAACACACAGATACACACGCGAGGGGGTTTGTTTGATACTCTGTGTTCCCACGTCATTGACCAAACAAAAATTCAGGGGGAATTGAAAAAGGGTCAATTGCCACGAGAAAAGAAAAAAAAATAGATCGAAGAGACTTGAATGGTCGGCGTCGTCTGTGGGATGTTTGGATGGCTCACATAAACAAAGATGGGAAAAGGATGAAATGAAAGCAAGTGTCGACAATCCCGCTTTCACCAATATGGTCCGGACACACATTGGAGACACACAAGTAGACAGGCTGAAAAGGATGTAACCCACCACTGGCTCGCTTTTTTCCTTTCTTTCATTCTCTTTCCATTTTATCCACTTCCCCCTTTCATCTCCTGTTGTAGATGATCCTCTTCTTGCAGAGATGACAACATGCTCTGTTGTTTTTTGTTCCTTTGCCCTTCCTTTGTTTTGCTTTGATCCAATCGCTGTATGTATTTTGCTGTTCATCCATGAACTGATAGCCCAAAGAACACGACACACTATTGTTGGTATCGTACGCTACAGGCGTTGTTGCTGATTTGTCTTTGCTTCTTGATCCAGGAAGATGTCTCTTTCCATATGGTAAAAAAATCAATCCAAACTGCGTCTTAACTGGTAATTAACAGTTATCCTGTTCTGCTCGTCTGGTTTCTCATTTATCGTAATGTTGCTGATCTTATCAGTGTTTGCTTGTTGTTGCTGTTTTCCTCTTTCCGTTTTTTCCTTGCACCTGTTCCTTTTGTCCACTGTTCTTCCTGCTACTGCTACTATTATCCTCTCCATCACGTTTCCGTCCCTCACTCCTTAACGACAAAAACACACCAACCAAATCAAAACAAACCATCATCACGTAAAGCGAGCAAAAAAAAAAAGTAAAGATAGGGCTGGCTGATAGATGAAATGAAAATAAAAAAAAAACTCAATTGTAACAAAGAGATCAACATTTACCTTGTTATCCGACTTGACAGGCCAAAAGCTGGATTGGCGATTGAGGGGCGGTGTAAAGAGGGGGTGGGTGGTTGGGTACTCTGGTGCTCGAGGTAGCAGAAGAGGATATTTTTTTGGGGTACTTTTTTTAAGAAAAAGATGGAGTTTTTTTTTAAAAGAAAATAAGAACGGGGATTTAAAATAATATCAAAAATGAAGAGAAAAAGTGGCGATAGGAGTAGCGATGCTATCGGCAGCAGGGGATGGGAACAAAAGGCAACTGGGGGGTGAACTGGACGGCGGCGCAAGAGTTGAGGTCGGGACCTGGACGCATAGCAAGTGGGGAGAGCTGGATAATCAAAAACGGAATTTTGACGGAAGAGAGTGGGAGAAAAAGTGGTAAAGCCTACATAGGTTCAATTGACCAATGAACAATGATAGCAAGGGTTAGCTTTGTTTCGCAAGCAGTAGGATGGGAAGGGTTGGATCAATGAAAAAAAAATGGTTTGGATTTGAACATGGAGGATGTGTCGGCTATGATCGAGGGCCACAAGCACCTCATGGGGTGGACAACTTACAACGCGAGGTGCTTTTACGTTTTTCAGAGGAGAGTGATCAGAATAGTTGAACGAATGAGGGAGACGGGAACAAAAGAAGAAAAGGAACTCTTGTTTTGTTGTAGTTGTTGTTGTTGTTGTTTGAAGTGGTGGGAAAGAGGAAAGAGTTTTGGGTGTAAAGTGGATGTGTGTTGGTGTTTGTTTGTTGTTTGTGGGTGTATGAGTGTGTTTGGTCGATGGGGATCGGGGGAGGAAGGAAGTGGAGCGAACAAGGAAGAAGAGGAAAGAAGAAAAGAAAAAGAAAAACAAAAAAAAACAAAAAAATATAAAGCAGGATAGAAAAATTCTTTTTATTCCGCTTTCTTGCTTTTCAGTAGAGTTTGTTTACACTTTGTCTCTCTTCTCTTCTCTTCTCCCTCGAGTTTGAGTGAGCGAGGGAGTGCTGATAAGGTGTTTCAGCCAATGACAACCAAGGTGCGAGAAGGGCCAGGCAATCGACAACAAGCTCACACACTCACACACTCACACACAAACACACGCCACCGCCACGCAAACTCATATTCTATTCCCATCCACTTCCACACACGACCTTCCAAACAAGTCTCTCTCCTCCAATGCAAACTCCGGTTTCTTCTTTTTATTTGCTTTCTTCTCTTCCTTCCTTGTCTGCTCTCGCCATTTTTGCTCATCTATGTGGGGTCAATCCTTCTTTCTCACTCCTCTCTCTTGGTTTTGCTCATCATCGTCATATCAACTTACTCACTCGCGTGCTCATGGTCAACGCTCGTTTTTATTTCACACCATACAGAAAAAAAAGGAGATTATCGGAGGGAGCTTTGGCCGCCAAATGTCGGAATCGTAAAAGGAGAGACATGGACACAGATAATCAGGAAAAATACAATATGCCGGGAAGGAAAATAGTTGTTTGAACTTTTGGATCCTCCCTCTTTTGTCCCCTTTTCATTGTCCTTCTCCCACAAATCAATTGATTAGGCTCTGTGGTCACCCCCTAACATTCGACATATTGAACCTCTTTCATGAGCTGATCGGTCCGTGGTCGTTCAGTCGGTGTAATAAGGATATGGTACTTTCGTACAAGCTGAAAATGATCCCGCCAGACATCTATGAAGGACAAGGATGAAAACGAACACAAAGAACAAAGAGGATAGGGTGGGTGAGAATCGTTTTCCTGCGGGAAAGAAAAGAAAAGAAGTGTTGTCCAATTGACCCAGATTGCCCATTGTGTGACGTTGAAGCAAAAGATAAAGAAAAAGAGTCGGCAGTGTGCCTTTCTCCCTCTCTTCGCTTCATCATGTTCACCTGTTTTGCTTATGTCCGTCCCACAGCGTACTTTTGGCGCAATACATATTTTTCCCCATCTCATTTTTAGTGCAAACTTTAGAAATTGTTAGATGGGTTTCCCTTCGGTTTCTGACTTACCGACAAGCGGGCCAGGCGAGGAGTCGCGCCCTTCCAGAACGCGAACACTCCCTCGTTCTTGAACACCTTCCATGCGCAGTCGAACGCGCCCTTGTAAAGCTGGCGCGCATTGAGTCCTTGCATCTTTGTCTTGACTACATCCAATGGCATCGTCGTATAGACTGTAACGATCCCGGCAATCGCTCCGATTCCAAAAGTGTGAGTCGCAGGTAAGGTGGTCTCACCCGTCTGGGCCTTGGCCATGTCGCTCAATGTCGCGTAGACCCCGAAGCGCACTGCGCTGTTGGCGCCTTGCCGGGCCATGACAGGAACAACACCGCGATATACGCCTCCAAAGCCTTCAGCCCGGACAATCGATTGCACGCCTATCGAAGGAATAAGAGAAAAATATGTATAGTTTAATGAGAATGTGCCATGCGATCTCTGTGGCCAGACATAGATGAGATGAGATCTTCGGCGTTTGAAATATGATATGTCGCGTACGGTTGTGCTTAATTTTTTTCCCTCTCTATTCTCATCCCGTATACGTACCATGAACCAGACCCCGATACTTTGGTACCGCAAGGTTGCCGTCGTGGATTAGCTTGGTCCTACATTCACGTAACCATAGACAAAGGCAACCTATTAGTATATCATATCATTCTACCATGGCCGTACATTGTTCCTTAGTGTCCTGCCTTTTAATCCTGGCATTCGGCTCCTCATCAATCGTCATTAATCATTGTCATTCTCTCAATTGAGAGAGATTAGTCCCCATGCTAGTTCTCCTTTAGCCGCCTTTTAGCAGCCCCACACGAAAAAAGAGGGTATTGAAACCGGAACAGGGCTCTTCCTGGAGGATCTACACCAACAACTATCCGGAATTACGTGCCACAAAAGCGGACACAAACATAGAGTCCGCCAACTCCGACGCGTCTCTACGTAAAAAAACAACCCGCTGCATGGCTGACATCATAACACATTACAACACGATCCTCCAAAAAGTCCGGTTTTGGGGAGACAAGGGTACGTACTTGATAGTCTCCGTAGGTGTTACCACCAGAATGGCTTCAGTCATTCCTGCTCCTAGGCCAGCTACGACATATGAAATACGCGAGTGAACATATATTAGGAAAACGCGTTGTCTATGCGAGATTCAACTGACACAAAAGGAAGCAATTTGATGATCTTACCAAGGACTGATCGGCCGGCAGAGATCTTGCCTTCAGAGTCCTTCAGCATGTCTCTGAACTGGTCAAAGGCAAAGAAGCGGATGCCTGCCTTGGCAGCTGTCCCAATTACAAGAGCAGAGAGTCCTCTATAGATCGCCGTAAAGCCTTGTGTCCGCACCGTCGTCACCAACACATCGATGGGTCCTTTGAATTTCTACAATGAGCACAAGCACATAAAAGGAATACAAGAACAAGCAGCGAGGTATGTAAGTATGAATGGACCACTGCGACTCACCCCTGCGTCTCATGATGTCACACCCCTTTATTCACACATTCATTCAACCTGTGCGGCATTAAATGCAGAGTCATCTCCTTCCTTGTTGTCAGGGAGACATTCGTGAGCAAGTTCATTTTAGTATTCTTGTCCTTATTCTTTTAAGCGCATGGGCCTGCATTCATCGAACACACAACGAACCCCTCGAACCCCTTATTCTTGTTCGGCTATTAGTTTCTCTTTTCCTTCACCCCACCTTTCACCGTCCCCGTGCACCGCTACCTTCCGAAGTTGCCATTTTCCTTTGTCGCCTGACAACTTTTCCACAAGTAATGGGTATATCTTATGGTTCCAAAGGTCGGCTACCATAAACGATTGGCGAGAGTTTTCTTTTCTCCCACCCCACCCTTGGAATCAGTTCACTACTCATTATTTTTGTACCCTTGAAAGAAAATCCCGAGTTTCCCACGGAAAATATGAAGACCATGAGAACAAATGAATAAAAAGTGAGCACCAGCCAGCTGAGATAACAAGAAATGAAGCCAGCCATTTCCTCCTCTTTTTCCCGGATTATGCTGCATTGCTGTCCTGTATGTCGTTCACCTGTTGTCCTGTTGATGAAGAAACAAAGGGAAGCAAAGAGAATGTGTCCTTATCACTCGGTCCACTGCTCGGTCCTGAAGCCTCAACAAACAACAAAGCAAACCACAGCTTGGCAGAGAAAAAGGAAAGAGCGGAAGAACGAGCGAAAAAAAAACAATCAACTTTGTTGGGGTGTGTATGCACTTACGACGCCTCCATTGCGGGCCGAAGCAGCTCCGTTGTCCTGCAACTGCAACTGTGTCTTCACATACTCTGTTGGATAGGTGATAATAGATTCGATGGCGCCGGCGACAGCTCCTGCAGTCAGCGTGTACAGGGGCGGTTCTTTTCTCTATTGTTTGTAAAGCAGCAAGGCAACAAAGGGAAAGAAGGAATCGGTGAGTGAAAAAATAAGCTCTGGAGAAATATTTCCATGTAATTCATCCATTGCGAAACAAGTCGTGTTGTACACATGCAGAGATGGAGAGAAGTAGAGAGCTGTCCTAGTCTTTCTTTCTCCACAAGCTGCAGCAGAAACGCTGTATAAACGCAAACACCTTTTTACTCTATGCCGTTGGTTATATACACAAAGACAATGGACTAAGAGTTACCTTCCGTTGAGGTGATGACATTGTGTTTGTTGTTGTTATGCGGAGTGAGTATATTCGTTGTTGTTGAGTGAATGCGAAATGCCGAGGTTCGTTTTGGGGAGTAATTAGAGTCGAAGTAGGGAGGGAGTTGGAATGGAGAGGGGAAAGTTGAAGAAGAGGAAAAAAAAGGGAAGGGAAGGTTAAGTGACCCGTGTGCTTCCCCTTTAAAGGAGCGCAAAGTAGCGGGCGATAGAGACGTGCGCGAAGGGGTTTTTTTAAAAAAAATGCAAATGCTAGTGTGTATGTTTAATGTTGTGTCTATTGTTCATTCTTTTGGCCGGTCATTATGAAGACATCGTCACATCCTCTGTGTCAACATCCATATCCAGCTCCAACTTGGTCACGCCGAACGATGGCTCAACCCATTGACCCTCCAACAGCTCGCTGTACCGCTGCGAGAATGCGTCGCTGTTCTCGACAGCCTTGCCTGCCCTCCACATCACCTTGTTGGCCGCCTCGATTTGACCAGTCTCGTTCAAGAACTTCAAAAATGACAAGTAGATATCTATAATACGGAAGAGAAAAAAACGGGCGTTAGTAAACATATCCTACGAAGTCTTGCCGTAGGCACCACTTCAAAAAAGCAGCACGCGGAGTAAAGAGTGGTTACCTTCATTCTTCTCGTTCGTGTGGATGGCCTTCTCGTAGAGCATGGCGATCGCTTTCCTTGATCCTGGCTGGTCGACAGAGTTCTCCTTCTCGAGTTGAATGCATGCCATGAAGAACCCAAGGTCCGGCAAGCTCCTCTTCATCAGGCTTTGGTATAAGCGACGGACTCCCTCGATGCCCTCAGTCTCGTTCATCCAGTCCAGGAACCAACCGCTGACACTCTGCTTGATCAATCCGATATCGGCTCTCTCCTCAGTGACATCGGGCAGGAGGGTGGTGGTGATGCGTACTGCCTCCAGGAAGGCCTCTTCGACCTGCTCCTTGGTCATGTCCTCTTCCCTGTAGGCGGTCCGGAGGAAGGTAGCATACTCGCGCCAGACCTCGAAACTTTCTGTGTGAACCTTGAGGGCGCGGGCAAAAATTTCAGGCAATCTTGCGATTTGTTCCGAGCGCGAGAATGAGCGCAAGAGACGAATCTGCTGAATCGTCAATGCGGTCGACTCGGGGTGTTCTGCTACTGCCTTGTCGAGAACAGTCAAAGCCTTCTTGGAAATCACATCGAACGACTGTGTGGAGGAGGAGAGCATCCAGTTGACATGGAGCAGGTACAGCGCCTCCGAGTGGATCTTCTTCTTGTTGGCGGTAGAAAAGATTCTGTCGATCGTTTTGGAGAAATACAGTTTCTAAAAGAAAAGATAGAAATATTCGTCAGGCAAATGACAGATGGTAATAATGACTGTGCAGACATGTAAACACACTCATACACCCACTGTCAACATACCAAGTTCTCCTCCTTTGTCTTGCGGTACTCCCAGGTCATGTTCTGGGCAAAGAGCTCAACCATCTTGACGTCTCCACTCTCACACGCTGCCCAGAATCCCTTGACAGTCTCAGCGACACCCATGGCATATCCCTCCTCGTCCACTTTGAAGGCATCGATAGCACGGCGGGCAACCAGAGCACGAGCCTCGGGCAAGCCCTTGAAGCCTTGCTCAATCGAGTCATAGATCTCCTGGATCGAATCCTCCTTCAATGGCTTTGGCTTGATGAAAGAGTTGGCGATATCCAGAAATCCTTTGCGGAAGGAGAATGAGGTTGGGATAGTCTCGACACCGTTCCTGAACACGACCATGGCGATATCTCCCCGAAGCACAGGGTTCTTTTCCGTCTGCAAAGCCTCAGCCTTCTCCTCTGTGAGTGCCTCCTTCTTCTTCTTCTCCTTCTTGCCCTGCTTTGCTTTGCTCGATTTCTTGGACCCTTCCTCCTTGGCATCATCCTCCTTGAGGAACTCTGAGTACTCCTCGCCTGTGACTCCTGGGAGCTTAATCATGTTATTGGTATCAACTTCGTCGTCCTCCATCAAATCATCCTCCGCCTCCTTGTTCGACACATCAATACCAAGAACCTGGCGACGTGCGAGGATTTTGGCAATGTAAACCAGCTCCAGTCTGAAGTATTCGTGCCAGAGACTCTCTGTCGTTGTGTTGAGGCGGATAGCACGCTGAAGCAAAACTGTTGCGTTGTTTAATCAAAGTGTAAAAATGTCGTTAGTTTGTTCTGTCCATACAGCTTTCAACCAGAAGTGTCACCATTGTATCGCCGTTGGGTATAGATGAAGCAATTGAAAGAGTATCTTACCTCTTGCTGCGACAATGTTGGCGTTCTCCTCCCACTCCCAAGCGGCTGCCAGGATCCACATCTTTTCGTTAGTTGGGTGAAGCTGAATCGCTTGGGCAAATATCTTTCCGAGAGTCCTGGTGGCACCGTTTTTCTTTGCGAAATCGATGTACTGCAGCCAGATCGAGATGTCGCCCTTGAACTTGATGAGGCAGCGCTTGTAGATAAAGTAGATGCGGCGAGGTCCTGCATAATCCGAAATCGACATCTTGGTGTCAGAGACCATGCGGGCGCGTCTCTTCTTCCTCAATGCCTCCAGGTTCATCTCGTACTCAATATAACGGAGAAAGTCTGCCTTCTTGCTGATCCTGCGCTTGAGAGCGTACTCGAACTTTTGGCGCTGCTTGATGATGGATTTGATCTCTGTCTATATAGGATTTAGTGCCAACGGTTGCTCCTGCTGTTAGGTGTCTGTGTGTGTCTGCCAACATGCCATGAGATGTAGGCCTTATCGATTTGTCGCTGGTGTTGTGGAAGTGAAACGAAAGTAAAAAAAGAACGGACCTTTGAGAAGATGCCCTTCTGCTCGAGATCTCGCATCTCGGGGATCATCTCCTCCATGTAGAATTGCACGGTGTCCGCCATGGTGAAAGCCTCTTAGTGTGAAAGGTTGGAAAGGGAGGCGATGGATGGATGGTTGTTATGGGCGAAGGGGTGGTCGAGCTGAGTATTGAGCACGCGGACTGACAACAAAGTAGTGTGTCGAAAAAAAAAGAAAAAAAGACTAAGGCAAGAAAACACAACAAGGACTGCTTTTTCTGTGCGTCAGCCGTTGCACGTGACATTTACTGGCGGTACCTGAATTTTTTTTCTTCTTTGTATGTGCGGTGCGACTGGCAAAGATACAGACGAACGATCACTCATCATCATCCCCCTTCCTTTTCTTCTCTTCTCTTCTCATCATCCCCGCCGGCCCCTCTTTTCTTTTTCATCCTTCTGCATCCTTCTCTCTTTCCTTCTCTTCCTCCTTTTTAACCCCTCCACTCACACACATATATATATAAAATGGTCAAGGAGACAAAGTTGTACGAGGCCCTCGAGGTCGACCCTGGCTGCTCTGATTCCGAGCTCAAGAAGGCCTACAGAAAGTTGGCCTTGAAGTTCCATCCTGACAAGGTAACATCCGTCCTATGGTCACCAGTCCAGCCCCTCATCCATCACAAAGCATTCCTTTGTTCAGAGGCAGCAGCACCACTCTCCGTTTATATTACATGGACTCAAAAGTGCGCAGGCGCAAGGAGATTCTCTCTATGCACAGCCTCCACGGACCTCAAACCCTCGCCTTTTTTTTGTTATCACCCCCATCACATCACCGGCTCGGTCAATCTTTCTGTAGTCGTTTCCCCGGCTCCCTCTTGTGTGCTCACCAATTATTTTGTTCTTTGCTTTTCTTCTACTTCCATAGACTGGAGGCGCTACCTCGGAAAAGTTCCAGGAGATCAGCCACGCATACGACATTCTTTCTGACGCTCAGAAGCGTCAGGTGTACGATCAGTACGGTGAGGCTGGACTCTCTGGTGAGGGTGCTGGTGGTCCTGGCGGTATGGGCGGTCTTTCGCCCGAGGATCTTTTCAGCCACTTCTTTGGCGGCGGTGGTGGTGGACGTGGCGGCCGTCCCTCGGGACCCCGCCGTGGCAAGGATGTTGCACACGGATTGAAGGTGACCCTCGAGGATCTCTACAAGGGCAAGACCACCAAGTTGGCTCTTCAGAAGAACGTCCTCTGCGAGAAGTGCGACGGCAAGGGTGGAAAGGAGGGCGCTGTCAAGACCTGCGCTACCTGCCACGGACAGGGTTACCGTGTCATGCTCCGTCAGATGGGACCCATGATGCAGCAGATTCAGCAGCCCTGCGGTGACTGCCGTGGAGAGGGAGAGATCATTAACGCCAAGGACAAGTGCAAGTTCTGTAACGCCAAGAAGGTCACCCAGGTCCGCAAGGTTCTGGAGGTCCACATTGACCGCGGCATGAAGGACGGCAGAAAGATTGTTTTCAACGGCGAGGGCGACCAGGCTCCTGGCACCGTCCCCGGAGACGTTGTCATTGTTTTGGAGCAGCGTGAGCACACCCGTTTCCGTCGCAACGGCGATGACTTGTTCTACGATGCCAAGATCGACCTTGTCACTGCCCTTGCTGGTGGTAAGATCCAGATCCCCCACTTGGATGACCGTATCCTCATTGTTGAGATCCTCCCCGGCGAGGTCATCAAGCCTGGTAAGTCTTTTATTTATTACTACTCGTTGACTGGGATGGGACGAATTACATTACCTCAAACCAATCGGATGGAGCCTTGGAGTCTTGCTTTTTCCATTTACTTACACATAATGTGCCTCTTACTATTGATGTTCATCAGGTGATTTGAAGGCTGTGATGGGACAGGGTATGCCCACCGAGAGACACCACGACTTCGGTAACCTCTACATCCAGTTCGAGATCGAGTTCCCTACCGCCAACTGGACCGACGTCGCCAAGATCGAGCAGCTCCGTTCTATCCTCCCCCCATCAGCCGAGCTCCCCGCCCTCCCCAAGGGTGCCCACATTGAGGAGGTCAGCCTCACAGAGATGGATCCCCGCCAGAAGGCAAGAGCCGAGCAGGGTCACATGGGCGATGATGATGAGGAGGGCCAGGGTCCTGGTGTCCAGTGCGCTCAGCAGTAAACTCCTCTCCCTTCTCCCCACTCTCACTCTCACCTTCATTTATCCATCCCACATTGTTCTTTTTGTGCTAATTTCTGTGCCCTGTTGGAATACATTGTAGTAGACACATACGCCATCTCTCCACTTTCATTCTCGTATCTTTTTTTTTTTATTAAACCCTTTCAATATTATGAAAATATTACCACCCAGCTCTTGGTAGTGTGCTGGCCTATGTGAATATTTGTAGGGCAGCGGCAATTGTAGCAGAGAGGTGGTGAGAGGGTGACACAGGACACGTTTGGCATGCATTGCTAAGCTGCAGGGCCGTGCGTACGGTCAAGTAAACAATGTGTTTTCTCTCTTTTATGTTTTCTTATTTTCTTTCGGTCGGGCATCTTCTTCCTATCGTCCATCATGACGAACAAAGAGCCTACAAAGTGTCTACACGGTCCCCCGATTGGATTCGGGGCAACCACGACACATTCGTACATAACCCCGTCATCTCCACTCCACTCCTGATTCCAATTCTACTCGTTTTGCATGGGCTACTTTCTCCCCTTGGGGTGGCGCCTCAGACGCCCAACACATCGCATGTTTGAATGTACGAAAAAGAAAGAGCTTCTTCATTTCCGTGAGCTCTCTCTCTCTCTCTCTGTCTCCGACCCCTCCTGATTTTCCTTTATGTCGGTCTGTCTCCTCTTTTTTGTTGAATGTTCCTTTTCTCTCTCTCCTTCTTGTGTTGACATGGTGCCTGCGTTGCTATCGGTACTCCTGGCGTGTTATCATTCGAAATGCGGAGCCGGGGTGTTTATAAATCTGGCCACCCATCCCCCGAAAAGAACGCTTTCTCATTTTGCCTCACACACTCCTTTTCTCTCCCATCAACCATCTTTGTACAGCTCAACTTTGCATCAACTCACTCAACAACAACCACGAAATGATAGCTACTTCCCGGCCACTGCGGTGGCTTGCCCTTGGCTCTTTGGCCTTGATGGCCTTGAGTGGCGGAGCATGGGCTGACGAATGTCCTGCACCTGTCACTGTTACCACGACAGAAACTACAACCGTCTGGGCCGGTAAGGCAAACATTCAAATCATTGCACAATGATATCATTCCTTTCTTCCTCCCATGAAAACACCATTGACAGATTTTTCCTTCGTACTTGTGATGGACTAGATGGTAGCTGGCCTTCCAAGACTGTGACCCAGCTAGTTGTTCCCGACGACTGTCCTCCGGAACCACGGTACTCGTGCTATGTTATCCAGACCACTACCTTGAACGCCGAGTTACCCCAAGCGACGATTCAGATGGTTTTGCCCCAACAGCAGGAAGAATCCAGCAAGCAGGAATGGAACGCGGAGTCAGAAGGCGATGAACAAGAGGAAGAACAAGCTAATGACGACTCGGATGAAGGAGATGCAGTCAAACCTGTGCCTGATCCTTCGATCACACCCTTCTTCTCTTCGCCCACACCTACTACTACCGCCGCCACAGGTCCAGCCTGTGTGAACTACATCACCGCTTTGAGTATGGGACCATGTCCGACATTCACTTCCCTCCCAACTAACAGCGAGGGTTGCGCTATTATCACAAGCACCACTTTGGCCATGACCACCGTCACTGCGGTCCCAGCAGCGGATATCACCTACACTTACTCCTATTCCATCGGCCACGGTCACGGTCACCACGGCAACAAACATCCTCAGAAGTTCACTCCTACTCCCACTGCCACTGCTACCGCCACTGTAACGCCCCCACCAGCTGTCGCCCTCTTCCCTCCAGAAGAACAAAAACAGGTCGACACCAACCCCACAAAAACCGAATTCACGACTTCTTTCTCGACCCATTACAGCTACACTCTCGCGTTCGATTTCACTTACGGTACCCTCAAGCCCTCACCCGTCCCTGGAACTCCTTTGCCTGAACTTCCTGCACCTACTCCCATACCCACGCCCACGTCGACCACGGCTACGACCACTACCAATACTGTGCCTGCAGAAGCACCTCCAGCACCTACTGAACTAGCTACTTCATCCCCTACCGATCCCGCCGACCCTCCAGCATCCATTGACCCATTGGATCCACCAGCTAACAAAGTGTCGCGTGTTGATGAACCTCCAACCGTACCCGTGCCCGAGACTCCAGACGAAACTGGACAGGTTGTGACTATTGACCAACTTGGACCCATACCAATCACAAAGGAAGCTGACCCCGAGCTCACAGATCTGAAGAAGGCTTGCCAGGAGTGCGCCGAGCCCTGTGTTGTCGAATTGGATGTTGCGGCCAAGGCAGAGGTGCCCATCTTAGCCAAGCTGTTTGAGGACAAGATCAAGAAGGCCCTCGCCAGTCTGAAGCTGACCCTCGAGAACGAGAGCGGATCGGCCTCTGTTCAAGACCAGGACAATAACAACAACAACAACAACTCTAATGACGGATCTGGTGGCCCGACAGGCTTTTTTGCAGGACTGAACATCGACGTTAACACGGCAGGATTATTCCGAAAGACCTGTGAGGATAAAGTGGATGCGATCGAGAAGAAGCATATCGAGGTCCTGAATGAGAGATGTGAACGAGTGATCCGGACTGGTTGTGAGACAGGAGCTTGTCTTCAGAGCGAGGTGGATAAGGCGGTAAAGCTTTTGGATGTGATGATCTCGACCGAGTTGGCCAGGGATTGTAGCCAGCTTCGTAGCGATATTGTTCAAGAGTTCAAGGTTCGATCCGACCAGGACCAGAGATCCAAGGGCAAGGTCGTTGTCGATGCCAATGCCATGGTCGATGTCGAGAAGCGCGGACTGTTGAGCGGTCTGCTGGGCGACAACAACGTGGTCGACAAAGTCGTCGACGGCCTCGGCGAGACTGTCAACAAGGTTGTGGCCAAGACTGTAACCCCTCTGACAGGAGACGATTTAGTAGAGCGTCTGGTCGAACAGTTGACGGGGACTGTCAAGTCTGTGGTCGACAGCTTTGTAGGCAACTGCAACCGCAAGGGTCTGTTGGACTTTGATACGGAGAAGGGCGTGGGTGCATTGGCGGCGATTGCGGATGTCTCTTTGAATCTATTCAAGATTGTGTGTGTGCATGTCCATGCCGACGCTGATGCCAAGGTCGCTTAGTAGGCTTAGCCACCCCTAGGTTATTTGTCGCGTACCGAGGAATGTGTAGTTTGACATGATACCACCATGTTTAGCATTTGGTATTTTCGCATTTTAATGAATCTTTTTATTCAAGATAATTAAGTAATATGTTCTGGCATGAAGTGAACTTCGAAGTGAGGGTGAATAAGCAGCCAGCACCAGAGATAAAGATAACTCGACGATGGAAATCCAAGAAGACGGAGAAGAAGGGGTCGGGCGGCGATGTGTTTTACTTGTCCCTTATTTTGTGCCACAGCCCTCTCATACTTCCATCGCCCTCGCACACGCCGGTCACACCTTGGCCCACTTCGACTTTTTCTTCTCTTTTCTCCCGCCGACGTTTTTTCCACTCCTCCACTTCTCAACCCCATCCCTCCCTCCTTCCCCGTCTTCCCCACTTTCTGAACTCTTTCTGGTCTTCCCTCATCCTTTGCTCTTCTTTCTTTACTATTTCCTTCCTTTTCGACAATCGCCCACTCCACTCCTCTTGATCACACTTTTCTCTTTCTTCTGTTTGTGCTCATCTCGCCTTCCTTAACTTCTTCGGCTCAACGACACCTTCGCACCTCTGCAGCACAGCGCAGATAATATCAACCGGAGCGATGACATCAACAACGGACCCCAGCATCACTACCCATGCTGCCATCACCATCCCAGAAGACTCATCCAAGACCCTACCAGTCGCTGTGACAGACACCAACATCAACACCAAGCCATCATCATCACCTGAGGATGTCAACCCACAGTTCCGACCTTCCCCCAACGCCGACGAGGACTTTGAGGGTAGGACGCATACTGCATTGTTTTCTTCCCAAACAGAAAGAGAACTAGGAGCAATAAAGAACGAAGAAGAAGAAAAAACAGAAAGGATCGATCAGGATTATCAGAGGATACGTGGACATTTGGATTAAAGGTCATGCTGGATCGATCACAAGCGTCAGCAAAGCAAATACCGACAGTCGAAGCCCTGCAGAAAGTGCAACGAACAAACAAACAAACAGCCCTTTTTCTTCAATTCTAGAACGGACTCTTCCTATCCTCTAAAGGATGTGCCTCAACCACTCCAACGGCCCTCAAGCTAACTGTGTTTATCCACTCTCCAATGTACCCCTCTTCGCCAACGAATGACACGAAATAGATATCACCATCTTCCAGGCGGCTCAGATGGGCAAGGTAGCCATTGTGGCGAAACTGATCGAAAAGGACCCAGCCGTTGTCAAGAGCAGGGATTTCCAGGATGTCACGGCGTTGCATTGGGCGGCTATCAACAACCAGATCCCTGTTGCAAAGTACCTGATGGATAATGGTGCTGAGGTCGACGCCATCGGTGGAGAGCTCGTCGCAACACCATTACATTGGTGCACAAGGTACCAACCAGGATTATCTAAAGTCGAACGGGAAAAAACAGAGTTTGGATTCTATGGGTCTTTTTTCTTGGACTCAGTTGCTTACTGTTTTTCTTCTTCTTTGGCTCTATCTAGGAACGGACACATGAATATGGCCAAGTTGTTGATGAAACGCGGAGCCAACCCGATGTTGCAGGATTCTCAGGGATTCAACGCTCTTCACCTCGGAACACATTCGTCCAATGCCATGTTGGTGTTGTTCTTGATGATGGCCGGCGAGATGGATGTGGACGTTGCAGACACACTCGGACACACCAGTTTGATGTGGGCGGCTTACCAGGGGGACAGTCTCAGTGTCGACATCTTGTTGAGGCAGGGCGCTCGTGTTGACACCACGGACCGGGAAGGGTTCACGCCCTTGCACTGGGCTGTCGTCAAGGGCAACCGAGAGTGCCTATCCAAGATTCTTAAGGCAGGAGCTGATGTCAAGGCAGCCGACAAAACTGGAAAGACGCCTGTGGACATGATCAAGGAGCTCAAAGGAAATGTCATCTGGGAGAAGGCATTGAGTGATGCCAAGCTGTCGTCGGACGGACAAACAAGAAGGACGCCCTTTGACAAGGTATGGCGATATTCAAATTGACTCTATGCCACTTATGGGCGCTTCAATTGCACTGTTACTAACTAACTCTCGCTCTTTACTGCTTCTATATTATGATAGAAAACCACCAACACTATCATCTACTTTATACCCTACTTTACTCTCTTCTTCACGTTAGAGCTCATGGTCCTCTTCCCATGGTACATTGCCTTGCCACTCGCCATTGTACAGTTTCTGGCGGGACATATTGGATCGGTCAAGTTTCTTTTGCGGACAAAGACGCCAAACGACATGCTCCAGACGCCCTACTACACTGCAGTTTTCCAATCGACTGCATTCTGGGTTGGCTTTACCTGGCTCCGCCATCTTGTCTATAGTAAGTCAAGTCCTAGTGTTTTGTGATATACTCTTGTGCCAAAAGCGATACTAACCTCTCGTCATTGGTTTCATAACTATGGCAGATACGGCGCACTTGCTTTGGTTGAACATTGCGTTCATTATCGGCTACGTCTCGGCTCTCTACTTTTTCTACAACGCTGTCATGGCGGATCCTGGATGGACGAAACGAAACACCACAGTCGAATCCCAGCGGGAAGCAGTCGTTCGAATGGCGGACAGGAACCTCTTGGACGTGAAGCACTTTTGCGTCACTTGTGTTGCTCAGCGACCCATGCGGTCAAAGCACTGCAAGTTTTGCAACTGTTGCGTCGCCAAATTCGATCACCACTGCCCCTGGATTTACAACTGCATTGGAGCCAAGAACCATAGAGCTTTCATGATCTTTTTGGCCCTCTTCATCAGCGTTGTCCCCGTCTATGCTTATCTGTCTTTTGAATGTAAGTTACATGGAGTTGTGTAGAAATTGTCTGTTTTTTTTTTCTTGAATGGTTGACACGGTTGCTAACCAACGACTTTGCATGACAATTAGATCTCGCGATTACCTCGCCAGCGTATGTTGCTGTCGCGTCGAACCCTTGTCTGCTTGGAGATTCCTTGTGCAGCTACTTCCAGTATGACGCCTTCACGACCACATTGGCGTTCTGGTCCATGTTTCAAGTGACTTGGCCAGGATTGCTCTTTTTTGTTCAACTCTTCCAAGTCGGACAGTCCAAGACCACGAACGAGGCGATGAACTTCCAGCGCCAGACATACTCAGGTAAGGCGATGAACATTCGCCAACGGATCCTGAGGTCACTGACGGAGATCGATTCCGAGATCGCCGGTGCTGGGCACCCACTTCAAGAAGAGAGCATTAACCTATTGGAGGCTGGCGCAGGAGCAGCAGGCGAGGAGGAGGATGAGGCCTTGTTTGCACGGGAGGAAGAGTCCAAGCCTGTTGGGTTTGGCGATCATTCACACCACGGACATAGCCACGGACATGAAGGTCATGGTCATGGGCCTCGTGGAGGAGGAGGTATGTGGAACCTGATTGTGGGAACCGCACGAGGAAGGCGTCAGAACCATGGCGATGATGAAGCGAGCAATCCGTTTGATTTCGGACTGTGGCAGAACTGCCTGGGCTTCTGGTCGGATAATAGACAGGGACCGTTGCGGGGCGTCAACTGGTATACGTTCTATGAAGCGGAGCCATCGCGGGCGCATCACCCTACCTCCAGACGCATGTAATCACCTAATCTAGCCCACTTTGAACAAATATCTAATATTCAAACATAATAAATACATCGTTGCCGTGAGCCAATGACGGTTGCAGGTATGAAGGAGTTGACGGATAATTTCTTGCACGACAACAAGTTGAGAACCGAACATTGGGTGCCCACGACTCCTCCTGTCTTCATTATTTTTTGTTGCCATGCACACAACTCTGTTTGAGATTAGCGTACCTCTTCCCTTCCCTTTCATGACCCCTCTCCTGTACCCCTTGTTGTCTCGCTAGTCCTATTACAATTTGGATCAAGCGTGCTAAAGAAAGATTGTTGGAGGAAGTCCTGCTATGCTGTCATTGTGAAGTAAGTGTGCATTTAGAATGACAAACGAAAATACAAACGAGGAGGTTGGTTTAGGAGGTCGGGGCGTCAGATCTGAGGAAAGCAGCGTCCCCTTGACGCTTTTTTGTTGTTGTTGTTCTGGACTTTTTTTTTTTTTTTGTTATTGCCGATGTTGTTGTTTGTTTTTGGCCCTGGAACCTGATAGCAATTGAACCGCGTTGCTGTCGCCAAGACACAGCAGAGTTCATAAATTGTGCAGCCAAGGCTAATATCCAGGAGAGCTAGGCAACAGCCGCTCCATGGAACCCTTGCATAATTTATTTCGGCTGTAGCACATGCCTGACAGATCGTGGGTATTATGGCTCTGGCAAGAGTGATATCCCGAAACACCGAGAAAATCGAAAAAAAGACCTTTCATTATTCACCCCCAGCAGAATATCCTTTCCCTTTTAGTCGTGTGCAGGTGTTGTCCGGATCAAGGGGGGAATAGTCCGTCTGCCAAGAAAATCAGGGTGCTGCTGTAAAAAGTAAAACTAACAAGTGTCTTTCTTCGCAACTCAGCTCTCGATATAGTTGCCCTACTCCCCAATTGTATTATTCTTGTTTTTTTGAGGCGGTTCTTTGTTTTACCAGTAGCACATCTGGAGCGCACTTACGCACAAGCAAAAATGACAAAAAAAAAATCATCCGATTTTTTTTGGGTAGTCAAGGTAGTCATCAATCGGAAAAAAAAAAGGAGACCCGACCGGTTGCGTATGTGTGTTAATGTGCGTGCGTGTTTGCAGGCAGGCAGTTATCAGGAGAAGGAGAAGGAAAAAGAAGGACAGTGGAAAGAGAGCGAGAGCGAGAGCGGGGGATAGACAGAGACAGTAAGAGGAAGAGGGAGAATGGAATTCTCATATCAGATCGAATCAAGCTAAGAGAGACACAAAGAGAAGAAGGAAAAAAATGCCAACACCAAAGAAGAAAAAAAAGGCGTGAAAATCTCTTGGATCGACGACGCTATCGATGCTAGAGCATAAGTGACTTAATCGATTGCACGGTGGCCAAGTCCAATAGAAAAAAAAGAAAGAGAACAGATTCGGCTGTGGCCAATGGCTGGGCGAGGGTAAAAGTAAAGTAAAGTACAATTGTTTTGATTCCTTGTGTTCCAGACAGCGGACCGAAAGGGGGAAAGGAAGGGGGTTGGTTCGACTTTTTTTTTTCTTTTCTGTTGACATTCCAGTTTGATTTCCTTTCTCTTCTTCCTTACTTCCTTCGTCCTCCTTACCGCCACCGCCTCATTATCCATTCTCATCCTTCCTCCCTCCCTCCCTCCCTCCCTCCCTCCTCCTCCCTCTCCTTCCCTCTCGACCCGTTGTTACTCTAGACATCCTCCTCCATATTCATATCCAGAGCATTATGGGCCCCCTCACATCGCTGTCCAAGCGTACAACAAGGTCCTCCGCCTCAAGGACCACCTCCTCCTCCACAACAACCGACCTTTCTTCACTATCATCCTCCTCCTCTTCCGAATACAACAGCGACAGCGAAGCGATTGATCGCCTCTCAATCGCCTCCTCAGCAGTATCTTCGCTCGACGACATGCCCTCGCCCGCCATCGCCAAGCATATCAAGGAGATCCCCAAAATCTCAACCAAGAATGATTTCTCTGTCCTGAACGAACCCTGGACGATCTGGAACTGGTACAAGAAGCTTGACTGGGTTCATGTCCTGGGTCTTATCTTTATGCCCATCTATGGCTTCTACATGGTCTACACCTCGGTCGCCTTGCAGCAGAAGACGGCTATCTTTTCGGTGATTTATTATTTCTTCACTGGATTGGGTATTACCGCTGGTAAGTTTATTTATGCTTCTTTTTCTTTGGGATTGGCTTCATGTCTCATGTTTACACATTCCATTCTCTCCCTGTCGCCTACTCTGTTACCGTTATCCTTCTTTATCCCTCCTCTCCTCTTTTCCTCCTCCCCCATTGCTACTTTTTTTTCTCGTTGTTTGTTTGAGTTGAGTTGAGTCCTCAAAGTATTATATTTGTGTGTGGGTTTGTTTGACTTTTTTGGAAAGTGCACGAAGTAGGAAGGGGAGGCCAAAAGAAGGGAAAAAAAAAAGTAGCTGGGTAAAAAAGTGTTTGTTGTTGTCCACAAGGACAAACGAAACTAAATAATCGTTTCGCTCATTTTCTTTTACTCACAATGTCTTGTTGTTGTTGTCGTTGTCCAATCGTATATTGGAATGCACAAAAGACAGGGGAGAGGGGGGGGGAGGGGTGAAAGGATGAGGGTAGGGAACCCTCAAATTGGGGAAGATGCGTATTTTCTTTGCTTCCTTTCCCTTTCCTTTCATCAACCCAATCGACAACATCACCACCGCAAATAACAGGATTAACGGGCCAAACCAAAAAAGGAGGAAATGAGGATACGTCGATAGTGCATGAGAGTTAAGCATCTCCAGGGAACAAGTCGAACAGAGAGAATGGTAGGCGAGAAGGCCAAAGTGGGTTGATGTTGAGAGCCATGAAAAAAAATGAAAACGACCATGTTGTTTTTGTTTTTGTTTTTGATAAGATTTGAGCTGGGAAAGCATTCGACAAAAACAAGTGCAAACACAAACGAATAACTTCCAGCAAGAAGTATACAATCAAATGAGCACCACCCCTGCTTCTCTTCCATCCAATGTTTATCGCCCTTGTATATTCTTCCTTCTTTTCTTTCATTCTTTTCTTCGATTCCACTTGTGGTGTCCGATCTATCGGAGATGGTCGGACACCGACGTTTCATTCATCCATATTGTGTTTTTTTAAAGTCGATACATGACTCTGAATCTGGTTATTTGGCGACAACACAACCATAATCATTCCAGCATTCAGGAAGACGCAGATGGTGCTATCTACTCAATTGCAATCAATGGCGGCGTGCTGACCTTCGTCCCGTCGCGCCTTCTCAAACCCCTCGTCCATAATTTCCCTTCTCCTTCTTTCCTTGTGCCCTTGTTTCTTTTTTTTTTTCCTTCCCCTGTCTACCATGCAGTGCAGTGAAGTTTTTTTCTTTGCTCACTTGCATGGTTTTGGCTTGTCCCGAGATGACCTTCTGGACTGGGCGGATGGACGCCGTTCCGTTCGTTTTCATTGTGTTCGGAATTCTGTGCCCAGGTGGTTGTCGACTTTTAGAGTTGCCTAGTCGTCATTGGTTCTAGCTTTACTAACGTGTTGTTTTTTCTTTTCATTCCTTTCTTTTGTATGATAGGATATCATCGTCTCTGGTCCCATCGCGCCTACTCTGCTGGACCTACTCTTCAATTCATCTTGATGCTCGCCTCTACTGGAGCCATGCAGGGATCAATTCGTTGGTGGTGCCGCAACCATCGTGCCCATCATCGCTACACCGACACCGAGAAGGTATTTTCCTTTCTTTTGACTGCAGTTTTTTGTTGTTCTGGGCTGTTGAGGCTCACCCTTATTATGGTTGTATATTTACTTTTTGCGGGAACTCGAACTGACATCCTTATTGCCACCATTTTTTCTATTTATTTAGGACCCCTATGGCGCTCAGAAGGGTTTGATGTGGTCTCACTTCGTCTGGATGCTGGTGAAACAGGATCCCACGACAGTCGGATGGGCAGATGTCTCGGACTTGAAGGCCAACAAGCTGGTTCGATTCCAGCACAACCAATTCCTCTGGCTAGCTCCCTTCATGTCTCTCGGAGTGCCCACACTCATTGCAGGACTTGGCTGGGGCGATTACTGGGGCGGATTCATCTATGGAGGCATTATCCGTCAGTTTGTTGTCCACCACGCCACCTTCTGTGTCAACTCGTTGGCCCACTGGCTCGGAGATATGCCATTCGACGACCGCCACACCCCTCGCGACCATATTTTGACTGCCCTGGTCACCCTAGGCGAAGGCTACCACAATTTCCATCACGAGTTCCCTCAGGATTACAGGAATGCGATCAAGTTTTACCAGTATGACCCTACAAAGTGGCTGATTGCTTTCTGTGCCTTCTTTGGCCTAGCTTCGGACTTGAAGCGGTTCCCTACCAACGAGATCACGAAGGGGCAGGTCAGGATGGAGCAGCAGAAGCTCGACCGGATCAAGGCAACCCTTATCTGGGGTACGCCCATCGACCAGTTGCCCGTCTATACGTTTGAAGAGTTCCAGGCGATGGCGACCGACAAGTGTCAGGCTGTGACGTTGATCGAGGGGATCATCTATGACCTAGAGTCGTTTGTGGATGAGCACCCTGGTGGCAGGAGTTTGATTCGCAGTGCGATCGGCAAGGACGCGACGACCTCATTCAATGGAGGAGTCTATGACCACTCGAACGCTGCTCGGCATCTGTTAGAGAGGATGAGGGTTGGTGTGGTTGCTGGAGGTGGATATGTTGAGCACCGTCGTAGCACTACTTCCGGCGGAGCACATGGACTCTCGACTGTCCCTGCCAACTCGTACCCGCCAGCAGCATTGGTCTCTGCGGTCAACCGCACTGCATAATATCGTCTTTTATTCTTATGTGATGCCTCCTTTACGAGCGTTGCACAACATATTGAGCGCCTTGTCTTCCTTTTCAAGCGCTCAAAGATCATACCACCATTCATTGTTCCTGTACCTTTAGCTATAAAACCCAGCAAAACATCTTCATATCTATGCAATCTCCATAAACGTCCTTTGTCCTTTGTCCTTTGTCCTTTCTCCACAAGATAGCTCCTCACCAACCCTCTAATTCAATTGGTCACATCAAAGTGACTGCCATGCAAAGACCAGATCGAAGGAAAAATCCCCACGGCTGGGCAAAGCCACTGAGGGAGGCAGAATCGTCTGGAAACATGACTCCGAAAAGGAAGTATTTGAACCAGTCGCTGTCCCCTCGCTTTCTCCAGCTTTCTTCACTCCATCAACAAACAACCAATCGTTCATACAATGGTAAGGAAACAAGAATGACCTTGCACCCTGACCGCTCTATTCGTTCTTTTCCCAATAGCTGAGGCATGTCATAGAGAGGAGCTCCGAGGGTCAATCAGCAAACTGGATTCATAAAGCTCGGGATCGGGAACGAGGGATGGATTCCAACGTAACGTCAAGGGTTCAACATCATTTTCTTCCGGACGTCGGGTGCACGCGAATACTCTGAATCAAGAGGGTGTTTACCAGGAGGAAGAAGCAAACAAGCGATCAATTAACCCTATCAATTGCACACCTCTGCCCGATTCCCACGCAGCATCGATCTCACATTCTTTTCAACACCCTGTCTTTTATCTGTAGGCTTCCCGTGTCACCAAGTTCTCCAAGACTATCGTCCCCATGATGGACCGTGTCCTCGTCCAGCGTATCAAGCCCCAGCAGGTACATTGCCGCTCCTGGCTTCGTTGATCTGTAGACTCTTTACGTGTTGAATGTTGTGAACACTCCTCCCCTTTAATTAACACATTCCTTACTGTTCGGATCAATTAGAAAACTGCCTCGGGTATCTTCATTCCCGAGAAGGCCCAGGAGGCCTTGAACGAGGGACACGTCATTGCCGTCGGCAAGGGCTTGGTTACCCAGGTACATACCATTATTCATACTGCAATTCGTCGCGCTCTTCCACAATCACACCGTTGGATCAAAATTATGCCGCTGAAACTAACATAATTCGCACTTGCTGATTTTTTTTACATCTCTTGGCAATAGGAGGGAAAGGTCATCTCCTCGGAGCTCAAGGAGGGCGACAAGGTTCTTTTGCCCCCCTATGGTGGTAGCATCGTCAAGGTCGATAACGAGGAGCTCATTCTCTTCCGTGAATCCGAGATTCTTGCCAAGATCCAATAGATGCTATTATTCGCCCTTCCTTTGTTTTTGCATCCTTTTACTTTTTGTTCAATATTAAAAAACAGACTACAAACTCCCTCCTCTCCTCAATGGTGAGGTGAATGTGTCGGGCTCTTGACGGGAAAAGAAGGGACTTATTTATTCGGAAGCGAAGAGGAACTGGCTACTCAGCGCAGCAACGTTTTTTCAGGCACGACGAAGGATGAGATTCTTGTCACCCAAAGGTCACGTGTGCCTTCTTCACACAGTCAACCTTCTGTCAAGCTCAGCCGCAGCCTCAGAACACCTAAAGCTGAGCAACCTTTTCTTTGTCTCGTTGCCCAAACGTCTTGCTTCACTAACGCACTTACTTTCAAAAGCTACAAACAAACCCTCGCTTCCACCTTCACTCATTCATTCAACATGGCACATGTCGAACTCACCGGATTGCAGTCCTCCATCAAACTGAGCAGCGGCCATTCCATCCCCCGACTTGGCTTGGGCGTGTACCAATCCGAGGAAGGCCAAGAAGCTGAGAACGCCGTCCTTTATGCTTTACAGGTACCCCCTTTTGATCCTTTTTTTCTTTTCTCCTTGCCCAACCTTCTTTCGTTCCTGTTTTCACCGTTCACAATTGTAAAGCGTACGAACGACGTGTCTTGAATACAACGAATGTTTCGTTGAACACCTTGATTTCTCTTTTTATTTTTTGTCCGTAGGCAGGGTACCGCCATATCGACACTGCGACCAGTTATGACAACGAGACGAGTGTCGGCAACGCCATCCGCAAGAGGTAACCAGCCGCAAGTGAATATCAGGATGTCGTTTTTATATTCCCGCGATCTCAGAAAGGAAAAGGAAGCTAACGGCTGCTGCCCATTTTGTTCCCTCATTCAAAAAGTGGTATTCCGCGCAATGACATTTTTGTGACGACAAAGTTGACAGAGGACGATCAGGGATACGAATCAACTCTTGCCGCTTGCAATTTGTCCCTCAAGAAACTGGGTCTTGAGTACATTGGTAACATCCGCATGATGAACGATATGCATAGAGCAAAAGGAGACGTAGACGCGTTTCGTTTTCCTAACTGCTTGCTATCGTTGTGGTTCATTTGTTGAGATAGATCTGTACTTGATCCATTCGCCGTTGTGTGGCTCGGAGCTGCGACAGGAGTCCTGGAAGGCGATGGAGAAACTTTACGCTGAAGGCAAAGTCAAGAGCATTGGTAAGGGGTTCTTCTTTCTCATTTTTTCCCTATCTGGCGCGTTTTGACAATCATGCGTACCAATATTTCAAGGCACCAGGACACTCAAACGCGCATCCCTTTATACCCCGGAATGACTTAGGTGTGTCAAACTACGGCGTGCACCATCTCAAGGAACTCCTGGAAGACTCTGGCGCTACTATCCGCCCAGCAGTGAACCAAATCGAAGTGCACCCCTGGCTGACCAGAACCGACATTGTCTCATTCTGCAACGCGAACAACATTGCAGTCGAATCCTACTCGCCCCTGGTCCAGGGCCACAAACTTCAAGACCCGACTCTGGTCAAGATTGCGTCTGCGCATTCCAAGACGCCCGCCCAGGTCTTGATCCGTTGGAACTTGCAGAGGGGCAACATTGTGATCCCCAAGAGTAGCAAGAAGCAGAGGATTGTCGAGAATGCGGATGTGTTTGGGTTTGAGCTTTCGGAGGATGAGGTTAAGAAGCTTGCTGCCTTGAACGAAAACTATGTCACTGGCAAGTCTTGTCTTTTTCGTTTTGCCGTTTTTTGTGGAAGTTGTTCTCATGCTTTGCGCCTGGAGGAGTGACAATACGAGCTTCATGTTGCTAACCAGATGTACGTGTTTCTCTCAACATAGAATGGGATCCTACGGTCGCACCCTAGAAAGCCAATCTTTTTCCTACGACGTGCCCCACGTCATGGTGGCACACGTTCCCAGTCATCCAAAAAAAAGCCCATTGTAGCACCAACCCGCTTCCTTTCCGCGCTTCGCCACGGACTGCAATTGCGTATCCTGTCTGAGAACAATAAACACTCAACATACAAGTCCAATCGCTTCGCTGAGTGAATGAGTGAGGATATATGTGTTTTTGATAGAAAGTCTTCCTTTAATAATCAGAGTCGAAAGACGGTCCGTCGAGCGTTGGTGTAACGCAAAACTTAAACTCTACAAATGTTGAAAAGAACGAAGTGAAAGAGATAAAGGGTTGTTAGTTAAGTGTGCTTCAATATTTCTGTTGGTTTGTCAAAAATCACAATGCCTCCATGTCCTGAAATATCATAGAATGCTGGTTTTCGGGTTGCATACCTGGAGGGGTACATCATCTGTGAGAGTCGTCCAAGACAGAGAAAAGCACATAAGAAAAGTAGAGAAAAGGAAAGAATATATGCAGCGATCAGTAACAATGAGCAGAGATAATCCCAAAGCCTAACACATCCCGCTTTTCCTCTCAATACCAAAAACCGCTAAGAAAAAAAAAGAAAAGACAAGGAACTTACGACGCGGACGGAGGCACCGAACGACTTGGCGGGCAAGTTGTTGCGGAAACGGGCCTTGACGGCGCCGGAACCACCGTGGGCACGGGTGATGCGTCCCCAGATGCAGCGGATCTTGGAACCGTTGACCTCACGCTTGGCGCGGTAGACGAAAGCGACACGCTTGCCGAGGTAGAACTCGGTATCGGCAAGAGTCTTCACACCCTCGATCTGGACGAGCGAGATATCGGGGCGCTGGTTGCGCTTGGCACGCTTGAATCCAAGAACACGACCTTTGGCGTAAAGACTAGTAGGTTTTTGTATTGAGTGAGGTTGGTGGAGTCCAGGTGTTAGTTCCGTTGTCCTTAAGAGCTGTGTGAGAAGAGAAAAAAGATGTAGATTTCCTCCTGATGTAGACTTGTGTGTTGAAGATTCCTTAGGCTTCCTGAAAAGTATTGTTGGGATAGTATGACAGCAAACAACAACTCTGGTCAAGTTGCGTAGTTGTCATCCTGATCGCTTCTCGTTTGTAGTTGCTGGTGTAAAGCTGATGGGTGGAATCAGCCGTGAGGGGTCACACGAGCTAGTTCTGTTGCATTGTCGCTTGTTGTACCGGCACAGGCTATGCCTTGTGTACTGGCTTGTGATGTACGCTGGTGCTTCCAGGAAACAACGCTGAACTGGCAGTGATGTATATGGCGAGTAGTAATCCCGTCTGCTGTCTGTTCTCTTCTTTCCGACAAGAAAAAGCGATCCTCCTGCACCATACGATGTCTCTTTCCCCCCCCCCCCCCCACCGGTCGGGTTCAGAGGTCATCCATGGAGATCTCTCTCCTTTCCTCCCACGAAAAAAAAAACTGACAAGTCCGGAAGTATCGATGATGCCGATAAAGAATTTCCTGCTGGTTGCCGGGTTGGTTGTTGATGGATAGACGGATGGATGTGTTTTCCGATGGTGTTGGTATGTTGGATGTTCAATGCAAATAGGGTGATCTAGCGCCCTATGAATTTCGCCCCACGTCTGTCACACGCACCGAGACATTGTGCTGGTTATTGAAGCTGAAAGAGAGAGATACACCCTGCGTGGTTCCAAAGCCCGCAATATCCTCCTGCACATTGTCCGTTCATCCACTTGGACCAGTCACAAAATTTTGTTTAAGGGGATTCCCTTATCCATCCAAGTAACCGCTTTCACTTTTCTGCATGGTGTTCTGGTGGGTTCTTGTCTTTTAATTACGATAGCTGTTTGTTGTTTTGTTGATGTGGTATAAGGATTAAAGAATAAATAAGAAATAATTGTAGATATGAAGAAACATGACTTAGAAGCAAAGGAAACCGCCCTTCTTCTTCTGCATCTCCTCCTCGAGCTGCGTCTGCAAACGATCCCGCATCCGGTTGGCATCGTCCTTGGCCTGTCTCTCCTTCTGCACCTGGGCCTCCAACTGCGTCTTGGCAGCCTCCAAGCCACGAGCCTGGTTCTGGGCCTGATCCAAGCTCTGGCGGATCTCTTCCAGCACCTGGTTCAACTCGGCGTTCTCTTGCTTGAGCTTGCGGGCTTCAACCTCCAGGGTTTGGCCCTGTTGCTGCTGTTGGTTCTGGACCGTCACCAAGTCGGTCGCGAGCTGCTTGTTCTTGGATTGGGTCTTTGTCAACTCGGCCTCGAATTGGGCCAGCTTCTCGGACATGGCCTTTTGTTCTTCTTGGTATTTGGCTACAGCCGCAGCGACAGCGGCTTCGGTTGCGGCGGCGGCGGTGGCCTTGTTGGCCAGGGATTCGCTCGAGAACGAGTGAATCACTCCACTCATCGACTTCTTCCGGGGGTGCAAAGGCTGGTGGAGGCTGGTTCCATCCTCAGAGATGGCGGGTGACAGCCGTGGGCTGTGGGTAGGCTCACCCTGATCGGTGGGGATTGGGGGCAGAGCAATGGTAGGGGGTGGGGTATCTGGTGGGTTGCTCAACAGACTTGAGCGCAACGTGGCCGACATGCGAGGAGTGACCGACATGGGTGGGGAGGGGAAGGACAATGCCTGGATGACTTGCTGGTCCTCGGCACGCTTCTCGAGATGGGCAATCTTGTCCTCCAACGACTTGATCAGCTTGGCCTGCTGCTCGCGTTCCATGGCGGCTCCCTCTTCCTTGGCTCTCTTTTCTTCCTCCTCCTTCTCCTTGTCCTCTTCATCCTTTTCGTCATCCTCCAGGATGATAGACCGGCGATGGGCGACCAAGAGGTTAGGCAAGAGATCGGCGTTCCCGGGGGATCCAAAGGGAGTGATGGGGGCCGAGAAGGGGGGTGTCACAGGGAAGGAATCGGCACGCTTATGACGCTCAACTCCCTCCATGGCAATCAACTCCTGCTCCTTGTTCTGAAGACTCAGCTCCTTCTCGCGCAGGGTCGATTCCTTGAGGTGCAATTCCTGCTCCTTGGTCTGAATAGACTGCTGTTGCTCCAGGACCTTCTTGTCGCGGATCCGGCGTTCCTCGGCCAATTTCGCCTCGGTCTCCTCGCGTTCCTCACGTTCGAGCAACTCCAAGTGGTCGCGTTGGTCCCGCTCCTCCTGGAGCTGAGCTTCAAACGATGCCTGAGCCTTCTCGAGCGCACCCTGTGCAACGGTCTGCTTCTGGTTGGCGGTGGACAACTCACCGAGGAGTGTCTGGATCTTTTGCTCCAGCTGCTGGATCTCGTGCTCGAGTTCCTTCTCTTTGGCCCAAGGCTCGACCAAGGTCACATCGTTTAACTGTGTGAGGTAGACGCGGAGTTGCTCCTCATAGTCGATATCGTCGTTATCTCCTGTCACAGTCATCTGGGTGTCCTCGCGGCTGTGGTGGGTGGCGATCTCCTTGAGGTCGGAGGGTCGTCCTTGCAGCTGCGACAGGAACTTGAGCATAGTCCTGACAGAGACGCTACCAGGCTCTATGGGGGACTCTAGCTCCTTGGACAAGACCTCCTTCTCTTTTGCCAACTCTGATCCTTCTGCTGCCTCTGTTGGCAAATCAGGGGCATGAATCTTCTCAGTCGACGACGAATCCTCCTTGGCACCGTTCGATTGTTGGACCAAGGCATTGCTGAGCTGCAAATGGTGCTCCAGATCCAAAGTCAACTGCTGAGACTTTCTCTTTCTGTTGGCCTCCAGGATCCCGGCGCGTTGCTGATTATCCTTGACGCCCTCAACTTGACCATCCAGCTTATCCTCGAGCTCCTGGATAGCCTTCAACTGGTCCTGCTGCGACTGCTGCTGCTCTGCCGACCACTGGCTCAAAGACATGTGCTTGTTATTGATCGGAAGACTGTGTCTCAACGCCTCAAGCTCCTCACGCAACGACTCGAGCGCAGAGACAGCCTCATCTCTCGACCTGCGGGCGGAATCCGCCTCATCGTTGATGGTCGCTAACGTCGCCTGGAGGGAGCTGACCAAACGGTTGTGGGAGTCTTCAAATTCCGTCATACTCTGACGGACCTCGACGACCTCTTGGTCCTTGAGGGCCAGGGCCTCGTTCAACTCGGCAGTGACCTGGTTGATACGGGCGTTCTCAGTCGACTGGGAGCTGGCGACCAAGGTTAGGGCCGACTGGAGTTGGTCGATATCCCCCTGCAACTTTTCGATGATCTGCTCCTGCAACTTGTGCTGCTCCAGCTCTGCCTTCAAGACCTTGATCTCCTCAGAACGGCGAGTCTTCAGCACCTTGAATCCATCCGACAACTGCTCGTACTCCAACTCAGCCTATTGGATATACAACAGCGACACTAGTGAGTATATGCTACCTGGCTGAATCATGAATAAACGACCATTGAGTAAAATTCCATGTAACACACCTTGCCCTTGAACTCCAATGCCTCAGCCTCGACAGTTGTGATCTTGGTCTCGAGCTCCTCGATCATGACGGCCTGGGCATCACGGGTGTCCTCCAATTGAGTAATATGTTCGCTAAGCTCCTTGATCTTAACGGGCTCTTGTGCCTTGAACTCTCGTTGCTCGAGGGCAGCATCTCTGTATGGGGCCAGCTCCTCGATATCGCTGCGAAGTCCGGCCAGTTCGGCCTGGGCCTTGTTGTTGGACTTTTCTGCCTCGGCCAATTGATCGCGAAGCTTCTTGATCTCTTGATCCAATGTCTGGATACGAGCAATACTCTCATCTCTGTATAGACGCCAGAGCAAAAGAAAAGAAAAGAGAGAGAGAAACGAAAACCATACACACGATTGAGGTGGTTGAAAGAGAGAGAGAGAGAGAGAGAGAGAGAGAGAGAGAGAGGAAATATCGTTAGATATAAGAGAGCATAAATGGATACGCGTAGCACCGAAATTACTTCGTAGAACTAAAAAAGAGAGCATAGGGCATGCAATTGCTTTTTTACCTGAGTCGCTCCAAGGACCTGACCTTGGCTTCCATCTCTCCCTGCCCGCGGCTCAACTGCCTCTCGGCCTGCTCAAGTTTCCGTCGAAGTTCAGCGAGCTCAGTCTCATATGCGGTCGACATGTCTATATCGCAATGTCAAATAGCACACATACAAGGTTCATTCCCAATTAGTTTTTTTAGCATGTCCCAACAATTAAAGATCTGCAGCATAAATAGATCCGCATTTACACTAAACCGCCTTTAGTAACAACGCTTATTATTTTTTTGAACATGAACATACCTTTGACGTCTCCAAGCTCGGTCTCTCGGCGCTTGAGGACGTTGCGGACAAGCTGGACCTCGGTCTTGAGGGACATGACGGTGACACGCTGTGTTTTGGCATCAGCCTCAGCCTTGGACTTTGTGTCCTTGGTCTTGGCCAGTTCGGTCTGCAACCGTTTCAGGTCCTCCTCAATATCACCCGATGGCAAAAATGCGGGCTCTGCATCCTCTCCTGCTGTTGAGTTTTTTAATGTTGAGGGGAGACGAAGTGGCATAGATGTTTTGGAGGTGAGGGTGGTCGATCGAGGAGTGGGCTTGGGGATGGTGGAGGAGGAGCGAGAGAGGGATGCCTGATGGTCCTCTCGGAGGATCTCTTCAAAGAACGAGTCTGGGTATTCGGTGCCGTCGGGTGAGATATCGCCACCATTCAAAAGGGCCCTGGTATGATCTGTTGTGTGAAGGTCGCTTCCGTTCTCGTTCTTGCCGGCCGCCAACATGGTGATTCTGCGACTGATGTTCGATCCAGGGTTGGCGCGCGCCTTTTTGGCGCCAAAGCGGTTGGTGGTCGAGGGTGACACGTTGCTGTCGGTCGAGATTCCAGAGGCTGACTCCATTGTGGCTGGTGTTACTGTTGCTGATGTTGGCCGTGTTGCTGTTGACGGCAATGGTGGTGAAGGTGAAGGCGAGGATGTGGACTGAGTGAGAGACCCTCCGTCAAGGTCAAAGTCGAGACCGTCGTAGAAGGAGTTGGGAGCAGGAGAAGGTGATGATGGCGATGCGGTTGTCTCCTGAAGAGTAGAAGAAGGATGAAATGGGGTGACTTCAGCGAAGTCCTTGCTCGCCTTGCCGTCGGCAAGTGTGGTTGTAGTCGGCATTGAAACGTTGTTGATTGCCTTGGTATCTATTGAGACTGGAGTGCTGTCGAGGTCGAGGCTGACCTCTGGTTGTTGTTGTTGTCGTTGTTGTGAGGAAGGTGTGTCGCTCATGATGGATAGGGAGGATGAGTGGAGTGTGTGAGAGAGGGAAAGGGAGAGAGTGGGCGAGCGAGGCGGTGGCTACTTCCTACTGGCGGGAGGTGGTTGGTTGGTTGGTGGCGATGTTCCTGAAGGCGTTTCAGGGGTGAACAAGAGGGAGTGAGTGCGGGAACAAGAGAAGAAGGGGATAATGACGAACGACGAGTGAGTGCGTTGTGTGGCTGGCTGGGTTCAGCTTCATTCATGGGAGCTGATAATTCATTCAGGCATGCAAACATATCAGCGTACAGCAAAACAGACAACATACAGCTCAACGATCAACAATCAAATCAATCACTCATACAATCAGTTCAGGCACACAAGGCGCATACACACACAATCAACCAAAAGAGCAAAAGTGAGCGACGAAGTGGACGAAGGAAAAGGAAGGAAGGGAGACAGGTATGCAAGAAGGAGAAAAGAAGGGAAGACAGAAGAAAGAAAAGGAAAGGGAGGCGGAGATGAATGAGGATGGAGAAGGGATGAGGAGTGGATGAGGAGGAAGGGGGGAGAGGAAGTGATGGAGGAAAGAGGAGAGATGAGTAAAGTAAAAAAGAAAAAGAAAAAGAAAAAAAAAAAAGAGGAGAAAGAAGAGGATAGTTGAGAGGGGAAAAAGTGCAAGGGATAATATTGAACGGGAAGAGGGAAGAGCTGCTCTACAGCACTGTAGCTTTTTGTTCAAAAGGAAACGAGACAAAGACAAAGACGAGGGGTATCACATCCACGGCACCCACGCCTCTTTTTCTGCTGAGCAACAGACAGTAAAGAGTGGACGAACTCAACAACACTAAACAAGACGCCCCTCTCTCTTACCCTTAGTCAAATAATTGAAGTGAGAGTTGAAGTCCGTTGGATAGGAGAGCGAGGCACGAAGAGATCCCATCCAACATTCAATTCAATTCTTTCCCATCCAAATGATCAATGATCCCTTTGTCCATCTTCTGTCCTGGACACATACTAGCCTCTTCTTATTCTAACCCCTTTTTAAAGTCTCTCTCCCTTTTCAACTTCCCCCTTCAATGCCTATTCCCTTCCTCTCCCTTTCACTCGCGCTTCCAATCTCGCTATCATCCATCGTTCTCGTCGTCGTCGTTATTGTGTAGATGTAGTCCGTCTCCGACTCCCACCTTGGACTCCCTCCCTTTTTCGGTCCTCTCCTTTCTGTCACTTTTTATTTTCTGTTCTTGTTCTCTTTGTCCATCCCAGGTCCCAAAAAAAAAAGTTGAGAGCAATCAAGCCCAAAAGAGTTTTCCCTCTAAAACGAATGAATGAATGAAAGATGGCTCACTCACTCTCACCTTCCCACTCTCTCTTTCCTGTCTGTCTTTCGGTGTGTCTGGTCTCTTCGAGATTGGCCTACCTACTGGTTGAACTAGGTGAGCACAATTTTTTGAGCACATCGATCCATCCCACCGCATGACGACGACGACTATGGGATTTGGATTGGGGGGTCTGGTCTGGGGTGGATCTCTTTTGGTATTCCTTCAAATACCTCTTTGAATAGCTCCTCTCTCTCTCGTCCACTCAAGGAACGTGCGATAGATAGCCCATAATGAAAAAAAAAATGCTCCGAAAAAACTAACCCTCTTGGCAACACAAAGTAATAAAAATGAGCATTCATATATTTGTTGCGTTATGGAGCATTTACCGGTCCAACGACAGGGGATTGAAACGGAAAAGAAAACAGTCCATTTTGTCCTACAGTCCTCAATCAAACAAGGGTTGCTGCAAAAAAAACGTGGGCAAGGACAAGGGTAGGACCAAAGAAAGGAAGGAAGGCAGGAAGGGGTTTGAATAGGGAAAAGAAGGAGGAGGGGAGTCGAGGCAAGACCAACCGACCATAGGATGGGAATGGATTTAGATCTGGGGCATCCACTTTGTTTAGTTGCTTGTTATTTCGAAAACCACAGCTTTGTTCAATGGTCGGATAAAATAAAGGGACAAATAAACAGAAAAAGGACACGATAGGACAGGACAGGACAGGGGGAGGATAAAGGGACATGGGACGAAGATAGGACAGATTGCAATGGTGCAAAAGAAGGCAGAAAAGGTAAGTCAGACGAGGCACCCACGTACAATACTGACAGGACAGCTACCCTCCCTTTGGACAAATTGCATTCAAGATCCGCCATGGATCCAACGGCACGACGGGAAGAAAATATTAAGGTAAACCTTGACCTTGCTCCATATTGGGGTACGACAGCACATTCCTTTTCCTTCTGTCCTCTCTTTTTCTGACTTACCGTTGCACACATCCATGCTTATGAATGGTGCGACCATTTGACGTACCTGTCACTAAAAACTGTCATACGTTCTGCTCCACACATGTGTTGAACAAAACAAAAAGAAAAGTCATAGTAATCTGATGCAGCTTTGTCTTCATTTGTGATCATACTATCAAACAACCCTTTTTTTGCTATCGGCATTCACCTACCCCTCCCCCCGGCCGCATCAATTGCAACTGAAATTGGCCTCACTGCAAGTCTTCTCTTGTCGGAATAATTGCACAACAAGGGCTGAATCGATCCATTCTTGTTGCCGCATGGTCAGACAAGAAGACAATGGTATGGGAAAAGAAAACCTTATTGTGAATTGTACAAGTCGCCAGGTACCCTTTAGTATGTTGCGGGAGAAGCAGCAAACAAACATCAGGGAAAAAAAACGAGTTGGTTTGTTCGTATCTCATCAAGAGTACCCAAACACACACACACTCAACCTCACCACCTGCTTCCTTGCATCACATCGCATCCACATACCCCCAGTGTATAAACCACCATTCGTTTTATACTTTTCTCTCACTTATCAGTTTACCTACACTGCCATCCTTTCCATGGCTATCATCCTCTCTTGTCCAACGACTACAAAAAAAAAGAAACTATAGACACTCCTTGAAAATTGATTGGCAATGTAATTGTTCGAATTGGCATGGATCTCCTTTTTATTAATGCCTTTTTTTTCCTTCGTTCTTTCGTGCGTTTGAGAACTGTTGCACCTCCTGGAACTGTTCCTTCTCTCCTCCTTTTCAAAAGATGTTAACGCCTGTCGGTTGAAAGAAAGAAGAGAAAGAGTGCCGTATCGATTTTCCAAGTTCATGATCATCAGAATGAAGACGGCGCTCAGAGAACGTGCTAATATGGTTAAGAAAGCAACACCTTTCGCTACTTGAATCACAATTGAGGTCGTGATAGCTCAATGAGTGTTTACAAATGAAATTAAAAGACACACGACTCCTGAGACGCGTTCGACATCCCTTATTGAGATTCTACGATCTTGTTATTGTTGTACTGTTGTAATAACTTTTTTCGCAAGTTTAATTAGATAAAAAAAAAAGAGGCCCCGTCTGTCAATTGGCACTCCTCAGGGTGTCGGATGTTTGATTGGATTTGCCGACCTGCCTGTCTGTCTGCTTGTCTGTCTGCTCGCTCTCCTGGACTTTGTTCGATGGCATCCTTTACCAGTCCTTCTTGATGTCGAAAGACTATATAGACAAAGAATAGATAAAGGATGAGTCGTTTGTTCTTGAGAAAGCACATTTGTTCCAGTTCAATGATCGCCAATGATTCGGTGTCCTATTTGCTCACTTACCCAGCTCCACTCCTTGTGGATGGTCTTGTCGTCATCGAAGAACTTGGACTTTACTTCGTAGTGACCACGAGCCAACATACCGCTGGGGGCCTCCTCAGCAAGGAACTGTTTGATTTATAAAAAGTGGAGGAAAAAATTCAAGATTAGAACACGTCTGAATAAAGAAAGGTTTGCATGAGCTACCAAACAGAGTGAAGGCGATCCAAGGACTTGCCTTCTTCTCGATGATATCGGGCTTGGCGGCGTAGCTTCCAATCATCTCCTCGGCCTTGTCAACTATTATTGATAAACAAAGAAAAACAAGAGGGATGCAATTGTTAGCATATATTTGCTCCTTAACTCCTTTTCATGCTCAATTTGCTGTGCGGACGAGAAAGTGACACGAGTGGACACTTGCCTTTGACACCGTGACGCCTGATGATATGCATGTACTTGAGGCCAGACACGACCTCGTGCTGGACCCTAATGAAAAAAAACCAGAAGGAAGGTTAGTTGGTTGGTTGGGGCGTCAACACTCTTTTCTTTTCCTGTAATATGTCTTGGATGGTAGAGCATGGAAAATGAGGCGATGAATGCAAAATGTCGGATGTCAAAAGGACCGAGGTATTGAAATCCATGATAAACAAAAAATAAATCTTACTTGAAGAGGACCTTAAGGCGGTACTCAATACCTTCCTTGATGGTGAACGAGTGCTTCTTGAGCTCCTCCTCTATTGTAAAAAAGAAGTTGAATGACCCAACAAAAAGTACAGAGAAAAGATCAGTATGTGTATCCATGGATGGCGATCGTGTCCTGGAATATCTCCCAAATGATAATTCCAGACACTTTCTCGTTCTTTCTTCACTAATAATAGACAAAAAAGAGAGAGAGATGAAGAAACAAAAAAAAAGAGTAATAAGAGAAAGAGCCTTACCGGACTTTGTGAGGTCCAGGATCACATCGGGGCGACCGGTAACCTCAAGGGCGAGCTGGAGGACAACAACGTTGTGGGGATCATCCAACTTGGAGACTAACGTTAGGAACATAGACAATATCAAGACGTCGATTGTTAGTAAAATGCAGAAATTGAGCAGTCGACCTCGAAAGTACGTGATGGAGGCCAATGGATGGCATCGCAATGGTGTTTGTGCACCCCTTCTCCATGGGTAAATGTGCGGTACAACCAAAACACACAACCAAGTCAGTCAGCCAGCGATGAGTGCGTGCGTTGCTTTTTTTGGGGGGAAAGTAGCTTACCACCGGTGCTGGCGACACCGAGGGACTCCTTCCAGCGACGGAGGGCATCGTCGTCGGCATCGAGATTCTGGTAGTCGTTGAGGGACTTCTTCTGTCCGACCTTGTAGTTGGAGTTCTCGGAGGGACCAAAGTCGTCGTCGTCGTGTTGGTGGGTCATGTTGATTAGGTGGTGATTGTTGTTGTTGTGAGAAGGAGGAGTGGTGGAGTATGTGAATGTAAACAAGAGGAAGGGAAAAGAAAAGAAGAAGAAGAAGAGAGAAAGAGAGAAGAAGAGGAAAGAAGAAATATTAATAAAAACAAGATGAGATGATGGCGAGTTATCCCATCTCCATCAGTCGACACCACAGAACGAGTCGAGGCCGACTGGCAGGAAAGGTATGGGGCTGGGCACGACATACACGCACTCTCTCCATGAGAGCGGTTGGTGAATGTTCAAAATTCATTTTTTTGCCTCTGTGCCTCCTCTTTGTCACCTGTGAACCAACCAGATCAATTCCTGCGTTCAAACAATTGTCCAAAAGTCTCCCCGTCCAGGCACACTTGCATACTCACTTGCCATGTCATTCATTTATCTCAATACCAATTTGCCATTTCGGCAAGCAAGCAACAAAGAGACACAAAATGTCGTTCTCTGCCTGTCTGTCACGACACTTGCCATCAATGCCATGCCTTGCCATGCCTCGACTACCATTATTATTATACTTCAGCGGCCCAACCCAATTCGTATCCTTGCATTGCTTCCGTTTCCCTTGCATTTAACAGATTAGTGTAGAAAGAAGGAGAACGGTGCTTTGAAAACAAGAAGGCAATCCATGGTACTTGAGACACTTTACGGAGACCTGGTCCCCTATCTATCACTCAAATGAATATAGAAGATCAACACCATCCAGGCACCATCCATCATTGATACTGATCACTTTATCTGTCTCACAGCGTGTGATCCAAAAAAAAAAAAAAAAAAAAAAAAAGCGGTCTTCATAGGAGGAATACATCCAAAGAAGACAACTACTCTTTCGCTCCTCCACTTGCAGCTCAAACGGACAATTGTCTGGCAATTGTAATAAAGAAAGAAAAAGAAAGAGCAAGAGAGAGTAGAAAGGAATGAAGAAGTGAGAGGCAATTGAACAGGGTAGGGTAGGTAGGATGTTGGATTGGGAGAAAAAGGTTGTTAACGTACTTGTATATGTCTCTGGCGTGCCGTGGCCATGTTTGTATGCACCAATGGTCGGACCCTCTCTCTGGCCGATGAAGTCAATCGACCATGCTTGCTATATATGTAACAAACATCGACCCTCGCGCACAAAGACAGAGGGAGCATCTCATCATCAGAGCCCTTTTTTGTTGTTGTTGTTATCTTGTCATTTGTGCGCTGTTCCTATGGTGTCTTTAGTAGTAAGAGAACTCCTCCTTTTCCTCCCCTTCTCTATTTCTCTTCTCTACTTCTCCTCTCTTCTTCCTTCTCTTTCTTTATCTTTGTCCTCTTCTTCCTCTCTTCTCTTCTCCCATCTCGACTTACTGAACGTTCCTCTCATTCCTTACTCCTTGCCCCCTCTTCTATTCACACCATTTTCATTCTCTCCGCCACCATCAACTTACATCTCGACTTTCATTTCTCTGTAGTCAAAAGAAAAAGCGTCAGCCTTTCACCATTCATCACACCAACTTCTTTCATCGTCACAGTCGAAGCAAAGACAACGCACACTTATACCCAGCAATGGCACACACCTATGGTAAAAATAATAAAAAGCGTCCAAACAGAAAAACGAAAAAAGGAACACCCTCCACTTCATCCTCCCCCTGCCTTGGCACACAACCTCGCTTCCTTCATGTCCTTCATTCACGCACACCTTTGGCGCCAAACAAAGAAAACAGGCCAAAATAATAACGGAGGGCTCTCCTCGCACAGGCGTAACAAGTTTGGCACTCATTCTTCTTAGCCCACCCTTTCTTCTTACCTCCGTCGCCCGTACCACACTTGTAGAGTTAACATTTACCATTGCACGCCAAACCCATGCCTTGTTCTGACTGTCTCTGCACGTTTCTGTGATACACCACCCGACTCTCCTTCCCTTGTGTTCACAACTGGAAAGGGGAGTGAGGGAGTGGACGAGGAGAAGAGGAGGAAAACAGCAGGAGACAGTCGCCATGTGTACCTTTTTCAACTCCTCGCGTTGTTCTTTTACTTCGTTTTCTTTTCCTTGTTATCGTTTGCATATGGATATATGCCGAGGGCATGTATACATACATCATCGACGCTCCCATTGCATGATATCCAGCTCTGTCTCTCTCTCCAGGATTCTTGCTTCAGTACAATCGTGTCATTGCGGCAAGAGAGATGGAAGGGTAGTAAGCACCCTACTCCCATCCAGACGCAAACAAACACAAAATGCTGACCATTTCTTGCATTGCTCCTTTTTTTATTCGCTCTGTGTAGACTTCCTGCTAAAGTTTCTCATCACCGGCGACTCTGGAACTGGAAAGTACGCTACAGAGACAACAAGAGGGCTCCGACTGCTCTTCTACTTGACGTTGACATCGGGTTTCAATCGGTCCCACAGATACGAGAAAGAAGACAACGGACAACAAATTGAATGTGGAGGAACAGGGTCCCAATCCAGAGGAAGGACCAAAACGGACTATAACAATCATCACACAAAACAAAGAAAAAGGTCGCAAGTGAAAACTTGTATGGAAATCACACGTGCGGCAACAGACGAGGGTGGACACAAAAACAAGCGATCGAACCTAAGCAACATGAGCAAAGCAATCCACAAAAACAAAATGGCTAACGACCTTGCATAATTCTTTTTGGTAACACTGTGTGGGGTTAATAGGTCGTGCTTACTTCACCAATTCGTCGAGAACAAATGCAAGTATAACCCTCGAGGCTTTAATTGATCGCAGGACATGCCGACGAGGACTAGTTCGGGATGAGTGGATGGTCCTCCAAGCTGGAACAGGAACAGGCAAGAAAGAGAACGCGATGACGGTGCCTGCTTTCTAACAGTCATATTTGCAACCCATCCGCCACCATCGCTCTTTTTTGTCGTCTACTTAGTCAAGGAAGGCGCGACTCACACAATCGGGGTTGAATTCGGAAGCAGGATTGTCACCATCGGCAAAAACCAGGTCAAGCTACAAATCGTAAGTTAAATCGGTCATACCATCATCCGATTGACCTCGTGGGATAGAGATAGAGCTGGCGAACCTGTGATTCCTTTCTTGGCGTGGTTCAACCTGCCTCTTGACTTGGTCATCCTTGCCGAGAAAAGAAACCTTACAAACCATACGCACCTGTTGACCTTTTTCTTCTTTGCCTGTTTATCTTTCTAGTGGGACACGTAAGTGGAGAAACTGAAGAAACTGGAAACATAAGGACACAACAGGCTCATTCAATGTGCTGCTCAGGAACCGAGATGTCTAATTTCGCTGAAATTTGACCCTTTTCCTTGTTTTTCTTCTTTGATAGCGCCGGCCAAGAACGCTTTCGGTACGTGTGAACAATATCGCTTGTTGCTTCTCAACCTTGCCATCCTGTAACTAACCAAGGTCCCGTCTCACCTTATTTCGCTCTCGACTCATAGTTCAGTCACCCGGAGCTACTATCGAGGTGCAGCAGGAGCGCTGTTGGTATACGACATTTCAAAGTAAGTTTTGACAACTGAAAAAGAAAGGGCCAAAGGATGTCCGAAAAGAAGTGCGCGGGGCTTGACTTTGAATCTTACTTAAACATGTGTCCATTTCTGTCTGACTCTCTTCAAACCTGGTTGGATTGTAGTCGCAATTCATTCACAAGTATCGCCAAATGGATCGCAGACGCAAGGAAACTGGCAGGAGCCGATATCGCGCTCATGTTGGTTGGGAATAAATTGGATCTCGAGGATCGCGAGGTGTCGTATCTGGAAGCAAGTCGATTCGCACAAGAAAATGGTACGCACACTTTTTTGTCGGTCGCTTTTGCTGCGCAAGCGTGTGAGAGTCAAAGGTGGTTCTGGATATTTTCCACTCACTCAATTTATACCATTTTTTCCCATCTCCCATTAGAGATGACATTTCTAGAAACGAGTGCGTTGACTGGCGAAGGTGTGGAGGAGACGTTTTTGAAATGCGGGCGCGCAATATTGACCAAGATCGAAACAGGTAAGACTCATTCTTTGATTGAGTGGAGAAGAGTCTTTTTACAACAGGATCGTCTAAGACGCTTGAAGGGAGAGTAGGCATTCAGACAGCTATTGACGTGGAACAAACACACCATTTTAATAGGCCAAGTGGATCCGGAAAGACCAGGATCAGGCATTCAGTACGGAGACTCGTCTCTGCGAAGGATATCACAAAAGAGTCGTCCGGCCCGTCAAAAAAGTTTGTGCTGTTAGAGCACGACCAGAAAAGCGACTATCCTTGTCATCACCATACAAATAAAAAAAATACACCATGTACCATATACCATACTTTCGAACACGCATAAAAAAACTAAGGGCATGAAAGAACCCCCTTTGTAATTGAATGTTCAATTAGAGATACGCCTCTCTTTCGGAAAGAGTAAAATAGCATCTCTCACTTTTTCTCCTTCTTACCTTCTTACTCCTCTCCCTCCCTACCTTCAACTCGATTTTCACCACCAAAAACGCCATCGCTCGCGGTCGCTTTTACTTCGAGCGGTCAACAAATAGGTATACTACCCTTCATCCCTCTAATTAACGCCTAATCCTCATCCCCTTTTCGCGTCTTTCATTATTTCATTCAAGCGCGTTCGAGCGAGGACATACCAATTGTTGGGGAGGCTGTCAAACGACAGTTAATTCTTACAAAGGGTCTTCGTTGTTGCTATTGCTTTCTTTTTGTTGTTTTTGTTAATTCCCCTCCTCTTTGGGGCGCAGCTTCCTCTTTTGCTGGTCTTTGCTCTTTTCTTTGCCCTCTCCTGTGCGTCTTGATTCCCTTTGATTCTCTTTGCATTGTGTCGTTGCTCCTTTTTCCATTTGCAAGTTGATTCGTGTCTTGCGTCGTGATTCCCCTCTCTCTCTTTGCTCCTTTTTTCCCACGGCAGCGCTTGACTGCCTCAAATGCGATGCGTGTCAGTCGCGGTTGTGGTTCACCGTTCCTTTTCTTGCGACATTTTTGTGACTGTGTTTCCCAGACTACCTTTGTTTTTCCTGGTTTTAAAAAAGGGCAAAGTCTTAATACAAGAGCTTCAAAGGGCAGAGCTACACCATTATCAACCAGTAAGAACAAAAAAAAACATTGTGGATGTATACGTTGCCTAGGGTGGGAGGGAAGGTGGGCAGCAAATGTGTCAATCCAAGACCCCCAACTAACGTGCCAATGACACAAAAGCATCAAAGGGCGAAACGACACCATTATCAACGAACAATGATCAGCTAAGAACAAAAAAAATCATTGTGGATGTATACGCTACCTAGGGTGGGAGGGTGGGTGGGCAGCAAAAGTATCATTCCAAGACATGCCAATGGCACAATCATCAAGGGAGGAAGGGTGGGAAACAATGACATCGAAAGCAAAAGAATAGGAGCACTAAGGAAAACGAAAGCATAAGCGAACAGGAAAAGACAAACAACCGAAAAAAAAATGCAACGTGATCTACGAATTACCACAAATTAACAGCGCGAAGGCGAAGATCAAATTTTGATCAAGAAAAATCATACATACGCCTAGGGTGGGTGAGAGGGCATCTACAGCTGCAAACGAAAAGGGAACACAGGACCAATTCAAGAAGAAAATCAAGGCGAAGAAAAAGTCGAAATGGAAAACAACGCTTTCCATAGACTAAAAGCATCAAGGAAAAAAGTGGCCGAAGGCCTGGAAGACTGGCAACAAGAGTACCAAAGAAGAAAACTGAATTAGTCAACTCAAAGACTCGAGTGGCAAAGAGCGGAGCGACATTGTCAACGAAGAATGATCAGTCAATGATAAAAAAAATTCATTGTGGATACGCTGCCAGGGGTGGGATGGAGGGCGAGCAGCAAAAGTATCAAGGAAGGAAAACTGAATTAGTCAACTCAAAGACTCGAGTGGCAAAGAGGGGAGAGGCCAAATGAACAATCAAATACTAAGGATGGGAGGGCAGGGCATCGAACAGAAATCGCGTTGAGAAAAGAATAAAATGAAAGCGAGGATATCTGTACCCTCCCCTTCAACATAATCAAGACTCGAAAGTAGTCCTGCTCGAAAGGTTCAAGAACGAAAAGCGATAGAGTAGAAAAATAAAGTCAATTATGGCAGCTAGATAGCTAGATAGAAGAACGCAAAGTGGGTCTCTACCTTCGGGTGGGGATGGTGGCCACTTTGGTTACCCGTTCTCCTTGGAGGAAAGAAAGAGAGCGGGGTTTGTTGGGGTACCCGGCTTGCCAACGCCAATAACGTTGCCCCGGGTAGCAACCTGGTCTCCTGTCTTAAGCTCCAAAGCAAAAGAGCAAAAGTTATTTGAACCATGCAGGGCTCGAACCTGCAATCTCCTGATTCGTAGTCAGACGCCTTTCCATTGGGCCAATGGTCCGTTTCATTTTATTTACGTGTTTCTCGTGTTTGTGTTGAACCTAAGAAACATTGCATTGACACTCATGCACGTGATATATCACGTGAGAGATCGCCACCAAAAAAATAATAATAATATAATAATAATAATAATAATAATAATAATAATAATAATAATAACAAAGCCAGGGCATCTCTGCCAAGGACAAGACATCCAAATACACAGGCCCCCGAGGTGACTGGAGTCAAGGATACGGTTACATCACGCACGATGGTTTCTGTCCGTGTGGCGCTTCGCTAGCCACACATGATGAAGGAAGGTGCCCTGGAGCGACCAAGGACATACGCGCTGCTGACGAGCGGTTGTTGGAGAGTTTGTTAGGAAGGAGGAGGTTGTCAATGATGGAGAGGATGGGAAGAATCCCCTTCATTCGTATCTAGTTTTATTTTCTTCCGTTTAAGCTGTGAAGAGCAGCGACAATTGTTGCGCAGAGCCAGGTTCTGGACCGGACTGCGACTGGTGGATGGTGCACTGAAGAGTTTGGTATGTAGTTCCCTTTTACTTCCAAATAACTTCTCTATGCTGTTTGTTAGAGAAATAATATTGTGTACAAAAAAAAAAGAAAGGCGAATGAACGATGTTTATTGACCGTGAAGAATAGTGGCCAGACTTAAGTTGCTTGCTTGTCTGTTACTATCAATGGATGTGGGCGCAGGAGACTTTTGCCTTCTTTTTTCATTGAGGGAATGAAGAAATGTCGGGATAGTTGAGGAGAATGAAAGAAGGACGAAGAAACAATTATATATGAAAGGCTTTTCCATGTGCTCAGAGGAAGAAAACTCGCATTGTTTTTATTATGATATGTCACAAAGAAAACAATTTAAAGTAAGGAGACGAAAATTGGGGGTCATACTATTTTATATCGTCGTCGCATGGTTAGGCAAACGAGGCAAAACGCACCTGCCACTGACTTTCGTCGCTAGCTACAAAGCCCATGGCATACGAATCCTGAAGACTGCGGACATATGCGTCCATCATCCCATCTGGACTCCTTGTAATAAAGGAGGTCGTGGGGAGGCGACTGGAGGTGATGGAGTGGAAGGAGGAGTAGGGTAGTAGATAGCCTGCTGATCTGGTTGAACATGCCGTGGGAGTTGAAGCTGTATTTTCTGAAGGCTGGCAAAAGGTGTTGTGTCATTTGTGAGGGTGCGTTTGCGGTCTTTTTTTTGGTTTCAATGGAACAATTACTAGACAGCCTAGGGTTCCACCAACGATTGCCCGTGTCTAAGGACCAACCAAAAAAAAAAAAAAAAGGGTGAGATAGGAAGGAAGAAGAATGAGAACGGGGTAAGAAAAAATTCATGGGTTCTTGTGTTGCTTGAACGAGAGACAGGAAAAACAGGTCGTAGAAAAAAATGTAGATACCCACCTGAGCTAGTCTCGCTTCCAGCATAGTTACTATCACCACCGCCACACGGTTGAACGATTCCTGTTGCAGTAACCGCCGGCAGCTTTTGCGGTTGCAAAGAAGGCGATACTGTGAAATTAGCCACCCAATTCTTCAAACTCACATCATAGACAATGGGTTGCCTTCAACAACAGACTTTACTACAAAATCCTCGCAGGGAACCTCCACCACTGCACGCTATTCTCGCCAGGGTTAAAAATTGCCAGATTGTAGCTCCCAAGTCTATACACCAACCCCGTCAATGGCTGCGCTGCCATCGCCATTCCTGCCAAAGGGCTGTTGAATTGTTGAGACATTGGGCTTGCCATGTTTGTTTGAGGATATCGTAAATGTTGATGTAGAAGGATTTGGAATCGGATCTGGCGCTAAGAAGGTTGATACCGGTCGGAGTGCTGATCGCTTAGGCAATGGATAGTCCGGGCGGTCTTAGTTAAGAGGGGAGTCACCAGAGTAGGTTCCTAGTAGGCCAGGAGATAGAGAAGTCTAGGACCAGGAACTAGGATAGCGTTATTATCAGAGGTTGCTAGCGGTTATACGTTCTCCACCTTAGACGTAGAGGGTTTTGTTAGAGACGACGAATGCCATTTCTTGGACTACGATGGATTTTTGGGAGGGTGATGGAGGAGATTGTGTGGAAGTGGCCGTGATGATTGTCAGGACAAGAGTGAATGGCACAGGGTGCGAGAAAAGGTGTTTCGTATGTCGAGTAGAGAAGGTCCTCTTTTGTGGAGAGGAGCCTCGTGGGGTATTGGCTTGATGCATTAACAAATCTGGGTGATACTTTTTTTAGCTGACGGGATATAAAGAATAAGTAAGAAAGGTGCAGTGAAGAGAAGAGAACGGTGAATATATAAGAGGAAAGAGGGGAACGGAGAAAGACAGAAAAAGAGAAGAAGCAACGAAAAAGTGGATGAAGGGAGGCAGATGTCTCTGAATTTCCGATGAACAAAAAATACGATTGTGAAAAAGAGGGCACTAAAGTTGGGCAAACCTAACAGGGGAACTTCGTACACACAAACACACGCTCTTACTCGCTTCTACGCAGCTGCTGGCTCTTGTTGTTTTTCAAGCAATAGAGCAAAGAGCAACTCACTTTATATGTTCTTTGGATGCGTGTTCTAGTAGTCCTTGAGCGCTATTTTGCACAGGAGAACAGGAGAAGGCGAGAAACGTGTGGTTTCGACGAAGGAGAAAGGAATCGAGTTGGTTGTTTCCCACTCTCTCATTGAGTATACTCAGCCCTAGACAGTCGTAATCTTCTCGGTAATCACGACTCACTCTCTTTGATTCTTTCCATCGGTCTTTTGGAAGCTATTGTTACAGTTGAAACACACGAAAAAACAAAAGCAAAAGAGATCGATGCGATTCGCTCCTCGCTTTGTTCTTGTGAGATCGGCGTACAATCGCACAACCCTAATTATTTCAGCGGGAGCACCCCACTGCGCCCATCGTTGTTATGATTCTGGCCAGTCTGCGACCATCCAGGGTATCAAAAGAAGGATGACACCCGTATGTCTTCGCGGATGTAGATGAGGCGAAGGGTCATACTCCAGCTTCTCCGAGGAAAGAAAGCAGTAGCGTAGGCGAGCCGTTCCTGGATGAAGAGGAGAGGATGATAGTTGATGTTGCGTTGCCCATCGCCTCAGTATCCAGGGGTAGTGGAAAGCAATGGTGAGTGCATCTTCAAAGTGGGCTATCATCCTTTTACTCCTGCCACATTCTGGTTCTTGTTATCCCACGCCACCACGCCGAATATGACCAGACCAAAACAAACCTCTCAATGTCTCTCACAACATGACTAAGCGAAAGCAGGATCAACGGCAATATCAAAGTCGGATTGCCCGCGTATTGTTTTTTGTGTCACCCGACGGAGAGAATTGGGGTCCAGATCTTATGGCCAGATGTCAACTTTGTTGGCCAGGCTTTCTGTACTGCTTTAATCTATCCTTATCCTTGTCATACACTCATTCAAGTCTCAAACGCCAGCCACTAGAACATATTGCTTTTGATTCTGCCAACCTGCTCTTATCAACATCATACAAAAACGCGTTTTTTGGGGAAGTTGTTCATTGTTTCGAAACTACTATGACAACCACACATATTGCTGCAGCGTGTGGTCATATCGGAACTGGTCCAGAGATTTAGCACTGGCAAGGGCTTCTGCATGGCGAGCACTCACTTCTGTATCGGTGTCTGCTGTTTCTGAGAGAAGAGGCCGCAGGTTGAGTCCATGAGACCGTGCATCGCTGGTTGAAATACAAGAATACCCCAGAGGTTGCTGTTGAGTCGCAAGGGTCTGGTAGAGATCCTTGACAGAGTTGGGAAGAATTGTTCCGTGAATCTCGATCCTGTACTCCTTTTGCATCTTGCCTGTCCCTTGCACCGATCTGCTGACCACCTTGCATTTGGATACCTGAAGGTTCATCATCGCCATAAATAAAGAAGAGATGTTTGTTAGGGCAGATCTCAATGTGGGCTGAATTCAATGCACAAAGTAACATTAGAAGCCGAATCGTTACCTGTGCTCGCTTGAGTGCAGCATGTAGAAATGGAACTCCGGCGATCAGACTGGGCGATTGGTATAAGAATCCGTCTTCATACGAGGTCTTCATGTTGAGTAGATAACTGAACAGTCCATGCACGTCAACTTGGCCACGGAACAAAAGAGTGCTGGAGAGATCCTTCTTTTGTGGCAGCTGGAATGGTGTCGAGCTGCTAGGAGTCAATCTAATTATTCGTATCGTGTTGTCAAAGTTAGCCAGTGCACCTCGTCATACTACTAACTCTACAACATCCCAGACAAGGTCCTACTCACGTTTCGTCTCCATCCTGATCCTCCAAATGGTCCAGATCGTGTTTTGAGCTAAAGTGGTGGACTGCAACTTTACCACCGAGAGTTTCAAGTTGCTCGTAGTTGATATCTATTGATATGGGTCAACAAACAGGGTAGGTCTGAATGAGTACCAGACGCTAACCAGACGCTGAATTTTGTCCGCAAATATTTGTCTCAAATGGCTGTGTAGATGTACCTTCGTCTTTGAGCGCCTTCCACAGGCCAGGTGATGAGTTTGTAAGAAGCGCCTCGAATTCACCAGATAGCGACACAGAATCATGCTGAAATAGAACCGTCCATGAAGTCCCGACATAGTAAAAGAACGGGCACGCGCCGTTTCGAAAAGACTGGTATATAGCCCTGAACGATTGCTTCCTAACGTTGGTACAAGCACTTGTCAGTTTTCGCTGATGACATCCAGAAATTTGACTTGAACCTTGCACCTCACAAGACATTGCGAACAAAGTTGACCCTCACCATTCTGCAGATCGAGAAAACATCTCGGTGATTGTGGTTTTGTCACTCGATGACATGTTGATGGCGTTCTTGAGCAGTTTGCTGACATTTTGGGCTTGGTGTACAGAAGGGGTGTTGGTGGGGTAGATCCAATGGTATGTCGCCGATAAGACCCGTATCCTAGGAGAGTGGTCCAGTCCTTGCTCACTTTGTGGGTTGGAGAATGCTTTTTGGCTCGAGATAAAGTGCTGCAGGGCGTCGATTTCATCCATAGGCAAAATGTGGTCGCACCAGGTCAGACTGTCTGGCGATGTAATAGATATCGACGACTTTAGGGTCCAGTCCACCGGCAACGCTGCTGTTGTCTTTAAGGAGACGAGGAACAATGGGCGTGTTAATATTTGAATTCAAGGGTTGGCATGTAATGTAATGTGTGTGCTAAGCAGCTACCCTCAAGTACCTACTTTGTAAACAGATCCTGACTTCTTTTTCACGTTTGATACTTCCGGTGCTATGGGAGTAAGCATCGAGACAGTCAGCTCTAAAGTTCACGCTGAACGTTACAAAGGGTAGACATCACGGAGTTTTGGAGCTGTACCTTGCACTTCCTTGACCATGCGTGACGAAGGATGTTTCTACTCGTTCGTTCAAAGAGATGTTGGTGGCAGTCCTAGTTAGCCGAAGGTGCCATTGCGAAAGTTACAACGCGCCATTTGACAAGTTTATTACCAGTGACATCTCCAATGCTTCCTGTAATCGCGGTCTTTTTAGGCTGGGCGGGTTCACTTCGTGCTTGAGAGGCGTGTCAGTCGTACTCGTAGATTGATTATCCTGCAATTGATCAGTATCGTTCACCCCGTCATCATCGTCTGATTCAGAAAAGATTTCCTTGGTAGCGGTTGTTGTAGCAACGGAGTTCTGTGAGAAAGAAAACATTTGCAGGGTCTTGTTGGGATCCATTGATTCATCCTATTATTCAGATCAAGTCAGGATCGTGTGTGAGAACCGAAATTGGTGGCAATTATTTTTCGTTTTCGTATCGAAGGGAATAAACAAACAAGCATATATGAGAGCAACACTGTCGCCTACCTGTAGGTCGTCAGTTTGGTCTTCGTCGATATGTAATGCAGCATAGTCGGCAGAAAGCGAGTTGGAAGCTGACTTGGGGGGTGCAACAGCAAGTTTCTCAAACGGGTTCTTGGTGCCCTTCAAGGAGGTGGTGACAACTTGGAAGGGGGAGGACATTGTCCGAGTGAATGGCCGTTTTGCGAATGGAGGTCCATCGGTATCGGTTCTGTCTTTGGCAATGCGGTCTTGGAAGGATCGGGTGCGGACAAAGGGGGATGATCTCTTTGTAGGGAGCATGGTTGTATTGGCGAATTGGCGAAGTCAATGGAAGGCGACATGGAAAAAAAAAGAAAGTAAAAAATAGAGGCAAAGATGGTCGATGTCACGTGTACACTTCTCCGTTCATGTTTTGTCTGCTTGATGAAGGTCGTTATCTCAGGTTCCTTTGTTCTCTGGCTTCCTTTCTCTTTCTTTCTTCTACCACCTCCTCACGCACAAGCACTACCTTCCCCCCCCCCTTCCTTCCTTCCTTCTCTCCTCTCTCCCTTCCTTCTCCCCTCTCCTTCCTCCTCCTCTCTCCCCTCCTCTTTGTAACGACATTCACCCCACCTTATACTCATTTTGTTCCCTACAAACAAACCCAAACCCTATTATTCATAACCGTCAACCCAACAACAGCTACATCTTGATGACGGACACCTCGCCTTCGGGCCCCATCTCCCTTAACGTCCGCACCCTCGAGGGCCAGACCCACTCGATCGACATCCCCCTCTCCCAGACCGTCCTCCAGCTCAAGGACCACCTCGCCACCCTCCTCAGTGTCCCCAGTCCTCGCCAGCGGCTGATCTTCCGAGGCCGGGTCATGGCCGATGACAAACCACTCACCGAGTATTGTACGTCTTCCAGTTGTCTTCAACAACATGCATGCAACCTACTTCATGGCAACAAGCAACAACAACAACAACAGCGACACACCACCCCCTCCCTCCCTCCTTCTTTTCTGTTATTTATTTTCTGTGCAACTCTACACTGACTCCCTCTCTCCTCGATCGTCAGCCTCACGACATCACCACCGTTGTTTTTGTCATATCCTATTATTCATTATTTATTCGACTTCCGTCCCACAAAAACCGGCTCCAGTTGATCCGTTTTGCACAAACTCAGTTGACTAATCTTTTATTCCCCAAAACTGTCTTTCTTTTTTTCCTATCCTCGTCCTCTCACTCCTTGTACTGATTGATTGTCTGATGAATGAACTACAGCCCTCGAGGACGGACACACTCTCCACCTTGTTACACGTCCAGCCGACGCACCCACCAATAGCCACAATGGTATGCAAAACATATATAAATCCATACATACACACACCTTCCCAACATTCTGTTCCTGCTTTCTGTTGTATGCAAATGCCAATTGCCGCCATATTTTCTAACAGATTGTCACTTGGCCTCTTTTAGACGCACCTCAGGCAAGACAGACAGCTAGGAGACCAGGATCCGCTACTGGCAGTGGACCGCTTCGATTCGACACACGCGACTACCAGCTCAGTATCATTGGTGTTGACGATGGCCCTTTAGACCAACAGGTAATACCTTTGTTTCACACTGTTGTTGTTAAACGACAACAAAAGATTGCTTGTATGCAATTGATATATTATGTCTGACCACAGTCTTATGAACGGGGGTTTTTTTTTATCGTTTGACAGATCATGCAGGCGCTTGGAGGTCTTGGAGGTGCACATGGGTTGGACATGGACCTTGACGGCGGATCTACTCTGATTCAGATTGCAGGCGAACCATCGGTAAATAGCTGTTCCTTTGCTCTCTTTTTTCCTCACGACCAAGTGTGTGTAACACAATGGTATTAATATGTTGATGTTCGACCCATGTGCTTTCTTAGCTCCTCCGATCACTTCTTGGTGCGAATGGAGGCCACTTTGTACAGCTTGGAGGAGCAGGCCCAGGAACTGCAGAAGCCTTTGAGCAGGCAAGAGCCTTGAGATCGAGAATGGTTTCTCACGGACATGTTCCCTTGGGCGCGAGTCTACCGGTATGTGGACTCTGTTTGTCACGAGCCAATTCCAGCTGTAGAGTTTGAACGATGGCTCATGTGAAAAGAAGAAGAAAATGACAATCGCTCAATCTTGCGCATGGACGCATTCTCGCAAATGTATTAACCAACCCTCGTTCATTCGATACGAATTAGCCTCTGGAGACGATCGAAGCTGAATTGACACGAGTAGCTACTCAACTCAGGAACGTGCAAACCATTCTCTCCCATCCAGTCGACCAACGTAAGTGGATACCAACACACCCATGTCGTGAATCTAATCTGTGCAATGAATAGGCCTAACACTGCTTGCCCTTCATCAATTTAGTCGAAGGCATTGAACTGGAGCCACTGGATGTCCCTCCGCTAGAGGCGGTTAACAGGAACGTCGATGGGGATTCAACAGATATTGTACGGATGGGTGGCATTCTGACCCAGCTTTCAGAAACAAGTCGCGCTATGGCAAACCAACTTCAGTCGTTGTCGGACCAGTATAACAACACTCTTGGATCATCGGATCACGCAAACCTACAACGGGTCTCTCACAGAGCAGCGAGAGCCATGTACAGATTGGCAAGCGTTCAGAATACTGTCTTTCCTATGCTCGCGAACGCCGCTTTTGTTGGCACAGCACCAGGATCTGTGTCTTATCGGTATCAACCCCAGCCACCTGCTGCGACCAATGTAGTAGCAACTCCACAACCAGTCGCTGGCGAGCGATCTCCTTCACAGCAGGGACGAACCATCCAGGGCATTCCATTTCCGGCATTCATTCGCGGAGCTGGAGCGTCTCCTGTCACTATGGGTATGATTCCCTCTATCATGGCACATGCACGTGCGTCTGCGCAAAGCGTCAACGCTGCCATGGCGGCTGCCGCAGCTGCGGCCGGTGCACCAGGAGTAAATTCGACAACACCCGCCTCTACAGCACCTGCCACTGCTACTCCCGCTACAACCTCTACAACCCCTGCAGCTCCTACAACTCCTGCAACTCCTGCCGTTCCACGTACAGCTACCGCCCAAAGGACAGTCCCAGCCGCGTCCGTTCCTGTTCCACAACCTGGCGCTGGACCTATTGGGCAGATGGTGCTTGGTCCCAACGGAAGTCTCTCCTATACCATTCAAGCACCCATGAGACTCGCAACCAGGAGCTCTGGACGCTTGCCGACCTATGCTGCTGCTGCCGCTGCCGCCGCCAATCCCTTCGCTCTGAACTCGAACCAAGGAATGCCTACGCGCTTTATGATCCCTGCAGATTTTGCCGGGGCCGGATTTTTGGATTTCTGGAGAAACTTGTCAGGACAGGCAACGACTCCTGCCTCCACCACCCCTTCTGCCTCGGCATCTGCCTCAGGAAGCGCTTCTACGCGTGCTGGCGCAGCATCGGGCCCGACTCAAGCTGAAGTTAGTTCGAATGCTTCTTCATCCTCCCGTAGACGCGAGAGACCAGAAGATCTCTCACAAGAGGGCACAGACAGAGCGGCATCCAGAAGGCGACTTGCGACTCAGGTCTCCCAGATGAATTCCTCATTGCTTGAGTTGGAAGATCGACTCCAGCATGAACTTGGTCATATCCTCGAAAGATCAGGACTGGGGTTGGGACTGGAATTAGGATTAGGGTCAGGACCAGGATCGGGATCGGCTGCGCTTTCGATTCCAGCTCAGAGTTCTCGCTCCAATACCTCCAATTCCAACAACACGAATGCCAACATTAGCAGCACATCTCTCCCTTTGGCTCGCACTCAGCCGTCCACACGACCCACTACCACAAGGTCTTCTTCTAATGACGCACGGAGGACAAGCGGTGCAACTGAGTCGTCGTCCCCTGTCTCCAGCCCTTCGCCAAGCAGCCCGTCGGTCCCATCATTATCGAGCCAAACCAGTAGCAGCAGCGCCAGCTCTTCGGCCGCTTCCTCGGCCTACAACCTGGGACGAATTGGAGTCTTTATATCGGCCATTCTCAGGATGGTGGATCAGCCAAGAGAGGATGGGTCCCCAAGGACGTTGGCCGATGTTATCTGTAACGACCCAGAATCTTCTAGTACACCTCTACACGATCTGGTCAGGAATATCGCAGAGTCGATCACTGTGCGAGAGACAAGATCCATCGTCGAGGGTCATCCTGCGCCAATTCGTAACATCCACCCTACCCTGAACTCTTTCATCCGTGAACGTGCATTGAGCGGCCAGCAGCTGACAGAGAGTAATCTCGAGGTAATGTTTGGTTTTGAGCTTGTTTTGATATTGTTTTTGTCGATGTGGTACGACAAACACTCATCACTGACCGTGGTTTTCTTCTTTTTTTGTTACAAAATAGTTGGTGGCTGTTATGTTTGCGCACGGAATCATGAATGCGGTTCACGTGGAGGATATTCTCGAGACATTGTCACCTCCAGTAAGCATTCAAATTTCCAGCGCAGATATTCGTCGGATCTCGTTGGATGTTTTGCGAGAGCACTTCCGCCGGCTCATCTACCTTGTTGTGGCAGCACCAGCCGGACGAGAAAGTCCAACATTTGCAAGGGATGTCATTCTGTGGATCAGGGATGTGGTTGGCGCATGGAGAGTGTCCTTTTACGGCTTGTTCTCGGAGCGGGATCAGCCAGAAGCACAACGTATTGCCACTCACGTCGTCGGTTCAGCTATTCACGACAATGGACGACGTTGGGTCGAGCTCTCCAATCGCGCCACCAATACCCTTGTCAATGTTCTCTGCGCGAACATTGTGCCCAGGCGTAGAGGCGAAGAGCAGGCAGGCGGGCTTGTGGGAGGAGCATGGCCCCTGATGGCGACAGGACCTCGTCAGAACAACGCACCCAGGTCGTCAGTTTGCAGAGCGCCATCACTCCTTGGATCAACGGCACATCCTGTCCCCATGGGACCCATTGTACCTTCAGTATCATCGAATGACCGCGGCTCGGCTAGTGGTAGCTTCTCGCGGTCGCTTCTCTCCAACTCTACTACCGCGGCCCAGATTACCCCCTCGCAAGTCTCATCAGCCGAGGTAGAGACACTCTCTTCAAATCTGGCAAGGCGCATCGGCGAAATGATGAGCCCTCTTGGAGTCAACACGACTGCGCTTGAGAGTCTCTATGGCTCTTCTATCCGTGAAGCCATCCGGGCAGAACTCGCCAATATGAGAGCCTCCACAACATCCACGTCCACCACGGTCCCCAGCACAAGCAGCTCATCGTCTGCACCTGCTTCAACTACGGTTCCCAGTTCAAGCAACAGCTCGGAGACCACCACCGCCAAAACCGAAAAGCCCGACGCCCCAGATCTCAGAACACGCATTGAAGATGCCGAAGACGAAGATATGGTGTAGTTGTCGTCTTTACATGTACCATAGTCAAACAAAAAAAAATAATAATCATCTGTTCCTGGGTTGAATTGGTAGCTGTAGCGATATTTTCCTCAAAGTCGTCATGGGTTTCTACAATTTTTATTTTTATGAAAGGGCGAGTCTTGACACCTTCAGGAATGCAATCATCGGCTCACGCAGACTAATGCGGCTGGGTGTGTTTGGTTTCGATTCGACTAAGCGTCGACTGCTTGCTCAAATGCACTCTTTTTCCTTTCGCCTCCTTTGAAAACGTTTGTCTTCTCCCACCGTAAAACAGGACTTGTCAGACAGGAACATGTCGAACTAAACACCATAGTGACCCAACGCGTTCTTAGTGACTCCAAGGCCTTGTGGTCCTAGTGGCTAGCGCCGATTCAGGCTTTGGCAAAGAGATTGTCGAGGAACTGCACCAGCCCGGAGGATATGCCCTCTATTCGACCTGCTTAACCAAAGAGACGGTCGAGAAGTACCAAACCAGAGACTTGACCCGACCTCGTGCAACCAGGACAACGCTAATCGCCTTCGTGCCCAGGTCGAAACTGGGTGCCCTCATAGTGTCCATGCTGTCCTCAACAACGTTGGTATGGTTCATTTTCTTGTTTTGCGTTACGAACCTCTATCCTCTTTCCAGTGCTTTGAAGTCTGAACTGAGAACTTCGCTTATGTTTCTTCTTCGATCGCTGTAGTTCACAGGAGTGTACTTTGGAGGGATCTTTGACTTTTCAACCGAGGGGAGCTTTCAGGTAATTGTTTTTAGACAACGATCAGCATTACAATGAAACAACAGTTTATCAACAAACCTTTAATACTCAAACAATCATGCATTCAACTCTATCAATTGTCAAAAATAGAAAGTCATGGATGTCAATTACATCGGAATCGTTCGCATCTCCAAAGCCATGGTCCCTTCCTTGAGGATATATGCCTGTCTCGGCACGCTCTTCCCGCCGGCCTGAGGCTCCCGCACACTCGTCTGTTGAGCATCACAACCATGGCCGCTCGATCCAACGCCACCGGGTTCAGCGGCTACCGTGCCTCGAAACACGCCGCCGAATCCTTGCTCGACACCATCCGAGTCGAAATGTCATCCTGGGAGAATGACTCTCGATACTCGAACCTCGTTTGCCAAGATGCTGCTGGTCGCCAACTCTAGGGTGCTCGTACTCCAGAACTGGAAGCAAGCCGATGAGTCGATAAAGAGGATGTACAGTGTTCGGTTCAATGATACATAAACCAGGTATAGCCAGATGCTTTTTACACCAGCGATGCCGTCGGAGTGGGTTGTGGAGGTGGCTGTAGATGCGATTGTAGAGAGAGGAAATGCATCGAGGGCGAAGGTTACGGTGGGGCGTTGGGATTTTAAGTTTGGAATTTGGGTGATGGAGAAGTTGCCTGATTGGATTTGGGAGGAGTAGTACAACTGTAGCGGTCAATTGACGTGCTGGTAATAAAACATAAATCGCTTAGGGTTTTCTCCATACGGCCAGAACCTCTTTATTTTCCGTGAAATGTACTGTACCAATCGATCCTGTGTGGGAGTACTCCGTTCGGCTTGTGTCTAGGTTTGGGTCAACCGCAAACGGGTCCATTGGTCTGTGGGTCGTTGTCCAATGCAAAATGAACATGAAGGCAAAGTCAAGGACAGAACACAAACGGACGGTTATTTTGTGGGTCACAATTCTGGCGAGCAGTCCCTGCCCTGAAGAGAATATGAATTGATTGCAGGGCTGACCGATATCTTTTTACCTCTTTTCTTCCTTCATCTGTTTTTGTTTTCACTCCGACATCACTTCTCACGCTCTTCCCCTCAACCCCACCCTTTCGTCCTTTATACCCCCATCAACTCATATCCACAATCAATGACCCATTATACTCTTACAAACACCGAGTATCTGGTCGCCGTCGTCACTGGTTGCGACAGCGGCTTTGGCGAAGAAATCGTAAACGACCTCTACCAGCGTGGCGGTTACACCATTTATGCGACCTGTCTGACATCTCAGGCTGTCGGCAGGTACCAAGTTAAGGAGTCGACCCGTCTTCGAGCAATTCAAGTCGATGTCACCAAGCAGGACGATGTCAATCGCCTTCGTGCCCAGATTGAGGCCGAGTGTCCTCAGGGCGTCTACTGTGTCTTCAACAACGCCGGTACGCTTGTGTTTTTTCTCTTTTGGCCTTGGAGTCTCTTTCACAAGCAATTGCATGCTCCTTTTTTTTTTTTTGAAATGGACCCATATCATATGCCAACCGAGTGAACACTTACACCTCTCGTTTAATGTCCAACTTATTGTCAATAGGCATCAATGCCGGTGGAAACTTTGACTTGACCACGGAGGATGCATTCGAGGTAAGAGAGTGGAACATAACCAAATTGGCGGAGGGGTGTTGTTGTCACCAAACCTTGTGTGCTCTTGAGCTCTGTTTGTGAACAGCGCCAAGCCGTCTCAGTCCCGTGAAACCTAATCACATACCTCACATTCTTTTCCATAAATATTTTCTGACCTTGCTCTTAGCGCGTGATGGATGTCAATTATATGGGTATCATCCGCATCACCAAAGGCTTGCTCCCTTCCCTCCGCGCCTACGCAAAGTCCCGCCACACTCTCCCCGATGGCCAAAAGCTCCCTCGTGCCCGTCTCATCAGCGTAACCTCAGTCGCAGGTCGAACCAACGCCCCCGGCCTGGGACCTTACAGCGCCTCCAAACACGCAGCCGAGTCGATCCTCGATACCCTCCGCGTTGAACTCTCGCCTTGGGAGATTGACGTCTCCATGATCGAGCCCTTCTTTGCCAAGACACCCATCATGACCAACAGTTTCACGGCCTTTGAGCAGAACTGGAAGAGAGCCGACGATCACGTCCATGCGATGTACGGACCAGCGTTTGTCGAGAGTGTTCGCAAGCGAAGCCAGCTCTTATATGAGAAGGCCATGCCCCCTCAATGGGTCGTCCAAGCGGCTGTGAATGCGATTCACAAGAAGAATGGAGCTCAAACGCCCAGGATCTTGGTTGGGTTCTGGTATGTCCGGTTCTTTGTCGCGTTCTTGGAGAGGGCCCCTGAGTGGATGGCGGACGGATTGTTGCGTTTGGGTATGAGGAGTGGTGGGGTTTGGCCTGTTGACCCTTTCTTGTTGAAGGATGGCAAGCGCGATTAGATGTGCAGTGATTGTTTCCTCTACTTTTTTATTTCGTCGGTACGCAGTCTATTAGTTTACAAAAAAACCTTTTTGGATAATTAATTTGTGTTGTCCCTGACCATTGCGCTTATCTGTAACCGACATTGCAGCATGACAATCTCGACCCTTAATGAGCGAAATTAGGTTCATCAGCAGTCACCAAGGCGATGCTATGTCGAGGCGTTTTTTGTTCTTTTTTTCACTTTTCATTCTTTCATTCTCACACTCCTCCAACCACCCTTCCTTTCAACCCTGCTCTACCCACTTAAGACTCCTTGCAACGCCCTTCCATACAGCTCCTCAACTCTTCGATATCTCCTTCACCGTTCAATTCCCAACGAAACCCCAGCTACTATATCCCTCTCAAAAGTTTCAATGGCCACCCAGTTCATCCCCTCCGACCCCAAGGACCTTGTCGTTCTAGTCACTGGTTCAAGCACCGGTTTTGGCGCAGGAATCGTCAACGACCTGCACGAACTCAGCGGCTACACCATTTACGCGACATGCACCACCGAGGCGGGCGTCAAGGCCTATCAGGCCAAGAACTCGCCTCGTCTCCGCGCTGTTCAAGTCGACGTCACCAAGCAGGAGGATGTTAACCGCCTTCGAGCTCAGATTGAGGCCGAGTGTCCCCAGGGCGTTTATTGTGTTGTCAACAACGCTGGTAAGCCATAATGGTGCGTATGCCATTGTTTTTCTTTGTAAAATCGACTGCCGCAAAAGTTCTCAATTGCAGCGTTTATTTTTCCGGACTTGCTTAGGAATCAATGCTGGTGGTTGGTTTGACATGACATCGGAGGATACCTTTGAGGTAAGAAGGAGTCTAATTGCCAATAACCGTGAAAGCTATTATTTCAGTGACCATGTATTCACCAGCACCTATTTTGTGTTTATCCCTGCGGTGTTTGTTTAGCTTCTAATGAATGTCAACTATATGGGCCTCATCCGCATCACGAAGGCCCTGATCCCCTCGCTACGAACTTACGCCAAGTCTCGCCACACATTGGCCAATGGTCAGAGCCTGCCCCGTGCCCGTCTGATCGGCATGTCTTCCGTGTCAGGCCGCATAAACCCCATCGGCCTGGGCCCCTACGCCGCTTCGAAGCACGCGGTCGAGTCGATCCTCGATACCCTCCGTGTCGAGCTGTCGCCTTGGGAAATTGACGTCTCCCTGATCGAGCCCGGCTACGCCAAGACACCCATCATCACCAAGTCCACCTTGGCGATCGAGAAACAGTGGGAAGAGGCAGATGCACAAGTGCACCAGATGTACGGCAAAACATTTATCGATTCGATCTTGCGAGACCAGAAACGGATCTATGAGGGCGCCGTACCTGCTCAGTGGACCGTCGATGCGACTGTGGATGCGATTCACAAGAAGAATGGGGCGCAGAAGGCGAGGGTTCTGATTGGGGTCTGGTCGAATCGGTTTTTGGTCCGGGTGTTGGAGAAGCTTCCTGAGTGGGTGGTGGATTGGATGATGCGGGCTAGTATGCGAAAAGCTGGTTATTGGGCCGCCAATCCGTTTTTGTTGAAGGATGTCAAACAGGATTGAGGTGGAAAGTAGTTGGCCATGACATGAATAAATAAACTGTCAAGCCTCGTGCACGGGGTAATCGACAGTCACTCACAAAGGCGACATTCAACCGTGCATGATTTTTTTTTGCTTTCATGTCTCTCCTTCACACTCCAGCAACAACCAATCCTCGCACGCAAAGTTCTCCCAGTGCGCACAATCCCACTTCGCAGTTCAACCCCACCGCTATCAGACTCTCATACTTTAATACCATCATACCATTCGACGCCTCAATGGCCCTGAATACCTTTATTGACTCCAAGGAATTGGTGGTTGTCATCACCGGTGCCGACTCGGGCTTTGGCGCAGGAATTGTCGAAGATCTCCACCGGCGCAGAGGATATATTATCTATGCGACTTGCCTGACTAAAGCGGCGGTTGAGAAATACCAGGCTAGGGACTCTACCCGACTCCATGCTCTACAGGTCGATGTTACCAACCAGGACGACGTTAACCGTCTTCGTGCTCAGGTAGAGGCAGAGTGCCCCCAGGGTATCTACTGTGTCTTCAACAACGCTGGTATGTCGTACTTTATGTCTGACAGTTGTTGTTGTCAATGTCGTTATGTTACATGAATAGGAAGATGAGACTCGGTTATCTTCATGGACATTCTTTTCATCGTTTTGAAACCTGAGCTGACAGGTCTTTCTTTTCATATTTTTTGTCTCTTGTATGTATGTATGTATGCAGGAGTGTACCTGGGCGGATTCTTTGACTTTTCGACCGAGGAGGGCTTTCAGGTACCAAAAATAATAAGGTTGCCCGACAACGGTGTGTGAGCAAAAAACAACAACCATGAACTCTATTACTCACATGCCGCTCACACCGCATCCTTTTAGAAAATCATGGATGTCAATTACATGGGAGTCGTGCGCATCTCCAAGGCCCTAGTGCCGTCTTTGAGGACATACGCCAGGTCCCGACACCACGCCGTCCTTGCCGAAGCCGGCCAACAAAAGTTACCTCGTGCTCGACTGTTGACGATCACATCTGTTGGTGCTCGATCTAATACCCCCGGGTTCAGCGGTTACAGTGCATCAAAGCACGCCACCGCCTCGTTACTCGACACCATCCGAATCGAGCTATCACCATGGGAGATCGATGTCTCAATGCTCGAGCCCACTTGTGCAAAGACACCGCTGGCGGGCCAGTTTTGAATCGATCGCAGAGCGGAACTGGAAGAATGCCGATGAGACGATGCAGCGGATGTATACTCCTCGGTTCGTGGAGCAATGGGTTTTGAACAGTAAACTGTTCTATACGCAAGCTATGCCGTCGGAGTGGGCGGTCGAGGCGGCTGTGAATGCGATCGTTAAAACGGGTGGTGCTTCGAGAGCGAGAGTGATGGTGGGACCGAGGATGTTATTGTGGTTTATTTGGTTCCAGGAAAAGTTGCCTGACTGGCTTAGTGACCACTTGAGTCGGCTTGTGGTGAAGCAACAGGGGTTGTGGCCAGCAGATCCCTTCCTTTGCAGGACGGCGTTAAGCAGGAGTAGCACAAGTTGATAACCCGTATAGAGGTAGACTTTATAAATCTTGCATTCCTTCTGCCTCGTATGTCTCATAATTGTTTTTTTATTTTATTTTATTTTAATGTACGATTCTGCTCCTTGTGCTCTGTGCCGCATCCATATACATTTATTTTGAGCTGGGAACAACAAAGTCTTCAGGCGAGTCGGCGGGCCGCCAAGGAAGGAGGCTGCCGAAGAGCAGATGTTGGACGACAGGAAACTTGTTCAAGACCTCGGCCTTGTACATTTTGATCATGCCCGAGTTGACCTTTGTCCAATGTGGTACTCCTGAAATCTCGAACAGCACTGGTGAATGCTCATGGAAAGGTCCGCGTTTGGTCTATGAGGGTAAAAGAATAGTAGACAATGTGAGATGGAGTCAACATGGAGGCGACAAGGGAATTGACATTCTATCATCCGTTAGCCATCCCTTTCTTTTCCGAACAGTTATTTACCTGGTGAATGGACTGGATGGCACGAAAGTACATGTAATCCGGCGCAAAGTCCTCAAGGTATGGTGTCTGCATGATAGAAACAGGCTTCAGTCTCGGATGATCTCTCAACTGGGCACTCCCCCAAAGGTACGGCAAGAACTGATAATCGTCCAGTCCCCAAACACCATGACTTCCTGCAGGTTCCAACTGATACGTCTTTTGCAATTTTCTGACCAACTCGAGGTACCGCACAAAGACTCTCAGCACTATGGCGGGGTGGTCTGTAGGTCCTCTTACAAAGCCAATGATTTCAAGACAGGCTAACCAAGCGACAAAGGAGAGTTCATGACCAGATCCATAGTCAATCCTGATGCCGTGGCCCAGCCCTTGGGTGAGGTAAGGAGATATTTCTTGGATGGCTGGGTGTAGGGTTGAGGGGAGGAGGTCCTCGAGGAGGGTGGTTGCCTTTTCTTCGACCATGCGGATGTAATCCCGGAAAGCGAGGTTGCCGAATCTTTGAGGATCTGCTTTGGGCGGTACCAGTGCGATCCAGCTGTCCAATGTGTTGAGCAGTGCCAGGATGTTAGTGATCGCCTATTTGAATGTTAACGAAGGTATGAGTGTCGTGTGAGCTCTGTGTCGCCCTGTTTCTTTTTCTTTGTGTTCCTAGGGCATGGTTCCTGTGCAAACGCTATATTCAGTTCACTCTAGTCGTGCCATGAGTTTAAGACGTTACGTTTGACTCTGGCATAGGGTCTGACACTTTGCTGTTCAGGACAGCGTTGTTGAGGGCAAGGATGTAGGACATGATGCGTGCGTAGGCCTCAGAGTTCTGGAAGTAAGGCAGGTCCTTGGCCTCATCCTTGATGCGCTTGACGGGCACGATGAAGCTGTCCTGTGCTGTTGACTCCTGATTTGCCATTTGGAATTAATTGATGCGCGAGAATGTTTGAAGCCGTTGGAAAAGAAGGGGCGTTCGACCACGTTCGTTTTGTTCGCTTGTTGAGGGGATTCTACGTCGCCCAAAGAAACCAACCTTCCGACGCCCCATGACTGTTTCATACGAATGCCAAACTTCCCAAGACCCTCAAGCCATACCTGATTAAGAATCCGCGACAGATGCGGAAGCTGCCCACCGATTGGTGGTTACAGGACGTCCAATCGCCACGTAGGGGCTAATACATCAGTACGTACAATACGTACAATCAGCAGAGGCTAACTTTTTTACTGACACGCGCCTATTGGTCGAGCTGTCAGCGCCAATCACGTGCAGCACATACCTTTTTTTACAACTTCCTTTCCATCCATTCATACATTCATTTCTTCATACCACCATTCATCTTCATTCATGCATTCCTTCTCTTAGCCTTCTCTCATCGTCGCCCAAGAAGAGAACTGGTCTTCTCTTCTTGCGGTCGACTTTGGGTGGACTCCTCGCCAGACTGGACAGACAGTCCAGGCTGACAGGAGGCACTTCTCAATGGGCCGAGTTGCCATATGAGCTTGTGCTTCCTCTCGCTGGAAGTTCTGTTTGGTGAGTTGTAGTCCACCCTTGGTCGACTACAAGAAAGAAGGCCAGGTCTCAGTCAAGGTTCAAAAATGAACCATAGTCGACGAATAATATAAAGTGATTGCGTGTCACGTGATCGTTCTGTCCTCCCAGTCGAGCTCCCCTTGTTGACATTAACCCACTTTACCTTACTGTACAGCGCCCTCCCAAAAAGAATTAAGAATTGCCGGAAAATTATTGAGCACTTTTTTTTTTATCTTTCAAAAGAAATTGGGTATCACCACCGTGTAGAGCCGCCTTTATTCGCAATAACAGCCTTGATTCTCTCAGGCATGCTATCAATGATTTTTTTGAGGTAGTCCTTGGATATTGCTTGCCATTCCTCATTGAGGGCGATCAGCATGTCCTTGACAGTTCTGGGGCGGATATCATTGTTGTGAACTGCGCTCTTCATGAGGAACCACACGTTCTCTATGGGATTGAGATCGGAGGATTGGGCTGGCCACTTTATCGATTGGATTCCATTCTTTACCCTCCATTCCTTGGATACCTTGGCCCGGTGAATGGGTGCTCCATCCTCCATGAGAAAAGCGTTGGATGTCTCTGCAAGAAACCCTGGGAGTTCTCCCTCATAGACAATCTCGATGAAGTTGACTGCTTTGCGCTCACTGGCAGGAATGACAGCCAGATTCGACATACTGCTCCCCACAAACGCACCCCACACCATTACCGATGATCGTCCACTCTTAAACGATGGAACAACACACGACGACTCGTACTTCTCATCCTCTGTCCTCCAAACTCGGACTTTACAACAATTCTTCCCCACCTCAAACGACAACTCATCCGTCCACACAACCTTTTTTCCAATCCTCTGCGGTCCAATCTTTGTACTTTTTCGCGAACGCCAATCTCGCTGCTTTATGTTTGGGGGTGAGAAACGGTTTGATAACTGCTGCGTAGGAAAAGATGCGAAGGCTATGAAGGGTTCTTCTAACAGTAGACTGGGAGACCTTGGTTGGAAGAGAGTTGGTGATGTCGGCCAAGGTGGCACGGCGGTTCTTGTGGAGATAGGTGACGACAGAACGGACATCTCGTTCGGAAAGCTTGCATGGACGACCAGGCGACTTTCTGATCTCGACATCCCCTCGATTCTTGAACTGCTGAAGAACCGATCGGACAGTCCTTTCGCTAACGTTGAGTTCAGCAGCGATAGCAGGAGACTTGGAGCCGGCCTTGCTCATTCCCACAATCTGGCCTCGCATGCAGCGGAAAGGGCCATGGGACAATAGAGGGGTGGGTGACGAGGAATGGGTGGGAGAAAAAAAGAGAAAGAACAAGAAAAAAAAAAGTGTTCAAAAATTTTCCGGCAATTCTTTTTCGGAAGGCGCTGTACTTATTTAGCCTGTTAATTGTTTTTTCCCAGTTTGATGTAACTCCTGTAGGTGAGGAGTACTAGTTTTCTGCACGACGCAATAAACAAACCAAAAAAAGAGAGCGTTGTGTGTGAGAGGTGTGTGTGAAAGGTGTCATGTAAATATTTGAGAGAAATGAGGGATGGGGAAATGTGGAAAAGCGAAATGCTCATATGCTCACGGATCAAGTAGATACGTAGAACCGATGTCTTTTCTTTCTCTTTTTTTTTTTTTCTTTCTTCATCTTCAGCATCTTTCGTCTGCTAAATTTTCATCACACCTGTCACTATCCAGCATGCCTTCCACTCCCACTCCCACTCGCTCTCGCTGTGTCACTCTTACTTCCCCCTCCACCTGCGAACTTTACAGGATACAGACGGACCAAGGCGACCACTTTAACAAGATCGCGGCTGTCCAAGTCCGTCACGTTCTCTCCCCTCCCCAATAGGCGCACTGTTGCCACCAACTCTACTGCTACCGCTCCCTCCGTTTCCTCCGCTACCTACTCGCATCCCACCAAACACGCCACCAAGCGCGCTGCCAAACGCACCACCACTATCACCACCGATCCAAATGCCATCACCCCCTCCTCTTCCTCCCCTTCCTCTTCTTCCATTAGTAGATGTACCAGGTGTCGTGGAACCGATCACCAAAGGTCGAAGAGTCGACTCTGCCCATACTTTAAAGGGAAACAAACGACAAGTGCAAGGATCAACAATACTCAAAAGCACAATTCATACAACGTCGACTACTGTGAAGCCATCTTTGACACCATCCCAGACAACGATGTTCTCGCTGCGCTTGCCGAGGTCGTTCAGGACCAGGATTTAAACACGACAAGTCAATCTACAATTGAGCTGGATATTAATAAGGATAGCGAGGATGAGCCGCTCATAAGGCGGCGTCCAGGTTGGAAAGGTGTTTCCAGTTCGGAGCCAAGGCGAGGACGATGTGCACCATCCCCATTAGCGACAAAAGGGCTATAGTTTGGAGGAGAATGGGGTGACAGTTCATGCAAGTTTTGTTTATCAACAAGGGTATATGAGTATTACAGGTACGCAAGTGCTCTGGCAAGTCCCAATAGCTCATATTGTAGTTCTTATTAAGCTATAGGGAATGTGGATGGCCTCCAAAGCAGAGTTGCGCAGCTAACCCAACACGTGGTTTGGCAGTCTCTGCCATCAAAAGCGCCAAACACATTATTGTGTACAAGCTGATCGAGATGCGCATTCTGCAGCCGCTGTTCGAGATTGGACTGGATCAGGCAGAGGATGGACCGGGCGAGAGCTTCTTGGAGAAGATCCTGGATTCCGAATGGGCGGAGAGGTTTATCCAGAACTTGCTGTTCTTCGCCTTGAGGAATTCCACTGTCCCCCAAGGACGACCGCCTGCGTCGGACAAGAGCAAGGATGCTATCGCTGAAGTAATCTCGACGTTTAACGAGTTCAAGGAGGCGCTGTGGCCAGGGTTCAAAGCCCTCAATTCATCAAATCTGGCTTTGAGCAACATCATCGCTGAACTTGCACCCAAGATCTGTCTGGATCTAAAACTGCATTGCAGAAGAATGCCAGAGACCCTTAGAACAAAGGTACCATTCATCCATTCAGTTGGTCAAATATTGTCAATGGGATGTAAAACATATTTTAACACTCTATTTTTGTTTATGCAATGCCAGCTCTCCAAGTTGTCCATTGATTGCGATGGTCTTCCTGAAATGGATCAAGATGACACAGACGCTGGTGGTGATGCCGGTGCTGCTGATGTTGGCAAGGATGTGGACGACGACGACGCCCTCAAGCGATCCAAGAAGATCATTTTCAAGCTGGGTCATATTCAACTCTGCTGGCGATACTTCCTCCGCTTACCATCATCCAAGCAACCCCGGTTCTGAATTCAGGCCAAAAATGAGCGATTCTTTCATCGACATCAACGAGGAAGCGTCGGTTGCGCTTCACTGGGGAAAGAAGGCAGTTCAGCTGGACAAAGTATGGGAAGACACCCGCTACACTCACAACTGAGCAGCCGCCAAACAGCGTTCTTCGTACGGAGGAGTGATCAAGGAGCTATTCATCGGGAACCGGGATGCCATCAAGGAAGCCAGGAACAAGCAGCAGACGACATACGGGAAGAGGACAACAAACATGGCTGAGCGTCAGGTGGCCCATCCACACATATATGGACAGTTGGAGCTCGCGCGGTATTTGTCGAGGAGGATCATTGTTTTCCGAGAACGGCACAACGCTTCCCTCGCGGCCAGTGAGGGTCAGAGAGTTAGAGAGTTATTGGCGAAGCCCTTGCATGACCCTCACTACGAGAGGTCCTTCAACCCACGTGGGGAGCCGCGAAGAAGTGAAGTGCTCGCTCGTCTTGATTCCTCTAACCTTTTTTTTGGGCACATATTAGGCCTTCTGAGCATTAAGGCACGTCCTGTATGATATTCTGTCCAAGGCATTCGACAAGGAGCTCACCATCATTTATGTGGACGGATCACCATCAGAGCAGAAGCGAAGAGAACATCGGCGGAGAAACGTGACCCTAAAGCGAGCACTGGTCAAGCTACAGACGAAGGTCAGCGGTTCAACCCGGTCAACAAAGCAGATTTTCAGGACCCGCAAGAACAACTATCGCCTACCCCGAGGGAGTCTCGACCAGGATATCCTCCCAGTATTGATAGAGAAGAGCTGGCGGATCCACCTGTGTCCGTATCAAGCAGACACATGCCTTTCAAGAGTGTGTCAGGACGCCCTAGACCCCGACTCTGTCATAGTCGTCACTTCTGACAGTGATCTGATTGTCTGCGAGGAGATCCGCCACATCATGATGCCCGTGGGCAAGACGAGGGAGTTGCAGTTGTTCGACAGGACCAGGCTCCTGGACCGCCTAGATCTGACGTCGGAACAGCACCTTCTCCTTGTCTGTATCGTAACCTCCAACGATTACGCCAAGAATCTTCCTTACTTTGGGCTTCTCAGGAGCTGCGACATCATACGAGACTTTGATCTGACAAGCCTAGGGCCGCTGGGAGGATCTGGAGACAACGACCACAGAGCCGAGGCATTGATGCCGTTCATTCAAAACTACCTGGACGAAGTTGGGCGTCAGCTGGGGAAACGGAAGAAAAGATCGACGCAGCAGACTTCTACTCGACACAAGCAACAGGAAATCATACACATTGTCCCAGAATATTATCGCCACGCAGTCACCGCATTTGACGAAAGGATGGAGACACCTCTGCAAGAACACCTGGAGCCGGATGACGGGAGTCCTCACTCTTACGATATCATTACTATGATACTACAGGAACTGTACTCTCGGAAAAGCCAGCAACAGCAGCCTCAGCAATCCAGGAACGACACCCACATCTTCACACAACACCTACCATCAGAGCGAGTCCCAATCGAACTGTCTTCTACCAAGGATATGCTCATGGACACCGATACAAACATCGAATCAGCACTCCCGTCAACATCCATGCAACATAATTCCAAGAAGATCTCCGTATGCACCCGGAAGCGGAAAAGTTCCTTGAGACACAAGCAACGGCGGAAGGATCGTAGTTACACTTTGAAGATGTATCGAGTTTCGTTGAATTCTTACTTTTCGTGGCATAGTTCACAGTCGATTCTGGACGAGTTTGGCGTGTCATCTGTCGAGGAGATTGATGTCTGGGGCATTGACCCCGGTGAGGCTAATACTGCGGCCTTCTGTGGGATTGTACGGGCCTGTCTCACTTCAATCGACACCAATGCGGCTCTGCAGGATGACCCTGGAGGTCGAAGTCAATCCAACTTCCCCGCATCAAGCAACAGGATCCTCCCTCCTGCCTTGGAGGTCAAGAATCTGGTTGTGAACCGGCAATCGCTCTTCCAACCTGTATTTGCCCATCGCAAAAGATGGACGAGTTGGAGTCCAGAAGGATCTACACAGGTCCAGGTCAGCGGATTGAGGGCATGCTATGGGCCGAACAGGAAAACACCCAATCTGATGATTCCACCTCTTTGCCGAGTATTGACGACATTCGGAGTCTCTTTCCCTCCCACCGACACGAATAAGTGCAAGATATTGACACATCGGTGTTACGATTCTTTCAAGTTCAAGGGCTGCTTCATCGGCTCTACGAAGACAACAGGACCAAGACTATGAACTTGTCATTAAAGAAAACAATGAAGGCAGAACTCGACCTAGCGATAGACACCATCCTCAAGGAATGCCCGAAAAAAACGCTCTTCTGCTATGGGAACAGTTCCTTTAGAACGGGCATCAACCTTGCATCACCACACGAGGCGTTCAAGGCAAAGGTAAAGAGGGTTTTCATTTTATTGTCTTTGTCTTCTCTTCATTGTTTCTGTCCGATCCAATACTAAGAAAGAAAACGCTGACCATATTTATTTCCTATATGATTATAGGAATATGCGGCAGCAGCCGGTCATGTTGTTGTCCTGGTGGACGAGTTCCTGACGTCTAGTGTATGCCCTACATGGCTGGAGACCGGGGATGCGTCCCGGCTGGCAGAGTCCACCATCCGATCCTGCGTGTGTCTCGAATGTGGTAGATGGATCCACAGGGATCTCGTCGGAGCCCATAACATTGCCGCTGCAGGAGAGGTTTGGATCTGGACCCTGACAAGGACGTTGCCCCTAAGTCGCAAGATCCCCGCTGGACAGTCTGGAGGAGCCACCCTCCATAGTTAAAACTAGACTACCTCACCTCCGCCGAAAACGGAGTCTCAATTATCCCAGTGATGTCTTTTGACAGTCGAATGGATAGAAGCTCAATCTTTCTCTTCCTCATCATCCTGTTTCTTCCGTTTGCCTTTGGTCACCTTTTTTTCTCCCTTGCCCTTCCCCTTTGCGTGTCTCTCTCGAACCCATACCACCAGCCGCCGTTTCTTGCTGAGACGCCACCAGTGCCAGAGCGAGTTCGCTGAGGCGCAGTGAACGGAAACACCATGCCCTCCACTCTATTTGCTGAGCGTGACGTCGGGGGCGGGGCTTTGATAGTTTTTTTGCCACCTTCCCTTCGATTGTCAACTTTTAACCTACTTTCTTCTTGTACATTTGGCTCAAACCGCTGGACTCTTCAACCCTCTCAGCGCCTTAACTCAACTTATTGAAATCACTTGGACAAAACTGCAATATAGCAAAAGTAAACCACCCTTTACCTAGCATTCCACTACACAACTTGACGCCTTCAACCCATACCCCCTTTCCACTTTTTTTCTTACTCTTCTTTCTAGCGCAGGCGAGGAGATACCATTCGTTGGGGAGGCGCCAATTCTTCTTTCTTGTTCATTTTCGCATTGCAGTCTTGCGAATGCTGATAACCTCTTCACTTGATACTTTTGAGGGCAGGCGTATTCGGCGTTGGGTATGGTTCATTTTTCTTTTTCTCGTGGTGTCTCATTCCCTCACTTTTCAAGGCGACAAAAAGACTTGGACAGGAGGCGAGGCAGACGAGCTATGAGAGGGGTTTTGGTGCAAACAAAGACTTGCCATTGCGAAAGAGTTCACTCTTTCCTGTGTTGTTTGTCCTGAACTTCCCCTCATTGACCCCCTCTTTGTCCCCACACCCAACCCGGGCACTTGCTGTTTACTCCCTGCAAAACTTTTTGATGACCCTCTCTTTCCTTGACTTCCAATTTTTGTGGTGCTTGCTGTTCGAGTGGGTTGGATCACTTCTGTTGCGAAAAGAAACTGAGAAAGATATGCCAACACAGATGGGATGAAGATGCGAAAGGGGAGCATCAATGGATGAACTGAGGACGAAGGGATGACAACTGTGATAAAAAATACTGAAGGGAATGTCCAGCGGAGAGGTAGGAAGGCCAGTGTAAGAAATCAGGGGTTTACAAGTGATATGCCAAAGACGGAAGATGGAGCATCGAAAGGGATCATAAGAACTACGATACAGATGGGAAGGAGAGTGGGAATCGCAATATTGACACGAGAAAGCGGCATCACGAAAATGAAGCAATGACAGATGGTACGTAAAATATAAAAGTTTAAGCAGCATGGAACTGATGCGCGATCAAAAAAAAGGAAATGAAAAGGGAAAGAAGACTCAAGACTCAAAAATCAAGTCCAAAACACAATAAAACAATAACGACACGAAGCGTGCCGTGACCATTGATCGGAAAAGAAAGGTGAAACGGTCAGTGAGAGCTATCATCAGGAAGAAAATAAAGAATAAAAGGGTAGACGCGTAGGCGGAGAGCACAAAGTGAGTCCTTACGTTTAGGTGGGGATGGTGGCCGCTTTGGTTACTCGCTCTTCCATGGGGGTTGTGAAGATATGATGGCGAGGTTTGATGAGGCGCCTGGCTCGCAAACTCCATGCGATGAGCCACCATGAAGGCATTTAGGATTGCGATGGAGCGTGTTGGCAGGATGGATTGTGCTTTAGGTAGACACACCGAGTAACAAAACGTGGTCACGGTATGGTTGCTTTGGATCTATGGAAAGTTGAAGGGTTATTACCATGGGTCAGGTTAGTGAGGTGATGATGAGAACAACGTGGAAGCCGCAATAGTTTTAGTGGCGCAGGTTTCGTTTCAATTATCACAATCCTCCTTGAAATCGAGATCTACCCTGTGGTTTGTCGTTTTCGCATCGCGTGGACAAGTCTATGACAAAGACAAAGTAGAGAATGACCGGACAAACCATTATTATTAACTGCGGACAACGAACTTCCCAATTGCTGCGAGTGAATTACAGCTTGCGGAGAAAAAAAAATGAGGGGACGAAAAAGAAGAGGATGTAAACAATTTGCCAGAGGATGAGGGGGCTGGGTGGCCACAATAGCCGCAAACGGCTCTTGTTTTTTCTTTACACTTGTCGAGCTTCTGCTCTTCTCTTCCTTTCACCTGTCCTTGTTGTTCTTTTTCGGGGAGAATTCTGCCGATTTCAGTCAGCATGCATCGAAGGAATTTGTTTTGTTCTTACTCTTGGCTGAATGAACAGGTGGTAGACCATTATTGAGGAACGATGAAAACAAAACAAAACAAACGATGAATGACCGTTCAAGAGCCCAGTGGAAAAATTGCGAAGAAAGAAAGTGAGCCATCGATGGTTTTTATTTCGAGACTGTGCAAGAAGTTTTCAAGAAGGACCACAAAAGAACATTCAAGTCGAGTTGAGTCGAGCGGCCACTCTGAGAGAAAATCCCACTTCCTTGTCTTTACCCCTGGATAAAACGGATTTATTATCGGGTTACGGCAACGTTTTTTTGTTGTTTTCTGGATAAAGAAGGTTCGTGGAGTCTTCGTTTCGATGTCTACATCGCCCCAACTCCAAAAAAAAAACTTTCGAGAGCCCCTCTTCTTCTTCGTTTTCTTCTTCTTTTCGTCAGTAGGGGAACATCAACAGAACCTGCCAAGAAGGCGAGATCGAGAAGACAGAAGGAAAAAAAAAAAAAAGCGGGATAGGAAACAAAAAGAAAAAAAGATGAGAGCGGGCGTTTTGAGTTGGAGACCAATTATGGCACATAATGAGAGCATTTCTGACTACAAAGTCCTAAGAGCGAGAGGGTTTGGTATTCATATTACGGCGTACTGTACCAGAGTAGGGTTCTGTCCTACATTGCTTTGTCAGAAAGGCCCTTTATTCGTTGTACTCGTGGCTATCGTTGTGTTCAGGTTTGGATTAATTCACACCCCATTGCATCCTATAACCTTTTTTTTTCTCATTTCAAGGCTTGCAGAGGTATCAATGTTCATGTATTTATCCGCCCAATAGAACGTCAACTGCCTCCTCTCCGGGTACTCGGCTCCATCTGTAGTCTGAAGGGATAATGAATGTGCAAGATGAACATGAAAAGGTTGAAGAACGAAGGAATAGTAATGAACAGAAAGAGTGAGGAATAACAGGACTAAGGTGAGGTAAGAGGTAACGTAAGTGAATGATCGATGGTGAGAGAGAGTGAGAGATGGAGAGAAGGAGATGAGGAGGTAAGGTTCATTTTGCTCATGTTTTCCCACCTCATTTCTTGCGCCAGAGAACAAAGTTGAAGGAGAAAAAAGGAGAAAAAAAAAAACAGGTCGAAAAAAGACGCTATTATTATCCATCCATTTCGGGAGTAGAAGCATCCAAAGTCAAAAGTGAGAGGTATCTGTACTGTCGAAGGGACAAACAGCTTCTCATCATCCCCATCCTCCGCCGGGTAGCCGGGATAACAATGAGTGGACCGAATCCTGGCTCCTCTCGTCTCAATTAAACACATAAAAGGATTGTCATTCCCCCTCTTCTTTCTATTTCTTCTTCGTCACTCCCTTACAGTCCTCCGTCCCTCCCTTTTAGCCCTCTCTGTCCCTCCTTCCCACCCTCCCTCATCTCTCCCCCTCCAGTCCTTTCTAGGATCCCTTCCACTCCTTTACCCTTCTATACCACATCCCCCCGCCTTCCCATCCCTCTGTCCTTCCCATCCCTCTGTCCTTCCTTGCCATGAAGACCTTCACCCTCTCCTGCCTCATGGCAGCAGCCTCTCTCCAGGCCGTCTTTGCCCAGGTCTTGATCGCCCCCGAGACCGACATGAACTCGACCGTTATCCCTGACACCAACACCACCACCACCACCACCACCACTGCCGCAGCATCCCGTCTCGCTGCCGCCCCTACCCCCACTATTTTGAACAGTGTCCAGGTCTTGGTCGACAACAACCTGGAGGTCGGTGGTGCTAACTTCCCCTTCATCTACCTCACTGAGCAGCGCGTCGCTTTCTTCGGCGCTGCCTCCTGCAGTAAGCTCGGTGAGCTCCTCTACGCTGCCCAGAGTCGCTCCTTGCCCGCCGTCCAGAAGATGTTGAATCAGGTCGCCCCTAGCGTCAGCGAGTTCTGGATTGACACCGGTGCCAGCGACTCTCGCCACGTCACCAGTTGTGACACTTTGGTCATGAAGGATGGCAAGGCCACCATCAAGACCGGTGGCTCTTGCTTGCGTCTCCTCCCCTCGCTCTGCTCGAACATCAACGTCTCGGGTAAGGTCACCGTCCAGACCAGCCTCGGTCGTGTCACTGGTGCTCGTGATGCCATGGGTTTCCGTTTCCAGGGTATCCGTTACGCCCAAGCTCCCGTCGGCAACTTGCGTTTCGCTGCCCCTGTCCCTGTCACCACCAAGTGGCTCAGCGCTGTCGATGCCACCACTGCCGGCAACAAGTGCCCCCAGTTGGGCGATGTTCCCGGTGGTAACGAGGACTGCTTGTTTTTGAACGTCTTCACCCCCATTCTCAATGCTGAGGAAAAGAACCTCTTGCCCGTTATGTTCTAGTAAGACTGAAGCCCTGAAGCGAGCGACAAATGCCGCGCGCAGTTTGCTCTTCTGTGATTTGTTGTTCTTTGGCATTTGGGAAGTACTCTCGTGGTGGTGCAAGTCTACTAATCAAAACGTTATCTTATTCTAATTACAAACAATAACAAACAGCCTGCACGGAGGTTCCTTCACCACTGGTACCGGCTCCGACCCCGCTTTCAACCCCGCCAACATGGCCTCCCGTGGCCAGGTTGTCGTTGTCACCATCAACTACCGTCTCGGTCTCCTCGGTTTCTTGGAGCGTGTCGATGCAGGTATCAGCCGCTCGACTCTCCCCGGAAACCAGGGTGTCCGTGATATGCTCGTTGCCTTGAAGTGGGTCCAGGACAACATTGCCAGCTTCGGTGGTGACAAGTCCAAGGTCACCGTCTTTGGTGAGTCTGCTGGTGGTCACGCCGTCCGCACGCTTTTGTCTATGCCTGTTGCCGCCAAGGGTCTTTTCCGCGCTGCCATTGCCCAGTCCGACCCCATCGATCTTCCCTTCAACAACGTCAAGACTGCTTCCACTGTTGTCGGCGGTGGTGCTATGACTCTCCTTAACTGTGCCGATCTTGCCTGCATGCGCTCCAAGACCGTCGATGAGCTCTTGGCTGCCCAGAACACCATTGTTTCCCAGGCCATTGCCCATGCCCCTGAGGAGTCCTTCCTCGAGTTGATCAAGCCCGCCGTGGACGGTATCCTCATCTTCAACAACTTTGACCAATTGATTGCTGGCAAGAACGGTGGCTTCGTCAAGGTCCCAATGATAATCGGAACCATGAAGAACGAGGCCAACGGTTTCCTCCCCAGCTTGGGTCAGTCCACCCCCATGCCTGCCACTGTCATGGGCGCCACTTTGGCCACCATTCTCGGCTACCAGCGCGCCATGATCACCATTGGCTACGGCTTGTACCCCATCGATGGCTCCAACCCCGATGGTACCCGCGAGGCTGAGGGTCTCTTTTCCTCTGACTACCTCTGGGTTTGCCCCACTCAGTTCATTGCCAAGGCCTACGCTGCTACCAACACCCCCGTCTACCAGTACCAGTTCCAGCGCGGTTACAACCCCAACCGTCCCGCCGACGATATCTGCGCCACCCACGTTTGCCACGGTGACGATGTTGCCCTTGTCTTTGCCAGCCCTTCGCTCATGAACAACGCCACGACCTACCCCTGGACCGCTGCCGATGCTGCCCTCTCCAGAACCGTCATGGACCGCTGGACCGCCTTTGCCGTCAGTGGCGGCAACCCCAACCCTGCTGGCGACAGCAGCCCTGCCTGGCCCCAGTACGATGGCAGCGCCCAGAGCATCTACATGTTCGACACCACTAACACTGTCTCGACTGGCGGTATCCGTCCCCAGTTCTGTGGATTCATGGACCAGGCCCTCCACTACGACTTCCAGCTCTAAGCAAAAATAATAATAAGAGAGAATCGCACCATCATCACTCACTTCTGCACATATCCTCCTTTTCATCTAAACTGTTAATGCATGAAAATAAATATTTCAAACTCGTAGCTGGGCTACGCTTTTTTCAATGAATGACCTTGGGCTTGAATAGGGGATGGGGTTAGAGGAAGGCGGGGCGATCGCTTGTACAGCGCAGCCAGTCGTGTGCACAAATCGAGTGCGTTAGAAACAAGAGAGAGGTTTCCGCTGCACTTTTGGTCCACACACATAAAGTCAACATAACCACGGACACCACAACAACAACCACAACAACAACAACAGCAACAACACGCCAACAACCACACAACTCTGATCATCTGCCGCCTTGGTTCAAAGAAACGCCAGATTCGGGATCAACTCTTTTTTTCATAACAGCCAGCGTCTAGAAGAAAAGAGAGATCAATCAGGAACACCAGCAAACAATAACCAGCAAACAAAGCATCCATCAACACATCCAGCAGCAGGAACCCGAGTTAGCTTCTATGGACGATAGGAGCAATCGGAAGCGCAGACTTACAGACGACGTAGGCCCACCCTTCACATCGTCGTCTTCATCGGCAGGAGCTAGTGGTCCGGCCACCAACGGATCGCCTGCACCCATTACCTCTACAACCAATACCAAGCGCCAGTTCACTGGGAGTGGGAGCGGGAGTGTCAGTCCACAGAATGTTGGCAAGGAGGATACCGAAACCATGACCGCTGCCGAGGTGAGGATGGGCGTTGCACTTGGGATACACATTGCTGTCATATGGGCTATCAGATTGTTCCTTGTTGTTTTTGTGGTTCAGAAATGTGAAGGACATGGCTCTTAACAAGTCAAGTTTTTGTTTTTCGATTGCGTCTATGGGTGTGATATAGGAAGTGCTGCTGAACTTTCAGAAAGAAGCCATCTGGCGTCAGATTCAGGAATACAAGCGCGAAAACGTGAGGGCACATGAACGTATAGAACGACTGAAGGATCATCAGGTTGGCTATGATGAGCGTCTTTCAGAATTAGACTCGCATTGGAGCAAGGTAACAATTCCGTCTTGTGTTTATTCACGAGTGCAAGATATCGATGCGAGAGCAATGCGTGCCGCGAAGAAACTATTGAGACTTACTCTTTCTCTCTTCAACAACATAGCTGCTGGAGGATTTGCGGACGATAATTTCGCGATCTCGGATGGGAGTCGATCCAGCTGGTATGGCCGTGAAAGGTACTGAATTCGAAGGACACTGATCGCATCCTAGGACAATCACAAGTACAGCAACACTGGCGATACTCGCTGACTCGATTATTTTCTTTTGCTGCGTTATGAATAGAGGGGAGCGGTCTTGCATCGGCTATACAGCATACACCAGCCGAGGAATCTGAATCTCAGGAAATCAGGGAACTCACGGAGGAGTCGGTCAAGAAGTCGGTCGAGAAACGCTCGCGATCAACCAAGGACTTGGCTCTGAAGCTCCTGCATATGGTTGAGGCCTGGTCTGAAAAGCGCGATCGGTTCTGGAGTTCACTCCAAGCAGGTACTTGATCTGCAGCAACTGTCGCGTGTTGAACACCTACAAATATGACCTACCTTTGCATCCCATATTAACCCCGGAGAGCTCTCTTCCATATGGTGCAATGCAGATTCGTCTGTTCAAGGAAGCAGGACAGTGCAACTGTTGAGCCAGACGCATGAAGCCCTTATTCAGCAACACAAGAAGGGCAGGACTGCGATCGATCAATTGCAGGCGCAGTGTCACGAGTATTCCGACCGAGTGCTTCGACTCAAGAATGAGCTCCAGATGACCAAGCATAGGCTGGAAGAAAAGTCAGGGGAACTGGACCATTCCAAGGACAGGCTGCGGAGAATGCATCGGACAATGGAGCGGGAGAAGAGCGCGTCGATGTTAGGAGCAGCTGCCGACTATGGTGCCGGCGTCGACTTTGGCTTGACAAGTGTGTCACTCTTGGGAGATATGAGCGAGGCCACCAGGGACGAGTTGCTGCAATGCCGGAGGCTTGCCATCTCACGTCAGACCGAGGTCGACGAGATGAAGGGGCAAGACACGCAGTTGCGGGAGGAGGTTGAAAAGACACGCGCTCAATTGGGACATATGTCAGAGGAGAAAATCCAGGATTCTCAACATGTCAAAGCTCTACTGGTGCAGATGCAGTCTGTACGTCACGAGTCCGAGTTCTATCGAAGCGAGGTTCTGCGGTTGAGATCGGATCTAGATGATCTCCATTCCAGTCGGCGCAAGTTTGTGGACACGCTCGAAAACGAGGAAAAGAACCGGAGAGCGGCATTGGAGGCAGAGCTGAAGAAGCTGGAGAGCGATATTTCACGCGTTCGGGATAGCCGAGACCGGTTCCAGCAGATGTACGAGAACCGCTGTACCAAGGACGATTATGAGATGCAGCAGAACCAGGAGATTCGCAAAATCGCCAATACGCGGAAGGTATGTTGTGTCTGTTGATTGTTCACCCAATGTGATTACTGTATTGCGAACCAGGAGATCTATGAAATTCACAATGCTGATGATATGATTTTGGTGGCGCTACACGTAGGATCGTATAACATCGCTGACGGCGGATATCCAACGACTCCAGACAATGCTGGTGGCTAACTCAGATGATTGGGAGAGCTACGCGTTTTATCTGAAGGGACCTAGCGATCACGCTGCACTCAAGGACCTTCGGGACAGTCTCAAGGCTGCAGACGAGCACATCGCAAATCTGCGGATGGAACTCGACACATCCAAGGAAGTGGCGCAACAAGTCCGCGGGTATGCAGCCGTGAAGGAGTCTGAGACGCAATTGAAGGATCAGGTGGCTACACTGTCGGCAAGGATTGCCGAGTTGGACAACGTCGTCGGTTCTGGGGCCAAAGAGAATGTGAAGTCATTGGTGGCTACACTGGAGAATAAGGAGGCGAATTTGCGGAGATTGGAGCTCAAGGTTCAAGCACACGAGGCGGTTCAAGTCCCACTGTTGAACGAGCTCCATACGGTTGCCACCGCCTGGGGTCTACTGGAGGAGGCTACATCCCGGAAAGCGATCGATCTGGCTCAGAAGGAGGATTTGATTTTCAAGCTATTGTCGGACAAGACGCGACAGGAGTCCAAGTGTACGCATCTTGTGCGCGCTAAGGAGCAGAGCTCCAATATGACGGCCGTCATGAAGCGACAGTCGGACATGCAGCTAGAGCAGATTCAGAGACTCGAGGAGCGGGAGAAAGCTTTGGGTGTCCAGATGGTATGTCTTGTTGTTTCTGTGTCTATTTCTAGTAGGCCTAGTAATTCACTCCCTACTGTTTAAGCTAATTCATTTACTAAGACTAACCACTCATGTTCCCATCATTCCCCCCAAAACGCCTTAGGTTACGTTCGAGAAGGACCAGACGGTGCTGAGTACGGAGGTCATTGTCCACAAGACAAAGCTCCAAGAACTGACTCAGCACAACGCTGGATTCAAGGAGAAGTTTACAAAGCAAGAGGAGCGTCTTGTAGAACTGCAAACGTTGCTCAAGGAGAGATCGGATGCGTATGAGAGCGAGGCCCAGGCACGGAAGAGATTGGCGGAGGAATCCGAGTCGATGAGGAAAAAGCTGGAGGAGCAGAACAAAAAGTCGGAGAGTTCGTTGTCTGGAGGCGAGTCATCCGAGGCGGCCAAGCAGGCGGCGCGATACCTGAAGCTGCTCAAGTGTCCGGCGTGCGATGTGAATTTCAAATCGCATGTCATTCTGCGATGCATGCACGTCTTTTGCAAGAGCTGCATGGACAAGCAGATGGAGTATCGCCAGCGCAAGTGTCCCACCTGTCGCGAGAACTTTGGCGCCAAGGATGTGAAGGAAATTTATCTTTAGGACGGAGTGTGGGGTGAGAGGGCAGACGGATAGAAGAAGTTGGTGGAGTGTGCGTCAAGATTGTAGTTTGCCGTTCGTTTTTTTTTTTTTTTTGCCTTGTTTATTTTTGTTGTTGTAGATCGGTGCGACATGGATGGACCCTGCATTGGAGGGAGGAAGAAAGAGACCGTTGCTGTTTCGTTTCTTTTTTTGTCAGATCGTGTTGCTCTTTTGACACCGCCTCGACTATTGTCCATGGGCACATTTTTTTTTGATGATGTATAACAATTCGTAGTTCTCACATAAATCAGGTACAATGGGTGCCCTCATGAAACAAGAGGCACCGGCCAGTTTGACGCCCCTTGATTTTTTTATTGTTTACCGTGTGTGTGCCTGCCGGGTGAACAAGCAGGGAGGGAAGAAGGAGATGGAAAGAGAGAGAAAAAGAAAGGTCAAGGGGAAAGAAAAGAACGACGAGTGAGAGAAGAGAAAGGAGAAAGGAAGGAGAGAAGGAAGGAAGGAAGGGGATGGATAAGAATGAGGGAGAGAAGGGGGTCAATTGGTGCAGAAAAGATGGACAGGTGGTTGGGAGTGTGTGTATGGGCAGGCTCAGCTTGTTGGTTTATGGTCGCTGCTTTTAGTTTATGGTTGCTGTTTTTGGTGGATGGAGAAGGGACTCGCTCGAGGAAAAAAAAAAGAGATAATTGCTCTCGTCGAAGGAAAGAGTGCTCACGGACAAAATAACACTCTTTTTACAGCGAAGAGATGAGAGCGACTCAGAGATGAGAGTCCAGTTGAGGCAGGTATATTATTGAAGAATTGGCTTGGAGAAAGGCTGGCTGGCTGGCAGAGGGACAGGGAAGGTGGGGGATGCACGCCATTGTGTCTCTCACTCTGTCTTTGCCCAACGTGTGGTTGCCTTTGAGTCCTATTACCCTTCCTGCGGCTCAGAACGGCACACAGAAACACACGCATTAGTGCTACACGGGTCTAGCACGACCAATTAATAAATTACAGGTGGGACGGCTGGAGTGGCCATCATCTTTCTTTTCTTGACCTGTCATCTCTTTTCTTTTTCATCTCTTTCTTCCTCACGACTCCCCCACCATCCCTTTTACTCACTCTTCCTCGTCCCCTCACTACTCACCTCTGTCCTTTACCCATTCTCTCTCTTCATCCAACCCCCACCACTACCACCCCCACATACCCTACAACCCTTATTCACTATGGCACACGTAAGAATAACCCATACTCCACTCTTAAACCAGCAACAACGTTCTCTCTCCCTCTCACTTTGCATGAACTCACAACTGACATCATTTTTCTTGCCTTGATTATCCTCCATCATCAATACATACTTCTTCTAAATAGCGCATCGGTCGCAGAAAGAACGTCAAGAAGGGATTTCAGTTCACCCTTATGGTTGTCGGTACGAACAGAAAACAACAACACTTGCAGCTGGAAACAACAACGACTTGCTTGCATCTTCCTGCTGAGGAACAACAAACGCACAACCAACCGTCGACTCGTATCCTAAATACTCCGTCCCTCTTCTTTTCGCCTCGTTCCTTTGTCTTTTGTCTTTCTTTTAGGTGCCTCTGGTCTCGGCCGCACCACCTTCATCAACACGCTGTGCGATGCTGATGTTGTCCCCAAGCGCGAGTGCGACGAGCCCGAGATGGCTCATGTCGAGGAGGCCATCAAGATCAAGCCCTACACCGTCGGTATGTGGTTTATGTCTCCTTCACACACACAAGGATGGCTCGTTTGTTTTTGTCACTATTATTGTTGTTTATGCTCGATGTCCTGTTGCTGGCTTGTCCGTTCGTTGTGTTACTGGACTCTATTTGCCAAATACAATATATTAATCATGCCTTTCCGGCTCCCAATTGGTCTTTTTTTAGAGCTCGACGAGGATGGTGTCAAGATCTCGCTCACCGTTGTCGATACTCCCGGCTTTGGCGACATGATTGACAACGAATACTGGTAAGTAATCCAGGCGAATACAGACACACACCATATCTACTTGCAACTCTCCATCCTCTCCACCACGACCACCTCTCGTTGGTTGGTTCATTCACCTACAACCACTCGCTTGAAAAAGCAACCATTTTTTTTGGCTCCTCGTGGCTGTTCGCCTTCAGGAGGGATATGTCTCTCTTTTTTTCTCTAGTGCTCAGAAACAAGAGAACCCCCCCCCCCCCCCCCCCTTGACAACCTTTCTTCGACAGATTCAAACCTGCCGATGAAGAAGGAGCATTGTTTGGTTGTGCTCTCTTAGCTTTTGTTTGCAATTGAAAGAAGAATATCTCGTCGCTAACACGAATCCGCCTTTCTTTCCTGCCCCATTTCTTCTCTGGCTACTTGCTCCTGTCCGGATACTTCAACAGCTTCCAAGAGATTCTGGGATATCTGGAAAGACAGTACGATGATATTTTGTCGGAGGAGTCCAGGATTAAGCGTAACCCTCGCTTCCGCGACAACCGTGTCCACGCCCTCCTCTACTTTATCACCCCCACCGGTCACAGGTAACAAGCGTGGATTCGCTACATGCCTCAGCGACAGATCGATCATCCTTTAATGAGGAAGTGGACTAACGCCTTGCTGTGTCCTTTTTTTTTGACTAGCTTGAGAGAGATCGACATTGAGTTGATGAAGCGTCTCAGCCCCAGAATCAACGTTATCCCTGTCGTCGGAAAGGCCGATACCTTCACCCCCCAAGAGCTTGCTGACTTTAAGAAGAGGGTATGTCAAAGTCTTGTCAATAGCGCTGTTTTTATTTACTTCGCATGATGTCGTTTCCTCTGATGCAATCATACTAAATGCCTCACCTTCTCACCTTATGTCAAATAGGTCATGGAGGACATTGAGCATCACAACATCCCAATCTACAACTTCCCCTACGACCCCGAAGAGGATGATGAGGAGACCATTGATGAGAACAGCGAATTGCGATCCCTTCTCCCCTTCGCCTTGATCGGATGCGAGGAGGAGATCATGGTCAACGGCCGCAAGGTCCGAGGCAGACAGTACCCTTGGGGTATTGTTGAGGTCGACAACACCCAGCACTGTGACTTTGCCAAGTTGCGCTTTGCCCTTCTCAGGTATGCCAACCTTTTCTCTCTTTGTACCTTCAGCATCATTGTATCTGACAAAAAAAGAGAAAAAGCAAACAAGCAAGGAAGGAAGGGTCAAGAAAAATTCGAGATGGGGAGCACCGAAAAAAGAAAGACAAATATGCAAAGAGCGAGAGCGATTGAATTCAAATGTCGGGCTCACGCTAATGCTTGTTATTTTTGTTTGTTTTTCTGTTTGTTTTAATTTTGGAGAGACCCGAATCGACAAAATGGGGGAAGAGATGGGCACATGGGATGATACAGAACTGCCATACCAATGTTTTCCACAGAAGTAGCATGCTAACCATCCGTTTTTCTTATTTCATTTCTACCAACAATAGCTCGCATTTGCAGGACCTCAAGGAGATCACTCACGACTACCTCTACGAGAACTACCGTACCGAGAAGCTGTCTCGCAGTGCGGAGAACTTGTCCGACTAGGTACTGGTTTCCTAGCCACTATCTCTTCCGAGCTGGTCTCTTTTTTCTTCCTCCCTTGTTCTCTCCTAAGTCTTTCCCTTGATACACCTTACATGTTGCGCCACCCTTTTACCATCGATATTATCATCCAAATACAGCCAAACAAATAAGAACGACGCCATTACTTTTTTTTATCTTAATACGATTGCAGAGGGCCTATGTTTTTCTTAACACGGTCTTCTTTTCCCCTACTTTCTAATGCTTCAACATACCTACCTTTCACACTCAGCAGAAAAACAAATAAAAAAAAGGTAGCCTCATGGTTCCCTTTTTGAACAACATTGGCAGCAATGGCAGGGTTGAGGGATGACCCTGTGCGAGCGTAGCAATAGGATTTCGCTCTCGAAGGATACTTGCGGGTCAGCATAGTGCGTGGATGAGAAGATCTGCACTGTGATATCGGCCGAGCTGAGGCAGTCGTTGCGAACATGCTGGCGATTGATTAGAATGAGACTGATAAGCATGGGGTTGATATTTTGATGAAGTTCCTGTCTTTTCCTGGGATCATCCAATTGATAGCCGGGATGGCTGCAGGGCAAGATGGGGTGAAGACTAATTACAGCCCAGTTCGCCTCGGGTCCTTGTGTAAGTTTGACAAGAGCGGTGTTGGACCATTGGTGGCGTTATATCAAATATGTACGAAGCGCTTTTGTGCCATGAGCTACGTACGTGAAGGACCCTTAAGCCTTTTCTTGCATCGACTAACTACGCCCCTGGAGCACATATCTGATATATCAACGACGAACATGACTGGATGTCGTGAGCGACGTGAGGACAAGGCGCATCACATCTTTCAGTGCGCTCCTAAATACATCGCTTGGCAAACAATCCTTCAGTAACACACATCCAAACCACTTTGGTCTGATGACGACCTTGATAAGGTCTTGTCTTTCCATCCTCCGACCTTTGATATCAAACCCCAATTCAACATCACTATCCCACAATTGTTGGTTTATTGCCTCATTGGTATTTCAACAGCCAACACCATTCTTTTTCTGCATCAACACACTCAATCTGGTAGCGATATCATCCACACCATACTTCGCGAAATCACCAAAACCATAGCACAAAATAATTCATTCAAGCCACAATAAATACATTTTTTCCCCTTCCAAAAAAAAAAAAAAAAAAAAAAAAAAAAGATATATCAACGACGAAGCTTTTAGGTTGAGTTGCCCACACCTGGATCTGCTGTCGGTCTCTGTTATCAACAGTGCTACTTGGAAGGTTCTCATAGCCGTTATCACCATCATTTGTCAAAGCCTTGGTCAGGTCCCGTCGAAGTATTAACATGCTTCATAAGCGCCGTCGCTAAACTGACAGCTGCAGCCAGACTCATCGCGATGATCAACATCAGGTCTGAGCGTCAGTGTCGGCTTTGATGAGTTGGACTCTTTGCGAGGTTGAACTGTAAAGACGTAGCAGTCGTCAGACATTTAAGAAATGTTGCGTCTTTGAGTGGCGATTTCTGTACATTTTCACTCACGGCTGTTGTTTAACCTAATCTTGCTTGCCGTCCTTCAACAAGGGAGAATTAGTAGGCTAGGACCCACACTTCCTCATACTCGAAAGCAACATCCCATCAACCACCCACTCAGGAGCCCTCTTCAAGAACCAGACCAAGAACCGGACATACCAGAACCCAACCAAGGTCCTGGACGTTTGAGTTCCATTCTTTTTGCGAATCGCATTCACAGCCGCCTGGACGACCCATCGATGAGGTATGGCCTTCTCATATAAGAACTGGTTCTGCTTGCGAGCACTCTCGACAAACGCTGGTCCGTACATCGCATGGACGCAATCGTCAGCTCTCTTCCAGTTCTGCTCAAAGGCCGTGAAACTGTTGGTCATGATGGGTGTCTTGGCAAAGAAGGGCTCGATCATGGAGACGTCAATCTCCCAAGGCGAGAGTTCAACGCGGAGGGTATCGAGGATCGACTGGGCTGCGTGTTTGGAGGCGCTGTAAGGTCCCAGGCCGGAGGCATTGGTTCGATCGGCGACTGAGGTTACACTGATGAGACAGGCACGAGGGAGCTTTTGGCCATCGGGGAGAGTGTGGCGGGAATTTGCGTAGGCGCTGAGGGACGGGAGTAGGGCCTTGGTGGCGCAGATGACGCCCATGTAGTTGACATCCATCATACGCTCAAAGGCATCCTTTGCCGTCAGGTCAAAGTGACCTCCGATATTAATTCCTATTGTCAAGAAGTTGTAAAGCAAGTGAGAGGAGTAAGTGTCCATTGGTTTGGAATGTGTTATGGGTCCATTGTAGAAAAAAGGAGGCCGTTGGTTGATGGAAGTTTTCTGGCTACAGAAAGAACACAATGCTTACTGGCGTTGTTGAGGACACAATAGACGCCTTGGAGACACTTGGATTCAATTTGGCCACAGAGGTGACTGACATCGTCCTGTTCGGTAACATCGACTTAGATATCTCAGAGGTAGGTAGACTCCTTGGCTTGGTACTTTTCAACAGCTTGGAAAGTCAGGCAAATCGCATAGATAGTGGAATCGCCACGCTGGTAGAGGTCGTTGAGTATTTCCGCACCGAAGCCGCTGTCGCAACCAGGGACGACAACGACCAAGTCCTCGGAGTCAATAAGGGTATAGTGGGGCATTGCGGATGTAAGTTGGTGGCATAAAGGACGATTGTAGGGTGGAGTTAAGCCAGATGAAAGAAAGAAAGTGTCTGCCGCATTTTTGTTAATATTTCACCTGTGGTGTCTACTGCTCAAGAATGTCATAACAACATGATTTTCCGCTTGTGCTCCCTGGACCTTCCTCCACATGCTCACCTCACAAATAGGCTTGACTCCATTCCACGCTCAATGCGACTTTGATCCATTCTGTCTGATTAGAATGAAGGTGTTTGAGGGCTGGTGTGAAACTCATGTGCGACACACATGGTGGGGACAATTAGATTTATGGTTTGGCGCCACGGTCGGGTGAACGATCTTGAAACACCCCTTGCAATGAACTGTTTTTAAGTGGGCTTAGCATCGTAATTGCTGGTTCATGACATTGACGCCATTCCCACGAGCAGTATGCTCTTTGTTGGCAGTTCGTAATTAGCAAGCGCTTTGAGCGAAGGATGGGGTTGAACTGGGGTTGGCGCCAAACTTCTCGATCGAAATGTCACCTCGTAGGGTAGATTCCAGGAGCAAAATGAACAAGTCATCCTCACCCAACACCTCTTCCTGCACGTATTTCTCTGTCCCCTGCACAACATCGCACACTTTTTCGACCCAACAAGTCAGAGTAACCTCGGCAAGACGCACCGATTTATCGCCATTTCACGGCACAAATCCAGGCCCTGCTGCCCGAGTAAGTGTGGCAGACCAGTAATTTTGTCCTTGACCCTGTATCACCACTTTGTCACTCTCTATCACTCATTAACGTGGCATCACTGTTTATCTTTCATATTTCATTTGGTTATCCGTACTTGAATAGATATAAAACCCCCTCTCTTCATCTTTTCTACCTCCTCTATTTGACCACAACCCTCTCTTGACTCCCTCGCTTCCTTCTATCGTGGTCAGGGTATCTCAACGTTTGCAGCCCGACTCCCCACCACCACCCACAAGGACCATTCAAAATCAAGCATCCACTTCATCAGGGACCAGCAGCCGTTCGACATGACAGGTTTCCTCCCAGCCTCACGCACGATAGGGGCTTCGGTTGCCATCGGAGACAATGACGACGGAGTGGGAGGACAAGGGGAAGGTGGAAACGAAAATTTTGACACCTGGCTAATTGATCGATGGCATCCTGTCAAGTCGCTTCGCTTACTCCACTCTTTTTCTTGACCGGTTTCACCGGATTGATATATTTGGTTAACAGTCCTTGTCAATTATGAGTGTTTTGTTAAGCAATACCCTTGTAGTTGACCGAAAAATCAATCAGTTGGACGGACTCGCGCCCTCTGTGTGTCAAGATACCACGGACACTATTGTCGAATTTGTGCGTTTCACATATGGATGCTGGTTCTTTGGATCACTGGCGGTCTTCTCCTACGTCGCTCGAGTTATTGCCAACCACCCCACCTCCTCCATCGCCGACCGGGATTAGATCAAAACTCTGCTAGACCCGATCGAGACATTCCGGAACAAGAGCTACCTTGGGACCCTTCTGAACAATATCCATCACTATCATTACACCACAACAAGGCCACCCAAGGACCCCTGAGGCCCTGCGCAATCAGTTCATTGTCCGCGTAATGGACAACTTTCGTCAAGCTGTGGCATCCTCTCCGTCATTCGTGTCCACTCCGAGTTTTTGTGAGCGAATCCCCACCGTTTGCGCCATATATCTACAGCAGATTGGGAGGTCCTTTTGCCATCTAGCTGGATTGGCGGAGCGGGTCTGCGATACCAATCGGGATGGAGCAACTCCGCTTATGGAAGACGATTTGACGGAGGTCGATAATATCCAAAAAGGAATCGCCAACAACGACGACGGCAGTAGCTGATGCCCCTACACGTCTCCTTAGAGTCGTATGCATTTATTCTGGACGATCAACATCAATATCCCCAGTAACGGAGGTTCACCTTCTCCCCGGGAACATCATTCATCAAGAACGTCAGGATCTCCCAAAGATCTCTTCTCGATGCAAATAAGAGACTCACTCTGAAGCTGGACTTGGAACAGGCTTCCTCGATAGTTTTCCCTTCTTCCGCATCCTCTGTCACAGATCTGGAAAGCACCATCAAGGGTATCAACATCACGGCTGGCGCGATAGTCTCCCTGTAGACCCCACTACGACAGGCTGTTGAGGCGCGAATTATATAATGGAAATCTATCTCTCCTTCTCCGAGTACTACAACACCGACAAACGGAAACAATGGAGGATGACAGGCGCTCAGGCAACAATCGCAGCCAAAACGCGAGCAATCGATAGACGTTTGAATCATACTGGAATAACGAGCCGACAGTAGGAAGGTATGTCGCGCCCTATTATTGTGGTCGAAGATGGAGATTTCGGGCCCAAGGACGATCTACACTTGTCATTTTTGACCCAATTCAAGAAGCGAGTAAGTAACAGTCAACTAGGATTGAAAACGGGTGGTTTTTTGTATTGCTGCATACGATCAACGTATTGTTTTTCACGACGTTCTCTTGCTATCTAGGCAGAAGCTCGGGGAATCCTTGTTGTTTGCGCCTCAGAGCGCAACAATTCGTTCATTTGCTGTCGCTGTCTCCAACGAGGTCTGGAAGGACATCGCTTCTTCTGTTCGTACAGCCGCGTTGTTGTGATATAAATGCCGCCACAAACCATCTTCAGTCCACTGCTCTTTATCTCTCGATCAATCCTTGGCTGCACATCTTTTCATCAGTGTCTAAGTTCTAGTCTAGATACAAAAAATAAAGATTACCTCCAGTTGTTGCCAGTTTTCCTGACTAGCAACGATGTATGGGACGAACACAACACAAAAAAGCATTCATCTTTTCTATGAAATGGAGCTGGATAAGCATTTACGCCCTTTCTTTTTTGCTTTGCTTTGTTTTGTTTGCCTTTACTTGATTTTGCTGTCTGTGTGCTGTGGTGGGGTAACGAAGGTTTGTCGTCATCCCCTCTATCTATCTCTTCTCCTCTCGCTGCTCTCTTTTTAAGCTTTTGACTCTCGATCTAGCCCAAATGGACTATTCTTGTTCATCTTAACCCCCTTCTCAAAGACATACAAATCCAATGCCTAGATCTGCTGGTTCATGACGACAAAGAGATCTGGCATTCAAGGAGGTTACACGTGGATTGTGGAAAGCAACGTTTTCTTTCACGGTTTATTTCTCCTTGTGAACGATAGTGCATGAGAGAGAGGGATAAAGGTCATGCATGTGGAGCAAAAATAAAAAATGCCATGTTGTTGGGCCTTTCAGGCACAGTCCTCGCCAATTGGTCTTGTTTTACACACACTCCATTGAGTAGGCAGCAGTGCACTGAAAATTCCATCTCTTTTTCCTCCAGCACACCCTTTTAAGATGCATTCTTTAACTTAACTTTGCCCAACTCATTCTTTTCAACGCTAGTTCTTCACCTAGAAAGGGGCGCTTGACGCGAAAGATCGCGTGTTGTATCAACTAAAATAATAAATAGAAGAAAAGGTAGTTCCGTCGACATGAGCAACAAATCCTCCACCACCTTTGACATAACCGATATTGCTCTAACCAGTGGACCCGAGTCAGCATGCTCTTTTCTTTCTATCCCGGCCTAGCCGATCAAAGCCCATTCAACGGTATCAGTCATAGGTACACATGGCGGTTCAAACCTCACTTGCTTTGCTCTAAACCGGCATTCAAGCTCATTGGGAGATTTTTATTCTCCGGTGTGCAGTCAGGTGAAGAAGAAATCGACCTTTCTCAGGCTTCTTCTCATCCTGCATATCCTTTCACCCCTCCCTTACCTTGCTCCATATTATTCCTGGGTTGTTTCTGTCTGCAATCATACGATCGTCTCTTCACCCCGCATATAACTACTGGTCGTGGTTTATTTGTTTTGTCTTTGAAGGTCAGCCAATGGAGAGACAGAGAGGGATGGGCTGGACGCGAATTATGTGAAAGGAGGAAATGCAAACTATGAATCACCTCTTCCTCAATTAACCGCGTCCTTTAGGTAAGGGCGTACATCGTGCCCTGTACCTTCCCGCTTCTAACGAATATGTAGTATTTTTGACGGTATCCAGCTAATTCAACCCGTTGACGGCTAAACCTTGGTACAAGCTTTCTTATATATCGTTCCAGTTGTGCAGGTCAGGAATGTTTGCATCTTGACATATTATTTTTGGCGAGGGATTAAAAAATGAATGACCTGCTGGGGTTGACGGTGAAGCAGTCGGTCGGGTAAGCCAGAAAAAGGCAGTAGTGCAAAAAGGTGACTGACTGGACGCAACATTAGCATTCTCGATCGAAGAGAAAAAAACCCCCACTAGCTCAAGTGCTCACCAAAGAGACGTCTTTTAATTGGGTGTGATGGGAGAGTTGGCTGAGTGCAAAACGAAAGAACCAACAGAGCAACTCTCAAAGGCTCTTCCTTTTTCCAACCTTTGGGCGCGGGCACGAATGGATCACTGAGAATGCAATATGCTGAACAAGTTTTTCTGGTTTTTATTATGTAGAAAAGATGAAATGAATGAAACCTGCATGGGGATGAGGGGCATGCATCAATGGAGGATTAAAGTGTACAAAGAACCCTCTATCGCTTAAGCGCGACGGCGGAGGGGAGCGGGCTTGTTAGCCTGGTACCAGTTGTACTTGGGGTAGTAGCTGTCACGGTAGGCATTCTGCTGGTCAATGGGGCAGTCGTTCATGCAAGTACCGGCCTTGGTCATGAAGGCGATGGCCATGGGGGTGCCGCGCTCGAAGGTGTACGAGAGGGAGGTGAAGAAGAAGGGACCGTTGACGTCGACATCATCGTAGAGGGGGAAGTAGAACTTTCCGGCGTCCTGTTTTGAAAAGACAGAGGATGATGCGGCACGAGAGAGACACAAATGTTAGTCTTGTGTAATGGAAGAAGAGGGTGTTATGCATGAAAATGCTTTGGGTGATGTAGCGCGATCGATTGATTAGGAGGGGTCACTCACGTCAGTGCATTTGGCAACACAGGCACCCTCAGGGGCGAAGGGGAAGACAACCTGGGCGCTGGCGATGGCGGCGGCAGCGGCGGCAACGATGGCAGAGGCGAAACGCATGGTGAATAGTTGGTTGAGTTTGGGGTAGGGTGGTGAGGAAGATTGAGAGGATGTGTTGGTGAAGCAAGAAAAAAGGGAAAAAAATTACGATGAACCCTTCCACTTTATACGATTTTCTGTGTTCACGAGTAACCATTTTTTTTGCTCATGGGTGATTAGACCCTTCCAATATCCATTGACCGTTGTATGCATGGTAAACGTTGACGGTTGTGGTGGCGTCAAACGACGTGTTCTAGACGCGGGAGGAACCGTTATGAGTCTAGATGACAAAGGACTGCAAAAGGCAGCCGTTTCGTTCGGTTTGTAAACAGAAAGACAAAGCGGACCTTGGCCCAATGGATCCAAAGAGTAATTGCGTTTGTCTAGAGTTGTAATGGACGGAAGCGGACAAATAAGGAGCGATGCTTGCGCATTAGTGTGAACCATGGTAGTGGTGGTTGTTGATGAAGTTTTGTATTGTGTAGTTGTGGTGGCGGTGATTGTTATGTTCAGAAGGATACATGTTTAGCATGCAGTGTATTTTCCTTGTTTTACAGGTTGGTGAGCAGGGCGTGAACACGAAAGAAAAAAAAGCTCAAGAATTCCAAAGACGAAGGAAGATAGATAGGATGATCTACAGTAGACCGTGAAGTGGTCTGCAAGTGCTCTTGCATCCCTCACTCATTCGATGGTGTGTCCTGGCACTTCGAACAATAGAGAGGTAAAAAGAGTGCATGTGCTGTATGGTGTGAGTATGAGTAAGCGAGCGAATTTCGGTACACGAACCTTATTTCATCCCCGTCTTGTTCAGGATCAGATAACTTAATGCATGACCGGGTTATCAGATTGTACTTCTCGAGGGATGAAGAATAATAAGCCACATCAAGGGAATTGCTATTTTCATGGAATGGAATGCTTTACTGTCATTGCTCGACTAACCGTAGTAAGACATACAGTATAACTCTCTGAGTACGCGCCTAAATCCTGACAAAGACAACGTCTTCGAGGAGAAGTCATTGCATCTTAACACATGGCCTAGATCTCCCTCGAGTCCTCGAGTCCAAAAGAGGAAGGAGAAAAAACAACAAATGCCCCTTTTCTCCTGGCTAAACGTTAAACAGACGTAACGAAACAAGATATAACAAACAATACCTCACTCCCACCTATTCCGTCCATCTCACCTTCTCAATCTCTTAACCTAAACAAAGAAAAAAAGAAGAGTTCTTTCTTTCTTCGTACCGACAAAGAAATCAAGAAGAGTTCTTTCTTTCATTCTTTATACCGACAAAGCAGAGACTATCAGATCTTTTTGCTCTTTGGATATTTGTTCTTTTGGTTGTAGAAAATCAACGCATGCAACGACGTGCATTTCATGTGTTCTACTGTGGTGGTGGATCGGGGCACCACCCATGTCCACCTTAAAGAATGCTGCATCTCTCCTTTATGTTCCTTGTTTGTTGACGGTTGAGCAGGTGTCCTCTTGTGTTTTCTTTCCTTCCAAAAAAACAAAAGATTCTTGGTTTGTCATGGGTGCAAGTTGACGCAACCTTTAAGGTTTGTGCTTGCTGGTCTTCAGAAAAAACTTGTTACGGTTGCCCAAATAAAGCATCCTGTTTTCATACGTCGTCTTTGTCCATGTTTTAAAACTCCTTTTGCGCCATTTGACGATGCCTCTCCGCTCTGGAACAAACAGCTCTCTTTCTTTTATTTGCTTGAGAGTGAGAAAGATAGACTACCTCATTGCTAAGCATCGATCTCGATCATGGGTGAATGGCTTGGATTACGCCTCCGCCGACTGCCTAAGCCATCAATCATGAAATTATTCAAGACACGCTGGCATGTACTCTAGCTACTTATCTGATCCTGGGGAAGGCTAATGATCTAGACACCAATCTCCCTTCACACCGGTCTTTCTTCACACCGGTCTCTCTTCACGCCGAACCTGACTAGAAGTATTTTTTAAATGCAGAACACCATCGACGCATTAGCATGTCTGCGGACTGGTCTACCCTCACGACAGGAACATTAGCATGGGAAAATTCTTCTCTCCTGTTGCTTATGATTTTTCTTGCAGAGGGCGTTGATTTATCAGATCCAGTTGAGAAAATAAGGTTCAAGGAGCGAAAGGTCCAGCACTGTTTTCTCTGTTTTCTTCTCTCTTCTTTCACACACACATAGAAGCGCACTTGCTTACTCACCAACCTCTTCTAGACTGCAGCTCACTTACCCGGGTTCGAAAACGACTAGCTCAGAGCGCCACAGATTGAGTTTAAACCTTTCTGATTTGTTTACAGTTTTACACACTCACACCATACACTCAGACTCGTTCACTCGACTCCAGCCTTGTCAACCTTGTCAACCTTGTCAACATTGTTCCTGTTCCTTCTTCGCCCGTGCCTGGGCCTAACCAGTCCAAGCAAAAGTACGCAACGCGTTCTATTTTTTCCCTATTGTTTTCATTCATCCACCATCATCCGTCGTCACTCCCCCTTGTTTATCCGCAATCCGCGTCTCTTGCTCATGCCTCCTTTTCGAGTCCTGTTTCTCATCCATCTCTCTCTCTCTCTTTCTCCGGACCTGAGTCAAAGGTCCGCTTCCTTCCAAGTAGAATTCCGCCGTTTCCTCGATCTGTTTTTTTTCATTCCTCTGGAGCTGCTGTTGCTCAGTGCTGTACCTTCATCATGCGTTTTTTTCACAAATGCCCACACTACTTTAGGTTCAGCCGCGCCAGAATTTTTTGCTTGCCTCATATAATACTCCGTGGTGGTGTCGTGCTTAATTTTAAGCAAGGATCTGATAACAATGTAGAGAGACATGAAGGAGCAAGAGAAGAGAAGAAACGTGCATGTACTTATGCAAACATATATAACACTCAACGCCCTTCCCTCTTTTTTGTTTTTTTTCTTTTCTTTTCTTCTTCGGTTTCCTAATTGCTTCCCCTTTCCCAATTCCTTTACCCTCGATCAACCGATCAACAACAATCGCAATGCATTTCTCTGCAGTTGCTATTGCCACCGCCTTGATTGCGGTCGCCAACGCTCAATCTGACTACTTCCCCTTCCTTCCCGAGGGTGCCTGTGTTGCAAGATGTACCGACGTAAGTCTCTTCCCTCTCACTGTCTTTACTCGCTCTCTGTCTCTTTTGCCAACACACGTACATTCTCCCTTCTTTCTTTTATCCAAGTTTTCGTTCACTAACATGGTCAATTATTGCACACACTTATATTTTCCATTGATAGAATGCCGGAAAGTCCCTTTTCCCCGAGTTCAACGACGTTGATGAGTATGGACCTCTCTTCATCGAGTCTCTCTCCTATTCCTTCGAGTCTGGCTCGGAAAAAACTACCGCCTTCATGATGAAATCGGGCATGTGCATGGGTTCCTGCTCCGCTGTTGAGCAAAATCTCTACCGCCAGCAGTTCCCCTCTAAGAAGCTCTGGTACCAGGCCAACAAGAGCGGCACTCCTCCTCCTCGTCCTGTCACCACCACCACCACCACCACTACCACCACCACCACCACCACCACTGTCGCCCCTACCCCCACTACTCCTGTCCTCGACCCTGCCTTCCCCTTCATCCCCAATGGCGCCTGTGTTGCCGCCTGCACACTCGAAGCCGGTTTGGCCTTGAACCCCAATTACTCTGAGGACCCCAAGTCTCCTTACTTCTGGGAGTCTATCTCCTACAGCTATATTCGTGGCTCTTCCAGCAACCTTAAGTTTATGATCCAGGCCGGCACTTGCATGGCTCCTTGCCCCGCGGATCAGATCGCCCTCTACAAAGCCCAGTACAGCGACCAGGTCAACTGGTACAACGCCAACAAGCCCGCAGTCACTACCACCGCCGTTCCTACCACCACCACCACCACCACTACCACCACCAGCGCTCCTCCAGTCGTCACAACCACCCCCCCAGGTGTCGACCCAGCCTATCCCTTCCAGCCCAACGGTCCCTGTGTCCAAAACTGCATCAACACTGTCGGCAAGGCCATGTTCCCCAACTTCTCTGACGATCCTAAGTCTCCTTACTTCTTTGAGTCGCTCTCGTACTCTTTTGAGTCTGGATCAGAGAACACCAGAAACTTCATGACCAGCGTCGGCATGTGCCAGGGCAAGTGCCCCCCTGCCGAGAACGAGCTCTACTCTGCCCAGTTCTTTGACCAGAAGGTTTGGTACAACGCCAACAAGCCCCAGCCCACCACCGTCGCCCCTACTGTTCCCACTACTACTACCACCACCACCACCACCACCAGCGCTCCTCCAGTCGTCACAACCACCCCCCCAGGTGTCGACCCAGCCTATCCCTTCCAGCCCAACGGTCCCTGTGTCCAAAACTGCATCAACACTGTCGGCAAGGCCATGTTCCCCAACTTCTCTGACGATCCTAAGTCTCCTTACTTCTTTGAGTCGCTCTCGTACTCCTTTGAGTCTGGATCAGAGAACACCAGAAACTTCATGACCAGCGTCGGCATGTGCCAGGGCAAGTGCCCCCCTGCCGAGAACGAGCTCTACTCTGCCCAGTTCCCTGACCAGAAGGTTTGGTACAACGCCAACAAGCCCCAGCCCACCACCGTCGCTCCTACTGTTCCCACTGTTCCCACTACCCCCACTACTACCACAACTACCTCTGGCCCCGTTCCTACTACTCCCAGCGGTGGATTCAACTACCCCTTCAAGGCTAACGGCGCCTGCGTTGCTGGCTGCACCAACAAGGTCGGTAAGGCCATGTTCCCCAACTATTCTGAGGATCCCAAGTCGGCCTACTTCATCCAGTCCCTCGCCTACACCTTCGAGTCTGGCTCAGCCAACACCGGCAAGTTCATGACCGACGCCGGAATTTGCATGGGTACCTGCCCCGTTGAGGAGCTTAACCTCTACCGCGCGCAGTATGACGCCCAGAAGGCTTGGTACAACGCCAACAAGAACGGAAACGGTGGCACCAACCCCCCTGTTACCACCAACAACCCCACTACTACCACCACTTCTTCTGGCCCTCTCCCCACCGGTCCCGTTACTCCCCCTGCCGGCGGATTTGACTACCCCTTCAAGGCTAACGGCGCCTGCGTTGCTGGCTGCACCAACAAGGTCGGTAAGGCCATGTTCCCCAACTATTCTGAGGATCCCAAGTCGGCCTACTTCATCCAGTCCCTCGCCTACACCTTCGAGTCTGGCTCAGCCAACACCGGCAAGTTCATGACCGACGCCGGCATTTGCATGGGTGCCTGCCCCGTTGCTGAGCTCAACCTTTACCGCGAGCAGTATGACGCACAGAAGGCTTGGTACAACGCCAACAAGAACGGAAACGGCGGCAGCAACCCTACTAACCCCGGCGGCGAACCTACCAACCCTACCACCCCTCCCACCGGTCCCGTTACTCCCCCTGCCGGCGGATTTGACTACCCCTTCAAGGCCAACGGCGCCTGCGTTGCTGGCTGCACCAACAAGGTCGGTAAGGCCATGTTCCCCAACTATTCTGAGGATCCCAAGTCGGCCTACTTCATCCAGTCCCTCGCCTACACCTTCGAGTCTGGCTCAGCCAACACCGGCAAGTTCATGACCGACGCCGGCATTTGCATGGGTGCCTGCCCCGTTGAGGAGCTCAACCTCTACCGCGAGCAATACGACGCCCAGAAGGCTTGGTACAACGCCAACAAGAACGCCAACGGCGGCGGCAGCGGCGGCGACCCCACTAACCCCGGCGGTGACCCTACCACCCCTCCCACTGGCCCCATCACCCCTCCTGCCGGCGGATTCGACTATCCCTTCACGCCTAACGGTCCTTGCGTCCAAGGATGCACACTCGAGACCGGTAAGGCCATGTTCCCAGAATACTCCGAGGACCCCACGTCGCCCTACTTCATCCAGTCTCTCGGCTACTCCTTCGAGTCTGGCTCGGACAACACCCAAGAGTTCATGACCAAGGCCGGTATGTGCATGGGCAAGTGCCCTGCCGCCGAGCTCGAGCTCTACACCAACCAGTTCACTGCGCAGAAGGCCTGGTACCTCGCCAACAAGAACGCTGGTCTCAACGCCACCGCCACCCCCACTGGCCCCGTTACCCCCACGGACCCCGCTACTGGTCTGCCCACCACCGTCCCTAGCACCGGCGGAGACCAGGGAAGCAGCGCTGTCAAGTTTGCGGCCTCTGGATTGGCCACTCTCTTGGCCGTCGTCTCTGCTCTCGTTGTTGTCGCTTAAATAACCCTCTATCACAGTGCATTTCTTTTAAACATATATCATTAAATCAATCTACATTTTTTTTTGGGTCAAGTGAATTTGGAGGGACACCTACCAACTCACCACTCAATGTGCAAAAAAAAACAACAAGAAGTGACAAGTGCTCGTTATTTTGCAAAGAAAGGAGAGAGGAGCTGATGGAGTGCCCAATCATCATTCTTCATAGGCATATTTTTTTTCTCTATTCGCGCATCTTTTCTGAAGTAGAGTTGGAGAGTTAATGAGAGGTGACCTTAGTTTGATGACCATCATGACAACAACGCATATGTTTCTTTTCGTGTCCTGCAAGAGCATCGGATATTATTTGTCTTTAGTGAAAGGGGCTCGAAAGCTGAACTTGATCTTGAACAAAGGACTGCATACAACAGAAGCAGGGAACGCAACAAGGTGGCTCTTCATGAACAAAGCGTGGACTTCTACTCTTCACCAACTCCAGAGTCTCCAAGGTCTTCACCACCCTACTGTATAAATGGTCAATTAAAGTCCACCATATTGTAGTGGCCCTTTTTTTTTCGGATGCAATCGTTTCGTTTGTTCTTTTGGCTGTGCGTCGCATGATTGTATGTAGGAGATGGAGATGTTTGATGTTGTCGTTTTATTGTCTATCGATGCTGCGTGAAAGATCGGATTCTGCGCGAAAAAAGAAGGAAGGCTGTGAGTAGTTGATCCGATTTTATGACGAGTCCGCATCCTTGTCGTCCCGTTTACTACATATAGTGAGAGAGTGAGAGAGTGAGAGAGAGAGAAAGAGAGAACGGTGTGGATGGCGTTTGTGAGTTGAAAGAAAGCAAGGCGTGAGGGCGAAGAAAAAAACCCCCTTTGAGATAATAAAAGGCGGTCTTTCCTGCAAAAAACAAATGTTTTCTTTTCTCTTTTCTCTCCTCTCCTTTTCAGCCTCCCCCCCTCGGCACCTGCCTCTACCGTTTGGGCTCCACTCGCCGTTTGAGCGACACGTGGTAAGATAAACACCTCCTTTCCTTTCTAAGCAACATAGAAAAGGATGAGGGTTCACGCGTGTGTTATTTCATTCTTCTCACCCTTTTTTCCCCCTTCTTCGTCCCATTCTTTGTATTTTCTTTCTTCGATCCCTCCTCGTGTCTCAGGGATGCGTGTTTGTTCATTCCTTTGTCTCATGTTCTTCCACACTCTGTTTTCCCCTCACTCTCCCGCCTCCTTCCCTTTGCCTGACCGGCATGATAATGTCATACGCGAAAGGTGATCTGTAAACTTATTGGCGCAAACTTCTTACTAACTAGAACATCTTTTTTCCTTCATCGTATCACTTTAGTGACAGGAGGGTGTCGAGAGGGGACCAAGAGGAGTCAAAACCCTCCTCCTCCTCATACCTAAATGCCCACAATCCCGACTTGGCACGGGTGGCCATTTGGTCACGTCTAGGGATGTGGGTGCGCTGGCATGGTGGTCAGCCTGGGGGGCGTCTGGCCGTTCCAGCACTGACATATGCTGTTGGAGGAAGCCGTCATGGGGGTGCTAAGCCTAACCTTCTTTTTGTTAGGATGAGGTCGCGTGACATACTGGGATAGCTTAGGAGGGCAAACTATGGTTTCGCGGGACTATGGGTTCGCGGGCAATGTGGAGTGGTAGGAACCAATGCGATCGGGGGATTATGGGATCGCGGAATCATGGGCTCGACAGATGATTGTGTGTACATTTGTAAACTTGCATTTTTGTAGTTATGCTGAATTGGGGCAGTGGGGCAACCGAGGACAAACATACGCCTATGGACTTCTTTTTCGCTATCCCTTAATCCGTAGAAGGGGATAATGTAAACTATAGTTTCTATCTATAGAGGTTAGGTTTGTTTGGGGGGTCTTGCAAGGGGCTCGGGCCGTCCTAGAGACTTGAGGTACTGTTCTCCGATCAAAGCGATGTTGTGCGCCCCCACTCCATCTCGGTGAATCCACCGAGTGCACTCAACACAGGCGCATGTCCTCATCGACGGCTTGGCGAGGCGGGTGGCTCGGTTCTCAACCACACATGTTGGACACATGGTGGAAGTAAGATACTCGTCGACCAGGGCAGCCTTGTATCCGAGCGCAGCACTCTATCGGTGCAGGAATAATAAAATTGTGTTCCATAGATTTGCCATGGCATCATGAGTGCACACAATCAAGACAAAAAGATACAACCATGCCTTTCACAATTTTTTTTTGCCTTTCGTACCTGCTGTAAAAGACGTCTGAGAAACGTGGTGTGCACCGAAGAGAGATTAAAGCCAGACCGGAAGGTTCCATTCCCCAGGGCAAAAAAAACTTTTCTTTGGTGGACGGGTACGCCCTCACATGCCTCATCCACCATCCGCAAAACGCCAGCGACGGCCAGATCCAACTCCGACATTTTCGCCATTCTGTGCTCGTGAACCGCTACCTTCTATTCTCTTGACGCGTAAATCCCGTGGATCGGCGGTTCCTGCTCGTAGTACTTCTTGTGAGCTGCCGTCAAAGCATCCAACGAGGTGTCGTAGTTCGTTGAGGGGAGAGAATTCTCTAGGTCGTGGACAGACGGGAGAGTGGTGAGCTTGTCCAGGTCGGTAATCCGTGTCCAAAGGGATGAGTCGACAACATCGCCTGGACCAGCTGTTGGGTGTCGCCTTTTCCAATGCTGTTCCCAATCTCGGAAGGCCAGAGTAGGCTAGTATAGGGAGGCCCTCTTGATCAGCAGATTGATGACTTTTCCACCGGGAAGTGTCAAACAAAATGCACCACTCACTACCTCTCCGGGATCAATACCGACGACAATGACTGAATCCAGGTCGTCGCCAAACGCGTCGATAAGATGCTGCCGCGTTGGATAAAGCTTCTCGATCCTAGAAAGAAACTCACTGTAATTTGGGGATTGGCGGGGTTTTGTAAAGTCATACGCGAGAATCTGCAGCTGGTGGCCATCCGTCCTATATAGTTGTTGAGGGCGTAGCGGTAAGAACGCGGCTGCTGACGTGGGGTGGGAAGAGGCGGTGGGGTGGAGGTCGTCGATGACGATGACGTTGATGATGGCAACGGTGGTGTCGGGGCCGTGAAGGAGGCGTTGTGCCGTTCTCGGAAAAAATTGACCTTATTCGTCAAATACCGTGCGAGCTCTAACTGTCCGTAGATGTGTGGATGGGCCTCCTCACGCTCAGCCATGGTTGTTGTCCTCTTCCCGTACGTCGTCTGCTGCTTATTCCTGGCTTCCTTGATGACATCTCGGTCACCGATGAATAGTTCTTTGATCACCTCTCCGTACGAAGAACGCTGTTTTGCCGCTGCCCAGTTGTGAGTGTAGCGGGTGTCCTCCCATACGTTGTCCAACTGAGCTGCCTTCTCTCCCCAGAGAAGCGCAACCAACGCTTCCTCGTTGATGTCAATGAAGGAATCGCTCATTTTGGCCTGGGTGCAGAACCGGGGCCGCTTGGATGATGGTAAGAGGAGGAAATATCGCCAGCAGAGTTGAATATGACCCGGCTTGAAAATGATCTTCTTGGATCGCTTGAGGGCGTCGTCGTCGTCCACACCCTCGTTAACGTCAGCAGCCCCGGCATCACCACCAGCGTCGGTGTCATCTTGATCTATTTCAGGAAGACCATCGCAATCAATGGACAGCTTGGAGAGCTGGCATTGCATAAACAAAAGGAGTGTTAAAATATGTTTTACACCCCATTGAAAATATTTGACAAACTGAATGGATATGGATAGATGGTACCTTTGTTCTAAGAGTCTCCGGTATTCTCCTGTAATGCAGTTTTTGATCTAGGCAGATCTTGGGTGCAAGTTCCGCGATGATATTACTCAAAGCCAGATCCGTTGAGTTGAGGGCTTTGAACCCTGGGCACAGCGTCTTCTTGAACTCGTTAAACGTCGAGATTGCTTCAGCGACAGCATCCTTGCTCTTGTCCGACGCGGGTGGACGTCCTTGGGGGACAATGGAATTCCTCAAGACGAAGGACAGTAGGTTTTGGACAAACCTTTCCGCCCAATCGGAATCCAGGATCTTCTCCAGGAAGCTCTCGTCCGGTCCATCCTCTGCCTGGTTCAGTCCAGTCTCGATCAGCGGCTGTAGAATGCGCATCTCGATAAGCTTGTACACAATGTGTTTGGCGCTATTGACGGTAGAGACTGCCGAACTCACGTGTTGGGTTAGCTGCGCAACCTCTGCTTTCGACAGATTGGTTGATCTTCCTAGGCAGCCTTGCAGGGATCCAGTCGTGAGCGTGACCGTTGCGAAAACAGACTGGAACGCTCTCTTCAAGGCCTTGGGTCCAGCTATTCCTTTAGGTTCGCCAAGGAGTTTTTTCTTTTTCTTCTTGGCAGCGGGGGCAGGCACTTGGTTGATACGGGGGGATTGCTCCTTGGGCTTTGAAGGACGGGGGGTCGACGGCTTCAATCCTGAAAGTTCCACGACATCAACAGGGCTGGCCTTTTCTAGGAAAACAGTGTTCGGCACATAGCGATCTTGCACGTCTGTGCGCGAGCGGAATCTAGATGCGATTTTGCAATGAGTTGTGTTAAGGTGGAAATATATGTATATAGCTGGACAAGGCGGAGAAAAATACCAGGAAAAAAGACATACCTGGAACGACGCCACTTCTGTCGTCGCCGCTGGAGGGCCCGTGAACCATGTCGGCGTTGTTTTTTAATCTTTTGCTTGTGCGATGGTGGATGTTCGGCTGGGCCATGCGTCTGCCTGATGGAAGGTGATCCCGCTGATGTAGCTTGCGGATATGGTGCTGATCCTGCCTTGGGTGCCGTTGGGAGTGGTGGTGGCGTTGCCTCTGCGTCTGTCGCCGCCCCCTGAGAAGCTGGATCTACTAGCAGCCCAGGCGGCAACGATCCCGTCCGACTCGCGGAAAAGCGACGCCAATCAGTGTAGGCTTTGTTGAATTCTGTTTCCTTAATTATGGCCATCAGTCGTGTGTGTGTATCGGCCGCCGGGCTGATCCTGTTGTTGTCCAGAGTGGTTTCCTCGCAAAGCACGAATGTCTTGAGAGCATGGCCGAATTCTGTCACATCTACACGCAGCTGTCGATCGGCCGTTTCGATCCTCCTCAGATCCTTGTCGTGTGCCTTCACCGTTGGGTTAGGATTGCATCGCAGTCGACGACGTGCGCTTTGGGTGGCTGAGTCCTTGATTGTACGGGCCTTTTGGTGTATTATGTCAAGGTAGCGCCTAACATAGATCCGAACCACCTCCACTCGATCTTGGCCAACCGTTCCATCAAGACCTGTCATCTTGAACTGACGGATCGTATCGACATTGGATGTCAAGCCATAGGAAAAAACTCCGTTGGTGTAGTCGTTGTTCGATACCAGAGCGGCAAGCGTTAGATGTACAGGGGTCGGAAGGCCATGCTCGTTCAGAAGCTCATCTTTGTGGAAAGTAGTCCAAGTGTTCTTGACTGGCATGGTGACGGACATGATTGACTCGAATGCCATGAGATCGGAGTCCTTGGTGATAACTCGGATATCTCCGGGTACGGCAGCGTTGTTGACTGTCCGCGCAATGCACGTGTCGCTTTGGTTGAGACATTGGCAAATCGTCCATCCACTCTGACGCAGTACTTCCGAAACGGCGCGCAATGCCTCCGGTGGTGCTCGGTACGACGCCTTCAGGCGTTTGTATAGCTGTCTTTTGTTGTGCAGCTTGCCCTCCGTGTAATCTCGTTCAAGTGTTTCCAACTGCTTGGACAGCGCCTGATCTCGTTTGCCGTGCGCCCATTCCTTCTCCATTGATCGTAGACCATCCATATGGAGCATTGTGATGTCCTTAGACAATCGTGAGGAGAGAATCTTCTCAATTGCGGCTCCGACAGATCGAAAATCCTATTGGAAACAGCGAATTATTATTTTGGTCACAGCAATTTAGCTTTTCTCCAGATAGCATGAATCATTTAACTTTTTTCCAGATCAGTACAATCCATTTAGCTTTTCTCCAGATGGTATGATTTATGGTACTTACAATGACCTTTTCCTGGGCGCAGATTGTGGTCAGAGCGCCGCTCTCGTCGAACCGAATCTGGGATGGCTGTGTTGCCAGCAATCGCTGCATGTCTTCAACGAGAGTCGACGACCCGGAGCTGATTTGGAGGGGTCGGAGGCGTTTGTTAGAGAAGCAGTGTCGGCGGTGTCCGCATCGTCGACGTCGGCTGCTCGTTTTGGGCTGGATGAAGCCTGCCGTGTAGATGTTGTTGTGTGAGTAGACATGCCCGCGCCATCGACGTCGGCTGCTCGCTCTGGGCCGGATGAAGCCTGCTGTGTCGATGTTGTTGTGTGAGTAGATAATTGACATCGGGCGGACTTTGCAGCGAACTGCACTGTTTTATGGAAACTCAGCGAGTTCACCAACGCAAAAAACATCGACGCAAAATCTACTTCACATCTCTTCTTGGTTAGATCTTCCTCCACTCCGTCTGTCGCCTTGATCCACCCGGTGAGATTTGTGATGCCCATTGCTGTAATTCTAAGTAATTCACAATTGAAGGTTGATGGTTAGCGCGAGTCTGATTTCATAGATTCTCTCAATAGCACGGGTCGCAATCACTTTCAACATCGGCCTTACATAGGTCTGTTGAAGCTCAATTGAGAAGGGGGGCAGTTTAGGAGAAGGGGGAGAAGGGGGCAGTTTAAATGAAAGGGACACGAGGCGATGCAGAACGGTGAAAAAGAAGCTAGTGGTCTTTATTCACTCAGCCTCAGCCGCTCACTCAGTCACCGTGACCATCAGAGCTATGAGCTAGGGGTGAGCAAATTAAGGGGTAGGATGGTTCTTTCGCACCAATCCCATGCATTTCAGCCTCAGTGGACAGACACTGAGATGCAACGCTATCGGCGCGGGCACAGGACCCTTTCTAAAACTCAGGGCGCGTATGATACTCCTAAATCATTCTTGGTGCAAAGAAGACCTTGCAGAGAGAGCAGATTCGCTGGGTGGGTTGAGGATATGCTTGTGTTATGCCTTCTCGTTTATTTTATCTGCACAGGATGCAGCCAGTCATGAGTAGTTCAGTAATTCATCGTTTGGTCCCTTGAATTTTTTCGAGACATAAGGGGATACTTAGGTAGGGGTGTCGCGACATTTGGCGGACACTATCAGATCCTTAGCCAGGAACTATCGGAACTCCCTTTGATGCATGGAAGAGCCGAAGAGTTTGTTGATAAGGTACGCATTGATGATTGTTGTATCCAGTAATCAGAAGAAGATCGGAGCCCATGCGCGATAAGTCCTGAGCTGAGTCGAATAGTAGCTGCATAACTGGTCGGCAATGTCGACTCCGTTCATGTGGTGGTTGTTGTCATCGATGATTTTGGGATGGGAAGTAACGCCATGGAACGTCCTTTATGAGCAGCCCGCACTGACTTTGCGCTGGCGCTTGTCTCTCGAGGGCGTCTGCGATCTTGGACAACGGATCAGTCGTTGTCGCCGAGGCTGAGGGCATGGACGGTGAAGAGTATGGAGACAGGTCTATTGTCCATCCAGAACACGGTAAGAACCTGAAGTGGGTCTGGCGATTGTCGCGGTTAGCTTTTATAGCCTAGCAGAGGGCAAGAGTGGTAACTCTCTTCGTTAAATAAAAGAAAAGGAAGCGAAGCACCTATCTATCACAGGCTCTACTTTTGAGAACCAATGTTGCTCAGGCTCGTTGGGGTTGGAGACATGAAAAAAACGCTTCAGTTGTTCGAAGCGGACGAGGGACATGAAGGTAGTGATGTTGTGTTGAGGACATTCAGGGAAGGTTGACCAATACTCAGAGACAGAGTTCTGCCTGAACACGCCCATGTAGACAATGATGCCGAGGAATGTGCGCAGTTCGTCAGGTGTGGTCTTTACCCATTGGCGCGATCCCTCTCCTGTGCCGGCTCCTTTTGATGCTGCATATGCGTTAGTGTTGTCTGCCAAATCCGTCAATACTGGGTCGGAGAAGATTTTCTTTGTCGGTGGAGCTGAAGCATCTATCACCCCTTCATCTCCTGCCTTCTCCTCCTCCTCGTCCCCAGAGCTATCTGTACCAGGCGTTGGTCGAGTACGACAACGGACCGAAAACAACAACTCCTCCTCCTCCTGTGCCTCGTCAACCTCCTCCGCAGATGCTACTACGGTGCCTTGAGAGTCAGAAACGTCAAAGGAACCGAGGAACTCGAGACTGGAGTCCATGAGTGAGTAGGGTGAAGTCGATGTGTGAGAAAAAAAAGGTAATGGGTTGCGGGATGATGATGAGAAAAAAAGAGCTGAATTCGAGAGTGATGAATGTAATGTGACGAAGACGACAAGGACACTCCCACGACGTAGTCTTCTAACCCGTTTTATTGGAAACCTGGATAAATCGAAAAAAATGTGGTGCAAATTTGCACCACAAACACACTAGGGGATAACGCAAAATTATCTCTTTCATTTATTTTCTCGGGATGGTCGTTCGTTTTTTTTTGTTTGTCCGCCATTCTAAATCAAGTCGTCAACATATGCACTCTCATCTATGTTCGCTCCGTTCTCCTACAACACCACATGAAATAAACGAAGTGAGAGTAAGTACACGCTGCAATCTAGGGTGTCCTTCATACGCAGATCAACAAGCTCTACATCAATGTGAAAAGTCAAATAAAAAGAGGTTTCATACCTCTAAGGACAGGTGGCTCATGTCGTCTTGAATGTATTGCTCGGTTTGCTCCTCTGTTGGGTACTCGTCGTCGCCGTTGGCCTCGTGGTAGTGCTGAACAGGACTTTGTGAGCCCTGGTCAAGCAGATTTGGGAGACCTCGGCCTGACTTGATGTCTGTAGCATTATATAGGAAAGGCGAGGAAAATAAATGTCAGCTGAACACGCTCTCCCGTGAACAAAAACAACGACAACTAGGATCAACCTAGAGGACGTACCTGAAATGATGTCGCGATCGAGGGACTCCTTCCATGCATAGTAAGAGATGGCAGGAACAGGCGTTTCTCTGGCAGCCTTGACGGCCTGCTCGGCCAAGAGACCATACTGGAGATCGGGGAACATGTCCTCGTACTCGAGAGGGTCAGCAAGTCCCTGGGCAGTCTTCTCTCTCTTGGCAGCGACCAACGAGTCCTTCCAGAGCTGGAGAACGCGAGGAACAGCACTACAAAAAATATTGACGAGAAACGTTAGGAACACGCTCAGAGCATGAGTGCTTTCAACCAAGAAATATAGGTGCCACATGTCTTAAGTTTGTACCTTGGGGCATAAGTTCTGGCGAGCATGGCAGCCTCAGGGATACGCTCAGTATCGATAAGAATCTCGATACAGTCCTCCATTTGACCAAGAGACAGGTAGCACGAAAAGGCAACGTTGTTCTTTCCCGCCTCCTTGGCCAAAGCAGCCAACCTCCGGAGACCCTCAGCGTTTCCGCTTGAGGTGTAGATCAGCAAAAGGCCGCTCAAGTCCTTGGCGTGAATAAAGCACTCCTCGGCAAGGTTGATCTTCCACTTGTTCATGGCACAGTCTCCGAGAGTCTTCCATTTGGGCTCTGAATCGGACAATCTAGCAATCACAACAGCCTCATCCAAACGCTCCAACTGGATCGCGAGGTCAAACTTGTGCTCCTGGTCAGTCGAGACCTCCAAGGCAAGCTCCTTCAAGTCCTGGCTCTCCAAGAATCTGGCAATCTTGTTCAGCTGTTCGTGAGGGATGCGGGGCAAGAGTGTCTCGGCAAGCTCCATATCGCCACGAAGGACGGCTGTCTGGTACTCAATAACAGTCAAAGAGATACCGTAGCTGACAACGTTGACATCCTTGTCGACAAGGTACAGGCGGTCGTCGCGAGGAATGTAACCGAGGAGGTAGTGGGCGCTGTCAAAGTGGGCAATGGTCTGTGTCTGACCTCCGACCAAGTAGTTCAAGCGGTTGGCGGTGTTGGTGTAAATGAAGCAGTCTCCAACCCAGCATCCAGTCTGAACACTATAGTAAAGAAGAAACGGATAGCTGTCAGCCTTGCGCTCGATAGATTCAGCTGCATCATCAAGTAGACAAAACAAGGACAGTTGTTCGCCAGGACACCTACTTTTCAGGGATTTCAGTAACGAACTCTAACGCTTCCTCGACACCCTCCTCTCCGACCTGGCCACCGGCCTCGACAAACTGAGAGTAGGCAAGGCGGTTGTAGCGAAGGACGTAGAAGCTATCCTCACAGGCGATGGTCATCAAATCTCCAGTCTCAGACCAGTAGACCTACGAACACGAAACGAATCATACCGATGTTAATGTCTATTTTACATGTGCAATTCAAACTTCACAGCAACAAAAAATACACAGACAACTTACGTTCTTAGGGTCGCAGTCAATGCGACGGACGGTCAAACCAGTCTCCCAGTCGTACAAGTTCAAGAAGCTGGCGCTCTTCACTCCGAGAAGAGTGCCTCCAAAGATGCCCTCAGCAGAGTAGTTAAGGCGGATCAGATTAGGCTTCTCCTTGAAGTTCTTGAAGACCTTGACCTTGTTGGTCGACTCACGAACAGCGTACTCGTTAGAGTCTAAAGCCCAGACAAACTCCAATCCGCTGCCAAAGCTCTTGTTTCTCCAAGCCAAAGCAGTGTAGATGATGTACTCTCCATCTCCGCAAACAACAACAAAGCGTCCATTAGGACTGTGTTGAAGGGTCTGAGGGTACACTTCACAGTTGCCGAGATCCTTGGCAGCGCTAGCAATGCGCTCACCATCCTTGAGCTCGTCGCCCGCGTTGACTCTGACGGTAGAAGTCAGAATGTCGTTGTGCTTCGCCCAGATGATCTTTCCACCGTTATCCATGCTGACAGTGGGTTCCTCACGACCCAGCTAATTGTTTGAAAGTGTAATATAGATGCACGATTAGTGGCTGTTGATTTCGCTTCTGACAAGAGATGAATGCGCTTTCAGATATCCCGCACTCTACCTTGATAACTACTGAACCGTGATCGAAACCCAAAGCGACATCGTTGGTAGAGCGGCGGTAAGCAATAGCCCAGGCGCGGTTCAGGCCATAGTTGAGAGTATTTTCCAGACGGTAAGTGTTGGCGTGCCAGATCTTGACGCTTCCATCCTCGCTTCCTGAAATAATGATGGGCAGTTCTGGATGGAAGACGGCAAATGTGGCGTTTTGAGAATGTCCCTCCAAAGTCTGGACGCAGGTCTTGTTCTGGTAATCCCAAATCTTGACGAGCTGATCATCGCCTGCTGTGACGAGGTAAGGCTTCTCTCCTCCATAGTAGTAGTCGACCCAGTTGACGCCCTTCTCGTGACCCTCCAGTGTAAAGTTGGCGACGCTTGATCCAAGAGACCAGACCTTGACAGTGCGATCCACACAGGCAGAGGCGAATGTGTTGGTATCCTTGGGGTTAATGGTCACGGTCATAATAAAGTGAGTGTGTCCCTCGAATGTCTATTTTTTCATCGAAGGTAAGCGAATGAGGTTCGTAAACGAAGTTTAGTATCACGTCAGGGCGATTGTTCCTATGAGATATCCTTATGAGATCGACAGCAAGATCGCCAGTGGACGAAGGGTCTCACCTGCATGCACTTCCAGTTCTTGTCCCAGTCCCAGAGACGGATGGTCATGTCGTCTGAACCGGACAGAACATAGGGAAGAGTAGGATGGACAGCAATACAGCGAATGTAGTCGCTATGGGCATCCCAGGAGTGAACCTTCTCGTGGGTGTTGTAGTTGAAGACGCGGAGCTGCATGTCGTCGGATCCTGTAATCACATAGTTCTTGCGGGCAATGAACTTGGCAGCACGGACTATTAGAGGCCATTGAAAGGGAGGTGGTCAGGTCATTGTCCATTTTAGATATGATTGTTTATGTAGTGAACAAGCGGTGATATATGTTGTTGTGTCCTGTGTGTTGGTATTCTTACCGGGCTGATCGGTGACCTCAAAGGTCTTGACCAATGCCTACACAGATCAAAGCAAGCAAAGAGGTTGCCACGTTAACAAAAATTATTTTTGACGTTCAGTCGCTAGAGAAAAGGGGGTCAAAACTTCACTGAATACACTGATCAGTTTGATTGTCGCGCGATTACATTACCTGAGTCTCGTAGTTCCAGATGTAGGCATGGCCATCGTACAAGCTGGCAAGGATCCACGGCTCTGTCGGGTGAAAGTCCATAGACTTGACACGCTCAGAGTGTGCGAGCATCTTTTTCTATTTAAATTCAAGTTCCAATTCAATTCAATTCAATTGAACGTCAACTGGTCAGTTCCTGAACGTCTCTCTCCTCTTTCTCTCTCTCTCTCTTATCCTGTCGTAGAAAGCAACATAGGTATGTCTTCCAGCTTGGCGTTATATCGAGTATTCGAGGCAATCGAGGCGTCTCCTCTAGTCCACAAGAAGGGCAAGGGACGGCATCAACTCTGTCGTACCTTGATCTCTAACTTCATAACCTGTAAAGCATTGACACGACACAAAAAGAGATGCATTCGATTAGCTGACTGGACAAAAAGTGCAATGCGGGTATCTTAGAGGTGGTGCGATTAAGACAAGTCGAACCAAGATGTTGGTTTTAGCAGAGAGAGAGTGTGGTAGTTCGTTATAGGCGCTTCTGACCGTCAAGGGTTGACAAGGCGGCGTACCATGATGGACGGGATGTACTGTGAAGACTTAAAACTTTCGCGTGTCCTTGGTTATGGGATGGTGATGGATGGGTGGTTGCGCTTTTTTGGTGGTGTGTTGATGTCGACGATTAAAACAAGGCGGCGAGATGAGGATGGCAGTGAAGATGATAGCGCGAGGAGGAGGAGAAGGACAGAAGGTTGGAGAGATGATGAATGAAAGGGAAACCGAGTTTCAAAAGTCCTGGCCTATCGTCCACTGGCGACGGTAGACTTGGCCTGCTCGTTGGCAGTTATTTGAGGGGCGATCTGGTAAATTACTGACACGTCACTGACGCCACTAATTTCAAGGCTTGTTACTACTTCAGCAAACGACTATCTTCCGACCCCAAAAGCACATGCCCCAACATCATGGGACTCTTTGACTGGTTCCCTTTCATTCGCCGGAAGGGGTACAACCTTGTCTTGTTGTACCACACCATACTCGGCAGCACCATAACTACCGGACGACGCCGTTTTGATGTCCTCGGCTCTAGTTTTCGCACCATCAGATATGCCTACGCCAGTCATCAGATATGCCTACGCCAGTCATCCTCAGGACGTCGCCAACAGAATACTTCAAAAGGAAGTGGAACGATTCGGGAATCATCTCAATATGACGCTGTACCTCGATGGTCTACAGCCACTAGAGAGGGCGAGTACTGCTCAAGTTCGAGAAGCGGCCCGAATGAAGGCGTTGGACCATCTTTCGACAAGCGTGGAAACTTTCGAAACTCGAATGGAGGCGGATCTCAGGATCAGAAAACAGCACTTTGTCACCATCCGGAAGAACCTTGATTCGGCGTTCTATTGGTCCTTGTCGAGTCGGCGACACTTTGCGGAGTACATGAGAGGTGTCGGTTGGACTGTTATACTTTGCAATACGGAGGCAGATGTTGGTATCGCGCGGGGATACCCAGCCGGGAGACATTGTAATATCCTCGGACAGCGACATGATGGCCTACGCATCTGTCCAAACACTTTGGCGGCCTGTCTCCAAGGATTCAAGACTATCGAATTCAGCCGGAACCAGCTAACTGCACTGGCCATCGTCTTTCTAGAAATGACTACCAAAGGAACATTTACTCCCTTGGCCCGGCATCCAACTACTCCATCATCAAGGCTATTGGACAAGACCAGGTACAGCTTTGTCAAGAATGACTTTTATTTGGAACCTTTCACAACCTCTTTATGTTAGAGTTTAATCTCTACCTTTTCTCTTTTGAAATACCCTTTACTCCCACCAATTTGGTGCGATCGGTCTCTGGCCAATTGGCCTTGGAATTCAAGAAAATATACAGGAATGGGACATTTGATCTCTACAAGAAGGTATGCAATGAAATGTTTTTTTACTGTCGCTACTATGTTTTCAGACACTTGTCTTCCAAAAAAAATAAGTAATATTGTTTTTTCCCCTTTGTTATGGGCTGAGATTATGAAGAAGATGGGGACTCAGGGAACCACCGTCGACATTCAGATTCGGGAGGAAATTTCAGCGGCTGGGAACTTTCACCACCTTAACAAGCTCACCAAAAACAGCCGCAAGATCGCGCCCTTCACCACTTCCCAGCAACCCATTGTAGCCTTTTCTGAACGGGAGCTTGCCTTACTCTTTTGGAAGCGGAAGCCGTTAAGGGAGAGACTGGAAGAATTTGCTCGCCAGGACCATACCCAGATAACGTCTACGAACGATCTCGAGACATGGATTACTGGGAAGGAGCCCGGGTACATCATAAAGCACTTCATCTGTGACGTGGCGCCCCAAGATCTAACGAGTCGCCAGCGGAGAAAGGCCGGTCACCGAGCAGCTGTAAGGCTGTTGTCATTGAACGAGATTGGAGCACACCTGGATGTTGTCAAGGAAAAGCACCTCGACCCGTCGCAATACAAAGAACGATGATACTTGTTGAGGGGTTCCATTAGGACTGACGGTTTCCGTGTTCAGCTTCTCGCCTTTAAGCTGCGGGAACTGCAGGATGTCCGTTATCAACGTTTGTCAGAGAACCGTCTGCCGCCTAGATTGACACCCACAGTGGGAGGTACCGACTACTACCTTCAAGAGATTCAGAACGTGATCACAAGCAAGGAGGACATTGAGCGGCTCTGACCCGGGATAAATATCGAGGATATCAGGACTTTGACCTTGGGCGCTGGACAGGCTTGCGTCATTGGAGTATTCGCGCATCTGCCCACCGAGTCGCCAACCGAGTCCAAAGACAAGGAGCCAGTCAAGAACGACTTACCGATGGGAGGAGTCATGGTCGCCATCCAACAGCCAGCAGTAGGAGCCGTTGCTCAGGATCTAACTCTCCTTGCCACAGCATAGGAAGTAGCAACAAGCGCGCTCATGAGATCGCCATGGCCGGTGTTCTTCAACCTCGCCGTCAAAAGCAAAGCGATATATCAGCCCAATTTCCGGTTCCGGAGGTGGTCGGAAAACGAAAAGAAGACGACCCCAGATGGTGAGGACGAGTCAGTCCAAGACATTGAGATTAGATTGCCTCCTCTCAAAGGACAAAAGGCAAGTGTCGTCCACTACGTCAAAAAACCGGAGTTGGTTGAGACACGTTTATTGGAATTTTATTCTGCAAGCGACAATCGATACAATCGTCACGTTTAGGATATGAAGCGTGCAAGGCATATGGAGTTCCAATTGGTCGCGGATCAGCTCCTCAAGATTGTTGGCGGCGAAAATGGTCTCCGTTACGATCCTTCGAAACCAGCTCTCATTGGCGTAGGTCTAGGTCAGTTCTCGACAAGATCCCGACTCTCTTCCCTCCACTCATCCTTCCTTACTTACTTTGTCCAGAAGGTAAGCATCGTATTATAATGTTGTTCACCAATCAGCAAACAGCCCTCCATACTTCACATGCGCCAGTCGCTTGGCTACGTGGTGGTAGGGCCCTGGATGCGAACTGTTTGTGGGCCAGGTCGACATCCGACGCCTCTACTGCTCAAAGTGTCAAGTCTACCACCACCGTGATGTTATGGCGGCAGAGAACATAACAAATATTATCCAAGAGTATCTTGTGCGGCAGGAGCGTCCGGATTGCCTCCACCCAGGTGCCGAGGACGGCTCCCTCCCTTGGAAGGCGAAGCGCGATGCTAGATCAAGTTCGAGCTCGAGCACTGCCACGGCTAGCAATGCCATCAGCTGTACAGGTGTCCAAGGACGTCGTAAGAGGGCTTCAACTACCTCAACGCCAGAGCAGGAACAACCCCAAAAGTCCTCCAAGTCGTCCAAGTTGGCCAAGGCGTTGAAGGCGTCCAAATCATAGAATAGTTTATTTCGGGGTGTTCATCCACACCCATTAGTGCTGGTAGGGGGCAGTGGATGCCTTGATAACTCGCTTCGGTGACGTAATTATGGCGCCCATTCCCCAGCCACGCCACCAATTTAATACCCTTTAATTTTTAATTCGTCTGACAGAGCACAATTGTCTTTATTAGGAAGGTTGATCATGTCCGCCCTGTGTGCCTTTTAAAAAGTAAGGTAGCTAGCGATGGTTTCGGTCAAGGGGAGAGTGTAAGGCAGGACGACAAGCTCCAAGGCCGCTCCCATCATCAGCCAGTGGTGGACGTACCATAGCTTGATCGTGCCGTGGAAGAAGGCATCGTATCCTATAAAATCAATCACTACGAGTGTTAGCATAATGTGGTACAAAACCGCGTTACCAATTGAACGAACGAAGCAAGTTGAACCCCACGTCAAGAATTATTCTCTTTCACTTGCCTCTGTAGGTCCATGCAGCATTGTATCCGATCAAGTAGATTAATGTGTAGCCCTGGATCATCTCCAAAAGCCAGATGTTGAGGGGGAAGAGCAAGATACGGAGAGCGGTCGAGCCGATAAAGGCATGGTAGCCGTGAATCAGAATGGGGATATAGAAAACATTCATGAAGTACTGGTGAACAGTCTATAACAAAAAAAAGAGTTCGTGCGCGAGTTTTAGGATCGTTGGCTCGTTCAATTGCCCTCAATTGCTATCAGAGAGTCTTTATCATAGTTACCGTGTGTCCGGGACGGCCAGCAAAGGGCTTGACGCTCACAGTGCCATCGGGTGACTCGACCGTCATAGTGTAGAAGGTGTATTCTAATACCCAGAAAAAATCCCACGGTTAGCGGATGGTGTGGTACAACGCAAGGCAGAAAGAAAATGGGGCGAGTATGTCAAAACACGTACCTGTGCAACTGAACAGGCCGGCTCCAATCAGGCATTGAAGCTTAACAGCGAGGGAGGTTGCGTGAAACCACTGAATGAACACGAGGGCGATCAGGATGTAGCCGAGTGGAGGAATGGGATGAGCATTCGACTTTGGAGGAGCAGGGGCACGAATGAATGACCATGCCGAAGGCTTTATTTTTTTAGGGCGGGCGATAGCCATGGTGGAGGTGGGCAGTAGTGGAGTGTGGTGAAGTCAGGTAGAGAAGAAGAAAAAAAAAAGAAGGAAAAGAAAATGAAAAAGAAAAAGAGGATGGAGAGAATAAAAGTGTGGAGAAAAGTACACTAGGAGAGACGAACAAGAAAGTACAACTGGCGTTCTTGAAATGCATCCGAGTCGTGGCTCTCAGGTTCGCTCCACAAACCGACTCACATGTCAAAAATAAAGGTCTAAGTTATTCATATAGGGTCATAGATAGAGGAAAAGAGAACACCTTCAAAACTTCCACGCCTTTTTAAATTTTGGGCTTTGCATGGACTAGTTTCTTACTATTCAATTTACACCCTCTTTTGTCTACGGCTCCAGCGCGGCAACCAGGGTGCAAGATCGATTCTCCACTAATTTGTGGCTAATTGTCTTGTCACCGGTCAGATCGGGTTTGTCATGGAGACTCCATCAATATCCTTCACTATCAGACCAGAATGAATTCCCTGTAACTGATAAAGTTGCTCTGATCAAACCCTGGTATGTAAAACCGACAGTGAAGGAGGGAAGTCCATGCGTCCTTCCTCGTCTCCCTCTCTCTCTCTTTTATTTTCTATGTTCTACGTTGCCTAAGCACCTGTTTGCTTCATTTTTGACCCTTACACTTTCATTCCTCCCAATCCAATCCGCCCCTCTTCTCGACAATCACATTCAACGCAACTTCTCTGCTGCAGCCTGCAAGGCTCTTCCGCTTTCGGAACTTCAACTTGAGACGACTCTCTTCTGGGGGGCTGTATAAAGAAGAGCGAAGTCTTTATGGATACCTAGCCCGTGATCTCGACGCGATATGCCTTGGGCAATTGTGCCTTTTCTTTGGAAGAGCATTGGCTAAAGGCGAGCACAATTGCATGGAGAACGAGTACACAAGTTGGTGGCGAAGAGCAAGGGTGGCTTGGCATGTGACTGCACTTTTTTCTTTTCTATCATCTTCAGCGGCACACCCCCACCACCACCAAAGCTCCATCACCATTCATTTTCTCTCAACTGCACAACATGATTCTCGGGTTCTGGGGTAAGGTTCTCCGCCATGGCAGTCCTTGCCGTGGAGAAACTTATTCACCAGAGTACATTCGATGAAAGTCATTTAGTGGCATCGGTTCTTTGGGCTTTAGCATTGCAACTTACTTTTCACATTTCATTTCCAACTCAACTCCACTAGGACTAACTATCTTGCCTGACAAGACCTACACACAGATTGTGGATAACTCGTTCAAGGTGTCCATGGTGAGCTACCAACTTGGATTTAAATCGCATATTGCAATACATCTCCACGTGGTTTCTGTCGTACTGTTGTTTCATGGCGAACTTACGAGCAGCTCTCTGCATACATTCGTGATAGGCTGCCTTGGACGAGGAGACCAAGCCTGGCCGTACTTCACTTCGCGTCAGCGTCAACAACAAATCGCAAGTTCTTTGCTCCCTCATCCCCGGAAGCGTCGACCAACAAAAGCTGGACTTGGCATTCGCCGAAGGCGAGGAAATCACCTTTTCTGTTACTGGCGACAAGTAAGGCAAAGCTTATTTTCCCCTGCCAGATTAATCAAGGTCTTGATCAATGCCTAGGATTACCTAACAGCCGCATTTTTCAATGTCCTGTTTTCAATTACAGTGTCGTTCATCTTTCAGGAAACTATCTCCCAGATACTGGTGCCCAGGATGGTGACGAGGACGAGGACGACTACGACGAGGAGGATGATGACATGTACGGCGGATACGACGAGGACGACGACGGTAACATTGTGATTTCCCAGGGTACCAAGCGACTCGCAGATTTAATTGGCGACGAGGATGAGGATGAGGACTCTGAGGATGACCCCGACTTCACTGGAGAGGATGATGAAGAGGACGAGGATGATTCCGATGACGACGATGATGAGGGGAGCTCCAACCCATATGCCGCGCAAGCCGAGGGCGACGAAGATGTCAGCGAAGAGGAGGACGACGACGAGGATGATGAGGAGGAGATCGACGGCGACGATGACGAAGATGAAGATGGTGGTGATGATGATGATGAGGATGATAGTGAGGACGACGAGGACGAGGAGCCCGAACCCGTCAAGAAGGAGGCAGCACCCGCATCAAAGAAGCAAAAGGTCTCTGAAGAGAAGGCAATCCCTATCAAGCCCAAGAAGGAAGCCACCCCAGCCAAGGCCAAGGAGGAGCCAAAGAAGGCACACAAGAAGACTCTCCCCAACGGTCTGGTGATTGAGGATACCAAGGCCGGTGAGGGAGCACGAGCAAAGAGCGGCAAGAAGATCGGCATGCGCTACATTGGTCGTTTGGAAAACGGAAAGGTCTTTGACAAGAACACCAGCGGGAAGCCCTTCAGCTTTAAGCTCGGTGCTGGCGAAGTGATCAAGGGTTGGGACTTCGGTATCCAAGGCATGCAGCTCAACGGCGAGCGTCGCCTGACCATTCCCCCCGCACTCGCGTAAGTCTACACCTGCCATGCAAATTGTAATGTGTATGTATTTGTTGTTCTTCAGAGAAGCTAACTTATGTTGGGTTTAATTGATGATTCGATAGATATGGCGCCCAGGGAGCACCGCCAGACATTCCCCGCAACGCGACCTTGGTGTTTGAGGTCAAGCTTGTCTCCTTGAAGTAAAGCGTTACATTCTTAATAAATAAGCCTTTCAAATATCTTTTCACTGGTGGCAGTGACACAACATATGGACCATGTGGCGGGAATGTCGTTTGCATTTTACTTTGGCAGGCCATGCGATTGCAAAATTTTCTTTTCTGCCATTTGACCTCTTCATTTTTTCACAACCCGACAACATTTTTTTTCCCTTGACCAACACTCTCTTTAAAGCCCACACCTCTTCTGTTTTTTCTCCTCTTTTCACTATGGATCAGTCCTCAGGTAAAGAACCCTACTTACTTCCTTCCTCCCAAACGGTCGCATCTCATCCAGGGAACTGCCGCATCACCCTCCTTTGACTTGCAAATCACACCAACAACTCGATCTCTGCAGCTCGCTGTTCATGTTCATAACTACCCTGGAGAAAAATAGCCAAAAAGATAAAATGGCCTTGATGACTCCGACGCATACAACGACAGCCGAGCTCACACTCATGAGGCGTCAACTCGATAAGCAAGAGCACGTTGTCAACACACTCGGCATCGGCGAAGAAATATGCAGCAGCGGTCTCTTTGTCGGATCTCTTGATTTTTCTCAATTGATTCTGCAAAGGATTGCTTGCGTGTTCATGTCTCGGACAAACCCAAAAATCGACCAGGACCCTTACAGTCTGCAGTACTCTGTGGGTGAAATGGGCAATCGCTCGTCGATGACAAGATCTTGACATCGTTTGTATTTTTATTTTTTTTGTATGCTCACTTTTAGCCAACGTTGACATCAAGAAGAAGCAGCAACAGGAAGCCCCTACCCCTCAGAACACACCTCACTTTTCCAACCTCAACTCTTCTGCACCCCCCGCCGATAACATGGAGACCATTCAGACCCCAGGTAAAGAAGAGAGGGACGTGGCGGATAACTATATATGTGCTTTTGGTTGGGTGTTGGAGATAGCAAGCGGAAGGGGCAAGGAATTAATAACCAGAACGAAACAAGGAAGAGAGGGACGTGTTCAATGGCGCTATTCACTGGCTCAGTCGTTATTTTTTGCATTTTTCCCCCCAACAAAAAAAAAGATTTTTTTGGTTTGAAAAGGTGGAGGGAAGGGAGGAATGCAGACATTCGCGTTTTACTGACTGTAATCTGTAATCTATTTAATCTCCTCTGCTTGTTCCTGTCGCGATAACAACAGGATCCGTCCTCGCCAACAACCCCCAGCTCATGTCCATGTTGCAGGGCCGTCTTGGCAACTTGGTCGGTGCCCCCTCCGGCTACCTCCAGACCCTGAGCCCCGACGTCCGCCGTCGTGTCAAGGGCTTGAAGTCCCTCCAGAACAAGTATACCGCCCTCGAGATCGAGTTCCAGAAGGAGATCCTCGCCCTCGAGAAGAAGTACCTTGAGCTCTACACTCCCCTTTACCAGAAGCGTGCCGAGGTTGTCTCTGGCAAGACTGAACCCACCGATGCCGAGGTCGAGGATGGTGTCAGCGAGGATGAGGAGGAGGACGACGAGAAGGATGAGGATGACGAGGACAAGGAGTTCGAGAAGGTTGAGGGTAAGTCTATTGGAGAGTCAATATTCTCGAAGTCATCTATCATTGTAAAGCGTTATCTGTTTGGGTCTGCCCCTGAATCGCTCAATAACCTTGTGTGTGATTAAATTTTGACAATGATTAGGTATCCCCGAGTTCTGGCTCACCGCCTTGAAGACCAACGCTCAGTTCGCCGATATCATCACCGAGAAGGATGAGGAGGCCTTGAAGCACTTGGTCGATATCCGCATGGCCTATTTCGACAAGCCTGGCTTCCGTCTCGATTTCGAGTTCTCGCCCAACGACATCTTCACCAACACCATCTTGACCAAGACCTATTTCTACCACGACGAGCCCGGTTATGGCGGCGACTTTGTCTACGACCACGCCGAGGGCACTAAGATCGACTGGAAGGAGGGCAAGGATCTCTCGGTCACCGTTGAGACCAAGAAGCAGCGCCACAAGGGCACCAACAAGACCCGCGTCGTCAAGAAGACTGTCCCCGCCGAGACCTTCTTCTCCTTCTTCTCTCCCCCCGTTGCTCCCGAGGAGGAGGACGAGGACGAGGAGGAGGAGGAGGAGGATGAGGACATTGATGAGAGACTCGAGGCTGACTACGGTTTGGGCGAGGAGCTCAAGGACTCGATCATTCCCCGTGCCGTCGACTGGTTCACCGGCAAGGCTCTTCAGTACCAGGACAACGGCGACCAGTACGATGACGACTTTGAGTACGATGACGATGAGGAGGAGGAGGACGATGATGATGAGGACGACGATGAGGTCGATGATGACGATGAGCAGCCCGCCAAGGATGAGAAGGCACCCGAGTGTAAACAACAGTGAGCAGTGCATGCGCCTCACCATACGGCATGCAATACCACGATCCAACTTCCACCAAAATAAATGCATTGCTTTCAGATCGATATTGACAATTTCGTCCGCAATTAATTGCGGTGCTGCTGTAATTTATTACACTGCCCTTCCTCCCTATGGACTTTATCATCAGAGTCTTCCTCTCCCTACATCCTGTTTTCATCGAGTCTGTGTGCGATTGTGTACATCTGTCCCTAATTCACGTTCAACAGCGACTTATCATACTTATTTTGTCGTTGTTTCCTAATGAATATGTATGTGTGCCCAACCTTTTTTTTTCTTTACGAACGGCATGCTTGCTTGCTTTTTTAACGAGCATCAGGTGAGATGGAGCGCTTCTCAGCGTTCGATCCTCGACGTTCACCAGAGGGGCTGGGCGAGCGACGTCCACGGGCAGAGGGCGATGGCTCTCTGTTGGCGGCACCTTCCTGACGGCTATCACGGCGATCTTCTCCTCCACGCTCCTCTCCGCGGTCCTCTCCACCACGGCGCTCCTCGCGGTCCTCTCTACGATCATCGCCTCCACGGCGGTCGCGATCTTCACGGTCATCTTTGCGGTCACGGTCGTCTCGACGGTCGTCTCTGCGGCGGTCATCTCCACGGCGGTCGTCGCGACGATCATCGCGGCGGTCATCCCTGCGGCGGTCATCACGGCGGTCATCTCCACGGCGATCACGGTCGCGGCGAGGAGAGCGGGATCTGGAGCGGTCACGTCGGCCGCGGGGCGAGCGCGATCTATTAAGTAAATGAAAAAAGGCAAGGTTAGATTTTATGAAGGAGAGCATTTGGGCGAGCCTGGTTTGCGTGATGTTGTCTGTCATAAACAAGTACCTTCTGCGTTCACGGTCGCGGTCAGAGCGTCCACCTCCAGCTCCACCTCCACCTCCACGGCAATCGCGTGCCCAATGTCCTATTTTCATTGTAGACCATAGATTGGCAGCATGGATTTGTGTTAGTGATAATTATTCCTGAGTGTACTTCTTGCCATTGAATATCCAGTCATTTCTTCCTGTGAATAGTGTTGGTAGGTAACAAAACAATAATGGTGCTTTTGTATTACCCTCCTTGCCGCACTATCGTAAGTAAAGTAAATAGAGGGTGATGATTGGTTAGAAAGAGTTCTTACAAATAAACAACAACACCCACGGGGAAGACGACTAAAAAATAGTGACAAAGGTCGATCCTGTATTTTTACCTTGAAGCACTCGTTATCACCACCACGACGTCCATTGTTCTTGGCAAACTCGACAACGATGGGGTTGCCGTTGATGAGATGGCCGTTCAGCTTGTGGACAGCCTCCTCAGCATCGCGGATATCCTATTAGCAAAACGACGAATAACATCATCAGCAATTGAATTGTAAATACAGGTCCATGTGGTTCCAGTGCCTCCAGTTGAAACGGCGTTTTTTTGTGTCGAAATTGTCCGTACCTCATATTCCACGAAGCCGAAGCTCGAGTTGACACCTATGAGGGGTTGTGGCGGAGAGCAAGAGAGAGTGAGTGAGGGTTCGATTGTAACGATAAGAGGCGTGCCCGACATGAGTGTTGTTTGCCGCTTGTTGCTGTTGCTAAGATTGTTTATATACCTCGCTTGATGTCCAAACGGGTCACTCGACCATATTTGTTGAAGAGATCCTCGAGGTCGCGGGAGCGGGTGTCCTGAGAGAGTCGTCCTAAAAAGAGAGCCATGGATGTGTGTTGATAAGGGGGGAATGGAAAGGGAAGGCTGGATGAAAAAGAAACAAAAACAGTGATGGTCAATCAAAAAATAGGTGAGAGCGATCTCTAAAAGAAGAGGCTTAGCAAACACACTTCCTTCGTCGTCCCTATTTTTTCAATGGTCCAAAGAAAAGTTGCCACCAAACCTTGCTGTCGCACTTTGGTTCCAGTTCACTACCTTTTTGTTTCAATGGCAGAAAACCCACCACCACCCACAGGAATGTTACCGCAGGAACAGGATAGTCTCTTCAAGGACATCCTTCACAGCATCCATCAACTCCCTCGGCTGGCCCCACAGGAGCGACGCGTAATGTAACTGACCACCAGAATATAGCACAGCAACTGGAAGGGTGGTTTATACCTTGACCTTTGAGAGACGTATCCACCTTTGCTGACCCTTCACTACCTTACTTATTTCTCAACCAGTATTCGAGAGTTCATCGAATGTTGCGATGAAGGCGATTTTCAAGTCCTACATCGACTTCTCGGCCAAATCAACCGGTCTGGATACGACCTCGTCTCGGCGCTTCCCGTCGAAGTCTCTCACCACCTTTTCTTGTACCTTGACGGCATGGAATTGGTCCGCTGTCAAGCGGTATGCAGGTCTTGGAGAGGGATTATCCAGGGCAACGACGCTCTTTGGAAGGCCAAAGTCCGCGACTGGGACCCGGCTGAATGTACGCTTCTCAAGGACGTCATGGACTATCAAATAAAACCGACTCGTAGCACACCACATCACCAATCTCAACAAATACCACCTATGATGCATGACTCTCACGACAAATATCCGCCAGCAGCTGAGACGGATTCGTTATTGGACAGGATTGAGAGTCGACCAGGATTCATCGGCTGGAAGGAGGCTGTTGTTCGCGAACTGGTGCTGAAGCAGAACTGGAAATGGGGTCGATGCGTCCACCAGCTGACGTTGTCGTTGACCATGGACATCAAGCCGATGCTGTTGGCGTGGCCATTGTTGATACTGGTCGACAATTGGCCGCGCATACACAAGATCTCATTGGACGGATTCAGAGGGGTTCGATATAGGGAGTTTCCTCAAGGGAATGGACGGCACTATCTGATGATGGAGGTTCCTCGAGGACATGGCTCTGTCAGTTGCGTTGCATGGGACACCACCGGCTTGGCAACCACCCAGGCTCCCATGCCCACAGAGACTGGCGATGTTGAGGAGGGGCAATCGCTACCTTTGGCACTTGGAGGATTCTTGAGGTTTGTGGCGCCTTACGACTTAAATCCTACAGCGCGTTAATTAATCGCAGCCAGCGACATTTCCCAGTACAGGGTTGCAACTGACGATTTTTTTTTCTATCATACAATAGGACTGTCAGGATGTGTGACCCTGAAACAGAAACAAGCACGACGCTACCCAACATGCTACATGGATTCGCGCTGCATCTTTGTTATGTACGCGACAAGATCATCTCTGTCACCTTGGACGGTCATGTTATTTTCTTTCCAAAGTTGCCACCGTTTGTTCCTGTTCGGTCGAGCAGCGTCAACACCAAGGTACGCATTATCTCATCAATAGGCTTATTTAAAAGCAAGTCGGATTATACATTTGTATCTCACATTCCTCCTGCGCGCTGTGTTAGGTACTCCAAGTGATAGCGGTCGACTTCGGATCAAGGACATTTGAGCGCGGACAAGGAAACCTCTTGCAAACCTGGCAGGCGGCCGTTTGCCTTGCACACGAAGACGGGGTGATCATCAAGGATGAACATTCGCAAACATTATGTCAGGTTCAACTTGAGTTGGGGGCAAAGTTGATCCACATCCAGGCGATTGCAGACAACACCTGGCCCTACCGCAACGAACTCTTGATCCTCTACGAAGAGCCGAACACGCGTCAGAGACTCGTTCTCTGTGTCCAAATGGAGCCAGGATACAGGGAAGAGAGTTCCAGGAGGTTGCTGACACCTAGTTTCTCGTTGGGCAGAGGTGGCGATGCCCGCGATTCGATTGCAATGTATCGCGACCGGATCGGTATCATGAGCCACCGCAACTGTTCCTCCGACCTAGGTCATTATTGTTTGCTCCGGTTGATGGACCTGAAGCAGGATGTGGCTGTCAGCACGGAGTATGCTAGATCTGAGAGTGTGGACGAAGAGGAGGCTGTCGCTGATGGCGCGGACATCGATGATGGCAGTCATGGCGATAACGAGGACGAGGTCGAGGACGGTGATGAAGGAGGAGTTTTGAAGGCAAGCAGCGTTCATATGCGCGGGAAGGCTATCCGGCTGGACCATACTACGGTCAACAAGGCCGCGTATCGAATTTTGGCGCTGGATCATGCAAGAATTGTGCTCGGGGTAGGGCCGAGGACTGTCAAGATCCTCTATCTGGTATAGTAGTTGGACGTCTTTCTTGTGTTTTGATCCCCTTCCCGCTTTGTATATAAAATTGAACTAGCCAGAACGGCCATTGGGTTGTTCGTGTGTTTGAATGTGCTTGCCCCTTTTCTTCAACGCATTGTTTTGTCGACTGTTCGTGCGTGTGTGAGAGAGTGTGAAAGGGTGTGTGGGCTGTGTGCAAGCATACAAGAACAGATGCGAGTGACTGGCATGTCCAAGTGAGAGAGAGAGGATGGAGTGCCAAATGTACCTGCTCCTTGTTCTTGTCCTTTTCTCAACTTCTCTCTTACACTTTTTATCATTTTTTTTCTGTCCGCCCTTTACCCTTTCTTCAACCCTTGCCCTTCTTCACCTTCCCTCTCCGTGCCTTGGGTGCTGTGCCTTTTTTTTTTGTCTGTCCGTCCGCCCTTGTCAATCATTCCTCCTTCTTACTTCATTAGGCACCTACGCACCTCACTACTTCTACTTCTCACTTCGACTGCCAAACACCGCGCATAGAAAACGACTGCGACATTCCTTCCACCCCTCTTCACTCGTCCCTGTTGTTGACCCTCCCCTCAGCTCCAACTCTCCACTTCTCTTTTTCCTACTCCTTCTCTTCCGTCATTCCTCCCCTCGCCTCAGCTTACTTGACTTGACACACGTCGGCTCACAATCACCAACCTATAAAGACTGACGTTGAGCAAGGAGGAAGAAAAGCGTCATGCACCTGGAAACCAAGCACTGCGAGCATGCAACAATACTAGCTGCACGCCCAAACCCCCTTGCCAAGATTGAATCCACCAGCTTCAAGGCAAGTCCTTTCACTTCTTCTTTCTCCACCTCATTCATTCAGTTGGACAAGCATCCATACACGCCATACAGTATAACTAGCAGGAGGGCTAGAAGGACTAGCAGGGGAAGACAGGATGAATTCAGATATAATAACTCGTTGTCTTGCGGAACTGTCGTCGTTGTTTTATTTCTTCACACTTTCTTCGCGGTTCACGCCTTTCAAGGTGCCAGAGCAACGAAGACTCCTTTCAAGGTGCTCGTTTAAGAAGACAAAGTGGGAAAGAAAGTGAAGAGTTGGGGTACGGCTGGCGGAGTTGGGAACCCAGAGTTTTTTTTATGTTTTTTCGCACAACCCATCCATTCCGCACAGTCTCGGTGCCGTGCTCACTTTTCACGAACCGGAACTGTGGCTGTGCCGAATGGACAGGAATCGGGGTATCCATGACGGAACAGGGACAGTCTGGCCAAATCTGAGTATTCAAGGACACGGACTATCATCAGGGCGACTCTCCAATAAAATAAATCCGACAATCATTGGTTATTTCACATGGAAGCACAGAATAGCTAACCGGTCGTTCTTTCCATTGGTAACAATAGAAAAATCTCGCCTCTGCAAGCTTGAAGTGTGATGGATGCGAGGTCAGAGTCCCAAGGCTCTGGATCTGCTTGGAGGTAACGGAGCTTGCTTTCCCCTCTCTTTCTCTCTCTGCGCACCCTCCTCAATTCATGCTGGACCTGGCAGTAGCACTGCCGCCCAGTCCCTCCGCCTCCACTTCCCTCTGCCACAACTGACAACATGGATGCTGGGATGCGCCGACATGTCAAAAACAACAACAATTCAGCCTAACAATACCCTTCTACTGCAATCGATTCGCCATTAGCCGAGCTGTCGAGCTGTCGTGTGTACGACTTCAAGTAGCTCGCACATGAAGATACATTATGGATCGCTTCACAAGGTACTTGATAGTCAATTTGTTGCCCAAAAAAATAAGAGTTGCTGTCATGGCGCTATCCTCTCTCAAGGGACATGACCCTGAAACGATTTGTATGCCTTTTGGATCTTGACCTGTTTGTGCATCTAGGAGGCGGTCAGGGATGCTTGCCATTGCGTCTTCATGAACCCAAGGTACCGTGCTTGTTTTTTCTTGCTCGTTAATTGCCTTTGTTTTCTACCTTGCTGATTTGTCATCTTGCAGGCTGATTTTGGTAGATGTTGACACCTCCTACCTTTACTTTTCACTCCTCCGCGATCCTTTTTTTGCTGTACTGTAGGACGTTGACCATTTGGTGCTACCGCTGCGAGTGTGAGTTGAACCCCTTTACTGAAGGCAACTTGATCTCACCGACTGGAAGGCTCTTTTTGAAAACGGCCGTTCGATGCATGGTGAGTGAGCTGTGCTGGACATGTTAGCGGATGTTTTAGTCACGGATATTCTTCCAATAGAATTTCCTTGCGATGTGGTTTCTAATATATTTTATTTTTCCTCTACGCAGCAGGGAAAGAAGAGCAAGCAGGATGGAGATGGCACCATTCAAGATCTGGACTTGACTGGTCTCGTAGGACTAAAGAACTTGGGAAATACCTGTTACATGAACGCGGCTCTGCAAGCGCTCGCCCATACGTAAGCTCTTGGCCATTGTCGATCAATCCAAGGAGTATAATCGCAGGAAACGATGAGATCGATCAATCGTATTAACAACACCGATCATTATGTGTACTCTGCCAACTAGCCCTGCCCTCACCCAATACTTTCAGACATGCGAGGCGTTCATCCCGGAGTCCCGGAGGGTAGAATACGCGCGGCAAAAGAACATTATGCTTGTCGACAGCTTTTTCAACTTTGTTGACAGCATGTGGAGCGGAAAGAGGTAACCTTCAGTTCATTTTGCTTCTCCCATATCTCATTGAAGGCGTTGTCAATTGAACTTGTTGTGTTTACTGAACTGGCATTGTTGGCTTGTCTGCGCCCCGCACTTAATTAGTGCAATATTCTCACCCGCCCATCTGGTCTCCGATGTGAAAAAGTTCAACGACATGTTTCAGGGGACATCACAGCAGGATGCACAGGAGTTTTTACGGTGTATTCTCGACAAGCTGCACGACGAGCTGACCTATCCAAGAAAGTATCCGGACCCCAACATAATCCTTCCAAATATACCCATTCAGGACGAAAAGCTAAACAAAACCAAGGCCGTCCAGCTCCCACAACAGACTTCAGTCAAATCTTCCAACGGTACTTCAAAGGATACTTCGCGGTCGTCGAACCCCAAAGCCGTCACCACCAGCAGTCTCTCTTATGCTTCATCGCGGTCTTCAACATCGTCGCGCTCATTGCAGTCCTCCGAGAATTCGTCGCTTGTGGAGAACGCCGAGATCACGCCAGCGCGTGTGACCAATCCCAGTATTATCAGCGATCTGTTTGAGGGAACTCTGGAGAGCAGGGTCCGTTGTTTGAGCTGTCGCAAGGAATACATCAAGGAGGACAAGTTTTTCGACCTGTCGATACCAATTGACAAGAAGAACAAGATAATTGATGACACGTTGGACGGCAAGAATGGCAAGGACAAAGAGAACGGAGTGCTGGGGTCGTTTGTAGACTCCATCGGAGGATGGCTTAGGTACAGATCGAAGACATGCGAGTTCCCGTGCGCGTACGTAGGGCGACTATGCTGGCACACCTGAATCCACCAACTAATATCATTACCGCGTATTTCTCTAGCATCAACAACCGCGCTATCAAGCTAAGCGACTGTTTGGCATCGTTTTGCGCCACAGAAGAGCTCACTGGCGAGGATCGATACCGCTGCACACAATGTGATGCCCTGAACGACTGCAGGAAAACATTCAAGATCACACGGTTGCCTGAGACGTTATGCATCCACCTGAAGCGATTCCGCTACGACACTTACTCTTCGAAAATCAACACATACGTCCAGTTTCCAATGGAGGATTTGGACATGACGCCCTTTTTGAAATCAACGGACCACCAAGAGCTCAGCAATAGCAAGTACGACCTGTACGCCATGGTCCGCCACAGAGGAGTCGTTGGAGGTAATCATCGCTACTGGGGTTAGTTTGGCTGCTGTGCCGTTTGTTGTCCAGCATTTTTCTGACTAAGGTGGCAAATCATTATTGACATTTGTAGGTGGCCATTACATTGGATACGCCAAACACGCCGTCGATGGATGCTGGTACGAGTTTGACGACACGGTACGTAAAGTTGCCTGTTTCTGCATATGCCTTGTTGAATGAAATGTCAACACACTTTAGCCATCTCGTATTGCTAATTACTGCTCGCTACATTGTCCTACCGCATTCATTAGTATGTCACAAGGAAGGCGCCTGCCGATGTTGCCAAGATGGAGGCGTATATTTTGTTCTACCAACGAAAGTCACCACACCGCGACGAGGACCGAACAAGGATATCCAAGTATATGACAAAACCGCTAATGCAGATCTATGACAAGGACCTTTTGGTGTACATTTCAAGTCTCTGGCTCTGCCGGTGGAAGTACCTTACCAGCGTAAGTTTTCGATGCCGTCAATTACTCCTTGAGGATGGCATGAACAAAAACGAAACGATTCGGTCGATACTAATGCTATGCATTTTTGCCCGTGTCATGTCACAGCCAGGACCGATCAGCAATCATGATTTTTTGTGTCCTCACGGCGGCATTAACGTGGCGACGACGCGAAATGTCATGCTCATGGTGACGCCTATCCCCCGGATCGCATGGGACGCACTTGTGGAGATGTACGGGACTGACGGTAGTCCAGTTGTGAACATTTCTGCGCTGGAGTCCGAAAAGATGGCCTGCTCCATTTGTGCAGTAAGTTTCTCGTAGCTTGCGAAAGTTTTCATGAACATGTGCTGCTGTGATTCCATATTCTGATCAAATCCCATTGATATTTTTCGCCTTGAACGTTCTATAGCATGAAGAAGCTGAGCTGGACGAGAGAAGAAGACGCGAAGAGCAGGACGTGACAAGGTTGGACTCCACTGTCATTTCTGATGGCCAACTCTGGTATCTCATCGGAGCCGACTGGCTCAAGGAGTGGCATGCATTCAAAGCCGGAGGTAACTACTATGATTGATCTATGCTTTATGGCGATATCGATGTGTTACTGCATGTTCATTAGAGGTCATTGTTACTCTTACTCATTTCTCTTTGTTTCACGTTGTTCTTTAGACAAACCTCCAGGACCTATCAAAAACTCTCAGTTCCTCAAAGACAATGGTCAACCCAGAGCGGGCATGAAACGAGGTAAGCTACCCAAGGACTTGAGAATCCAAAATGTTCACAGCAATTAATCTTACCTATGTAAGGTTGAAAGAAGAACGCGCATACTTACCAATCATGTACGCTACCGCCATAGGCACCGACTATCGCGGCATCAATGTTATTGTTTGGAACTACTTGCAAAACATCTATGGCGGAGGCCCTGAATTTGTTCGAGGTAAAGCTTTAGCGAATGAACTAGAGATAGGTTTGAGTCTTCTATCTTGTTTGCAAGTCCTTCCCTTCAATGCTAACGTCAATTTCTTCTCTTGTGCTTTTTTTTTTTGTTTGGATTGTAGCTGCGTTGGACTTGTATGCGCCAGATCCAAAGACGGCACCGACCAGCCCGGTGAGGAACAACTCTCGCAGTAACGCGTATTCGCACCAGCACCAATTGAACCAGCTTCCGCATCCGTCTACACTCTACCAACCCCAGCACAATATGTACCAGCAACAGTCAGTGTTGTCTTCGAACCCATACGGTCGCGGCCAAGTACCGAACGGTAAACCTAGGAAGGCATAATTGGCCGATGAGGCACGCAAATGATAGACACTAGCAATGTGTCTTGAATCATGTGAGTCAGTCGAACACGTTTCGTTGAAAATAAACGCGAAGAAGACATTCGACTGAAATAACATGCTGTACAGTACTTCAATTTCAGGCACGGAAAATGGAGTGATATCAGACTGACATCACGTGGAGTGTGCCACCAAGTGTTTCAACTCTGTTCCTTATCCCCCTTTTCACTTCTTGTTCTTCCATTCTTTCCTTCCTTACTTCCCATCTCCTCCTGACGACAATATCAACAATATCCGCACCTCACAGGATCGGCATCTACACTAATTGCTCAACAAAAGCAATAATATCCACCAAAACCGACTTGCCACTCTGAACAGGGACACCAACAGCAACGCAGCAACAGACAGACAAAACAACAAACAGCAGCAGCAGGATAGAGGGAGAAAGTAGCGAAAACAGAATAAAAATGCTGTTCACAGGAAGTCGGTACATCGTCGCCGGAGTGACACTGCTGATTGCCTACATTGCCATCACCAGCCAGGTCTTTGTCTTCATCCCATGGCTCATGTCCATCTCTGTTCAGACAACCTTCATGGTCCTTGTGCCCTTCAATATCGGAGTCGGCTTTATCTATTGGCATTATTACCTCGCTTGTACTACCGAACCGGGTTCTACACCTTCTGGGTGGGGTGTAAGTTCAGTTGTTTGGTTGGGTTTCTATTTATGTGGAGGGCTCATTTGATGTGTTTGTAATTGTTTGAATTGGTCGGTGGAGACATGGATAGCTGACGTTGTCGCTTTTTCTTGTTTTTGTTTTCGATCGGATTTAGGTGCCAAAGAAAGAGGATGAGGTCATGGACGAGGTCAACAAGGAGGGCACGGACACCGTCGCAGCAGGAGCGGACGATGATATTGCCATTGGACGGTCTACAGCCATTGGCAGTCAGGATATCGCCTCCGAAGTCAGGGGTCGATCTAGCAACCACAACAACACCAAGGACAACACCACCACCACCACCACCGCCATTGCTAAAAGCAAGAAAATGACACCGCTGCCACGATACTGCAAGACCTGCGAAGCCTTCAAGCCGCCCCGATCGCATCATTGCCGGATCTGCAAGAAGTGTATCCTCAAGATGGACCACCATTGTCCCTGGATCAACAACTGTGTGGGTCACTTTAACTATGGCCATTTCCTCCGATTTATTACTTGGGTGACGATCACGACTGGTGCGTGTATGGTCCTGTTGCTGGCTCGTGTTTTGGACGCCATTCAGAACGAGAACCGGTATATGGTAAGTTATCTGGGTGGGATGAGAGAGAGAGAGGGTGACGATGTCGTTTTTTTTGTCTTACACCGCGCAGTTGTATTAATATATCTGAATTTTTTTTGGGACTTGCACTGCAATAGTATCGTGATGATGGTCCGACAAAGGCGCAGATCGTATTCCTAGCGGTCAATATCATTGTCGACGGCGGAGTCCTGTTGGCGGTCGGGATCTTGTGTACCTACCACCTCTGGAGTCTCATGAGCAACACCTCGACGATCGAAGTCTGGGAGCAGGAAAAAGTCGAGGCCATGGTCAAAAAGGGCAAACTTCGCAAAGTGAGTGCCCCCCCCCTTTTTTTTTTCACCCTCCCCTCAACCATGCGGCTGTGTTCTTTTCCAAGCGATAATAAGAACAACGCTGGACGGTTATTGATTTTTGTACTTTTTTAATCTTTATTTTTAGGCAAAGTTCCCGTATGATGTGGGCTGTCTTCGCAACTACCGCCAGGTCCTGGGGGAGAGTGTGTTGTTGTGGTTCTGGCCTCAGCCGATGCAAGGATCAGGAACGGAGTTCGAGGTGACGGATGATAAAGATGCGGCGATTGTTTGGCCACCTCGGGAATACCATACCTCCAAGCGGCAAGCGAGGACGTTTGTGTCAGAGTATGCGTCGTCTTCTGGAGTTCATCGGCGTGGCGGCGCAGGAGCAGGAGCAGGAGCAGGAGCGCGGTCGCAGAAGAACAGGAACTTGAGCACATTGAGTACGCCCATCACTCCTGAGGCTGGCCGGAATCAAGGCAGGCGGAGGAGCAGGAACCCGTCGAGAGGATCGACCACTTCTGGTGCAGCACCCCATTTCCCGACCCATGTCCGTCGTGGTAGCGAGGGATGGATCGTCCAGGATCTTACGGTTCAACAACGCGCGGATTTGTATGATCGTCAACTTCGATATGCGCAACTCCATGGACAACAGCAGGCGTACTCTGGAACAGCGCATGCAGGCGATGGTGATGGAGAGGAGGAGGAATATCAGGAGGGGTTGTCGGATATTGAGGGGGACGTTTACAGTCAGTTGCCTGGAGGCATGCAAGGAAATCAAGGGTACGAGGACTACAACGATGATGGAGAGCATTACGACGAGGAAGACGAGGACGAGGATGCCAGCTCTGATGATGTGGACGATCTACCATATGATGTTGCGAGTGACGAGTGGGACGAAAATGAATATGACGAGTACGACGATCGGTACGAGGATGAGGACGGGAGCGATCTGGATCAACATAACCCATACCTCGCCTACGCTGACGAAGAAGAAGAGGAGGACGACTCCGACGATGAAGATGTGGAAGTGGACGATGAAGTGACTTTGAACGGACAGAACCGTCACAAGATTGGGCGGTTCTTTGATAACATTAGCCGGCCGACTGGAAGTTCTGGCGTTGGCGCTGGAAGCGAGGAAGAAGTGGACGAGTGGGATGAAGGGGAAGGGATCGATGTTGGGTGTAGGCCTCCGGGATTGATGGCTAACGGTGTGGGTATCCCTGAAACGCCGTTCTCTGCAGCTGCTGTTGCGTCTACGGGACAAAAGACGTTCTATACCATGATGCTGGAACGGGAGCAGGCTCTCAAGGACCAGATTGCGGCGTCTGATGGCGGTAGTGCGAGTGGTGGTGGTGAGGCAGTAGGAACCAAGACCAAATCGAAGAGCAAGAAGAAGAAGAAGTCCAAGTAGACCTACATAATATATTTGTTTTCCCTTTGTCTCCTTGATATCATACAAGTGCTTCTTTCAACATCTAGGCGCACCGCCCCCAAAAATCCTGCTTTATTATTGTTGTCAACGAAAAAGGAGACACAGTGCCTCTCTTTGAGTAAGTCTGTCACGGTTCTAGTCCAGAGATCAGGCAATGTTGGACGCTCGGAGGTTGTGGACGATGCTGTCTGATTCCTCGAGTTTGTCGAATCCTTTGCAATGCTTGACCACGACCTTTTTGTTGGTCTCCTGCGCATGTCCTCCCAGCAGCATCTCGTCCATGACTTGATATGCCTATTGAGCAAAGAAAAAGAGATGAAACAACAAAGAGAAGATGAGACAGTGCTACCTTCCGTATGTCATTTTCATTTATTATTTTCCAGCGATGCTCAAAGGGTTAGGTTGAGAGAAAAAGAGAAAGAGACGCTTACCGCAGAATAGTTATAAATAATGTCGAGTTCGCACACGTTTCCAAAGTACTGATCCAGACATTCGACATACTTGTGCAGTACCTCCAGTCCTGACAGCTCATTATCGTTCCAGTCGATACCAAAGCAGAAGAACAACGATGCATATCTAAATCGACCCATCGAAAAGACAATAAGGTAAGAAAAGATGCGCCGGTTCCAAAACGATTCGCCAATCAGTCGCGAGATGTCCAGAAGGAGGAAAGGGGTTGCTGTCGATCTGATACGTGGCGGTTCTTTGATCAATCAAAAAGATATTCCAATTGGTTTTTTTTTGACAGGCACAAAAACACCCCCACCCCGCACTCAACCATGACACCCTCTCTCTCCTTTCACTCACTCCATCAAGCAATAAAATAAGAAGAGAAGACATACCTCTTGTAGATGGCCTTGCCTCGCGTTTCACGCCTGCCTTCGAGCTCGAGGATATTGCACATGCCGCGCTTTCGTGCAAGGATCTGTGTTACGACGTCCTGACTGAGCGACGCCTTTTGTTTGTCGGTCATGTATTGGTACCACCTCGTCAGGCGGATCTTGCCCTGTCTGTTGAAGATGATGATAAAGTTGATCTAATTTGCAGTTGAATTGGAGTGAAAGGTTGTTGATATAATGGTGGTGTTAGTCCATAGTGCGTCAATTGTGTGTCAATTGGCGATACTCCTGAATGGAAGAGTTGGGTAACAACGTGGCAACTGATGGTTGGTACGTATGGGTCGTCTGGACAAAACGTTATGGACCGGAAGATACGACAGAACGATTCAGTTAAAGTCCAATCCAGAGTGCGGGTTCTTGAGTCGGTTGGAAAGACCAATTGAAGTCCAATCCGTAGTGCGGGTTCTTTATTCTTTGAGTCAATTGAAAGAAGTCCAACGCGCGCGCGACTAGTCCTTGTTGTCGACACTTTGAGTACAAGTGGTTCCTGAGTTGATGATGTCTGTTTGCTGAAGTGGGTTCTTTTGCATTACCATGACGAGCTGGTGTTTCTGTTGAGTCCTGCTACGGCGTTGTCCTTGTTACTTGCTGTTGTTTCCCTGAGCGATGTGTGATGGTATGTCTGTTGATGTGGCGGTGGTTGTGTCGGGAGAGATGTAGTTGCAGAAGAAGTGAAAAGACGGGAAGAGATGATGCCAACCTTCCAAGGCAAGGTACGCTGACAGGGCACACCACACTGTCCAGTTCAAAGTGAAGCAAGCAGTCATGAATCTCTTGGACTGTGCAGCACATGCGATTGGTTAATCTCCCTAATTGGAGGGAAAAAAAGAGTGTCTTGCTCCAATTCAACTCATTGGGCGGAGGAGTAAAAGGGTGAAGGAGGATATGTGCCACCAAAGAAGGAATGTTTTCTTCTGGCGATTGTCTTCAATATCCTCAGTCGAACGAGGAGGTGGCAAGAGTGATGAAGAAGGAGAGGGACACAACAGACACGAGTAGGGCAGGAAGACAAGCTCGCCAACCAAGACAGAGACATAGGAAAAACAGAGTCGAGAGCCGATGATAGCCAGATCCAGTCAATGGCTAGCAAACAGTTAAAAAAAAAGAGCAAGAGTGCTCTCAGAGCCAACAAGAAACACCAGACACATCCACAGAGATGATACCGCATCGTTGCAGAGGGGAGGGGGAAAAAATAGAATTTTTTGTTTCTTTTTGAACCCGAGAATTGGAAGGTAGCTTAGAGTCCAGCCTCTTTGTTTCCCTTCTTCTTTGTCTTCTTTTTCTTTTTCCTTTTTCCACTTCGCTGCTCATCATCCTTCTTCTCATCACCCCTCTTTTCTTCTCTCATCAATACCCCCACTTCGCCATCACCCTCTCAGCCCACAAACATCGACAGCTTGTCACCCTCTCTCTCCCTCTCCCTTATACGTAAAATACTTGAACGCCATCATTCTCCCACCCTCCTGTCCACCTTTGCTCATCATCTAGTCTTCCTCGACTCCCAGAAATCTTACGCCCTCTCTTCGTCTTCTCTTCTTCTATAGCGCACAAATACCACCACCATAATAACACATAATGTCTTGCGACTTGACTGATCCCGCCATCCTCGAGGCTTACCAGGATATCATCTCTGGAACCCCCACCAACTGGTAAAATATCCACCCGCCTTCACCACCGCCCACTGGACAACCAATGATACTAGCAACCACAAGTCCTAAAAAAACGAAGTGGTTCAGGCATTTAGGACGTCCACAAGACGAGAGCGACGACAGCAGCAACCAACGTCGTCAACGACTACAATAACTACAACAAACTAACAAGAATGGAAACACTTCAAGAGCATGCCAGAGAGAGGAAACCACGTCAACGAGACAACTTACAAGTGTCGCTTCTCAAAATCTAAATTGTAGGCTCATCCTCGGATACCATGACACAAGAGACAAGATCTCACTCTACTCCAGGGGAACCGGTGGCATCGACGAGTTGACCTCCAATCTCAAGGAGGAAGTCCTTTATGGATTCGTCAGGATCGAGGACCGATTCGCTCTCCTCGCCTACGTCTCTGAGCAAGTCAGGTAAGCATCCATCCGCATAATGAACAACCAACAACAAAACGGCCGACAACAGCAAGCTCGTATTATCGGTACAGGAAAGCGAGCGGCGACAAAAAAAAAAAAAAAAAAAAAAAAAGAGGCAGCGAACAAAAATAAGCCCTATTCCTTTGCAACCAAAAAAAAAAAAAAAAAAATGAGAGCACTTCACTCCTCTGTTTTGTTTTTCTGTTGTGGGCAATCAGCGCTTGCGCCGTGGAGCAAGAGGGAGGTTTTTATCGAGAGTTTTGGAGATTGAGGGAAAAGACGTTGGATGATGTTTCGTTGTTTTCATTTGTACGACCATTCATTTCTAAAGAAAGAAAATCAGCGACGACGGATCGTTGCTCTCTCCCACGTTAACTAACCAGCTCTTTCCCCCTCCCCCCCTTTTCTCTCCCCCTTGCTCGCGTCTTCTCTCTTCTACTCTTGGCATTGTTGCCCTTTCGGATTGATATTCCAGTGGTCTCCGCCGTGGTAAGCTTGTTTGTCTAAACTGAATTTACCGATGCATTATCCATCATTAATCCGTCTCTCTCCGAACAAACGACAAACTAATTAACCAATGAATGAATGCTCCTTAAAACGAAAACAATAGCTCGCGCACTGGTTCACGGAAAGGCTGTCGGCGCCTTGTTCAAGGCGAGCAACGTTCAGATCAACACTTCGAGCCTTGCAGAATTGACCGAGGAGAGAGTTCGCACCCGTCTCGGATTGATTGACGGACCCCCTACACCCGAGGCCACTTCGCCCGTGATGCCCTCGACCCCTATTGCATCCACTGGCTCACCTGTTCCAGCGCCTCGCCCAGCCACCCCCGTCTCACCCGCCCCTGTTGCGCCCGCCTCCTCTTCTCCCGCCTTCGCCCCCGCCACTGTTGCTGCCCCCGTTGCAGCAGCCCCCATCGCCATTGACACCTTTGTTCAGCAGTCTGTGGCCGAGGTGCCTTTGTCCCCTAGTCCCGTCAGGACTGGATCACCTCGCTCGGGCCTGTCGACACCCAGAACCGAGCGTCAGCTGGAGATCGAGGCTGCTGAGCGCAAGGTCCGCGAAGAGATGGAGCGCCAGCGTCGCGCCGAGGCTGCCAAGCGCCAGAGAGAGACTGAGGAGCGTGAGGCACGCGAGCAAGAGTTGTTTGCCCAGAAGCAGGCCTTGGAATTGGAGCGTAAGCGCAAGGAGGAGTCTGACCGCATTGCTCGCGAGGCAATGAAGAAGCAGTTGATCGAGATGGAGCGTCTTCGTGGATCGGGATTGTCGGGTTACATCACCATTCAGCTTGCTGGATCGCCCTTCTGGCAGCGTCGTTTCTATGTCATGCAGGGCCAAACTGTCTCACTCTACAGGGATGAGATTGGTCGCGCCCCCATTATGAACTTGAAGGTCGGAGGTCAGGTTGTTTACATTGCCGATGCCTCCTTGGACGTCTTGATCCCCAACAGCTTCCGTATCGACTTTAAGAACGGCGACACTCACTACTTCTTCAGCGACTCGACCAAGGACAAGGAGATGGTCATTGCAGGATTCATGAAGTGCAACGAGAGCGCATAAGCTACACACACACACAAGGAGCTGGTTTCCCTTATTTTTGTCTTCTTTCACACTTCCCCCACCTTTCCCCCTTTCAGATATCAGTACCATTCCAAACGTACAAACGCAGCTACATTAGAGCATCTCTTATTTATCAAGAATAACAATAATATTTTCTCATACTCCATTCATTCATCCAAACGGCCGTGAATAAAAATAGCAAAAATACATTGATTACATAGGTATGACACCACGAGAATTGGAAAATGGTGTTTCTGTATATGTATTGGGGTCGGGGAGGAAGATCTATTGCTCTTTCCCAATGTTATTGCTAGACTGGCTCTTTGCATAAATGTCGCGTTTGGCCCAGAAGGTAGGCATGGCAATGTCGCGTCCGTTCGGGTAGACACACTTGTCGATAAAAAACCCACGCAGTTTCGATGTGATCAGGTCAGTCACCTTGGGGACATCCTCGAGTTTTGTCCTTGCGCCCAGTAACGATTGTACGCCAAATTCCAGGTCGAAATCGGGGAGTGTTGAGATTGAAATGTGTTGTTGGCCGTCGATCGTGTTGAACTGCATCGTTATCTATTTAGTTTATTTTTTTTGGTGGAGGGGCGAGCGGAGGAAAATGATTTTGGGGGTGGTTAATATTTCGCAAGGGCATTATCCATTTTCTTGCTGCACGCCTTCGTAAACCATAAATGTTGTGGCAGCTTTCGTGGATTCTTACTGTTGCTTGGAATTTGACGACGGAGAGGACAAGCGAGACGGGAAGGGCTGCTATCCTGGGACGGGGCCAATTGATCAGCAACGACGTCTCAATACCCAGCATGATCTGGTCGTTGAAGTCTATATCGATTTCCGCCCGCTATCAACAACAATAAATACACAAAGATATAATGAGTTAACTTTTTTTTTCTCACATTTGTTGTTGATGCAAACGCACACCCCTGAAAAAAGGGCAGGTGGGCGAATGGTCCAGAATATCTTATACTTCGAATTCCTAACTTACCACGCTGCCTGCAGGTTGGTCGGCTGGTCGGATCCTTGCTCTGCTCAGGACCGGAAAGTCTTCACCCAGATTGAGCTCTGTCACACGAATGTGTCCCTACAATCAAACAGATAACAAAAACACAAACAGATGAAAAAACACAAACAGGTAAGGAATGTGGCCAAATATTGATAGTTAGATATCATGAGTAATCGAGATCCCACTCTACACATGCCATTGGGACAGCCTTCCATCGTCACTATAGTCTGTGCCTTTTTGCGTCCTTTGAACATTTCCCTTCAGTTTCTCAGAAATATATAAAAAAAACCTTACCACCCAGTCAGGTCGAACGCCACCGTTCAAGGCCTCAGCCAATGCCTTGATCAATCGATTGTTAACCTTGGAGTCATCCCTGTACTGAGCAATAGCCTGGGCCATCAAGACGGTCATCCAGTCAAGGGATTCCGGGGTATGGTCGTAAACGTCGTAGAAGGTCTTGTTCAAGATCGTGGTTGTCGAGGGGAGCGATGGTTTTGTGGGTGGTGCTGGGATCGATACTCCTCTGTTTGAGAATGACCGGGGCTATTGTTTTCCCGTAATACGAATGAATATAAGGCATGAGTTGTGTGGTTTTTTTTTGTCTCGAGAGTGCAACAGAAGAAGGGTCTTGTCCTTCGTTAATCATGGAAGTGGACAAAAATAGGGTACCTTGCGACCGTAGCGGACGTCTTCGAGGAGGAGGTACTTGAAACAGACAATGACCAAGAGAACAACACTCAGTTGGCCCAGAAGCAGACCTGTGGTGAAGGACATTCCTGAAGAACTGTTATATTGTTGTTGCTGTTGGGCCGAGGTGACTTGCTCAAGGTGCTTTACAAGCTCGATCAAGCCCACTGGCTCCACGATCTCCACGTGGTTTGCCATTGGGTCAGTTGGTTTGTGATCTGCGGAGATGGGGTCTGTGTGCTTTTTGCAGGTGATGAGGGTGGTATTTTTTTGGGTCAGGAGATGAAGAAGACGGTGAGTTGATGGTCCTGTGTGTGTGTGTGTGCGTGTGTGTGTGTGTGTGTGTGTGTGTGTGTAGCTAGTACTGGGTGTCCTGAAGATGGTTGTGGTCGATGGTGTTGAGAAACGAATGAAGATTGAAGAAAGAAGAATGAAGAAACAAGAAAAACGAAGAAAGGTGGGACTCAAAAAGGAAAGTCGATTTTTTTTATATTGCTTGGCACGTCCTCAAGCGTGTGTGATGGACATAAAAGAACGGACTAAGTGAGAAATATGCTGTGTGATATGTATTGGATATCCTGAACACGCGACAAAATCCATAGTCGCTGTTGGTGAATCGAAAGAGTATAAGAATGTGTGCAGTAGACAGCGATGAGGATCGCAACAGCTCAATCAACAGTCGACCTCGAAAGTTGCAAGGAAGCAACGGTGATGGATCTCGCCTAGAAGACCGGGGACTAGAGAGGCATCGACGTGACAATGCCGCTCGAGGGCGTCTTCGAGGCAGGCTCATACGACCCCTGCGGGATCGATGCCGCCGACTCTCGCCGGCGCGGTCGCTCAAGGACTTCCTCAGCGTCGTCCTCTGGCGGCTCGCGGATGGATTCCATGATCTGCTCAACTCCAATGTTAACAGTGTTTACCAGCTCCACCATCATCTCGCGCAACGTGCGCTCGACCGCCTTGCGGAGTTTTCGGACCATGATCGAATGGAACACCATTTGGAGGACGGGGTGCTGTGTCTCCAAAACATCCACGTTCAAGCGACGAAGGTTGATGCGGCACTCCTTGAGCTCCACAAACTTTCGATGGGCCAAGCCGACAGGCTCTACAACTAGATCATAGTAGGCAGGGGTCTGAGTCTCTAGGGAGACGGGTGGACCAGATCCGGGGGCGGCTGGCGCCGCGGTTGCCGTTCGAAGCTCTGCTGTAAGCCATGGGCTTACAGGACCGAGAGGGCCGATAGCACCGATAGAGCCATTGCCAATCGACAATCGACGTCGAGGACGACTCAGAGTCATCAGACCCTGCGCTGCTAGTTGACCAACCGAGCTCGAATCAGTTCGTAGAATGCTCTGTCGCTGTTGTTGGTGACGTTGTACATATGGTGTGTACGGTCGGTTGGGATAGAGGAAACGAGAGACAATTTCCCTGGTGGCGGACCAAAAGTCATCAGTGACAGCCTCCTGCACTTGTTGACGGATTCGGACGCCAGTTCTCGAAGAGGCACGTCCAACATCCGAGGTCAACGCCGCCGTATCCGAGAATCGCACCGCTCGAGGAGAGTACGCCATGGCTCCAAGGCCAGTGCCAAGGCGCGTACGTGAGGTCGACCGTCTTCGAGTGAGTTGGTTGCTCTGGCTTCCAAGGCTGGTAGTGAATAGGCTCTCGCGTGCAGCAGAGGCAATGGGATGTCTGCGTCCGATGGTGTCGACAGCGGCCCGAAGCGCGGTGATGGTTCCTCGACGAATAGCAGGAGGTGTCAGGACGAAGGTCATGTCAATATCCAGGCAGTTAGGAGGAATGACCAAGTCAAGCTCTCCCTCGTCCATCATGTTGCCTCCTAGAAACGACTTGCTCGTGTAGCTGTAAGCAACCTTCTTGGCCTCGACTTCCAGTCCCGAGCTGTGGTTTTTTAGAAATAAATAGACGATTAATGCTAGCAGTTTGATGCAGGCATGCTGCTTTGATTGTTCAGTCCAAGGAAAATATGGTCGATGAAACCCAAGTTGCTACGACAGCTTACATCTTCAGGTGCCAGAGGCGGCACGACTTGTTTGTCTGTCGATCGTAAGCGGTTGTGGTATTCAAATGGATGTTGCTCGGCATCAGATGCGGAAATTCGAGGACGGCGGCATCCATAATCACCTCCGAGTTGGGTCGCTTCCAGACAATGCTCGGCAAGGGAATGGGCGCAATGTTACGACTGGCTGCTTGGATGAGGATCTCAAAGTCGCGCATGACATCCCAGCCAACATTCAATCCGACTCCCGCCCCGGAATCAGGCAAACCAGTCGAGCCTTGAAGGGACTTTTGGATCAGGATGGTCAAGCACTTCTCGGTCGCGAGACTGGTGTCTGTCGCTCCTCCGCCTTCCCAGAGCTGGTCGGTCATACAGACGACCTCGCGCATAAGTCGGTGAGCAGGTCCGCGGTACTTTTCTGAGGTGAGAGTCGCCTGGATCGGACCAAGGACGTTACGCGCCTCGTTAACCCAATCAGTAGCGAAGGCAAGATTGCGATTATCGAGGGAGAGAAACAGGAACCGGTAGAGATCCGCAACCTCACGGTGGAATCTGGCGTCCCCAATGGCAGAGATCTTGATGTTTTGCATTTCATAAAGGACGAGGCTCCAGCTTGGGAAGATCTCCTTCACAATGTGTGGGATCCTTAGCTTGAATCTATTCGTGGCGGCTTCATCCTCGAAATCTTGAGTCTGGTCACCCTCTGTCTCGTTACCTTCTTCCTCGTCCACGTTGACTTTCATGGAGACCCATTCGTGAAGAACCGTCAAGAATCGTCGCAAACTGGCTTGTTCGTCAGGTTTCTGGAACAGCTCCTGGAAGAGATCCTGGAGCTTTTGCAAGGCATAGTCTGAATCTTCTCGAGTCAGATGTCGAGGGCTTTCGCCGTTGCAGGTACCGTTTCCGACGTCGAAGGCAACCTCGATGAGATGGGCAATCATGCAGAGGCGGAAGCGCAGCGCGGGCGAGGTCAGGAGGTGAAGCAACAGTGGTGCTGGCTCCTTGGTGCTCAGGGCATGGACCTGGTCGATAGCCTGGCCGATTTCGGATGGGCGAGGGTAGACCACGCGGACCTTGTTGTCTAAATAAGAGCGTGTCGATGATGGGATGATATGTGTAGGTGAGTAGCTTCTTTTTTGACTGGTGCCTGATCCCATCCCATCATAGCGGAACACTTTGAACGGATGCATTGTGCACTCAAAATATCTCCATCATCATCATCATCACTATCAAATCAACCACTCAAACAAACTCTTCCTTTTCCTCATCAGTCTGACCTCGTGGTAATCAGTCGTCATGTTCACACACTTACGGAATGCAATGCGACCAAGGTCGGCGGGGCTGCTGCTCAGCTGCTGTGAGCGGGTAGGCCGGTGGTAAAATGCATGGATCAGCCTGTCCATGTAATGCTTCTCGTGCAGGTGGCGGTATATGACCTGGAAGGGGTCTTGCGGGGATAGTCCGTCGCTGGGGCGGCCGTCAAGAGGAGCGATAAGCGCCTGCAGAAACTCTTGCTCGGCCTTGGGTCGAGCCAGCTGCGAGTACAAGCTTGGTCTATTTCCGCTATCGAACATGGGATAAGTAACATGTCAGAAAATGGTTCTTGGCAGTGGTCTTCAAGCATATGTCAAGAAGGAACAAACAGTAGAGAGGTAAAGGTACCTGTTCATGTCGAGTCTGTGGGCGAGGTAGGTTGGGGTGGTTGGTGTCTTTGTGTCGTTAAAGGGCCAGGAGGCCTGGAAGGCGTCCATGGGCTCAAACGAGAGCGAGGAAGGAGTTTGGACGAAGCGGGTAGACGTTGGCTGTGTTGCTTTTGGAACGAGTGTGTTTGTATGAGTGTGAGAGAGTGTGTGTAAAAAGAAGTATGAAGTGAAGAAGAGTGAGGAAAGTGAGAGAAGACGAAGAGAGTGGATAGCGTCTTCCTGACGCGACGACCCCTTTGCAAAGGTTAAGGGGTTCGTCATTACCCATCCATTCCCCCACAGCCACAATTTGAGCTTTGGCCATTGGCATTTGAAAGCGCCTCCCTCCTCTACTTTCTACTTTTCACTGCCTGGTATACAACAGCGATATAAGAGTTCAATTGATGAAAAAAGAACCTCCACAACACGCGGTGTTCCTTTGATGATCACGACGCGTTAAGAGTTATATCCAAGATGGTTGATGCTCGCTGTACAACTATGGATATGGTCTCTCTCACCATGTAACGTTGTAGTAGTGAACACGGGGAGATGAATAATAATGGTATGCGCCATGGTTCCTCGATGGGGGGTTTCTTCGCTTCTTTCCTTCGCCCTTCTACTTTCTCACCTACCAGCTCCATCCCTTCAAATGTTTTCATGAATAGTCTTATCCTCACATACGATAGAATCTACCGCTCCTCTTGTTCATGAAAGTTCTCCATCCCTCTGTTAAAGACAGCCTAGAGTTCAATGTCTTCTTGAAAATGAATTCTCCTTCCCATACAACAATGGTAGGGCGAAAGAGCTCTACTTCGTCCCCTTGCTTTTGTAAGATGAAAAAGGATATAACCTCCTTCACCGCCGCACTATGCGTAGAAAACTGTTGGTGGTCGAAAATGAAAAAAAGTCGCAACAGAGGCCATCAAGTGAAAAAAGTAAAATAGGTGAGGTAAGCACATAATTCCCAGCACTCCACTCATTGTTCACTTTGAAAAAGGTAGAAAGAGTAGTAAAGACCGATACAATGCTGAAAAGAAGCCATTTTTTTTTCTACTTGGATCTAAAAAGTGAGGAAAGGAAGAAGGAGGAGAGAAAGAGATAGAGGACCACATAAAGTGGACGAGGAGCACGGAAGAACGGGCGGTACATAGTAGTCACAGATAATGGCTATCCAGCCCTGGTACCAACATTGATACCTTTGTCTGCCTCACTGGGGTATCAGAGAAACCGTCAAGAAGGAATCAATTGAAAGTCGACAACGACTCTCTCTCGCTCCACCTGCAGTTCGAATAGACACCCTGGTGAAGTACAATTGCAGTAGACAAAGCAAGAAAATAATAGTGAGTAGAAAGCATTAAAAAGGACAGAGGGAGAGAACCAATTGACAGGAAGGAGAGTGGGATGGGTCGGAATTCCTTAAGTTTTTATCTTTGATTTCTTCAAACTTTTCCCTTCTTTCCCCCTTTCTCTTCCTCCTTTTCCTCCCTCTCCTCCCCACTCCATCCTCTCCATTCCCTCGTCTGTGTCTGCACCCACCCACTCACTCTCTTCTTATTTATTGACCATGTGGGGCAACGACGCTGATCGGAAGCACCGCCTCGAGGAGATCCTCCAGCGTGAGGACCACGACGATCTCGACGATAACGACCCCAACCAGACCACCGCTGAAGACATCGCCAAGGCCGACAGCGCCCAAATGGACGAAGATCTCGCTGCGGCCCAGGCCACCGCTGAGGGATTCTGTGTCGAATGCAAGGACCAAGAGTCCTTCTACTCTTGCGAACAGTGTGCCGAAGAGTTCTGCGAGGTCTGCTACGGTAATACACAACTACCATCACCAACAACGACTGCATCGCTTTACTCTGTGTAGTCACCACATCACTAAATAATGCATTCGACAGTTACAAAAGAACAGGTAAACTGATTGCCCTGTCCTTCGTACCTTTTCATTCATCGACAATACAGCCATGCTCCATCGCACTGGAAACAGAACTCGACACATCAAGAAGGAGATCTTCAAGCCCGACAACAGGGACACTCCCGTCCCCTCGGTCAACGGCATGTCAACATCAACTTCCAAGGGCAGTTCGTTAAGCGGGGAGACGCTGACTGAGCTTCCAGAGTCCAAGGTCATTATATCCAGCGGATCCTCCACGTTTGGAGACTGGGTCATTGATCGTTCCAAGTACATTCCAATGCGTCTGGATCTGACTGAGCGAAAGCTGTTGCGCCTGTAAGTGCTTTTTTTTTGGACGTTGTTGTTTGACATTGGTTCTTTTTGTGGGGCAGCGCAACAAAGAATGTGTGAATTGACATGCAATATCGCGAGGAGAGGCCTATTCTGTCTGCCTGTCCGCCTGGCTGCCTGTGTGTCTGTCTCCTTTCCCCATCTCTCCCCTGCGTTCTGGTGTCGACTCCTGTTTAAAATTCATTTCTAATCCGTCGCTCCAACAACACAAACAAACGATCGGATACAAATATAGCCTTGAAGCGGCCTTGAATGTGAGCGAATACACGGACAAGGTCGACATCCTCTCATACACCAGCAAGTCCAAGCGTATCGTTCACCAGATCAAGGACCTCTGTGCCATCATCTCTGGACTTGTCGGTACGTTCCACTCTGTTTCACTGAATGTTTCAGGAACATAACACGGACCCTTCTTTCAATGCACTAATATCGATTGCCCTCACTATTGCCTCTTGCTAGTCGCTAACGATTATCGCCGTGGACAAGAGCTGTTTGCAGACAAGAGTTTCGAAGACAACGAAGAGTTTTTCCAGGTCATTTTCGAGATCGGTCGTCGCCACAAGATCATGAACCCTGAGAAGATGAGAAGCGCCTACGGAAAGCTGATGTACATGCTTATGGACTCGAACATGGAAGAGATCGAATCGACCCTGGGCTTCAACTGTGTCATCCCCATCAAGACGGTTTACAGCTACTTGCAGGAAAGAGACGGTCTGGATGTTTTGAAGAACGACCTGGTGGCCGATGCCACGAAGGAGATCATCTCGGACGGAAAAAATCGCCATCAAATCCAGCAAGAGATCAAGAAAAAGGAATGGGCCATTGAGACGCTCAGCCGAAAGTACGCCAACGAAAACCTCACCCCTGACGAGATCAAGGTCTGCCTCTACTCTATCGGCGATAACCACAGTTTCCTCAGGACGAACCGGTATGTGAACCATCTTTGTGCCTTTTGTTTGTGAAAAGTGGATATAGCAAGAATACGACTAACCTTTATTCTTGTCAATGATAGTGACCCATGCGACAAAATGCTCAAGTACTTGACAATGTACTTCAAGCCCACCAGCAATGAGGAAGGATTCTCACTTGCTATTCGATCTGGCCAGCAGGGAGCACGTTTGACACACGGACATGAGACTCAGTACTGGTACATCAACCAGACACTCAACCTGTGGCGTGAGATCGCACACGAGATGTTCTACCTCTGGACCCTCTCGGATTTGGACATGCTCGACAACGACTATCGCCTTCGCGACACTGGACAGGGATTGCAGCGTCTCCAGTACTGCCCCAACGTCTCCAAGGCGATGCACACCATTCTCCACAAGGCTCAACAGAAGGCTGGCATGTGGATTGGAAGTTCAGTAATCCATCTCGGTGATAGCAACGTACCCAACGCGTTTATGTTCATCGACAAGTACAACCAAGTCGCCAGGATATTGAACCCCATCATCTTGACTCTGGAGAAGATCGACAGCATTGCTCAAGATGAAGGTATCCACGCTTATATTCGTGACACTTTTGGTGGCGTCAACAATCTGCGGAAGACGATCGTTTGCGACTTTTTCCGCATGGCCTTTGACGGCTCTGGAGCCGACAATTTTTTCTCTGCAGGTTAGTGCGCTTTCTTTCTCTGTTTGTCTTCCAACAATGACAACGAGGACAACTGCGTTGGTTATTCTAGTCTTCGGTATTAACAGGCGTGTTTCGTGCTTTATTCTCAATCGCTATAGGTTCCTGCATTGATGGACGATTAACGTCTGCCTGGAATTGGTGCTCGCAGATTGAGAAGAAGGCTTTCTTCCCGATCTTCTTGCTCACTGTAAGTCATTTTATGCCGTGTACTGCACTGAGGAATTGTGGGCGGACAATTGCTATGAGACCCCCCACTAACCAACACATCCGCTGCATTTCTTACTTCGTTTCGATAGGGATTCAATGGATTTGATGGAGAGACGTGGTCATAAATATTTTTACTTTATTTTGCCATAAATAAAGCGTTCTTCACCATTTGTCTTTTTTCTTTCTGTTCGCTCCTTGACATTCATTCCCTTTGTCATTTCATTCAAAACAACCAACACTCATTCACAAAAAACAGGAACAATGGCCAAGCAGCTTGAGAGAAAAATGAAAGGTACAACACGAGTGACATTTCCAAGCCAGAAACACAGGGACATAGACGAAAAGAACAGGGTGGGTGGGCTACGCTACTGGTCTTTGAGTTCAGGCCCGGCTGTTCAGGGTCAGGTCTGTGCTCTCACCTCAAATGAAAACCATGCACAAACCTTGTCCAAAGGTCCGACACAGTTTTCCTGGCCGTTCATTTTTTCTAACAAACCCTTTCTTACCACTGTACATAAAAATAGGAGCCCAGCTGAACCAAGAGTCCCGTGCCTGGCAACGGAAACAATATCTAGACTCTCTCGAACGCGACAACTTTGTGGCACGGACAGAGTTTGAGGTCATTATTGCCACCGCAGAAGCGACGGCTGCGGTTCCGGGACCGGCTACACTCAACACCACAGCCTTCGATGTTGCACAAGGTGGTGCTACTGTTGGCGCACAAGCGACGACGACGACCACGAGTAACATCAGCAATGGTACATCATCACATCAGCTTGGCACGAGGGTCCGCAGCAGTGGTCGAGGGAACTCCATGGACGGTGGTGGTGTTGAGGCTGCCAAGTCCAACACGCGACGAAGAGGTAGAGGACATGGAGGCGTGTCATTGCCGCCGACAAAACCGTTCAAGGCGTTGATTCTGGAATCTGGGATTGCGAGTCAGGATCCAACGGAGCCTTCGTACCTGACTACCGAAATGGGGCCTAGTCGATATCCTGCGCGACGGCTCTGCAGTGTCTGTGGGTGGCGGGGTCTTTACTCCTGCAACCGGTGTGGGATACGGTACTGTGGACTACCATGTCTCAAAGTTCACCAGGACACTAGGTAAGCCTTTTGCTCTGTATCTTAGTCACGGCATTTCTTCTTCTGAGTATCCTGGATTGTTGTGCATCCATTCTGACAGCTTATCCTTCAATCTATTGACCACACACATTATTAGATGCATGAAACTGACGGTCTGAGAGAACGAGGAGGAAAGGCAAGTGTTTATTAGGCTAGAACGGTGGCGTTATCATCAAAGTCGTCGACAAACTTGACATGATTCAAGACATCCAACAACTCACTCCACTCCCTCAACCTCTGCAACGTCGCCTCATATCCTTCCGAACACGTCCGTCCAGGCTTAATCGGCAAGTCACTACCATCCATCACCAACGTTACATCGCCTTGCTGGTACTGTTGCTGCTGTTGCCTCTTCAGCTTCTTCAAGTCATCCTCTCCAACACCACTTTGCGGATGCCGCTGTACTCGGACTGTTCCTTCTTGAATCTCAGACTCCCAAATAACCTTTTCGGCTTTTGCAATAAACCGTCGTTGGCGTGGTACATCCTGAAGGATTCGTTGGATCTCGTCCAGTGCTGACATGACTTGTTGTGGTGTTTCGACTCCTAGACGGAGCATGACGTCTTTGAGCATTGTTGTTTCGTGTTTTGTCATCTGGTTCTTTTGGTCTTCGGAGACTACATACGAATGAAGGCGAACGTTAGAGATTTCTGCTCAACTGCCGCAATGCACATAAATCACAACTTGCATATATCGTCCAATAACTTACCAAGATCGATATTAGTGCTGAGGAGCTCCCGAGCAAGGGTTTTGATCTTGACTTGCAACCGCCGGTTCTCCAACAAGGCATCATACAACTGATCCTCCAAATCCTCGACCTTCAACAGCAACTTCGCCTCCGCCTCCTTCGCCTCTGCTTTCCCCTTCAGCGGCGTCTCATTAGTAATGAGCGAGGGGCGCTGCGGTTCCAGAGCAGTCTTGAGCGCCGCCAATTCCTGTTCAATCTTTTGGATATGTTCACGCCATGCGGCAGACGAAACAAGTGTTGGTGACGAGGGCTGTGCTGCTGTCTTGGGTGAGGAGCGGGTGGGGCTTGCTGTCGAATCGGCGTCTTTGCTGGGCTTGGTCTTTGAGAGTAGTAATACGGCGGCGGCTTCTGTGGTTGCCCATGATCCACTGACTTGACTTGACGCGTCGACAAGGTTGTTGTTATCCCCTGTTGTTGTTGGCTCTGCGGCCTCCTTGTTGTTGCGATCTTCCTCTGCGGTCTGGCGCAGGTAGTCTACCTCCAGTTCTAGTTCGTAGTTGACCGTCTTCGACTTCTCCAATTCATTCTATAACAACACACACGAAAGTAAAAACAACGGTTAACTTAAAAAAGCTTGTATACCAATATCACGCGATCTGTCAACTAAAAACAGTGCCAATCCTTACCTGAACATCAGCCAGCTGCCTATGCACTTTCTGTAGTTTCTCCTCAGCTTCTGAATCAACCACGGGTTGCTGAGAACAAGTCTCTCCTGCAATGATTTGATCCGTCATTTGGTGAATGACCTCTTTTTGTTTCTCACACATGGCTCCCAGCTTTTGGACCAACCCCATCATCTCACAGAGACCACCTTTCTTGACTATTGCGCCGTCCAGGCCTTCGAGCGCTGTGTCCAGTGTGGTCGAAAGGGGCATCATGCCCAGCCTCTTGAGCAGCGCCTTGAGTTCCTTGACTGACTTTTGAGCCTCCTACAGGTATTTGAATATGCGCCAAAGAGTGTGGGTTTAATGAGCGATTCGTGATGTACTACAACTGAACAAAGTTCATCAACAGTGATTTTCATTACCTCGTTCCCGTCATCTTGTGGAGTATCCTGAGGAGTGGGAATGGTCGCAATGGGGTTCTTTCCAGGGGACGATGAAGAGGACACGTTTGGCTTTGAGATCCGCGTGAACCGTGTAGGTCCCGGCACCGATGCTGGTACTGGCGCTGGTACAGTCCCTGTTGGGGAAGGCACAGTATCAGCGATATCTTCAGCTTCTGGAGGATCCTGATCCTGGGTGTAGTTGATAGCAGTCGGTGAGGGCTGGCTCGCTTTGTCATCATCATCATCCTCATCCAGGTCCCGATCACTTTGTTGTTCGTCACTGATGTTGTCGTCGTCAGAAAGTTCGCTTGGCAATTGGATATGCCGTCCCAGTTTGCGTGGCAACAGACTGTTGGCTCCCAAGCTGCCATTAGGTGGCTTCATCGCAGATCGGAAAATAGGCTTGGGCTGTTGTTGTTGCTGGTCTGTATGGCTTCTGTCGATGGGCCGTGTGGTGATCTTGGCTGCAAAGGTAACGGGAGGTGTTCCTTGTCCTGCTCCAGATCCTGCCCTTGCTCTCATCGGTATACTGGACATTGGTAACGCCGTTTTTTTGGGACCCTCTAAAAGCGATATATCGGAGAAATGTGAGCTTTGGCGACAAGGTATTATTTAGTGGTGAAATTTGCTCAAGGTTATGGGAATAGTGTTACCATCGGTGGATACGCCTCTGGTATGCCGCACGGCCGACCTGGGTATGTGTTCGGAAGTTTGTCTGGTAGGAAGCAAACTCCGTTTCGCAAAGGGAGACGCCTTGGGTATCTTGATGTTCTCAGACTAGGAATCGATTAGACATACAACGAAACAACAATTTCGTCAATATTGAAGTTCGTATGTCGTCAACAGCGCAAGCCAAAGTAATCAGCCAATTAATCATCCTTACAGTGTGTCGCATCTGGCGTTTGGGTGTGCTTCCAGACCAGTCTCGTAAATGGTCCTCGTTGGCGTCGTCTCCAAGGGGCATCTGTCGGTCGTTATGTGATCCTGTGTGGAGTCGTGTTGGGTCAAAGGCTGGTGACTCTTGTATGTCGACGGGATCCTGTGATCCCTCCAACATGTATCGCATCATCGATGAAACTGTTAAAGTATACGAAGAGACAATGATCAATGATCAGAACAAGAGATAACATATCTTCAAAACGCGCTATCGAAAAACAATAACCATGATCACAACACGTTACCAGAGTTCTCATCCGTCTGGTGTGTCGTCCTTCGCGCACCACCCCGTCCCTGATAAGTAGGTTGCCGAGGTGGCTTACCCTCGAAAATTTGCTCGATAAGGTCCATATCTGCGTTATCGATACTCCTGTCGTCGTCGTCGTCGCCTTCGTGCCCGCCGAGGTCACGCAGGAAGCCATGCTCATCCTGCGTCGCGCTTGGATGGTCATCCGACCTTCTTGAGGCTCCATGCAAGTTGTAGTCTTCTGAGAATGTCCGCGAGTCGTATTCCCTTGATGAGTCCCAGTCCATGGCTTTGTGTAGTCGGATGCTTTTAAGCGAGGGAGAGGGGAGAGAGATGCCTTCGTTTGTTCGAAGTTCAAAGCTGTTAAAGAAAAAGAAAAAAAAAAAAAAAAAAAAAAAGGAAAAGGATGTGGCTGGTGACAAGTTAGCTTGAGCTGGACCCTTCTTTCTGCCTAATGCTTGTGCGCCCAGGTCCAATTCCACCTAAACCTGATTCTATCGCCCTTGCCTACTGCCTACCTCTGCTGACTCTCATAGCGACATGGATGCTGTCAGTCAGGCCATGGGTGCTTCTTTAACTGTCCTCACGTTCGCCGCTATCAGCACTGCTGGTCGTATCCGACTCTTTGCAAACAATAGGCGATGTCTGCATCTCTACGCCTCCCGTACAGACACGTACATATACAGCACGTGCATAAGGGGGTGTTTTTGCCCCCATAAAGCATGGTCTCTTTCTTCTCTTCTCTTCTCTCTTCTTCACCCCCTTACTTTCTCTTGACTCCTGCCTCAGTATTACTCTGAACGACAACAGACGACTCATCAACAACAGGACAAACAACAACAACAACAACAACAACAACAACAACAACAACAACAGGTAGACACGGAGGAGAAGGGAGAAAACCCCAAGACCTCGCTAGATGGCCTGCTCGCCAGCATGTACGACTACAACAAGCGATATAACTCGACGAAGAAATAATCTGAGGATGTTTTAATATATTCTTTGCCTTTGTCTCTGCCGTTGTCTTTTCCATTTTTCTTTCGTTAACCTCAAAACTCTCAATCCAATTCTTCCTCTTCTCTCCCTCCCTCTGCGAGTCCCAAGCCGATATGTAGTAATAGAAACCCCTCCAAATTCCAACAAACTATCCAACCAAAGCAGACACGCCTTGTCTATTCAGTGTTATCTCTGTCCCATCCAAGTCATTGTTCAACTGAAAATGTGTGAAACAAAGTAAATGTTTGACTTGTTTTACGCGTTCCGTTCTTGATCCTCACTTGAACGGACTTGCATCCCTCAACGTCCAGCTCTTCTTATTGTTTTCTCTTCTTTTACTTGCGTTTTATCGCGTACCATTTTCTACTTTGTTTCAACGAAAGAAACACACAACCACCCACCAAGGCCGAAAGCAGAAAGACATATCACTTCCTTTTTCTCCTTCCGCAAGGTCCCAAACAAACATCGTAACAATAAACGCTCCAAGCAACAAAGAATGTCTTTTATCCCAAACAAAATACTCTTCCTGGCGAGGTCTTTGTTCAGTTGCATTTCAAGAGAAGATTCAGTCGTTGTTGCATTTTTCGCGCGTCAGCAGGTGAAGCCATTGCTTACAGCATGCACATCCATTCTTATGCAGGACGAGAGGGCGTGTGCTTGCTAGTGAATGTGAGACACATCCAAAGCGATCTATTTGCTGATCCAGTTCCCATCCACTCCTTTCTTTCCATTCTTCTCTTATTTTCCCTTCACTCTCCTCTCTCCTTTCACTCTTTCTTACACAGCATATTCTTTCCTTTACCTTCAAGATCATATCATCGAATTGGACAATCAACAACCTTTTTTTCCCTTCACCATCCAACGCTCTCACGCTCTTAAGCAACATAGGCAGGAAACAACAAAAAGCCTAAAGAAATGAAAGAACCAACCCCCCAGGACCTCACAACCCTCGCCCACACCCTAGCCCACGACAACCATGCCCTCCGCACCCGCATGCAATCCTTCGCAGCCTCTGACCCAATCTTCATCCCCCGCTACGACCTCCCCCTCCCCGTCACCCGAGAACTAGCCCACCAACGTCTCCATCGCCTCGCCTCCCAAAACTTTCTCTCTGTCTTTGACTTTGAAACGGACCCGCTGAAGATCTTTGCGGCGCACGAGATGGCGGGGATCATGGACCAGTCAATGGCGACAAAGATGACGGTCCAGTGGAACTTGTTTGGTGGGACGGTGATCAAATTGGGGACGGGAAGGCATAGAAAGTTGTTGGGGGGTGTGGATTCTTTGAGGGATGTTGGGTGTTTTGCATTGACAGAGTTGGGGTTTGGGAATAATGCTGTTGAAATGGAAACTACTGCCCATTATGTAAAGTCAATGGATCGTGTTTTTTTTTTTTTGTTATCTTGGCTCTGTTACCAAAGTTGCTGAATGAATGTTGACTAATATGTCCTGCTGTTTTGCTGTTGTTCCTGGGAGGGATAGATCCATGAGATGCATGAGTGGGATATCCACACTCCAACGATCAAGGGTCAAAAGTACTGGATCTCCAATGTAACACCTCTACGCGAACATAATAATACTCTATTGGGCAAATGGATCGTATTCTCGTTCAATTCATCCACGAAGCGGCTTCTCTCTTAACCCCTGTCCCTCCTTTCTTTCTTCCTTCCTTCCATTAGGCAGCGGTGGATGCGACATGGGCAGTAGTGTTCGCACAAACGTTCGTCAATAACAAAAACGAAGGCGTCCACGCCATCCTCGTCCGAATTCGTGAATCTGACTCTCACCGCACAGTCTCCAAGGGCGTCACTATCCAGGACATGGGTGTCAAAATGGGCTGTAATGGGGTCGATAACGGGAAACTCTTCTTTGACCATGTCCGTGTTCCTGCCGAGAATCTTTTGAACCGGTATTCGAATGTCGACCGCCGCACGGGGCAGTTCTCATCCTCTATTTCCAGTCGACGCGGGTAAAACAAGGATGAAAAATGTTTTATGCGGGGAGGGAAGGAGAGTATGGATGTTTTGTGTTGGGAGTTGCAAGAAGGTGCAAACTGAAAGCAATGCTATCGTTTTTATTTCTTTCTTTCTATCATAGTCGGTTCCTGAAGGTGGCAGACCAATTATTATCAGGACGCCTGGCGATCTCGTCGCTTTGTCTGGGTGGGACAAAAGTGTGTCTGACTATCGCATTCAGATACGCACACAGTCGACTCTGTGTAGGACCCGAGGGAAAATCAGACACGCCGATTATGGTCTACCAACTCCAACAACGGGCCCTCTTGCCGCTTTTCGCCCAGACGGTCTGTCTTAACTTTGGACTCAATTACTGTAAACGACGGTGGTCGGCCTTGTCTCTTCGTGCACACCAACAATACCAACAGGAGCAGGAATCAGGATACAAGGCGAAGAACAAGGACGATCATGATGAGGAGGCGGAGGAGGTGGTCCGACTCTGCTGTGTGATCAAGCCCCTGATCACCTGGAACGCCGAACGGATCGCAACCACCTGTCGGGAACGCTGTGGCGGGCAAGGGTACCTGTCTGTGAACCGGTTCGGGGACATGATCGGATACGCCCATGCAGGGATGACGGCCGAAGGTGACAACAGTGTTCTGATGCAAAAGGTCGCCAAGGAGCAATTGGCGCTGTTACAGAGACAGCACAAGTCAAAGGGTGAGACTTTGGAGCAGTGGTTCATGAAACTCAGAAGAATGACTCTTGATATCGAATCGTTGGAAGGGTTGCTCGCTCTTCTCCGTCTACGCGAAGCTGGAGTCTTTTATGAGGTAACTTGGACACTTTCATGACGTTATTCACTTCTTGTTGCCATGCCTTAAACAAGTATCCTGATAACGAATAATGTTTTGGTCGATATCTTTTAGCTTGGCTCGACGCTCGAGTCGAAGCTGGCAAAGGGCAAGCCGCTGTTCCAAGTTTGGATGGGCGAGGAATCCGATACTATCCAATCTGCGGCCAAGGCCTTTGGCGAACGAGTGTGTTTTGAGCAGACTCTCGATATCATCCACACCCTCGACCACGATCCAAGGTAAACAAGGAGAGAAGGATTTCTGTGTACCCTATACAAAGACTATCGCCTTACTGACCATTGTTTGCTTGATCCCTCACCCTAGGACGATCTTGGAAACACTGCTACGACTTTGGGGATTGACTCTAGTAGAGACCTACCTGTCATGGTTCCTCACCCGCCAACTGATGACCCTTCAGACAGGACTACTCGTCCCTCTGCGTGCTCGGGAGGCAGTGGCGTCAATTGGCGAGCACAGTCTTACACTGTGCGGGATCTTGGGCGTCGACGAGCGGCTTTTATTCGCACCGATCGCTGGCGACTTGGGAGGCTGGGAGGAGTACAACCGTTCCGACAACCATGGCGAACTGCTAGAGAAGAGTCTACTCGATAAAGCAGGATTCAAACCACACAACGCATTCGGACGCTCCAAGTTGTAAAAATAATAATATGCGAGGAGGGTATATCGATATATTATGTAAAGTGTAATGGCGGCGATGAGGGGGGGGGGGTTTCTACAAACAAGATACAAGTACAACGGCGAGTTTGCCGTGTAAGAAAATAAAAAGAGGAAATAAAAAAATAAAAAAGTGGAGATATGCGCTGCTGCCGAACCTAGTGTTGGTAGGCTGACATGTCGATGACGGCAGAGTCGCGCTTGCTATTCCTGGAGGGGACTCGATCATAAGGTCCGAGGACAGACATGGGAACGCTCTCTTCAATAGTATCCAACTCCTCATCCTGACGGTTGTTGTTGTTGTTGGTATGATCGCTCACAACAAACCGATGCTGTCTGAGCAAACTGTGAGTCGACTCATCACCATCATCTTCGCCAATCTCCTCCTCGCTAGATCGGCTCTTAGCTCCTTGCTCCTTCTCAATCTGCTGCTTCTTGGTCCGCTTACTCAACCAGACCGCCACCGAAGACAGCACCAAGACCATGACGATTTGGAACATAATCCAAGGCTGTTGGTAAATGTCGCGTAACTCGTTGATCTCGCCTAAAATAGCTCCTGCCTGTGCACAAATGTAGTTGTAAGGCATGCATCCGAGGAACATGGAGGTCATGAAGGGGATGACAGGGACACCGACCAAAGGACTGGCCAGGTTGATGAACCAGTAGGGTGTCAGAGGGAACAGACGGATCAACAAGAGCTGCATAAACAGACTAGTGCCTTCCTCGTCATCCTGGTCATCCTCACTACCTTCAACCTCCTTGGAGAAGCCATCCATATCCAAAAGTCGGTCGTCGTTGTTGTTGGTGGATACTTTCTCAATGTTGTTCTCCTCGCTCAACAATCCCTCACTCTCGTGGATCTCAATGTCGTCGCGATGGTTAGGCGTTACTGCAGTCGAGGAGAGCACGTTGGCAGCGGCAAGTTGGTGGGGATAAGAATAGATCGACGACATGTCCTGATCTGTACCATCGGTCTTGCGGATGGTGAATGACGACGAGCGCGTGCGAAGAGTGCCTCTGCTTGAGGTAGTTGGGCCAGCCGAGACAGCTGAGGCAGAAGTTGAGAGGGAAGAAGAGGTCGAAGTGGCAGTTGAGGTGGTCGAGGTGGTCTTTGACGACTTTCCAGAAGAACGGGAAGTCTTTTTCTGGATCTGTGTACGCATCTGGTCGAGACGGGTGGAGGCGTATCGGTTCATAATGGGTTCCATAAGGAAGAACGACATAAAATAGGCTAGAACCGATCCAAGAGTCGTCAAAAGCGAGGTCAAGACGGTTCCGAACCAGGGTCCATACAATGCACCAGCCAGAATGTTCTATAAAAGTTACAGTTGTCCATGGTAAGTGTTAGGATACAAGGCTCCCTTCATCGATTATGTCGTATTTCGTCTTCGTGAACACAGGCGTATCGATCGGTAACTGGTGGTGTTGCAAAAAATAAGCAAAGCTTACCAAGAAAGCACTGCCGGGAATACCGAAGCATTGTTTCCACATGTAGACGACACTGAAGACCCAGAAGGTCCTGATCCATCCCTCATAGGTCGCCGTCGCAAAATCTTCCAGGATCTCTGCATCGACCTTGACATCATCAATCGACTTTGGCAGTGACAAGGGAGGGAGGACCTGGGCAAGAAGGTAGAGGCCGCCCAGTGACATTCCAAACAGGCCAATCAAGACCAAGATACGCGGAAGAAAGCCGAGTTGGTAGCTGGCCCATGGGCCAGTTGAGGTTCCGTTTGCAGTTTCGAGGTTGTCGTTATCGCTGTCGGTAGTTGGGACGTCGTGGTATTGGGGCAAGACAGAGGTGGGTGGATAGAAGTGTCGACTTGGTGCAGCTGGGCCAACGGTATTGTTCATGTTGTTGTTGTTGTTGTTGTTGATGTCCTGCTGAGTGAAGGGAGGAGAAACATGGCTAATAGATCCTGTCGGGCGGTTAACAAGAGAGGGACGGCGGGGCCTCATAATATGGTCGAATTGGGTGTTGATAGCAGCAGCGGCTACTTCGGCAGGAGCGGTCCCCGTGTTGGTGAGAGTGTTGCTCCTGCTACGGCCGGTACAGATCATGGGTGCGTTGGTTTGTGCCTGGTCTCCCTGTGCGTCGCTGTTGATGTCTGTTGGCGAAGGGAGGCTTAACCTGGACTGACGAGACATGCTATTATTAATGTTGTGGCTGTTGTTGTTGTAGGAAGCCTGGGCATAGTTATTCCGGTCAAGATTGTCGATAACAAATTGGGATTGAGCCTTGCTTGAGGACGAGGGCGAGGAGCTCTCGGAGTCTGATTGACTAGGAGGAGCAGATAGGGGTGCTGACAGATCACGGTGAGAGCCAGGATCCCTGCTGAGCGAGTCGGCTGTGGCCAAGGAGGACTTTCCAACTCCTGCTCCTGTTCCTGCTGCTGGCGGAAGGTAAGGTGAAGATTTGTTGAAGGAGGAAGACCGTTGCCGTCCAAAAGAGTCACCCTTGGTTGTGTGGAAGCGTCCGAGAGCAGCGGCCGTGGCTGTGGTTGAGACGGCAGAGTGGGCCAGGATCGACATTCTGCGAGTGTGATTGGGGGAGGGGGGGGTGTGTGTGGTGAATGGAGACTTGGGCTAAGGAATGAAGTAAAGATGTCAAGTCAAGTCAAGTCAAGTCAAGTCAGAGGAATGATACGCTAGGTGAGAGAGCACAGGGTGGCCGTTGTTTGTGAGGGGTGAGGGGTGAGGGGTGAAGTGGTATTAGGTATTATTAGGTGTGTTAGGTGTGAGGAAATAAGAATGGGGGTGATGGATGGAGTGAGTGAAAAAAAAAGAGAGAAGAGAGAAGAGTGAAGAGTGAAGAGTGAAGAGAAGAAGATGGGGAAGAAAAGAAGGACGAGAGCGGGAGAAGAGCTCTTGGTACCGACAATCAGCGTTAAAATAAACCGCTTCTTTTCTTTCCTGGATGAAGATCCGACGGGTATACAGAGACGACAACAACAAAACTTACGATGAGGTCATTCATCCATAGACCACGGCCCTGCTTATTGCCGTACCGTACTCGTTCTTGTTCTTCTGACTTCTTCCTTTACAGCTAAATGCTTCCTCTCCTTTGCTCGACCTTCTCTCTTCCCTCCTCCTTCTTCATACCTTCTTGCATTGTTGTTAACAAGAACGAATAAACGAAACCGGATCAAACCTCTTCTTTTTTTCACTCGACTCGACTCGACTAGGCTCGTCGCCTTCTTTACCTGTCACCTCCACTCTCCCTTCTGCGCATGCCACACATGCCACTGCGCGTTTTAAAACTAACGACAAGAGACAAAAAGGAAATAGAGGGGACATGATAGAGGACAAGGACGTAACCACGACTGCGTAAAAGAAACACCCCGAACCCGTTTGTCGTTGTTGTTTTGTTGTTCATCTCTGTTGTTTACCAGTCTTGTCAACCTTCCATCCTTCCAAGGTTTAGTGCCCTTTTTGAGTTCAACTTTCAATCCCTCCTCCCCCTGTCCCCTGTCTTGTCATAACCCTGTCTGTCTTCGATCGAAGTGTTCATATTCTGTTCTTTGTGCGTCCTCAGATCTCTTTCCTCTCCTCTATTTATTTAACCGAGCAACCTTTTTCCTTTTTCTCCTCTTTTCTTCCTGTTCCTTTGTTCATCTCTTTTTTTTTTATTCTCGACTATCTCTCTATCTTTCTCCTCTGTCCGTGTGGACAAAAAGCAACTGCCAAGACTCTATCCATGTCAAGCTTACTCGCGCCATGTCCTTCTCTTCTTTCCTCACCCACAAAGGGACTAAAACGACATCCATAAATGTGCCACCCTCATCCTACTTCCCTCTCGTCTGCTTCGTCTGGTAGTCTATCTGTATGCATGTGTCTGTGTATGTAAACAGAGGTAAACAACCCCTGTCCACCACATTGGCCAGTGCACTTCACCCTCCCTCCCCCATCCTGTATGTATTTCCCGGGTTCCAAGGGGAGATCTTTTCTCCGATTTCAAACATTGGGTTAAAAATTTTATTCTTGCCCAGACCGGTCTTTTCAAACCTGCTGTTAGACCTCCTCCTTGCCACGAGGAAAAGCTAGAGAGGAGGGATACTTTCATTCCTCCCTTTTTGGGGGCATCGGGTGCACCGGGACACCTTTGGCCCGGATCGCTATGATGTACACGTCAGTATTAAAAGAGGAGCGACAAATTAGTGGCAAAATGATTAACATTCCACTTCTCATCTCACTCTCGTTCAGCCCATCAGTTCTACTGTTCCCCTTGGCCCTTTTCTTTTTTTTTTCTTTTCTTTTCTGTTGCCTATTTATTGGTTTGTGTTATGATTGTTTTATGTTGCAAAAAGTAAAAGAGAGAGAGAGAGCAAAATGATAGACTAAAACTACAAGCTATTGTACGAGAAATGGGAGCAAAAAACGAAGAAAGAACAGTAAAGAAAAAAAAATAGACCGAAAAGACCGCAGGCATACGATCCATCAGGTTGTTGCTGTTGTTGGTGTAGGAGACTGATGGCCTTGCTCAGACAAAGAACATTGTGTTCTTCAGGTCATTCTACCATTTCGAAATTCAAACATCCAACCAAGCACGTTAGTGTATAGGTCAAACAACTCATGATACATAGCAGTGACAGAGGGAGGTAACTTACAGAGATGGGCATGACCTCGGGTCTGTCGGTATTGACACCAACATCGCGGTAGCATCGAGCACGGTAGGCGAGTAGGTGAGCGTACTGGACGGCAGGGACAATGGACGTTGCCTTGGAGCAGCGACTGTACACATGGCACAAGTTGAACGTCAGTTGCTGCAGATCATCCGAGGTGAATTTGTTCTCGTCATACAGGACACAGTACTGAGCACAACGGCTGGTTCCCTGTAGACCCGCGTGACTTTGTAGGTCTATCGTCAGATATCATTGTCAAAGAATAGAGACATTAGCAGGCCGCTCCTGGGTAATGCGATCCAGTAGCTATACAAAAACCAGTCCTCGCATGTGCAAAATGATGATAGTTTACAGAAGTCAAACTCGGTGGGGTGAGAGATCATGGTGTCGACCACCGTTCCTGACTCGCAGTTGCCCGATCTGTCACTGTTTCGCTTATCCATGGGAAAGAATCGCGTGTTGTGGCGCTTCTTCACGACGACGAACGTAACCGCAGGCTTGTACTTGGCTATGAGCACACAGTCAATGAAATTACAAGATGGTGGATGTTGGACTTGGTTTTCATCCATTCAAACGCAAGAATGACATGGTACAAGCACCAGGACATGGACTTACGATCGATCTGGTGGCAGGCAATCTTGATAGCTTTGACCTCCGTCCTGAGAATCTCAGCGAACTGAGACTCCGACACACCGTCACGGTAAAAGAGGATACGCTGAGGGTGATGCTTCATAATCTGCTTGTAGCTGGCGATCAAATCCATCATCAGCGCAGGAAGACCCTCAATCACCTCTACAGCTCCCACTCCTTGCGAAGGCTGCCTCTGAATCCGTCCAATATGCCTGAATCCACAGTCGTCAACAAGCGCGACCACAGACGCGATCGATGGCCGGTCGGTCTCTCCTGGAGCCGCATGAGTGACATCTGCACCAACAACCAACGTTCGGCCGCGCTCGATGAAGCCCAACGAGTTTTCTTCCAAGCGGTTAACTGTTCCACCGAGCTTTGCCACGATCTTCATTCCTAGCAGCCGGCAGTATGCATCGTTGACCTTTTCGATCTTGATGGCAAGCGCGCATTGAGTCATGATGCCTGGCTCTGTCGTCTCACAGTATGCCTTGATGTCAGGATACATGAGTCCTTTTCCTGGGAGCAATGCGACCAGTAGCTGAATGGGTGCTTGGCATACATTTTCGATCCTCCTGCGAGCTACTCCGATCTCTCTGTCAAGTGAGCCTTGTGGTTGAGTGTACCCGATTGGAGGCTCCATCATGACTATGTTCATACCGGCGGTGCTCAGAACCTGCACCAAGCGACGGACAAAGCTCTCGACCTTGCCTCTGTGGAGCCGGCCTTCGTTCTCAAACACAAGGATTCCCCATGAACGCAAGGTCGCCCCTCCCAAATACTGCTGCGAAGCGTTGAGCTCCCATGTTCCCTGCCTCGGTACGACCTTGACCCCTCTTGCAAACTCAATCCTAGGCGCTTGCAAGACGCGAGCAGGAACGTCTGCCATCCTTTCCGAGATGCTCATTCCAAAGGCAGCCAGGAACGGATTGTTCCTGAAGTCCAATGTCTGGATAGACTGCCTGATCTTCTGGATGCGAGGTTCAGGCTTCATAGACGCAGCTCGGAGCATCAATGCAACTTGTTCGTCATTAAGCTATAAGAGGGATCCGCCAAAATAACAGTAGTGACGTATGAGCAACCAGGGTGATGTAACTTGGATCATAGAGATACCATCATAACTATAGAGGGCCATATACTAGAGCAAAGTGCTGTACCTTCTTCTTGTAAGGTTGACCGCTCTCGAAATAGCATAGCTCGGCAGGGAAATATGCGATGGTGTTGTTGCGACCGGGAACACCTAAGCATGGGGCGCGTGGATAGTGCAGCTTGGCATTGTAGGTGTGGGTGTAATACTCCTCCACACTCACTTTACGAGTTCCGCCATCATTGGTAGTGTGATCAAACCAGGTATCATCGGCACCGGCACGACTGAGCTGGGCCATCTTGTACCTAACCAAGAGGGTCCATGGTCGATTAGTTAATGATGAAAAATGCATCAAAGCACACAGAGGAAAGGTTTCCACGATCTCCTATTTTGATTGTCGTGTAAAAAACTTACTTGCGCTTGAACTGCTTTCCGCGGTGCGTGACCCTGAAGAAGCAACCCTTGAGAACAGTCTCGACGGCGTCCTTCTCCCGGCGGTCCAGCGACTGGCTTGGGTTCCAGCGAGGGGCGATCGACCTCATCAACTCGATCGCGCTGCCTCCCTTCACGAAAGCCCCAGCTGACTTGTCTACGTTCACGAACAGTTGCTGTTGACCGAGACGCACGGTGTGAAAGATTCCATGCCACATCTCTACACCCCCGCGCAAGTCCTGCGCCCCATCTGGCGTGAACACAGAGCGGCCGACTAGTTGTTGACAAAACGAGAAGAAAGCATATCACAAAAGGCGTGAATATCGACATCAATTGTCGCAGACAGAGAGTCTATCAATAGAAAGCGACTCCACAAAATAATTAAATGAATAGTTGCGCAAGGGCCACACGCCGTACCGGTCACCATATTCGAGTAAGGCTTGTGTGTGAGTGCAACGTTCAATGCCTGGATGGCCTCCGTACAATCCTGAGTGTACCGGCCTGTCTGCAAGAAGTTTAACAGAGTCCCTATGTCGATCTCATTCACGTGCATTATCTTGAAGGCGATCTCCTGCTTCTGTCCAGCCAGTTCTATCTTTTGACGTCCAAATGAGAATGTTAAAGGGAAAAGATGGTCGAAAAAACATAACCTTGTTAGGTCGTGTATGTGCAAGGAGGCGTGATGTGACAATGGGCACCGACAAAGACTTAAAAGAAGCCAAAAGTCAGAAAAAGTCAAGGTCTGAGTCTTTTTCACTACAACTCACCTTGATAGTAACGGCGCCGTTGTTATCGTGGACTGCCGGAAGGTGCTTGGGCGAGAAGACACTGTGGCGTCCATCGTAGGCAACCAGGGTGCCAGCATCCATCATAATAGGGTGCCTCTGGAGCTCCTGCCACAGCTACTTGGTAGTGTCATCATTATCCAATATGTGCGACGATGAGTCAGTCAATCAGCTCACATGAGCTGTATTTCCATCAACCCTACCAGAAAATTTGCATTACGGGCTCTTCTTGAGGGTTGTTCTTTCTCCTGGCAGGAATGACGAACATCGCTCGTCTACTTACCTCTCTGTTCCTCCTGGGCGGAACCTCTGGAGAAATCTCGATGTGATAGTGGTGGATGGTCTTGTACGATGGTCGCTATCGGTCCAGAAGAGAATGTGGAGACAGTCACCATGGTTATATATTAGTCTGCTTTGGCCTCTTCTCAACTACTTTGATTCATTTCATTTTGAGGATATATTGACATTGTATCATATTCATTACCAGCGCCATGGGAAAAAAGTTTGTATTGACTGTTATTTGTCGTCCTGCACGACCACCCAGGTCGGGTCTCTTTGTACATCCTGTTTGAGCTTCTTTTGCAGGTGTAGGCGTAGCAGAAGGGGGTGGTACTATCCCTGGCTCGACTTTCACACGGGCAGCAGGGACCGAGGGAGCAGAGAGGTTCAGGTTGAGCTCAGAGTGAGGTGGGTAGGGCTGGTTGTTGTCGTAGGTGATGTTACGAGAGCGCTTTGAAGAGTGCGAGTCAGCGTCAAGCATCTCTTCGTCGTCTCGAGGGGACCGCAGCCGTCGGTCACTAGTCATGGCTGATGGGCCACGAGTGTTAATGAGAAGGAATTGGCGAGGAGATGAAGAGGTGAAGTGAAAAGTGAAAGCGATAAATAAGCGAGGAAGCGATGAATGGGCGGGAGGTGAAGAGGACCGAGAATGGGGGGAAAATATGAGCAAGATACAACGTCGCAGTAAAAGAAGGTTGTCTTTAGCCTTTCTTAAGGGCGTTTTTATTATCAAGAACTATGTACAGGTAGTTCGAAAGAAGAGGGTCAGTAGCAGTCGTTCCTTTAGAACGAGGACTGGCCAGACTCTTGCTGAGACTGGCGACCGGCAGGCTGTTGCTTCTGCTCCTGACGACCCTGCTGCTGTTGAGACTGCTGCTGGCGACCCTGGGGCTGCTGCTGACCGCGGGTAGACTGGGCCTGAGCAGTGGCGGTACCGCCCTGAGGGTATGAAGCCTGGGAGGTCTGCTCGCTACACTGACCAGAGGTGCGCTGACCGGGCTGGGCCGAGGCTTTGGCGACGGCGGGATCGTACATGGTGAACATGTTGCAGTTCTGGCCGGACTGCTGGGACTGGCTGGACTTCGGGACCTTGGAGTTGCAATCCTGGATATCCTGGCAGTTGGAGGAGGTGGGGAAAGTCATATTGTTTTTGGTTTTGTGTTGGGTTGTGTTGGGAAGGGTGTGGTTACTTGGTGAAGAGTAAAAGAGGACGGTAAGACGACGCCTTTTATACTACTCTATTTTTTGGCTGCTCTTTCTGAAGACATGATGAGAACATTTCCTTGAAAACAATGGCTTTTTCCCATGAACGCGTTCCTTTCACCTCAATGTTCGGCGAAATCCTAGAGGCTAGAGGTCGTGAAGGTCAAAGAGAAAAGCGCCTCAAAACCTTGCTGGCCAAAGAGAAATATGCCATCCAAGAGAGAGTTGCCATTGAACAAGACCCAGGAGAAAGGAAGACGATTGAAGGAGATCTGCTTACATTCCTGCAGGGGAAGTGGTGGGGTAGTACTCGGTAGTCCAGGCACTTGTCGCCCTGGATTTGTGTCTGACCACTAACGGCCAAAGGAAAAAAATTAATCGATTGGCACTAACAAGCGGGATCTACGACGGAACGTAGCCTCTGTCCTTTGTACATCCTTCCCAAGAACCTCACGCCCTCAAATCAGCAGTGGCTCGTTGGGCCATTGCTTGTTTGGTGAGCTCGTTTGCCTGCTAGCTTTCTTTGTCGTAATATAGCCAACGGCGCACTCTGTCTGCATCGATTTAGTATATGTAAGCCGTTCCCTTGTCGCGTAGCAAGTTCAGGCTTGCAGGCATGAACCATCGAACTATTTCCAGCATGTGGCTTAGTACCCCACGTGATGAAAAGCGACTTCTACTTCTTTCCATACGCTGATCCGAAGGATTTCCGGTACCTGATCAAACAACGCCCAACTGGACCTGCCGACATCGACATCGACTTCGACATCAATCTCAACAACAACCCACATCAGCGCACACCACTGCACATTTATACAACATGCGTCAGAACTTTATGGGAGTCGTCGTCGGAACAGCCATGCAGAAGACCATCAAGGTCCGAGTCATGAGCCAGAAGGTCCACCCTATCGTCCGCAAGGTAAAGACCACAACAATAACAACAACCACCTGGAAGCGCCGGAAAAGCAAGGCGTTACTCTAGCAGTTGACAACGAAGAAGGAGTGAAGAGAGATCAGCATCATGGCATGGACACACGCTATGGAACACCTACTTTGGATATACATTTTGCATCGCTCAAGGAACTGACCAAGCCAAAAATCGTTGAACTGACACTGCTGTTCACTATTGACACCCCACGAATATGGATAGACATACAAATCGTTCAAAAACTACCTTGTTCATGATGAAGCTTCCAAGTGCAAGCTCGGAGATGTTGTCAGGATTGAGGCATGCAGGCCAGTCAGCGCAAGGAAACATTTTTCGGTCGCAGAGATCGTTGCCGCCTCTAAAGTCTGGGAGCACACCAAGTAAAGTCGACACAGGCAGTGGATAATCGACCTTGCAGGACATCCTCACCTACCCAATCAACCATTCCGTCATACAACATCACCTCGTTATTTTTCAGCATTTTTTACACAATAAACAAAAAATCATCAGTACCTCAGGAACCGTTCAACGTGTCGAAGAGGAAGAAAAGGCAGTTATTGAAGATCGTTTGGACATGGGAGAATGCAATGGGACAATTGAGAAAATATATCGTGTGAGAAACTTGAAAGGACGGTAAACAGGATGGGCAGATTTTATTTAGGGTATCTGACAGGACAGGCGGAGCAAAATGACAAAAGAAACAAAACAGCACGAGCAAAAAAAAAAACTGATGAAAATAACGACAATGCAGATTACTCCTTGGCTGCCCGTCTCTGCTTCAATCCTTCGTCGGTTTTGCCTTCTGAAACAGCGGTCGTGGATCCAGTGGAACCTGAGGGAGACTCGACAGAGTGGTCCATCTTCTTCAAGTTCTCGAGCATGACAGCGCGCGTCCGCTCCATCAATTCGTTGACGTCGTCAGCAGTCATTCCAGTGGTGGGAATAGGTTCCAGAACTCTGATCTCCAGCTCTCCTCCAGGGAACGAACGGTTGGCAGAGTCGTAGATGTGCGAGTATCCTGCGGCAACGATGGGCATGACGGGCTGCTGAGATTGGATCGCCAAATGGAAAGCACCCTTCTTGAATGGCAACAGATCGGCCGTTTCCAAACGAGAGCGGGTTCCTTCAGGGAAGATCCAAATGCCAGACTATTTTTAAGCAACAAGGAGATATTTGGGTTAGCTACAATGCCAGAGATTGGCGAAGACTTGTGTAGGGAGTTTTGATAGCGGACATTACGTTGTGTTTCTTCATGTCGGTAACGGCTTGGGTGGTCGATTCAATGGCCTTCTTGTGGTTCTTGCGGTCAATAAAGATTGCATTGCTCAGGGTCACTAGGTTACCACGAGGTACAAATACGAGATTTCGCTGGTCAGCACAATAAGACAACTGCACCCCTACAAATCCACACAAACAAGAGAGTCGATATCATTGATTGACATAACAATAGGGACTTACTAAAGATACCGAGGAAAGGAAAGTATTGAAGCTCTTTCTTGGCCATGACAACGCAGTGCTTTGGGAAGACTCGTCCGAGAATCATCATATCCATCGAACTCTGGTGGTTGCAGACAACGATGGCAGGGTACTTTTCCAGATGCTCCTCTCCAACAATCTTGAAGGTCACACCACAGGGATAAGATGCGATGAAGGAAAAGATCCGGGCGACCACAAAGTTGGTCTCATGTCTTCTGTTGAGAAGCGCAAAGACGATGGAGACAAAGCATCCGACGATCGACATGATAAAGGTTGCAATGAGGACGACACAACACTTGGTCACAAATTGAATCTTTTGAGGGAGGACAGCCAAGAGTCGCGGCAAGGCCAGGATGAAGGCAGGGACGGCGATGATGCCCCATGGAATTGTTGACTCTAATTGATGAAGAGGGCAAGGATGTTAGTTCGTTGGTTTCTTTGGTGAATGGATAGTAGGCCACTGTCATACTCGTTATATGTGTATCAAACGTACCTGAAAACATGGCCTGGATATGTGTTTAGAAGGAAGAAAGGGAGAGAAGAATGATCGAGCATTAGAAATAGAGACATTATTTGAGCATGTGTTGGGTGTGTGTGCGTGCCAATGCGAATGTGATAAGCAGGGTGGGCAATTCCGAAATAGGTTTTTTGTTGGTCCTTCCTTCGTTCCAGGAACAAACAAACAGAAGCACAAGCAATTCGAGAAAAGGGCTGGACAGCAACGCACAGCATTAACTCCATAAAGGATATGATGATTATGAGTAAGGAGGGTGCAGTTTAGGCTTTTTACCTGAGGATCAGGAAGGACGAGGAAGGAGAGAGAAAGGGATAGTGCGAATAAAGGGTGGAATGAGTGAAAGAGCGAGTGATGAAGAAAGTGAATGGGGGGTGGGATGGAAGAGAGAAGAGAAGAAAATAAAGAAGAAAATAAAGAAAATAAAAGAAACAAAAATGAAAGTAAATGAAAGTTTCCGACATTTTTATTATTTGATCAGAAGGGTCCAACGGCGAATTCTTTTTTTTTCTCTTTTGCACGACGGAAGTGGGGACTCAAGAAGACATGAGACTGCTGCTCACTCTTATTCTTTCACACCCACAGCAATTGCTGCCTGGCGCCAATGCTTGTTCGATACTAATTGTAATACGCTTTCCTTTTTCAACAACTCTCCCACCACCTCGTTCCCCACTCACTCTCACATGCCTGCGGGGTTGAAGCTGAGCATTTTTTTTTCGGGAGACTCTCATTATCGCTGCAGTTCTGAAAAGGAAGTCATTTTTTTCATTTTTTTCGTGCAAAGCCACCAAGTGAGCTGGACTGCCAACTTAACCACGCCTGCCTTGGAGACTTTGCCACCCTCAACATCATACACACTGCAATTCATCACTCTTCAGCATCAACACTCACCCACCAACAACCCACAAGTTCCCAGCCAGACAGGACAAGGATTATCACAGCTGAATACACAAGTCATCAAACAAACACGACACATCGATACGCACAGGAACCATGTCGGAAAGCTCGGTTTCCTTCGAGGAAGCAAAGTACGCAATGCTACAATTGTTTCGAATGCAAACAACTATTTTGATCAATGCTGTCCTGGGATGCAACAAGCACTAACCCATACAATTCTTTCGATTATTCTACGCTCTTTTTTTATCAGCCGGATTCGTTTGAGTCTCGGTATGAAGCCTCTGAAAGTCGGTCCAGAGACGAGTTCTACCCAGATAGCTGAGGACAACATGAAGCGACACCGCGAAGACGAGGCCAAGAGGGCACACGAGGACAAGGTCAAGAGCAGGATCGCAAAGTCCAAGAACAAGCTCGAACTTAACAAGACCATGTCAGGAAAGGGACTGGGCGAGGCCAGTGACGACGACGATGATGGCGATCTCTACAAATGGACCATGAAGTCGCGTAGGAAGGAGAAGGAGCGTCAAACCGCCGCTGCAGCCAAGCGGGAGAAGGAGCTCCAGGAACTTGATGATTCGTACCAGGCTGAATACGATGAGGATCACCTCGCTGGACTTCGGGTTGGCCACGACATGGGCGACTTTGCAGAGGGAGAAGAGCGGATCTTGACGCTTAAGGACAGCACCATTCTGGAGAACGAGGAGGAAGGAGACGAGCTGATCAACATCCAGATGACGGAACAGCAAAGGCTGGAGAAGAACCTGGAGAACAAGAAGAAGAAGAACCGACCTGTCTACTCGGCGTATGACGACGATGAATTCACGTCCGGAAAGAAAAAGAACCTTCTCTCTCAGTACGATGAGGTTTTGGGAACCGAACAGGGCAACGACGGATTTGTCATTGGCAAGGCCAGGAAAGTCAACCGTGGCGGAGCAGGAAGTCTGGCAGGATCCAGCTCAGGCAACGGAGGATTGACTGCCAAGGAGATTATGAACCAAAAGCTCAAGGAGTCTGCCATCGACCTAACCTACAACAGTAAGTATCGTCGTTTTGGACATTTAGTGTCGTCGATTCTATGATTTTTGATCCAAGGTCAGTTATTAATACTCCTTTGTTTACATTTGCTACATGTATGAATAGAAACACAACAAGCCCAGGACTACTACACCAAAGATGAAGCTGAGATCACATTCAAGAAATCAAAGGTACTTGTCAACATACATTAGTCATACCTGTAGATCGATAACGAGTATACTACGCGTGGTCACTAATGCTCCTTCTGCCAATTGTTTTGTACATATTAGAAAAAGAAAAAGTCGAGATCAAGGAAAGCTGACAACTGGGACGAGGAAGGCGATCAGGAAGGCGATGCCATGGAGGTCGAGAGACCAGAGCCAGTGGATATCTCTGAATTGAACTTTGTCGATGACGAGGATTTGCAGGCATCATTGGCCAAGGCGCGTCGTCTCGCCACGAAAAAGACCATCAAGAAGCTTACCCCTGAACAGATTGCCAAAAATCGTAAGCATCCACCTCGTTTTCTGTCGGATTTTTGTTTGAACATAATTGGATACTCCGAATCACTGGACAAGTTGCTAACCAACCATATCTTGTTTATTCTCTCTAATGGCCTAGTCGCGGAAAGCAAGATCATGGAAGTGGAAGAAGATTTTAGCGAGAGGGGGGGCCTGGTAATTTCGGATGTGTCAGAATTCGTTTCTAATCTTGCATCGTCGTCAGCAGTCCACGCTGCTCCAGCTCGTCCAACACAAGCAGCCAGGGAAGATAGTCCAGAACCCGCGTCTGCTTCGTCTCCCATCGTGGCGGAAAAGGCGCAGGAAGACACAGTGATGGAGGATACCAAAGAGGAAGCAGAAGAAGACAACATTAGATCGAGGACGAGAGCAGAATCGGAAGAAGCTGAGGACATTGCCATGAAGGAGAGCAAGGAGAGCGAACAAGCTGAACATGTACGTGTAATTCATTTTACTTGCACTATGATTTCCTCGGTCGATTTGCCAGCAGCTTTTTGTGCACGTTCATGATACTAACACACTTTATAATTTACGTTTGAACCTATTTTCAATAGGAGGCTGTACTTGCCGAAGAGCCACTTGTCAGCAGAGGATTGGGATCGACACTTGCATTGCTGAAGCAGAAGGGTGCCCTTGAAATGGGCAACGCAGAGCAGGCAGAGAGATCCAAGATTCAATCAGAGCGTGCCAAGTGGCTGGCTGACGCTCGACTTCGAGAAGCTAGGCTGGCCAAGGAGATGGCTCAGGCAAAGGCACGCGACAAGGACAAGGTCAGGGACAAGAACTACTCTATTCGTGACCGTGATAGGGATCGCGAGCACGAGAACCAGCGGAGAGAGCAACAATTACTGGATGAGCGCGAGTCCCGTATGAAGAACTATCAACCCGATGTCAAGCTGGAGTATATTGACGATAGCGGTAACCGTTTGAACACCAAGGAGGCCTTCCGTCAACTCAGTCACGCCTTCCACGGAAAGACATCGGGAAAGATGAAGACTGAAAAGCGCATGAAGAAGCTGGAGGATGAGAAGCGATTGATGAGCATGAGCAGCACGGACACTCCTCTCGGCATGGCCTCGGCCTTCCAGGAGCGGCAAAAGGCTGCTGGATCTGCCCATATTGTTCTCGCCGTCGGAAACCGCAAGTGCGTATCTCATATATTAATGCATCTTGAATTTTTCTGTACGATGATTGCAGACTTTAATGCCGATCTAATATCCTCTTTGTCTTTTCATTTTTTTGAACTAATCTAGCGCTGTGCCTGCAAGTCTGGCTTCATCCACCATCGGTGGTACTACTTCGACACTTGCTTCAGGATCAGGATTAGGAACGGCGTCAGCAGCCCCAGCCAGGAGCCAACCCTCTTCATTCTCGGCCCCAAGTCAGAATGCGCAGGCGACAATGTCGATCTCTGGAGTACATGCCCCTAACCGCGAAAAGGTTGCCTTTGGTCTGAAGCGCAAGGCTGAGGCAGCGCCCGGATCTAACCCCGAGGAAACTGCCTCCAAGAAGACCCGTAACTGATGCCCCTTCTCCTGCACCCAAGTAATAAAAATCCCTTTTTGATGACCGACCGTTGGGCAAAGTTCGAAACCATGATTTTGGGCAGTCACGAAGGGAAGTATGTTTTCCAAGATCAGGAATCAACATCTGCATCAACTTTAACCAAACCATTAGACTACATGGCATCACCTTTCTTGCGCGCACTCACTCGACAGAGCACCACCGTCAGGACAGGAGCCTCGACAGCAACATGGTCTAGCACATTGTCGAATACCACCAGAATTGGTCCAGTTCAAAGCCGCCAACTCCAGGTTATGTACAGGACACAGAACGTTAGAATCGCCAGTCTCGTGAGCCACCTCACTTCCTGTCCAGGGACCATTGATTCCACATCACAGCTTCAACTGCGGGGATTTGCATCCAGGAAGGAAATTGCCACAGCAGAGGCAAGCGACAGCGATTCAGGATTGGATGAAGAGTTCCGGGACGACAATGGCATGACCTTGAAGGACCGCGAAAAGGTCGAGAACTGGGCCAAAGGGTTCACAAAGGAGTCGATCCCCAAGGGACTCTTGACCCTCAATTTTGTCCGCGCTAGTGGGCCCGGCGGACAGAACGTCAACAAAGGTTCGATCTAGCTTCATTCTGGACACTCAGGAAGTCATTGTGGCAATATTTGCTCTGGATCTAGGTTGGGTTTGTTGAGGCGTACTGATCGTTTGATCTTTCTGGTGTACTATCTTCTATCTGATCTAGTGAATACCAAGGTGGATATGCGATTCGTTGTGGATGACGCGCTTTGGTTGCCAGAATATGTTCGCGACCGGTTAAAGTCAGAGGTAAGTGGACACCGTCGAGACGTACTGTTCCGCAAGATGCAATGCAAGGCATGAATATGCAACCCATGTAACCTCCCCAACAACAACAACAAGGAACTCCTAAGAGTGGGTGGGGGCTCGTGGCAACGGAGCCCATCAATCATTTAATTTGAGATATTCCCTTTTTCATGTTGGAATTACTTTCTAGGAATCCAATAGGGTTAATAAGAACGGAGAGTACGTCTTGACGTCGGATCGGAAACGGACACAGATGGCCAATTTGGATGATTGCATGGAAAAATTGCACGAGATTTTGCTCAAGATGGCCGAGCTCCCCAAATTACCCGACGCCGAGACCCTGGAAAGACTCGAGAGAATGTAAGTACTCCTTGGGTATGAGAGTGTTTTTCTCTTTTTGTCTGATCCTGAACGTGAGAGAGTAAATGTAGCCAGTTCTACTACCCTCTTTCCCCTTGATACCCCCTTGAAAACGGTGGGAAAGTGGAAAAATAAGAAAACATGAGTAGAGCCTTTCGGTCGTGTGTATGTCCATTGGGCTATTGTTGTGCTTCTGTGCCAAACCCGTTTTTCCTATATGCTGCTAACATTTCCATGTACTTCTTGTACAGTAAAAAGGCAGGAAACAACCGACGCAAGGTCAACAAGCAGTTCCAGTCGCAGAAGAAGTCTAGTCGACGCGTCAGTAGAGACGATTAGAAGGAAAGACCGCCTGATGTAGTCCCTCGCTGAAGGAAGGGAGATGGCAGTAGCCATTTCGTACCTTTTCCAATGTATTTTTATCAGCTTTCATTCATTATCCTTTTCCTTCTCCACCTTTTGTTTTTCTGATAGAGCTCTGACCCAGTTTTTTTTCTTTTTCTTTTTCTTCCTTGTTTGTTGACTTTTCTTTCTTTGCATAATAAAACCATTGTCCGTATTCACAAGACAAGACTTGGTCTTCTTTTGCCCCTTTTTCCTTTCCTTTTTGTCATCGGACTTGGCTTCAAGGCCATAGCGTTTCCATTGTCACCTTCTCGGGCTCCCATTTTCCCGGGAAAGAACTTAGGTAGAGAAAATTCATGATTTAATTCATGTCTAGTTGAGTTGTTTCTTTTGCCATCATGCCCGCTCTTTTCTTATTGCACGCCTTGCCCGGTCATTTGTTGGCTGTTGCTTTTTCCCATCAAGCGCACAAACGTCTCCTCGATCGGGGCTAAGAACTCTGTTTTTGTTGCCTTGTTAGCTCTCGTCAGTTGACACCCAAACCCATTTTCTAGAACTAAAAGCAAGAGACATTTCACCGGCACCCAATCAATGCCTTCGTTTGTTATTTTCCCATGAACCCATGTACGCAAAGGCAGTAAAACAAAATGAAGTGGGGGTTAGAGTTTGGGTTGCAGAGATGACCAGGCCAAGCGGCTGGACTTCCGTCACCTCTGCCCCGAGAGTCCGAGGCAACATGCATATGCAGTACATGACACGTACCATGTTCAGTGGTGCTAGCACCTTCCCTCATTGGTTGGTTCAATATTTTTCAGCTCAATGTTATTGTTGCCTTGTAGAGATGAGCCTTGTAGAGATGAGCCCTATTTGCCTTTATTTTTGCTTTGACCAGTTGGATGTCTTTCCATGGAAAAGAAAAGAAAGGAGGAAGGATGGAAGGGAAGGGAAGGAGGAGGAACAGAAAAATATGGGAAGCGTACCAATGAGATAGTACGCCCGTTTACCGCCTTTCCATAGTTGCCGCTTGTTGTTTTTGTTGTTTTTGATGCCAAAACGGCGACCCTGTGTCAACACCATGCGGGGGTGTTTGGATTTTTGTTTTTCTGTGAACAAGAATGTTGAGATAAACTCTTTGTCCACCTCCCCACATCAAACAAAGCAAAAAGATACGAAGCAACCTTTACGCTTAACCTTATTCATACACAAACGAGGGAGGACAGAGGGAGGGGGTTGGACCACCTTTTCATGTGCCTCAACTTTGTTGCAGGTGTATTCGAACTGAGATAAAAAGCAAAGCAAACCAAAGACCACAGAAACAAAACGCTGAGTGAGCGTTGCTTCTTTGCATATGACAAAAAAACACACAAGGCAGGACTGCAAGTAAGCAAAGCAGGCTGCTGCCGAACATGACAGGGCAGGCAAGGGAGTGGGTGGGGTGGAGTTCGGAAGGCATACATACGCCCATGATAAATAACGACGTGCATTGCATGAATTAAAGAACTGGGACACCACATTGCATCCTAACGGCTGGCTCAAGTGCAGGAAGTCGAAATATTTTATTTTGTGCGACCCAGGTGGCTACAATAAAAGACATGAAGGGTGAACTGGCAAGGACAGGACCGAGGAACTGAAGGGACAAGAGGGAGAGATGATCGAGAAAAGTTGCGATGTGTGTTGACCTTCCGTCCCCTCTTGACCCGTCATGAGGGGAAGTGGGATGTTGGAATACAAAGGAGGGAGGGATGTGCGTGCATGAACTTTGTGTTTCTTCTCTCATCTCCCGCCCGGCGCCGTTCGGGAGCTCTCATCTTTTTGTTTTGCTTAGTTGTTTGTTTGTTTGCTTGTTTGTTTGTTTGTTTGGTTGTTTGTTTGGTTGTTTGGTTGTTTGTTGATGTCGGGTAGACTGGCTGCTGTCGTTTATTTGCTTTTTCTTCTTCGCTTGGTGTGCTCTCGCTCCATGTCACCAATCCAGGCACCACACCCACCAACCTCGGAACTCCCGTCTTTGAATGCGCCATTTTTGTATACCGCCCCCCAAATTTAATATCTGGGTGCCATCCACATTGGCAAAGTAAAAGTCAACGGGGGAGTCTTCCGAACCCTCACCTTGGAAGGGGAGGAGGGAGTGGTTTTTGGGTCAGCAACTAATAAAAATCGAGAAAAATGAAAGTTGGAGGTGTATATCTTGGACAATACTTTACCCTTCTCTCGTTTTCCTTTTTTTCATTTTGATCGCGATCTTGGACGATTCCTTCGTACGTCAAGGTACTCTCTCAGAGGTAGCACTTTCCTGTCTTCATCTAAAACGCCTTCTTAACCTGCATGCGCATTAGTTTAACAAATCGTTTTAATATGTATCTCGTCGCTAAACCCCTCTCTTACTATCTTCTTCCACTCACTTCAACAATAATCGCGTGCGACTCGCTGTACTTCCACACCACCAGACCGTTATCAGGTCGTCAGCAGACATCCACTTTTTTGACCTTTTTTTGTCACTGTCGTCGTTGTAGTACAACGCAAAAAGAAAGGCATAAGACAACAGAGTGAGCCGTATTTTTTTGTGCCAACTCCAATGTGTCAAGATGGAGACCCAGCGGTGGATGGGGTTTTGCATGAAGAAGGAGAAGATGGACAGGGTCAAGCCGATGGAGGAGGACAAGGCTATGGAAGCGATGGGCACAAACAAAGGAAGGGTGTGTAAACAGTTGGGGTGCAAGGAAGTTGAGCCAGACACCTTTGTTGCTGACCGTAATATACACAGACAGCAAAATACCCTCTCTGGCATTGGAAAAGCTACCATGACGCCACATGGAGGTGATTGGGGGGGGGTTGGTAGTAAGAAGATGAAAAGCTGATTACTATCATGCAACACAAGAATAGGTTTAGACAAGATGGACGGACGACAGCGAAGGAAGCAAGAGAGCAGGAGGAGTGTGGGCGTTTGTTAATTGAATGGGCCGAAAATGAAGATTTTCTTGCGCTTTCTTTTCCAATACCTTTTTGCGCTGAGCTGGACTGGATTAATTCAAAAGAACAAGGGTATTGACTGAATGGCCATAAGCAAAGACGGGACAGAAGGGATGAGAGCACAAACATAAAAAAGAAGGTGGGGGATCAACTAATCTCAACGGGCTTTGCTATCCAATCTCGACCTCTGTTCACCACCATGGGCCCATTCATTCTGGTTTTCATTTATATATATGCTGACTGGTCCCATTTCCTTTTTCTTTTTTATCGTTCTCTTTTTTAGTTGTTTTCTCTCTTCTTGATATTGTCTCGCTTCTCCCTCTTTTTCTCTATCATTCCTTGACCTTGTCCCCCTTTCCTCACCTTTGCTTACATCGGCCTTCCATCAGCCATTCACCATCACCACTTTCTTTACACGTCACTCATTTCGCTCCATTCCATCTTTCACAAACAAAGACAGACAACATATATAACAAGCAGCGAGAAACCATCAAAACTGATAAGGTTTTTTAAGCTCATCCAGCCCGCTGACTGAGTCGTACCTGAACATAAATTTCGCACCTCTTCTCCTCTTTTTGTCATCCATCATCAATTTGTCTCAGTTCACTTTCCCACTTTCATCACTTCTTTTTTTCCATTAATCCTTTCTGCTGTCCCTGAAAAGCCGTTGCCTTGATCGATCTTTCTTCCTTCACATCTCCACCCTTTCAACGCCCTTTCTCCCTTCCCTCACCTCCTTTATTCCCATCCCTCCTTCAACCAACTCTTCGACTCTTTCGCTCTTTTCTTTTTCTTTTTCTGGATCACACAAACAAACACACACCCTAGAACAAACAAACATAAGCCCTAGAACAAACAAACAAGAAGAAATCTCCAATCTCCTCTCAACAACAAACACTTGAGCAATGGCAAGTACTCTTCCTTCACCTTTTTTTCGATTCTTCGATCGAGAAAAAACACAATAATGAACATTTGATTGGGGTATATCTTTCGATTTGCCTCTCGCTCCTTGTACTTTGTCTTTTGCCGTTTGGGCCTCCAGCACCACATACATACACATATACATACTCTCCCCTATCTACGCAGTTCTCCGCCTGTCCGCCTGTCCATAGACCCATTCTTTCCTCACCCCCGTTCCCGTTCTCCTATCCATTCTATCATCCCTCTTTACCCCTTTTTCATTCTCCAGCTCGCGTTTTTTGTATGTGCGCGTGCGGAAATGGGCGTCCATTCGTGCGATTGCGTTTGCATTAGCATTACTACTACAACATGTGGCCCTTTCCAAACCAGCAGATACACAGGCATTATTCAAAAACTCACACGCCAAGAACGACACCATCCAACACAAACGTAAGAAAAGAAAGAGTTACAAAGGGTTGACGGGCACAATCGAGAAAGTACACATTCACCAACAAACAACAACAAAGTTTTATTTTTTTATAATGCTTAAACGTGACAGATGCCTTTGTTTATTTCTCCCGTGTGGGACCCAATTTGACTACCTTGCGCTGGTCCTGGTCCCCATCCATTCGTGCTCCCACCCCCTTGTTTTTGCCCTGGCCTGGCCTGCGTTTGTTTGTGCTCTGAACCGGGCCGGTTCCTCCTTCTCTCAACCAAAAATCTTCCACCCATGTCCACCTCTCACTTTCTCACTTGTGACCCCCCAACTCAGACTTACATGGGATGATGAACACAAAAAAAAAAGAGCCAAAAAAATAATTCACCCATTCATCCGGCTGAAAAAGGAGCGCAATGACGATGCGATGGATGGGCGTGAACGAACAAGGTTTATTGGACCCAAACAAGAGAAGGAACAGGGTGGCAACATGTGCCAAAAAGGGTCATCCAGAGCGGGGGGGAAAGACTCTGGGCGGACATTAATGGCTTGACTGGCGCCCATCCATTGGGAAGGGGTGTTCAACTTAGCACGCTTCTTTTGAGGGATGTGTATGGATTTGTGCGCTGTGCATGAGTGATGGTAGTTTTGTAGTACAGCTACTTTCGCTGCCTCTTGCACCTTTTGAGTCGGTCCTCCATCGGGCTTTCCATTGTTCGTGACGTGCCGTGCTGTCCTTTCTTACATCTCGTGAGGATACATGCACCTGCAGATCAATTCGCCCTTTCCTAACCCCGTTTCTCTTCATTTCGTATCGCGTGGATGATTGCCTTATTTGATTTCTAATTAATATTAGGGTGCATGCATCTCTACTACTCCGGCAAGCGCACAAAGTAGAAAGATCGATGGTGTGCTCAAAGCCGATGGGCGGCTACGCGAACACGAAGTCAAGCTCCTCCTTCTTGGTATGTGTTTTTTGGGTTTGCGGCTCGCTCATTAGAGACATGCACGCGTTGAAACAGGAAAAAAAAAAGTCAAAATGTATCACGTGCGCACATATATCTGATCTAAGGAGACAGCAACGCGTTTTTACATTAACCAGCATCTCTTCTACTTGCGTGTATATGTGTGTGTTGGGTCTCTGCTGGGTATGATCATGGGTGGTCAAATAGGAGCGGGAGAGGCAGGAAAGACGACGATTATCAAGCAGATGAAGTTGATGCACGCGTCTGGGTTCTCAGACACAGAACGGCAGGTCTTCCGGACGTACGTCTTTTCAAATATGGTCGCATCCATGAAGTCCATCCTCATGGAGATGCAAGATCGCCACATAGGATTGACTAATCTGAACAACGAGGTAACTTGTCATTCACGCTACGAAGGGCGAATAAAAAGAAAAAGGTTTCTTGCTTACGCGTCGTCCAGCTTTAGTCATCATGGAACTAACTTGCCATCATTTCGCAATAATAATAGAAATACCTGCCGGTGTTTGTACAGACACCGCGATTGGGCCATGGAACGGCTTTCCCTCCAAAATACAGAGAGGCGATTAATTCACTATGGACTGATCCATCTGTTCAGCAGGTCTTCCGGTTAGGACACACCTATGCACTAGCGGACAACGTGAATTAGTACGTCCTATCAAATGGCTGTTAGCCTACTCCTCTAGCCACATTGAATGTTATATTACCATATTACCTATTTCATGAATAACTTAGACTAACCGCTCCTGTTTCAACCCCATAGCTTCTTCGATGCGGTGGACCGGATATACGAGATAAACTACATACCATCAGACGCCGATATCCTTCGTTGTCGAGTCAAGTCCACAGGGATTACAGAAACAGCTTTCCATATGGGCAAGCTTACATACAGGTACAGACCCTACCCTCTCTTTTAATTCTCCATCCTTATCACGTTCCCATCGCAACTTTTGAGGCGTTTTATTTTGAGGCGTTTTATTTTGGGCGTTTTCTCTCCCCGCCACAAAGGTCGTTAAAGGGCTATTATTGGCGTAAAGGTACAACAAATGTATCTCATTCCTTGACGTTTACGCTAAACTCTTCTCTTCTTCTTTTCCATCCTATTCTCAATCGCACTCTTCTTCTACCTCCATCGACGGGAATGTACTCTTGCTTCCTTCATCATTCTATTTATGTCTGCTCGACACAATGTTACATTATTTTAGGATGTTCGATGTGGGAGGCCAACGGTCAGAGCGCAAGAAATGGATCCACTGTTTCGAAGCGGTGACAGCCGTCCTATTCCTGGTCGCCATCAGTGGGTACGACCAATGTCTAGTCGAGGACAAAGACTCTGTAAGTTCTCCTTCCCCTCTCCCTTTCCTCCATTCCTCTGTTTTTCTTCCATCGTTTCGGTTCGTCATCAATATAACCAGCCCTGCATTTGAGACGTGGATCTCATCTCTGTGGTTTATAGATTGCTTGATTGCTTGATTGCTTTGCATTGTTTTTTTTATTGCATCCGCCTACGCCGCTCGGATGTTTTGCGACAAAAATTATTATCCATCTGTATGAACCCTTCTCTTTCCTTCCCTTCATTTCCAATGACTAACATTCAATTTTCTGCAATGGCCTTGTCTCGTTTGACATGAACGCTGTAGAATCAAATGGAGGAGGCGTTGATGTTATTTGACCAGGTATGCAACTCGCACTGGTTCATCGACACGTCGATGATCATGTTCATGAACAAAACCGACATCTTTCGAGCAAAGATCCAATACTCGCCCATCCGCGCCTACTTTCCCGACTACCCTGGTAAATATGTCACAAATGAAGAACACTACATCCATGAGCCCTTATGCTACTGCTAGATATCGCGACAGAGCACGAACATTAACCAACCCATCCATAATCAATCTTATCACCTTTTTCCATCTTTTTTTATTGTGACTTTATAAAATAGGCCCAGAAGGGGATTACGATGAGGCGATAGGATTCTTCCGGTCGCGGTTCATGCGTCTGAACCGGAGTGAGCACAAGGAGGTCTATATCCACTACACCGATGCCACCGACACCAACCTCCTCCGAAATATCATGGATTCCGTCAACAACATCATCCTCGCCCGCAACAATGGCTCCGTCGTCCCCCTCTGATGCCTCCCTTCCTTTGTTTAATCATTGAGTGAATGAGAGAGGAATGGAAGGCGAGGAAAGGAGAGAGAGAGAGAGAGAGAGAGAAAGACTCATTATACATATATAATTTTTGTACAGATAACATACCACCAACGAACCGAAACGACCAACATAGTGGGTTGGGCTTTTTCGAAGCCCTTTCTATGGAGAATGAATGATACCTATTTTGTTTCTGGGTCCAGGGTCCAACCTTGATTGAAGTAATGCATCACGATCATGTATTTTTCCCTGTCTTTTTTTTTATATTTCAATTAGTGCTAGCGCTAGTATTAATAAACCTTCCTTATGGCTGTTCAAGCTAGCTTCTTATCCTCTTTTCATCTGTCATTATCATCATTACCATCACGTCAAAAGTCCAAGAAACTGATGCTAATTTCTATGCAATTTACATCCGAACCTTGGTTTTCTGAAAGTGGTGTGGGAGCGGGTGGGGTGCTGGCGTTAGCGTGCGTACAAGTGACTTCCCCACCCTCCCCCCTTCTTGTCTCTTTCTAGATGAAAAAGAAAAAAAACAAGATTCGATCTTTCACAAGTCTGTGATATCCCGGGGTTGCCACAAAACCAAAAAAAAAAAAAGGCGCACACCAGAGCACAAGTCATACAACAATGGCAGGTGGCAGGGGCAGGACAATGGAAGGGAACAAGGAACTATACTAGGCACACAAATGCTCGTGTGTTTGCGCAAAAATGGTTGGATGGATAAAAAAAACTAAAAAAAAAAAAAGGGCAGCAGCAGGAAGTAGAAATCCAAGAGGAAGGACCCGACAACAAATGGAAATCGTGGAAGGTTCGTGCTCTTTTCCTTTTTGTCATAAAAAAAAACATAAGTGGGACCAATTTCGCGTGGAGTGTAGGTACCTGTACTCGCTAATTTCGTAATTGCATGTTTGCTGTTGTGTATCTGGCTGGGTTTCTTTTATTAGATGGGCGTTATGGTACAAGTTGTTGTGCTTTTTTGGCTGGAAAAAAGAGGGTGGGGAGGAAGGCACGCGCCTTTACAAGAGGCGAAAGAGGGAGAGAATAATGCTGGTTTTTTTGGTTGGTTCGTGAAGAAAAAGAAAAAAAGAGGAGAGATATCTACAAAAGCCAAGTGGAGTGGCCGTACCAGGCGGCGCCGCGTTGGGTCGCCAGTTGGCTCATCCTCGAGTTGGACATGCCAATCAAGTAATCTCCTCGCGTCAACAGCACAGCATCCAACATTGGGGGGTAGAAGGGTCCCAACGAAGTCATCGTGCCTAACTTCTTGGTCGTGGATGGCTTGACCTGCCCTTGCTCATCCTTCTCGGCATCACCGTGGTCAAGCATGACCCAACCGAGCTTTTCAAGCTTCTCGAGCTCTTTGGGCCGCTTCTCGTTCGTTGTTACCAGGACGGGGAGACGCTCAAAGACAACATCGGCATTCTGCTCGGTCGTGCCTGCGAGGGCCTTTATCCGCCGCTGCTTCTCAATCTCGTCCACCTTCTCGGCGATTTCCTCAATCTGGACCAGGCAATCCTTCTCGTCCTGACCGGGCTTGCACTTTGTCACAATATCACCGCGCCGCAAGTGGACAATGATGAACTCGGGATGCCGACGAGTTGTAGAGGCAGTGGGGCGGGGCAGGAGGGTGTCCAGGATCTCGTCGGCCATGGCCTCGACCTTGGCGTTGAACTTCATGTGCAGACCAATCTCCTTCCAGGCGCGGTCGTTCAGATCGGGGCCGTTCAAAAAGTAGGGGCATGAGAGACACTTCCACATGGTATCGGTCGTGGACTGGTCCTGCCTGTCCTTGAGGAGGACATCCCTCGCAAATGAGTAATCAACCGCTTTGCCCTTGGTGGTATCTTCGGCAGGGGCGATGCTCTTGAAGTTCATCAGGAACTGAGGGCGGAAATGGTCGTAGAGGTGTTCGTTTTCGACACCGATGCCTCCGTTGGCGATGCAGGGGAAATCCTCGCCAAAGTTGTTCCAGTGGTGGGTCAGGCTGGAAGGAGGGTTCTCGGGCGTCTGTTTAACATCGTGCCACTCGAGGACGGGGATGCCCGACTGGGCAGAGAAGGATTCGAGATCGTAGAACTCTGAATAGCGTGGCCCGGCCCATACCTGAGACATAGTATTAAAAAGCCAGGGATAAAAAAAAGCAGCAAGGAGTGTGATTAGTGCGACGGCCAGAGAACAAAAGAGCAATCGAGGTATGGGTGGGCTGGCAAACGAAGAACCAACAGAGATGAGGCGGGATGTCAAACGGTTGTGGGTGAGTGAGATATGGGCACTAAGAAACTTGATTTTCTTACCTTGATATGGGAATTGGGGCTGATAGGAGGAATGATCAGAGTGCGCCCGAGGTCCTTAGCAAGAAGAGCTGCTCGCTGAAGGGACGTGAACTGGTTGTTTCCGCCTCCCATCGGTAAGTACGAAAAGAACTTGTTGGTCGCAGGCAACCCTCTGGCAGCAACCTCCTCGCGATGTGGAGCAGGCCACCAGGTGCGGGTTTCGAGGGTCTTAAGGAACGATCCCATCTCCTCTTGAGCTGGCGCTGCTGACTGGTAGAAGGCGGGCTTGAATTCCTTCGTCCGAGTGCCGTTGCTGTAAGTATAGGTGGTGGTTAGGGTAGTGTCGACGGTTGTAAAGCTTGGCTCGATCTTGTGTGGAGCTTTGTCATTGTTATCGTGGTCGTCATTGGTGTAGATGGGTTCGTTAGAGTGGTTTGCTGTCTGTCCTGAGCTGGCGTACTCTTCTTCTTTGTGACGATAGATGTTGTTGGTGTAGTGGATATGGACCAGGGCCATGAGCATAAAGGAGATGCAAATCAACAGCATGATTCTGGCCAGCGTGAGACGGCTCTGCTTCATATTTTGGAGGTCGGCCGAAGAAGAGGCGCGGCGGTGAGACCGGTCGGATACCGAGGGAGATGTTGATGGGGAGGAGGGATTGAATTGAGGCAGAAGTGGTGCCGTTGCTTGTGAGGAAGAGGGAGCCATATTAAGTTGTGTGTGTGTGTGTGGATGGGGAGGGAGTTGTCGATAAGGGTGATTGTATGGGTTGAAAAGGAGGATTCGTTAAAATGGGCCGTTAGGATTAAGGAAGTGAAGGGAGAAATATGGGAGATGTGTTTAGCTCATCAGACGAGGATGGGTATAGGGTTGAGGAGAAAAGGGTGTGGAAAGAGGGTGGGAGGATGGAGGATGGGTCAAGATCGAAGAAAAGAGAGAAGAGGAACAAGAAGGAGAGAAGAGGATGAAAAATGAAGTATGTAATGTGTAAATTGACACCAAGGGACGATCGCGTTTCGATATGTCAGCGTCAATGTCTATGCCAATGTGGATGGATGGGAGTGAGGGTGTGCTCTTATTTTTGGCAGCGCCGCTGTTTGTGGGTGTTTGGGAAGTCTGGCGTAAACAATGAATGAATGAAGGATACCGAAAGGAAAAGGAGAGCAGAGAGGGCGTTGAATTGAATCTGTGTGCGAGAAGGAAAGGGAAAAAGGTGGGAGGGTCTGTTGAATATAAAGAAATAGATGAAATGGTGTGGAGGAGGAATTGAAAGAAAAAAGAGAGTCCGAAGAAGTGGGTGACCGGGCGTGAGGGGGAATGAAAGAAAAATGTACAAGGAAAAATAAACGTCAAATGGGGAGGTGAGGCTGAGAAAACAAAAGGAAAAGAGGAGAAGAAGAGGGCAATCGCATATGACCCTCCCTTTATATACGGTATGCCATGCTTGGTTGTTTAATTACCAATGTCTATTGTAAATTGCAGATTACTGTTGCAGTACTTTCCCCTGTCTACCAAATGGCCCTTTTTTTTCTTAGGTCTTAGTTGGCAGGGTCCATTCACTCAGTCTCTTGGACGTCTTTTGTTAAATGAGGGCTGTTTCGTCACTTTCTCTCTCTTCACTCTCCCATATACCCTGTGAACGATAGTACTTAATCTTTCTCGTCAACTGGTGCCTGATTGGCCAAGGTCCAAGGAACCCCGACCCTATCCTCCTCTCATCCACAGGTCATCCTATCACTTCGGCCAGCAAAACTTTAGTAGTAGAACCAAGAGAAGGGTCCTTGGAAGTTTTTTTAGTCCATTGAATAGACACTAAAGAAAATTTCCCAGAGGCACACTAGTCATCGTTCAGTCTTTCATTCTAATCGTCTTACCACAAAAGGGAGATCCAAGGAAGAAGGGAGATCCAAGGAAGAAGGGAGATCCAAGGAAGAAGGGAGGCCCTGTGTCCAGGTTGGGTCTCCTCTCTGTCTGTCTTTTCATCCTTTCTCTAATCCTTCATTATTCCAATGGCCACAATAGCTGAATTTGAAGAAACCGACAGCTGGCTCGTTCAGGGGCAATCGCCTCGGGTGAAGGAAAAGAGCTGTGGTTTGGCCATCTAATATACCCTCCTTACTCCCCTGAGCTAGAAAGAGGCTAGAGCACAATGGCATAAAGGCACAATAGACCAAATAAAGACGTCCATTGGTGTACGTGGTTGTTTCGTCATAGATAGAATGGAGCATGCACATGGATCCTTTCGAAAAATGGATATTAAAAAGGACCCTAACCATAAAGAGTTGTACTGTATCCGTTAGCCTCTTGGTTCCCCTTCTTCCTATCTATGTGAATTATGTCGGAAATATGATGCTCGCATACATTCCACCACCCTCCACCCTGCTGATTTCCGCTTGAATTCTTTGGAAGTACTGCCAGTCTGGTTTTCTTGGCGTTTTTTGCGCCCAATTGAACAAGCTAGTAAATGGGAGGAGATGGCGTAACTGGACTGACCCTACCTGTGGGAAACAAGGCCGACATTTTACGCCACTTTTCTGGCTATCAACCTTCTCTGTGTACTGTACAGCAAAAGTACCTTGATTTCCCTTCCTTTTGAAATAGAAAGTATAAAAAGCATTTTTGTCAGTGAGCTTTTGTAAGTTTGGATATCAAAGATAGCGAGCATGGCTGAAAGATAGAAGAATACCTTCCCTTCTTAGCGGCGGTTTCAGTTGCCAAAAAAAAAACGATGTGAACAAAAGTAACGAAGCTTTCTGGGGGGGAAACAAAACAAGAAAAAAAAAGCCATGAGAGCCCTTCCCCTGACCCTGGGCAATGGGTTTGACGTCGAGATCTGCCTTGGTTCTTTTGTTCACTTTTGAAATAGAGGGCGAGGCCGAGACTTTTGTTGTTAGTTGATGCTGCCTTGTCTCCCCGACAACTCTCTTTTGGTGAACACATGGTGCCTTTTTGCCTGAATTGGGAAGAGGAATTGGAGAATGAAGCTGCTCTTTATTGATCCCAATGATAGAACAAAAAACAACTACTTCCCTTAATGGCGAATAAAGAGAGTGGATAGACACCAAGATGCAATAGCCCTTGTTGCTCACTTATACACTGCCCTGCATACGCTTGAACATCTCTATGCAATTATAGGCGCACTTGTACACTTCACGAGCTAAAAGCGGGCGCCAGCTCTCAATATTTTCACTTCAGCATGAACATAAAAAAAAATCGCGCATTTGTACTAGAATTATTGCAATTTGCACAATCAAAAAAAGTGAGTTTTGTTCCAAAAGGTACATACTTCTTGTCCACAGGGGCACTGAACCGAAGGGAGGACACTCACTCTGCCACACTTGGTTAGATCTAAAAGTGGGGCTGCTGCCTATCCGTTGAAACACAGGCAAAAATGAGAAAAAAACATCTCTCGGAGATGCAATAACATTTGTGTTTTACACTTCAGGCGAGCATTTGTAACCCTTGCCGGAGCGATTGTCCAAGCTTTCGTTAGAAAAATAAAGGGGTAAACGATCCAATTAAGCATATGCATTATCGAAAGAGTCACCCCTCCTTTGCGATTACTACAGCCTTGTCCTATGAATCAACGATCGATTCTGACCATGCAAATAAACATTTTCATCAACCTCCATCGCCTTCAGCGTTCCTTACTATGCTTAGGCCGAACCTCTAACGAATCATTGTGACCAAATGTCCACGTTGACTTGGGAGATCAACTAATAACGATGATCCTCGTCCTCTTGTTGAACTTCTTCATTGGTGCAGCGAAGGCTCTTGGAAAGAAGGTAATCGATATGATGAGAGAAAGAGCGCTAAACCCAAAAAGGAATTTCTACAGCTTGTGACCCCCTCTCCTGCTTCAACCTTTTTTTCTTCTTGCCAATTAGCCAATGTGCGTCTTTTTTAAATTCTTCTTTTTCCGTCAGTTTATCCATCCTTCCTTTACTCTATCACACCAATCAATACCCATTGCTGTTTGCCTCTAACCCTCCGTTCTCGCATTCATCCATTCGATAGCTCAACATATTACATTCAGCCAAACAGCACGGGGACAATGCAAATGAGGTTTGAGTTGTTTGAATTCTTTCTTTCATGCTTCATAGACCCCGACAATGCAATGTTCACATGAGATGAGGGAGCGAAAATAAAAAATGGAATGTGCTAAGTCTGTACAAGGGCAGGGCTAGACGAAGAGGCAGCGTCAATGGACGGCGCGTCCTGCTGAGAATGCCCCTTCGCGCCCCAAAGAAGTTCCTCGATCGCCCTGAAGTTGCTGCTCTGCATGAAATGAGGACCATACAGCGCCAGTAACAGTTCAATGGAGACTTGTCCTGGATGGCGAATCGACAGCAAGAATGACCATTGTGCTGGCGCCGTCTTCATCATTGATCGCAAATGGACTATTTAGTTGATAACGACAGTAAAAAAGCAAGAAAAAAATAGAGCTGTTGTTAAAATCAAATTGCACTGAACATCACGTTTGAACAATGCAATTCTCAAAAGAAGAAAAGAGACTTACTTTGAAGGTTGATGACGATGTTCAGTTGCTCGCGCATGCGATGGAGGACACGCATGCATTCATCCTTGGATTTAGCTTCCTCGACAGGCCAAGGGTCCATGATGTTGGACCGTGATGCCTTGAGGGCCTGGAGACTTCCTTGCCGAGGCGTGACTGTGCCATCCTTCCAGGGTTTGTACTCGGACATGTCTGAACCTTCGGTAATTGCATGCGCTAAAAATGGTGTTTGATCAATGAAAAAAAAGAAAGTCAATATTAACAATGCGTACACGACAGTGGTGGCACAATTCTTCCTTATCCACACACTTACAGCGAATGATTGCAGCGGCGCGGTGTTTCTTCTTGAGGGACACTTCCAACTCTGTGGTAGATGATATAGAGCTTGCTTCTTGGGCCGCTTCACAGGCCTCATCCTTGCTCTCAGCAGTGCTGTCATCCAATCCGCCTCCTACTGCAGGTGCTGGTGAATTGGACCCTGAAGACGATGGCTCACTCAAGAGACTGAGCAAGCTTGGCTTGTTCTGTTTGATCATCGTCGCGATGGGCTTGGCGTGGTAGATCTTGCCTCGAACGGGCTTCCTCACAGTGTCTGGAATCATTTGTCGCACCCGCTGGTTCCGAAGTTCTTCCTCCCACAGACCCCTCAAGAAGTGTCCAGGGCACGGGTATTGCTTCACTATCCTGACACAACTGGGCTGCTGAGGGTTTCTCCTTGCGCGTTCCCGACCAGCATATCTCACTGCACTCTCTGTCTCCATCTGAGCTGACTCCATCTCGGCCTTACCATCCTCTACATCCTCGACTTCTTCCTCCTCAGATTCATCCTGTCCGAATCGGGTATCATCTCCTGCCCTCCAAGAAAGATCTTGTCGTGGCCCCATCATTTCCCAAAAGTTTCTCAGCGTCAGCAGTCGCACATATGGCGCGGGTGAGAGTGCAGAGGTCCATTTGGTGGCGTTTTGGTGAACCTTGCGCTTTTTGATAGATTCGATCCAGTTGGGATGATGACTGGCAATGTCGGCATTCATAGTAAAAGGGCGAGAAAGCTCAATCGCCTCTGCGAACCCGCGCTTGCGGCATTGGCATTTCTCAAGCGACGCGTGCTGTTGTCGGCAGTCAAGAGAGTTATGATACGGTTGCTTATGCCCCACAAGTCGTCGTCGGCGAGATGATGAGGAGGCTGACGATGAAGTGGGCGATACTGGGGTTGTTGTTGACTGAACGACGGAAAAATTGTGAGGTGAAGGTGCCGACCAGGAATGCAAAAGATGGAGTGGGTCAAAGTCGAGACTGGTCTTTTGCTTGAACAGGGACTTGCTGGACTGTTTCGACGCTGAGCATAACGAGGTCGAGTTTGGGTAGCGTTGGTCGAGTCGTCTCTCCAAGAATCTCAAGAGGTGAGCAGCTGTTTCTGTCGAAGTGGTCGTGACAGTGGACGAAGATTGCTTGAGTCCCCAATCAGGCAGATTCTTCCTGCGCTTCCTGTCAGATGATGTCCCGTCGTAGGCCACGTTGGTCGATCTCTTTCGCTCCCGTCCCATACCCCTGACAATGGTGTCGATAGGATGGTCCTTGAATCGAAGTCCATCCGCCTTGGACGCGTTTGAACTATTATCGGTATGAGAGGCGTCTTGTTCACGCAGTGAAGGGGTCCATTGATCGAGGTGAGGGCGAAGTTCCTGAGAATCATCGAGATTGATTTCTCCTCGGAGGTGGAGTGTGTCTTGGGCCAAGGAGGAGGTTACACTCGTCATGTTGTCCACGGCAAGTGAATCTAGCTGCGCAGAGAACATTGCAGCTGGACATGTGGATAAAAAGACAACAGTGGTTAGTGTCTTTCTGACAGAGATGATATTTTTGTGCGTGTGTACGTTTGTCGATTGTTATTCTGGTATGTCTGTCTGTCTGTCTGTGTGTGTGTGTGTGTACGCACTGCAGTGTGTGAGTGTGTGCATGTGCGTTTGTGCGTATGTGCGCTTGTGCAGTGTGTGCGTTGTGCAATGTGTGGTTAACAGAAAACAGAAAAAAAAAAAGACGATTAGGCTGGGCGTACGAGAGCACAAACCTTGTGTTGGGCCGAGATCCAGATCCAGGGTCTCTGACTTTGATTCTGACACATATGTGGTGGTTGCAGCAGAAGCAGCCGCAGTGCTTGTGGCATTAGTCCGTGTTGCTTTTGTTGATGACAACGCCAAGGACAAAGAAGAAGAAGGTGTTGTAGTTGTTGCAGGCACGGTGGAATAGATGATGTGCGGGTGTTGAGCCGTCAATGGGCTCTCGATGGTATCAGGGCTATTGATATTGGTATTGCCCCTGTCGTTGTTGGTATGGCTGACGACGCTGTCCCTGTCGATTTCTGGCTCCGACTGTTCGTTCTCTCTTGCGGACATGTTGGTTGGGTGGTGGGGATTGCAGTTGATGTTGTTATCGATGTGATGGTGGCCATGGTCGTTGTGCCTCAATAGCAAAGAATTGGGGACGAACGTAGGCGCAGGGCATGAAGTTGAGGGGCAAGCAGCAACCGAGGCAGCAGTATCTGAATTCATTGATGTTGACAACGCTACAGCGGGAGACGAGGAGGTCGTCGTGGCAGGAGGCACGAGACACTTTTGCTCCTGCTTCTCCTGTTGGTTTTGCCTTTGTTGTTGCTGTTGGAGATGAAAGTGGAGATGAAGAGGGAGACAGGGCTGTTTTGGGAGATCAAGGGGCTCAGAGTCGTTTTGGAAAGCAAGGAAGCGCGAGGAGTCCTTGTCCTTGTCGGTGCAGGAGCGGACTGTAAAGGCCGTGCCTTCATTCTTGGGGAGAGAGCGGTCAAGGGGAAATTGATGGTGGTCGACAAGAGTGCTGGCGGAGCTGATATCGCTGCAGGAGCTGGTGCTGCTACAGGCTGAAGAAGGGGTGGGCGAGCCAGGGGAATTGGATGAACTGGAGGAGAGGATGAAGGTATCGAGGACGAGTGGCTGGAGCGAGGGTTCAAATGGGACAACGAGGCTGTCACAGTCGAGGTCAGAGGATGGGACAGAGCAGGACTCTTGAGTTGTCGATGTCGCGTTGTTGTTGTTCTTGCTGGGATGGATGGAGGAGGAGGGATCTTGAAGAGAGTGAAGGGAATCGAGCTGCATTCCAAGGGATCAAGGGATCTGGTTGATGAGGGAAGTAGGGAAGCAAGGGAGGTGGGAAGGAAAGGGAGAAGCGGGAAGAGGGAGAAGAGGGAGAAGAGAGCGGGAGGAAGAAGAGGGGGGGATGATATGTATCTATGCGCTTGTATGTTAGGTTGTGCTGTGTGTGTGAATGAGAAGGTATGTTGTGTCTGTGTCTGTGTCTGTGTGTAGTAGTTTGTGAGAAGAGTGGATTGAAGAGTGAGGACGTGAGAGTGAGAGTGAGAGTGTGTGACAAGAGAGGGATGAAGGGAAGGGAGAAGGAAGGAGGGACAAAGGTTAATAGGAAGAGGAGAGAGGGAGAGAAAGGAAAAGGAAAAAGAGAAAGAGAAAGGAAGAGAAAGGAAGAGAAGGAAGAAGAGACACACAAAATAAACGAAAACCTGAAAAAAAAGGGAGAGGAGAGCGATGAGATGGATGGGACGGACGGACGACTGAAGGGATGGGATGGACCCATCGAAACATATGGCATTGTTATGGCATACAACAAAAATAAACACAAGCACATACACGCATGCAGACATCCTCTCTCCTTTGATATGTTTACTTACAGTGCCTTGTTGCTGTTGTTATTCTGCATGGATGCCCATCACTCCATGTCCATCCACCCAAACAGTACACATGTCCATGTCCATGCTACTTGCTTCAACCATGTCGCCCCTTCGTCCCCTTCCTTTCCTTTCTTTCCGCCTGTCTTCATTCCTCAATGTGTTTGTCTGTTGTCTTTCACTGCCGTCTGCTATGTATTTTGAGACATGTATGCGTGGATATGTATTTTTTTTCTTTCTCCAGCATGCCATGCCACAACAGAAGAATGGCCGCTTCAATTGAGTCTATCGGATATCATGTCATGTCATGTCATCGAAGCAAGACGAAAAGGCGCTTGATTGGTTTTCTTCGCTAGTCAACTTTATTATTACAACATTTTACATTTTAGTAGAGTGGACAGTGCGCATCACCCCTCAGCCTGCGATTGGCCAAACTGTTCATCACCGACCTTGTTTGTCTGACTATTTTCACGACACAGAAAAGACATGGACGCCATGAAGATGAAGAGGAAGAACAAAAAACGAAACCAAGGGGAAAGGAGCCAGAGATTGAAGTCCAGCAGCAATTGCCCTCTTTTCCTTTTTCTCGGTTAGTTGTGTTTGCGATGGACGAAGGCAAAAAAAAAAATACACCTGAGCTCGTGTGACAAAAGGGTGGTAAAGGGGAGAGAAGAGAGACAAAGAAAGAGGATGGGATGGGTGACTACACACCACACTATCACATCACATCGAACTCTTCTACTCGTACACTTTCGATCGGGTGTAGTCAATTGCCTTTCATACCATGTCAAGGACCACAACAACAACCTCTTATCACATCATTCCTCTCCTCATTTTTTGTTGTTGTTGCTCCCGTCTTTTTTTTTGTTTGCTTGTTTGTTTGTGTACTTGGATGTGTGCTTGTTTGTTTGTTTGTTTGTATGTATGCCTGTCTCGTCCGTGTCTGTTTGCCTCTGTCCTTGTTACATTTTTGTCAATGCCCCTGACTCTGTGGATGATGACGATGCGCAGGTTCCCTTTTTCCGGTTTGTCTCGAGCAAAATGGGCGCGTGGATGGGTAGGGTGTGTCAGCATGGGCGTGAGTTTGAAGGTGTGGATTGAGTGAGCTAGATGCACATGTTGGTGTTCCTGGAGAAGCCAACACAATCTTGCGAAACTATCCATGACTGGGCTGTGTCTTCTTCATGTCTCTTGTCCCTGGTTGACCCTCACTCCACTCACCCCACTCACCCTCTCTTTTTTCGTACCTTCTTTTCCCTTCAACTCTTTTTCGCTCTTTCGTCTCTTCTCTTCCCTGCGACTCTTTTTTTTTCTCTTCTTTCTTGTCGTCGTCTGTTTTCTTCATCTTTAACTCATTTCGTTACATTTCGTTCTCCTTTGATCATTACTCCACTTTCATTCACGTTCATTTACCACACGCCGCCTCTCCTCCCTCACTGCACAGACAGACATTTCACAACTCTCACACCTTTCTTACCTGAAGCCTTTATTCGTACCGCTTTCCCTTCTTTTTTCTTTCTCTCTCTCTCAACTCCACGTTACCTCTCAACTCCTGCCAGCAGTATTACCTTCCTTTCACTCGAAAATACTCTGTTCTTTTCATTTCGTCTTTTTTCGACTCCATCTCCCCCTTGATAATAATCATTAATTACCCAGACTTCGCCCACTCTCCTCCCACTTTCCTCCATTCTTTCCAACAACTCACCAATTGAGCCATCCATCCACCCCAGCAATATCAAGTACAACAATAACGAAAGAAAAATATAACACATGGAGACCCTATTGAGCCAAGATCTGCACGTTGCGCTCGTCCCCGAAGTAACGGTCGAGTTTGCAGTCTTTACCGATCGAGGAGCCCACGGCGAGCCGCCTCTTTCTCCGCCTCTCCTCAACACTTTGCCTTATTCTTCTTCTTCCTCCACATTTTCTCCCATTGATAACTACGACGACGACAGCGACAACCAGCCAAGGTAATGTGATAGCAAACCCACTCCTTGTTTTTTTGCAGGGCGCAGGCAGGGTGAGATGGCAAAACAATAAAGGGAGGGATGCAACACCTGCACTTGGTTGATAAAAGAGAAGTTAAGCACAAGCAACCCCCGTAGGAGGAGAAAGTGAAAACCCCAAAGAGAGCGATGGCTAATAATAAGAGAATGGTGTGGTGTAGTTGTGTGAGTGTAAGTGAATACAGAGGGATCCATTGCCACTCCAAACGAATGCTTCATACCCGTGTCAGGCGTTTCTAATCTGTCGGCCCCTCTTTCCCTGGTCAGCGTTTCTCTTTCCTCCCCCCTCTCTTTTTACCCCTTGCATCACATTGAAGGTTGCAGTCTTCCTGGTTTTTTTTTTTTTTTTTTGGCGGTAAACTTGAAAAGAGCCCTTGGCAAATCAAAAGTGAAAAAAGGACTTCACCGGGGACACCTTAAGATACAGCGCACTCTTGATAGGACCCTTGATGGTTCTAAAATGGCGCCTAATTAACGTAAACCGCTCTCCATCTGCCTCTTTCCTCACCTCCGATCCATCTCGCTAATTACAACTGGGCGGGGGCAGGGCACCCTGACGAACAAAAAAAACATTGACAAATAACAACAGTCTAATCTTTTGATTGCACGACTCTATATTTTCCGGTGAAATAGATCAATGTACTTTGAAGAAGAGTTTGCATATCCAACCAACCTGACGAGTGGGCCCATGGTCCCTGATGAAGGGGGTGAAGACTACTACAATCAGGATCAGCACAACAGCGCCCAAGGAGAGGATCCACGTGTGGACAGGCAGGGGAAATCGACAGCAATAATAACAGGTGCTCCTTCTGGAAGTATCGAGATAATAAGGGGCAACGAGGAGCAGCAGGAGGACGAGCATTCAAGAGCAACAGGAGGAATAGGAGAAGGAGGAGGAGGTCATTTTTCGCAGTGTCATCCCTCACGCAACAACAACACAAGCACGGGGTCAGATTTAATTCAGGTCACTGTCGAAGATCTTTTGATCTCCAAGGAGCAAAGTCGCACCATCAAGGCTTCTATAGACCTTGCCCGCCAAGAGTCCTCCCGACCCTCTGTTCTTCCCATTGCCACTGCGAATGCGACCACTATTACTACTACAGGAGCAGCAGTATCGCCTACTACCAAGACTGTTGCTGGATCCTCTCCTTTGTCTCCAGTACCAACTATAACGACAACGACTATCACAGCGACGATTCGAACCATTGGCGGGAGAGGGACCTCGTTCCTGTTTGACGGTGACTCTGACACTGCAGTCGCTGACAATAATTCTAACGCCTCGGTGGCGCAATTATTGCAGGCCTCCAAAAAGCCATCAGGACCACATTCTCAACCTTCCTCACTACCACTTTCGGCGTCCTCTGAACGATCTTTGCCGTCTCAGCTCCTCTCTGCCAACAGCAACAACTCTTCATCAACAGCCATAACAACAGCTGGCATAGCAGGGACATCTCAGGGTCAGGGACAAGGACAAGGACAAGGACAGCAGGGCGTCTCAAAAAACCGCGGGGTTTCACAACCACCCAGCGCTAATTCCCAGAAACCAGTTGTACTGTTGACACCCGCCCAGCAACGCGAAGCCGAAGCAGACGACAACATTCAACGGGCGATTGAGCTCCATGAACGTAACCAACTCGAGGAAGCGACACATTATTTCCGCCTGGCTGCTCAATCCGAGAATCCCTTGGGTCAATTGATGTATGGCCTTTCTCTTCGTCATGGATGGGTAAGTTCTCCTTGCCTTTTTTTTCGTTTTTGAGGCGAAAGAGTTGAAACACAACAAAGAGAAAAAAGAGTCATGGCACCATGGTTTCGACCGAGCACCTAAGAGTTATTAGTAACCCACGTCCTTTCTTTTCTACTAAAATAGGGATGCAGGGCGAGCCCGAAGGAAGCAATCGTCTACCTCCAACGGGCAGCAGAGTACGCGATGGGGGAGATGAAGGTCATCGACGGAGCACCCACTACCGCATCTTCTACAGTCTCTGCCGTCTCTGCACCTATCGTTTACGCAAACAGTGCCAACAATAATGGCACCCCCAACATACCACGATCACAGCCCCTCTCGTCTCTATCATCCTCTTCGTCGCGCTCACCACCACCACTTTCCTCGGCAGGAACTCAACCTACAGCAGGGGCACCGCCGTTACAATCTGTGCGGCGTATGGGCAGTATGGACCGCACTGCAGCCATGTCGATGGCGCGCAAGGAACTGGTCATGGCCTTGTACGAGCTCGGAATGTCCTATCTCAAAGGCTGGGGTGTCGCCAAAGACAAACCCGTCGCTTTTACTTACTTTAAAATCGCCGCCGATCTGGTACGTATACAAATGCACGTCGGTCACTGGAGAGAATGACTTCATAAGCACAAAAACATATACGTTTTGTTAAACATCTGTTCTTTATTATTGAAAATGACAAACAATAGGGAGACCCAGACTCACAGAACGAAACAGCGTTCTGCTACTACGAAGGGATTGGGATTGAAAAGGACATGTACGAATCCGCAAAATACTACCGCATGGCGTCAGCTCAAGGAGCCTCACAATTGGGCAACTCATGGATCTGGAAACCCAAATACGATCAGTACTGCGCCGCCGAGAACGCCGCCGTCTCGGCCGCGGCCACCATCGGTTCTGTATCCGTCATCACCAACGCGACTAGTCAAGGAACAAAGAAAGGGAACTCGAAGGAACGCGCCAAGAGATTGACCTCCGCCATCCAGACCGCCATCGCCACCTCTGCTGTCCCACCAGCGTCTTCGAGCTCGACCCCGGCTGTTTCATCACCCTCATCACCATCCTCGGTACGCTCACGTACAAAACCCCCAGGCTCATGGATCACCCAAAACACCAATAGCTCCTCAGCAACAAGCCTAAACTCGTCTTCTTCGTCAATATTGCCATCTGCACCTTCGATCCCATCGCCTCAGTATACCCTAACCAGCATCGCCTCAGGCCTAGCATCTGTCACGGCCGCGACCTCAGGCGCCGTCGTCCCCCCAGTTTATGGCACACCTTCCTCCAACAACAGCACCACCAACATCACATCCTCGCCAGCGTCCCCAACATCCCCTCGCCCTTCGATCGCCGCAAGCACTGCCCCCTCAACATCGATTTTAGTATCTTCCTCTACTAGTTCTGAGACATTCGAGAAGAAGAAACGTCGATGGACCCTCTGGAGCGGCCAACGCACACCGTCTTCTTCTTCCTCCTCTTCGTCAGCCGTAGCAGTTCCATGAAATATCCAATAATAAGCAATTAATGCGTGTCAGAACGTGAAGGATAGCAATGACGCTAGAAGGGGCTACGTTTTTAATGTGTCAATGGATAGAAAAGATAAGGAGAAGAGATGGTACATGTACAAGATTGATGTCAAAAAAAAAGAGAAACGTGATTGATCCAACAGAAAAAAAATATGAAGAGAATTAAGTAAAAGAGAGAAAGAGTAGCAAAATAATCGCTGGAGAGCAATTCAAGAAAGAGGACTGAATGATGTGCTGTACAAGGTGTGTTGAGTGTGCGTTGTGGGACTGGATAGAGAGAGAGAGAGAGAGAGAGAGAGAGAGAGAGTATATGATAAACAAGTGAACAAATGAAAAGGCAAAAAAGAAATAGAGCAACAATTAATAGGGCCTCCTTTACGCGGGAATCTTCAAATCGATGGGGTTGGTCTCCAACAGTTCTCCCAATATCTACAGGAGCAAAGAGAATATAATATCGCTCATGATTAGTACATGTTGTTGTATCAACTGCTTGTAATTACATACACTCAAAGGATACAAGGCTCACCTTGAGACTAACGGGCTTGGTCAAGTAGCCGTCGACTCCGCACTCAAACGCCAGGCGTTTGTCCTCGTCTGCAGCAAGTCCTGTCAGCGCAAAGATCGTGGTCCGACGGTACGCCCCCTCCTGATCAGTATTAGGCTGTCCCGTCCGGAGAGTGCTTGCTCCATTCACGTTGAGCTGCCCTTGCCTCACAAGACCCTGTTCAAATTCGCGAATCTTCTTTGTCGCCATGTTGCCATCCATGACTGGCATCTGCAAATCCATCAGCACGAACTCAAATCCAGCCTTTCCATCTCTGCGCCAGACTTCCTCCTGGAATCGCTCAACACCCAGCAGGCCATTCTCGGCCTCGACAACGCCAATGCCACGCTTCTTCAAAAACATCCTCAGAATCATTCGGTTGGTAATGTTGTCTTCGACGATCAACACTCTGGGCAAGGGACGGTCGGAGCAGCTGGTGTCGATAGTTGGACCAACCGCGGGGGCTCTGTCCAATTGAAGTTGCCTCCGGATGTGGTAGTTCCTGATCGATGGAATCTTTGGCGCACTGGCCTCAATGTTGGCTCGGAAGGCTGCCAAGTTGGCGCACTCCATTGCAGTGATGTCGCGAGAAATGTCCTCCAAACTGCTGGAAGAGCTGGAAGATTGGTGGTTAGGGCACGACTCTCGCTCAGGTGTCGTCGCGGGGCTAGGATCAACCGACTGGGCGCGTGGGGGAATGACAAGTCCTCCAGGAGAATGAGGTGGGATAAAGGTCATCGACTGTCGGTCATGCGGCATGATTGGGAAGACAAAGGACTGTTTGATCATGCTGCCGGCCGATAAAAGCCGGCTGTCGTTGACGCCAAGGGTCGTAGTCGTGATATGGGGCACAGTAGCTGATCGGATCATCGGCATGGGTGGGACTCGAGCCAGGCCAGTTCGAGGCGAGAGCTGAGGCGATCCTTGGGGGGTTGCCAATCCAGGGCTCGAGAATGCGGGAGTGAAGCAATCGCGCAGGGACTGCACCAATTTGAGTGGCCCGACGGGCTTGTTCAGGATCACAACCGATGCAGGACGAATTACTCCATCCGATTCGGCTTGGACCTCTAGGTATTCATCGACTAGCTTCTGTACGCTCTTGAGGTTGTAGGGTGCTGTGAGCATCAAAAGAGGCGTGGGCGTCTCGGGGATCGCTTCTCCCTCTTCAGTGGTCGCTGCTTGCTTGTCGGACCAGTAGGTGAGGTAGGCGCGGAGTCGAATAAGATCGTCATTGATCACCAGAAGGTTACACTGAGACCCGTCCGAAAGATTCTTGAACATGTCCTCGGCGCTCATGTCCTGCTCATTGCCTCTCTCGACCTTCATGGCAAGCTGCTGGCCCATCATACGCTCTCCCATGATCTTGATGAGGCGGTCCGATCCAAGAGCAGACTCCCCAGCATAGAACCTGCAGGACATGTTCTGCCAAGGACCATCCATATCCTTCAACGACTTTGTGGGGTGAGATGCTGGGCTGGCCCAGAAAAGAACCTTGACGACACATCCCTTGCCCTCGATACCTTCACTCCAAACTTCCATCCATCCACCGAGTTTCTTGACCAGCTCTTTAACAAGCGCCATTCCGAGCCCTGTTCCAACTTGAAGTGGGTCTTCCTGGGAGAATCGCTTGAAGAGGTGGGATTGAACAAAGTCTGCAGAGATGCCCTTGCCTGTGTCACGGACAGTGAAGAGGATCGCTCGGGCGTCTGGGTGTGGCGGTTTCATGGGGATGGGGCTGTTAGTCAAGGTAACGGCGGACAGCTCCACGAATCCGGTAGCGGTGAATTTGATAGCGTTTTCCACAAGCTATTGCAATTTGATGCCGTAAAATTAATTAGTAACATGTGGTAGGCAAAGTGGCCAGTAAAAGATAGACCCTACAAGCTGGCTGATATAGGTTTGTACCTGTGTGAGGATCCGGGTGATGGTTTTGATGTCCAGGGCAAAGCTCCAGAGGGTGTCGTGATCAGGATCCCTCTCTGGCTCGTCCATTGCCACCATGAGTTCTAGAACGGGTTTGCGGTCGGAGCGGAGCTTCCTGGAGGAGAAGCCACCATGTGCCTCGGCAGGTGATGTCGATCCGTTGACGGCATCATCGGTGATTGGGTTGCTCCTCCCGCTGGTTGGGATCGAGTTGTTTCTCATCAACGTGATGCCTGATGCAGAGTTGGGCGCAGAGTTGGGAGCCGAACCTGTCAAGGACGAGAGCGAGGGTTTGGTCCAAGAGGGGATCACAACGAGGTTCTTGTCGGTGCAAGCCTTGGCCATGGACTCTGCAACTTTCTCACATAGCTCGCGAATGTCAATCTCCTCCATGGCAGGCTCGTCACTTTCGGGTGAAGGTGTCGCCGATCGGTTGCCATGAATAGTTTGACTATCCGTGTTGTTGTCAGGGTCCAAATTGGCGAGATCGATGATATTATTGATGGTGTCAATCAAACTCTTTCCAGAGGCTTCTGCTGAGTAGACCATCGCCAGCTGAGTTTCGCTCAACGGTTCCTCTGGATTGGCGTACAACAGTTCGAGGATGCCAAGGATAATGTGAAGCGGAGTGCGAAGCTCGTGGGAAATACTAAAGCATAGAAAGTCCATTGGTCAATAGTCCGCAACAATGGTGAAGGAGATTGAAAAGATTACACCATCCAATTGATCATCTACAGTCCACATACCTTTTGATAAAAGTGCCTTTGGCCCTGTCAGCTGCTTCCACTCGGCGTTTCATGACCTCAGTGACCATACAGGATCCGAAGTTCTTAAGATAGATTCGCTCGTGGAAAGAAAACTGCTTGGTGTGAGAGGCGGAGAGGATGACGAAGTACGCCCAGGGTTCGTCGTCGGTCGATGATTGAGTGTGGGCCATATTAGGTCCTAGGATGGGTACTACCACACAAGACTGGTAAGGCGTGCCTGACGCAGAAGAAAGCCGGGGGATCGTTCCTTGGAATGTGTGGCAAAGAAGCCTTCGGCGATTGGAATCCTTGATCAACGATGGAATGCTGGTGGAGGCCCCAAACCAATCGTTCTCGATTGCATCCTGACCTTGAGAGTAGCTGAACAGTCGGTTTTGGTCAGGCATCTGGGGTGGGGCAGGAGTTTCCTGTCGAACATATCCCAGCATCTCCTTGATGACGGGCATGTCTCGCTCCCACACGGGCTCAATCGCATTCAGCAAGGAGTCTCCAAGACGATGTGGCCGGCATCCTTCATCTGTGCAGACCCAGGCGGATCCCTGTCTCTTGGTGTGCTGCACCTTCTCGTCAAGAACTGGGTGCGAAAAGATGTCGGTGTTCTTTTGAGAGGACGCCAGACAGACCAGCGCCGTATTGGGTGCGTCGCTCAATGACTGTCCTCCTTTCACAATGCCGACAGATCCTTTTCTGCGTCCTGCGGCATCTAGATAGTTCCATACAACAGACGATCCTGAAGGTGGGATGACCGACTGGTCGGAAGATGCTTGCACAAGGTAAACAGCATCGACGTTCAGAGTCGCTTGAATAAGGATACATGCGGCAGGGAATGCTCGATCCTGGAGAGGATTGCCTCTGGTTGTTGGTGTTGCTTGAGGGGCGCTCTTGGTCGTTGCGCCAAGGGCGCGCGACAATAATGTGGGTGATCCTGAAGGTGTTGGGAAGACTGGGTCGATGGGAGGCGAGATCAAGGCTGGCCCATCTGTCATGTTGAGAGTTCCCGAAGATGACGCCGAATGATCGAAGGCCGTTGGCAGAGGCGATTGAAGTGAATCCAAGGGGTGGGCACCTCTCAACCGCGTGTCCTCCGCCGCTGGGTCGTCTCCTACTGGCGAGTCCGGCGCACAAAAGTCAAGACAGCCTCGTACCCAGCGTGTCACGTCCCTCATCATGCGGTTCCTGATACAAAGCTGGACCTGGTCGTTCCACAACTCCATTTCTCTCATAACCACGGCCGCGAAGTCGATCAGCATCATCTTTTCCTTCTCCGCGAAGGAACTCCTTGGTTCGTCATCGACCAAACAGAGAGATCCAACATTCAGTCCTTCTGATGTCGTCAGAGGTGCACCAGCGTAGAATCGGGCATATGGATCCGCATTCACTGCCTCGAGATTCTGAAACCTCCAGTCACTCTTGGTGTCAAGAACAACGAAAGGGTCATCCGCCGCCCGCAAGATAGTGTGTCCGCAGAGTGAGCCCTCTCTCGGAAAGCAATCGAATCCTGTAGGCGGATGCTGGGCTTTGACTGTGAGTTCCTTGTGATCCACCAGGGTGATCATGCAGCCCTTGACCCCCATCACCATTGCCACCAGCTGGACAATTCGCTCAAAGTTGGGATCAATTCCTGATTGGAGGATCTGGAAGCTGTAAAGCGCTCGGAGGCGGCGCTCCTCGTCCAAAGGAAGAGGCGGGGCCAGGTAGTGAAGCGGGGAGGCTGTTGCTGCATAAGGTGGTGTGGGTGGATAGGCTGTGTCTACTTGTGGCCTTGGAATGGGACGGTCTGCTGGAAAGAGTCCCTGGCGATAATGGTAGAGGAAGTCGTCCCAAGAGTTGAACTGCATGTTGTCAGAATCCATGCTTGACATGGTCTGTTGGTGACAGCTTGTTAGTCCTGAGGTATATGGTGTGATGAGTCCAGGGGTTGTTGGTGTCGAATTAGAAGAGCTGGAGGTCATAGTAGGTGACGAATGGCCAGCAGTAAAGGACGATCGGCTGAGGCCACGCACAGTCTGTGCAAATCCAGAGAGTCGTTCCGCAAGCCCTGTCCCTGAATTGCGGGAAGATGTACTGAGCCCAGAGTCAGATACCCGACGAGTCCTTGCTTCGCTGACCTTGAGTTGATCTACGCTCGTCTCAAGTCCAGTCTTGCCACTCCGAGAGCTTGATTTTCCAGCAACGGCGACGGGAGCAAGTAGGCCAAGACCTGGGCCACTGATGGAATCATCCACTCCTGGGTCGGTTCTGGGTATCCGGAGTCCTGTGCCTTCTGATTTGCGTCGATGGATCGACTTGTGTTGTGAGGATCTGAATGATTAAATGGTAGAAGGAGAATTGGAGGAAGAAAAGTTGTTAGGGTCGACGCTGGCCCGTGAATCATTGTATTCTGCTTCTTTTTCAATAATGACTTGATGTGAATGGTACACTGCTACACAGCAAACATAGGATAGGGCAACATGGCTATGCAACACAACCATAGACTCGACAATGAAAGTTTCTCCTGCATATGCCTGTCAGCCAGCGACCCCAGACGCATCCAGACAGAGGCAAGTGGTGTGTGTGTATGTGTGTGTTTGCTTTATGCATGTTACGCATGAGTAACGTTATGCCAGTTGCGAGAAACAACAATAACAAAAAAAAAAAACGACAGAGAGCCTCTTCTGTTCTGTTTGTCCTGAGTGTCCGCCTGCCACAAGGGAAAAGATTGTTGATTCCACTCCTCTGTCCACGATTGGTGCGTTTACCTCTACCTCTCCCCACCTCCCAAAATTCCCTTTTCCCTTTTGCGTTCTGCTCTCTTTCCCGCTTTCCTTCGGCTTCTCGACCCTTTCGCTCTCGCGCAGTGTCGTGTCCTTTCCTGTCCTGTCCTGCCTGTTGCTGTTTTCTGTCCTGCCCATTGGCCCAACTGTTTATCCCATTCCAGCAACAACGAAACAGGAATACGAATATGACGAAGAGAGATAAAGAGACCCACATGAGCTGGCCTCAGATCTACACCCAAGAGAACATTGTTGTTGTTGTTGTCTTCATCCCTCTCTCCCCCTCTTCTCTCTCTCTCTGCTCCCACTTGTCTGTCTCCCGGTTTCGGGAGCAAGGATAATAAAGAAGGGCGTTTTTTTGCTTTTTGATGTTTGTGTTCTGTACACCCGAGCCAACAATTAGATAGTTGTATTGTAAGGGTCGGAGACGATAAGGCATAGAGGCAAAGGTAAAACACACTTTCTTTTTTCAAGATCCTCTTGATTAGTTGTGGGTCCAAGGAATTACGGTTCTTTTAGATCGGGTTGGCCGCCAGAGTGTAGAGTGAGAAGTAGCTTTTTGGCGGCAACGAGTCGAATAATGGGGGAGAAAGAAGGAAGGGTGTGTAAAGAGAAGGAAAGAAGACGAGTCATCACCCAGAATAACGCTTTCACCTCTGCCAAAAGAGACTCCAGTAAAAAAAAGAAAATAGGCGACAAAAGAGCTAAAATAAAGGACCCTGCACTCAGCATCTCCCTCTCTTGCCGTCTACTCCACTCATTGTCTACTGTCCATCGTCGCCCTTGGACTGGCCAATGCACTTTTGCATCGTGCCTATGCCATGGCCCATGGTCGCATCTTGCACCATTGTTTGCTATCTGTCTCCAACTCTGCCTGCATTACTATTATTATATAATTTCAAACCCATCCTCGCTTCTCTTTCTTTCTCTCTATCCCCTTTCTATTCACCCTTTCATTCTCACATAACCTTGACCACTGTCGTCCGTTCAAAAAAAAAAAAAAAAGTTCCTTCTTTGCATTCTTCGCCCTTATTCGATTTGTGTGAACGTCTGAAACCCGACTGTCCCCAACAGACCAATGAAACCTCAACTAAACTCGATCGACTTTCTCTTCTTCTTCTTCGTCGTCGAGTCGTAGACATCAGATCCATCTTGTTGCAAAGGTTCACTACTTCGTCAGAGATATATGCTGTGATAGTTGGAAAAGAAAAGAAGAAAGAAAACGCCGAGTACACCCAGGGGAAGAGGAAAAGAGAGCTAGATCGAATCCAAAGCCCCGAGGTAAAGACATAAATGACGCACGAAGAGGAAGGTAGGAGGAGGTGGAAGAGGAGATAATGAAATGTGTGTGTATCGAATGGGATATGAGATTACAAAAAAACCCATCGTTTTTCACTGTACCGTACCTTGATGATGAAGATATCGATGAGCTAGTCTGGAGAGAGCCGTCGAGTCCTGTCCCTGTTCGGCTACCAAAGGCAGACATCCAGTTAAGCTTCAATCCCTTGGACCATCGATGCTCCTTGAGCGACTCTGTGATCGAGTTCCTGGACTGGTTGGCGGGTACATTGCTCGAGTGGACAGCAAAGGGTGGGAGGACAGACGAAGTCGAGAAGGATCGCAGCTGGCCCTCGTTCTGTTGTAGATCCACTTGAACAGGATGGAGTTGTGGGCGGGATGGACGAGTGTGTTGTTCCTGAGAGGCAGAGTCCTGTGATGAGATGGCGTTGAAGGTTATGTTACCAGAGGCGGATGATGCAACGGTCATCGAGACTGATAGTGGCGACGTGTGGTCCATGGAGGCGTGGAGAGTTGAGGAAGAGGAAGAGGAAGAGGAAGAGGAAGAGGAAGAGGAAGAAGAGGTAGAGGTGGTGATTGGTGTGGACTTGAGCCCGTGGTTGACAGAAGCGGGGGAGGTGATGGCCCGCAGGAAGCGCGGACGGCGTCGTTGGGAGTTGTCCTGGGTGGTCTGATCCTGGGGCGGTTCATTAGTGGTGGGGGAAGGGGTGGATGGCGTTGGAGCCATGTCCGGATATATGGAATGCGGGGATGGTGAAGGGTGGGATGGCTGTGTGAATGAATGAATGAATGTATGTGTGTGTGTGTGTTATGTGTGTGTATGAGTGTAGGCGAGAGTAGGTGAGGGTAGGTGTGAGTAGGTGTGAGTTGCTGAGAATGGGTGAGGGAGATAAGGGAAGGTGGTGTTGATGGTCGAGGGTTGGAAGACGGAGAAGGAGAAGGAGAAGGTGAAGGAGAAGGTGAAGGAGAAGGTGAAGGAAAGAAGGAGTGAAGTGATGAACGTGAAGAAGGGAGGGAGAAGAGGGTAGGGAAAGAAGAAGAGGGACTCTTGAACAACAGAGGGTAAGAGAGAAGAAAAAGAAGAAATTGTAATCAAATGGACAGCACATCACACAAACAAGGGTTTGCCTCAATTCCAACAGAAAATAAAACGTCACGTGAACCATGTGTCTTCACCTAGGTTCCATTGCCTGGACTGATCTGCCCTTTCTGTTTGTTCAAGTAGAACAGCCGAGGTAGAAGACGTATCATAGAAGTAGGATGTCAGAAGTAACTGAACGAATAGAAAGGGAGGATGAGCACAACAATCCCATGCGCGTTCTTATCGAGTCAAATATATAGCAAAAAAATTGGTCGAGATGGCGCTCAATGGCTCTTTCTTTTTCTTCCTGCATGAGGATAATACCATTCAGCGTGACCAAAATTGGAAACGAACAGGCAGCCACAACCACCACAATAACATTGATAGCAAAACAATAACAGCAATGAGAAAACAGATACGTTTGACGAGCTGTTCGAGGAGGGGCTGCAATTGCGAACGCTGAACCTGCTCTTCTTGGCTCATTCATTACCCGTTAGACGAATCAATCCATCATGCCCCTCCTGCCCCTGGTCCAAGCAGGATTCAGACCAACAATTGTTCACCAAACTCGCCAGTTCTATGAACATGTTTGCTCCAAATGTCGGAGGATACTCCGTGGACAAAAAGGGGAAAGGGGCGAAGGAGCATCAGCATCAATAATAACTCGTTCGCACCAATCAAGCCTAATTGCCTTCATCCATCCTCACTTTCCCGTTTTCTGCTCTTCTTCCTCCTATGCCTTCTTGGTCTTCACTGGCATCGCTGCCGTTTTCGTACCTCTATCGGTTCTTGTCTTCATAGCTCAACAAAAGAAAAAAAACGTAGGCTGACTGCGCCTTCCCTCAAGTCAAAGTAAACAACACAAAAGCTGATCATCATGACTCGTTGTCGTGTAAATCTCTCTGTTAGTATCACAAACGAACAGCCTACGCAGCCATTACTGAAGATGTTTACTATCCCCGCCTGCACCAATAGCGTATTGTCCCTTGCAAACGGAAAACCTTGTGAATGGATCAATTGACTTCCGCATGGCTGCGCTAACCCTCCTCCTTCTGCCCTTCCCATTTCAAATCCCAGCCAGAAAGCCCGCATGGACCCTCTCACTCTCACTCCTTCTTACTCCCCGTTCCCCCTGTCCTCTATCTCTCACAATTACTGTTCTCATTATCCCTTTCTTCCACTATGCAACTAAGCGTCCAAAAAAAAAAAAAAAAAAAAAAAAAAGTAATGGTATCGCGGTACGCGGTATGCTATTTACCTGCCTTTGCTATTTCTCACATTTCATGCGACACGCCCCTCTTCCATCGACCCTTCCACTGAATTCTTTGTGTTTTCGTTTGTTTTTTTTTGTTCCGTGGGTCAATTCCTTCCGCTGCATTATGAATTGACCAATGTGGTTTTGAAACCACGACGCGTTTCTTCTTTCTTTTGTGTTCGTATGCCATTTTTTTTTTTTTTTTGGTGCTGCTGCAACCGTTGTTCATGCAAACAATAATTAAGGTCGATTCCCAGCCTAGGCGATTTTTGGAAGTTTTAGGAAGCAGGGGAGAGCATTGGCCAAGTAGCGATATCTTTCTTTTCTGAACAAACTTTTTTTTTTTTTTTTTCCCTTCCCTTTTCTTTCTCTTGATTCTTTTGTTTCCATTCTCTTACCCCCTTTTGTTTCTCATTTTTGCATTTATCGACACATATACATGTTTCTTCCATATTGTCACGCTACCCCTCGGACTTTTTGCGATATTAGTCCTTTGGCATAAGTGTCTTTAATATTACTTTCGCCACAAAATATGAAGTAAACGAGACAATTGCTCGTGCAGAAGGTTCATGCATCAACGCGAGGTCGCTTGGTGAGTCGATCGTCCTTCACAGCCGGCACAGGGTGTGTCTTTTGAACATTGGCCGTTGCCCTCATATCCTTATCCTCGTTCGTGATTCGTCTCAACGGGAACTCGACAGGCTGACCGGCAAATGAGCTATTTGGATAGGGAAAGAAAAAAACATGAGAGCAAACCAAAAGAAAAAAAAATTGCATGTAAGCCATCATGCAAATCGCGCATACCAAGAAGAAAAACACGTAACCACAAGAAAGTCGACACATAAACAAAAAGGAACCAATAAAACATCAAGGCAAAAGAATGTTCCTGTTTCCACGTACTCGAGTCCTGGCTTGGGATCTTCTTGAAAGTATGGATGGTTCAAGGCTTCCTCGGCTGTGATCCGCTTTAGAGGGTCGTACTCGAGCATGGCCGCTAACAGATTACATCCTTGCTCGCTCTTGATCGGCCATTGTTGGTAGAGTGATCGCAAGACATTGGGTGTTCTATTTGTGAATACAAAATGGGCGAGTTAGTCCATAATGTCAACAGTTGTCCCAGCTGCGCCAATGATTACTCGCCTCCTCGTTCCGTCTTTTATTTTGCTCTTACTGTCGGAAGGAGGCCAAGTTTGGGTATTCCGGTTGTTGGTCAATGGTTGGCCATCGTTCCTCTACGTACACCAAGTCAAGAAGAAAATTCGTGTTAGAGCCATCTAGCCACCACATCACGCCTTAGCATCATATCAATTGAGACTCATTGAACACGGCGACTTACTTGTGGGGTTGCCGAGAATGTCAAAGATCTTTTGTAGTTGGTTCTTTTGGAATGGCACGGTCTTCTTGTTCTCCACCTTGGCTTCTTCACCCTTGAAGATCGGCCGAAGAGTAATTAGCTCTGCAAAAATACATCCGATCGCCCAAATGTCAATCGCCTTGGTGTAATGCCTCGATCCTAGCAGTAGCTCCGGTGCTCTGTACCAAATGGTCACTACTACCTTGTCTCCATTGAACAGAGGCTGCAACGGCTTGTAAAACAATCGCGCCAATCCCAGATCACCTATCCATTGATATAGTAAGGTCGTATTAGTCACTTTCAAAGAAGTAATATATTTAAGTCATTACAACCGCGCTCCTTGACTTACCAACTTTGACGACTCCATTGGCGGTGACAAGGATGTTTGCAGGCTTCAAGTCACGATGCATCACCCAGTTGGCATGGAGGTACGCTACTCCGTTTAAAAGCTGCCACAAGAACGACTTTACCGTGTATTCCGACATGAACTTCCTCTCAGGATGGCTGTGAAATCCAATGATTTGCTACATGGACGTACAAAAACAAAGAAATAAGGCTTTAGTTATAACGATGGGAAGTACATTAGAGATACGAGCAATGGAAAGAGGCACAACACTTACGAGGAGATCGTGCTCGGCGTATTCAAAGACCATGTGGATAGACTTGTCCTCCAAAAGAACCTCCTCAAGCCCAACGATATTCTCGTGATGAAGTTCGCGACAAAGCTACAATATGGAGAAGTGTGTTATTAGAAGGCTAGTTCCTGAAAATCCTCCCATCAAATGATCCAAGGCGAAGGTGACGCAACCTACCGCGATCTCTCGACAGGCAGACTGTGAGATTCCAATATATGTCGCCGCCTCGCCTTCCTTGTCTGGCTTAAACTTTTTGATCGCATACTCCTTGTTGTCATCCCTAAACCACAAGCAGCAGAAATAAATACCAAAATAATTAGCAACTGGGTCAAGGGTTATAAAATAAACGCAACCACAGCATACAATATCTTGAAAGACGTACTTGATCTTGGACTTCGCTTTGTAAACTCGACCATACGTTCCAGAACTGATAAACCCCAGGATATCGTATTTGGAGGCAATCTTTTGCCGACAAGAGTCGCGCTTCTGCTTGTACTCTGTCATGTTCATGGGTGGGAGGTCAAAGTGCTCTTGTACCTCTTCTTCTTCCTGCTCCTCCATCCCTTCAAAATGTTGTGAAGGTGGTTGTTGGTTCATGGGTTAAAACAATGTGGTTGTCTGGATTATCCGCGTGGGTGTAGGGGTGTTGTTGGGGAAAGGCGATGATGTTGATTCCTTTAAGGCTCCTGAGATGTGTTTGATGCAGATGCTCTGTTCCTGGCGTGAAAGCTGAGTGATGTGGTAAAAGCGGTTTGGGCGCTAAACTCACGTTTCGTGACTGTGAATCGCATGCTTTAGTAATGATTTTTTCTTTCAAATGGTTTTATTACAATGCCGGATGGCTTTTCTCGTTCTAACGCGAGTTGTTCTAAAGAGGAGTGGGATGAGAGGGAAACGAAGGTGTGGGGTGTATATGGTCTTCGCGTTGAACAGAAGAAGAGGAACCAGTTGATCCTCTGTCCCCTTCAGCGCGTAGTGTCATGTATGGTAGTGTAGTGTCGTGTTGGGATGCAATTGTGTGTCGATAAATAGAATAAACAATTTAACCGATGATGATCTTGTTGCCCTCCTCGAACGAGTAGGCAGGGATCTCGAGGTTCAATGGTGCAGGTCCCTTACGGATACGTCCAGAAATATCGTAGTGGGAACCGTGGCAAGGGCAGTACCATCCACCATAGTCACCAGCCTCTCCAATTGGGACACATCCCAAGTGAGTGCAGACACCTGAACAGTTTGAAGCGCAGAGAAGAGGAAAGAGGTAGATCGTTAGACAATAATCAGACACACCAACACGCAGGGAAAACGAGCGACAAGATGTTAGCGATCAGTGAGAAGACATACCCAACATGACCAACCACTCGGGCTTCTGGGCACGCTCGGCATCGTTCTGGGGGTCACGGAGCTCAGTAATGTTAACAGCGTTGGCCTCATCGATCTCATCGGCGGTACGGTGACGGATGAAGACGGGCTTTCCACGCCACTTGATGGTGACGTTACGACCCTCGGGGATAGTGCTGAGGTCAACCTCGACCTTGGCCAAAGCCAAAACATCAGCAGAGGCCGACATGTTGGCCAAGAAATCGGCAACGGTGGTCTTGGCTCCGAGGAAGGAGACAGCACCGGTGGTTCCGACCATGAAGTAGGAGAAGGCGCGGTTAGTGGCATCGCCGGATCCGCTCTTGTACTTGCTGAAGTCGGGGATGTTGGTGGTTTCGCGCGCAGAGTTGTGGTTGAGACGGACCTGAGCAGCAAGTCCAGCGGGGGCTAACATGTTTTCGATAATAACATGAGGCGTCTGCGTTAGTTGGTGGTCCTCCTTCGCTTTTACTATCGTCAAAGTAGGGGGTCTTGACGTCTCGCGGTGAATTGACAGCTGTCGTTCTGCTCCTTGGCTTTGACGCGTAAATCCTGATTCAGTACCATTCTCGACGCTACTCTGACGGCTCACAGCCCTCTTCCTTTCTGCACACTTGTCCGAATTCCGTGTCCTGCAAGTAGATAACTTCAGTTGACATTGAGTTGACGAACATGCATCCGGACCAAGATATCTGTGCAGCCTATCCATGTGCCCTTCCTAAAAAAGCGGCATCCGTGAAAAAATTTAGAGTCGTTCGGAGTAAAGTCCCGAGCAGGTGTAACTTGCAGATCCCGAACGAATGAAAAGGTGTCCAAGAGAGTGCGCCAGGTTCTTTTCAAAGATCGCTGCTTCCGCTGTGCTGCAGACTGTGGCTGTCATGCTGTATTCGTGAATGTTTGCAACTCGGCAATGGATAACGGTGGAGCTGCAGAGTGGATGTCCGAGGTGTTGTTTGATTGTTGAGATGATGAAAAAGTCCGGCGTAACGAAATGAAGTTAGGATCCGGAAGGAGAGGAGCGACATACCGAGGACGTTGCGGGCAGCAGCGACACGGACCGAGCGATTCAAGGAGGCCGAGGCCATTCTAGCAGCAAGGGAGGCCATTGTGTGATGTGAGGAGAGGGTGGAGTGGGGAGGGGAGGAGACAGTTGTGAAAAAGCGGATCGTCTTTCTGTTGGCTCAGGCACACTGGATGCCAGAGGGGGAGGGATACTTCGGAAACCGAAGGATGTAATCGTCACAGAAAATGATTAGCTCGCATCTACAGTCAAAATTGGCCCCTTGTCAATCCGATTTCCCTCACTTGATAAAGTTTCAGGCACGAGGTTTCTAGGAAGAGAGATCACTTTAACATCCCAACCATGGCTTCGTCGACATTCCTTTTGAGACGTCTGCCCTTGTGCGCACAAACAGGCAGACTCTCACGGCCAAGTTATCCGGCCTTCACAGCTCTTCAGCAGGGCTGGTCGCGTACTCATATCAGGCCATCGGCGTCATTGTACAGCACACATGCTGCTGCCGATCTGGATCAGACCAACAAGCCATACTATATCACCACGCCAATCTTCTACGTCAATGCAGGTACGGCGCGTGCCCCCTTGGTGCCTACCTTCATAAAGTCCTTGTTGTGAATTTGATCCGCTAGTCATAAAATCTCGTATGCTGATATCTTTAGTCTTCCACACTGACAATAGTACCTCACATTGGACATTTGCATTCGGCGGTCCTTGCTGATACTTTCAAGAGATTCCACGAGATGAAGGGCAGAAAGGCGATTCTGAGCACAGGAACAGACGAGCATGGACTGAAGGTAAGCCGCTTACCTTGAGATGCTTCACTCACCAATCCGATCTGCTCTCAGACTGACACAAAGATGTTATGCGCCCAAGAATAGATCCAACAAGCTGCCGCTCAAGCAGGATTGAAGGAGATCGAGCTGTGTGACAAGGTCTCGAAGCGCTTCCAGGATCTTTTTGACGCCGCCAACATCAGCTACACCACGTACATCAGGACAACAGAGCCACGGCATGCAGTGGCGGTCAAGAAGATCTGGGACGATCTCTTGGAACGAGGTTATATTTACAAGGGACACCATGAAGGATGGTACTCTGTATCAGACGAGGCATTCTACCCATCTACACACGTAGAGGAAAAGATCAACGAGAAGACTGGTGAAAAGTACCATGTAAGTCTTACTAGCCAGCCAATCATAAACGTATCTGAGCTACCTGGATGCTCCCTAACCGATGAACTTGCACTTTTGATAGATTGCGATTGAAACAGGAAAGGAGGTTGAGTGGACCACGGAAGAGAACTACAAGTTCAAGCTGAGCGCGTTCACCGACAGGCTGACTGAGTGGCTCGACAACAACCCCGAAGGTAACGACCACTGTGTTGTCGGCCTCGACTGGAAGACAGAAGTACAGGAACTAGTAGACTGACAGCTGCTTGTCTTCGCTGTACTCATTAGCTATTTTGCCCAAGAGTAGACATCTTGAAGTTCAGAGTTGGTTGAAAAGCGGTTTGTCTGATCTGTCCGTCTCACGACCAAGATCGCGTCTCACATGGGGAATCCCAATCCCAGGAGACGATAGCCACGTCATGTATGTCTGGATGGATGCTCTCACCAACTACCTCACCGTAACCGGATACCCATGGAAGAACATGTCGGACTCCCAGAAGGCTGTTTGCGGATGGCCTGCTGATGCTCAGGTTGTCGGCAAGGATATCCTCCGATTCCACGCTGTCTACTGGCCAGCCTTCTTGATGGCTGCCGATCTCGCTGTGCCGAAGAAAATTGTCGCGCACGCTCACTGGACCCAGGGCAAAATGAAGATGTCCAAGAGTATCGGAAACGTTGTTGATCCCTTCACAGCCATGCAGGAGTTTGGCACTGATACCATTCGTTTCTACCTTATGAATGACGGAGGATTAATTGATGACGCAGGTAGAAATTGATATCGGGAGCTTATTTGTGGTACTGATTTGTTACATTGACGACGAGCTTGTTTCCTCACCTCAATGACTTTTTTCGCCGTTGACTAGACTACTCATCGGAGCTGGTTGCAGGAAGATACAAGAAGTTGCTTGCAGGACAGCTTGGAAACCTTTTAAACAGATCAACCTCGGTGGCTTTAAACCCATCCAACAAGGTGCCAAAGCAACCCTCAGCAGACAATGTTCACCCTGACGACAAGGTCTTGCATAAGAAATTGGAAGCCTTGCCCGGTCTTGTCGACGAAGCCATGGCCAACTACAGGACTACTCATGCCACGCAAGCTATTTTTGACATGATTGCCGAGGTAAGCCATGATTACCTGTTTTGAGCCTCTTGAATCACAGTTGATACAGTTTCTTGAAATCTTATTTGTTTGCTATGTTTTTCTCCGTCTGTGACACATCATAGGCCAACGCAAACTTTACGCACTGCGAACCTTGGAAACTGGTCAAGGATCCTGCTGGCCACGACCGTCTGCAGACAGTGCTTTGGTATGCCATGGAGTCTACACGGTTGGCCACTCTTCTTCTCCAACCCATCATGCCCACCAAGACTGCCGAGATTCTTGACCAGCTGGATATCCGCAAGGACGAGCGCTCGTGGGAACACGCAAGACTTGGACAAGGATGGGTCAAGGATGCAGAGTCAAGGAAGATCCTCCCAGGCACACCCATGTTCCCTCAAGTCAAGGCGAAGAAGTAGTCTAAGTCATCGTTTTTGTAGCATTTTCAGTTACCATTGTTATATATTCTTTTTTTTACCACCATTTGTGTTCATTTATTGTTGTTTTTATTCACTTGGCCACACATAAAATGTGGGAAGGGGGAGGAGGAGTATGCAAAATCAGTAGACAGAGCAAGTAAGCAAAATAAGAGAGAGAAAAAAGCGTGTAAAGACACGAGGTTGGGTTGATCTGTTTGTTCTTTCGAAACCCCACGAACAACTGACAAGAAAAAAGATAGCACATTTATCCGCCAAAGCCGTAGAGGGTGCGTCCCTGGCGCTTGAGGGCATAGACGACATCGAGGGAGGTGACAGTCTTGCGCTTGGCGTGCTCAGTGTAGGTGACGGCGTCACGGATGACGTTCTCAAGGAAGACCTTGAGGACGGAACGAGTCTCCTCGTAGATGAGACCAGAGATGCGCTTGACACCACCACGACGGGCGAGACGACGGATGGCAGGCTTGGTGATGCCCTGGATGTTGTCGCGAAGAATCTTGCGATGGCGCTTGGCGCCTCCCTTTCCGAGACCCTTTCCTCCTTTACCGCGGCCAGACATTATTTCAAAGAGTGTTTGGTGATGGTGGTTTGGTTGGTGGTTGGTTGGTTGGTTGGTTGGTTGGTGTTGTGCTGTGGAACGAAGGAAAAAGGATAGAGAGCCCTGTTTTCCAAGCAGTTGGAGACTAAAAAGCGCGTCTTTCGCAGTCACGCGCATCGTTGACGTCACTTCTTTTTTTTTAAGGTTGGGCGCCATCCATCCGATGAACCTGTGCGTATTGACCATACGGGTTGCAGCCTAGGAAAGAAAGGCTTATTGCCATCTCAAAATAAGAGAGTGCACGAAGCCTACCATTGAGGTATTGAGCAATGAGCATCCCCAAGTTGAAGGGCAGCGAAAAAAAAGAGAGGTTCCTGACAGCACCCCTATTACCCCTGCCCTAGATGTTACTGCCCCTCCTGACGATACTTTCAGTTTTGTACCTTGACAAAAGAGTGGTATGACCTGGATTGTTGTGGACGACGGAAATGGATCAATCAAAAAAAAATGGGAAGGAAGGACTTTGCGGTCCACAAAACGGACCAAGAAAAAGGAAAGAAAAAGCAAAAGGTAACAGAGAACCGATGCCATGTCCAATGCCATCCTATACAAAGGTTGCACCTAAGCAAATAAAGAATTAAAGAAAAAAGGGATCACTCCTTGCCTTGTCTTGACCTTTTCCCTCCCCTCCTCCTCCCTCCTCCCTTTGTCACCCTTTTGTCACTCCCTGTTTGTGTTTGTTGTGTCTGTGTGCCGTATGCCATATGCTGCAAGTATGGATTTGAGGATGGCCTGAACTGAAAGTCGGGGGGAATCAACATACATGCGAATCTGTGTTCTGCACATGTAGAGTACATATAGCAAAGAAAATGGCCCAAGCACAAGCGCACATACTTTACCTGGATCGGTGATGGCTTTTCAATTCAGTCAGTCAACAGCAGCAGCAGCAACAACTAGTCAGTTCTCCCTTTCTGCCGGTCAGGTTTTTCCTTGTCATCTCTTGCCTGGTTTTCCTTGACTAATTTCCATTTTTTCTTCTTTCCTTCCTTCCTTCCTTCCTTCCTTCCTTCCTTCCTTCCTTCCTTCCTTCCTTCCCTCCTTCCTTGTCTCCCTCTTTTTTTTTTCTTTTTTTTTCTTTTTTTTCTGTCCTTCCCCATTCCCCGTTCCCTGATCTCATATTGCCTACTGTTATCTCTTTCTTTGTCTCCCTTCTTTCATTCTTATTCAACACTCACTATCACTCTCACTCTCCCTTGACTGTCTTCCTTCTCTCCCTTTTCGCCTGCTTATCCCGCTTTTATCACATTCATTCACCCCTTCAGTTCCAAGAAAACCCACTGTCTCTCTTTGGCACACAGACACCAACACACACATACACACACAGACGCACACAGACACACACAGACACACGCCACACCCTCGCACGTTTTTGACCCTTTTCCCTTGCTGTATTAATTCCGTTTTTTTTCTTTCTCTCTCTCTCACACATCCTGTCCTTCCTTCCCTTCACTGATTCGTCCATCGTCTGCTTACATCTCCTCCAACGACCTCCCTCCTTCTCTCCTTCACAACCACCACAGTCCTCCACTAATTCAACCACCGCGGTTCAAGGAAGCCCACTCCTGGCATCCACAGATCACATCATACCACACCCTTCCCGCTCACTAAAATTTCTGTAAAGTCAGCAGTCCATCTCAGAACCGTCCCCGCTCTGCCTCCTTCACTCAACGTTGATCCCATCTTCCTTTTTTTCACCCCTATACCGCCACAAATGCCTCTTAAGCTACCGTTCTTCTTGGCAGCAAAGGATCGAAAGCAGGACTGGAGGTAATTGTTAACGCCAACAAACATCACCGCTCGTTCATTCATTCTATCTTCACCAAACAAAACTCAAGAAGAAAACAAACAAACAAACAATAAGAAGTTCATTGTCAAATTCGCCAGCTTTTGAATTACGATCTTGACTCATCCAATTCATTCGCCCAATGTTCGCTTTTGTTTGCTCCTTCGGCATGATTGAGTGCTTGTGCGCAAAAAGCCTGATCTGCATGGATCATTTGGTGGCCCTGTCCCTTCCCCTTGAGCGAAACACCTCTCCCTTCTCCTCCCCTTGACCATTTTTTTTCCTTTGTGCGGTACAAATACGTCTTCTTCTTTTGGACCATTCGATCCCTCCATGTTTGTTGGAGCCTTCAGGAGCAGAGCACTACAGGACTACTTCGCCGTACCACACCACAACCACAACCACCAGGTCCTTCATTCTTTCCTTTGGCCTCGCCTTTTTTTAACATTTCTCACTTGTTTTTACACATATTATTACTTGTAGCTACAATATTGCCGCCCCAGCCGTCAATCCCAGCCCAGTTCTGGGGCCATTGAGGAAGCGCGAGTACCAGACGCGCCAGCAGCAGATCCGACAAGGCACACCAAGACGGATCGGCTGCCCTACTCGATCCCAGGGCGAGTTCCCTATCTATGAGCACCGTAACATCAGCCCCATCAGCCCAGAGAGTGGTAGTGTTTCCAGGCCAGCTTCAAGGACGAGTTCGCGACCCAAGGGGTCGGGGCCAGCATCACGAGCTACCTCACAGTCCAATACTCCGACTCACCCCCTTTCATCCTCCTCCCCAACGTCTTCTACGACTTCGTCATTTTCCTTCCCATCCCCAAAGGCGAACAACAGCCCCGAGATCGGATCCCCAGATTCGGATATGGATTGGACAGCTACCCCCACGTCCTCGTCAGGGCGGGGATCAACAGCCTCATCGATATCTTCCTTCTCCCTCTCCTCAGGATCGTACAGTAAGGGCTTCATGATGATGAGCCATGCTATGGGCTATGGCGGCTCTTTTATCCCTAATGCTTCCACCTTGCCCTCATTGATCAACTCTCACCTCTCAGTGGCTCAGATCGGCGGTGCAGGTCGGCGCATGTCCACTCCATCGATTTCAACCTCAAAGTCACATCGGGATTCTACTGAGGTTGCATCGACCCCACCGTCGTCCTCTGTATCGTCTTGCCGAAACTCAATGTCTCCACGTCCAACATCGGCCCTCTTCACCCCACGCACCTGGGTTGCATCGACGCCCTCCTCGTCTTCTTCGAGTATAATCATTGCAGATGAGCAAAATGGATACTACAACGTCGAGCAATCTTCGCCCGTTTCACCTGAATTGTTTGGACACGTCCAGACAAATAAGCTGACAGAGTATGTTAGCTCAAAGGTTCCAACAATTATCTCCGAGCGCGAGTATGGTGTCGAGGGCTATGACAAGGTCTTCGCAGTCACATGGCTTAACTCCGAGGAGGTGCTCATGGGAACAAAGTGTAACAAGGTAAATGCATGATTACATAATGAACACGTTGATTTCCTCAGTTGCTTTTCTTCAAGCTGGCACAATGCTAACTTCTATAGACATGTACACTACAAACTAGCTCGTTGTTTTGAACACACGATCAAACAAACGCGTGCATCTGGGACGGACGGAAGAGTGCCTGGAGGAGAACTCGACCAGCGTACTATCACGACTAAGTGGTATGGCGGCAGAGCAAGATGGAGGCGTGTTCTCTGGATCTCTTGGCAAGCGGCCTGTCAAAACTGGCGGACCACGGAGGTCAAACGGCACTGGTGGTATTGCCAGAAGTTTGGAGAGGGGATTGCGGTTCCTGAATAGCGGCAGACGATCATCGACGCCGTCGTTCACCACTATCACCTCCAACCAGCGAGGCGCGAACCGCTTGGTGACTGTGTTCCCACCTTCGCCCAATCTCAATGCGACCACCAGCTCCACCATGTCCGCAGCAGCTGTTCCTACCACCAATCAAGCGACTGCTGTCAACCCCACCACTACCAATGGTACTACCACTGCCAATACAAACACCAACACTGATCCGTTCCATTCGGGCTCGATGCACGGTATTGCTTCTGCATCGACTTCAGCTGGTGTCCGATCCCTGTCAATCAACCCTTCAAGGACTCTGTTGGCGATCGGCGCTGGAGACCCTTTTCAGGTGACCATTTACTCAATCCCAGAGTACGAGCCTGTGGGAATCATGTATGGACATGCCGACCTGGTCTTTTCATTGACCTGGGTCACGGACACGGTCTTGGTCAGTGGATCGAGAGACGGATCTATGCGCGTTTGGTCAATGGAATCGTCCGTCATGGCGACCCTGGCTTCAGTTACTGTTCCTATTGACGTCAGATTCCCTGTTCTGTCGCGAGAAGAGGAAAAAACGAAAGTGCGCGACTTGTCCCTGAACAAAGGCACCGGAGTAAGAATTGGACGTGTTTTCAAGTTAATATGGCACGAGAAGTATTCAAAGGCATTAAGCCGCGAGGCTGACTAACCCATTGTTTGATTTTATAGCAATTGATGACTTTGACAACAGAAGGATATGTCAAGCTCTGGGATCGTGAGAGCTACATCCAGGTGGGCTACATTGATTCCCGTTTTATCCTCTGAGAGAAGCGCCCAACACCCTATCTAAACAAGATACTGACCCTATCACCTTGGCCTTGTAGATCTCCAAGCTCAAGCTAATCCGCTCAACAGAAACGGTCTGCCTGACCTCAAACGCAGATGCCAACCTGTTCGCCGTTGGGTCCCAGTCCCACATCACAGTCATCGACCCCCGCACCTCAGGTCTTGTCCACGAGACCGAGTCCTGCGATGAAGGCTGGGGGGTCCGCGCCTTGGATTTCAAGAGCCACATCATCACCACGGGTGGCGGTTTTGGTCGTCTCGGATACTACGACCTCCGAGCACAGCGATATCTTGATGGCTTTGACAATAGTCAGAGCAATCGTCGCTACCAGGATATTGGAACTGGTTGGCTGGTAATTCTTCGTTCTATTTTCTCACCTACTTTTCTTCATTTTTTTTGTCGTCTTTGATCGTACTCTTTGTCATCTATTGAAACTGACGCTTTGACCATTCGTTTTCTGAAAATATATGTGAATAGAATCGCGATACGACCTATGCGGGAAGCATTTCGGGCATCACGATCCGAAACGCTGTCTACACTATGCAATACGACTCGACAGGAACGCGTCTGTTTGCCGCAGGAGGTCCTCTTCAACTAGGACTCTGTGGTTCTTACGCCGGTCTGTGGAGTTAAAAACAAGCGGAGATAACAAAGGAAAAATGGCAACAGGAACAAGCAACATAAAACCGAACAAACTATACTCAATCATACACAACCATAGACAAAATAGATACTTTAATAATACTTTTTTTAATCATATTTTCTTGATGGGCCATATGTGAAGACCTTGTTGGCGTTGATAGACGATGGCGACTGCATCGGTTTACATGTGGCACGGTGGTTACTCTTTAAAAACGATTACAAAACACGTGTGGCTTTCAGGCGCTCTCAGAAACATTGCCAGAACCGAGTTTTTAATTTGGCTGCTGAACCCAAATTGGTCAAAAAAAATGTACTTCTTTGGGGTTTTTCAGTTATTTGGACATTTTTGAACATTCTGAGGGGCACTGCGAGGTGTAAGATACAAAATAGTACAAGGATTTATTTGTGAGCAATGGTGTTCTGCGAAACGATCGCCATGATGGTTACAAGTAGAAGAAAAAAAATGGAAACAAAACGATATCCTTCAGCCAGCGTCAATCCTGCTTTCGCTCTTTTTGTTTTTTTCTGCTTAGGCGATGCGTCTTTTTTTTCTTGGTTAGTCGCAATCAGCCAACAAATCGTCCAAGACACCCTGGAGCCTACGCTAAGGCTTTTCCTTGGTCACTTTTTGCCTCCTTGGCATTTTTCGTACTGTCGTTCTATCGTCATCATTTCCTTGTCCGCCTTTCTTGCCTCCGTTTCCCTGAGCGTCCACATTTTTGACTGGTTTTTTTCCGTCAACTTGGTGCTGCCGATACGATGGCTGGGTGTTAGCTGTGCCGAGTGTTTCCGAATGACGTCGACGCTCCTGTTTCTGGTAAGCCATTTGTCGGCGATCTTGCTCTTCGTCCTTGGGTTCCGAACTTGGGCGTAGCGGAGGCGACACGGTCATCGATTTGTATACCTGGAAATACTTATCGCCTACCACCGATGAAGACGTTCCCACGATTTGCTCGCGTTTCCATTTGTCGTCTCCTTGTCACTAGGTCTTCGAGTCCCTGCACCAGTACCACCCCGATTCTTGTCGTCCCGATCAAACGTCTCCGGCCATCACTTTGCTTCTGGACTACCCACCATATCCTCCTCGATATCTGCAGAACAGACGTGAGATGCAGCCGGTGAGCTTGTCGGGTAGCTTCCTATCACTTCCTCAGCCTGCCGTCGTCGACCGTTTGTCTTGGCCCCCCACCGCCACGGTGATTTACCTTTGGCTTTTTTTTGTCCGCCTCTCCTGTCTTGTCATTAAGATACTCTCGGAATTCTCACCGCGCTCTGCTCAGGATTTTTTTTTGTTGGTGGTTCTCGATTTTTGAAAGCGAGTTGCAATTGTTGGAATCTTCCGCGACTTTTTTTTTTGGGCAGGTTGCAGGATTTATGGTGATGTTTGTGGTGGTGGTGGTGGTGGCCTCTCTGCTGGCAGATTTAGTGATCCTCCTCGATTGATCGACGGCCTTGTCATCCAGAGGACCGCGTGGTACCTGATACTAGGCTTCACATCGATCTGTTCCATGAAACGCTTGCTATGGCCTTTGGGTAGGTTTGACGGCTCCATGATGAAAGGCGAGTGACTGGTCGACTTGGATCCATCTCTGGTTGCCCGAGTTTTGACGTTCCTGGGGGTTTCGATGCGACAATGCGATCATGTCAAGGATCGGTTTTGGCAATGCAGTTTGCGCGGTCCATGCTCACCGACCATAACCCTGTCAGTTATGAGGAATGTGTCGAGCGCCTTGCACTTGCTGTCTTCCTCCCAAGGATTAGTCATTTTTGTCATGAATCCCGTTATGTCCTTTTTTGATCATGATACAAAAAACAATAAAAAAACGAGGACAAAAAATATGCATTCAAAACGTCTTTTTATTCCATGTGCAGAAACATGATTCTTTCTCTTGCGCATGCCAGTATTTGGCACTGGCGTTACAAGAACGACAAAAGGGTAGTTTAATCCCTCTTGAAAGAGAATCGTGGGACGTTCTCGGGAAAGAAATAAGGTCTCGCCAAGGACCTCACATGCTCCCAAGCCTCATCAAAAGCGTTGACCATCTCCTCCGGCAACGGACCCTTCTCCAGCTCCGTCAACGATTCCTCCAACTGCTCGACCTTTGATGCTCCAATCAGGATACCGTCGTTGGCGGTGAGGCCGGAATGGTGACGTATCCAGCGGAGGGTTGCTTCTAGAAGGGTTAGCTTGTTGGCGGTGGCGACCTTTGTGAGGGATTCGACGGCTTCGAAGGTTGTTTTGTTCCAGTACATTTCTCGGACCCTGGGAGGGTGGAAGGGAGGAGGGAGGAAGAGGAGGAAGGGAGGTTTGGTTAGATTTTGGAGCTACTTCGTCGCGGTCATGCAGAAATGCGAATTGACTTTTTTTTTGACAAACGCGCGAAGACAAAACGCTATGATTCACGCGTGAGAAAAAAAAAGTCCAACTCAAAACAATTAAGAAAGAAAGAAAGAAACAAACTTACATCTTGCCAGTTGCAGTCTTGGGATCGTACCGACTTCCCTCCGGGGTCTCGCCATCAAACTTGTACTTGCCCGAAAGGACACCTCCAGAGATGGGGTTATAGGCGTAAAAGTCAATGTTGAGGTGTTTGAGGCAAGGAAGAAGTTCGTAGATGACGTTCCGGTCGATGGGGTTGTAGGCTCCTTGGTAGATTGTTGGGAGGACGTAACCGTTTTGTTTGCAGATTGAGTGCATGAGTGCTACGTTCCAGGCTGAGTAGTTTGACACGCCGAACTAATTAGGTTTGAACAGGTTGGTGACAATAGGAGGCGAGGAGAGGAGGCTGTTAGGATCACTGGCATCAGAACGAAAGAGGACAGGCAACACTCAGAACAGCCTTCTCCCATCATGCGAATGAAACTTACTCGTTCAAAGAGGCCCTCCTTGTAAAGATCATCAATCGCCTTCAACGTCTCCTCAAAAGGGACCGAATAATCCGGTGCATGCAAATACAAGATATCCACCTTGCTCGCATTCAACGCCTTCAAACTCTCCCGAAACTGCTTTGGCAAATTCTCTCGGTTATGACTCCCCGCCACGTAGGGGAAAATCTTTGTCGAGATCTTCATATGGGCGTTGGGCACTTGGGAGAGAACGGTTTCGCAATCGCCACTGCCGTAGAAGCGGGCAGTGTCGACTTCGGTGTAACCATGGGAATGGAAGGTGGTGAGGAAGGGGGCGACGGCGGCGGGACCGCGGACTTTGACGGCGGATGTGGAGGCATCGGTGGTGTCGAGTCCGAATGTCATTGATCCGAGGACGATGCGGGGGACGTTGGCGGTTGTCATGCTGTGTTGCTAGTGAGGTTGGTGAGGTTGGTGAGGTTGGGTTGAGTTGTTGTGAAGTAGTTTGATGTAGGAAAGGAAAGAGGCGATTGTCCGCTTTTTATACGAGAAGAGGATGTTGTAAGATCGTAAACCAAAGAGTGGCGAGACACGCCTACCGCTTGCATCGCTGTTTTTTGTTTATTGGACATCAGTCAAGAAAATGATACGCTTTTTCTCAGCCTCACTACAGCTACATCATCGCGTTCTGTGCAGACAACCGAACAAACAAGAAATAAACCTAATTCCCTTCGTATCTCGCCATATGGTTGTTCAAATCCTCCGCAGCATCGTTTTCTTTTTTTCTCGTTTGACTCTTTTGCCTCTTTTGGGCAAAACACGTCATAACGCCGCGCGTCGAATCGTCGTTCGATCAATTTTTTTTTTCATTTTTTGCCTTTTTCATAGTTAACGGGGCCTGCTTAGCCCTTTGTTTATTTCTTTCCTACAAAAGCCATGGTCTTCCTACTGCAGCCAAAATACTTATTTTCCAGATATTCATGCATTGACGTGCTCTCGTTCGCATCATTGCGCAAGCGCTTCAAGGTTTAGCCAGAGCTATACAGTACTCCCTTTTTCTTGCAATTTGTAGCAAAGGAACGACGTAGAAAGGTCAAATGAGAATGGTAAAATCAAGACAGTTAGTGGCAGAAGAACAAACAGCCAAAACAGTACGTGAGCACCATGGGGTCGGTCGACTCTTTTTTCACCTGAATGACAGCAAATCGCGTTGACTATGCGAATGGGCCTATTCGGCTATTCCTCCCTCTGTCTCTCTCTCTCTTTATTTCCCCACTACCCAAGGCACATGAAACAAGGACGAAGAGACGAAGAGGACGATCCATTCACGCAACTCCAGGAAGTTTCGAGGTTGGTGATGCTGTCGATGCGATAATTGGGGAACCCGATAGGCTTAATCAGGATTTCCAGTCGACAAAGTTTTCCCCTACATGCTCGCTTCCTTTCTGCTCGACCTCAAGCTGGAGGACCGTGTGCCCCATCTTTCAATCTATGACTTATTCCGTATCAACGAGATGCGTCCTAGCATGTTCCCCACGCCCTCAGTAGGTTACAGGGATCTCCTCCATTCAAGTGGCGGTGCTGGTGTTGGCGGTGTTAATCATCGCCGAGCCCTTGTCCATGTGCCCCCCTCTCTCCATCAGACCAAAAAATTGGCTTGGTCTCCATTGCCGACTGGTGAGTCCTTGGGCTCCCCATATCCTTCTCTTCCTCCTCCTCCTCCTCCTCCTCCTCCTCCTCCTCCTCGGGTCGTTCTTGGGGACCGCTTTCCGCTCGCATCATCTTCCGGGCGCCTTCGCCTCGTCCTTGGGGTGCAATTGGTGGTTGATGGTCCCTGGTTTCGCTTATTTTCCTTGCTCGACGGCCAGGATCCTGTGATGGGACGAATTGAGTGCACCAGGGTTCGATCGGCACCTCCTCGACGCCATGGGCCCCGATCCTAGTCCTTGTCTTCTTCGCCAACTGCAACATAGGGCAATGGTGTTGGGGAGAGTAAATAGCGACATCTCTTGTGTTTGTCCAAGTAGGAGAAGGGGGTCATTGTCGGACCTGTCCTGCTCCTCTCAACAATTGTACAGCACGGCTTTGTTTCCTGCAAAGTACAATTTGGTCCGTGTGCGTTTGTTGGACTTGTACTGATGAGCAGTCGGGAGAGAGAGTCGGAAAGTTAATATCTCATGAAGCTCGTGGTTGCTGTTGATGTCGCTCATGTCGGGGAAGGTGGCGAAAGGGAGCAGAAAGGAAAGAAACCAGCACGCCCTCGAGGAAGGCGGAACTTCATTTATTCATGCGAGTTTGAAATAAAAAAAAAAGACCCAAGTGAGGATCAAGAACGCAACCGTAAAACGTCACATTTTCAACTGAACTATGACTTGGATGACAGAGTGAGCATTGAATAGTCAAGGCGTGTTTGGAGGTTTTATTACTACATATCGGATGGGGACTTGCAGAGGGGAGGGAGAGAAGAGGAAGAATGAAGAATGTAATTTTCTTTTTGTAATTGTTTTTTGTGGAATGAGGGTTTTGAGCTTAACGAAAGAAAAATGCAAAAGAAAATGATAAAGGAAAATACAAAGACAAAGGCAAAGAAAAAGAAAAAGAAAAAGACAAACACAAAGACAAAAAGCAAAATAATAAAATAACAAAACAATAAAACATCCTCTGCGAGCCACCCTATCCTCAGTTTACTTTGCCAAGTTATATCGCTTGTTGTGGTCGTGGATGCTGGCGAGCAGGTCATCTAGCAAGGTTTTGGGATTTTCTCCTTTCTCCTCCGTGTCCATGGTCGTTTCCTTCTCCTTGACCTTGGTTTCTTCTTGCTTTTTGCCCTCAGTCTCCTTGTCCATATCATCGTTATGGGGTCTGGGGGCGGGCATTGTTGCAAGGCGTGTTTGGCGGGCTACCTCATGCTCCTTCCTTAACATGGCAAGGTCAGTCATGTTCTTCGGCTTTCTTGTGGTCGATGTCAAGTCGGCCTTGAACATCTTGCAGCTAGCCCTTACGAGTGGGGTGTCTGATGGTCGCTTGGGCCTCTTGGTGCTATTCGTGTCAGTAGTTGCGGACGGTCTGTTGGCGGTTCCTGTCGTCTTGCCCGAGGCGCTGCTGCCATTGTCGTTCAATTCGTCACGGGGCCTCTTCACCTCCTTAGTCTCTGCTCCCATATCTGTTTGGACAATAGAACGTTTGCCAAGGCTGGCGGAAACGTTGGCCGAGGTCTCAACTGCGTGGGCAGGGCTCGACCAGCGCGACTGACTCTGGTTGTGATCTCGCCGGCACCTTTGGGCTTCTCGATCTTGCTTTGGTTTACCCGCACTCGATTCCAAAAATTCCTGGATGAGGAGATCGACCTCAATGCCGTTGCCGTCTTGGTGTTTGCCGTCTATCGCCGAGGCGAGGATGTTCATGATCAATGACTCCAGGTCATTGTTGTTGCCGCCGCCGCGGTCGTCGTTCTTGTCCGTTGCCACGATCTCCTGAATCAATTGCTTCATGTCATTGTCGACATCGCTGTCGTGGTGGTAGTTGACGGATTCAGGGTGCGATAGGCGTCGGCGGCGGTAGCGGTGGTTGTGGACGGGTGCGGGCAGCGAGAGGCGACAGCGGTGATCATCCTCCGAGGGAATACAGCTCGTCAATGCCTGGCTCTTGTCGAAGACGCAGAGGCAGGCCGAAGCATCTCCGCGTCCTTTTCATCCGTCCAGATGCGAGCGCGGCTAAAGCCTTCTCTGTGTCGTGATAGTTTTCTGCCCTGTCGAGCTGGTCTGTGGTGGCGATAGCAATACGGTTATTTGGGGTCCCTAAAGAACACTCAGTCTTCTTTTTCTTTATTCACGATGATGATGACCATTGCATTTACTCGATAGTCTCCTTCCGACCTGCTTCTAACTAAACAACCTTAACTCACCCTATCATTACTGCTCAATGACGCGGAAGACACCAAATCAAAACTCCAGCAAGATAAATCCTAATCGTATTCATGTGTTTACTACTCCTTCTTTCGAGGCGATGGTGCCAGCATAGGGATGTGCGTATTGCAAGTCAAACACATTATTGCGTAATGATAGAAAATTCGCACCTCCTTTTTCTGTCCAGCATCAGCTATTGTCGTACTGCCTCCTTTGCCTGCCTGTCTGCCACCCAAGGGTTCACATTCTTCAGATCCATCCAGTACGTTGTGCCTTTCTCCTTGTCTTTTGTTTTGTCCCTGTATCCTAGTCGCTGTTCGTTCCCGTCAGGCGCCCTGTCCTTTGTGTTTCTTGTCTGTCTCTCTTTTCTCCAACTTCGCTTATTATCGGACAAATCGTCGGGAGCAGATATACCGGCGCCCTACTTGTGGCGTCTGCCCAAAAAGAGCAGAAGAGTCATCGTGCAAACAAAAAATAAAACGCAGATGCATCAAGGCTTCCAGATTTGTACCTCCCTTATACCCATCAAAAAACAAATGTCCAGTCTAATTCAATTCACTCCGCATCCAGACTCAACTCAACCCTACAACCGCCTGTGTTTTTTCCCACCATCATGGGTCTTGCAAAGTAAAAGTACCCTCCAGGCCATTCACGTACGAAGTTTAGTATGTCAAAAAGAAGTTGAAAGAGCAGCTAGGGTCATTGGCTTTGAAGAAACACAACAACACCCAATCCAACCACCGCCAATCAAACACTCGCAAGTATTACCTTTTTTCTTTCCAACTCAATTTTTCTTCTTCGTTGCTGTATTTGGGTTAAACGGGCTTGCAATGGGCTGTTTGGAAGAACAACGATTGAATACAGCAATTCACACAGACAAATGACTGAAAGTAACCTTGTTTCCGTGTCTCCGTGTGTAACAAACATGATGGCGCCATATGAGGCCATCAGATAAAGGGAAGAAAAATGACAAAAAAAATAGCGTGAGGAGAGAAGGAAGGAGGGTGCAAGGGGATAACCATACCTTCCTTCATTGTTGTCGTGTCGAAAGTAATGAGATAGACTCAATCCTGAACATGCAGCTCGCCTATAAAATCCTCCCTTCCTGGTCAGCTGCTCCTTTTTGTTGTTTTTTGCCTTTTCTCTTCTTCACTGCAACCCCAACAACAACTCTTCAAATCAACCAAAACCAACCAACTCCCCACCTACCCTCACATAAAAACAACTTCCAACCACTCACTCACTCATCTACTCTTACTCTTCTCATCCTTTTTCTCCATTCTACCATGACCTCTGTTGAAACTTCCTGCTTGGCCTCTACCCACGCCCTCCTGTCGCCTCCCGTCACTCCTGTCATGTCCACGGTTGAGGAACAGATTGATCGTTCTCGTAGCAGCAGCAGTGATCACTCTCCTACTACTGAAGATCCTGTTCCTATTCCCAAAGACCTCGATGACCTTGTCCGTCTCCTGCACATTGAACTCGGTGTGAACGGCCTCGACAGCAAAGAGGTCGATGTCGCCCGTGTTCAAAAGCTGATGGCCAGCTACACCTCCAACCAGGCAGATTGGGAGAAATACGCCATGTTCGATAAGGGTCGCTACACCCGCAACCTGGTCGACGACGGCAACGGCAAGTTCAACCTAATGATTCTTGCTTGGCCAGAAACTATCGGAAGGTATGTAAAAACGTATCAACTTGCATACATATACACTCGCACCCAACCAGAATGCAAACACAAGGGACAAATATTGAGAAAAAAATAATCGCTGCGTGTTTGTTGCACCCATGATGTGTTTGACCTATCTAATCGCATCTCCTGCCTTGTCGCACTATGTGTGTCACTGCTGCTGCCATCCTGGGTTCTCCTATTGTTTCCTGCATAAACTGACTTTTTTCTCTTCTTTCTGTCGTTCTCTGTCACACCCATTTAACAGCGCCATCCATGACCATTCTGGTTCCCACTGCCTTATGAAAATCCTTGACGGCGAGTTGAAGGAAACCCTCTACCACTGGCCCGACCGTGTTGTCAACGACACCGACAACGCCGACTCTGGCATGGGCAGTGACAACAGCGATGACGACGAGAAGCCCATCTCCATGTCCGTCAAGAAGGAGACCTTCCTGAAGAAGGATTCCGTCGCCTACATGCACGACAACCTTGGCCTTCACGCCGTCTCGAACCCCCTCAAGATCCAGGGGTCCGTTTCCCTGCACCTCTACACTCCTCCCTACGAGGTCTGCAAAACCTTCAACGAGCGCTCCTCCAAAGCCCGCTCCTCTGGAAAGTGCGTCTTTTACTCTTCCAGAGGCGAGAAGGTCGAATCCTGTCCCTCCGCGGCTTATCTCAAGTGTTCCCTGACCAACAACTAAGGGCTTCTCCATTTTGCCCCTTTTGTACTCCTTTCTTCTCTTTTTCATATCCCGTCTTTTTGTTTGTTGACGTAAACGTGTGGGAATTTGTTGGGGGTGAGTGAATGACCTGGTGTTGATAGTACAAAGTCATATGAGGCGGTTTTCGTTTCTGTGCGCGAGAGGAGTGGATGGTGGTGATGCGAAAAATAACCGATAAATTGGGCGTAAGGGTGATGATTCATTCCAGACTCTTCTCTCAATTGCTCGCCTATCCATCATCCCTCCCATTATTTTCTCTCCTTCACTCCGCTCCTGCTGCCTTGCTTCGCTAGTGCCATTTATGGCGCCCATTCTTTTCTCCTCTTGCGTCTTGCCTCCTGTCCTGTCGGCTTCATATCCACTGTTCCCGCATAGTTCTCTTCCACCGTTTTTTTTATCAATCAGAATGTATATCCCGTCTGCCCTTCCATTTCCTCCCGCCCTTGTAGAATAGTATCCTTTATAATAAAACCGATCGCCTCGTATATACTGAAAAAAAATCCTGACTCTTGTCCAGAAACTCAAAACATGGGTTGGGCGCTGGTTTCTTTTTTTGAGTTGGGTGTACGTGAAAAAAGGAAGAAACCCCCGTGAAGGTGGTTGGCAGGCATTCGATCCACGTGATGTGTTGGAAATAATGGACTGAGCGTAGTTGGGATATAAAGCTGGAGAGATGACCATAGGCTGACAGGGGAGTGAATGACAGTGTTGTAGGACTGAAGCGTGTTGTGGAGGGTGAGTGGGTGAGTGAGAGAGGCCAGGCGGGCTGGCTATTTACCAAGTAGTAACAAAACATAACAGTGTCGGTTGGTGGCGAAGATAGTGTGGAGGCTGGAGTGAGGTGTAGCGAAGTGCAGTGAAGAGTCAGTGTGTCATGAATCGTCGCAGGTTGAATAAAGAAGAGTGTAAAAAGACAGCAGGGATGGGAGAATGGTGGAAGTGGAAGTGGAGGTGGAAAGAGTGAGAAAGAGAAAGAGAAAGAAGTGAACAGTTTGCTTTGACCAACACAGGCAGCAGCCTTCGTCAAACCTATCTTGTGAAAGGACATCGAAATCGCGAATAATGGCACCATATCCGTCCAATAAAATCACTCTATTTTCGCAGTCTCCCATCTACGATTTGAAATCATTTATTGATCATGTGATCATTTGATCCCATTGTTTGCGCTTTTTTGCCTTCAACCTAATGCCTGTAGCTGTCCAGCAGCGACATCATGTCATCGGGGATCTGTGGCACATATACCCTGTCGACTGTGCCCTCTCGCGCCGCCAGATTCGTCGGCAGTGTAAAATGAATCCACACCATGCTGTCCTTTGTCTGCGATGTCTGGTACTCCTCTTCCTCCTCCACCACCTTGCTACCTCCCTTTCTTCGCTGCTCCTCCGTTTGCACCGGCGTCCGCACCCGACGTGGCTTCTGTCGTTGCGTCCACGCCTGCTCAATTTCTGCCTCATTCATCACCAACCCCGTCCGCGACCCACTTGCCTCGCCAGCTCTAGCTCCAGCTTGAGATTGTACTTTGGTTCCGGTCAAGCTGGTCGAGTCGCCAAACCCATCCTCGTCCATGTTGGAGTCGGAACTGCCCCCAGAATCCATTCCAGCCTGGCTGCTGTTCCGTCTGGACAACTTTCCTGATCCAGACGCAGACGATGCCGTGATAGAGGGACCAGACAAGGTCTCATCCGATCGTTTCTTGCGAATCACTTTCTCGGTATCCACGACAACCTGTAAGACGTACTTTGTAACCTCTGTCGGTAACCTGCACTCATTCACCTCGTACCGGTACGAGCTGACGACGTGCTTGACCTGCGCCGGATTCAACAGCTCAAGCTTCTTGCGCGTCTCAATCCACATTGTCAAATCGCTCTGCAACGACAACACCTGGAGCAGCTGCAGCAACTGAATTAGAGGCATCAGGGGTTCAGCCAATCGCGACGGCAGTTGATTATTCCGGAGCCAGTCCTCGAGAATCGACAGGTTGAGACGCGTCTGCAGGGCTTTGCTGCGGGTGAGGAACGTCCTGTTGTCCATGATCCTATTAAAGACCTCGCATGCAATGTAGTACATAACCTGGATCAAAATGTAGTGCACAATGTCCGTGTGAACGTCGTACGTCTGCATCAGATACAGCAGAGAGGACAACATTGTTGTCACAGTCCTGGGCGAGATACTGCGCTGTCGGGGTGACGAGGGTCGGGCCAGCTGGAGCGACGCCCGCTTGAAGCAAGGTGGTGGGTACAATCCTGCAAGGGTCGACGGTGGGGCACTAACCCGTTTGCTGTTGCTGTAGTTGTTGTTGCTGCTTCTGGTCCCGATTCCTCTCCAGAAAGCCCAGTCGGACTGGAATTTGACCTCATCCAAACCAACAATCGTATCGTGATCTAGCATGGCTGGTCCGAGCACCTTTTCGATCCGTCGCTCGGCATCCAGAATCACCATCTGTGTCATATCGATGAGGAGAGCTTCGAATCGTGAGTGATAGTCGACCGATGCCGCGTCGATGCCAGGATCCTTGCGGAGAAAGTGCAGGAGGGCTGTGGTGTTGGAGATCCAGTATGCACCCAGCGCCATGTCGTCTGGCTTGCCCTTGAAGCGTGAAACAAAAGAAAGCAAACGGTAAGACAACAATTCCTCTATTGCTACACACCATAATAATGAGTCCATCCTTGCTCGCCCCAGCTTGGTTCACTCCTCCACAGTAACATGTCACAATCTTACCATTGCAGCGGTCTCAATAGCATGCAACGTCGCCTCTAGTAAATCGCCCAGCAATTCGGGCGAGCTGAAGTAATGCGCGAATCTCGCGGCAAGAAAGATCACATAGGCAGGGACGGGCTCGTGGGTCCCGGAGCGAGTTGGGTCCATGGTGGTGATTGTCGTGTCGATAATGTGGCCAATGTCGCTGCTTGAAAAGACAAACATCTGGTCAGCCAAGCAGCGTTCCCAGTCAAACTCGCTGTCATCATCATCTTGGTACTATAAATGAACATGCATGCACGCAAGAGAGTGGGGATGTTAGTAAGAATTGAGTAGCAATGTGGTTAGTGGTTTTCTTTCTGCGAGGGGAAATTAAACCGTGTTCTAGTCGAGTGACCCCTCTCTCCCTCTGTCTCTTGCTTCCCCATGATATTCCCAATTTCGCTCAACCCATCCTGCGCCCTCCCATCCCACACCACAACATCCCTCATAGATACACACGATCATCCACATTTTCTCTTCGTGCATACACACAGGGAGGCAATTACCCTCAACCTGCTAACAACTCAACAGGAAATAATTAAAGAACAGAGTCATACAAAAAAAACCGAGAATGAACAACACCACGCACCTGATCGGGTAAAGAGCAATTGCTTCCCATCGTATCGCCACTGCCCTCCGCGTCGGCTGTGTCTCTTTTCAGCCTGTACTGCCACTCGCTTTCGGACATACTCTCCTCGAAGCTCTCAATCCCCAGGGGGTCATAGCCGCCACCTGTCCGCCGACCCCCATCGCCGCTACCGTTGTTTCTGTCGACCGTCGTCGAGTTCCTGTTCGTGGCAGTGACGGTCGGCTCTTGAAAGATCTGTGCAATCTTGGCAGTGTCGTTGGGATCATGTCTCAAAAAATCTGCAATCGTTCGCCCCTTGGTGGTCGTGGCCTTGGTGGAGGCACCATGCTCCAGTAGCAAGCGGACCATGTGCTCGTGCTTGTTGTTGGTCGCCCAGACGAGTGCGGTCCAGCCAGATCGGTCGCATGCGTCGATTAAGGCGCCTGCATCGAGGAGCATGAATGTCACGGCGGTGTGTCCAAAGCACGCAGCGTAGATCAAGGGCGTCGTGCCGTCGTCTTCGTGGTACTCCAGATCGACCCAATCCCTAAAGTTGTCGAGCAGGTCCACAATCCTCTGCAAGTCTCCATTTGAAGCGGCCCTGGAGAAGAGTCTCGACATCTTAATCTTTTTGTCCTCGTCCGTGAACGGGCGACACATTATAGCCCGTGGGTCATCAAGATCTGCCTGACTGAATTCAAAGGTGCTGGGTGTTGTTGACTGACTTAGAGTGGATGAGGTTGGTGAAAATCGGTCGTCCTGTTGATGTTGATGTTGCTCTGTTGGTTCTGGTTCCAATATCGACTCACTTTCTGTTGTCATCTGCAAAGAATTCGATTCGGTGATGGTTGTGGTCATGGTTTTGTTGTTATTATTGTTGGTGTTGTCGCTATGCTCAAAGTCGGCGGTAGGGGGAGGAGAGGTGAGGGTATTGTTCAAGGGACTGGTATGCGTCAAATTCTCCAAACGAGGAGAACCGGGCCTTTGTGCTACACAGTCATCAGCAGAATCGGCCATGTCCTTGTATTGTTGCTCTTGTTGCTCCAGCTGTTGTTGTTTGAGTGAGGAATTGTATTGTGAGAGGGATTCAGTCGATTGGGGGCGAGAAAAGCGTCCCTTGAGAGGGAAAGGCTCGTACTCTGTGCTTTCAGAGTGTTCGGAGCAGAGGGTTTCGACCTCAGAATAGCTGCGACGGTGCATATCAGAGTAGGTGTCGTCGTCCATGGTGGAGCTTGATAGGAGGGATAGTTGGTGAGTAACGACGCCAACTATGTCATCCATTCAGCGAATTGTTTAGCTGCTGTTAAGAGAAAGACGTGTCTGCCCAATAAACACAAAGTTGCTGCAAGAAAAAGGGAGGGAAACGGGTGAAGTGTGAAAAAATGTGAGTGGAGAAAGAGTGAAGAGGGGTGTGTGTGTGAATGAGTGAATGAAGAGAGAAAGAAATGAGGCACACGCCTGGATGAATGGAGGATGAGTTGATGTGGAGTGTTGGGGGAGCAATGAGGAGTAGACGAGAGAAAGAGAGAGTGAGAGTGCGAGTGAGAGAGAGAGAGAGTGAGAGAACAAAGAAACAGACAAACGATAAGAAAAGGTATGAATAGTTTGGGCGTACCAATGTCAAGGCTGAGGCTCGTTCCCTGTTGAATGTACGAGTATGTGCGTTTGGTCACACACAGATGCACAGATGAGGACGGTGGAGGTGAAAAAAGGACAGAAGGAGGGGGGGAAGAAGAAGAAAAAGGCTATGGCTATCTAACCAGGAAGGAAAGAAAGGAGGGAGGGACTCTGGTCAAACGGGCAGGGACAACGGAGAGACAGGGGGAGATGTTGGAGACAAAGACGGAGTCTGGACGGGGGACGTGGACTGGGAGCGAAGAAAAAGGAAAAAGGAGACCAGTGGTAATGGTTTGGGGGGCGCACGGGCTGGATGGAGGACTGAGCAACGAAGTTCGGAGAGTGGAGTGGGAAGTGCAAATGAAAGAAGAGGATTGCGGGGCGAGGGGATAGGCGAAAGTGATGATGGTGGTAACGATGATGCGGGGTATCTTGGTGTGGTGTGGTGGTTGTTGTTGTTGGATGTGGTAGAGGTGAAGGACAGGAAGAGGAGGGCGTTGTTGCTGGTTGTTCGTCGTGGCTGTATTCTCTGAGAATTGTTGGTAGGCAGGTGCTCAACAGCTCAAGAAAGACAAGGTTGGCGTGAATGGGGATTATGATGTTGATCCAATGGGCACTATGTGGTCTGATTCACTGCGTGTTGCGTGTGAACAAAGAGACAGGTGAGAAAAGGGAAAGAAAGAGAGGGAAAATGCGCAAACCATATGCTGAGGTGGGATGCAGGCGATAGATGGCTGATGTGGCATTGGTGAATTAGCGCAACAAGCGACTGTACCCAAATAAAAAAAATGGTTCCTTGCGCCACATCGCAGGCACCATGCAGAGTAGGAGGGTTAGAGGAATAAGAGGGACAGAGGAGCGAGTCTGGCTATTATCGAGCCAAGTGGTGCCGGCTCAGGGACGACACCAAAAACCACGGAGTCAGCTTAGATACACCTTTTCTTCCATGGTCGGTAGTCAGACTCAGGACAGCATGGATGCTGAAGAAGGCTAGTATTGTGGATTCCTGTCTGAAGCCTAGCTTGATCCTATTCCTTTTAATCTTTCTCGGTTGACATTAAAACAGGAGAAGGAGAAGGAATGATAATGAACGACAAAGGAGATAGATAGAGAAAGGGGGAGAGCACAGTAGGACGATATTCGGTAGAAGGGGAATAGCGTGGCACCCATGTACGGTCACTGCTATCAACATCTATAACCGGCAGCTAGGCACACAGGCAGCCAGACAGCTATCTTGGATCAAAGATAAAAGTCATTAGCAAACGGAAGAAACGCGTCGCGTTCGCGTTTGGTCAATTCTGAACGCGACAACATTACCGAGCCAAGGAGTGGATGTGACTGCGACGACGACGACGGTTATATGAGTGAAGATCCGTTCGTGAATGGAGGCATCGCTTCTTTTCTGCATTCACTCACTCACACATCGAATTGCTCACGACCCACAACTCGCCGCTTTACGTCAGAAAACAACTAGAACACTCTCTTCACAAAGCTCTCATATACACACATACAGCCATACACAATGTCTGCCACACGATGGAACAGAGCACGCACATTGCTCGCACAGCCAGCTAGAACCCATGCCGTCTTCAGACCAGTCGCCATCCGCGCTCCCATTCAACACCACCTCGGACGCACCGCCGCCGTCGCCACTGTTGCTGCACGCACCCAGGTAAATGGAGGGCAACAGTATGTTTATCTGCTGATTCCGTGTTCCGTGACCAGTATGGCCAGACATGAGTGGGAATATAACGTTTTGTTCAGAAAGTGTTAACACGAACCATGTCTTATTGATGCGATAGGACCGATGGAGGCCATGGATGATGGCGTCAGTTGCAACGGCAGGAGTTCTTTCCTGGCAGCTCAGTCAGTCTCTCGTCAAGTCCGAGAGCCATGCTCAATCCGCCACTGTCATTGGTAGGCCATTCGCATCCATGAAAAATGATCCTCGGATTTCATCATACCCTTCTTAGCGTATCGCACTATTTTTTTTTCTCTTTCGCAATGCACATCATTATTAACCAAAAATGTGCGCACATCATTCTTGTTACTTTTCGGCGAAACAAAAACAGACGAGGACTCAAAGCTCGAGTTCCCAAGGACAATCCTCTCCGAGGACGGATCCCCCGCCCGTCTCTTGGGCTTGGGAGTCCGCAAGATCACCTTTCTCAAGGTCCAAGTCTACGTGGTCGGCCTCTACGCCAAAGCCTCGGATCTGGACGACCACAACTCGCGGTTCCGTGCGTTGCCCGAGGTCCAAAAGTTCCAACGCACCGATGCGATTAGCTCTGATGCTGCTTTTAGGGCCATTGTCCAGAACCCGATCGAGTTGGTCTTGAGGATTGCACCTGTGAGGAACACCAACGGTCCTCATCTTCGCGATGGGTTTACTCGCAACTTGACCCAGGCTCTCAAGCGCCAGAATCTCAATGATATCGAGAACGAGGTAATCATTACACCTCTTTTTGACCCCTCTTTTTTTTCGTCACTTCCTAGGTATCGGAGGAGCAATTGAAAAAAGTCTCTGTATTTGTTTCTCGTGCAATGACTGACACATATTATGCTATCGACCGTTTATGTCATAATAGGAGGCAATGAAGGGTATTATCGAGTTCAAGAACTTGTTCCCCAAGGGCAAGATCCTTGCAGGTCAAGCCCTGCTATTCAGAAAGTCGCCCGATGGCTCCATGTCCGTCGAATTGGATGTAAGCAACAATCCTTCTCTTGCTTTCTCTTCTTTATCATCCACTGTGTTTGCTGTCCCTCTGTTGTGCTCTCTGACACTGGGACACACGGCACTGTTGTCACGGAAACGATAAATTGAGCGACTTCCTCTGACGAACATCACTTCTCTCTTTTGGTCATTTTTGTTAATAGGGCGAAGTGCTGGGAGAAACCCGTAACACCTGGTTGATCGAGTCATTCTTCTTGGGATACCTTCATGGAGAGAACCCTATCAGTGGCAAGGCCCGCGACAGTATTGCCCAGGGTATCCAGGACCTCTTGCTTCAGTAAACAAACGACTACCACTTCCCTATCTTTCTCTTTCTTTTGTCCCCCTCTTCCGCCTCTACTCCCTCTTGTCAAGAATGCATCTCGGACAAATCGCGAAAAAATAAAAATGGGCGATATTACGATTATGTTTTATTACTTTTAGAGGATGTGGTTATTGTTTTTGTATGCTGCATGGTTGAAGAAAAAGAGAAATGGTAGAGAGAATGGTGTGTCTAAGAAGCCAAAGAGGAAAAGGCGTCGAGGTGTAACATGCTGATACTTTGACCCAGCACCGGCTTTGCAGCTGCCGCTGGGGATGATGGACCTGCTGCTGTTGCAGACACTGCTACGGTCCCCATCAGTTTCTGAAGAGACGACCAACTCGTCGTCTGGTGGACATCGCTAGCGTTCTTCCCGGTCTCCTTTTTGGGGCTCTTGGGTTCACGAGAACACAGCTGCGAGGTCAAACTAGATGCAGACGCGGATGTAGATGTCGACGTTGACGCTGCCGAGGACGACGACGAGGATGTTTTGACCGACGCCGAGGCATTTGTCGAGGTAGGGAGTATCGGTGAGGACAAGGGGGCCGACTTTTGGATCGAAAGCGTTCTCGAAGACACTGTCTGTGTCGATGTCGTCTTGAACTGGGCGATGACATCTGTGGTAGTAGGCTCGAAATGCTCCTTGCGCCCAGCCGCAGCCTTGTCGGAATCGCGCAAGACCACCTGCTCAGTCACAATCACAACATCCACAATCGGAATGTTGGCCTTCTTTCTGTCCCCGACGTTGTCCTCTGAAGCAGCAAGCTGGGGAATCGGTCGTGGTAGGGCTCGGATCTCCTCCTCCTCCGCGTCGTCGTTAGGAAACACAGCCGAATTTTTAACACTCTCACGCCTTGCCGACTTGTGGTTGTCTAGGGATGCTTTCGCCTGGACTGCTGCACGGAACCGACTCGACGTAAAGTTGAGCTGGAAGGGCGCATTCTTCTTGATTTCCATCCCCGCCTCTAATCTGGCTCCTGTTTCTGCTGGTGGTGTAGGAAATGCTGTTGGAGTCGGGAAGGCCTTGGAGATGGAACTGAGGTCCTCTCGGGTGTTGCCTTGTTGACCACCAGCGTCGGGCGATGACAATTCCAGAGAGTCCTCCTGATCTGATCGGTAGATCTTTGAGCTCTTGAAGACGGATTCTTGAGCAGAGGAAAACAATGACGAAGAAGGTGGTGGAGCCGCGACTGCTGCTGGCTGTGCTGGTGCTGATGTCCACCTATCCAAAGTCTGCTTCTTCTTTTCCTGCTGAGGATCTGCAGATGACGACTCCTTAGCGAATGCGAGTCGGGAGGCGATCGGACTGGATGACGAAGCGGTAGGAGAATGATTCGTCGAAGACGCAGGGGATGCCGGGTTCCAGCTCTTGATGCGAAAGGTGGGCGATTTGTAACTGGGGTCCAGGATCTCTTGAGGGATGGCAAACGTCGAATTGGCGGTTGATGCACGAACAGGCTTAGACCGGCAACTACCATTGCTGCTGTTGCTGGTGCTGTTGATAGAGTTGATGTGGCTGGTGCGCATGTTGTGGGACCGCATGACAGGCGGAGTAGAAGAGCGCAGCGGTGCAGAAGAACACGAAGGCGGTTTGCTACCAGAGGGAGGTGGCGCGTCAGAGCAGCTCATGGTCCTGACTCTTGCCTGGTATCCCTGCTGCTGCTGACTGTCGAAACCAAAGGACGAGAAACCGCGTGATTCGATTGGGGCTGGTTGTGGTACCCAGAAGAGTGGTCCTGTACGCTGAGACGGTGGGGTTGCCTGGATTGGCTTGGACGGCGACGAGAGAAAAACAGACGAGGTGTTGAAGTGCCATGATCCCGAACCGGAAGCGTACCCATATGCTGATCCCGACAGGTCCTGCTGTGGAGAGACTGACGAGTATGATGATGTCGAATACGAAGGAGATGCTGAAGTTGTTGTAGAGTAGGAGTAGGTCGAGGAGGAGGACGAGGAGGAGGACGAGGACACGAACGACAGCGAATTGGTTGAAGAGGCAGAGTTATTTCTGCTGCGACTCTTGGCACGGGCCTCGATCTCGATATCATGCACACTCCACGGTCGACCTGGCTCCATACGCACCTGTTGCTGCTGCTGCCTCTGCTGGTTTTGATGTTGGTGCTGGGGATGGTCAAAGCACTGTCGAAGATCCTCCTGACTCCGGAGTCCAAATTGCCTGACATTCTCCTGCTCAGGTGTAGTAGCCGGCGCCAATGGAGGCTTCCAGACAGAGTCGAGCCACTTCTTGACCTTGGCCTCTGCAACATGATGGCGAAGCGATCCTTGCTCATGCCATGCCTTTCCCTGCCGCTGTGCGCTTCCACCTCCACCTCCTCCTCCTCTCGCACCATCCACACCACACTCATACCCTCCCCCACCTTCTCCTTCACTATGAGACGACTCCCGCCGATCAAGGTACCACTCGCCACAGACATAACAGGGCGACTTGCCCTCATGATCCTCAATCCCGTCCTGACCACAGTAGCAACCCTTGACAAGATCACATCCACAAGGCTCCTTCTGAAGCGACTGTAGAATCTCAATCAGGTATGCCATAGCTCTGGCGCGTGTAGAGAATTGGAGTGGGTAGTATGGACTTGGTCCGGTTTTGTTGAGTTGATCCTGGTATTGTTGAGGTTGTTGTTGTTGCTGAGATGGTTGTATTGAGCCGCTGACACGTCGAGATGGGGTGTTGGTTGTGTTAAAGGAAGAAGTGGTTGTAGATGGCGAAGGGGATTGGGAGAGGGTTCGATGGCACTCCTTTGCAAGATCAAGCACGATGCGTTCCTTGAAGGCCGACAGCTTTGATTTGGTGGGTGATAGTGGTCCTGTTGACGCGAATGATGTTGTAGAGGAAGATGATGTTGATGAAGGTGGAGAGGAATAAGAAGATGCCGAGGAAGAACAAGAGGATGCCGATGTTGTGGTCGCAGATGACGAAGAGTAAGGCGAGCAAGGCGAAGATAGTGAGGAACGAGAAGAAGAAGAGGAGGACGAGGATGTGGAGGGGTAGGAGTAAGTGGCCAGAAGAGGCGAGGAAGCGGTGAGGTTCTCGAGGATGGTCGGAAGACTGTCGATCGCATAGGCTAGATCCTGACGGTTGCGCCACGTTGGCAGGTGGGCGAAGTAAGGGTTCTTTGACATGGTCCGTGTCACTCCTTGAGTCTGTTTGATTGACTGGGGGAGGAAGAGGGGGAGGGGGGAAGAGGTGATATAAAGGACGTACAGGAGGGAAAACGATAGGAAGGGAGGAGAAGAATGAGGAAAGACGAAATGAAAGAGGAGTGGTGTGTGATATGAGTAGAATAAAAGAATCAGAGATCGAGCGACAATGAGGTAACGCTTAAATGCTAGTCAACAGGTCAAGTGGATGATGTCGTGGTGTATGTTATCGAGGAAAAACAACGAGAAACGAAAGGACTAGTGGATGGGTCGCAGATAAAGGAAGAGAGAACAGTGGAAAGAGAGAAGTGGTTGGGGTAGGTAGAATGTGTGTAAAGTAGTAAGCGTCCAACGTCAGATCGCAAGGGAAAAGGGAATATGTGATCAGAACAGGACGAGACAGGGGGATGGAAAGAAGGGAGCGCGAGAGGAGGGAGGGTTTGCGATAACAGCAAAGGATGGGGCAGACAGGGCAGGTGGATTAATGCGAAGGAGAGGAAGAAAGGAAAGGGGAAGAAGAAAGAAAAAGAAGAGGAGAAAGACGGATGTTAGTACTGGGTGTATTTGACAATGGACAATGGTGCAATAGGAGCAGGCACAGAGGTAGATAAAATAAAGGGTTTGACAATACACAATGCAGCACCCCTTTTGCTCATTTTTTTTCTGCTTTGCTGTTTACACAGAGACACAAACGAAAAGAAACCATGGGAAGGATTGGAGGTGGTGGAGGGATGGGGTGGAAAGGGGAAAAGGGTCAAGGGTAAAGACAGGAGGAGGGGAGGGTTCTGTTCCTCACTGTTTACAAGGAGAAACGTATACACACACGCACTCTCCCTCTCTTTATTTCGCAACGTACATCCAAGCAAGCAAATACTACGGTGTACACCCCACTACAAGATCCAACCTAACATCATCCTTACACAGATAACAAAGAACTGGTTTGTATACCTTGTCGCCAGGATGATTGTACAGAGCCGAAACGAGTACAGATTGGAATAACACCCCCACGCAACGAAAGGGGACAGAGAGGGAATGAAAGCGAGTAGGTCCAAAGGCCCAGACACTGAGAAACAATGACAAATACAACAATGCGACCGAAACAGAAATAGGGTAGAAGAGTCGTGGAGAACGAGAAAGAGAAAGAGAGAGTGCGTGCAAGGTAAGGTTGTCGTATGTCCTTGCAATCCAAGGGGTAAAAAAAACGAGAAGAGACATACAGAGATCATCCACCTCGTGAAAGAAAGGAAACGGGTATGAAGATGAGAAACAAGAACACGGCTGCATGAAAACTTTTTGCGTTGGTGCAAGTCCATCACGGGCAAACCTGCTACAACTCTGGTGAAGAAAACAAAAACCACGAAAGACAAGGAAAAAAAGGAGACGGGAAACAACCAACAAATGCTCAAGCATAGTTGTGTTCGCATTAACGCAAAAAAAAATGGTGGGAAAAGGAAAAGGAAAAGGAAAGGAGAGGGAATGGAGAAGGGCAAGGCGGGGTAGGAGGTAAGGGCAGATCAATATGTTGTAGTAGTGGTAGGTAGGAAAACACAAATGAGAAAGAAAAAGAGGGATGGAGGTGCTTGAAGCAAGTAACATGAAACCTATTAGGTGTTAAGACAAGGTCAAGCTATGGTTGCAAACGGTATCTGAAGAGGAGAGAACCCCCTTGAATATCGACATGACCACAATGATGAACACGTCTGTACGCGTCTCTGATGGCCAAGAAAAAGAAAAAAGATATGTGGTGTGGTCTGACCCACTAGGGTTGAGGGAAGGGATGTGGCGAATGCTGTCATTCATGCTTTGCAACCTGCATGTACGCATGCATACATACACACTTGACGATAATTCACTTCACTCATGGGGATGGGGGGGCGAATGACATGCCTAAGGTATTACAAAGAAAGAGAAAACAGAACGGGAAGGGAATGAAAGGAAAGGTTTGGAACCACCATGATCAAAAGACCCGGGTAATCCAACTTAGTTCCTGGACCCTCTTTACTACTCAAGCATTTACAACACGCTTGCCCTACCTTGTGGTTTGCCTATGAAGGATGAATTATAGACACAAGGGTAAGAAAAGAAGAGAGTGAAGCTGCATCCAAGGGTAAAAAAGAAGGGATAAGAAGAAAGAAAGGGGTGATGGGGAGAAAGGGGGAGAAGACCTTAGGTAGCCATTACCCAGACCCGGGCTATTAAAAAACAAACACAGCCCCGAACCTGATAATTCTTGTCCTTCTCTCTCGCTCCTTTTTCGTGCTGGCATGAATACAGATTTCAATGTCTCTTGTAATCTCGCCCAACTGAAAATAACACTATTACCCGAGAGTGAATTCATAAAATGACAGCTACTTTTTAGCTGTGGTTGGCATGAACTCGAATGGGCCGTATTCGAACAGACAGAGAAAAGGACTCGGTGACATGGCGAAGGCGAAGGCACGATGGTTGCAAATCCCTCTCGGCCGACCTCTCTTGAACGAGAGCAGGAGCAAGACGAGAACGATGACAAGGCATGGTGTGAATCAATGGTCAACAGACAACAAAAGATAACGAGCAAGGAGTTTTTTTTTGTTTTGTATTTCAGTGTTCACAAAATTGCAAAACTACACAACCGGGGAAGAGAGAATTGCATTTAGTTCATCTGGCGGATCAAGTTGTTGATCTTGAGCTCACGGTCACCAGAGTCACCACCCTGGATGAAGTGCAAGGCCTTCTTGGCAGAGTAACCACCGGTGGCGTTGGACAACTTGAAGGGCCACAAGAAGTTGGAGGCCTGCTTGAAGTTGGGGCCGACGGTGTAGATCTCGTGGATAAGATCCTCCATGCAGACAATGCCGAACTTTCCGAGGGACTTCTCGATGATCGAGTTGTCGGTCAAGGGGATGCGCTGCTTGTTGACCTTACCGTATCCGCGCTTGTAGATAAGCTCGCGAACCGACTTGAGGTTGGGCTCACCGTAGGCGACGTAGGGGTTGATGAGCTGGAGCATCTGGGTGGTGGCCTTGGTCAAGCGGACGAAGACACCGTTGTTGATCTGGAGAAGACGCAACAACTGGAGGACCTTGCGGGGCTTGGGGGCAATGTGGTTGATACCCTTGATGCGGATGACGAAGGCGAGCTTGGGCTGGGCGGGAACGTAGAACGAACCAGCGGCCTTGGCCTGGCGACGGAGACGGATCTCGTCACGCTCCTTGGCGCGGTACTCACGGACGTACTGGTCGGCGCGCTTGAAGATGACCTTGCGCTGGGCCTTGCGGGCCTGTTTTCGAGTGAAAGTGTAGACAAAGTGGAAAAGCGATTAGTTTTCCATGCTTATAAACAACTTTGAACAAATGTCAATGAAGGTTGACCAGAACACAGCAAAAGTGGTGGCATCAAAAAGACATTGTATCAGTCCCGAAAGATGGTTAACGTTAGCAACATCGCCCTTGGCTAGCCACGAAATGCGGTATAGCTTTTCATCACTAATGTCTTTGAGTAAAAGATGCCACCACCAAATGATGTGTTTTTTGGTTCCTTGAGGAGTGAGGAGAGGAAGAGATGATTACCTTGCGGGCAGCGGCATCAGCGACACGCTTCTCAGCGGTGGCCTTGTCCTGGGTCTTTCTCTTCTTCAAGAGGGTCTCGGGAACGAGAACGTGCTCAAGGGTGGGGGTGGTGCTGTTGACAAGTCAAAAATAAAAATAAAACAGTCGATATTAGGATCAAGGTTTGTTTTCGTCGGACTGTCGTGATAGCTTCTGCATCTCCATGAAGAGTTGATAAAACCACACCCAAACACAATCTCGAACAACAAAAGAGGACGACAGAAACAACAAAAAGAGAAAAAGAAAAAAGACTGAGCGTGTTGAAATGAACGCAATGAAATGAATAAAAAAAGAGTAGACACCAGTCCACCCTCAATTTTCTCAAAACAAGGCATCATCACGACCCGACCAAGATCCCTTTTGTTTCTCTCTCTCACTGTTCCAGTCATAGTGTCCTCTAGAGCGATGAGCGAAATGCGCCGGAGTAGAGTGTGGAGATACCCTCAACAATGAAAATTGTCAGAGGATTGACAAGCGAGAGGTGGAGGATTGACATCCGACGAATTGTTTTAATTGGAGTTAGGCGCATCCCTTGCTACTCATATTCAGCAGGCCAACCGAAAAGGCTGTCCACGAACAAAAGGGATCAACAAAGGGACTCTTCTTACTCCAACGCCCTTCAAGAAAGGATAAGAGAAAGAGGGTGTATGAAGACCAGTAGCAAGGGAGATCGAGTGCTTCTCTGAGATCGAGATCTCCGAGATCGACTTTGCCCAACACACAACAACGAACCCATACACGTTTATTTCCCTGAGAGAAAAAACGGTCTGGAATACGACAGCATCTATCAGAACACGACGGTGAGCAGACATGCGATGAGAAGGGGCATAGGAAGGGAGTTGCAACTTGAATGAACACGATGTGACATTCAGGTGCGAATCCCTCCCCGGTTGCAGTGCTCTTCTCAACCGAATGTCCTGATGTCGGTTGACGATGTGTCACAGAATGGATTTAAAGCAGAAGGAATGCATTAAAGCAAGTCCTTGAGCTCAATACCTCAAGTAGAAGGGAGGCCACAAACACCGTCGTCCAACTCTGAGCAAGAGAGAAAAGAAAAAAAAAGACTGAATCGACATGGGAGAATACGTTAATCTGAGGGGTGGCCACCCCGATTCAGAAGAACGATGCCACGAACGATATGGAAGAAGTCTTTTTTTTTCCTTTCCCCCCTTACATGAGTTGTCGGGTGTAGTTGCGTTCTTCGTCATAACCTTGAGAACAAGTAGTAAACAAAGGCATTGAGTGCCAATGCTTGTCCTGTATCGAGTCCACGTCTGAAGGCGTTTCCTGTAAGTCGGTCTCCTTACGTAGTCATCTTGAGATTTGTGTGAAAAGGAAGGAGAAAATTCTTTTCGCCCGTTTGTTTCTCGCTTTTGAGGGTCCATCAAGTGGCTTGGATTCAATGGATGGATGGATGACCGATTTGTTTCAGCTCCGCTTTGCTAAAAAAATATGTCATGTGATGCATCGGGATCTCAATTTCTGCCACGCCTGATCTGGGAGACTCATGAAAAAGTGTTCTTTCAGAAAAGCTCATTGGAAGCAATCACACACGCATATATGGGCGTGTATCGGTGCACGGGCGCCAGAGGACGATCAATCGCATAATAAAGAAGTGCCAAATGGGGTACTTTGCACAACCAAGTCTTCCTTGGCTCGCTTTTATTACTTTTTTTTGTATCTTTGTTATGTTTCCTTAATGATATGAATGACTTGGCGGACAAACTCGAGACAGGACCGATATTTAAGCCTTGCGCTTCAAGTTGTTGGACAACCACTCCAAACCCTCATAGAGACCATCTCCAGAGGTGGCGCAGGTAGCCTGGATGTACCACTGGCGTTGGCGGAGAGAATGGAGTCCGAGCTTGTCAGTAATCTCAGCAGCGTTCATGGCGTTGGGAAGATCCTGCTTGTTAGCGAAAACGAGGAGGAGTGCATCACGGAGCTCGTCCTCACCCAACATACGCAAAAGTTCATCGCGGGCCTCGTTAATACGGTCGCGATCGTTCGAGTCAACAACGAAAATGATGCCCTGAGTGTTTTGGAAGTCTATGGTTCAGCGGAGAAACAAGCAAAGAAATTGTTAGAGATCAATTTTTCCTGGTGAACCATCTCAACTCGATAGCCACTCGACAATCCAACTCCATGCCATGATATCGCTGCATGCTGCTGTTGATTTTGTCCTTGACTGACAAGAGAGTCAGGTTGATTCTCTGAAATAGGTTCACGTACAATGGCGCCACAAGGGACGAATCTTGTCCTGTCCGCCGACATCCCAGACGGTGAAGGAAATGTTCTTGTACTCGACCGTTTCGACGTTGAAGCCTATGGGGCGGCAAAAAGGTACACAACGTTCATGGTATTAGTCAATGTGTCATCATACGCCTTAGTTCGCTGCAATTAGGTATTGGACAAAAGGGCTCTGGTGGCGCACAATAATGGAGAAAAAAGAAAAAATAAGAGCCGCCACAATGAAAGTTTTCTCTGTCTGCGGGTTGCATAAAAAGAGAGGCGCAAAGAAAGGGAGACAGGCATATGACAAATAGAACATGGCCCAGTTACAATGTCTCAAAAAGCAAACACGAATTGTAACAAGGAACACCTCCTTTTAACCCAGAAGAAGAACTCCCGAAAACTGTATATAAAGAGCCAGCATGAACAGTGAGCGTTTGTAGATACAAGAAAATGTTCGGATCTACTCCAGCAAATATCCTATGCTCCCTGCAGTCGACTTTTGGGCTGTGAGGCCGTTCCCCTGTCCCGATGGCGCGTTTCCAACGCAGACGAGAATCGTCGTTGTCCTTCCTGGTGGTGTCTGAACATAGGCGCCTTTGTGTCCTGAAGTGCGAACCTTCGTTTTGTCATCTTGTCATTGTCTTTCCATTGGTTGTCCTTTCATTCACCAACGTGAAGAGAAAAATAAAAAAGATAAACTCGCAAGAGTGGAGGGCAGCAACAAAGGATGAACCAAGGGCGAAGTGCGACAACCGTAGACAGTAGTGTGTACAGGATTAGCCACACCAAGAAAAAAAAAAAAGAAAAGGACATGAAAAAAGGCGGTGGCGTGGAGTGGTTTGCTTCTTTTGAGAGCACAAGATGATGATGAACAAGATGATGAAGAAAGGCGGTTCCTTACCGATGGTGGGGATGGTGGTAACGATCTCTCCGAGCTTGAGCTTGTAGAGGATGGTGGTTTTACCGGCGGCGTCCAAGCCAACCATGAGGATGCGCATCTCCTTCTTGCCGAAAAGGTCCGAGAGCAGCTTTGAGATTGACAGACCCATGGTTATTGGTTGTTGGTTGTGTGGTGGAGGGGTGTGAAAGGGGTGGAGAGTGAAGAAAGAGAAGAGATGGGAAGGAATGAATTTAATTATTGAGTGGGTTGGCTGACCTCTCTGTGCCTTTTTATGCCCTCCTGTACGTGCAAGCTACACGTACGTGCAACGTGTCAAATTCAATAATGGAACTGATGTTCACTCCAATCCTACGTGGCACAGGCCAGATCTACAATTTGCCACGTTGAAGCTAAAAGGACATCCTTTTTTTTTTCTTTCTTGCTTCACACCCCACGGACGACATAACTTACTCGGTTTCGCACAGCCTCATTCTTTTTTGGGGTAAAGGAAATTGGAGTAAAGCAACGTGGAACGATGGGATCAAGAACCCTTCGTTGCCACTACCGGTGGCGTCTCATCCCGCGCCGCAGCTCATAGATATCTTTAAACGCCACCACTGTAACACTTCTTAGTCAATTGCTTTAATATCGTATCCGCAGTAGATGGCTTCCACTTTTTTTGCTACTTTTGGCGCGGTTCTGCATGTGAGCAGTTCAAAGTGTCCCTTGTAACATTCGCCTGATAGTTTGTTATCAGATGCAACGCGAAGGCAATGAATGATATGCTATACTTGTTCGTGAACTTTTGAAGGTATGAGCCGATACTACTCATTCATCCATTTACCATCATTGAGGCTTCTACTTCATTTGCATGTTGATAGTGAGTGCGTCTGTGTTTTGCAGGCCATTCACCTTGGGTTCTCGACCAAGTCCAAACTATGCAGCAGTATTCGAGTATGTCTTTTAGGGTCAGTTTTCCACCAAAGATAAGGTGCATATTGGACGAATAAAGTACTTAAAACGTCCCTTTCTTTCTTTCGCTCACATTCACTCCCTATCCCCATTGTCTTTCTATCCACAGCTTGATCGCAGTTGCAGCAAACAGTATCTGCCCTTCCAACCCCCCCTCATTGTCTTTTCCCCTGCCTTGGCGCGACCACACCCCCTTTTTTTTTCCGTCAGTTGTTGCTATCATGGGTATGTCTATCCTATTTACACCTTCTCGCTCAACACCTTCAGATCTTTCACAATTCATCCCCAACTAACATTAGATAACTAGTTCATACTGGGGATGGAGTTAGCTCTGTGATCAAGTACTTTCTACTCGGAGCCATTCTAGGCGCGCTCGGCTCTCCTTTCCTTGGCACGATGAACACTTATCGCGGATGGGATACCACATGGGCGATCATCTGTAGTATCATGGAAGTGAGGTTTTTTGGATACGCAGCCATCTGTGCCGACGTGGTCTGTGATGCGCTCAACTAGTGAACACATACCCCTCTCCTTCTGGCGACCTCTCTGGCCATTCTCCCATGTACCTCTTCCTGCTCTGGTTAATATCCTTGTACAAATAAACCTTGGACGAAAAGCGTGGTTGAAGAAGCAATTGAATCTGCGTGCGAAGTTGTGAGTAGCGAAAGTAAGAGACCAAGCGTCTACAACCTATGACTGAAACGAAAGAGAAGCAATGAAGCATTAAAAAAAAAAGTGGGCGAAAAAAAGAAAAAAAGCATAATGGGGTATGCACAGCTGATGTCACAAGAAAATGAAAGCAAACAGCGCATGAAAATGGCAGGGGTATGGAGACATGCGAAGGTGCAAAACGATGAGAGAAATAAGGTATGGCGAAGTTCAAAAAGCTGAACAGGGGCAAGCCAACTAGTCGGAAATTTTGCTCAGTCGGGAAACACCCTCGCCCATTCAATTGGTCCCAATGGCGGGTTTAGTTTCAAAGGCACCAGCGGGGACTGAGGTGGCTAGTGCCATCTGGAAGAAAGTGGCTTTGTATGCCATCAGCGTAAAAAAAAAGCATGCTCATTCACTTCTCATACTCTTTCTCCCAACTCATCTCCATTCTTCATCTTCATTGACTCCAAGTCCATCACCTGACTTCAGTCGCGACAAATACATCCCCGCCCTTTTTGACCTTGGCGTGACAACACTACAGGTTTTTTCTTAGGCCAACCATTGCTACCATGGGTATGTCTATTCAAACAACGCCTCCCACACCCAACAAAATCTTGTTTTCCTCTTTCACCCAAGAATGGATGCTAGCCTATCCCACGACCGAACTTGACAATCATAAAAAAAATGCAGACGTTATTTCGGACATACTAGGAGTCATTGGCGACATCCTCGGTGCCATCTGGTCTTTCCTCGTCGGCATTTGGGACCTAATCGTCAACGTTTGGAACCTACCGGGCGTCGTCTGGGACCAGCTGTGTATTTTCTGGGCGAACGCGGTCGTCTTCTGGGATCAAATGCCGTGGGATCAAATCGACTGCGTGTCCAAGTACAGTCTTATTGGTGCCTGTTTTGGGGCAATCGGTATTCCTCTCGCTACTGGCGCCATCCTGCTTGTCCTTGGATTCAGCGTGGTGGGTATTAGGGCTCTATCGCTTGGAGCGACGATGATGTCGCGTCACGGCGGATACACGCCTGTTGGTGGGACTGTGGCGACAATGCAGTCGATGGGCACAAAGGGGTTTTCTGTTGGCTTCCGACCCAATGTCATGATCGCTGGTAGTATCTTGGGGCTGGTTGGGGGTGGATATGTAGCACATTTTTATGAGGGATACTGCGATGTGCCGCTTTACTGAATAACATACCCTGCACTGCTTTCTTTTGACTTGCAGCTCAATGTGCATTCTTTTTTCTTTTGTCGTTTTTACCCTTGTCCCAGTCTACGTACGATATGTATTGAACCTGTTGACTAATATACTCCTCGTACCATCACACATCAAGAGCAAGCACAATGGTGTGAGAAAAGGCGAGTGAGTACACAGCGCCTGTTGCACAAAAAGGCAAACTAACACTGCATAGAAAATGGAGCATGCGATGACGCGGAGGGTGAGAAGGTACAACACATGAAGCGACGGGAGAAGATAAGGTTTGCAAGACCCATAATGCGGAAAAAAATGGTATGCCAATCTGCCAAAGCAATTTTTGAGCGCTGTCGCTTTCTCGCCTTTGATTTCCTTCACAGCGTATCTCAATCAGTCACGGTGTCGCCTTCGCCATTTGAATTGGCCTCAGGTAGCGGGTCTGATTTTAATGGTCTTGGAAAAACATAGGGTTGGGCTTGAAGAAGTGGCTTTGCATGCTGCTTAAAACAAAGGCGCGCTCATTCCTTTGCTCATTCCTTTGCTCATTCTCTGGTTGCCAACTCCATTCCACATCCTCATTGTCCGTCAAGTCCATCACTCGACTTCAGTCGTGAGAAGCACACCTCCATACCTTTTATTTCTTCTCTGTCACCTTTCCGACCTTGGGGTGACCACACTACAGTTTATTTCTTTTACACCGACCGACCACTGCTGCTATGGGTATGTCTATCCAATTGACTCCTTTACCGCCCAATAACATTTTGTTTCCACACAAGAATACATGCTAGAATGTCAGCTCATTCCACAACCCAACTTGACTAACATAAAGAGAATTTATTTGCGACCTCGGACGTACTACGCGCCATTGGCGACCTCCTCGGTACCACCTGGACCTTCATCGGCATCATTTGGACTTTTCTCATCGGCATTTGGGACTTATTCGTTAATGATTGGAACCTACCAGCTGATATCGAGGACCAACTACGTGATGTGTGGGCCAAAGTGGCCGTCTTTCCGAACCTAATCAGTAACGGCTGGAACCTACCAGCTGTCGTCGAGGACCAACTACGTGCTGTGTCGGCCAAAATGGTCGACTTTCCGAACCTACCAGCTGTCGTCGAGGACCAACTACGTGCTGTGTCGGCCAAAATGGTCGACTTTCCGAACCTACCAGCTGTTGTCGAGGACCAACTACGTGCCGTGTCGGCCAAAATGGTCGCCTTTCCGAACCTAATCGGTAACGACTGGAAAATACCGGGGGTCATCGAGGACCAACTACCTTTTGTGTGGGCCAAAGTGGACTTCTTCTGGGGCCAAATACCGTGGGATCGAATCGACTGCGTATCCAAGTACAGTCTTATTGGTGCCTGTTTTGGGGCAATCGGTATTCCTCTCGCTACTGGCGCCATCCTGCTTGTCCTTGGATTCAGCGTGGTGGGTATTAGGGCTCTATCGCTTGGAACGATGTTGATGTCGCGTCACGGCGGATACACGCCTGCTGGTGGGCTTGTGGCGACAATGCAGTCGTTGGGCACAAAGGGGTTTTCTGTTGGCTTCCGACCCAATGTCATGATCGCTGGTAGTGTCTTGGGGCTGTTTGGGGGTGGATATGTAGCACTTTATTATTAAAATGATTTTGCGCTGTTTTCTTTTGACTCGCAGCTCAATGTGCGCTCTTTTTTCTTTCCTCCTTCTTTATTTTGGACACAGTACCCTTGCCCCAGTCTATGTACGATATGTATTGAACCTGTTGACTAATATACTCCTCGTACCATCACACATCAAGAGCAAGCACAATGGTGTGAGAAAAGGCGAGTGAGTACACAGCGCCTGTTGCACAAAAAGGCAAACTAACACTGCATGAGAAAATGGAGCATGCGATGACGCGGATGGCAAAGCCAGGGTGAGAAGGCATAACGCATGAAGCGAGAACTGGTAGTGGGTCTGATTTTAGGACAGGGCTTGAAGAGAATGAAGTGGCTTTGCATGCCGCTTAAAACAAAGGCGCGCTCATTCCTTTGCTCATTCTCTGGTTGCCAACTCCATTCCACATCCTCATTGTCCCTCAAGTCCATCACTCGACTTCAGTCGTGAGAAGCACACCTCCATACCTTTTATTTCTTCTCTGTCACCTTTCCGACCTTGGGGTGACCACACTACAGTTTATTTCTTTTACACCGACCGACCACTGCTGCTATGGGTATGTCTGTCCAATTGACTCCTTTACCGCTCAATAACATTTTGTTTTCACACAAGAATACATGCTAGAATGTCAGCTCATTCCACAACCCAACTTGACTAACATAAAGAGAATTTATTTGCGACCTCGGACGTACTACGCGCCATTGGCGACCTCCTCGGCACCACCTGGACCTTCCTCGGCACCATTTGGACTTTTCTCGCTGGCACTTGGGACTTATTCGTTAATGAACGGAACCTACCAGCTGATATCGAGGACCAACTACGTGTCTTGTGGGCCAACGTGGTCGTCTTTTGGGACTTAATCGTCAACGATTGGAACCAACCAGGCGTCATCAAGGACCAACTACGTATTGTGTGGGCTAAAGTGGTCGTCTTTTGGGACTTAGTCGTCAACGATTGGAACCTACCGGGGGTCATCAAGGACCATCTACGTGTTGTGTGGGCTAAAGTGGTCGTCTTTCCGTACCTGATTGGTAACGGCTGGAACCAACTAGGCGACGTCAAGGTCCAGCTACACGTTTTCTGGGCCGAAGTGGTCGTCTTTTGGGACTTACTCGTCAACGATTGGAACCAACCAGGTGACATCAAGGACCAACTACATGTTGTGTGGGCTGAAGTGGTCGCCTTTTGTGACTTACTCGTTAACGATTGGAACCTACCGGGCGTCATCAAGGACCGACTACCTTTTGTGTGGGCCAACTTGGTCGTCTTTTGGGACTTACTCGTGAACGTCTGGAACCTACTGGGCGTCATCTGGGGCCAGCTGTGTATTTTCTGGGCGAACGTGGTCGTCTTCTGGGACCAAATGCCGCGGGATCAAATCGGCTGCGTGTCCAAGTACGGTCTCATTGGTGCCTGTTTTGGGGCAGTCGGTATTCCTCTCGCTATTGGCATCATCCTGCTTGTCCTTGGATTCGGCGAGGTGGGTATTGGGGCTCTATCGCTTGGAGCGACGATGATGTCGCGTCACGGCGGATACACGCCTGTTGGTGGGACTGTGGCGACAATGCAGTCGATGGGCACAAAGGGGTTTTCTGTTGGCTTCCGACCCAATGTCATGATCGCTGGTAGTGTCTTGGGGCTGGTTGGGGGTGGATATGTAGCACTTTTTTATGAAGGATTCTGCGATGTGCCGCTTTATTGAGTAATATACCCTGCCTTCTTTTTCGGCTTGTTCCCTTTGAGCATTATTTTATTTCTTATTCGTTTTTTTTTCCCCACACATCACCTCGTCTGCTTGACTTGGTCACCAAGCCCTTGTTCCTGTCTAGATACTAAATAGCTGCATTAAGCTAGTCGACAAATACTCTTGTACTAACACCATTCAAAACACAAAGCATGGATGATTGAAAGAGGAAGAAATAACAATTGCAATGGTGTGAGCGCAAGCGAGGCCAAAAAAAAAAAAAAAAAAAAAAGATAATGATGGACGAGGGAGCAATAACACAGGTTGTACAAAAAGGCAAACTCACACACAGGGGTATAGGAATATGCACGAGAGAACAGAGATGTACGGGAAGATGCCATCTCGTGGACAAAGGAAAAAAAACGAGGAAGCGAACTTGTGAGAGCTAATTACACAGACGTTGATGTCTCTGTTTCCTTGCCTTCCTCCAAAAAGTGTTTTGGTCAGACGGAAGGAGCCGCCCTCACCCTTTGAATTGTGGGTTTGATTTTCATTTACAGGAAGCGCAAACGACAGAGACACTGCCTCAACAAGCCACGCGAAGAATGGCGAGGGCTGTCAAATAAGTGAGACTCCTTGCACGCTACATGCCAACGCGAAGGGTATAAAAAGGACAAGCTTCTCATTCTTTTCTCCTTACTCACACCCACTCCCCCATCTTCACTATCTTCCTTTCCATCACCCACCTTCAGCCTCGACATATCAGCCCCCGTACTTATTCCTCCTCTCCATATCCTATTCTGCCTCGGCTTCATCCTTCTTTCTATACCAGCCCACAATTGCTACCATGGGTATGTCTACCCTATTAACATTTCTGCACCCGACAGACGTCAGTTTTTCATACTTCGTCATCGCATGAAAGCATACATAACCTCTCACAACCCAACTCAACTAACACTAAATGTTCTCAATATTATTTGGGACGAACTAGGTGACACTTGGGAATTCCTCCTAGACGTTTGGGACATTCTCGTTTTCCCAGGCTACAGCTGGAACCTACTACGCATCGTTGGAACCAGCGTAGTCGCCTTCTTAGGCCAGTTCATCCCCTTGGACCAAATCCCCTGGGACCAAATTCCCTGGGACCAAGTCGGTTGTGTGTCCAAGTACATCTTTGTGGGAGTCTGTCTAGGAGCACTCCTAGTTCTCATCATCACCGTCGTTCCATATGCACTCGGGTTCAAAGAGAGAGGCATTGAGTCCAGGTCGATTGGCACACATATAATGGCGTATCATAACGGATACACGCCTTCTGGCGGATTTGTGGCCAATATGCAATCCTTTGGTACTAGGGGAATCTTTGCCGGGATGAGTGCTTCCACGGTGGCTGTTGGGTGCCTCTTGGGAGCGGGGTGTGGTGTTTATTTGGTGTTTTTTTGCGAAGGTTACTGTGATGCGCCATAGACATGTGAAAGTCATACCCTTGCACATTTGGTTTGTAGCCTAGTTTATCTCCACACTTACTCACTCTCCCTCTCTCTCTCTCGTCGTTTTGTTGACCACACACTGCTTTTTCTCCTTGCCTTGGTCACCACCAAGCCCTTATTCCAGTTTAGATACTAGATGCATTGAACCAGTTGACAAAAATCCTAATTGTACCGCAATGCATGATTGAAAGGGAAAAAAGCAAATAGGTATGGAAAAGGGCGAGAGCACAAGTTGCAGAAAAGAAAGGCAAACACTGCAAAATAGAGGGCGTGGGAAAACCCGGTGACGGGGAAGCACAGCGCAATAAGTCGGGGGAAAATAACACGCAACAGCCTCTTAACGCAAAAAAAAAGGGGGGGGTCTACAGCAACGACAAGTTTTCGACCAAGCCTTCCAAAAACCAACACCAGCACTTATCCCCAGATAGCCGTATTGCCATAGACCAGCACGACAGGGCGGAAAACCATCAGGTCACAGATGAAGAGGACGCGGAATTGCTTCGAACTGGCCAAGGAAGGCAAGAGTGTCTAGGAAATCTACGACAGCCACTTCCCAAGTCACACCCTTCGGTCGGTTAGGGATCGCGTGGCTAGCGCGGTCAATGTCGAGACTATACACGCAACGGTCACGAAGGAGAAGGCAGAGTTGAAGTGGGGTGCTCCATTGCGACGACTGTGTTCGGATGCGACGATGGGCGAGAGGCGGAAAGCTGTCCAGAGCGACGATACGATGTAACGACAAAGGATTATTCAGCCTGTCAAAGAGCGCAACCGGCATTGGAATCCTGAAGAAGATGTCTTGCTCGAGCAATTGGTACGGACACACATGGGCATCCCTCAGCCAGTTATCTGGAGCAGGGTTTCGGGCGGGAGTGTCGACGGCTCACAACTCCTTCGGGACCCAAAGGCGTGCGCTTGTCGGTGGAGTAACTTGTATCCTTCATCTTCACGTCGGACTGGAGCCTGGTCAAAAGAGGAAGAGCTACGCCTGCAGAAAAGCGATTTCGGAGCAATTGAGTTGCGGTTTCGGAGAAGGTCGGTTCACAGACCGAACACAATTGTCGGTTGCACTTTTATTCCGTGTACCACAACGGCGCGAGAGGTATCTGGACAAAGGAGGAGCTGGAGCGAGCGAAGATAGCTGAACACGTTGGAAGTCGGTCTCCTCTGCAAGTGAACTTGATGATTAATCAAAGAAAGTGGGCAAAGAAAGACAAAGCGGACGAAATAATAAAGGTGGTGGAAGAGACAGTCACCATTTTTTTTTTTTTTTCGTTCTTCCCAACAAGGAAAAATAATAATGACATATGAACCCGTACAACATCATCTCTCTCGGGATGCAGGAGCGGCAGAATGATGGCAACTTTATGTAGGGACACCAACACCCGTCTGTCACTCGTCACAGACACGCTCAGTCGACTTCGGTTACAATGCTCGGAGCTATTATATATCCATCGCCATCCGGCTCGGCAGCAGTCTCGTACCCTCACAGAAACGCGCCTCGCATATCGGGAGAGCCTGACATGCACCACCAGTCCCTATACAATACAACCGTTCGACCATACTCATGACGAGCCTCTGCTCAAACCTGTCAATGGCAACAACAATAACGCCCATCCACACATCACCCAGTTGCCATCACCACCACCACCACCAGAGAAGAGCACGACAGGGAAAAAGGCGAAGGCACAACTGGGTCTTGGTCTGCGCCGTATCCGTTGGACGGAAGAGGAAGACAGAGTTTTTTTTCAATTGGTTAAGGAGGGTAGGAATCCTTCCTTCATTTACGCCAACCATTTCCGGCATCGATCGCCCAAAGCGGTGGCCTATCGAGCAAACCTTGCATCCAGGGCGGCAAGTCTTCAAGAACGGCAGGCAAGGGATGGGGTTCGAGACGGAGAGCCTGATGTCGCCTGGTCGGTGGCAGGAGGCGAGGGAGCGGAACCTTTGCGTGTGGTATACGGGAAAATAGCCAGTATGCTGCGGGAGGACTCAAAGAAGCTGGAAGGAAGGACTCAGGAGCCAGTGGCGTACAACGGGAAGTACCTATCGCAGAACAAGATGTGGACTCGAGAGGAGGATGAGCTGTTGAGGCAGCTGGTACAAAAGTACTCCAACATCCCGCGTCCACATCTCTGGCACGAGGTCTCATGTGGGACCATCGATGGCTCGAAACGTCTTCTTCGGGCTCCCCAACGATGCAACATTCGCTGGGGGGAGTTATACCCTTTCCCATCGAGTCGAACCGGAAGCTGGTCCAAGCAGGAAGAGTTGCGTTTACAGGAGGCCATCTCGGAGCAGTTGGAGGGCAAGTATCAGGTCGCTATCGACATTCTGGTGGACCGTTATACGAAGAAGGCAAAGGGGCGTCAACGACAACAACATCTTGGCGAGCAGCGACCGGAACTGCAACAGCTTCCTTCCCAATCCGGCCTACCTGTGCTCAAAGAAGGGAGTTGGCCGTTAAGGATGCTGAACTGGGTCGCGATCGCAGAGAAGGTCAAGTCTAGGAGAGATCACGATTGCCTGGACCACTTCTATTCGGTGTACCATAATGGGAATATAGGACCCTGGTCGGAGGAGGAGCTGAGGCGCGCGAGGGAGGGTGTTGAGTTGTTTGGGAAGGATCACAAGAGAATCGCGGATTATGTTGGGACGCGGTCTGTTTTTCAGGTGACCAAGATGGTGCACAGAAAGCGGTTCTCGAGGAAGGGTGATGGTGTGGAGTCAGAGGGGGACACGCGAGAAGAGATTAGAGCCGTACCATAGAACAACGATATTGTTTACAATTTGCATCTATGTGAACTTGTGAGGATTTCTTGCAGCAAAGGAAAGCAATTGCCCATCACGTGTGTGACCTACATGTGGGGGTCTTGGAGGGAGTTGCCCTTGGCTGACCGAGTCATTGGCGTCAGTGCCCGGTTGAACAGGGTCACTTGTCGAGAGAGAGGGAGAGGGGAGAGTGGAGTTTCTCTCGGCAACTCCTGTATCCAAAGGAGTATCTTCGGGGTCAACGGGCATAACTCGAATAGCGGCAGACGAGGAAAAGGATGTATGTATATATATGTGTGTGTGTGCTCCCTCTCAATATCGCGAATAAAGACAGCAACTCTCAAGACCTGCCCGTATCGTGGAAGAAAGGTGTTTTATGTCAATAACTATTCTCCAAAGGTTAGAAACTACTATTGCTACCAATGGTCAAAGGGCATAGTGCCTACCTGCTCGTATCGTGGAAGAAAGGTGCTTTTCCAGACACTCGCAGGCAAGCGCGTAAAATAGCAAAATGGCCACCAGAAGCTAAGCCACTCCAAATCATCACACTACACAGAAGAACACCAAGGACAAAAAAAAAAGGCGGCGAGTTCTGGGATTGATTCTTCTCCATCGACTTTCAATCGGACTCAAGAACAACGTCAAGCCATGGCAGCCCTACTCAGGAACAGCTTTGTCCAACTGTCGGTCAAAACAAACGCGTTCAGCCGACTCCAGCTACAACACTCGCCATCAAATCCCATCTTTCAACATTCATTCCAGCTTCGTTCCTTCACGCAAACGTGTCCTAGCCTTTTGAAGAACGTAACAGGAGCCGACGTTACGACACCAAAGCGCGCTGGCAACCACTCCTCACCCAAAACAACAAACGACACAGACACCCCGCTATCAATTAGTCGGCTACCGTTGCCAGTTCAAGTTATCGGGAAGAAATTGAAGCAGAGGAAGTTCCCGACCCAGCATTCTCGTTGGAGATGGACGTACGACGAGGATATACTGCTTTATCGACTCGTCAAGGAAGGCATGGATACATACGACATCTACGTGAACCATTTTCCCTATCGCTCAATTGCAGCGATTGCGAGGCGCTCAGGTTTTGCATTCAAGACGGCGCAAATTCATGAACGGCAGGCGAGAGAGGGGGTCCGAGAGGGAGAGGTGGACATTGGCAAATCGGTGGCAGGGGCAGAGGGGGCCGTCCCGTTGGGGAAGGTGTTTGCCAGCTTTATCGGTTCCATAAGGGCTGAACGGGACGAGGACACCTCGGACGACGCAGACCTACACTATGCCTGCAGGAGGGCCAAAACTCGGCGAGGAAAGTGGACCTCAGAGGAAGACCTGTTGCTGGAGAAGTTAGTCGACAAGTACCATTACCTTCCAGATCCGGTCATTTGGAACACCATCTCGGGACGCAGCATTGGTGATTCACCCCCACTTCTTCGGGCTGGATTATCTTGTAGTCGCCGGTGGACCCGTCTATATCCGCCGCCATTCCTTCAGACTGGTCGCTGGTCAAAGGAAGAGGACCTGCGTTTGCAAGAAGCGATCTGGGACCAGTTGGAGGGAAAGTACCAGGTTGCCGTCGATGTTTTGGTGGGAAAACCTGCGACGAATGAACTCAATCTGACTCAATGGCCACCACAGCTGAAGCAGTTGCCTTCACACTCACAGGCTGGTTTACCGATCCTCAAGGTTGCGAGCCGGCGGTTAGGGATGTTGAACTGGCTTTTGATTGGAGAAAAGGTCGGGACAAGGGACGAGTGTTGTTGTCGAGATCATTTTTATACGATGTACCATAACGGCAATAGAGGACCATGGTCAGAAGAAGAGTTGGCGCGTTTGAAGGAAGGAAAGGAGATTTTCGGGAGAGAATATTGGAAGATTGCAGAGCACGTTAAGACACGAGGTCCTCGCCAGGTGACGGACTTGATTGGTTTGCAGGAGAGGAGGAAAAAGAAACTAAATGCCAAGGAAGACGAGGTGAAGGCAGCAGCAACTAACAGCAAACAATAAAGAAGCAAAAAGCAGAATATTGATTCTCTGGCAACGATCGACATGCAGCCTTTGCACGCTTCAATGTCTGGTTCAAGGATCCATGCTCGCACAATGCTACACTGCAGCCACCAACAACTTCGCACTTCCTCTGACTCTCTTTGACAGACACAGCGACATCCAATTGAGAGGGTATCAAGTCCAGGCAGGATCCGGCACTCTAAACTCCGACAACAGCGGGGCCTTAAACAAAAGTTTGAACCCTTATGATCTTGTGAATTGAACAGAAGGATAGAAGGTTTGCGACCTGTGTGGATTGAACACACGACCTTCAGATCTTCAGTCTGACGCTCTCCCAACTGAGCTAAGGTCGCTTGCTTTGCAGCTTGGTGATGTGAAAGCGCAAGCTGCATGGACATAATTAGAGTAAAGGTTAATATTCGAGAGTGAAAAGTAAAAATTGAAAAATTGAAAAATGTAAAAAATGTAAAAAAAAAAAAAAAAAAAAAAAAAAACGGGACACCTTACCGAACACGCGCTGCTGACGAGCGGTTGTTGGAGAGTTTGTTAGGAAGGAGGAGGTTGTCAATGATGGAGAGGATGGGAAGAATCCCCTTCATTCGTATCTAGTTTTATTTTCTTCCGTTTAAGCTGTGAAGAGCAGCGACAATTGTTGCGCAGAGCCAGGTTCTGGACCGGACTGCGACTGGTGGATGGTGCACTGAAGAGTTTGGTCTGTAGTCCCCTTTTACTTCCAAATAACTTCCCTATGCTGTTTGTTAGAGAAATAAAATTGTGTACGAAAAAAAAAAAAAAAGAGGCGGTCTGGTTTGCTTGGAAATAAAAGACATGGAATGAGAGAAGGTGGTGAAGGTGAGACGGGTCATGGAATTGTAAAGTTGAGGCATGGTTTTCATTCAAGTTTACCACGGCGCTTGAATTATTTCTGGAAGATATTTAGTTGCTTCAGTTCTTTTTTTTTTTTTCCACCCTTGAAAACGAAAGTGATAGCTTCATTTCAAGCTACTTGAAAGCGTGATAAAAAAACGAGGCATATAGAGCAGTGGGAGATAACATCACGCGTCGAGTGGGAGGCTCTGCACTCTGAATACCTCCACCTAGATGATGATAATGACTAACACTCGGTAGATCGACCATCCATCATCAGGTTCAGGAATTAATTTTTGCACCTTTTTGAGAGGGCGAAGGTGAAGTTGTGCATGGAAGAAGAGTCGATTCTTGGAGTGAGGCGCAAGGAATGTTTACCGCAGATCAAAGGTCAAACAACTCAAGAAAAACCCGAAAGGGTCCGTGACACAGACCAGCCAACTCATTAAAAAAATCGTAGATTGATTGACCCCACAAAAAAGGTACGCACACGGCCACACCAGCAGTAAAAAAAAGGTCAACAGCACCAGAACGAAGGTTCTCATTGCACGCGCCAGAAAGAGAGAATGTGAAGCAAGTGTTTATGAACAGCGAGAAATTCTTTTTATTTTTCGATCAGAACAAGAGAAGGGTGTCCTGGCCGATAAAGCAAAAAGACGAACTTATTCGGCGTGGTGAGCGGGGAACTCGAAGACAACCTCCTTTCCGGTCAAGCGGCGGTAGACGGCGCAGAAGGTATCGAGCTTGTACTCCAAGGAGGTAGAGTCCTTGGCATCAAGGAAGCTATTTGAAAGAAAAAAAATAGAGGTTTGTTGTCAGCATCAAATGTCAAGGTAGCCAGTGATCTGTCCTGAATCGAGGCGAAAATCCATGCTGAGAAGAGGAACACGTACACCTTGATGATCTTCTTCTGGTCGGTCTGGACACGGGTGCGCTTGCCGGTGATCTCGGTGGGGTAGACCAAGTCCTCGAGGAGCTTCTCGTGAACCGAGGTGAGAGTGCGGGAACGGGGACGCATCTGCTTGGCACGGGAAGTGCGGGTGGGCTTAGCCATGATGCGGCGCTGGGCAACAAAGACGACGTGGCGGTCAGAGAACTTCTTCTCGAGCTCGCGGGTGAGTCTACACAAATAGGTGGAAAAAACAACAGCATGATATTGTCAGTTTCCTGTGCGTAAAAACAACCAGAGCATATTTCCTAGATTCCTGACAACTTAGATAATAAGCGACGAGGGACTTGAATCGTTACCTTCCCTGGATCTTGTGGAAAGCCTTCAACTGGGGGACAGGGACGAAGATGACAATAGCCTTCTTGCCGTTGCCGGTCTCGATCTGATCGAATAAAGAAATACAAATGGTCGGGAGGTCAGATACGTGTCGGATATTGTAAGAAAAAGACTCCGTGCTCTATTCCTCTGGTTTGAACTCCATCCGATGCTGAGTCGGTGTCCGTATCATCTCGTCCAATGTTTACTCAATAAACGCTCGAGACAGTCATTGGTACTCTCATTTCCGAGTTGTCGATAGTAAAAAGTCCTATGGGGTGCCGATAATGCGACCGCGCCAGTCTCAAACAGGACCCCTCGCGGTAAAGGTAGCTCACAAGTCGGTAGCCGATGCCCTTGCCTGGGAAGTGGTCGAACAACCGAAACTTTTGAGGTGATGACTCTTCCTAGCTCCCTCTGGCCTAACAGTTTTTTTTTGCGATGGATTCCTTCTGTCCTGAACGCCTTTTCTCTTCTCCTTCTTGCTGTTGGTCGCCCATCCTGTGTCTCTGCTTGTCGGCCGCTATTGTTCCCATCGCCAGAAGGCGATGAAGACTACGAGAGAAAAAACTCACCTCCTTGGCGCTGGAGATCTGAAGGGGCTTGAGCTCCTTCTTCAAGTCAGCGACGTTGTTCTCCAAGTCGAAAAGAGCCTGAGCAACAGAGAGCTCGATCTCATCAGCGGGGCCGTTCTTGGCAATCTTTTGGCTGGCCATAGTGTCTGTTTGTTATTTTTGGGGGGTTGTTGGGAAGTTGAGAAGTCGGGTGGTTTGGTGGTGGGAGGAGTCGATTAGATGATGGTGTCGATTAGAGTTGGAAAGATCATGGTATTCCCGTCATATATGAAAAAATAATAGATCCAGATTTCCGCATAGTCCGTGATGATAGAGGTGTCATTGATAGGTTCCCGACGATGAGGTTTTTTGATTCCGGTAGATGTGATCCCGACAGGTAGGCCAAGAGAGGAGTTATACAGAAAAAGGCGCAAGAGGCAAGTCGGGCGTATGGTGTGGTATGTGTCGATATGAAGATGGTTTTCCAATAAGTGCGTGAGTATGTCCGATACGGCGATGGCGATGGCGAAAGGTAGCATGTAATGAGAATATAAGAGGGTAGGATGGAATGGTTAGTGGTGTGGTCTTGCAACGGATGGATATGATGGGGCCATGGATGGTCGATGGATGTCTGTCTCCTCTCGCTCGTTTTGGGCAGTCTCTCGATCCTTACAAGTGAGAAGTGAAAGAAGGGACAAGTTCGCTGTCCGCCATCCGCCTAATAACGCACACACGCTGTGAAACAGTGACTGAATACAAAATCTACAATTGAATTGGGTGTCTGATCAAAACCCCTTAAATGCAATGAAGGTGCCTGATTTTTGTGATTCCCATGATGGAGAGAGTCAAGAAGCTCTTTGCTCGCACACGCACCGAGGGATACATGCAAACATACACCATTCGCATTGACATGTGCGCTGTGCCTGAATACATGATACTCTTTCTTTCTTTTTTTGTTTCCTTTCTTCCCTCTTTCTTTCTTTCTTTCTTAATTCACAGCCCTTTCTCCACATTCACTGCAACGAGAATTGACGTGTGGAGGAGGAGGAGAGTAACGTTGTGCTTGTATCAGTAGAACCAAAAAAAATAATAGGTGCGTGGAGTGCGGCACAGCCAGGAAGAGGACTCAATGGTCTGTGATCTGTCAGCAGCAACAACAACTACAAGTAAGAACAACAACAAGCGTTGTGATCATGAGGATTTGGACAGAGACCGAGGGACAAATCAAACTTGAAATGCTTATTGTACTCAATTCAATTCTCTTACCCCAATGGTTCCCCCAAGGCATTGGGATATACGTATGAGCGTGCGCCAATACGTTCGTATGATTGCCCTGTACGAGAATGAGAATGAGAGCATTTGTGCTGCTGGGCGTGTGGAAGCAGGAGCCAGTGAATGATCGTGTGGATCTCGCCTTTGGTAGTTTTTTTTTTCTCATGCCGCCCGCCATATGATTTTCACTTTTACTTTTGCCCCAAAAAAAAATGTAGCGGGGAAACCTTTTTTTTTTTTCTTTCCTTCAACGAACTTTGACAGTGATAAAGAGGAAAGACGTCTTCTTTTTACTTGTTCTTCTTCTTGCTTCTTCACTCCTCCCATCACACTTCAACCAACTAACACTCAACACATACTCAACCATGTCTGTCTCTGCCGATAAAAGAAAGCCCGTCCGCATCTGGGTCGACGGATGCTTCGACCTCATGCATTTTGGTCAGTCCCCATCAGCCAAAACAGCCAACCTGTTGCGTTCATCATCACGCGTAGAATAAAAAAGATGACAAAGATCATCATCATCTAACCATCTCAGACCACCTTGTTCTTCTTTGACACTTATATAGGTCACTTCAACGCTCTTCGTCAGGCCAAGGCTATGGGCGACTACTTGGTTGTCGGTGTCCACTCGGACGCCGAGATTGAGCACCACAAGGGCCCCACCGTCATGAAGGAGGACGAGAGGTAAAAGCAACCAGCGATACAGAACTTGCTTCTTTTATCACACTTTTGGAGGGCGAATAGGGAACAAAAGCAGGACAGAAGGGCGGATAGCAACAGTCGAAAATAACTTTTCATCGAGTCATTGGATATGCCAGCACTCATCGATATTGGCGAACAAGCAAGGAAAAGAAGAGAGAAAGAGGAGGAGGTCCTGAAGCGTGAAAGTAAAAAGAAAGATTTACATCAGACAGTTCGAACACGAGCACCCTCTCGAGAATTTCACCCGATCTAACCGTGAACTATGCATATTCCATGACCCTGAACTTGAATGCACGTTTAGATACGCCGCCGTTGCTGCCTGCAAGTGGGTCGATGAGGTTGTCCCCAACGCCCCTTACCTGACCTCCTTGGAGTGGATGGACAAGTACAACTGCGATTACTGTGTCCACGGTGACGATATCACCACCATGGCTGACGGAACCGACTGCTACCAGGTCGTCAAGGATGCTGGTCGCTACAGGTACGTTTTTCTCAAACCCGATCTGTCCTTTGGAAGGAATGGAAAACATATCTTTGTCAGTGAAAACTAACTAATCGAGACGCCCTTCCATCTTTATTCTTTAATCGTCATCACAGAGAGTGCAAGCGTACTCAGGATATCTCGACCACCGAGCTCGTTGGTCGTATGTTGTTGATGACCAAGGACCACCACAAGCGCCGTGGCTCGATTAACAGTGCCTCGATCACCTCTGTCAACACTGCCGAGGTCGGCACCTTCTCCACTGGAGGATCCAAGACCAAGCCCGACACCAAGGTCTCCCACTTCTTGCCCACCTCCCGCAAGATTGTTCAGTTCTCTGAGGGCAAGGAGCCCAATGCTGGCGACAAGGTTGTCTATGTTGATGGCACCTTTGACTTGTTCCACACTGGTAAGTGAAAAATGAGAAAAGTCGTGTCGGAGATTGCCACTCTCTTAATGCGATTGCTAATGCGGGCGGATGGAACTCTGGGGTGTGGTCAAGGGAATGAGCCATGTTTTATTCACAGTTTCTTTCTTGCGCTCTAATTTTAGGTCACATCGAGTTCTTGAAGCGTGCCAAGCAACTGGGCGACTATCTCTTGGTCGGAATCCACGACGATCAGACCGTCAACGCCATCAAGGGAGTCAACTACCCCCTCATGAACCTCCACGAGCGTGTCCTCTCCGTCTTGGCCTGCCGCGTAAGTCATTCTTTGCGCAGTTGTTTTTTTTGCATTGGATATCATTGCTAAGAACTAAGAAAACTAACACGTCACTTACCCTACATTGAATCTAATAGTACGTTGATGAGGTCGTTATCGGTGCTCCTTACAGTGTCAGCGACCAGGTTTTGGAGAAGGTCTACAAGGTTGACGTTGTTGTCCACGGAAACACCCCTTCGTTGGAGGACACTGACGGCCAGGATCCTTACAAGCTCGCCAAGGAGAGAAACATCTATGTCGAGATTGACAACCCCCAGAACTCTGTCACCACCGAGTCCATCATCGAGCGCATCATCACCCACCGCAAGTTGTTCGAGGAGCGTCAGCGCAGAAAGGAGCAGAAGGCTCTCTTGGAGAGAGAGGCCGAGAAGGCCGAAAAGGCTGCTGCTGCTGCCGCTGCCCAATAAGCTCCCTTCCACCTCCCATACAACATACAAACTGTATTTTTAAAAACAAACAACTCCATTTTAAAAAAGAGAAGATAGATACCCTTCACCAAATGTTGTTACTTTGCAGCTGCAACGGCTGAATTTGTATTTGCAACTACTGATGATGTTAATGTACATAAGCGTCTGTATTTACAGGAACTTGCTGCTCTTGCCACTGGAGAACTTTGATCCAAGGCCCATGGCCTGCTTGACCAATTCATCTCTCTGGCGATGATCAACACGACGACCACCGAGGACATCCCTTTCACGGTCAAAGGCTCGTGCAGAGGGGTTGTCATGTTCCTTGTCGTCTTTTTCCCAGGCCTTGGATTTGATGTACTGGTTCGCATGCGCATCCATAAGCGACGTCCCTCTCTTCTCGGCCTATTATCGTGGTTGATTGTGTACCCATATGTTGTGTTAGCAACTGGGCAGAGTAATCATTGACATATTAATACAAAAAGACAGGAGACCGGTCTTACGTTGTACTTGCGGATCTGCTCCTCGCGCTCGGCATCTTGGCGGGAGCGAAGATATTCCTGTCGCTCGTCGTCATCTCCACGGTGCTTCGATCTCTTGCGACGATCCGAGTCTTCATCCCTATCCCTGGGCTCGCCTCTCAAACGCTTCTCGCGATCTGCAGGGGTCTCAGTCCACAATGATGAATCCTGAGGTGCTTGTTCACGCTTCTGGAACGTCCTTGCCGTAATCTTCAACGGGTCATCTATGGAACATTGTAAGGGAAGATCGTTAGTATATTTGAATAATACTTGCGAACAGATTGCCAGCATGTAACTAACAGGAGATACTTACCACCAAGGATCCTTGACTCTGGAGGGACCATCATCCAGTCTTCTCTTGTCGGCTTTTTATCCTTGATCACACTGACTTCCTCATCCTTCTATGTAACCAGTTAAAAATGACAGTGTTGGTTCTGGTCAAATTGCGGCTCAATTGAAAAATCCTTTCCAAACACGCGTGGATAAAGCGGCCACAACTTACACCATCAAGTTTTCTCCGCATACGCTCAGCGCGCTCCTCGAAAGCCCGAATAGTACTCTGTTTCGACATGGATGCACGATCAGCTTCTGAGGGCAGTACAGGTCCTACAATATCGTCGTCGCTGCTTTCGTTGTCATAGTGTCGAGAGGAGGCTGAGGCCGAGGGTGGTAAGGATGGTCCCAGAACACGTTTTGGTGCTTCTGGAGCAGGTCCATTAGCAGCCTTCCTGGCGGCCAAGAGTTCTGGAGGCAGGGCGGGTGCAAAGTCGTCTGCGGTTACTGGTTCATCATCGTGTGCTGGTGGTCGACTGGGTCCTATGCTGGGACCGATGCTTGGTCCTATGCTGGGACCGATGCTTGGTCCTATGCTGTCCTGGTCGTCGTCGTCACTGTTGTCGCTGTAGTGTGCGCGACTTTTTTGGAGATGAGGTGGCAGGTCTGGTCCGATGCCCATGTTTGGTTTTTTTGTTTGTGTGTTCAAGGTGAAGAAGGTAATGCGGTCGCTGATCACTTTGCAGCCAAAAGGTTTGTGCACAGTCACGGATGCCTCAAACAGGTTCGATGAAATCATATCATCTCTTATTTGTTTGTGCGCAACTGGATTGTTGTACGTTTGAATGGAGGGTCGAAGGAAAGAAGGGCGGAAGATCAGTTCAAGATCACTTCTCTTTTCTCTTTCTCCATCACACTCAACACTCATCACTCATCACAACCACTCTCCTTCTCATCTGTTCATTCGCTATGTCACATGCACGGCCACTGCTGTCAACAGTCGCAGCCATAACACTCTCAACCCCCCTCAAGTCCCGTCTCAGAACAACCCTCCTCCCTTCCTCTTCTTCACTCAGCGCCACCACTTCCGTCTTCACCCACACAGCAACAACAACAACAAGAGCCACTCCCTTCCTTTCACAACTGCGCCATGCCTCCACTTCCATACACCCATCCCTTTCTACCCCCTCCTCCCTCCTTCCCGGACGTCGATTCCCTCTAAAGCTAACCATCCCCGTCGCAGCCCTAGTCGCAGGCACCGCACTTTGCAACACAGGCGATACATTCAGGCACAAGGCTCTCGCCGTGCGGAGAGTCCTTTTGGCAGCCGAAGCGGTCGTTGTGACCGGTTACGATTACAAGTATTCACTCGGCTACGGGAACCGAGATCTGGATGTGAACGATCCCGACGATGAGAAGGAGCGGAAAGCGAGGAGGAGTCGGTTGCACCAACGGAGTGCTGAGAGGGTTATGAGGATGATGCGAGAGAACGGCGGCATTTACATCAAATTGGTATGTATGATAGGCTGTCGATAATGAGAAGAACGCTTTGGCCATTCATATTTATCCGTTGAGAACGAAATTACATACCAAACACTCGTTTAAAATGGGGCGTTCTCTTCTCATCGCCATGTCTCCTTGCAATCTAACCGATATCTCGACTTTCTTGATACATCATGTACACAGGGCCAACATCTTGCAAGTCTAAAGTACCTACTTCCCGTCGAATGGACCCGAACCATGGAACCCCTCCAAGACAGATGCCTCCCATCCTCCATCGAATCGATTCAAGCCCTCTTCCTCTCTGATCTGGGTCAACCACTCACCGAGATCTTTTCGTCCTTTGATCTGACACCCATCGGAGTCGCCTCTCTCGCCCAAGTCCACAAAGCAACCCTCAAACAGACCGGTCAAGAAGTCGCCGTCAAGATCCAACACCCGGCGTTGAGCGAGTTCTCAGAGATTGATATGGTCACCATCTCACAACTGACTACCTTTATTGCCTGGGCGTTCCCTGAGTTTGAGTTCTTCTGGTTGAGTGAGGAGATTCAAGCTAACTTGCCCAAGGAGCTGGATTTCCGGTTTGAGGCGAGGAATTCTGCAAGGACGGCTGTCAACTTTGACCGCGCTCGATCGTTGGGCGACCCTTCGACTGTCAAAGTCCCAGATGTCATCTGGGCTCAAAAGCGAGTCCTTGTCATGGAATGTACGTTCTTTAATGTCTTTGCCGTCACTTGATCACCATAACTGTGCGTTCGTTATTACATGTAAACTAATCGTCTTATCACCTTATCGTTGACTTAGATATGAATGGATCGAGGATCGATAATGTGGAGTACCTCAAGGCAAACAACATCCTCGTCTCCGAGGTCTCCAAGGAGATGGCACGCACGTTCTCGCAGATGATCTACAAGGATGGCTTCTTGCACTGTGACCCCCACCCTGGCAATGTCATGATCCGTCCCACCCCTGCCGGCTCACCCTCGCACCGCAACTTTGAGATCATTCTTCTGGACCATGGTCTCTACCGAGAGCTGTCACCTGAGTTCCGACTGAACTATGCTCGTCTTTGGACTGCCATCATTGCCTCGGACGAAGAAGCGATCAAGCGCCACGCTTTGTCACTTGGAGGGATTGATGCTTATGAACTTTTTGCTTGTATCTTGACGGGTCGCGATTGGGATGTGATCCAGGATGCCAAGTTGACAAAGCAGGTCCGTAACAAAGAGGAGACATCCAAAATCTCGCAGGGTGCTGGAAACTGGTTGGTCGAGATTGCGGACATCTTGGCGCGAGTACCTCGCGACCTGTTGTTGCTGTTCAAGACGAACGACCTCTTGCGTGCGTTGGATGAGGATATGGGAGCGGATGATGGCGCACAGATGAGGACGTTTGCGGTGATGGGTCAGTACTGTGCTCAGGTCATCTATGAGGCCGAGAAGAATGATATCAAGAACAGTATTCTTTCTGTGACCACAACGGCGACGGGTAGGGCAGAGGTAACAGTGAGGGTGGTGGTATCGGCGTGGACACGGGGACTTGGAGCGTTGTTCAAGGCGTATTGCAAGTTCTTGTACAAGAAACTGTCGTTGAATGTGTTTGTCTGGTGGATCGATCTTAGTCAGTCCAATTCTCTACTTTATAGGATCCTTTTCAAGTGTGAGCGACTCCTCATCGCCTAATGCTCTCTCTCCTTTCCCCTTCGTGTTCTTTACGCGCATCGCATACCCAAAAGATAGATATTTATTCACCCATAGACATTTTAAGCATTTTGCCCATCATCGAACTCGTTTTCGTGACTCGGTACATTGGACAACAGTCACTCGGTCATCGTCTGAGACACTCTTTTTTCTTTCGTTTTCTCGCTCGTCCCATTTTGTCGCTCTTCACGCTCATTCACCCACACACCAACAAACGACATGCCGACCTCCATGAAGCCAGAAGAGGAGCATCACCCCCACATGACCCTCCGGTCCGCAGACAAGGACAAGAGCAAGGACAAAGGCAAGGAAGAGAAGAAGGACAAGAAGGAAAAAAAAGAAAAGAAGGAGAAAAAAGAAAAGGAGAAGAAAGAAAAGAAGGAGAAAAAGGACAAGAAAGAAAAGAAGGAAAAGCGGGCTCGGAGTGACTCTGACAACGACGACAACGACGACGACAAAGATTCTTCCTCCAACGACAAGAAGAAGAATAAGAAGAAGAAATCATCGGCAACAGCAACCAAGGACACTGATAGCACCAGCAAACCGGCGATCAAAAGACTCCGTCATTTGGAATCCTCTCCACCACCCGCCGAAACCCCGCGCGACTCGACCCCCGAACCGGGCGCAACCCCCCAATCGGCCGAGGACGCCGTCCCCGAGAACTTGCGTCTCACCAGTTACAAGATCTCGCCGGCTACCGTTGCTGCTCTGGCGAACCGTGGGATCCATGCGTTGTTCCCGATTCAGGCGGAGACGTTTGATCATATCTTTAATGGACATGATGTTTTGGGACGGGCTAGGACAGGTACGGGAAAGACGCTTGCGTTTGCGTTGCCGATGGTTGAGATACTTTTGAAGGATAAGGCGGGAGTGATGGCGGAGCGTGGGCGTGCACCTCGTGTGCTTGTTCTTGGTAAGTGGTTGTCATTTTTTTGAAAAAGTTTGTGTTTATTTTCGACTGGCATTACTGCGGCTGTCACGCTAACACCCTTTTTCTTTCTTCTTTTTCTTGTTTGAAACACTCGATCATTATTAGCACCGACGAGAGATCTGGCGATCCAGGTATCGAACGAGTTTACATCTATCGCCCCCAACCTGAAATCCATCTGCGTCTACGGAGGTACGCCCATGCACGAACAAACAGCCTACCTCCGCAACGGCGTCGATGTCGTCATTGGTACCCCGGGTCGATGCCTCGACCATATCAACCGAGGAAACTTGCGACTGGATAATGTACGGTTTGTTTGTTTAGATGAGGCGGATCAGATGTTGGATATTGGATTTGCGGACGATATGGAGCAGGTTCTGCAGCATGTACAGACTCAGAAGGAGGCGAGGGGTGACTCTGCGCCAAAGCATCAGACGCTGCTGTTTTCTGCGACGGCCCCAGAGTGGATTAAGCGGACAGTGCAAAAGTATTTGGATACCAAGTATATTAATGTCGACCTGGTGGGCAACTCGAAGGTCAAGACGAATGAGAATATTCGACATTATGCGATCCCGTCGACGTGGCAGTCGCGCAAGGATGTGATTGGAGATGTCGTCGCGGTTTATGGTGGGAACCGGGGGTTGACGGTCATCTTTGCCAATACCAAGGCGGAGGCGGACGAGTTGGGTCTGACAGACAAGTTGAGAGGGGACGCCAAGGTGCTGCATGGAGATATTCCACAGGCGCAGAGAGAATTGACGCTCCAGGGGTTCCGAGAGGCAAAGGTCAAGTGTATCATCTGTACCGACGTCCTGGCACGAGGAATCGACATCCCGATGGTCGACCTGGTCATCAACTGTCAGCCGCCCAAAGATGTCGAGACCTACGTCCATCGATCCGGCCGTACCGGCCGCGCGGGCCGCAAGGGCGTCTGCGTCACCTTCTTCAAAGCCCAAGAAGAATACATGATCCAAAACATCCAACGGCGCGCAGGGATGGAAATGGTCAAAGTCGGCCCGCCACAACCGCAGGACATCATCGCAGCCACTGCACAGGACGCCGCAGATATCGTCGCCAAGGTCGTCAAGAACGTCATCCCCATGTTCAAACCCATTGCCGAATCCATGGTCGCCGACGAGTTCAAGGGGGATACGGTTGAAGCCCTTGCTGCGGCCCTGGCGCAGATCTCGGGGTACGGTGCAGGAGTCCGAGCTCGATCGTTGATGTCTGCCGCCGAGGGGTTCACGACCATGATCTTCCGTCTGTCACACGAGATCCAGCATCCTGGTTATGTGCGTAATATCTTGACGCGCAATTTCCCGAAACTGGCCTATGATGATGTCAAGGGGATGAGGATGACCAAGGACATGATGGGCGTGGTCTTTGATGTCGTTTCGGAGAAGGTCGAGGTCGATGAGGAGAAGGGAATTATCTTGTTGGGGGGCAACAAATGGACGGATCTGGATAATATCCAACTCGAGGTTGCAAAGACCCTGCCAGAACTAGAGCAGCGGGTGGATAGTGGGTATGGAGGTGGTGGTCGTGGAGGACGTGGAGGAGGACGTGGAGGTTATGGAGGTGGTCGCGGTGGCGGGGGAGGAGGACGCGGTGGATTCCGTGGTGGACGCGGAGGAGGAGGTGGTGGTGGTGGTGGAGGCTTCCGTGGTGGTCGTGGAGGTGGCCGTCGCTAAAAAAAAATTACCTGCTTGTACCATATTCTCTTCATTCCCTTTCATTCCTTTCACTACTTTGTTGCATGCACTAAAACAATCCAATTGGCATTTTTTGTTCATTTATTTTTTGTTTCTTTTTTGTTTGTGAAAATGGGGGTTTGAAAATAATAATAGTGTTCCTTAGATTACGATGGCGTCTCAAAATATGTCCCTCCAAAAACTGTCCCTGCTGTCGACCCGGTATATGTTGTTGTTGGATGTTTGCTTTGGTTGGTTTGGTTGTCGAAACGATCGATATGTGATTTTTCACTTAACCGATCCATTGGCAGACAGCGGTGACAGTCTGACCCAAGACCAAGGCCTCGGCACGAACTTCCGTCTCTCCGAAATGCATCTTGACCTCGACCAGTACCTCAGAACCAGGCATCATGCCTGGGATATCCGGCATAGGGATCTGGAAATCTCCCAGCTTCTTAACCGACGGCTCATCGACATAACGGGGTTCTTCTGCAGAGTCCGAGACATACAGGGGGCAGTCCAAGGGACGGGGGTAGCACCAGGTCATGTACTTCTTGGTCACACACTCGCCCAGGGCTACAGACTGACCAGGATGGATATAGACCGAGAAGCGATCCTTGCAACGCGTGGTTCCATCGCGCGAGAGCGTCTTCTTCTCTTCTGGATCGACGCCCTGGACGAAATCCATAGCCGAGTCGACTCCGTACCAACGACGGGCAACACGCGAGATAATCGAGCCCTGATGGAGACCATAGGTGACTGCACCACGGACAACCGCCAACTCTGCACGAGGGGGGACACGGACTTGACGACCGGACGTCGCAAACTTGGCCGTGACACGATCAAACAGGTACCTTGACGAACCGAATCCACCAACCAAGAAGATAGCCTCGCAATGGGTCTGATTGAGCTGGTGCTCAATCAGGTCCAACACATCCTTGACAACAGGGTCAAAGACGCGCTCGTGCAGCTCCGAGACCATCAACTTCAGCATACCATCCTCCAGTCCGATATCCAGATCGTTCGCATCAGGCAAGTTGGGAATGTTGGGCACCTGGAGGTACATTTCGGGGTCTGTTCCTGGGAAGATGGGCTTTGTCTGGTTGACAAACGTGTCCATGATAGTTCCCCATCCCATGGGCGTCAGGGGGTATTTTTGGAACTTTTCCCTCAATAGCTTCTCCATGTTGGCATCCAAGAAGGCCGATCCACAGGACGCACCATGACCACGAGTCACCTCCCGCAAACTCCGGATGCCCGTCTCGGGATTCACATCCACGACCTCAAAGACAATCAGATCGACCGTTCCACCACCGGCATCGCAAATCAAGAATCGGTCGTGCTTCTGGAGGTTGAATTGATCGCCCTTGGACTGACAGTACATGGCGGCGGCTTCGGGTTCCGAGACGATAATGAGACGATGAGCGGGATCCTCTTCCTTGATCATTCCAGCCCGGACAGCCGCCAAACGCATCACATGTTTGGCACGATCAGACCACATGGCGGGAACCGTCAGACAGTACTGGATATGGGACTGGTCGTAGGTCGATCCAAAGTTCTTCATCGCCTCCTTGACAACGTGGCTGTGGAACTTGCCGAGGTAGTCCGAGATCGCGTCCAGAGGTTTGATTCCCAGGGGTAAAGGCTCAATGTGTTCCTGCTGGTCATCCAACTGCAACTTGAACTTGCTCAACAACAGGTGCCTCTTGGCGTTGGGCGTCATCATCACTGCACGCGCAGGGTATCCCCAGTCCAGAAAGTCGGGCGAGTCCAGTTTGTACAAGCTGATAGTCGGCACTTTTGGATACTGGTATGCCTGCTTGGGCCTATTTGGTGGAAAAGTCGTAAAAAAGGGTGGTTAGCACTCTGTTGTTATTTTTCGTTCACCAACCATGGGAGGCTGTTTTTTTTTCTTAGTCATTTCCTTGTACACCCAATAACGAGGGTAGATTCGATAATTGCAATTAAATCCAAAGTGAGCCGCCATATGGTGTTTGAAGTTTTTTTTTCTTCCACATGGATGCTGGGCCTTCATGCTGTGTGCACCTCTTTCTCTTTTCCATATTAGCGCCTTTCGCCTCTTCTTCTTTTGCACTGCCATGGAGTGAGGAGTGGATTATCCGATGCACTGTGCTGTTTGAGTAAATGCGATATTCCCGAAACGCATGTTCTGTTGTCCTGACTCCTTGACCCTGTTTTGTATTTGGTGATAGATACAATTGCTTTCTTCAACTTTGTCGTCTAATGCCACACTGTGTCGTTGCAGTTTGCTATTCTTTTCCTATCTCCTTGACACGGCGTTGTCGCTGCTTGTTGATATAGGTGACAAATAGAGTTGTTCTTTCTCGTTCTTCCTTTTCCTTTTTCTAGCGCCAAAGTAAAAAACTTGCATGTCCTCGGTGCCTGACCCACAAAAAAATCTTTATGGCGTTGGCGAGGGTTATTTCTTTCCTGTAATGATGGGTGTTGTCGAGTAGTGCCGCTCTTTTTTATCCTGTCCACGGAAACTGAACTGCTGCTCCCAAGCACATTATCCCCCCTTCTTTTCTCACTCGTCATTCATTAGTCCTACTCGCAAACTCGGCTGTTGCCAGTTCACAATTGTAACCAAAAGAAAAGTACCGAGAGTCGACAAAAATACACAGTTTCGGTAGAAGGGCAGAGGCAGTGCTTCTAATCCTCTTATACTGTACGCTGTATGCTGTATGCTGTTTAGTGCAAGTGGATGAGAAAAGAGCGTGATGGAGGACTTACCAGGTGATGATCTCTTGTATTTCAGGATCCTTTCGGAAAGCGAACGCGCATCCAGTAAACGTTGTTCCAAAGTCGATTGCCATCACGATGGGATAGTCCTCCTTGGGATCACCTGTCAGTTTGCTGCCGCCGTTGGTTTGACCTGGTCCCTGTTGAGCAACCATATAGCCGGGGTTGTATGCAGAGGCCTGGTACGCACCGCCAGAAGAAGGAGGAGGGCTGGGGACAGGGGCCTGTTGTTGGCGTGGTGGGTAAATTGCGTTTGAAGAAGGTGGGGCAGGGATACCACCGTGTTGTTGTTGTTGATGGTGCTGCTGCTGGTGCTGGTGCTGTTGTTGTTGTTGTTGGAGATGGTGAGGTTGTGGCATTCCTGAGTACTGTGAATGTTGCTGTTGGCCGTTGTAGCCATAGGAGGATGAGGATGGTGGTGCGCTAATGGGCGGGTATCCACCCCCTGCGGTCGAGGGAGGGTATCCGCCTCCTCCTGGTGCTCCACCGTTACCGTAGCCGTTCTGGCCACCACCGTTCTGGCCGGGAGGAGGTCCTGATGATGGGGTTCCGGCGAGGGAGGTAAAGTGCATGGTTGCGGCACCGGGTGGAGGGGTGGAGGCGGCTGGTGGAGGCTGTTGTTGATGGCCATTGGAGGGACGTGGAAGCTGAGCGTGGACCTGGGGAGGGGGGGAAGAGCCTGGCTTCTTGTCCTTTGTGGATTTGCTTCCAAAGAACTTTTTCATGGCGCGTGGATGATGATTACAGCGGAGTGAGTTGGAGAAGGGTGTGGGTGCCGATGCAGGGAAAGGAAAGGAAAGGAAGGGAGAGGGAAGAGAGGGAGGAGAGGGAGGGGAGAAAGAGAAGAGGATGGATGGATGGATGGATGGATGGTGAAGGCGGGTGGAGGAGAGCGAGAAAGGATGATGAAAGAGGAGAGAGAGAGAGTGTGAGAGCGAAGGAAGTCAGGAGAAGTGGTCTCTATGAGGACGGGCAAAGAGAACAAAGAGTGCAGGGCAGAGGGAGGAGGCAGGTGTACAGTGGATGGATGTGCAATGTTATTGGCGGAGTGGGGATGTAAAAAAGCGAGCTAAACATGTAATGGATGTGAGAACCGGTACGATGCACGACGAAGGAGGTGGATAGAGAGAGCACTGCCTTCGAGGGACTACATCTACTATCTACTGTGCCCGACGAAAGAAAAGAAAGAAGAGAAAGGCGTTGGCTGTGAAGGAAGGTGGAGTGGAGTGTGGGCCCAGGGAGAGGCAGAAGGGGATAGAGCAAGGCAAAGGAGAAAGAGGGTCGAGGCGAGCACCGTCCTCCATTGTGTTCTCTCCCTCTGTTAATAAGTATCGCGCCTGACTAATTTATTTTTCTACTCTCCTTTTGCTGCACTCTTACCATCTGCTGCTTTGCTACTGCGTATGTGTCCTAGGAGGACGAGGAGGAGGCATCCCTTTCAACGCGTCGCTACAAGGCTATCGTCGCCACTTTCTATCCTATTCTTGTTGTCGATCACTCACGAAAATGCAAGTCACTCTGAGAAGCAAGCGACGCGTCTGCTGTCCTTCGTTCGTTCTGCTAATGATGACAAAACCTACTAAGAGCGCAGCGGGTTCTTGCTCTATCTCGCTCGCTATCCATGATCATTCAACGTGCACCACGCCGCTTACAAACCAAACGAATTTTTTCTTCGTTCATGCAGATCCAATCCTCTTCCTCCTTTGGAAAATGCCCTTCGCTTCCTTCCTTCCTTCCGCAGACAAATAGACAAATAAACATGCAATTAAACTCTCCGTTCGTCGTCATTCATCTCTACTTGAAAGAAGAAGTGTGGAGGGTAAACCCTCTTCCATTGTCGTCTTGCGCGGCCTGGCAATGCACATTCCGCTCACTTCAATCGATAACACGCCGCATATAAAAAGGCCAGATTGGTCCAGCTGTCTCCTCTTTTCCTTATTCTCACACTCTTCTCTGTCTCATTCACACTCTCAACTCCAATCCCCCACCCACCTTTTTTTTACCCATACTCATACATAACACAATATGACCGGAGGAAGAACAATCAAGGCTGCACTCTATCAAGGCGTCAACCCTTCAGCCCCCCTCCTCAATGTAACTGATCTTCCCGCCCCAGTCGCGAACAACGGTGATGCCGTCGTCAAGATCCTCGCCACCCGTGTCGTCAGCTATGCCAAAGATGTCCTCAACGGCACCCGTCCTTACCCAAACCTCCTCCCCATGGTCCCTGGCCCCGGAGGTGTCGGCATCATCCAATCCGTTGCCCCTGGTGCGATTCATATCAAGCCTGGGCAACTGGTCTTTATCGATCCCACAGTCCGATCTCGCGACCATCCCGTCACACCCGAGGCCATGCTCCAGGGTCTGATTGCATTTGGCAGAGGCACAGAACTCCAAAGAGTCTGGAACAATGGTTCCTGGGCCGAGGAGATGTTGGTCCCCCTCGAGAATTTGACCGTTATCCCCGAGAGTGTCCAGGCCAAGTTTAGCCCCGCCGAATTGACCTCCATCAGCAACTATGCTGTTCCTTTTGGGGGCCTCTACCCAAACCTCCGCCCAGGCCAAACGGTTGTCATTACAGGCTCGACAGGCATGTTTGGTTCCTCGGCTGTCGCTGTAGCGTTAGCTCTGGGAGCGCGACGCGTCATTGCCTCGGGACGGAACAAGAAGCAGCTCGATGAGTTTGTGACACTTTATGGGCCCCGAGTTGTTCCTGTGGTGACGACGGGCGATGTGGCCAAGGATACCCAGGCGTTCTTGAAGGCGGCTGGAGAAGGGTTCGACATTGACGTCTCCTTCGACATCCTGCCACCTCAGGCGGCGTTTGGTGTTGTTCAGTCGTCTATCCTTGCATTGAGGGATGGCGGTACTGCCGTTCTCATGGGAGGGCTCAACTCGTCCGCCGAGGTAAACATTCAGCGATAGCTTACTTTGACGCTCACTCCATTTCTTCTCGTTGTCATCCTTCACTGCAAGCAAAACGTACTCACCCATCATCCTTTGCTACATTTTACAATAGATTCCATACTCTGCGATTATGACCAAGGGCCTCACGATCAAGGGCCACTTTATGTACGACCGCACAGGACCCACCACCATCATTGGCCTGGCCGATGCTGGTCTGCTTGACCTCCACCACCGCCAGGAACCCAAGTTCTTCAAACTGAGCGAGATTAATGATGCTGTCGAATGGTCCGCTGCCCACCCTGGTGCCTTCGATGCCACCCTCGTCCTTCCGCAATCAAAGAGTGACTGAGCACAGACAACGTTAAAATAATAAGCTAGTAAAACGCCCTCCAGTGGCACGTTCAACTGTTCGTTGTTGCTGACACTTTTTTTGCCCACATGGCGTGCGAGAGGACCAGCTGACTACCGATACTAATCTTACTCCTGAGTGCATCTCTTGTTTTTTTACTGCTGGACGTTTGTTGTTTGTTCACGGCGTTCCGTCCATTTTTCCTATGGAGACACAACCAGGCGGAAAAGGGGAGCGTCATCCCCATCACTCGGTCGAGCGAGACGAAAGTTTCCCTTTATGCATTTTTTGCCTACTTTCTGCTTTGCTCGGTTTGTGCGCATCCACACCCTGCATATTTTGCCAGATACTGATGCTGTGGCTGTCCCGCTGTCCTGTTCATCCACATCTCCCGCAGCAAGCATGTCGCCTAAAGTTTTGTGTCTTTGCTGTTTCTTTTTTCCTTTTTTCCATTTCACACCACCCCCAATCATCCCTGCCACCGTCATGCCCCTTTTGAATCCTTTTTGCCAGCCAGCTTCTTTGTACTCCAATTGTGTCTCCCTCCTAGCCTGTCAATGCCTGACAACCCTTTTTTGCCTCACCCCGTTTGCCCTTTTCAACTTTCGTTATCCCGCATCCCTTTTTCCTTTCTTTAGCCTCGTGCCATTGTGTACTTTCCTTCCTTTTCGTTCCTCTTCTTCTTCCTTTTCTTTTCCTTTTCCTTTTCCTGTCCTTTCCTTGTCTGTCCACTTCACTCCATCCGCCACACCAAAAAGTACACGCAACCAGCACTACCACTACCACCACTACCACCACTACCATCGATCCACCAACCTGCAAGCAGGAAAAAACAAGGAACCCTTTCAATTGAAGAGCCACCAAATCGAACTGTAGAAAATGTCAGGATCGCCACAACTTTATCCAGAGGTATACATTTTTTTCACCCTGCTACTCCCACCAATGCCCCGCACAGCTCTCTTTCAGAGCACTATACTCTTCACATTCTTTGTATCATGAGTGGCAGTGGAATCAACATTCATAAAAAATGCAATTGCTAAAACGCGACATGCCGCCCACCATTCATGAGCGAAACCTGTTCCTTACCTTGTTCCTTACCTGATCCCGTGCGCCGTCGTACTTATTGAAACACGTTTTTTTTAGGACCAACAGGAGATTTTTGTCGCGATACCTCCACCACTGGTTCCACCACTCGCACGCCAGCTGAGCTCGAGCCACCTCAGAATCGTCAATCCACAGCAACTTGCGACACCCATAACATCTACAGACAACTCGTTTGAGCAATGGACATTCTTTGAGCCTCTCCTTCTGCAGCAACAGCAAGTGCAGCATCAGCAGCAGAGGGTGATGGCGTTACTTGGAGGCGACCGTGGATCACCAGGGGCTGTAGGAGGAGCTGCTGGTAGTAGTGGTGCCGGAGGCCAGAATCGTGGACTGCCGCCTGCGCCGGTGAGGAGTGAATCGCGGACGACGCTTGACAGCAATACCTCCAACGCCAGTAACACCAACATCACCACCACCACCACAACAATACCCCTGAGCACCCCCATTTCATCACCCCAACAGCCACCAGTGCCCATTTCTCTACCTGTCCAACTCCTAAACCGACTCTACCCATCCTCTGCCATGTTTACGTCTGTCAGTGGTTGGAGTGGTGTCAACCCTTCAGCGACCGAGAGCAGTTCCTGTGCTTCCTCATCCTCTGCAGGATCGTACCATTCCCGGAACTTTATGAGTGGCGTTGGGGGCGGTAGCGGTGTCAGCATCGGCGGAGGGTTCGGATCAAGGAGCGCGACGTCTTCAATGCAGCAACATCAACCGGATATGATGGCGAGACGGAATTCGACAGAGTTGACAAGGACTGCTGCCGCGACCGCGATTGTCAACACCCTTGTCAACCGAGGGAACAGTGGCGGTAGTGCGAGTGGCAGTGGTAGTAATGAGGCGGTGGGATTGTCGATCCCACGTGGGGATAGTCCTTACATCCCTTCTTCGTTGTCGATGCTCTTTTCGGATCCCGAGATCATGCTAGCCCAAACCGAGGTTGACCAGTATCATCAGGAACAACAACAACAACAACAGCAAAGGAGGACGTCAAGTTTGCAATTGACACCCTCACACTCAGGTGTAAGGGTTGGGTCTGGGATCTTCGCATATTCGGAGGGAGACGACCAGGAGAGCGCCGCTGAGGAGAATGACGATAGTCTTTATGGAGAGGAGAGCCAACTACTCCAGGATTCTCCCCCAGGAAATGAAGGGCATCACACCACCACAACGGGAGCTGTCACAGGAAGAGAAGGAGATGACGGCGGGTATGGGTACGAGATTGTACAGGAGGACCAACAGGAAGACGTGTTCAAGCCATATGTGGCCATGATGGCGCGGGACGACTACCTAGCGCCGCACGAGCCTTCTTCCTCCAGCCCGCTGTTCCCGTCCCCGTTGACGACGCTTGGAGGGTTTGCTTCAGGAACCAGTATACTAGATGTTGCTGAAGGTGAGTGTTTTTGTTTGTTCGTTTCTTGTATACAGACTGGGGTTTATTATGAGACAGTGACATGGAAAGAAGGTGCACGTGGCGGTGAGGTTAGGCGAAACGCCGTTGTAGTACGATGGAACAGAGACGTGCTACACAGAAAGAAGGCGTAGGCTTTTCTTATTTCATGAACTAACTTTTCGGACTACCAATCTAACGCCACACCTGTTCTTCTCTTCCCCCTTTCAATCCTGTTCATCCGGCTCTTCTTACTTTTTGTCCGAAATATCGACAGACCAACAGGCACAGGCAGCTGGAAGGATATGGCGGGACTACGGGACCATGATGGAAACCGGCGGCGGTGGACAGTTCCAACGACTACAGCAGCTTCAGAATCCAACAACGGCACAGAGTCATGCTGCTTATTACCACGCCGTCTCCAATTACCATTACTCGTACAACAGTAACCCGCACGGCGATGCAGTAGGAGGAGTGTCATCATCATCAACTTCGCAGGTGAACCCGTGTGTACCGACGGGGCATTATGCGGTTCCGGAGAGTTGGCAATGGAGACGACAACATAGTCGTGGGGTTAGTCAGCAGTCCTATGGGAGCGCTGGTGGAAATGGTGGTAGTGGTAGTGGTACGCGGAGGAATAATGGTGATGGATCAGAGGACAACTGGCTCAAGGGCATGTAAGTCCTTTGCTGTATTTTGTTGCTTGTTGTGTCCAGATATTTCCATTTCTTTTTTACATTGACTGACATAAGATCTTTTTCAAACTTTTACTCCTCACCCATTGACATATGCTTTCATTCTTCTCCGTCTTCAAAGACTGCTATCGGTGGTCAGTTGTTGGGTCTGCTGCGAAAGTCCAGCTGCTTGCTGTTCCAATTGCTGCCTGTAACCCCTTCCTTCCCCTTCCTCCCTTTCCTTCATCTTCCTTCATTTCGGCATAAAAAAATGAAAAATGAAAAAGTTCCCAGTTATGAAAAACTCCGCCTGGGTTTTAAGAAACAAACGCACATGGATTTTTATCAAGGAGAGGTCCCAGGTTTTTCTTTTTCCGCTCTAACTCTTGTGACGGGATGGGAATGGACGATGAGACCATTGTCAGTGATACGATTGTCCATTACTTCTAACCACACCTGAAGAAGATGGGAAAAAAAAGTGATCGATATGCATAAAAAAAAAAAAAAAAGGAATGGTATTCTTGTCGGCAGATTTTCCGAGTACGAGCACGGCCTCATCGTTTCATGGTTCAACAAAAAGGGGGGGAAAATAATTAGCGCACAACAAACTAGTGCAATTGAACCACCAAGAGCTCGAAAAAAAAGAGGTGACATTGGGGCATGATGGGCATGACAGCAGCAGGCTGTTTTTTTTTCTTTTTTCTTTTTTGAGCTTTTGTTGTTGTTGTTGTTGTTGTTGTTGTGCATGGAGTAGATAATCGATACACTTTTAGGTCTTGTTGATGGTTGTTCCCGCGGCAAATTTTGCTGAACGACGAACAATAAGCTTGGCGCGCTCAAGGAGGACAATGCACTTGTTTTGTTGTTTCTCACACCATCCATCGCCTAAGCAAACATACAAATGCATAAACAAGACAACAAGAGCAACAACAACAAAAACCAGTAACAGCTTTGAATAAGGAAAAAAAGGATCCAGAACCAGAACTCGAGAAATTGCTCTCCAATTTCCTTTTCTATTTGGACGGAGTCTCTTCAGGTCCCTTGCTGTTGTGGACAAGTATTCCGCGGTTCGTGGGGGGGAGGAGAGGGGGGTTCGAGGTCCTCTTGCTGATGTTCTGGAAAGCCAGAACGAGACAAGAAAAACGAAAAATAGAGATGCATTGTGAGAAACAGACGCGCACATATATAGATGTTCCCCATGGGCATTCGGCATGAAAAAAGAAAATGACGATGCGCTGCTTCATGCAATGCAGGATGGGAAAATGGGTGGTCGGACATGTACACAGAGAAAGAGAGCGGATGAACGGACGGACGTTTTTGGCCGAAAGCAAGGGCAGAGCAAAGGCAGGCAAAGGTAAGCAAAGAGAGCCATGGCCTTTCTCCCGCCGATATAACTTTTATTGGTATTCCGCGCTGAAGTATTTTTTGCGTTCCTGAAAAAAGAAACGCGCTCGCGAGACAAGTGAAAGAGAGAGGAGAGGGGTCTGGGCTGAGGAGAGGGAAGATGAGCGAGAGAGTGGGTGAAAAGGAAAAAGGGAAAATCATCTTTCCATGTCGTCCCACCGGCGCCTCTTGTTCCTTCTCCTTTCTCTTTTCCTTTTTTCCTTTTCTTTTCTTCCTTTCCTCTTTTCCTTTTCTTCTTTTCTTCTTTTCTTCTTCTCTTCTCTTTTTCACACCACAACACCCTCCCCCCATCCACATCCACCCCTAACAACCAACATGTCCAACTACGGCACCAACAACCACAGCCACCGCGACGAGGAGAACCAGGCCCTTCTTAACGGCCAGCCCATCGTCGTCGTCGAGGAGACCACCTTCTTTGGCCGCACCTTCACCCACGTCCACCACCACCGCAAGAGATACTTTGCCCTCTGGCTCCTCGCTGCCGTTTCGGCCATTAGCATCGTTCTTGGTCTCTACCACTACCACAAGAGCCAGGGTAACGACGTCTTCAACCTCAACGGCAAGAAGGACCACGTCTGCGAGTCTGACCGCTCTTACCCTATCGCCATCCTTTTGTCCATCTTCTTTGGATACGTCGGGTACGTTCATCTTGTTTTTTGTGTCGTGTATTTTGCCTTTACTGAGTTCATGCATGGTGGCCCTTGTTCTGTTCTTTCTACTATTGTTGGAGCCCTGCTCTGTTACTTGCTTCTTTATGCCTCATTTCTGAATCAGTTAGTCCTGAATCAAAGACAAAGGTGGCATGACATGATGTAACAGGCTATCGGCCACAGCCTCTCCCTGTATCTCTTCTCATACCTTTTCGCTGGCTTTTTTGTTGCCGGCCCTTTCCCTTCTTCCCCTGCGAGCTCTTCCTCTGTTCAGCCTCCTTGCAGTACCTTTAATACTCGTTTCTATTTTTCCCACAAAGGGAAAGTTTTCGATTGGCCCCCCTCCCCCTTTCATTGCTTTGCTGAACACAAACTCAGCACGCGAAAAGAAAGGCCTCATCGAACAAGGAGCCAGAAAGAAAAACTAACATGCCCAATCCGCTCATTCCTTGCACTCCTTCGAATAGAATTGACCGCTTCTACCTCGGATACATCATCTCGTCGTTGTTGAAGCTCGCCACCGCCGGAGGATTCGGTATCTGGTACATCATCGATATCATCCTCATCGTCATCGGTGGTCTCCCCGATCACAACGGATGCTCCCTCATCGCTCCCTAAATCATTCGCATACAGCAACAGCAGCAGTGCTCATGGACTATCAACTTTTTTTTTTCTCTTTTGAGCTTTGGATGACAAAGTGAAGGAAGGAAGGAAGGAAAGGAGAGTGTTCAGAGAGTTTTTGTTCATATTTCTTTTTCCATTGTACATATCGCATCTTTTTCTTTTGCTTTTTCTCTTTGGGAGGCATGCGAAGAAAAAAGGCATGGGAATAAAAAATAATCATCTTTGTTCCTGAATAACAGCTCCCTTTGTCCCTTTTCTCATGATATGATGTGCTTTTCTCGTTTGATGGTAGTTTTTCCTTCGATTGCATCGATTGATTGTCTGGGGGGGTTTTTTCATGCAGACATGCAAACCATGCAAGGACGAAAAGGGGGGGGGGGGGGGTGTACTACAAAACTGTGCGAGTGTGTGAGGCATGCTTTGTTGGTTAATGATGTTAGCAAGGTCTGTTCATTTGCACAGAGTGGAGTAGTTGCATGCCATGGCACAAATGCGCACGAACGTGGGGAAGGAGGAAGGAACTGACGACGACGACGACGACACGAAAAAAAAAAAAAAAAGTGACTAGTTTGTGGGCAATGGTTGTACGAGAAGATGGACAGAACAGACAAAAATAGCGCGAAGGATGGGGAGTACAAAGGTAGTCCACGCGATGGAGGGTGGGAGGGTGTGCTGGATTAGCGTGATGAACCCGCCCCCCCCCCCAGCTCAAAAAATCTGCGCTAGTTGTACACGCGTGCAAAATATGTGTGCGTGGGAGCCTCATTTTTTTTCCTCAGTGGGGGGAGGGGGAGACAGGGTAGGTGGGTGGGAAGAAAGATGTTTTTTTTCTCTGTTTGTTGCGACAGATCTCTTCTTTATCTTTACGTCCCATCTCCTTTTTTCTCCCTTTACTTTTCTACGGTATGTATTTTTTTGTCAAGTCTTTTGTTGAGTGACCAGGAAAGGCAAAAGAAATGTAGGGATGAACGGAGAAGAAGGAAAGAGAGGCATGGGAGGACAAAAAACTTGTTGATCATGCCATCAACGGTATGTGTCTCCACTTCTCGGGAGACAACTTTTGTGTCTTCTTCGTTCTTCTTGCAAATTCCCCGCGCGAGATGACCGTTTATCAGGAACAGAGAAAAAGAAAAAAGAAAAGGAGATGGCGAAGAGGAAGGAGGTGGGGGTGGGGTCGTGTGTGTTTTCTGTGGAGGAGAGAGAGAGATGATGAAATATAGCTTTGCGTCAACATCTAGCAAACAAACAAACGAAGGGAACAACGACCCGCCAAAAAAAAAAAAAAAAAAAAAAAAAAAAAGTAACATATTTAAGAAGGTACCCTTCTCAAAAATCGAGCAATTGAGACGATAAATTTGATAATATTATTGCTAAGATGCAAAGAGCCAAACAGATGACGACGACGATGATGACGGAAAAGAGAGCAGACCTTTGAGTGGAGGTGGCGGTTCCCCTCTCACTCACTCTCCTTTGGCCTCTTTGCCCAGAGCCTGTGAGTGAGATTATGAGGGGTCACTGATCAGAAGTGTCTGGATTTTTAGGTTTATGATTGTCAGCCTAGGAGTGAGACAAAAAGTGATTAGCTCGGGTTTGTTCAGCGGTTCAGCGTTGTCGTGGGGTTGTGGTGCAACGAGTTGCTACATGTAGAAAAATGCGGGGAGGGGTATCCCTACATGTGCTCTCTTTCTTTCTTTTTCTCTCATCTGTTTTCTTCTACTTTCTTTCCTCTCTCTCTTTTTTTACTACTTCACTAAAGCAAAAAACCATTGTGATCGATGCGACTCATCCTGCTTCCGCTCTTTATCCTATAGTTCCCTCTTCCCCTTCCTCTTTTCCCTTCCTCCTCCTCTCTTCGCACCCTCTTTATCAAAAGGATCAACCAACCAACTGCCTGCACCCCTGTCCACCGCCACACAGACATGAATTTCTTGTTCGCCACCAACTCCCCTCCTGCTCAACCCATAACCGCCCTCGCCTGCAACACCGCCATTTCTCACAACCACACAACAAGCGGCTCACCCAGCGCAGTCTCACCCACAACCCCAGGGACCCTCCAGGACATTGAACTCCTCATCGACATCGAGGCTTCATTCCACGGAGTTCTTCTCGGTCTGCCAGAGGAATCAGCGGGAGCAGTGCTCAATGTAACGGCGATTCTTCATGTCCGCAAGAAGCCCATTCGTGCTTCGAAACTGACGGCGACTTTTGACGGACGAATCAAGGTCCAGTGCAGCGACGGCGCGACCTTTGGATCCGAACGTAAGTTGGGAGGGAGTCTTTTCACGAGGAAGGACGTCTTAATGGTCAGCTGGTACCAAATGGTGCTTTTTTTTTTTTTTTTTTTGGTGTTTTTAAGTTCCCACTTATTCAGGTGTTTAAAGGAAAACGAAGTGAAAGAGGGAGTCCTATCTGTCATCAACCCTACTCTCCATTTGGGCTTGATGCGAGGCTCCGTTGTCATTGTTCTATTTCGTTGACATGCTCCTCCTCTACTCCTTTTTATAGAATATCGCGAGCGTGTTTTGGCTCACAAGGATTGGGTCCTCTGGGAGGCAGGATCATCGGCAGCAGGTTCTGGATCAAAGAACCATATCCCTGTCGGAACACACTACTACCCACTCTCGATCCAACTGGATGGGGCCTTACCTCCAACATTCAGTGGCAAACATGGATCCATTCGATACATCCTCTCGTCATCACTCCTCCGGCCGCTCTTCTACAGCGACATCAACACTGTCCAGGATATCGAAATTAAACGCTGTCTCGTCAGCGAGGAAGCTCGGAGTAATAATAACAACGGCTTTTCGACACAGTATCAGGATCAGCTCGATCTCGGTTCGCTGCTCGTGAACCAGCTTTCGAGGGCGGGAATCTCGGGTGCATTAGGCGATCAGTTGGACGATGCACATGCTGCGGACATGCCTATGGGTCCTACCACCATCACACATCACAACACCCACAGGGAGCTTCTCAGATACACTGCAACCTCCCCGCCTATCGCCCATCTGGAGGGCGGTCTCATCCACATCGACCTCACGCTCGAACCCCTTCCTCCTGGTTCCTACATTTACTCGATTGCGTACGGCCTCAAGGAAGTCATCCATTACAGGTCATCGGCTACCGGCAATCTGGCCGACAACAAGGCAGAGATTCTATACCCGATCGGACAACAAACGGTCATCATTCCCCGGGACCAGGAGCGTGAGCGATCCATGTCCAGCGCTGGCGCTGGAGCATCGACCCGTCAATTGCTGGAACTGCGACCTTGCCCTCTGCTCACCAACGTCGACACCATCACGCCGCTTATCGAGATTCATCATCGGATTACCTGTAATGTGGCGATTGTCTTGCCGGATCCTGTCCATCATCGCAACACCATCTCTGGGAACAGGAGTCCCAATGGCTTTGGAGGAAGAGGCGACTATTCGAATGATCAAAATGGGGGCGCACCCAGTGGGGGCGGGATCCTTCGACGACTCAACTTGACTCCGCAGCCTCTCACACCTAGCCTGAACCTTGTCGATTCGACCGGCACAGAGGTCACCAACAATGTTGTTCTTTTGGGCGAGCCCACGCACTCCATTATCGAGCCTGCACCGATGCCTGCAAGTGTCGAGTTGAACGATGCGCCACCTCCACCACCCACTTCGCAGATCGAGAGCACGCTGCTTGAGTTTCCCATCATCTTGACATCCCGGTACCCCTCAGTCAGGACACAAGTCGCACAACAACAGGCCGACACGTTGGCCGAGGAGCAGATTGTTCAAGATGCTGTGCACGGAGGCGAGAACGACTATGCGTACCAAACGTTGGGAGCCAGTAGTTATTCATCGTCACAGCTCACGGCACCAGCTCGTTCTCGCTTAATACCCGCCGGACCAACAGACAACCATAGCGCAGCAGCACCCGTTCAGCAGTTTGTTCACAACCAGGTAATCGCCCCTACCATCATCCCAGCCACTGGAACGACTATTCAGCCGATGGCGAATGGATCTCTGGCGGTGCCTTCAGCCATGTCGACATCTCCATCGTCCTCCGTCATGTCGTCCAGGAGTTCAACAGATAATTCAGGTGCAGACCAAGGACAGTCGTCTTCATCGTCTCGAGGGTCACCCGAGGTGTCGTCACACAGTACCAGCCCGACATCTTCAGACTTTGCAACCTCGTCGTCGTCCGATGGCTCACCTACGAATAATGTCAGCATCGGAGTTTCAGCTAATGTCTTGAGCGCGCCTCGTGGCCCTGCACGGAGCGGTATCAGCGATGGTCTCAGAGCCGCGGCCGCTGCCGCCGCTGCCCCACAGTCGGGGATCGAGTCAGTGACGACAAGTCCTTTGGCCTCTCTCTCGCGTCCCCCATCCTATGGCCGACCCACTGCCGCACTCCCCGTTCTTTCCGCACCATCACCGCCCCAGGATGAGTTGCCAAAGTACGAAGACGTGATGGTGTATGGAGGCAACAACAACACCAACAGCTGCGGCGGCAGCAGATCAGAATCCGGGTTAGGCATCACGATCCCTCGTTCTTCACCAATGTCCATGCCCATGCATGTGCCCAGCCGTGGAAGCCATTCTACTAGCCCTCAAGTTACCTTCAGCCCACAGTCGATTAGCATGTCTCACTCACCATTGCGACAGCAGATTTACAGGAATAGTGGTGGTCGTATTCTGGCCTCCCCACCGACCTCGAGCCCGATTTCGCCAGCGACAGAGGGCGCGCTCTCGATTGGTCGTGATGGACAACGGTCGAGTCCTCAGGCGATTCGGGAACATGGACATGGACATGGACATGGACATGCCCGGACAGGGTCTTCGACCTCCATGTTGCATTCAACGTCGTTGGCCAGAAGTCAGCACTCCAGTTCTGGATTCCTGTCATTGACACCTACCACCGCCGCCGCTACAGCTGCCACCACCACCCAACTGCAGTACTCTTTCCCGACTCAATCGCCCATCCAGCGTCAGGCCAGTATCGGACAGCAGCAGCGTCATCAGAGGCAACGGAGTGTAGGCGCCGCAACGATTATGGGATCGCTGGGTTGCAACGGAGGGTACCTTTCTCAACAGCCTGCTGCGTTGTCGATGTCGTCGTTTGATTGTATCAGTGCGGCGGCGGCATCGTCGTCCATCCTTGTATCCAATGCAGGCCGAGCCACCTCTCCGCCTGCCTATGTAGAGTAAAAACAAATAGCCCTTTTAGAATACTAATGTTTGATTTCTACCTACGCGAGTGATTTGCTAAAAGGCATAGGGTTTGACGATGATACTATATTAGCCACCTTACATTGTATGAATGGTAAATGTGTGGATCACCTTACAGTACGTGTGTAAGGTTGATACGCGCGACTGATAGAGAGGACGAGGACGCGTTTGATTGAGACAAGGAGAGGTTGCTTTTGATCCCTTGGTCGCTGATGACCATCCTGGGATGAGCGCGCTTCTATCAATGGTCATGGCTAAGCATTGTCACTCACCAGGAGAGAGAGGTATAAATACCCCACTCTCTTCCCCACTTTCTTTCCTTTTCCTTTCTTGCTTCTTTCCTTTTACACTTTCTTTCTTACATACTTTTCTTTCTATCTCACTATCCCGGCTCTCCTACCTTCTCACGCCACGACCTCCGTGTGATTCAAGGCCCGCCACTCTCGCCCACCCATCTAACACCCGAGTCGCCACGGAGGAAGACATAATCACCACCAACGCCCGCCCTCAAAATATGGAAACCCACCCTGCAACGAGTCCGAAAGAAGGAAGAAGAGGGACAAAGAGACGTGAGGTATAATAGAAAAAAAAGGATGTATTGGAACATATATGAGCTCAAGTCCTTGGGGCTTTTGTATCAGATTTCTGGAGATTCCATTTTTCTTTCTCTTTACCCCACAGTGCCACGCGCACTGAAACCGCGTCAAAGAAAAGCCACAGTTTGGGCACATCCTTCTCAACCCTCAATGGAAGGTCTATTTCCGGACATCTTTGTTTCTTGACATCTCACGACCCTTTTGTCTTTAGCATCCCGTCCTACATCAGCTTACATCGACCCTCTTGTTCCGTCAACTCCACACTTTCTTCATTGACCTTAACGCAAACGCCTATTGCACGTATTGTTCAGCTCTTCAGCGCACAAGTGAGCCCAGGAAACTCGCTCATTTCACCATCGCAGGTCCACCTCTTCCTCCACCTCTCCCACCTTTTACACGCCCTCTTCACGGCACCCACGACAAACACCCCTCTCACTACCCACCACATACCCATACTTCCCTCAATGGAGCCAAGGATACAACGTCAAGGCTCGTCATCCTCGCGAACACGCCCTTCGACTTCCCAGTACACCTCAGTCTCTTTCTTCGGATCCACGACCAGTCGCCTCACAAACGACAGTCTCTCGTTCTTGAACAGATTAAAAGAGCGGCTACCAGAACATGTGCAGCCCTATTTCTGGTTAGGGTTGTGGTTTGGAAGTGCGGTATTGATCATTGGGCTGGTGGTTGGATTCCATTCAAAGATCTTTTCTGCTCTGCAGGCTCTAGCGGATTTTATTAAAGGATTAGGGCCTTTGTAAGTAACTTTTTGTGTTAGGGTGGGCAGTGATATTGGATAAAGAGAGAGAGAGAGAGGTGTGGCACTGTTTGTGGGAAAGGTGTGATGGAAATGGTGGGTATTGGGATATCTTTATCTGATACTGACAAGTGTTAATTTTGATGAAACATTGGGATAGGGGTCCACCGGTGATCATGATCTGCTTATTCGCGACGTCGTTCCCTCCCGTCATCGGATACTCCTCCATCGTCACCATGTCCGGTATGATATTAACATGATGCACAACTAACTTCTGACAAAAAATACAACAATTGCAAGCCAAAAAAAAAAAGTAGCTAACCCCAGACAAGCGACTGCATGACTTTCACTTAATTAGGATATGTGTACGGATTTGTGTTTGGGTTTGTGGTCGCGTTTACAGGAGCCATGGCGGGATCGATCGTGTGTTTCTACTTTTGTCGAAGGTGGTTTAAGGGCCAGGTCCGGAAACTCATGGCAAAGAACAAGAGTCTCAAAGGAGTCGTCAGAACGGTCGAGAAGCGCGGTTTTCGGGTACGCTCATCTGATCTCTGTGCACCATGACATCTACAACTGTTGAAAATGGTCGACAAGTACGATTTTTTTTTCATGAAACTAACGCTCTATCATGTCTGCAAATTTCACAATGCCTAGTTACTGGTGCTGATCCGCTTGGCGCCGTACCCTTTCAATGTCATGAACGCTATTCTATCCGCGACACATATCCCGCTTTCGACCTACATTGTCGCAACCGCCATCTCACTCACCAAGCTGGCACTTCACGTCTATATCGGATCGACACTCTCAACACTCACAGGAGGCGATGGAGACGACACGGACCCCGAGAAGGATCCCAACAATCATGGAAAGCGAGTCAAGGTCTTTATTATGGTCATGGGCATCATTCTAGGAATTGGCGTTGGAGCGTATGTTTGGGCGGTGGCGAAACGAGAGATTGCGATTACCGAAGCTGCGAGGATGGAACGCCGACAGCGGAGGAGACGAGGTGGTAGGAGAGGAGGAGGAGAGGGTCTGTCGGCAAATGGTGGAGATGGTGGGATTGAGTTGAGAGATCAGCATAGTGGGTATATCCCAGATGTTGATTTAACGAATCGACACTCGGTCGATGGGTTCTTTTCTGGAGCAGCATCAGGAAGAGGGGGAGAGGGACAAGATTTGTCGGATGCCAACCATTTTGTTGGAGGAGCTGGTAACGAAAGCGGTCGGTATCAGGACTATGAGGATGATGGAGACGACCATGAAGGCAACTTGCTTTTTGGAACTGGAGGGCAATCTCAACAACAGCGGTCACAGCAACATGGAGAATGGAGGAATGTTGGAGCTGCTAGTGCTAGTGCTAGCCATACCGACTCTTCAACAGATTCTGATGAGTCAGACTTCTTTGACGATTCTGAAGACGAGGATGATGAAGGAGATTTGGAGCGAGGGTATGGACTAGGACGTGACCTGGATGGCGGCGATAGGACAGGCGGCAGAGGTGGTGGTGATGGCTATGGAGAGGATGATGGTAGGTTTGGAGAAGGGGAGGACGAGGCGTTGGATTTCTCGGCGCATCATGCAGGACTTGTCGATTCACCTTGGCAGGATGATAATGATGAGGGTGGTGAGGATGATAGGCTTGATCTTTTGGGCGGTGAGGAAGAGAGAGGAGGAAGTGAGACGCAAGGACGATAGAGGAAGGAGATAGCAATAAGAAACCGAACTTTCTTCTTTCTAGAACTGGTATTTTTTTGTTGTTTTTTTCATGCCACAAAACGCTTATCGGTCAAAGAGTAACGGTTGGATCCACCCCATCGGTGGTACATCCATCTTACTAATTCGCCTGCTTCTCAGCTCTCTTTTACAGGGGAAGGAGTCTTATTGGAGTGAATCGCGCCTCTTTCACTGTTTATCCTCTCGCTCGTATTTCTTTTGTTTGTCGTAAAAACACTTAACCTGGAAAGAAAGAGAGACAGAGCTTTGCTCACGATCAGACCCCAGCCCATCGGGGGGCTGAACATTACGCTTTTACCTCTATCTCTGGAGACATGTACGCCAAAATCGCCAGCCCTGCAGGGGACTAAAAGGAGGGGGGGGGGGGGGATGATGGTATGCACGCGTTCGTCTTTGTTTTTTGTCTGTTTGTTTGGAGTTTAGGTTTTACTCCATGGACCATTTGAACCAACTTAATTTCCGTTCCTGCCTAATCGTTTTCATTCTGCTGCAGCTGCTTGTGTTTGGTGGTTACAGTTGGAGGCGATGGGGGATGGTGTACGCCAGGTAGCTGAAAAGTGAAGTGCTATTTTTGGGATTGCGAATGAAGGAATGGCAAGGGAGGAAGTACAAGTTGCGTATTTGAATGTCTTTTGTCCATGTTTTTGTTTGTGTGTTGTTTGATGGCACTTGTGTCTACATGTTATGTCGACCTTCTACCCCTGGCTCGTCTCAGAAACAGGCACGGTCGTCATTTATGTTGAACTGAGAAAAGGTGAAGATGGAGAAAGGGTGTGGAGAGGCACAGAATGAGCGTCGTGCGTCGAAAAAGAAGAGGAGAGCGAAGGAAAAAAAAACAAGAGCTGTGAGCGTGGTGAGAGGAGGAATGATGCTCACTCTTCTATACTTTATTCCTAGAGACAATGCACAGCAGACTTTTAGAACAAAAAAAGGAGGCAGAGAAGAAGGGAGGAGGAGGGGTGTAGGAACGAGCACGGGTGAGTTCAGGCTGCTGTGTGCTTCATCCACGACAAGCTGGCAGAAGATGAAAAAGCCAATAGGGAAGAGAAGGGTAAAAAATAGTAGAGGTAGAATACCAGACTGAGGCGTGGTCCAGGCAAAGCAAATGCAATTGCAAACTGAAGTGGACGAAAATGAAAAGAGAGGATGCAGCCTATGAGCAAGAGGTGAACTGTAATGATGGCGAGGGTGGGATATGAATCAAGCAGAGATTGAAGGAAAGGGAGAGACGGGATAAAGGGACAAGCGTTGATTGCTTCTTTAGTCTGCTTTGTTGGATGAAAGAGATGAACTTGCAGTTTTGTTTTGGTCAGCTGCTTTTCGTTAATGAAAGGAAAGGAAGGGCATGCATGAACCTTGCCTACATTCTCTCGTTCTTTGTTTTCTTTATTCATTAAATTACCCTCTCTCTTTCTTTCTCTTTTTACCGCGGACAGATGCTCATCAACAAGGTTAATTGCTCTAATGAGAAAAAGAGACCCAAGCGCACATCATGCCCTGTCCTCCTCTTTTTAATTTCCTTCATTTACAATCGTTTGGCCATACCCTATTCTCACCCACTCGCCCTTCCCTTGGTTCATATGTGCCGCCCATTGAAACTCTTATCGAGAATTGAATTGGAAGTGGACGAGGAGGAGGAGGGAATGTCTGGATGCTTATGCAGGAGGCTCGCCACATGTCGTTCCTGAAATTGAAAAAACGTGGAAAAGTTTAATTTCCGCCGAGGATTGTTTTGTTTTTTTTAGTCCTTCGTCCTTTTGTCCCTCTCTACCTGTTATTTCTCTCCATCTCTCTCGTTCTCAGCCCTGGGCGTAGACTTCCATTCATTGTTGTTGATGTTCAGCTAATCTAACTTCCAAGTGAGGTCATTTCAGTGCACTTTTCTGTCATCTTCTCCAATGGAACACCAAAGATGAAGGAGGTGAACGTTCTGGAACGCTCAACAAACAAGAAACATAACACCTAGAGGTACCAGTCAACTGCACCTTCCCAGCCAACTACCACTACCAACAACTAGTATGTAGTACGACCAAGCAGCTACAACTGCGACAGCAACTATGTACTCACAACGACGCCTACGAACAACAACAATGACGCGAGTTGGTGCATAGTTTATGCATTCTCGTCTTGGTTGTTTTCCCTATCAAACCCGGATGGTCCACTTCTTGAAAGGCTAGATACAATCTCACCGTGATTGACGTTTTTCACAATGATAGATCGTCTTAACAAAAAAAAAACATGGATGAAAATAGACCCTTGTCCTTATTTTCTAGAAGACAATAGGATGAATTGCACTGAGGGTATCATATTGTTTGTTAGGTTCAAATCGTCGCTCTCCTTCTATCCTCTGTCAGAAGCAATTGGACCATCCGAGGAGTCAGTGACCGGTGCTTACCCTATTTTTGTCTATTGTTTTCCCTCACAGTGACCACTGGCGCCGATGGTACTGTTTCAGTATTCATGCAAATAGCAATATGAGCCCAGGAGTAGTGCTGGAAACAGGGGTTGATAGCGAGCATTGCCTAACGTTTTCGGTCATGTTCTCTCGTCTCTATTGTTCTCTCAACTTTGTTTAATTTAGGTCCTTACAAACAGGTGCTATGCACAAATGGTGACCATAAATAACAACAGGCAATGCAACTCTGGTTTTGTCCTCAAGGAGGAGCAAAATTGCATAGACATTTGCCTGGTCATTCGGCACCAGGGGAGGAATCCAACTAATATCCGTTTGCCCCTCTGTGGTTTTCGTTTTATTACGATTAGTGCGAGACAATAGGCGTGGAGAAAGGGAAGGACGATGAGAGTCAAGAAATGGAGACGAGAAGTGGGGAATGGTAACGACAGAACGGTGAGAGCCGCGGGGAAATGTAAACTGTCTCGTTAACATCGCCCTGCTGATACTTTGTTTTTTCTTTGCAGGAAAAGACTAAAGTGAATCGATGCAATTAGTTTTCATTAGAGAATGATCCGCCTCTTTCACGTTCGAAATGAATAACACCATGTTTTTGTTATTTGTAAACAAAATGAGTTGTAATAATAGCAACCGTAACACAGTTCTGGACTAGTGAGAGGTGTGGAGGAGGAAGAGGAAGAAGAGGAGGACGAAGCGTTCCATTCCGGAGCTCATGGTTCGAAGGAAGGATGGGTGAGAGGGAAAAGAGAGAAGGAGAAAGAAGACGAGAGAAAGAGAGAGAACAGCGCAATATATTTTGGTGGCACAAGGACAAACAGAAACAACGGTTGAACTTACTTTTTTTGCCTCCCTGTCATTGTCCTTCTTCCCTCTGGTTCCTTTTGCTCTCGCACCCTCCCACTCTCTCTATTCTCTCCTTCTCGCTCTGTCTCTCTCCTTCTCTATCTCTCTCTCTCTTTCATACACACTCTCATTCTAATTAACCCCTGGTTTTATCATTCTTGCATGAAGGCCCACTTGTTGGAGAGCAGAGCAAAAGAAGTTCTTGTGGTAGGTTGCTGTGATGTCTTTACATTGTTTAGTTTCTAGAATAACGCGCCAGTTGCAATTGAACACAGCGAGAACAATCGCGAGCCAGGTAGGATTGCATTGCTATGTTTGTTATTCTTCTAATTGTACATTCGAGGCGGGAGAGTATTATTGTTCTATTTCTTCCTTCCTTGGAGGCTTGGTAGCGTTGATGTTATTTTTGGCGGGATATGTATTCTGAATACAAGAAAGAGGGGGGTTGAAGAATAGGGCGGTAAGAGTCAATGACTGATAACAAGAACTCTTACGTGGAATTAGTGCAGCAGCTGGGAGTGAAAGGGACAGCACTGAGAGGGAAACAAAGAGAAAAACAAAGAAATGGCCAGACAGGAGAAGGGGGAGGGAGGAAGGATTAAAAAAAAAAGGACGTGGACATTGGTTGTGCGTGACCATTTGATGCTCTCAAGAGAGTCGGAGGCGACTTTGACGCGCTATTGTTTTCGATCCGCCAATAAAATTGCAGGACAATGCGACCATAGCTCAACTTGTCATTCAAACGCAAACGATGTAAACAAACCATCGACAAACGACTTCCCCCCAGCGACAATGCATAACAACATAGACACTTTTTGCACACATACAGTACAAGCACATAGTGCCATCTTGACTCGAATACAATTGTGTTGGCACCAATGGTGCTTGGCTAGGTAATTAAATGAGGGGAAAGAAAGGATGAGGATGGAGATGGTTCTGACACACAGTCTATCCCTCCATCATAGTGCTTGATTTTATTATTCTGCTTGATTGAATACCCATTGGCAGGGCCGTATTGTCCATCCTCTTGTTGTTTGTCTTCAAGTATTGTTTGTTTTGTTTTGTTCTGCGGTTGCGAGTCTAGTTGTTGTTGATGTTGTTGTTGTTGTTGTTGTTGCTGTTGCTGTCACCGCCAGTGCCATGCCAGTCTTCTTGTCCTGTCTCCTTGCTCATTCACCCCTGTTGTTGACCCCCATATTCAATTGCATAGCCTTCAATTGTCGATATTCAATCAACAAGGGGCTTCGCCTTTCATATAAAACCCCCTCGATCCGCACTTCTTTTTATTCCTCTTCATCATCATTGTCATTCTCAAGCTCATAGACCAGCATACCTCTTTCCGTTTCTTCTTCCCTCACTCTCATCCCCAGTTTCATTCGATTCATTTTTCACGACAACATCTTTCCAATCATTACCGCCAAACAAAGCAGACCTGGACATCTCATCTCTCCCCTCTCCCCCACATCCCCCTTCCCAAGACACAAATAGATTCTCATTATGAACACCCCTTTGATGCACACTGCACCCACTTTCCACGACGTGACCTCCATGTTCACTCCTCTTTCCCTCTCTCACCCATTGTCTGCTTCGTCTATGATGGAGTACACCAGCGCCATGTTCCCCGAGAACAACCTCTCATCCCCCACACCCAGCATCGAACACACCCTGATCGCACCAGAACTGCGTTCAATGTCTCATTTTCACGAGGTCGAACACAGCTTGCAATCATACGCACCCACAAACCCTGTCACTACTACAGACCACAGCTCGCCCTCATCCCCATTCCTGCATGAGCTTCACCTCGCCAGCCCGGAACATCACCACCACCAATATCATCATCACCACCACCACCCTCCGTACCAGCCCACCTCAGCCTTTCAGGATCTCGGGGAGGCCCAACACTTGTCTATGCTGCAAGATATGATGCACCAGAGCTCCGGCGCTGCTTCAAGTAGCTCTTCCGACGTCCTCACATCTGCTGCTTGCGCTTTCCATACAACGATGCGAAGAACCCAGAGCCTCGAGTCCTTCTCCCCAGTGACCCGTCACATGAACATGACCTTGTCCATGGCGAACGCGATGGTTGCCGATGATTACCAGCCAGGCTCTCCCTATGTCGGCGCTTGCATGCCTATGGAATCTAAATTGGTTGAGGGCTACAGCGCGGATTACACTGGCCTGCTCCACCAGGATACCTTCCAAATGCCTCCTACATCCATGGCTTTCGCCGACGATCAGTTTGGTTCATCACTACCCTCGGCCGCCTCGTCGACCTTGCCATATATCTTCCAACCCCTCTTCACCCCAGCATTCTCAGCAGGCTCAAGTTGCTACTCCCCCGCCATCTCCACCTCCAGCCCCTCCATCGACAACATGAGCATCACCATAGATGACAGTGGGAGGACAACACCAGCCACTCCCTACATCAACCATAATACCTACTACAAGAGTGACTATGACTCTGACATCGACGACATCTCTTGCAACCAGAATCACAACCAGACCTCGAACCATAGTCGCCAATCTAGCCTGGAACCCAGCGCCGATGTTTTCTCTGACACTGATACTCCGAACGATCCCAGTAACAGCGACGATTGTGGTGAGGATGACGACGGTACCAGCGGCTCCGGAAAGACCTTCACCTGCTACTTTCCCGACTGCAACCGCAGTTTTGGTCGCTCCTACAACCTCAAGGCTCACGCTTTGACCCACGGCGACCACCGACCCTTCCCTTGCCGCCTCTGCCGAAAGAAGTTTGCTCGGATCCACGACCGAGACCGCCATATGAGCGTCCACAGCGACGAGAAGGCCCACTGCTGCATTGTCTGTCTGGGACGGTTTGCACGACAAGACGCCGTGATCCGCCACTTGAAGTTGTCGAACGAGATGAATCCATGCTCGTGGATCCTCAAGTCCCAGGGTATCACCTTCCGAGATGTTGCGGCTGGGCGAATCAACCGCAGATCGTTAGGCACGGACGAGGATATCGTGAAGGCTGTTGAGGCGTTGGAGAACGAGGTCCGGAAGGGGAAGGCGGCGCGTGCACTTGAACGTATGAACATTCCCAAGGCCCGGAGCAAGTAACACCATCTACAACACGTACATTAGAAACTAGAAGAATACTGTAGAAAACCCAATAATGTATCCTGCCTTTTTACGCGAACGAAATCACGACTGTTTTTGATTGGCTAAGCCACATACAAAAAATATTCATAACAGCACTGTTGATGCAAAACGGTGCAGGACACTCCTTTTCTTCACTCTTACTCACAACACACACACACATCACAATGGACTACGATGACGAGGACAACGAAGGCGGCTATGGCGGCTACGGGTACGCAAGCGGACTAGAGCGATAAACAAGGGAGAAACGAGCATCCACAAATAAAAGAGAGCAGAAGTGCAGGTGGAAGAGAGTGACAATGGGTGTTTATGCATTAGCTCTGCAGGTGTAGTAACCAACAACAAAGCACTGACCCTCCACAACCATTTTTGCTTTGTTCATTTCTCATAGAAACGAGCCCGAGGAGGATACGGAACACGACATGGACGAGGAGCAGGAGGGTGTATGTATTTCTCTCTCTCTCCCTTGCTTTATATCCACTTGTCGTGATGCACAGGACTCAGGACAGCAACAACAAGCAACAAAGGAGGGGCACCCTGACTAACCTGAGCCGTGGTTGTTGACTTTATGTTATTCTTGTAGGATGGTTTCCACAACAAGGTTGACTTCAACAAGCCTGTGAAGGCGAACCTCCCCGCTCCCAAGGCTGTCGCCAAGGAGGATCGCACCACCACCCCTTACATGACCAAGTACGAGCGGGCAAGAATCCTGGGCGCTCGTGCTCTTCAGCTCAGGTATGAACGCCATTCCCCGCAGCCAATTTCGGCTACATCATTCCGCTGCAGATAAGCAATAGAGTCATGTGGCCCGAACCATCGACAGCGAATTTTCTCACCAACAAAAGGTCTTTTACTTTTTGACTGATTTGTAGCATGAACGCACCCGTTTTGGTCGATCTGGAAGGCGAGACCGATGCCTTGAACATTGCCATGAAGGAGCTCAACAACAAGATGATCCCTCTCGTTGTGAGGAGATACCTTCCCGACAACACATACGAGGACTGGGAGGTCTCAGAGATGATCTTGCCTTAGAAGTCTCTTGCTCCTGACCCACAGATCCTTAGTTGGAAGTGCAAGAAAACAAAGAAAAGGCGAAGTCAATCGGAACAAAAAACACACGCCACACACTCGCAAAGAAACACCCCCACACCCATCTTTAGCATCGGAACCAGATAACAGACAAAACACAGTTATGGAGTCCAATCTTTTTTTTTTTCTTTTTTCTTTTCTCTGCAAAGTAACATCGCAGCTGCAAAAATCTCAAAAATGAATAAAAAATGAGTAGCAACCCCAGAAATAACCATGACCCATGCTTGTTGTGAGCAACAAAAAAAGTGCCGTGCAAAAGCGCACCTGATTCACGTGACCTGAAACGTCTATTTATTACACGCTCGACATATATTGCCTCCAATTTTTTCTTTTCGTCTTCTCCATTGCTCCCATCACCCTGCTCTCGTAAGAGGTTCATTCTCGCATCAAAACCCAAAGCATACACCCAACACGAGCCATTTAGACATGTGGGAAGCAGGAGAAACAGTGACAGCTCAGGGCGTAGCCGTCTACCGCAAGCGACCTGGCATTCTGTACTTCACCAACCGTCGTTTGGCCTGGGTTCCTGACGGAGGCTTGGCCCCCACAGTCTCTGTCAAACACGACGAAATCAGAGGTATGTTGTATTCACAACAGATCCAGTTCACTGAATTGGCCATGGTATTTGTGTTAGGGTATGTGGTAAGCATCCGTCAGAGTGCTGACCGGGGATCATCACTTTCCATTATATTTCTGTGTAGTTCAATATGTCAGTCAAGAAGGTGCGGCAAGTACAACCATGCGAGTAGCCGAGTTCAAGCCGGATGTCAAACACACCTTCCAGTTCACATCAAATACCGCTATTCAAGAACGGGAGGTGATCAAAGGCCTCATATCGCGCATTATACACGACCGACTCCTTCGAGCCAGCGGTGGAGGGGCATTATCGGTAAATGGGACACCAGGACCTTCGGGAGGATCGGGAGCTTCACCGGCCGCGTCTTCAGTCATGTCTGATGCCAGTGCTCCAGGAACTCCCAAGGCACCACTTCAGGCAAGGATGGGAGGACCAGGACCTGCTGGACTTCGGAGAGGCGTCAACGGAGCTGGAGGTGTAGATGTGGAGATGCAGACGCGTCGGGCGTTGCTCGCTCAGAACAGGGAGCTGTCGCTGCTTCATACAGAGCTGGTTGTGGGGAAACATATCTCCGAGAATGAGTTCTGGGAGACGCGGAAGAGTCTGTTGCGGAACAAGGCTGCGATCGATCAGCAACAGAAGGGTCAGTCGTCGGCTTGGTTGGATTTGAAGCCACAGACGGGCGAGAGTAACGATGTCAAGTATGTAATGACGCCTCAGGTCATTCACTCTGTCTGTCAACAATACCCCTCTAGTAAGTCTCGAATGACACCACTGCTTTATTACTTGCATCGAGATACAAGAATGTATGTATGCAACAACTGACACCGATATTGTTTTTGGTATATATTCTAGTCAAGAGAGCCTATGATCAGTTTGTGCCTGACAAGTTGTCAGAGGCAGAGTTCTGGAAGCGGTATTTTCAATCGAGGTTCTTCCACAGGAGTCGTTCAGGACGAGGCGCCAACGAACCTGACGACGAAATCTTTGACAAAGCTTTGGAGGAAGACGAGGAGGAGACCAGGAGTGCGCCCAAGCGTATCAAGCTGGATCACATCAACCGACTGGTGGATTTGAGTACGACTGAGGAAGACCACTTGGAGTCCTACCTGACTCCTGATGGAACCATGAATGCTGGAAAGACGAAGGAGTCCAAAGAGGCGATGCCGCTGATCAGGAGATTCAACCGTTACGCTCAGCGTGTTCTTAACTCTACTATCGGTCCCAAGCGACCTTTTACAGGAACTGATTCTCTTGATGTAACGCATCATTGACGGCTGCTGACTGCACTGTGGTAAATCGAAGCGTCCCAGGATAATATTGTTTGTAGTACTAACATCTAGTTTTTTGTTCTTCGCATATGTAGATGAGCGGAGTGGAGCGATCTATTGTGATGGAGGACCTTCAGGAGCAAAAGGAGTCTTCGAAGATTATACTAAACATTCAGGACACGAGGCGCTACTTTGAGAGTCAAGGAGGTGACGTGAAGAGTAGCAAGATTCCTGATGGCGTGGTAAGTCGCGCCTGCCTTTTTATTTATTCGAACGCTGTTTGCATCATTCAATGCCAATATGCTCAACTGACCTTTGTTTTCGATCGTTTTTGTCCCTATCTCTATAGGACCCGGAAGACATTTTAAAGCAGTTTTACCGCGACTACACATCTCATGAAGTCGTCCTGAACAAGGTACAGAGACTGCTCACCTGTATACTTTTTCGCATTTTCTAGTGAAGATTAGCAGCATGTTATAATTTGTTCCGCAAGTACTAACAATACCTTTCGTCACGCCACACCTTGCAGCCCTTTGCAATTCCAGAGAATACATTTGATACGCTCATGCGAAACGTGAAAACTAACCGCGCCAAACTACTGCCACCCAAAGACGGATGTAGGTTTGCATCAAAGCATTTTTTTTTCTTGTTCGTTTCTTGGCTCTTTGAAAGGAGTTAGCCGTCGCGTCTCCCACTATGAAACGGACTCGTTGCTCACCACATATCATTCTTCATTTCCAGCGCAATTGTTGCCTGCACATTTGTATCAGGAAGCACTCTCGTGCCATGCGGCCGGAAACGAGATCCTGCGACACTTTTGGGCGTCGACGAGCATGGACAAGGCCTCGAAGCACTTGCGAATGATCGAGTCATTGAAAAAGATTCGGGACGAGAATGTCAAGTCGTTGATGATCCAAGCCAGTTCCCTGGGAACGGATTGTCTAGACGCGATGAAAATGGTAAACGTCAACTGTCGATGTGACTTTTGGAATATACTGGAGCGAGGTGTTAACGACTAACATGTTTCTTTTTGTGTAATCATCTTACGCATAGATGTTGAAGCCGATGTTGAATGGTATCCAGAAGGCACTCAAGCACGCAGACTCGCGCCCCAAACCCCTTATCCGCAAGTTGGCATAAGAAAGAGAATAGCTGCTGACCAAAAAAAAATGTAAATAATTGAAGATGTACCTGCTGATTTTGTCTACAAATGAAAATTGGTGTTGTGTATTGTGTACGTTTGGGTGATAGATGATGAAGACTAGTAGAGCTTAAGCTTTCCAGTAATAGAGTTGACGACGCTGATGGGTCCGGGTCCGATGGCGAGGACTGTCCTTGAGCCAGCGGCGATCTGTGTCCTTCCTGCGTCGCGGATGGTGTGTGCTGCCAATCCAATGCTCATTGCCTGCGCTTGCAACATCAACCTGTAACAAATATTATGTCTCTGAGTTAGTGGCTGCTATGGTTATTTGCGACTGGGATGAGTACGCATGCGGATGAGGATACCGGATGATACTTACATGTCTTCTTCGTTGTCGACCTTGAGAGTCACCTTTGCCTGACCAAAATACTCCCAGCGTGCGAGGGTCTAATTTGGAAAAAGATGACCGGATATGTACCCTGCGTGAGAAAGCGATCATATATCAAGATACAGAATCAAACAAAAGAGTAGTATTGACGTTTACCTTGGGGCCGCTCTTGCTGAGCTCCTTGTAGTTGGCAAGCGTCGCGTGACAGCACTGGGCGGCAGCTTTTCCCTTTCCCATGGCCAAGTCCGTTCTAATGACCAGGACCTATCACAGACGGGAAAAAAAGAGACGGGGGCATCGTGCGATAAGTATCGTGGCCCTTTCCTTGTTCCTGTTTCAGCTACTGCAGAAGTGGTGACAACGTGCCATGAAAAGGAGATGACTTCAGCAAGGCTTACCATCTTGTATTCCTCCTGAAGATCAAAGTCGGCAAGATCCTCGTTCTCCTCATCCTCAGTATCTTCGTCCTCTTCGTCAGTGAAATCCTCGTCGTTCTCAGAGTAGTTCTCTGAATCCTCTTCAACCACGTCCTGATCCTTCTTGGTGTGCTTGTTGTTGTTGTCCTTGGATTTCTTCTCCTCTGCTTTGTTGTTGGTGCTCGTCTTCTTTTCTTCGGTGGCGGTGGCCTCCTTGCTCTTGTGCTTCTATTGATCATTGTGATATTGTTAATATAGTTGCACTTTTTTTGTTTCTGACCTTTCGCCACCAATTACCGCATAAACTATGAGAAATAATAGGCTTTCTTACGAGCGCAGACTGAGAGAAGAAGTAGCCGGTCAAGAGTCCAACTGCTCCGGCAGAGAGCACATGTCCGAGGGTGAATGACTTGTCCATTTTTGCGAATGTGGAGGGTGAAGAGGAAAGAGAAGTGAGAATGAATGCTTGAACAAGTTGGTGCCTGAAACTTTCAGCTCTCCAGCCCTTTTGACAAAGCCACAATATTTTCGCACTTTTTGGAGAATGGTGGCGCACGGACGCCTCCACTTGTCTCCACTTGTGTCGTGCTGCAAGGCCGTTTTTTTTTCAAGGCAGATCGAGTCATTGGTATGCAGAAGCTGTACGCCGCGCACGTACTTTCTTTTTTGCCCTTTGGGTCAAGTGAACCATTCCTTGGCTCGATATTTTTTGCAGGGATCCGCAGTTTTTTTTCAGTCCCACTTATCAAAGCGCGGATCGCTGCTCAATTTCTACCCTTGTGTCAGGATTGATAGGAAGCATCCATTTTTCCGAATGGCAATCTTTTTTAGTTTATCGTTCATAGCTGCTACCAGTTGAATTATGCGAGGCACCGAGGCACCAGGTCCTTCTCCAGGGGCACCGTGAGTTCGCGCTGGGAGATTATGACCCTTTTTGACTTCGTTCTTGATATGATACACGTGACCACAAAGTGACGTCATAGAAATTTTTCTTGCAGAGAGCAATAAAGGCCGATAGGGCAGAGCAGGAAAACTTCTTCTCAAACCCAGTTACATCGTCAAGCCAGCCAACAAACTCATCCAGCCAACACCTTCCCCTTCTTCTTCCAGTCTCTCTCCTTTCCACCCTTTTCAACAGTAACCATCTTTATGAGTAGCGCAGCGAACGCCAAGGTAACAACAACAATGACACGCACAGGATCGCTCGGCGTTCTCTCCACAGCGATAAGGAAATACAAGAAAATAAAGTCGTGTGTGCGGGGCAGAAAATAAAACAAAAAAAAATAGACCCAAAATATCAGGGGAGAGTGATCTGCTCAGCTGTGTTAGAACTGATCAACAGAGATGGACATACATACACACATCAACCACGGAACACCATTGGAGACACACACACATACCACATACACATACTATACACAACAAACAACAAAGCAAGTACCCGATGACACCCTTGTTGCAGGAAACAACTCTCCTCGCCCCGCCATTCCTCTACTGCAGCAACATCTGCAAAAGGATTATAGATGGCAAAGAGGAGAGATGGACATTCCTCTCCCTTTGTCCAAACAAACAAAAAGAAAACGAGGGGTGCTACGTTTTGCAGGAATACCTGCGGATGTCTCTCCTTCTTGAAGATTGCTCCTCTCTCCTCCCCAGCAAGTCAACTACTCAACAAGCCAGCTCTCGCCAGACGCGCGTGACACATATCTTCAGTTATACGACCAACTCCAACACCAAAAAAAATGGCGCATGGACCGCCCCTTGTGAATCCAAGGGGGCTGGACTTTTTTTTAATGTTTTGGTCTTTCCCCCCTGCTTCATCCGCCTTTTTGGTGTTTGGCCCGGAAGCTTCTTTATGCAGGACTCCTTCACTTTGCCACTTTGTCAATCTTTGTCAATTCATGCTTCTCCTGGGAATAGTGGCGTTATTTCTTGTGAGTAATCCCATCACTAACACAAGATCGTTCTTGTTGCCGTTGTTTGTTCCAAATTTATAGCCCGTCCTTCAAGGTGTCAAGATCAGACCTCGCAAGGTACGCCGAGTTTTCTTTCTTTTTTGCGACTATCCAATCTGGCAGCAATTGAGCAACTGAAAAGTTGTACCAATGGCTCCGCATATTTTGACACCGCCTCCTTGTTCTTATAATCGACTGAACTGACAGAAAACCATTTATTTGTATTTTTTGTTTATAACCAATAGGGAGTTCAAAAGGCCACAGCCAAGTTTGAACCCACTGGTAACGTATTGCATACCATTGAGCAAGGGGCGACTTTCTTTTCTTTCTTCTGCGGGATCGGACTACTAGGGATCAGTTCAGGACGGGAGAAAAGAACGAGTCAATGCAACATCCACACCACACAAACTGACCTGGAAAAACGTTATATTTTTCTTTCTATCTCTGGTTTTTGATCTGCGTCGCCACTAGTTTTCCGTGACGCATTCATTAGCGTGCTTTCTGCAGCTGCCCCAGGCAACCTTGACGAAATCTCTGTAAAGTTGGATGCCGCAGGCAACACTCTTGAGTACAGACGCTACGCCGAGACTCTCTTTGAAATTATAATTGCTGGTCGTCTCCTTGGTAAGCACTTCCTATTCCTTTGACAATTCGCCGCAGTTAAAATCATGCTGCTCTTTTTTTTTCTTTTTTTTTCTTTTCTTTTCTCACCGTGTACGAGTGGACTTACTTGACCAAGTGACTAATCTTGACCCCACCCTACTTTATTTCCATCACATCTGTTATGAATGGAAAATAGCTCCCGGTGGAACTTTTCTCGAGGACGGAACCCCAGCCAGCCCTTTCAGTATCTTCCAGGCCGAGGATGACCTTGCCAGCATCAGGAAGCATGTGGATGTGTTCCACAAGCTTATGCGCCGCTACAAGTACTTGCAGCGTGGCTTCGAGGATACCCTGATGAACCTTCTTCAGTACATCAACAAGTTCACCCCCGAGGACACCAACAAGCTTGCTATGGCCACTGGCCTCTTCTGCTCGTCTGGTCTCGCCACCTTGAACGTTCTCTCTGTCTTGTTCAAGGAGCACTTGGTCAAGGAGGGTAAGTTTTAAAACCAAAAGAAGGCATATACCCCTTTCATGCTTATACTTGGATCAATGATCTCAGGAGATAGGAGACATAGGAGACAGAAACAAGAGAAAAATGATGAGATGGGATGGGTTATTAACCTCATTTGCATTCATTTATTACTTGTTAGGTCTCTCCCTTCAGTTTGTCACCACTGTTTTCAAGACCTACTTGATTGACCAGAACGTTGACCAGTTCGGTCTCAACCTTTACAAGGCTGGTATGAGCGACCGTCTCTTGGATTTCTTCCCTCCCAACAAGCGTGACGAGGACAGCTTTGCTCGCCACTTTGAGGCCGAGGACATGAAGCAGTTGGTCACCTTCCAGACCAAGAAGCAGCTCATCTTGCGCAAGGAGAGCGTTATCGAGAACGTCAAGAACCTTCTTGAGGAAGGCAAGATCCCCGAGGTAAACATCTTTGATCTGGTTGACTGTTCATATATGTTGCACACAGGAAGTAGATCGCTCAAGTCCTCTAACATTCCTTTCAATTGGTGAACTGACAATGGATATAGTGCTTGACCTACTTGAAGGCTCAGATCAAGGAGAGCGGCTTGGCCGAGCCCGAGTTCATCCCATTGGTCTGGACAGGAGTGATGGCCTCTGTTGACTGGGGTACTCGCTCGGATCAGATCGACAACCAGATTTTGAAGCAGGTTCAGCAGTACAGCAAGCTGATCGCTGCCTTCTGCACCTCCCCCAAGACGGAGATTGCTTTGATGCAGACGATCCAGGTCAACTTTTACGAGGATGCTCGTTTCATCAAGCAGTTCCGTGCTGTTTCCCAGCTGTTGTACAAAAACGACGTCTTGTCTGAGAGCGCGATCCTCTACTGGGCCGAGAAGGGTTCCAAGACCCAGGGACGCACTGTCTTCATGAAGCAGATGGAGCCCTTTATTCACTGGCTCAAGAACGCCAGTGACGAGGAGGATGAGTCTGAGGACGAGGAGTAAACTCTGCCTCTTTCCTTTTCTCCACCTTTCACACCCTTACAGCGACACCATACTATCACCACCACCGCCATTATTTTTTCCAGAACAAAACACAAAACAACAACGCTCTTGTTCAAGCTACCAAAAAAAAACACGCAACACCAACTAGTAAGGATGGCTTCATTCATGAAGGGGTTATTCGTTGGCAGGGAACAGCGGAATCAGGATCTTTGTACAATATTTTCTTTGCCGTTTCCCACACATACGCACAAATAAATTGATTTTTCATACACATCTAGTACTTCCCGTTTGAAGTTTTGAACCAGAGAGTTTGAGAGATGTTATCGGAGAATGAAGTACAAGTTGCAGTAGATCGTATAGTTGAAACATAATTTTGCCGCTGGTCTAGGGAAAAATTCACGTAAGCGCTCGATATTAGAGATGACGTTGCAAGAAAAGAAGGCTAACACCTTCTTCTTCTCCCGCTTTGAGACTAATAACAATAATAGGAACAGGAGTACTTGCACAATCGTTTGTCTGACTCTTGTTGTTTGTTTACTTGCAGAAATATATTAGGGACGCCATTGAAGGGTGTTTTCTAAGTTGGTGTTGATTTGGCGGATGTGTGACGTGAGTTTTGAAGGTTGTACGGATGGTTGTTGGTTTTGTTGGTGGTTGGGAGTCGAAGGTTATGTACAAAGGTGTTGCATATTTTTGTGATTTTCTTCCCAGGGTCAATTGAGAGGTTATGGGGAATGGGGGGGGGGGATCTCTCGTTGTTGTTGCAGGTGGTTCGGAGATGTCCTCCTTCGCCCGGTCGAGTGTAAAAGTAGTGATTTGTTTGTAACTGTTGTTTCTGTCGAAGTTGTTGTTGTTGCGCTGCTATTGCTGGTCGTTTACTACCGCAGTTTTGCCCAGGGGAACTACACGCGTTTGCACTCAAGTGCAGTCTCCTTAGGATCGATACTCATGGTACAAAAGAAGCCTTGCTCCTGCATGAAGGTAAACATCTGCTTGGCCTCAAGGGCTTGGAACTTGACACAGGATTTCTGGCCGTTAGGTTCGATACGACAGATGCCCTTGTTGGTGCCCAGGGGTTCGACCATGTAGACTGTGTTGGGCTTTGTGAACTGGGTGAGCATGGCCTTCTCGGACTCGACGGCTGCTGGGTCGTTTTGGGCTTTGGGGTTTGCGGCGTCCAAGGTTGAGCTCATGTTTTCAGTATGTGTTGTTGTAAGGGTTTGTTGTAGGGTTGAAGGTGGTGGTGTCCTGCTTGTTGTTGTTGCTTGATTGGAGCCTGCTTGCTTACTTGTTCGTTGTTGGTTGGTTGGGAGTCGGAAGGTTGGTGTGATGTTTTGTTGATGAAAGATGAATGGAGAAGCGAAAAAAAAAAGGATCAGGAAAGGCTTCGCATTGAAACAGACAAAGTGACTGCTGATGATGTCACGTACACTGTACTGCTAGCGCAAACGAACAACTTTCTCTGGAACCCCAGGAAATGCCGATCCGGGTCCCGTGTGTGCCAGTGTGTCGTCATTCTGAAAATGTTGAGATACGTCCTAGGAAGTGCCAAGAAACGCGTTTTCGAACGCGCTTCTTTTGTCTTTGCATGGAAAAAGCTCTTTCTTTCGTTTCTTGTGTCTCTTTTCGTGTTGCAAAATGATCGGTTCAACAATTTGACGAATCAGGGCGGGCAAATTATGCCGTTCTCTTTGGCTTTTGCTGACTGTTTCTACTTACCTTGCACTCACATGCTAGGAAGATCAATTCTTTTTTCCGAGCCGGGGACAAACAAGCTTAAAGCTGCCTGCCTGCCATACTTGCTGAAGTGTTTATTTCTTTTTTTTATGCTTTCTCTTCTCCCTTCCCTTCTTCTCTCTCTCTCCTCTCTTCTCGACATTCACACCCCCAGCAACTCATCCACTCGGCTCAATCAACACTCTCACTCATCTCTTTTACACCACTTCACACCAACCACTCAACAAAGTCGACAATATGCCCTCAGATACAACAAAAGCGCTGATACTGCTACTGGCATTGCTGCACGCCAAGAGCTTGCCAGGAGTCTACACCCTCCGGTCCCTGTCCTACTTTATCAAAGCCCGCAACTTGACCGAGCCAGCGATCGGACTCCTCGAAGCCAGCAAGTACCATTCCCGAGTCTGGTTCGACGATCTCGACCTCAATATCCACCTCAACAACTCGTCCTACAACAAGATGATGGATTACGCCCGGATCCAGCTTTGCACCTTACTCTTCCCCGGATGGCAACACCGACACAAGTTTGATATGTGTCTCGCCCAGACAGTTCTCTTCTTCAAGGCCGAGGTACCGAGGCTCAGCAAGTATACGATCACGAGCCGGATCTTTGCGTGGGACGACAAGTGGATCTGGATGCAACATCGGTTCTCGATCAAACGCAAGACTCGGCCGGTTCGCAAGACGCTGGAGATTGCGGCCGCTGTCGAGCAAGGAATCGGCAACGGCGACGGTGCTGCCCCTGTCAGGGATGAGGATGTGGTTGTTGAGGAGGAGGACGAGGACGACATCGACCCGATCGACGCCAAGGCATCAAAGAGCACCATCAACAGTCTCTCTCAAGTCAACATGGGTAGTCACCCCAATGATGCGATTGCGGATATGCCGGACAAGCTGTGCTGTATTGCGTACTCTAGGATGGTGGCGAAGCACCCCAAAGGAAAGACGATTGTACCGGTCAATTTGTTTGAGAAGATGGGCCACAAGGAGGCATACCCGGGCGAGTGGGAGCAGTACCGGCAGTTGGGGATGTCGTTGATTGAGGGTATGATGAAGATTGGTGATCCTACTGCTGATTTGCCTCCTGCACCTCGTCGTCTTGTCAATCCTACCCGTGCCAGGATCTAAGCTGGATGGTGTGTCTTGGGGAGCAATGTTGTAATCACATACCTGTTCAGTTTATCAATACATCCCCCCATAAAATAGAAAAGTCAATTGAACATGAGCCCTTAATGGTTATGTTCTGTCTGTCCCTCTGTCCCTGAGAAAATCAAATCCATCAAAAGTGTTGGCTGTGTCTGTGTCCGTCCACTGTCAGCCGCTGTGTCTGTGTGTCCTTTCTTTCCCTCCCCTTTCTCTCTCTCTCTCTCGCTCTCTCTCTCTCGCTCTCTCTCTCTCTCTCTCTCTCTCTCTCTCTCTCTCTCTCTCTCTCTCTCTCTCTCTCTCTCTCTCTCTCTCTCGTCTTCTCTGTCCCCATCTCCCCATCCTGTCCGCACCCTTCCCCCCTATCTCTCACAATCTCGCTTTTCCTTTTCTCTTACTCTCTCTACTCTTATCAACACATCATCCATTCTTTCGTCTTTTCACGCTCACACTCTCTCTTTCCTCAACACTCTCCAAATCACCTCGTCCGTCTCTCTGTCTTCATCTGTCGAGCGGGACACGCTACTCAATAAATACCCCTGACAATGGACATCACCACTCTGGCCACTGCCTTCGAGCAATGGGTAAATAACAATGCATCCTTAACAATGCTCACTTTGCTTTTCACTTTGCTTTTCGCTTGCCAGCCTTGCTTCCCCTGGCAAGAGTCCAGCAGTATCAAACACGTACCCCGAGGAGAAAGGGATAACAACATACCACAATTCGCTGACATTCTTCGTTATATTGGCTGCCATCAAAACTGGCGAACATCCTTTCCTTAGGTCAACACATTCGACAACATCTCCAGGCAGTGCAGACATATCTCTGACCTTTCAGATGGTATTATCCTGTTCGAAGTCGCTGCAGACATGTAAGTTCTTGTTGATGTGCCTTTCCTCTGAAATGAAAAAGAGCTGAGCATTAAGGATAGTTATCTTTAACCCAAGCCCCGGCGAGAAGCTAAAAAAAGAGGAGCCCCCTCCTAACCCTCTCCTTCCTTCCTTTGCTGCTTCTCTTGTTGCTTCCTTGCATGGCATCCTTCACTTTCCCTCCCTATCCTTTTCTTGATATACCTTCCCCACCCCCCGTTTTACTTCTTACTTGTAAAAACCTCCAACAACAACAATGCTGACCATGCTGCATTCACTCTTTGCTTGATGCTGCTCAATTTAGTGACCCGAAGTGGTTCAAATTGATCCGCTCTGCCGATATGGGCGACAACTGGGTCCACAAGTACAACAATCTGAAGAAGCTGCACAAGCTGGTCACCCGTTACCTCGAGGAGAAGCAGGGCCAGTCATTGAGCAAGCTCGACCCACCCAACCTCAACATGATTGCCAAAGACGGCGATTCCTTGGAGGTCCTGAAGCTCTGTGAGCTGGTGATTGCTGTGGCGGTCCAGTGTGATCGGAACCAACTCTATATCCAAAAGATTCAGACCTTGCCAGAAATCTCTCAGCATGCACTTATGATCTCTCTCGAGCAGGTAAAGATAACAAGAAGGGAGGAGAGTCTTTGAAAAAAAAGGGATAGAAAAGAAGTTTTCGATGAGGAATATGTAAATGTGGTGCGCATGACCCAGGATCTAACAGCTGGTCAACACCGTATATTTACTTTTGCTCTGTTGTTGTCTAGATCATTCTTGCTCTGAACAGCGGGTCTGCCAGAGAGTCTGATATGTAAGTCGCCCGATTCCATTGTCTTTCGCTTCAGACTAGTGTTTAGATTTAAATTGCTTGCTTTATTGAAACGGTACTCATATAACATCATTCTATCGACTACGCTACATAGGGAGGAGGTCAGCGTGGACCAAGAATTGGCTCAACTGCATCAGTCGCGCGATGAACTCGAGCGTGGAAACCAAAGTTTGATGCAGGAACTCTCCAACATGAACAGAAAATACGTAAGGCCGCCTCTACTTGCAGCGTACTCGATGCCTTGTTCTCGAAATATATCAGCAGGCGACTGACATGAGATGCGTCGTTTGTTTTCATGTCGGATAGGACGAGTTGTTGACAGAAAAGGAGGAGCTGAAGCAGAGGATACGCGATCTGGAAAAGGCCTCAGCACATGCTTCGCAGAGCGGAAAGTCTGACTTCTTGATGCGTACCGAAATCGATCACTTGCGCCAGGACTTGTAAGTTAGATTACTTTCTCCTGTCAAACGATTGACAGTGGGCCATGTTTATCGAAGTTCGATATGGATGCATATACGCTAACCAGAATCTGATAATTATGTAATAGGCGCAAGAGCGAGGACCGCAGACAAGAGCAGGAGACTCTAATCAATAACCAGCTGAAGGCGATTTCCGACCTTTCAAGAGCCGTAAGTGATCGTGCGGAGAGAGCGAATGCATTCGTAATGCTCGCAGACAAGAGCAACAGAGCGACTAGAATGAACGCGGTCGCTAATTTTCATTCGCAACTCTATCGTTTTTTATAGGAAGCTGATTTGAGAGCCAAAGCTGATGAGGCTGTGCGTTTGAAGGACAAGCTGGACGAGTACAAGCACGCAATCGACAAACTCCAAAAGACAGAGAACGTGATTGAAAAGTACAAGAAGAAGCTCGAGGAGGGCGCGGATCTCCGTCGCCAGATGAAGGCCCTCGAGGACCAGAACACGGAACTTCTGGATCGCAACAAAGAGGTCGAGGGAGAGTACCGCAAGGTCCTTGCCTTCAAGTCATTGATGGAGTCGTACAAGGAGCAGATTCAGGCGCTCGAGGACAAGAACAGCTCATTGGCCAAGGAGAAGAACAAGATCGAGTACGAGGCGCGTCTTCAGAACCATCAGTTCCAGCAGATCGAAGCCGATCGGACGCGTGATTCAGAGCAAATTCAGCTCTTGGAGGACAAGATCCGCGAGCTTGAGTTCTCGGGTGTCCACGAGGGCACACCACTCTCGAGTGATCTTCAGGATATGGAGACTGACGACATGGAGAGCTCAATGATGAGCCGAACAGCTCAGGCCACTGAGCTCAAGCTGACGATTTCCCGTTTGGAGCGCGAGATTCAATCGTTGAGGGAGGATACACGGGACGAGGGAGGATCTAAGGCCACTGTATTGCAGCACTTGTTGAATGATTCAAACAAGAGCAAGGCCAAGTTTGAACAGGATTATCTGGAGGAGCACCAGGCCAAGATTATTCTTCAGAGCGAGCTTGACCGCATCCGTAGTGGCAAGGGTGATGAGAGCGAGGTTGCATTTGCTCTTCGCTCGACTTTGAACTCTTGCGAGAAGGAGCTCTCCGAGACCAAGAAGACTCTTGCCGAGATGGAGACCAACCTTGAACAGACCAAAAAAGAGCTCGTCATTGTCCAGTCCGACTGTAAGTTTTATCTTTTACTGCATGGTCACAAGGATAGTTACAGGAATGATTGCTGTCTTCTGGCATGGCACTAACAGCCTTTATTTGTTCTTGATTTCGCACAGTGCACATGGTTGGAGGCGACAGAGTGTCAGCTTTGGGCGAGTGGAAGCTGAGCAACAGCAAGGAGTTCTTGACCCTTCAAGAAGAGCACGCCAAGTTGATTGAGAAGATTCAATCTCTCGAGGCTGAGAACAAGCACTACCTCTCCCAGCTGAACCAGGTCTTGACTGAGAAGGACAGTCTTTCGAAGCTGGAGCTTGAGCAGCGCGATCGGATGTTGCAGCAGGAGCGTGCACAGTCGGGTGAGGCCCAGGAGGCTCATACCCGAGAGCAGCTCGAGACCAAGAACCTCCACTTGGAGCAGCAGCTCGAGCAGATGACTCAGCAGATGAATCAGTATAGCGTGAAGCTCAACCGTGCCAGGGAGGTATGCGTTGGCTCCTGTTCACGGATTTTTATATTTGACCGCACTTACATAATCGATCTGTACTCACGCTGCCCGGCTGTTCTCATATCTCTCTTTATAGTTCATTGTCCAGCAGGACGCTATAATCAAGGAAAACAACACTAGACAGCCTGCCGAGGGCTACAGTGAAGCTGTCCATTCCTTGCAGGTCGAGCTCGCCGCCAAGGAAGAGGATGTTAAATCTCTCAAGGTATATCGTCCTTCTTTATTTGTACATTTGCCAGTCCTGGTCTTTACACCAAGTTGATTGACACTTTTCATTGCCTCGTATCCACTTTTTCTTTATAGCGCCAAATGCACGAGCAGGAGGTTCAGGCCCGCATGGAGCAGCAGTTGATGACCTCTGCATGGCACGACCAGCTCCGGAAGGGCATTCGGGATAATGTGATTTCTCAGCACCAGCGCATTGCGCCTACCTCTTGGCTCGGTGTCCAGCGCCGTGTCTTTAGTGCTCAGTTGGGCGTTCGTCATTAAGTCGTGTTATCATTTTCCATTATTTGTCCATAAACAAGAACACCTTTCTTTTACAGATCCAGTTCTCGTTTGCTGTTTAATGTTGCAATTGTTGTGGGACATTATCTTTTCTATCAGGGGAAATGCGGGATCAGGAAGATCAAAGCAATATCATGTTCTCGTTTTTTCTGGCCCCCGTTTGGTCCCTCGTTTTTTTTTTTCTTGCAAAGACTCGGCTTCGAAGGTATCTACGGCAAGTCGCGCGAAATAACTATTTATTTATTTTTGCTGGAGCAGTTTTCAAAATGGTTCTGAGGATTTTCACAGGCGGGGGTACTTCTTTTCGGCAAAGGTCATGATGCGCTTGATACTCTGGATCCACTTTCGCGACGTCTCGTCGTTCAAGACGTGGGCGACCTGCGCTGAGAAAATCTTTTCACGTCCTGAACGTTCGTGAATACTAGGTTGATAGTCATAGAGTTGTTGAATGGGGAAAGGTGGAAATGGTCAGAAAACAGTTTGTCATTTGATTTCTACTACCATTTATCATAGTCGTGAGTCGTAGAGAGGTATAAGGGAACTTACCCAACCATGGTGACTCCGATGGGCCAAGGTGCGTTTCCGATAGAAAGTTTGAGGTAGGCGTCGTTGGCGGCCATATGCTCGCGTTTGATCATGAGTTCTGCGATTTCGGTGATACGCATAAGGACGTCGGGCTCGAGCGACTTTTGGCGCAGGGATTTGAAGAATGGTCTCAGGTACTCTGCGCTCTGTGCCTGTGTTGCCGTCGCCAACTTTCCTGGTGTGCTTCTCTTCAATTCGTCTATTGGGAATTTCGGTTGATTGGAAGAGTAGAAAAATGCGTGAGTTGAGTGAAGGTCAGAGACAGAGCGCAGAGCATGAAAAACTATCAATCATGTCGATAGTGTTGGACAAGAGGTTGGTGGTGGCACATACCTGGACGCTGGTCGAGATCCTGTTCCCATTCTCTCAAGAGGCGCTTGAAGTATGTGTAGATCAGGACGTAGAGTTTGTCCATGTCCTTCTGAATCAAGTTGACCGAGATCTCATTCGTATCCTATACATATTGAAAGCAAACATCAAAGAATTCTGTCAACAAATAATTCATCCTGATAGTCCTTTCTTATCGAGTAGCCATATGTGCATTTTTGCTCAAGTCCATCATGTTCCAGCTCCCGTCAAAAACTAGAAGAAAGACGTACCACATCCTTGGCAGGTTGAGATTTGGACTTCTTCTCCTTGGCACTCGATCCACCCTGTTGTCCCAAAGCCTCCATATGAAGTCCCGTCTCTGCATCCTCCATAGCCCTCATGAAATCGTTCCGTTGACCCTCTGACCGATCCTCAACCAACTCCAGAGCACGAAGACGAATTTTCCGGGCCTGATCTGTTTCGGCAAAGAGACGGATAGGGTGTCCACGAGCACGGAGACGACGGACAACTTCTTCCGGAGCAATGTTGAATGTGGCGGCTGATGCTACCGCGGCTGCGATAATGTCGTCGGGGTTGTCGGAGGAGGGTATCGTGGATGTGTTGGCGGATGATGAGTCTCCGCTGGGTGTTCCTGTTGCTAAGGAGGCAGGTGATCCTGTTGCTGCCGCTTTCTCTTTGCGCTTCGCCTCCCTCTCCAGATCCTTTTGTCTTTCCTTTTCCTACATAGTTCAATGACATAAAAGGTATGTGAGAGTTAGATTAAAGCAGCTCCTTAACGTACAGGCATGAGAGAATTTGGTGAGTAGCAGAAAGAGCTGATTGCTGTAGTTGGTTGCTACGGCTAGTTTACCTCCTTGGCTTTACGTTCCCGCTCCTGGTCGGCCAAGTACTCCTGTTCCCGCAGCTTTTCGAGATCGCCTTTACGAATGTATTTCTTCTTGGTTCCGCCCGATGCCGAATCCACGGCTGCGCGCTTCTTGGCGAGTGCTGCTTCGATCAGGTCCATGAGCTTTGGTTGAGCGTTGATGTGTAAGACGAGGATGGGAAGGTGGAAGTGAGAATGAATGACAGGAAGTGTTGGTGCTTGAGAACGAGAAGGCCTGGAACTGCCTTCTTGCTAAGAAAGGAGGAGGGGAAAAATTGGCGATCCACAAGCCACTGCTGAAAAGGTAATGGAGATTGGGAGATTGGGGATCGAGCGCCACCGCCTCCCGCAGCTCAACCTTTTTTTTGTATCCGTTTCTTTACTGTCCCACTTTCTTTTTTCTTTTTTTTTTTTTCTTCTCTCTTCATCCACCTTACTACCTTGCTCTCCACTCCCCATATACTTTCCTTTCACTTCCACCCTTCCAAAGCCCATCCTTCCTTCCAGATAAAAATATCCTAAAAAATGTCAACTCCAGCAAGAGGAACCCCTGCCGCCCCTTCAACCGCACCCACCACGGCACACATCGAAAAGAACAAGAACAACAACAGGAACCGCGGTCCCCGAGGCGACAGTCGAACTGTCCGACTCTCCAAAGCCCTCGCGTGGCTCCTGCGACACAACGCCGTCTCGCAGGGGATCGCTATCCGCCCTGACGGATATGTCGGGATCAACGCTGTCCTGGGTCATCCCAAGTTCAAGGACTTCACGCTAGACGATATTATCAAGGTTGTTGATACCAATGAGAAGAAGCGGTTTGAGATCTTGGAGGATGCCCAAGGTCAGAAGGCGTATATCCGTGCTGTTCAGGGCCACAGTATTGCCGTGGTAAGTTGTTTTTTTTAATGTGCTTTTAGGTGAAGAGGAAAACTCGTAACTAAGATGTTGCCTTTGATGACTCAAACTGCCGATTTTTTATTTTACTAAAGGTTGATGAACTAGGATTTGACGAGATTACTGATATTGCTCAGATCCCGACTGCAGTCCATGGAACCATGTTCAGCAAGTGGCGCTTCATTAGTAACACTCTTTCACATTTCATTCGTTCTGTTCACGTTGAGAGTTAGAGTGAACCATTCATGGTGGATGAGCAATTCGACTGACATTGGAGATATTTTGTTCCATGTAATTGCAATTAGGCGAGAAAGGTCTGTCCAAGATGAACAGGAACCATATCCACATGGCTCACGGTCTTCTTGGAGAGGATGGTGTGGTCAGCGGCATGCGACAGGGCAGTGACTTGTACATCCACATTGACACTGTCAAGGCTCTTGGAGGTAACATTCATACGTCATCTCGGCATACAGAACTGGGTTGGGAATTGTCTTTCCCACAATCTGATTGTGTAGGCTTTGGCACGTTTGTCTGACATGCCTCTTCGCTCTGGGTTTATTGTTTGCTACTATAGATGGAATCAAGTTTTACAGGTCGACGAACAATGTGATCTTGTCGGACGGCAAGAACGGCGATGGGCTCATCCCCCCTACTTACTTTTCTCGCGTTGAGCGATCAACGGGTGAGGTCATCTACCCCAAGCCTGCGGCATGATGACGCTGAATCGTGTCCCATTTATAGTCGCGCCACGGAAGCATACCAACCTTTGAATAAAAGAATTTGCTCCGCTGGATAAAAGTGGTGCTTTCAACGTGTTCAACAAAGTGCTTGTACACCCCTTCACTTTCCAAATTGATATGATTGATCAATGAGGGATTGGTTGGTGGCGCAATTTTAGTGCAGTTTGGGTGACTGGCTCTTAAACCTTGTCCACAGCCTATGTTCACGCGCCCGCCCTAATTGTCGACCTTTAAACCCCTTCCTTCTCCTTCTTTCCTTCCTCCAACACTCACACATTTGAACCTGCCACCATACGAATCCACCTCATCAACAACACCAATTAAACACAAATGGAAGACACGGCTATCAACTTGGTAAGAGAAACTCCTGTGTGTAACACAGGAATGGGAAGCATTACCCTCTGTCAAGGTTCATTCAAACAAACAGGAGAACAATGGCTAATGAATTAACTGTTGCATTCATAGGCTCATCGCTATGTCCAGGCAGCCGAGGAACATCAGGACCGACAACAATGGACAGAAGCCGTAGAAATGCACCTCCACGCAGCAGGTATATTATCACTCTCTCTCTTAAAATAGGACAAGGAAGTTACGATGGTGTCATAACCCCCCCCGTCCTCCCTTTGTCTTTTTTATCTCGCTTACTCACATTGTGTATGCGCGAATGAACCTCAAAATAGACCAGTTCTTGCTTGCAACAAGGGACACGCAAGACCAGGAGGTGATCAAGACCTTAAAGTTCATGAATGCAAACCACCTCCGTCAAGGAAAAGACTTGCAACGAAAACTGGCAAAGGCAGCAGCAGAGGAAGCCGCGGCAGCTGCTGCGGCATTAGCTCAACAGCAGCATCTCAGGGTTAAAAACGAAAGGTCCAATGGATCCAGCCTGGGCACATCAGAGTCATCCTCGGCGGGAAGACGGCGTTCAAGCTCGGGACAGCATCAGCAGGGTAACAGTGGTGGACTCGGTCAACGGCGACATAATGCGCCATCGTCGTACACGTCGTCGAATTTGAATCAGCACGCTCTTGGCGATCTTGCCGGTGAGGCACAGTCCAAGGGCGGTGGCGACACAGGGTCGGGGGGCTCATACCTTGGCACATCTTCCGAGGCGTCTAGCAATTCGTCTTCTGCTATGGTTGAAGAATCCTTTACTCTCATCAAGAGTCACGGGGTATGAGCTTGTGTGCCTGTTTCTATTCCTGAGTGTTATGTATGAAAGAGAGCAATTGACTGATGCATATCTTCAATTTCTTCCACCCGTGCAATAGAAGGACAAGTCGGACCCATTCAACAGGTTCTGGGAGGAATTGGAGAATCTGGTGCACAAGATCTCTAATCCAGTCGCCTTCACATCAATTCCGCTGGATGGCGACGGCCCTTTGCAAATCAATGCTGGATCGGCCGTGCTTCATTCGCCTACATCGGAGAACAGACCACCATTGAGTCCATTGGACGGACCTCAGTCTTCACAGGACGATCTTTCCCAGGCAGACGCTACCACAAAGCAAAGAAACAAACTAACCAGTGGGTCCATCTCGTCAAGGTCACAACCGCAATCCCGAATCCGCATTGATCCTTCTCCAATGCAAGAATCCTTCTTCATTATCGATTCGCCCTCTCAGCGGAATATGGCTGCCAGGACTCGCTCGGCTTCAACATCTGAAACAGGACTTACGTCAGCATCTCTGGCAGGATCTCAGCCGTCCAGGCCGCTATTGTCAAGTCTTCGCCGGGCAGAGACTTCGTTTCGTGGGTCCAAGACGATAGAAGAGTATGCGATTGAGAATCAACAACTGAAGATGACCCTTGACAAGCTTTCAAAGAGGAATCTGAAATTGGAGAAGCAGCTCGAGGGGGTGATGCAGATGAGTGTTTGGACCAAGGATGTCCAGCGCTCTGCGATGCAACTGATCAAAAGCCAGGATATCCTTCGTCCTGTCAAGCAGTCCATCCAAGATCTCTCCACAGGTAAGGTATCTTACTCTTTGAAATCGAGTGCCTCCCCTGTTAATTAGAGCAGCAATTGAAGACTAACAACGGATGCGTTTATTACGAATACTGTAGACAAAGCTGGTGTTCTGACACAGAGACTACAACAATCAACAGCAGGACCACTGCAACCTTCCTCGGTATCTTCTGCGACAATGCCAACGACTTCATATGATCAAATGAACCCAACGACCATGCAGACACGTCTAAAGGAGCTGGAGGAGGAACTTCAGAAAATGAAGCTGGAGAACGCAAAACAGAACCATCTGATGATGAAATACAAGCAGCGCTGGGAGGATCTGAAAGAGTCGGCCAAAAGGCGCAGGAATGCCACTCCAACACCACCAGAGGGAGGTAGTGATCCGAGCCAAGGTGGTGGGGACTTTGGAAGTCCTGTTCTCAGCCCAGAACCGTCAGGAACGTTCGGTGGTAATGGTGGGTCCACGCCAGGCTCGAACCCTTACTCCAATGCGGCGCTGGCTGGTAACTCTAGTGGGTTAGGTCAAGTAGCGCGTCCTCCATTCTCTGCCCTTTCAAGGTCGTCGTCTGCGTCGGGTCCTGTCGTGTTACCTGGAGGCAGTTACCAGAGGAGGATCATGATGGAGAGCAAGGCTGGTGGGGTATTGGATCATACTCCTCTGAATATGCATCGCCAGACTTCTGCCGGAATGGTCTCGTCGACAACCCCGAGAGTGCTGGACACCTCTCCTAGGACAAATGTCGGGTCTTTGCCCTTTGTCCCTGAGATCCCAAGGCAGCCTATGACATCTGGCGCTACTGCTGCTATAGTCGCGATTTCGCCAGCTCACTCTTCACCTCGGTTACCCTCCTCTAACGACACTGGTACGAGACCTTCGAGCTCCTTGTCGCCTCCTGTGGGCGCACCCTCTTCTACCATGCCAGGCTCATTGCCAACCGACTCGTAGATCTTTTCAGCTTTGAAAATTACAGACATAATTAATACTTTCGTATGCCCGAAGCACCTTCTCTGCCCACGTTTTACGCTATTGTATCAGTGTTGAACAATAATCCTGGAGATCTGTGAAAAAGTGGTATCACCATGCAGCGACCTTTGATCCACGCCCTTCGTCCTTCCAAAAAAAAACACGCGTTCGTCTTGCCATATTACTGACGTCCTTTATCTGAGGCAATTGCACTTTTTTTTTATTGCTTCTGCTCTCTGGTAAAGGCGCTTTTGCTGGTTGTTGTTGTTGTTGTTGTTCCTGCTGCTGTTGCTATGTTCTCCTGTCCTTGGTGAGTTCTTTAACTGCAAAGTATCTGACAGAATATCCTGACTTATTGCAATTGGATCTCTGCGCGCTCCTCCCGCTTGTTAAGCCAGGTCTAATTAAATTTGAGTAATTGTGTATGATATGGTAAGTCGTTTAGTCCATTTGAGTACTTTCTTCTTGTTATCGTGCAGACAACCACTACCACCCAGGGTATCAAAGAACACCAAAAATGGGTTGGTAGGTAATGTATGAAAGCATTCGTGCATTCAAAAAGGTCCAAAAGGTTCAAAGGGTCACCATTCCCACTCCCCCAACAACAACGTCACCACCCACCCTTACGCTACATTTCGCCCCTCCCCCCTCCCAACAAACAATAAATCATTTCACAGTTTTTTTTTTTTTTTTACCTGGCATCCACAGAAGAGGATCATAAAGGCATAAAAGAAGGTAGCGGTAAGACAGGCCTTTGCGACCTCGGCTGGGTTGTCGGGGTCGTCAACGGTATGAGTCAAGGATTCTGCGGGGATAGAGAAGAGGAAGGACATTATGCCCAGGAAGATCACTCCAAAGACGGAGAGGATTGTGCAACAGGTTGCATTTCCAGCAGAGAACATTGGCTTCATGATGGGCGGTTTGTTGTGTGTGTGTGGTTGAGGAGGATGGGTGGAAGGGGGAGGGAGTAGGTAGGTGGGTATTTAGGTGAGGAATGACAGAGAAAGTCAAGAAGAGGATATGAGTGTCGTCGATGAGTTGAAGCGTGGAGAGAGCAAGAGCAGAAAGAGAGGAGCTGATGTCAAAAGGGGCACAAGGGTCGACTTGTCAGGATTTCGCGTGACGGTCACGCACACAGACAAGGTATTTTTATTCGTATTCAGAAGACGCGTAAAAAGTCATATTCTTTCAGTAGGCCTGGTTCATAGGAGCATTGGGAAGTTGCTGCTGTGGCTGCTGTTGCTGTTGAGGTACTGCCTGACGAGGTCCACCTTGCTGGGCCTGGGGCTGGTAGACACTGTTCGACCTGCCAAAGGGTGCTCCATGTGGAGTCGCGGGGCTGTAAGGTCCGTGGTGAGCGAACTGCTGCTGGTGGGGGACGAATGGACTGGGTGCATACGAAGGTTGTGAGTACCCAGGTTGTTGCTGCTGCTGCTGCTGAGACTGTTGCAGAGGCTGAGGTTGCTGCTGCTGCTGCTGAGCTTGTTGAGACGGCTGTTGTTGAACCGGAGTTTGCTGCTGGCCATAGGGTGCAGCTTGGGATTGTTGTTGGCCTTGGCCCTGTTGCCCCTGCAATTGATTCTGGTTCAGTGGCTGTTGAGGAGTAGCCTGTTGCTGCTGCTGCTGAAGTGGTTGCTGCTGGTATTGCACCTGTTGTTGCTGTGGCTGTGGCTGAACTGGCTGCTGCTGCTGCTGCTGCTGCTGGGGGACATTCCCTGGCCCATGTTGGGGATAAGGCTGCTGCTGCACTTGCTGCTGCTGTTGTGGTTGCTCCCGCTGTAATTGCGCTTGCAGTTGCGCCTGTTGTTGTTGCTGCTGCCGCTGGAGTTGCTGTTGCTGATGGGGCTCCAGTTGCTGGTAGGCTTTCATATCACGTTCTCGGAGTTGCAGAATCAGCTGACTGAGGTCCTGTTGTTGTTGGCGATCTTGATCCTGTGGCTGCTGCTGCTGCTGCTGGTGAGCAGGATTGCTTGCAGAAAGGGCCTGTGCTACACCGTTAGGAACCGGTGTGGCTTGTGGTGACCAAGGCTGGGCAGGAGGCAACTGTTGCTGCTGATGTTGTTGTTGTTGTTGTTGTTGTTGTTGTTGTTGCTGTTGCTGTTGCTGTTGCTGTTGCTGTTGCTGTTGCTGTTGCTGTTGCTGTTGTTGTTGCTGTTGCTGTTGCTGTTGTTGTTGTTGTTGTTGCTGCTGCTGTTGCTGTGGCTGGGAAAGGTAGCTGGAGACATTTGAGAGAGTGGGCTGAGGGGTTCCTTGGGCTCTCAGAGGAGGAGACCGGGCCACCTGGAGCGACGATGACTGACTGGAGACGCTAGCCTGTCTTGTAAGAAGGTTTTTGCTAGGCTCCAGAAGCTGATCTGGTGTCGAAATAAAAAGTGTTCGAAAAAGAGGAAGTGGCAAATAAAACGTTAACAATATGAAAAACGCACACTCAATCGCCAGCGAATATTCTTGTTATAAGAGATGTCGTACCAAGGATATCTTCGGTCAGGACGAAGGGCTTGGAGTTCACAGCCTTGGAATCTTGAGCATTGGTCTTCGCGCCAAGGCCTTTGTTGTTGCCATTGTATCCCTGGGAGGACGAGTTGTTGTTGTCGGAGGGGTAGTGTGCAGTTGGGTGCTGGGCTTGGATCACCTGCAAAACCTTGCCGATTTTGTCCTGGAGGTCAACCAGTGCAACGGTTACTGCGGCAATGGTCTGCTTCTCGCTGAGTCCAGCCAATTTAGGCGCCAAGTTCTCGATGGGTACCACCACAGGATGTGTGATTTTGTCTATCATTCACACAATGCCAAGCAAAAAAAAAAAAAAAGGTCTGTTAGCCAACAAACTCCGTTACAGAGCACTCGCTGGTTCTGAAAATATCCACCTCCAACATGCATAGCATTGTGGGAAAAGTGACGGAACATACCATTGACAGTCAGCTTCAGCAGACTGGACAGCGAGATGGCATGCGATATATCGGCATCGTCCTGAATGGTAATCAAGTCGCCGTCTATTGTTGTCGTTTGGTTCCAGTGTCAAAAGAAAGACACAATTGGTGAGCAAAAGGCAATCCCCCACGGCACAGCCTGCAATACATATATCACTTCACAGTCAACTTACCTTCATCTTCATAACGCAGAACAAGGTTGTCGAGGTCCGAGGATACGTCAGAACGGAAGAGACGCTGGACAATAAAACAGAGCTCATTGTAGGCAGGGACTTGGCTGATGGGAACTCTGAGGTTGGTTCCTGCACACTTGACTAAGTTTCAAGAATAAGCATTGTTCATGGAGGAGACACTTCCGTTAGCGATTCAAGGTTTGAAGGAGTCAAAAAAAAAAGGCAGAGTGTGGGAATGAATGAATGGAAAACAAAGTACATTTGATGATGACGGGCTTATCGCCGAGGGTCAGTTTGCGGAGTCCTTCGTAGGAGGTCATCATCGAGCGTGGGGGTGTGTGAATGAAGAGTGATTTCAGTCGAAGACGAATAAAAAGGTAGGGTATGGTTATTCAAGAGGAGAAGGGGACAGGTGTGAAGTCGACAAAAGGAAGAAGAGAGAAGAGAAACGCGTGTGGGGCGGACTTTTGTTCCATTTCTTGCCTGGTCTTGCGTGACTCTCGAACACTTGGCGAAGGAGAAGGGGGGAGGTTCATGCGCCTTTTTTCTTGTCCTTGACTTGCCACGAATCAGAGTCCAGGCACTGCTTTTCAGGAGTAAAAGCGACCACCACTATCATCCACACGCATAATATCAAATGCTTTACTCCTGGTTCAGTGCGTGGCCTCAATTGGCGAGTGTTGTTTATTGTTTATTGTTGGAGGATGCTCCTCGGCTGTCATCACAACTTCAGCGAGTCTACTGACCTAGACAATAACAAGCTCGCCATGTTCACCATGATCGCCATGCTCGTGCTCCTCTCGTTCCTGTCAATTGGGATAAGGATCAATTTTTAAATGCACGGTTCAACAAAAGAAAGGTTAACGACTGTTGTCTGAAGCACTTTTAGCATCTCATATACTTCAGTACATAAAGCGCCCATCAACCTAGAAGCAAGGCTTACCCTTTTCCTCTTCTTCTTCTTCCTGTGTTCAGAGTCGCCGTCCCCTTCATGGTGTCCATGCTCATGATCATGTTCGTGCTTTCTCTTCTTTTTCTATTGAAGGCAATCACATCAGAAAAACAATTTGGTCAGACATTTCATTCCACAACATATATCCCGGACGAGCGAACACATAAGGTCAAAAAGAGTTGTAATGATCATACCTTCTTCTTGTGCCTGTGCTCACGGCTACCATCCTCTGCTCGCTCTGCCTTGTCAACATAGGGTGATGATGTGGATGATTTTGACCCGTGATGAGAACTGTGTCCATGATGAGAACTGTGGCCGTGAGAAGAATGCGCCGTTGGATCGCCGCTCGTCGGTACTGAAGAAGAAGGATCTGCGTATCCAGCAACGCCATGCCCATGTGCCGCGCTGCTTGGTCTGAGCGAGTTGTTTGCTCCTGCTAACCCTGCCGGCGCCGCTGATCCTGCAGCTGGTGCTACCGCTGCCAAATTTTTCATTGCCTGTTTGTATCCTGCTCCCTCATCTGTGCCCAAGACAGATGCATCAAACTAGTAGTGTCATAACAAATACGAAATATGTTAAACACTCGCACGGTCGTCCTTACAAAAACACTGATCGGCATAAGATCGTTGTTACTTACTCCAGGAACGGGCCCGACCCGAAGACTGAAGGCGTCTCTGAGTGTAGATGAAGAGAACTGATGAATGGGCTGGTAGGTCTTCTCTGGCGCTTCCAATAACTGTCGAATGTAGTTTCCAGGCCGTATGACATTCTTTCCTGCGAGAGATAGATCCATGAAACACAACCTGCTGCATTAGTACGGCGATCTCCAAGGAATACAATAAGTACATTGTCTTCCAGAGCATGAGTACTTTCTCCTGTAGCAAAGTGCAAACATCCTGTGCATACCTGGAAGGTGTTTGATGAATGGGAAATATGTTGGTTCGATTGGGGGCACGTCCTCGTTGTTGGGCAGTTTCTGTTTGACGTATTGGTCGTAGAGTGGTTGAAGTTTGAAGATTGACATGAGGTCGTGGCTTCCCGTCAAAGGCTGTGGTACAGACGCCACTATTCCATCCAAGAAAGAAATGAAAGTACCCAAGTGGCATTAGCTTTGCTTTCTCGCAACTGATCAGTTGTCGCAGCAACAGAGATGCATTGTCGTCGTCTGACTGGAAAGACAAGTACCTCGCGCCTCCTTGATGAAGTAGAGGTTGGGCGAGGGTGCTTTGTTGTCAGCGGTCTCCTCGTTGTCCGCCATGGCTGCTGGTTACTGTTGTTTGTGAGTATGGGTGCTGTAGTTGAGAGTGTCTTGACAAAGGGTGTCTGTTCTCTGCTCCGTGGTCTCCTGCTCTTGCTGATGTCGATGCTGATGGTGAAAAGAACAAGAAACAAGAAACAAGAAACAAGCACAAGCAGGGACACTTTCGTACTTAAGTCCCTTCCAAGTCACAATCCTCCTTCAGCCACAGCGTGGAGACGTCCCTGGACAAGTGAATTATTTCGCCGAACAAATACCTTTGCTGCCCGAAAGCAATGTGCGCACCTTCAACTCACTCATGTCCAACACACATTAAAAGGAACGTCAATGGTGCTAAGTGAAATATGGACACTAGCCTTCGGAGCACAGAACAGTCTACCAGACCAGGAAGACCCCGACCTCGCCGCTCAACGTCGTCATCACCATCACAATAACAACAACAACAACAACAACAACAACAATAACTCTGGCTCTGACGAATACGACGACGACGGCGATAGTGACAGCCACGAGGAGAGACAGGAAGCCGCGATTGCCAAAATCCTCGCTCGACAGCATGTCCTCGTCGACGCAGAACGGGATATATTGGGCACCACAGTTTATTTACCCGTACCCAGTGTTCGAGACGAGGCGGCCGAAAACAAGAGCGGGTTTATTCTAGTGGTCACCTCCTTGACCCTCAACAACATTGGGTGTTATCCTTTCTTTGGCATCCGTGACCGACATCAAGTAAGAAGCGACAAACGGTATCCGTTTCAAACGTATTTTTTTTTTTCACTATGGTAGCTCTTCTGCCTTCATTGAAATGCTTACAGAGGTATCAAATGCATTGGCCAAATAGGTGTTTCCGAGCCTGTTTCCAGAGACATCGCCACGGTCATCATTCCAGTACCTCCAGCAGGTGTATCGGTCACAAGGAGTACTCGGGATATGGTACGGCATGCCCTGTAGCATGATCTGCCACACCTGCACCATCTTCTATGAAGCCTTTCTCAACAGCATCATTGCACGCCTCCGACATCATTCTCGTAAGGTCCTCCCGAAACCACTCATCTACCTCTCCACACGAATGTAAGTAAGCCACTAAAGACATTCTCTCTTCTCACCCAGCAACCGCTGCAACATCAACAATATAAACCAGCACATTAACTGGGTACTTATCTAACACTCCACGGCCAATAGTGTCGAGTTCCTATTGTATATACCCCTCTACCCGCTTTTACGGAACTCGCTCCTCCTCAGGATGGACTCACGGACAGGACCCTGGCCAGGCAACGCCTCATACGTGTGCCTCCTCCGTTCGTTCTTTGTCGACTATGTCCACGACCTCATCGGACTCTTCTACAGCCGGGGCCGGTCCCCTAGCATCTTACCTCTCTACTCGACCGTCCTCCCTTCTTACGTCCTCAACCTCCTCTTTGAGATCATACAGACCTGGATTTTTCGATGGATCTATCCAAGACTGGTCCCTGCCAGTTTCTTTAGTCGGAAGCGATCTTCGAAGGCTTCATCTATACACCCGCCTCAACACTCACCACCACTCCTGTCATCTATGCCGCGTGGGTCGTCGTCTGTGAACAATGGTGGAACCTCTTCATCTTCATCGCGCCCTTCACCCTCCAGGAGGAGCGGCGGGCGCCAACACCACCAGCAGCAGCACCAAACGCCACAGCAGCAACGGCAACAGCAGCAGGACCAGCAAGCCGTCACGGACGGATCCATGACTGCCGTGACAGCGACCGAGATCTCGGCCACCATCATGGCCGCAATGCCCTCAGTTTCCTCCAGCTCCCCAACAACAACAACCCTGGCCGTCAACCGCGCCCGTCGAGGACTCCGATACCTCTCTGCCGTCTCACCCCGGAACCCTACATTGCTACAGGAGTTCTACCCCGAAATGGTCTGTGCCATGACGAGCAGTATGATCACCCGTGTACTCCTCTACCCTCTCGACACTGTCGCCTCCCGTGTCTCGGCTCAAGGAGGGTCCTTCCCGGGCATAGGCATGGCCCCGACACGATATAATGGGTTCTGGGATTGTTGGAGAATGTCTTTGAGACCTGAGGGTGGGGGGTTGTGGGGACTGTATTCGGGGGTTGTGGATTGCATTATTGTTGAGGCTATGGTCCGATGGATTGTCCTTGAAGGGACTTGGTTTGCACATTTGGCCATCAAATGGTTCCATAGACGTTCGTGAGACGGTTATTATTTTTTTCTGTGTTTGGTATCATAATAGATTGTATTAATGTTTAATGGTATGCTATGCCATGCCAAGTTATGCAAGGAGATATTAATGAAGGAGGAGGTGGATGTTGCACAAGTTGCAAGAGAATGGCACGGGGGAGGAGTAGGAGGAGGAGTTGGAAGAGGAGGGAATGTTATTATGCCATAGGAGAGGAAGGGGTAAGGCGAGGACCAACTTGGAACATGGTCGAGATATCATAACCCTGACCAAGAGAGCTCTTGGTCTTGCTCGCCGACACTGAGGATGTCACCTTTTCGATCTGAGAGAAATGGGCCATCATCGACGGTGAGAGCGAAGGTGTTTTCTTGTGTTGCTGTTGCATGGATCTCGGACCAAAGCGGTCGCTAAGGGCTGCTGGTGCCTCCTCACTCTCACTTTCGTCGTTATCAATGTTGTGGGGTTGGTGAGCAAAAGGGTGAACAGAGGACGCGAGGGATTCGCCGTTCCGGGAAGAGGACACAACGACGACTTCCATCTCGTCCATGGATCGATCGGAGGTGGACGTCCGACGGTCGCTGTTGTTCGTAGGTATCGCCCAGTTGTTGGACGATGATACGTTCGGGCGCTCGTAGTCATGGAGGGACATGGTCATCGACTCGACAGATCCTCGTCGGAGTAGGTGGGTTGACGAGGGGCCGTTGTTGAGGCTGTGGAGGGACATGGCTATCGACTCGACCGATCCCCTCCGGAGCATGAGGGTTGAGGGGTTGTTGGCCATTGAGTCAGTACCCATGTGCATGTGGCTACGGTGGTGGTGGTGAGGGATCAAATGGCGACCAGAGACAGTTGATGGGCTTGTGGGTGAAGTCACCCTGGTCAGACTGGGTGTAAGACTGGGTGTCAAGCTTGGCCGTCTCGATGACGATGTAGGTTGGAATTGTTGCAATTGCTGGCTCTTGAGTGCGAAATCAACGGGTCCTGTCCCCGGGAAGCAGGCAGGAGCAGTCGGGTCCGCAGGGATCGGAAGCACACCAACGACATTAGAAGCGCCGCCGTTGGAAGACGAAAAGGGTGACAACGGAGACAACGGAGAGAGGACGGAAGGGGGTGCCGTTGTCGAGGTTTTGATCGTTAGCAAAGGATGCTTACGATGAAACAACTGTTGCTTCTTCTTGTGCTGTTGTTGCTGTAACGGATGATGTCCGTCATTATTATTGTTGTTGGTGAGCCTGCCGTCGTCTAGGTGACATCCATTAGCAACTTTAAGGGATGAAATCGCGTTTGGCCTTGATGAACACGTCCTGGTCATATTATAATTTGCTGAGGCTGCAGCTGCAGCCGTGCATGGAGGGTAGTAAAGTTGATCTCCTTTACGAGGCAACAGTAATAGGCGGGAAAGAGCCGCTTTGAAACGAGCAGAGGACGAGGATGGGGACGGGCGAGACATCAGAGGCGCGGTAAGGGATCGTTCGTAATGGGCCGAGAAGGGTGACAAAGGCGCAAGAGGGTGAGTCGACGACGAAGGGGATCCAGCAGAAGAGGGGTATAGAAAGTGGTGGTGGTGATGTTGCCTTGACTCCAATGTCGATATTGAGGACCCATTACGACTGTCGCCACCACTCTTGTCCGCGGACCAAGTGGATCGGAATCGAGACTCTCCTCCATGTCCACCCTTTTGGAGGAGCAACTTTTGGTGTTGTTGTTGCTGTCGTGGCGATAGTGAAGATAGCGAGGACAGTGTTGCGAACGCGCCGACGCTACTGCTTTGGTCCGAGACCGTTGAGAAGCTGGAGCTGCCAAAGCCGGAATCTTGAGGCGATGTTGAGGATGAGGACGAGGAACCAAAGGACTGAGACGATCCTCTACGCTTGTTGGTCTTTGTCTTTCTCTTGTCCCTCCAGGCTGTCAAGAAGAATGTCATGATTGGGGGGAGGGGGGGTTTTTGGGTTGTGGGATTTGTCGATAGGGTTTATGGTTATGAGATGTAGGTAGCGGATGAATGGAGTGGAAGATGATGAAGGAGCAGGATATGAACGAGGATGAAATTGTAGAAGAGAGGATGAAGTATAGGGATGAATTGAGAGTGGTAGATGATGCGTGGAGTGAAGAAAGGCGGAAAATGCAGTTGTGAAAGTGAAAGAGAAAAAGGGAAGTGAGCGAAAGAGAGAAAGAATAAAAGGAGAAGGAGAGGAGAGAGAAGTAGCGAGCGGGGTTGGCAGCTTGTTTTTAATATGGCGTGCGTAGGGATGCGATCGATGTATGAGAGAAAGTAAGAGAAAAAGAGGAAAGAGAAGAAAAAGAAGAGGACGAAGAAGAGTACAAGAGAAGTGACAAAGGACATACAAGGCAGCACCATGTCGAGTTGAGGTTGAGCATTTGGCAGACTCTCAACAACAAAAGACACCATCCTTCCACTCATCCATCCACACAAAAAACACTCGGACCATGGATAAAAGTCCCTTCAGCTCAAATAAAGCTACTTTCCTTAAACAAAAGATAACAAACTGGTCTCTTCTCATTTCATTCACGGATGGACAAGATGGGTTCAACACACATATAGCAATGCTCGGCCAATTGCTCACCACTAAAGAAAAACACCGTTGCAGTCCCAAGATCATCATGTATGTCTCTCTTTTTTCTTTCTTTCTCCTTTTGTCCGTCCGTCCGTCAATGCCGTTTGCCTTCTTTTGTATGTTCCTTCCTTGTACCTACCATACGTCGGGAAATATGAGCTTCTTGCCTGTCTGTACAGTCCTTTTGTGCCAGGATGAGGATGGACAAGTTGCCCGCACACAGACAGACAACAATCAACAAACAGACACCCAATGGTTTTAGGTCCTTCCCTTCCTTCAATGGAGCCCATATTTCATGGAGAAGGAAACGAACAAAAAAGAGGAGAAATACGGCATCGCGATTTCATTCGATTGGCGATACTTAAGTGCGATTCAAGGCCATGCCAGAGGCGACGTTGTTCTTACTATTATTATTGACCACGGACACAGGACAAAGATGGATCGAAGCGAATGTGGGGTCGAATTGCAGGTCGAGCCAAGTTTGGGGGAGGAAAGAAAGAGGAGGAGGGTGTCATTCACCCACAAAGATAGACACACGGACGAACGCAAATAGCCAACGGAATCTTCCTATCCCCTCCCTCCCTTTCTTTCCCCACAAAAGGGACAAACACGATCCTCATCCAAACGGTCGAAACTCGGGGTGCAGTATCCTTCTTGTCCACGGAGGTGTGCACAGTGCTCACATAATATATAGCAGCAAGTGATGCTAATGCAGCTAATGGAATAATGGGTTCCTTTTTTTTGACACGCTTGTCTCCTGTTTATTGTTTTTTGTCAGTAGCAGCACCAGTAATCTCCTTCTTTGCCTCCACAGCCTCTGGTGTACTCTTTTTCATCCTTTGGAGCCGCCTCTGCTGGCGACTAATCACAGCGGCCACCTGCATAGGAGACCGAGTCCCAACGTGTTCTGCAACTCTCCACGGGTCCCGTTCAAACCTCTCCAGACCTTCCTCCAATCGCCCCAACTCCTCCTCCGACCACTTTCCTCTCACAGCGTTATGGTACACGTTGTAAAAATGATCCCGACAAGCCAGTTTTCCTCTAGTCTTGACTTTCTCCGCAATCGCCGTCCAATTCAACAGCTCCAGCCGATGACTCCCAAGCTTGAGAATCGGTAGACCATCCTGTTCCGGGAGTTGCTGCAGGTCTGCACGCCATTGACCGAGGGTGTTTTTCGTTGTCGTGGGCTTGCCGATTAAGACGTCGACTGCCACCTGGTACTTGCTCTCCAACTGCTCGAATATGGCCCTCTGAAAGCGCCGTTCCTCCTCTCTCACCGCCCAGAAACCACTGTGTGTTGGCGAAGCATGCAGCAACTCCCAACGTTTACGACACGCTGCTGATGACCGAAGGAGTTGTGAGCCATCGATATCCTCTTTAGAGATTTTGGTCCAGAGCTTCGGCAACTGGGTGTCGCGATTCCTCTCAACCAACTGTTTCAACAATGCATCTTCCTTTGGCGACCATGCCCGCTTGCGCGAAAAAGCCTTGATCATTCTTGGCCACCGAACCGCTTTCTCGTCTCGGTTGCTCTCCCCTCGCTTGACTTTATCTGCGATCCTAAGCTGGAGGTAAACCGTTCGCAAGGGTGGGGCCCCCTCATTTCCTGCGACCGAATTGGCGATATCGATCTCCCCCGGCTGGACCCCATCTCTGGCTTGCTGTTCCAGAACCATTGTCGCCCTGCGTACCCATCTGACCCGCACGACGACTGCTTCGACCGTCCGATGCGAACAGAGAGTAGAGTGGATTTCTTTGGCGTTCTTACCCTCCTTCACCAGTTGATAGAGGTCTCTGTCCTCTTCTGCAGTCCACCGGGGACTCATTGGCCGCCGCGAACCAGTCTCACTTTCTGCAGTCCGTTCTGATGCTGGGAACCGAGAATGTCCTGGAGGATTGCTGTTGTTGCTGGCGCGGTCAATTGCTTTCGATAAGTCGGCTCCTGTCACGTTCTTCAAGAGGTTGTGGCGCGTTTGAGTGATGAAGCGAAGATGTGATGGGTGCCGAGTGAGGACTGATGATCCCATTTGCTGTAACTGGAGTCGACTGAGCGCATTGGTAATAAGCGACAGTTGAGCAGTGCTGTTCCTGAGGGCCGCCATGGTTGAACGTTGTTCCTAAATCCGACTGAATGTTGATGGAGAGAAGAATCAAGCCCTGGACTTGCCTTTTTTTTCTCTTGGAGCAGCTTCGAAAGCTACACGTGATGATCATTTTGTGGTGGTTTCGTCCACCACCCCTTAAGTAGAGTCTTCTCGAAGCCTGTACGCAAGAGAGGAAATCAACCTCCCACAATTTCTCCTGCGTCCTTCTTGTTCCTGAAAAACATCCCAAGGTGATCAACGACGTCCATTGATAAAGATACTCGAAGGAATTAAATAAAAAAACATAGGCCGCCAACTCTTTATCAGTCTCACTTCCAAGATGATCTCAGCTTGCTGTTGATATAAAGAAATGCGCAAATGTCTTTATTCTTATTCTCAGTACTATCTTTCTTTTCCCTATCCCTCCCACCTCCTGACCGCTTTCATCACCTGGATATGAGATCGTGTCCAACATGCTCTGCAATCCTCCAGTAGTTCTTCCCAAAACATCTCCTGACCTACCTTGAAACGCTCCTTCTCCTCCTCCGAATAGTTCTCCCTTGCAGTTGTGATAGACCTGATAAAAATAATTTCGACACTCTACATCGCTCCTTGATTTTTACAATGCCTTCAACCGCTGTCCAGTTCAGCATCCTCAACCTCCGACTTCCAAACTTGAGGATAGATAATTCGATCTGTGCTGGCAACTATTGCAACTCTGATCGCCATTTTGCCGAGACTGTGTTCCGTTGCCGATGGCTTGCCCATCAGAACGTCGACAACAACCTGATGCTTTCCTTCGAACTGCTCCGAGATCGCCTCCTGCAAACGACGCTCTTCATCTTTCGTCCACAGGCCCAAGAGACACACACAACGTCTTCCACTGCAGCTACACAATTACCTTGCGCTCATAATGAAAGCGACTATCTAACTGAAAAAAAAAAAATAGACCACAGTACTACCAGCTTCCGACTTGCAACAAAAATTAAGATAATTGATCTCGCTCGGGGTTCAAGTCTCGACCACCTGGCACGTTTATATTGTATGCTATTATCGGCTTCACCAAGCCAACATAGTTACAAGGCGTTGGCATTGCCTCCTGGAAAATAAATGTATCTCAGTCGATCGATACCGATCTCTGAATGAAAAAAGACGCACCTCTCTTGTCGATAGAACATCTCATAGGCGCCCAAAAGGAAACAAAAATAAAAAGCTTGCCATCACCTGGAATCGAACCAGGATCGTCTCGGCCACAACGAGATATACTAACCATTATACTATAATGGCGCGCGCTTGTTGATTTCCGAAAAAGGCAAACATACTTCAAGCATAATTTGTCAATTCACGTGATTAAATCCGGAATTGGTGGCAAAGGTCATGTGATCATTGACTTTGCATTGGAAATAGGGATGACTGAAAAAATCGGTTATCTGTGGGGGCCTCGAGCAACGTCTGCAGGAGATACCACGCAGTCTCAACTAGACTGGCAAAGAAGTGGGGGAAGAGGAAGAGGAAGAGGAAGTGATCTCAACTAGATCACGCTCAGGGACGACAGGGGAATGAATGCGGATCTTCGGCGCAAAAAGGGGACAACGGGTTCGAGGTTCTCAACCTAGAATGGTATGATTAACAGTGGGGGGAAGATCTTTATTTAGTGGCTGTTCGGACAACGAGAACAGCCGTTGACAGGGGAGGGGGAGAGGAACTTACCTAGAATGGTATGATTAACAGTGGGGGGAAGATACTGTTCAATCATCCATTCCAGGTGTCCTTTTATACTATCTGACTAAGGTCGCTAAACTACTACTTGTGGGGTCACTGAATGAAAGAGAATAAGATGAAGACGTAAAAAAAGAGATGGCCCGGGGGAGCTACTACTAACTGGTGTAAGAGTTAACAACTTGATGAACAACGAAAGGAAGTAGGAAGGGGCCATCAACAACAAAGAAAGGGCCTTTGACAAAGAGGGTCTTTGTCAAAGGGATGAACAACATAAAAGGCAAGAAGAGGAAATAATAAAAGTGACTCGGGGCGATGGCTCCTTGTGTCACTGGGTGTTGAGAGCGAGCGGGGCGACGATAGTTGTCATCAACAAAGGGGAAAGGTGTAAACGAAAGTGTAAAAGAGGTAGGAGTCGCGTTTGCGGGTAAAAGGGAAAACGCAAACAAAGAGAGCAAAAAAGAAGGGAAAGGAAGGAAAGTAGTGGGAAAGAAGAAAAAAGGGAAAGTGGTGAATATAGGGGTGGCAATTCACGACACTCCCCAACTTAAATTGGAGCCGTCCCGGCGACTAAGCTAGTGCGGTGCATTCGTGGAGGCAGTAGGCGGGGACGCTCGGAGAAGACGACTGTTGAGGGGGAGCTGCATCATTTGCAGCTGCTGGTTACGACGGAAGCGGCGAGTGGGAGGAACTCTTGTCAGTTCTTCTCTGTAAACTCGTGCTGCGTCAGCGGCGGATCCCATCATGGGCGCTTGATAGTCGGGATCGCGGCGGATGTGATACTCTTCGGTGGCGCGCTGCTGCGTGCGCATGTCGGCTACGCGACGGCTTTCGGTATCCGAGAGGAAATCGTCAGGCAGCCCATCATCATCGTTGTCGCGGGCGGCCTCCATAGTGTGTTTGGTCCTGGCAAACCACACTTTTCGCTGAGCCTCATCGCTAGGGGCTGTTGCGATCTTCAGACGGTCTTGGTGCACCAAATCCTCCTTGGGCGTACCATCTCCCCAACGGAGCTGATAGGTGGACAATGGCGTAACACGAACCACTTCTAGGGGACCATACCAATGGGGCTGCAGCTTCTTGCGACCATAATTCTTGACGAAGACGAAATCACCGACTGCGAACTTCGCATCCTCGACGACGTGCGACTCTGCATGTGCTTTGACCATGGATGACGCTGCATCTTGCTGCGTCTGAAGGTGGGCTTCTCGGAGTTCGTCAATCTCCTTAAACGTCTTTCTGCGGTGCTCCAAAAAATCGCTCGGATCGGAGAAATCAAACAGAAAGGGACGGACGGGGTCTTGAGGGATACGCGGTTCAATGCCGTATACCAACTTGAAGGGGGAGAGTTGAGTGCGCTGTGAGATGTGCACACGACAAGCAAAGAGGGACTGGTGCAGGTACTGGTCCCAGCGGACGCGATGAGTACCGACATACTTGTTGAGCATATGTCCGATAACACCATTAAGGCGCTCGCATTTGCCATTGGATCGGGGGTGGTAGGCGGAGGTAGCCATGTGCTTGATGTTCAGCTTCTGGAGATAGCGCTGCAGAACGTCAGACATAAAGTTGGCGCCTCGGTCGCTAACAATCTCGGAGGGACAACCAAACTGAAGGAAGATTTCCTCATACAGGAAAATGGCGACTGCTTCGGCAGTGGCATCGGGAAGGGCGCGAGCAATTGGCCAGTTGGTTGCGTAGTCGATGGCAGTGACGATCCATCGATTGCCTTGCTTGGTGAGCGGCATGCGTCCTATGAAATCGATTCCCCATCGTTCAAAAGGGCGCGCCGGAGCCAAGGGGTGGAGAGGAGCCACAGATCGGCTTCCAGGCTTCACGAGCTGGCAGGGTTGACATTCTCGAGTCAACATCTTGATATCGGAGCGGAGGGTTGGCCACCACATGCGCGTCTTGGCCAAGTTGTAGGTGCCAGACTGTCCAAGATGACCCAGATCGGCGTGCAACTCTGAAAGGCGATCCAAGCGCTCGACATAGGGCACGAAGGGAACTGAGGCTTCTTCAACTAAGCGGAACAATTCACCTTCTTCGATGACGAAAAGAAGAGCTTGATGACGTACAAGCTTCTTGATGGCAGGGTCGGTGTCAGGAGGAAAAGTGCCTGACAATAAAAATTCAGGAACAAGGAGAGGCCAGTCCCAGGTGTCGATGTGTCGAACTTGGTGGACATTGTTGATCTCGAGACGGGATAAGGCATCGGCGGCGACATTGGTTTTGCCGGGCTTGTACTGGATGGAGAGGTTATAAGGGGCCAGGAACTCGACCCATCGAGTTAATCTCTGGCTGAGATGAGGCTGAGAAAAGATGAACCTCAGGCTGGCGTGATCCGTAAAGACGACGTTCTCGGGTGCTCCCAGCACATACGATCGCCAGGCTCTACAGGCATGTACGATCTGAAAATTTTTACGCTAGTCACGCACAATCGACTTGATAAGACAAGAGAGGGATCTTTGTTAACAGCCCAGACACCTCCATTTATGTCGGTGTCTGGTCATATGACTAAATTACTGTCTCTAGCCTAATTACATTAGCTGACACCCCCGAGACAGGCAAATATGCGACAATCCCCTCCCATGGGAAAGGCTGAAAGCCGTCTGCTTAAAAACGCATATATGCTCTGCTCGTTTGTGTCTAAGAATCACTTGGACTCTGTGCATTATTTTACTGTTCTGCCAGGAAAAAATCTGAATAAAAACCTTGCAGACAGGTTGAGGATCAACAATCCTCACATGACATTAATTGTTCACTCAAGGCAAAAAATCGTTTAAAAATCCTTGCGAGGGGAAAACCCAAGAGGGAAAACCTCGAACGTGATTGTAGGGGAAGCGGAAAAACCCCTACTGCATTATTCATCGGATGCACTGATGATGCATGCTAATGACGATCAGGCATACGCCCGCGAATCGTCCTAAGCTCAATACTCATCTTCTCGCCATTAGCATTATTTCTTCGCAGTCGTTTAGACCTGCGTCGATCGACCAATTGATCTTCTTCTTCGTCGGGGTTTGCACGCTTGCATGTACCCTTATTAAGAGCATCACCATTGGATATGTTCTTTGATGTTTTAGTAGCACCTTTACGTTGCGATGGATTGAGCTCCTGCTCTTGACCCTTAGTCCCGAGAGTCGCGGCCGTTTGACGAGGCTGCGTTAGAGATTGCGATCCTGGTAGGTTTTTAGTCTTCCAGTAGTCTGTGATACACTTTCTCTCAATAAAATTCTCTTGAGGCTCCCAGGTTTCCTCTTTGTACCCTTTCCATTTTACGCGGTATTCCATCCCCC